TTAATTATATAATTAATAATCTTTCTATAAGATTTAATAGTTAAACCTTCTTTAAATAATAAACTAGATTCTCTCTTTAAGATCCTACTAATAGTATTACTTTCTATTACTTTATTATCTTTAGTTAATAGATAAGGACTAGAATAGTCTTTAAAGTTATAGTAGTTTTTATATAAGTAATCTTTAAAAGGTATTATTAATACTAAGTATATAATTAATAGTTTACTTAAATAAGGCGGTAAATAGCGTATATTTGTTCTATTCTTCCTAGTAATATTATTAGTCTTACTATAATTAGTAGAAATTATAAAGGTATTATCTTCTTTATTATATATTAGACTTCTAGTTTTAGTTTCTATATTCTTATAAAGTATAGTAGTTAATTCGGTTCCTCTTAAAGGACCTCCGCTATATAAATAAATAGCGAGAGTTAAGTATTCTAAAAACCTATTAATATTAGTATTAAATATTTCTATATTAGTATCTTTAAATCTTAAAGTCTTAGTATCTTTCTTTATATCTTTTAATAGTGTTTTATTATAATAGGTTCCTTTAGTTAATAATTGAGTTAAAAAGTAAGGCCTATTAGTTTTAAGATATTTTAATTCTAAAGTATCTATTATATAATAATCTATATTACTTATAAAGGTATTATCATTTATAGTATTAAAGTCTATATCTAAAGAATCTATAGAAGTTATCTTTAAAAGCTTCTTTAGTAAAATATCTTCTAAATTAATATAAACATTCTTAAAGAGCTCTTTAATCTTAGTAATAGAATACTCTATAGTATTATATTCTATAATATTTAAACTAGTTTCTTTTATAATATAATTAGTAGATTCTCTTTCTTTATTTAAAGCTAAGAGATAAGGCCTTAGAATACTAATGAATTCAAAGTAATTATTAGAACTATTAGTTAAATAAGTAGAAAGAAAATCATTAAAATCATTATAAGTATACTTTATATTATTTAACTCTTTAAAGTAGAAATATTCTATAGTAAGTAGTTTACTATTATAAAGAATATAACTAGTAAGCTTTCCTATTAGATCTATATTTTTAATCTCTTTAGTATTAATATCTAGATTAGTTATAAAGAAGTAGCTTAGAACTATATTATTTAAACTAGTATTATTATCTAAAGTTAAAGTAGTATTATCTTTAAGTAAACTAATGTAAAACTCTATAATATAAGTATAAAACTCTTCTTTCTCTTTAGTTAGTTCTTTATCTTCTAAATCTATTAAATCTAAGTTAAACGGAATAATATTCTTTAAAGCTTCTTTAGCTTCTAAGTTAATAGTAAAGTTCTTTACTAAATCAAAGTAAGTTCTTTCTTTACCTATTGTATTCTTATATTTCCCTTTAATATAACGTACTTTAATAATAAAGCTAAGTAGTTTAGCATAATAAGTAAAGTAAGTCTTAGTAGTAGACTTATTCTCTAAAGGTATAAAGTCTTTAAATACTCTAGTATTACTACTATTATTTTGATTTAGCTTTTGTCTTAATCCTAAGCTTATATTAGTGATTTTAGAATGTATATAAAGTAAACAATCTATAATAATATCTTCTAATTTATTATAGTCTATTCTATTAAAAACACTTAGATCTTTATCTTCTTCTTTAATATTATATACTAGATTTACTAAAGACTCTCTATCTTTATCTTTTAAAAAGATATAAATATTAGATTTCTTAATATAAGAGTTTAAAAGTCTATTATTATTAATATTTATATTATTATTTAGTTTATTCTCTTCTAAATTCTCTTTAAGATAATCTTTTATAATATCTTCTTTTAAATCTAGTTCTTTAGAACTATTAGACTTTTTAGAAGTAATAGATTCTATACTAGAATTAGAACTATTAGAGTTAATATATAAGTTAGTACTAGTATTCTTTTTACTTATATTAGGTATTTTAGGTATAAAGTATAGTTTAGTATTTTTATTATTACCTTTAATATATTGTAAAGGAACCTGATTTATAATATAGTTTACTTTAGATTTACTACTTTTATTACTATTAAAGTGATTAGTATTAAAGTGAATTCTAACTTCTTTATAATTAATATTAATATAATTACATTCTATACATTTATATCCTTTTAAATTTAAATCTAACTCTTTAAAGTAAAATAGATTAGGCTTTAAAATATCTTCTAATTTAGCTAAGTCATTAAATTCTAGTTCTTCTATATTAGTTTTAAGTACTTCTAATTTAGAAGATTCTTTATAACTTTTATAAATAGTAAAATGTTTATCTTTTAAATGTTTTAAATAGTTATTTCTATCTAGATTAGTTTTACAAATAGTACAAAATAAAACTTTAATTTCTATATTATAATTTAGAATAGTATTCTCTATATTATTAGTATAAGTACTTTCTATAATAGTAGAATTATTATAAGAATCTCCTTTAATATAATCTTTATTATTTATAAGTAATTGATTTAAAGTAATTAAATCCATTTTTAAATAGTTAGTTATAATTAAAGTAGTTTAAAGTAGATATAAAAGAAAAGACAAAGATAAAATAAAAAGAGCTTTCTTATATATTCTTTTTCTCTTAGTTAAACTCTAATATAAACTTAAAACACTTTAATTACTTAAAATAACTATTTTAGTTTTATTAAAGTTTTTTTTTAACTTTTCTTATCCTAATCTTTTAAATAAGTACTTATTCTTCTTTTCTTTCTGTTTTCTTTTATTAATTAAATAAAACTAAAATAATATTAAAAGAAACTATTATAGTTAAATTTATTTAAAGTTTAAGCTAAAAGGGTTTTCGAATGTACTTTAACTAGCTTCTAACTTTTTAAGTCTATTAGATTTCTTTAAACTAAAATAAATAAATAGATCTAAATTCTTATAATACTAAAGGAGTTTTTATAAAATCTATTCTTTTAATCTCTTTACTTTATAAATCCTATCTTTATAAACTAATATTTTTAAAAACTCCATTTATATTTTACTTTTTAAAAAAACTTGGAGGTTTTAGTAGATTTTCTATGGAGTTTTTTAAAAACTCCAATGTAGATACAGTTAGGCCTTTCGACGCGGAACCTGATGGATTTCCAGATACAGTCCGCGATGAGGGTGCTTGGGTGATGTTTGACAAGACGCCGTACGCCCATTTGCACGTTTGTAGTAGTCCCTGAGCCGGGAAACAGTACGATGCAGAAAAGAGCGAAGCAAACCGGGACTTACGTTACATGGACAGGAATTGAGCATGAGATCGTTGAAATCAAGTAGAGCGCGTGATGAATTGTGCTACGATCGGAACGATACAAAGGAGGCAGAAACTCACGTCAGGCTGGAACGCGTTCAAATGATCCAAGGCAAGAGCCCCAGAACTCGTGTCGATGCAGCTGCGCTGGAGTGTGCACATGTAATCAAGGCTCAACGTCAGGCACGCGCGAGATACAGAAACACGCGGTCAAACTTCCCTGCATTTCGCACCCAGGCTTATCGTTGCGTGGTTGGCTCAGAACTGACTTTGTCTGATTCATCACTCTACTTGATTGCTCATCTTCCACCCACTCACTGCCCCTCCTTATTCCCCTCTCTACGACGACGGCGGCGGCGCTTCAAAGAGGACTTGAGAAAAGTAACAAAAGACCTGTCCATCACGGACCGTGGCGGAGGCGCCGTCGACAGCATAAGCAAAGTCGCCGCCGTTGTACTCTGCAAGGTTGTTGTTGCAAGCGCTGGTGTCGTCGCCGAGCCAGGCAATCGTGACGTCGTAAAAGGCAAACTCGCCAAAGTTCCAGCTGGCGCCGTACAGCTCAATCGCAAAGACCGCAAGGTTGAAGGGGAATGCGGAGTAGTTGAAAGTGTCCGTCTGCGACACGGGCTTGCCGGAGACTGCAAATTGGGTGGTCCAGGTGCCGTCATTCCCGCGGAGGTTGTTGAAGTAGTACTCGCTGCCGGGCTCCAGACCGCTGAGTCCGCCGTCGAAAGGCTGTCCACTTTCGCAGCAGTACCCGCTGTCGACCGACCATGTGCCGCCGGAGCTCTCGGGGCTCATCACGTTCTGGTAGACACCGGGCACGCTCGAGCCCTGGAGACCGGGCCAGAGGTAGTAGGTGCAGCCATCGCATGGGTAGCCGGGAGGGTACTCTGGAACCTTGATGGTGCCCTCGAATTGAGTAAGGTTGACGTCGCCTGGTGTACGCAGGTCGAGGGTGTAAAAGGTGACAGCCTGGGCGGCGGTGGCCAGGGCGAGGAGGGAGACGAAGCTCTTCATGTTGGCGGGGTTTGGTTGGGAATGAAGGTCTGCGATGAGGGTGATGCTCCTTCATTCGAGGGTGCACTCGATGCTGCTAAAATATTGCTGCCCATTGCAATGACAATCGCAAGGCTTTCGGAATCGCGGCTCCACAAGACCAGCAAGCGACCTCGTGATCATGGTCAGTGTCATACTCTTCACTTACAACACCCACCGGGAGTGGGGGAATGGTAGTATCGGGCATGTCGGTGGGGGATGTGCAGCGATTGGTGTACAAGGCTGTGGCTAGAGACACGCTCGTTGACCCGTAACAGGACTAGCGGACGATCGGTCAGATTCAGGCTGTTTGGTGTCGAGGTTGCAGATCACAAGGCTACTAGGCGAATTGCTCCAAATGATAATTGATCGTCGCCGGCTCCACTTGCTCACACCTGTCAGCAGAGGAGGGTATCGGGGAGACCCCACAGGAAACCCCACGGGGAGAAATCGTCTCTTTTGACAGGCCTCATTCTGGTTAAGCGAGCCGGAACGACGGGAATCCGATGTATTCCATGCCTCGGCTTCCTACTTCTTTCCCGAGTCTTCCTTCAAGCTGACGATGCGATTGAGCACCACTTTCCCCGACGCCTCATCCGAGTCGCTGTCCATTGCAAAGAATGCTGTCCGTAAGCCCTGGAACCTGACGCTGCTCTTTGCTGCCATGCCATTTGCCTCGCCCTCCTCCTTCGGCCATGGAGCATTCTTCTTGATGTACTCAAACCCACACTCAATCATGGCGTCGGGATGCACAATCTCCGACTTGGGATCGACATTGTCGTAGTAGCCTCCACTCTTCCAGTCGAGCTCGTTGGGCTTGCTGCTCTTGAAGAGAGGGTGGAAGATGCGCACTTCGGCTTTGATGGGGGAGTGGTACGCTGCGGACTGACCGACCCAGTGTATGCGGGCTTTGCCGGGGGAAAGGTGGGAACCGTACTCTGCTTTGATCTCCACAACCTTGTTCGAGGAATCCTTGGTGAAAGAAGTGCAGGAGATGGGATGTTCTGCATGGAGCAAGCCCACGCTCTTGCCTGGTGCAAGGCGGAAGAAATCCGGATCATCTTCTTCCCGAAAGTCGTCACGATCAATGTAGATGACTTTGGTAAAGGGTACTTTGTGCGTTCCCTTCTCCTTGTCCTTGGGATCAAAGGGAACCTCTCTCTCCTCAAGATAATCGTCGGGCAGGTTCTCAAACACGACTTTGATGGGATCGAGAACGAGCATGAGACGGGGCACCGTTCGTTCGAGATATGTCCGAATCGAAGCATCGAGGGTGTGTGTCGCGGTGTTTGCAATCGCTTTCGTCACACCGAGGTCGAGAACAAACTTCTTGAGGGCACCAGGCGGCACGCCTCTTCGCCGGAGTGCCACGAGGGTGTAGAGGCGTGGATCATCCCATCCGCGGACGACAGGAGGGATCTTGCGGCCAGATGACCCGTTGGCGACGGCGTGGGAAGTGGCTTCTGGTTCCTCCCCATCTTCCTCCAATCGAATCTCGTCCACCCCATCTGCCAGATCATCGGCAGCCTCCCTCGCCCCCACAGTCGTCCCTTCCACCAGCATCGCAATCCTCCGCTTCGATAGAATGGTACCTTCCACGTTCAACCGCCCGTACTCCCTCTGCATTGGCCCCTTTTCATCTGACGCCGGCTGTTTAAAGTCCAAGGCCTCCAGCAACCAGTTGTACGCCGGCCTCAGCGTTTCAAACTCCACCGTGCACAACGAATGCGAAATGCCCTCAAAAGCGTCACACAGACAATGCGTAAACTCGTACGTCGGGTAAATCTTCCATTTGTGACCGGTCCGGTGGTGGTAGTTCTCATCCTTGACGCGGTACGCAGCCACATCCCACAACGCCGGATTCTCCGCAAGACCTTTGAGCTTGGACTTCTCCTTCTTCACATCGGACGAGTCGTCGGCGGAAACTTCGTAATCCTCCGGCCTGACCCCAAGATACTGCTTCATCCGAAGATGCGCCTCACCCGCCTTGTATTTGCCATCTCTCATCGCTCGGAAATCCTGCAGGTTGTCTTCCACGGTGCGCGACCAATCCTTGCATACGCTGCGCGGGCCATGCTCGGGACCGCCTCGCCCGCGCTTCACTTCGGCAGCGGAGCAATGGCAGACGTACCCCTTGCCTCGCCGTACCAGCTCTTCCGCCAGGTCGTACAAGCGGTCAAAGTCGTCGGAGCTGTGTGTTATGCGCGCGGGCTCAAAGCCCAACCAGTTCACCATATCTTTGATCGCCGTGAAGAACTGCTCCTCCTCTTTCGCGGGATTGGTGTCGTCATATCGGAGGTTGCATCGACCGGCGTAGCTTCGGGCGAATCCAAAGTTGACGGTGATCGCTTTGGCATGGCCAATGTGGAGGTAGCCGTTGGGTTCGGGAGGGAATCGAGTCTGGACGTCGGCGACTGGCTTCTCGTTGTATACTCCCTTCAACCAGCCTTGCTTGAACGGATCGACGGGTTCGGCGGCAGCTCGCGTGGCCGGGGCGGCTTGTTTCGATGCCTCCTTCTTTGCCTTGGCCGCTGCCTTCTTCGCCTCTTTCTCGGCCGCGCGCTTGGAGATTTTGGGTTCACCGTCGGCGGGAGTGGGTTCGGTATCTGCCATGCTGAGCACCTGGTTGATGCGTATGGAGAGATGAGAGAAAGTTGAGGTGTGACTGCTGGCCAAAATTCCTCCGCTTCACCTTCCGAATTCAGACCACGCTTCCCAATGGCATGTGACGGACAATACTCGAGCATTGCAATAACAAACGACACATCTTGAAATGCCAACCACATGCCACTGGCAGCAAAAGTGCAGAGAATGGCCATCACGGCCCTGCCACAGATCCCCACCCTCACAACACTCTACCATCTGAACCAGCTTTCCCCATCACCAACGCCACACCCCGGAGCCACATCACGCTACAACGACAAGATTTCGCTCATCCGCACAGACATCACCAGGCTGGCAGTAGACAGCATCGTCAATGCTGCCAACACTTCTCTACTCGGCGGGGGAGGCGTTGATGGCGCCATTCATCGCGCAGCTGGCCCGCAGTTGTTGGAAGAATGCCGCGGTCTGAACGGATGCGACACGGGCAACGCCAAGATCACCGATGCTCATCAACTCCCCTCCCGCAAGGTCATCCACGCCGTCGGTCCAGTCTATCACATCCAGAAGGCCAAAGGCAAACATACCTCGCTACTCCAGAGCTGTTACACTCAGTCATTGGATCTCGCCTCACAGCACGACTGCAAAAGTATTGCCTTCAGCGCCTTGAGCACCGGGGTGTACGGCTATCCCAGCGACGAGGCTGCTGAAGTCGCCATTGCTGCCGTCAAGGGCTGGCTGGAGGCAGACGAAGAGAGAGCCGGCACGATGGAACGAATCATCTTTTGCAGTTTCATGGAAAAGGACGAGAGAGCTTACGAAAGGCACATTCCGTGCGTGACATGCGTCCATAGTTTCTTCCTCGACTAGCTAACCGCCGTACAGACAGTTCTTCCCGCCGGCGAATGAAACGACCACAAACGAAGAATCCGAGGAGGGTGGGATTTCATTACCTGATGTTCCTACCAAAGATCCCGCTACTGAGGAAGGACAGTCTGAACCGAAGAAGCGAAAGGTTGATGGTGGAAGCAATGACGGACCATCTGCATAACACGAGTCGCCCAACACGAGATACGAGAACAAATGACAACTCATTGTTTCTGTGATATCAGGCTCTACGAGAGCACGGCAATCCTGCTCATATCCGGAGCATATTGAGTACTGCCGCTGAGACCAGAGATCTCAATTGTATTCTTGTAGCCTCCGGTTTGGAAGCCGCTGAGCTCAACCAAAAAGTTCTGCGTCACATTGGCAGACCAGTTGTAGCCGGTGAGCGGGAAGAGAACTGGCACGCCCGCACCCCCATTGACAGAGATACTCGCGCCACGCACATTCTCGCCGTCGTTGGTGTATGAAACGTCGCAGTTGATGTAGTCAAAACGCACATTCTGCGTCGTCGCGCTGGTTTCCACATTGTTGAACGTCAGCGTACCGCCGGAGCCCAGATAGCCGACCTTTTGCCCGTTTGCGCACCCCGAACAGCTCTGAACGTTGGCGCCGCCGGCAATGGTGCCCGTTGTCGCATCGATATAGGTGAGGGCGGGAGCGGGTGGGCTGTACGTCTTTACCTGACTGAGCCGCAGAGCCATGGAGCCATAAGCTTGCACCGATGTGGTCATGCTCGTGGCTCCGTTAGTCACCTGTCCGGTCCACAGATTCGTGGCGGTGGCCGAGGCGACATCGACTTGCTCAAAATCGACAGTGAGGCTTCTGCTTTGACCCGACTGGTCGACAAGGAGGACGGCAACGTCTCCGCCCTCCAAGGGCCCAGCAAAGATGTCGTAGTTGTTGGTGTATCGTTGCACCAGCGTCACCGGCGCCCCGAGAGGATCTTGGTTGATTGCGATGAGGCCTTGGTTTTGCAAGATGCTTTGGGTAGTGGACGATATCTGAACCATGTTGGTAGACACCATCAAGGCGCTCTTAAACATGGCCCAGATGGCAAAGTGAGAGGCCTGTTGGGTGGTCGTCATGCCGGGGTTGCCCACCTCGAGTAGATCCATATCGGCGAAGTTGCCCGGTCCGGAGTGCCCAGCCAGATTGACGGAGATGGCTTCATTCATGATGCGGAACACGTTGGACCATCCGGCGGCAATGTCATCACTCACACGGAAAGAGGTGGAAAGAGGCGGTGTCCAGTCCGAGGGGCCTTCGAGAGTCCCGGCGGGGTTCTGGTAGGGCACACCCCACTGGCAGACAAGCATGCCTTCGATGCCCACCGCCCGCAGGGCATTCGACATGTTGCCGTACCGAGACGGAAAGTCGGTCATTGGGGTTTTTGGTGCATCTTCGTTTGCAGTGACGTAGCAATTGTCGACCTGGGAATACGGATAAGCTTAGTCCTCCTCGTACTGGCTCGCGCACAACCCACCTTCATATAAGCCACATTCCAGCCTGCAAACTGCAGCGCGTCTTCTCTCTCATGGCCCAGAGAGCCCGGAGGAGGATTCGACGGAGCGCAAGCGTACACACCCTCATCAGTGTACATGCTCCACCTGAAGCCCAGGTCGATCGCCTGCGCGCTGAGCGGCTTGATTCCAGTCGGAAAGGCGGTGCTGTCGTATGTGATTGATCCGTTTGCCTGCCTTTGACTGCCTTGCCAGCCGCAGTCGAGCTGAAAGTACTCGTAGCCGAGTTTCTGGAAGCCGAGGTCGGAGAAGGCAAGCATGGTCTGGTTGACCCATGTTGAGTTGATGGTACATGATGCGGCGTTGTATGTATTGAATCCCATTACAGGAGTTCTGCCGAATCCATCATTCTCCGCGAGAACAACATACGCCAAACTGGCGATGGAGAAGGAGAGTGGGAGATGCATTGTGAGTAAAACAAAGGACTCGATCGGTGGGAGTGAAGAAGCGGAAGAAGTCTCAATAAAATACTATCCGTCAGAGCGTGGCATGCCCAGACTCGCCCTCTGGAAGTCTGTAGATCGCGCTGAGAGTCTCTTGTCGTCGTCGTCTCTCGTGACGTTTGCACTCCGGCAAAATGCGCGAGGTATCTCAAATCCATCATTCTCTGCTTTACCCGGCGGTTAGAGCCATGCCTGCCCACATGGCAGCATCCGGACCAACCTCTCCACCGAGAGCGTGCGGGAGTTGAAGGTCCAAGTTTTTGGTGGAATTTACCCAAGCGGCCGGAGGAGATTTGCCTAGCACCTGCCGTATGTGTTGAAGATCGGCAAATGTCGTCTTCCATATGTCCACTTCCCGGGCGTTAGAGGGAGTGTAGTGTAGTGATGACCGTCCGTCCCCGCGGGCCGCTCAAGCCCGTCGATCAGGGGAGACGGAGATTTGTGGGGGTGTGGGGAAGCGAAAGGCAGTCTCCGCGCTCTACCCCGGATCGTTCGGAATAACGAGTCGCATCAAACTTTAATCGCTGCGACTTCATCACCGCCATGGCGTTCTTCTTGATTAGTTATTCACGCCTTCGTCTCGACTTTCACTTGACATGAGCCATTGAGAAGCCAGCCGGGAGAAGACAAAGATTCGGAAGCCCACACACTAGCAAATGGAAACTATTGAAAAAACTTGCAAGTGGGGACGTTGCAAAATTCTTCTTCGGTAGAGGTGGGTTATGACAATTTGACGATGCCGCGGCTCACGAGACTGCAGTACTGTACACGAGCACTGTCGCTAACCACGGCCCATCAAGGAGACAGACAAAATTCTGCAATCTAATAGCCTCCTATTCATGGATGGTGATCTTCATTTCGGTCCACCATGAAGAACCTACTTACTATTTTCCTTCCCGGCTGTACTCCTCGCCTTTACCCGGAACACTCCCTACATTCACCTACTAGGCTCTGCACGGCCGTACCTTAATTGGACATCACGGCACTTTGCGTCCGACAATGGGAGCCACCGCGTAATCGTCAAGGCCGGCCCCGCTCTGCGAAAGGGGGTTGGGGGGAACGGAGAATGCCAGACATCATCCGCCCGTGCCTAGCGAGCAAAGCAAGGAGTCTATTAGCGATGGGTGGTAGGATGGCCGCCACAAGGCTCTGGTCGTCGCCTGCCGTCCTGCCTTGAACGGGCATGAGCAATTTAGCCGGTTCTGCCTTGCCAGCCTTAAACGGACTTCAGCAATTTGCTTGTTGGTGGAGTTATTGGTCGTGTGATTTCCGAGGCCTGGCCCCATGGGGATGAAAGGGGACGCAATGAAGGAGAATGCCAGGACGAGCATGCAATATAAATACCATCGTCAACCCCGCCTCGACCATCACAACGCACACTCTTCATCTTCCTCATCTCAATCAACATGTTTTCCGACTCCTCCCTGTCAAAGGCCTTGGGCCTCGTGGCCTTCGCCAGTCTTGCCTCGGCGGGACCTTGCGACATCTACGCGCAATACGACACACCCTGTGTGGCTGCTCACAGCACCACTCGCGCGCTCTACAATTCCTACAACGGCCCTCTCTACGAGGTCGTACGCGGCTCCGACGGCAGCTCCACCAACATCGCCCCCTTGTCCGCGGGAGGGGTTGCCAATGCCGGCGCGCAGGACTCCTTTTGCGCCAACACCACCTGCGTCATCCAGACCATCTACGATCAGTCCGGCAATGGCAACAACCTGACCCCCGCACCACCGGGCGGTGAGACCGCCGGACCTCAGTCCAACGGCTACGACAACCCGGCCAGCGCCATTGGAGCGCCGGTAACGTTGAACGGGCAAAAGGCGTACGGAATCTTTTCCTCCCCTGGCACCGGCTACCGCATCGAGGACACCAAGGGTGTCGCCACTGGCAACGAGCCCGAGTCCATCTACGCAGTCCTGGACGGCACTCACTTCAACGACAACTGCTGCTTCGACTACGGCAACGCCGAAACAAACGCCCACGACGATGGAGATGCTACCATGGAGGCCATCTACTTCGGCACCTGCACCGTCTGGGACAAAGGCGCCGGTTCGGGCCCGTGGATCATGGCCGACCTTGAAAACGGTCTGTACTCCAGCAACGCGGAGTATGGAACCAACAGTGCCGACCCAACGCAAAACGACCGCTTCCTCACCGCCATGGTCAAGGGCGGGACCGACGGCTTTGCGCTGCTCGGGGGCAACGCTCAGTCCGGCGACCTCAGCACGTACTACAACGGCTCCCGCCCCAGCGGCTACCAGCCGATGAACAAGCAAGGCGCCATCATTCTCGGCATCGGTGGCGACAACAGTGACGGCGCCCAAGGTACCTTCTACGAGGGCGTCATGACCAGCGGCCTTGCTCCCGCGGCTGCCGATGCTGCAGTGCAGGCCAACGTTGTCGCGGCCGGATATGCCACCACCTCGCTGGTCAGTGGCCCTGCGGTCAACCCCGGCTCTACCGTTACCATGCGCGTTACCACCCCCGGCTTCACCACCCGCTACATTGCGCAGAATGGCACCAGCGGACAATACTCCTCCTCGGTCGTCACCACCGTCATCACCTCCTCGAGTCCCAGCTCCCTTCAGCAGTTGGGCCTCTGGAAGGTCGTCGAGGGCTTGGCCCAGAGCGACTGTGTCTCGTTTGAGTCTTCCATCACCTCGGGCAGCTACATCCGTCACTACGCCTTCGAACTCTACGTCGACGCCAACGACGGCTCGGCGCAGTTCGCCGACGATGCCACGTTTTGCCCCAAGGCTGCCCTGAACGGCCAAGGCAACTCGATCATGTCGTGGAGCTACCCGACCCGTTTCTTCCGCAACTACGCCGACACCATGTTTGTTGCGAGTGAAGGCGGGCCGCAGTACTTCGACACCACCAACTCGTACAACAACGATGTGAGCTACGTCGTCGGCTCCGGCTTTGAGTCTTGATCTGCCTTTCCATCTTCAATTGAGTTATTTAGACATTTTCAATCGAGCTCCACAATCGAGCATCTCTTCAAAATCCATCACACACGTCGTGTAAAGACTTCGGCCGAACCATTATGTATTTCAGCTGGCAGCGTTGATTAGCCGCGCCGATGCCGCCGAAGATGAAAACCAATCAATACCGAGTCTCCACAAAGTTATGCAGCGTCACGCAATCGCAACGCCGTCTTGCGTCGTCCCGACTTTAGCTATGAAAACACCGAGTAATTTATTCGGCGTGAGCTGGATTGGAAATCTTCATCTTCCATGCTCACCAAACACTCCAAACCTTCTACGCTGAACAACATGCCGGTGGAATTCATCAGCCTCGCTTTCCCCAATGCCAGCACGGAGTTGCACCCATTACCAAATGAACCGGCCGTAGACGCCGATTTCTTGAAACGGTATGCACGCAATTTGGACGACTATGGCTTTGACTACACACTTCAGCCGTATGATTCGGGAGGCGCGGACCCGTGGACAATGGGCGCCACCATTGCGGCCGTTACCAACAATCTCAAAGTCATCATTGCCCTGCGTCCAAACACTGTCAGTCCAACTGTTGCAGCCAAGTCTCTTGCCACGCTTGACCAACTCAGCCGTGGCCGCGCGGTTGTCCATTTCATCGCCGGTGGCAGCGACCAAGAACAAGCGCGCGAGGGTGACTTCCTCAGCAAAGACGATCGTTACGGTCGACTGGAGGAGTACATCAAGATCCTGCGACGAGCCTGGCTATCCTCCGAACCCTTTGACTTTGATGGTCGTTTCTACACCATCAAAGGGCATAGCAATCGCGTGCGGCCATACGGAGGCCGAAAGTCCATTCCAATTTCCGTCGGCGGCTCCAGCCCCGAGGCTTACCGCATCGGCGGGAGTCTGGCGGACATTTTCGGTCTATGGGGAGAGCCGTTGAAGGAAACCAAGGAGCAGATCGATAGAATCTACGCCGAGGCTGCAAAGGCCGGGCGCACCGATCGACCACGCATCTGGGTCACATTCAGACCCATTGTTGCCGAGACCGAGGAATTGGCATGGGAGAAGGCGCACAAGACGCTTGACGCACTGTCGGCGAAGACGCAGCTGACGCCGAAGATCTCGCCGGCAAGCGGAACGCCGCAGAATGTGGGATCACAGCGCCTGCTGGAGATTGCCAAAAAAGGCGCCGTTCAGGATCGTGCTCTTTGGTATCCCACCGTCACCGCGACCAACGCCAGAGGAGCGTCGACCGCTTTGGTTGGATCTCCGCAAACGGTGATTGACTCCATTCTGGATTATGTTGATTTGGGATGCGACCTCATCTCGATCAGAGGGTACGACAACCTCAACGATGCCATTGATTATGGCCGGTATATTCTGCCGGGAGTGCGGGCAGCATTGAAGGAAAGAGAGCAGACTGTAGGCAACGCACCGCAGAGTGAGCCCGTCGTGCCGGAGATGGTTGTTCCCAAGGGGAATGAGGAGGTGGTGCATAGCAGGGACTCTTCTTAGTTGTGGATCCGTGAAAAAGCATACATTCGCTCACATACCGCCCTGAACTTCTGTTCGGCCGAAGATGCCTACATGAGCTGAAACGTGCGAGCACGTGGTGTCGCCAAGCCTGTCATTGGCCGCGAGCCTTGCGACTCTGCCATGATCAACACCTTAGCTGAAAAAGCCATTTCTACATAGCACTGCAACGTCATGCCCTTGCAACAGACAGTATTTGACGACAAGATTCCCGTCGCGGCGCGATGGAGCATTTCTCTCCATTCACATCGTTCCTGGTTGATCGTCAATGGTGTCCAAGATGTTCCGCTCATCCAGCTCGCCCTCGAGCGTACTCCTGTGGATGACCGTAGCTACTGCCGTCGGGTCATTGGCACAAAACTCTACATTCTTCCTTGGAAATGCCCCCGACTTTCATTATGGAATGGAATCGTTCATGCTGCCATTGGGCATCTGGCCAACCCCAGCACCGCCACCATCGTCAAGCCCGTATCAACGGGTTGTTTTCATCTCCTTCGACGGCATGCACCAATTTGATCTCGAGCGCATCATCGCCCAGAACTCCAGCTCCAACTTTGCCAAAATCGCTGCCGGGGGGATCATGTACAGCAACACTCGCACCAGCTCTCCATCCGACAGCCTTCCCGCCACGGCATCCATCTTCACCGGAGCTGCTCCCCGCACGCATGGCATCTTCTGGGAGCAGATGTGGGATCGATCGCTGTACACTGGAGGGACAAACTGTGAGGGTCCCGTGGGCGGGCTCTGCGACTACTCCGAGGCGTGCGACCTCAACAACACCCTGCTCAGCGGAGGCAATGGCTTCAATCTAACCTACCTTCCCCATCAGAAGACGTCATGGGGCGCTTGTCAGCCGGTCTTGCCTCATGATTTCTTGTTGGTCAACACCATCTTCGAGGTCGGACGAGGCAATGGCATCTACACTGCATATGCCGATAAGCATCTCTCCTACGAATTCGTCAACGGGCCATCCGGGACTGGTCTGTCGGAAGGGTATTTCCCGGAGATTGCGAGCGTGGCGAATACGCTCAGGGCGCAGCAGGCATGGGATGACCTTCACTGTATGTTTGGTCGTCGCAGGAGGAGCGACACCTCACTAACCTTGCCACAGGGTCGGCTCTCAAGAATTGGACGCTCGGTCAATATCTGAACGGCACTGAGAATCCGGCGGGAGGACCCTCCTTATATGCCGCCAATTTCCAGGCCATCACCTGGGCACAGCAAAACGCCGGCTACTTGAATGCCGCTGGAACACCGAATGCCTCTCTCGCACAAGCTTTCGCGACCGCGGACGAGAGACTGGGCACGTTTCTGAACGTACTCGAGTCGTCGGGGAAGCTAAACTCCACCTTGGTCCTGGTCGGTAGTAAGCAAGGGCAAGGGCCGATCAATCCTCACACTCTGCAAGTGCTGAACCCGAATGCGGTGATGAATGGCGCGGGCGTGCCAGTGGCTTTCTTCAATGGTGAAGATGGTGGAATTGTAAGTGCCAAACCCCTCAACACATCCTTGTGCATTGCTCACCCGGCCGACAGATGTATCTCAAGAACTCGTCAGATTCTGCAAAGGCCAAGAGCAATCTGCTGGCCGATAAGAAGCTGGGGATTTCCTGGATTCTCGCTGGGGACGAGGTACAAGCAGCCGGCTTCGGCTCACCGACACTCAACTCCCGCACGCCAGACCTTGTCATTGGGGTGAAGACGGGAATCCTCTGGAATGATGGCTTCGAGTTTGAAGACCACGGTGGCTTTGCCGCGCAGGACCTCAATGTCCCACTGCTAGCGTACAGCCCGGGGCTTTCCAGCAAGGGCATGACGGTATCGCAGATGGTGAGCACGAGGAGTATCGCGAGTTCAATGCTGCAGGCTCTCGGACTTCCGACGAGCCAGCTGCAAGGATATGCCCTGGGGGAAGCACCACTTTTGCCTAGTCTGTTCGATACGGCTTGAACATGCAGCATGTCTCCGATTGCGCAGAGATGTGAGAACATACCAACCGGGCCGACTTGTAAATACCTTACGGAGATGGATTAGGGTTAGGTTTGGAAAGCAAAGGACGGCCACGCGACAGCGCATGGCCTTCCCAATTTGAGATGCAATTGCGATAAGCAGGGAATCCTCCGCATGTCGATCTCTTGCCGCCCGCCAGTCACCGATAGGACTTGTCCGATACTCGGAGAGGCTCTACGCGGGGTGCAGGTACGTATTGACCATGTCCTATCAGTTTTTCCATTTTGCATGTTCCGAGTCTGATTCCTTCTCTTGCTTTCATTGAAGTGTGCCCCCTAAATCGCTGACGCTATGAATCAAGACAACGACTTCACCGATCGTGAATGGCCGCCGGGAACCGTGCGACTCGCCACGCTCTTGGGCGGTAACAACGACAATGCCGACATCATCCTCCAACCCCGGCCCACGAGCAGCCCCAACGACCCATTGGTTTGCCCACCAGACATTTCACACCACGCACCTATGCTAACCCGAGAATGGTGTAGAACTGGTCGAAATGGAGCAAAGCACTGAATTACGGCCTCTCCAGCTTCTACGCCATGATGGTCTACGCATTCGTCAACGCCACCTCTCCAACTTGGGGCCCGCTGGCTGAACAGCTTCACTTCAGCGATGCGACTCTCACAAACACCTATGCCATCGGATGTGCAACCCTGGCGCTTGGTGCTCCGATGCTCATCCCGTTTGCCCTCAAGTTCGGAGCCAGGCCCGTCTACCTAGTATCCAGCGTTGGCCAATTCGCAATCTCCATCTGGGCTGCCAAAACGGAGAATGCCGCCGACTGGTGGGGAGTGAATGCGACGCAGTGCTGGCTGGGAGCTTTGGCCGAAGTGCTGGTCCAGATGACGATTGCGGATGTCTTCTTTGTGCATCAGCGTGGCAAGATGAACGCAATATACATCTGGGTGTTGAATGTCGGGATGTATCTGGCAATCGTTGCCGCTGGTTTTGTGGTGGGTGTCAAGCATGTCCGCCCCGTGTTGTCACCAAAGACTAATGACCCTTTACAGACTGTAGATCAAGGCTGGCGTTGGGTGTGGTGGTGGTTCACCATATTCTTCGGATTGCAAGCCATCATGTTCTTCTTTGGCTTCGAGGAGACCAAGTATTCCCACGTCGAGACTCTTGCCGATCGGCAGGGCAGCATCACGGCCGAGACGCCGTTAGACGACATTGCTGGTGGCTATGGATCTGAGAAGCATGAAAAGTCGCGAGTAAACGAATCAGCAGCCAAAACGGAGTCGGGAGACGTCGGATCTCCCCTCGCATCGCAGGCCGCTACCAAGCTTGGTGAGATTCATATCGATCCAACAATCCCGAGGAAGACGTATCGCCAGAAGCTTGCCTTTACCACCACATCGCCAGGCACTTGGTCGCAGTTCTTCCGCCATTCCTATCAACCCTTTATGATCCTCGTCACCATTCCTGGAGTCACCTTTTGCGCATTGGTCTACGGTGTCAATCAGGCTTGGAGCACCGTCATGACCGCCTCTCAAAACACCATCTTGCTGGATCCTCCATACAACTTCTCCGCCTCTGATATTGGATTGATGAGTCTTGGGCCATGTGTGTATCCCCTTCCTTACCCATCCCCCAAGTGCAGGATACTAACCTCCCCCGTAGTCATCGGAAGCACGATCGGATCGCTGGTGAGCGGGCCAGTCAGCGACTACGTCGCCATACGTCTCGCCAAAGCAAACGACGGCGTCTATGAACCCGAATTCCGCTTCTGGGTCTTCCTCCCCTTCTGTCCTTTTATGCTTGGTGGTGCATGGTGGTTTGGATACGCCCTCCAAAACGGATGGCATTGGGCGCAGGTTGTCGTCGCCTTTGGCATGTTCGGCTTCGGCGCCGCTCCTGTGCAAGCGATTTCTTTGACATATATGCTCGACGCATACAATGGTAAGCCTTCGGCCAAGCGCATTCCGCTCCCGTGCGATATCTGCTGACACCACCCAGAAATCATCGGCGACACCCTCACAGCCGTGACCACGGTACGAAACACCCTATCCACCATCTTCGTCTTCGCCCTCGCGCCTTGGCTGGCGTCAGTTGGCGTTGGGAATGTCTTCAATATCATGGGTGCCGTTGGTACGCTGATTCTGTCGTTTGCGGCCGTCTTCATTTGGCGAGGCAAAGCGTTCCGCGTGAGGACTGCAAAGACATATCGCTACTATGCCTCTCGACAGTTCGAAGCTCGAAAGATGTGAATGATTCTAGATAAGACGATCGTGACGCATATATGGAAGGGCATGGAGATGGACTCGGGATTGTATTTATGAGACATCGTCAGCGTCATCTTATGTTACGGCAGAGACAGCGTGAACGCCATTTCTCACAGCCACCTTTTGCTTCTTGAGAGCCGCCTTCCTCGCCGCTCGTTCTTCCCGTTCAGTAGCCTTGGCAGCTTCCTCGTCTCGTCCCTCCACGTTGCGCTTCTTCGCCGCCTTCTCTTCGACCGCGGGTTTCTGCAAGAGTCGCATCTTTCCGTCTGCACCTGGAACTTCGTTGACCTCCGCCTCACTGGCACCCAACACGCCTCGCTTCCTCTTCTTATCCTTCTTTGACGCCCGCTCGGCAGGTGGTTCTTCCAGCACATCCTGCTCGTCCTCCCACAATTCCTCAGCCATCCAAATGGGAAGTGCTGCGGTGTCTGGGCCTTTGATGTGGATCGAACGCACATTCCGCCACTTTTGCGGAACATACACCTCAACGAGAGCTTTCGTGGCAGCTTCAATATTCTCCTGAACTTCTTGTGGTGACATGAGCGAATGACCGACCTTGACGGCGGTGGTTGTAGACGGTGCAAGATGCACGAGCGCGCAGGAGAGGGTGCGCTGGATTTCGCTTGCCACTTCGGCTGGTTTGGCCGCAGATCTGACCGCTTTCGTGCCGCCCTCGGACAGCTTCTGTCGTTTGTTCCCTTGCTCGTCCACATCTTGTCTCCGGCCTTGCATCGAAACGGGCACGGGACGCTTGCTCCCAGTCTGGTAAAAGACCTTGCCGAGGAGTTGAGGCAGATAGGTGATGACTCGGTCGTCGGCGAAGAAGACGTCGTGTTCGCGATAGAGTTGGCGGCGAGACTCGTAGGACTTGTACTTTGCTTTGAGCTTCGACAATCCGATTACTCGGGAAATGTTCTTCGACAAGTCCAGAGGGAAAGAGGGATCTGCGACGAGGTCTTTGTAGGCGCGCTGAGGGTCGGCGGTGATCAGGCAAATGCGCAAGGCGGAGGTGGAGGGGTCGAGGAGGGCGTGGGGGAGGAGGATCTTGCCGGCTTTCAGCCGCTTCTTGTCGACAATGTGTTTCTTGGTGGACAAGACGAGCCACACGGGCTGGCTGCTGGCGTTGACATCGTCGTCTGCATCGGCCAACAGATCGGCTTTGAAAGAGGAAGCGGCTCGCGCAGCCTGGTCGCTCTGGATTTTTTGCAGGAGCGCATTGGCAGCGCGAAGCGTCTGTGCTGGATCGACACTGTCGACCGCACTGGGCTTCGTCACGGCCTTGGAGGCAGGCATTGTATGGCGGTGAATGGGTTGCGGGTGGTTGTTGCAGTTCAGAGAAAAATCTCCAAATTTCATGGAGAAGAGATCGGAGGATGAGAGATTGGATGCCGACGGTCAAAAGTCGTGGCGGGGAGTCCCACCACACACCCACAACGCCTCACCCGCCCTTGCCAGCCCACGGCCACCGCTCCTCGCGCCAGATTGCTCACAGAGTAAGCTTCAATTCAGCAGAGGGCATAGAGCACTCACGATGTTGGAGGGAGAATGAGCAGCCATGGACAATTAGAACGACACACACGACATTGAGTACCACAGGTATTACCGCTACCAACCTCACAACAACAGCAGTCTCCCCAATTCCACCCTTCTTGCCCAAAACCATACCTCAGTGAATGTCCTGCGTGATTGTTAGCATTACTATCATCGAGCACCCGTCGAAAAATTGAGATACTCACCACAGCGATACGGCCGCTCATGAAGCGCTTGATGTTGGGCAGAGCCAAGCAGCACAGGACGGCGACGGCGGAGAAGGGAATCGTAGTGATCCACACCCACTTCAAGGCTTCCGCGTACACTTCCGCCTGCGCCGCCGTGGCCGCTCCCAACACTGTGGCCGTCACGCCCTTGATCTGCTCCGCCGCGATGGGACTCACGAGGAAGGCCTCCACAAACGATGCGGCCTCTGCGGCGGGGAGCCCGGCTTTCACAGCTGCCACCGCGATTTCGGGCGCATGTGCGGTGAGTTTGCTCTTGAACACGTTGTAGTAGATTCCCACTCCAACCGATCCGCCGAGGAAGCGGGAAGTCAGAGAGAGTGCTGTAGTCGTACCGATGTATTCATCGGGACAAGCGTAGAGGGCGAGGGTGAGGGATGGCACAATGATCGCGCCAATGCCGAAGCTGTCCAAAGTCTCCATGGCCAGCGCAAGCCCCGGGGTGTTGGGCGACGTGGCCGCCAGCGCGCCTCCAAATGCGCACATGATGGCCGCGTTGATGACGAAGAGCTCCCGCACGTGACCACGCGAGTACGAGATGGCCAAGCTTCCGAAGCAAGCACCGCCCAGGATGGCAAAGGGGTATGAGAGGGCGCGGATGCCGACGGTGATGAGGGTCGTAGGAGCGAACTGGAATTCGAGCATGAGAGGGAAGAAGGAGAGGATGGAGTAGAAGCTGCGCCGGATTAGCGTCAATCATATATGAGAGCAGCACACCAGGAGGACTCACTTCATGCCGGCAATGAAAACAATCACAAACGCGAGCGCAACGACTCGCTGGCCCTTGAAGATGGCCCAAGGAACCATGGGGTACTTGGTGCCGTAGACTTCCCAGAGTGGGAACAGGACAACGATCATGACCAGGCCAATGATCAACGGAGCAAGGACCGTTGCAGATGTCCAGGGGTATCTGTAAAGCGTCAGCACGTCACACAGCCACGACCCATCTTCGCACGCAAGACTTACTCATAGCCACCAGCCTGGAGACCAACCAAGAAGATGGTCACTCCGCCTACGGACAGCAAAGTACCCACGTAATCGATGCGTTTGATAATCTCTCCCTTCGTAAGGCCGTCGGCGTTGTGCCTCGGTGGTGGCTTGTAGCAGAAGATGAGGCCAAAGAAGCCAATCAAGTTCCAAATCGCGACAATCAGGAAGGACCACCTCCAGCTACCGGCTTGCTCCAGCTCCAGCACGTAGATGACCGACGGCATGAATGGGAGGATGGTGAAGGTGACGAGTGCAAGGGAAGCCCCACGCCAGCGCACGGGAGTGATCTCGGCAACGCCAGCAAGCGCGGTCAATTCGCAGATGCCTGCTCCAATACCGCCAATGGCCATGCCCGCGATGACGGTCGCAAAGTTGTAGGAGGCGGCGATTAGGATACTGGAGACGAGCAGACAGACGGTGCCACCGATGCACACCCATCGTCTCCCGAGTAGATCGGTAATGTAACCGACGAAGGGAGCAATGGCAGCGACGGCCAGGGTACTATGGACAGCGGTCAGCGCTGATTGCATGGAATCTCCACGGACGACACCGACTTTGTAGTCAGAATCCAGTTGGGATACTTTGTGTCCACGGCAGCGGCGATGTACGCCAGAGCGGGATCGGCAAAGTACAGAATCAATTGCGAGCCTGAACGACTATTAGTCTCACGGTTGGGTTACAGGAGTCTGGAGCACATACCGACGTAGACGATGCAAAGCGAACCGACTGCGACCACTGTGGTTCATGCGATGTTAGCGGCAGCACAAAAACACCGCTCTCATGCTCGACGAACCTCTGGTGAATGTCCAAGGGATGTCATAATGACCTTCCGTCGGGTCGTTAGCGAGGGCCTTGTTCTCATAACGCCCATCGTCGTGACCCGCGTGCAACTTCTCGGGGTCGCTGGCGGCGCTGTCGCTTTCATGCACCATGGCGGGTTTATCCTGCGTGGTAGCCATGTTGGAGTTGGGAGGTCAAGGGGAAAGCAGACACGATGCTCGTGGGGGGGAGTGATGAGCAATCTTATTGAACCAACGGACCCGGCCAAACAGGCTATATGATGCGATGCGCGATGATCCTGCGTGGGAACCATGCGCGCCAGCCTGTTGACCATGTGCCCTCAGGCTGCGGGGAGCGCTGGGCCCAACCCCAGATTCGGCCAGCTTGGACCGTGCGCTTGTTTTTGATTTGCGGGCGCGGAGTTTCTTTCCGTGCGCGCTAACCAGAAGACTGCTGATGCTCTGCAGATCTCCCCCGGTAGCCTCGATTGCGAGAGTAGCCTCGATCACGGAGGGGCGCGGGCCGTGCTCGTTATTGGATCCGGCTACACGAACGAATCTGAGCGCGAGTCTTCGAGCTGCCAAGCAGCCGCGTTCAGTTACAAGCGAACAACCGGCGTGGTTGGCGGAGGAAACGGAAGAGTGGCTAGCGGACTGAAATTACGAGGCATCAGCATCTAACCGAACACTCATTCTTCTCGCAGCCGAATGAACTCAAACTTCTCCCTCAATCACGCGTCCCCAAACTTTGCGCTCCCCAGATTCCATCCTTGACCCGCTTCCCCATACCAGGCCGAGGCCGCCCGCGCAATCCGTCTGGGGTACACCTTGAAGGAAATCATATTGGGGCTTTGCAAGAGAAGGACGTGTCCTGCGGCTGTTGGAACGCAAAGATCATCCTGATGAAACGCACCAAAAGGTTAGCAAAGCTTGGATCCGCTTGGAGCGCCTTGGCACAGCACTTACGCTTCAATACTGGCCCACATGCCGAGACCACACATCCCCAGAGAGCATAGGAAGTACAGGACGTGCCAGACGTTCTGGGCGACACGGATAGGCCCGCCGCTGGTAAAGCCGCGGATATAGCGCTGCATCGGAGTGCCGTGTCGAACCACCTCTCCGGTCACCGGGTTGAACCCGTCGCCTTCCAACGGCCGCATGGCGTTCTTCTGGATGTCGTAGCCCAAGGCCAAGAATGGGGGAATGGTGTAGGTCATGTTGAGCAGGCAAGAGGCGGAGATGACGCCGACAAACGCGGCGTACGCGGGAATGGCGGCGGCGATGACAAAAGCAATGCTCCACCACACTGGCACAATGGCTGCGTATGCGAACTTGCCCCTGCGGCTCGTGATGAGCGGGGCGTTGAGCAGGTCACAGCAGATGTTGTTGTAGAACACCTTGATTCCGATGTTGCCGTACAGCGCAGCAGCAATCAGACCCGCGAGCAGGGTGAGCACGTTGCCCACGCTTTGCCAGGCATAGTTGGAAACGGCCTGGAAGCTGGGGTTGTACGTGTACCTATCAATTGCGGGTCAGCCCGGAGTCGTATAGTGCGCGGAAGCGCCTCGACGGCATTGAGTTCAACATACTGCCCTTGATAGTAATAGACGAAGCATCCATAGACAATGTAGACGATGTAGATGAAGATTTGCGCGCTCCACATTGCCTGTTGTCCGTCAGCAGAAACTCCACATCATCCTAGCGCGGATCTGCACCGACCTTCAGGAAGTCTCGGGGACGTCTCATCTCCGCCATAAACTCGATGAAAAGCTGGGCACCGGCGTATGCGAGCACGCCAGAAAGGAGACCGTTGATGGCTCCGAAGAGTTCTTTGGTGGGAATTCCGGCAGAGTGCACGAGAGCCGGGTAGATGCCGTTCTTGGGCGTGATGGACGGAATATCACCAATACCCTCTGCGAGATCGGTGTCAGCTTGCGTTCGAATCGGCACGTGCTGGACAGGCGTGGGAAAGACGCACCTCCCACGGAAGATCCACCGGCTACGGCATAATCGGGCGCCGAGTGTGCAATGACTCCCATGGTGATGAAGATGACCAACAGGTTGAGCCAAATGGCCAGAGTGGCAAAGATTCCCCTGCACAGGTTAGCGCAACTCCACAAGTCAAGGATGTTTGCTTGGGATACCTACAGATTCTTCAGGGTACGGATCTGCGTCAAGAAGAAGCCGATGAGGACAAAGATTAGAGGACAAACGATGTAGCAGAGCTGCGTTTTCGACAGCTCGTAGATGTTGGCGCCGAACAAGATCGTCACCTGTCCCAAGAGGAGGAGCAAAGCCAAGGCCTGGATGAAGTTGATAAGGTGGCGCATCGGGGTCCCCCAAGTGCGGAAGCCGAGATCGCCATAGTTTCGCGCGGGGAACTGATCGGAGTCGACGCCCAGAAAGACGTGCCACAGGAGGTAGCCCGAGTACCCGGCGGTAAGGCCAAAGGCGGTGAAGAGACCAATACCGGGGCCATACCCGAGTGACCCAATGGCGTAGGGGGTAGCAAATGGGCCAAGGATATCGGTGGTGATCTGGTGGGTATTAGTAGCGCGCACACGGGTGATCATGGCGGTGAGCGAGGGAGGGATGAAGCGGAGCGAGCGAGCTGCTTACCAGATAGAAGCATGCGCCCCAACCGGCCTGGCGATAGGCGCGGCTGGCATTGACCCACTCCTCGTCGGAGATGAGCATGCGATTCTCCTCCTTGGCCAGATTCATGGTGATTGGCGTGCCATCTTCGCCGGCGTCGTGCGGCTTTCTCTTACCCTTCATCAGAGCGAGCCATTGCGTGCGCGGCGCAGGCACCGACTTCTCCGCCTCACGCGTCTTCTCGGCCCAGTAGTTGTACTCTTCGAACGAGACATCCTTGTCGTAGAGTCTACGCTGCTGGGGCTTGATGGCCGTGCTGCGCGCCGCGATATCGTCGTCGCTGCCCGAGGATCCGGGACCGTGCAAGGCCGGCTTCGCGTCGCTTTCGAATTCGGCCATGTCGACGTGTAAGACTGTGACGTGCGGCAGTGTCGAGATGGTGCGAAGTTCAGGGAGAGAAGAGGAAGGGATAAGAGAGGGGGTGGTGTGCAGACCCTCGCTGATGAAGGATGCGTGCAGATGCGCCGCGGGTGCAACGATAAGCCGCCTCCTCCCGGCGATGTAACGGGGTCCCTGCACCCCACGCCGCGCTAGAACACATGGAAGCGGCCTGCCGAGACCCTTTCAGCTCTCCATTGGTCGCTTCTGCAGCCATCAGATTCGCATCTCACGCCTTTCTGCGCTGCATGATGATCAGGATGCAGCACAGGTGGGCAATTGGAGTGTCGCGACACGCGCCTCGAAGCAATGAGACGAGATCTGACAACAACGGCCGCTGGATGGTAATGGCATTTGGCAAAGACCCGAGTCATGTGACACCCTCCCCAGAACTGCTGACTGAGTGTGTGTCACCGCTTGGTCACCACAGCCGGCGCGCCATCGAATGCACCGACGCTTCCTGGGACGAGTTTCGCGAGGCTGGCAGCGCCCAGTGTGACGTCCGGCATTAATGCTTGTTTGCAGGACCAAGTCACCGCCAATGCCATGCTTGTTTTACGGGGCTCGTCCCCGCGAATACCAAGTGCCAAGGACTAAGCACCCTGTCGGCGTGGGTACGTGGCGAGCAGTGCGTCTGCTGTGGTGACAATGATTCTATGGATCTTGACTACATCTCCCATAAATAGATACCGCTGTCATACACGCTGCCATCTACAACTTCTTCCGATCCCAGTCGTAGCCTCCCACGGTCTTGGTAAAGACCAAGTACGGCGCTTTGCCCATGACCTTCTCCTTCTCCGCCGCCTCCATGAGCGCCTTGAAGTTCTCCGTCTTCGTATGCTTGTCCGCACCGTCTCTACTGGTGTATCTGGACATACAGCACGGTCAGCACTCCGCGGCCAGTCACGGAGACACCGCACTTACGTCTCAAACATGTGCAACGCCGGCTCGTCCGTGTCGAGTTGCTCGGTCATCAGGTACCGCGGGGTGTAATCCTCATTCTTGTGCGTGGCGTTGATGTGGTCCGCCATCAACTCTTTGAGCTGGTCAAGTGTTGGTCATCCGAGATACAGCTCGTCAATCTCCGGCAGCGAACTCACCCTTTGCAATTTGCCGGGGGCAGGGTAAAGAATGGCGAAGATGTGCGTCTCTTCGGGGTTCTGCAGTACGGAAGACATGGTGCCGGTCGATGAAGGAATGCCCTATCCTCTCTATATTTCTATGATCTCTGCTATCAAGTGCGTGGTCTGCCTCGCATTAAATACTCACTCCGCCCCACATGCCCCGACGGACCAAAGGAGGGGAAGCTGAGCTTGAGACACGCCGAGAACACCAAGTCGGAAGAAAAGCAAAGAAATGGGCAAAACCTTCGGCGAGCCTCACACTTTGAGGGAGTTTCAGATTTGGGCCAAGTGGTGAATAGTCACCCGCGATGCATGTGATCTGGCCAGCTCGAAAGAAGAGGCCGCAACGCAATTGTATAGATGGGGTATATGATGCATGAAACAACTCCAACAATACTCATTGCCCTCCAGCATCCACCAACCTCACCTCCTCATTCTGCGCCGCCAACCGCTCAATCTCCACTTGGATCGCAAGCACCCAATGATCTCGCTCGGCACGACTTCTCGCCTTAAACACCACACTTCGCCCCGTCGTCCCGAGCTGGCTCACCCGAGTCAATCTCGTCTTGGTCCTGCCAGTTCGCCCGTCATCCACCTCGCCACGACTGTTGATGGAGTTCATGCGCTCGGAAGCCCGCACATCATCCACCGATTGCGAAGACCGAAACCATGACTTGCTCTTCGCGTGCCAGATGACAAACGTCGTCATGGCATCCTCGTCGCTGCTCGTCCACGCGTCTTCCAGATATATCCTCGGCAATGCGTGGTGTCCTGGCATGTTGTTGTCAAAGGTTTGGTTTTGATAGAGGAGGTTATTCTCGGTGAGTAGGCCGGAGTACAAGTAGCAGCCTCGTAGATCCACCGAGCCCAGTCGCTCGAGATGGCTGTGCACGAGCTTCTTGCCCGTATGCTTGCGGAGTGTGTCTTGAAAGATAAGCATGTGTCCATGCGAGAGGATGACATGACAGCGAGTGAAGGTGGAGTGATGTCTTGGTTTTCGGAACAGGACGCCAGAGACGTGAATCGATCTGCAAGATGCGATCCCGCACATGTTGTAAAGAATCGGGCTCGCGTAAGACTGGCTGACTTCCCACTTGTACGCAAAACTGCCGATCTGGGCTTCCGCGCGCTCATCGATTTGCAGAGCGTCGAGATTCTGCTGCCGGACCGACTTGAAGAGGTCGGAGTCTTGACTGGCGCGGAATTGCCAATACCGCACCAGCGGCTGCAGGCGTTTCATCCATTCCACTCGCGCCTCCTTGCTGTATGCTTGGAGTCGGATGAGCAAGCCATTCTTCATGAGTAGCTCAAACATCCGATCGTCGTCCACTTCGGAAGCTTGGCCGTCTTCGCCGCCACCGCGGCGATTTGGCGGAGATGCATGAAAGTCGACGTCGGAACCGTTGTCAAGCGCCTCGTCGGCCGGTATTGCACCTCTGTGAAATGTGCGGACACTCTTAACATCACACATATCGATAAAGCCGTCGCAGGCCAGCAGGATTTGGAGATTTCGATTGGCCTCCCTCTCCGCTTCTGCATCACGGACCTGCTGCTCTTCAACGTTGTCCGTCCCGTCTCTGCTCAGCCAGGATATCTGTTGTCCCTCAAGAGGATATGGGTTGATGTCATGAGTGAGCGGCGTTTCCTTCAAGATCTGCTGGGCCGACGGAATGTTCCCGTTGTTTTGACTGGGCGTCTTCGGCGGCGGCGGCGGTATGGCCCTGGCAGGGCGCGTGAATATCAAGTACTGATTCTGCGAGGCAAAGTAGAGCTGTTTGTACATGGTCTTCCCCATCCGTCGACGTTCCAGGCCCTTTTGAGAGGTAAGGCGGATCAGAAAGCCTTCGATCGCTGGAGGCTCCTCTACGGTCTCGCCCTGCTTGGTTTTCACGTCGACCGGGTAGTGATCTTTCGGCCGCAGTTCAAGGTCGTGCGTAGCTTGCATAGCCACCGTGCCATACATGCGTTGCTCGGCTGCACCATATATCCACTCCAGTCTATCATACCGCTTCCAGGCCAGGCCCAGACGATCGTACTTGACCCATGATTTCAGCACCTCGGCCCATTCGGGAGACTCCTTGAGCATTTCGACACATCGAGAAACAATGGCACCGGCGACTCCACCTTCATCCGTAATGGCTTTTGCAAGAGCGTCATCATTTCCTTCGGCGGCCTCGGCCAGCAGCTGGGAAGTTTCCGGGGTGGTGAACGGGTTATCCAGTCGCAAGCTTACGCTCAATTGCGGGACATTGACCTGCAGCGTCTGCGTTCGGCTATAACCAAGGACGGAGTGGAGAAAGGTGAACCAGTCGACTGAAGAGACACCAGACTGCGGGCGTAGGAAGTAGATGTACGTCCGACCGCGATCAACCTTCCACAGGCACAATGTTTTGTCCAAGCTGGAGTACATGTTCGCCCTTGCTTCACCACGACGGAGGACAATCTCCGACTTGGGCCTCTTCTTGGTTTTGTCGGCGGTGGTGGCGATGACACGAGTCTGGTAGAACTGTAGGAGGGCACCTTCATCGTGCTTTCGGCAGACGACCATGAACTCGCGCCACTTGTCGAGTGGCTTCGTGAGGATGCCTTGACTGACGCGTTCATCGAAGCCGTCTTTGATGGACTGCTGAGTGACGTCAATCCGCATCAACATCTTGTCCATCTTCAGCAGTTCGCCCGGTTTGGCCTTGCTGCTGCGAAAGCCGCCTCGTTCAGCCAGCCGTTGCGCACGACTTCGCATCTGGAATTTCGTGGCTTCATTGAACCGCACTTTGGGCAGTGCAAGCTTACTGACAACTCTGTCGAGATGGCCATTGCTAGTGTTGGTCGTGGTGCGCTCAACGTCTCTTGCCGTGCCATCCTGCTGCGATGCAGAGGCCGTGCCATATGTGCCGCCCTGCTCTCTCCCGCGCTGACTGTGAAGAAGACTGGTAGTGCTACTAGCGGAGCCCCCAACATCAGGACGTGCCCGAGTGTCTGCGCTCTGGCTCGAAGGCCGCGGTGTGCCAACTTCTTCTGCCCCGTGCGCGGCTGCCTGCGACTGTTGCAGCTCCGACGTTGCGGTGGAGATGGGGTGTGCAGCGGTGGAGATGGATCTGGGCGCACGGCTGTGTGAGGAGGAGACATGGTGGCGGTACCAATGTTTACGGTGGTGGCTGAGCCATCCTTCGGGAATGGGTCCGATGAATGTTCGGCGGGTGGTGTAGTGGAGGTGTTCGGGGGTTGCGTGTTCTAGCCGCCGCGCGGTGTACGAATCTGCGGGTAGGCGACTCATCGCAGTGTGATGTCCATGAGGCGACGAAGAGATGTTGCCGCTCTCACAAGTCAAGAAGCAAGCGCAAGGTCGGGGTTTTTGGTCGAGGCGTGTGTAGAGAAAGTGTCGAGATGAAGGTTTCGGCGTCGAGATGGTCGTCAACAGATGACGTCTTCTCGTAACGCCCGCGCAACCGGTTCTCGCCAGGAGCAGCCTTGCACCATCGCGATTACTTGTACAGACGCTCTCGACAAGAATATCGCAGTCGCAAGGCAAGCACAGTAAATTAGGTACACTGGAAGACGAATTGCGCGCTGCCTGACTTTATTCGTTACATAAGCCTTGTCCGTCATGATTCATCGCCATCGCCATAAAACCCATTCCAGTTCAGCCTGGCGAGTAGAAACTTCGTCACATCCAGGTCCTCTTCTGCGCTCGTATCGCCACTGATGGCTTTTCGTGAATGTTCGACAGACTGTCGCAACACACTGAGTAGACCCTTGACGCTCCTCCGAAACACGTCAAAGCTTTCCTGCAGCCCAGTACTGTGCTCGTCATCCAGCAAAGCAGCACCTTTGAGGATAGAAGTCATGACATTGCACAGTCCTTCATAGATTTTGGCTTGCTTTCGTCGAAGGAACAGCCTGGACCGGATCGTATCGACACACATATGGTGGACTCGACTTAGCTGTTCCACTCCCACCGGCTCTCTGGCTTCGACGACACCCTCACTACCCATCCCGCTGGCCGCTCGCTCAGCGTCAGCCATCGATGTCATCAGCTTGCTGCATGGCTCTTCGATCGCGGACTCGAGAAAGTGCGATGACAACACCAAAATGCAGTGATGCGCCTCGCTCACAAACTGTCTGCGCAGATAAAGACCCGAGTCAGCCGTCTGGCCTATGCCTTTCCGCATGCAGATACTCTCTTTGAGCCTCGTCGTCACATGCGTCAGCCGCAAGAGCTTGATCAGCAGACGAAACGCTTCATCGTAAGCTGACATGGCGGAAGGGGTGAGTATTGCGCTCAGCGGCCCGGGAGAAGTGTACTGCAATTTGAGAAAGTCCAAGGCATGAATCGATTGCGGGTCAGTGACCTTCTCAATCTCATTCTCCGACATTTCGCGGATGGAGAAGCTGAGCCCGCCAGGTGGTTCCTGACCTTGACTCTGAGGGCGAAAGGTGTCCGACAGGATGTCCGTGAGACTCAGCTGCACTTCGGAGCTTGTCGGTGGCCAGCGTTGACCTTCTTGGGTGCCCAGTCTCAATCCCATAGCTTGTCCATTTGGTACAGATCCTCGCTGTCGCTGCGCGGATTGGATGTTCTCGCAGAATAGAGTTGTCGACATGCGGGAAGCAAAATCGCCGTTGCCAAAAAGGAAATACTGTCGAATCGAATCCAAGTGGGACACTAAGCCCATTTCGTTGAACAGCAACTGGAACAGTATCCGATCGGTGTGGAGTGCGTGTGCACGAAGATGCGGTCTCACGTCTCGCAACAGGTCGATGGGCTCTCCGACGGACCACCGCAGGGAGGGCGGGGGTTCAATCTTCGCATCGTGCTCCTCCAGAATGGAAACGGCCGTGAACTCCAACGATTCTCTACGACCAAGCTTCACCGGCTGAGACATTTGCTGTCCCGTGGCAGCAAAGTAGGCACCCTGCAGCTCGCTATCTGACCATGACAGGAATTCGCTGCCGCTGCTGCCGCCGTCTTGAATAATGTGCGCAGAATGTGCGTTGTCCACAAGGATGGCGGGGAGGGCTGGCTCTGCAACTTGTAGGGTACGTGATTCACCAAAACCGGCCACCGACACGGCTCCGTCGGACGATTTTGATCGAAGGATTTGTAAGGTGGCCTTGGTGTTGGAAATGAGCCGGCGATCTTCGGCAGAGATGAATGGTGGCAAGGCATCCGAGCCGGGTAGGCCATTCTCCTCTGCCGAACCTGTCGAATGACCATCGCATACAAAAGCAGGACGCATGGATACTTCGGCATGCAAGCGCTCCAGCCACGGGCCGCTGACTCGGGCCAGCAAGACCTGGACAATCTCAGCAAACGTGTTGTCGATAGACAAGGCCTGCGTGACTTCATCTGAGAGAGTCGAGATGATTTCCTCGTCAGTGGTGTGATCCGCGACGAATACCACGAATTGATCCAGCATGCCTAGCAATCGACTTGGTCGTTCAACCAGCCCCTGAAATTGCAACATGGAGACCACATTTCGAACACCGGTGGCGATGTACCTTTCGAGCCCGTCCAGGATGGTAGCAACAGAGTCACGGAGAGCAACAACAGCCGTACATGTGGTGCGATTAGCCACCTTGGAGCTGTAGGTCCGTAGCTTACGAAAGGTCGTGCCGCAAGCCATCATGTCCGCCGTGAAGTTGTTGTAGCACTCCAGGCTGTAGCCAGAACCGGGGACGTCGCCTAGGCTTTGCTCGAAGAGCTGATTCGCGTCGTTCCAATGAAAGATGGTCGAGCCTCTTCCTACAACAAGATGGGAAAGCGCACGTAACAAGACGTCTTGCGGCAAGACACTGGTTACAGCCCCGTGCAGTCCGCTGCGAGCTAATGCTGCGTTAAAGGACTGTGGCCCAGCTTCTGCCAGAAAGCACGGCCTCTCCGATGTGGTCTCGGTGCGTCCTTGAAAGCTTTCCCAGCTATGCCACCCACTCGCAGTCTCCAGTTGGTCGAAATCGAAATCGAAAGCCCACACGTCAGGTCCTTGAGCGCCGATAGCGGTGTCCGGGACGGTGAGGACAGAGCCAAGAGAAGCGGAGTCATCGTCAAAGCCTTCAAGACGAGTTTGTTCCGCGCCGTGTGGAGTGAAGAGATCGGGAATGCTGAGATCGGGTTGCAAGTCCTTGCCAGTGGGGGATTTCAGCTCGGGCAGATCGAATTCGAGGGACTGGAAGAGCGACGGGTCTTCTGATGGCGTAAAGAGACCTGTATGGTGCCATAGAGAGTCCAGGACGGACGGGCAGGCTCTGTGAAGAACATCGTCGTCCATTGCCCGACTGCTTTCCTGCACGCCTTGCTGAGGACGCGTTCACGCGAAGTTGCTAAATAAGCGAGAGGACGCGGGCGAAAGTCGTGGCACAGCGCTCGATTGACAAAACAGTTGACAGCTGCGTCTTCAACCACTTCCACGTTGCGAGATGAATTCTGTATTGATCATTTTCATACGCATGTCATGCTCAACTGAAGACGCCTCTATAGGATACTGCGACTAGGTCGGGATCCACGCCAAGGGCCAGACCCTCCCCTCCCTCACCACGTCCAGGCCCACAAGGCCTCCTACTGCCCATTGGCTTGTTGCACCTGGCCTGTCATCCTGTTCCGCTGTCCGGTCTGAATCGCCTTGCACATTCCCAGCGCCAATTTCTCCAGCGCATCTCCTTCCATCCGCAGCTGCACCCAATCCACCATCTCGGTGGCGCCCAGGCTGCGGTAGAATTGTAGACTCGGCTCGTTCCACTTCAGACAGCTCCACTCCAATCTTCCCCCGTCCATCTTGAGCACCTCCCTCGCCAGCTCTTGAAGCAGCATCTTGCCGTAGCCACGCTTGCGATATTCTGGCCGCACGAACAAGTCTTCGAGGTACACGCCAGGCTTCGAGCGCCAGGTGCTGTAATTGTTGAAGTACAGTGCCATGCCCACCACCTTTCCCGGCTCGTCATCAGGGAACCGGGTGAGCTCGGGTTTGTTGGGGAGTCGGAGGATGAGGGTGCGTGCGTAGCCGGTGGAGTTGGTGTGGCCAAGGGAGAAGCCGAACGTGAGGGTGCGGCGCAGGGATTCTTCGGTGGCTTCGACCTTGTCTAGGGCGTTTTCGTAGCTAGCCAGCTCGCGGATCATCGACAGTATGACGGGCACGTCTGGCGGGGAAGAATTAGTGGATTGGGGCCACCCATCATGCAGCTGCAACGTGAGGAGTTCGCATACCAGTGTCTGAGGCTTGCTTGATGGTAGGCTGCGACGGATCAGGTAGATGAGACATGCTGGAAGTAGGATGTTGAGAGTGGCGTACGGCGAAGGTGTGTTGTAGGAAGATGGTTGGAGGAGGTGATGGTGTGACTGTTTGGATCGTCCTTCCCCGGATTTTGAGTGGATGCAGGAGCGCCGACCTCGCGTAAAAGGCAGCAGCCGCGATCTGCGCAGCAAAGTCCACGTTGGTCGCGGGGCGAGCCGAGCGAAACGAGGTGCAACCTCGATTCATAGAACGAAAGAGTCCTGGTTGATTACGGCGATGTTCGTTGAGGCGAGACTGGGCTGCTTACACCTCCACGCAGAGCTTCTTCGCCCCAGGTCACCCGCCAAGATGACGATGCCACATCCCAATCCAGCAAAGGACATTGGCTGAACACCTGGGCATACAACCGGCGCATGTATCGGGGCGTGATGGCATGTCCGTTGTGCGTCTCCAACAACTTCATCGGAGCCTTGCCAAACGAGACAATCGCCTCGAGTGAGTGATTGCGATCCACGTGCTCGGAAGACTTACTTCGCCGTTGTCGCGGACGTTTACTTTCAATGCGACCAGTCGCGAGATCCCGTAAGTGCTGCCATTCCTCGGTGGGCAATGGAGGGAGTATGCGATTCAAAAGCTCGGCGTAATGCTTCTTGCGCATATTCTCTACGCGCTTTTGCGGCATCGGTCGGAGCCATGCATTGAGCGCGGCTATGCTCCCAGTCACCCGGCGTGGATTGGACCTCGATAACGCTGGAGGTGATGCGCGGATTTGTGACTGCAACAAAGCGCGCAGGGGAGGCGTGAGAGGCGGCTCAATCTGCAGCATGTCCGAAATGCGCGGGACGGATGGCTTGTTTGCATTCTCTGGGGCTGGGTGGACGTCCGGAGCCGGAGCTTTTTCGATATCCGACCAGTCGGTGTCGACGGCGCCACTCTCGTCCTCTGCGGCTTTGGCCAGCAGGGGCAGCATCAACTCATGCCTTCGTTTCCCAATCCGTCCATACGCCATGAACAGTACTCGCATCAGGCACTTCCTCTCCCCCTCGTTCGCTCGCTTCAGGTATGCCACCCAGCTTCTCGCCTCCTTCTCTTTAGCTCGCAGTCTCAGGCCGAAGTCAACATCATTTCGATGCTCCCAAGACTTGAAGTCGTACGTGCGAAAGCGCTCGAGGGCGTGTTGTTGGGCCCATTGACGAGCGACGGAGTCGGGGAGATAGGTACACTCGCGGAGGATGGCACGAAAGAGGTGACGCGAGCGCAGTCGTCTGGCGTCGTCCTCATGAGAGAGCATCAACTCGGCATTCTCAACGGGCGACGAGGCCCCTGTCGTCGAGGCATTCCTGCTGCGAATGCCGGAACAGAGAGCAAGGCTAGTGTAGCGACATGGGAAGGATTGTGCGTGCGGGAGTCTACCGAGAGCGGCGGATTTCGGCGTCGTCCAAGTCCATTTGCGCATGTCCGGGCATCATCGATCTAGCTCACCGGTCACAAGTCATGTCGTGCCGTGCGGTGTGGATAGCGAGCTGGTGAATTGTAGTGTTCGCACATATGAGCTCCATGCCCAATCTCCACAGACGTCGGCATGAATAAGCGAACGCTCGGGCCATGCGGCGCCTTCCCACCCGAAGGCACTTTACGCGACGCGTTCCTGGTCAAATTACATTACCTCACGTCCCGTGCGACTCCCGTCCCTCCCACGCCCGCCATCGTCCAGCAGATGCCCGAAATGCAGTGCTAGCACCCTCTTGTCTCTCTTCGCGCTCGCCTCTCCCTCAATCCCCTCCCACATCCCGCATTCCGATCGCCGGAGAGGTCTCGACAGCGTCCCGACGACCGCGACCCCGCAGCAGCAATCAGCGCCGCACATGCTCCCTCCCCTCATTCCCACCGCCCCTCGACTCCGCCTCACGGTTTGCCCTCCTTCATACGTCCCGACAACATGAGTTTCGCCGAATCACACAGCCAACCTTCCTTCCCCCTCGCTCATCCTCACCCCCATTCTCAACCTCAGCCTCAGCCTCAGCCGTACCCCATGCCAGGCTATTCTCGCAGCTTCGGCGATAACTATGCTGCTCCGTCGCGCAGCTTCGAGGGTCGCCCGCAGATTTATACCGTGAGTTCATGCCCCATCTCGACCGCTTCGAAGACCAGACAAAACTAACACCTCACCCCGCCAGGCCGTCTATTCCGGCGTGTCGGTCTATGAAATGGAGATCCACGGTGTAGCTTGCATGCGCCGCCGCTCCGACGGCTGGCTCAACGCGACTCAGATCCTCAAGGTCGCGGGAGTGGACAAGGGCAAGCGCACAAAAGTGCTGGAAAAGGAGATACTCAACGGGGAACATGAGAAAGTGCAGGGCGGCTACGGCAAGTATCAAGGGACGTGGATTTCCTACAAGCGAGGTCGGGAGTTCTGCCGACAGTACGGTGTAGAAGACATCCTCCGTCCCCTCCTCGACTACGATGTCTCTGCCGACGGCTCGGGCGGCGGCGCGGCTCAGCAGAACACGCCCACGAAAGAACAGGCCATGGCTGCCAACCGCAAGCGCTTCTACACAAACGGCCCCGAGGCTGCCCGGTCCAATGGCCCAGCCGTGAATGGCACCTTCTTCTCCAACATCTCTCCTACCACCTCGGTCGCCCTGGCTGCCATGAACAAGGCTGCGCGACTGAACTCACCGGCGCCACGGCCAGGCACCCTGCGTCGACCATCACAACAGGATGGCGCTTACCCCGGAGGCAGCCAACAGAGCTTTGTCTCCGACTCAAGCTTCGGCGAAAAGTATGAGTCTGGCTATGGGACTCAGTCGAACGGGGAGCCGCCTCGAAAAAGGTTGCGGCCGGATAGTCAAGATGGCGGCATGGGGCCCCCCGGACTGCCCTTGGATGCTTCCATGCGCTCAGCCACGCCGACCGAGCCAAACGAGAGTTTCACGTATGACGCTTCCACACCAATGGATGTCACAAACGGTAATGGGGAGCCCGTCACCCATGCGCCGCTGCCCAACCCTTCGACCGACGAGCAACAGGACAAGATGAGTTTGATTCTCGATTTGTTTGCTGAGGCTGGGCGAACCGACTACACGAATCACCCAGCCTTGTCTCAGCTGTCGGGCGAGGATCTCAACCTCCCCCTCGACGCTAGTGCGAATAACGCGCTCCACTGGGCGGCCACGCTGGCCAAAGTGTCTTTGCTGAAACTGCTCATCAAGAAAGGTGCAAACATTTATCGTGGCAATGCTGCTGGACAATCTCCCCTGATTTCTGCCGTTCTGGTCAACAACTGCTGGGAACACTCGTGCTTCCCGGAAATGCTGGACCTCCTCGGCCCGCTGATCGAGATACGGGACATCCAAGGGCGAACAATCCTGCATCACATCGCTGTCTCTTCGGGTATCAAAGGACGAGCGCCAAGCAGCAAATACTACCTCGAAGCGCTCTTGGAGTTCCTCGTGCGGACGGGAACACACACGGGCGCTGCTGAAAGTCTTGCTGCCAACATTCGCATCAACGGCGAAACTGCATCGAGCTCGCAACATTCCGATGCGCGAGGAGCGGGGCAGCCGTCCAACAAAGGCCCCGTGACATTGCTCAGGTTCCTCTCACACATTGTAAACGCGCGAGACAAGGCCGGGAATACTGCGCTCAACTTGGTCGCCCGAGTGGGTAATCGCAGCATCATTCAACAGCTGATGGAAATCCATGCCGATCCTTCTCTTCCAAACTACAAGGGTGTCAGCGCGATTGACTTTGGCGTACACGCAGACGACCAATCCTACACAAACGGCTTGCCGTCGAGTCAGCACAACACTTTCCCAACTACGTATCCCCTTCCCTCGCAAGAGCCTGTTGTGGATGGTGAAGCAGTGGCGGAACCGGTCAAGGAAGGCAATCGAGTTGAAGATCTGAGTCAGGAAGTCATCTCTTCCATGACGACAATGCTGACGCAGTCCGTGTCTTCGCACAAAGATACGCTACGATTGCGAACGGAACAGATTGACAGCCTCAATGCACAGATCCAGGAACTCAGCGCGCTGCAAAAGCAGGACATCGACCACGTGGACGCTTTGAAGGAGCGAGTCCGGGAAAGGGCGGAGAAACAAGCGAGGATTGCGAACCTTCGACGCAACGTGGCGGAAAAGCGACGACGTAGCCAGGCGCAGGCGAGATCCCAACCCCTCGCACCCTCCAAGAATGAAGTCGAGCCCAATTGGCTGGACGAGAGCAGTCAAGAGATTCTGTCCTTTGAGCAAGGCAACGGTTCCCCAAATGCCTTGCAGCGGCAGTTCATCTCCTCCTCTCTTCCTCCGCCACCGACGCTTCGCGCGCTGGTCGATGCGTATATGCAGCAAAACTCTCAACTGCAAAGACAGGCCGATGAGCTCAAGAGCCGCTCGACCGAGGTGGAGACCATGTATCGCAAAGTCATTAGTCTGTGTACTGGTGTGGAAGAGGAGAAGGTGGAGGAGAGTTTGCCGAGTCTTGTCGCTGCTGTTGAGAGTGAGAAGGGGGGTCTTGGGGAGCAGGAAGTGGGCAAAGTGCGGGATTTTCTTAGACGAGTGGACCACGCGGTAAGTCGACCTGGGGCGGCAATGGTGGGCGTAGAGGGTTGATGGGGAGGAATACAACGTTGCTCGAACTGCAAGTCCTATTGCAACTGCTCTTTGTCACTTCCTAGCTGAATACAGGAATACTCATCAGCTCATCCGCCCTCTCCTCGTCCCATTCGCCCTTCCGACGCCCTAACATCCACGCAAATCCTCTTGCTGTATCGCCTGCTTGCTGTTTCGATACTGTCAGCTCCGCGTAGAATATCTCCGATACATGAGGCAGGCCTGGGTAGCACTGGATCCAAGAATCGACGCCGGCGTCCCGAAGGACTCTACTGTATACCAGCGCATCATCTCGCAACGAGTCCATACCCGAGGCCTGCACGAAGGCTTTGGGTAGTCCGACGTGCTTTTGCACGCCGTCGGTAAGCGGATTCATCGGACTGTAGAGCGTGCTGTCCTTGTCGATGCGTGTCGACTTGAGGAGGAAGTGCAAGACGTGTTGCCATGTTTGCGTTGGGTCATTTGCATTCTGCTCGTATGCAAACCATAAGTGTCGATACTTTTCCGGCACGTTCGCAGGGTCGACGAAGTATGACGGCCAGCCTAGATACTGGCCGGTCAAGGGCGGAGTCAATCCCTCCTCGAGAGCCTTTTGAGCCAGCACGCCAGCAAAGTTGCCGCCTGCGGAGAGTCCTCCGATTATGAAGCCTTTGCCGTGGTCGATGTTGAGACCGAGCGCGTGGAAGTTCTCTCCCTTGGAAGCGAACAATACGCTGTCCCATGCGTCGAGAACGCCGGTGGGAAAGGGATGCTCTGGGGCCAGACGATAATCGGGACACAAGACTGCACAGGAGAGGAGACTTGCGAGACCGCGGGCTCGAGGCATGACTTGCAATGGAGAGCCGATGGTGCACCCGCCGCCATGCCAGAGCACAACAATTGGACAGCCATTGCCGGGAGTGGGAGCGGTCTCGGTCGGGTAGACGAGGATGGAGTCCATCGATGCGCCGTCTCGGAGGGGGATGGTGATGTTCGTCTGCTTGACGGTGGGAGGTAAGGGCGGGAGTCGCTTCGCTATCTCCTCCTCCAGCCAAGTAACGGTTTTGCGTAAAGTCGGGACATCGCTGAGATCGAGAGGCAGCGGTGGTTTTGCCTGGAGTGCCTTTGTAATGGATGAGTGCTAGAATCCGTGCTCTTGATAAGGAGGTCTACCTTTGCGAACGCCGGGTCGATGTCGCCCAGCTTGGCCACTTTCTCCGGCGTGTCGTAGTCGTCGAGGTTGATGGTCGCGTCCATATTCGACGAATGAGGGGTGTAATAAGATGGTGAGAGTCACTTCTCTAAGGGCAAACAGTGTGCTTACATCCGTCGAATCCGCCGACAGTCAGCTTTACACTTGCGGAAAATGGATGGCCAGACATGAAACAACAACAACAACCAGACATTGCGGACGTCTTCTGACACTATCGCACATTGCACAGTATGGGGATATCGGTGCCTAGTAGGATTCCCAACGACATGACAAGATCGGAGCACCGTGTTGCATCGAGGCGGAATGTCCATGTCGAGAGATGATGCGCGGCTGCAGATCTGCCCGCACTTCCCCTCGGCTGTGCCATCACCCCGTCGCCGTTGCCGTCACCGTCCATCTAGTACTCGTCCTTCGTTGCCTTGAAGAGTACTTCAACATCTTTTCGACAGACCTCGTGATCATCTGTTCAACTCGTCAATCTGAAACATGGAGAACGATATTTCCTTCATCGGTGCGGCTGCTCCACCCATCAGTTCAACCGAGTGTCGAACAAGCTAACAAAGGCAGGCCTGGGACAAATGGGCTATGGCATGGCTCTCAATGTCCGCAAGAAACTCTCCCCAACGGCAAAGATGTTCATCAACGACATCAACGCCGCCGCGTGCGAGCGTTTCGTCGCGGAGTCCTCCGAGTACGGGCCCGTGGAGATTGTCGCATCCGCCAAAGACGCCGCCTCCAAATCGAACATCCTGATCTCCATCGTGCCCGCCAGCCAACACGTTCGACAAGTCTACTTAGATGAGGCAAATGGCGTCGTCGCTGCGCCGAAGAACGATAGTCGACTTATCCTCGAATCTAGCACGATTGACGTCGATACCACGCGAGAAGTTGGCAAGGCCATCATGGATGCCGGCCTCGGACGATATGTCGATTCGCCAGTGTCTGTAAGTCTCGTCTCTGAGCAATATCTCAATCAGCGGCAATGCTGATGACCATCCCAGGGGGGCGTCAGCGGTGCAGCAGCCGGCAAACTCGCATTCATGATCGGCTGTCCGCCCGAAGATCCCAAGGCCGAACTCATCCTTGAAATCGTCGCGATGATGGGAGCGAAAGAAAAGCTCTTCCTCTGCGGCCAACTAGGCAACGGTCTCGCCGCGAAGATCAGCAACAACTACCTGTCAGGCACCAATCTACTTGCGCTGTCCGAGGCCATGGCGTTCGGCATCCGCGCGGGCGTCGACAAAGAGATCCTCGCCAAAGTCATCCACGCCTCCTCAGGTTCATCGTGGATGGCCGACAACTTGAATCCCGTGCCTGACATTCTCCCCAACGCTCCTAGCAGCAATGGATACAAAGCCACGTTCCGACATGAGATGATAGTCAAGGATTTGGGGCTGGGAGTCGATGCGGCGAAGAAGCACAACGTTGTGCCTCGAATGGGCAACGTCGCGATAGAACAATACAAGGCCGCTGCTAAGAATCCAAAGCTTGAGGTACGTGCCGACAGAAAACTGAGATTGGTATTCAGCTAACTCGGTGCAGGGCAAAGACTTTACGTCCATATACCTGCACATTACGGAAGAAGAGTAATGTCGCAGACTTTCGAGCATATCAACGTCACAAAGCACTTCTTCCTCACTTCCCTTGCGCTTTATTGAGAATGCCAACCGCACCCTTGGCCCATCCGGATATCCCTCCAGCGTCCAGTCCGTAGCTACCCGGAGCCAACTTCCCATCTTTGTCGTAGCAGCATCCATCATCACTCGCGCGACCGTAGAGAGCAGTATTCTGATTCCTCTCAATCCCCTCCCGCCACGCTTTGCAGACAATGGGCGAGTCAATCATAACATTGACCTCCTGCGAGTGAAACCAGCTTTGGGTGTCCTGGTTGCCCGAGCCTTGGACGGCGACGCTTTCGTCGGCAATGAGCAGTTTGATGTGGCAACTTCTCTGCTTGAAGCTGTTGTGAATCGGATGGTCTTGATCGGCAGCCACGTAGAAGAAGATCTTTAGAAGATGCTTGTTCTCCGGCGTCAGCTGCTTCAAAAGGTAATTGGCGTTGACTTCGTTCGTTCCGCCCTGGCCAGGCAACATCTCGCCGGTGTCGTTGTAACCCAGACAGACGTAGTACGTCACTTCGACTCCTCGATGAACGGCTTCGATGATGGCCGGAAGTAAAGGTTTGGCATTCAGGTCGGGTGTCTGGATGAAGACCGTGCGCTTAGCGTTGCGCACGAGAGAGAGGAACGCTTCATTCTGTGGCACGAAGACGGACTCGTTGTTGAGGTTGGCATAGGGCTTGCGTGAGGCCATCGCCATCGGGAGTGGATCCGTCTTGGGCACGGGAATGAACGGGAAGAAATGGAGATTCGGTTCATCCCTGGGCGCAGTGGACTTGATAGAAATGCCAGTTGGCTTGTTGAGGTGCCGGCACACTGCATCAGCGTGATTCTCCGAGGCTTGCGGGTTGAGGACAGATCGCATGCGATTGATTTCGCCGGCAATGTCGTCATCGTAGTGCGGATCGTGTGGCATGTGCTCAGGAAGAGATTCATGGAAGGGCTCTTCCGGCTTGCGAAAGGCACCGCTTGCGTCGAACAGGTGGTTGAAAGCGTCCTCGTGGTAAGATGGGGCGGGCTTGCCGGCGGCAGGCGTGTCACGGCATGGGAGATGTGGGGTGAGGCTGTTGTGCCAGGACACGAGGAAAGTCTCCCACAGAGAGTCGACGATGGGGCCTTCGAGGTGGGACATCATCTCGAGGTTGTCGTTGTCTTGAATGTTGTTGCTGGACACCGTGGCAACCTGGCGATCAACAACCATGAACTTGCAGTGGAAGGTGCCGAGGGGTGGGCGATGGAAGTTGACCACGGCCAGGTCGACATTGGGAATTTTGTCTGGCGATGGAAGGCCAACTCCAGAGGCGTTCCAGCCCGATGGTGGAACGTTTTGGTGATTGTCCATAACCTAGATGGGCAAGCGTCAGAATGGATTCAGCAGGGAGGTCGGCAAGGGATACACACCTGCTTCAAGCTGCCACGATCATACATGAGCTTGACGACCACTCTCTCATTCCGAGCCCCCGCCCGTTTGGAGAGCTCCAGGAGAGCATCGGTGATGAGGGTCGTTGCTCCCGAAGCCTTCCAGAAATTGGTGGCAAGCAGCACTTCTTTTTTCGCACGGACAATAAGGTTCGACATATGGCGCAGCTGGTCATTCAGAGGAGCGATGATGGTCATTGGGGCGTACCCGGTGCTGCCGCACAATGACGGTCCCACACAATTGGCCATCGGGTCGTGGCCGAGGCATTGGAGGAGATCAAAGTAGGCGGTGAGAAAGAGGTCACTGGGATTGCTGTTTTCAAACTTCCCGCAGCGTCGTGCCCACTCCAGATCCTCAGCGGTCGGCGCATGTCGAGAACCAGGGGCCTTGGTAGCGACGGTCCTGAGATGGTGGCTGCCGAACAAGCGCTCGGCAATCTTGCCTGGCGTCTCATTGGGATTCTGGGCATATTCCGTGCTCAAGGACTTGCCCGAAGTGCACAACTCCTCAATGTCACGCTTCGTCTTCTCCATGTTGGTAGTCTTGTTGCTGACAGCGCAGGATCGTGGTGCACGCAAGAGGCCTCCAGCCAAGCTTTCCAAGCTTTGTAGCCAAGGACGGGTTGAATGATCGCCGCTCTACCTCGAACGCTGAGTTGTGAGGCGGCAGGCTGTAGAACGGGTGGTGTTGAGATTGTCAGGCCACAGCGAGGATTTGCGGTGGATATTGGTTCAGCGTGAGATTCTTGGAAGGGCGTCGCGCATCCTGGACGGCCAACTGCCGCGTCATAGCGCCATGACGTCTGTTTTCACGCTCGCCGCCAAGCCTTCACGTGCCAACGCTGCACGGACCATCAGGCTGGCTGCCACACACGTGCATACAGACACGATACATGCTCTATCAAGTACAAAGACCATAGAATCTATCCACCTGGCACCAAGGGAAACAGTCTCCATTCGTCATACGTGGGGATTGCCGCCATTTCCGGACCCCCGGAATTTTCGTCCTCTGAGGTACAGCGCGCCAGAAAGCCGGCTTGTCGCATTCCACAGCTGGACTCAATGGCGAGCAGCTCTTTTCGTGCAAATTCGCGTACGTGGGGCGGATTGAGCTCTTCGCGAGACACCATGTACAGCGGGTGGACAAGAGACATCATTCCTGCGAATACCAAATCAGCCCCAACTCAATGTGTGAGAAGCAGCGGTCACTCACTTGCAGAGCCAGAGAAGGACTCGACAGTCAAACAGATCTCCTCCGACGCATTTGTGATCGCATCAACACACGCCCTGTATTGCCGACTCTCCGAGGGCACCCATCCGGCCTGAAGCAACATCGTATTGAGTACAATGCGCATTATCCGCCAGTTGTTCCATAAAGTAGCTACCCGGCGAGATGGGTAGATGTGTCGTTTGTTGACGTTCAGCCGCGAGCCACCGTCCAGGACCACGCCTAGTTGTTCTCGATACGCCCACTGTGGGGAGCTCTTCTCCCGCCATGTCTCAAGCAGACGATCGATTTCATACGCCTCGTCCACAGCAGCTTGAACGCTGGCAAAGTCTTTCCTATGCACTGCGGCGCCAAAGTTCACTATGCGCAATGAAATGCCGGAAATCGACGCGTGGCTGAATAGGCCTTGCTCTTGCCACGTCTGCCTTGCACGACTGGTCAGGAATTCGGAGGTCAGGCTAGCGAGTGATGACGGTACTGGCAGGTTGTGTTGCAGGCAAATGGTCAGCTTTCATCGTGGGCAGTCAGCAAGTTATCCAGCATCCAATGATTTGGCGTCGACCTACGATTTGAGATCTAATGAGAATGAACAGCAAGATTCCGCGTTCAGTCGTTAGTTGTGAAGAGCCCCGGAGCTCCAAAAGAGCAGTGGCGCCTTTGACATGGGCGGCCCAGTCATAGTATTGCCACGAATGCCGAAAGTTGATTGTCTACGCATGGTATGAGGAGCAATCCAATCGATTTCAAAGTGATGACTTACCTCGAATAGACTTAACAAGATTACCGTTGTGAAGGCAGCATCGGATTTCGCGCGTGCGGGGTGCCCGAGCATCACGTTCAAGGATGAAAGAGCGTCGCAATATTTCTTGCGCGATTGGCGTCTGAGTCGTGTGTTGCCCAGCACATTGGAGACACCAGCGAGTCCAACCGCCTCGATGCCAGCTCTAACAGCATCTGCAGAACTGGCGTCGAGATACGATTGTTCCAACCACTGCTGGAACCCAGTTGAGAAAGGTAGCTCGCGGAAGCCGTAGTTTGAGAAAAAGAACGCCGGTCCAATGTCGTCGTTGGCACAGGGAAGCCAAACTTTTAACAAGCCAGGAGAGTCTTCGTGTAGGTCCTTTTTGTTCGCAGCTTCCAGCCACGAACAGCGAATGTTTGATGGCAATGCCGATTTCTGATGGTAGCCATACTTTCCGCGAACGCTCTCGGATTGATTGCGGAACGAGAGGCTATTTAGATCGCGATAGCCAGGACATGGTTTCTTCAGCTGCTCGCATTTCTTACAGGACGGTTTTCGCTGATCGCACTATTCGTTGAATGTCAGTCCTCGCATCACAAGGTCAAGATGATCAAGCGCAGGCCACGGACTCGGATCTTGCGCTTCCGACACCGCTCGCAACCCCGACTCAGCGCCCCGTAGTATACCATCTTTGGCCTGCGTTTTGTGCCATCCAAAAGGCAGATTCAACCCGCAGTGTGCAAGAAAGGTGGTTGAAAGATGGACGGCGGTCGGCGTTAGGAAGCCTTCGTGCTCCGTCTCGCAGTCCTCCCCTGGATTGGGGAAAGCGCGAAAGGCGTTGATTGGTCCATCCCGCACTCCCACCACTCCCAGCAACTGCCAGGCTCCGACCTTCTTGTGACTAACCTTCACTTGCGAGAAAGATAAATAGGTGGCTTCCTCGCTCTTTCTGCTCCGATGATGCACCTCCACCCAATCTCATTCTGGATCGTTTGACACCATCCCTGGACATTCCCCGTAAGGAACACTGACAAACATATGGCTTCATTCGACCGCAAACCCGCTCCCTTCCAAAAGGAAACCACATTCTCTTCATACAACCAAGAACAAGGCAAGACATATGCCGCAGTCCGTCGGAACTATGACCCAGGCGTCTACCAAGCCATCTCCGACTATCATGTCGCCACGGGCGGCGCCTTCGACCGCCTGCTCGACGTGGGCTGTGGACCTGGGATCGCTACATTGACCTTGGCCCCACGCTTCACCCACGCCGTTGGCATCGACCCCTCGGATGGCATGCTGGCCAACGCTCGTCTGGCCGGCGGTGTTACGTCTTCGTCCGAGCCTGTTCGCTTCGAGCGCTCTTCCGCCGAGGAGCTCGGCTCGAATCTGCACCCGCCCATCGCCGACTCGAGCGTCGACATGATCACCGCGGCGACTGCGGCGCATTGGTTCGACATGACCGGATTCTGGCCCAGCGCTGCTCGTGTCCTCAAGCCAGGCGGAACTGTGGCAATCTGGGGCGGGGGGCCACTTGCGCTCGACCCTACGATCCCGAATGCCGATGCCATTGACAAAGCAGTGGAAGATTTCAGAACAAACGACTTGGCCCCATATAGGACCCCAGGCAACGACATCTCACACAACCGATATCGAGACCTCCTTCTTCCCTGGACCTTGGAGACTCCCGTCGCGGACTTTGCTCCCAGCGATTTTGTGCGCCGGGAGTGGCAGCCTGGCGAGGTATTCCACTCCGGTCCACGGGAGATTGATCTGGACACTTTTGAAAAGATGATCAGTACGGGCAGTGGCGTGACTCGGTGGAGGCAAGATCATCCCGACTTGGTCGGGACGGAGCAAGATGTCATTCGACGTCTGCGCCGCACGATTGAGAAACTACTGCATGAGGCCGGTGTAGAAGAAGGGCAAGAAAGATTGAGAGGGGACTCCCTTGGAGTCTTGCTGCTGTTCAAGAAGAAGGCGTCTTAAGGTGTCTTAATCACGATCGAGTCGCCTTAGCAACCCCTAGCGCAACTGCCTTCGCCTTGTTTTAGACTTTGCAAGTCGAGTACGGGTCCCGTGATCTTTCGTGGACTTCTCCGGCCGGGCTCACGATAGAATTACATTGTGTTTTGACAGAACGAGCAAGCATCGAAGTAAACACCACGCATTACTGTAAATGCGTTGCGGAGTTCCAAGTGATGTTAACAGCTGGCCTTGCGGGCAAGGCTCCGCGGCGGCTTCCCATTCCATCAGGCCGACATCGCAGTCAGGCCGGCCAACCTCCTGCTCATTGGCGCGCCGCTCCATTCGGCCTAGAGCCGCGGCTAGATCTAAGATGATGATCATTGATCCCGCCACCCTGCCATTACAGTCTTTCTTATCTCGCCCGACCTAGATCAACAGGAAGAGAAACTCACGAAGATTCCTCTCCGAAATTGCATACAATCGTCCATTGATCCCGGTGCAGCACGATTGTTGAATTGACCATGTCTCAATTACCTGCCGAAGACCTCGAATCCAAGAAGGAGGAGTCCAAGAAGGACTTTGAGGAAACCCTGATTAAATATCCCTCTCTGAAGAAGATGATGGATGTCAAAGACGGGGAAGAAGTCCCAGAAGTAAGCATATAGACGGACTCAGTGGGTTTACATTGCTAATCCGTCCCCCAGTCACACGATGGCCGAGAAATGCAGCTACTGCGATTCATCAAGGACCATGCCGACTCGGAAGACATGAAGGACAACCCAAGCCGGATCCTGGAAGCAATGGACGAATTCGCCGCCCAACACGAGTTTCTTATCAACATTGGTCCCGACAAGGCCAAAATCATCTCCGGCCTGATTCTCGAGAACAAACCGAGGGTGCTGGTCGAATTTGGGGGCTACGTGGGCTATTCGGCCATCTTGTTCGCCGACCAGATGCGTGCGCATGCGTCCGAGAACCGTGAGGTGCATGTCTGGAGCTTGGAGATGGATTCCGACATCGCCACCATCGCCCGGGACCTGATCTCCACGGCGGGGCTCTCGGACTACGTGACGGTCGTCGATGGCAAAGCAGCGGATAGCTTGAGAAAGCTAAAGGAAGAAGGCAAGGTGGAGCGCATTGATTTTCTCTTTCTCGACCACGACGAAAGCTTGTACGAGCAGGACTTGAAGCTCGCCTTGGACGAGCTGAAGCTGCTACAGCAGAATGCTTGCATCGTGGCGGATAACGTCCTGCGACCCGGTGCGCCGAAGTATCGGGAGTATGTGCAAAATCATTCCGGGCTGCGGACGAGGAGTCTGAAGGCACTCATCATACCTGGCGAGTTCGAGGTGAGTCGGAGACTGCTTTTTGACTTCCATGTGATGAAGCATGGGACTGACAAAGTGATCAGGATGAGATCGAGATCAGCAAAGTCCTTTGACCTCTCTCTGATCATGCATTGGGGATTGCACGGGGTTCAGGAACAGATACAAACAGACAGGCAGGCAATGGAGCATCGTTCAAGCTTGTCTCGCACTTGAGCGTTGTGAAACCTGCCGTGGTCGACACGTCTTCAGGTCGTAAAAGACGCGTCGCAGTGCCGCTTGATGTTGTGGCAAACACAATCCAAACGCCAGGCTCTGCATTGCCCAGAAGTCCTGTTTGCCCCCCTTTTGCGTCTTGGTCTTCTCAGCCAACTCTGCTTCACCCTCCTTCGACGGGCATTTTTCACTCCCGCTGGTCCACCATTTTTGACAGGTGGATCCGCTAGACCCTACTCATGTGCGGCGGAATAAGATGGCGCAACGATCGGAGGCGGAGCTGAAGAGGCATCACGAGAAAGTCAATGAGATTTCGGATGTCGTTGCGGGCGCCATGCGTTGCATTTGCAACGATGCCATCGAAGGCCGCCCGATTGCATGCATTCAGGGATCGAATGGAAACATCCCTGGCTTGTTGAACTTCGACCTCATGGACAACATCGTTCATCACAATGGTAGTCGGCGACTGATGGAGAAAGCGGATGACATCTGGCTGCCGTCGGGGACGAACTTGTCGGAAGACCACAATTGCAAGGTACAATGACATGCCATGAGGCTGATGCATGGCGTTTGGATGCTGCTATTGTTAACACTTGATGCCTGCGTGGCGTTCGGGAGTTGATCCATGTTTGAAGGAGTAATCCTGATCCTACGGGTCGGAACCAACGGGTCCTAATGTGAGCTTATCGCACGTAGAAATTCAGCCCCATCCCGGGCAAGAGATACCGACTTTGCCCGGGATACGTCGTATAAGTCCACAGTAAACACTTCCCTGCAATTGTCTGGCCAATCACAGATGGAGAAAGGCACCCATCCGGCTCCCAAGTCGCAGCGTCGATCCATTGCTAAGGCTCCGACCAGCTTACACATGCTTCTACTTCCGACGTCTACTCTCAACCTGCAGAATCCACGAGGAATATCGATGCAATGTCCCCACTATTTGCAGTCCATCGTGAGACGCAGGGCTTACAAACTTGCCAGAGGTGCTGTGTAAGTGTCGTCCACAAGTCAAGGTCGGCGCGAGCTCCGCGAGTGTCACAACGAATCGAAGGCGCTTCGCCGCCGTGCAACCACGCAGGCCGGTAATCGATTTTGACTGTCGGATACGGGGCGCTGTAACGCTTCTCTTGGACGTGAAACTGTGGCACGAAGGAGTTGTCGCGGGTATTCTCGTTGTGCGATGGCCGGGAGGATCAGGCAAACGCGGCAAGTCTGGCGAAGGCAAGCTGCCCGTGTTAGGGCTACCGCATGCGTCCTCTAGGGTACCACGAATCACGATTACAGCCGCATGAACGATCTTTTGTGGCGGCACACTTCCCACGTCCTGGAGGGATCAGCAAGAGGCCACGCGGAGTTGCTGCGCTGATCGCAAGAGGAATCCGTGAAGGATTCAGTTTCACTTACGAACGGCGCAAGTGACAGGTGCTGGCGCTGAATCCAGCGGCGTCAGCTTCAGTCCTAGCCTTGTCACCATTCACTCCTTCAGCACCGCAGTTGCCAAAGTCCCCGAAACAGGCGCCACCCAAATCTGCTCGCGCGTGCGTGGCCCTGGCCGACATGAGAGGGCTGAAACGCGCAGTACCCTGTTCGTAAAGGAAGATGTAGATAGCCGTCTATTGCATCACCATTCCAGCCGACCTTGTCAATCTTCCCCATCCAGGTAGTGGCCGGGTGAATCCTCGCCGGTGCCCTCTCCGCTGCCAACATCCTGCCCCGTGCAAACACCCATGCAGAGTCGGTGCCGTCGCGGGCACATCCCGGACACCACATTCCTCCCGGCACCAATAGTTCGAACTCTGAAATCTTTCGAGCACATCTGGTTGAAGTCCCTCATGTGCTTCCAGACCGACATTAGCCCGAGCTCTGCCTCGAAGGGTTGTCCTCAGCCTCCAGGAGTGATGCTCATCCCCGTCTCAGTTCCGCCACGCTTATCTGGTGCGGCTGACAATTGCGTAGATGTCGAGGTATTTATTCTTTGATCGCGTCGCAGGCTCACTTACTACTTCCGACTCCACTCGAGGCACTTTGCAATTGCTCTTGACCTTCCGTGACTTTGTACGAAAATGTCGCCAAGTGCCGTCGTGGATGTCTTGGAGCTTCTCGCTCAAAAGTCATTCAATGGGGTCGAAAGGAAAGAGCTCTACAATGCAGCGTTGAAGTTGGCCTGGAGCCTGGAATCAGAGCAGGATACCGCGCAGCGTCTCTATCACGGCGTAGGTCAATATGCCGACATCTTGAGCGCAGGCCAGACAATTGACGAATGATAACAGCATCTCCCGTTGGCCACGGCGCAGACGGGAATCGACCTCAACCTGTTCAAATACCTCAGCGAGCATTCAGAAAAAGCGTTCTCCGTGAAGGAACTGGCAACGCACTGCGATGCCGATCCTGTCCTGCTTGGTACGCGATGATCCGAGCGTTCATCGAACGATGCCATTCTGACAACTCGCAACAGCCCGCCTGTTGAGGTTCTACGCCTCGCAATGCATGGTTTTCCAGACCGCCGAAGGAAAATTTGCCGCGTCCAACATAACCCGCAATCTGTCCATTCCGGGTACGGCGGCCGGCATCAAGCACTAGTGAGTCCAGCGCAGAACGACCATGTGATCAGGCAGTCGAACTGACAAGGCGCAGCTCCCTCACAATGACCCCTGCGTACAATGCGATTCCGGAATTCCTGGCACAGACCAAGTACGCCAACCCAACGACCTCGGCGCCATTCAACATGGCATACAAGACCGAAATGGGAGTGTTTGAATGGCGCAAGCACAACCCCAAGAACGCCAAAGCCGGTCAGGAGTTCATGGCTGCTCAACGAATGGGCCAGCGCAGCGTATGGGATGGCCAGGTGCCGATGCACGACTTCGCACTGTCCCAAGAAGATCTCCAGAACGGTAGAGTCTTGATGTGCGATGTCGGCGCCGGCTTTGGCCACCAGAGCATCGATTTCCGGAAGTTCAACCCAAAGATTCAAGGGCAGATTGTGGTGGAAGACTTGCCACTGGTCCAAGACATGATTCCCAACCGCCCCGAGCTGGCGGCACTCGACATCACCGTTCAGCCCCACGACTTCATGCAAGAGCAGCCGATCAAAGACGCCAAGGTGTACTATCTTCGCAACGTGATCCACAACTGGAACAACGAACCGAGCAAGACGATCCTCTCCCGGATATCTCAAGCAATGGCCCGGAATTCGGTGATCATCATCGATGATGTCGTCATGCCCAAGGTGGGCGCCAGCTGGAAACAAGCCAGCATGGATCTGGCCATGATGACCATGCTCGCGGCTGTGGAGAGAACGGAAGACGATTTCGCTTCGTTGCTCGCCGGTGCCGGGTTGAAGATTCGGGAGATGTGGACGTACGATGAGGATTACGGTGACACGCTCATTGTCGCCGAGCGCATTCCCAGCCGCAGCTCCTCGCCCATGCAAGCAGAGGATGGGACCTGGAGTACGCAATGAGAGTCACAGGATCGCGAGGGAAGAGTTCGGCACAGGCAGGGTGAAGGAGGCAATTCGGGGAGTTTGGGGTTATATCACAGCCAACGTGGTTTTTTTTTCAATTTCCAACGCTTCCGCAAGAAGAAGATGTTTCCGTAAGTGCTTGTCAGACGTGCTCCATGGCATCAGCACGGTGGGATGTGGTCGTAGGCCGCACGCCCTTGTGCGCTAGGCTGGTTTAAGTAGTGTAAGTGGTGAAACTCTAATTCAACACGCGAGGCGCGTCTCCCCGCGTATCGCGCTTCTCGGCAACCATCCCTCCAGTGCAGAACCGGGCGCTGCTCTCCTCTGCATTCCCAGCACATTTTGACCACCGCACCACCTCTTCTCTGCACAACTTACGAGAGCGCAAGAAATAAGCATGGCAGCTCTCGACGACAGACAGCTTCGAGATGAAGCGGTGCGGGATCGCATTCGCGCCGCGGAGGAGTTCCTGGACCCGAGTAAGCAGTCCATCAAGGCGACAAAACAGTCAAGTATGCTAATAGCAGCACCGTAGATGACCCACGAGCGAGAAGCTACCGAGCAGATGTCCTACTCATGCTCAATCGCGGCCTGCGAAGGCTGACGGTCAGCATTGATGAGATTCGCGCACATAGCCGCGAGTTGGCCGATGGCATTCTTAATGCCCCCTTCGACTTCACCCAGGCCTTCGATCGAGCACTGAAGAACATCGTCAACACCCTCGGTAATCGACCGGCGCATGAGACGGCGGAAGAGACGATGTACTACTGTGCCTACGTGGGCAGCTTTGGGGAGTACGCTTGCAACCCGCGCACTCTTTCATCTCCTTTCCTGAACCACATGGTCTCACTCGAGGGCATTGTGACCAAGTGCTCTCTCGTGCGCCCGAAGGTTGTCAAGAGCGTGCACTGGAATGAGAGGAAGAGCACGTTTCACTTTCGCGAATACCGTGATCAAACCATGACGGCCAATGGAGCGGCGAGCACAAGCGTCTACCCAACGGTTGATGACGAGAACAATCCTCTTGTCACCGAATACGGCTACTGCACGTATCGCGATCACCAGACCATCTCCATCCAAGAAATGCCGGAGCGGGCTCCCGCAGGGCAGCTTCCACGCGGCGTGGATGTCATCATGGACGACGACATGGTGGATCGGGTGAAGCCTGGAGACCGCATTCAGCTTGTCGGAATCTACCGATCGCTGGGTAACCGCAATGCTGGTACGGGTAGCTCCACGTTCAAGACTCTGCTACTGGCCAACAACGTCATTCTTCTCTCCTCCAAGTCCGGCGGCGGGATCGCGCAGGCCACCATCACAGACACCGACATCCGCAACATCAACAAGATCTCCAAGCAACGAAAAGTTTTCGACCTGCTATCTCAATCACTTGCCCCGAGCATTTACGGACACGACTACATCAAGAAGGCCATTCTTCTGATGCTTCTTGGAGGCATGGAGAAGAACCTGGACAACGGCACACATCTCCGTGGTGACATCAATATCCTCATGGTCGGTGATCCCTCCACAGCCAAATCTCAGCTATTGCGCTTCGTTCTGAATACCGCACCCTTGGCAATTGCCACAACTGGACGTGGCTCTTCGGGCGTCGGTCTTACCGCTGCAGTCACCACAGACAAGGAGACGGGAGAGCGACGACTGGAAGCTGGAGCCATGGTCCTGGCTGATCGAGGAGTCGTGTGTATCGATGAATTCGACAAGATGTCCGACGTCGATCGAGTCGCCATCCATGAAGTCATGGAACAGCAGACCGTCACCATCGCCAAAGCAGGTATTCACACCTCACTGAACGCTCGATGCTCAGTTGTCGCCGCCGCCAATCCCATCTACGGTCAGTATGATGTGCACAAAGATCCGCACCGAAACATCGCCCTCCCAGATTCCTTACTCTCTCGTTTCGACTTGCTGTTCGTGGTCACGGATGACATTGAAGACGTTCGTGACCGTCAAGTTTCTGAACACGTCCTGCGCATGCATCGCTACAGGCAACCCGGCACTGAAGAAGGAGCTCCAGTCCGCGAGCAACAAAGCCAGACGCTCGGCGTTGGCCTCCAAGATGAAGCCGATGCCAACAAGCCGAGTGATGTTTACGAAAAGTTCGACATGATGCTGCACTCCGGCGTGACGGTCACAGTGGGCCGCGGGGCACATCGACGAGTCGAGGTGCTGAGCATCCCCTTCATCAAGAAATACATCCAATACGCCAAGTCCCGCATCAAGCCAATCCTCACCAAGGGCGCTGCAGATCATATTGTGGCTGCGTACAGTGCTCTGCGAAACGACGAGATGGAGGGCAACCAGCGCAAGACCAGCCCCATGACTGCGCGTACCCTGGAGACGCTGATTCGTCTGGCGTCCGCACATGCCAAGGCCCGCCTGTCTTCGCGGGTGGAGGAGAAGGATGCAGAGGTCGCGGAAGGCATTCTTCGCTTTGCCTTGTTCAAGGAAGTGATCGAAGATGAACGACGAAAGCGACGGAAGACGAGGCCGGATGCCGAAGCAATGTCTACAGATGACGAGTCGGAAGATGATGACGACGAAGACGGAGACGGTGCCTTCAGACCTGGCTCTGCACGAAGAGGGACAGCCCGCACATCTGGTCGTACCACCAGAGGCGTCGTAGCCAATGGCCAACCGACTGCCAATGGGAACGCTGGCGCAGGGGCAGCAGAGGTCGAGGAAGAAGATCTTTACAATTCCACTCCCGCCCCAACGAGTCGAACGAACGGTGCTGTCGATACACAAGGCAGCCAGTTCAGCTTGGCTTCGTCGCAACCCGCATCGCAACTTCTTGAGGATGACTCGCAAGAGCAGCCGGCGCCGGAGGACGAAGAACCAGCACCCGAGCCAATCTCCTCGCAGCGTTTGCAAGTCTTCCAGACGGCACTTGGCCAACTGATTGACGGGCCGATGTTTGTGAATGATGCTGTCGATGCCGAGCCCTTGTTCGCCGCCGTAAATGCCCGACTCCGTGCGAATGAAGTGGAGTTTGGGGACGAAGAAGGGAAGAAGGCACTGGTGGAGTTGGATGCACGGAACAAGATCATGTACGCTGGTGGGATTGTGTATAAGATCTAACGACGGACTGCTGCGATGGAGTTAGGGGATGCAGGTCTGGTCTTGGGTAAGCGTGAGCATGAGATGGAGTTGGTGGAGGGTATGATTCTTTTTTCCTGTAGTATCTTCAACGAACAGACGTTGCACCCCGTGAACACCCGAATGCCAACCTCTCAACTGCTCTGAGGAAAGACATTTTTGGTATGACAGCCGTGAGCATTATACAAGGGCCCAGCTGGATTGAACTCCTCATTAGCATGTAGAAACGTGTCTGGGATTCGTGGCATACACTCACTAAAGGCAGTACTCGTCGTATCATTCCTCACAACCGGCTGGCCCTGATTGGGAGTCAAAGCATCCTCGCACTGAATCTGCGCCTTGCCACCATTGACCGTCGACGAGCCGGTCCAGATATCAATGTGATAGATGCCCTTGGCCCAATCCTTGATGCATTTGGCGCACGTGTCTTGGAAGACGAGGTATTTGCGCGTGTACTCGTCGTAGATGATCTCGCACTTGTTGAACTCGCCGGGGGCGGTGGCGAAGGTCAAGGGGTCGGCGTAGGTGCCTTTGCCGCCGGCGGTGTAGCCTCTGCCGTAGCCGCAGGAGTATGCTGTTCCTGCGCCAGGTGGGCTGTTGTCGGGATCTGGGTTTGGTGAGTATTTAGTTGTTATTTCTTGGGGTTTCATCGACGTACAGCCATAGAAGGTATGCTCGACATTGTTGATCGTGACTTGTTGGGCGTAGGCCAGCTGATAGCCCGACAAAGACGGGGCAACGAGAGCGGCCAGGAGGAGGCGTAGAGTTGCTACCATGATTGCTGACAAGAGGGTGTAGTCTCAAGGTGATTGGGAATGGACTCGACATATGAATATATACCCCAGACGTGCATCTTGTATGCCCGGTCCATATAAGGTTCGCCGGTAAAAGTACCGGGGATGTTGCATTGCTCGCCTCCGTATACAGTGGGAATCTGAGCAGATCGTGCATCGTATAGTGTCGCTACGTAAGCGAGACGGAGCGTGGTGTTGAAAGCTCATGGGAAAGGCTACAACCTGGATATGGCAAGGTTGGTACCTTGAAGTACCTTTGACTAAGCAGTCTTTAGGCAAGCACTGCGATGGGGCACGCAATATGCACGTAGGTCCTCTGAAAAGCAACGTCAGAGCATCAAGAGAGATGTCAATATTGCAATCGTAGGGCTATGATGAGAGGCAGGTGAAGGTCAATCAAGGCGCCGCATCGGGGGTGATAAGGTCGTGGAATCATGGCCAGCCGTATGCATCGGATGGAGTGTACAGAAAGGTATGTTCAGGGCCTATATCGCTGGGTGTAGCCTTGTAAAATTTCTGATTCAATAGACATGGTCTGTGGTGTCGGCAGCTCCCTCTTTGCCCGCATATCAGCCAGCCCGCTCGACCGATGCCCTCCATGCCAGTCGTAAAAGACACGCCATCATGAACTCCCGCCCTCTCTTCCTCTCTGCTCCCGCTCATATTCTCTTACTTGCCGGCTCCAGTATCTCGAGGGGAAGAAGGCTTCAGGCTGTTTGGTGGGTCAGCAAGCTCCGTCACGTACAGGCGCATCAGCTCGGCAATCCCACCTGCGGCATATGCTCTCGATGCTCTCGATCTGCGCTCAGGCTCCAGGTCATGGCGGCTATGCCGAAGATGACGGCGCCCATGATGGCGGTGTTGGCCTTCCAGTTCGCGGGCTGTGCATACCACCCTCCTGCCGGCGACCAGACGTGTTTGGGGTAGCTGGGGGGAGTGTCAGCCATTGGAGCTGCGGCAGGTCGCGTTCAATGGCACCGGAAGGGAAGACTCACGGGATCTTGGGGCCGCCGCTCCGTAACAGAGATGTCGGCCGCATGGTGGGTTGGGTGTCGAAGCGATAGTCCGGCGACGGGGAGGGAGAGGTGAGGTGGAAGCTTCACGTTGCTGCTGCGGAGAGACGTACGGGACTGCCAAGACCCATCAAGTCGAATTTAAAGTTTGGGCATCATCGAAGTCGCGTGCAACGGACGGAAATTTTTAGGAGACACCACGACCATCTCTCCTCCCATCCCCCACACATGCACCGTCGCGCCGTTTCGAGAAGCAATTCATGAAGCGCGTCCCTCTCGACCGCTGGGTCGTGCAACTACAACCCCCCCGCAACCCGCGATTAGGCCTGGTGCAACAGCGATGTCCCTATTCGCACGAGACCAGAGCTGCGCCGCGAAGAGAGCTGCAAGAGCGCCGATACCGAGTGGAGCATCAATGGCAATGTCAGCGGAGGAGCGCGGCGACCAGCAAACGCAAGGCTTCGAGTGCCGCTGCGGCACAGGTACAAGAGAGAGATGATGGCATATTTTCCAACTACCGGCAGGAGGAGACAGACGAGACACGACCACTCAACTCCCCTTCACCCAAACAAGCTCTCCGCTCCGCCAAACTCTCTGCACTCCATGCTCGACTCTCCCTCCCTTCTAAACTACCCATTCAGACGCTGGCACGATGTTTAGTCGATGGCTCGGTCGACCCACGGCCGGGCTACAATAACGAGCCTCTCGCTCTCATCGGACAAGATCTATTGGGGTACTACACCGCCGAATGGCTCCTCTGCCGCTACCCACGCCTACCCATGCCCATCCTTTTCGCCGCCCAGTATGCCTACGTCGGTAGCCAGACCTTGGCCGCCATGCGAGCGGAGTGGGGCGTGGAGGTCGTCGCAGCACCCGGCCCCGAGGTGGATCCCGGACTGCTTCAATTGAAGCGGCTACCAGCCGGCAATGCGATGGCGGAGAATGATCAGATGCGGTTGAAAGACATGCCACAAGCGAGGAGACTTGGATCTGGGAGGAGGAATTCCAACGTCCGACGAGGCATGTCTAGTCGAATCGTGTACGATGACCAGTTCGGCGATTTACACTCTGGACTTCCCCCTCCGGACTCGAAACCGTTTCCCGGAGCTCCCACATCGCTTGCGCCCGACAGCACGACACTCCCGCGTGAAACGGTCGAGGTCGAAAGCAGTCCTTTGGTTCTCAACTCAACCTCCCTATCACACTCTTCGCGGCCTACGGAGGATGGGTCATCGGTGGAGGCTGCATCTGCATCTTTCATTCGAGCTTTGGCTGGAGCTCTCTACCTTCACGCCGGACAGGAGTCTGTAAAGGCTTTCCACCAGAACCACGTCCTCTCGCGCCACTTGCCCTTACACACCCTCTTCCACTTTACCCATCCAACGCGCGACGTATCACGGCTGTGTGCGCGGGAAGGCTTTGAACCGCCCGTTGCTCGGCTGATCTCCGAGACCGGAAGATTGAGCAGGTCGCCAGTGTTCGTTGTCGGCGTGTACAGCGGAGATGACAAACTCGGAGAGGGAGCGGGGAGCAGTCTGAATGAGGGGCGGGTGCGAGCTGCAGCTTCAGCACTGCGATCCTGGTATCTCTACTCCCCGGTGGAAGACGATGTGGTGCTGCCGAGTGAGGCTGCAACGAAGAAGAAGCAGTGGAAACCGCAGATGATTGATATTGGCGAGGTGGTGACTTGAGCTGGCTACCCCCGCTCAACTCTTCCCTTCTATGTGTGTTTTTGAATAAGGCCGTGGGGTGGGAGGGTGTATACAGATACAGCGGCCGCATAGCGCAGCATTTGCATGGCTCGGTGGGTGGCGTGTAACTACATTGTATCCCTAGCTACCTTGTCGGACTGAATGAAAGTCTCAACTTTTCAGACGCTGATGCTGTGTGGTTTCGCTCATTGCGCGGCGGCCGATTGATTGCTCTCCGCTTTGTGCTCGGCTTTGAACGTCACCTTCACCTACAACACGACGGAGCATCGGACGACATCACATTTAGTCGCCACTGGCCGCAGTATTTTATTACCAAGCATCTCTGAGCTACGAATCACCCGTCTAATGAGTTTGCAGCTGTCTCATGTCACGAACGTCACAGGAAACAACCCTCCGCACAGCAAAGCCAATAGGAAACAACTGGTACCAGATCTCCTTCCAACCCAAGATGCCGCAATCATACATTCATCACGTCCACTCCCAACCGACAAAAGTGTCACCGGATATCTGGAAACAATGGTACAGCGAGGAGCGCAGTCGGGACATGGTGCACTTCAAAGTGTCCTCCACCGCCGCCTTCTATCAGAGCTGCAGTCCATTTTTCACGTACCTGGATCCACCTCGGGATGGAGTGGGTGAGATGGAGTTCCTCGCATTGTATCAGATGGGGCGCACGATCCCGCGGTATCTGGACGCGTATCAGAAGAATGTACGGGTGAGGAGTCGGCTATGGGATGAGACTTTGGGCACCTGTTTCGATGTGGCCCAGTTTGCATCGGATCATTTGGAGCTGGTGGAGATATTGGGGAGTTATGCGTATAATGAAGGTCAGTCATGGCGTGGGTTTGGTTCTGTTATTTCGCAGCTGATGATTGGAGATACAGACGTTGCACCGTACATCATCCACGCCAAAATCATCGGAGAAGAGGTTGAGGCAAAGTTGCAGTTCGATCATGTCAACGCCGCATCAAGACTCGATGGTTACAGGAGGTCGTTGTTATATCGCTCGGTTAATCCCACAGGATCTCTGCCGTACGTGATATTGCTTCACGAGTTCGACTCAGATCCTGGAAACGTCGCTGGTGTGCAGAAGGACATGGAGGGCATTGAGCCTAGCCAGGATTGTGCCTTTCAGTTGCGCTCTTTCAAATTGTTAGACGCGGAAGGTTTTGATGGGGAGTGTCGAAGGCCCGAACGGCTGTAGGTGCGTCGAGTAGATATAGATATACCACTCCCTCCTTGATCTCACACACACGGCTACGGTGCGTACAGCTGAGCCCGAGACAGAACGCAGCACGGACGTCTCTGGGGAAACAGCGCACGCGGCAGCGACGGCCGAATGGCAAAGGCAAAGGCAAAGATGGCCCAAGCTTCCCGCCGCCCGCACCACCGAACTCTCAGGAACGGACAAGCTCTTGCTGCGCTCGACAAACTCCACCACCTCCTCTCCTCCCCTGACTTTCCCACACCACCTCCTCTGTCTTCCTCCCATCCTCCCTTTAGGTCACCGTCACCATGTTTGCCGCCCGTCAGGTCACCCGCTCCGTCTTTGGCGCTGCCTCGCGCCGGGCCTTCTCCGCAACCGCATTCAATGTAAGAGCTCCAAAAAGCTTGAGGCCTCACTGAAAGGTCAGCAAACGGCTGACATGGTTATACCTACTCATCCATAGGCCAGCAAGGTCGTCGTCCTTGGCTCTGCCGGAGGCATTGGTCAGCCGTTGTCCCTCCTGCTCAAGCTCAACCCGCGCGTCAGCGAGCTCGCCCTCTACGACATTGTCCTCGGGCCCGGTGTCGCTGCCGACATCTCCCACATCAACACCAAGAGCAATGTGAGGCGCATGGCATAGTCGGCAACTATTGAAGCCATCTAACAATCCCAACAGGTCAAAGGCTACACCCCCGACCCCGCTGGCATCAAGGAGTGTCTCACTGGTGCCGACATTGTCCTCATCCCCGCTGGTGTTCCCCGCAAGCCTGGCATGACCAGAGATGGTGCGAACCCCCCTGATCTCTCCCTATTTCTCGCCCTAACCTCCTCCAGATCTCTTCAACACCAACGCCTCCATCGTCCGCGAACTCGCCAAGTCCTGCGCCGACCACTGCCCCGACGCCAACATCCTCGTCATCTCCAACCCCGTCAACAGCACCGTCCCCATCACCGCCGAGGTCTTCAAGAGCAAGGGCGTCTACAACCCCAAGAAGCTGTTCGGTGTCACCACCCTCGACGTCGTGCGCGCCAGCCGCTTCATCTCCCAGGTCAAGGGCACCGACCCCGCCAACGAGAACATTACCGTCATCGGTGGCCACTCCGGCGCGACCATCGTCCCCCTCCTGAGCCAATCAGGCCACTCCCTCGAGGGCAAGGAGCGCGACGACTACATCCACCGCGTGCAGTTTGGCGGTGACGAGGTCGTTGCCGCCAAGGACGGCAAGGGATCCGCCACGCTCTCCATGGCCATGGCCGGCGCCCGCTTCGCCGAGTCGCTGCTCAAGGCCGCCCAGGGCCAGAAGAACGTCGTCGAGCCCACGTTTGTCGACTCGCCGCTCTACAAGGACCAGGGCGTCACCTACTTTGCCTCCAACGTCACCCTCGGCCCCAACGGTGTCGAGGAGATCCACCCGGTCGGCAAGATCAGCGAGTTCGAGCAAGGCCTTCTCGATAAGTGCTTGGTCGACTTGAAGGGCAACATCGAGAAGGGCGAGAAGTGGGCGCAGGAGAACCCAGGTAAGTAAGTGTACACCTCCAGGATTCACATGCATGCACACCGGGGGAAAAGCGAAGGGGGGGAAAGTAGATGGGTGGGTGGGCATTGGTGAAGCATTGTAATTGTGTAGAGTCGGAGCTATCGAATGCAAAAAAACGGCTTCCATGTCCATACACGGTGTGAGAGCTCCATCCGTGATACACCACGCTCCAAGTAATCCATATTTCCCTTCCAGCAAAGTACGCGCAATGCTTCTTCTTAAAACCCCAGCAACATCAACAACAGCGTGCCCACATACGGCACAGATCCCGCGGCAGCGCCGCTATGGCTGCTCGACGACGCAGCAGACGCAGACGCAGAGGTAGCAGCGGAAGCCGACGTGGCACCAGCCGCAGTGGTCGGCGAGGCAGACGACACGCCCACGCTCGTCGCGACAGACGCGCGACTCTTCCCGCTCGGGCCCAGGGTCGCGGTGCCGTTCTTGGAGTGATGATCGGTCTTGATGCCGGTGCCGGACGCCTTGTGGTGGTGCGATTTCGTGCCGGTGTGCGTGCCGGTGTGGGAGCCGGTGTTGGTAAAGGAGTTGACGACGGAGGCGGTGGCCGTCGCTGAGTCTGTGGATTGGGCGGTGACGCTTGTTGCTGCCGTGGCGAGGGCCAGGAGGGTGAGGCGGGAGAATTGCATTTTGGGAGGTGAGGAAGGGGTGGATTAAAAGTTGATTGTACTGAGTAAAGGAATGGAGAGAAAGAAGAGAAATGTGTGGTGGATGGTAGCAGAGAGGAAAAGGGAGTCTCCTACCTCTTTCTCATATTAATATACGACACGTCCTTCTCATGGGAGATGAAACCAACGCCGTTGGCGAGGCTGAGGTCGCGAGCAAAGGGCCCTTGCTTCACGTCCGGTCGACCAATACGCACGCTCTTTGCGTACAGCAATCTTTAAAAGAATGTAACACGAAAGGCCGGGCCGCGGACGGCCAGGTTAAGGCTGACGCGTCGGACGGCTTGATCCAATGAGACACGAGCGACGGGTGAGGCGTGTTCGCTAAATTGATTGCGTTGGCGTCTAAATGAGCTCGAAAAGGGATAATAACGAGCGCGTGGTGGACCGGTAAAGGGGTGAAGCAGATCCAGGGGCCGGGCTAGCTTGGAGCTTGGCCAAAAGCTTGGTACGCTCGTATCCGCCCTGTGCAGACTCGCTATTTGGTTAGACGGCAGCCTGGCGCACGCTCCATGTCTTGCGTACTCGCGCATCTGGGGAAATTGGGGCATCGTCTGCAATGGTGTTTCCGAGATGTGTTCCTGATGCATCCATCGACCGTACACGCGATGTGCAGGCACGAAGAAGTCGTGAAGCCTCAGGCAGCCAATGTGTATGACTCAGCCACCGACATCGGCGGACGACCGCATGTTGTAGCCGCGGTGAAATATCCCGCCATCCCACCACTCACGACTCACATATGTAAACACCCTCCGCCATGGCCGTCTTCTACGAGACCATCCCGCAGACTCTCATCGAATGGATCCTCAAGCAGAAGCTGCTCTGGGTCGCCACCGCCCCGCTCTCCGGCGCGGGACACGTCAACGTCTCCCCTAAAGGCGGAAGCTACTTTGGCGTGATTGATGAAAAGACCTTTTGGTACATGGACCTCACCGGCTCCGGCAGCGAGACCATTGCCCATCTTCACGAGCCCGGCAACGGCAGGATCACCGTCATGTTCAACGCCTTTGAGGGCGCGCCGAAGATTGTGCGTCTCTGGGGTCACGGCAAGGTGCTGGAGAATGGCACGAAGCCTTTCGAGGAGTTTATTGCGGAGCACAATGTCAAGACCATTCCCGGCAGTCGATCCATCATCATCGTAGATATCCACCAGGTTGGCAGCTCCTGCGGCTTTTCCGTCCCGTTCTACGATTTCAAGGAGTTCCGGCCCACCCTCAACGATCATTTCGCCAAGCTGGATGCCAAGCACAAAGCGAGTGGAGAGGTCAAAGACAGCATGGATCAGTGAGTTCTGCCTTCTCAGCTGTGACAAGGGAACGTAATTCTAACTCATGCAGCTATTGGGCGTACAAGAATGCGTGGAGCGTCGACGGCATGCCCAGTATGAAACGCGGGCAGGTGATGCTGAAGAAGCACCACGTTACGCCGTTGAAGAAGATGGTTGGCCCGATGGCCCCAACCCACTATCAGTCTGGTTTCGGCGTCCCGCTATCGCGTGTCATCATGGCAGTCCTGCTCGCCTTCTTTCTCGGCCTCGCTGTAGCAGTGTACGCTCCTGTCTTGATCACCACCTTAGGCTACCCGATAGGAACAGCACCGTCAGGACTGAAGACATTGAATTCGACACGAGCCTCTTTCGAAGATGTAGCTGGACTTTTATGGGGCAACTCAAAGTGATCCCTTGCTCACTGCACCTCCTCGACATAGCTATCAACAGCCAGCGGCGGCGACACCTTCATGTCCACGAGTGCTTTGAAGGTCCAAAACTGCGTTTCCAGCGAGTCCGCCGTCCCATGGAAGCCCATCTTCCTCGCCTTGCGCATGCTGAGGGATAACGGCCATCCGCCGATGATGGCAGAGTCCGTGACACCGAACGTCTGCGCTCGATCCTTGAACGGGTCAAGGAGGAGGCCGTGCTTCGCCTTGAGCTCCTCCCAAGCCGAGACCACGTCGGGCTTCTCGGACCACTCCATCAAGCTGAAGGTCGAGCGAGTGACGCCTTGGGGACCGTAGCTGCTGCTCGTCAGTGGTGGCGCTATTTGTCCAAGGGCTGTGGATACTCACCCGCGCGGAGTCTCTACTGCTCTCGAGGTGAAGTCGCGGTATTTACTGGCGTCAGCCTCGGGCGGTTCCCAGGTAGTTCCATACCAGCTAGCCAAGTAGGGCCAGAACCTGCACATTCAGTCAATTAATAGTCCTTCCACCCCGCCACAAACACCAGCACTCACCTCCCCCAAGTAAAATTCGTCCCATCCTGCACATTAAAAGCCTCATTCGCCGCCTCGGGCGTCAAAACAGCCCACTCCTCCAACGCAGCATTAATCATCGCACTGCTTTGACAATGCTCGCGATCCCAAGCCTGGTAGTCCCCGGGGAAGGCGAGAGGCTGCTTCAAGTGGGCCTGCACAGATGCATACACGGCGAAGCCGGGCAGGTAGTTGAGGATGTTGTCGCGCACGGCGCCGATGATGTAGCTCGGCCGCACCACGTTCCATCCGAGGTTGTTTTCTTTGCAGTACTTGGCCAGCACGTCTTCTTGGGGGTAGTAGAAGTTGTTTTCGAGCGTTACGCGCGGGTCGAACTCGTAGGAGGGTGTGGTGGCTGGGCCGATGTGGAAGCCTGAGGGGAGTTGTTAGTTGAGTCTTCCAGCTGCTGGATACAACCAGGAAACCACTTTCCGTACTGTTTAGCTCCCGTCTGGAGCAACATGCGTTTAGGCGTGAGGTTGGCGAGTTTGAGGCCTTCGATGAAGTTCGAGATCAGGTCGGCTGGAGGCATAGCCATGTCAGCTGGGGAGCCCGCGGACGTAAACGGTGAACCAACTGTTGATCTTCGCCAGAGCGTCTGCATCGGACCACATATTAAGCACGCCGCCCTTCTGTTGGGGTTGCGTGTAGGAAAAGAAGAATACGTGGTCGCTGTTTGGACTGTCGTCAGCCTGACGATCGTTACACGTTGGACAAGAGGCATCACCTATACTCACACCTTCTTGATCTTCTGTTTCAAGTTATCCGCAATGTCCTCCGGTTTCCCCAAGAAATCTGCTTCGACATGTTCGACACGCTGTGCGCCCTCGCCCAGCTCTGGAACAGAGTCAGCTGACCAGCACTGCCAACTCTGCATAAGGCCCCCAATGACTACTATCGTACCTTCGAAGAAATAATCCGGCGGAGGACGTCTCGACAGACAATAGATCTTCGACCAGCGTTCGGGAGCGGCAGCCAGCGCCTTCACCATGTGGTAGCCCGAGATGCCTGTTGCGATGCACGACTCGTCAGTTGAATGATTCATTCGGCTATGTTAGAGATGGGCAAGTAAAAGGTGCTACGTGCCATTTGCTCCCGTCACAATGGCCGTGAGATCCTTGTATCCCGGTTTATCGGGGAACGTTGGCAAACCGTGGTAAATGCCTCGCGAGACTACGACTTGGAAATTGGGAGGCATGACTATCTTAGAGAGTATCTTGCAATTGTTATCAATTAGAAGAGAGGCTTTCTTTAAACGAATCGTGAGATCCCGTTGCGTCCAAGACTACCAAGGCAGAGCACCCCTCACGAGCTGTCGTCGAGATATACCCGAAAAGCGGAGACCGAGGAAGGAGCGAGGCAGGGTTCACGACGTGCCTGCCAACATGAGTTTAGTGCGGCCGAGGCCAGGAAATATAGTTCCGGATGGAGAGCAAGATGTAACGGATGATGCAGAAACCGAGATCGTGAGTCAATAAAAGCTTCGTTGGCGGTTGCTATCAGGCTGTCCGGTCGTCCGCGAGGCTGTACAATTGCAAACACGCCCCAGAACCGGAGATTGCGGCCGACGACTACATACGTGATGCATCTCAACCAACCGTCAAAGTCCTTTACCGCTCTAACATCAAGCCAGCGAGAACGTGCTATACCCATCCTTTGCAATCTTCGCCGTCCGTTCCCTGAACTCCGGCGCACTCCCGCTATACCTCGCCACGATGCGCTTCTGCTTGTGCGCAACATTCTTGTTGACGCCCGTCATCCACGAGTCGACTTCATTCGCCAGCAAACCCTTGGAGACGTCGTGCACGTGCTCCGTCCAGGCTGCCACGCCCCTGGACGTCGGTTCTATCCGTGACAGGTCGTGTGTGCGGAGATGCTCGATGCAGTTGGAGATCCATTCCACCGCGTACTCTACGCTTCGAGGGATGTTACCGTATGCTTGATGGGGTCCCATGACCTGGCCTTGACATTAGTGCTGAATATACAGAGGAGGAAATACCGCTGCATACCATGAACATGTTGGGGAAGTGTTGAACCGTGAATCCAAGGTATGTCCGAGGACCTTCGTCCCACACCTCACGCAGCTTGACGCCATCCACACCGGTGAAGTCAATGGCATCAAACGAGCCGGTGACGGCATTGAAGCCCGTTGCGTAGATCAGCATGTCCAGATCATGATTCTCCTTGGTCGTTTCCAGCCCCGTTTCCTTGATCTGCTTGATCGGCGTCTCGAGTAGATCCACCAGCTGCACATTGGGGCGATTGTAAGCTTCGAAATAAGAAGTCTCCATCGGCACTCTTCTCGTGCCAAAGCCGTGGTTCTTCGGCACCAGCTTCTCCGCCGTCTCGGGATCGTTGACTCGCTGCCGGATCTTCTTGGCCACAAACTCGCTGACGAGGTCATTCGCCTTTTGATCCACCAGGATCTCCTTGTAGTTGCTGAGCCACATGCCAAAGCCCGGCTGGGCGTAGAGGTGCTCCCACAGCTGCTCGCGCTCCTCGGGCGACGCCTCCCAGATAGAGTCGAAGTTGGCATCATGGATGAAACACATGCGTGTTTTGGCGCAGAGTTCGAAGAGCTTGGGATACTCTTTTCTGATTTCCGTCATTTCTTCCGTCGTGATTTTGGCGTTGTGCAATGGGACAGCCCAGTTGGGGGTTCGTTGGAAGACGGTCAAGTGCTCTGCGGTCTTTGCAATCTCCGGAATGGTTTGAATAGCCGTTGCTCCTGTTCCAATAATGCCCACCTTCTTCCCCTCAAAGCTGACCTTTTCATGCGGCCACCGCGCTGTGTGGAACGCCTCGCCCTTGAAGTCGTCCACTCCCGGCACATTTGGCAACGTCGGATCGCAAAGCACGCCCATAGCCGTGACGAGAAAGCGAGAGGTATATCGCTGTCCGTTGCTGTCCACCAGACTCCAAAATCGGCCTTGCTCGTTCCAGGTGGCGGTCTTGATGCGGATGCCAAATCTCATGTTGCGTCGCAAATCGAACTTATCGCAGATGAAGTTGATGTAGCGTTCCGTCTCCGGCTGCGGCGAGAACTGCTCCGTCCAATCCCATTCATCCAGGACCTCCTGCGAGAAGCTGAAGCCATAGCTCGTTGACTCTGAGTCAAATCTGGCGCCGGGGCTGTTTGTCCAGATGCTTAGACGGTGTTGCTTAAGTTCATGGGCTTTGTGACTTACTATCGATTCCAGTACCATGTGCCGCCTACACTGTCGCCCGCTTCGAGCACAAGCACTTTGATATTCTGCTTACGGAGACGGTACAGAGAGTAGCATCCTGAAAGGCCAGCGCCGATGACAAGAACGTCATACTCTGGTGAGTCGCCGACGGAGCCCATCCTGTTGTTGAAGCGCGCTGTCGAGATGTTGGGACTTCGAGGAATATCAACTCATGGGTTGTATGGAGATATCCAGCAAATCAATAACAATGAATCTACGTGGATTATCGAATGTCTGGATACAGTACGAAGCAGCATATATTCCGGCCGCGATGACGGACTGAAGTCGTAGATGCGGAGGGGCTTTCGCCACGATGTGCGTAGCCGAGGTGACCGTCACAACCACGGCAGCCTCGAGATACCTGCCAATGTACCTCACCCCGAACTTACCATCACAATGCCCAGGAGGGTAGAGGAACAAAGATCGTGTATAGCGCATGTCAGACGTTGCGTATTGCAAGGGTATGTCTGTGAGCTCCTTAACGGTTAATTGGCTGCTAGTCGATTCCCCTCAGGTCGACCGGCGGATGATGTCGTCTTTGAGAAGTTTTGAGCGCATGAGCAGGACGGTATCGCTGAACATTCTAGGATGGGATGGAGAGACAGTAGAAGGTTTCTGGAGAGAGAGCAAGCAAGAGACATTGAAAATACTCTCATTAGGCAGCAGTTGAATGCAATCCCATCCCCAAACCTACGCACCCCAAAATCAAGTATATACACTCTCCGTCCACGCATTAACCTGCAATCCCTTCTCCGCCATCTCCGCATCCTCCAAAAACTTCAGCGGAAACCACACCAAATGCCCGCGAATCTTGTCCAGCTCCGAGCGCACCAGATCAACCGGCTGATACGGATCATACAAGTGGCCCGCCTTGTGCGTATTCTTGGGCATAAAGTGATCGTAGTCCTTGAACGTCTTGATGTTGTCGTCGGGGTCGGCGTGGAAGAGGTGGCGGAAGATGAGCATATTCGCAGTCGCGCGCTCGGTCCACATCTTCCACAGGTCGTCGGAGAGGGGGTCGGCGACGAAGGCGTCCCAGTCGTCGTTGGCGAGGTAGTTGTTTTCGCCGTTGTCGGGGATCTGGGCGTTGGGATCGGAGTCGGCGTCGAGGGGTTGCGCGGGAAGGAGGCCGAGGTGCTCGCGCCAGAGGGTGCGGCGGAGGGTGGCGGCGTGGTGACCGGCGGCGTAGTCTTTGCCGTCCATTTTGGAGGGGAGGACACGGGTGTCTTCCATGACGATGGCGAGCTCGGAGTCGTGGAATCCCAGTTGCGAGCGGTCGTTGAGGTTGCTTGAGCCGCAGATGACGAGTCTGTCGTCGACGATCAGGACCTGTGGTGGTGGTTAGTCGTAGCTCGATCACTGGAGTTCCCGCAGACTCACCTTTGCATGGATGTACAGCTGCTCCTGGATGAAGTTCTCCTTCTCCTGCTCCCGGGCTTCATTCTCCTCCATGCCGTCTTGCTGTCCTCCTCCACGCCCCGCCCACACCTCGTCACTCACTTTCCCACCGTCGAGCATGGCATTGTGCGCAATCGAGTCGGAGATTTGTTTCCCGTCATCCTTGCCCCTGCCTTCCGTCTTTTCATCCTCCCGACGTTGTTCCAGTTCCTCCCGTTTATCTGCAGCATCTTCCCCGCGCTTGGCCGCGGGCTGGTTCTCATTTTGTTGCTCGTCTTCTTGCTTCTTGTCTTGAGCTCCCGCCGGGGGACCATCCTCCTCATCCGACTCCGACTCGGAGCTGCTCTCCGCCTTCCCGGCCTCGGCCTGCTTCTTGGTACTCAGCAGACCCTTGAGTCCAGTTGCATGGCCGCCTTTGCGCGCCTTTCTCTTCGCTTCCGCCCTCTTGCTCTTGTGCTCTCCCGGCGTTCCGTGGACACCAGAACCCATCACTTCCTCCGCTTGAGCTCTTTGCAGATGCTGGTATTTCACCCCAGACTCCTTCTCCTGCTTCTTCGACTCCGGGGTATTGTTGATGCGGTCGTATGATCGGAGATTGAATACAAAGATGTATTTCGCCGGATCTACGCCTTGCGCAGTCAATTGTCCAAAGATGGAGTGCTCTCCTCGACTGATCGATTTGTACTGGTAGTCCATGATGGCGCGGGTGCCTGCTGCAGCATCACTTCTGAGATCGCCTGCGAAACCAGGTATGGCAGGCATGATGACAATGACGCGGAAGGTGCGGCCCTCTTTGTCGGCTGCAGCACACGCATCGACAATCGCTTTGCCGATGAGGTTGTGGACGGGTGACTGCTCCTCACCAGTCGCGGTGATGAAAAACTGATTTTCAATATAGACGTAGTGCCGCGCGCCTCGAATGGCTTGACAGTAGGCGTTCTGAATGCTTTGATCGGTCAGAATGCCACTGGACCAATCCGCCGAGCTGCGCACGATCTGTGCGTGCAACGTTCCATAGCCTCCGGGGGCTTCGTAGTCCACGATGTCGGAGGAGTAGCTTTTCAGCTTCTCCGTCACGCCTCCCGACGCCGAGACAGTGCCTTCTTTCTTGGTGTCGTTGCCAGTCATCTTATCGTGCTCCTGTCCGCTTGATTGGTTACCATGAGCCTCACCCGGATGCTTCTCCGAAGTCTTGTGATGCTGGAAGTTGGGCCGGTGAATCCGGCCTTCGTGCAATCCGTCAGACAGCCAGGTCTGCGGCGTTCGATGCTGGCCCTCAACATAGCCATGTGCTCCAGGTGTCTCTGGAGCATCATGAAACTCGTCCTCGCCATCGGAGTGAGCGCCTGGGCCAGCCTGCTGTTGACTTTCGACAAGATTGAGGTTGAGGTTGGGATTTCCACGCTTGTGCTCAAGTGCTGACAGTGGATGCTGAATGTATTCTCCCACAGGGTGTTTCGGCCGTTGCACACCGACAAGATCTTCGTCTTCGCCCGTGCGTCCGGTCAAGGTCAGCCAGTCATACTCATCATCCCGCTTGTACTTGTCGCGTTTGGCAAAGTTCCAACGAAGGATGAAATGCTCGGCAATGTCGTACACACAAGGTCCAACGAGGCCCATTGCTACGTCGTGCCATGGCATGCGGCCGTACTCGGTCTTAGAGAGTTCGTTGCTCTTCCAGTCGTCCACAGTCTGGAAGTCCATGATGCGGTTATTGTTGAAGTCTTGGCCCGGGAAGATCTCGTTTTGCACGTTGGTAGGATGAGCATCCGCGAGAGGGTGCTGCTTGTTATCCCATCTGCCAAAGCAGAGATCGAGGCCGCCAATAAAGGCAGTGTCGTAGTCGATGACGATGAATTTCTCGTGATGCGCCCAGTAGAAGGTCATGTCGCCGGCGTTTTCGAAGAAGTTGTGATCGGGATGGCGCATAACCACAATGTTCTTGTACCCGGGAGTGCCTTCGGGACAGAGTTGCTCGAGCGTGTGCTTGGAGTGCTCCGAGTTGCAGGTCAGCGCTGCAGTGACTTCCTTGTAGAGGAAGACGTAGATCTTGACGCCGCGCTCGGCCGCGCGTTTGATGGTGTGGTCCAGTCTCCATTTTTGCTGAGTGTGCGGCGGTCTGCGCAGGAACAACTCGGGACTGAGCCACCAGTCTTCGATGTAAATGGACTCCTTTGCGTTCTCCAGAGCAATGGAAACGGCGTGGTAATAGTCGCGGCCGTCGACATACCACTTGATGAGATTTCCGTCTCGCTCGGGAAAGAAAGACTGAAAGCGATGACCCTCGGCGATTTTGGTGCGTTTGGCGTCGGTCGCCTGCTCGTGGGCCTCGTCGTGGCGATGATTGTGATTGAATAGATTCTCCATCTTGCCGATGCGATGTTTCAAGTGGATGGCCTTGACTTTTGCATCGTAGAGCGAAGAATCCTTCATCTTGTCTCGAAGGTCGGAGAAGGGATTCTTCAGTTTGTCCTTCAAACTTCTGTGCTCGTCGGACGTGCTGTCGTTGGTTGACTGCTGTTGCAGACTCTCAGTGCCATGGTCGTGAGTCTTGCCCACCATGTTTGCGAGCCCCGCAGGCGCAATCGGTAACTAGGCTGGAGACCAGGGTGCAAGGCAACGTTGGTGCAGGTACTAACGTGCGATGCTAAGTATTGCGCCGCAGAGAGGAGTAAAGTCGGGAGCCCACGGGAGATGAAGTGCAGAATCAAGGCACCTGCATCTTCCTATCTGTCGTGGTTGGCGGCATGTGAGACGCGGTCCTTGGCCTTGGCCGTGGAGCTGTACAGGTGACGTCAGACTTGGCCAGGATCCATGTTTCCACTTAATGGTGCCTGCTTGCGGCGACTGAAGGCGATCTGCGCTGGGATGTGCTTCTCGGAGTATGGGCGGGCCGTGACGCATGAGCATTCCTCTTATCTTAAGATTGCATGATGTACCGTCCGGCAAACGTAGACATGATTGTTTCCGTCCGATGTTCGAGGCAGCCAGATGGGGCTTAGTGGGCAGGCAGCGGGCCGTCCCTCCCCCGCCGCCACACTCCACACGTGCTTCATCAGCCACGTTTCATCCATCCCGTCAACAATTGTTCGTCTCGGAATACGAAGGGCATAGCAAGATGAAGACGCCCCGTCTGCACATCCCCTGCCCTCCGTAGTCACAATGGTACGTCGCCGAACTCTCCTTCATCTACCCCCCTCCATCCAACTAACCAAACTCCCCTCTCAGAGCGCCCTCTACAACTCCGCCCTCCGCCAATCCAAAGCCATCCGCGCCGACCTCGATGCCTTCACCTCCTCCTCCGGCTCCAACGCGGCACTCCAAGGCCAACTCACCACCTCCATAACCTCCTTCTCCCGCACCCTCGACGACTACCAACGCGCCATCGACAGCGAGCTCGTCCCCGACAAAGCTACCAAAGGCAAAGAGCGCATCACCAATTTCCGCACCGACCTACTCGACTTTCGCTCGCGCTTTGCAGAACTGAAACACGAGCGCGAACAGGCGCAGCTCGCAAATAACCGCAATGAACTCTTTGGTCGCCGGCCGCACGCTGCTCAGACGCCTGAGAACCCCTACGCCGATGCGGCTATTACCAGTGCTACGATAGGGAGAGGGGAGAACGTGAACCCACTCTTCCGCACCTCCAATCCCAATTTCCAGCCAGGGAGCAGTGGCGTCAATTCGTACAGCGCGTACCAATCACCGTACGGACTAGGGGCAGACGAGGCGCGAGAGAACCATGCCCTGCGCGAACAGTCCTTCTTCAGCTCCACGAACAGCACGCTGGATGAATACATTCAGCGCGGGCAGGCAGTTCTAGGAGATCTGGGAGATCAGCGGGAAGTGCTGAAGAACACGCAACGAAAGTTGTACAACATCGGCACCACGCTGGGCATTTCAGGAGACACGATTCGCATGGTGGAGCGAAGGGCGAAGCAAGACAAGTGGATTTTCGGAGGAGGCGTGCTGGTGTTCATCGTCTTTGTATACTTTGTCTTGAGGTGGTTGAGATGACCAGCCTCCGCAAGTGATAGTTAGCGCGGCGTTGGGAGAAATCTATCAATTCCAATCCCCTCCATTGCCCTCCAAGCGCATCTCAAATCCCTACCGAAAGAAACTACTCACCGTCCCCCTCCACTCAAACGACACCCTCGCAACCTCCAAATCCCCCTGCACCCCGATCCCCTCCACCCTCGGCCTCCTCAACCGCACTTCGCGCACCCCACCCTCCGCAATCCCCATCTCCCACACCACCGTCTCCCGTAACCACCTCCCCTCCCCCTCCCCCATTCCCTTCCAGCGTCCAAGAAAGTGCTCCCGGTAGTGAGACGGATCGGTCCCCACAAGGTCATAAAGCGCTCTCCCCGATTCCTCAGAATTCCCCAACAATCCAGGATGGAACACCGCCTTCCCGCGAATAGGATTGCGCATGTCATAAGTGGGAAGTGTGATGGGGAGCGTCAGCTGGGTGAGAGGCAGGTAGTGTCTGGCGTAGTACTCTTCCGTGCAGGTGCGCAGTTGGGTGTTGATGGGGCGGAGGGAGAGCCAGAGGTCTTTGGGCGAGCAGTGGGAGAAGACTAGGATCCAGAGTTCATTGGGAAGGTGAGGGGACATGGTGTGTTGGAGTTTGGAGGGCGAGCGGTTGGGTTGATGTCTTCGTTGCGGGGAAGAAAGATGGTGATGCTTGCTGGTGGTGAGGTGAGGCTGGGATGTGGGGAAGAGCTTCACAGCCGGTCAAGCGGACAGCACATTATCGACGTAACACTTTTCTCACTCATTTCTCCCAGTATACAAGCTATACAATTTCCACAATTCCCATTCACATAACAAGTCGTCCAAGTACCAGAACCCCCTAATTTCCCTCACACAGCAATCCGATCAAACGCCTCCTGCAACACCTCCTTGCGCGTCTTATGCACCTCCAAACTCCCCGAGTACCGATCCATCAGCTCCAACATCTTGGCCACATCCTGCTTCGCCTTGCCGAAAATGACTTCCAGACCGCCGGTCGTCGCCGCCGCATCGCCTCCCTCGCCATTTTCACCATCACCATTCACAGCACCGGGTTTGGAAGACAGCAGGTGCGCCATCAAGAGACTCTCTTCGAACGCGCGATGCTGAAAGACCCACCATACGCCTGCTTCCGCTTCGAAGAAGGTCCAGAGCTTGAAGAAGGACCAGATGGCCTCGTGCGCGGCTTCGAGCGCGGGTTTGAGGTAGCATTGCACGCCGGCTGCGTCGTTTTCCGCGGCGTAGAGGAGCATCAGGCAGTGGTAGTAGTTTGACGTGAGGAAGAGATTTTGTCGGACGGTGCGAGGGTTGGTGCGCACTTGGAATTGGAGGACGGAGGGGTCGAGTTGGGTGAGATGGGGAGGGAAGGATTTGTAGAGGCGGCGGAAGGCGGCGATGAGGGAGTCTTTGTGGCGGGGGCTGTTGGCCAGGGGAAGCGAAAGGGAGGATGGGGAGGAGAGGTTCTCTTGTACGAGGTTTCCGAGGTGCCACATGCTGCGTTGATAGACAATGTCGTCTTTCACCGTAGCCTCGTCGATGATGTGATGCGGTGCCGGGGGAGCGACGGGCTCGTAAGGCTGAGGGGCGATGACGTTGATGCTCATCAAGTTCTCCACGCGTGCTTGTTCGCCGACGCAGCACAGCTCTAGGCCATCTTGCCCAGTCTCGTTCTCTTCCCGTAGTGACTCGACAGGTACATCACTATGCGTAGCTGTTGGAGGCAGCTTCAGTAGTACAGTGAGGAAGGTGTCGTGGAAGAAGACCGCTTGCCACAGTTTCCTCCGCTGTTGCTTCTCCAGCGGTGATGCATCGGGTACAACGACGTCAGGATCGCGATGCAAGCGCAGGGCATATGTCTGTCGGAGATGAATCCCTGCCCATGCGTAGGCGTCCGATGCATGATTGTCGTTCATCAGGAAATACGACATGAACAGCATGGCCTGGATCGCGCGCATAGAAGTGCGGTTCAGGTAAGAATAGACGCGCAGCGCCTGGTTCGCCGCCGAACAGTAAAACTCTGCGGTCTGCGATCGCTCCTCGTACGAAGGGAACTGAACGAATTGTGTGCCAAGGGCATACATGGCGAAGAGCAATGCAGTGAAGGCCGCGTCGGTGTCTCCCCTCCGCTCCGGCGGCATGGCCCAGAAGCGTTCGTAGTCGACGTAGAAGGAGCGTCGATGGAGGAAAGGATACACGCCGTCGACGATTTCGAAGAACTTGGCAATGAGAATGTCGGCCTGCTCCTTGGAGGGCATGACACTGACGACTTCTGGAAGGCCACCGGCGCAAGTCCAGTAATTCGAGAAGGGGTGCTGGGAGCCTACCCCGAAGACATTTGACGGGGAGGATTTGGCGAAGGGAACGTGGGAGAGCAGGTAGGGTGAGGAGCCGGAAGAGGCATCGGAGCTGCGATGGGCACGCTGCTCGATGCGCGTCCAGCCATTTTCGTTGACGAAGGGGGAAGCGGTCGGATTGGGAGAAGTGGCGCTCGTCTTTCGGATCTTGGTTGGAGGTTTGGTGATGTAGCGTGGGTGACTCGCGGCACTGGAATGCTTACGATCGGCGGATGCGATCAGGTTCGCCACGGCCGTATATTCGCAGTCGGACTGCCGTTTGATACAAGCAAGGCATGGCCGCTCTCGATTGCATTTTGTCTTCCTCTCGACTGGCGGGGTTTAGTTGGGGGTAAAATAGCACAAGAAACTGATGGAAGACACGCACCGCATTCCAGGCAAGAAAGGGTAGGCTTGTTGCGTTTCTGCTTCGGCTTCGACCGCGACAGCTCCCCACCATCCCGATGCTGGCCCGGCGAGGAGGCGGTAGTGGTGTTGGTAGTAGGCGTGTTGTCCGTGGCATCGGTCAGAGTGGCGGAAAGTGGAGTCGGGGTGGTGGAGGGGGGAGCGAAGTCTGGGCTGAGTTGCATGGTGATCGCGCGGTGATCAGCGATACATCCAGGCACGCAACGCACGCGCCGTGCACGTCCTTGATGACTGGCTACAGTAATTGGGCCCCGGGAATGCAGAGGTGATGTGCGCAGGCGTCGATTATATCCGCGCGGGTGATCGTGCGGGAGGCGGGGCCCCGCAGTTGTCAGCACGCCAGCGGAGCTGCCTATTTGGGAAGGCAAGCGCCAGGTCTGTCCTTTTTGCCGACCCAGGGGCCTACTGATAGTATATCAGGTATTCAATACAGTACCAGTTCCATATCAACACATCTATCTACCCCTCGTAACCATCCACATCCGTGCTGTTGCTCAACTTCTCATACTTGGGATACAGCTCGCCGTAATCCTTGATCTTCTGCGTAATGGCCTTGTACGCATCCGTGCCAAGCACCACCCGCAACGGAGGGTCCTTCATCTTCGCCAACTCCCACATCGCTCTGGCGGCCTTGGGCGGGTCGCCAGCCTGTGTTCCGTTGACTTTGCCCATCCTCTCCTTGGCGTCGATGTGGTCGTATCTAAGTCAACAGTTAGCAATGACCTCTCTCTCAAAAGAACTGCCAAAGACATCTACGCACGCTTTGTTCTTCTCCTCTCCAAACTCCATACTCCGGCCCGCCCAATCAGTGCGGAACCCACCGGGTTCAACACAAGTCAACTTGATATTCCACTCCGGCTTCAACTCTTGATTCAAGGATTCTGTGAACCCCTCAACCGCCCACTTGGAAGAGCAGTAGATGCTGAAAGTCGGAACGCCCTTCTGACCACCGATAGAAGTGACCTGCTGGATCTTGCCGCCCGGCGGCTTGTTCTCCTCGCGCAGCACCTGCAGCGCTCGGCGCGTGACGTTCAAAAGACCAAAGTAGTTGACCTCCATCTGCTTGCGAATCTGCCTGTCGGAGAGGGATTCGAATTCACCGCTCAGGCCGTAACCGGCGTTGTTGACGACCACGTCGATGCGGCCAAACTGCTTGAGGCCGGCGTCGAAGGCCTTGTGGATGGAGCTGGACGTTGCGTTAGCATTTGATCGACGGTGCATGGAACGGCACTACTGACTCCTCATTCGTCACATCACAGTCGACAGTGAGGAGGTTGTCTTTGGTAGCTCCGTCGAACTTCAGCTTGGAGGAGTTGCGAGCGGTTGCCACCACCTTGTCGCCCTTCTCAAGACATTGTTGCACGAGTTCGTATCCGAAGCCGGTGGACGTGCCGGTAATGAAAAAGACTTCTGCGGGTGCCATTTTGAGTTGATCTCGGAATGGTTCAAGAGGATTCACTGGAATCTTTTGTCAAGAAGAATTGCCACAATGGCTGACGTCTGGTTATATATTGCTTTCCGTCCAAAATTCCAAATGACAATCGCATGACGTCAAAGTACGCGAACCATTGGCGAATCTTCAGGTGTTGAATCATGACGGCAGCATAGCGGAGCCGGAAGCAACTCCGATTGCTAATGGTGGGTAAAACAGGAGTGATTTGCATCGAATCCGCGGTCATAACTCGGAAACAATAATGTATATGTACGCAAACCGTGCATGCTTAGATGTAGGTGGGTAGACAAGCAGCCTACCACGCCCACATGCAGCCGGGTCGTGACATCAAGCAAGGCTGCTTGAACCGTCTTGCACAGCACACAGCCTATGCATTGTCTACTCGAACTCGACCAAACGGCTTCAAGGCTTACGAGGCGACGTCCCCATAGCACGCGCCCACGCCTCCTCCGCGTTCTTCCGTGCCCAAGGCCCCAACTTACTCCACGCATCATCCCCCTTCGAACTGTCCTCGCCAGCCTGCAATACGTCCCAACACCGCTCATCGCCCAGACGAGCAAGCTGAGCGCTCAAAGACTCTACCGTGCCGAAGCGTGGGGGCAGATTCTGGCCTCGCATGTCTGCGAAGTGGCCGTAGGCTGTATCCATGAGTTTGAGCCCTTCTGCTTTGTTCGTAGCTTGTTTCCCGGGTTCAATTTCTTCGGCAGCTCCATCGATCAGTTTCATTCCCGCATTGGCGAAGACGAGGACCAGACGATCATATGTCAGAGCCGTCGGCTTCAGTCCCAACGCGAGCAGCTCTGCAAGCAAGAACGTAGCCTGCTCCGTATCCGGTGGATCAGCGCGATTACATCCTCTGATCAGCAAGTTGAACGTCTCAATGTCCGCTATCGACTTCCTCGCGTTGTCGGTATTCGGCGCGAATGTATGCATCTGCTTGTAGATCTTGAGCGCTTCCAATAGGTTGCCCTGCTCGACGTAGCACTCGATCAAGACGTTGAGAGCGGCGACGGGGATGATGCGGTTTTGGGTGTGCAGATTGCGTAGAACTTGCAGAGCTCGAGGGATGAGATCGGGTCTGTCGCGGAGGCAGAGGTAGAGAGGGCGGGTCTCTGTCGCCGAGGGGTCGAGTTTCTCCAACGCCATGATGGTGAGGACGGTGATTGCTCTCTCAACATCAGGTGGGTTCATTGCCAGATACGCGGAGATGAGCAATTCGTAGTGGATCGGTTCGAATGTGGTACCACGCTTGCTCAGTTGTGTGAAGACCTCGGTCGCCATGATAGCATCTCCGGCCTGCGCAGCGGTGGCCAGGACATTGAGACAAACCGCCGAGGAAGGATTGATGTACTTTTGCACGACCTGACTCGACCAGGCCATTGCTGTGGCGGCATGATGTCGCGCCGCACTAGCTTTGTCGAGCAGAAAAGACCACAGTGTCCTGCTGAGCTCTGTCTCGTGGGCATCAACACGCCAGCGCATGATCCGGTACGCCTCGGAGACCTCATTCGCTGCACAGAGGGCATAGACCATCATATCCAGCAGCCAGGGCTGAATGGGCACATTATCCTCTCGCATCTTGTCCAGCCTCTCCACAGCTTGCTCAAAGCGACCCTCCCTCAACAATCCCCCCACCAAATCGTGTGCGCCGTCCACAGACAATTCCAACCACCTCTCACCCATGTATGCCAACACGCCCGTTCGCAGGAGGTGGTCAGAGTGCACCGCCGCGACTTTCAGCACGGCATGACACGTCTGCACATCCGGCTGCAACCCATCCGCCCCCATCTGATCGAGCAATTCATAGACCCTCTGAGCCGAGCCCTGTCCGGCCGAAACGTTGCTGAGAATCAAGGCATTGTACATCAGCAAGTTTGGCGCCTCTTGTCTCGCAGTCACGAGGTGTTCTGCAATCTCGCGACACTGCTGCCCCTTGCTCTCTTCAACACTCAAGCTCTGCAGACGGCGGTAGAGTGCTTCCACGGAGTAGTCATCGAGCGAGGGTTGGGGGCGTTTGAATCGTGGGGATTTGACTCGAGGCGGCGCTGGCAGCGGCGAGTCTGCCAGAACGCTCAGTACATCGTCTGTTCTTCCATCGTCGACGGCCCGAGAGGCGTAGTAGCGCGCTGCCTCATCGGTCATGAATCTCGTGGAGGTCGGAGGTTTGAGGCATTGGACGGCTGGACGTCGCGGACGGGAGAGGAGGCGCACGGGTGGTGCAGTTGCGAGGGAGGTCCATGATGGACACAGACATCGCCACAGGGGGTCAATGCCTAGTTTTGCAGCATTCATAGCATGCTTGTCCTTGCATTGGAAGGGGTGTGTTGCGGCTTCGCAGGTGGTGGAGTTTGAGAAGTCCGGCTGTGGACACCTCAGGCAGACAATTTCATTAGAAGACGGGATGCATTCACTGGCTTTCAACATGTTCTACTGATGTCCATTGTCGGGCCAGGGGCTCATGCCATTCTGAGTATTCACAGAGTGAAGCAGGATCGCAATGGCCGCTGATAGAAGAAACAGCAGGAAGTGGTAGAGGCCAAAAGAGTCATTCTAGGTTCATAGACTGTGGAGCGTATCAATGCAATTCTGCTTGACGCCCCAGCTGAATGCAAGGCGCGGCGGCGAATCTTTCGACATTGCTAGTCGCACGGTAGCCCACTGTGCGTCAAGAAACATGCCTTCTCAGCTGCCAGGCGTGTGACTGGTGGGGTCGTGTAGCCTGTCGCCTCCTGCACCACGCCGAGTCTGACCCAACATGATCGATCGTATGGCCGCAAGCCGTGCAGGGTCATCGAGATTATTCCAATCGCAAGCGCGTTCCTAACCGCCTCTTCCTCTGCCACGACCTCGCCCACCTCTATCGCCCCCGCGCCCACCTCTGCCGCCTCTTCCGCCATGATCACCTCTTTGCTGTCCACCGCCACGACCACCGCGATGCGAATGCTGCTGCTGTTGTTGCTGGTCCTTGACCAGGTCTACAATCTCGTCCGGTACCCGCAGGTATTTGATCTTTGAGTATGGTTAGCATGCGTACAGTGCGCGCAGCTTGAGCATGGCCAGGTACATTGTTCCCTCGCACGTAGCATTCGGGTAAGCGGAAGAACTTGTCGCCGTCTGGGCTGGTCTGCACGACTTCCTTCAGGGTGAGGTTCATGTAGGTGTCGCAGTTGACGAGGTGGCCGTTTAGTGTCTCGCCGTTCTTGAGCTCGACGAGCATCGGATGGCCTTGCGCTGCATTGAGCAGGCCGAGGGGAAGCTGGGAGGTGGTGATGTCAGCGGTGCGAACAGGAGAAGGGGAGGGTCGGAGGGTCTACCATGATGAGAGTGAGATGTGTGTTATCGAATCATGACCCGGGGCGTGGATGTTGGATGGCAAGGTTGACGTGAGGGTGAAGGCGAAGATGCACAATCGCAAAGCTTAATTCATCGTGGTGGATGTCAGGCAGCAATTCAGGCAGAAGCGGACCTCACCCCGCGATGTCAGCAACGGGCGGGAATCTGGCTGCCTAACGAGGGCCACGTTGACATTCCCACCTTTGCTGCCATATTTATCCATGACGAGCTTGCGGTCATTGTCATTGTCCAGCATTCGCCGGCCATTGGCATGCTAGACGTCGCCGGCCACCGACACGATCAAGGCCAAAGCCATGCGACTCCTCCTCTCCGCCGCCCTCCATCTCGCAACGTGTCTGGCCCTGCCCATCGGGTATACAGCCAGCGTGGGCGACCGCGAAGAGCCACAACAGCAACAAAACTCCATAGACGTGATCAAATACTGTAAGCGATTTCAGCAGTCACCACCCTGACCACTTCTTACTCATATTTGTCTACAGCTCACGACTCGGCATTCGTTGACTTCTCCATCCCGTCTCCATCCCGCAACAACCCCTCACGGCCCGACGAGTCTTGGGTGAGTCCACGTAACGCCAAGCCCGCGTCACATCCCATTGACTCCGGACGCCCGCCATTGACAACCATATCTAACCTCGTTGCCTTATTAGCGCTTCCAACTCCACTTCCCTCCAGCCCGGGATAACTCCACGCTAACCATCTCCCTCAACGACCAACTCTTTCCACTGGGAGAAGGCCCTCTGTCTACCACTCTCGCCAGTAGTGTCAACACCTCCAGCAACTCAGGTCTGGTCCGTTTGATAGACTACACACTCTCCACCAATTTCACCTCGTCTGTCGGTCCTGGTGACACCTCGCCTTTTTACGTAGCAGTGCAAGGCTCGTCGGCCCTTCCACTAGCCTTCACCGTCATCATGCAATCCGACCTGGAAACGCCTCGCCTCCTTGCCCTTTACTCGGACTCGGCATCCGACATGATTCGCTTCGATGACCACTCCGACTCATACAGCGTCTCTGATAATGCCCGCGCTGAAGATTCGTCTTCCACCTTTGACCTAGCCAATGAACTGGAATCACTACGTCTGCTGGAAGACGAAGCAAGCGACATCCAACGGCAAATCACCGCCAAGAAGCAAACCATCTCGACCCGAATGCGAGACAACCGAAACAACATGTGTCTGAAGCATCTCGTCGCCGAATGCGAAGGGGTGCTATGCGCAGCTCGTGTCGTCGCGCAACGCATATGCGACAAAATGAACATCAACGTCGACCCGGCCTTTGGCTTCACCGCCATGAGTTTCCCCTCGGACCGACCGCTCTTGCGTGCATCGATGACAAACAGACATACATCCCAACGCCCCAGCTACCGGCAGCACCAACAAAGCATCGGCCTCAACCCACTCAACGCAACATCGGGTTTCCAGCGACTCGAAACAATCCCAGAAGTCGACCCTACCCATTTCGAAGACTCGCCCAATCCCGTCATTCATGTTCTACAAGCCCTCGCTGGCTTGCTTGGCCTCACAGCCCTCTGGGTCCTCATCAAGTCGAAATGCACATCCGCACGAACCAAAGTAGAGCGAGCCGCAGATCGCGAAGAACGACGGAACCGCCGCACCTACCGCCGAGCAGCCCGACGCGCCATCATGCGGCAGCGCTGGGACGACCTGGTGCGCGCCGTGAGCTGCTTCCGCGCCCCCAAAAACGAGCCTCGATTCGAAGACTACGAGGAGAAGCGCGCGCTCATCCTGCAAGACGCCTTCCTCGAGCAGGAGGCAGACCATGCGGAGAAAGCAGACATCATGGAAGCGGAGATTCGTGAGCTACGACACGCGCACGACATCGTCGCCAGCCTGGTCATCGGCGACGATCTCCCCGCACCGCATCACGACCCTGCGCCTCCTCTCGTACCATTGCCCTATGCGCTGTCGCGAGTAAGCACGCAGTACACCCTTCCATCATACACCTCCGAAACCCTCCCAGACTACGCATCCCGAATATCACGCGAGCGGAGATTGAGTGGCTTCACAATTGGATCCTTCACCCCTTCCACGTCATCGGCAGAAGAGGAAAGCAAAGGTCTAAGCCGAGCGGCATCCTGTTCAGCCGTCGGCAGACCCTCACGATCAGAGAACAGCGGGAGCAGCGTGATTGATATCTCGACTCGGCCGAGCGGCGAGACGATACGGACTGAGCGGCCTTGGGTTTATTTGTGATGTTAACATACGGCGTTCGGAATGCATAATGCGGCGAGGGATTTACATGACACCACCTAATTGATGGGATCACACCAACGACACGAATTGTAACGCTAGGTAATTACGCAAGAAGGAAGAGATCGGTGTAGCTAGCGCATTGTATACCAAATGAAAAGCGCAGCAACACGCAACATCTACATCCATCCAAACACATCCACCCTAAGCAGCAGCAGGCGCAGCCCTCGCCCCCCTTCCAGTCCCCGTAGCAGCCCTCTCACTCCGCCCCCTCCTCTCCTTCTTAAAACACCCAAACTCCCCCTTCGTCCCCTCGCGCAGCTTCTTCAAAATCGCACGCATAGCAGGCAACTCGCCCTGCAGCTTCGCGCGGGACTCATTATCCGTGCGCTCGTCGAGCGCGAGGTAGATTTGGCTTTGCGTCTCGCTCGCTTTGTCGGTGGTGTAGTTGTTGAGCGTCTGGGCGAGGAACTCGACGTCGAGCGTCGCTTGCATGAGGGCTGGGAGGGAATATTTTGCCGAGGAAGAGGGAGAGGGTTGGCAGCGGGCTTTGAAGGCTTGGATGAGGAAGAGACTTGCTTGCTCTAGCAGATGCGAGAGGATTTGATTGGTGAGAGTTGGGGTGGTGGAGCTCACGTCGCTGTGGATGAGCACGAGTTTAAGCAGGACGGCATAGATGTAGGGTTTTGCATCGGTGGGGCGAGCCGTGGCTGCCGGTTCCCAGGATGGAGTGGAGATGCCGGTGGCGATGGTTTGCTGGAGGTAGTCGACGGTAGGTTTGATGTAGGCTTGGAAGAGGCGGGTGTCGAGTTGGCCGAGGACATCGCGGATGGTTTTGGTCTCGTCGCTGAGCTTGACGGAGAAGTTTGTCTCGAATTGCGAGACGAGATGCGGCACGATTTCGGCTTTGAGGTGCGAGAGATTGGAGAGCGTGAGGAGCATGCGGATGTCCTAGATAGTAATCTTGGTCAGCACAGATGTGGTCGCTAGCAGCGGCAGGCCTTACCCGATTGTTAGAGTCGACGGCAATCATCACACGATCATCATCCGCCGCCGCACTCTTCGGCACAGTCACACCATCAGGATCCACGTTCCCAACGCCACTCACATCACCTTGCTCCGCGTTATCCACCATGCCCGAGAAAACCTTGTGCAAACTGGAAACGAACGTCCCGCGAAGCGACTGCAGCATCTTCGCCGAGGGCGGCACAATGACCTCCGCACTCCCACGCGCGCTCATAGCGTCGGTGATGTACGCAATCTTCTGTGCATGCTGCAGCACATTCTCCTCGAACGCGGCAATAGATGGGGCAACGGTGGTGAGATCGCGGCGGTCCGATTGCCGAGTCCAGGACTCCAGAATCCTACATCTGTCCGAGTCGGTGGTCCAGGCGGCGCATACTGCTTGAATGCAACGCTCACGCACAGTGCCGACGAGCGTCTTCAGACTCTCGCCGCCGCGAGTCTGCTTGATGACGCTTAGAGCGGACAACTCGCTGGCACCCACGCCGATGATCATCAAGACCCGACCGAGGTAGAGGGAGCCGCTGATGCAATTCGACTGGGGTGCCCAGAAAGCAAACTTCTCCCATGCATCCCCTCGCTGCGGAGATGGAGGTGGGGCGTTCATGATATCAAACGTGAACGTCTTTTTCAGGTTCGGACTCAGCGCCATACTAACATCGGGGGACTTGGGCGTCGGCGGAATGGGCGAGTAGAGATCACTCAGATCGTCCACGGGCGGATCAGAGAAGAAGCTCAGCACATTGTCGCGGATGAGGTTCACAAGCTCCACCGCTCCAGAGCGCAGGTTTTGAACATCATCGGGTTCGAGTTCGAGATGCTCTTGACCAGCTGCAACGACTGCACTCGAGAATGCCTTTTGCGCCTTGTTGTCAATGAAAGACTGCGTCGTCTCCCAATACTCAATCACTTCCCCGACAACCCCGTTCTGCAGCGAGAGCAGCGCGGTCATGGAGAAGTGGACTTTCTCCCAAAAAGCAATGATTGGAGGTGAGTCGAGGTCCCTGCCCGACTCTTTGGCAAATCTGAACGAGTCCGGATTGGCGACAGAGCGCAGGTATTGTGCAAGTCCTTGCACATCCGTCCGGGAACTGTTGGCAAGCTTTCGCCGCATAATCTCCAATTCGATCCTCGACCGCTCGAATGAGCGGGCAATTTTGTCTTTGAGATAGAGAAAGCGACTGTTCAGCCACTGCCAGATGGGGTTGTCATCAACGCCGAGCTGCAAAAGAAGTCCAATGAGTTCCATATGCTCCTCTTTGTCCGTCTCCTCTGGTACTGCAGCTGGCCTGCGGCCATGAGATTCGCGGAGTCTCTTGAGCGCGTCGATTTTGCAAGCGTTGATCTGAGGATCGACATCATTCCACATTTTTGCCGTCACGATAATGACTTGAGCATCTTCGTCACTCAACTGCCCTCCATTGGCTTTGGCAATGTCGGCCATGTTCCTCGCAAAGTTGGCGTGTCGATTGGCCTGCTTGTGCGCGTAAACAATGCCATCGTAGTCTCGCTTTCGTATGCTCTCCGCCAGCTCACCACTAAGGGTGAAGATGTCGCGATGCTGATCAATGGTGGACAGCACCTCCCGTAGGCTTTCCTCCTTCTCGCGTCCTCCTAGAGTTGGACCCCACACCTCCTCCGCCTTGATTGCAATCTCCAGCAACGGAGTCTTGATGCCTTGCACACCATACTCCGACTCTTTGGTGAGGGCATTCTTCTTCTTTTCCGGAATAACGACGGACTTCCGCGACCCACTTACGATGCGGCCACTAGACGAGCGGAAGTGCGACTGGTTCTTACTTGTCTGTCGAGTATGCAAACTGAGCCGGTTTTCCGCCCTTTGTTGGTCCGCTGCTCCCGCCTCCACACCCTGGGTGCGCATCTCGGTATAGACATTGTCAATGGTAGCCTTTGCCTTGACGAACTTTTCGAAATTCGACTCGACAAGGACTTTGAGGGAAGCGGATTTCTGCTCGATGCTCTGGCTGAGGTGATCAAGGCCACGTAGGAGGTCTTCGGTGCTGGCGTTTTGATGGACCGTGGCGAGGAAGGAGGCGGGGTTGAAGGTGGTGGAGCTCAGCATGAAGCGGTTGCGGAGCTTGAGGTTCTCGTCGATGGGAAGACCTCTTCGCTTCAACTCGGAGGCCACGCTGGGGGCCATTCCGAGCGCGTCGGGCTCGTCATTGCGAACCAGACTCTCGGAATCGCGGGTGGCCGATCGGACGGAGGCATGACGGTCGATGTTGCGGTATTTCGAGTAGCTCGATCGCGAGTTCACGGAGAGTTTGGAGTTGTATGGTATAGGGGAGAGGCCATTGCTGGCCGTAGCCTCGTCATCGTCATCCGAGGAGTCGTCTGCGCGAGTGGGCCATTTCTCGGGATACAAGGAGGGGATCTTGTACTTGTTAAGCAGCTGTCGTTCTCGATCGGCAGAGACGGGCATGACTGTAGGATGAGATGCTTCTTCATCCAAGCAGGTCTCCAAGCATCCGACTCACGCCCGTAACTGGATGAAGATGCCGGGGGAAGCAGTAATGGTAGTAAGCTGTGAATGTCGGCGGCGGCGTGGTGGTGGAGGTGGTGGATGGCTCGCGGCAGGCACGGCCCGCTGCGTGGCTTAAGCTTTGGGGCCCCCAATGGATTGGGCGCAGGCCGAGCTCGACTTTTCGAGATTGAGAGCAGCGCAACGTCCCGACCATCCCACCACCTCCCGGCCTCCTCGGACTCAATCATCCGCCCCATCCACTCCTCCTCCTCCTCCCTCACTTACACACCATGCTGGCCAGTCGGTGTTTCGCGGCGCCGGCTGCGCTTAGGAGCCTCCCGCGATGCCAACAACACTCCCAGCAGCTCTTCTGGAGACAAGCGGCGGCGCAGGTGCGGAGAGGCCCCGATAAGGCATTCTGGTACTGTTACTGACCCGGATACATGCAGAGAATATGGAGGTCGTATGCCACTACCTCCGAAAAGGACAAGGTGGCCAAATTCAAGGGAACCAAAGGGAGCGATGTAGGACAAAATACGATGGCTGTGATACGATGCAAGGAGGTTGCTAATGCGGACACAGGGCAACTACACCGTCACATTAATAGAAGGTGATGGCATTGGGTGAGTTATTAACAACACAGACCTTGTACTTCTCCCAACTGACCGGTCCCGCCAGGCCCGAGATTGCCCAGTCCGTCAAAAACATCTTTTCCGCTGCCAAAGTGCCCATCAAGTGGGAATCTGTCGACGTGACGCCCATCTTCAAGGACGGCAAACAGGTTATCCCCGACGAAGCCATCGACTCGGTCACTCGCAACTACGTCGCCCTCAAGGGCCCTCTCGCTACTCCTGTTGGCAAGGGCCACGTCTCCCTCAACCTCACCCTTCGACGCACTTTCAACCTCTTCGCCAACGTGCGGCCGTGCAAGAGCATTGCGGGCTACAAGACGCCCTATGACAACGTCGACACCGTCTTGATCCGCGAGAACACCGAGGGCGAATATTCTGGCATCGAGCATGTGGTGGTGGATGGCGTGGTGCAAAGCATCAAGTTGATCACCCGTGAGGCATGCGAACGGGTGCTGCGCTTCGCCTTCCAATACGCGCAGGACGTGGGCAAGCCAAAGGTACGCGCGGTGCACAAGGCGACAATCATGAAGATGTCCGACGGCCTGTTCCTCAGCATCGCCAAGGAGGTCTCCAAAGAATTCCCTGATGTCGAGTTCGATGCGGAACTGCTGGACAACACCTGTTTGAAGATCGTCACCGACCCCGCGCCGTACAACGACAAGGTGCTAGTCATGCCGAATTTGTACGGAGACATTCTCTCGGACATGTGCGCCGGTCTGATCGGAGGCTTGGGTCTTACACCCTCCGGCAACATTGGCGACGAGTGCTCCATCTTCGAGGCCGTGCATGGCTCCGCACCCGACATTGCCGGCAAGGCTCTGGCAAACCCAACAGCCCTCCTGCTCTCGAGTATCATGATGTTGCAACATATGGGGCTCATGGAGCACGCAGACAGAATCCAGAATGCCATCTTCAAGACCTTGGCCGAGGGCAAGGTGAGTTGTTTCTCTGACGCATGATACTGCAGACTACTGACATGCGCAGACCATCACGGGCGACCTGGGCGGCAAGGCGAAGACACACGAGTACGCAGATGCGGTGATCAAGAACCTTGCGTAATTGTCCCGTAGCTGGTCAGATAGCATTCCTGTTGTTAAATGGTTTGGGGTTGTGGAACTCATGCAAATGAGGGAGTTCTTGTGAGAGGGGCGGGTTGTCCAAACAGCCAATCTATTGCATTCAATCTCACGCTGTACTCTTCTAAACAACACTTGCGCGCTCACCACCTAATGTAAATGTCAGCGGCCGGCTTTAACGTCAACTTTGGGGCCATCTAACAGCGTGGTTAATGCCCGGGGATGCATTAGTCACCCCAGGCCGCCGGCGAGATTATCAAGCCGACGCTGCTTCCCTCTGCCAACCCCGGTTCGTCCGCATCTCGGCCGTCTGCAAAACCCGGGCAGCGCTGAGAAGGGAGGTACTGTACATGCGGGCTCTTCGCGACATTGGCATGACGGGTATCCTGCATATATAGCTCGACAAGACGTCGACAGGTCTGTTGCTCTCCATACACACTCGCCCATCTCCAAACGTCCCTTCAGACAATCTCATCCACCTTCCTCTCCCACATCCCCCACGTTCGAAACAACAATGGTCGCCATCAAAGATATCCAACAGGCCAACGCCAGCCTGCGCAAAACCCACGACAGCCTCACAGGCGTCTTCGCCGGCGCGACAAGCGGCATAGGCCTCGAGACGCTCCGCGCCTTCGCCAAACACATCCCCAAACCGCGCGCCATTATCGTAGGCCGAAACCGCAGTAAATTCCAGCCGCAACTGGATCAACTGCACACCCTCAACCCGGACGGCGAATACACCTTCATCGAAGCGGAGATCAGCCTGCTGGCCAACATCGACCGCACATGCGACGAAATCAAACGCAATGTCTCCTCCATCGACTTCCTCGTGCTCTCTCAAGGTTATGTGCACATCGGTGCGCGTGACAACAACGCCGACGGCCTCGACAATTCCAGTTCCCTACGCTACTACGGCCGCGTCCGCTTCACGCAGAACCTGCTACCCATCATGTCGCCGACCGCCCGCGTCGTTTCCGTGCTAGCGGGCGGAAAGGAGGGCAAAGTCTTCCTCGACGACCTGGATCTGGAGCGCAACTACTCCACCATCAACGTCATGGAGCAATTCACGACGCTCATGACTCTCTCCTTCGACAGGCTGGCGCAGCAGAATCCGAAGAAGTCGTTCATCCACGCCTACCCTGGTTTCGTCAACACGGGCACGACGGGAAGGCACAATAAGGGCCTGACGGGGTGGGCGATTGGATGTGTGGAGGCGGCGGTTGGGTGGTTTATCATCCAGCCACAGGAGACGGGGGAGCGCATGCTGTACTATGCTACTAACGAGCAGTATGACACTGGCTCCTGGTCTGTGGATTGGGATGGCACGCCCAAGACTACCAAGGCGCTGGCGGGGTATAGAGAGCAGGGTCTGGCGGAGAAGGTGGAGGAGCACACACAGGCTATTTTCCAGCGAGTGCTTGCGAAATGAGGCGTTGATGGTCATGTTGGCGTTTAGCGTGTATCGTCTTCGTAGCTAATGATCGTTATATCCTCCGTTGCAATGGCTCAGTATGGTCACGCAACTATATCGAGTCCAGTCCCTTCTGGGTCCACTCCGGATACTCGAGATCCCACCTCGGTATGCTCATCATGTTCCTGTCATCAATGTACTCCCGCACCTCTCGACTCTCGAATTGCGAGCGGTTTCCTATACAACGTTAGTGCTCGGTCACCATCATTCGCATCCGTGGATAACGCACCGATGTATTTGCCGCGATATTGGATTCTGCAACATCGCAAGTCAGTAAAGTAGCAAAAGCGGCAACGGAAAGACCGAACTCACAGCCTCGCGTATTGCATCACCTGCTTGACAAACTGCGTCCGATCAATCTTCCCATCCAGCCAATCCGCCACACTCATCACATCAAAGGCCGCCTGGCTAGTAGAAGCAACAGTATGCGGACGGAAACCCGCCAACGCATCCCCCACCAACACCACTTTGTCGCTCATGTACAGATTCTTAGGCGAGATAACGTCCGTAATGGCCTGCACAAACGGCGTCTTACTCTTGTGCGCCATCTCCGCCATCTGAGGCGGCAGCCGCTCCACAGCCTTGGACTTCAACAACTCCCACGCGTCCCACGAGATCATGCCAGGCGGGATGGTGATGCGACGGCGGCGGCCGTCCTTGTCCGTCATAATCTTTTCCAGCTCCTCGCTTCCCTCGGGGAAGTTGGCGTACCAGACGAAATTCAACAAGCGGTTCCCCGGCGTGGTGTCGCCGTTTTTGCCCGCGATGGTGTAGGTGAGATTCTGGATGCCGGGGGCGTGGAAGAAGCAGAAGCGTTCGCGGAAGACGTCGAGGGCTTCTTGCGAGGCTTCGGTTTCGGGGACGGTGCCGCGGATGACGCAGTAGCCAGCGAACTCGCGTTCGATCTCGGGCTCGAAGAGCGCTCGGATGGTCGAGCTGGGGCCGTCGGCGGCGATGAGCAGCTTCGTTTTCAACGAGTTCTCCACCTCCGAGTCGTCCTCCAGCTTCCTCTTGAAATGCACAGTCACATACTCCCCCTCATCCTCGAGGCTGGTAACAGTGCACCCATACCGATAATCCACCTTCCCATCCCCATCCCTCACCTCAGGCAACTTTCCCCCTTCCAAATACGCACTGTCAACACGATCATAATTCGCACGCAGCAAGTAATACGCCAGATCCCAACTCGTCATATTCTGGCGGTTGACTTCCTCATGGATAATATCCCCCTTCTGATTCAAGTAGATGCGTTTGAAGCTCGGCACGGCACACGGCTTCTCGGACCGGTCGTACTTTTCAAAGAACTTGATCGTGTCGCCGCCGGCCACGATTCCCGCGCCTTGGTTCTCGAGCAGGAATTGCGGCGTGCGCTCGAGGATGATGGTGTTGTAGCCGTGGTATTTGAGCGCTACGCCGGCGAAGAGGCCGCCGAGCGAGCCTCCGACCTGGACGCTTGTTAGACTTGGAAGCAGTTGATGGAGTGGGATGGAGGGAGTTTGTTACGATGACAATGTCCTCCACTGCTGCATTTCCCTTGGAATGGTTACCATTGACTCCGTTCGTCGCCATTTTGCTGCTGTTGTTCAATGGTTGTTTATGTCGCGATATGACGTTGATGGACAATGTCTCAAGCGATCTAGGTCGCTGCTCTTTATCTCCTTATACCCGGCTGTACCATTGTCACTCCACCACACCCCCTCATTCCGCCTGCCAATCGACTTTACATTAGCGTCTGCGACGAATTTCCCTATTGCATGAGTGCAAGCAAAGGGCTCTCTCCGGATGGAGTCCTGCCTTTTCATACGATACTCATGGACGGAGATACCTACTCTACATGTAGGCCACCAGTGCAGGTGCCAGCGGTATCCTCACTACGGAGCAACTGGCGGATCTTGCATACGGAAATGCGATTAGATTCCTTAAGCTACCACCCAGCGTGGCTTCAGACGGGAGTGCGTGAGATTGACAGACCGACTTCTTATGTACCTTATTCAATATAGGTAGTCTCTATACCCAACGCCAGGACGTCTACGACCCAAGCACCGAAGACCAATCCTGGCTCCGAAAGTACTTCTCCAGCGTGGTCCTCTCGATCTTGACATCCAGATCCCAAGGCCACACTGCAGTCGGGTCCCCGCCGCTGTTTCCGAATTCCACAATATACTGTGCTTCGGTCAGATTTGCTTCCTCAAGAGATGAAACCATATGACTTACCCTGAAAGCATCTCCCATTTCCCTTCCGAAAGGCCCCAGCCCGGCTGGCTCCAACATCGGTTCAAGTTCCGCTGGATCTGATTCTTCATAGTTACACTGGACGCCGTTCACCTTGCCCCAGATCTCGCACCACTCCTTCCACGTGGTCAATACGGAGGCACCCATGAGGTTCGTCTGGGGTGGAAGGTTCACAAGGGCCTTGACAAAGTTACCTGATGTACTGTCAGCATGTTTTCGCCGCAAGCCTTTGATGCTTAGTTGTCGAACGTACCCGTGTCTGCATTCGGGTCGACCAACGGCATCTTGAAGTCTGCGGGCATGGGGAACCGATATAGGTAAGTGCCGTCACTCTGCTTCCACGGCCTCGCGTACGGAAACGACTTCCAGTTGCTCATGAACAACACCAGCTGCAGCAGACTCGTCTTCGCCCAAACATGAGGATACGAGGCCTTCAGGTGCTCGACGGCCGCCCATTTCACGTCAAAGTGCAAGTTGTACGAGATCTTGCCCTTACTCCAGCCCTTGGCATCGCTGAAAGCACTGTAGATGAAGAGGTCCAGCGTATCCGCGGTGGCAGCCACGGCGTCCATCAAGTTGATGGCGTGGACTTGCTCGTGTTCAGTCGCCAGCTCGTTGACGCCGCGGCCTTGTTCCTTCGCCTGGGCTTGTGTTGCAGGGTCAAACATGAACTGCACAAAGTCCGTGTTGCCGAAAATGACGTTGGCGCCTCGCAAAGCCTTCTTCATCGATTCGGTGTCGTCGAGGTCGCCGGCGACCATCTCCGCTCCGCGACTCGCCAACGCCTTGGCCGATTCCTTAGACGGATCGCGCGTGATGCCTCGGACTTTCCAGCCGGGTTCCTTGAGGAAGACATCTGCGACCGAACTGCCCTGTGCTGCGTCAACAAGCCGCTTGAGATATGAAATAGAAAGGTACATACCTGATTGCCTGTGATACCAACGATTGCAATGATCTTGCTAGCCATGGTTGCGTTTTGCGGCTATCAATTCCCTTGGAGCAATAGTAAGGAAACCGATCTCGAGACAAGGGAAATACGGTCGGCAAAAACTGATGGGGTGGTGCGTGGTATATAACATAATCTTCGCTCTTTCGTCATGCGATCAGTGATCGTGTTCCGCCACGGTAAGCTTTCGTTGGATTTGATAATTCTGAGTAAGACAGGAGAAGGCTGAACTGAACTTAGGCGCCAGCGTGCAGAAATCTCCGGTTTGACGAGAGGCACGTGTCAAGGAAGAGTAAGATAAGGAAGGAGAATGCGAAGTTGAAGATTCGGTGGCATTATGGAAGCATGGGCGTGGACCGCGGTGGTTCATTTGGTGCCTTGCTTACCATGGGATGTTCGAATCTGCTGGCTCGTCGCTCACACGATACGCCGGAAAGTGACCAAGCCAGCCATCCTGAAGTGGCCATAGAGCAAGAGGGTGTTTCACATGCAACTCCAATGAATCGAGGACTTGGTGTTCATGCAAGAAGGAGGGCCGCCTCGTTACATCGAAGTCGTAGTAGAGTGCCAGGCTGACTAAGTGCTCGCATCTCCGATCCCTTTCCCAGCGAAAACCACCAACTATTACCTCACCACCGCGTGCAGTACACGACTGGACCGTCATAGAGCCGTCTCGCCCAGAAGAGATAATACACTAGACTCAGCGCCATCACACCCACGAACATGACCTGTCGAGCGTCAGTCAGTACATATCTGCTTCATACAACCTTCTGAACAGCACTCGACTTACCGGCGCCCAATTGAAGTTCTGCACATTGACGGGGTAGAAGCCCGGGGTGGCCGCAAACGTGAGCAGGTAGAGTCCGTACAGTACCGCTGCCAAATTCATCGGTAGGCCTAGACGGCCTAAAGACCACGGGGATGACGGAAGCGGCCTGCCGAACACGCGACGCCAGCTGAGCGACATGAGGGAGACTTCGTATGTCCCTGCCAGTGCCATGACTTGGAGAGACACGATGGCGTTGAAGGCGCTGAGAGACAGTCAGCGGTTGACGATTCATTACACGTTAGCCCAACTCAGACTCACACCACACTTCCCAATCCAATCAAGCAGATCAAAATGACAAACACAAAGACGACAATCAACGCATTGATGGGCGTAAGCGTGCGAGCATTAACTTTCGACACCCAGCGAGGGAATGGAAGACCGTTGTCCCGAGCGAACGCAAAGACCTGTCGCGAAGTGGAAGCCATGAAATTTGTCACGCTCAGAATGATCAGGATGATCATGATACTCGTGAGGGCCGTCGCTCCTCGTGCTGAACCCGTGGCGGTCATGAAAAGCCCCAAAAATGCGTACCCGGTCTTGGAATTCTCGTACGCTTTGGGATCGACCCAACAGAAGCAGACGACGATGAGCGTGACGAAGTTGAGCACGCTGACAACCGTGTAGCTCGTGACCATTGCCTTTGGAATTACAGTAGCGGCATGATCTCTGTATCATTGTCAGCCTGATAACTTTGGGCGTCATACAAGTTTTCAACACTCACGTCTCCTCAGCCATATGCGCCGTCGAGTCGCTACCCAAGAACGAGTAAAACAGCAGCGTCTGCGCAGAAATCAGGCTCAATGTGCCACTCGTCTTGAGCTCTGACGCAGGAGTGAAAGTCTGAAAGACCTCACTCCCGCTCAGCTTGGGACTCAGCGTCAACAGCACGATGATTATGGAGCAGAACGCAAGGATGGTGAAGCAGAGGACGAAGCCTTCGAGCAGCGGCAGATGCTTGGCCAGGAAACCGTTGATGAGGAAGCTGGTGGCACAAATGGCGACAACGAAGAGATAGCCTTGCCAAGGTGTCGGTACGAAGTTGGGTTGCGTCAACGAGATCAAGGAGGGGATGAGGTTGCCTTGTCTTTGTCAATCACTCTGGTCAGGAGAGCACTCAGCTGGCACAACTCACCGGCGAGAAACATGGCACTGGCCACTCCAACCAACCAGGAAAGTGAAGAAAGCCAGCCTGGACATATTTTGGTCAGTCTGCTGTCCGAGCTTCTCTTAGAGTCCGGCAGAGGCTCGCTCACGCACCAGACATATAACTGGTGAACTTCTGGATACTCGGCGGGGCAAATTCGGATGTCCAACTACACGTTGTCAGCCAGGGTCGCCTTCTTGGACAATGATACCACATACTGGTATTGCCCACCAGCCGTCGGCGCGATCGACTGGGTTCGCGGAGCATGTCAGCACAGACAACCATTGTTTACATAGAGCCGACGCAGACTCACCGACATCTCCGCAAGGCTGAGCACCACGGTCAAGAATCCCACAAAGTTCGCAATAAAAACAACAATGCTTGTGCCCGTTCCGCCAACTTCGATCAGAGTCGGTGCGTTGCTGTTGTTTCCCTGTCAGCCGCCGGACCCGTGGGGGCTGAAGCACCGCAACATACATTGGTATGAAGACCCATCCCATCATCGTGATAACGCTAAACGAGCTGATCGAAATGACCTTGAAGTTTCTCTGTAGGAAACAGCGTTCCGTTGTCAGCACTCAACGTCTTCACTCTTGCAAAGACGAATCGGTGCTCACTCGGAACTCCTGGTCTTTGCCCATACGACGCATCTGACAACATCAGCATCGTTGCCTTCTTGTCATGACCACGCAAATCTCACATCCGCCATGTCTTGCGGCGCGAAGCCCTTAATTGACCCATCCTTCGTATGGTTTGCTTGAAGCTCCTTCTCCTGGAGTTCGATGGCCTCTGTGGGGATCTCCATTGTCGTCGAAAGAAGTCAACTGTCAAAAAGGGACTCGACAGGATGATGCATAGGACACGCGGTGTATCTCCAAAACACGACGCGACATAAAGTCGTGTTCGGACCTAGCTGAAACGAGGGGAAGAGCTCAAATGGATGTCTTGCCCGTCCCTTGCTTCGCAAGATCGACGTGGAACTTACTCGGTGTGTCCATTCATGCACGAATCAGTCCAGCGGCAGGCTTCATTGGTCGAGCTGCTTGCATTGGCGTCGAATGCTTTTGCTATCTCCAAATCATGCTCGCCGTGACGAGTAGACTGCATCCGCCTAACGATCGATTCGACGTCCACAATCTACATTGTGCATGATGAGGTGTGGTACAGAGGTACGCGTGCCGCGATGAGGAATGTAAGCTGCAAGCCGCGTCGCACAACATGACGCCAACGTAATGCAAGGCTGACCGCCGCCCCACGGCTTGAGAAATTCCGGCATGCAACCCTCGCGGAATTCCAGTTTTCTCGAGGGAGGAATAATAGAGAACGCGATACTTCTTTTGCGCGAGTTGTATCTTTTACGCAACGGAAATTATCCACGACTCTGTCGCGGCCAAATGGCGACCAACGAGGCCGATTTGGCCCCGAGCATCAATCCGGAGAACCATGGACCGAAGATCATCATTGTCGGAGGTATCATGCTCGCGGCGACGATCTTGATGATTGTGATCGCCGGTTTCAATCGCTTTCATGCGAAGACGACGCATCATAAGGATATTCCTATGCTGCTGCTCGGAGCGGTGAGTCTCGTCAAACTTCTCCCCTGCAGGTACGGTTACTAACGGTGCTCTGGCGGTGTGCAACAGGCCACCGACATCGGATGTTTCGCCGTCGTCGCAGTGGCCGTCAGTCATGGCTTCGGAAAGCGTGTGTTCGAACTTGATCGGCCGACACGGCAGTACGTGGCAAGGGTACATTCATCCCAGCAGCGCAGTGTCGGTGGTCGAGTCGTGCTGAGGAAGAGATGATCTAGCTGTTTCTCGGCAGCATGCTGCTGTTCTTTGCCTCGCATGGCATCGTCAAGCTCTCGTACAACCTGTTGGCGCGACGCACGGGACGGAGTAAGAAGTACCAACATGTGATGGACGGCTTCTCGGTCATCATTGGGCTGTGGATGTTGGCGAACATCATCGTCATTGCGGTTGCGTTGAGGAGAACACAGTCCCCTCATGTGCGTAGTTGCTCGCGTCGGGGGTGATGCGCTGGCTGACCAGAGCAGAGGTCCTTTTTCTACGCGTCTGGCAGTATTTCCATTGCTATTGTGCTTGGTCAGCTGCTTGCCTTTCTCTGGATCATCTGGCGGACTAAGGCACCAGTGAAAGTCAAAATACGATGGTCGATGTCAATGGGTGCCTTTGTGCCGTGAGTAAAGCTTGTGATCGGTACCACCCACGGTACCACAACGCTGACAACGTGAATGCAGTCTTTGCGTCGCCGTGATCATCACGCGCCTGGCGTATACTCCCAAAGACTACCTCTCAGGCGACTGGACATTCAACGACGTCGTGTCAGCCGTGCTGTTCCAAATCGAACTGAATATCATGACCATGACAGTCCTGGCTCCCAATCTCCCGGTGTTCTTCCAGAGAGCCAGTACCGGCGGCGTATACTTCCTGCCGGGCGAAGCAACGAACCAATCGCGGCGGGCAACAGATGTGTCGCAGGAGCTGTCACTAAAGCTCAACCAGCTGCGATGGAGTGGGAAAGGCGAGGCGGCGGTGTACGACGGCAATCTTCCACACACGACTCTGACATCGACGGTGTCGGGGACTGGCAACAATGGCTTGACCAAGAAGCCGAGTTTCGACAGTGATGTGATTTTGATGCAGAGGTCTATCGAGGTTGGTTCGGAGCCGAATCCGGATCCTGCCGTGGTGCCCAGCGAGCCGTGCGAATAGTGCGTAGCAGAGTTCCTGTGGAATGAACAAAGTGTCTCCTTGCAGAATGAGCTGTCCACGGGGCTGAAAAACATGGCCCAGGGGCTGAAAAACAGTGCAAAATGACATGCCCACGTCACGCTCTGTATACCTTTAGGAGTCCCATGCCTCTCGTTGAAATGCATGCCACCAACTTCGCACCAACATGAGCAACCTAGGCGAGTCGGGACGCAGTTTCGAGACGGTTAAAGAAGACCTCGCGAGATCAATTCTGGCAGCGAAAAAACCAGCGGATCTCATAGTTCCGTTGATCTACTCCATCCCAGTCTTCGCACCAGTGAGAATATGCATTGAGCTTGGTGTATTCGAGCACCTATCCAGGTCCAGCGTTCCACTGTCGGCAGATACACTCGCAAAGGACCTCTGCGGCCAAACGGGTCAAGATGCTGGCAACAAGAGTGAAACCTGTGACTTTCTCGTGCGTATGCTGCGCACAGTGCAAGCCATCGGCCTCGTCGATGAAGTGGCCGAGTTCACGTATCTTGCCAACGCCTTGACACACACCATGGCCGAGCCGGGCTTTGCTGCGGGTTTCCAGTTGACGTTCGACAATTTGACGGAGCCGAAGAGCACAATATCGGAAATGTTGAAATACCACCAAGCAAATGCCTGGCAAGTTGCTGCATCCGCCAACGATGGTGCATGGCAACGAGCAAGGAATGCAGTCGGGACGTCGACGTTCGACAGCTGGGTTGCGGATGATCCGATTCAACTGACTCGGTTGAATGCTTTGATGCAGCGTATGCAAAGTGATCGACTGCATTGGACCGAATGGTTTCCTGAGAACCGACTGTTTCATTATGCTGGCAGGAACCCTGAACAACGTATGGTCGTGGTCGATGTGGGAGGCGGTCGCGGGCACGATATCAAGGCATTTGCGAAGAAGTATGCACAGGCGCCAGTCTCAGCAATACTGCAGGACCTCCGCGGCACAATCGAAGAGGCAAGGGCCGAGATGCAAGCAGCAGGTATCGAGGTGTGCGTGCATGACTTCTTCCAGCCGCAGCCGGTGCGAGGCGCGGACATCTACTACATGCACAAGATCATGCATGATTGGTGAGTCAAGGCATCCAGGCGAAGGCGTCGTGAAGATGTCAATGAGATGCTAAGTCTCGTCAGGCCGGATGAAGGCTGTGTCCGCATTCTCGAGCATCTGCGAGATGCCATGACGCCTCGGTCTCGAATTCTGATCAACGAAGTCATCTTGCCGAATAGAGGCTGCTCTCTTCTGTGAGTATTCGTGGCGGCCGGATACGCCTGTGCTAACGGTAGTAGGCATGCCTGTTTCGACATCAACATGCTGGCATTACACTCCGGTAGAGAGCGGGATGAAGCATCGTGGGAACGACTGATCTCCCAAGTCGAAGGGCTGAGCATCCGTAAGTTTTGGCACGCCCCCAATGACGAAGGAGAGGGCATTGTGGAGGTGGGCCTCACCAACTTCTGATGGCGCTGCGGTCAATGGTGTTGGAGGTCGGAGTTGTCGCGACGGACTTGAAGTTGGGTAGTTATGGGAGACTTTGCTCAGCCACGATCTTGTCACAAACCCAATTACAACGCCGTACCTCCTCTTCAAAAAGGCAGGTTTCCGAACTCCGATCTCGTTTGGTAGGGCTGGCAGCCACAAGGTTACATGCGCGGCTCAGCCTCAAGAACTCCGCATCTCTCGTGTATAAAGCGATGGTAAGGCACACATATCTCATCTGCGCACATCCATCCGCCCTTCATTGGAAGCGTCCATTCGATTCCATATTGCCATACTCAAACCTTCACCAAAGAATCGCGTTACAATGGGCCTGTTTGATCCAGCTCCCGAGCCTCCCACCGAGCTCGGACGATATCGAGTGCTGTCCACCAGCGCCGGCATCCGCGTGTCGCCGCTGCAGCTCGGAGGAATGTCCATTGGCGAAGCCTGGGCGGGATTCCTGGGTTCCATGAGCAAAGAGCAATCCTTCAAGCTGCTGGATGCCTATTTCGAGCGCGGGGGCAACTTCATCGACACCGCGAATGAATACCAGGACGAACAATCGGAGACGTGGATTGGCGAGTGGATGCAGGCGCGGGGGAATCGGGACCGCCTGGTGCTGGCTACCAAGTTCACGTCGGCCTATCGGGATCATGAGGTTGGGCAGGGTAAAGGCGTGAATTACAGTGGCAACCACAAGCGTTCCATGCACATGTCGCTGCGAGATTCGCTGAAGAAGCTCCAGACGGATTACATCGATATTCTGTACCTTCACTGGTGAGTAGGATCGTCACGTAGCGAAAGTTACAGGTCTGACTGATTGCAAGGTGGGACTGGACGACGTCCATAGAAGAGGTCATGGACTCTCTGCACCTTCTGGTCGAGCAAGGCAAAGTGATGTATCTGGGCATCAGCGACACGCCGGCGTACATTGTGTCTGCGTGCAACATGTACGCGAAAATGGCGCACAAGACTCCCTTCAGCATCTACCAAGGCCGGTGGAGTGTAATGATCCGAGACATGGAGAGGGAGCTGATTCCTATGTGCCGACACTTTGGAATGGTGAGTAGCGACTTTCATGCAGGGTTGGACTGGCGCTGATCTCAAGCCAGGCCATCGCTCCCTGGGACGTTCTTGGCGGAGGCAAGTTCCAGTCCAAGAGGTCCATAGAAGAGCGGAAGAAGAACAACGAAGGCCTACGAAGCTGGGATGGCCCAGATCAGACAGAAGACGAGAAGAAGATCAGTGAAGCGCTGGACGAAGTCGCCAAACAGCACGGCCTGGACTCCCTCACCACCATCGCGCTGGCCTACGTCATGTCCAAAGCACCCTACGTCTTCCCTATCGTCGGCGGACGCAAGGTGGAGCATCTCGACGACAACATCAAGAGTCTCTCCATCAAGCTGACGGCCGAGCAAATCGAATACCTCGAGAAGGTGATTCCGTGGGAGCCAGGCTTCCCGCAAAACTTTGTGGGCGAAGACCCGGGGGTGAGTGGCAAGACCACCGAGATGCTGCACGGCACGGCTCAATTTTCGTGGGTGCGGCGACCGAAGGCGATTGGGTATGATTAATGTAGGTAGTTAGTGAGCGAGGTGGAAAGTGTATGTGCTGTAATCAAGCCGCACATTAGTCAAGGCAGAGTCAGCTCTACGTTGCAAGCTCAGCATTATGAAGCATAATCGCCACCATAGTTGCGGTTTAAATGCTAATCAAAGAGCCATCCACATACTAAGTAAGGAACACTTTGCATTCTCTTGTACAGCGTAGTTCTAGTCTTCACTGTCAAGATGTCTTCCGTTCTTGTCCTCGGCGCGACGGGCTACATAGGAGGCACCGAATCCCCTACCCGCAAGGCTACGACGCTCAGCACTAATGAAACATCCAGGACCATTCATCACCGCGCTCCGTCGTGCGTATCCGACGAAAGCCATCACCGCCTACATCCGCTCATCCACTCATGATGACGAATTTCATCGTCTCAATGTCAGCGTTGTGCGTGGGATGGTAGAGGAGACGGAGAAGCTCGTCGACGAGGTCTCCCGACACGACATGGTCGTTGACATGGCCAACTCGGACGATCCACAAATCGCGGAGGCCGTACTTCGGGGATTCAGGGCGAACGGTGATCGAAAGGGGATTTGGATACATCTGAGCGGTGCAGGCGTCTTCGCGGACGGTGGAGTGACGGGGAATTCGAGTGAGAATGGGAAGTACTGGAGCGTGAGTATTGTCACTTCCACGCCGCAGCGACGGCCCTAAAGACTCATACGTTGTAGGATCTCGACACAGATGACATCAAGTCGATCAATGCTAACAAGAAGAATGGCGCTATGGATGATATGTGCGTTGGCACGCGTCTCATCTCTAGCTTGAGCGTTAACAGTATGTCAGGATACTCAAGGCTGCGGCGAAGGGCGAGATCGATGCCTACATTGTCTGCCCCGTCGCCGTGCACGGCAGAGGACAAAGCGAGATCAGCTCGACCTCGCACGGAATCTTTGTCAACGGAATGATCTCCAACATCTTGAAGCTGGGCTACTCTCCGTACATTGGACATGGTACGGGAATCTTTGGGCAGGTGCGTGCCTCTCCCCCGTTCGTCGATTCCCGGTCTGTGCAATCTGATGCGCTCGAAAGGTACACGTGGACGATGTTGTAGCGCTCATGCTTCTGGTCTTGGAGAGAGCATTGCATCCCGACCCCAGAGAAGACGCATATCAGCGGTATTACATCGCCGCAGGCGTCGAGGTCGAACACAAAGCTCTGGCCTCTGCATTTGCCGAAGCAATGTATCGGAACGGCAAGATTGATTCCCCGCGGCCGAAGCAGGTTGCATTTGAAGACGCTGGACATATGGCACGGCATGTTATTGCCGTTGACTGCTGGGTACTGGTGAGGCTTCGCTAACGCCATCATAGTATTCTGGGTGCGAGTTATCTCGTGAAAGATGGTAATTCAAAGGCGCTGGGTTACGTTCCTAAAGGCCCAGGCCTGTCTGACACGCTGAAAAACCTCCGTCTCGATTGAAAGGGTTATCTGTGGTGAGATGTTGGGTGAAGGCAGTTCTGCGGGTGATGAATAGTAGGAGGGAGATCTAGTCATCTCTCGCTGAACCATACGTGACGCAAGGGGTCCACACCAGATCATGGGCCGTCTCTGAATTCCACTAGAAGTAGATGCATCATAGCAGTGTGCATAAACGAGGTGTGAAAGGGAGTTTGCAGATACGGTGGACGCCAATGGGAAGGTTCGCCTATCTCGGAGCCTCAGGCTTGGCGCGGCAGCATTGGTGCGTGAATTGTGACTCCATCGCCGGCGAGTACGTACCTCTCCCCAATGCACGCCGACTTTTTTTGCCTCCGACTGTCGCTCTCTCACCGTCCCTCGCCATCCCTCCCTACCCTCCCTCCCCGACTGTCGCAAGCATGCAGCCACTCAGTCGGGCATTGACCCGGCAGGCCAGGCGGCAAGTATGCTCCTCCGCCCACCGCAGCACCGCCGCGGTATCGGCGACAGTCGTCCACCACCCTGCCTTATCCGCCCCGGTCAACCTCGACTCGTCCAGCAGCAGGCGAGGCCTTGCGACTGCCCGCTACCTCGACGATGGCTCTGCCCGCTCCGCCGTCATCAACGTCCTCAACAACATCGCCTCGAAGCGTGAGGTGCAGCAATACCTCGCCCAATTCACCTCCGTCTCCTCGCAGCAGTTTGCTGTCATTAAGGTCGGCGGCGCCATTATGACCGACTACCTCGACGTGCTCTGTGCCTCTCTCCGCAACCTCAACCAGATGGGCTTGTTCCCTGTCATCATCCACGGCGCGGGCCCGCAATTGAACAAGTTGCTCGAAGCGGCCGGGATTGAGCCGCAGTACAATGAGGGCATCCGCATCACGGACGGCAAGACGTTGGGCATTGCGAGACGTCTTTTCCTGCAAGAGAATCTCAAGCTCGTCGAGGCGTTGGAATCGTGGGGAGTGCGTGCTCGTCCAATCACTTCTGGTGTGCTCATGGCCGATTACAAAGATAAGGATACCTATCAATTTGTGGGAGAGGTGTGTACAGGCCCATACCTTCTGGTGCAGTTGCATATCCGATTCGATACTAACAATGTCTTCTAGGTCAACCAAGTCAACGCCGAGAGCATCAAGACCTCGATCGCCGACGGCTACATTCCCGTTCTGACCTGCATGGCCGAGACCATCGAGGGTCAGGTACTCAACGTCAACGCCGACAAGGCAGCCGCCATGCTCGCAAGAGAACTCGTTCCATTAAAGACAGTGTATCTGTCTGAAAAAGGCGGCATTCACGACAAGGAGACCGGCAAGCTCATCGAGGCCATCAATCTGGATGAGGAGTATGAGGAGTACATGAAGAAGCCGTGGGTCATCCATGGGACAAGAAGCAAAATACGGGATATCAAAACGCTGTTGGACGACCTGCCGCGCAGTTCCAGTGTTGCCATCATCCACCCGGAAGCCCTGGAGCGTGAGCTCTTCACTCACTCCGGTGCAGGCACCCTGATCCGTCGCGGTACCAAATTGCAGCAGGCCTCTTCTCTCGCCGAATTCGAGGATGTGGCCCAGCTTAAGCGCACCCTCATACGAGATCGCGAGGGATTCGACTCCGCCAATGTCGTTGACCGGTATCTGGACTCACTGAAATCCCGCCCGTTCAAGGCGTACTACGACGAGAGCATGGAAGCGTTGGCCGTCGTTCTACCACCGGCTGACAGCAAATCTTCCCTAGCTCACCTTGCCACCCTCACCATGACCCGCTCCGCCTGGCTATCGAACATTGCAGACAACGTCTTCCAAAACCTGAAACGAGACTTTCCCAAACTCGCCTGGACTGTCAAGCAGGATGATGAGAACTTGACATGGTTCTCTGAGAAAGCCGATGGAAGCATTGCGCGAGATGGCCAAGTGCTCTTTTGGTACGGCATCGAGAGTCCGGAGGAAGTGCGGGAATTGATGAGCGAGTTCGTTCAGCATGGCAGGCAAATGTTTGGTGACATCAATCTTGAGTCGCAGCTTCATCGGGCGTCTGTGGCTGCAGAGCGCATACGAGCACGAGCGCAGGAGCTGGCGACTGGGAGAGGAGGCCATGCCGGGCAACAACAAGCTCGCGCATTCTCTACGAATGCCAGGCCGCGAGCACGGAATGTCGGGATGAAGACTCAAGGGCAGCAAAGAACATACGCCACTACCAACCCCAACCCACCGCTTGGTGTAAAGAATCGCGAGAAGGACTATCCCGCTCGAGTTGCGGTGATCGGCGCTCGTGGCTACACAGGCCAAGCGCTCATCGAGATGCTTAACCGACACCCCAACATGGACCTTCGACACGTCTCCTCCCGCGAGCTGGCAGGCAACAAGCTCAAGGGCTATGACAAGCGAGAAATCATCTACGAAAACCTCTCTCCCGATGACGTGCGACGAATGGCGGAGCGAAAAGAGATCGACTGCTGGGTGATGGCCCTTCCAAACGGAGTCTGCAAACCCTATGTCGACGCCGTCGACGCGAGCGGACACACCGAGGCCTTGGTCATCGACCTCTCCGCCGACTACCGATTCAATTCCGACTGGGTGTACGGCCTTCCCGAGCTCGTGCAGCGCAACAAAATCGCATCTGCAACCCGCATCTCCAACCCAGGATGCTACGCCACCGCCGCACAACTGGGCATCGCACCGCTACTCAGCCACCTCGCACCAGGCCCCGCGCAACCCACCGTCTTCGGTGTATCTGGGTACTCGGGCGCCGGCACGAAACCATCGCCGAAGAACGACGTCAAAAACCTGACCGACAACCTCATCGCTTACTCTCTGACCGACCACATCCACGAGCGCGAAATCTCCTCCCAGCTCGGGACGGAAGTGGCCTTTGTCCCCCACGTGGCCGTCTGGTTCGCCGGAATCCACCACACCATCTCCCTCCCGCTGGCACAGCAAATGGCGTCCCGCGACGTGCGCCAACTCTACCAGGATCGCTACGACAAGGAGAAGCTGGTGAAGATTACGGGCGAGAGTCCGCAGGTCAAGGCGATTGCGGGCAAGCACGGGGTGGAGATTGGCGGCTTCGCGGTGCATTCTTCCGGCAAGCGGGCGGTGATTAACGTGACGATTGACAATCTGCTCAAGGGCGCGGCGACGCAGTGCTTGCAGAATATGAATCTCGCGCTGGGGTATGCGGAGTATGAGGGCATTCCGCTGGATTGACAGCGGGGCAGTAGATGAGGCAGGACTAGAAGAAGTGATGATACTTATATACCGAGCTGTTTGCACGTCATAAGAGCGGGCGAATGCTCGACATCCTTTCCATTCCACTTGGTTTCAATTCCGCTTTCCACTAACTAGTGCAATACCCATTCACACACTGCAACTCATTCCCATTCTTGGGGCAGTTCTCAATCGGCGTCCAAACGGAGCCGGTAGCAATATTATGGTAGATGCTCTTGAGCTACACCAGCATCAAATCAAATCAGCACTCGTCAACACTTGCGCAAGAGGATGCGTGGAGAGGCCCTACCAGCTCGCCACTGTTGCACTCGCAAATGTAGCAGTTGGCGCAATTCGCCGTGCCGCCTGAGACGCCGCAGCCGGTGCAGTGGTTTTCGGAGTTGCAGGTGCCGAGCGCGGCTTGGATGAGAGGGGTGGATGCTAGGGCTAGGAGGGTGATGAAGAGGGATTTCATTGTTGAGATGGTCTTTGGAGGGAGTTGTTTGTTGGGTGGGGGGATTGGAGATGATGAGGGGTGATTTGTTTCGATTGGAGGGATGTACGGGCTGCTTTTATAGGTGAATGACAGCGCTTCTTTCGAAGGCCTTCTCATCTGGATGCAGGTTGGTGTCGCTGCTTCATCTCATCCTGGTTCCTTTCGCACTTAGTCTGCAGTCTAGTGCCATCGCAGACCAAGGCGAAGCAGGCAAACAAGGCCATCGTCGCCGACCTCGTTGCCTTGAAAAGTGTCATGATTGGCGATATCCATGTCCATCCTGCGTGCTAGTCTTCTGGAAGCGGAAGGTGCCAGCCCTCGCGTCGCAGAGCACGTAAAGAATGACGCTGTCCTTCGTGTGAAGCGCAGTTCGCCATGGTCGTCGTCTTCTCTAGTTCACCCGAAATGGCAGGTGTTTTGCAGGTCGAGCGACTTTCTGCACTCGTCGCGCCCATTGCGGAAGTAGTCGTGCGCGTTGGAAGGGTGCTAGGCTGTGGGGTAAGTTAACGTTGAATTAGGGCTGTGGGGGTCTAAGACGGTTTGGTACGATGCCGAGAGCGCAACAGTGAGTAACGAAGAGGAGCAAAATAGTGCGTCCCGCTATCGAGCGTAGGCAGAGTACTTAGCAAGGTGAGCCCCTGTTCTGATAGTTTTGATCGCTGTATTGAGTACATTACGGCCTCTGCCTTCTCAGCATTCAGCCGTGACAAGCCATTCCGCTGCTCCCGGTTCAACGAGCTAAGGCAGAAAGGCTTGGAGCTAGCCTTGCAGTCATGCACATCAGCCGCAAGAGGTCCAAGTGGTGTCTACAAGAAGCTCTAACGCGCGCCATAATTTCACTTGGACTACGACATCGTCGATCAAATGTTCCCCCACGGCTTCGATACTCGCGATCAGCGTGTTACCATGGATTCTTTGCCCCCACGTTCCCAGCCTCGTTGAACCGATGCAGACAGATGAGCCCGCACTGCGGCTGACCATGGACGGAGGTCGATGCTGAGAAACGAACGGATTGCTTTCCCCTACCATAACAAAGTATCGCAGCTAGACATACTTCATCCAGCCTCGTACACCTCCATCCCCCCCTTCCCCTCAACCGCCCCCTCACTCCCAATAGCAACAGCCAGCATCCTAGCCTCTTGCGTAGCACTAGCATTCCTCCAAGCATGCATCGCCGCCCTCTGCACCACCACCTTCCCCCGCCGCACAATCCGCTTCTCGTCCCCAAGCAACGCCAACTACATCTCCCCCTCCAACACAACCACGTAATCCAGCGTTTGCGACCGGTGCATCATGCCCGGCTCGCGGGTGGGATCGGGCGCGATGTCGAGGACGACCATTGTTGTCGCTGCGGCTGGAGGGAAGGGGCATAGGGGCGGCTGGGTGGGCGCGCGGTGCGGTGGTAGGCTAGGTCGGTGTCGTGAGCGATGGAGAAGGAGGGCGGGGAGGAGTAGAGGTAGGTCATCTCGATTGAGTCGGATTGGCAATTTGTCCGCCGGCTTGGGTTCCTCCGAGCGGGCGGCACGTTTTGACCGCCGCGACTCCGCGTTTGCGCATACACACGCCTGGCAGCACTCGGTGAGTCGGTCTGGACTCGTCCTGACTGAAGTGGACGATAGTCCTCAACCCGTTCCACGTACTCGTGTTGCTGGGCACTCACTTGAGATCCATTCTCATCACGTTCTGATCATAAGAGGACTTGGATCGAGCTCGTGTGGAGTACGGCTTCAAACCTCCACTAGCCAGGGATAATCGAAACACCCGTAACCCTTTACCACGCTCATCTCGTCTACGTGTTTCGGCTTCATCTTGAACGTCCATCCCGCGGCCTCATTGGCGATGATCTCAGCACCTTGGCTTTCGTTCCGCTTCCATAGACAGGTGCCGAGGATTCCCAGTTCAGAGACGACTTCTCCACGATATAGATCCTCGGCAGTCATGAGGGTGCCAATGGTAGAAGGTAGTTCAATCAAGCGCATCAAGACATGGTTTTGCCAAGAGTTGTCAGGCTGAGCCGTCAGCCACACCGGTATCTCCGCGCGATAAATATTGTGGCCGCCGCCGTCTCGATTGGGTTTGAGTACGTAGTCCTTCGCTTTCAGCGGATCTTGAGCTATAGCTCTTGCCTTCAAACCAGCTTCGGAGGAATCCATCGACCAATTGCATCAGCTGCTCTTCGGTGTATTGCGTTCCATCGGCAGCTTGGATTGCTTTCCTACCCGGCGGAGGTCCTGGAGGCGGCGCATACACTGCCATCACCGGAGGGCGTCCATCATCAAGCAATGGCCCGACGGCCGGATGCTTGGATTCGTTCACATGATCTTCCGCACGGAGGAATACCCGAATCCTCTTGGCCAGAGCATTCTTCCTTCTCCCAAGCATTGATTGATTGGAAGTGATGACGGAGCAGGCATGCAGGTGAGGTGGGATGTACAGTCAGCAGCGAATGCGGGGCCGTGCACGTCGGCAACTTGCATTGACTTTTCGCCGTCCTCGGTTAAACTCGGAGCAGCACCTTTTCTCACGAGCTTCATCCAAGCTCATCACTTTTATTGTTTTCCCCCCGCTCGAATTGTTCAGGCGCATGCACACTCGCTCTGTCCACACACAGACACCTCGCATGACCCTCTGAGTCCTCGCCATGTCCTCTCTCGCAGCTCGTGGTGCCATTCGTTCCGTGTCTCGCACCGTCCAGCGATCCCGAACCCCCCTCCGAGCCTCAGCCTTCCTCGCCCAAAAGTCCTTCCAACCTCAAGCAGCCCGATTCCAACCCTTGCAAGCCACCAGGATGTTGTCCGCCACTAATGCCACCCAGTCGGCGGCCCCAGCCTCCAACGAGGTGCAAGAGTTCGACAAGGAAATCAAGGACATGGCCGATTACATCCACAACACCAAGATCGATTCCGACCTGGCGGTATGAAGAGCTTGCCGCAATAACGGTATACGCCGTGCACTAACAACCTCGCCAGATTGACACTGCTCGCTTCGTCTTCCTCGACACCATTGGCTGCGGCCTCAAAGCCCTCGAATTCCCCTCGTGCCGAAACCTCTTGGGCCCCATTGTCCCCGGCACCGTCGTTCCCAATGGCACTCGCGTGCCCGGCACCCCCTACACTGTCGACCCCGTAAAAGGTGCCTTTGACATTGGTGCCATGGTTCGATGGCTCGACTTCAACGACTGCTGGCTCGCTGCGGAATGGGGACACCCCTCGGACAACCTCGGCGCCATTTTGTCAGCAGCCGACTACATCAACCGCGCCAACTCGGCCGGAGGTGCTGGCAAGCTCAACGGCGGCAAGATCTTCACGGTCCAGGATGTGTTGGAGGCCATGGTCAAGGCGCACGAAATCCAGGGCTGCATGGCGCTGGAGAACAGCTTCAACAAGGTCGGTCTCGACCACGTCGTCCTCGTCAAGGTCGCCTCCACCGCCGTTGTGTCTCAGATGCTCGGCCTGGACGAGACTGGCACTCGTGATGCCATCTCTCACGCCTGGGCCGACGGGCAGGACCTCCGCACCTACCGTCACGCCCCCAATGCCATGTCCCGCAAGTCGTGGGCGGCCGGCAACGCTTGCGAGCGTGCCGTCAACCTCTGCTTCAAGGTGCTAAAGGGCGAGAAGGGCATGGCCAGCGTGCTTTCCACTCCTACCTGGGGCTTCTACGACGTCAACTTCAAGGGCAAGCCCTTCCAGTTCCAGCGCCCCTACGGCTCGTACGTGATGGAGAACGTGCTGTTCAAAGTCTCCTACCCCGCCGAGTTCCACTCTCAAACCGCCATCGAAGCGGCGCAGCGCTTGAACAAGAAGCTGAAGGAGATGGGCAAGACTGTCGAGGATATTGAAGAAATCACCAACCGCACGCACGAGGCCTGCATCCGCATCATCGACAAGCAATTCAAGAAGATGGACAACTACGCCGACCGCGACCACTGCGTGCAGTACATGTGCTCCGTCATGTTCGTCTACAACCGCCTGGAGGCCAGCGACTATAGCGACGACAGCGAGGCGGCCAACTCGCCGATCGTCGAGGAGCTGCGCAAGAAGATTAAGTGTGTGGAGGACCCCAAGTTCACCGAAGACTACCACAACCCGGACAAGCGCACCATCAGCAACGCCCTCACCATCAAGCTGAAGGACGGCACGGTGCTGGATGAGGAGGTCGTCGAGGCGCCGCTCGGCCACCGGCTGCGAAGAGAGGAGGCCAAGCCGGAGATCCTCGCCAAGTTCAAGCGCCACATTGAGCCGCATTTCAGCAAGGAGCATGTGCAGAAGCTGGTCGATTTGGGCAACGACCCCAAGAAGCTGTATGCCATGCCCGTGCATGAGTATATGGATTTGTTTGTCAAGGACAAGATTTTGTAGATGGAGGAAGTTTTTGTCAGTGTCGATAGCGAGGTGTATGTCTATTCTGGCAAGGCGATTGGTCTGTACGACTGTAATTTTTACTTGACTCTGAACGTGATCAAGCGTCGAGGGAAAGCTGCCATTCCCCAAATAGGAAAGTCCGAGATCGCTTCGTGCGGCACATACTACCTATTGATCACCGCCTTGTCTTGATGTTCTGACATCCGGCCACTCCAATAGCGCGCTTCCAATGACATCCTCCTCCACTTTCGACCGCTGCGACTTCTCCCCCAAACACACCGGCGCCAACGTCCTGCCAAACTTCTTCCTCTTCAGCAAGCTCGTGCGCCTAGCCCACAAACCTCTCGTGGCATGCCGCGACCTTACATTCAACTACACCGCCACCTACGCCCAGCTCTTAACAGACGTACTCCACCTCCGCAATGTCCTGCGACGCCGGCTGCGTCCCGATATCATCGGCAGCATCGATCGCGAAGACGAGGTGTACATCCTGCTCCTCGGACACGCGGGGTATGAATTCACCGTCGGGTTCCTCGCTCTGGTCGCTCTGGGAGTAGCTGTTGTGCCCATCTCGCCTGAACTTCCGGTTAAAGAGGCTACTTACTTCGCCACGCAGTCCCGCGCCGTAGCGGTGCTCACATCCGCCAGCTGCTCAAAGCTCGGGAGTGAGCTGGAGACTACCATCAACAAAAGCAGTGAAAGGTATTTCCGGTGCTTTGGGATCAAACCGCACGTGCTGCAACCCTGTCTGGCGCCCGAAAGGCTGCACATCTCTTCGGACCGCTACATGGATCTTAACAAGCCTGGCTTCGTGCTGTTTACGTCCGGCACGACTGGTCCACCCAAAGGCGGTGTCAGGAGGCGAGGCTGCCTTTACGACGTTGCGACTCTCTTCTCAGATCAGCACGGCATTCGAGAGGGTGATGTCGTGCTGCATACCCTACCTGTGCACCACGCCACGGGAATAACAGTAACTCTCCTCCCCTTCCTCTGGAGCGGAGGCTGCATCGAGTTCCGCAGCGGCGGCTTCGACGCAGCCTGGACCTGGGAGCGCATCCGCCGCGCCGATCTCGACTTCTTCAGCGGCGTGCCGACAATGTACATGCGGCTGATGCAGTACTACGAGCGCACGCTGGCGTCGCGACCAGAAGTGGGCGAGTACGTGCGAGGCGTCCGCCGGATCCGAGCCATGCTTTGCGGGACGTCGGCGCTGCCGAGACCTCTGCAGGCGAAGTGGACTGCTTTGCGGGATGGCAGGGGCATTCTGACGAGGTATGGGGGTACGGAGTTTGGGAATGCGCTGACTGTTACGCCGTGGTTGTTGGAACAGGGTGTGCCGGATGGCTCTGTTGGGATGAAGAGTCCTGGGGCGGATGTCAAGTTGTCGAATGGCGATGAGGGGGAGATTCTGATTCGGAATGCGGTGTTGTTTTCGAAGTACTTGACTGATGAGCCGGCTACGAGGAATGCTATTGATGCGGACGGGTATTACAAAACGGGCGATATTGCGAGGAGGGAGAAGGGGTGGTATTTCATTGAAGGTCGGGCGTCTATTGATATTCTCAAGAGTGGAGGGTATAAGATCTCCGCTCTCGACATTGAGCGCGAGATTCTTGGACTTGAATATGTGTCGGAGGTGGTTGTGGTTGGAGTACAGGATGAAGAGTACGGACAGCGAGTTGCTGCGGCGATTGTGCTCAGGGAAGACGTTCGGACACGGCTGAGTATTGACGAGCTACGGGAGGATCTGAGGAGCTCGTTGGCCTCGTACAAAATGCCGACGTTGCTGAGAGTCGTGCCGGCGATTCCCAAGAATGCAACGGGAAAAGTGGTGAAGAAGAAGTTGGTAGGCGACTTCTTTCCGGAGCATGGGCACGCAGATGTGCAAGTGTGGACATCGGTTCGACGGAGGAACAAGCTCTGATTTGGCGACGACGAGTGAGCTCTCACGATTATGCCAATCACCATATGCCTCTGGACCCCATCACGTCCGTGGAGGACTGCAGGTGGTACATGTACGATAGGGTTACCACTGGAGCCGGGCAGTCTCGTGGTTGTCATATCCAGTCTCCACAGCCTTCGCAAATAAGTCGCTCTTGCCGCATCCGCGCGCCTTATTTGAGGAAGCACGACTCTTCAATAACGACGCGTCCCAGTCTCTTCTTCCAACTTTCGCTGGCTACACTCTTCACATACATCCAACAAACAGACCCTCCATATCCTTGCACTCTTCCCATTCTCTACTTCCGCCATTCACTGACTGTACTCTTCCCATTCATTCAGCAAGCAAGCCATCTTCTTCCCAAAATGAATGTGACTGCGAGCGGCGACGAGATCCTAGTCGCATACAAGCCTACGTCTCGCCAGGCTGCCATCCTGCGCGAGTACTTTAGCGCCTTCGAGCGACATGCTCATCGAATCGACCATCGAGATAGGGTTTGCGAGTTTAGGATAGGAATAAGATGCGAAGTACCCAGGAGTGCTCTAGAATTCACCATGAGCCTCTCTCACCGTGCTTGTCGACTGGTTGCAGTTGGAAGACGGCAGAGAACTCTGGAAGCAGTGACTGTGTACACTGGGTGGCTCCAGAAGGAAAAGGCTGTCGACCGCGAGGATGTCTTCATCGTCCATTACGCTGGGTAGGCTCCCCATCTTTTTTCCCTCCTATACTTCACTACTTACCAGTCGCTTTCTGCACCGACGTAGTTTCCCCATTCCAGACCTCACTATCGACGGGTTTGAGCCATCAAGCATTTCGTCCCTCTCTCCGCTCGAGCAGAGCAGGCATGAAATTATGTCGGAGTCCATTCGTGTTCCGCGAGCACAGTTGAAATCTGAGACGCACACTCCACTGGCCGCTAATGAAGGTCCCCTCTACGACGTCCTTTTCTTCTTCAAACGCACTCCATCCCAGCGGATCGTCACCAAATTCCTGGCAAGAGATCCTGCCGTCCAGCGTGCTGCAAGCCGACTGTCTGTACTAGCCATATCTCTCTCGTTTATTCTTATAATTATAACTGACGGGATACAGAGCTGCAACACCAAATGCTGAGCCAATCACAGCTACCGTACCCGTGCTTTGCTACGACTCCAAGAATGGCGGCCAATGGTACGATACACTGATGTCAAGAAGTCAGTCAAAACAGCTAGCGAGACTGCTAATGCCTTCATACAGCAGGGTCCTCCTCTCGGGATACCTCGGTGAAGCCATTCTGATGAACGAACGGATCACATGCATGCTCACCCCCAACTCTGATGTCTTTACCGATGCCAACCGCCACTGCCGCCTCCTGCCTGGCTACGTTGCCCCTGCCGGCACATCGCTGTCCAAAGTAGCTCACCTCAATCGCTACGAGCTTATTGACGACTTTGGAGATTATGGGTACGATGTCCCTGCCGTTGAAGATGCCGTTCTGCAACGAGATTGCGTCGAAAAACTCGCGTTCTACGGACGGCACTGCAATGTCGACATGAACGCCGTCAACGCCGCCGTCAACGAGATGCCAATCCCGCCGACTTTTGGGAGGCTCCGCGCTGCCCTCGACAAGCTCGATCAGGCCGCTACGAACTTATAGAGCCAGAGCCGTTGGCTCTTATCCTGAATCTTTTTCGGAGTGGTGGAGGCAAACAGGTGTAACTGCTCATAGAGTTCAAGGCTGCGGCAAACGCTCTTGCCTCGAAAAGGCGTCAAGGCGTCAGAGCTAGTGAAGCTAGCGGCGCGGCCCGACATGCGCTGCCGACCTAGTTTAAACCTGCATGCACAACAACGAGATTTCCCACATTCAACTTCACTTGTTTTCACGATGCTATTGAGTACATCTGGGCTCGGTTGCTGCGCGATGCTCACAGCTGCCCGTCGCATTGAATCTGATGGTCCACGCACGATGGTCTTGGCCAAAGTCTGCCCGCACAAACGGGCCAAGTACACATCCACGCCGCTTCCATGACTCTCATGGCCTATCCTGAATCCACATATGTGCAAATGCTAGGTCTCCAGAGCAAACCTGAACCCATTGTCGCTGGCGGCATGCAGTGCAAGCCCTGGAATGGAAGGTGGTTGCTCCGCACAAGCTGGAATGAAGATTTCATTGTCACTTGCCCATTGTCATTTTTCACCGCGATGTTCAACAATAGAAAACACTTTCCAATGCTTTTGCTGTTCAGCGTTCCTCAATGCCTTTCCTCGCTTCTCTTCTCAACGCTTTTGAATGCTCTTCAGTCTTCTCAATCTGATTCGCACGACGATACCAAGCCTCGCCCAAAATAGAAAGAATGGTCCTAACACGCAGTCGAGCGAAAGCAGCAGCGGCAGCTCCTGCAGCTCCTCTCCCTCAGTTACCGCCACCGCCATCTCCGTCACCACCACCAACACCCCCGAGCATCCTACTCCGCCTGTCTTCCCCTCCTCCGCGCCAACCCCGTAGCTGGTCATGGCCGTTAGATCCTGCAGACTACAGGGCAAGACGAGGCTCCAGTAGCAGCGGATCCTCTCTGCGAACTCCATCCAGCTCAGATGACGCATCAAATGCCGGAGATGACCCGCATGACGACGACGATGGCCGTGAGCCAGAAGTTGCAGATCTTCCACCTCGCCCAGTCCATTTTCCCTCGCTTCTACACCGGCGCGTGCTAGGAACTATTCTGGTCGCTCTGACATTGTTCATGTCCTCCTACTTCTTTCGACCTCCGGAATTCTCTGTCCTCCCTTCATGTCAGGTCCACGGCAATCCCAATGGCATCCCACCGCGTGGCCAGCGGCTAAGCGTTTCGCGTGCCCTTCAACCCGCATCTTCGCTCCTTCACGACATCCTCGGCGGCCGGATGACCGAAGTTGACCCAAAAGGCGACATGTACGACATGCTTGATCTCTTCAAAGACGACCCAAGACTGGAATCGACGTTTTACAAGCTCAAGACATTAGCTTCCGAAACCAAAGGGGCGCGGAGTGTCTTGCGAGAGGACTACGCGCAATATCTGACGAAACGACTGGGTGTGCCTACAGGCTACACCCAATACCGAGACTCGCTCGTGACGGAACTTGCTTGCGGACGCAGTCTTTGGTCCCGGTTTCGCCCCCAATGTCAATTGCGACCCCCTGTCGACCATCTACATCGGTCGTTCGTGGAGTTCCTGAAGATAGTCAACAGCGAAATTGGGCCTCAGTTCGTAGCGGATCTCAACATACCGGAATCACGCCTTCACGACGCGGCGCACACGTGTCTCGGGCCTGTTAGGAAGATGCTCTACTCTACACTATGGGATCTATCTCGAATGGAGCCCCTCGGGCCGGAATACGAGCCACTACTTCTATACCTGCGCACCCTCGAAACCGACACGACTGTCCTCGACGGCGCCCTTTTCATCGCCGCTCGGCAAATACATGTCTTACGCCAACTCATCCCAACATACAGGCGCTTCCTTGTAGCCAAGCTCGCCCGGCGTTTAAATCTCCCGGCATCCTCCTCTTCGGGGGCGTGGAGTCTAGGCCAAATCGTCGGCGGTCTCTCCAAGAGCCAACTCCCGCGTCTGACTGGCGACAATGCCATGCTCCTCTACAAAGAGATTCTAGACGACTACTTCACCCTTTTCCCCGCTATGCTAAACCAAGCCGGCCGGATGGTTGTCCGAGAGTCTCTACGGCAGTGGAACCTCGAGAAGTTCGAGCATACGATTGTGGAGAGGGATACATCAGCCGAAGCCAACCGCTCGACTTTTGTGCCTACTGGTACGAGCGTGGGCTGCTCGACTCACCGCTCCGCATTCCTACGATGGTGGTTCGACGAGTGGACGGAAGGCGGACTGCTGCGACCGGATCTCCTCTACGCGCCGGATATGTTCTTCCACCTGACTAATGGCAAGCGGCTGCATAGGCTGGATCAGAAGGAGAAGAGACATCACTACGGCATTCGATCAGATGGAACTTTTGGCGCAATCGATCCCAAGTCGGAGTACGTTGTCTTCCATGTCGATACGAGAGAATAAGACAGGACGGGACCAAGTCAAACAAGCCCCTGGGTTAGATGCAGCTTACCGTGACTCTCATGGTCTCACGGGCTCATGAACAGAACTGCTGGAGGACAAAGCCTTGGACCAGGCTTGAACGTACTAGCGTCACTGGCATGTCTTAGAGGCGGCGAGAGTTGAAGACTGTGTCTCGGGTCCTGATGCAAAATACGCTCTGTCTGTTCCTTCACGGCTGCTGGTCAGTCACCTCTCAACGTGTATACATCTTGCTTCTTTCTGTGTCCTTCTCTTAATCTTCTTCTCTCACAACACTCGCACATACACAGCAACACAGATCAACATTCCAGCAACACCTCAGCATGCTGCACGCCTTGAGCTGGCTCGTCGAGCTCCTCACTCCAAACATCCAAATGCCTACGGATACCCAGTCGACCCTGTGCACGATCATCAAGTGCAGCATCTGGCTCTCTTTCCTCTCATTCGCCATCTTTCCGACCATCATCCTTCTCGCCAGCCTTGCCGCGCATAGCGAGGGACTCACCGACCGCCTTCATCAACAGATCAATACCCTCAGAACGACTGTGCTTGCATGCCTCCTCGCGTTCTGCATCTCCGAGGCCACCAGCAAAACTTGCCAGCAGTACCTCATCCACACCCGCGACGGTTTCCTCGATTCACAAGCTCACAAGGACATCCTCGCCCACACCTCTGAGATGGAAGCGTGGTCTCTGGCGCTATTGGCCGGCATAAGCACCATCGCTCTTGCCTTGCAATTTGTCGTCAAACCTTGGGTTGAATTCATCGACTGTATCTCCGTGTTCGTCAAGCATGATCTGCCTATCGTCAAGCATCGGCTCTTCATCTACGTTGAGCAACGGCTCCCCGTCGCCAAGCAACGGTTCTTGATGTTCAAGAACTTCATAGTTGGATTTCGCTCTGCTTGCTTCGGTCAGTCCTTCCTCTGTCCTCTCACCCCTCCCATGCCAGACATACAACTAAATCATTCGGCCTCAGATCCAATCTTCCAATCCATCAAGACCACAGCTCAGCACCCCATCAACACCATCGAGAAGACAGCTCAGTCCCATCCTACGCCCCACCAGCTTCTCAATCGACTCAAGAGGACGACGCAATGGGTGCACATGCTCGTCGTCTTCGCCGGGGCAGTGATGGAAATCGGATGCATGAATTGCTACCTCGCTTTCGCGCACACGTTCGATAGTGCCGTGGACATGTGGGACTTTACTCACCGCTACATGTGTGAGGATGACCCTGAGGTGCTGATGTGGTTGCTTTCGTGCGCGGAGCAGCCTGAGTTGTGGGATTGAGGAGATCCGTGAGAATGGGACGTCTACGCGACGGATGGAAGACTAGCTAGATTGGTCGATTAAATGTTCCGAGGGCAAACACGATGCCGGATGAAGTTTGAAGGAGACAGTGCAGAAGACATGGATAACGCAGCAGAATACAAGGCTACATCATCAACCAAGTTCCCTCTACATACCTCTCCATCTAAAAGTGCTTCCGCAACTGTAACAAGAATAGCGAGCTCCGCAATATAACAGGCAATTGCAGGCGCACGCATACGAGCAAGCGACATCCGCCGCAAGGGTGTAGGTTGCCGATCGCAGCGCGGCCGCCCATTCGCGGGTCGGCAGACGTGTAGAGAATTGCTTGGGTCGGCATGGTCGCTTACACTGATGAAACACCGCCAGCTGCCGGGATGATCAATGCTTGTTTGGCCGTTAAGCGATTTCAGCTTGCGTGGCAGTTTGGGTATCGATGCCAAGGTGGTCTGGCTGGTTTCCAACGGAAAGAAGTTGTTTCTTGATTACGTCTTCTTTTCTTCAGGCAGAGACTTTCGCTTTTCGGGCTGATGGTAGCATAACAGAACATCGATGCTGCAAAAAGATTGTGTGAGGAACTGCTGCTCTTCTCAAGCAACCTGCGGAATTACACGACCAATGATACCCATCTCGCCATGCCAGCCTGCATTTACCGGAGATCACCAGCCTTGACGCACTCCAAGCCCTACGGAAATTACTAAGAGCGCATAAGCAACAAAGCTCCACCATGTTACTAAAAGGCTATCGCTCGGAAGGGCGCACGTCGACACGCTTCCTGTCGCAAATCGCCTCCACCAGCCTGTTGATCATCGCCGCCTTGGCCGTGTTTTTCGTGCTCATCGCGCAGTTCACCACACCACAGGGCATCCGCATTCCAGGCTCGACGGCGACTGTGTACAATCATGGGAGCCACTGGGTGACGACATGGAGCTCGGCGCAGCAGGGCTGTCCGGCGAGGGCCAACATCCCCCAAGCCTTTTACAGCGACGATGGCGTTGCGTTCGAGAATGCGACGATTCGACAGACCGTTCGCTTGACGCTCGGAGGGGATGATCTCCGTATCCGGCTGTCGAATGCTTTTGTGGGCGTCGAGGTGCAAATTGACAGGGTCACCATTGCTCTGCCCGCCCTCGAGGAAGTGGTGGGCAAGATGACGCGGTCAGGTTCGCCGACAATTGAACCGGCGTCGCTTCAGCAATTGAGCTTCGCCGGCCGGCCCAGCACAATCATTCCCGCGGGAGGACAGATGATCTCCGATCCCGTGGCGTTTCCCATCCCGAATGACTCGACCATTACTATCAGCCTGTACATCAGCAGGGGCCAGGAGACGGACACAGTCACCTGCCACATGGTCGCAAGGACGCGCACCTGGATTGTGGAAGGAGACTCCGTGGCAGCACCGACTGTACCCCAGACGCGGATGGCCGACACTCCGATTTCATGGTACTTCTTGAGCGCCGTGGAAGCGTGGAAGCCGTTGGACCACCATGCCGTCGTGGTGTTCGGCGACAGCATCACTGACGTGTCCGCTGCGCCCATTGATTCGGATCTCAGATGGACGAATCGCTTATTCCGCCGCCTGCAACAGAGTCCGAACGCTGGTCTGCAAAAGCTCAGCGTCCTCAACCAAGCGGTGCGCGGCAACCGATTAATCGACGACGATATACGAGCACCGAACCTCAACGCCCGCCTGGACAGCGATGCAATTGCGATTAGCGGGATCAAATTCGCTGTGATCGTGGAGGGACTCCTCGACATTACGCGAGGAAGAACATCGTTGCGCACGATTGTTCAATTCCAGCAGATGATAGCCCGGCTGCACGCAGCGGACGTCTTCGTGTTCGGCGCGACACTCAAACCATTCTCATGCGTGAGTGCCGAACGCCCATGGCGAGGAGCGAATCGGCCACCCTCAGAGGTGGAGAGGTTGAAAGTGAACCGGTGGATTCGCAATACGACGGACTTCGACGCCATGGTGGACTTTGACGAGACGTTGCGAAATCCCAGCAATACCACCGAGTCCAGGCCAGAATACCAGGGAGAGGATTGTCTACACCCTAGCCTCGCTGGGATGGATGCGATGGCGGATGTTTTCCCGCTGGACGCCTTCGAGAGGCTGCTTGATGGAGCCTATTACCATGGGTAGCAGCCGTACATTACGCCAGACGATGTACGGTCGCCCACTGAGGCTGAGGGGGCTTGCGGGCTACAAGATGTTCGACATCAGTGCTGTCGCCATTCGCATCGCCAGATGGGAGAAAGGTGAACGCCAGGTCGTGGTTCGTCGCTTGCACGGCCTGGCCGGGCCATTTCCGATGCGGGCCCTTGGCGCCCGAGCTGAAAACTCGTCTGCCTCACGTCGTTCTGCTCCCGCTCACACTGTGGCTTGCAATAGTCGTCACGAAGCTGATCGATTTGCCGAGTCTGAGGCTGGCCAAGTGGGCGTTCAAGCTGCAGAGTCGGAAGGTTGAAGTTCTCGAGGCTGATGGGGAGATGAGGGAGGCATTGCTACCTACCTGATGCTAGAGAGTTAAAACAATTAAAAACACATTTAGAACCCCAATTGCTTTGGTGAGGTGTTTGTGAGTTCATCCGCCGGAGTGTTCTCGAGATGGAGTGAAGTTGATTCTGCCACATCCGAGGTCCGAAGCCGGGGACGACCTTCGATTGAACGTCGAATGCTCGACGACTACATCACCACTTCCCTTTAGGCAACCCAACATTAACAAATGAACCCAACCAGACTTGCTGCTTGAATACCAAACGACCCCTGCCTGATCAGACAAGTCTATCATCCTCGTGTCGACCAGCCTACTCTCACAATGCCTCGCCCAGACCAACGCCACATTCCCAAAGAACCCATCGAAACACCCTTCACCCTCTTCCTCTGGGGCGCAGAGAAATTCGCCCGGCGCAAAGCTATACTCGCAGCCTTCACTTCCAACCCAATCTTCAGCAAAAAAGACATCGTCCTTCCCTCCCTCGCCCGCAAAGACGCGTGGACCCGCTCAGCCCTGCAAGCACGCGAACTCATCCGCCTCAAACTCACGCACAACTGGTCGCACACGCAGTTCCTCGACGCCGTGCGCGAAACCGACAACTTCCTGCCCGTGCAGCCGCAGTTCCGCATTTTCCTGTCCAACCTGGAGCGCCAGGCGAGCGACGAGCAGAAGGCCGAGTGGATCCCCAAGGCCGAGCGGTTTGAGATTTTCGGGTCGTATGCGCAGACGGAACTCGGGCATGGGTCGAATGTGAGGGGCATTGAGACGACGGCGACGTTTGATCGCGAGGCGGATGAGTTTGTTATTGATTCGCCGACGCTGAGTAGTACCAAGTACTGGATTGGCGCGACGGGCGTCTGGGCTACGCATTCTCTCGTCGTGGCGCGCCTCATTATCGACGGCAAGGAGTACGGCAATCATCTCTTCTTCACTCAGATCCGCGATCTGGACACTCAGCGCCTCATGCCCGGCGTAGAAATCTACGAACTCGGCCCCAAAGCCTTCCAGGGCATGCTCGGGACGGATAACGGCGCCATGCAATTCCACCACGTCCGCGTGCCGCGATCGCAAATGCTCGCGCGCAACGCGCAAGTGCTGCAAGATGGGACGTACGTGAAGCCAAAGAACGAACTCCACAGCTACGGCTCCATGGTCACTGTGCGCGCCATCATGGCCGAGTGCACGGGTTGGGATCTGCTCAAACCCGTCGCGGTGGCATACCACTACACCAGCTACCGCAAGCAATTCAAAAAGGCCCCTTCCCAAGCAGCAGAGACGACGGTCATCGACTACGCCAGCGTGCAACACCGCCTCATCCCGCTTCTCGCGCAAGCCACCGCCCTCGTCCTCGTAGGCCAACGCATCAAACAAGCCTACGACGACTACTCCAGCGCCAACATCCGCACAGGCGACTTCTCGCAGCTCGAAGACTTCCACCTGCAAACCGTCGGGGCGAAAGTGTACAGCACGGAAATCACCGCCCACGGCATCGAGACGTGCCGCATCATGTGCGGCGGCCACGGGTACCACGCTCTCGCCGGCTTCGGAAGAATGTACGGCAACGCGGTGAATGCCCTGACCTACGAAGGCGACAACTACGTGATAGGCAAACAAGTCCCGCGCGCCATCCTCAAACACTGGCGCAACAAGACGGAGTCCTCGCTCCCGACCCTCTCCTACCTCTCCAAACTCCGGAACCGCAACTCCCTCTCCCCGCCCAAACTCACAGCCCAATCCGACTGGCTGCGTCCAGAAGTCCAACGCTGGGCGCTAGAAGAGCGCCTCGTGTCGCTCGTGAGCCAACACATAGCCGACACAGAAGCAGGGCACGACACGAGCTACAGCAGCCACGCGCTGACAATGGCGCACGGCGACATGGTGTACTGGAACGGATTCGAAGCTCTGCTTCGCGATCTCGAGAAGCGACGGCCTAAGCCGGCATTCACGGAGGCGGTGCGCGCGCTGTTTGACGTCTTTTCTTTGTCGGTGCTGCAGAAGCCGCATCATGCTACTCTTGCTACTGCTTTGCCGCTTTCGAGCGTGCAGCGGGGATTGCTTCGGCAGGCGGAGAGAAGTGCTATAGAGGCGTTGGCGAGTGAGCACTTGGAGGAGATTATGACTGCGTATGGCTTCACGGAGTACGAAATGGATAGTGCTCTGGCGCGAGCGGAAAAGGAGCCGTACGAGGCGCTGTTTGAAGAGGGTGGAAAGGGGAGTGAGATGAGCGGGAACAGGATGGAGCATTTGTTCGGGATGATGGTTGATACTCGGCGGATGTGGCGACGGATTGAGGAGGAGAAGGCGGGGAGGCCGAAGTTGTGAAAAAGATGTAACGGGCATACGTGATGATTATGAGACGCCTGCTATGCAAATCCCTTCAAACGCAACCGAATGCTCTATTATTCGTGCCCCATCCTCGAAGAAGAAGACTTCCCCTCAACCAAACGCCGCGCTTCCCTTGCATACAGCCCCAGCGGGCATCATGTACAGAACCAAAGCGAAAAAGCAAACGCATCACTCATCATCATCCGTATCCGGCGGATGCGGCGTCCCCTTGGGACTATTCAACCACTCAATATGCCTCAAGCGACGCCTAACCTCCCGCTCCTTCTGCTGCGCCCGCGTCATCTTCTTCTTCTTCCTCGCGCGGAACTTCATCTCCTCCTGCGGGCCGCCTTCCGCCTCACTCTGCGCGCCAGAACCAGATGGCGTTCCCTGCGCACTGCTCACAGCAGAAGAGACGTTAGAGGATGCGAAAGCAGAGCTGGCGAGCGAACTACCCGGCCGAGGCGAGTCGTCGAAACGATCGAGGTTGACGGCCAAATGGCCCTTTTGCGTCAGTCGGCCGTCGGCAATGTGCCATTGTTCGGGACACAGGGCGGAGACGAACTCCTCGCTATGGGAAATCATGACGACGCCGCCTTTGTAGTCGCGGATGGCGGCTGCGAGGCCGCCGAGACTGTCGCGGTCGAGGAAGTTGGTGGGTTCGTCGAGGATGAGGATGTGCGGGTTGTTCCTGTAGCGTCGCGTTAGACATGGCCAACAATTGTGAGGTTTCATCAAGACTTACCACATGGCACCAGCAAGCACCACCTTGACCTTCTGCCCACCACTCAACCCCGAGATCTGCGTATGATTCGCAATGTCGGGGTCCATGCCCACATCCTCAAAATGCTTCGAGATGACCTTGGGCTCCAGAATACGGAAACCCAAGCCCTCTCGACTAGCCTCGTGGTCGTCGAATTCCTGCACCAGTTTCTGGAAACCCCGCTCCAACAGCGTCTCTCTCGAAATCATGGTGTTGAACTTGGGCAGCATGTGCAACCACTTGACCTCGTACTGGAAACTCTTCTTGTACTTTTGTCGTCCGATAAGAGCCTCGATCAGTCGGGGACCTTTGCCATCACCAAGATCGATGGGCGTCTCCATCTGAATTTTGTCCTCGTCGGTTAGGATACGAGTCTGCTTCAGGAGCACCTCTCGATCGTCGCCGTGAGCGTATCGCCATTGCAAGTACTGATTCGGGGTCTTCTCAAGATGCATCTCCACGTGCTCAAGGGCGTGCTGCTTAATGTAGCCTATACGCAGATTGGGATGCTTCTCGACTTTGCCTTGTTGCGGGATGACTTCGCCCGTCAGCACCTTGATGAGAGTACTCTTACCGGCACCATTGGCACCGATGATTGCCACTCGGCTGCTGAGGGTGAGGCCGGCTGATACATCAGCCAAGCTCGGCTTCGCTGCACCGGGATATGTGAAGTGTGCATTCGTCATGCGCAAGATACTCCGAGTGTTGCTCTTGACACCCGTCAGAATGCCGGGCGGCGGGAACTTGAACTGCACCTGTGTGGAAGAGAGGGTGTAGTAGCTCTTTGCATCGGGCTTCTTCTTCACCAACTCGGCCAGATTGCCGCGGTACCATATCAGCTTCTTGTTTTCGTAGTTGTAAATGTCGGTGCACACTTCGTCAAGGAAGCCGGAGTCGTGAGAGACGATGAGTGATGTGATTTCCGTGTGGGATTTGAGATAATCCTCCAGCCATTTGACGTTGGTGACATCCAAATGGTTGGTAGGTTCGTCGAGCAGGAAGACATCCGCTCGCATGAGCATGGCACGAGCCAGCCCCAACTTCATCTTCCACCCTCCGGAAAGCGAGCCGACCTTGCGCTGTTGCATACCATTCGGTCCGGAAGTGAAACCGACTTCCTCCAAGACTTTGGAGATGTGTTCCTCGTCCTCGCCCTGGATGGCCTTGTCTTGAAGACAATACTCAACAATGGTCAAGTCAGTGCCTTCACCTTGGTTGTGCTCCACGAAACATGTCTTCACCACGTCCTGTGGGGGAAAGCCCTCAAGTTTGCCCTCCGCAATGGACCGCATGAGCGTAGACTTGCCCGCTCCGTTGCGACCGCACAGGCCGTAGCGGTGGCCTTTGAGTAGTCGCAGGTTGGTATGGGAGAGGAGAAGGCGGGCTCCATATCCAAGGGAGAAATCGGCGTTCACAATCTCGACCTCACCATCGTCTGCTTTGATGGGTGCGCCAAACTTGCGATTGTCTTCTTCGACGTAGAATTGGTGCACGTTGTTGCCAACGGTCTCCGCGTTGTCCATGAGGGGCTGTAGGTACGGGGTGGTGTTTGAGATGATTCGGTCGATTGCCCGCTGGTTCACATCCTCCGCCACAATCTGCGACAGAAGCACTTCTGCGTAGGTCCAGACTTCGCTGTCGCCGGGATAGCCGAGCAGACCACCAGTATTCTTTACCTCCTTCTCCAAGACGGCTAGCACATGCTCAGGTAGCACACGCTCGATGGCGGCCAGGGAAACATCGTTTTGCTCGCCCATGGCTTTATTCATCACATTGTAAGCACGCCTGCCGATTTCTCTGACCTCGGGAAGCGACGCGCGGTCTCGGACAGCCTTGACACCGGGCTTCAGCTTGGGCAAGAACGTCCTAGCCTCGACTGGATCGTGTACAAGCCTGGTCAAGTTCTCAATGACGACGACCGTCTGTCGCAGGACTTCCTGGCTCGTAGTCGGGGTGTTGAGCGCTCGTTCGAGAATGGGAGTCACCATAGCCAAGACGGGCGAAGTGACTTCCGTCACGAATGTGGTCTGGCTGAGAGCGTGAATCGCCTTCTGTTGAGCGTCGGTGCTCGGATCTTCCATGCTCTTCACCAACAGAGGTATCCGTGGAGCGACATCATCGTTCTGGAGTAATGTGGTCAAACTGTCCATGCTCTTGATAGCCTGCTTCGACACCTCGGCCTTGAGATCGTGCATGCCAATCTCCACGACGGGAATGAGCGCTTCCAATCTCTTGCCCATTGCCTCTCTCAGCACATCCTTCTCTCGTTCCGCTTCTCTCGAGTCTGTGCCGATCTTGGCTTGGTCGGCCATACGACCAATCAGCTCGAAAGCGCCAACAGTACCCTGCCATTTGCCCGTCGACTTGCCGAGATACGTGACCAACAGCGGCAGCAGGCCGAATACTTTTGCCTCGGGAGAGAGCTGCGCGAAAAAGGTATCGAGGGCATATCGCGCACCCTCTTTGACCGAGCCGACTTTATCCGCCAATGCGTCTAGCGCACAAGCCACCAGGCCTTGCTGCTGATGCAAAAAGATGACTTCGCTGAGTTTCTGCTTCGGGGGGAATCGTTCAAAGATTGCGCCCAGCGCGAACATGGCCCCTTCTCTGCGCGCCGCATTCTTTTTGTCCGATGCGGCCTTGAGGATGTCGGAGAGGATATCGTAGGCTGTGAGGCCTCGAAAGCCGACAGTGTTGAGCAGGACATCCGACAGGGTGTATGCCGCGTCTAGTGACTCTTGCGAGGTCTTGGAGGTGTAGATTCGTCGGGTGATTTCGTCAATGTCGTCGGCGGAGGGAGGGGCGGATTTGCTGGTGACGACCACGGCAGGCGCGGTAGGTGGGGATTCGTGGTGAGGCATGGCCGCGGTAGATGTTCCGTTCATACTACCCCGATCAAGACGCCCCAAGGAGAAGAACAGGGAGAGGGTAAGGGATGTGAACGGGAGGGATCTGGTCGCTGGAAATTTCAACTTTTGAGGACAATTAAAATTTAAGGTTTCGGCGGGGGTCCAACGGCGGAACAGGGCTGTGGCACGCCGAGGCAGCAGCCCGGGCAGCCACCACGCCAAGGGTTCAACCTTCTGCATCTATCTTTGTATTCGTCTATCGTCATCTACATCTCAAGGAATCTCCTCAATGCTCTTCACCGCCCTCACCTTTGTCGCATTCAACTCCTCCCTCTTCTTCAAACTCGCCTGATACAGCGTTTTCCTCAGCCTGTTCGCACTGCCCAGCGGCCGATGCGCCTCAAGGCCATACCAAACATTCAGCTTCATCTGCTCATCCCAGAAAGCCCGGCGCTTCGAATCAAACACGTCTTGGCCCTTCGGCAACACCACCTTGCCAACAGTCTCAAAGGGATACTTCTCCTCGTCCCATTGCTGCGAGCAGTCCTCCACGCTCTGCTGCTCGAGATTCCGGCAGAGCTGCACGCGGAAATCGAACTCGGCATCGTTGGCTTGGAAGTACTCTCGCAGCCACAGACTGTGCTGCTCCGGGTCGCTGTTGTCATTGACCGCCGCTTTCTCCCCCAGCTCCTGCTGGAATTTGCCGGTGGGGAAGAGGGCGTATTTCACGACGTAATCCCCGAACCGGTAGGCCGATTGCGAGTACATGGTGTATCCCATGAAATGGTTGTTGGGCAGTTGAGTCGGGGCGAATTGCAACTCGCTGTCCTTTCGCTCTTTCAGCTTCGCCCGCAATGTTTCCCAATCGTTCTCCTTGAAGTACTTCTCCCGCAGCGTGAAGATCTCTACCGTCGTCGGAAGGTCGGTAAGTTCGAGGATCGGGGCATTGTTGAACGTAAAGTCCTGCGTATGCGTCTCTTCACCAGTGGGATCGAGGAAAGCGCCCGCATCGTCCACGTTGAACACCTTCATCCCACAGCCTCGTGGAGCGCCGGCACGATCATCCTGCAACCAGCTCGGCTCGTTCGCGTATCGGATGGCAATCGGAAACGTCTTTCCACCTTTGCCGAAGAGCCCTTGAGCCAACTCGGGGGATAGATTCGACGCCACCTGCAACTGGCCTTTGACTATCGCCTGCGTCTTGACGTGTGTACCGCGGAAGCCGTGTCGATGCTGTGAGAAATTGTGTTCCTGCACTTTGTTGATGAGATTGTGCATTTGCTCGATTTTCTGTTGCTCGTTGGGGACTTCGGGCTCGACGCCCTTGTCGTTCCATTTGATTGGCGCTGAACCCATTTTGAAAGTAAGTGTTCTATCTTGTGCAATATTGTACCTGGCGGAACGAACGACGAAGGGAGATTTAAATGTTCTGAACGATAACGTGCGGCGTCGGGCGTTGGTCCGATATGATCATCGTTGGCGTCATATGGACCCATGACATCCACCAAGAAATGCAGATCCGTTCCCTCAGCTTGCGTGAAATCAAATAATCAGAATGGCGTTGATTGGCGAGTCGAAGATGGCACATTTCCAGCCAACGCTGCCGTCATAGCTATTTCCCAAGACATACGTGCAAGATTTGGGAGGTGAGATGACTTCACTTCTCTACATGTCCTTCATTATCTTCATGAGCTGCCACCAACAGGCGCAGGCGGCAAAGCACCGTCAACAACCACCTCTCGCTTTCTATGCTTCCCTTCCATACCATGATGATGCTCATTATGTTGCCACTCCTTCTCCTTCCACTGCCTCCACTTCTCCTCATGCTTGATGCCCGCCACCGTCTCAGCCAGGCCCTTCCCGCTCCCATGCAGCGGCTTCCCATGCTCGTGCTTCAAATGCTCCTGCCTGTCCCACTGCACCGGCGGGGGGTCAATCTCGCTCCATCTTCGTCGATCTCCAGTCATCTGTTTCTGATTCGATCCAGCCTCGCCCCACATTCGGATTCTTTGCACTTTCCTCAGCCGCTTGAAGGCCCATACACAGCATCCGATGGTTGCTGCAGTGCATAACGCGCTGACTCCTGCGAAGCCAAGAGAATCCTCCTCGATGAAGTTCTTCAGATTCATCCCGTACAGCGCCGCGATGAACATGCCCGCGCTGATCCCCAGCGTGCCAATACTGAACTTGAGGTCGAGCAGCATCAAAGCGTTGCGGTTCGCGTCCAGAATAGCGCGCACAATCTCCTCGGTGTTGCGGATGGCGGACACAATATTGGACGACACTTGGACGATTTCGTCGGCGACTTTGTGGTAGGACTCGAGGAGGAGTTCGACTTCTTCGTGGTTGTCGTCCTCCCGCTCTTTGCCTTGGGCCTTCTCGCTCAGGTACATGCTGGCCAGGTCGTCATCGGCCTCGAGAAGATCTTCGATCGCGTCACGAACCAGTCGAGCCTTTTGCTCAAACGTGCCGAGCTTCTTACTGTAGATGAGCAGATGCCTCAGTCGATCGCGGTCAATGTCTTCTTCGAGTTCCCTCAGCACCCTAACCACTGGCTCTCTGACACCCTCGAACTCGCTCTCCAACCCACTCGTCACGGATATGAGCACGGCTTCCAGCGCCCGAAACTCATATGGTAGATTTCCCGCCCCTCCCGCCGCATATGTCCCTCGCTGCCGTAGCTTGCCCTCCAAATCATACATAAACAGACTCTGCGCATACGAATCCGTGCTGCCATAGACATCGAACACCAGCACGCGGTTATGCTTAATCAAGCACCTCAAATGCAGCAAATTGATCAGAATCGCCGATTCGCGCACCAAGATATGCGGCAACACGGACGAATCAATCTTGCGCAAATCGCGGGGCAGGAGAGAGTATTTGGCAATCAGCTCGCTCTTCCTGAACTCCCCATTCACCAGCGTCACGTTTCCATTCTCGTCAAACTCCGTGCAGCGCAGCTTGAGCTCGTTGCTGGGCTTGATGATTCGTCCGCCTAGACCGGCATTCGAGTCGTCGAGGAAGCCTTGGAGAGGTGGCAGTCCGGTATTGTGGTGGCGCGGTGTTTTGCTTGGTTTCGACTGTCGCAGTCGTCGCCAGAAACTCTCTTGCACGGAGGGTGTCGAGGAGAAGGAGCGGGTGTTATCGGGTCGTCGAGTGCTGGAGAGGGCGCGCGCGCATTGCGTGCTGAGTGCTTCTGCCTTGCATCTTCGTAATGTCGCAGAAGGGGACTGGGAGCAGAGTTGCGAGCGCAGAAATCGTAGTAGGGTCGGAGAAGGTGCAGTCAGGCCATGGGCCGCTGGCATCGCTAGGGAAGGGAGAGGGGGAAGAGAGGGTGTCGAGGAATGCCACGGCTCTGCGGATGTCACTGACGTCTCGAGAAGTTCACTTCCAACTTCGAAAGTTCACTTCGACAGAGGCGCTGCCGAATGTTTACATAAGCAGCTACGTCCACACGCAGTCGTTCTTTACGCGGCAGCCCTGCTCCGAGGTATTCTCAACCTCACTTGTCGCCGGCCGGCTCCATACACACCGTCTCTCGTGTTTGTAAGGAGAGTGCTCTTCGTAATATGCTAAAGTCCTATCCGCAGAGTTCACTGCCAATCGTTCAAGACATCAACATGCGGCCATCCGGCTCAGGGCAGAAGCATCTCGAGCGAACCTCTACGCTATATCTCGATTCCAGTCCTTTGCCGACCAGAGTAGAAGGTCTGTCGGCTCAACTTGAGCTATGAACTGCACGCTCAGAGTGGATGTGTACCTCGGTTAGAAGCAACCATCTCCAACTTTGCGTTACCCTTGCCACTCCTCATTAACATGTGTTTCGGGGAGCGGGTAGGTGCTTGTACGCCACTTGCGATCAACGCGACCTTCTCTGGGTTGATTCGTCATGTTTCTACTGGCTGCTATAACCACTCCGGACGCTTTACCTGATGAGTGTGCCGGCAGATGTCCCGTGGAGGAATCTGCAGATTACCTGGTCTTGGTTTGCATGACGGGTGCCGGTTTCTGCTTCATCAAATGAGCACTTTTCCTTCTCTCTTGTCCTTCTCACAATTTCAAACCACTCGCTCTTCCCCTCAGCGATAAGATTTCATTACTTTCACATCATTTGCTTGACAATGGCGGTCGGAACCCCAACCGAATCAACCTTCCAGGAAGCCTTACGAGAACAAAATGACGAGATAGAATTGCCCACTCGCACGAACGCGGTCTCTTCTGCGCTCGCTCCTGCTTCGGCATCAACAACTCACTCCCGACTGGCAAGCATCCAACCCCGGAAGCATGCGTACTTTCACTCCCGCCGCATTAAGAAAGGTGAAGCACAACGTCCGTGGCTCGACAAGAAAGATCCACGAGAGAAGTGGGTGACCATCATCCCCCTTCTCGGGATTCTCGTTGGTCTCATTCTCAGCGGAATAATCGTGTACGACGGCTTGCAAACGGTCCAGCAGAACTCCTACTGCCCAATCTTCGAGGTGGACTTTGCCACTGGCACCTTGGATCCCAAGATCTGGACAAAGGAAGTCGAGGTGGGAGGATTTGGGTATGTCACTGTCTGTTCTTGACAAAGCTCAAGCATCGCATCGCTGACATACGCAGAAATGGCCAATTCGAGGAGACCACCAACACCGACGAGAACGCCTTCATCCAAGACGGAATGCTGATCCTCAAACCCACCCTCCAAAACCCAAGCCTCATCATCATCAACAACACCCTCAACCTCACTCAAGACGGCAGCTGCACCTCCACCGGCTGGGCCAATTGCGTCGCCATCACAAACACCACCAACGGCACCATCATCAACCCCGTCAAATCCGCCCGGCTCAACACCAAAAAAGGCGCCTCCATCAAGTTCGGCCGGGTGGAAGTCGTCGCCAAAATCCCCGCCGGCAACTGGCTCTGGCCCGCAATCTGGATGCTGCCCGTGAACAACACCTACGGCCCCTGGCCCGCGAGCGGCGAAATCGACATCATGGAGTCGCGCGGGAACAACTACACCTACCCGCAGGGAGGCGACAACATCGTCTCCTCCACGCTGCACTGGGGCCCCGACCCGGACAACGACGCGTGGTGGATGAACAACGTCAAGCGCGAGGCGCTGCACACGACGTGGAATGCCGACTTCCACACGTATGGCCTGGAGTGGAGCGAGAAGTACATCTTCACTTACATCGACACGCGCCTGCTGCAGGTGCTGTACACGCAGTTCAACAAGCCCTTCTGGCAGCGGGGGAACTTTCCGCCAGCGGCACCCAATGGGACACGCCTGGTGGATCCGTGGAGTCAGACGGGCCGAGATAGCACGCCGTTCGACCAGGAATTTTACTTGATTCTGGACGTCGCGGTCGGCTCGACGAATGGGTGGTTCCAAGACGGGGTGCAGGGGAAGCCGTGGGTGGATGCGTCGCCGACGGCGATGAAGGAGTTTTGGGATGCAAGGTTCCAGTGGTATCCGACTTGGCAGCAGCAGGGGGGCGGGGAGATGGCGATTAAGAGCGTGAAGATGTGGCAGCAGAAGGGATATAATGGGTGTTGAGGTGGAAGGGATTGTCTGGTAGAATCTTCGCGGTGACAGTGGACGTAACAGTTTGATTGTCGTCTTGCAGTGAATGCCAGAATATTCGCGTTGACAGAGTCTGTTTCCAAGGGTGAATGCTCAGTATGTGTGAACGTTCGAGCTCGTATAACTCACAGCGGAGCAAGCAGTGAAGGCGTGTTGTGGGGAATAAGGATACCCTCAAGCTCGGTGATCCCTCCAGTTCTATCATCTTCAAAACCAAACATCACCAGCATGCCTTTTGGATTCCGTTTTTCCTTCAACCTTTCCATCGGCAGCAACGAGCAGCCTGACGAAGTTGCCACCGAGGCGAATCCTCCACCGATCGCCGACAAGATAGCACGCAGAAGGAGGGTTGCGCAGACGACCAGAGCAGCTCGGAGAGACACCAAACAACAACATATCGCAGACCGACAACGCGCCAACATGCCGACAGCATCAGCCGCGTCAACCCCTCATGAGACGGATCACGCCAGCCTCCACAGGCTAATGTACCACACCCATCGCCTGGAGATGCAGAGGCAGTACTTCCAAGCACCGTTCAAGAGCACTTTCGATCTAGGGACTTACCGCTCTTCATCGCCCGAGAATCGTCAGGGCCATCAAGAAGCGTTGATCACCCTGGGACACGGCGCTGAACGTCAGCTGTATTTCTCGCTGTCCGATGAGGAGTTCGAAGACCGCCTCAGTCGAGACATCGCTGCTGGCAAAGCGGAGGAGTCCTTGACGACTACGTCCAGTATGTTGGACTTGAAGGAGAGACTGCTTGCTGCGGGATGGTCGGAGGAGTCCATCGAGGCAATTGCGAGCTGGAGCGCGGGGCTTGCAAGTCGGGAAAATGAAGCCAAATCAGTGCATGACTTGTTTGGAAAGGTGGAGAAAAAAGACGCTGAAGAGGAGGAGCGGGAGAGACTGGTTCAGGTCGCAGGTGGTCATCAGAGCATGGTTGGGGGATTCGGGGATACAAGAGACCACAAGGATGCACTGGAAGTGGACGCCAAGTTGCAAAGCCCAGGAGAAGGGCTCGCGGGCACGACAGATGAAGCAAGCAAAGCGAAGGAGGCTGAGAGTGGATTTGACGAGTTTGTCGATTGCAGAAGCCAGCAAAACTCGGACGAAGAGGAATGGTGTTTGGTGTGAAGTTGACAATGTGTCCAAGTGAGGTGCATCAAAGAGTTGAGCTTGGATGTACGCGTTCACTGATTGGTGCGCGTGAGCCGAGGGAGCGTACAAATCAGGGAAGTGGTTGCGAGAGGTTGCAGGCAACTGCTGCTACTGAACGCCAACTGCAACTGCCGCGAATCGATGCCTTTCGGCGGTGAGGTGGTGCATGTGAACTCGCATCGTGTACACATAGACGTCCTCGGACTCTCCGCCTGAATATGTCGAGGCAGGTAGTCATGCTGCAATAGAATCACACATACGTGCTCTGGAGTCGGAATGGCATTGGGTCAGTCCGAACAATCATCCCAGCCATAAACCATCCCTAACCCCTCCCGCAGCAACAGGAGCCGCAGTCGCGGCCGCAGCGGCCTATCTCGATGCAAAATACCATCTACGAAAAGACTTGACCAAGTTGCATGAACGCCGTCATATGACCAAGCTCGTCCAGAAATCCGGTTGGTAGCATCCCGCTCGGCCACTACGTAGACTGACCACCGACCACCACAGCCCAACAAAATCGTATGTCCTTATGGTATCCCTTCGAACAGCAAGTACACGAGCTGCAAGATGAGCAATGTCTATGGTATCGGTCGCAGCCTTCAGATCCCGCCGTCACCTACTCCTGGACGGAGACGTATGATCAATGCTGTCGATACGCTCAGTTCCTCCTGCAGAACGGCGTCCAGCCTGGCGACCTGATCAGCACGTATCTCATCAACTCTCCCGAAAGCATGTTCACGCTTGTCGGCAGTTGGGGCATTGGATCCGCGCCCGCCATGATCAACTACAATCTAAGCGGAGACGCTCTTATCCATTCCTTGAACGTCGCTCAGGCGAAGCTTTTGCTCGTAGACGACGACGAAGCCTGTCGAAAGCGAATCGAGGACGTGCAGTCCAGGATTGAGAATGATCTCGGAATGAAGATCGTAGTGCTGGACGCAGCGACCAAAGCCGCCATTTCCGCTCTCGCGCCCACCCGGCCTGCGAACGAGTATCGCGAGAGCATCACCGGAGCCTTTCCCCTCTTTCTTTTCTATACGAGCGGCTCGACGGGACTCCCAAAAGCATGCGCCATGCCGACCGCAGCGGGGTTAACGCTAGGCGAACCGCGCAGAAGGAGCATGGGCTTGAAAAGTGGCAAGGGTGGCGACGTCTGGTACGACTGCATGCCCCTCTACCACGGCACAGGCTGCACAGTGGCAGTCGGATGTCTAATCACCGGCATCAAGTTGGCCATCGGACGCCGCTTCTCAGTCCGCAGCTTCTGGCACGATATCCACGATTCGCAAGCAGCCGCGTTCGTCTACGTGGGCGAGACGGCGCGCTATCTACTCGCCGCGCCGCCTTCGCTTCTGGATAAAACGCACAAGGTCAGAGTTGTTTATGGCAATGGTATGCGGCCTGACATCTGGCGTAAGTTCATGGACCGCTTCGACATTGCGTGCGTAAATGAGTTCTTCAACTCCACCGAGGGCATGCTGTCTCTTCTGAACGTGTGCGTGAGTCCTTTCTACGACTCCGCTGTGGGCCATCATGGCGCCATACTGCGCTACGCCAATCGCAACTACATCGTACCCGTGCGGATCGACTACGAAAAAGGCGACGAGATCTGGCGGGATCCGCAGACGGGTTTTGCGAAACGTGCGCCGTATGAGGAGGGAGGGGAGATTCTCATTGCGTGTGCAAGCCAGGGCGATTTTGTGGGTTACTACAACAACCCCGACGCAACAAATAAGCGCTTCGTGCGGGATGTATTCCGAAAAGGCGATTTGTATTACCGAACGGGCGACGCTTTACGAAGAGATGCAGACGGCCGATGGTTCTTCATGGACAGGCTGGGCGACACGTTCAGATGGAAGAGCGAGAACGTGAGCACGGCCGAGGTAGCGGAGGTGCTGGGGCGGTTTCCGAACGTGGTCGAGACGAACGTCTACGGAGTGGAGATTCCCAATCACGACGGGAGGGCGGGCTGCGCTGCCATCTATATCCCGCATGAACAGCGGCGATCGTTTGATTGGAGGGCTTTGCTGCAGCATGCACAGAAGGGGCTGCCGAAGTATGCGGTACCGGTGTTTGTGCGGCTGGTGCAGAGGCCGTCGCCGATGCATAATAATAAGCAAAACAAAGTGCCGTTTCGGAAGGAGGGGGTGGATTTGAAGAGTGTTGCGGAGGGGGAGGCTGGAAGAGATGATGCGATGATGTGGTTGCCGCCGGGTGGCGATCGATATGTGCCATTCCAGCAGAAAGATTGGGAGGCTGTATCTGCTGGCAAGGCTAGGCTGTAGATAGTAACTTGGTCAAGACCGTATATGATGCACGAATCCAAAGATGCGACCCTCGAAAGATTGGCGATGCTGCCGTCCGGGTTCGCTAGGACGCAACCCATCGCCGCACTTTATTCTATCTCTATCGTCGACGAGGCCATCACAAAGTTTTCCCCCCAGCCCCGATCAAGCTCAAATAAACCCCCCTAGACACAAGAGCGAGTCAGCACCACACAACCGACGCGTACACTCCAAGAGAAACCGAAGCCAGACTCACCAAAATAACCCCGCCACAGACCCCACCGTCGTCCTCAAATGCGCCGGCACCAGCACAAAATTCGCAATACTGACCGCAGGCCAAAACTTATACCCAGCGATCATGATAGGCCAGAAAGCCACTTGACACTCGTGTAAAGCCCACTCCACGGATCGGCCTCTGAAGAGCTGCATGAAGATGATGAAGGCGACGGTGTTGAGTGCCGCGCCAATGGTTTGGTCCAGGAGGAATTTGATGGCGGTGTTGCGGATGTTGAGGCTTCCTTCTTCCGTGGGAGGAGGAACAGCGGCGGGATCCTTCCGGTCAACTGCGTGGGCGGCGGGATTGGGGTTCCGGCCGGGAAACTTGTCCTCTAGCCATAGCTGCCAGGTGAAGTTCGGGGGCGTGGAGAGCAGGCACCACAGGGCGAAGCGGGTGACGTCGGAGGGGTAGATGACGATGGTTGGGCTCTGCTGTGTGTTAGTATCGCGCGTCTTGTGATGTTTGGGTTTTGGGAGTGGTGGGGGCCAGGACATTTGCTTGAATGGATGCTATCGCTTGGCCGACGAGGTTGGAGACGGCGCCTAGGAGTGTGGCGTGGATGCTTGCGGTGAAAGCTCCGGAAGACATGGCTGGTGAAGTAGGTAGTGATGGTCTGCTTCTCTATCACTTCACAATTGGTCGTGGTGAAGACGTTCACTCAGGGTGAAATGAATGAGGTTACATTCATTCGCGTGTCGGCAGGAGGTGAAATCACGGGCCTTTTCGAATACGGACTAGCGTGGGTCCGTGAGCGCGCCTGCCTAAGGCAAATCCACGCGACAAGGCTTCAAACCAACCACTTCAAACCATCCACTTCACATCAACCACTTCACGTCAACCACTCCACACCTGCCACTTCACACAAACCTGTTCTCTCAAGCCACTTCACACAAACACTTTCAACAAACAACACTGCCCGACACAGAACAGCAACTCTCAAGCATGGCGCTGTCTACTATCACAGCAGACTACTACGCGGTGCTCGGGGTCACCCAGACTGCCACCACCAACGAGATCATCAGAGCCTACAAATTCCGAGCGGCAGAGGCCCAGGTCAAAAAAGCCCACGGACAACCAGCGATCGACCACCACTCTGTAAGTGAAGTTCATTCTCATTTTTGCCAATTTCGACAATACGATTTCTTTACGTTATACTGACTACGCCAACAGCTGTGGAAGGCCTACGACACGTTGAGGGACGAAGACCGCCGTCAAGCGTACGATCCAACGTACTCTCCCCCTAACTCAGCTGCCCCCATCACCGAGCAAGCACCCACGTGGGAAAACAACATGTTTGCACGGCCCCCCGAGGAACTCCAGGACCCTTTTCTAGAATTCGGTGATCCGCTGCCTCCGGGCTACCGCCCTTTGGGGCTTCCGGGTGATTCTAATGATCCCATCTACCGCTTGAACAACCGCATCGTCGATCTCGGCACAGCTCACACCAACCGAATCGGCGCGCCAGGCCGCCCAGCATCTTCGTCCGAATCCGCTCCGACCGTCAATGAAGGAGGCTCTGAGGAAAGCGAGGGAATCGAAGCAGAGGATGATGGTGAAGATGAAGCTTAAGCTGGGGAAAGAAGTGAAGCTGAAGGGTGAAGGAAAGGAACGAAGGTATCTTGGCATTCCAGGATGCAGAAACATCCACGGACTCAGTGATTTAAGGATTGTCTCCGGCATGAATCACAGAGGCACGTTGGGGAAGCTGAGCACATGCTCACATGGTCTGAGAATTGGGCGAAGAACCTCTCGAATGCCCTAACTATCACGACTGCGGATTTGGGCGATGGAGTTGGAATCAGACGGGGCCAGCTGGGATATTCAGTGCTCGAAGGCACAGATCTTTTCTTAGACTGCGTACGAGAACCCGATTTATGAAGGAACGATGCAAATGTCACGATACTATCAGCTCAGCGCCGGTCTATCTCTCGAATCATCGTAAATCGTAATGACCTCTCCAACACATCCTCTGCCTACTGCTCTTCATTCCTGAACACATACTTGACCGCACTGGACTTCGCCTCCTTCAAATTCAACAAGCCCTGCTGAACCCCATGCAACCCGCCAGGAACCAGCTCATGAGGCTGCGGCTTCAACCACCCCTCCTCCAACCCCCTCTCAAAGTAGCGGAAGTAGACATACCCAAAATCCTTCAAATCGGAGAAGAGGAACCCAACGAAGGTAAAGGGCTTCTGGATCGACTCGGGAATCTCGTCGTACTTCTTGCCAGCCAGCACGACGGTAATGGCTCCGGTGTGGTGATCGATGACTTGGGCGATGTTCTGGTAGCTGCCATTCTCTGACACGGCGTCGTAGGCGTATTCGAGCTTGCGGCCTTTCAGGGCGTCCTTGAGGCCTTGGACGACTGCTGCTTCGCCGCCGCGGTAGTCGATTATGGTGTCGCCTTTGGAGGGGTCGAGGAGTTTCTGCACGCGCTCGGAGGCCCGGCCAGCGACGCAGATCAAGGGGTGGATATTCGACTTCAACGCGAGTTGGACGGCATAGTAGCCAACCGCCGAACTGGCGCCATAGATGACGAGCGGAATCTCCTTCTCAGCGGGTAGCCAAGGCTCCGGCAGGCGGAGTTTGGCATACAGGCCGACGGCGGCAGTCATGGCGGTCAAGGGGACGGTAGCGCCCTCCTCGAAACTCGTGTTTGGGGGCAAGTGAAAGGTAGCGTGGGCCCAGCTGACGGCGTACTCTGCATAGCTGCCGCCGGACTTGGTGATTTCGTGGAGGGCAGCGACGCGGTCGCCGACTTTGAATTCCGTGACTCCCTCTCCGACTTCGTGCACGTAGCCGGCGTGCTCGTCGCCTTGATTGATGGCTGGTTCGTCGGGGAGGCGGGCGGGTCGTCTCCTGGGGGTTGAGTTAGCTCGTTGAAATTCTTGCTGGTGGTGGGGGATGCCTTACCAATCCTTGGGGTTTGCGGCGCTCACGACGACTTTGGTGACTATTTGGCCCGGTTGAGCTTTGGGGATGGGAGAGTCGATGATTTCGACTCTCGGCCCGGCGTAGACGATTGCTTCGCGCATTGTCATTGTGAATGTGATGAAGGTAGGCTTTTGACTTTGATCAGGTGGTTGAGAGTATGAGAGGGGTTGGACTGGATGTTCTGATTCGCATTGAAGAGATCATGTCGAAGATACTTATACCTGCGATGCCCATCCGTTGCAAGAGCTGCTGTAGTGGCAGGAGGGAGGTGATTAGAATACATGACATGGCACTTACTAACAACTTGACAAAAGGATAATGTCAACAATTACTCCTTCTTGACGCGCTTGGTGAGATGCGGTGTCAAGGTGTATGGAGGTGGTGAAGGGATTAGTCAATGATCAGTAAACGCCGGGGGCGTCGGGCCCGACTGCTTTCAGCGGCGGGCCCGCAACTTCTGACGTTTATTCAGCCGACGTCATCCGCTCAGGTACCACAGTACATGCGGCTGGAAGCTTGCTCAATGCTTGTTCCTCCTGGCAGAGCTGGCGAGGTTGATCCAGATGTTTGCGCCCTGACGATCCGTGGCCGTTTTGTAGAGTCCTTCAAGCGCGTGCATGGCCGGTAGACATGATTATAGATGGAAAGCGCGACTTGTGAGGGAAAGAGCGACCACTGAGGAAAAGACGTGTAAGGTAGACCTCACTTCCTCTTGCGTAAGGTATTCGCAGAGTCTTACTCCACCGCTCTCGACGCGACAGAACCGTACGCCAACACGCTCCATACCCATTGGAGGGGAATCCGCTTCACTCCGCATAGTTGGAAGGCATTGGGATCTGATGGTATTTCACGCATCGCCAGCTGGCAACAGGCTGCCAACAGAGATCTCGATGCATGATCCGGCCCTCCCCACGTTATAGCGGGGCCGGCTGACGTATCACCTCGCCATCCCACTTGCCCACTTGCTTCCCATCCCGGCAAAGTCCCGCCTCGTTTGTGCCACGCATGTGACAAAAAAAGGCCGCGCGACTTTGGTAAGGTACTTAAAGGAAACTTCACGCGCCGGAGCTGTCTTTTTGGTTCCAGATTCTCTCTCTCTCTCTCTTCCTCCCTCATTCTCTTCTCGCAATACCGCCAAGATGGTTCAACAGCACGGTGACGAGCACCACATTCCCCAGGAGGATCATGTCGTGCGGGCGGGAGCTTGGCTTCCCACCGACCACCGGTACTTCTTCCCCCATTGGACTTTCACTGCAACATACTGACCCTCCGCAGCATCCACAGCGCCTGGCTGGGCGAGCAGATCAAGGATGCGAAGAAGCACTCCAAAGAGCTCGCGCCCGTCCTGAAGGACTTCAAGGCGTTCATTGAGAACAACCCGCGCATCTACATGTACTTCCATGCCATGTAAGGAAAACCGCCCTCTCCATGCCATCCGCCAACATCCGCACTAACGCAATCGCAGGTTCGACGAGGTGCCCGTCAAGAAGCCCTACAACAAAGACCCCACCGGCCGCAAGCAGATCCACGACTACCACCACATGCTCGAGGTGCTCAACCACACCTTCACCACCGCCCCGCAATGGACCGACGCGGCCGCCAACGTCGGCATGGTCGGCGTGCCCATGTGCGCCATCTTCGACTACCCCATGGGCACCGCCTCCGGCTACGCCGCCTTCCTCGACCCGGAAGTCAACCAGCACCTCAAGAAAATCCTCAACGAGTGGGGCAAGTTCCTCATGAGCCCCAAGTCCGCCGAGGTGCTCAACGACCACAAGTTTGGCTGGTTCGGGCCCGTGGGCACAAAAGACGTCATGGAGGTCGCCAATGCCCCCTACAAGACCTCCTACACCTTCGAGGAGTTCTACCACTGCGACCCCAAGGCCAAGCACCACGGCTACAAATCGTGGGACGACTTCTTCACCCGCCGCTTCCGCGAGGAGGTGCGCCCTGTCGCGTCGCCGGATGACGACAACGTCATCAACAACGCTTGCGAGAGCAAGGTGTTCAACGTGTCGCACAATGTCAAGCTGCGGGACAAGTTCTGGATCAAGGCCCAGCCCTACTCCATCCTCGACATGCTGGCCCACGACCCGCTGGCGGAGAACTTTGCCGGCGGAACCGTGTACCAGGCCTTCCTGTCCGCCCTGTCCTACCACCGCTGGCACGCTCCCGTGAGCGGGTGAGTTTCCTGCATTCCCCCTCCGTCCAAACCTTCTACTAACCGAATACCAGCACCATCAAGAAGGCCTTCGTCCAGGATGGCACCTACTTCTCCGAGCCCCTCTTCGAAGGCCTGGGCGACCACAACAACACCGAAATCAACGCAGGCGGCATCGCCGTCGGCCAAGGCTACCTGACCTCCCTGGCCACGCGCGCCGTCATCTTCATCGAAGCCGACAACCCGGCCATCGGCCTCATGGCCTTCATCGGCATCGGCATGGACGAGGTCTCCACCTGCGACATCACCGTCAAGGAGGGCCAGCATGTCAAGAAGGGCGAGCAGACGGGTATGTTCCACTTTGGTGGCAGCTCGCATTGCTTGCTGTTCCGGAAGCATGTCAAGGTTGAGGGCTTCCCTGAGCCGGGGCGGTCGGCCAATGTGCCGGTCCGGAGCCAGTTGGCGGTTGTGAAGGCTTAGAGAAAAAGGAAAGACGGTATCTTGTAGCCTGGTCGCTACGAGATAGAAAAAGGCTGCTTTTATAAAACACAATTCAGAAGCAAAGCGGAGATAATACAAAAGCTCTATCCCCCAAATGAAAGGAATACAACACTTCCACAACCCCTTCTTCTTCACCCCATATCTACCCAACACCCTCACGCATACACCGGCCCCCTTTCCCGTCCCACGCCTAGGCCAACGCAGCCCTCAACCCAATAACCCCGCCAGAAAGCTGCAGCGCAACAAGCACCCAATTCCTTCGCCCCAAGCGCTGTAAAACCTGCCGTCCCTCCAAATTCTGCTCCGCCTTCTCCATCGCCTGTGGCCCCTCAACCAACTCCCGCACCCTCTTCACCCCCGCCCCCATTCCCCCCACAAACCAAGGAACCGTAAGCGCCACGCACACCGCAGCCTTGACCCACTCGCGCCTCTGCGCGGGGATAGCGTAAGCGAGGTACGCGTACGAGGCGGTAGAGAGGGCCGTGAGGTGCGGCAGGACGCGGGTGGAGGCGAGCTGTATGGTATGTGTTGCTTGCACGGCGAATTGGGGTTTGTGCTCTTTTAGAGCCGGGAGGACGGCGTCGGAGAGGGAGAGGTTGTAGCCTGCGAGCAGGAAGGAGGCGGTGATGGAGAGGAGTTTTGTCGTGGGGATTGCGGTTTGGGGGGAGATGAGGGCGTCCATGGTTCTTTTGGGGGAGGTGGAGTTGTTGGGGTGTGGTGGTTTGCTGCCTGTACTGGTGGCGAGATATGTAGAGAGGGTGTTTGATTGATGGCGAAAGCACGATAGATGAAAGAGAGGAGTGGGAGTGAAGGAGGAGAGTAAGCCGATGAGACCGTGGTGATGGGAGGATTCTGTCAGCCTCATCAGCGAAGGATGCCCCTTAGCACGTGAGACGGCTTCTGATTGGTTGAGGGAACAGCTGTACGGGAATCGATAATATGCCGAATCGGTTTCCTCGCAGCACTCTCTCAATACACACAAGCTGGATGAACGACTCTTCCATAGGAGCAAAGCAATAGATGAGGTATGCAATCGTCAACCAAGCATTAATTACGTAGGGGTATCAGCAACCAGGGACCCGCAAACAATACCAACGCCTCATCCATCCGCAGCCATCCAGCATGCACGACCATTGTTCACGCTTCTTTCGGCTACGACATCTGCGGCGACTCGGAGACCTGCAAAGGCGAGTCCATCCTCAATGCTTCAGGCAGTTCGGAGTGTTGGTGCAGCTTCTCGATCGTCGCCTGTGCGTCCTGCAGTTTCGCGCTCAGCTCCTGCTTGCTCTTCAGACTGGTATCGCGTTCGGATTCCAGCGCCTTGACGCGCGATTCGAGGAAGCTCTTCTCCTGTTTCGACCGAGTCAGCTCATAACCCACAGCCTCAAAATCAGTAGGATGGCATAGACTCACACTCCTCGCCCCCTCCAAATCCTTCTCCGCTGCCGTCGACCGTTCCTGCGTAGCGCTATGCGTAGCCTTCAAATCCGCAAGCTCCCTCTCCAACCCCTCCTGCTTCAACTGCGCATTCGTTCGATCATGCTCAGCAGTCGCCAACGTAGTATGAAGATCCATAGCGCGCGCCTTGGCCGCTTCCGCCTCGCTCGCATGCTCTCGGGCCTCCTTCTCCGCCGCCTCCTGCTTCAGGCGCGCATTATCGCGGTCGTGTTCGGCGGTGGCGAGCGTCGTGTGGAGATCCAGACTCTTATTCTTTAGCATCAACGCTGCTGCGCCGCTCACTGCTGCTTCCTTTTCGAAACGGTCGCGCTTGATCACGGCGTTATCGCGATCGTGCTCGGCGGTAGCGAGTTTGGTGTGCAGATCGGAGGCCTTGGTTTTGGTGTCTGACAGTTCTGATTCTCGCTCTGCAGCCTCCTTCTCCAACCGATCTCGAATCAAACGCGCGTTGTCGCGGTCGTGCTCAGCGCTGGCGAGCTTGGTGTGTAAGTCCAGACTCTTATTCTTCAACATCAACGCCGCCGCGCCGCTCACCGCCGCTTCCTTCTCAAAGCGGTCCCGCTTAAGAGTCGCATTGTCGCGGTCATGCTCGGCAGTAGCGAGTTTGGAATGCAAATCAGACGCCTTGGTCTTCGTGTTCGACAGTTCCGCCTCACGGTCCGCAGCCTCCTTCTCCAAACGATCTTGGATAAGCCGTGCGTTGTCTCGATCGTGCTCAGCGGTAGCAAGCTTGGTATGCAAATCCAGACTCTTATTCCTCAGCATCAGCGCCGCCGCACCGCTCACCGCCGCCTCCTTCTCAAACCGATCCCGCTTAAGGACCGCATTATCCCGCTCGTGCTCCGTCGTTGCGAGCTTGGTGTGCAAGTCCAGCGCCTTACCCCTGACCTGCTCCAGCTCAGCGACATGCGTCTGCAACTTGCGGTCCGTATCTGCCCAGCCTTTCTTCGCTACGTCGAATTGTGCCGCGAGTCCGGCGTGCGAGGCCTCGAGATCGGAGTGCTGTTTGCGGGAGGTATCCAGTTCGCGCTGAGCGCTGCCCAACTGCTCTCCGGAGTCCTTTTGCAGCTTCTCGTGCGCCTTTCGCAACGTGTCCAGCTTTTCCTTTGTGTTGTCCAAATCCTTTGCTTGTTGCGAGAACTTTTCCGACGAGTCTTTCTTCAGGTAGTCGTGCGCGGTGGACAGCTCGTCGTACGCAGTCTTCGCAGCCGCTCCAGCCGCAGCCGCAGCACCGAGCTCCGCTGTCCGGGCGACGAGGTTATCGTTCCACTTCTTGCTCTCCTTCTCGTGGTACTGCATCAGCTGCTCATGGGAGCTTCGCACGCCGTCGAGCTCGTGTTGCGTGGAGAGCAGCTTCGCGTTCGACTCCTCCTGTCTGCGCTTCGCCTCCGCCCCGTCCGCCGTGCGCTGCTGCTTCAAGTCGTCACGCTCGGCTGTCAAAGCGATGATCTTCGCGCCGGAATCCTGTTCGTAAGCGCTGGAGTTCGCTTTGGCCGCTTCCAGCTGTCGCGACAAGTTATCCCGCGACGACTTGAGTTCCCAATTTTGCGCCTCCGAGTCGCCAAGCTGCTTGTAGAGTCCCGTGAACTTTTCCGAGTTGGCTTTGTCGAGCGCGGCAGCTTCGTCCGCCTTTTGCGCAGCTGCTGCTTTGACTTCGTTGAGTTCCCGAGTCAACCGCGTGTTGGAGTACTCCATTCCCTTCGCTCGAATCTCGTGATTGTCCCTCTCGCTCCTCGCAGCATCTCTCTCGCCCGTCAGCGCAGTAGTACGAGCCTGCGACTCCGCTGCAGCGCGCTCCGATTCCGCCTTCTCCCTCGCCGCGTCCTCACTCGCCTTCTGCACCGCCGCGGCTTTCGCCTCATCGAGTTCCCGCGAAAGCCGCGCATTAGAGTACTCCATGCCCTTGGCGCGAATCTCATGACTATCCCTCTCGCTCCTCGCCACATCCCTCTCCCCCATCAACGACTGAGTCCGTGCCTCAAGCTCCCTCCGCTGCGCATCAGCAGCGTCTCCATTCCGCTTGAGCGAAGCCTGCAACCCCTCAACCTGCACCTGGCGCTGCTTCTCCGTCTCCGCCTGCGCAGCTTCGAGGGCCTGCGTACGGCGGCGCAGCTCTTCAGCTTCGATGGAGGCTTTGCTGTGCAGGTCTTTGAGGCGCGCGAGCTCGCTGGTCTGCGCGACGAGTTGGGCGTCTTTTTGAGCGAGGGAGTCTTGGCCCGTTTGCAGTTGGCTTTGCAGGGTGCGGAGCTTATCCTGCGCTCCGCCGCCTGAGCCGGTCATTTTGGAGAGGCGTTGGCCCATGGTTACTGCCGGGGGGCTTCTCTTGTCTGTAGGAATGCCTGCGTAGACTACGAAATGCAGAAGAGACGGTGAGGAAAAGACAGAGAGAGAGCGCAAGACGAAGGAAAGAAAAGGAACGCGCAACAAACACCAACTGCAGGTACGACTCAGTCGGTGAGAGGGAGGGCAGCAACCTCATGGATGAAAGGAACTCTCCTCCTCCACTCACTCCTTCCGTCCACGCAAGCCAGACCGCAAGCAGAGTGAGTCTTACCGCAAGCAGAGTCAATCTTACCTTCTTCGGCGCCCCTCACGGCAAGATGGGGATGGGGATTCGTCCGGTTTCACACACCCCATACAGTAAAGCGTACAGTGCGCGGCGGGCAAGCGGTGAAGTGCAGTGCAGAACGGTGCGTGCGTGCATCCATGCAGGTGGGAAAGTTACTGTACCTACCCCGCCGGCCGGCCAGGCTCTGCGGGCTCCGCGCGATCGTATGCACCCCGGATCCTCTTCCCCGCGATCCGCGATGCCGGAGATCGAGATGGGCTGGGATGGTGCTGGTTGTGGACGGGGAAGAGAAGCATGAGGGGAGATGGGAGGTCCCCGGATGCCAAGAGTGGTGACAACAGGAGCGCCGATTGCTTGTCAGCGCATCAAGATGAACCGAGATGCGGTGGCGGGCTTCCCGGCGGTGAACGATCTCGTAGTAGTTCGTCCCTTGCGGGACGCGCATGTCTCCGGACAAGTGGTCAGGTAGTCAGGTGAGCTGAAATAGATCCAGTCATCGACAAGGTAAGTCAAGTTCCAAGACCGATTGTACATTCAGACTACAGACCATAAAAAGTGTGGTGAATAAAAAAACGCCGCCGATGCTGCACAGGGTGAAGCCCCAATTTTTCCAAAGAACCCGCAGCCCTAGAAAGACGGGCCTTCTTTCGCTCGCCCGGAAGGGGTCGATGTTTCCATCCACCGCCATAGCCCGGGTATGTAACCAACCAACCAAAACTGCCACAACGAGAAAACAGACCATAGCCTCGAGTCTCCCTTCCACAACCTGGTGAAGAATTTCTCCGCCGCCAGGATGCTGTGGGAATCTCTACTACACGATCAATACAACAAGCGCTCGCAAGTCACAGCCATTTCCACCTCTTACAAGGCGAACAGGCCAAAGATGAAGGTGGCGAAGATGGCAGCACCGGAGGCCATGACAGGGCCGAAGTCCATGCGAGCAGAAGCCATCGCACCGCTGTGGTGCGAGCTGCCGCTGCCGGAAGAGCTGCCGGTGGAGGTGGCGGTCGGAGAACCAGCGTTGGCAGAGGCGGTCGACGAGCTCCCACCAGTCTCCCACTGCGAGCCCTTGCCGCCAAAACCGGGGCCGGTGCCAGCACCGTTCTTGAAGAACTGCTCGGCGCCGGACGGGGTGGCGGGGAGGGCAGAGCCGGTGAAAGCACCCGTGTCCCAGTATCCCTGCTGTTGGTTGGGGCAGGGCTGCGGTCCGTTGTTGAACATAGCGCCGCCATCGCCGGAGGGCGTTGAGACCTGCTGCATGGCGGTCATGAGGTATTGGTATTGGTTGCCGACAGGGCTGAGGTTGTTGCCATTGAGGTTGAAGATGCCGTAGCCGTTGCCCTGGTTGAAGAACTCGTACACGAGACCGCCCGAGATGGACGGAGTCATTTCGGAAGAGTAGAGGACGGGGGTTTCCGCGAATGTTCGGGGGCCGGGGTGGATGCAGCCATACTCGGACAGGCTAGGGATGACATGTTAGAAGGAGGCTCGGGAGTGCATTTTGAGCAAATTGGTGCACTTACAAGATGGGTATGCTAAAGTTGCTGTATTGCTGGACGAGCACATCCCAGCCGGATTGATCGAAGGAAGAGGGGTCGCACCATTGGTAGTTGTTGATGCCGTAGAAATCGGCGCGAGAGTAGGCATTGTCGCCGCAGTCGAAGTATTGAGCGAGGGTGTACTGCTGAGGAACGACATCGGCAGCGCTGTAGCCCACGGGGATGGCACGGTAGCCGCGTTCGGCGATGTACTGCTTCATGTCACGGTTCACGGCCTTGACAAAGGGCGCGGCATTGGTGTTGTTGGGGGCGTTGATGACCTCGTTACCGGAGAGGAAGGCGAGGGTGTTGGTGTACTGCGCGAACTCGTCGATGGTGGCAAAGACGCTCTGCAGGTAGTATGGGTTGTATGACTTCTCCGGCTGGTCTTGGTTGATGGAGTAGAGGGGGGTGTTGACGTCGAGGACGAGGTAGATGCCGTTCTCGGCGAGGAGGTTCATGCAGAAATCGTGGTTGGCGGTGTTGTCGACGGAGTACACTCGCACAGTGTTCAAGCCAAGATTCTTCATGTAAGGGATATCTCGCTGGCAGATTGACTCGTCGGCGAGGGGGTCGACAAGCTGGGAGGAGCCGCCGGGTTGGTAGTCAATGCCCTTCAAGTAGAACCGGTCGCTGCCAGCCCAGAAAGCTTGGAAGAGTTAGTGATGCGCTGTTGGTGTTGGGGAAGCAGATGCAAATGGGGACATACCATTTCCTCGGGTTGTAACGGTGGGCAGGGAAGCACTGCGGCGAACCGGGGTCGCGTTGGCTTCGACCTGTACGGGAGAGGGGTTGGCGGAGGCGACCGCGGCGGCCAGAGCGACGGCCAAGGCCACGAAGGTGTGCATGATTGCGAGGTGGAGGGAGGGTGGGATTGGCGGCGATCAAGGGGACAGTCGTTGCAAAGCGAGGGATGTAGAAAGGCACACGCTTCAAATGCTGCGGCAAAACAAGAGTGAAGGAGTGTGTAGAAGGTGCCTTTCAGCGAATGCGAAGAGGCGAAGATGAAGAAGGAGAAGGAGGGTGAATGAAGGGTTGAATGCTGGAGAAGAAGGAGGAGGAGAAGGGTGAAATGTCGAATGCAGGGAAATGAAGATCAATGGGTGGCCAGGGGTTGAGTTTAGGCTGACGCGTAAGGACTCCTTTTAGATCTCGCGCGGTGATTGGCGGAGCCGGCATCGCATCGCGCTCAACCCTCGCCAGTACGAGCTTCGGCATGCTATTCATCGCCACCTCCAGCCTTTTGCCACCACGCGATACCCACCACATTCAGCATTCCACCACCCGACTCAAGCAATCCCCAAGTCCAGCCAAGCGCGAGGCTGGCGGTGTTGGCGAGGCGAAGGCGCCGAGGATTTCTGTGAAGCTTTTTACTCAGCCAAATTCCTCCCCTCGCTCCTGCCTCGCCCTCGCTCCTTGGCTCCTCGGCCAGCCAAAGCTTATTTTCCCCACCACCAGGACCACCACGCGAACCCGCCCCAGCCGACCAGCAATTTATTCTCCGCGCAGCAGTCTGAGAAACAATGAGGCAGTGCCCATGACGAAGCCTCGCCAACGGTCAAGTCTCCACGTGCACGGCAAGTTCATTTCATGCAGAGATGGCGAGCCGATCAAACTCGCCTCAAAGGAACAACACCGCCTCCCCTTCTTGCCCCCGTCTCGTTCTTGAAACTCTCGTCATGGAAAGCTGATACGCACCCGACCTGCTTACGGGAATAGCTCAAAACACGCCTCTCGTACCCCACCTACATGCAGGCACTCCGCCATCGCTTCACACTACTGCACGTCTTCCACACACTCGCCCAACCACCAAACACCGCCGAAACGCCCGTAAACAGAATCAACGCTCCGTACTGCGTCCCATACGCCCATCGCCGCGACGACCCTACTGCGCCGGCTTGCAGTAATTCCACTCCTGCCAGCCCGCCCGCTACATACCCAATGCCCCTCGCCCCGTTCATCAGCCCGTACACCATCCCCGTGTTGATGGCCTCGCCCTTGTCCGCCGCCTCGCGCTCCATCTCGTTCAACCAGCCGCCCCATGTCGTGGAAAAGGCAGACGCAAAGAAGCCGTAGCCGACTGAGAACAAGATGAGGAGTGCCTCAACGCGGTGCGAGCGCAGGCCCCAGAGCAGGAAAGCACACACCGCCGAGCCCATGGTGGAGATCTGCGTGGCAGTAGACGGCGCCAGCTTATACCGATCGCTGAGAATTCCCATTCCCACGCAAGATAAGATGCCCGGCACGTTGAAGCACACAATCATCACCGCGCTGATGATGCGCGAGAGGTGCAGTTCGTTGCTGGCATACTGCGGCAGGTAGGTCTGCGGGAGCCCGTACCCACTGGAAAAGACGATATTGCCGATGGCGTAGATGTAGAAAGTGCGGTGCTTCAGGAACGTCCAGGGGATCTTCCTCGGAGCCCGATCCACCTTGGTCGTGACTGTCCTGGGGAGAATGCAGATGCCGAAGAGGCCGGTGACGAGCACGATCGCCGCCCAGATGCGCAGCGTCCAGCGGAAGCCCAGTTTCTGCAGTAAGGCGTAGAAGATGAGCGGGCATGATGTGCCCACGACGTTCTTGCTCGACAGAGTGACGCCGTACGCCGTCGTTCGGTTCCCGCCGCGGAACCACTCGTCAACGAACAGCGTCGTAGGACTGAACAGCATCGCGCTGCCCAGCGCCGCAATGACGCCCTGCAGCACAATCAAATGCCAGACCTCAGTAGCCCAGGACGAGGCAAGGAAAGCCGCGCTCTCGATAGCTATCCCCACCAACGCTGTCGTTCGTCTCCATTTCGCCCAGCGCGGATTGTCAAGCACGGTCGACAGGATGGGAAGCGAGAGGTACATGACGCCGTTGAGCGTAGTGCCAATGACACCCGTCGCTCGTCGGGAGCCGGAGAGCGAGGCTTGGTGGTTGTAGGCGTCTTGGAAGATGCCAAAAGACATGGGAATGCCTTGAAAGTCACCGGTGTCAGTAAGGGTCGTTCCTCTGCCTTTTGTGGTCAATCGATTGTCACTTCATACCCCAACATGGCAACTGAAGCAGTCCGCAGCCTAGCAGGACGAGAAAGGTCTGTCGTCTGCTCTTGGACGAAGCGAGCGGCACATCTTGCTGTCCCTCCCTCACGTCCTGTATAGCACTATCGTGCCTTTCAACCGTTTCTTTGGTCGCCATTGTGTTGGCCGTGGAAGGGTTGCGATCTCATCATCCAAAAATATGGGTAGCCAGGCAGAGAGTGACGATGTGTTTAATAGAAAGCGACCTCGGACTTCGCACCGAAGCCCGATTTCGGCAGGACGTCACACGACACTTCTGTGGCCAGTTACGTGCAAGGCTGGGAAAATCTCAATTGTCGAGTCACGACGCTGCTGCGAATGGCGACATTCTTCAGGCTGATAATGATAGGGGCTCTTCATGTGACATCTCGTCTCGATTCAAAATACGTCAAAGCCGCCTCCATCTGCCTCCCCCAGGGAGATGCACGTGGGCTGTAACTGAGCGGCTCGTCTCCTCGCATCTCCCAGGCTGAGATGGTAAGATTTCGAATGGTCACCACATTCCGGGCTGACACCTCTACTGACTCGCTCTGGGCGACTTTTGAACATGTAGGCTTGAGGTTATGCGGTCGATGGCTGGTCAGGCTGCTAGCAGCGGCTCAACGATCGTGCCTGTGTCAAGCTTACTGGATACAGATCGCTCTTCATGTGTCTCCACTATTGTCCGCACCATGTCCTTCGTCAATTGTCACAGTTGCTCCCCACGATCCACCTCTCAGCCGGCTCGGCCGCGGTGTCTCTTCCTGCAGATGGAAGGCCGGCTCCACTTCATCATGTACTACTGTCGCTCTCGCAACCGGCGCCTGCATCCGTCGCGATGTCTACCCGCTGATTGTTGATATACACTTCTGGATCGCAGCCTGACTGCCCTCGGAGGACGATAGATGTCTCGCCAGACATACGCAACTGTCGCCGTTCCCGCACGCGGTATTCTTTGTACATAATGGGAATCTCAAGCCTGTTCAACACTCGTTTGATCAGGTCCACAGCGTCCGGAAGGGCAACATTGCCTTGATACACCGCGGCAAGGACGACACTCGTGGCAGGTGGAAAGACGTTGTGCTGTCGTCCAGTATTGTACGCTTGGATGACTCGCTGCAACAGCTCTCGGGTGTTCTGATCGCCCGTCGTTACTTCGGTCATCGGGGCAACGTGAGCAAGCACACCCGCGAATTTGGAGAGTATCGCGATCGCCGTGCAGCCATTCAGTCCTTCCGTGGCGAGGAATTGCTGGTCTGGCCCCCAGTGGCAAGACATAACTTCGTTCATGGGTACCAGAATAGCATCGCCCCGGTCGCGGATGTCTTGAAGGTCATAAGCCATTGTCGCACTCGTTTCCGACGGGGACTTGAGTCGCAGCTGTTGATCCGTCCAACCTCACACACAGAGCCCCAAAAGTCTCTACTCGGGCCTTTGAATCGCACATAGACAAGCAGTAGAGAAGACGGGAAGTAGGGCATCTCAAGCAGCGAACGGCCTCGGGCAGAACGGCCTGCAGACCGCACTGCAAACCACACGAGCGGCTCTGCCTGTCCCGCCGCATTGTTGACCAACACCATGCTGCATGCAAGGTGATGGAAGCTGGCGCCAGCTCGACCAGATGAGCGGGTTGTCTGTGTGACGAGCTACATGACTTGCATGTACCCGACCCGACGTACCCAAATTCCGACGGCGGCCAACCGGATTTACTTTTGCCCCGCAGGTGTCGTTGCTCTTCGCCCTCACATTGCGCACCACAGCGCAAAGTTACGTCCTCTCTCAACCACCTCTTCCCCTTCAGATCCATCTGAACATGCATGAATAACTCCGATGGCGGCTCTACAGAGCATGGACCCCATCGAAGGATTGGATTTCGATTCGGTGAGCGCGGGAGATGATGCCTACGCCGTTCAAGCAACCAGTCCACTCTGTCTTCTCCTCGTGTCCAAGATAGAGCATGCCGCAAGCAGTGGAAACCTGGTCGCTGCAAAGGAGGCTTTCACCACTCTCTCCCGCACCGACGTGGGATCTGGATGGCTCAGGCGTCCGGGAAGCGCTCTGATCTTGGCCTTGCACGGCAATCACGCAAAGGTCATCGAGTACCTCTTAGCCGAAGGCGTCCAGATTGGCCCAAGCCACGTGCGACTTGCTACCGTCAAGAGAGCGCGGGCGATTCTTGAGCTCTTTGTTAGATACGGGTGGGATTTGAATACCCAGACGGAGTGGTCTGTTCCTCCGGCTCTTGCGTAAGTACATCTGTGCCCAACGCTCTTAAGTTCGTGCGTACTCACACCCCCACGTCTCCAGATTCGCCGCCGAGGACTTTGACCTCTGTTCCTGGTTCCTAGACCATGGTGCGGATCCAAACGCCGGCTGCGTGCTCGACATCACCCCCCTGTCGGCTGCAGTCCAATACGGCTTACTCGAAGTCATCCAGCTCTTCTTCGAGCATGGCGGCAAAGTCACGCAAGGCCAACTACTGCACTACGCCATTTGGCGCGAGCGCGACGACCGCGCGGAAGTAGTCGCCTACCTCTTACACAAGGGCGCGCCTGTCAATCTTCTCATGTACGAAACGCAACCAAAGAGCTTCGCCCTGCAGAAAGCCTTCGGCCTCGGGACGCCGCTGCATGACGCGGCAGCTCAGGGAGACGGCGTCGTCATGAAACTACTGCTCGATCACGGCGCTGATGCGACGGTCCATGATTCGCTGGGTTTCTTGCCGTATCAAAGGGCAGAAGCCAATGGCCATCAAGCCGTTGCGAGGCACCTGCACCGTCTCGTTCCGTGAGACCCATGTGCGCACAGGATCCGACTGAAGAAAAAATTCCCACAGACGTAGCGAGGCTGGTGACTGCTTCGTTTGCGAGGATCGGACTTGACACCATCATCTCAGGGTGTCGAAGGAAGGCATGGCAGCGGGAGAGCATCATAAAGCGCATGGCAGAGCCCAGCGGCGATCTTGATCCGAAGGACAAAGCCGTGGCGCTCCTTTGCAAAGCGCTTGTCTATGCCAAGGCGAAGCGACTCTTGAAGCGAGCAATGGATGATATCTCGGATCTATACCTGACAATTCAGTCATCTACCATCTATATCTGCAATCTAGCCAGGAACGCAACCCACGCCAGCTAAAAACGCTCAGAAAGCCCATCATGCACACAAACGTCAAACTCACTCCCCCTTCGCCCCCTCCAACCTCCGCTGCCTCTTCTCCACATCCTGCATCTCCCTCTCCATCAACTGATTAAACTCCTCCCAGCCATCAAGATACACATGATGCCCCGCATTCTTCACAATTTCCACCCGCGCATCCCCATTCTCGAGCGCCTTCTCGCGCGTCGTAGCGTTGAGCAAAGCCTTGTGCTTCTCCGCCGCGATCTTCTCTAGACTTGCGCGCCCACCCGCGGGATCCATCCAGTCGTGGTCGCCGTAGATGAACACTACGGGGATGCCTGTTTCACGGGGAGAAGCGGTTTGCGGTGATGCGGAAGTAGTAGTAGGAGTTTGGGTGGATGGAGGAGACGATGCGGCGTTGTCGGGTGTAGGCGTGGGTTTCGGTTCGAGGAATTGTCGTCCCACGCCTTGGATTCTGCGAATGAGTGGGCTGCGCGCGAAAGCGCCGGGTGCAAGCACATAAGTCAGCGCGTACTCGCCGCTGCCGCGCTGGCGGAAGAGGGAGTAGGAGTAGTCGTGCAGTGCCTGCGCTTCTTCCGGCGGTAGATGGCCGAAGCGACGTGTTGTCCAGCCTGAGACGAGGCGAGGCCCGAGAGGGCCGGCGAGACGGACGAAGGTGAAAGGGGAGAAGTTGGCGTCCCACAGCGTGCTGACCCATTTGGGTAGGCGTCTTGGAGGTGGTTTGGCGTTGCTCGTTGCTGCTGTTGTCTCATTGGAGGATTGGAGGACTTCGTTTTGGACTGTACCGTCGGTTGGCTCGGGTAGGGCTTCGCTCACTGCGTATGGGTCTTCGGGGAACCCCACGGGCGAAGCGAGGATGAGTTTGTTCAGGTGGCCGGGATATTTTAGCGCGTAGCAGACGGCCATGTACCCGCCGAGACTGTGGCCCAGCAGCGTCATTTTGTCAATCCCGCGCTTGATCCGCCACTCCTCCAGCGCATCCACAAACCAGTTCTCCGCTTCTCGCACCTTGCCTTCCCGATCTTTTGCATTAATGCGAAACGGTGGTCGCGAACTCCTTCCCATCCCTAGGAGATCCAAGGCGTATAATTTCCAGTGCGGCCGGCGCGACAGCGCGTCGAAGTTCTTGTAGAAGAAGCCCAGCCCGGCTCCATACCCATGCAGCATGACGAGGGAATTTGTCGTTTCCTCTCCCATTCTCTCGACGGAGAACTCGTTGAGGAATCTGCCCTTTCCTTTATTGGGTTCGGAATTGTCGAGCGGCACAAGTTTGCTGTGCCACTGTCTAGGACCCCAGGGATCGTTCAAACTGCTCGTCCGCACGGGCGCCGCCTCTTTGGATCGCCTGGTGTCCACGACGTTGTCTCCATCAACAATCTGCCCATTCACATCTGTTGTGCTGCCCTTGAGGCTCGGTGGCGCGGATCCAGTCTGAGTGTGAGTCGGGGGTTTCTGAAGATGCGGGACGAAGGAGAGGACGCGGTGCTCGGTCTGGGCGGGTGACAAGTTGGCCCACCATTGATTGAAGCCCTCTTTGTAGCCAAGTGAGAACCAGCTTCGTTTACCGTCTGGGGTGGAAGTGTTGGCGTTGCTGGGATCGTCTTTTGCGCGGTGGCGAGCGAGCATCGGCTTGCCTCCTGCGCTTCCTCCTTCCCGTGCGGCAGGGTCGTCGATGGAGTCGGTGGATGCCATGGTCGAGTAGTGGGAAGTACGTGCGAGGGGAGAGATACTCGTCCAAGGCAGGAGGGCGGCGAGGAAGAATGTTGAACGCAACGTGGCGGGAAGAGTAAGGGCGGAGGCTCCAGCGGAGCGGGAGAGTAAGACAGCCAACTTTGGTGGACGGGGTAGGGAGAAAAGGGTGGTAAGTCCGCCGGAGATCAGAAGCGTACGGCGACGGAGAGAGTTACAAGGCCGTCCATCAGGCAGGCGAGAAACGATGTTGCAGATGATGTTCTCGTTAGCGCGTCGAGGCAGAAGCACAATGACGCCAGTCCAGACGCGGACATAAACTTACCGTTAGCTTGTCTCCGCGGCGTCGCCTGACTGCACCCGCATCCACAACATCAACTGACCTCTTACCACCAACCACACCCACCTCAACCCACCACAGCCATGTAACACACCCCGCCCGGCCCCGACCATGGCAACCTCCGAGTCCAAACTCGACCAAATCGTCAAAGGCGTGCCGCCGCCCAACGTCTCCCCCGCCCAAATCGCCGCATCAGCCAAAGCCTCCTCGCCCACCAACACCACCAACACCAACCGCCCCATCGCCCCCCAACTCCCGCACAGCAGCACCATCACCGACCCCCGCGACGCCCTCCCTTCCAGCCCGCCGCAAATTTACCTCAATCTCCTCATCCTCGAGTCCTCCCTGCGCCTGCAGTACCTCAGTCTCCGCGCGCGCCTACGCGTCAATCTCCTCCTGCTGCTCACTCTCCTCCTATGGAACTGGACCTTCACCTACCTCCTCTTTTTCCGCCCACGAGAAGATGGCTCCGGCGTGGGTGGTAGCGTGTACTGGGCCATTGAGACGATTGAGAAGCTGGGCTGGTGCTCGGGCATCGTGACGCTGTGTCTCTTCTGGGGAACAGGGATGTACGAGCGCGGAGTACGGTGGCCACGGAAATTCGTAGGTACGACGAATCGCGGCCTGCGCGGGTTCAACATGAAGGTCGTCGTCGTGCGCGATTCCTTTTTCATGGAGCTCTGGGGATGGCTGGGCGTCTTGGATCCTCTAGGCTGGTTCCGAGACGACCGAGTGCAGTTTCAAGTTCTACCAAAAGACATCGAGGCGACAGGAGGCGGAGGGAAAGAACAGCACTGGAACCACCACGCCAGTCGCCACGGCTTGGTAGAAGAGGACATCGCGCCCTCCGGCGACGTGCTCAAAGTCCTCCTCCTCCCGAAACCCTTCTCCCCCGACTTCCGCGAAGGCTGGGAAACATACCGACTCGAATACTGGGAGCGCGAGAACGCGCGCCGCGCCGAGCTGCGCAAACTCTACCACGCGCGCATCCGCGAAGTCGCGCGGCGCGAAGGCGGATGGCTCTGGTGGACGGGCTGGAGAGGCTGGAACCGCATGGCAATGCTCGGCAACGCAGGGAAGAGCCGACGGCAAATCGAGCTGGAGAAGATTGCCGTGCGGCCCCGCGTCTCGCACGAGGCGGTCAAGGAACGAAGGAAGAATTCCCTCCTGCTTCGCCATCCGGCTGATCGCGCCGATTCCCATTCCCGATCTTCCTCTCGCTCTACAACGCCCACTCCCGACCCAGATTCGCCACATGGTCGGCCTAGGAAGCCGGGTGAGCGGGAACGGACGAGAAGAGGCAGTAGTACCGGCTCGCAGAAGACGCGACTAAAGAAGCTCGCCGCGCCGCCTTCGAGCCGTCTTTCAGCCTCAGGAACAGTTCTGCAGAACGACGAGGTCGTGCGGCCGCTGGAGAAGCGGGCGAGCACCATCAGCATTTCGTCAAAGGAGAGCGAGGAGAGTGTGCCGCTTAAGAAGGACGATGCGGACGGGGGCGTCGAGATCAAAGTCGAGCCTCCTGAGGCGTGATGTGAATTAGATGTGTACATTCTATATCCTTGAAGGGGGCTTCCGTCTTGCTATGACTACATGATAGACTGTTACACACATGTCTCATCGTTCTGTCCATTTCTGCATCGCCACAGATCCTCTGTTGGCTTTCATTCTTACCGCCTCCAAACGCTCTCCGGCTACGAGGCTGTGCAGCAGATTTAGCACGCGCCTTCTCGTCGCGTACTGTAACGCTGCGGTATGGCCAGGCCTGATGCCCCCAGCGAGTCTGGAGAGGATGTCCTCGAGCTCACGGCATTCTGCCACTGCCGGACAGTAGACAAGCACCAGCCCAGCTCCGCTTCGAGAGGCCTCGATCATCCCCGTCTCATAGCGCCTGCGAGCTCTCGACCTTGCCGTGTTGGCATAGTATTATATCCTCCGGACATCGAGAAGATTCGGAGAGCCTGCACTCCCCCAACCTCTTATCCAAATCCACATTCCCTCACTTCTCATCCTCCTGCCACACCTTGGGCTCCGTCTTCGTCTCAATCGTCCTTGCCAAAACAAAAGCCTGCTGAATCCCCATCTCATTCCCGATGCGGCGCAGATTACCCATCACATACTTGCGCACATCATCCGTAGCCAGTTCCATGAAGCCAGTATACCACAGAGGCCAGAGGAGGGCGAAAGCGTTGCTAGAGGGGCCAGAGGGCGATTTGGTTAAGACGTGTGTTCTGGCGTTATCGGCGGGTGGGCTTCCGTAGATGAAGCTGCTGAAGGAGGAGGAGGAGGAGGAGGAAGAGGACGGAGTCGCACTGCAGATTGCGGCGATGGAGGAGACGATTGGTTCGGGGGATGAGAGGGGAGGGAAGTACGCTGGGGAGAAAACGGGTTCGAAAGATGCCGGCACGCCGCTTTCGGGGGTCGCTTCGCGCCAGACGCTCGTTTTGCGCACGTAGCCGAGAGCTTGAGGCACGCTGGAGAGGATGTCGCTTTGCATTTGATAGATCATGTTCATCGATCGCTCGAGCTGCGCGTAGTCCTCCGCCGCCGTGAAGATGGGCGGATTCATCGCGAGGCCTTTGAGCAGCGCGCCACGGATGTGCTGATGGATCATGATGCGGAAGAGGCGGATCATATTCCACAGTGCTAATGCCCACGTGTCCCAGTGGACGTGGTATCGACCGTTGTACACAATGTCCGGATCGAAGTCTTTGTCGACGTACGCCACGTAGCTCCAATCTGGGGGCTGGTTGGCGTAGAGGTCGGCAAACGGCGCATCGAGTTCGAGCGCGGTATCGACGATCGTGCGGAGGTCGCTCATGATGCCGCGGTTGACTTTGTACTGGAAATCGGCGAAAGCTAGGTTGGTTTGGAAGATGCGAGTGCCGCGGCGCATATACTCGGGGAATCTAGGGTCGGCAGCCATCGCTTCTAACTCGCGCGTCATGTCGATGATGTGTTGGGGGGGTTTCATATCTCGCTGCAGGCAGCTTGTGAGGATGCTGGTGGCCGCCTGGATGAAGATGCGCCGCCCGATAGGAGACTCGAATTGTTCGACGCCGCGGAGTTTCAGCAGCGCGCTGGACCCGCGCACGTGCGCCGCCCAGTCTTTCATGGATTTCTGATTGCGGCCCGTGATCATCTCGTAGAGTCCAAGGAGGATGACCGACACCAGCGTGCTGTCTTTTTTGACTTGTGAAGGCGAGCTCAGAGCGGCGTTGGTCATCTTGAGGGCTTTCGTGTACTCGACACGTGAACTCTTGGCCAACTCGTCGCTGCGAACGTGATGTCCAAAGGATGCAAGGCTGGTCGCCTTGATCGATGTTGCAAGAACGGGATCCATCAGGTCCCAGATAAGTGAGACGGTCACGCTGTTGAACTCTCCATGACCGGGAACGGTGATGCCCACGGAATAGTTGCTGTTGAAGTAGCAAGTTGCCATGTTTTCAACTTCAGGCTGGAGGGACAGCATTGGGGGTAAGCCCCGAACGACAAGTTCGAGGTCTTCTCCATCCTGGGATTCGGAGTCGAGAATGATGGAGTCGTCAGTGTCTGGTGCTGGAGAAGCATTGCTTGACGGTGACTCCGACTTCACGCTCCTCTTGCGTTCCTGTGCTTTGGCTCTCTTGATCACATTGGCGCTCTGGTCACGGAAGACTAGATCTGACTGGACGCGGTAGCCGGGACATTGTCTTTTGGCTCGTTTGCATTGCGTGCATCCATTTGGAAGAGCGTCGCACTGCGCATATCATGTAAGCTGAGGGGTCGAGCAGGATACAGACCATGGCTTCTCCCCATGCAGAAGGCGAGCGATCAGATGACATACCCGTGTTTTACGCTGTCGACATGCATGACAAGCGCTCGATGGTTTCCCACAACTGCGAGCGTGTCAGCGAAATCGTCTGTTTCGAATGGGGCCATCACGTAACGCATGTCGTTGGCGGCTGAGATGACTTACTAGACCATGTCGGCTTGAACACCGCGCCCGTTCTGCAGGGGGACTCTGCCGTCGTAATCCAGGAGCCAAAAGAGCCTGGTGGAAATGGAAGTCTACATGGGGAAAATTGGAGGGATCGCAGAAGACTCATGCCATGTTGAGAAATGCAGCAGCTGAACTTCAGGCGACAGGCTGTGAAGTGACGTCTCCACAATTCGCACCGCCACATCAAGGTGGGCTCCGCTCCGCTCCCCGGCGCCTGACGATGTGGCGTAAGCGGGCAAGTGTTTCCCAAACTTCTTGCCTTGCTGTAATCTCATCCAACTCCAACAAAGGAACTCACGACCATGGCGAACGATAACCTCCCGTGTAAGGATTGCACAACACCCTCATCCCTCTCCCTTGCACGCGCGCTAACCTCTCGATGCTCTGGCTCCCAGATGCCGCAGATGCTGAAGCGTACGTCTTTCCTACACGAATGGCCCCTCCATTGCCACCTTCGCTGATCCATCCCCTCCACACAGTCCCCTGAAACCCGCCGAGCTGCAAGTGCTGCGCGCGCAGTTCGAAAAAGAAGGCGAATACGTCTCGCTCCAGACAAAGTTCAACTACGCATGGGTGGGTCAATTACCCAACACGAACCTCCCATCAAACAGCCACTGATAGGACTCCCCACACACAGGGCCTCATCAAATCCACCTCGCGCCACGACCAGCAAGAAGGCGTGCGTCTGCTGTCGGACATCTTCCGCGCCAGCCCTGATCGGAGACGAGAGTGTCTGTACTACCTCGCGCTCGGGAATTACAAGCTTGGAAACTACGCGGAGGCCAGGCGGTACAATGACAGCTTGTTGGAGTTGGAGGGCGGGAATATGCAGGCGCAGAGTCTGCGGCAGTTGATTGATGACAAGGTGGCCAAGGAGGGGCTGATGGGCGTTGCGATTGTGGGGGGGCTCGCTGCTGCGGCTGCCGTTGGGGTGGGATTGTTGGTGAAGGGGGCGCAGAGGAAGAGATGATGAGATGGTGTTGAACCTATGGACATGAATACGACCACGGCATTACTAGGATAACGGACAATTGACGTGAAGGGCATCATACGACGAGTCTGCTTGACAGCCCCCTCTAAAAGATAGGAGCAGGAACCACGGGCTCCGGCAGGATCTTTCCCTCCCCCAGAATCTTGTGCATCTCATGCCCGACATCGTTGCCTCCACGTGCATCATCGCTGAACCACACTCGAAACCACTGACCCCCCTCTTCCTGCCCCTCGGTCTCGCCCTCATCAAACCTCACTCCACAACTAAACCCGCCCCAGTTCCACAGCCTGAAAATCACCCCTTTGTACACCAGGCCCCAGAAGAACTCATTAAAGCAGCCCTCGTTCTTCACCACCACCGTCCGCACGTTGCGCAGCCCCTTGAACGTCTCGGCAAAGGTATGCGCGAGCGTATGCGCCTGCGCATGGTACGCAATATCCGCGTAAGCGGAGTAAATCGCATCCGGCCGCTTGGGAACAACAGTAAGAACATCGAGGAACAGCGAAGGGTTCCCGAACGGCAGACCAGCCCACGCCTCGTTCATGGCGCGCAGCTTCGAGATGCGCGCGGTGATGGTGATGTTGCGGATGGCGGAGACTTTGGTGCTGCGGAGCTGCGAGATTTGCTCGCGGAAGGCGTCGGGGTGCGAGGCTTCGCCGACGACGTGGAAGCTGGCCATGGATTGCGCGAGCAGGTGGGCTTCATTGTGGATTTGTCTGCAGGTGCGGAGGACTTGGAGTTGGCCATCGGGGGAGCGCTCGGATTTGAAGGCGTCGTGGTCGTATTGTGGTTTCAGGGCTTGGGCGATGGGGTCTGGACTGGTGTCTGCTGTGATGGGTGGAGAGGTGCGAGTGAGAGTGGGGGTGAAGACGTGGATGTAGATCGAGTTGCGGAGCTCGCAGGGGATGGTCAGGAAGGATGTAGGGATGGTGGAAGCCATTGTGAGGGAGTAGAGTGTGAGTGGAATTGACGCGACGCGGTTGGAATGAGTCGGAGGGAAGTGAAGTTGTTGACTGCGCGTGGACGGAAGGAAGGAGGTCAGTTGACGCGACCTCGGAGGTCATCAATGATAAGCAAAGCTTAAATGACGCAACCTGCCCTCTTTCCGAAGTCTCCGCTTCAGGAAGGAGCAGATCTGGGGTAACTCGCGACCTTTCACTATCCTCCCTCTCCTCTCCTCGTTCACGGGACGCGGCCGAAATTCAAAGGACGTAGAGTTCTCGTCTCACCAGCGCTCATGTGTTTTCCCGAACTATACAGCCTCCCGCTGTCGTGTGACCCATTCTGCAGGCACGCGCAGCAACTGTCGTTACACAGCATATTGCACGTGGTCGTGCATATGCCTCAAAATGAGCAATGCTGCGCTTCTGCGTCCGGTCTCTATGCTCCTTGATTACCAAGCAGTTTCGGAGAATCCAGCCTCGACCCTAATCAGGCCACCCAAATACTACATTCGATTTCCATCAACCGGTGCGGCTGAAGACTTAGGGTGTAAGCATGCCCTACTGAGCCCCGAAGGGAACTGGATACACCTTTTACAAAGCAAGATTACATCTACATGTAAGCACTCGCCTGCATTTCCTCTACTCATCTGAGGTTTCCATATCCACTTTCCATTTCCCTTCACTCATACTCCAATTGTCAATCTCCCACCATGGCAACACCAGAAGACTACAAGCGCCTAGGCGCGTGGGCCGTCATGCTCAACCCAGATCAAGGCATTGACAGGCACAACCGCACCCGTACCGTCCCCATGCAAGTGCTTGCCCTAGGCTACTCACGGACCGGCACACTATCCATGCATACGGCACTGCAGACCCTCGGCTACACCACCTACCACTTCTCCAACATTTTCGCCAACGTCCGCGACGCCGACATATGGCAGGAACTGCTGGCGGCCAAATTCCACAACAAAGAGAACATCCCCTTCGACTACAAACACGCCTTCGACCAACTGCTCGGCGACTACAGCGCCGTCACAGACAACCCCTGCGCCCTGTTCTGGAAAGAGCTTATCGAAGCCTACCCCGACGCCAAAATCGTGCTCGTAGAGCGCAACGAGGAGACGTGGCTAAAGAGCATCGCCGTCCTCTTCGACGGCGTGCTACACCCCATCAGCACGCACGTTCTCCGCTTCACCGATCCGTATTGGTACGGGCGCGTCATCAGCGCAGGGCGAGGGTGGATCCTCGCCTCTACGGGACACGCCAGCGCCGCGGGAGCGAAGCAGAACGCTCTGGCGGTTTACAGGAAGCACTACGCCGACATTCGAGCCGCGGTGCCGGCGGAGAAGATGCTGGAGTTTCGGCTCGGGTCTGGATGGGAGCCTTTGTGTAAGTATCTGGGCAAGCCGGTGCCCGATGTGCCGTTTCCGCGTCTGAATGAAGCGGCGACGTTGGAGAGGACTTTTCCTGCTGCGTTTGGGAAGGCGGCGAAGAATTCGCTGATCAATTTGGGGATGGTGGTGGGTGTCGGGGCAGTTGTGGGCAATTTGGTGTGGCGGTATATGCTATGAGCGTGCGGTAGAGGAGTTATGCTCGCGCGACTGGCGGGACGGAGACGTCCATATTTCAGTATTATCCCGGCCGCAATGCCCTCACTTACATGACAAGAGTACGGCAAGGCTGTGTGCTGGTTGTTCAGGACGAGACGCGTGGTTGGAGGAGGCCAATACGTGAGAGCCCGGGAATAAAAGTCGAATTCCCGGGTGACGGAGCCTCGGTTGGGAGGGAGGGCCAGAGCTCGGTGGAGAAAGCCGGGGACGACATCATCGGCCAATGTATCTTATGTTTCGCGGAGATCAATCTTTCCTTCATCTTGCATTGCTATAGCACGCATTATCCCCACAATGCCATCCGCAATCTCCATCCGCCAGATCGAGGGCAAGCCGGGCAAAGTGTACTACCCGCTTGAGAAAATCAACGTGCCCGAGCCGAAGCCCAAAGACAACGAAGTCGTCGTCAAGATCTCCGCCGCCGCGCTCAACCATCGCGACCTCTTCCTGCGCCAGCACCTGTACCCCGGCATCAAGTTCGGTGTCCCCCTGCTCGCAGATGGCTGCGGCGTAGTCGTGCAAACTGGATCGGGCGATGCGGCGAAGAAGTGGAAGGGGAAGAGGGTGGTTCTGAACCCGGGGACGGGATGGAAGGATGATCCGGAAGGACCTGAGGCCAAGACGGGGTATTCTATCATGGGCGGGACGAGGATGAATCCCGTGGGGACTCTGCAGGAGCTTGTGACGATTGACGCGAGCGAGTTGGAGGAGGCGCCCGAGCATCTTTCGAGCGTGGAGGCTGCTGCCATGCCCTTGACTGGTCTGACGGCGTGGAGGGCGACGATGACCAAGTCTGCGAATGCGAAGAAGGGACACAATATTTTGATTACGGGCATTGGTGGTGGGGTGGCGCTGATGGCGCTGGTGTTTGCTTCTGCTGCTGGAGCGAACGTCTTTGTTACCAGCGGCAATCAGGAGAAGATTGACAAGGCGAAGAAGCTCGGAGCAAAGGACGGTGTGATTTACAAGGAAAAGGATTGGGACAAGCAGCTGTTGAGCAAGTTGCCCAAGGACCGCCCGTTGTTCGACGCCATTATCGATGGAGCAGGCGGTGACATCGTGACCAAGGCGGCCAAGCTTCTCAAGGTGGGTTCCCGCAGAATCAACACATTCCTAATCAACATACTAACCTACTCCAGGCCGGCGGCATTGTCTCAGTCTACGGCATGACCGTCTCCCCCAAAATGGACTTCGTGATGCCTGCCGTACTGAAGAACATCGAAATCCGCGGCTCCACCATGGGCTCGCGCAAGGAGTTTGCAGACATGGTCGCGTTTGTGCGGAAGAACAAAGTGTACCCGGCGGTGTCGCGGGTGGCCAGCGGAGGCATCGATGACTTTGACGGCATCAACAGTCTGTTCGAGGATATGAAGAGCGCGAGCCAGTTTGGAAAGTTGGTGGTTGAGTTGGCCAAGGACGATGGGCCGAAGCCGAAGAGTAAATTGTAAAGTCACGATCTGGATGTGCAAAGGTATCCGTAGCAATAATCCAGCTCGAATCTGTAGATTGATTGGCGACTCCGATTCATTGTCCTCTCGTCAGCCGCACGACGCTCTCCCGCTTGAGCCTTGCCCTAAAACTTCGCCACAAGCCTGCGCCCCAACCGCCCAATGTGGCTGCCTGGCAGGGACCACACCTCTATTCTTAACATCGTCCTACATACACATCAAATCTTAATGCGACGGGAGGCATTTCACAGATATCCGCATCTTCACATCATTTTAGCACCTGCATTCGTGCATCCCCAGGCGTTTGAGCGATACAGCATGAGCCCTTGAGGGCGGTTCACAGTCCTGCATGGCGACTACTACCGACCTCGACACGCCCGATGACCTCTCTTCCATCGCGGAAGATAGCGGCGTGGACGACGAGTCTTTATACGATGAAGGACATAACGCTTCCTCTCCCAACGCAGAGCCCGACGCCTTCGCGCCGAGCACCGCAGCCGCGCAAGCAGCAAAGGCGTTGGAGGTCGCGCAGGGCTCTTCTGCGTTCGATGGGCCTGCGGAAAGTCCAGTCGCTTCGCCTGGCTGGCCAGACGAACGATCTCTCCCCATACTAGATGCGGGTCCGGCTCCGCCAGATTACTATGCCGCCACGACGGCCAGGCGCCACCCGGAGCGGGACGGGGTGCGCGAAGGAACAGACGACGAGCGAAGCTCTACGGCTGCAGAGGAGTTTGAGGTGCTTGAGCCGCTCATGCACTACGACGACTCCCTGGCGTACTCTCCAGCATCTTCCCACAAGCGGTCGAAAGATATCAAACACCGCCTTGCAACCCTGCTCGACCAAATCCGACACGGCCGGCCACCGTCTCTCCGCTTCACTCGCATGGCCCAGCGCAGCGCTCTCTTGCTCCTATTGACTCTAATTATTGCCTGTGCAATCGTCGTCTCAGTACCCCGACGACGCAACAACATTTTACATCCCGACTACACCCGACTCCCAGATGAAATTCGCAATCCTTCCCACGACCACCCCAATACCGAGCACTGCCGCTTCGACAGCTTCAGCGAGTACGTAGAGATTCCCTTTGACGATCTGGATTACTTCACATTCGAGGAAGGTGACCTGACGTCGGATGACGCCGCCGGCCTTCATATCGGTGGCACATTCCACGACGATCCTCGAGATTGGAAGAAGGCGCTCATCTCCGGCAATGTTGTCCTCATGGAAACGCCCCAGCGTGCCGATGCGCGAGACGCCGCCATCACGGTCCGAATCAACATTGCTACCACCGAGGGCTGGACAACGGAGAAGATCCGGTTCGTGAAGCATGGCCAGATCGTGAGGTTGCAGACCCCAGTCCTGTCAGCCTCGTCGGAGGCGGAGATTGTTTCCCAAACTCCCTGTATGGATATGTGGGTTGGCATCTACGTGCCACAGCGCTACAGCCCCGTGAACTGGGAAGTGGACCTGAAGTACTTGAATTTTCACCAGCAGTCGCCGGCAAATCTAGCAGCAAGCGACAACAACTTCCTGCTCAACGTGGAAAACTCCACGCGAATCGCCTCCCAATACGGCGCCGTGCACGCCGCGCTGAGCGCCGCCTCCATCTCCGTGGAAACGTGGACGGGCAAGATCACGGGGAGCTACAGCTTCCACGATGCCGTGAGCCTCGAGGCCCTGAGCGGCGACATCGACGTGACCATCACCCCGCTCGAACCCAGCAACTCCGACATACGAACCCTGCAGACCTCGACCGACACCGGCGAGATGAAAGTCGTCGTCCCGCCCGAGGCCCTCGACAACGCCGCCTCCATCCAGGCCGACCATTTCTCCGGCTTCGGGTCCACGTCGCTGACCTACCCCGTGGGCTGGCCGGCGAACGTGCACACCACCTGCCTCACGGGCTCGCTGCGGATCAACGGGCGCACCATTCCCAAGGACGAATTCACAGATGACGGGGCGTCGGAGGTAGAGCTGGTGACCGAGCCGGACGATGAGAGTTACGGCTATCTCAACGTCCATTCCACCTGGGGAGATTTGGATCTCATCTTTCAGGAGGTCGCGCGCGAAGTCACTGCTGATGGAGCGTGAATCGTGTGTTCCTTTTTAGAACATCTCTGGCAGCCGGACAGTCTCAATACGACTGCTGGGATCAGCCGAGCGGAGTTTTTCGCAAAATCCAAGAGACAAAGGGCGTTGATATCGCTAAAGCAGAAGACCGCCTAAAGGAGATGCTCCAGCCTGGCTGCTACCCGGATGAGTCGTGTACGCTATGTCTGTTTGTTTTACATCTCGGTGCGCGCCACTTTGCGTGCAAGCCGATGTACAACGTGGTGGATTTGGGGAAATGTTGTAAGAAAAGCATTGGGAGTTTTGGAAACGACAATGAAAGGACTACGAGATCTATGATGCACCACCGCCGGGGTCCGCATCTGGGAGGATTGGGAAGTCGGAGGGCCCGGGCGGCATTGAGAAGAGAGTAGATGTAGTCTGACAGCCACTGTGATACAGAGCCAAGATGGGTGAATCATTCTGAAACCGATATCTCGAAACGCCGCCGGTCCACCAAGATCGCTTACTGCTTGGGCGGGTACTTCTTGAAGAAGAATCTAGAGCAAGGTCAGCTTTCATATCAAGTCTCGAGGGGTCGTCAGCACACATACTGCGACACGTAGTAATCCCCCACGGCAAACAAGCCCACAATCCCCGCCCACGCACCCGCCACCTTCCACGTGAGCTCGTTCCTCTGATGAAGCCTATAAGCCCCAATTCCCAACAATCCACCAAGCGCAGCCACGGCGATAACATTCCCAATCACCACGGGATTCTCCTTGTTCTTGTCCGCCCAGCGGCCGGCCTCCTTGCTCTCCTCCTTCACCTTCTTCGCATCCTTCTTCACCTCCTTCTTCGCCTTGTGGTAGCCCTTGTCGGCCTCCTTCTTCCACTTCTCGTACGAGGCTTTGGCATCCGCGCTGAATTGGTCGTATTTCGTGCCTGCTTCCTTTTCCAGGCGCTGGAGTTCGGCTTCGGCTTGGGCGGTGAATTCCTTTGCGTCTTGCGCGGCGCGGTCGGCGGCGCGCTCGGCTTGGAATGCAGCTTCATCTGCCTGCTCTTTCGCCTTTTGTTGTTCGGCGTAGCTGGGGAAGTGCGACTCGTGCGAGCCGGAGAAGTCGGAGGAATCGATGCTATGGACGCCGCTGTCGCTGTGTTCGATCTCGGGGATAGGGTCGGGGACTCTGGGGGAAACGGTTAATTGGGTGGTGGCCCATTATAGGAGATGGCAGAGGCCATACTTCTGTTTAATGGGTTAGCTTTGTGGATGTGAGGCTATGGGAGAGTATCTTGCCTCAGCGTTGGTCTGTTTGGGCCCCTTGGCCGCCATGTCTGCGTATGTCGCCATGGTTGATGCTCTTTAGCGTCGAGCGATTGTCGTCGGTGAGGTGATGGAGGACAGTACTACTGGCGTTCAGAGTGCAAGGCTCGGGTCGTGTTGCAGAAGGGAGGAGAGAGAGAGGTGTGGTGGCTTGCAGAAGTTGGAACGCGCGCCGTCACATGCTCCCGCCTCACTGAGGCTTGCGTCTGGATCTACGTCAGTGTGGCTGGTGCTTCTGCTGGTCAAAGCTTCGATGCCGCCTTTCCCGTTATGGAAGTCATGTTTGGGAAATCGAGGGAAACGTCCAACGAACGTTCATTCCCATTCCATCACACGCATCACGAGGCCGGAGACGAAGCAGAATGTCTGCAGGATGGAATACCATCGAGTCGGACGCGGGGTGAGCATGCGCGGATCTCCTCGGTATGGACCGCGACTAACAACGTGGCCAGAGTCTTCACCTTCCTCATCGAGAGCTTAGGCGTGAAGAACGTCCAGTTCGATGAACTCCTCTCCCTCGACGCCGAATCCCTACAACCCCTCAACCCCATCGGCGTCATCTTCCTCTTCAAATACCCGACCGGCGAGAAACCTCAGCGCGACAAGCCTCTCGATGGCGAGTTCGACTACTCCGCCCTAACCCCACAAGAAGAAGACGAGCCGGTCTGGTTCGCAGCACAGACAATACAAAACGCATGTGGCACACAAGCACTGCTCTCCGTCCTTCTCAATAAAAACAAGGCCGACGACGGCGTAGAAATCGGCGCGAATCTCCAAGAGTTCAAGGACTTTACCTCCGCCTTCCCCTCAGATCTCCGCGGCGAGGCACTCAGCAACTCGGACTTGATCCGCGACACCCACAACTCTTTTGCGCGCTCCTCGCCTTTTGTATCCGACGAGACGAAAGTCGCGACGGAAGACGACGATGTCTATCACTTCATAGCGTACACCAGCATCAACGACACCCTCTACGAACTCGACGGCCTACAGCCCGCGCCCATTCGCCACGGCGACAAAGGCGCCTGTCCGCCGGAGATATTCGCCGACTCTGTGGTTCCGGTGTTACAGAGGCGGATCGAGCGATACCCGCAGACGGAGATTCGCTTTAATTTGCTCGCAATGTGTGAGGATCGGAGGATTCAAGCGCGGGAAATCGGTGATCAGGAAACGCTGATGAGGGAGGAGCAGAAGAGAAGGGAGTGGAGGTGGGAGAATGCGCTGCGCAGACACAATTTTGTGGGCTTCATTGGGGAGGTTATGAAGGGCGTGACGAGAGGGAAGGTGAAGGATGGTGGGTATGACAAGTGGATTGAGGATGCAAAGGCGACGACTACGAAGAGGATGGAGGAGAGGCGAAACAAGGGGCAGGTTGGTGGGGATGAAATGGACGTGAGCTGAGTTGGCGGTGCTGGCTCGCCTTCTCCCCATGCATAGTGGGATGTTGCTTCTCACAGTAGTGCTGGTCCCGGCCGCCCTGAGGACTTCTCTTGCTGATGAGAGTCCTCGCACTCGGACTGCAGCACTCATATAGCTGTCCGAACCCGAACGAATGCTACGTGACGAACACCAATTCAAATTAAACCAGCCAGTCTACATCTTCGCTGTACTAACCTCACCATTCTCTTCCTCGGTTTTCTAGTCGCTCGTATTCGGACCTGTCACGGCGTTTCCTCCGCCACTTTGCGTCATAGGCGAGTTCGGCTGAGGTGTGGAGATGTAGGCTGCGGCAACATGAAGTGCGCATTGGCGAACCGTTTCCCGACGAGAAACATTTCTTTGGCCTCCAAATAACCCAGGACTACAATCCAGCATTGTAACAACATCAACCATCACAACATGCCTAAAGGAAGCTGCGCCTGTGGCGACTTCACCTACGAGGTGCCCGAGGATGCACAAGCAACTGTGAGTCGTGGACGAAAGGCACAGTGAAGCAGGGCAGGTAATAACGCAATCCCACCAGGTCGTCTGCCACTGCTATCCCTGCCAGAAATTCGCAGGCATGAACGGCAGCACAAACGGCGTCGTGCCCAAAGACAAAGTCCGTCCCGCCGTCCGCCTTACCCACCAGCTGCGCTCTGCTGACACACGCTTAGTACAAAGTGCTCTCGGGCTCCTCGCGCACCTGGACGCGCAAAGGCGACTCGGGCAAAGAGGTTACGAATGGGTATTGCGAAAATTGCTCTTGTTTGATGTGGGTTGAGGCCGAGGCGATGCCTGAATTCAAGATCTTCAAGCCTGGCACTCTGGACGACCAGGCTTTCCTCGATGCCCATCCTCCTGTGCAGGAGATTTACACGAAGAACAGGCCAAGTTGCTTGGAGGCTTTCCATCAGGCGGAGCAGAAGACGAAGGCTTGAGGGGAGGAATGTAGTTGGGGAGGTGAGGTGAAGTTGATGGTGGATATGGGCCCAGGGCCCGATTCCATCAAGGTACCGCACCAAATTGCTAAGTGTAGCCTCAGACTCTTGGTATTAGCGCGCTGGCACCCTTACGACTTGATTGTCGCCTGATCTGAGTAGTGCCCTTCTGCAAACGTATGATTGCAGCCGCACTCAGTCCTCCAACCGAAGCCGCTCCATTGGCTCGGCGGGCTCTCTCTCTCTACGTTACCATCCTTCCTCGTTGTCTGCAGCATCCTGATCATCCTCCTCCGAACCAGCTTCCAAATCAGCGAGATACTCTTTCATGCGCTTCTGCTCCGCCTCCAATTCTGCTAGCTTGTCGCGTGCCTTTTGCTTGTCGGCTTCTTTGGACTTCCACGCCTTGAAGCGGCGTCTGTTGGCTTTTTTGAAGTTGCGTAGCTCCTCCATCTCAGCTGTTGTATCTCTTTTCGACGCCTCCTTGACCTGTGTGCTCTGGTTGGCGTTGCCGGACTCCGTCGTTTGCGTGACGGAGATCTGGCAGTTCGGCGACTGGGTGGTTGTCGTTGTTGATGCTGTCGTTGTAGGTGTCTCAGCGGATTGTGGTTGGTCTCGGTGCTGGAGATTGGCTTGATTGGCTGGTGCAGCGAATGCCCTCGCGGGTGGTGCTTGGTGTGGCTGCTGGAAGTTGACTCGGAGGCGCTGCGCAGCGAACGATGTCATCGACACATTCGACCGCGTCTGCGCGATTCTCCGGGTAGGAGCGAATTTCGGATAGAACCCCATGATCTTATCGCGGTACACGGTTGCATCCTCCTTGAGCAACTGCTTTGCTTTCGCCATGTCGTCCACAGACCACTGCACATGGTCGATATCCATGCCAAGCGGATTTGTGTTGTAACTCGTGCTCAACCCGCGTGCCACTTCGACTGTCGGCCACGACAGTGGCTCAGGCAACGGCATCTCTCCAACGATCCCACGTTCCTGAGCCCACTCTCGATCCTCACTGAGCTTCGCCAGACAGTTGCTAACATCGAGAATCGCCCGACCGTCCAGCGTAGTGACTCTTATGTCTATACATCCAGAGGCCGACCTGCCAAACTTCATCCGTACAAGGTCTTGAATGATTCTCGAGGCCACCTGGTCGCGTTGCCGAACGACTGCGATGGGCAGCTCCTCCGCTTTGATGTCTGCGTCGCCCGCATTTTCAGCGATGCTGGGCTCCGTATTCCTGGATGGGGCTGCGCCTTGGAGTTCGTACGTTGGGTAACGCGGAAACCCCCCCATGGATTTCCTTGCAGTCTGTTTGGTCTTTGCCATCTTGCTGGACAGGCGTTTGTGAACAGTTGAAGGGGTCGAAGAGGCTTCAGTGAAACCCAATCGCACCGGGTTGCTTGCGTGCTTTAGCCGTTTGTGTGACACCAGTAAGTCACTGCGCCGTTTGTCTTGTTCGCGACGCTATCATAGGTGTCGCCCTTTGCAATGATCTCTGCGTTCGAGGACTGCTTTATGCTCTGGGGGCTGAACGAAGTGGCGGTGCGGACAGAACTTGTGAAGGAGAGGGTGAAAATGGCTCTTTGAAGTGAAGAAGCAGAAGTGTGAAGTTTGTGGGTGTGAAGAAATGAATTCCTCACCTGTAAGCATGTGACTGTTGAATCGATTGCTCTGCGGTGATGATTCGTGTGCTTCCCCGTCCTGCGCCTCACGACACGGGCTGCTCTGAGGCCTTCCGGCATTGGCTTCCAGAGGGCAGAGATTCGACCATGCGGCCTTTTGCTGCCGTGCATTGTTTCAACCTGGAGATGGCGGGCATGAGCGTGTTTGCCCAATGTCGTTGTTACCTATGTCATCGGGGGAAGAGCAGCAGCAGGCACCCTCAACCGCTGGCCAGTTGGACGGACATGCCATCTCTCGAACATATAGAACACCAGCATCGCGCTCTCTGGCAGATTCAACCCCGTGTACATCGAGCTGATTCGAGGGGAGAATGCTGCCCGGGACAGAAATGCCAGGCTCGACAGCCGCCCTTCGCCAAGACCGCAGGCTCACAACACCTCCACCATCTCATCGCTTTGACATCGCTTGCGTGATGGTAAGATCAACTCATCAGCCCGGGAAGATCGGCATGATACTGGCCTTGGCCATGTTTCGCGTGCATCGCAACGTGGGATCAATGTGCAGGGTTCGCTGAGCTCGTCGTATGGCGTGCTCGCCTCCTCCATTCCGAGGTCGGTGGCGTCGAGGTACTTGATCGACACTGCACCCCTCACAATTGATAAAACGTTCTTGGAAAGACAGATTTACAGTACAATCTCATCGGAAACACTCGAATCTATACATCACACAACATCCATCATGGCACCATCCATCGCCGAACTGCCGCCATCTGGCCTCGAGACCAGCAAGACCATCCCCATCAAGCCCTGGAGCCGTCCGGAGCCGACCAAAGAGGACCTGGACTGGGCACCTCTCGTTGAAATCGACTTGTCTCGTTTCGATGAGCCCGGCGGCAAGGAGGCTCTCGCCGATCAACTCCGCGATGCAGTCACCAACGTCGGTTTCTGGGTCGTAACGGGCACTGGCATAGAAGATGAGCGTGTGCTCCGGCAATTCAGCATTGGAAATACCTTTTTCCAAGAACCGTTGGAGGAGAAGAGAAAGCATCCTTGTCATTTTGAGAGGGGCGAGTGTGAGTGCAAACTTTCCGTTGACGCTTTCGTTTACTTTTGCTAATGGCGTGTCAGACTATGGGTACCGTGAGAACTCCCGATGGATCGGCGACACTGGTATCAAAGAGAACATTGAGATGGTACGGCTTGTGCTTCTTCATTGACAGCGCCGACTAACGGGTTGTAGCTCAACGTTCAAAAGCCCATTCCACAGCTGGATGACGAGCCCCGGCACCGCGTCGTCCAGGAGAATTGGGATGAGATTGCGTCTTTCCACCGTGAGCTCCATGAGAAAGTGGCCCGCAAGTTGTACACCCTGATGGCGATAATCCTGGAACTCCCGGAGGATTACCTTTATGACCTTCACAACTACGACGGTAAAAGTGATGATCACCTGCGATACATGATTTACAATGTCCGCACCCAGGACGAATGGGATCGTGCGCAGGCGTATTCCAAGGGAGGACATACTGACTTCGGCTCCCTGACGCTCTTGTACGCTCAAAACGTTGCCGGGCTGCAGATCCGCACCCCCGAAGGCGAATGGAAGTATGTCAAGCCTGTGAAGGGAGGTATTACGTGCAATGCCGCGGATACCCTGAGCTTCCTTACCAAAGGTCAGGACAGTGTTTGGACGAGAACTTACCGTTACTTGACCATAGCTGACTCTACACAGGATATATTAAATCGACCATTCACCGTGTCGTGACTCCGCCCAAGGATCAGATCGATATCCCTCGCCTAGGCCTTCTATACTTCTCAAGGCCCGGTGACAATGCACCCATGCGCGCAGTGCCTTCGCCCGTTCTGGACAGACTTGGTCTGCTCACCGCAGAGGATAAAGATGAGAATGCGCACGTGGTTACTGGGACCGAGTACGTGCGGGCTCGAGTCAAGGACGTCCATCACAAGACAGTTCTGGACAAGCGTGAGGGAACCAACTTCGAGTTCAAGGGCTTGAAGGTGCAGAATTACTATGATTAGAGTCCGTAGAATTCTTTGCTCTATGTGATCTAGTGTTACAATCTCCTTGCCTCCATCCGATATGATGCCGTGCAGGTATTGCCGACCCAGGGTGAAGTACTGTAACATTGAAAGCCTTGGGGAGAGACGTTCCAACCACAGCCACGTGGTTTGGCGTCGTGTGGCGACTGCTCCACATTTCCGCGACTTCACGTCATCTATTTTCATTTCGCGTCCTCTCACTTCCTGCCGGAAGCCCAACTAGTGAAGTGAAAGGCACCGTCCCACTCAGCAGAAGACGTCAATCACATGCCAAAACATTGCCGATCAAATTCAACCAAACGTGAAGCGAAGTGAAAGTTACCGGCGAAGATGGACACTCGGTGAAGGCTCGTGGCCAGCACGCATCCACTCTTGCGATGAATTCGAGAAGGCGAAGGCATTCGACTGAGCGCACCCTTACACTCCCACAGCTCCGTCAAGATGAGCTACATGCAACTGCTGGACCCGAAAGGGGCGGCAAAGGCGAAGGACAAGGGAAATCCGAAGAAGAAGAAGCATTATGGTACGTCTCCTTCTCATCACTTGATGCCTGTTTATCACTTCACTTGGATCTCATCTGCTGCTCTTGCCTAAAACGGTCAGAGTGGCATAGTCACCTGCTTCATTTTTGCTATTGTCACACGCTTTTCTCCCTTGGTGTTTCAGGTTGCCACCTGCCTCCTCTTTTTGCTGTTGCAAAGGCTTCTCAACCTTCTCCTCCTCCTTCTTCTCTACATCACTGCTCCATCTTTGCAGGTGGATTGCAACGTCTTCGTTAGACATTCCCTGATCGCTCTCCACAGGCCCGCAACAATCCCGCAAGCCGACAGCGTCGAAAGACGCTGATCCCACTCCGCCGAAACTCGACGCAAAAGCTCTCCTCGACCCCAAAACGGCAGCAAGCATGAAGTCTCCTGCTCCTACCCCTGGCAGCCCATCAGCGAGCATGAAAGTCGAAAGCGCCGAACTCACTCCACGCAAGCTCGAAGCAAGAGCCCTGCTGGACCCCAGAGCAGCTTCCAGAATCTCAAAGTCTCCCGCTCCTGCGACCGACAGCGCATCAACCAACATGGATACCGACAAGCAGCTCGGCATGGGTGACTTGATTGTGCGACAGAATAACCTGGTCGATCGGCAAGCGCAAGCTCCGCGAAAGCGAAAGATCGAGTCCGTCGATCCCAACGAAGAAGATGACCAAGAGCACAAAGCCACAAGGACGACTTTCAATGGCATCACCGGTGGCGGAGAGATCGGGAAGTACATGAAGGAGGAGCGAGAGAAGGGCGCGCGCAATGAGCCAATCGATCTCACGGATGACACGAACGACGTGGTGCTGGTTTCCGAGTCCACCGGCGCCGAGCACAAAGAAGTCTGTCTCGGGATGCTGCACTCTCAAGCAATCGCCTGGCAGATTCCAACGACCTCCAGGTACCGCTCCGCCAAGAATAGCAAGGAAGCATTCTGGCCGGATTCAAGGGTCAACTTCCGCCGATCTCCAGCGCAGAATCTCATCATCGAACTCTTTTCCGACACCGGGACTGGGGTCAGCATGCGCTTTGGAAATATGGACGCGAAGCTTGCGCATGTCCTATGCCCTCTGTTAGACGGCAACACCGTCAACAAGATGAGGGTGAAAGTCTACTTGCTCCCGCTCGAGAAGAGGCCAGGCGAGTTCCCGGGATTCCGCACTTCGAGAGCCATCAAGTTGCGTGTTGTCGTCTTCGCGCCTCGTGTACGTGCCTCGGTCATCGGCAAAGTCCTCTCCCAGCACCAGTTCTTCCTGTCGAGGCCGCCGGAATACGAACTGCGAGGAGTCGCATATGAGAATCCGCACGATCCGAAGATTTTTGGCGGCGCAATGAAAACACTGGCCCGCAATGCACCTCAGACTTCCAAGGCGAGCTTTGTCACTCGCACGCAAGAGGAGATTCTACGCGAGACTTCGGACATGTTCGACAGCCTGGTCAAGACAGAAGATCTGCCGGGAATAGAAGCCGATGTCGCGTCCATCAAGACGCCTCTCCTCTCACATCAGAAGCAAGCGCTTTACTTCATGACGCAGCGTGAGCGAGGCGACGACATTGCGAGTTCCGACGGCAAGTTCTCCTTGTGGAAGACAATGCTAGAAAAGTCGGAAACGGTTTATTACAACATCATTACCAACCACAAGGAAAAGGAGAAGCCCAAACCAGTCCAAGGCGGCATTCTGGCGGACGTCATGGGCTTGGGCAAAACGCTCAGCATCCTCGCCCTACTCGCCGAAACACGGAAGGAGGCTCGTACTTTTGGCCAGCAGGAGGCACCCATGGACGAGGTTGATATCCAGCGTCAGACGAAAGCCACCCTCATCATCTGCCCCAAATCGGTCATGGCGAACTGGACAGAGCAGATCGCCACACACACCGTTGCCTCGCGATTCAAAGTCTACTCATACCATGGCACCAGCCGAACTGACGATGTTGAGGAGCTGGCAAAGTACGACATTGTCCTTGCGCCATACCAGACCGTCGCAGCGGAGTTTGGCGGGAACAAATCGAAAACTTCGGTGCTTGCTTCCGTCAAATGGTTCCGTGTGGTCTTGGACGAGGCGCATCAGATCCGCAATCCCTCTACCGGCGTCAGTAAGGCATGCTGCAAATTGCCGGCGCAGCGTCGCTGGGCAGTGACTGGAACGCCAGTGCAGAACCGCCTTGACGACCTGGGAGCCCTTATCAAATTCTTGCGCATCGAGCCTTTCGACGATCCCACGGTGTGGTCGCAGCACATCATTGCGCCTTTCCGCGCCGCCAGCGAGCATGTCATCACCCATCTTCGCCTCCTCGTCGACAATATCACTCTTCGTCGCATGAAGGACAATATTGGCTTGACGGACCGTACGGCGCACCGAGTGCGTCTCGACTTCTCCGAGGACGAGGCCCTCATCTATTCGCAGTTCGCCAAGGCTTCCAATCAACAGCTCAGGATGATGTTGAGGGGTAGTGATCGCTTGAAAGGCAAATCCTACGCTCATGTGTTGAAGTCGCTCGGTCGCCTGCGAGCTATCTGTGCCCATGGCCGCGAGATGCTGGATGAGGATAGTCAGAAAGAGCTCGAAGGGTTGACTGCTGGGACTGCCATTGATCTCGGCGACGAGCCGACTTCGGAGCCGGATACTAGCTTCATCACGGAGAAGAGCGCCTACGAGACTCTCAGCATGATGATGGAGAGCGAGGTCAACATTTGCGCCGGGTGCAGTAACAAGATCACGCCCAACAACGACAAGGACGATGACGAATCTGACTCTGACGATTCTTCCACGGATTCTTCGGAGGAGGAAGACGAGGAAGACACGCTTGGCTACATGACGCCTTGCTTCCACTTGCTTTGTGAGGAGTGCAAAGAGAATTACATCGAGGAGAGCCGCCCCAAGCTCACCGACGATCATTACCACACATGCGTCTACTGCGATCAGTACACGCGCTGGGGCCTCTTCGAACTCACTCGGACTGGGCTGAAGAACTTGCAAGATGCTCGTGCAGGCAAGAAGAAGGGCAAAGCAGCAGCCAAGTGGGATGAGAGCACCTACTCCGGCCCACACACCAAAGTTAAGGCGTTGCTCGAAGACCTGAAAGAATCGCAACGCGAGACAGCAACACTCCCACCCGGCGAGCCTCCCATCCGCTCCGTCGTCTTCTCCGGCTGGACCACCTACCTCGACCTCATCGAGCACGCCCTGGACCTGCAGGGCATCGGCCACGTCCGCCTGGACGGCACAATGAGCATCAAAAAGCGCACCGCGGTCCTCGAGACCTTCAAAACCGATCCCACCATCACCGTACTCCTCGCCTCCATCAAGGCAGCAGGCCAAGGCCTGAACTTCACCGCGGCGTCCAAGGCTTTCATGATGGAGCCGCAGTTCAACCCGGGCGTGGAGGCGCAGGCGATTGACCGCGTGCATCGTCTAGGCCAGAAGAGGGATGTGGTCATCAAGCATTTCATCATGCGCGGCAGTGTCGAGGAGAAGATTTTGGAGTTGCAGGAGAAGAAGCAGAAGTTGGCGCAGTTGAGTATGGAGAAGAAGGTTAGTCGGGCGGAGGAGGCGAAGAAGCGGATTGAGGAGCTTAGGAGTTTGTTCAAGTAGGGGGGGGTGTTGAGGATGGTGGGGAGGACAGAGTCTGTGACCCACGAGCATTAGCATTTATACATCGAGTAGAAGTAGGATGAGAGTAGACTATCGGAGAACATCTCAACATGCACACATTCGCGTGGTTCTAGGTCAAACTGCTGCCTGAGGCATCAAACCTTGGCCCAGCCTCCATCGCGAAACTTTGAAGTCAAGACCGCGCGCGGCACGTCCCCTGCATCTCCATCTCCAGATTTCTACAACTCTTCCAAACCACCTCTCATCTGCTCTCAATCCAGTCACTACACCGCACTGACTGAGATCATCACACCCTGAACCCACCGGTGCAGCCAATTTGCACGCGCAAGGATAAGCGCGACCGGCCAGGAGGCAGGCGCAAGAGAAGGCAAGATGGACTCCGAATTCGCGGACGAAGACCACCAGGCCCCCGGCCAAGCCTCCGACGACTTGATCCATGCCGAGAACGAGGCGATTGAGGCCGAGCAGGCAGAGGCGGCGGAAGAAGCTGACGCCGCAATGGCAGACGACGACGCGACTACCCCAGCCATCACTGAGCGGCCTGCAGACGAGGAGGAGGAAGCCGGGGAGGAAGAGGACGCGGAAGAACCATCACAAGCGCCCGTCTCTGATAACCCCATTGATGCTCCTGATGCGCCGTTGCCGGAGAACGCGGAGGAGGAAGCGGGCGGCGAGGATGAGGACATGCTGGACACCAACCAAGGCACGCCTGCCGCTGGCGATGCCGCAGACTCCGCCGCGCCCGCCGTCCCCTCTAAGCCGGCTGTCGAGCAATCTGCGCGCTCGCATCTCATCGAACAAGCGCACGCCATCATATTACCCTCTTACAGCGTCTGGTTTGACATGCACCAAATCCACAGTCTGGAGAAGAAGGCGCTGCCGGAGTTCTTCAACAACCGCAATCGCTCCAAGACCGAGGCTGTGTACAAGGACTATCGCGATTTCATGATCAACACGTACCGATTGAACCCCGCTGAGTACCTGACTGTCACGGCTTGTCGGCGAAATTTGGCGGGCGATGTCTGTGCGATTATGAGGGTGCATGCCTTTCTCGAGCAGTGGGGCTTGATCAATTACCAGGTGAGCAATGCGCAGTTGGACTTACCATTACCCGCGTACTGACAATCGAATGCAGATCGATCCAGATACTCGACCGTCGAACATTGGCCCACCATTCACTGGCCACTTCCGCATCACAGCCGACACCCCTCGCGGCTTACAACCACATCAACCTGCCGCTCCTAATAGCGCCATCACCAGTGGAAAGCCGCATGCCGGGACTGATCGCTTGGCATCGGCGGGCAAGCAAGAGACCAACCTCGAAGTGCGGAGAAACATCTACGATGAAAAAGGAAAGGATGTGACGCCCGCGCAAACCGAGGATGGCGCTGAAGCAGGCGGCGAAGCAAGCAGCAAGAGCTTGGAGGAGAGCCTGAAAGAGGAGAGCAAGCCGATCTTCTGCTACTCATGTGGCGTGGACTGCACGCGACTGCGCTTCCATTGCTCCAAGAATCCCCCGGCGACTGCAACCACCCCGAAACCTGTCAAAGAGCAAAGATACGACTTATGTGCGCAATGCTTTGTAGAGAGTCGCTTCCCCAACAACACTGAGTCTGGAGACTACACCAAGCTGGAAAACGAGCGCTACAAGACCATCGCAGACAAGGGAGCGCCATGGTCGGACGCGGAACTGCTGCTTCTGTTGGAAGGGTTGGAAATGTTCGACGACAACTGGGAATCCGTCGCCGACCACGTGGGCTCGCGCACGCGAGAGGAGTGCGTGCTCAAATTCCTGCAGCTGGAAATCGAAGACAAATACCTCGACGAAGCCCCCTCAGCCAGCATGAACGGCAGCGGGCATGGCGTGCAAGACTTTGCCTTCCTGTCCGGCGGCCGAATCCCGTTCAGTCAATTCGACAACCCCGTCCTCAGCGTCATGAGCTTCCTCGCAGGCCTCGCAGACCCCAAGACCACCGCACAAGCAGCAGGCAAGAGCGTGGAGCAAATGAAAGAAAGCCTCCGCGGCCGACTCGAGCGCGAAGCCACTCCCGGCGCGGAAAACAGCGCCGCCGCCGCCGCCGCTTCCTCTTCCTCCGACGCAGCCGTCAAAGGCGAACGCGCCGAAAGCATGGACATCGACGACACCACCTCCCTCGCCACCCGCGAACCCCCAACCACCACCACCACCACATCCCACGACCTCCCTACCACGGCCCTCAGCCTGACCGCCGCCCGCGCCGCCGCCCTAGCCTCCAACACGGAACGCCAACTCACCGCCCAAGTCTCCGCCGCCGTGAACCTGCAGCTCACCAAGCTGGAGCTCAAAATGCAGCACTTCAATGAAATGGAAGCTTTGCTACAAGCCGAGCGGCGCGAGCTGGAGCGCGAACGCCAGCGCTTGTTCCTTGATCGCTTGGCGTTTCGGAAGCGAGTCCGCGAGGCGGAGGAGAAGTTGGGGGGCTTGAGACTTGCTGTTCCGTCTGCGGAGAAGTTGGCTGTTGGGCCTGAGGGGATGGGAGGGGATGCGTCTGGGTTTGAGGGCGCGGTGGGACTGCAGGGCGGGCCTGAGGAGCCTTTTGCGGATGGGATGGAGGGGTTTATGAGGCATGAGATTTAGGGGATCGTACCATGAGGGAGGGAGGCTTCTTTGGGGCTGGGCCGGGCGTCTTGAAGGGGATGCAGGGGAGTGAGTGTATGTGATTACGCGGGCATTGGGCGTGGTGTTCTGTTATTTTGTTCTTTGCTTTCCGCACTGGCCTTTGGGAATGTGCATGTATGCGACGCTGAAGTAGAGGCTGTACTTCTCGATCCGTGAACTCCTCGTACTCGTCCTGCCGTAGACTGTGTTATTGGTATGTACCAAGGTGGACGAGAAAACAAGGAGCAGCAAAAAACGGAGTCACAGAGAGCAGAGGACAAGCATCCGCTCTTGCGTTCGCACAACCCTCACACGCGCACCTCGTCACACCTGCAGTCAGCAAGACGACCACGGACCACATAGCTCATGAATCGCAGGAGAGAGCGAGCGGCCAGAAAAGAATGAAAAGAAAACGAGAAGCACACTCTCATTGTACGCATCATCTTATTTTCCTCTCCCCGCACACTGCCGAACGTACACCACAATACACGCTCCTCGCTCACTCCCCTCCACAAGAGAGCGAGCGAGCAAACCAACACGGTAATTCCATCTCTTTCAAAAGAAGAAAGAACTCATCGGCTCTCTCCCAATTCCAATTCCCATATTGCCTCGGAGGCGCAAGAAGCATCCTTCCGCCCGCCCGTCTGATAATGTACCCTCTCTCGATCTCGCACTCTCTGCTTCCATATCGTTGTAATGCCAATCGAAACAAATGAATTAATGAACCCTTTGCTCTCCCTTAGGCGGCGTGGTCGCCATTCTCGCCGCCTTCGCCATTCGCCGAGTCGACGTTGTGGTAGTCGAGGATTTCGGAGTACCTGTTGTTAAGCAGTCAGCTGATGTTCACGAATGGAGTGGAATACAATGCGGAGGCGTGGGATGTTGCATACATCATAATCTTCCAGGTATCCACGGGCAAGTCGGCGTCGTTGAAGGACCAGTCGAACTTCTCTTCTGCTACGGGCTCGTCGGTGGGATCGTGGTAGGGGGCGAGGTAGGGATCTGCGAGCGCCTCGCCGGCCTTGATTCGTTTTCGGGGATCGAAGACGAGCATCTTCTCGAGGAGTTCGATGGCTGTTGGGTTGAAGGTTAGTAGATGGTTGCTGGTGGAGGTCTGGATGGTGTACCTTGAGGGTCGGCGTTCTTGAACTTGTTCTTCAGGGGTTGTCGCTCTCGCTTGGGCAGCGATTGCACAAATCGGAGAGTCTGTTCGAGATTAGCAAAATCCCAACAGCCATGTCCTTCTGTCACAACTCACATTCTCACTGCAAATCGTTTGAATCACATCATCCGGCGGCGTGCCCAACAACTCTGTGATGATGGAGAACTGATTGACATGGTCCTTGCCGGGGAACAGCGGCTTGCCCTCCAACATCTCGGCAAAGATGCACCCGGCGCTCCAAATGTCGACCTCGACGTCGTACTTTTGCCACGTGAGCATGATCTCCGGGGCGCGGTAGTAGCGCGTGGAGACGTAGCCCGTCATCTGCGGGTCTTGTATGCGCGCCAGGCCAAAGTCGCAGATTTTCAGGTCGCAGTTTTCGTTGACGAGGATGTTGGAGGGTTTGAGGTCGCGGTGGACGACGCCGGCCGAGTGGACGTATTTGAGGCCGCGCTGAAGTGGGGGAGATTAGGGGGGATTGGAGGGAACTGTTGGGAGAGATGGCACTTACGAGGATTTGGTAGAGAAAATACTGGATGAATTGCTTCTCCAATGGGCGCGAGGTGAGGAGGCGATGCAAATCGGTGCCGAGCAGTTCCGTCACTGCATCACGCGGTCAATGGCGGGATGGCGGGAGGAGAAGGGGAAGGCGGAAATACTCACCGACGTACATGTCCTCCAATGGCGAGATGAAGATGTCACTTAAGCTGATTACCTGCGGTCAAAGGTCAGCGCGTTTCTTCCCATCCGCCGGGGGGTGCGTACATTTTCATGCTTGAGATGTTTGAGCAGCTTGAGTTCTCGGTAGGTGCGCTTGGAGAGGACGGGGGTGCTGAAGGGCTTCATGATCTTCTTGACGGCCACCGCCTGGCCGGTCAGCTGGTCTTTTGCCGAGCTATCGCATCGTAACCGCCGTCAGCCGCTGGGGGAAGGGGGAGTCAGGGACGGGGAGGAGCGGGGTGGGATGGACTCACCAGACCAGGCCGAACGCTCCCATGCCCACGGGTTGCAGGTCGGTGTATCGGGAGGTGATTTCGAAGGTGGTGCCGAAGATCTGTGCTCTTACGAACTCCGCCATCTTGTCGTTGGGAAGAGGGGACGAAGGCCACTGGTCGGCAGAGGAGGGGGATCAGGCCGTGCGAGCGAGGATGCGGGCGGAGGCGATGGGTGGAGATGGAGGGAGGTGCGCCGAAGAGATGGGATGAGGGGGATGGCGGCGGAGGAGGTGGTGGTGGTGAGGCGCAAAGAGGCTGCGATGGGCGTGGCGCCGTTTCAACTCCCTCTGCGGCAAATCTGGTCTGGCCGGAGCCAAAGCCGAAACGGCGATAGGTGGGGCCCCAAGCAACGCCCGGGGAACAGCACAGGCGGGATCTGGCTGGATGTAGAAGGAGCGTCCGGGGGGACGGAAGGTGCGCCGACGACGGTGTGCCTTTCCTTCTGCCTCTTTCCCTGTGCAAAGTACTGCTGGCAGCACTGCGGAGTGTGATGTCGTGCCCTGGAGAGGTGGAGGGTGGGTTGGGGCGAAAATAGATTGGCGGGAGATCGGCAGTCGCACCACTCACACCTCGGGCAGAAGCAGGGGAATCGCAACGTGCACTCCTCTTACCCAGGCGAGATGGTGGTGAGAAGTGGAAGAGTTAAGGGGAATGGAGGGAGACAGGAATGACGAGGTGTTTCGGCGCCCATATACTGATGCGCCTGATTACGCTAAAACTCTCCACCAGCACAACACGAGACATCTAATCGACGATCGAGCGCTGCACCACGATTCCTCATATACGCCATATACGCAGCAAAGCTTGGCGCCGTTGTCAAGAGCCGCTTTTTGAATGTGCCGGCATAGCAGTTGTGACTGAGACTAGGAATTCTAATGTAGATTTGCGCATCGCCTTGTGTATGTCTCTGCGCGAGCAGGCCAGTTCCTGCCTTGCATCATCCCTTCCATGTATTGTTCACGGATAGCTGGTCACAGTACTCGGGAAGCCCTGCAGCCAAGGTCTAGAGCAGAGAGTCGTCCTCTGGTACCAGACCACGAGGGCCGGCAAAGGCTGGATAGAGTGTCGTGGCCGTGGTGGCGTTTCGACTTGACAGCATCACCTACTCAGGCGTCATCTGTGGCGCGGGTAGACTTGCACAAAGGTGCCGTCGTCTGCATTATTACCAATTGTGCGCATCTGAACCTCTGCGGGTGATGTTTGCCGAGTGGTAGAACAGAACACTCGTTCGCTTGCCAACCTGCCCTGTCCACCATATTCGGAGAGGCAGAGGCGAGGCGGGCGTCACGTTTATTAGTGGGGCTGCTCTCGCGTGGCCCTCTCGGCCCAGGCGGGTTTAGCGGGGATCAGCGCTCTGGACAGCCGAACTGAGGAGGCAAGCGCGAGCTCCAATCCAGCGCGCCCGTGCATGCCAGTCCAGTCCAGCCCGCATCGGCCAGTCCGCCAGCCAGCCAGCCAAGCCATCATCAAGCAGCCCGGGCAGCTTCACCCTCCGCCTACCATCCTCCACTCCACCCCGTCATCCACCCCGCCGTCACGACATCATCCATCTCTGCTCTCCGCGCGTGTCCACCGTACGAAGACTTCCGCTCCCCATCTCCGCCGCTGCATCCCCGCCCCCCCGCTGACCCATCCATAGCTCTCTCTCCATCAACACGGCTAAGCCGCACGGCCACAGCAGCCGCCGCCGCTTCCCGTCTCTTCCCCAGCGCATTGCCCACTCCGCATTGTCCACTCCGCATCTTGGCCCACACCCGTCATCGCGCCGCACCGCACCACACCGTGTCCCTCTCCCCTCCTCCGCCTCTCCTCCTACCACGATCTGCGATTCATCCCCACACGCATCACCAATCCCACCAACAGTGGCATAGCCGCTTCGCACGCCGATTGGGGGGCCCTCCACACCCCCGGCCCCAAGCTCGCATGAGCCCTCAGGCCGCGAGCCTCGCATCTGCATGATGGGTGCCTGCATGAGCAGTGACAACGACGATGGCGAGCAGAAGAAGCGCAGTCAGGCCATTGACCGCACGCTTGAAGAAGATAAGAAGACGCTGCGGCGGGAATGCAAGATATTACTGCTAGGTGTGTTGATCCGTGCTTGTCATGCAAAGGTTCGGAAACAGCCTACTAACCAACATCCAACAGGCTCCGGCGAGAGTGGCAAGAGTACCATTGTCAAGCAGATGAAGATCATCCATCAAAATGGCTACACCGAAGACGAGCTGGCCCAGTACCGGCATACCATCTACAAGAACGTCGTCGATTGCGCAAAGGCGCTCATTGCAGCCATGCGCCAGTTCGAGATCGAAGTGGAAGAAGAGAAGAACAAGGAGCACGTCGAGTACATCACGGAATACGTTGTCGACCCAGAGCCCGAGGCCACCATTGACGAAAAAGTGGGAGATGCAATCACAGACATATGGAATGATCCCTGCATCCCCAAGCTTCTCGATCACGCGAATGAGTTCTATCTCATGGATTCTGCGCCGTAGTATGGTCTATCCCCTTTGCCCCAGGGGAAGAACGTGGCTAATGATGCGCAGCTTCTTCGACGAAATCAAGAGGATAGCCCAGCCCGATTATACCCCGACCGAATCCGACGTCTTGCGGGCGCGAACAAAGACGACTGGTATATACGAGACCCGGTTTCAGATGGGCCAATTGAGTATACAGTGAGTCTAGTGCTCCAAGGCCGCACCATGCTTCCAATCACTGACACAATCTCTCAGCATGTTCGATGTTGGCGGGCAAAGAAGTGAGCGGAAGAAATGGATCCATTGCTTCGAAAACGTCACCTCCATCATCTTCTGCGTCGCCCTGAGCGAATACGACCAGGTGCTCCTAGAAGAGAGCAGTCAAGTACGCCGCTATCCGCCAACCCGCCACAGGAAACTCGTGCGCTAACCTATTCAACCCCACAGAACCGCATGATGGAATCCCTTGTCCTCTTCGACTCGGTGGTGAACTCCCGATGGTTTATGCGCACATCGATCATTCTCTTCCTGAACAAAGTCGACCTTTTCCGCGCGAAACTGCCCAAATCCCCCCTCATCAACTACTTCAACGACTACACTGGCGGTAACGACGTCAATCGCGCGGCGAAGTACCTGCTGTGGAGATTCAATCAGGTCAACCGCGCACATCTCAACCTCTATCCTCAGTATGTTGCACTGCCGCTATTCAAGTCACGCCCTTTAGACTAACTCGTATCTGCAGCTTGACACAAGCGACCGACACCTCCAACATTCGCCTGGTCTTCGCTGCGGTGAAAGAGACCATCCTCCAGAACGCACTCAAGGATTCGGGCATCTTATAAGGCCGACCACACACATCCATGCCTCTTTTCGCTCAACACACTCACCCACCTTCTGATTCCTCCGCACCATCCCGACACCCGGCAACACGCCGAATAATACCCTGTTTTTCTTTTACCAGCGACAAGGAGTTTTGGGAAGTGGGCGGCAGGAACAACACCGACGAGCTTTCTCAGCTACTGTGTGAGCACTAATGCGTTTCTTCTTTTGGGCCGGGGGCGTGGTGGGCGGAGGAGGAGCCAGCACAGTTCTGGCCTTTTTGCTCCGGGTTGTATCTGGATTCGGTGGCTGTTTTGCAAAGCGTGCCTTTGACCTCTTCTGCGGTATTCTGTCAGGAATGCACACGGGGGTACGCGGGGAGGAAGGGAGGGGAGACTTGTTTCTGCTGGACGGGATCTTGCTCTGGCCTTTAGACAGAGGGGACATTCGGGAGTGCGGAAGGGGAAGTGAGATAGGACTGAGGGGGAATCGCAGACGTCTAGGGCTGCCGATGTATCATGCTTCTTTCTGTGTGCTTTTTCCCTGCCATGAGTGAACCAATGTCTACCTTATCTCATAAGATCAGTCATCGCTCGAGGCAGGAATGGAGCATTTGCTTCCATTGAACCAAGCGCTTCTGTGAGATGGCCCAAAGCTCGGACGTGCAGCTTCCTAACGTCACCTCTTGATCATCAATATTCTCCATGGCTGCTTTGTGACTACAGGTACGGTCCCGCACTACAACACGTGAACCTCCCTCCGAAAGTACATTCACAACTTGTATATTCATCTCTGACCCTGTCTGCCACTTTTCGCGCAAGTAGAGTGAATGCTGTGCGTGAATAAGGCGCGCACGCTGCCTTTCGTTTGTCGACGTCGTTTGTTGCCCTTTCGCTATTACTACTTTCTATGCTTGTCGAAAGCTTCTTCGTCTGTCTCGCTCACTCTCTGCACTAAGTTCGATGGCCACAGGTGATTCAGCGTAGCTGAGTCGGGATCCTCGTACGAAGCAACCTAGAGATATGTCAACCTCACCGACCGCCGCCAGTACCATCTCACCCTCGACATCAGACACAACATGGCCAACCAGAGACATCGTCTACGTCGGCATCGTCGGCACAGTCATGCTAGCTGCTCTCCTCGAATGGTTCCTCTGGCTGCTCGCCTTCCTCTACTGCCTCGTCAAAGTCTACCAGAAAGCCAGCGGGAAAGGCAGGCTAGGCATCCGCGCCCTCGCCGTGTTCAACATCATCTTCTTCGTCCTCATGCGCTGCGTCTTTCTTCCTGTTATGGTTGTTACGCTCCCTTTGCCGCCGGGGATTGTGCGATACTTCCCGCGCGAGCTGATTGCGATTTTGCAGTGGTTTGCGTTTTACACTTTCGCCGCTTTGCTCACGGTTCCCTGGCTGTTTTGCGTTTTCCAGCTCGTTACGCATAATCTCGGACGCAGGCGGCAGATCAAGACGCTGTTGGATGAGCACACGGCGCCAAAGGTTGTCATCATCTTGCCGTGCTACAACGAAACCCCTGAGATCTTGCTGAGGACGGTGGACTCTATCGCTAATGGCGATTACCCTGCGCCGTGTCTGCATGTCTTCCTTTCTTTTGACGGCGATGAGGAGAATAAGCTCTATCTCAACACCATCGAGCAACTGGGCGTTCCTCTCACGCTCGAGAGCTACCCGACGAGCATCGACGTGCGGTACCGGGGATGTCGAGTCACAGTCTCTCGATTCAAGCACGGAGGCAAACGCAGCTGTCAGAAGAAGACGTTCAAATTGATAGACAAGGTTTACGCGGACTACCTGCGCCGCAACGACAACTTGTTCCTCTTATTCATCGACTCCGACTGCATCCTCGACCGCTTCTGCATCCAGAACTTCATGTACGAGATGGAGCTCCGTCCAGGCAGCAATCGCAGCATGCTCGCCATGACTGGCATCATCACCAGCACGACAGTCCGTCACTCCCTCATCACCCTTCTCCAGGACATGGAATACGTCCACGGCCAGCTATTCGAGCGTTCCGTCGAGTCAGCCTGCGGCTCCGTGACCTGTCTCCCCGGCGCGCTGACCATCCTACGCTTCTCGGCCTTCCGTCGTATGTCCAAATACTACTTCGCGGACAAAGCAGAGCAATGCGCCGACCTCTTCGACTACGGCAAATGCCATCTAGGCGAAGACAGATGGCTGACGCACCTCTTCATGATCGGCGCGCGCCACCGCTACCAAATCCAACTCAACACCGCCGCCTTCTGCAAAACGGAAGCAGTGCAGACCTTCGCCAGCCTCCTGAAGCAACGCCGCAGATGGTTCCTAGGCTTCATAACCAACGAAGCCTGCATGCTAACCGACATCCGACTCTGGAGACGCTACCCTCTGCTGATCCTCATCCGTCTCGCGCAGAATACTATCCGCACTACGGCTCTGCTCTTCTTCATCATGGTCCTCTCTCTCCTCACTACAGCTGAGAGCATCACCAACCTCCCCGCGGGCTTCATAGCCGTGTCTCTCGGACTCAATTGGCTGCTGATGTTGTACTTCGGCGCCAAACTCCACCGGTACAAAATCTGGCTGTATCCCCTTATGTTCCTGCTCAATCCCCTGCTCAACTGGACTTACATGGTTTACGGCATATTTACCGCCAGTCAGCGAACCTGGGGCGGACCGCGCGCTGACGCGAAAAAAGCGGACGCGAGCACGACGCCGGAAGAAGCGGTGGAAAAGGCAGCAAAAGAAGGCGACGAACTCAACGTCGTGCCGGATACATTCAAACCCGCTCTCGAAGCTTCGTCCCATCAAATGCACGCGCACACGGCGCCCGTGCAGCCCGCACGTCGCCTCGCAGGCAGGTTCGCGCCGGCGCCGGAAATCGCCGCGGGTTGGTTCAGGCAGGAGAACGACTCTGGCGTTTTGCGAGCAGACATGACGGCGAGGTCCAGGCGTGCTGAAGCTGGCGTGTATCGTGTCGATCGGAGGGATGAGAGTGAAGACTCGGCGTGCTCGTCGTCTGCTAGCTCGGTGTTCTCGGTGCATACGCCGCGCAGGGTGGAGAGTCTTTTTGGGTCTCGCGATCGCGGTCTGGAGGTTGTTGATGGGGATGTGCCGCCGGGGTCTGGAATGGCTGGCCCCCCTGGACGGACAGAGATTATTCAACGCCTCGATGGGCATACGAGGGAAGAAGCTGTACACGGTGTGGACAGCTCCGCTCGCTCCTCCATCTCGGACGACTCGGTGTCCTTGCATTTCGACGTCCCTGCTCGCCCTTCTGCTACTCTCTCCGCGTCGAACGAGGACAAGCCGGAGCGAGGCAGGACGCCTACTCGCACGGACGTGGAAAGTGAGGGCGCGGAGATCACGCCAGCCCCGTTGCCACGCCGTGTGGCCGGAGTACGAAACTCTAGTGCGAGTCGTCGGCACTACAGGCGGAGTGGAACGAGTCCGCTGGCACGGCATAGCTTCGTTGCAGATGAGTAGGGGCGATCAGAACTGGTAGACAACGAGTACGCTTCACGTAGGAGAAACGGTCAAGTTCGTAAGTGGGAAGTGTGTACTGAGTCAAAACACTGTACAAATGGCTCAGCTCCATTTATCGCCAGGCCATGATACGTATGCGCGCCTCACGCTCCAAGGGCCATCAATAACGCCAGATATATCTCTAATAAGATTCCGCCATGCCTGTCATCACTGCTTCTGCAGCTTCTCCGTCAACTCCGGCACCTTGTCAAACAAATCGCCCACGAGTCCCACGTCTGCTACCTGGAAGATTGGGGCATCTGCGAAGTTTGAGTGTTAGCAGGTGTTTCGTCCCATTGTACGAGTTCTCCCTAGAAATGCTTACCTGCGTCTTTGTTGATTGCGGCAATGACCTTTGAATCCTTCATGCCAGCCAAATGCTGGATGGCACCGCTGATGCCCGCGCAGAGGTACAGCTGTGGCGCGACGTTCTTGCCCGTCTGGCCCACCTGCAACGAGTTGTCCGCGAAACCGGAGTCGACTGCTGCACGCGATGCACCTATTGCGGCTCCTATGGCGTCGGCGAGAGGTGGCATGAGACGGTCGAATTCCTCCTTAGACTTCAAGCCACGTCCACCGGAGACCACTTTCTCTGCAGAGGCGAGATCTGGCCGGTCCGACTTGGCGAGGCTCTCGGATACCCATTCTGTCGGGCATTCGGCTTTGGGGTCCACGCCCTCTTCTGTACTCGCGCTGCCGCCTTCTGCGTTGCCTGAGGGGAACGCGGTGCCGCGCACGGTGAGGAGCTTAGGGTTGTCGGCGGATTGGACGGTGAGGAGCGCGTTGCCGGCGTAGATGGGACGGACGAAAGTATCCTCGCCCTGTATCTCGGTGATGTCGCTGATCTGCTGGACGTCGAGCATAGCCGCCACGCGGGGCAGCAAGTTCTTGCCAAACGCCGAGTGGCCCGCGAGCACGTGCGTGTAGCCGCCCTTCTTGATATTCTCCACCAACAGGGGCGCCCAGTTCTCCGCGAGTCCGCGATCGTAGGCATCGTTGTCGACGAAGATGACCTTTTCCAGCCCTTCGATTTTGGAGGCTTGGTCTGCCACGGCTTTGATGTTGCCGCCGGCTACGAAGCCGTGGATGCTGCCGCCGAGTTTCTGCGCGGCGGAAATGGAGGCGAGCGAGGACATGTTGAGTTTGCCGTCTCGTTGCTCCAACACGGCGAGGGAGGAGGCGAGGCGTTGTAAGAAGGTGGTGCGGGTTAGGCGGGCGGTGGCTGTTGGACGGTTTTGGCGGAGACAGGTGTTTGCTTGCCGGAGCAAGGTGTTGCGTAAGGGCGGTGCCATGGTGGGTGTGGGTGTGTCTGGCACGGCTACCAGATGGGTGTTTGTGGAGGGAATAGAGGTGAGGTGACGAGCACGACTTGGATGTTCCTCGTCCTCTCTTGCTTTTCCGAGCTCGGAGTGGCTTAAGCCGAGGTCACCAATCGATGGATTCGTGCCTCAGGCATGAAGTCTTCCCCAAGAAATGTCCAGACGTCTTGCAGATCATCATTCCACAAACATCACTTTTGTCACTTTATGCGGACCAGCATCCCGGAGCTGTAGAATTCGAGGATGAAGTCGTCAACAGAGAGCTAAGAGCCAGCATATCGCCCTTCGTGGCGGACACACCAATATCTCCCAGTCAACATGTTCCAACCGCTCCTCTGCGTCGTGGACTTCCACCATGCCCGAGGCCCCGAGATAGAACATTGGTTCGGCGCGGGCGACAGCGACCCCACAGCCGAGAATGACTGGCACCTCATCCCCTACATGGCCCTGCCAGACGGCGCACACCAGTCTGAAGAGGAGTTCAGCTACTTCAGCCTCGTGCATAAGGGAAGAGAAGGAGCAGACGTCGAGCCCACATCCGTCTTCGGCATTAGCTGTGTGCACCACATCGATAGCGCGGAGCTTGTCCATCGCCCGCCAGAGGTGACGAGGAGTGCGGTGCAAAAGGCCGTGGTGGCTATTACCGATAAGCCGCAGTCGTTTAGTGTGTTGCGGGAGAGGCTAAGTGCTGTCACGCGGGCTTGGTTTGCACAGAAGGACTTTCGGGATTGTGAGATTCTTGCGGTAGGTCAGTGGACCACTGTTGTCTCGGCACCGTTCGCTTGGCTGGTGGTCCTCGATGCTGACGGATTCTGCAGCGGTTCCAGGAGAGCTTGCTTCAGGATGGCGCGATTGCGGACGATGAGAGGGATCAGTATTTCGGTTTAAGCTTGCGCGAGGTCGTGCATACATTCAAATGGCAGACTCTGGTTCTGTTGAAAGCTTTGCTTCTGCAACCCAAGGTACCTCGAGATGGCTCCCTGACGCTACGGTGCAATGCTAACGAACCCAGATGCTGTTCTTTGGCTCACACTGCGAACGAATATGCCAGGTCCAATTCGCCTTGCTATCTCTCATCCCAGGGCTCGTGCGTAGCTTAAGGGACTGTGCTGATCCACAGATGGACCGCTATGCCGAGACACTGAAGCGGCCGGACTCGGTGCGGACCAGCGACCGAGCATCATTGCTAGCCTACATGGGCATTCCTCTTCAGGTATTTGGCAAAGGAAGTCTCTTTGGTCCTTATACACCGTTACAGCAATTGGAGATTCTCGCCGATCTGGGAACGAAATCATACGTGGTCGGCAGCACGAACAGTCTACTGCTACAGCAGAAGGACAGATACTGCGATGTTCTGGTCAATCTCGACGAAGATGTCGTGAACATTTTATCACCGACTTTTCGAACAGCATTACATCTCTCCACCGCCGATCGAAGATGGATCGACTTCCTCACGCAGGCGGTAAACGACACCTGGGACGACTCCGATCCCTCTCGATCCAAAACACACGGCTACGCCGGAAGCGAAGAGTTTATCCGCCTGCAGTTCGAAGAATACCTACTCGCCATGCTATCCGCAAGCAAATACCACGCATACCTCGAAGCAAACAAAGAAGCCGACCCGAAGGCCCGTCTCGCCGATGTCGAAGGCGACCCCTCCCACGAATTCTCCCCCGCCTATCTCGATGCCTGGCGCGAGACAGAGAACTACCGCCTCTGGAACCGCACAACAGACAGCCATCTCTTCGACGTCGTTGAACCCCGACACCCGTGCGCCGGCGGCTTGACCATCGACGACGTGCAGCGTCGCCTAGCCACGCAAGTCGCCGAGCTGCATCTGGACGAACGCTTTAACCAGACGAAGGAGGTCGTGCACAAGCGTCTCGCGGACGGGAAAGTGCACGTCACTACGGCGTTCAACAAAGTCTGGGCTGATATTGAAGTGATGCGTGAAGCGCAGCGGCGACGAGCGGATGATGCTCGAGCTTCTTCTTCTTCTGCTGCTGCTCCGACGGAGAACGGCGCACGCGACAAAACGCAGCATCATAGCGGTGCTCCTATTCTTTCCAAAGTGGATTTAAATCAGGCGCAGGCTAGTGTTGCTGCGGCGGGCCAGAAGGCTGGCGCCTATCTGAGTTCTTGGGGGAACTGGGCGAACGAGAAGAGGAAGACGGCTTGGAAATCGACTTCTGCTAGTGAAGAGGCGGCGAGAGGCGGGCATCCGGCCGTCGGGGCGTTTGGGAAGGAAGACTTTGCGCCGCGCATTATTCGGTTGACTGATAAGGCGAAGAACGCCAAAGCCGCGGAGGAAGAGAAGGCTCGGTCTTCCGGAGCAGAGTAAAGTAATAGAAGCTCGAGCGTTTTCTAGACAAGTTTTCTAGAGGTGTATGCATTCACGACGAACCATTCACAGCCTTGCCTGCCTTCCATTCCCCTCTTCTCACCCTCTCACACACCTCCTTCAGCATCTCTCCCGCCCACTCAAAATCCCTCTCAGTCAAGTAAACCTGTGCACTCAACCGCATCCACCACGCGCCCCCAAAGAAGATAATGGCAATGAAAGTATCATACTTCTCCGCCAGCGTCCTCGCAATCCACTGCGCAACCAACACCCACTCGCCCGTCTCTCCGCTCGTCAACACCTCCGCCCCAACCAAAGGCAACCGCACATTCGCAAACGCACACTGTCCCAACGTCCCGGCTTCGTTCTCCAGAACTTCCGTCCCCAACGCCGTGGCCACAATTTCGCCCGCTCGCTTCGCGAGGTGGTGCATGTACCCCATCACTGCTTCCTCGCCCTTCGTGCCTCCCCACGTGAGATGTTGCCTCCACTCCAGCGCAGCTGGTACGCAGAAATAAGCCGAGTTGTCCGTCGTTCCTACAAATTCGAACCCGACTACGAAGTCGCTTTTCCCCTTTGCAGGCGGCAGCGGGTTCGTGATCGGCTCCTCGCCTTCTCTGAGTTTTGGCACGAAACCATGCGACGTCGGAAGCGTGGAGCGCATGACGTCCTGATTCCGCAGGGGGACGTACAACACCGCGCATCCCCGCGGGACGTAGAGCCACTTATGGCAATTAGAGACGAAGAAGTCTGGATCCAGTGCCGTCAGGTCAAGAGGGATGTGGCCTACTCCGTGCGCGCCGTCGATGAGTGAGAGGACCTTCCCGGCTTTGCAGATGGATGTCAGGCGTTCGAAGGGCATGCGGACGCCCGGGAGGGAGACGATGGTGTCGAAGAGAGCGAGGCGGGGGTTCTTGCCTTCTCTGCGGAGAGAAGCGATGGTGCTTTCTAATGCGTTGCAGAGAAAGTCGTCCGACACGGGGTACTTGTACTTGATCTTCGCTGCCTCCGCTGGCGTCGTCTCGGTGATGTAGCGAATCGTCTTTTCGCACGAGCCGTAAACCGTGTCGAAGTAGATTATAATGTCGCCTGGTTGATAGACCAGGTTCCGGAGAATGGTGTTGATGCCTGTCGTGGCGTTCGGCACGAAGACGCACGTTTCAACTGGTGCGTGGACATAACTTGCGATTGCTTCTCGCGCTTCGTCGAGTAAGGTTGGCTCTTCGTACCGAATGAAGGCGTCGGGGCGAGCTTCTGCGCGGATCTGGAAGTGCGAGACGATGGGCCGCAGAGTTTGGGGATATGTGCCGAAAGAGCCTGTGCGGGGGTGTTATTATTATCTGGGCATTGCATTGTGAGACGGATGGTCACGCACCATGGTTCAAGTTCCGGTATCCTTTGTCGAAGCCGAAATGTTGGGCAGCGTCCTCGCCGCACTCTATCGGACCTTGGTTTCGAATGGCGAGGAGTGGGTCAGTTGACGCCATTTTCCCTTTCTACAAGGCACTCTCCTTGAGACTAAAGCAAGGGAAGTCAAGGACAATTCGTGTGCTTCATGGTCAACGGGAAGATTGATGGTGAGTCAAGGTTAGAAAGTTCCATGGACGACGACTGGGCGCGGCAAGTCTCAATCCGGAAAGTGCGAATTGGCCAATCAGTGAGAGCAACGACCGACCACACCCTTGAATGGCAGCGAAGAGAACAGGATACCATATCATTCACTCATAGCTCCACGAGCATCTAGCCGAATCATGACATGCAGCTCATCAAACCAAACGTTCAACACCACTCGAAAACCGGCGTCCGGCTCTTGACCAACTCCAACCGCTCCACAATCACCTTGCGCGTCGCATTCCGCCCATCGTTCGCAGCAGAGTAGCCCAGATCCCCCTCATCACCCTCGCCATCCTCCTCTCCCCAGCGAGAAGGTTTGAGCCCCAGACCGCGCGTGACCGCGAAGCTAAACCGCCTGCGACGTTCGGTAGGCGAGGACCCACCACCGCCGCCAGGGAAGCGCAAGGAGCGCGGCGCTTCGTAGCTCATTCTGCCTGCTGCTCGGTTGCGCCAGGCGGAGGGGCGGGGTGCGGAGGCGGAGACTTCTTTTAGGAGGGTTGGGGAGGAGGGGCTGGAGGTGTTGGGGTTGGCGGTGTGGATGTCTTGGCTGCTGTTTTGGCGGGATTGGTTGAATGGATTCTCGCTTTCTTCTCGTGTTGATGACGGACTGGAGAAGCCGAGGAGTGCATCTGGCCGCTTCGTCGTTGTGTGCCCGTTCAGCGCTGTTGCGATATCCATTTCTTCGTCTTCTTCTTCGCGAAGATTTGTTGGCCGCTGCGAGGTCTGGTGTTGCGCCTCGACCGCCTGTCGCCGCATCTCTTCACTCGGCCGTTCGAGTGGCGTGGCGACGGGAATATCCACCAGATCGTCCCAAACACAAGCTCTCGCTCGCCGCGTCAGTTCCAATGGGCCGTGATCCGGCGTCTTCAGCGTCTCGACTACGTTCCACGCCTGGCCTTTCATGACGGCGATCTGCCGAGCAAACATACGCTCCTGGAAGTCGGCGTCGATTTCGAAGGTCTTTCGCAGGCGGATTTGCGTCTCCGACCACCAGTCTTTGGAGGTGAGGAGCGGGAGGAAGTGTTTTCTTGCATTCTCGGAGAAAGGGCGGCCAATGAGCGAGACGGGGAGGAAGAGCCAGCCAAAGGGAAAGCTGCGCCAGGCGTCGGGATGCTTCCATGGCCAGGAGAGACTGTTGTCTATGGCACCGATGCGTGCTGATTGGGTTGATGTTTGAGTGGGTGGGCGCGCAGTCATGTTCTCCTTTCTGCTGCTGTATTCTTCCTCACCGGACAGCGTCTGTTTCGCTGCTTTCACGTCTCTGAGAATACTCGCCTCGCCAGTCTCCTGATCGATTCGAATCATCCAATTGTCCAAGCCTCGATCCGTGTTGCGCATGATGTAGTCCAGAATGACCAGCTTCTCCAGTTGCTCACGGAAGTTCTGCTGTAACTGCGGCGACCAAAATTGTGTTGGTGTATTCCTGCCTGGCGTCTCGTCCAGCTCGGCCTCTTCATCCGTCTCCACTTCCTCGGTGGCATGCCGGCTGCTCGGCCTACACGTCTCATCCCATCGTTTCCGGCGTGTTCTTCGTTGATGACTGGTAGGTACGGTGGAGGCAGCGCTCGCATCCGGCCAGGGATGCTCTCGAAGGAATTCGGTGGCGCCTTTGTAGCCCTTCAGGAAAACCTGAAAGGAGCCCAGCTTTTCCGGCAAAGGTTTCTTCCGCCGGTAGTACGCCTTTCGGTGAAAGTAGTCGTAGTGGAAGCTCTTGCTGCTGAGGCTGACCACTGCAGTGTAAGGTACCAGACCAGTTCGCAACTGCGTGTCGAGGACGTATGCTGCTGCTTCCGACACATACGACAAATTCGGAATCAGACATGCTCGGCCAAAGGCAAACGGCAGAATGGTCCTGTGAAGCCATTTGATGAGCTTGGGGTTGTTGTTGGCATACGGCTCCTCGTCCTTGGGCTTGAACACTCCCACTGTGGTCCCGCCGCTGTTCTTCGCAAAGTATGACCCACTGCTTCCTTGAGAGATCAAGAGGGGGTGCAGGCCTAGCTCTATCGCAGTTCGCACGCTTTCAACAAGATCGTCAAACTCCAATTTCGACATTGTCCCCGCATCCTCATCATCGCTCTCGAGACTCTGTTTGGTGGCTGGTCGAATGCCGTCGGGGGCTTGAAAGACGGAATGGTGGATCTCTAGCGTTTCTTCCTCGGCGCTCTTCCCCTTGATGCGCCGCCTGGTGAAGCGCTCCTTGATCTCCTCCGCCCAGCGTTCCAATCGCGCGTTGATGGCCTTGATGTCCACCGTGCTGTTGGCTCTTCTGCGGCGAGGATGTCGAGGTGAATCAAGCGGAGGCAATCGCATGTGGTCTCTCCGTTTTGGCTGGATCGGTTCATACTCGGGTTGACGGGTGGAGAGGGACGGCGGATCTTTGAAGGGATCATCGTTGTCTGAGTACGGATGCTCCTCCTCTTCTTCCTCCTCTTCTGCTTGCGCCAGGATGGCATAGCCGGACTGCGGGCGGCGTGGACGTTGAGAAGGCATGATGCTGTATCCTCACCATTCTCGACGATGGGGAGGTATATTTGGACGCTTTTTGTTTCCGCTGGGATGTCTGGAGCGCACGTGGAGCATGTGAGGTGAGGCTCAGCGGGAGGCGTGCGGGTTGCCCGTGCGGCCCGTTTTCCAGACTCCACCACGCGCAAAGGGGCAAACGGCGCCGGGCCTGGCCCTACATATTTCATTACCTGTGGCTCCTCTCCCATTTGCCGAGATTTCTTAAATCAAACTTCCCCGACAGGCGTTCAGGTCATTTTACCGCTGACAGGGATGGGAGAGGGCCCTGGTCGACGAGCCGGCTATAGCACGTCCTGGCAGTACCTTTCAGAGCCTGGCAAGGATGCTCGTCAGACGCTCGAATGGTTACAGCAGAACACACCCGATTCGGAGCGGACTGCAATTGATTAGAACCAAAGGACGCCAATCACCCGCACATCACGTCCTCCCGCCCGTTGCAAGCCTTGTCGACGCGCACCGTTTAGTGCTGCACGTCATTTGATTAAACGGTCCAAGCGCTGTTGCGCGTTCCGCGCACCGCCCCTTATCGGCGCCATAGACATTCTCTTTTGTGAAGTTCGAGAGAGATGTAGACTTCTGCTGGTTCAGCTCAATACCAACACTCGCTCTTACTTGGTATCTTGACGTGCTAGCACGTCGTCCGTTCGTTACTCCCCAGCCTTTTACTGCCATGCCGGCAATGGCATAGTCCTTCCTTCTGCTCTTCCACACGCTATCCGCTCCGCCTGAGAGTCTCCGACATCCTACACTCCATCCGCCCTCCGTCATGCTCCAATACGCCAGTCCATCACTCCCTCTGCTCAAGCCTCCGCCCTCCTTCTTCTCCGACATGCCCAGCAGACCACCGAGCACCACTCCCTCCCACGACGCACACGCTTACGCAACGAGCATTTCGGGACCGCCTTCGACACAAAACTCCACCCCAGTGCTGCAGCGCTCATTCAGTATAGAGTCCCTGCCGAGCTCGATCCATTCCACATCACAACAGCTGCCAGCATTGTCTACACTTGCATCCTTGGCTGCCAATGCATCTGCTGCAGCCGTCAACGGAATCAGGTATGTATCGAGCAAAACCACACATTCGTACAAGAGTTGGAAAGAGCTTCGAGCGTTCCTGCACTTTGGGCGTGCCCGGAGCTTGCCAAGCCAAACCTTATCGCGAATCTTCTCTTTCGCTCGCGCAGGAATGTCTGCCTAACATCCATTCTCCACGCAGCTCCAGATCGTCCACTCCCATCAGCGGCATGAACACTACTCAATACGCCCCACCGGCCACGGCTGGGGGGCAGCAAAATGGACCGGTACGTGATGTGTGATCTGTTGAAAGAGAAGGGCTAGATCTCGCGATTTCGAGATTGCGGCGACTTTCGTATCGATAACGATGAATATCGATAAGCAACAGCCTCGTCCTCTCCAACCATGCCGGGGTCGCAATGATCACAGCCTGACTGATACTCGTCTAGCCCGTGTGCCAAAACTGCGCGACATCGACCACCCCTCTCTGGCGTCGCGACGAATCCGGCTCGGTCCTCTGCAACGCCTGCGGCCTCTTCCTCAAACTCCACGGCCGTCCACGACCCATCCACCTCAAAACCGATGTCATCAAATCCCGCAATCGCGTCAAGACCTCGCAGCATAGGAAGCAGGAGAGTGCAGATGGACAACCGGCCAGACCGCTCCCTCCGAACGGGTATGCCGCAGCACATCCGGATGTTGCTAGCGCGGGTGGGATGAACGCACTTCACATGCACGGCGTAAATGGCAATGACAACAACGGAGTGGCACAACATAACCCCAACATCGCCCCTCAACACATCTTCGACACCGTCTCTTTGACTGGTGGCGACTTCGCTTTACGCCAACCCAGTCCCTCGGCGGCATCCATGAACGGTGCATCGGGACAGCTAGACACCCCACAATCTTACGACTCTGTACAAGCGCAGAACGCACATCTGCGAACGCGGGTCAGCGAGCTCGAAGTCATCAACGATCTCTTCCGTGGCCGGATAGCGGAGCTCGAACAAGCCGAGCACGAGATGCGACGGCTGGAGGAACACAAGGCAGAGGAGACACGGCGGCAACTCAACGCGGCGAATGGCAAAGTAGACGAATTGCAAGCGAGGATCGCAGAGCTGGAGGCGCTGCAGGCTAGTCCGGCGAGGAAGAGGACGCGGCGGAATGGAGATGTGCCTGATGACGATGATGCCTTGTGAGCGAGGCTGGGCCTTTGCACTCCACACCGCTTTGATTCCACATGCTTTTCCTCCGCTGCGATACCCAGAAATACAAGATATGCTAATGGCAACACACTTCGAGTAGGGCAATTGCTGCGCCTATGCGCAGCTCCCTCCGATGCAGATCCCTTCTCAGCTCCTCCTTTTAACCTTTGGATCAGCTGACTGCCTTCACCACATCTGCAATGCAGACCAGATAGGGTTTCCGCATTGCTAAGCAGACGCATTGTTCGTAAGTTGGTTGCTCCACCATGTCACGTTGAGTAATGCCCGTCAATTATGATCATCATGTTAAGACCGGCTTCATCCTCAACGGTCACGGTGCTACACCTTTTGCTAATACTACCAACAACGACGTGGCTCCATCCCGAGATTGAGACCGAAATTGATCTACTCTGGACCAAGATCTTTCCATCCGCTCAGCGTCCTGCTCCTCTTCCACCTACCGCCGCAACACTCACTTCCCCACTATCAACGACTGACCATGGCCCCCAAAATCCGCGTCGCCATCTCCGGCGGCGGCGTCGCCGGTGCGTCCCTCTTATACGGCCTCCTCCAGCACCCCAACATCGACGCCCACATCTTCGAGTCTGCCGCGCAGTTCCGCGAAGCGGGCGTAGCCTTCGGCATCAACCGCAGCGCCGCCAAAGCCCTGGAGCTCATGTCGGGACTCCCGTGCCTGGAGCGCGCGGGCGGCGTGCCCATGGTTGGCGTGCGCTTTCATCTCGCCGAGGGCGTGGGGGCGGGCGAGGTTGTGCGGGAGTGGGATACCAAGAGGGATGGGAAGGCGTGGGATGGGAAGGCGTTGCTGACGATTGTGCAGCGGGCGAATTTGCTGCATGAGTTTTTGGCGGGGGTGCCGGCGGAGCGCATGCATGCTTCTAAGAAGCTAGTGAGGGCGGAGAGGCGGGGCGAAGGGGGCATTGTCCTTCACTTTGCGGACGGGACGACGCATGAGTGCGAGTATGCAGATTTGGTCTCCCTTTGTGCTGGTGACCGGTAAGAGCTGACCAGATGACCAGTATTCTCATCGGAGCCGATGGCATCCACTCCACCGTCCGAAAAATCGTTGTCGGCGACGACGATCCCGCCGCACACCCCCGCAACACAGGCTGGTGGGCCATCATGACTCTGCAGCCATACGAAAAGGCGCGATCGAGCATCGGCAACGGGCCCGTGGATATCGACGACGCTCGCGAGATGAGTTGGATTGGCGACGGCGTCTTTCTCTTGCACAACATTCTCAGCAACGGCACGATCGTGCAGTTCAGCGTGTGCAGCAAGGACGAGAATGCGGACGGGAAACCGGCGTGGGGGAAGAAGGTCAGCGCTGAAGAAATTCGGCGGACTTTCGTGAGCGCGAAGCGGCCGGCGCATATGAATACTGCGGTCGAGGAGGTAGCCCTCTCATGACGTGACACTCGAGCAGAGGCGCAAAGCTGACCCCTTTCTAGCTACTCTGCGACCAACCCGAGCAGCCTATCATCTACCTCTACGACCACCTGCACGCCTCCACCTACGCGTCTGGCGGGATCGCAGTCATGGGCGACGCGGCGCATGCAACGACACCCTGGCAAGGCTCAGGCGGCGGCATCTGCATCGAAGACAGCATGATTCTGTCGTCTCTGCTCGGCCAGGCGAAGTCGCCCGCCGAAGCGCGGGTGGCGCTCAAAGTGTACGACCAAGTGCGGCGGCCGCGCACGCAGCGGCTGGTGGACTCGAGTTACACGACGGGACAGATCCTCATGGGGCAGTATGAGGAGAGCGGACTGGACGCGGAAAAGCTGAGGAAGGCGTTGGCGCCGAGGTGGGATTTTATTTTCGATTTTGACAATGCGAGGCACCGCGAGGAGGCGCTGGAGTTGATGAGGAAGGAGGTCGCTGCGTCTGGCTGAGGGGGTTCTGGAGCATTCCACTCGAACCGTTCAACACGGAGTACAGAGTGCCCTTCTGCGATATACCAGCGTATCTACACGTCGCTGGATCACGTCTCAAACTGTCGAGAATGGCAGGGCCTAATGTCCCAAGCCAGCGAGGCAGATGCATTTAAATGAAGGGTGCCCTCAGTGCCGCATCTCTGCAAAAAGAATTGCCCAGCAGGGCGGTGTGCGTCCCTCCACACAGGGTGGCCAGCACACGAGTGGAAGAGCGACGTTGAGAGGTCCCTCTCCCCAATACAGGCCCACCGAGACCCCGGCTTCCTCCACGCGAAGCCACGGGAAAGCCGGGGAGCACTTCAGGCAAATGAAAATTCTCGCAGCGAACATGCGGGCGCGGGCGAGAATTCCAATGGCGTCACCGCGGAGATGGCCCTGCGGCTGTTTCACCGCCCTGTGGCGAGATTGCGATAGACTTTGGGACTCCGGTTGTTGAGCCTTGCCTGACTAAGCCGCTGAAGGCCGATGCGATGAGCGGATGGAGAGGCTTGGGGGATACTGGTGATGGCGGATGGATGGAGACTGTTGTAATTCCAGGTGTGATTGAAACGAGCACTGTAGTGATGGTTGAAATGTCACTTCTCGCCCACGTATTCACTCTTGATCATATCTGCCTTCAATGCCTGGAATGCTCCCTTCGGCCAATCAGAAGCCGAGAATTTACCCTTCGGCTGCCTTCGCCGAGGCAGGGCTGGCGTTGGGCGTTTGGAGCGCGCTAAGTCCCTCCGAAAAAAATTCGACGGCGACATAAAATAAAAATCCCTTGACTTTCACCCTCCCTTCATCCCTCTCCCATCCCACACACTTCTCTCCCCCCCTCACATCTCCCCTCTACCCTTTCTTCACATTCACGTACCCGAACAGGCCGTGAATTGTGTGCTCTGGTCACCGCCGTTCTCCCACACCGCGCGCCTCAGCGCCCTCTCACCCACCACCCTTTCTCACCACACGCCACGCCATGGCACCTTCAGTAGACATGGAGTCCCAACCTACCGACGGCCAAATCCGGTCGGAGAACAAGAAATCCGAAAAGGTCCTGGAAGAGCTGCTCTCCAAGCTCTCCGTCTCCCAGGTCGGCGATGAGGCCAAGGGCACCTCGCAAGAAATCGCCACCTTCATCAACGGCGACATCGAGGTCAAGGATGCGCCCACCAAGGCCGTCGAGTCCCTCAAGAAGATGCTCCTCAGCAAAAAGGATGCCAACGCCCGACAAAACGCCTGCGAGGCCATCACCACCATTGCTCAGCACGCCACCGTCTCGGCCGTGGTTGAGCCGTACCTCGTCCAGCTCCTCCCTACCGTCCTCGCCACCGTCGGTGACAAGATGGTCCCGGTCAAGGTCGCCGCCCAAAACGCCGCCCTCGCCATCACCAAGGCCGCCAACGCAAACGCCGTCAAGCTCCTCATCCCGCACTTTATCGAATCCATCCGCCACGCCCAGAAATGGCCGGAAAAGATGACCGATCTCGAGTGCATCGACGCTCTTTGCAACGCTGAGACTGCACAAGCCCAGACCGCCTTCCGCGTGCCCGAGCTGATTCCCATCGTCTCTGAGGCCATGTGGGACACCAAGCCCGAGGTCAAGAAGAAGGCCTACAGCACCATGGAGAAGCTTTGCCAGCTCATTTCCAACCGCGACATTGAGAAGTTCATCCCTGCCCTCATCACCTGTATCGCCCAGCCTGAGAAGGTCTCCGAGACCGTCCACGCCCTCGGTGCCACCACCTTCGTCCAGGACGTCCATGAGCCCACCCTGGCCCTCATGACCCCTCTCCTCGAGCGTGGTCTGAAAGAGCGTGATACCACCATCAAGCGCATGTCTGCCAAGATTGTCGACAACATGTGCAAGCTCGTCGAGGATCCCCAGATTGTCGCTCAGTTCCTTCCCAAGCTGATGCCTCAGCTCAAGGAGAACTACGACAACATTGCCGATCCTGAGGCCCGTGAGAAGACCAAGCAAGCCTTGGACACCCTCGTTCGCGTTGGCGACGTCAAGGACGGCAAGATTCCCGAAGTCTCCCGCGCCGGCGACGTTGACACCGTTCTCGCCAAACTCAAGGAGATCCTTAGCACCAGCCACAAGGATGCTGTTGCAAAATTCGAGCCAGTGCTTGCATACATCTCGGCCATCGCCGGTCAGTTAATCGATGAGAAGGACAGCGAAATCACCACCTGGAACCTTGCCCTCGTCAGCTACATGACCATCATTGTTGGCGAAACCGAGGCCCAAGGCATGGTCAACGCTCTCCGCAAGCGTGCCTCTCCTCTTGCCGGTGCCGAGGACGAGGTGGAGCCCGATGAGGAGGAGGGTGAGGATCTGTGCAACTGCACGTTCCAGCTCGCCTACGGTGCGAAGATTCTCCTCAACCAGGCCCATCTCCGCCTCAAGCGTGGTCAGCGCTACGGTCTGCTCGGCCCCAACGGTTCCGGCAAGACCACTCTGATGCGTGCCATCAACAACGAGCAGGTCAACGGGTTCCCCAAGCAGAGCGAAGTCCGAACCGTCTACGTCGAGCACGATCTTGACGCTGCCGACACTGAGATGAGCGTTCTCGAGTGGACGCAGATGAAGCTCCAGGGCAGCAACATCGAAATCCCCAACGAGGAGGTCAAGAACACCCTCGTTGAGTTCGGTTTCGGTGCCGATCAGCTCGATAAGCCCATCACCTCGCTCTCTGGTGGCTGGAAGATGAAGCTGGCCCTCGCCAGGGCTGTCTTCGCCAAGCCCGACATTCTTCTGCTCGACGAGCCCACCAACCATCTCGATGTGAAGAACGTCAAGTGGCTCGAGGACTACCTCACCACCTCCCCTTGCACTTCCATCATCATCTCCCACGACAGCGGCTTCCTCGACAACGTCATCCAGCACGTCCTCCACTACGAGCGCTTCAAGCTCAAGCGCTACCGTGGCAAGCTCAGCGAGTTCGTCAAGCGCGTGCCGTCTGCTCGCTCTTACTACGAGCTTGGTGCCTCCGAGATGGAGATGAAGTTCCCCGAACCCGGCTTCCTCGAGGGTGTCAAGACCAAGGCCAAGGCTATTGTCCGTGTCAGCAACATGTCCTTCCAGTACCCCGGTACCGAGAAGCCCCAGATCCAGGACATCACCTTCCAGTGCTCGCTCGGCTCCCGTATTGCCGTCATCGGCCCCAACGGTGCTGGCAAGAGTACGCTCATCAACGTCCTCACCGGTGAGCTCATCCCCACCACCGGTGATGTCTACCAACACGAGAACATCCGTATTGCGTACATCAAGCAGCACGCTTTCGCCCACATCGACCACCACTTGCAGAAGACTCCGTCTGAGTACATCCAATGGCGCTTCCAGACTGGTGAGGATCGCGAGACCATGGACCGCGCCAATAAGATCGTCACCGAGGAGGATGAGAAGGCGGCCGAGAAGGTGTACCGCATCGAAGGCTCGCAGCGTCGTGTGGTTGGCGTCCATGCCCGCAGAAAGTTCAAGAACTCCTACGAATACGAGTGCTCGTTCCACCTCGGTGAGAACGTTGGGCTCAAGAACGAGAAGTGGATTCCCATGATGACCGCCGACAACGCCTGGATCCCCCGTACCGAGCTCATTGCCAGCCATCAAAAGATGGTTGCCGAGGTCGATCAGAAGGAGGCCCTCGCCAGCGGTGCCTTCCGCCCTCTCGTCCGCAAGGAAATTGAGGCCCACGCCGCCAACTTCGGCCTCGACGCCGAGCTGGTCTCTCACTCCCGCATGAGCGGTCTCTCCGGAGGCCAGCGTGTCAAGGTCGTGCTCGCCGCCTGCTCCTGGCAGCGACCGCATCTCATCGTCCTCGACGAGCCCACCAACTACCTCGACCGCGACTCCCTCGGTGCCCTCTCCAAGGCCCTCAAGGCTTTCGAGGGTGGTGTGATTATCATTACTCACTCCGCCGAATTCACCAAGGACCTGACGGAGGAGGTGTGGGCTGTCGTCGACGGCCGCATGACCCCGTCCGGCCACAACTGGGTGCAGGGCCAGGGTGCCGGACCGCGTCTGAAGCAGGACGACGACGAGGAGGAGCGCTTCGATGCCATGGGCAACAAGATCGACTCTTCCAAGAAGGCGAAGAAGCTGACGAGTTCGGAGCTGCGCAAGAAGAAGAAGGACCGCATGGCGCGGAGGAAGCGCGGCGAGGAGGTCTTCAGCGATGAAGAGTAATCGCGCCGTTGCCTTGCTTTGTGCTTAACTCGCAGCGTTTTTTGACTTCGTGGGCATGGATTCTTGATGCATGGCGGGATTGCGGCGTTTCTCGGGCAAGGAAAAGGAACATGTGGTTTTTGCGTTGCTTTGCTTTGCGTTGCTTGCAAGCTCGAGGATTCCCACTATGGCGATAGACTCCGGCGATAGATTTTCCAAAAGAGATAGAAATGGTGCTGGGTAAACTGGTCCGTTGGAATTCAAAATGATACGTTCGAAAACATCTTTAGTGCCTCGTCTCATCTTCTATATGTACAACCATTCATGCCATGCACCTGACGCAGACGTCTACATCAAACCCCCATATCAAACAACAACACCTCCGCCGCCTTCTCCCCCGTCCCTTTGACCTCCAACGTCCCCGGCCCCCGCAAACCCCGCACAAACGCCCCATCGCCCTCCCCAAGCTCCACGCCCCCAACCTCGATTCTCGCCCCTCCGGTAGCCGGTTGTTTGCGGCCCGACATGACGACGTGAAGGTACACATTCCTCTCGCCTTCCGCTACGAGGTCGTGCGTCACGGATTTGCCTGGGGAGAGGATGGTGGCGCTCATGCTCAGGTCGGCGTGGAGGGGGATGGGGTCCGTTTCGGCCGTGGCGGTTTGGTTGTTCAAGGACGGAGAGCGATCCACGCTCTCCATTATCCGCACAAACTTGTTCGTCTTGCTTTCGTCGGAGTATTTGCGCGTGGCGTAGTGCGGCGTCAATCGGCTTTTGTTCGGCTTCGCCCAGATTTGCAAAAAGTGCACGTCTTCGCGTTCATTGCGGCAGTACTCCGAATGACTTATCCCCGTCCCAGCGCTGGTGAATTGCACCTCGCCTCGCCGCAGTTTCTCCAGATTGCCGAGGGAGTCCTTGTGCTCGAGCTCGCCGGACACGATGTAAGACCAGATGAGGAACTCGGCGTGCGAGTGAGTGCCGAAGCCTGTGCCGCGTTGCACGCGGTCTTCGTTTATGACGCGTAGCGGGCCGAAGGATTGGAATTTGGGGTCGTGGTAGGAGGCGAAGCTGAAGGTGTGGAAGGTGTAGAGCCAGGAGTGGTCGGCGTGGCCGCGCGCGTTCCAGCGGCGGGGGGTTATGGTTGGGGCGGAGGTGGTTGTTGAGGTTGAGGTTGAGGTTGCCATTGTGCGGGTGAGGGTTGAGGGGGAGGGGGAGGTTTTTGAGAGGAGGGTGGAGAGGAAGGGACGGAGGGTGGTGTAGGCCAGGATGGAGAGGAGGAGGATTGCTGCGCCTGTTTTGAAGGAGATGAGTGGTGGTGGATGGGGCGGTGGAGTGGTGGACTGGTTTTTGCTAGTCGTCATGAATGGTAGAATACTTATGCTTGAGGCATTGCTTCGTCTAAACTCGACAGTTGATGAAGCTTGCGGTGATGCTGTCTCTGCTGCAATCCCCGCGGTTCGGCGGGGCACTAGGCTCGTTGCGGCCCGTCAACCCTCTAACAGCGAGCCCGGCGAGATGGAGAAGGGACGTAACGACACGCCCTCCTTAACGGCAATGCTGCGATGGCGAGCACCTCCAATACTAGCCCGAGAGGACACATGGTTGTCGTTTGACTGCGCAGCCTAAACGAAGATTAAGTTCTGGGCCGTACTACGATGTAACGTGAGGTGGGACCATGTGAATAGGCAGGCGGTAGGTTTGGATGCCCTAACACCGTTGCCTACATACTGTAACACCATCGCCTGCGGCCGAACCATCCTCGGCCACGTGGAGCTTACCTACACGCTTCAAGCCTCGCTTCATGCCGGGGTACGAGTCCTCTTCTACATCATCCGTCTTGACAGCCACTCCTCCATGAGCTCTCCCTCGCACGTGAAATGACTTCACAGACAGCTACCAAGTCCCTTGGGGAGAAGTACCTCGACGCCGACTTCGATGCCTGGGTCGAGGGTCTACTGGCCAAGCACCGTGTTCCGGGACTTAGCCTTGCGGTGGTAGACAACGGAAATTCTGTTGCAAAGGTCTGCACTCATATTCAGACTACATGTACACTCTCCTCTCGACTAACACATTCATCACTAGGGCTATGGCTTTGCACAGCTGCCTAAAGTTGCAGCCGACGCCGACACATTGTACCACATCGGTAGCACGACCAAAGCTATGCTGGCCGCTGGACTTGGCTGCGCAATGGACAACGACTCCGAACTGAAGGACGGAAACGATAAACTGTCCCTGCTCCGCAAGACTCGCTGGTCAACGCCCATCCGCTCCATTTTGCCTGAAGACTTCGTTCTGGAAGACAAGCATGCCACCGACGCCGTTACTATCGAAGATGCTCTGTCGCATCGCACGGGACTCGCCGGCGCCGACATTATGTATGGGGACTGGATGGGACAGAAGCCTAAAGCCATCGTGAAAGTGTTGCGACATCTTGGACCCCTAGCCGCCCCAATTCGCACCGCCTGGCAGTACAACAATCTAATGTACAGTACCGTAGCTGATGTGCTCGAGACCGTCACAAAATGGGAATGGGGTTCAGCCCTGCGCCGACTGATCTGGGATCCGCTTGGGATGAAACACACCTACTGGCACTTAGATGAGGTCCCCTCAGACCAAAAGGACCATCTTGCTCAAGGATATTTCTGGACGGAGTCCAGCAATTCAAAGGCGAACGATGCCGCTCAACATTTCGTGCCCGAGCCGTATCTGGAGTTTGCAGGCATCGCTCCTGCTGGAAGTGTCATCTCGTCGGCAAATGATGTCGCCGAGTGGATCAAAGCCCTTCTTTCCGCGGCCAAGAGTCCGGATGAGAAAGGGACTACTCAAGCAAACCCTGTCATGTCCAACAAGCTGTTCGCCGAACTGACAACTCCCCGAATGATCGCACCTCAGCCCCCAGCTGCGGTGCAGAACACCCAGACGCATCCCCGCTTGTACTCGCTGGGATGGTTCCACATGCCTAGTGTGGCAGGTATCAGCCATCCGATCGTTGCGCATGCGGGTGGGTTGAACGGATTTGGCACACAAATGTACCTGCTTCCAAACGACGGTTTCGGCTGCGTGGTCATGTGCAATACCCTGATGTCCGGCCATCGTGTGGCAGAGAGTATCGTCCTCGAACTCATGGCGAGAAAATTGGGGCTCTCGGCGGAAGTGAAAGAGGAGTTTCGGAAGACGTTGACCGTCATTCCGCCGTTGGACGAAGCTAAGCAAGAAGACGGCACTCTGGAGGAGGCGAGTAGTGAGGCCAAGAAAGAGCCTTCACCATCGGAAGCATGGCTTCAGTTCACCGGACAAGTGGTCGGCACGTACAGCAACCCCGCCTACGGCAAATACGCAGTCCAGAGCCATGAACCCGGTGCCGAGAGAATCACATACGACTCTGCTTTGCCAAGAGACAAACGCAAAGAGCGCGACGGCCTCCGATCGAACGCCAACTCTCTGTCGTTCATCCCACTCGGCCATCGCACTTGGAACAATCGTTTCATCTTGCATTCGCGCGCGGCAGATGCGGAGAGCAGCATCAAGGCCGGGAACGCCGATTCAACCACGAAGTTTCTAGACTTGGAGTATTTCATGATGCACGGTTCTCCTCTGGAAACCGCTGCGCAAGCCGGTGGAAAGCAGGCATCAGACGATCCCATGCCCTCGCTGTCGGTCTGGGAGAGCGCCCGATGGTGCCCTTATGGTGGTGCAGTGAAGTTTGAAAAAGGCTCGACGAGACTGGGCGTGAGACTGGGTACGATGCAGCTGCATACTGATGGCAAGGATACGGATGGTTGGGAGAAGGAGATGGTGTGGTTTGAGAAAACGGGCTGAGTCTTGTCTATTTGTAGGTTTGGAAGATGTGCAAGTCTAGTAGTTTCACCTGACTCCAGACGACCTCTCTCCTCATGGTAGACGCCAGTCCGGCTCCGCTAGAATATCAGCCGCCACGATCTTGTCTAGACGCGATCGCGAGATGGGCCGACCGCCGAGGTTGGGTTGTGCTCAAGCCTTAGGCCCAGTAACACGAACAACCTTGTCACAGTTAAGAATACATGACGGATCCAACGCCAGCTTGATCTGTGGAGAGATGGTCAGCTGAGGGCTACAATGGCCAGAGGACATGGGGACAATCCGTACCCTTCTCATCGTCTCGACTGCACCCGGGCCCAGCTCCTTCTCCAGGTAGTCTCTCTTCACCAAACCCACGCCATGCTCACCCGTTGCCGTGCCTTCAAGCGCAATCGCCAGCTCCACCATCCTCTTCACCACCCCTTCCGCAACCGCACGCTTCTCCTCCGGAAACAGAATCAGCGAATGGAAGTTCCCATCCCCCACATGCCCTAGGATCGAACCCAGGAGACCCGAGCGCTTCAAATCCGCCTTCGTCTTCTCGATGATCTCCGGGAGCCGACTGATGGGCACCGCAACGTCCGTCACCCACACTTTGTCCGTCGGCGCCTCTTTCATCGCTAGCATGCTCCACAGCGCATTCTTCCGCGCGGACCACAGCTCGTCGCGCTCCTCGTCGCCCGAGGCGAAGACGTAGGATGTCGAGCCGTGGCGTTTGGAGATCTCGCCTACGGTGTCTGCCACGCTGCCTACCGCTGCGTCGGTGCTGCCGGTGAACTTGAAGAACAGCGAGGGCTCTTCTCTCCATGCTCGCTTCGTCATGCCCGCCCGATTGATGCTTGCCATTTGCACTTCGTCTAGCACCTCCACGGCGGCTACTTGGATGCCCTTGGACACCACCTCCTGCACCGTCGCAGCGGCTGTGCGGAGGTCGGGGAATGTACACACCGCCACGACTTCGTGTTGCGGCTTCACGGCGAGTTTGAGCGTGGCTTCCGTCACTAGTCCGAGAGTTCCCTCGCTGCCGATGAAGGTGCGCGTGAGATCGTAGCCGGCCGAACTCTTGCGTGGCCGCTGCCTGGTTTTCACAATAGTGCCGTCCGCGAGGACCACAGTCAGCGAGAGCACCCAGTCTTTCATCGTACCGTAGGCGGCGGCATTGGTGCCGGAGCATCCCGTTCCCACCATGCCGCCAATCTGTGCGCCCGGGCCGGGATCAGGGGGAAAGAAGAGATTGTACCGCGCGAGCTCCTCGTTCAGCTCCATCCACGGCATGCCCGGTTGTACCACGCAGTCCATATCGGTGGCGTTGATGGAGACGATGTCACTCATGCGGGAGAAGTCGATGCACACGCCCCCGAAGCTGGGGATGTATTGCCCTTCGATCGACGTACCACCGGAGTACGGGGTGATTGGAATGTGCCGGGTGTGACAGATTCGAACAATCTGCGCGACGTCTTCGGTCGAGCTGGGGTAGACGATGGCATGGCCTGGTTTGGCGGTTTCTTCAGTCCACGCGTACGATTGGTAGTCGGAGCCTGAGTGGCTGATGAGGTCTGCGCGGTCGGTGGAGACGTTCGATTTGCCGACGATGCGGGCAAACTCCTCGCATGCTTGAGCGACGTTAGTTGGGGAGGTGTCGTGTCGTTGTCGGATCATTGCGGTGACTGGTGCAGAAGTTTGAGTTGCGACGGGTTCGCGCTGGGAGAACAGGCCGTATACTCCGAGACCTGCTCCAAAGAGCCCGGCCAGGCCAAATGCTGGTGCTGTTTTGGTTGTTACTCACTGTTGACGCGGGGAGACGAGTTGGGGCCAAATGAAACCTACCATATTTGGACACATTGGGGAGGGCCAGGAGATGGGGCGCGGCTGCCGATGAGGCATGTCTTGTGGGAGACGCACGATGGACTGTCAGTCGTCTCCAGATACCTGCTCCCGGAATGCGCTTCATCTTGGCCGCAGAGAAGAGGCAACTAGGTCGTTGTAGGACATTGTCAGAAGAAAGTGAAGAAGACACTCCCGTACAGTCTCGAGACAGTCTCTCTCGCCGATCTATTCCCTCATGGTGCTGGCATGATGGTACCCTCCATGTTTGCTAGGTCTGGGGCGGGGGCACGAGATCGAACCCTGCAGCCTGCGGCGGCGGCCATGAATCAAACCCATGGCCCATAACCGTGGCCATCGCCGACGGACCCCAATCTGGCTCGCGTTTCCGCCTGCATCGCTCCACGGGGCCCCGGACTGCCCGTTATTTCGACTTGGTCACGCAACCGGCTGGAACCAGGTCCAAAAGCCCCTTTGGACGGCACTCAGGGCTAGTCATTGCACTGAAGCCCGGCGTGTGTTGGTAGAAGTAGGCGCGACGCGAGGGTCGGGGTCCGGGAGAGGCTGCCAAGGAGCGCCGCCTTACGGAGTAGATGTAAGATTAGGGCTCGCGACGATCCTCAGAGACCGACGGCACCAGAAAACCTATCTTTGGAGGAGAGTCGCGGGGAGCTTACCATGTGCATCACCAGTGCTCTCATGGTCAGTACAATGTGATATGACGGCGAAGTAATGGCATCTCCGGCCAAAGTCTCCCAGGCAAAGGCGAGCTCTCCTCACAGTCGGCGGAGGATTGGATCCGCGTGTGAACGCTGTCACAGACGGCGATCGAAATGCGATGCATGGGAGAGAGGTGTGCCTTGCACTGCCTGCACAAAGAGCAGACTTGAGGATTCCTGTCGTCTTCTTTCTTCCAAACGTACGAGGTATGTGTGTGGGGAAGGCGACAAGGTCACGTGCATGTCGGTCGAAGGCAATGCTAACCAGCCATCGCCGTCTCGCAGAGGTCATAATGGCCGGTACATCTTGCCACCGCAAGAGCCAACTCCGCCGACAGACACTATCACTGAGCAAGCGTCCGAGGTCATAGGTAGAGAGACGGCCGTGGCTCGTCAAGACCCTTCGCCGCGCTCCGTCACCGAGCCCAACATCAACGACGAACTCGTCAAGCTCTACGGCGATGGCCACCACGTTCTGGCCCCCGAACAGGACCTGGGTGGTCAAGGCGTTGCTACCGTCACGTCTCTGCCCACGCAGGCAGAGTCGCGGAGTCGACACGTCGGCGAGGGCTGGTATGCCACCTATGTGCTCCATCACAGCGGGCCCAATTCGAATCCCACAGGCCTGCCCCATCTTCTCCATCGAGCATCGCGTACACCAACCGGAGAAAGGTCGCAATCGGCGGGTGCCAAAACACCGCCTGCTGACTTGCCACCTCCGTACCTGATTGAGCGACTACTCGAGGACTACTTCCTCCGCTTTCATGTTTTCTGCCCCATCCTCGAGCGTGTCGACTTCCTGAATTCCGTTCGTGACGGCACCGTATCATCCACACTACTGCGATGCGTGCTGTACGTGGCATCGATTCATTGCAATCCAGACACCATCTATCGACTCGGCTTCCCCAATCGCGTGGACGCCGGTGACGACTTGTTTGGACGAGCGTCAACCGCCTTCCACTCGGATCAGGATTCCGACCGCTTGGCTCTCTTGCTGTCCGCTTATTTCCTGCACTATTGGTTTGGTAAGCCATCAAATCATCGAGATGCTCTGTGGTGGCTGGCTACGGCGATCCGTTCTGCACAGTGCATGGGTCTGCACCGGAATACAAACACCGGCTCTCTGGAAGACCGGAGGCAACGCAGGCGAATTTGGTGGTGTCTCTACGTAGGCGCCCTCCGCACCCTCCTCGGGGATGATGCCTAACTGACCGGCGAATTAGATTCGTGATCGTCAAGTGGCCCTCTCTACCGGCACGCCAATGATCATCAACGACCTAGACTGCGATGTTTCGTCGCTCCGCGTGGAGGACTTTCCCCATGACAGTCTCGATACAGCTCGCTACCTCATCCTTCAGGCCGAGCTGAACCGCACATGTAAGACCTGTCTCGACTGTCAGTCGATGCTCCTCACATGCTAATTGATCCATCAGCTTCGCAAATGTTCTTCTGTCATTGTTCACCGTCTCGTCTACAGCTGATGCAAGACTACGCCACCTATCAGAATGCGAGTGAGAGCATCCAAGCCAACCTTCACGATTGGTGCGTGAAAGCACAGGGATGGGAACTGTGGCATCAACCGCATCAGCTGAGTTATATTCTTCGCCTTTGCTATCTGTCAGTAGAGGACACTCCTTCCGCGCCCACGCTTGCTGATTTCAGACCGTAGCTACTACACCATCAACCTCCAACAGCGCCTGAAAAAGGCCTGTCCCGTCTCTCACGAGAATCAACCAATCATTGCCGTCATTCACGAAGCCGCTGATGAGATCTCGCATGTGACCGAAGACGCACTGTTACAATACTCTGCCGAATGGTTCCCCATGATCCTGTGCGTTCACAGACAATATCCTCTCAATCACCTGCCCAAACTGACCATCACATGTCCAACAGCGTCTCGACCCTTCTCAGCGCCATCTCCGTCTTCGCTGCCGATAGTAGCAACAACAAGCACAACCCCGAGCACCGCCTTTCCCCCCTGCAGCTAACCCTAAAACTCCGCCCGTACCTCCTCGCCCTCAAACAACTCGAGCAAGTCTACGTCGTCGCCCACTGGATCCGAAGCCTCTTTATGAAACTCACGAGTACCGCCAGTGCCAGCCGTACCACGCGGCCGCAGCCCCCAGGAGCGACAACCACGCAACCTGGCTACGGCTCGGTGGGCACCACGTTTGCGGGATCGTCGGACACGAGGTCCGAGGGTACGATACTCGTTTCGCCGCCGGCGGTTTCATATAGTCATGTCGTGGGCGTCGAGGAGCTCGGCGGTGGTGGGGATGTGATGGCGTCACCGTATTTCCCTATGAATGGAGACTTGGATAATTTGTGGACGAAGCTGTGGATGAACGTGGATATTGAGGATGCGAATGCGCAGTTCCGGATGGGCGGTGGGTGGTGATTTGCCTTGCACATGGCTGCGGGAATTTTTTGCATCATCAGGTAGTCAAATGATCGCTATCTGCGCCCTTCTTCATTACAAGCTGCACGCAGGCTTGGAACCCTCACTCAAACGCCTTGACGGTTTGGTCTTTCTCCGCAACAGCATCCCCATCGTAATCCCCCTCATCCTTGCCTGGCAACAACAGAGGAACATGATCTGTAGTGGAATACGTCAGTCACCACGTAGCAGATTTCAGAAAGACTCGCGCGAGTGTCGGAAAAGAAGCAAGCGCACCTTTGAACTTCCTAGCCGGCAGGCGTGCTTCGAACATGGCGTCCAACTCGGCCGGCGACCGGCCTTTGACTTCGGGGTAGCAGAAGAAGGTGAAGATCAGATTGACCACCATGAAGCCGGCGAAGATGAGGTACGTTTTGGCGCCGAGGTCGGCACTGTAGAGGAGTCAGTCCTGGCTGGTTGGCCAGACTCGATGACACGACTTACCCAGTAGGCTCGGAAATGTAGGGGAAGACGTAGGTGACGGTCAGCGAGGTGAGGGAGTTGCACAGCAAGGCGAATGCATTCGTCTTGTTGCGCAGGCGTGCGGTGGGCATCTCGGCCGTGTTGATGTATGTGAGCACGTTGAACCCCACGGCCACGAAGAAGCCAAACATCAGGTTGAAAGCGGCGATGGCTTTGGCGACGGAGGGACTGGTGAGCTTCGCGAAGCCTAGGCCGCCGATCGTGCAGTCGATGATGAGGATCATGGTGTACGACGAGAGCGCTAGGCGACGGCGGCCGATGACGTCCACGAGCGCGCCGCCCGTGATGGCGCCGGCGAAGGTGAGGATGTTGAGGATGAAGACGAGCATGTAGGGCGACGTCTCGCCGACTTGCTCGAGGAAGACGGTGGCGTAGTTGGTGGCGTAGATGAGGCCGGAGAGGGAGATCATCATGCCGGCGTAGGTGGCGAGGATGGTGCGTCTCAGGTTCGTGCCGCGGAAGAGATCGAGCCAGGAGATTTCCTTCTCAGCGGCACGCAGCGACTTTTGCATCTTGAGACGCGCCATCTCGTCGGCAATCTCTTCTTCGCTATAGCCTTGCCTCACTCTCCTTAAACTTTCCTCGGCGCGGACATCGTCGCCCTTGATGAGGAGGGCGGTGGGCGATTCCATGACGAAGAAGGTGCAGGTGGCGATGATGATGGGGAAGACGTTCTGCAGTCCAATGGGCAGGCGCCAGGCGAGGCTGGTAGGGATGGAGTGGGTGCCCCAGTTGATCCCGGATGCAATCACGGCCGCCGACTGGATGGAGACGACGGACACGCCGCCGAGCAGGCCTTTGAGAGAGGGCGGGGAGAGCTCGTTTTGGAACGTAATGGCCATGCCGACCAAGACAAAGACGGAGATGGCTAAAGAGAGTCAGTGTATGAGTTTCGACGGCCAGTTGGGGCGCTGGAGAAAACGAACATGTAAAGATACGACCAACAGTGATCGTAGCCACACTAAAAGACGACGTCTGCAGGATGGCACCGAGAAGGCTGATGGCACAACCCAGCCACATAGTCTTCCTCCTGCCAAAGCGGTCGGCGCAGAAAGAATTGATGGCAGCGCCAACCAGCGCTCCGGATGTGGGCGTCGCAACGATGATGGACGTCGTTCTCGCCGTCAGAACGTAGCCCTTGGGGGTCAGGGTGCCGAATTGCTTGACGAAAGGCGGCATCGCCAGCGCGCCTCCGATGACACTCGCATCGTAGCCGAATGTGAAGCAGCCGGTGGAGAGAAGGACAGCTATGGCGTTCGGTGAGCGGAGTGGTCGTGGGATACTACCATGCTGTTGGGATACCTACCCGTGAATAATAAGCGTCGGTTGTGCAAGAGATGATATGCAGCTGAGGGAGTAGCGTCCGCCATGTTGGAGCGAGGTATTTCGCCGGTCGTCAGTGGCCGTGAGTTGTTGTGGCGATGAGAAACCGGCGTGGCGAGTGGAGATATACCCTTCGCGTGGACACCACGAGACTCCCATGGGGAGGGTTGTGTATTTTAGAGTTAAACACTTTTCACTCTCCATAGGCTTTGGTGTTGCCCTTCTTTTCTCCACACTTCAAACCCCAGAAACCCCACAATCTTTACGCATTCTCGTCACACGGCGCGACGAATCTAGCCGCGCTACCCGGGTGGCGCGTGCAAAGCACCATCGCCGACACCATACGAGGCGCGGGTGCGGGGTTGGACAAAATGAACATCACATCGGATGCGAGCCTAGATGCGAGTCAGTGAATAAGGCGGGTCTCATGATGTACGCCAGCCTGTCTTGGCCCCCCAATGGCAGTCTGTGGCCTGAATGGAAAAGGATGTCGCGGTGGGTTGAGACTGTCGCACGTTGGATGTGTACTGAATTGCATGGGGGTGTTGTTGCCGGGGCCCGGCACACAATCCGCTGCACGCCTTTGGACGTCTGCGACTCGTGGGCGGCACTCAATCCTAAATTACGGCCATGGGAGCTGTCGATGATATTCCCGTTCTGTTAGTATGTTGTAGTCTGCTGTTGCTGCGTTTCGGCCAGTCTGTAGATTCTGCACACGCATCGCTTCCACCCACCTTTGCGTTCACAGCCTTGCGGGCCCGTGCGCAAACAATGCTGCCTCAGGCTGGGTGGCTTGAGATCGGGGTCGACATCCCCTCTGTCGGAGCGAGACATGTTCTTTACTCTCTTGATAAAATAAATGCCCTTGCTGGGTGAGTTCACGGCATTTGATTGAGCTTGCAACCAATCAGCGAAGCTATCACGCACTGCTAATGTCGGATGCAGAACAACGCACGACGCCACAGACAGCGCATGCATGTAGCTTCTACATACCACGCAAGCTTGCAACCTGCCCGCTCGTGTTTCTGCTTAAGAATTATCGGCCGGCCTGCGTGTTCGAATGATTACAGCTTCTCAAAGTCGCAGTCGGGCTCACCATGGATCCTAAAATCATAGAAGAGCTGCAACGTAGGTTTGCCGATCACACAAGACACACGCCAGCGTCTAAAGTCGATATCAGACTCCACAACTCGACTGCCACCGTTTCTCTTCCGAGCCTTCTCAGTCGAGTGCTCTCGAGGCATCAACGACACCCAAGAAATGCGACCGATGAGAACGAGAGGCTTCCCCAGACAAAGCATATTCGCACAGCCTTATGATGAGACCAGGGGAATGTTGCGAGAGCACCTGCTCTGGAACTACCGGAGCCCGTCCAACTTCATCTCTTGGTCCAGCTCGATTATCTGGGTGCTGGAGCACGCGGCTCGAATGCACAGACATGAAGAGAAAAGCAATGTTCACATCGCGGTCATGGACGTGAAGAAGATCCACGACATGGCAATCTTCCCCGCAACAACTCTGATGCGAGTCTACAGAGTTCCCGCCAGTGGCGATGACAAGGCGCATAAGCTTCAGCGTGCCTTTTACACGTCTGAATACCTGTTCTATGGGGCTCTACTGAACTCCAAATACGATCCCTGCTTCAAAGCGGTGCGCTGGGATCATTTCTGCAAGGCTGATCTGTGTAACACCATGACGACCTTCTCCGCCCGACCCACCAACGATGACAGACTCTATCTGCGTATCGAAGAGCTCCGTGTCAGTCTCCCAAACGGTAATGGCATGGTACGTTCACAAGACATGCTGCCACCGATAGTTGCAATCGCCTCGCTTTTCGGCACAGAGTTCCAGGTGGTTGTCACCATTGCTCTTATCACTACACTCTACGGCCATCGCACTCCTCTAGCAACAGACTTTATACGATATGTGACAAATCTTCGACTGAATTGCCCACGAGACGTTAAGGATATCGTTGGATTCGATTTCAGGTCTCAAATTGACCCCAATCTAGTCAAAGTTGTGCGCATGTACGAGACCTTGACAGGGACTTTGGGGCTTAGTCGGGGATCTGGAGATACCATGACCACGGAAGCAGAAGGCGAACAGACCGCATCCGTTGCCAGTATGGCCGTTCAGGTGGGAGGCATGACATTATCAACGTAATACTCCAACCCGTGATTCTTGGGATGAAGAACTGGGGTGGAGTGGTTACTGGAAGCTATCAAAGATACTGATATTCAATTAAGTTCCGAGACTGATGATTCAACTGTTGTCCCCTCCAATCGTCTTACAAACGAGACGTTCACGTGGAAGCGTCCGTCACAGCCTTGCGGGCCTGTGCGCAAGCACAGGTGCCTCAGGCTGCGTGGCGTCACATTCACAACGATTGTTTACCCTTCACCTCTCAACCCAGGCAACCTTGCAGACAGACATTACCACGTTCGGAGGTGGCCGCCCGCTCGCACTCATCCACCTCACTTCCACATCATCATTCTAAGAAGCAACGGTCATCAACTATGGCCTCTCCAACCTTCGGCAGCGATGCCTTAGAAGACAACATCAATGACACACCCTCCACCGCCCTTCCCTCGCGCCCGAACAAACGCAAGGCCACAAACAATGAAGAATCTGACGATGACCAGCAAGCATCCACGCCCAAGAAAGCCAAACTTCAACGTCGCAGAGTGAGTGCCTCCCTCCCACCCACCCACCACCTCACTCCTCCAAACGAACCCAACTAACTCCAACCCCCCACCCCAGAACTCCAAAATCGCCCGCATCCTCCCCATCGCCGAATCCTACGAAGAAGCCGCCGAGCACGACAAAATGCTCTTCGACCAGCGCGAAGCAGGCAAAGCCTGGCCCCTCATCCGCGCCGAATGGACCCGTCTGACAGGCGAAGAAGTGAAATCGTCGACGCTGCCTAATCGCTACATGTTCGTCGTTCCCTTCCCTTCCCTTCACCCCCTCCCTCCACAAACACATAAACGTGATACTGATGTGAGTGAAAAGACGCCTGAAAGCAAACTTCACCCAGCTCCCCCGCGAAGACCAGGCGCTCCTCATCGCCAGCAAGCAAGAAGTCGAAGACGACTGGGACGAGAAGAAGTGGGGCTTCATCGCGACGCGCATGCGGGAGAAGAGCGAGGCGCGCGCCCGCGAGTTGGATGGCGGGGCGGAGGATGTGGCTATGGCGGAGGCGGCGGTGCAGTATGCGCCCGAGACGCTGTGCGTGCAGTATCGGCATTTGATGCAGAATGCGGAGAACTTGCCTGCGGCGAGGGAGGCGGCGGGCCGGCGCAATCGGTGGGAGGAGCGGGTGTTGCGGATTGTGGATGGGGTTGAGGAGGAGGAGAGTGATTAGGTGGGGTTCTTGAGGGGTGAGGGGATGCGTGGGATTCTAAGGAAGGTTGAGTTTGGTTTCTGTGTCTGCTATGGAAGTACAGACAGCTAGCTGGGGTGATTGGGACCAGCCAGACCAGGGTATCGTAAAGGAAGCACCTGTTGCACGATGGAGTGCATTCCAAACCAACGTCATCGTATCGTATCGTGTCGTATCCTCTCCAGGGCTGATGCAGCCCCAAGTCGAACCCAGTATTCGTAGAAGTGTGGTATGTCCACATCCATGACTCTTCCCGATCCTCCCTCGTCATCCAACTCAGTCTCTCAGCCTCCATCATAGCCTCGCTCAACGCCTATCATCCCTGCGCCTGCGATCATCCTCATACCTCCTCTCATCGTACCTCCTCCCACGCCGATCATCCACCCTACGGTCCCTCTCATCAAACCGCCTCTCGCCCCTATACCCCCGCCCGCGCTCCGCGTCCCTAGCCCTCGCCCTATCACGCTCGAGATCGCGCTCGCGAAGATCCCCCGGCCGGTCGCGCTCCCGATGAGGCCCATCTCTACTGTGCGTTCGCTCCTTACCCCCGCGCTCACGACTGTGATGCACAAGAGAGTCAGGCCGACGATCACGGTCTCGCTCCGGCTCCCTCGAGGTCACGCGAGGCTGTGGGATTTCCACTTCTTCTTCGTACTCCTCCCATTCCTCTACGAAGTACTTCTGCACTTGCGCCTTCTCGTCTGCGGCGCGTTGGGGATTGAGCATGAACCTCACTGTGCCTGCGCCTTCCGGAGGGGCGGCGGTGCCGTTTGTGGTTTGAGCTTGCTGAGGCTGCGGCTGCGGTCCTGGCTCCATGGGCGAGACGGGAGTGGGATGCCCGTTGGCGACGCGGAGGGTGTTTTCGGTGGTGGTGGTGATGGTGGTTGCCACGCGTGGAGGAGCGGTGGTGTGGCGGGGGAGGTTGTGCTCGTTGCACTCTTTGTTCAAGCCCAGGCGGACGCGAAGGAAGTCGTCGAGAGAGTATCGTGTGCCGAGGATGGTTTGGGCGGTGTGTTGGGTGTAGAGGTCCAGAAGGTCCAGCAAGGTCTCCATGACTTCCTCTCGAGTAACGGACCAGGTTTTGAGGTCGAGAGCCTGCAACGCGTCTCTGATGGCAGACACGTTGTTCTCTGTGCTTGCGGCGATGAGATGTGCGGCCAATTCCAGACAGGCGAGGGCCATCGTGGCCGTCGTCTGCTTCAGCGGGGCAAAAGTGCGGTAGAGATCCGTCGCCACAGTCCACGCAAGCTTGACCACCTTCTCCCTCTCATCATCCACGCCTTCAGGCATTCCCTTTGCAATCTTCACCAACAGCTGATGCGGGTACCTCGACCTAAAATCAAACCCACCCGCCTCCAGCACCAGCCTCTCCAAACCAATGACGGCCCTGCTCGGCGCTTCGAAGATGGGGTCATCCGAGCCCACTTGATCATGTGTGGTGGTCTTCAAATTGTACGCCGCAGCCAGAATGTCCTTGCTCTTCTTCAGCGTGTCCTCCACCTTACAGCTCACCAACAGACTCGCCGCACATGCATCGGCCCACGCATTCGCATACTCCATGCCATTCAGGCTGCCGGCGTGGGCCAAGCGGAATTTGTGGTAGTAGACACATGCCGTCGTGTATGTGCGGATGGGAAGTTGAAGCGAGCGGCGAACAGTATCGATCCATGTGATGCCTTGCAAGCGGACGCTGTCTTCACGGGCTTCGGCGATTGAGCGTTCTTGATGATCGAGTTGAGAGGTCTGGGCGGTGGTTTGTTGCAGTCTCTTAGAGATGGCCGCTTGACTCATGAAAGGTGCCGACACGCGGATGGTGGAGGGGTCGGGACCGACATGTTTGGTCTCGCCGTCCGACGTGCGCTTTGTTGCACCCATTGTGGGCGGCGGCGAGGGGGAGGTTGGGTAATAAGGCGAGGATGGGGAGAAGGAGAGGTCCGAGGCGGGAGAGTAGGAAAGTGAGCTGCGGTCGGAGAAATCCCCGGACTTTTCCCGATGCCGGACTTCACGCTGTCCTTTCGCCTTGAACTTGTTGCGTCCCTCCTCTTCTTCAGACTCTGCAGCTCCATGATATCTCCCGTATCTGGTGTTGTAAGCAGTGTGATGGTGGTTACGTCCATTTGGAATATCAGAAACATACCCAGAGCGAGGAGAAACGTCACGGCGATGCTTGCCCTCATCGCCGCTCATTATCGGCGACCAGCTGTAGGATCGATCGCTGCGCCCTCTGCTCTGCTCTCGACTCGGCGTTGGCGAACGGCTGTACGATCGACCGCGATATTTCGTGCTCTCCTCGCGACCTCTCACCGGCGATCCGCTGTCAGACCTCGAACGCCCGCCACGCCGCCCGCTCGCCCCAACCCACCCATCACCCCCTCTCACAGCAGGAGACGCTGACCTCCGTGGAACCCACCTACTCGGCCCAAGCTTCTTCTTCTTCTTGGGCGGAGGCGAAGGCGGCGGAATGCCCATGGCCGCATCCCGGTTCTGCTGCTCGGTGTAGTAGTCCCACAAGCGTTTCCGCTCGCGCGGCGGCGGGTGCCCAAACTTGCACTGGCTACCGCTGTAGCATCGCTGCGCCATCCAGAACTTGCAGATGCCCATCTTCTCCCACGGTATCCAAACCATCTTTGCCGTTCCTTCTTCTCCTCCGCAGTGTGTTGTGCAGGGGAGGGGAGCGCTCTGTTTCACGTACCTTGTCTTTGTTGTGTTGATTTGCAGAGTGAGTTGCTGGTCTTTTCCTTGTTTCTTGGTGTGAATGCGTGGTTGAGGAAGACTTTTGTTACGCTGAAAGAGTGTTGTGTGGGTGGCAAATGAACGTTGTTGTGCTGCGGTGAGCTGTTCTTTCCTCGTTTGTTTGATGAGTCTGACGTCGTTTGCATGGTCGAGGGAAGCTTTTGTGTTACACGGTGATTCAACTTGCAGCGCCGCTACGTCAGGGTCCTTTGACAGTCACATCGGGCAGGAGAAGCTCGCGCGTACGATGGCCAATACGAAGGGAGTTCTCATAGGGCGAGGCCAAACACCAGCACCGTACAACTACTAAGGCGAAAAGGGAGGGCGCCAAAGACACTCAACCGCCTTTACACCTGCGATTCCTAACCAGCAAACCAACAGCCCGACGCTGCTCAAACATCACCACGGCCGGGAACGAGAGTCGAAGCATGGACTGTGATGATAGAGTCCCGTCTACAGAACTCTAATGTCACTCAAAGGTGGAGGTCGGTATTGAACAACCTCAGCCCATCACAGTGCAGTATCGAGTGGTCATGTATCGATGGGCCTCGGCGGCATTTCGATGAGACAGCATTTTCAAGACTTTGCATCGGCACACGTTGACTCGTCAAGGTAGTTCGACAATGTCCTTTCACCATAGAGTCCCGCGCATTGGAAGCGCGATATGCTTTCGGCCTCTCAACAAGGCTCGCTTATTACTAAGCCGGGGAATCTTCACTGCATGTTTGTCAGATCTCGGGGTGCGGGTAAGGTTTCGGCAGGGAAGCAGGAACCTGGCCAATCGGAGCGCATCGTTTCCGCGCGATACGCAATTTTGGTGAATTTTGTGGTTCGAGGGAAAAAGTGGAAATGCAATTGCGCTCGCTCGCCCTCTCGCTCACTGCAGGTACGGTCCATGAAGTCACCGCCTTTCAACCCTTTTGCCTTCCCTTCGCAAAAAGTCAGTCTCGTACCATCGCACTTTCGGCAGTCGCCCAACCCGGATGCAAACACCCGAATGCCCGCGGGCGTTATGCTTTGAACGTTGATCCCCCCATACGCCCGTCATCCATCAAGAGTGGTGCCATTCCCTTTGCGCCCAAAGCTTAACCTGCCCCCAACCGAATTGTCAACTCATATAATAATCTAACCTTACCGCCCTTTCCGCCGCCACTTTTGCTGTTTACCACACCGCACCCTCCCTCCTCTGAAGCATTCGGAGTGGGCGACAAGATGGCGTCGCCGATGGAGGTCCTCAATGCCACCCAAACCGCATTGCCCGGTGCGCTACACGCCTCCGTGGCCGCGGCACAGATGGGCTTCCTGGGAAACTTCATCGAGAACATGACCATTGTCCGCACGTTGGTTACCGTGTTTGCACTGGCTGTAGCATATGATCAGAGTACGTGCTGCAACCTCTCTCGGTCAATCTCCCAGCTAACCCCACGTCTCAGTTTCCTACTGGCGACAGAAAGGCAACCTCGCCGGCGACATGTTCAAGATCCCCTTCGTCGGCCCCTTCTTCGACAGCGTCAAGCCCTCCTTCGAAAAGTACTACATCAAATGGGTCTCCGGCGATTTGTCGTGCGTCAGCGTCTTCCACAAATTCGTCATCATCGCCGCCACCCGCGACATGGCGCGCAAGGTCTTCAACAACCCCACCTACGTCAAGCCGTGCGTCGTCGACGCCGCGCACAAGCTGCTCCGCCCGGAGAACTGGGTGTTTCTGGACGGCAAAGAGCACGTCGAGTACCGCAAGGGCCTCAATGGCTTGTTCACGCGGCAGGCGATGGAGACCTATCTGCCCGGCCAGCAAGAGGTGTACAACGAATACTTTGAGCAGTTCCTGCAGGTCACCAAGGACGCCGACGGCGCGCCCCGGCCCTTTGTGTACAAACTGCGCGAGCTCATGTGCGCCGTCTCCTGCCGCACCTTTGTCGGGCACTACATGTCGCGCGAGGGCGTGAAGAAGATTGCCGACGAGTACTACTGCATCACCGCCGCCATGGAGCTCGTCAACTTCCCCATCATCCTGCCCTTCACCAAGACGTGGTACGGCAAGAAGGCCGCGGACAAAGTACTCGAGGCCTTTGCCAACTGCGCCGCGAAAGCCAAGGTCCGCATGCGACAGAAGGGCGCGCAGCCGGAGTGCATTGTCGACCGTTGGGTGGCGCAGATGTTCGAGTCGGAGCGGTATCGCGAGCGCATTGCCAAGGGCGAGACGGTATCGACGGAGGAGAAGCCGGCGATGCTGCTGCGCATGTTCTCCGACCTCGAGATCAGCATGACCGTGTTTACGTTTTTGTTTGCCAGCCAGGATGCCACGAGCTCGGCGTGCAGCTGGATGCTGCAGCTTCTGGCCGACCGGCCGGAGATGCTGGCCAAGGTGCGCGAGGAGGGTGCCAAGATTCGCCCGGATCCGAGGGCGCCGGTGAAGTTTGAAGATCTGGAGAAGATGGTGAGCATTAGCATCCCGTGACACTGGAAGCAACCCCACTAACCAATGCCCACAGGAGTACACCCGTGCCTGCGTGAAAGAAACCCTCCGCTACCGCCCACCCGTCATCATGGTCCCCTACCTCGTCAAGAAAGACTTCCCCATTCCCGAAAGCAACTACGTGGCGAAGAAGGGGTCAATGATCATCCCCACCACCTGGCTCGCACTGCACGACCCCCAAGCCTACCCGGAGCCCGACACGTACAACCCGGAACGCTGGATCAGCGGCAACGCGGAAGAGCAAGGCAAGAACTGGCTCGTGTTCGGCACGGGGCCGCACTACTGCCTCGGCCAGAACTACGCGATCCTAAACTTGATGCTGCTGCTGCACAAGGTGTCGTCGGTGCTGGAGTGGGACCATACGATTACCGACCAGAGCGAGGAGATCCGCGTGTTTGCTACGATTTTCCCCATGGATGATTTATTATTGACGTTCAGGCCGCGTGAGGGGGTGGTGGTTTAGACTGCGAGGTGGGGGGTATGCATTCCGCGGTGATTGCCGGGTAGCATTTTGCCTGAGAGGTGGTGGTTCGTCGTGCGTTCAGTCGTTTGCATTGCGGAGAGAGCGAGTGTGGTTGTCCATTGCTTGTGAGAGTGTACATACCATGCATAATTAGAAGCAGAAGAATCGTGCAAATCCCACATCCTGAGAAGCGCACGTGAAGTCGCAGAAGACGAAAGGGATCTGCAACGCCTTCACCAACTGCAGCAAGTCAAGGCGAGGCAGGGCCAGCATCCCACTCAATCGAACCGGTGAACAGGTTAGGCCGGGCACTCATTATTGCGCAAGATGCTTCCGTCGTCCAACTAGAAGCGAACGGTCGAAGGTTGCGGTGAATAGAAACCGGGGGCCGTACCTTCCTCGTAGGGCTGCAGCTCGTTACGAAGGCACGTTTCCATGCTAGCAAAGCTTCTTTTCGCCTGTCGATCTGTGGCGCCTTCTCAGTCCTCCTTCCCCCACGTCTTGCGCTTAATTTTGGGGGCTTGTTGTCTTCTTGCTGTTCGACACTGCTTTATCTATGGAACGACTGGCCTTTTGTACTCGCGTTGTCCATGAGCGAGGCGGAGGAGGGTGATGCGGGTGCTGCCCCGGACACTCCCACGAACGCCCATGCCTTCCTTCACGGTGTGAGCGCGAGATATAAGGTGCGATAACTACTCAAGCCACCACCGCCGATCCCTCCAACTAATCCATATCGCCATCTCCTTAGCTTGAATTGGGTGCCTGTCCGAGCTACCGACGGTATATACCGCCGGATGTAACTGTAGATCACGTCGTGCTTGGCCGCCCTATCCCACGTTTAGGAGTAAACACGCTGGCTATGGATATGATCTCGAGAACACGAGAGCCGGGTATATGTAGGTTGGCGATGCCTCATTCTCTCACTTGTGTCGCTTCAGTTCTGTCCTTCTTTACTTCGCATTCCCTTCTCCTTGCGCTGCACACGACCTCTTCCACGATGAAGAAAGCAATGCTGACCAGCGCCCTCGCGGCCACCGCGGCCGCTCGTTCCATGCCTCACTTCAAGCGCCAATCGAACAGCAGCACAGTGCAAGGCTTCGACGTCTCGGGCTATCAACCCAACGGTGAGCCGCCCCCTATCCCCTGCAATGCACCCCTACTTATACACCGCCAAACAGTCAACTGGGACGCAGCCTACAACGGCGGCCTCCGCTTCGTCTACATCAAAGCCACGCAGTCCACCGACTACACCAACCCGGACTTCTCCAGCCAGTACGAGGGCGCGACGAACGCAGGCTTCATCCGCGGCGCCTACCACTTCGCTGACGGCACTGTTAGCGCCTCGGCGCAAGTCTCCTACTTTGCGCAGAACGGCGGCGGCTGTAAGCTCCTCCTTCACTCCCTTCCACTTCACCTCAGGCCTTCCTAACTCCTCACCCACAGGGTCCAGCGACGGAATCACCCTCCCCGGCATGCTGGATCTCGAAGGCGACTGCATCGGCGTCGACTGGATCCAGGAGTTCTCCGACGGCTACTACAACATGTACGGCGTGTACCCCGTGCTCTACTCCAGCCCGTCGTGGTGGGAGCAGTGCACCGGCAATTCGAATGCGTTTGTCAATACAAATCCGCTCTTCATGGCCTGCTATGATTCCACTCCCTGCACTCCGCAAGGCGGCTGGCCATACTTTACGTTCTGGCAGTATGCGGATAGCAATACTTAGTGAGTCATGGTTTCGCTTGTTTGTTGAGAGGACACTGTGCTAATGGATCTGTGTGATGATAGTGGTGGCGACTCGGACCTGTTCAACGGAGATTACAGCCAACTACAGACGCTTGCGACCAATGGTTGATAGATGGAACGCCAACTTCGAGTTACGAGACAGCGACATCAATAATGATTGCAAGTTGGCCCAAGAGTGTAGAGAAAAGCATGCTTACATAGCCCGCACCTATCCAGTTCTAGCCGATCGAGCACCCCAGAGTCAATCACCTTCTCACTTCATCTCTCGTGCCGAGCCTACCTCCTCTACAAAGCAGCCAGGATAGCCATCCCCACGGCCCCAATAGCAATAGGCGCCGCAGTCACCACCGCCCCAGCCGCACCCTCCGAATCCAAAGATGGAGAAGTCTCCCCAGCGGCCCCCGTAGCACTCGTAGCCGTAGTAGCAGCAGCAGTCTCAGTCGGCAACGAAGTCGTCGCCCCCGCGCCTCCACTCGCCGTCGAGCCCGTAGTATCCGCCGTCGTCGCCGTCGTCCCCGTCGCACCGGACGTCACACTACTAAACAACGACCCAGCACTACTCAAACTCGACTGCAGCTCGCTGTACTCGGAGCGCAAACTACTACCGTACTCGCCCGTCGCCGTGGCGGCGAGCACGGAGAGGCTGCTGAGCTGCGCCGAGGCGAAGGAATTGACTTGGCTGTAGACGGAGGTGGGGTTTGCGGTGCCGAGGAGGGAGGAGACGTCTTCTGTGATGTCGTCGAGGTCGGGGACGTCGATGTCGTTGTCGTCGTTTTCGGTGTTGTCTTGGGCGAGGGCGGTGAGGGAGGCGGTTAGGAGGAGGAGGAGGGTGGGGAGCTTCATTGTTGGTTGCGGCGTTTGGTTGTCTTTTATGGCGATGAAGCGTTTGTGGACTGAGATGCTATTGATCGATGGTGATTTGGATGTGATAGTGACGATAACCTGGACAAGAGAGAGGAGAGAGGAAACAGTTCGTGCAGTACACCACTCCTTAATACACTGCCTCAGCTTGGCGCGAACGCACGGCATACGCCATGCACAAGACCTGGAGAATGGAGATGACGTCCACCAACTCTCACGAAAGATGGCTCAACGCCTAGCCATTGATAAAACCCGCGGCTTGGCCCCAACTTGGCCGCTGCGGAGAGATGGCGTTGTCGCGAGGCTGAGCGTCGGAAACCCGCGCTGACACCCTTGGCGATACTCGGCAAGTAATAAAGGTGATGTTTCTCCGGGTGAATCGCGCAATTGACTGCGCATGCTTGCAAATTGCCCAATAAAAAAGCTGAAAGCGCTTAAGATACAACAATCCGCTTGAGCTGCTGCGGAAAGGCGTCGCAAGCCCACGACGCCGAAGCAAAAACAATTCCCTCCGCCCTCCGAAGAAGAAAATCCCTCCTTCAGCGAGAGAGACAACACCCCTACAAAGCAGCCAAAACAGCCATCCCCACAGCCCCAATCGCAATCGGCGCCCCAGTAACCACAGCGCCCGCCCCGTGCGAAGACGAACTCGATCCAGAAGAACCAGAAGAAGCAGCACTGCTAGCAGCAGTAGTAGCAGGGGAAGCGGAAGCAGAAGTCGGCGTCGAGCTGCTGGCGCCGCCCGCGGCCCCGGTGGTCGTCGGCGCCGCGCTCCCCAGCAGCGAGCTCTCGCTCTTGGTCGCGGCGCTGAGGGTCGATTGCAGCGCGCTGTACTCCGATCGTATGCTGCTGCCTTCGGCGCCGGTGGCGGTTGCGCCGAGGGCGGAGAGGGTGGAGAGCGCGGCGGAGGCTTGGGAGTTCAGGCTTGCGATGAGGGAGGTGGGGTTGCCTTGGGCGAGGGCGGGGGTGGTTGAGGCTGCGAGGAGGAGGAGGAGGGTGGTGAGCTGCATGGTTGCGGGTTTTGGGTTTGATGTGGTGAGGTGGAGAGATGTGTGTGTGTGTGAATTGAATCAGATGGTGGGAGCTGCTGAGAGAAATAGAGGACAGGTAATGAAACGGAGGAGAGGACTTGCGGTCGTTATATACGACTTCAGGCCCCCACTTGACGAACGGTGTCGAGACATGACGGCAACCGAAAATAACCAAACACACTGGTCGCGTCGTATAAATTTGGGTCGACGTTCAGTAAATTTGGGTCGACGTTCAGAGGCAAGGGCCACCGGTCACATCACAAACCCGCTCATCTGCTCAGTCATCGGTTCAGCCCCGATGTTCCAGGGGAATTAGGCCTGTGCTTTGGGCCCCTGCATGAGCAAACGAGCGGCTTTCGCGTTCCATTGATACGGCGATGGAGCCAGTGTATTGCTATGTTGGAGAATCGTGCAGCTACAATCAACATGTAATAACATCTCGCCTCAGTTGCAGACAGCACTGCAAGCCAGAAAGATATGCCGTGATGCGAAAGAGAAAAAGATGCAATTAAAGTTCGACAGCCTTGGGGTTAGTCAGGGGAATTCTTGGCGTCATGCAGGTCAGGCGTGCCGGCGTGTAAATCCCTCGCTCCCCGAATGTCCGTGCTGGCCGCCTGAATGTTTCAGCAGCGAGGACTGCGAAACGACGAAACGGATTCGCGGTCGTTTGTTAGGTGAGGTCGATGATTTCTGGCGGGCCAGGAAAGCTTAGAGGAGTTTGATTGGGCCCGTGTTTGCTTGGGTTGAAAGTGGAGAGCTGAGTCGCTGGCAACGCCAGCAGATGTGTGCCGGCCCTCAATGCACGAAGTGTCTCGATCGGAATCGTCTCCCCCGGTTTGTACTGCATTGCTGTAGGGTATGGCGTTGTGATGGGCATGGGCTGTATCGTGGCAGGCGGTGCACCGGCCGCTTCTCGTGATCTGTATGGCGCGGGTGCTCGGGGTGTGTTCTTCGCCGCAGGCCTCGCTGCGCTGTTAGATGCCGGGGATACGAACAGCCCATCGTTGCGGTCAGAATCGCTATCGCTGTCGAGAAGGTCGACCACGCCTGAGGTGAAGCGGGAAAACGAGCTTGGACAAGACCGCGCGCACCGCAGGTGTCGGAGGTGCGAGGTTTCCCTTGGGAGAGCCTTTCTTGCTCCTGGAAGCGTTTGTTCCAGCGTTTGCGTTGGCAGTCTTTGCCGGTCTGCCTCGTTTCTTCGGTATAGAGTCGCTTTTCTCGCTGCCCTGACTCGCATCCATGGGAGTCTCTGAGGTAGCTGCGGCCTTCTTGGTCTTTTTGGCTGGAGGTGTCGCATCTGTAGTATCGTCGGCCTTTCGCTTAGCCGACTTCCTTGGAGCCTGCTCGAGCGAAACTTGGGGCAGGCCGTGCTGAAGGAAGCACTCGAGTATCTCACACTCAATGTTGCTTAGAGGATCGTAGAGAGTTCCATCCTTTGCCGTGAATTTGCCCCAGTCTTCCTCCGCAGGCATCTGGCTCAGGTCGATTTCGAGCACGGGGAGTGGCGAGAAGGTGATCTTGCGCTCGGACTTGGGCGGCGGGGGGTCATCGCCTTCTTTAGACGTCTTTTTGGTGACCGTCCGTTTGAGATGAATTCCGAAGGCCAAGTTTTCGGCTCGTTGCTGTGGAGCCGCTCTCGCTAGGGTCCGAGCAAGCAGGACCGGCGCGAGGTGTTTGATGAATTCGCGAGTGGTGAAATTGAAGCGCTCCCGCAAGAAAACCCTGAGCTTCATCTGATCGAGGGGTCGGTCCCAGCCGCCTCGGAGCCCTCTCAAGTCGTGGAGTTGCTCGGGAGTTGAGACGACAGGGCTGCGATAATGACAGAGTGCCTGAGAAGTGTTAGAACAGCCATGGAATACAGTATGCTCTCCCCACTCACTTTCCAGTCCGGATAGATAAGAGGCCAGTCCGCGGTCTTGCCATACCGGCCGAAAGCCAGTTGGAGACGATCCCGCCAGGCCGCAAGATCGTACTGAGCTGCATGGCAGAGTTCTCGCGCCAAGCCGGTCTCCATTTTCGCCAGCAGAGCCGCCGTTTTAGGCCCACAGCCTCGCAGTCCTTCAACATTGTAGTCACCGCCAGAGAGCATGGCGAAGAGAACCAGGCTCTCAGGGTCGAGATCGTATTTGTCCGCAATGTCACTGGCTCGGTAGACTCTCACATAGTCGTTGACTCGCTCCTTGCCCACCTTGTGCGCTTTGATGAGCACACCACATCCGAACATGAAAGCATCCCCGTCGTCCGACCACACAGCATCCACAATCCCTGCAGCTTGCATGCGAGCGCATTCCGCTTCTGCCTCGGCCGGGGCACGGTGATGTGGGATCTTCAGTTGATCGAGCAGCTTCTTCAGCAGCCTCGTGATCTCGAAATCAATCTTGCCGCCTCCGCGCTTACCACGCTTCCATGGGCGTCGAGGTCCATCGTCAACGAATATCAGCTGCACATTGAGTCTCAAGAGGCGAAGGATGCGCCAGAGGATGACTTTCTCAATCGGATTCGCCGCCGGCTCACCCTCTCGAATTTTCTGAGCTTGCTCGGCGGTGACGTTGGTGAATCTCCAGCAAGCCTCATCTACAGCGATTCTCAATGGACGTTTGTGTTGCTCGAAGTGCTAAGCAGCATAGGCTGCCAGAGACCAGATCTCACCAGCCTCGCCGATGATGTCCCAGAGGCTGCTCCGCCGGCACGGTTAGTGTAGTCTGAGGGACGCTTGGAGAGTGTGACTTAGTAACCGGTGATTCCCATCTTGTCATCATTTCATGCTCAAACGACCGAGCTCGTGGACTGGTTACGCAGCATGGTGCCAGCAGTCGGCGGTGATTAGAGCAGGGCGTGTTGAGTTCAAGAACGGCAGACGCGACTCGCGTTCCGCGCCGTGCGCACAGACCATCTTAGAAGTGGCAGCCTTCTTTGCGAAGCAGTCGCGACCGTGGATTTCAGCATTGCGGGAAGGAGTGAGCCTACATCAAGGCCTACATGTACTTCAGCACATCCTGCCTTCACCAACTTCCCGGCGCTCTCGTCAATTGTGTATCTCCTCTATGCCGCCATCACGACCGGGAGACGTGAAGGTGGAAAACGTGACCAGGTCGGGTAAGACGGGCAGAGCGGGCTTTCGTCTTTAGGCCGAGAAAAGCCCAAAAGCTTGTCTGGACTGCGGCATGGGAATTCGGGTCCATCTTTTCGAGTCCGGCATTTTATTGCCGAAGTGACGCCACTCGTTTGAAGATGAGAGATTCGGTGCCGACGTCGGGCGCGAATTGCACCTTCGAGTCCACCTTCGCAGGCGAATGCTTGGTAATGACATGGACCATAAGTAAGGCGTTGCTTTCTCTCTTTACATTCGCATGACCCTTCCTCGACCGCGAGACAGCATGGATTCCAGAAGAATGTCGTCAGGCCAGAGTTCAAAGGCGGAGGAGAAGGCGGATGACGATGCGCTCCACACGCCCTCCACCGAGTCGAACCTCAACGACAGTCCAGACCTGGAGAAAGGCGACGGCCAGCAGCACGAGAAAGGACAGCAGCAACAGCCGTCTTCCAAACCGGAAGACACCGCAGAAGATCCCTTCCTCGTGAAATTCGAGGAAAATGATCCCGAAAATCCAAAGAACTGGAGTGCCAACTACAAGGCCTGCCTGACCCTCCTGCTGGGCATGCTGGCCTTCGCCGGCTCCTTTGGAAGCTCCGTCATCTCGCCCGCCCAGCCCGAGATCGCCAAAGAATTCGGCATCAGCGAAGAAGTCACCGTCCTCACCGTCTCGCTCTACGTCCTGGGCTTCGCCTTCGGGCCATCTCTATGGGCTCCAATTAGTGAGGTGTACGGCAGGAAGGTCAGTATCCTGCCCGCCGTCTTCATCCTCGGCCTCTTCAGCATCGGGAGTGCGGCGAGCAAGTCGGCCGCGAGCTTGCTCATCACCAGATTCTTCGGCGGCGTCTTCGGCTCCGCACCCATCAGCAACGTCTCTGGTGCTCTTGGTGATCTCTACGAGCCCAAAGCGCGAGGCGTCGCCGTCACCTTCTACGCTGTCGCCGTCGTAGGCGGGCCGACCATCGCACCTGTCGTCGGCAGCGCATTAACAGTCACGCTAGGCTGGCGCTGGACGGAATGGATCGAAGCCATCCTCGTCTTCTTCATCTGGGCCATCGCCCTCTTCGCCCTGCCCGAGGTGTTCCCTCTCGTCATCCTCAAGCGCAAAGCGAAGCGCTTGCGGAAGGAAACGGGCGACGACCGCTACTGGCACCCGCACGAGAAGGAGAAGATCGACCCCCACAACATCTTCCAGAAGCATCTTTCCCGGCCGATTCGCATGCTCTGTACAGAGCCCATGGTGACGTGTATCGCCATCTACGCTTCCTTCGTCTACGGCCTCGTCTACCTCACCCTCGAGCTCTTTCCCATCGTGTACAGGGAAGAGCGTCACTGGGGCGCTGTTGTCTCGACACTTCCTTTCCTCGGGCTCTTCATAGGTAAGAAGAAAAAAAGAAGAAAAAGGGAAACCAGCCAGGATGCTTCAAGTCCAACCGCAGTGACATTATTGCCTGTGGAATGTGCAGTTGCTCCCGGTAGCAACTTCGCACGATGGATCAGAGCACCAGACTTGTTTTACCCAACACCCTCAAGTGAGACAAAGCACTTGCTAACCCTCAAACTTCACAGGCGTCCTAGGAGCCGTGGGAGTAAATCTCGGCAACCAACCACGCTACATCCGCGCCGTGGAAGCCAACAAAGGCCGCGCCGTACCCGAAGCCCGCCTACCTCCCATGGTAACAGGCGGCGTGCTCTTCGTCATAGGCCTCTTCTGGTTCGGCTGGACGGCGAATCCCAGCATCCCGTGGCCGGCGTGTACAGTCGCCACAGCCTTTATTGGCGCAGGCTTCAACATCATCTTCCAGCAGTGCATCAATTTCTTGGTTGATACCTATGGACTCTACGCGGCCAGTGCCGTGTCTGGAAATACAGTATTACGATCCTTCTTCGCCGCGGGTCTTCCGCTGGCTGCCAAGTGAGCATTTCCCATTCCCGAAGACCAAAGAGACGACTGCTAACAAAACTGAATAGACCCATGTTCCGCGCCCTCGGCGTCGGCGGAGGATCTTCTTTACTCGGCGGCTTCGCTTGCTTGGCTCTCCCCGTACCCTTCATTTTCATGAAGTACGGGCTAAAGTTGAGGAAGATGAGCAAGTTTGCGCCGGTACCGGATGATTGAGTGGGAAAGAGATGGAGATATACGATGACGAATCATGATGCATTGAGCGGTTTCAAGGCGTACTTTAGAGATTAAAATAGCATGTGCATAGATAGAGCTGCATCGAAAGCGGCATAGCAATATTAATCTACTCATGGTCACTGTTATGCACTCGCTTATCGTGGGTAGTGGACCACGGGGGTCCTCTCCGGACGACCATGGCCATGGCATCAGCAGCGGCTATAGAGCAGAGAGCCGTCACGCGGTGATTTCACCGTCGAGAAGGCGCCAGCAGCTAGTAGTGGATAGATGGATCTTCTCCGTACGATAGCGAAGAACGGAGCAGTCCCTATAAAGGAGAGCACGATGATTGGAGCAGTCTGTGTAGAAGAGAAAGTCCTAACCGGCGGAACTTTGGTGCGTCTTGCATATGTAGCAAGGGATAGTTACATTGCTAATCGTCACTCTAGCGGACTGTCACCTTCCTACCACACCCAACCTACGTGCTCTCCGACGAAGCAAGCCGTCAGCAAGTCGTACAGATCCTCGAAGAGCTGTTTGTAACCTCCTACATCGACATCAACATTCCAGGGCTGCAGAAGTCTCTTCGGCGTTGGGCATCTGTGCCTGGTGAAGAGCAGCCAGAGCTGCAAGACGATCAGATGAAGTGCTCGTCACGACAGACGCTGGAAGAGAAGCGTGTAGTCGGCAGAAAGTGGCGCGCAGAGGCAGCGTTTCGCACTCTAGGTGGATCTTTCGAAAGCGAACAAGGCCTCATCCTTGCCCGCGAAACTTGGCAGCGGTACTTGGAAGACCCTGGTCCAGCCTGGCATCTCGCGTGCCATCCATTCCGCGATGGTCTCTTTTGCGAAAGCGGTGAAGCCAGAGGCATTCTGTGAGCTCGCTGCAATGATTGTCGAGCCGCCTGGTCATTATTTCTCGTTAGCAAAAGTACCCGGCGAGGGATCAACGCCAGCACTCACGGTACGCCTTGATCATCTTGCTCGTAAACTCCTGGCCCGTGTTTGGGTAGACGAGAAGCAACACCGCATCCTTGGCCCCGTTGTTCTTCTCCAACCACTTGGCGCCATCACTCTCAATCGTATCTGCAATCCACATTGTCCGCCACTCACTCAGCCCACTATCCACAGCCACCACTTTCAAGGCTTTCTTTCCGCTCTCCAGCCGTCTCAGCATAAACGTCCAATACCCATTCCCACTCCCCATGTCTACAATCGTCCTCCCCTTTGCGAGGAGCGAAATCAAACACAAAGCCTCATACGAAGGACACACGCATCCAAAGTGATGGTAGAGAATCGGCAAGATGGCATGCGCCTGCTTAATTCGCACAGTCCCCGGTTCGGGACCCGCCCACTCGAGATTCTGATTCGACCACGCCCAGACGTCGAAGGAAGGGTTGACGTGCGCTTTGCTCTTGTTGACTTGTAGATTTCTCTCCGGAGCAGGCGGAGAATATAGAGACTGAAGGTGGTTTGCGACATCCATGCGAATCGAGTCCCTTTTCGCGTTCGCGGCCAGGCCTGTGAGTGCTTTAGCTGTATTGGTCGTAGGGCGCAGAATATCAGTATACGCGGCTATGTCCCTCGCTGTCGGTGGGGGAGATCTCTACTCTCCCATTAGAAATCGCATCGTGAAGGTCAAGTTAGGGATGAAGGATAAATGCCCACCTCCGCCCCTCCCTCATCTCGATACCACCCATGCAACCCCCCCTGCGCCCCAAACTCGACATGCGTCTGCGCCTGCAACAGCGTCACTTCCGTCGTCGCCTGGTAGCCATAATCATCGTGCAGCGGCAGGCCGAAAGAGCGGATGACGAAGCGCCGGAAATTGTTGTCGTACGGCGGCGTCAGCTCGCCTTTGCTCCATGCCTCGAAGAATTTGTCGGGATCGAAGGTGGTGGAGCCGTCGGTTTGCGGGGTTTGGGGGATGCGTGGCATGAGAGGTGTTGGGGAAGTTACCTATTATGGGGGGTGGATGGAGGAAATCGGTTCAATGGCTGAAGTTGAGTGTCCGTCTTGGATTGTGGGCTTCGGAGGCCATGTGGGGTCTCCGCGGACTTTGCTTGGACATAAGAAGCAGGGTCAAGACGCGCTGTCTTCTTACTTGGCATGCCAATCGTGTCCTGCTACTCGACACCATCAAGTCACCGTACATCATGCGAGGCGCCCCGCGTGTAAATATACCGGCAATCTAGTGATGGGTCAGCTTCCGGCAGATTCGAAACACCTCGACTACGACGATAGTAGAACATCTCCGAGGGACAAGCCGAATTATCATTGGGAAGATGTGTGGTTACAGCATCTTGTGCGATCCAAAAGGATTCCGAGAGGATGCGGAATGCTTGGCCGAGTTGGAGATGTGGAGAGATTGGTAAGGAGGCCTTTGAAGGACGGCGGCTTACATCAACACTCACTTCACCCCAACGTCTCGGGGCCACCGGCTTCATTGACACACGATTGTTTGCAAGCAGCCAATTGTCGCGTAAGTGAAAGCCCGACGTGCATTTCACCGTATGTGATGGATCGGATGGCCTGAATTCTATGTTGAACCCACCCCAGCCTGACCACCGAAGCAAGACATGAACGTGTAGTACGTGAGTCAGGCTGAGTAAACTGCCGATAACCGCATACACTACTACACATTATTGCGTGCTGTACTCCCTGACGCGAAGCTGACCATATGCCGCTTTCGAATCATTTTCTTTGTTGCGATACTGTAAAAATGGGTTGCACGGAAGCATGGAGAAAGGCAAAAGAAGGCGGGTGGTCATATCAAACTATAGCCACGACTTCTGCAAGACTTGTCGGTGCGTAGCTGCTGCGATTTAGATGCACCGACCCCGCTAATCGGGCGCAGCAAAAAGAAAGTGAAATGCGACGGAGGCCGGCCGGCGTGTCAGAAGTGCATTCGAGCCAATCTCGTATGTGAGTACAGTAGCTGGGAGCTGGCGGTGCGGGAAGACAAGGCTGTCGTGCACGACGACATCACTGCTGCTAATGCCCTGGCGGTTGGGGAGAAGAAGCAAACTACCGCCATCGATGCCGACACGAATGCCGTCGTTCGGGCCAGCGGGTCCCATCTCGAGGATGTCATCGGCGGCGGAGCCATCAATCGCACGCAGATGCTGGCCACGTTTCTTCGAGACCGCTTCCCGCGCGAGAACTCGGTCGGGCCCTACGCCAACCATATGCACAACTCGTCTCTGCCGCACCTCTGCGCCCAAGTCGACTTCTCCACGCCCCTGCTCCAGCGCGCCATCGACACCATCTGCCTCGCACATCTCGCCAGCAAGTCGCAGGATCCATGGATGGTGCACAACGCTTCGTTGTCCCGCGGACGCCTGCTCAATCAACTCCGCGGCGCCATACTCCTGCATCCGCCCCCCAAACCGTCAAAGCAGCACATCCTCAAGTTACCACCGACGCGCCCGGCCAACGCGCCCCCGACCAATGCCCAAAGCATTATGATAACCATCTTGCTGCTAAGCATTGCGCCTCCACTCGCAGGCGACTCGAACATTGCACAGCGACAGTCTGGCGTGCATCTCGAGGGCGCCCTGCAATTCTTCACCAAGTACGGCCTGGAGTTCCTCACCGGACACGCAGCACTAGATTCGGTGTTGATTCGACAGCTGCAATTCCAGGGCTCGGTCGTCGCCATCGCACGCCGTAAGAATCTCGAGTTTCACAACCCCGAATGGGGCCAACGTGTAATGCTCGAGGAAGATCTCACAATCTATGCAAAATCTGGTTATTTTGGCACCGGGGAGACTACTCGCGGGCAAACACCGGTCCCCCCGTCCGTCCCAGTCGATCGGAACATTCTCCGCAGTGTATTCGTTCCTTTGCCCAAACACCTCGAGACCGCAGACACATTCGCCAGACGCTCCACATTGCATCCCCAAGCCCATCTCGACGCTGCAGCGACCGTCGTGCAGCGTTCAAACGACGCATACGTCCACAACGTCCTCCCAGGTCTGCGCGACTCGCCCGCCAAAACCCGCGCGCCCCCAATCACCATCCTCGACATCGACCAGTACAACCTCGACATCGAGGAGCACGTCTACCTCCTGCAACACCCGAAAGTAATCACGCAGCACTTCCACTTCCTCGCCCCACGCTACACCTTTCCCAGCATCAACCTCCGCCTCGCCTGTCTGCTCACCGACTGCGCCAGCCTCAAAATCATCGAGCACGGCATGCGCCGCAACGGCCTCCCGCCGGACTGGACGGGGGTAAGGAAAGCGGACTTGGAGCGCCGCGCGTACGTCGCTGCCTTCGAAATCTGCCAACACGTCCACTACATTAGCCAGCGCTCCTTGACCGCCGGTCGCTTCCTGCAGACTTTCGTCGCTAGTGCAAGGAACTTTTTTCGCTGTTTCGCGGCTGACGAGGAGGAGGAGTGGTGCGAGGGGTGTCTTGAGGCGATTTCGGCTCGAATTGAGCGATTAGGTACGGGGCCGGATGCTGACTCGTTGTGTCCTGTACTGGACTCGTATGAATTGATGGTTGATGGGTGTAATTATAAGTGAGGATGCTGTTGGAGGTGGAGGTTTCCCCTGGAATGCTTCAAAAAAAACGTCGCCAACATTCCAATGTTTAATTATGCGACACGCAAACAATTGAGACATCGGTAGCCGAATTCTGAAAGGTTTTCTCATACTTTTCCCTATCATCGTGGCGGAAGTTATCTCAGTCATCGAGTCTTTCCACGCACCATAGAATCCGTCTCAGCAACACACAGCATTCTCTCATTCCTCCATGCACGGCTGGGACCCCTTTACAAACCATCCGAGTGACTCGCCTACCCACCTCGTCGTCCAACTTCCCAGCTCTTCGCACACGACCACGCGCTCCATGTCCTCCTTGCTCAGTCCCAGCGACACCTCCCAGCACGCCTCACCCTTGGAACCCCCCTTACGAGGCAGAATGTTGTACGCGCCTTCGTTCGGAGACCAGCCCTTGCGCCAGACGTCGACTTTCGAAGTGCAGGTGCCCGGGATGCCGAACTCGACGTCCGCGCCCTGGTCGCGCCACGAGCTGAAGTCGATGCCCGTGTTGGCGTTGTCTGTGGCTGCTTCGTACGCGCGACTGACTTCACCGGGGTCCTCGAGGGCGGAGAAGGTGGTGAGGCGGTCGTTCACGTATTTGCTGTTGACGCCTTTGACGGCTTGACGCATCTTCCAGGCCGCGTGGGCGACCGCTGCGATGGAGATGATGGAGGGGCTGCCTTCGATGTTGGCGCTGGTGTCGGCGCTGAGGAGCTCTTCGACGCTCGCGGTGGCATTGGTATGAACGATGCAGTTCCCGAAGTAGTCATCTGGAAGGCGAAGGACGCTGCGAGCGTTGACGGCAATACCAATCTTGGCTGTGTCGGAAGCGGCGAGTCTCGCCTGACGAGCACGGACGACCGCGACCCAGACGAGGCTCGAGAGACATGCGATGTTCGACGCCCATGCGTCTGGCCCGATGGTCTTCTTCAGCTGGGCTGCGACGGCGCCTTCGAGCTGTCGCACCGTCTCTGCAGAGAACTGGAAGATGGCCGTTGTCGTTGTCGCCTCCCCCGTCGATGCTGCACGCGTCGGAGCGCGTCTGGAGTCGTACTCGGGGAAGCTGGTGAGTGGCAGGATTTGATCAGCCGGAGCTGCGATGTAGCCGATGCGTGGAGCGACGGGTGACATATTCCCCGGATCCGTCGTGCCAGAGCCGAATTCTTTCACAAACTCGGTGAAGGCGCCGCCATCTGCAACCGCGTGATGGAAGGCGAAGCAGAGAATGAGGCCGTCTTTGACAAAGTTCACTTGGATGGCGAGCGCGGGATAGACTTCGCCAGCGGTGGGCCATTCGGGGACCGAAGAGTATCTTCCGATGTCCATGAGGATAGGGGGCATACCGATCTCTGCCAGAGTAGCGAAACTCATTGATTCAGGCGAGCCTCCGATATCCTTGATGATGAGTAGGTCGCGAGCGGTCGGAGCGGTCTTGGAAGGATCATAGTGCAGCTCTAGGAAGCCGACGCGTGTTGGGCAGGGAACCACTGCTCCCGTGATGAAAGGCCAGCGCGCGATGGCGACTGCGCAACGCTGAACAAGGTGTTCGATCGCGTCGTCCTTCTTACTGGCGTCGGGGAAGTTGAAGCAGAAGAACTTGTGAACGTAAAGGCGCTGACCGGTTTGGTCGAAAGGCGACAGTTCGAGGCGGACGATGGAAGAATGTTCCGCCATTACGAAGGCGCGTGAAATGATGAGAGTGGTGGTGCGGTGGATGATGAAGTGACCGTGTGGGAGTATGATGCGTCCTCACACAGAAAGCGCGTGGAAAGAGGAGAGCGGCGGTGCGGTGGATGACGAAGTGACCGTGTGATCAGTGTGTGATGTGTGTCGACGCGTTTGAGCGATCGGTGCTCAACCTGGAGCTGGTTTCTGCTGCGTGGCAACAGATTTGTGGTGGGTGGAGGCGTGTTGAGAGCGCGACGGAGAGCGAGGCGCTGCTTCAATCGACTCCACCGTCATGTAGCGAATGTTGGAAAGTTGCAGAGCATGCGAACGAGCGCGAAATCCGTTGATTGCGCGAGGATGGAACGATGGACGGAGAGAGCGTGGTGGAAGAACAGTGACTGCAGAAGGTTGGGTGAAGGGGGGAAAGAAAATCGCGTGCGTGGTGGGAAAAACAGCCAAGGCAGACCCGTGACTGCCTGATGATGTACGCGCTAGAGTGTTTCAAGGTGTTTGATTGTCGATAAAGTGGGAAGGAGCGAGGAGGGCCGTTTGACGACTGACGTGAGCCCCTTCATCGTCCTTCACCACTTGCCTTGTCCGCTTCTCCCACATTGGCCGGGTATCATTCACGGCCACTCACATTTGTACCGCTCTTATTGATCTTCGAGCATCCATTCTCGTCCCTCGACAGCCAAGGCCGACCGGCTCAGCAGCGTCTTCTCGCGTCCAGCAAGAGCGCGGCCGAGGAGAACGTGTTCGCGGGGCCAACTGGACATTTGCCGGTTTCCTTTATCGCACGCACAACGTCACGAGACTACTCTCGTGCACCCACGCTTCTGCTTGGACAAGGGAGACGAGCCAGACCATTGCGCGGACCACCACATCATCCGCTGCCCACGTGGCTCCAGCGAACTCGATTTCCCCTGCGTCCTCCTCGCGGTGACATCACGTGTCACGGCCAATCTCCTTTGCTCGCGAGTCGACTCCCAGCGCGAGTGAACGGCAAGAATCACGGCAGCGCCTTGTGTATCCCAAGGGTGAAGTTGCCTCGCTTGCCGCATTCCTCGCCCGCGAAAACCAAGGAAGCTCGAGTCTCCACCATCTCGACGCGCAACCAATCAATCGCCGTCAATCACCAACAGCAGTCAGCCTTGCGGAACCTCGACGATGTCGAACGTCCACCGAATGATGCTGCGTGGCACGCATCGACCCAACATCACAAATCGACACACTCCTCGCTCGTCCGAAATCTTCGTCCGGCTCTTCACCGAGCAGTATGCTCCAATTCAAAGGGTCTTGCGGCAATACCTGGAGCTCGTCGACGAAATTTACCTGATGGGGGTTTGCAAGATTCTTAGAGCGGCATATCTCCAGAGTTGGGACATCAACCATACCCTCAAACGCGTTGTCGACAACCCTTCACGCTTCCGAGAGCACGTGAGAGCGTGCGGTGGACTCATAGCCGGCAGGCTCATCTACGAGTTCTTCGCGCGGATCCGCAGCCCCCGCACCGGGATTACAATCTATCTGCAAAACTGCCCCAATGTGCCTCTGACGAGGTATCTCGTCGAAGAAGAAGGCTACGGATATTGCGGACACGACCCGGAAGTTCCACCGCCGCCGCCTGGTGCCCCGGGCCCAACTCGCGTGGATGCAAATGTTCACATCACTGCTTTCTGCAGGACTCTGCCTCCGCTGGTGACCATTGTGCTAGTCATCTGCCCGACTCATCCGATAGAGACCATGCTGAGATGCAACTACCTCTCCGCCGCCATGAATTTTCTCACCCACGACAAAGCAGTCTGCCTCTTCCCGCGCCTCACGTTCCTCGATCGAGTTTCAATGCTCTTACCACGACTCCTAGCCCAAATTTTCCCCCTTGCCCTCTGGAATGACCTCCTGGGGTATAGCGAAGACTACGGATGGACAGACGAGCACCACATGAATCTCCTGTTCAGTGACGAGAAACCAGACCCAACCGGCTCCTTCAACGGACGAACAATAGGCGACGGCTACACCTGGATGCTCCCCATTGAGCCGGCGCCAGCATTCAACGAAGCCCTGCTCCCCTCGAGGAGCAGGACAGCCGACCACTGGGACCCGCCGCCCGACTTCGATCCCTTTCTGAACCACACCCAAGCGAACGCCATTCAAACGGAAATGCCTGGCCGCCGCTGGTCCGTCTTTGCGTTTACGCTGAGTCTCGAGGGTCCCGATGTTGCTGTTGGGCAAACGGGACTGGAGGCACTGGAATTTGAGCTGGAGTACTTGGCCATTAGTCACTGGGATGAGGAGGACGTTGAGGGTGTCGACTACCCCCTCTTGATAGAGAGTTTGGAAGGATAGGCAATTGTATCGTTGGCGAGATGGCAGCTCTCGCTGCTTCATCTGGAGTTTGTGAGGGCAGCGGAAGAGTGCTATAGATTGATCGGCAGCACCCTGAGCACGCGAGAGCGCTCGTAAGGAGTATGACACGATCCATAAAACAATGCATCATAAAAGCACATACAATCCCCGCCTTTCCCTATCAAGTACCTACTCCGACCTCACCCACCCAAAACGTACGAGAAAAGCGCGCGCGCCCAGCACAACCCGAGCCCCAAATCATCCCCGTCCCAACACCCCCATCATCCGCCTCCCCTTCTTCGCCAAAAACGGACTCGGCATCTCGTCCCCCATCTCCACCGGATCCCACTTAGCAGGACTAGGCAGCAACCTGGGCACCCTACTCCCCATCACCCCACCATCCTCGCCGCTCTCCCAATCACTCGAATCGACGGTAGGGACGAGCTGAGGCTGCGAGCGAGCTTGCTGCAGCTGCACTAGTGTGCGGCCTTGCACGCCCACGGACTTTGCTGGCGAGGCGGCTGTAGTCGGGAGGTTGTTTTTGTGCGCTTGTCTGGCTAGGTTGGTGAGGGCTGCTGCTGCGTTGATGCCGGGTTTTGCTGTTGGGGGAGCGGGGGCTTTGCGGGAGGGGGTGAGGGCTTTGGTGCTGCTGGGTGGTAGGATGTTCCGCGGTTTTGGAGACGGGGCTGTGGTTATTGTCGGGAGGGCGGAGGAGGAGGATGAGAGGGAGGAGGGGTTGTGGGAGGAGGATGAAGGCGGGCGGTTTTCCTTTTCGCGCTCCGGGCTTTTGGGCGTGGCTTTGAAGCCGCCTGCGGCTGCGGAGGTGAAGGCGTTGGTGGTGGCGGTAGGCCCGCCGCGGCTGCTGCCAGGTCTACTGGGCATGCTGACGGGCATGGTCTTTTGCCTGCTCAGACTGGGTCGTGGACGGGGGATGAATTTGGGCCTGGGGGCCTCAGCTGCGGCAAGGACTTGGAAGGGGTCTGCGCCGTTGTGGATTGCAAGGCCGGAATTGGGTCTGCTGGGCGAGTCGTCGAGGTTGCCATCGTCGTCGAGCAACTCGGACTCGTCTTCAATATCGTCGGCAAAGATGGTTGTCGCGCCTCGAGACTCTCCTGGGACGTGAGGGCGCAGGTCGTGGCCGGTGGTGTTTTGCTTGCTGAGAATGTTTCGCCTCAAGTCTCCGGCTCCGGAAAGGCGCGTCTGGCCGTTCTTCCTCGGGCTGAGGGACAGTCCTTTGATGCTCATGGGGGCAACATGTCGCGGCATGGGGGATGGATCGGCCATGTCGACATCGAGCGGGCTGGGCAGTGCCATGGTGTTGAGATCGCAGTTTGCGTACGTTTTCGCTCGACCCAACGGCTTGCGTACGGCCTTCTTGATCGGCTTGGTCATTCTTTGAACCAGAGGGGAAGTCTCATCTTCGAGGATGTCGTCATGAAGTGACAAAGACGTGAGATCTGTGTCCAGTGCTGAGTCGTCAAGTGCGAGATCTCCCGGCACGGACGAGAAGTCGATATCGTTCACCGCGGTCGTGCCCGTGGTCGTGAAGCTGCTCGTGACCTTTCCAGGTGGCGGCGTACTAGACCTGACGTGCGTGCTCTGCCCAGCATTGAGGCCATGGCTCGCAGGCAGAGACGCCAAATGCAGACTGAGTTTCTCTTCTGCTCGCTGATCAACGGCAGAGTCGAACTGTTTGAGCAGCTCGGCCTTCTTCGCCTCGACCTGCTCATACACACGCTGGTCGATTGCCAGCGTAGCTCGGGCGTGCCATTCCATCTCCACCTTCTTCCCTTGCTCTCGAAGGCTCCTGACCTCCTGCTGCAGCTCGAGAATCTGCTTTTGCGCTTGAGACAGTTTGACCAGTGCCAGATCCCTCGCTACTTGCGCGTCCTTGCTCTGTTCTTGCTGGTGCAGTCTCGATCGTGCAAGTTTAATGTTTGCGACATTTAGCAGTTGCGCAGTATCAGGTCGGTATCTGGGATCGACTTTGAGACACCAAGCAATCACCTCGCCGAGCTCGCGGGAATACTGCGGTGGAAGAGGCTTGATCTTGCCGGCTTTGATCTTCATGATAAGCTCAACATGGTTGCGCGCGTCGAAGGGGACGCAACGCGAGGCGAGCTCATAGATGATACAGCCCAAGGACCAGATGTCGGAATGGTGGGAGTAGCGCTCGGCAGCGCAGATCTCCGGTGACATATAGAAGGGTGTGCCGACGTATGTAGAGGCGAAGTCGTGGCTGGCGATGATTTTCGAGAGGCCAAAGTCGCCCAGCTTAACCGAGTTGTTCTCTCCGAGGAAGACTGGTTCATTAGAGTCAGCAGTACATCACAGTAAGAGAGTCGATGGAACTCACCATTCTCGGGCTTCAAATCTCGATGCAGAATCATGCGGTGGCCCTCCTTTGTCTGATACGGCAAGAGTGTCTTCCCATTCCTGACTTTTCCCTCATCTCCCACGCAAGGCGGGTCCTCCCCGTAGTGGCATCGGAACAGGGCACTTACCAATTGTGCAAAGACTTGCCAGACGAATTCCTCTTCGGCGTAGCGATTCCCATCTTTCAACTTCTTGACGTATCCGCCGAGGTCGCCATTCCCACAGTACTCCATGTAGAGGTGGAGGTCATGGCTAGACTTGAGATGTTCGCGGTGGCAGTACTCGACGATGTTTGGATGACGGAGGGATTCGAGGATGCGCAGTTCGGCGTGCAGCTGGTTCTTTTCCTTGTCGGACATGCGGCTGTAGGAGATTTCTTTGCGGCATAGGATCTGGTTTGTGGATTTTTGTCGGACTTTGCGGATGATGCCAAAGGAACCTTGGCCTGGGGTAAGGAGAATTTGGTTAGCAGGTCAATGTGTGAGGGAGTGGAGGAACAGGACGTACCAATCTTCTCCAAGACTTCATACTTTTCCTCTTCTTTCTCGCCCATGTTGGCGATGGGATGGACAATGCGGTGAAAGCACTGTCGTGGATATCCAACTCGAGCAACGATCGTTCGGTCACACTCCTTTCGTCCCCCTCGTTCCTCAAAAGACTGTCGGGGAGTAAAGAGCGTCTTCCTCTCCCTGTCTCCAACTGCTGTCCTAGAGCTGTCGCGATGACAATGTTGACATGTCTAAAGTGAGGGTAGGATGTGGTGTTCGCGGCGGAGTGAGGGTCGGTCGAAGGAGTGAATACAGATACAGTATTGCAAGTACCAGGATGTCAGGTACAATGCATGCACGCAGATGCTGGTTCGAGGATGCAGTCTGCAAGTGGAGGAGGTAGCGGCAGCCGTAGCCGCGCTGTCAACAAGCCGTTGCTATGGGCCGGATTGGGAATTAAGGTTGGAGGGGGGACGGAAACTCCCGCTTCACGCCCGCGCTTCGACTTGCCGACGTCATCTTCGACATTGAACTTTCTCAAACTCGACTTTGCCATTTGGAGGAAGTGCGCCGGTCGCATTCTACCTTATCTACGCTTGCATTCCCTCATTCACGACTCCTTGGTTTGTGTCAGCATGGACAAGCCGGACGACTTCTCCCAGCCGACCGTACTGGGCAAGCATCAAATCGAGAAAGCCCTCCACGATGAGCGGCGGGAAATCTCGTCGGGTCGGCTCAAAGAAGAGAACCCGTTGGATACCACCGTCGAGTTTCGTCGTTTCTGCGAGGCATGTAGGCGAGGAGATCTAAGAGCATGTCAAGAACAAATCGGCAAAGGCATCAACATTAACGCGAGGGACGAGTTTGACTATACACCTCTCATTCTGGTAAGAAATACACCCAACGCCACCCAGTCGGTGTAGAGCTGATTTACTGAAGCCGCCTTAGGCCAGTCTGTGCGGGCACTATGAAGTGGTGCAGATGTTGCTCGAGCAAGGCGCGCTTTGCGAACGTGATACCTTCCAAGGCGAGCGATGTTTATACAACGCCCTCAACAGCCGAATACGAAACCTCCTCCTGAGCTACGATTACAGCAAGAGCACCGATCCCTTGCAACCTCTTGCTGCACACATCACCAGCTTATTGACTCGAGATACACCCAAGACGAGCGACATCGCAGTGCAGACTGTCGACGCCACCTTCGACCTACACAAATTCGTCCTCTCCGCCCGATCACCTTATTTCGCAAAGAAGCTCGAATCCGCTCCGGAGACAAAGACCTGGCGATTATCGAACGCCGTGCCTACACAGTCCTTCGAGATATGCATACGGTATCTCTATATGGGCGAGGCGACTGCTCCTTCAGCAGATTCCGACAGTGAGCAAGAGGCAATCGTGTCGGGGATTGAGAAACTGTCACGACAGTTGGAAATTCCGCGGCTGTTTGAGAGCATTCTACAATCTGGTGATCGGCGGCAAGCAAGACAAAGGAGGACGGAGGAGATACAACAAGGGCAAGAACAGTTCGAGGGATGGTTCAAGGAGAACGTACTACGCAATCGACTGGAGGTCGATGTTGAGAAGGCGAAACATGTCAAGTGGGATCGCGACAATGGCATCTTTGCCGACGTCTTACTTCTTGCGGATGAAGAGGTGGAAGATGAAAACACAGATGTGGGCACAGAAAACACACGACAGCCACGGATACGAACAGCGGACGGCCCGTTGAACGGCATTCCCATCGGCCACTTCCAACCATCCCGCTCACCCTCCCGGCACCGCAAGCCCCGACGCTCCTGTCTATACCCCGTCCACCGTTCCGTGCTCCTCCGATCAGAAGTCTTCGCAACCATGTTTGCCTCGCCATTCCGAGAAGGCCAAGAACTCGAGCACCTCCAAATCGTACCCGTCGACTGCTCCCCCGAAGTCCTCGAAGTGGTGCTCACCTTCCTCTACACCGAAAAAGCCAACTTCAGCCTCTCCATGGCCCTCGAAGTCCTGCAAACCGCCGACATGCTGTTCATCGAAAAGCTAAAGCAGCGCGCCGCCCTCCTCATCAGCACCCTAGGCAACGGCAGCGCCAGCATCGTCGAATCCGACAACTCGCGCGGCGTCGTCGCCGCCCTCCCCGATGCAGACGCCATCAACATCTACGACGTCATCCGCGCCGGCTGGGACACGCGCGTGCACCGCCTCGAGGAGTTCGGCGCGCGCTACATCGCGTACCGCCTCGAGCAGTACATTGACGAAGCGGAGTTCAAAGACCTCGTGCGCGAATCCGCCGGCAGGATTCACGGGCGTGAGGAAACGGACACTGTGGAACTCGTGGACGATATCCGCTGGTACCTGAGCGAGCGCTTCCGGCTGCGCTTCGAAGACGCCGGCCTCAACCATCTCATCGACTCCAATGATCCTGCTAATCGTGGTTCCGATGGCGCACTGAAGGACCCGCAAGACGAAGGCGTCGATACGCATAGCGGTTCCACGCCACCGCTGGAAGAGGGCGACGAAGGGTATGCACCGGATTTGGAGCTTTTGGAGGGCGAGGGCGGAGTGATTAGGACTTTGGATGGCGAGATTGCGGGCGACGAGTTTGCGCAGGATGCGCTGAATTATCAGCTGTTGCTGGGGAAGATTGAGACGCTGATGGAGGAGCTGGGGCTGGATGGATAGAGGGATATACGAGGCATGTTATGGGATAGATGAGTATGCATGAGATGTTACGACGAACTCTTACACCAAAACGTTCTCAGAGCATTTCGCTTCAGACTTCTCGTCCTGCGTTTCATTGTTCTGCTAGTAGACCGGAGAAGCCATAGTCGTCCGACTCGCCATTTACAGGCCGGTGTTCCGCCGCAGCGTCTCCTTTCATCAAGTCCCGCCTCAGTAGCCCCTCACGCCGCATCCTTTCTCGCCTCACCTCCATGGGCTCGAACTCCTGACTTCCAGATGGCGCCGTCTCAAACTGCGCCTTCAAAGCCTCGCGAAACCGGCTCGTCCGCTGCGAGTTGATCTCGAATCGTTCATTTGCAACGGACAGCAGCATGCGCAGATACTCTTCTGAAACCATCATTTGAATGCTGTCAGGACCGTCCGATGCATCTCCTTTCGAGGAAGTGGACGGCTTCACGAACCCGATAATCGAATCTAGCCCGAGACCAGCCGTTCGCACGGCTACCATTGGATTCCCGCTCGCGCCTTTGCCGTCTAGTAAGCTGCTGATGCCGCTTTCGCGGAAACCGGCGGAGAGGGCTGCGTTGAGGACTTTTTGGGCGGTGGGAGGGGTGGAGGTGAGGATGTGCAGGATCATGGATTCGAATTTGATGTGGATGTATTGTGGTCGGTGAGCTTGCGAGGCTGGAAGCGCGGACGTGGAGCCCGGATGCGAGTTGGAGTCTGAAGCGAGAAGATTGAGCAGGCTGAAGATGCTGTTGGGTTGTGCGTTGAGAGGTGGGATGGTGATGGGGGAGTGGGAGGTGAAGAGCCATTTGCCGCCGCCTTTGCCGCCGGCTGTCCGTACGGGTTGGGATGCATTTTCGGATTCGGAGGGGGATTGCGATTGGGATGGTAGCGTAGCATTCTTTGGGCCCTCGATGTAGACTGCAACACGTCCGGAGCAGCTGCTTGTTGTTACGAGCCCGTCTGTCCCATTGATCTCATCCACGAGCTCGCGGATGTCCTCGTCGACCGATCCTTTGGGCGACGCATCGGTGTAGCTTTCGGTTGAGACGGACAATCGCTGGATGATGTCGTGCTTCTTAGAGTGAAAGTTCGTGGACATGGAGGCTGTCTTGCTCAGACAAGGCTGGAGATCCAAAGGGTAGAAGTCGTTTTGCGAAATGTCATTGATCAGGCATATCGAGTGGAACAGACACGTCGGTGTTGATTCGGCTTTGCAGAGTGAGAAGATTTGGCAATGCAAGTCGAGAAGGGCGGAGAAAGTGATCAATTAGAAAGGATCTGAAGTTTCCCAGAGGCGACAATTGGACGTGTGCGTGCCGTAGCGCCGGGTAGATCTTGATGTAGATGTCGACCCGGGCGTTTGGTTCGGAGATCTTGCCGGCCTTTGGAGGATTCAGGTACCAGACTGCCTTGTCCAAGAGAAACATACAACGTGATCCTCACGTATATGGCCTCGCATGTTTCCTCGGAGATTTGTGAGGGTTTAAATGGAGTTCTGGATTGAACTCGTCTGATATCGAAACCTGCTTTGGGTCGCTCTTTCTTTCGCAGTAGTCGGGGCCTACATCGACCGTGACAAAAGTCGTGGTCAGGGACAGCTGATGCCATCGACGACGAGACGGAGGAAACCCCCGCGACTTCATCGATGCCTATATGGATTGGAAGTAAGAAGGACGGATTCTTCGCAGGATCAGCTCGACGTCTAGCCTTGAATACTTGCCATTAGCAGCCACCTGGACTGCCTCTCAAAGAGCGTCACGTGGACTCAAATCTCACAAAGGGGAAGCCACCCAGGAACAAGACAGTAATCATGGCTGGTCGATCGCGACGCCTGGTTTCTGGGTCACACATAGCGTTGAACCGGAAAGGGTGTTCATCGCAGAAGCGCGGAGCATCCCCCACGAGTAGACCCAGCGATATCGTCAAGCGACCAAGGGCAGCGGCAACTCCGAAGAAAAGCCAATACTTTGATGCCAAAGCGACAGACGCCGCCGATTCCGATGCGGAAGATGACCCCAGCTCGCCATCCTCCAACGATGACGAAGCATCTGATTTCGATGCCGACGATGCGGTAGAGTCATCCGCCGAACCCAGCGAAGACGATGAGGAAAGCGACTACAGCACCGAGGCGCCTAAGGGTCGTAAGAAGCCGACGCCCAGCAAGGCTGGACCTTCTTCGTCCCCCTCAGCCGCCGTGCAGAATGGAGAGAAGTGGAGGCCGGGTGTCAAGGCTGGACTCGGACCTGGCAAACAGCTGGTGATCAAGAAACCGCAAGCTCGCCCAGCTGGAAAGACACCTTACCAGCCGGAGACTCTTCATCCCAACACCCTCCTATTTCTGGGCGAGCTCAAGGCGAATAATGATCGACAGTGGCTCAAGAGTAAGTCCACCGAAATGCGTCACAGGAAGGACGGATCTCGAACGTGTCACCAGTGTGACGAGCAGCTTGGAGGCTATTCGTTCACCAGCTATCCCTCGTACCCCTGCCAGCGTATTGGATGTCGAAATGTCAGCTGACAAGCCCTGGCTTAGTGCACGATGCAGTGTTCCGTCAAGCAGAGCAAGACTGGTATAGCTACGTCGATAAATTGACGGAGAAACTAATCGAAATCGACGACACCGTCCCAGAGCTACCGGTGAAAGATGTGGTATGTCGCTCGCCACGCCACGATCCCGAATGCATGCACTTAATACTGCGCCGCGCAGATCTTCCGCATCTACAGAGACATTCGATTCTCCCCAGACCCAACGCCGTACAAAGTGAGTTGCCCTAGAATGCGTTGGCCTTGCAAGTATGCAAGACATCGCCAGCCACCCCGCATACGGCGCCTCCACCCCGTCTGATGACTCGACACTAATGCACGCCATGCAACAGGCACACTTCTCCGCTGCCTGGGTACGTATTTCCGCCCCCAATCACACGAACTAGGGAGGTCGGCACATGCTAAACGCACGACAAGTCACGTACGGGACGAAAGGTACAGTAGCGCCCTTATTGACAGCTCATGCATGTTCGACTTTCAGACTGGCCACTGACGATGCTCCATGCAGGGCGGATACGCCCACTACTACGTCCAAATCAGTCCACACGGGCAGAGCTTCGTTGGTAGGTGCACACTTTCTCTTTCTTTACACGTTGGAAAGCATGCACAAGCAGAGAGCTTGCCACTTACCATGCAGCGTCATCTCAACGCGGTCCACGGCCAAACGGAGACACTGCGTGATTGTCTGTCACAACGGCCGGTATAACAACCTCGCCTTGTAATTCGGGCAACAGGCTGTTGGGCTGCCTATGTGGCGGCTTTGTGGTGTGCCTATATACTTGTGCCAGGCCCACGAGCATCGTCTTCCCCTTGTTCGGCCAATCGCTCGGAGGGACGGATAGACATAGAGTGTTGCGACGAGCACGAACCACAATCTCCGGCGCACGAACAAGCATGATCGGCGCGCCGAGCACAAAAGCCGACTCGAGTGCTCCAGCGTCTGACGCAAGGGGCCTCCAGCGAGGACTGACGGGTTCTGCGGCGCATGCGACAGCATGTGACGGATTCGAAAATCGAAAGGAGAGAGGAACAGAGCTCCAACCCGGTTCGATGTGGTGTGTCGCCGCTTGTCGCATCGGCGTCCGGCGAGTCCGTCGAACTTACGATCGATGCGCTGGCAATTGACCCACCCGAAGGCTAAACGGCGCCTGCGGGCCTGAACGAGTCAGGGCAGCTGTCGGGGTTGTTCGCCGTCTGCAGCTTGCAATGCTCCCCCTGAACACGCCTCTCTGGCCACACCAATGCCTTTGAGCTGCTGGCAAACGCGCTTACCGGAATGGAGCACACAGTGGCTTGCTGGCATTGAGTCAAGTTCAGGGAGGTTCGTTGGGAGACCTGTCTGCAGCGTCTGGGGAGCAAGAGCGATTGGAAGAGAAGGAACACCAATCATGGCACATGGACTCCACATGCGTGTTACAGCGCACTCTGGGCTAGCGAATGGAGTATCGGAACCCTGAGCACCATTGCTTTTGTTTCGATCGCACACGGTTCTACCAGCTCCTTTCGTCTCGACGCGATTCCGACGTACTCACACTGCACCTGGGAATGGAAAGGATTGCTGGAGCAAAAGTGGCTGCTCGGTGTCTCTACTTGGCTTTGCACAGCCTTGCGACTACTCGGCCTTCTTGTACCGCTGCTCTTCTTTGTGCATTGCGCTGACCAATGATGGTGAACTGTAGGAGGCGGGCTCTGGCATCCCGACGCTGCACCGACGGCCGCCATGCGGCGCGACATCGACCGACGACCGCAGAGGATCAAGAGCGTACTGATGGACAATACATTGCGAGAGGTGGGTTGTCATCCAACGAGACGGAGCGATCACAATTGCTGACCGGCGTTCGGTCGCGCGGTAGGAGTTCCTGGAGGGCGCGCCGAAGAATGAGAAGAAGGCTGTTCGTGCTTTCGTGTCGAGGAATTCGGAGAATGCATTGAAGACGAAACCCAAGGTACGTGAATGTGTGCTTGCTTTTTCAACTGCTTGTTGTCCGGGTACCTTGCCTCCTGTTGTATCCGCTGCTGCTCTTCATCACGGCTCTTTGAGGGTACAGTCTGCCATTCCACTGGTGACGACCTCTTCATTTCGCCCTCGATGGGTGGTTCTTCCTCTGGCTCTTTCACCGCGTGCTGCCTAGCATTTCGGCGGTGTTCGTTGCGTCCACGCGGCCAATACGCGCTCATCAGGAATCAAACTCGTGTTTCCGCGGCAGCAAAGCATGGCAGTATGGAATACCCGGGCACGCGATTCGATACCAAGGACTGATAAGGCTGAGGACGCATCGATGAGGTCGAGGCGTCCAGTCCATCCGCCACGGCTTCCGCGAAAGTTCAGTTCAGCTTGCAACGGGGACCCTAGCGTACCAAGATTGGGGGAAAGCAGCCGCCGTTGCCGCAGACCCTTCCCCTCCGCTTTGACACGAGGACCTGGTCGACCCGGCCAGCACGGGAAGCAGCAGCATACACGCACACACGCCTCGCAATCTACAGCGCGTTCATTGCATTCACCAAAACAGTGCTTAGATCATAAACGACGACTGACGAACTCTCTTGTTGCAGGGCTACGACGCCGATCACGCCGACATCGAGCTTCTTCGTTTGCGGAACTACACGATCGGCCGCAAACTGACCGAGGCCGAGGTGACGGGCCCCGACAGCTTACAGCGCATTGGAGACTTACTCACCGCCATGAAACCGTTTGTAAGTCGCACCCACCTTCCGTGTTCTCGCGTCTTTTGCAATGCTCGCCTGGCCCTCCCCGAAGCAGCGCCGCTCGGAGAATTACATGGCGGGCAATTCCAAATCCAACCCGGTGGTGGCCCGTGAAATTGACGCTGCCCTGTGCTATGCAAGGGTGATGGCGGCACCCCGCATGCTGCTCGTGTCGCATGTCTGCCGCTGTTCATCACGTCCCATTGAAACATCTCTGTCGGATTGGCTGACGGATCGTCCACTACAGATTACGTACATCAACTCGGTCGTCATGCCGGATGAAGAGTCGGAAGGTAGCGAAGAAGGATCGGAGGAGGAGGACGACGGCTCGGAGGAGGACGAGAACAGCTAGACGTGTCACATCACCCAATGTTTTGCAGTCGTGATCACTACACCAATCCAGATGTTCTGATATCTCGCGACGATCTGCCACGCGTCTCCAACGCTGGAATTCACAGCCGTAGCCATAGCCGCGGGCACCGGTTTCCCCACGGCTTCGACACACGACCCAACTGCCGGATTTCGGTGTTCTCAACGAGCGATCGACACCACTATCACACAAGGTTGTGTATCTCCTTTGACGAGGGGGGCGGCGAGGAAAAAAGAGGGAAATATTAGCAGAGCTGAGGAGGAAAGATCGACAAAGGCGTCGGTAGCTTTCCACACCACTGTCTCGGAGGGGCGAAGATCACGCACAACAGCGCCGCATTCGCACTCTCTGCCGTTTACCTTTTGTCTGATTCATGTTTTTGCGGTAGGGGTTACTTGTTCTTAACTTGTCCAATGAGTGATGCGGATTCATACTCCATGCTTACGCGTAGGTGTGGATGCGATCTTCAAGGCTTCGAGTTGCACTCACGACTCAGGTTCTCAGCAAGGCTACGTATTGCGCGCGCCCCTCGACGCGACCCGGAATTGCATCCGCACCCTGGCCAGGATGGCGGGAGCTTAATCAATTCGTCTCCACCGGCGCAGGGCTGCCCCTTGCGCCTTTGATGGGCGGGTAAGTTAGCTCCAGGTAAGGCGCATTAGTTGGAAAATCCCCCGAAATGCTCCTAAGCGATTTTCCGCAACCACGATTACAAAGCCTCGCCGTGTTTTGGCAATTACTGTGCCGGCTTCATCGATCTTCTTTTTGGAGATGTTGGATCAAGGCGCGTTTTAGCTTGCGCGGTTGAGCGCAGTGACGTAAGGTCATGTGAACGCGCGCTAGTGGTTTGGATTGTTGGTAGGAAGGAAAGGACAGGTTTGGATGCGTGGGAGTGATTGAGAGGACCGACTTGCGCGTGTAGAGAGCTGGCTAGGGATCGCGCAAGTGAGTGGCGAGGCTGGGCGCACGGTGGGTGCGGAGCCTGGGAGATGCGAGCGTGTGGCAACACCTTGCCTAGCTGTGCTGGGCTCAGCTGTTGCTGCACACGGGATGCAGGCAGGCGAGCTTCAAGTGACCAGTGTGATGCAGGGCCTGCAAGGCTAGTTGCAACCATGTGCTGCACACTCGTCACATCGGGAGGGGAGGGTGAGCACGCTCGATTGGTCGAGAGTTGTGCATGAGCGGTATGTGATGTTGCGGGGGCCCCTTAGCTCGTATGCAAGTGAGCGAGGCTGGGGCGTACGTGCGGCGTGTGATGCGCATGCATCTGCCAAGCGTGCCAGCGTGATGATTTCATGTCGGACGTTTGGCTGCGCTGCGTACCGTGTGCCGCGCCGTGCCGTGACTCCCATGCATGAGCCGAGATGTCATGGATTGGGCATAGATCGTAGACCAGGTCAGCAGACGACAACGCAGCGTCCGATTTCGAACGTGTCACGCGTGAGAGTGCATGCGCCACGCTGCCTTCGACACCCCGTGGCTGCATATTGTCGAGCGGTCCACCATTTCGTCGTCCCCATCAATGTCCGGGAAAAATGACGAGTTGAAAATGCACGTCTGCACGCGTGCATGCGTGCGCAGCATGGGACGGATAGGTTTAGGGCTCTGACCGTCCCTCTTCGGCTCGCGCCTTGGCCGAGACTAGCATGTTTAAATCGAGTGTCCAAGCGACATAAAATGTGTGCCTCACCGCCCGTATTTGCATTGCGCCATCGTCCGTTCCAGCCGTATGAAGCGCTGTCCAGAACATCGACTCTGATCCTTCCGAACCAAGGCTCGTGATGTAAGTACTTTTTGCATTCTTCCACCGGCCCAGGCCACATCCGACCCTCTGGCCAAGCCCAACACCCCGAGTCTGGCTGCTGCAACTTCCTCTCTGGACTGCCACGCGTGTCGTCTTGTGGTACAGTACCACCGCACCTCGACGGCAGACGGGCGGTACTCGAAGCAAAAATGTCCCGTGCCGGAGCAACAAGGTTCGGACCACGCCAGGGCCAGCCGTGGAAAGCGCTCCCGGCGCTGCAGAAAACCCCACCTCTGACTGCCCTTCTTGGCAGACATTGCAGGAGATCATCAATCGCAAATCAAATCACACCGAACGCGCGAGCAAGGCGGCCTCCCATTGCTGCTGCGCCGCTCATCACGCTGCAGCATCGCGCGTTGATCTTACACCCGCCCAGGAAGGCAAGCGTGGGTACTGGCGTTCGGTGAACCACGAGTCACGACACCGTCCCGACAAAGCCACTTTGCACACGGAACCAGTGCGCCGCCCACGGAATCCGGAATGGTGCCTTCAGGGAGATTTTTTGATTCGTGCAAAGCTTACTATTTCTGCGGCCGGCAGCGTGCCGAACCCTCGCGTCAACGGTAGCACCTTTCGTGTTGGTCGAATACGGCCGAAATTGATACGGACGATAGCGATGGGGCCAAGCAATCCAGGTGAGTCGCAAACTCGTATTCTGCGATGGCGACGTCGAAAGAATCTGCCCTTCTTCTTGCCTTGGCGGTCTGAGGATGTAGCGCTACGGAATGGAAAGACAGGGGTGGTAAAAGTGGGGCGACCACGCGATACGGCCCCGGCCGGCCGAAGCCACCCCTGCCCGCCCGTCGATTGGTGGAATTTGCCTTTTGCGCATTTTTGGGTTCTCTGTGCAGGCGGAGGGCGAGGAAGATGCACAGGCAAGCGAGCAGTGCGAGTTTGGGCGCAGGCAATCCGATCCTTCCGAGCCGTCAATCCGTGCGCAATCGGCTGATTTCATTGCCAAGCAACTGACCAATTCAGCAGCGCCGCACTCTTCAGCCCGACTGTCCCCAGCTGTCCCTCGCAGCGCAACCCACCCTGCACAAGGCGAGGGAGGGAGGGAGGTTTTTAAGGTTCGCGCCGTGCAAGGGTTTTGGGGTGCTGGGAGCAGCGACTAGGGCAAGGAGACTCGGACCGTCGCCTGTGTGCAGGGAATTTCTCCTCCCGCAGGCGCTAGCTGCAGAAAAGGCTCCGATCGACAACCCTGACTCCCCAGACGGTGGTTCGTGGTTCGCGAGGGCCAAGGCCAGCAGGGCGGTGGGTGTGTTTCACGCCGAGCCGCGGCAGCACGCGGCCGATCGCCGTTGGGTCGAGTGCTTCACTTTGCTGGTTCTTGGGTCAGAGCGGCGGGACCGTGCACTCGTTCGCCCACTCGCCCACGCATCCACGTTGCCGCGGCCGGGGCCCAGTGCAAGGGCTCGGAGAGGGAGGGAGGGAAAGGGAGGGAAGAGGAAGGGAAGGGAAGGGGAGGGAAGGGCCGCGCTCGCTGGTCCACTGCCCACGCACTCGCACACGCGCCAGCAACCTGGGGGCCCGCCCCGACGCTGTGGCGACTTAAAGTGCCCGGCCGACCCCGCTTCCGCACTTTCCTTTCTGTCGGTGCCCTTTCGAACATTTCCCACGGCCTTCTCCCGCTTCGCTGCAGCGCGTCAAGCCCACTTCGCACCGCGCCGCCTCGTCGTTGCACACCCGCCGCTACACCACGCACACCACTGCCGCTGCTGTGCGCGTCGTCGACCCACAACATCCATCACCACCATCTGCAGCATCAGCATCAGCATCCTCGCTGCCGCCGCGCCAGCTCGTTGATTAGCGTTCTGCCCCCTTCGGTGCCCCGCCGTCGCGCTGCGTTTGCTACTGCGCCGGGCTGCACGCCTCCGCTGCTCGCCACACTCGGCCCGCGCCTTATTGTTTGTGCGACGCGCATCGAATCTGCACGCTTCTGCATTGCCTTGCGCGCGCGCGCGCCTCCTCACCCCCTCCCATCTTCCCCGCCGCCAACCTCTCGCCGGGGCCACTCACCGCGCAAGCAGAAGGTTTGGTCGCACGCGCTTTGTCATCACCGCTTCACTCGCCTACCAGACGTTTGTGGGTCTACTGCGACAGTCAACACCACCACCGACACCAATCCCCGCAACTGACGCACCTCGACGCGACAGGCGTTGCTCACTCCATTCAATGTATCCGAATCAACCGCCTCCGAGTGGAGGGCAAGGCTGGTCGCCGCAACCGCCGAACGGACAATACACGCCAAGACAAAATGTAAGTGTCGCTCCTGCCTTGCACTTGCTGCCCTGCCCTGCCGCGCCAAGCAGCTGTGATGATATCTACGCTTCCCAGTCCGCTTTTTGCCTTTCGCAATTTCCCCTTCTGCCTTTCCCATCTCCCCCAGCCAGCATCCTGCGCGCAAAAAAGCACCGGCAGACATGGGCTCCATCATCGATCCCTCGCTCGCCGCCGCCGACCACCTGCCCGCTGACATGAACGGCGCGTCCCAGATCCCACCCATCTCCCAGGCGGTCGCGCAAGGTCCCGTCATGCAAACCCTGCAACCCCAACATCCAGACCAGTACCGCGCGCTGCCTCCGCCGCAACCCATGTATGGCGCTCCACCCGGATACCAGCAACCCCCGATGGGCTACGCGCCCCAACAACCCGCCCCCCGCCAACGCACTGCAATAGCCTGTCGATACTGCCGACGCCGCAAGGTAGGTGTTGTGGTGGTGGTGGATTCGCCAGGCCATGTGGAGCCACATTACTGACGCGTGGCAGATTCGCTGCTCCGGCTTCGACACATCAGAAGACGGCCGCTGCACCAACTGCGCCCGCTTCTCTCAGGAATGCATCTTCACCCCCGTCTCCGCCCAGACGCAAGCCTTCGTCCCCGCGCACACCGTCTGGCGTGGCCAGAATCCGCCGCAGGGTGCACCACAGCTGTACGGCGCGTACGGCCAGCCTCTTCCGCAGCACGGCGACCGAAACAACCCATACCCTCCTCCGCAGCAGCCCGGCCAGTACCCGCCGCCGCCCCAGGGCTACCAACAGCCACCCATGTACGGGCAGTCGCCGCAGCAAGGACAGGCGCAGACTGGGCAGAAGCGCGGAACGGAGGAACCACACACACCCACTCTTCCCCCGCCCAATCCCGGTGCTCAGGCGCAGATTGGGTACGGGTATCCCGATCCTAATGGTGCGTCGCCTTCTTTTCTTCCTCCTCCCATCTCTTTCCAGTGTGCACACGCCTACGACCACACCAACCCTGCTTGGCCACTAGCCAGCACATACCCGTACGAGGCGTCGCGCGCATCCTCTTCGCCGCAAAAGCTTGTGCAAGAACTGCAGCAGCGGGAGACGGAGTGGCAGTGGGCGTCGCCCAACTTGCGCCCGTCTGGCAACGATCCGCGACAGAGCATCAAGACCGAACAGCCTGTCGGGTCGGTCGCTGCACCCGTGCCGAGCAATGTGAAGCAAGAGGAGCGCACGTCGACCGACACGAGTATGGTGCATGCTCTGAACCGTGGTCGTTGACATCATCTGCCTTTTCTTTCTCTCTTGCATGTCCAGAAAGCTGACTTCCCAACCAGCAGACCCGGCCAACACGAACGCGCCCGAGCGGATTTCGACAAAGACGCACGGGGTGGATGCGGGGGTGCAGACGGACGAGGCGCTTCTCACGCCCAAAGAGCGGGACTCTTAGGTGCGGTAATGGTTGACGATGGCATGGGCGGGAGCGGTGGAGTGTGCGAGTACGGAGGATCGACAGCGTGTTTCCTTTTCGTTCCGATGGGCGGTGTTCGTCGCTTTCTTCTGGCTGGTGCAGGAGGGAAGGGTAGCTTTTTATAATGCTCGGTCGGCGGGTCGGGTGTGGGATTAGCGACTGTCATTACTGGGGCGGTGTCGAGGGATGGGAAGGCGGAGGGCGGAGGGCGGCTTCTTGATCATCTCTGTTGCTCCATCCTGCAGCGAGTAGCGTATATTCCGTGTCTGTACTCTTACCTGCTTCGCCCATGTGATGAATCTACCCACACTCACCGTCTTTCCGCGCCGTCTTGCAATTGCACCGTCGCAATTGCGCAGCCATGCAGTGACCAGCAAGCCGCGCACCATCGAAGTTCGCCATCTCGCGACGTTTCGCCAATGCAGCGTCGCTTGTTCGTCACATCCTACCACCCCACCGCTGATGGATGCATGGAATGTCACAAAAGGAAGAAGAGTTGCAGAAAAGCGCGGACGTCGAAATAAAGAGCGCTTCTTCCCTTCCACCTGCGGTCCGCGTCCGTCTTCCCTCCCGCTCCCACAGGCGATTGCGGTGCGCTGCCGCCGCCGCCGCCGTCCTGCCTGTCTCGCGAAAGCCCATCGGTTCGGGCCTTAGCCGTCGCTCGCTGCTCTCTGACTCTTCGACTGACGGGCGGGCGGTCTTCCCGCTTAATGACGCCGTCTGTCGCGGGCGGGACAATTTGCAGGTGTGCGACAGTTCTCTTTCGGAGTGGTTGAGGTGCTTTACTGACGACGTTTTGCAGACGACGGTGAGCTTATAACTACGACACCGCGAAGACTCGCACGGCAGGCATGGCTGCTTCCACCACGGTGCTGGAACAGTGGGCTCTGCCGCAGCTGCAACCGCTGCTCCCGCTAGATGACGAGAGTCTGAGGCAGGTCGTGCAGTATGCTGCTTCGCTCCCCAAGCCCGAGGCGGCGGAGCATTTGAAGGGCATTCTGGGCGACGGGGCTAGGGCGCTGGAATTCATTTCCAGCTTTAACATGCGGAGGGGGAATGCGGCTACTTCTGCGAATGCGCCGGCAGTGACGGCGAGTTCTAGTGCTGGGGGAGCATCGGGTGTGCCCCCGGCGAGAGGGACGGGAGGTGCGAAGAAACGGAAGAAGAATATTCATGAGTTGCCGGCGAGGCGCGTGGAGGGGTCTGGCGATGTGAGCGGCGCGTATATCAAGAGTCGCGAGGATGAGGAGTATATCCCGCGGGCGTCGTCTCGGCCAGAGCAGCAGCAGAATGCAAGGCCGACACACAAGGATACCATGGCGCAGAATCTGGCCCTGCGGGGAGGAGGCAAGGCGACACCGGATGCCACGCAGCTACCTCTCGTCACCGACTCCGCCGCCTTAACCACCCAACCCATCACAGCGAAGCCGCCTCCTTCAGCAGCAGGCGCCCTGGTATCGGATGCCTTGGCTCCGCGCAGCAAAACCTCCTCCCGCAACGCCTCACCTTCGCCAGCAAAAGCCAAAGTGAACATCACAGGCGGCACAGCCATGCACGGCGCCTCCTCCGCCCTCTCCGACCTGGACTCCGCCATCCGCAGCCTCGAAATCCAAACCAACCCCTCCCTCGCCTCCTCCGACCCTGCAACTGCCGCAGCCGACAAAGCGAAAAGAAAGTGCAACTGCATGGCAACCCGCCACCCCTTGCTCGACGTCGCGCCCAACTGCCTCAACTGCGGCAAAGTCATCTGCGTCAAAGAAGGCCTAGGGCCCTGCACCTTCTGCTCCACCCCGCTGCTAAGCGCCGACGAAATCGCCAAAGTCCTGCGCGTCCTCAAAGACGAGCGCGGCGAAGAGCGGCAAAAAGCCAACAACGCCGCGCACAGAAAAGCAGACGTCGCCGCAGGCGGGAAAGCGCGCGCCTTCACCGGCCGCGAATTCCTCGCCGCCCAGCAACAGCAACAACACTCCTCCGCAACCGCAAGCCCCCTCTCCTCCCACCCCGCCACCCCGACCCCCACCTCCTCAGACGACGAAGGCACCGCCAAAGCAAAAGCCCACCGCGACAAGCTGCTCGCTTTTCAAGCGCAGAATGCGCGCCGCACGCAGATCCACGACGAGGCGGCGGATTTCGACGTCCCGGCGGGGGGAACGAGTATGTGGGCTTCGCCTGCCGAGCGCGCGAAGCAGTTGAAGAGGCAGCAGCGCGTGCTGAGGGAGATGGAGTGGAATGCGCGGCCGGAGTGGGAGAAGCGGCGCGTGGTGGCTTCTATTGATTTGAGTGGGAAGAGGGTTGTGAGGCGGATGGCGGAGGTTGAGAGGCCTGATTCTGGGGGTGAGGAGGAGGTGCCGGAGGAAGTGGGTGTTGGGGAGGGGCAGGAGAGGGGTGGTGGAGGCGGGGCGTTCGGGCGGAATCCGCTTGCTAAGGGGTTGATCAAGCCCAAGGCGAGGGAAGGAGCGGATGGGAAGGGCAAGGAAAGGGAGGATGGGCGGGGGAAGGAGAGGAGCATGTGGCGAAGGGTACAGATGGATGAGGACGACAATGAGCAGTGGATCCTCGATGGAGGCTTGTATGGCGGTGAGACGGGCGATAGAGTCCTGGGCGCCGAGGAGCCTGCTTGTGGATGATATGACATCAACAAGGTAGATACCCTGACGATAAATCAAGATCTGACTATGCCATTGACGCCATCCCTCTTGCTTCGGTCCGCGAACGGGATATCTACACCCATCTTCACAGATAACAACAAGCAGAATATACACCAGGAACCCACAGGCAGCTCGTGGGAAACGCCCATGCCGTCAAATTACTTCTAACCCCGACACACACTCTGCCACCCCTCATTTGAACTTGTCGTTGAACTCGCGATGCCACGTATCGCTCTGCGCCACGTTCGTCTGCCCAGTGAACCCAAGCTGCTGCGGGACCTAGAAGACAGCAGTCAGCAAACCAAAATCGAAAGAAGCCACATTCTTGCCACCGCAGGGAAAGCGCCGCACGGAACAACCTACCGGCCGCTTAGGTTCAATGCGCATCTGCTCGCTAGCGGTGATTTGATACTGCGTCAACCAATTCGAAAACTTGCCCCACGCCGTCGGCGGCGCGAGCGCCTTGGTGACGAACATCTTGCGCTTGCGCGTGCCGTGCTGCAGCTGCATGACGGCCTCCTCGTCCACCACGCTGAAGCTGAATTTTTCCAGTTTCGCGAGGTCGTGTAAGCGCAGCAAATTCGAGCGCTGGAAGCCAGCGTGCTTGATTGTGCCATTTGCGCCGTCTTCGGCTTCGTTTTCGAAGGGCAGGAAGTCGATGATCATGAGGACGCCGCGGCCGGCTTTCAGCCGCTCGGACAGGCGCTGGATGGCGAGGACCGGGTTCTCGAAGTGGTGGAAACCCAGCCCGACGACGATGACGTCGAAGTTGTAGAACTCGGCCGTGTTCAGCTCGGCGGGGACTTCGTCGGCGAACAAATCGCCCGCGACCGCGCGCACCTGTTCCGGCTGCAGACCTGCCGACGCGGCCTCTTGATTGTACAGCTGCACCATGTTAGGGCTGATGTCGACGCCGATCACCTTGGTCACGAGCGGGCCGTAGGCCTTGGTGACGGAGCCCGTGCCGCAGGCGTAGTCGAGGAGCTTGACTTCGCGGCCGCCAATCTCGCCGGGCTCGTGCCATCGGACGCCCGCCCAGTCTTTGCGCTCGAGGAGGGCGGTGCCGATTTGGGCGGAGAGGTCTTTCATCCACGGCTTTTCATCGTACGTGGCGGCCGCGTTGCTGTGGGTGGTGCTGTTAGTTGAGATGTATTTAGGGTGATAGGGGGTAGATGAACGGACTTGAAATGCTCCTTGTTGGCTTCTGTAAAGGTCGTCATCTTGGGTGTACACCGCCTCTGCCGGCCTGCGTCCGGGAGGAGTAAGAGGACAGTCCGGATTGCCGGGGGGAAGGTCGAACCCAGTCACGATCGATATGCAATCGATAGATGCTAGGGATATACAGCCGAGAACGGTTAGAAATGCGCCGATGCCTTTGAATGCTCGGATTGTTGGAGGCGAAAGGAGATGGCGGAGGGAGGTGTGGTATGTGGTGTGGGGAGATGGAGAGTTGCGGCTCCGGCCGTTGCGGGGAGGCGGTGGCGGATCGACATGGCGCCGCGTCCCATTCGAGCGGGCGCCGCGCCATCCTCCGAACTACATCTCTCCTCCATGCTTACAATATCGCTTTCATCTCATCACTGACGCACGATGGATACAGACACCACGGTGTATCGATCGGTGTCTGACGATTCATCTATCTCATGCCTAATCTGATAACATATGCACGTCCGATTGTCCGGATCAGATCTCAACTCCAAGTCGTTCGCTAGAAACAGAACCACCGTTGCCATACAGTAAAGTTCATCAAAACGTCCTTCTTGTGCGTTCCCAAGTCAATGCAACTCAGCGCCTCCGAGAAGACGCCGCTCTCGTACTCCGAGCCCGAAGCCGTGGCGTTTCCTCAACGCCGGTGTTCTGAACCTCCGGAGAAGACACAACGTCGCCGCCGGGAGATCTTGCCGCCCGTCTCGGGGAAGCCTCCGCAAGACCATCGTCGTATGCGACCGAGCGGCCTCGACGCCTACTCGAGGCTTTCGCCGAAGCACGAGGATCCTGGCGGGAGATGGAGAAGGAAAAGAAGACGCCTTCTTTCTCCTTCTCTTCCTTCTCGTTCGACGTTTTGTTCTTCTCCTTCTCAGATTCAGAAGACTTCTCGCCCTCTTTCGCTTTCTTCCCCTTCTCATCATCATCCGCCCTCCACAGCTCCCACCAAAGCCTCTCAAAGAGTCCCCGAGGCTGCTTCTCCTCCTTGACCTCCTCTTCTACCTTATCTTTCCCCTCCTCGCTCCGTTCCTCCACCTGCACGGCGTTGACAGCTTCACTGAAACTACACATCTCGTGCAACTCACCCCTCACCAAAGCCGTGCCCCACAAACTGATCAGCACGCCCGGCACGAGATATAGCAGCGCTGGCTGTCCGTGGTGGTAAATCGTCATGATGAGGACGGTGGTGATCATGCCAACGACATAGCCAACAACGGAAGCGGTGAAGTACGGCTTCGGAAAGGAGGTCCGGAGTTGATCGGGCAATGGCGAGGAGGAGAAGAGCAAACCCGAAGTCCAGAACCTGTCGCCCCAGCGGCCCGTAACGGGAACGTACGGCGCTTTTCTCCTCTCTTCCGCGGTTTTGCTGGCTTTGCGGGAAGGAGACTGAGCAGCGCTGTGGCTGCGGGATTTCTTCTGCTTCTTCAAGTAGAACATGTACAGGTCGAAGCGAAGAGCCAGCCCAATCATGATGCCGGGAATGACGATATCGCCGAGCCCAAGCATGCTAAAGTTCTTGGTAGGAGGCTCGCCTGGTATCTCACTCGGCTCATCCGGCCGGGGAAAGACCATTTTGATGGGCTGGTCGAGATTCGTGGCGACGGCGATCATGAGGGGTGTGAAGAAGACGGCCCAGATGTCGTAGAAGAAAAGGGCGCTGAGGATGAGGCTGCCTGTTGCGAAGGTGGTGGGAGACAGCAGCTGGAGGGCTGAGTAGGAGACTGCGAAGCCTTGGACATTGGTTAGGAACCAGGGTTTGGCGACGGTGTTGACGTAGACGATGGTGGCTGCGCCGGCGAAGGCGGAGGCGAGGTTGATGATGGTTACGTTGATGTTCATGTCGATAATGGTCTTCACGTAGGCTTTGATCGTGAGCTTCTGCTTCAAGATGCGCCGAACCGTCCAGAGGATACCATCCAAACGCAAGGCTGAGGCGAGAGACCCTAATGCACCCGGTAGGGGCGAACTCCTCGTTTCAGGAGCAGCATTGCTCTCATCCTGACGAACAACCCTACGCTCCCTGGAGTTCACCTTATACAACGATCCCTTGTGACAATAGTACGTCGGAAACACAAACCCCACACCCAAATTCGCCGCATCGTTCACCAACTGCCCCACGCTGAAAACACCCACGCCAGCAAAGTAATACCCCATGATCAAATTGACGACATCAGCCCCGTACTTCTTGATAAGGAAGTAGAGCACAGTCAGAGTGATACCCGCCGTTACTGGCAAGATGATGGCATCGGTATTGCTGAGGCCCTCCATCTTCTGCACCTTGTCTTCATCTACATCGTCGTCGTCGGAATCGGTTGCTTTCTTCGTCTTTCTCGGGGCTTTTGCCGCGGACGAGGGTCGGGATAGGGAGGCGTGCGCGCCGGCGTAGATTGGGAAGAGGGCGGAGAGGATGAGGTGCAGGTACATGGGGAGGAGGGGACGGACACCGTGGAAGTGGAGGGCGGCTTTGGCGAGGAGATGGGAGAGGTGGTCGGGGGATGACATTTTTGTTGATGAGGGAGGTAGTGCGGAATCAGATTTGTGACCTATCGGGACAGTATTTTATGCCGTCAAGGAGCGAATAGCCAGGCGAGCGCCATCGCAAAGCGCGCAGTGATGTGTGAGGTGTCTTCCAACAAATGTTCTCGCCTTGCATTAGTGGAAAAGCACTAGAGTCTAAGTCGTCGGCCCGTCCCGTTAGGGAAGCGCCGCCTCCACCTCCACCAAATGAGATCTCCACGACCCCGACAACAGTCTGTAATGCCAATCACTCCATGGCGAAGATGCTCACGCCTGCTCTCACCTGACTTTGCGTCGCCATTCGCGTAACTCTGCAACAAACATGTCCGGCACCTCCCACGCCGCAAAGTGGCCACCTCGAGCCGTCTCATTCCAATGCACGATATTCTTGTAGTACCGTTCGCACCATTCCTTCGGTGCATAGCAATTATCGCCGCCGAACCAACTCACGCCAACCGGTAAGTCTATCGCCCACGCGGTCGAGGCGATTTTGCGCTCCCAATAATAACGAGCGGACGAGGTGCCGGAATTGGACAGCCAGTACAGCATGATGGTGTCGAGCATCTCGTCTTTGCTAAACACCGCTTCGACCTTGCCGTCGTGATGAGACCAGTCTCTGTACTTTTCGTACATCCAGGCGGCTTGTGCGACCGGGGAGTCTGCAAGGCCGTAGCCGAGGGTTTGCGGTCTCGTGGACTGCTGTAAGGAGTACCCGCGGTGCCCGATATCACGTAGCCCTTCGAAATACATGGCTCGTTCCTCGCCCATTCTGTTGTCAATTGGCGTCTGGATTTCTTTCTGCAAAGGATATCAACACATGTCTTGCAGAGATGGGTGAGAGGCAGGTTACCTTGGGTTCGAAGAAGATGGAGTTGAAGTGAACGCTCTTCAATCCCTTCGGTGCGTGATGGCCCAGGCTTGCGGCTACATAAGCTCCCCAATCGCCGCCTTGAGCCACCCATCCGCCGTCTGCATAGCCCAGACGCTCCATCAACTCTGCCCATGCACGCCCGGTGCGTTGATAATCCCATCCAGTCTCCGTCGGCTTTCCAGAAAAGGCATACCCGGGAAGTGCTGGGACGACAAGGTGAAAGGCATCGGCAGGAGAGCCGCCGTGAGATTCCGGGTCGACAAGCTTGGGAATCACATGTCTGAATTCCAAGATTGAGCCAGGCCAGCCATGGGTGATGAGAAGAGGTAGAGCATCCTCGTGCTTTGACCGAATGTGCAGAAAGTAAAACTCGACCCCATCGATGGTCGTGGTGAACTGCGGATACGAATTCAGCAGCGCCTCGCATCGCCGCCAATCGTACTCTGTCTGCCAGTACGTGCAGAGGTCTTGAATTGCCGCGAGCGGAACACCTTGAGACGAATCGGGGACTGTCTCCTTGTCCGGCCAGCGGGTTAGACGAAGACGCGTTTGCAAGTCGTCGAGAGCGGATTGGGGGATGGAGAGCTGGAATGGGTGAATAGTGGACGCCATCGTTTAAAAGGAATATTCGTAGAGATTCGGAAACCAACCCAGCTTGTAAGGCTACTTTTCGTCCTCGATGAAGGAGAATACTGCTAAGGACATCACCACAACGCTCCCCAAGTGCGAGGAAGATCAACTACTTGTAGTGATACAAAAGTGGACACCGCTTTGCGGAGGAGAGCTTGAGGTCAGGTGAAGAGGGCACGGAGGGTTAAGGGATCTTCCAGCGCTGACACGCTTACAAATCGCTATGGATCTATCATGGTATTAATAATCTTCTATTCCCTTACGAAATGAGAGGCCATCCTGGACAGTAGTATAGGCAGGTGCCAATCATTCTCTCCTTGACGCATAAGGCATGGTCTGATGTCAAAATCGAGAAGAAGGCCAATGGCGTTTGTGCATCGCCCAGGCTCACTGGCTTTCACTATGCTGCTTTTCCCATGCTCGACAACATAACAAATGATATTAAGATCTAAATAGACCGTCCCAGCACATCCCACACTTTTCCTTGCGAGCCAAATAGCAGCCACACAGGGCGTCGCCTCTGAAGCCAAACAGGCAGAGATCCAGGGTATACGTTTCATCTCATCCCATCACCTCCCCCAAGTCCATCCCCGTCCCCATTTCCCTCACCCACCCCTTCCCTCACCGATACCTGCCCATCCGCTCATTCTTCGCAATCAAATACCACGCATGCACCACGCCCGGCAGCCAGCCGAGAATCGTCAGGCCGATGTTGATGATAAAGTCGCCGCCGCAGCCGCATTTGAGGAGGACGGCGAGGGGCGGCACGAAGATGGCGAGGAAGTAGAGGCAGACGTCGGTGCCGGAGGAGGGCATGGTGGCTGCGTGTGGTGTGTTTGCGGGTGGCTTCTCCTCTGTACTGTTTGGTCGTGTATATTGCCCGGTTCGCGCTCTCCGCCTCTTTCTGCAGTTTGATGTAATTGGACGAATGCTCGTGCTCTTCCGGCAAGGACTTGCTGAATTCGCTGCTGCTACCGCTTGATGCTGCGGTGAAGATGCTGTATTCGTCGAAGCAGAACCCCGCCGTGAACCAGCCAACAACGAACCGTCGACTCGTGCGTGCGCGTCTCTTCCCGAAGTCAATTTCTCGTTCGACGGTAAAGGGCAGGAGGCAGGCGGTATTAGGGCTTCTCAGATCCCACAGAGTGCTTTCGGCGAGACGTGAACGGATGAAAAAGGAATGAGCGACAGGAGTGAGGCGCGTCGTTGGCACAAAAAACCATAACTCCCTACCAAGACGCGGATGACGTTGTCGCTTTGACTTTCTTCCCGCGGAGGCGGGCGAATTCTCGCGCCATGACTCGAGGCATTGAGCGCTTGGGATCGTGCTTGCCATCCGTCATAATTCATTTACATGTACTTGACGACGATTTTGCTCCTTTAGTAGAGGCTGGTGAAGCAGCGAGCGCAGACAGACGTCATCAGAAGCACCCGTCCATGCCTTATTACTCGGACGGAGCGGGCTCAAGACGCCATTCAAACGGATCAAAGCTTTGTATGTAACAATACATTCCCGTGACATATGGGTATCACTCACCTTTCTAAACTCCTCCACCACCCTAAAATCAATCAAAACCCGACTCCCAGTTCCCGGTACAACCCCGACTACACTTAGAGACACGCTTCACAGAACCTCAAACTCCAGCAACACCAAACTCCTGCCAAAACGCCTCGTGATCGTAGCAATTGGGCATCGGCATACCATCGCCGTCGTAGAACAATTCGGGCCTTGTACTCGGTCGTCTGATGTTGGGTGTCGGTGCATCGTTGTAATAAGGAGCATGCAGTTTGTGAGACGACATGTTCTCGATGGGATATGGCGGCCGTTGCATCCGCGTGAACATTGGGTTCGATGGCGCCGGCGGCGTACTTCTGTGCTGCTCGTACGGTAAGTACGAGTAGGTGGCGTCGACTGGCTGATGTTGTTGTTGTTGTTGTTGTCGAGTCCAGCTTACACCGTATTCTTGCGGCCTCTCTATCCCGACATCCCTGGCGTGCGAACGAGATTGTTGCCAGACGCAATCACAATCGAGCAACGGGGCCGACACAAGACTCTGGAATTGCTGGTCTTGTTGCCATTCACGGCCGTGAACGGCCGGCAGCTTCCCAGCCTTGCAGGAACGACTCGCATTCTCGTCAGTCTTTTGACACCGTCTCCGAGTGACTGGTGTCGTTGTTGGCAAGTCCGACTGACTTTTTCGATGGCGGTGCAGAGCAGCGGTGCAATGGGCGCAGAGTTCGATCTCCGAACTGGCGTTCTGCTTTTGGCTCGCGCGGAGCACGCAATCCGCGCACGGCACGTTCGTCGACGGAGGTCGACCGCGGGCACGAGGGGCTTTTGCAATGCGCGAAGATGCCGCGGTCATGATTGTGTTTCTTGCGTTGGGGATCGAGTTTGGACGGCGAAAGTGAGAAAGAGAGCAATGAGAGGGGTGAATGGCAGTAGCGAGAAGAAGGGGAATGAGAAGGGGAATAAGAAGGATCAACTCAGACATTACTCGCGGCCTGGCGAGCTAGGTTGCTGAGAAACGCATGTACGAAGTGTGTGTCCAATATAGCCTTGGGGCCCCGGAGCGTGTCCACAATAGCCTTAGGGCCTACGCCTTCAATGACCAAGAATGGGGAGGAAAGCTTGCTAAGCCGACAGCGCCAAGGCGTGAGCCGGCAGTCCACTGCGCACGACGAGGGGCTGAAACGCGGCGCCAGACGGCGCTCGAAGCATGGCGGGCGTCATCAGGCAGAGGCGTGAGGTGAGCCAACACTGAGTAAGGAAGCAGCAACAATCTCGATAGACGCTCGCACACCGACAAACGAGAAAGTATCCCGGCCTTGCCGAACATCTTGCATGCCCTGCCTGGCCCGATTTCGTGCCGATCCTTCGCCTGCGCAGCCAGCAGGCCCGCCAAATTACCGCTTGCGGTGACGGGAGGTGGAGACGGCGGTCGGGCACTAGGACTGCGCATCACACGGCTGAAGCTTGGCCTACGCCCTTGACAGTGTTGCGCATTAAGAACCCCAAGGCCGCACGAGGGCCGTAGGGCTGAGGCTTGCTTGCTCGAAGCGGCAAGTTCATGCTGCCATTTGCAGTAACGCGGATTGCATTTACGAGCGGGGAGAGAGTTGAGATTGGTTTGCTTTGCATTGCTGTCCGCATCCAATCCCACTTCCCAGGATGCCCGGTCTCGTGATCGGGCTATCAGCTCGCCATTCATCAGCATACACGTGGCATGGGCCTGCAGTTAGCGGTTGCTAACTCCGTTGGAGGCACGGTACCTGGCGGTATGAAGAGGACGAGATGCAGCGCCCAATCATTGTAACCAGGATACAAATCGCAGCTGAAGCCGCAGAGACCTCTATCAATTGGCAATGTTGCGACAGCGATCGACAGACGTGGTTGTTACGACGACGCTCCCCTGCCGGACTTCACCGCTCCATTAGCGGTTAGGATGTTGTTACCGCCTTCCCGGTGTTAACGTGGCAATTCGTCCGCTATGGCCGTTGCCAGAGCTCGAGGTTTATGGTGGGAGTCGTCATCGAGCCAATCGTTGCATTTGCTGTGCATTTGAGTGCATGGGTAAATGCAAGGACCGAGCGGTTCCGTCCGCAGACCCTGTCTTGAGTCGGCGATTGAGCTTTTGATGAGCTGGCCCATACGCTCGTTGGTGATACGATTCCAAAGTGTTCCGTGATGTGCCATGGCCTCCATGCTGCCTGATGAGTCAGGGCGCAGAGTATTCGATAGGCCTGCCGTGGACAGCCGGCACATCATCGTGCATTCAAGATGCCTCCAGTCTCTTTCCACCTCTCCTCTCCCAGCCGCACACACTCCGCAACACCCGCCTCCCCAATCACCGAGCCCCCAGACTTCTCCAGACTCAGAAGCGTCGCCGTAGCCCCATCACCCGTAGCCGCAATGACCACCGTCATGGCTTCCTCACAAACACCCTCCTCCGCACCATCCGGATCCGCCAGCACCCAACTCTCCGCCTCAGCCCTATCCTTCAAAGGCGAAGCAGTAGAGAACACAGCAAATGTAGAAGCAACAGGCAGACAATTGAGCTTCAACGACTTCGCCTCCGCCAATCGCGACGAACACAGAATCCGTTCCTGATCCGCATCCCACCACGCCCGCGGCAACACCGTATCGCGAAACGCAGCCATGACCGCCAACCACACCGTGTCAGACGCATTGCCGTCCAAGCAAATGCACAGAATGTCAATGTACAGCACCCAATACCCCTTGACCACCACCCTCGGCTCGGCGTCCGGCACCTCTTCGTCCTCGGGCTGCAGCTCAGTATGCCGAATCGCCAAAGTCGACACGTCGAGAATGCGGGAATTGAGCAGCGTAGACCAGACGCGGTAGGAAAGAGATTGCGCCAGCGTCCCGGGCGGATTACCAGGCAAATGCGACGGGGAGCAGCCGGTGCTCAACTCCACATTTGGCACGAGAAGGCCCAGTTCCTCCACCAGGTCGTCGGGATGGATGTCCTCGCTCGGCGGGTGCGGGATGTCTGATGCTCGGAGCAGCTCGGCGCGCACGCCGCAGACGACGGCGGTGTCGCCTGCTCGCACTACTGCAGAGCCATTGCTGTGTGTGAGGGAGCCGGTGTTGACGGTGGGAGTGCGGAATTCGTGCGGGAGACGGCCGTTTGGTCGGGTGGGCTGGGCTTGCTTGAGATGTGCGTGCAAGAAGGGGCCCGGTGTGAGTTTTGCAAAGGTGTCCCGTGATAGGGAGAGGCCTGGTGATTGGTTTGCGCCGTTGGCCATGCTTGGTTATGTTGGATGTCATGGTCTGAAAGCTTTAAAGTTCAAGGCATGAAATTGGCGGATCATTCTAGCACAGACCAAGTCACGTGCAGACGTCCTGAAAAGTAGGTACTGTACATTATTCTAATCTTCTCTATACATTCTCACCAACCAGGTGGAAAGTGATGAAAGTCAACACAAGTCGGCTCCCAAAGATACCGATCCAGCGACCCGTCCGCCTCATCCAAATCCTCATGTCCCTTCATTCCACCCTTCAAAATCCCTCCCATCGCAAGCGCAGGCCAGATCGGAATATAACACACCTGGCCAAGAGCACACCCAGGATCGCAAGCAGTCCATTGATCTATCCACCCCAGCCATGCCATCAGCTCCTCTATTGCTTGAATGTTGTGCGACGTAGCGGTTTGGAGTTCGTGCCAAAGGGGCACGGCGGGCGTGACTACGGGTGGAGCGGAGAAGTTGTTGAAGTTTGCGAGCCAGATGCGCTCTGTTTGGAGGAAGATAGGGAGCATTGTTGTGCAGATTGCCGAGAGGACGTCGGAGATGGCGTGGGAGGTTAGCCTTTCGCTGTCGGACAGCTCTTCCGCTTCGAAGGGGGCGTATTGCGTTTTGCAGCGATGGAGAGCGGATTGGGAGTTGGAAGCGTTGACGGCAAACGCCTCCTGCAGTGTGGATTTGGTAATGTCCGGGTATTCGTAGAAGGGCATGAAGACCAAGTGGCTTGCATGTCTGATATCGCTCAGCCAAAGACGAGCATCTTCGGGACCGAGCTGGCCGAAGAACTCGAGCCGCTTCAGCAGATTGTACAGCTCGATGCTGTATGCGCTGACGATGTCGCGGGCGATTTCGATCCAGTCGATGCCGCTGCAGTGCTGCTCTTTCTCTGTTGACAAGAGCAGTCGCATTCGCTGTTCCACAGCCCCTCGCATGTATAAGCCGTCAGCCTCACTGACGTTGTGCGCACGCTGCGCTTGCCTTCTCCTGCTCAGCGTCTTGAGTGCCGCGTCTCGTTCGTTGTCTTCCCGAGGAGCCATCCAGTAGCCCTCCTTTGTCAAATTCAGTGATTTACGCTCGTCCATGACGCGTGCGCTCTCCTGATCCTGCATCCCGGGATCGTACAGGGTGAACAAAGTACAAGAGTCGAGTCTCACCCGAGTCTCCCCTCGTCCATATTGGCCGTTCCCGAAGCCGTAACGTTTGGTAGCGGCATGCCACCACGAGTATACCCCGCCGTTCACCGCGAAAGGGTTGTCAAAGGTAAGACCTGGTATTTGCTTCTTCCCCCTCTTCTTCCTCCCTTTCACCACAAATGTCTCTGGAACATGTCCCAGATGTGTCCAGCGGGACGGAACTTCTTCAAGACGAGGCGCGGAGACGTTGAGCCGGGAGACCAACTCGACAGACGGAGAAGAGAAGTTGCACCAGATCATCTCGAACCCGGTATTCATCCTGACAACGCCTTCGTAGCCCCAGCCCGGGCCACCCAGGCTGTGATTGTGGATGAAGTCGCACAGTTTCTCTGCTCGAGTGTACTCCAGAGCAATGTCGTTGAAGAAGGTCTTGTTACCAGTCAAATTGCGGAATTCCGGCGGCAGCTCAAGGATAGGCTTGGGCGGGATGTTGTACGTGGAGTTGTAGAGGAAGGCCATCTGACTGTCCATACTGCCGTCGCGGCGAAGAGAAGCGCTGGAGCCATCGAAGTACAAGCACTGAACTTCTCGTCGTGTGCGATAGGTGAACATGTGCGAGTCGGGCGTGGTTCCGAGGATCCAGTATGCCATTTCCGGGTCGAAGGCGAGGAACTCGGGCTCGGGCGGGCGCTTGCCGTCCGAGGAGGCGTGGTAGAGATTGGTGCCTTTGGGGACTTTGCAAGGCGCGATGGTGTGGCCGTATTCGAAGAAGGTGTTTGGCCATTGTTGCAGCAGGGCAAAGGTGGAGTGGAAGATGAGTGGTGATGGGGAAGAGAAGTTCAGTCGGGGGAGATTATTGTCGGTCGGAGACGAAAAGTTTAGTCCGGAGAGGTCATTATTTGGGGAAAGGACTCGTTGTAGGCCTTGTCCGTGGACAGCTGAGGCGCATAGTATCAAGGCGCCGAGGGTATGGCGAAGCATCGTTCTCCCGACCCAAGGAGTGGTAGGTTGGTCTAAACATCAGCGTGGTAGGGTGTGCAAATATGCCCGAGTGATATGGTGGCTCCACGGAGAAAGGGGTTTTACGCTTCGTATAGGCTGTTGTGTCAGCATGTGGCATATTAAGGTAGACGTGCTTGACGTGATAGGCACCAGGATTGCCGGAGTTTCAGTGGGAGATGTGAAGTCAGTCGGGTGTTCATCGGCAGTCGGGGCTACAACATCACTGCATACATCGCAGCAGCGGAGTCACCATCGTCGTCGCTCCTCGCTCTCCGTCGAGTCGTGAGTATGTAATCCAACCCAAGGCTCACACTGTCATGATCATGCACGTATGTCCTCTCGTTTGTGACAGGCAGCAGATCCCCACCAATCTGCCGCGTCAGCCAATAGCACGCGACCAACCGGATCTGCGACAGGGGACAAACCTTGTCCAACATTTGAGTGGAGCGTAAACTCTATTCCCGCCATCACACAACTTCCCGTAGCCTGATCGCGATCTCCTGACAGGCGCGTCCTCGCCACGTCCCAAACCGGATTGTGTGACGGGCGTGGTCTGCACCGGAAGGGCTAGAACGTGGGCCGTTTTCATGCAACGTGCCTGCCTGTTCGGAAACCTGGTTGGTCCGTTGGATGGAAGGCGTGATTGGAAGAATCATCTAATCTGAGTCTGGGCATGTCGTGTCCAAGTGTATGTACGCGGTGTGCAAGATTGGTTGCGACCCAGTGACGTGGGTGTGAAGTCAGGTGCACAGCTTCCTGCAGCTTGTTATTTGCGCGTTCCCGCCCGGCGGCTGTCTTGTCTTCTCTTCCTCGCAACTCGTCAACGTACACAAACCGCAAAACATATCGCGAACGGAACGCACCCACCCACAAAGCAAAGAGTGAAATCACGAGCATTCCCGCATACCATCGCCCAACATGGGCGCAGTCATATCATGTGTACGACTCAACCGCCTCCAGCACACAATCGCTTCACTAACGCCGCCACACACATAGATTGAGAGCGTGTTCGGTGCAATCGGAGGGTGCATCATGGCCGTGCTGAACGCCATCGGCTCCATCATCATGGCCATCATCAACGTACGCGAACGCGCGCGATCGCGTCATTCGATGGCCCTTTGCTAACCAGCTTGCCACCTCTAGGGAATCGTGGCCGTCTGTGCGGGCATCATCAACTGCATCACGTGCGGGAAGTGTGGCAGCGGGCGGCGCAAACATACGAGTGCTGTGTGAGGGGCGCCGGTCTCTGAGACTTCGTGCCTTTGCGAGAGGCAAATGGCGCGAAAGGAGACCGGCGGAGAACTTTGAGAAGCGAAGGGCAGAGGGGCGCGGGTTAGCATGACATCGGCGTACGCGGAGATACCCTTATGACTTTCTGTTCTGCCTTTACTCATAACACGCATTAATGTGAATTTTGATGCTTTGGGATTGCTAGTGAGCTGCTCATGTGCCATTGCATTCGATCCTCGCCAGTTCTTACATAGGTAGCGGACGTTATGAATTCGGTGCAAGCAGTGAGACAAACAGCCTTGACGACCAGCTATTTACGAACGGAGGCAAGCAAAGGCACAAAAAGGCAACCCATGGTACTCCAATCGTACGCTCCGAGGAACGTCCACTTCGCTCGACTCGGCCGAGAGGCGCTACAGAAGCAAGTTGAACAACTTTCCGCTCCGCCCATCCTCCGGCCTATGCACTCGCAATGCCCAAGTTCGACTTCATTACTCGCTCTTGACCCACTTCCTCTCACTTCCAATCGTAGCGCTGGCTCCCACGTGCGCTTCTCGTTCGGCCTGGCGCTTAATGGTGCTTGCCGCTGTAGATGACTGCACAAGAATCAGCATCCTTCGCCCAACTTCTACCCATGAGGCATCGCCGGGTACTCACCACTCGGCACGATAATGACAACCAGCAAGATGATGATGCCGATGATGATGCACATGCGCATCTTCATGTCCTTCCACCACATCTGTTTCCGCACGCGGTTGGCGCCGCGGCGGAAGCCGTCCGCCTGCGTCGCCAGGTTGTCCGTCTTGTTCTGCAGCGAGTCGAGATTCTCGCCTCGCTGGCTGGCCAGCATCATGTTGTTTTGCATGGTATTTGTCGCCTCATCGATTTGCTGCGACGATATCGTTAGCAAGGAAGATGACCTCGTTCGTGCGATCCTGCTGCCTCCGGGCGGATCTGTAGGCGCCGGCGGCCGCGCGCGCGCTTTCAGGGCCGGCATCAGGGGCGATCGATACCACTCACCGCCTGGAGCCTCGCAGTGGAGGTCTCCGATGATGACTGGCCATTCTTAGGCATGGGAGGGTCGTAGTAGCCTCCAGGTTGCGACATGTTGGGAGAGGTTGGAAGGGGGAGGAAGGTATTGGGGGGTAGAAAGGGTCGATAGAGGCAGAGCGCTTCGCAGGAGGAGAATTCGTAGATGCGATGCGACTTGAGGCTCACGAGAGGCAGCGAGTGGTTCTGTCAGATAGATGTAGAAGTGATGGGGCGGGTGGTGTGAGGATGGGATGAAAGACTGAACATAGCCACCCTGACGACACCCTGAGCGCTTGGGCCACTCGGGCCTTCCGGGGGATTCAAACCGAGCTGCTTAGTCAGATCTCTGTAGTCCATCGGCCTTGACGTCTTCAAAAGATTCCATCTCTATTTGCACGTCCTTACTACTGTACAACATTGTCACCCGCTAAGTCAAGCAGGAAATCTCCAACTCCTGTGGACTCGAGCCTTGTGCCTCGACCTTGCACAGCTCCTCGCATCTATCAGCAGTCTTTCCGTCCAGACACCCTTCCAAGTTCGCCTCGCCGAGTAGTTGCCACCTCTGCTCGGTCTCGAGTTGCCAGCTCGGGACAGTTGGGCGTAAGATGAAAGGCAAGAAGCCCCCCATCAACAGTACGACCTCGTCACCGACTTGTACCCCTGGATACACAAGCGCCACCTGACCATTTGCCGTCACCGCCATGTTCATATTCCTGCACGTGAAGTCCACCTCACGTGCAAGGTCTTGTGAAAGTGTCACATCTAACCAGCTTATCAGTTCGGTGCCCATGATGCCACTGCACAACGACAAGCGATGAGCAGAGGCCTCTGCTGTCTCGAAACGGAAGGCTTTCATAGCCATCTCGTAGAGAATCTCCGCATCTTTTTTCGCGTTGACCGAACCTTTCAGTGCGGCGCCTGATGAGCTGGACGCCTTGAATCTGTAGTAAAGGCCGGTGGCCGCGACGTCCGTCGACCCAACATCACGGCGGTCCCCGGGGCGTCCAAGGGTGAAGAGCTCCCTGACAAGCATCTTTGCCACGACACCAAGCAGAACGGCTTTCCGGCTGGCTCCCTGCGTTCCCGGCAGCATTAATTCCCCCACAAGGCGCTCAAGCCGGCCCATAAGACCACACCAGCTGTGTGGAGAGCTCGGAATCCTCTGCCAACTCTCGTGAAGATTCACAAGTCGAATGATTTGACCTCTTCGCATGCCTCGCAACCGAAGCTCTTTGTCACTGTCCGAAGCAGGTTTTTCACTGTTCGGAACAGAGCGCAGCATCATGGCCCTCGTCTTGCCCGTTGCTCCGCGCTTTTCCGATGATGATTGTATGCCACCGGCAAGAAGTGGAGCTGGTAGGTTATCAAATCCTGTCGGACTCATAGCCCATGACGGTCGATCGCTGCTCTTACTCGGACTCGAAGCGCATGACAGTCGATCGGTGCTCTCAGTCCGTGGTCCAACAGCACTTAGTGTATCACGGTCATCCGGTCGATTACAGCTCTTGGCTGGTGGTCCAACAACGCTCAGAGCATGAAGGTCACCATCCTGCGCAATCATGATTCGAGTGAACATGGTGAAAGCCTGCTGACCCTTCTCCATTCCAAGAAGCCGCGACGGATACGTAATTCCTTCATGCTCCATGATCCCGAGTAGCGCGAAGATGCGATCTTCCGGCTCGGTCGCCTTGCGTCTCATAGTCTCGCGCAGGAGGTCAGAAAGCTGGACGTCCAATCTCGAGCGGTTGCCCTTACGCCTCGTGTATATGGCGAACATGTTTGACGCATGTACGACCGCTTCGCCCAGCGCTTCTGTTGCACGGTTCACCGACAGCGTCGTCCACAAACAAAGAAAACCGCTGACCATAGACTCCCAGGGTAGCTCATGCATTCCGCACAGTACCATGGGCGATCTTTCGTTGTCGACATATATCTCTTGCAGCGTCCAAGCGCGTTCGAACCAGGGTCTCGAAAAGAGCGCCGTCAGGCCCTTCTTCTCCGCAGTGTGCCTCTTCTCCGCCATCGTTTCTCCCGCGCGATCCACTCCTCCTCCGCACTGTTCTCCTTCTTCGCAGTGGGAAGCGCCGTGTCACCGCTCCCTGAAAACCCAGGGGCGCTCCAGGCGATGTTCAGCCGCTCTCTCAGCGCCTCATCCTTTTCCGCCTTCTTCCACTTCCTCAGCGCCGCAAATGCCAGATGAGTATACTCATCTGCCTCGCCAAGCCAACAAATCACCCGTTTTGCTTGCGAATACAGCTTGAACATCAGCCGCATCTGTGACCTCTTTTCATCCGGATTATCCTGGTGAATCGTGATCTGGTCCGCCCAAAGATATATCTTCCTCTTGCCGCACGTCCACCGCGTCTCAAACTTCGCCCGAATGTATAAGAGAGCATTCCATAGGTTGGCGGTCACGCTGATCTCCTGCCCATCGCAGTATATCGGACTCCGGATGTCAGGATCGCCCCAGGTGTACGAGAGGCAAAAGTAGTCGGGGAGATCGTTCGTGCGGAAGGTCTCCATGCGAATTGTGATCACGTCCGTGGCGCCATAAGACGGCTCGAAGGTGAAGAGACGGATTTCGCGGTCGGCTTCTATATCTGCGTGTTGATACTTCGGGGGGTCTTCCAACACAGGATGTTCGCAGCCGCGTTGGCTAGAGAAGGGATCTGATCAGTATCCTGTGCTAACCCGACCATAGCTAGTCTTGGTAAAAACTGTATCGACTCACTGCCATTGCTTCAGACAATTGGGGAGGAAGCGAGATAGCAAAGCCGATGCCATAACGATACCCTGGCGAGAAAGACGATATATACAAACGATATACACAATATACGATAGAACGAACGAAAAAACGATGAGTGACCGACCACATCCACGAACAGCAGACCACCACTCCATAATAAATATACTCATACGAAGAGCGCAACGCACAGCCTTCAAGGGAGGAGAGAGGGAGCCTGGCGCTTAGAGTTGCATGTGTGTAACCCTAGGCGCCCACCCACAGCCTTCCCCCTTCGCTCGCAACGACCAATGACAGCATGCGAGGCTGCCGCAGCGCAAATCCAGAGGCTACGAAGAGCGCATTCTCACCGCAAACTGATGCAATGCGCTCTTTTTGGATTCACGGGCTGTGCATGTAGACGGCATGTTGGGAAGGTGAGACGGATTATTGAAGCCTCAGGACGAAAGCAGGCGAGGCTGCGCTGCGCAAAAGACACAGGCTTTGTTTGCCGGGTGGGGGCCGAAACGCTGAGCGCGAATCAATTCAAGTGGACGGGGAATGTCATTTCACGTGGCTATCAACGGCGGCAAAGATGGTATCGAGGCTCATCAAAATAGGGCCAGAGAGGTTTGAGGTTCAGGTAGAAGAGATGGCTCAGATCTGAGGACAAGTCGTAACCACATCACACCATCTCAATGTACCGCCTTACTTCCCTAAACAAGTAGAAAGACACGTTAGCACTCACATAAATCCGCCTTTCAAGAAAAAAAAAGAACTCACCAGTCGGTAATAGCCTGATCCCACAGATGCACCTCATGCTCTCTCGTGCCCGCATAATGATCAACAAAATCATCCCCCAGCGCCTCGCGCGCCACGCTCCCCTTCGCCTTGAAGCGCTCCGTCGCCTCTTTGAGGTTCTTCGCCAATCGCTCGCCCTTGCCAATCGACGTCGCTACATCCTCTCCCTTGCCCAAAGGCGGCATGGTGACTTCCAACTTCTTGTCGATGCCTCGGTAGCCAAGCGCGAGAATGGTGGCCAGCACAAGATGCGGGTTTGCGTCTGCGCCTGGAAGGCGGATTTCCAGTCGCGTGCCTTTGGGTGGACAGGTTGGGGGTGCGATGAGACGGATGGAGGCGGCGCGGTGCTCCAGGCCCCAGGAGACGCTGACGGGGGCCCAGAAGTTTTCGACGAGGCGTTTGTAGCTGTTGATGTTGGGGGCGACGATGGGCATGACGTCTTGCAAGCCATCGAGCACGCCGGCGAGGAAATGACGCCCGATGTCAGAGACGTGTTTGAGGTCGTCAAAGGGGGCGTTGGGGTCTGCTTTCTCGCGGACGAAGAGGTTCGCTTTGGTTTTCAGGTCGGTGAGGGAAACATGCATGTGACCGGAGTTGCCGGGCAGGTCGGGGCGGGGCTTAGCCATGAAGCAGGGCGTGATGCCGAATTTGGAGCTCATGTTCTTCACCACGAGTTTGAAGAGGGCGGCTTTGTCGGCCATTTCGCGGATCTCGCCGTATTCTAGTGCTGCTTCGTAGACGCCTGGGCCGGACTCGGTGTGCCAGCCTTCGATGTTACATCGGAACTGACTGGCTGCGGAGAAGATGCCGTAGTACCAGTCCTGGTTGTGCACGGGGCGAGTGAGACTATAGCCGAACATGCCTTCTTCAAGATGAGGAAGGCTTGTGGCAGGGTTGTTCTGCAAGAATGATGCGGTCGCGCTTGAATTCCTTTCGTTGGATTCTCCGGAGTGTGACTGCGGTGCGCGGAAAGTAAAGAACTCGTATTCGGCTGGGTTATTCTTGTTAGCATACCTTACTTGAACATCGCGAGTCCGGAAGAAAAGGAACGAGAATGACGAGCATGTGGAGTGTTGGACTCACCTCCAGCCATAGCACCTACACCCTTCTTCTCCATCTTGGCGACCGTCCGCTCCAACAGACTCCTCGGACAAGCGCTCAAACTCTCGCCCTCCGGCTCGCGAAAGCTAACGAGGAAAAAAGGCACATTATTCTCCCACGGCAGCCGTCGGTACGATGACAAATCCACCTCGGCCAGAATATCGCGGTATCCATTCTGCAAGCTACTAATCTTCAGCTCTTTAAAGTAGGTCTGGTCGTGCATGTCCCAGCCGAAGATGACGGAGCAGAAGCCAAAGCCCGACTCGGCAATGGAGAGGAATTTCTTCTTGGACATGAGCTTGCCGCGGATGACGCCGTCGATGTCGACGCCGCCCACTTTGACGCTGACATCGTTCTTGAGCAGCTCGGGCAGGTCGGCGGCGGTGAGTTCGTGGAAGTGCGTGGAGTCGTCGAGCTTCGACATGCTGAGGGTTCGAGGCTGGTCGCGTGACCAGAGGGAGGGACGGAGGGCGGTGTGTCTGGCACGGGGAATGGCGAGCTCTGTTGAAGAGCCCACGACACTCTACAGGCAAACAGTGGAGCGGTGGTTTTGGAGTGGTGATGTGATGTTGGCGGTCTAGGCGCACGATTGGAGTCGGAGGGGCAGCTCGAGCAGGCCCGGCGGGGCTAACGGCATGCAGACGCAGCGGGCGCTTGTGGCGCATGCGGGACGATCGGATAGGGTTAAAATATCCTGATCGGGGTTAAGGTGGTGCCACAGGACAAGGCTCGTGGAGAAAGGGCCACACGTGAGCCGGGACTTCGCGAAACAATTTCTGATGAGGCCAACACAACACGTCAGCTGCCCTCTTGCCTTCCTCCGTCACTCCTCTGGTCAGACTCCTCCAAGCGTCTGACCTTTGAATTCCCATTTTCCATCTCCGTGGACACTCGTATCAACGACTATCAGTCCATTCCATTTGTTCCCGACCGCCCCGATTAGCGACTAGATAAGGAACCAATCTTCAACAGAATGGTATGCGCCTTGCCCACCACCCACCATCGCAGTTCTAACGTGCAAAGGGCTCCATTGGCGAACAATACCGCGGTCGACTGGCTGGAAAGAATGCCATCATCACGGGGGCGGCAGGGTAAGCCATCCGCACACATCCCTTCCTTCGCCACCACGACCACCATCTTCACCATCGACCCTCAATACTAACCCTTTCCCAGCGGCATCGGCCTGGAGACTACAATCCTCTTCCTCCGCGAGGGCGCCTCGGTCCTCATGACCGACATCTCCGACGCAGCTCTCGCCAAAGCCGTGGCGAAAGCCAAAGAACTGGCGCCGCATATGCCCGGCAAAGTCGACACGATGCGATGCGACGTCTCCAAGGAATCCGACGTGCAGGCCATCGTCGAGCACCTCGACAGCTGGGGCGGCGTGGACGTCATGTTCAACAACGCGGGCATCATGCACGGCGATGATGATGGTAGATCCCACCGCTCCTTTTCTCTCTCTCTCTCTCTCTCTGTACGCACGCACAGCTAACCCCTCCCCAGACGCCATCGCCACCCCCGAGAAAATCTGGGACCTGACGCAAAACATCAACGTCAAAGGCGTGTGGTTCGGCAGCAAACATGCCATCCTCTCCCTGCGCAAACACAAAAAGTCGCGCGCAAGCATCATCAACACCGCCTCCGTCGTCGCGCTCGTCGGCTCCGCCACGCCGCAGCTGGCCTACACCGCCTCCAAAGGCGCCGTGCTCGCCATGACGCGCGAGCTCGCCATCGTGCATGCGAAAGAAGGCTTCCGCTTCAACTCGCTGTGCCCCGCGCCGCTGAACACGCCGCTGCTGCAGGACTGGCTGGGGGATGATCGGGAGAAGCGGATGCGCAGGGAGATTCACTTTCCTACGGGACGGTTTGGGGAGGCGATTGAGCTTGCGCAGGCGGCGTTGTTCCTTGCGAGCGATGAAAGTAGTTTTGTCAATGGGACGGATTTTGTGGTTGATGGGGGCATGACGAAGGCTTATGTTACGCCGCAAGGCCCGGCTACGCTTCCGCCTGCGAACTTGGCTCGTTAGATGGACGGGGCGCACTTTGGGGTTCTGTTGGAGTTGGTCCGCTGTTCTTCTCGTTTTGCATCTTGCGGGCTAATGCATGTTCTACATGTCTTTTGGGCGAGACGACCTTCTGCTACCACACATTGAATCTAGAACAGTAGAAACCGCGGGGACCAGAAATGCAATTCAAAGCTTATCGCTCATTCAAACCATCTACACGAATAGAAACCCCCCTTCTCCCCTTCTCCCCTCAATCCAACCCAACAACACCCCTACTCCTCCCCGCCCGCCGCCCCGCGCATACTACTCGGCACAAACCCCCGTGGGCTGCGATGACACCCCCTCTCGTGCCGCTTCATATTACTCCGCACGCTAAAAGCCTTGGTGCACCCGGCATGCGAGCACTTGAACGGCTTCTCGCCCGTGTGGGAGTGCGAGTGGATTTTGAGGCTCGACGGGCGGGAGAAGGCCTTGGCGCACGTGGTGCAGATGTAGCGGTCGAGGTGGGTGTCGGCGGACGGCTGTTGTTGGTGGTAAGCGGAGGCGGAGGCGGCGCTTGTGGTTGAGGCTGGTGGGTACGGCGCGTCCCATGTTGTTGATGAGGGGAGGGTGGGCGTTTGTTGTTGTTGTTGATGATTATTGTGGTGCGTGTTTGGGTCGGGGAGGATGGGGCTTGGGAGGGTGGTGGTTGAGGTTGAGGTTGTTGATGAGGGGTCGTTGAGGATGGAGGGGAGCTTTGGGTAGGTGGAGGTGGGTGGGAGAGTACTCTGCGGGATTGGGAAGCTGGGCAGGGTTTGGCGGCGGAGTTGGGGCGAGATGTGCGACGCAGACGACGCGCTTGGTGAGTCGTAAGGTGAATTGGTGTAGGATGGTGGGCGGTCGTACGATGTCGTTGCCGTCGGTTGAGAGGTGACGGACGGTTGTTTCGGCGCGTCGCGATCGCTGTGTCGGCGGCGGCTGATTTCCGGATCGTCGGAGATGGATGGGAGGAAGAAAGGGTGGGAAGCGGACTGCCGCGATGCGGTGGAAAGAGACGGGCTCTGAGAACTCTCCAGCAGCGAATCGCTGCGATAAAACGGTGCCGATGTGCTCCCCATTTTCTGCCTTTTGTTGGATTCCTGAGGCGAGTTCGTGATGCTGCCGACTGACATGGCCGATTCGCTGGATCGCTTGAGATGGTTGCTCCGCCCGGGTTGTAATTGATATTGATGTAGCGAAGGCGGTGACAGACCCTTCAGAGATTCATCGGGACGAGCAGCGTGGTTCGGGGGCGACGTAGCATGTCGACCTGATTCACTACCCGACGTCGCTCGCTCGCTGTCGGCAATGTCCAGCAAGTTCGATATCGAAGGCAACGACGGTTTGAACGCATTCCCCAGCGCGCGTGGACTTGAGGTTTGGCTTGAGGTTGACCTTGGCGGTGAATGGTGGCGCGCTTGCGACGAGTAGAGGGCGCCGGACAATGCTGCGGTCGTGGTCGAAGGTAAAGGCAACCGAGTCTTGTCGGAAGGGTAGTGGATATAGTCGCCATGGTGTGAATTGACGACCGGAGGAGTGACCATGGTGACCGTCGCCATCAATCCAGCCTCTCAAATGTGACAACCGCGCTCGACTTCACCACCGAGACCATGCGCCTTGCGACCAAGCCAGCGGTTTGATGTTGCCACGCGATAGCCTCTACTAATTGAGACGGTGAAGGTGGAAGAGACGTTTTCGGGCAGCGTCGACAACGGGAAACGCAATCCACAGGTGGTGAGAAGAGTTGGAAATGTTGGCGATCGAAGCTGCAGTGGAGCTGGGGGTAATATGAAGTCGAAAGGCCAAGGAGAAGGGATCGCCCTGGACGAACCACGGCACGGGGTAGAGCGGCTCCTCGGTGAACTGTAATAATAAAGAACAGTGATTCCGTACGCCGAGGTTGGATGACTGGGATTGTGAATGAGCTACGTGCGAGCTGAGGACTCGGCGAGACAAACAACGGGGCGGCCGATAGCGTCACTGGCGATCGTCGCGGGTAGAAGATGGGAAGGGTGCAAAGCTCGTGCCGAATAGATTGCTGCTCTCCAAATAGGCTCCTGGCTGTGCAGAACACGCACTATGCGGGATTGATGGTTGGGTGGTGACGTGGAAGAGCGAAGGTGTGTTGGAAGATGTGCGGGAAGTGCTTTACGCTGAAGCTGCAATGTCGCGGCAACGGGAAGTGGTTGGTGTCGACGAAAGGGCGCAGGTTGGGAAGGGAAACGATTTTCCAAGATGCAGCTGAGGTTGCAGACGGCGGATTTGATCGACATGGACGCGGGAGGGTTAGTTCGAAAGTAACGCGCGACGGGGGTAATATTTCATAATTGAGGCGGTGTTAAGATTCGATGACGGGCCGTATGCAACCATGTTTGATCTTCTTCCGGCGTGTGGGGACCCTTGGCCTCGTGGCGGCCTTGTTACGCTCGGATAATTTGGCACTTACGAAACGCGGGAACGGTGTGGGTGGCGCGGCCAGGCTTGAGGAGCGGATGGCAAAGAAACGTGGTTACCCTCGCCGGATGGAGAAGGGATCATTGAGACTTGGGCGGTGCACATTGCAGAGCGAGAGGGCGTTGGGGGAGGCCTCGGGGACTGGATGTGAAGGCCGAGGAGGGCGCTGGGCTTGTGCCCTGGGAGCCGTGCGGTGGACAGAGTCGGGAGGACTGGGTCGTGTGGATGATCGGCAGGATGCAAACTCCGGGACTGGATGGGGCCAAGGACCAGGTGCGGCGCGCGCACCCAATGGCGTGGGAGCGGTATGATCGGCAATCCCATGCAGACCCGCAGGCAGAAGAGCGCAGATGCCAGCACGATCATCGTCGTCGAGCATGCACGCGTGCGGCAGATAACAACGGCCACCCAATCTCGCCTGCGAGGGTGGCAGCGCGCGAGGAGATGTCCTAAAGCGATCGACCGTTGTGCGTACGGGCCCACGCTAGCATCTCCGAACCACGCGATGGAAGGGCTAAAGTAAAATTCCACGAATGGCTGCGGCATTATCCCGCGTGGAGCGGTGAAGGGGCGTGAGACGCACGGAAGAGCGCAGAGACGGCACAGCGGTTCATCCCCAACACAAAGCTAGCATGACGGTGCCGCACGACGTGCTGGATCGTGATGTCTGCATGGCCGCCAGAGATCAGCAGAGGCGCGTTAGGGCTGGTTGCAGCGGATGTGCAAGAAAGAGGCGCACGAGAGGCAGCAGGGCAGAAAGCAAGGATGGACCAACTCCACCCGGGGCCTGGATGGGGTGTTTGGACGCCGCAGGCTTGCATGGCAGTGTAGATCTTTAGCCTGGCGGGGTGGCTCGGGCAAGATAGGCAAAAGGCAGCAGCACAGGCAGGCAGATGTGGAGACCCGAGCTTCCGCGTGTCTGTTGCATGGCTTGCATGGCACAACTGTCGATCATTTCTCCGTTTCCGCCATCTTCGCCCAATCACACCCGCCCAGTCATGCTGTCTGCCGCCCCGTTGCCACTGTCCGCTTCCAGGTTTGCAGCATCCTGCCTTGTCCAGCAGACGCCCAGCCTTTTCGCTGCGTGCCCTACTTCCAACGGAATCGAGCGGCTTTGCCAACTCTGCAGCTCTGCAAGGCGTGCTGACAATTAAGGTTGGGCAGATTCATGTTGCATCAGCGTGAATGTCTTACCTCAGCAGGCCCTCGCAATTTGCTCCTACGGCCCTTATTCCGTCTGCCTGCCTCGCATTCGTATCAACTCCACGAGTGTTTGTCGGGTTTCACCCCGCGAGGACATCACGGTCCTGCCGTCTTGCCCGGGCCAGAGAGCAGCGCAATCTCCGCGTCGGCTATGGTGGCAGATCCCCCGATCACCTCCCCATCCGGACACGGCGATCAGCCAGCGTGCCCACGCGGCGGTGATGAAACCGATCAGCGCTCATGCTGCTTTTAGCCATCCCCACAGGGGGCAACCTTCCAACCTTTTGCGTCTTCGAAGCTTCGAAATGCCTGCACGGCTTCGCCGACGTGACGGAGCCTGCGCCGATCCCCTCTGCCGACTCCCATCGCCGTCCACTTGGCACGACACCGTGCTGCCGATCTCTTGATGCGCGCGCGCGGCACGTGGAAAAGCCGCCTGCACAGCAGCATCCCTGCAAGCCCGCCAGCCTGTGCCCCAGGCCCCCCCTAATTGCCACGTTGCCCATCATTTTTCGTGATCTCCGTCTGGGGCGCCCTGGCCAACATGTTTCGATGTAATTGCGCAGATGTAAGGGTGTGTCAGCGGGCTTTACGTGCGTTGCAATGCCAACCCTGCCCTCGCAGTGCTTTGCCGCAACAGGAAACCCCTCCTTGGCTCCATCGAGATGGTCCATCGAATGGAGATGCTTGCGCCGAGAAGAACCGAGGCGCGATGTTCGTCGATCCTGTTTCCTACGGGTTTGTCTTGTCAAGTCAATGATGAGCTCGTTTCGCGTGAGTGCTGCAATTGCAACCGTACCGTAGGTGCCTCCTCACTCCGTTGCTTTCTGGACTCAGGCATTTGGAAGTACATGCGCCGTAAATGCTCCTCCAACAGACCTCATCTCCTCCTTCCTCGTATTCTTCCATGCTTTCATCCAATCCATCTCGGTATTGGTGTACCAATGTCGGCGATTAAGTGTTGGCATTCCCTGACAATAAAGCGCCTGCCCTCTCGACTACTCGATTGCTCTGCGCAGCTTGGAACATGAAAGCACTCTGTCGAGTAATGTTCAAGTAATGCACCAGTGTGGTCCGAAGCACAATCCCCCGGGAATGTCCTCAATCACAGGTGGCTGGGTCGACGGCATTGACGAGCGGCGAGCTGCATGAGCTTGCCTGCCCATGTATCTTCGTTGATGCCTCTTGGCCTCGCCATCAATAGAAGATATTGTAAGCTTTCCCTCCATTGTATCCCACCGACCATACGTGGAAGAAGGAAGTCAACGGCTGCTCCTCGATGCATAAGGCCATCCATCTCAAATGTTACCCATCAAAAGCCAAGCAGCTAGACACGTTCTCGAGCATAGACATTCCGTGCTGGACAAAAGATGCAATCTGGTTAGGCAATTTCAATCCTGCTCTCTTGTTTCACATGGATATCACCACCTGCATTCATCAAAGACCGACGTGTGTCGCCCCAAAGCAGCAACTTCGCCACGTTGATTTACTCTCACACTCATCTCGGCCAGCTGTTGCACATGGCGTTTGTAGCCAATCTACGCTTCCCTCACGCTCTGGTCTGCAATATGGAAACATTGATTCCGCTGGTCTTTATGGGGGATTTTGCATCATTGTGAGCACCCTGCAAGCCTTACACGTAGAATGGAGAGATGGTAAGCGGTGAGAATACGGGGCAAAACACCATGACATCTCGAATGGATGTCTGTGGCGCGTTCCGTGAGCGAGGCCCAGAGCAGGTTCAATGAAGCCGATGGATTGGGTGGAACGAAGTCGGGCCTCAATAGCTCCCAGCGACAGCAAGTAGGCGTTGGTAAGACACAAGTGATCATAAAAGGAATTCGCAACCCTTAGATGTGCATATGGACATCTGCGTAGCGCCATCGACCACTCCCCACAAAAGAAACAAGCACTCCCTCGTCTTCACTCATCCCCCTCAAACCTTCTCCCCCTTCGCAGCATCGACCAACTTCCCCGGATGCTCCACCACCCTCTCAATCGTCCCCAGCTCCGTCTTCGCCCGCTCCTCCGGCGTCAGCGACCGCTGATACGCCACCACTCGTGCAATCTGCGTGATGCCCACCAGCGCCACGGAGAAGTTGACGCTGGCGAGGAAGAGGTTGCGCGGCTTGATGACGAAGCACCAGCGCGTCCAGATGAGGCCTGTGCAGGAGAGGGCCACGTTCTGCGAGATGGAGAGGGAGGAGGCCGGGCGGGCGAAGTCGGCGGCGCCCGCGAGCACGACGCCCCACTGGAGGGGGTGTTAGTTGGTCGTAAGCGGAGGGGAAGAGGAAGACAGGGAAAGGCGTACCTTCATGATGGGAGCCCAGAAGTGCACTGTTTTGGGGCCAATAGGGCTGTTCCATAGTTTCTGGAAGCCGCTCTGGCTCGCTGCGGCTTCGGGCGTGGTCGTCGCTGTGCTTTGTGCTCGTCGCTGAGCGAAGCGCTGGAAGTTCTGGCGCATGCTAGCGCCGAAGCGCTGGCCGAATTTAGCGGACATCTTGGTGTGTGATGCTATCCGCGTGGATTCGGGGTTGGATGGAGGTGATGGAGGGGAGATGGGGGATGGAGTCGATGAGGCCGGATGACGGGGTGGGATGTGGTGAGCTCTTGCCGAAAGGTGGAGGTGGAGATGGCAGTGCCAAGCCTTTCCCCATTGGGCTTGCTGCTCCTCGAACTTCAGAGCATTGCTCGCGCTGGCTTGCTTCCCTGTCCTACACCACGAACAAAACATCGCTCCACCCTCTTGCGAGCCTTTCGACCTGTCGCGTTGCTGCAGACCGCCATGTCGGGCAAATACGCTTTCACAAAGGGGCTGAAGGAGCTGCGCTTCCTGCACTGCCAGACGAGCGAGCACAGCAATGCCATCAGGTACGTTCTGCTCTTCTGGGACAGCATTTGCTCAGCGAGCGCGGCACCGCATATTCTTCGCTCAGATGCTCATCGGTGCTTGACTGCAGATCATTCCTTACCCGCGCATACCCCACGATGAAGAAGAACAACCCATACATCCCCATCATGATCCGAGAAGCGAGCGGCGTCGAGCCGAGAGTATACGCGAGATACGAGTATGGACGAGAGAAGATGGCGGATTTGAAGGGTATGTTCATGTGGCAATAGCCCGTGATACGACCTGCTAATTGGAGGACAGGGCTGGACGACAAGGCGATCGAGGAGAAGGTCACGAGTTTGGTGAAGGATGGGCAATAGCATAGGAAGAAGACATCTAGATCAGAGTACAAATCTCCACGTGTATCATAGCGATTCGAGGTGCAAACTTCGTCTCGTCGTTTCAAAGCACAGTCTGCTTCCTCTACATCTGTTCAAGCGCCCACCTCTCCGAAGCGGTACATATCCCACCCCAGACTGCCGTCCGGCAAGGCATAAATTTGCTTCCCAAGATCAGTGCCCGCCGCTCCAGCCCCAATATGCACCGGCAACAAATGCTCCTTGCTGGGGTGCGCCTTCCTCGCATCCGGCCGCTTCAACAACTCCGCCATAGCCTGCTGCCGCTCGTCCGTACCCTTCTCCACCGCCTCCTTCAGCGCCGCGGAGAAGGTAAGGGTGTACGGCATCGGGGCGCTCGGCTGGTCGCTTCGAAACCCGGCCCGCATTTCCCCCAAATTATGCACCGCCATCCCCGACACAATGATTAGCACTCCTTCCTCCCGCAACTTCTGAATCGCCTCTCCCAGTCGAAAGTGCTTGTCTGGATCGTCCGAGTCAAACAGACTTACTTGCACGATGGGCACGTTCAGCGGATTCGTCTTAGGGTTGAATGCGCACATGAAGCTCGCCCACACACCGTGATCCAGGCCCCTCCGTACGCCCTCGGACTTGATGCCCGCTTCGCCGAACAGCTCCATGATGCGCTCTGCGAGTTCCGGGGATCCCGTGTTGGGGAATTTGTACTCGTAGAAGTGAGGTGGGAAGCCGTAGAAGTCGTAAATGAGGTCTCTGGTCGTGGCGGTGTTGACTTCGATGAGGTTGGGTTCGCCTTGCCAGTGTGCGGAGAAGACGACGATGGCTTTTGGGCGGATTTTCTGTGTGATTTCGAGGCCTAGTTCGTGAAGTTTCTGGTGCGCTGGGTGGCCTGTAGACTCCATGATGGTCGGTCCGCCGTGAGAGAAGAAGTAGACTGGTGTGCGGCCCATGCTTGCTGCACTGCTCTGGTTGAGGACTAGATGGTTTGAGCTTGCGCGGTTGCCGCTGGTGTCAAAGCAGTGGGTGAAGAGGCAAGAGAGGCTAGTGTAGATGTGTATCCAGGACGGGGTCAGCTGCATCGGACGTTTTTATGGTCTGGCGAAACGAAGCGGTTGCTTTCAGTTTATATGAGTGACTCGAAGTTGGCTTGCTTTGTCAACCCGAAGGCCTCACGGAGCGTTTCCGCCCCGCAATTGTCAGCCTTGTAGACATTATTTTGTGCAAGCATTAGCATCTCCCTCGATCGCCGTCAACTCGTGCCGAAAGCGCCAGCATAAGCCCGAATACCATTACCGCCTTGTCTCCGATTGTCATTTGTTCATGCGTCAGGTATCGCTGTGCATCTTGCATTGATTAGCAAGGTCAAGTGTTTCTTCCCGTAGCCCGAATTCCGCCATGTGCTGAGTCAGCGTTCCGAGCTCAAGTCTCCGTTGATGCTCCGACGTCGCGGCTCGAACAACATTGTGCAAGGAGAAATATCATTGACCTATTCATACCTTTTCTACATCCTACACTTTGAACTATTGAAACCCTTCGCAATGTCTGGCTTACCAGCGTTAGTGGTGCCAGCCATCAAGCGGCACACCTCGACCGTGATTGTCGCGCATGGCCTAGGAGACAGGTGAGACTCCAGTTCCTACCAATGGATCTGCTAAAGAGACAACAGCTAACGTCTCCCCAGCGGCGCAGGATGGTCAGTCTAACCCACCTCCCCTCCTCCTCCTCCACACCTCCCACTCACCCCAACACAGGATGTTCCTCGCCGAAAGCTGGCGCAGCAAGCACAAATTCGAAGAGACCAAGTTCATCTTCCCCAACGCCCCCTCCATCCCCATCACAGTCAACATGGGCATGCGCATGCCCGGCTGGTACGACATCACCGACTTCGGTGACCTGCACAACCGCACCGACGACGAGACGGGCATCGCGCGCAGCCAAGCAGTCTTCCACAACCTCGTAGCCGACGAGATCAAAGCCGGCATTCCCACCGAGCGCATCGTGCTCGGCGGCTTCAGCCAGGGCGGCGCAATGAGTCTGCTGGCGGGCGTGACGTGTCCAACGAAGCTGGGAGGCATATTCGGGCTGAGCTGTTATCTTTTGCTGCAAGGGAAGTTGAAGGAGATGGTGCCGGCGAATGCGCCGAATCAGAAGACACCCATTTTCATGGGACATGGCGACGCGGATCCGCTTGTTAGAGTGCAGTGGGGACTGGCTACGGCGGACAAATTGAGGAGTTGGGGATATGATGTGGACTTCAACACGTACCCTGGTCTACCACATTCGGCTGCGCCGAAGGAAATTGATGACCTGGAGGTGTATCTCAAAGAAAGAATACCAGACCTCGATGCCGGGAGCAAAGCGTGACTAGTCGAAGCTGAGCGAGAGATCAAAGAGCCCTACGACGCCGGCGAGATCAGGCTTGTGTTTGGAGTGGTTGGCTTGGTCCTCATTTGGATTCTCACGCTTGCTTTTTGGAGGCGATGGAGGCGCTGAAAGATGCATGTCCTCAACGATGCTCGAATGTTAGATGACGAAATAGAATCTCAACAAAGCTTTGGCACCGCACGCTATACTCCGTATGCCAATCACCCTTCAACAGCGTCTGCATCTCCGCCCAGCGATTTTACGTGCGATACGTCCCAGTCCTCCTCCTGCTTGACCTCTTGTCGAAGCGGGGTCGGCGAGCGTGGACACACCCAGCTCATGCGTCGTTGTGGCTATCACGTCTGTCAGCTATTGCCTTGATCTTAGATTGCAACATATCCTACCTTTTTACGGTTCTTCGGGCCCTTTGTGCAGTCTTGTCCAGACTCCACGGACTCCTGAACTTCCTCAGTCTCCCCCTCGCTGCCCTCCGTTGTGGTGTCGAGAGTCAGCTGGGGCTTCGTCTGAGACTCCTCCTATCCAAGCTGAAGTATTAGTTGCCTTCCTTCACATAGTAAAGAAGGCCACGTCAATCGCATCACCCACCTTGAAAACAATCCCACACGACTCCGCATCCTTCACCACCACGTACTCGCGCTGCTCCTTCTCACACAGTCTCAAGAGCGAGAGCGAGTATTTATTTGCCGGCCGCAGCTCATACCCTGCCTCATCTGGTTTTGGAGTCATCGGAACGAGGGCGAAGCGGCCGTCGCTGCGGAGGACGATTTGTGTTGGAAGGGCGCGGCTGCTGAGACGTCACAAGTGAGCAGTTTATTTGGAAGATGTGGTATGGACCTGTGACTTACTCGCCCTCCCCGTGGTTCACGACTCGTTTGCCGCTTTGAGGTGGGGCAAGGAGTGCTTGCTCCTCGGCGTCGAGAGGGAGCACGAACATTTCGGACATGGTGATGGTATTGTTGAGGGAGTATGTCTAAGAAGAAGTGCAAGGAGAAAGCTTTCTTGATGCGATGACAGGAACCAGGAGGAAGTAAGAGAAGCAGAGAGTATATATAACCTACGCATGATGCGCAGTCAAGGTGTGAAGGCAGTGAATGAGATGCGGGTTTGCTTGAGGGTGGCGTGCTGTCGTACACGGTGGACTTGCGGAACAGGCGTCACGGCGGGTTTCCGCTCTGCTCTTCATTCACCGCGGTACTGAGGGGGGAGTGAGAGCTGGTGTGACTCAAGTAATGTAATACTCCGGGTGTAGTGACTATGTACAAGTCGATGCGGAAGGGACGATATCTATAGTACAGAGAGATCGCCAAAGCGCTCCTGTAGGGGGGTGTTAGCGATGAATGGTGTGCTATCGAGATGGCAACGCTGACCTTGTAGCCCGGCACTTGCCAGCGACCCTTCTGGACGAGCTGAGAGACACGCTCGTCGATATCGGGGCGGGCAGCAGCCACATCATCCTAGAATTCAATGTCAGCACACAAATCACGTGATATTCATCGAAGCCTCTGGGCAAACAACAGAGTCTGGACGGGCAAAACATACCACAGTCAACTCATCAAACGGCCTAGCGCTCTCGATATTCTTCAACGTCTTCTCCAGATCCTTCAACTCATCATCCACCTTGGCCTTAGTCTGCTCCGCGCTCTTCACAGCCTGCGCCTCAAAGGCCTCAATGGCCTTGATCTGGCGGTTGACATCGTACTTCTTGAGCTGGAAGCCGTTCACCTGCTTCTCGATGTCGGCCACGATGTCCTGGTTCTTGAGCAGCTGGCGGTAGTGGGCGAAGTCGACGCTCTGCGGCTGCTCCTGGAGCTGCTGCACCCGGCGGCGCGCGTTGTCGTTGCGCTGCTTGAAGACCGAGAGGGCGTTGGCTGTGCTGCCGCGGAGGCCGAGTTTGGTGCCCAGGCTGTTCCAGTCGAGTTTTGCGGCGGCGGAGCGCTGAGGGGGAGGGGTTAGTGCGTGTTTGGGGTTTTCGTGGAAGGGGAGAAGGAGAGGGTTGGAGGGGTGGGAATGGCGGTTTGAGATACCAATGGGTTCTCATCAGCCAGGCGAGGGTGTAAACTTACTGTCGCCGCCATTTTGGATAGTTTTCTGAGCCGGAGGAGTGGTTGATGGGATGGGGTGCTCGTTGCTCGGTGTCGCTGAGGATGTCATGGAGCTCTTCCGTTGAAGCTTTCATCCCGGCTAGCCGAAGCCGCCAAGGCCACATCACGTGACTATACACTACGCTCCACGACTTCAATCTTCCTTACAGGAGATTGGCGACAAGTACGTCGTGCAGAGCCATCGAATTTATCAGAGGGAAGAATGACGGGTATATTGAGCTCCCCGGCATGGTTTGTCTGGCCACAGAAGTGAAACACAGCAAACACACCGAAATATAGACCGAGTATGCTTGATACAGTAGCTTGTGTATAGAGCTACGGATCGCATTCCCTTCATCACACGGAGCAAGAACAACTCTTCTCGGACTCCCCGCTCATCTCCCCGTCACCAACACCACGAATGCAGACCTATATGCTCAGCGCCATGATGCTGTTGACGATGTCGTTGTCATTCTCCTTCAATGCCTTGACAGCCTTCTTTCTGCTGACATTGGCCTGGGTCATGACGAGTTCGATGTCCTTGCTCTCCAAGCCCGTATCATCAACCTCCTCGCCATCGTCGTCGTCATCCTCAGCAGGCTTCTTCTCGCCCTCGACAGCCTTGCCCTTGTCGTCGGCAGAGTGGTCGTGGCCCGCTTGCTCGGCCTGAGTTTGCGCAGCAAGTTGCTGAGCAGCAGAAGCCTGAGCCTGGGAGTTGAGGTCTTCAATCTTGGCCTCGCCGAAGATGCTGCAAGGATGTATTAGCTTCATGTTCTCGTTCGGGTGGACAAATCCATGACATCAGATCAACTCACATCCAGGTGTTGCTGCTAGGCGACTTGTAGACCTCCGGCTGGCTAATGACGAAGAGAATGTTCTTGGGTCTCCGCAGCGTCACTCGCGTGATGCCCTCCACATGCTTCAAGCCCAGCTTGGCAATGGCCTTGCGTGCCTTCTTCTCGTTCCGGCTGTGCACCGCGACCGACGCACCGGCGGGAATGGCAGCCTCACCCTCGGCGCCACCCTCAGACTCGTCGGAAGAATCCTCCGCATCTTCGACCTGCTCCTTCTTCTCGGGCTCGTCGGGGAGCTCTTCAACTCGGGGGTTGGCCATGTTTCGTAGCGGGTGAATGGGATGCGGGCTGTGTGCGGGCTGGCGTTAGTCTGAGGGCATACAAATGCCACCGCCTCGAATCTTCCAACAAAGCAGTAGCGGCATGTGTTGCGCGACTTACAATAAAGCAGTCAAAGCTGGACGTTCGTTGATGGTTTCTTGACGGCCTAGCAAGTCCTCCTGCTCGATTGAATGCTTCAGAAGCCTGCGCGAGTCAGGTCCCACACAAATCCAAAGCTGCCAATTTCGAAATTGCCCACATTGAAGCTGACTCAGCGGCTTGGGTGCATGGGCCACCTAGCTATGGGCACTGAAGTGATGCGAAGACGAATCGATACATGCGAATGAGTAGGTGTTGAACATTTGTACGTTGGCTGAAACCCGTGTATGGATTCCGTGACTACACAGCAATTACGGAAGGCTTCGTTCTCGTGATTGTACGCGGATCACATCTTGAATATTGCCCTACAATAGTCGCCGGGATTGACGAAAAGGTTCAGACGCGGTGCACAAATGAGTCTGCGTGCTGTCCTTCAAGGTAGTATCAGCTCGAAGTTACGTGATACAGCAGTGAACCAAGAAGATTGTCTTTCATGGGATTCCGCTACGAAAAGACAAGGAATACGCGAAGACCCTTTGGTGATAGCGAAGAGTACCGTATGACGCCCGTACTCTTGCTCTGCCTTGCCATTTATGTCGGTCGTTCGCCCAGCCAGAAACACACACAACACCGCTCCCCTCTGCCGGCTGTGCCTCTATGAGCTTGCCTTTGCAGCAGCCAGCGTCTTCCGTACCTCGAAGCGAGCCTGCTTCCTCAGCTTCATCACCTTGAATCGCTCGAAGTCGCTCAGCTCCTTCCTCCGGATGCTCTTCGCCCTGCTCTTCGCGAATGAGCTGTTGTTCCACTGGCTCTCCACCTCGTGCTCGATCCACTTCTTCCTCAGCGCTCCGCTGCCGATGCCGCGCGGGAGTTTGGGGATGACGATGCCGGTGAGCGACATGTAGGAGAGGTTGGCGGCATGGCGGGGGACGCTCTCTTCGGGCTTCTCGGATGTGCCGTCTATGAGGACCTGTGGGGAGAGTATGTTAGATTGGGGTTTGCTCCTCCGGCAACATAACCGCGGCCACAGAGGGCCGAGCTGATCGAGGAAGACGTACCCGCTTGTGGTCGATGATTTGGACGATGGCTGCGATCTTGCCGGCGTGGGGACCAGCGCTGAGGAGTGCGACACGGCCAACTTCCACCAACTTCCAGGAGCTTGCTGTCACGTCTGCGTCGCCCATCTTGCGTTTGGTTGGGGGGTTGCTGAAGAATGTAAGTATTTCCAATGAAGCAGTGCAAGTGATGTCTCAGTGTAGCCTACCGAGGTGGGTGTGTTGTAGGGTTGAATTGTTGGTGTCAATAAGCGCAAACTTGCAGTGTCGTTAAGGAATTTCGAGTGCGCGGCGGATTTGGCGATGCCAAGGCGCTAAAATTCCTGCGGCTTTCTCGAGCCTCACCTCTTTGACGTCTTTGCAGCTTCTGCCTTCACCAGCAAAAACAATGATGTGAACAACCCACAGGTAAGTGATGCCTTTTCATACCGGCTTCATACATTCTTGAGATGAGATAATTTGCGATTGAGGGCCACGACCGGAGATTCACGCCTGTTTCTCTGAACGGCGTGGTCTTTCTGATATTCCATTTCTTACATATTCTGAAAGATCTTCTTCACGCCGCATGCGACACAGCCTCGACCTACTTCTTCACGGGGCAATGCTGACTGTGCTGTGAATAGAGACCGAGTACTCGGCTGAAAATGCCATACTCATGACCACATCGATTGAAAAATCACAGCGTACGTCCGGCCTCTTTTTCTTTCCTCCACCACAACCCCCCCACCTATGATTACAACCTTTTGCTAGATTGTAAATGAGCTTCGGCTATGAGTTTCATCTTTACACCAAGATCTCTGAGGACCATCTACTCTGCTGCCTTCATATTTATTCGTCAAGCATTGGAGTGGCTTTCACTGACAACACTGCTTCGCAGGTCTTCAGTCCTGCGTGAGCTCTGGATGAACGCCCAGCATGGCGTCCAGGACCCCCATGCGCCTGCGTGGAAAGCGCAATGCCACCGCAGCCGAGAAGTGGCATCATGGCAAGCAACGGCATCAATCCAGCACACCGGCACCACTTGAGCGGGGCGCGAGCAGCTCGTTAGACCCTGCCGATATCGTGTCAGAGCATCGCCGCAAACGCAGGCGCCTGGACCCTGAGCTCTCTCGACTGGAGCAGCTACCGACCGAGATCCTCCAAGCCATCTTTGTCGAATCCGCCAACGTGGATCTACCATTAGCCTCGCCTCGCCTTGCATCACAGCTGCAAAGCGCGCACTTGCATCGGGAGCTCACGTCTCGGGTAATGGAGCGTGTTACCGGATCCGAAAATAAATCCCCGTACAGCTCGGTGACGGAGTTGAAAAGTGCATCGAGATTGATGAACAGCAAATTCTTTACATGGCAGTTCTTTCAGGATTGGATACGTGATGAAGTGGAAGCGCGCAAATTGCTGGTGCACTGGCTCTTCGCGGATATCGTGTTACCATCGAAGATCCAAAGGCATCGAGAGCGCAAGCTCGAGTGGTTACACTTGCGCCCAAGCCCACGCCTGCTTCCACCTGTCAAACTGCTTCGTGCTCCGTTCACCCAAGACAAAGCCGACATGCTAGAGTGCCTCGTGTTGGACTACAGGAAACTTGGGCCTACTCCTCCTGCATACGCCGAGCTGGTTCAGGACGGATTCAAGCAGGCAATCCTGAACAATGCCGTCGGCACACTCTCTAGTTTCGGAAGACTTGGCGCAAAAGTCGATACGGAGCTTCTCCGTGTGGCCGTGTGCGAAGCGCGCTGCAACAGGGCTGTAGTGTACGAGCTCAAATTGCAGGGACGAAAAGGGAGAGAGGCGGGCCATGACATTGACTGGCTCGACCCCGAGCTTTGGGGTTGGGCAGAGAAGGCTTGCAAGAATGGCGATAAGCCGGGACTGTGGTTGAAGGATCTACTGAGACTCGAGGCTCATCTTGTTATGAACCCGCCATTGTTAAGAGATGACGAACGAATCCCCCTGCCGCAGCCGGTACTCCACGACATGATGGACTAGCTCGATTCCGAGCTTTGAGGTTGGGCAGACGAGCGCGGTTGGAAGGACGAACGAGGCTCAAATCGCTGCCATTCAGCCATCGTTGAGACGTGACGTCCTGCGCACTTAGCCCTTCAGCCTCCAGCATACTGATCGATAGGCCGAGCGAAATCCATAAGCTGCAGTCTCGCCTTACGCAAGACATTCGTCTAGACCCACCGCCCTGTCATCTTCCTGTCGCCCCTGAGCCAGCCGCCAAGGCTTGCGCGGTCCGAAGGTGGGAAACCTTATTTCGATCTCAGCCCGCGGGACGTCGAGCGTAATTTCACAACGGCTCCATCGTCTCTTCCCAACTTGGCCTCCCCGACAACTCGCAATTTGTTTTACTAGGCGCTAAACACGAGACAAAGTGGGCGCCGCGCAATCTCCTGTGTACCGTAGATCGAAAGTAGATCATGGATGATGCAATTAAGGGCGCGCAGGCGGCCCTACAGTCCTCTCCCTTCGAGACTCGAGGCCCAAGTCGTTTCTCCGGTACGTCTGCTATTCGTCTTTATTCTCCGACTCCTTCTGTTACCCAGGATGCGCCTTCGCAACCGCGTTGTTTTCCTTGTCTCTTTGCGCTCCTAGATCGCCTCTTTGTGGGTCTTTCCTGGTCGTTCCCCATCGCACCAACCCAAGATGAAGTTCCGAACACCCACCTTTCCTTTGGCGCCGCGCGATCCCAATGACGAGGCATTCAACCCCATGCCGCTGAAAATGGCCACCATGCCAGTTCTGCGGGAGAAGAAGTCGCTGCGGAACTTGTGGAGCAGTGGTCCGGAGGGGGAGCGCGACAGCGCAGCACAACCAGCCACGGGAGCGCGAGCAATGCTACGGAGGAAGCTCTCGCGGCCCAATCTGAACACCAGCACCGTCAACCCAACCGACAAAAGCGAAGATGTGCCTCCGCTGCCTCCACTGCCGGCAGCCACGTCGTTCCTGCGGAGGAAGTTCTCCCGCCCGAATCTCAAGCTTGATACCGGCGATGCCAACGAGAGCTTGCCACCCGTGCCTGCTCTCCCTAGCGCTACGTTGAAGCGAAGCCCGTCGACTTTCAGCTTTGAAGAGGGCAGTATCGATGCAAAGGGAGACGCGTCGCAGTCTTCCAGGAAACAGGCTCTGCGCGAGCTTCTAGGTCTTCGTGGAAACGGCACGGTCAAGTTGGTACACAAGAAGTCGAGGCCTGTACGTGGAACAATGAAAGACGTGTGTGTTCGAGAGCTATAGCTAACAGCGTGTCCTAAGCAAATGGCCGAGCGCAGAAGTCCCGTGCCTCTCACCACAGGCGCCAGCCCTCTCGACCGCCAATCTCCTACATTTCAAGCCGACAGTCAAACTACAAAGCCCATGCTCACGAAACGCAAGAGCCTTCCGAATGCTCGCAAGATGTCAGATCAGAACGGCGCTCCAGTCCGGCGCACGCAATCTCCGGCTGAACTTGCAAAGAAGCTCCTGACGGTGGAGCAGATCCGCGCAATGTCTGTTGGTGCGCCGTGTTTCAGCGTAGAAGAGTGCAACGGTCGATACAAGCCACAGGTCATGTTTCGTGGAAGCAATGCAGAGACTTCAGTACACTTCCTGCGAGACTACCATGTTCCAGGGCATCCGTCTTTCCGGATGTGCACGCTGGGGATGGAGGAGAGGAAAGAAGATACAGCGGATATTGACAATGAAGACGGTGATGAGCAAAAAGCGACGGCCGATCTGATGGAAATGCCCAGCATGCTCTGCGCGCAGGGTCTCGATCCGGGAACTGTTGGTTTCGAGCACTTCCTGCAATTGCCCATCGCGGACGATATCGTTCGAATGGACGACTCAGATGTGGACGGCAAGCGAAGGCTACTAACCTCCGCGCCCGCGGAGCTCGGGCTTCGACCTTTAAATATCGAGGTGCTGGTATACAGGCTCACGGAACTGGGTCAGCTGTTGACAACGAGTCGGGATCACAGCGCAGCTTCGTCGGTGGCGTGGAACGCTACCAAGCTGGAAGAGATGGGGGCCGAGCTGTTCGGCAAGCTGCTCGCTCCGGAGGCAGCAAATGGAAGCCGCCGTCTAGATATGCATACCCAGATCCGGGCTTTGCAGAAGGTTCTCCGCACGAGCGCGCTCTGGCGGGACTTTGGATTTGTGGAATGGCGAACTCGTATTGGCGAGTTGCTCTGGGCTGCTGACAGTGTCGAAACCACCGACGCAGAAGACAGCGGGCCTACCGAGCGTGATGTGCTGTTGTTGCAGCTCACGCTGGCCTCCGAGCTGCTCATTCGCCTCAACGTCGTGCGTTTGATGGCCAATCGATACACGCCAATATTGTCGGCGGTGGAGGCGAGGACGCTGGAAAGCCAGCGCACGACCAAGATCAACTGGGATCTTCTACTTGCCGAACGCTTCCTTGACAACGTCGACATCTTCTGCAAGGTATCGAAGGAAACGAACCGAAGCAGTCTCATGCGAGCCATTCCCTTCTTGACCGCATTGAGCGAATCGAACGACGAAGTGAGCCCTCTACAACCCGTTCTTAATCCCAAAAATGGCGACCTGCAACTGGAAGGCCTGCGACACTTTGCCGAAGCTCTGCAGTGGCCGCACTCCGAGTTTCTCCCCACGCAACTGGACAAGGAAAGTCGCTACTCCAGTGGCAGTGAGAGTCCGCTGAGCTCGGTGCTCAGCCATTACACAACGCCTCTGCAAACACCCCGACTTTCGCACACGCCAATGCGAAGGAACAGCGTACTCGATCTCATGGTCACGGATGCGGACGAGCCCGCTCTAAGCAAGACCAGCACTGCCGAGCCCACACAGCTCACGCGGTACTCTGGCTCGATTCAGGACAAGATCAACTTCGAGGACTGCGGCTGGCTCAGCAGATCCTGGCTGAGCGGCCTGGTCATCCCCGGCACTACAGCAGGCCATCTTCTCATCTCGACGCTGCTGGAGAGCAGCCCACAAGCCTTGAGCATTCTCGGCGCCGATGCGAACTTCTTCGGCGGCTTCCAGTACCAAACGCGCAGCTACTGGAGCAAGAGCTGTATCGTTGGTCGCGTGCTTGCCGCTAAAAAAGGAGCAGCGGAGTGCATGGAATGGCTTTCCGTCCCGGCCGTCTCGCAAGAACAGCAGGACGGATGGATCGATCTCGCCGTGCAACAGATGCCGGAGACTAGGCATAAGCCGCGCATCACAAGCCCGGAAGCAGTGGCATGGGACTCGGATCTGCTGCACAACAAAGGCCTGCTTGCCTCTGCGCGCGTCGGCGACTTCACGTGGCCGAGCGACAGCCCGCCATCTCTGGGCAACGATGTGAAGTTCGAGGGCTTGACCTTCAACAAAGACGAGGGCGAGGGCAAAGACAAAATGCAGGCCGTCGCCTCCCTCGCTTTCAGCTCCACGATCCAAGGCAAACACACCGTCGTGGAAATCCCACTAGTCTTCGATGCGCGATTCATCAGCTCCTACCCCTGCCACCCCAGAACCGTCAGGCACGCAGCTCTCCCTCGCCTCCCACCACTCACCATCGCGCCTCCGCAGCCTCAAACCGCTCTCCCACCGCCCCAAACATCGCCTCCCCCACCACCCCTCCCATCCAAATCCCCCGTCATCGCCGCCTTCCCCCTACCCCCAACGACCGACTCAAACAAAGAAAATCGCCGCCCAGGCACCTCCCCCAAACAACCCCCCCAGCCCTTCTCACCGCAGCAACCGAAGCGTCCCCAAACGTCTTCCGGCGCCTCCCCAACAGACAGCGGCTACGCCTCAAAGCAAAACTCCGCAAGCACCATCCTGTCTTTCCGCGACCTCGCGCCCCCGACACTCAACACCCCGTGCCACCCCCTCCACACAGCGTACAACTACGACATCGTCCCCACCTCCACCCTCTTCACCACAGCCATGCATACCCGGCCTCGCGCGCCGACGAAGTCCGGCGCGAAAGCGTCTTCACCGGACGGCAGTAGCAGCACCGGCAGCGTTGGCTCACGACCTCCGTCCGCGTCTTCTGAGAAGGATAAAGAGGTTATGATTCTCGATTGCCGAGGCGGTGCGGATTTGGAGTTGTTTGCGCGCGCGTGGTGTGCGCAGGTCGGCGAGAATGCGATTGTTGGCAAGGCTGGCAGGACGTGTTTGGCGTGTTGTGTCAGGGAGGCGAGGGGGTTGGGTGTTTGCGTTGTTATTCGAGTTTGAGAGGGTTTTTCGTTGTACGCTGGGCACTCGATTTTTGGGCTGCATTGGCGTTTGGGAGATGAAGAGTCGACGTTTGGAGCTTGGCTTCACTTTCTAATGTGATACCCGATTTTTGTTCTGGAGATGGAGAACATGGTTATACCTGTATGAGTAGATTAGGTAGCTGGTACTACACATGTCTATGTCTATTGTACCCTGTCGTTTGCCTCCTACCAGGCTTTCAAAGCTCGAAAAGCGGCCTGTCTGTGTCCTGCTTCACGTTGGCCTTGAAGCGACTGCGTTCAGGCGTACGGGCTCCGTGTCAGCGGGCGGCTTAGAGGAGTGTGCTTTGATGGCTGCCACTTGCTTGCCTTCTCCTCAGTAGCAGCCGGTAATACACAGGCACGGCGAACTTCTGGTCTCGATATGCTGCGACAGTGCATGATGACAACGCCTTGCAGTCTCGGCACACGCTCGTCCGAAGACGTCCCACAGTCTTCAAAGCCCCTCCTTCCATCTCAGACTCTCCTCATACCCCTTCTCGCCCGGCAGGCGACAAGCCGCCACCTCGTCCATGGTAACATTCCTCCACTCCGCAATCGGCAACCAGCCAATGCGCGCGCGATCTCCGAACCCTCCAAACCAATACACGTGCTCCACGACGAAGCGCATGTACTCGCTCGTATGAATGTCATTACCCGGCTGCCAGAGGATGGAATCCGGGTGGGCTTTAAGGAAGCAAGCGGGGACGAGCTTCGTAGCGAGGTCTTTCAATGAGATGGGCTCAAGGTAGCCGTGGAGGGAGAAGCGCGGTAGAGCAGCGGGTGTGTGAGGGGTGGGGATGTCGTCGTCTTCTTGAGCGTCGTAGGTGAGGGATTGCTTGGGCCACCAGCGCACACTGAGACTGATGTTCGAGCCGGCTTGGTAGTTCTTGTACGGCGTGGCGACGCCGATGGCGAGGAACGTGGGGTTGCCGGTCGCTTCGCAGTCGGCGTAGTATTCCATTAGGCCTATGGGGTTGTTCTCCACGCCTGGCGGTCTGTTCTCTTGCGAGTGGATGTCTTCGTTCGAGGAAGAGGAGGGGTCGGAGGCGGGGAAGGATGTGACGAGGTTGCCGAGGGTGGAAAGGTGGAGGATTCGTCGGGCCATTACGGTCGACTCGTGGACGGTGGGGTAGTGGAGGGAGGTATGGGCTTCATCGGCTGGGTTGGTGAAGACGTGTTGCTGTGGTGCTTCTTGCTCTGGTGGCGGGCCATGGTATGAGAGGGCGGAGGCGGTGTGTAGCAATGCCAACACCAATGACGTGGGGAGGAGCATCTTGACGAGCGTCTGGAGTGGTTGGAAGACGATTGGCCAGCGAAGAATGAAGAAACAGAAGGTCTGGATGTCAAGACGAGCTCGAGGCGGCTCTGCGATATAATTACATGGCGGGTGGTTGTGCATAAGTCGTGACGGAACTCAAGCTCGCCCGCTTCCGATTCCGAAGCGAGTTCACGTGACTAAGTGCCAAGACCGAAACACCACCGAAACTGCACGGAGATGGAAAGCGGAGAATTTGACTAACTGCAACCAACATCACCGCACCACCATCACGATCACACAGTCATCGACCCTCGACTCCATCACCGCAACACCAACCAGTGAGTCATCTCCATCGATCCAATCCACGCAGCCATCGACTAGCCTCCCCATCCCTCCCCCGACCCGCCGCCGCACAAACTCAGCTCACAAAACTAACCACCTCCTCTCCCTCGCCACCAGAACCCCAAAACCCCCACCACCAGAACCCCAAAACCCCCACCACCCTCGCATCAAACCGCAATCATGGGAAAAGTCCACGGCTCCCTCGCTCGTGCCGGCAAAGTGCGCTCGCAAACACCAAAGGTGAGCCCGCAACCATCCACAACCGCAAACGCACGCATCCTACGAACGGCTTAACTAACGCACAAAAACTCTGCAGGTCGAGCCCCAGGAGAAGAAGAAGACGCCCAAGGGCCGCGCGAAGAAGCGCATCACATACACCCGGCGCTTCGTCAACGTCACCATGACTGGTGGCAAGAGGAAGATGAACCCCGCCCCGACTACTACGTAAGGGAGGTGAAGAGCGGAGGAGGTGGATGTGGACGAGTGAGATGGCACATTCGGGCGTTATGAATCTGGGCTGTGTGTGGCCTTTGTGATTATACCTTTTTTCCGGAAAAAGAGAGATGGGTGGGATCACATAGTTGATGAAGCTGGACATCGCCGGGGAGGAACGTAGAGGCGATCCACGCTGAAATTCAAGTGCTACCCTTGTCATACTTGTTTTCAATGCTTCTGGATACTCTCACCATGCCATTAATTCTGCCTCGAGCGGACGGTGATCGAGTCCCAAAGCCAATGAACTACTCATGCATCCCCCAAAAACAGGCGAGTCTTGTAGCCGAAGCAACAACCTATCCGCCCACTTCTCAACAAGCTCGTGCTCCTTTCCCAGCCGCTGCATGCCATACTCCTAGTCAGCAGATGGGTCTGCTGCATTCCCTCCTTCCCCACCACCATCATCATCCTCAGCCTTGCCCAGCACACCACCTCCAGACGGCGAAGAAGCGGCGTTCGCCGACCACAAGGCCGAAACTGCAAGAAACGTCAATGTAAGCATGCCCACGTCTTCAAAGTCAACAGAAGGCGACAAACCCTCGTCCTGCGTCTGCGTCTGTGCCGTCTCCAGCGCCGGCTGCAACATCTTGCCATGCTTCCTCAGCTTCTGGCGGAACTGCGCCTGCTGCTCCTCTTGCTGCAGCTTCGCCATTCGTGCCTTCGACTCCGCCACCCGCGCCATCCTCTCTGCATCCTCTCTCTCCATGTCGTCGCGTTGGCCGGGGCCGAGGTAGATGAAGACTTTGTCGTCGATGCTGGGGTAGAGGGCCTCGGATGCTGTTGATGTGCGGTTGTCGTTCGAGTTGGACGATGTTGGGACGACGTAGACTGCTTGGTCGTCCGACTCCTCTTCGCTCTCTTGCTCCTCGTCCTCATCGTTCTCTTCTTCATCATCATCGTCATCATCTTGGATTTCCTGAATCTTGAACATCTTCTTATTCTTCCACCTTGGCCGCTTCTCCTCCACGAGATGCCCCTTTCCGACCGTCTTCAAAGGTAGCTTTCGGACCGGATTGGAAGCAGTCGTTGGTGAACAGACTTCAGAAGTAGGTGTTATTCTGCCAAAAGTGACAGATGAAGCGTCAGACTTGTCGTCTTTGATGATTCCGCCATCGCCAAAGTGGAACACTTCCGATAGAGTGGTCGGGCGACCGGTTGGCGACGATGATACTGGAGTGTAGGAGGCCGTCAAGACGCTGCTTTGATTATCACTCAGCCTGGCGAACCTCCGCTTCAGGCTCTTCTTCTGTGCTTTCGTCAACGACTTGCTCTCCTTTCCCGACGTTGACGTAGAGGAAGTCTCGGATCTGACAATGCCTAATCCGATAGTCTCCACGTCTTCAATTTCTTGCTTGGCCGACTGAATTTCGTCCACAGGTTGGGGCTTGGCCTCGTCGCTATGAGCTTCATCGTTCAAGACCGGCGGAGTTACTGCGGGCATCGTCAACACACTCGCTTTCTCACCCCTAGCATCACTGCCGGGAAATTGGTCGTGCACCTTCTGCTCGATCTCTTGAGCGCGATCTTGACCCTTGTCATTCGTCAGCAGCTTGCTCCAAGGTTTCGACTCCGCCGTCTTCTCAGGGGACGTTGAAGGCTGACCTCCACGAAAGAACTCTGAGATCCTCTCGGTGATCCCTCTGCGCTTCGTCGGCGAAGCCTGACCCTGCGATGGCTCGTGGCGCGCAGCAAGCTCTTCAAGCGTTGCTTTTCCGGTGTCTTGCGCCAGTTCCGTCTCCTTTTTCTTCTTGTTCCTCTTCTTGAGAGTGTTTGACATCTTGGAATCGGTGCGTGACATCTCCTCCCCGCCTTTCGTGCTAGTCGCCTCAGTCGCCTTGGGCTGTGCAGTGATACTCGCAGTACAATTGGCATTCCCAGTTCCGCCATCCACCGTGCCATTCGTATCGAACCCTTTCGGCTTGCCCTTCAAAGTGGCCTGCTTGCCGGCTTTCGGCTTCTTCTCCTTCTCCCGCTTCTTGCCAAAGAGACTGAGCGATTCGGTCTGCGCGGGACCCTTTGGCTTCTCAAGCTTCTCCGGCTTCTTCTGCGCGGATGTGGACGGCGCAACGTTCTCCTTGTTCTTCGAGGCTGGAGCTGCAGATTCGGCGCGAGGAGGCTCCAATTTGTTCACCTTGTTGAGGGGTATAAGCTTTGCCTTCCCTTTGTCCTCTCTGGGTGACTCCTGGACCACTGCTGGAGTGTTGGGCGCCGTGAAGTATGCTGTATGCGGCGTAGGCACAGCGCTACCGGCTCCTGGCGACACATGTTGAGGCACTTCCAACGTGTCTGCCTTCGGGGGAAAGTTCGTTGAAATGGCTGGTGGCTGCGGCGTACGAGACTTCTCACTGCCGTCCGACGAGGAAACTGGGGTAGGCGGAGCAGGCACATTGCCAATGTCAGCACCCGCTTGATGCTTCTCCTCGTGCTCAACCGGAGAAGCGGAGAAGTCCTCCACGTAAACAGTCCCCGACGCAGTTGAGTTCAACACTGCATCGACCTTGGCCTCGCGGTTGGGCTTGATGGTATCTGGTGAGCCGCTCGCAGTATGAAAGCTATCGTCAATCATCGTATCGTCCTGCTTGATCGGCGTCGAGGTCTTTGCCTCGTCTGTTGTCGTGGAGCTCACGCCAGGTCCAACGGCGGCCTTGGTTGCCGTCTCATTCTTCGTCTTTTGTGCTTCACGAAAAAGCTCCTCCCGAGGCACATCGTCAGCTGCATCAGATTTTGATTCAACGACTGGAGCAGCAGTGGGTGGAGGAGACGCTGGGACCTGCAACTCTGTCTCTGCAACGTTCCCAGATGCAAGTGCTTGGCTTGTGGCAACCATCACGGGCGCGGGATTGTCCGAGTCGTGGCCGATGGTGGCAGGAAGACGAGCCTCGATCCTATCAGTTGGAGTGAAAGCCGGCTCGGAGGAAGTCTCATGCTCGGTCTGCACCGAGAGAGAGCGCTGTGGGTTCGGAAGTGGCGATTTGTCCGATGTCAGATGTTTCTTCACATCGGCTACACTCACCAGTGTCTCCTCGGCTTTCTGACAATCAGTCGACTTCACGACAGAAGCCTTATCACCCTGAGCATCACCACTCTCTGCCCGGAGTTGCTGCTCTAGCTTCAAAGACTGAGAGGCCTTGCGTAGATCCTCTTCATCCTTCTGACGATGATTCTTAGTCTTAGAAGACTTTGGCTTCTTCTTAGTTTTCTTTGGCGTGCTTGCCGTCGAAAGAGTCGGTGTCGTCTGTCCGGAATGCTGGATCTCAACCGCTGGCTGCTCGTTTCCCTTTCCTTGGTTACTGGGCGTGTCTGCTTCAGGCCTGGCCAGTATGGAGTGGCTGGGAGCATTGGGATTCTTTTGTGCCTCAAACGGGGTTCCTGCCCCGCCAGCATTCCGTCCCCGGAAGATGTATTTCGAATGGGTGGGATCCCAAAAGTGCTTGGAAACCTGTACTCTGAAAGGGCTTCCGTCGGGCCAGTGATCAGGTCTGTTCAGAATACAGTTGCGAGCTCCAGCAGCCGATTTGAAATTCGCAAAGACCATTTGATGAGTCTTTGCAACATTCCTTCTGACGGGATACACTTCGCCAAACTGACTCATAAAGGCCGCGATGTGGTCGTCTTCCATGGACATCGGAACGTTGAACAGCACAAGCGTGTCGGCGTACACACAATCACTGCCGATCCAGTCTTGACCACAACATTCTTCGCGCGTCATCTGCCCCGGGTCTGGCAGGTTGGGCATTGGTGGAGCACGCAGCGATGGTGTCCGAGCAGTATGATGAGCGCAAGGAGGATCAGAGATCGCGACTCTCTCGATATCCGCATCCTGCGGCGGCTTGGTGGCGTACACTGGAGTTGGACGAGATTGGTAGCTCGATGGAGACACCATCTCTCCATAAGATGACTGACGGCGTGCGACATTCTCGTCCGCCGGAGCGTCAGTATATCGGCCTTGCGGATCGTCACTGCCGCTCCGCCAGTTCTTCTCCTCCTGAATGACGCTTTCACGGCGATACCTGGGAGCAAAGACATGACCGTCGGGCTCAGTGAAAGGCATGTTATGGTGAGAGGCCTCCATGTTCATCTTGGGATAGTGCTGGTCGTTGGATGAGAAGCTGTTGCGTCCTCTGCCTCGGCCGCGGCCGGGAGTGTTGCCTCTAGCTCTCCCAACAGCACCGCCGCGGGAGCCATAGCTGTTTTGACGATGATCTCCGTGGGATCCATGAGAGTCTTGATAGAATGGCATCGATCGCTCGCCACTGAATGCGCGATTGTGCTCTTGGAAGTTGGTTCGATCTGCGAAGGGATCGGTGGATGGCATGTTCTGGTATCCCTGCATGTATCGCATTGGCTGGTTCATCTGCTGGTGCATCGGTCCAAAAGACTGCGCATGTTGGGGAGCCATGTACTGATCCTGATGCGGGAATGAATGGCCTTGAAGCATGGGTTGCGGGAAGCTCATGGAGCCGGTAGACGATCCTCGATTCGCGTTGTTCATCGGCATCGGACCTTGTGAGTAGAACGGTGGCGAGGCATACACGGGCGCATTACGCTCTTTGAAGGAGGACCGGCGATTGGAATGCTGGCCGCTGTTCTTGTTGTAGCGCTTGCTGCCACTGTATTTACGCCCGAGTGGCTGCTCGTGGAAATTGGATTGCATTGATGGCTGCTCCTGGGAAGTGGACTGCATCGATGGCTGCTCCTGGAAAGTGGACTGCATCGATGGCTGCTGGAACGTGGATTGCGTCGAAACCTGGTGAAACGTAGGCTGCATCGAAGGCTGTTGGAACGCGGACTGCATCGATGGCTGTTGGAATGCGGACTGCACCGATGACTGATCTTGGAAAGTGGGCTGCATCGATGAATGATCCTGGAAAGACGACTGAGGCGACACCGGTTGATGGCCGTATGCGGCTTGAGGCAATTCGATCGGACGAGGAGGAAGTGGTGCGGTCTGCGGCACCGCTGCTGAAGCCTCTGCCGCCTCTTTGAGTTGTGTTGGTGGGCAGACAGCGGATTGGGTGATCTTCGGAGTGGTATCGGCAGGTTGAGCAGAATCAGGCTCTGAGTGAGCGACGGGTTTGTCGACGGCAAGGCCTTCGCCAACAGTAGTGTCGAGAGTGAGTGCCGGCTTGCCCTCGGTGCGTTGCTTCTCAATCATCTCCTTGATCGTCATCTGCAGGTACGGAATGACCCATCCCAAGAACTTGTCTCCATACGTCTTCCGCTCATCATCGAGGAAGAACGTCGACACCTCTACATCACTCCTAAGCAGGTAAGGGTGCATGCTCTGGTCGTTGAGCAGTTCGACGCTACTTGGCTTCGCCAACCACCAGTGCGTGAACTGAGGGATGCGAGTGTTCAAGTTCCACAGCGCAATCCACCACCAGACGGACTTCAAAAAGCGGAAGCCATTGCCTTGACCGTGTGCGCCGCCTTGCATGCGAATCTCGCGCTCGTCGAACCATTCGCGGAGAAAGGCTTCTTCCTCTTCGCGGTTGGAATCGTGAGGGAACTCCCAGGGGAAGATGGAGGACCAGCGGTCGGGCTCTTGGTGGTAGATGTGAGTGCAGTAAGGCTCCAGGTCAGCCAGGCGGTCGCTGCTCACTATGACGGGGTCGGGCGGTGAGTCTGGCGCCATCTCTGGCGTGGAGACCTTCTGGTCCAAAGCGAGTGGAGCGTTGATTGTCGAATGAGGGTTTGGTAATGGTGTAGGAGGGATCTGAGCGATGATGGATGGGCGAAAGAGCAAGCTTAACGATGCTGCTTGCTTTGCAACATCCGAGCGGCGATGATGTTTGTGTTGGATTAAGGAAAACACCAGCAAGGAGGGTGTGGAAGGCAGCAGAAGGGAGATGAGGAGGTGACGTCGTCTTGGCGACGAATTCACACAAAGGTGGAAGGTGCGAGGTGGTGTCGACAAACGGGGAGTGAATCAGGAAGGCACGACCCGCGTGCAGTCACCCGCCAACACCACATCAGGGAGTGTCTCAAGCAATTGAGGAAGATTGGTGATGCGTGCAAACAAAGGAGATAGGAGACCGATGATACTCCCTGCCATGACCGTTCGAAGATGTCGACATGGTCAGAGTTTGTGTAAGGGGTTGAACGCCGTTCGCCAAAGTGCCTATCCGAGACACCTTCTTTGTATGCCCATGCATGACTGAAGCAGCCAGCCGGTACAGGTAAGCAGCAATTTTCCTATTTTGTTTGCCAGGTTGGAGTGAGTCCATCAGGGTCAGGTTCCATGCACCAAACCTCAATGTACCCGGCCCCTTGTACTCCACCCATTCCCGCACCGTTCTATCCCGATCTCACTTCACACTTCAAGCCTTGTCCGTCTCCTTCGGCAAAGAACGCACGAGCTTCATGATCTCGCTTTCGTTGTCTCCAACCACTGCGCAGAGAAATCATCAGCTATTCCCTCCAATCCCTTCTGACTTGTCCGCGAAGGACGAAGCAAACGTACCAGCCCGTCCATTATTCCAATCCACCACCACCGGCCTTGTAAACACCTTTTCATTCTGCTTAAACCTCCTCAACGCATCACTCCCGCCCGTGGCATCCTTGATCAAAGTCCCAGCCTTCGAAGGGCCCAAGTACTCCAAGATATTGCCCAACTGGTCGGGTGTGGGAGCGCCTTCTTGCACGTCTGGTCGCCCTCATCAGTAACTCTCACATTACGACAATGGCTGCATGCGAATATCACGCACCCAGCTCGAAGTCGGTCCTTTCAAGCTTGCTCTGCGTCTTGTGATCGCTCGCTTGGTCTTCGGTTGCGTGGGCGCTGCTTTGCGCCGAGACTTGCTTGAGCAGGGTGTAGATGCGCGTGGAGGCTTGGCTGGAAGGGGAGTGGAAGAGGGTGATGACGTCTTTGACGCCGGTCTTGAGGGAGGGAGTGGTTAGCGATGTTTTGGCGAGCGTAGGTAGAGACGTCTTCGTGTGTTGCGGTTGCGTATGACATCATGTCTTGCGGTTGCTCTCGTAGAGATCTTTCGTAATCCCGGGGAAATGGATGCGATGCTGGTGAGATGGCTTACCTCCTTGAAGAGGTTCTTGAACACGTTCATCTTGGTCGTTGTTATTTGCAAGAATGCGTGGGGAAGCTTCGCTTGGTGGAATGAGAGGTGAAGTTACGCTCCAAAGTTGCGTCAAGCTTTCAGAGCTCATCAGCTTCTTCGGAGTACGCTCCGCCGCCCCGCGAATTTCCCCGATTTGGAAGCCGCAGACCATTCGTCGCTTCAGGCATACACGACGATCGAGTTGGAATAGAAGCAGTCAGTCGAGGTACATTACAATTCGACTCCTCGTTGCTTGGTGCAAGCGTGGACCTTTGTTTCCATGCATGAGAAAGACACAAACCCCCCGCTGGTGACCATCATCGCACCTGGTCCTCCACTCTCCGTAGCAAAGGCTCTCTCTCCTGATCCTGCCCTTCCGAATCAACATAATGAAACTGCTTGAACTTCCCCTTCTCAACCTTGCCCACCCTCCACGTCCCCTCTTCCTTGGCCTTCTCAAAAAATTCCTGGTTCTCCTCAAAGCTCCGCCCTCCAGTCTCCGGGCAATACAGATACGTCCACACGCCCGCGAACAAGTTGGTAAAGCAGAACACCAAGAAGATCCAGTACTTGAGATTATTAAACATCAAGGGCGTAATGAGCGTGATGGTGAAATTGGCTAGGCCCCAGATGATGACGCTCACGGCGGTGCCTTGCGCGCGGGCGGTGGTGGGGTAGATTTCGGTTGGGATGAGCCAGATTGTGGCTAGCCAGCCTATGCCGAACGCGCCTGTTGCGAGGAAGAGAGTGACTATGCCGGGAACGGCGACGGCATTGAGAGGGATACCGAGGTCATCATTGTTGACTGCCAACCCGCCGAAGAGGGCGAGGAGACCAAAGCAGATGATGAGGGCGACAGAGCCCCAGCAGAGGAGCGCGCGACGTCCAACGGCGTCCACCAAAAGCCAGGCAAAGGTCATGAGGAAGAAGTAGGAGACAAAGTTGGCTTGCGTCAGGTTCTCGGCCAAATTCGTCCCGTATCCGAGGAGCTCGAAGATTTGCGGTCCGTAGACGGAGACGGCGCCGTAGCCTGTCAGCGCCTGGTTGACTTGTCCCATGACCGTCAGCATAGTGGGGTGGAACTGCGCGTGTCCAGGGGTAAACATGTCCGTATAAGTCACGTTTTCATCGCGTTCGTTGCTGGCGGCTTCCACCAGCTCTTCACACTTCTTCTTGCCGTCTTCATCTCCAAACAGGTCCTTCATACTGTTCTCAGCATCTTCGTTGCGATCGTGGAACACGAACCACCGTGGGCTTTCCGGGAGGCGTCCGATGACCAGTAAAAGTCCGACAGGATATATCTGCATGGCCATGATCGGAATTCTCCACGCCCACTGATTAGACTTCCCCAGCGTTCTCGTCACAAGAAGATTGATCGCGAAAGCCATGTTCAGCCCAAAGATGTTGCTCTGGAACTCTTGAGCCAGCGCCTTGCCTCTTCCATGATCCGGACTGAGCTCGGAGCTGTAGACGGGGACCACGCTGTCAACTCCACCAACTCCGAACCCCATGACGACCCGACCGATGTACATGACCACGCGAGCGCCTTGATTGTAGCCCAGCCCAGAAAACAACATGATGAGATTGCCCAGGCTTGCAGTCGCGAGACAGCCGAACAGGCCGGGTTTGCGGCCGTACTTGTCTGCAAACCAGCTGAAGAAGACGGCACCGACCGCACAGCCAAGGTAGTACACCGAAACGATGACACCGACTTGCGGGTCCTTTTCTCGGATGCCCATGGTGCGAAGGTAGTCCTGATTGGTGTTGATCAGAGACATCATGCCCTGGTCGTAGCCATACAGGGCAATGGCGGTACTCGAGAAGAGTACGACCTGAGAAGACCTAGTCAGAGGCGGTTTGGATGGATCTGGGGAGAGGATTGGTTATCTTGCCTGTGCCGTCTTCTCATAGACGAAGCTCTTGAGCCAGTCCATCTTTGCTGCTTCAACCGCTTGGTCGAGTCGAGCTGGCGAAGACGTGGATGGGTGAAAATGAGGAGGAATTTAGCTGTACATCTCCAATTATTTCCAAATCGCGTCGACTGTGGCCACGGTAAAGACAAGAAAGTGGGCAGCTTGGTTATTTACATTACTTGCCCAAGTGCCTTGGCTATTCGAGCTCACGGTCTCGCAAAATGACGCGCGAGGCAGTTAGCTCCCCTTCGCTCCCGCGCCTAAGAAGTTTAAGCTTCCCCAAGCAGCGCCAGCACCTTGCATCTCCATCTGACCCGAACTTCCACCCTCTCATCATCCACATCCCATCCGCCGCAAAACAACATGGAGCAGCATCGCAACAAAACACTCACACACCCCGCTCCAGCCAGCTGGACATGGCTTTGGCCCTCCTGGATCTGGAGCACCCAAAAACCGATGAAGCACCTCAAAGCGACCGACGCGATGCGCAACCCGGCCATCAACACGCGCTTCACCGACCTGATGGACAACACGGATCCGCCGGAAACGTTCAAAGCGTCGCACGTCGCGATGGCGCTGACGCTGGAGGAACTGCGCACCATGGGCTACGAGAAGTGGCAGGAGGCTATGCCGGGGGTGATGGCGTTGGCGTTTGAAATGCGCGCGGTGGGCTACTGTGAGATTTTGAAGGGGAAGAAGGTCTTGCATGGCGATGTGCAGTATTTCGAGGTGGACCAGGTGGATGTCAGCATTCGGCGGCTGGAGGATGATCACTGGCGTGAATCCGAGTGGGATTAGTGGAAAGGGGCGAGATGGGTGTGGTTGTGTGGGCTGTTGGGTGGCGTTAGAGTGGTCTTTTAGCAAGGCGTTGGATGTCTGCAGTCTTACTATCTATGCATGTTTGGTCTACCTCACTGCTGGGCTTCACTCTTGATACCGTCTTGAGAGCATCGCTGTCAATGTCGCCGCTTTCTCCCTTTCACGCCCTGGTGTTCATTGCATCTCGCAATATCCTAGCCCAGTGCTGCCGGTTTGCGCCGATGAGCCGCTAGCCACACGCTCAACACGGGTTGTTCGCTTTGGGCCCGGACAGGCCGACTCCTCGTACACGACCACTCGCGTATCATTGGGCTGGATCCTTGAGCGGTAGACTCGCGCTGACCATCAGCCTGCGGTCAGACTCAGCACAAACATAGCTGCGCTGAAGTCCGCGCGTTCTGATATCCCTCCGGCGGCTCCGGAGTAGCTATAACGCTGCAACAGGCCGTCCCTTCATTTCTCCGCGGCCTTGGAAGCGGAGTTCTGACTACTGGCACCAGCCACTCCAGCTCCGCTCACAGTCTCCTCCCCAAGAACCTTCGACGCAGCCATGAACCTACACAACACAAGATTAGCCAACCAATTTGTAGACGGGGGATGACCAAATAACCTACATCCCGCCAGCATAGCCTCCAAGGCCCCTCATCCCCTCCGCCTGCACGGCCGTCATTCTGAGCAGATTCTCGAGATCAGCCATGTGTGCCGTGAGCTGAGCCAGTTGAGAGTGGAGATGGGATAGTTGGCGTGATTTGGTTGCTGATGTTGGAACGGTTGAAAGGCGAGTCCGAGACGCGCTGGGTGTCCTGGAGGTGGAGTTTGATGTCGACATGCTTGGGTGTTTTTCCGCAGGTTCGTGCACTCGTTGTGTGATGATTGGAAGAACGACTGCGCGGTCCAGTGTGTGTTCAATGCAAGACGCGAGCTGGAAGCGCGGTGTTTACGCGGAGCATCGAGGTGGAGAGTTTCGGCAGCTTTGCCGAGCGCCAACCACACGCCACACCCGCTTGACTCTCTGGCTGTACGCTCCCATGCATTGGTTGAATCGAGGCATCACAACCCTCACAACCCCCACCAAATGTCATCACCAGCGGCCCAAACGGCTAGAAGATACATCCTAACAGCGTCTGTTGCCGCGATCACCGCAACAGGCGCATGGTATGGCGCCGGGCTAAAGACTCGCCAGGAGTTTGCGCAGGTGCGGCTCTCGAAACGAAAACCTCATAGCTTGGGCTAACGTGCAAATCTAGGAAGCGGCAACCATTCAACAAGCTACGCCAGAGGAGAAGATCGAGCAATTGGAAGCCGTCAAAGCCAAGTATCTTGCCCGGCGAGCGGAAATGCAGGACAAGATTGATCGGCTTCAAATTGAGGCCAAGTCGGCGCCTTCGCCGCGATGAAGTCGGTGTCTCGGGCGATTTAAAGTCCATCACTACTAAGAGAGTCGTCAGGACTGTGACGCGCGGCACTCTCTCGACAGTGCGAGGACTCGCTTGACCTATTGTGCAGGAATTGGATCAGCGACCTGGCGACCATTCCTGTCCGCAAGAAGTGAACCAGATGGTCCGGAGATCATGCCATCCGGCATGCTTAGCAGGCCCAAGCCACGTTCGAAGCCATATTCGGCGCGTACTATGGAGAAGCACGGGAGTGCAACTGCCGAGGCCAATGCAAGAGGGCCGTGGAAGATGTTGAGAACGATTGCACACTTTGACTTGACTTGCTGCATGCTAGACTAAGTAAGATGTATACACCACGCGGCTGAATTTTAAAATCCCTCATCTCGTTTCACAGCCTTTCAGCGATACAGCCTGCTCCAGGGAACCGCACTGATGGCAATCAGCCCAAGGACCGCCGGACAGAAGAGCAGCACAGTCGCAAAGGTCTCCAAAAACGGTAGCACCCCCAGTCCAGACGTGATCGAGGTGAAGGTGAACCCCAAATATCCAGCGATACCCAAATTGATGAGGACGAGAATCGTCTTGAAGATCCTTGACTGATATATAGCAGCGTGGAGGTTGTCTCTCGTAGCGGGGTGCTGCTCATCGAGGCTCGCAAACAGCTGCTTGACGGATTTCCCGGTCGATGACTGGTCAGAGGGAGCTGAGAGTGGGTGGTAGTGCGCTTCCTCGGCACGTTCTTCTTCCTCTGTAGAGAAAGCTTGCAAGGCCATTGTAAGAAGAGGGCCGGCGAGAAGCAGAACCGGCAGTATCTGGCCGAACTGCCAGACGTTCTCCTGTTCTGTGGCGTTGCTGTGTTGGAGCACTATTCGCGGCGTCACTAACAGCATCGTGCCCCATATCAGACTAGCGTTGATGATCCACAAAGAGCCGGCAAAGGACCCCGCCAACTCGAAGACGGCGAGCGTTATGACGTACACGCTCGTAGTCACCGGATAAAGAAGTCTGCGTAGACGGCTGGGACGGCCCAGGATGATGCGCTTGATGAGTTTCTCGCTTGCTCGTAGCGGTGAGATGCTCGACCATCTTTTCACACGCTTCTCGGCAGAATCGAAGAGCATGACGGCTTTCCATAGATAGGTGATTCCCAGCAAGAGATAGGAAACCACACCATCAAGGCTCACAGAGTTGCCTCCTGGACAAACACCTGAAGCATTAGCCAGCTCTTGCAGGCGGCTCGGTGGACGAGTCCAATAGCAGCGAGCGGGAAACTGGATGGGGAGGCATTTTGCGTGCGAGTTCGACAACGAGCTAGACACGTTGCACTCCCAATCCAGACCGGTTGTCGGGTACAGAGCTGCGAACAGCAGGCAGAACAAAGCGGACATTCCCGCCAGCCTCCACACTCGAAGTGCCCTCCTCTCTCGCAGATAGTAGCGCAGATACGTCAAAGAGGTCAAGTGGACCACAGAAGACATCCAGGCTAGGTAGATGACGCTTTGCCAGAGGTAGATGGACAGGCTGTGAATCTGCGCAAAGCCGGCGACCAAGATCGCGATACCTGTCACGATTTGCTGATCTGCGAGAGTCATGATGGCGTCTCGGATGATGTTTGTCCATTTTGCAGAGTAGTCGCCGGAGCGCCTGGAGAACAGCTTGTCGTAGGTTGTGAGGAGTTCGTCAGGGATACAGCAAGTCCAGTATGCCACGATGGCCAAAATGACGGAAAACCAAGCGGTTATGAGGAATGCTAGGAGTACCTGTTGTGATGGTAAGCGGGCTGAAAAAGCGTAGCGCCGGCAATTGGGACATCCTCACGCCTATGCCCGCAATGTCCGAGACATCGTTCGCATTCGCATCAGCGCAGGGGTCGACGATGCTTTCGCAGTTTCCCATCTCTGGGATCCGGTAAGCACCTGTTCAGAACCCACGGGACAGTGGCGATGGAGAAAGACAAATGCGCCATCGTTCGCAGCGAATGTGATCTCTCTCAAGTGCGGCTGAAATTTGATACATGCGGCGACAGTACTAGGGCCGGTGCATTCGAGCTGATCTTTGACTAAGTAGGCCTGTGCAGCGGGCTGGGCTGCAGGACGGGCGCCTCACCGTTGTAGCCGCCCGGATGAGCGGCTGCTTGACAGGGGATCGAAAACATGAGGCCATGCAGGAGGGACGAGCAATGTCCAAGAGATCGACATCATGGTTGGCCCACGGTCGGTGATCATGTGCGTACTGAGCGCGTGAGATAGAAAGAGCATGGGTGTGGTTGAAGCTACCTGCACGTGACGAGCGCTAGGCACCAAATCAGGCACCAAAGTTTAAGCTGTCCCCACCACGATTACACTTCACCCCGGAACTTTTGAGCCTACGAGGCCACGCCATCAACAGGCAATCACCGTTAAACCTCCAACCCGGCCATCAGAGGCCCATTGCGCGACTCAAACACCACCTTTGCGACCACCTCTGCCCAATTCGGTCTCTGTCCTCGCCAATGCAGCAATAACCACGCCAAATACCCCTCCACGTCAGCCACCATGTCTCAATCCCTTCGACCCTACCTCCACTGCGTCCGCTCCACCCTCACCGCCGCCCTCTCCCTCTCCGACTTCGCATCGCAAGCCTCTGAACGGCACAATGTCCCCGAGATCGAAGCGCGCTCTTCCCCCGAAGTCATCCTCAATCCGCTCACTGTCTCCCGCAACCAGGAAGAGCGAGTGCTGGTGGAGCCGTCGGTCAACAGCGTGCGCGTGAGCATAAGAATCAAGCAGGCCGATGAGATTGAACACATCCTCGTGCACAAGTTTGATCGCTTCTTGACCCAGAGAGCTGAGGCGTTCTTCATTCTGAGGAGGAAGTCGGTGCCGGTATGTGGTGTCTACGGATGAGCCGGATGTTTTGTGTCTGGATACTGATGCTATGCTGCGACCCCAGGGCTACGATATCTCGTTCTTGATCACGAACTTCCACACCGAGGAGATGCTGAAGCACAAGCTGGTGGACTTTATAATACAGTTCATGGAGGAGGTGGACAAGGAGATCTCGGAGATGAAGTTGTTTGTACGTATTTGCGCTCTCCAGTTCAGCTGCAGTGCTCGTGCTAACGGATGAATAGTTGAATGCAAGGGCTCGGTTCGTGGCGGAAAGCTTTTTGACTCCGGTAAGATACATTCCGCCTCCGGCAAATCGGTAGACACTGACGTCCTCTTTCTCCAGTTCGATTAGATTTGGTAGCGTTGAAATGCCACATCTCCGTTGTTCGCTTCATTCTTCCAACCCGTGCTCGCCGTCGTGAAGTCGTCCTTCGCGCAGACTGGACTGGAGAAGAGTCTGTCGATGCCAGCTAAGTACTGTGTCTGATTTCATCTTCAATTGTCCAATTGACGCCTGTCCCCGTCCATTGCACACATCAGGGTTGGACTGTCTGTAACTCAGGCCTGTGACTCGCTCTGATTGTCGCGCTTCTCATTGATTCATCTCCCTATTGATCGGTGACTAAGCTGCAGCGTTCTAGGGATCAATGGTGTCACAAACACGGGACCCTCCGTGATAGGAAGCAGCACGGCCCCACCCGTGCTGGCATATTTGAGCGGCTTCTGAACTCTCCTCCTCCTTCTCCTGACCATACCACTCACGTTCACCTGTTTTTTGCGTTTTTGTTGGCGGAAGCTAACAAAAACAACAGTCACAGATCCGCACGCGCCCTCCTCTCCCTCCTGACAGCATGGTGCTGTCAATCGGTCACCATCTCTGTGGCGAGTGCCACCACCGCCCGCGCTTCCTGCTCACCCCGTGTGAGCACCAGGTCTGCGTCGGTCACGCCCTTGAGGTGCCGACCGACGGCAGCACCCTGGAGGCGGTCTGTGGGGTGTGTGGTTCGGTGAGTACACCCCTTTTCCTTCCAACTGCTCACCAAAATCCCCCCCTCCAACAACATCACCACCATTTTCGACATCTGCCAAGACCTCAGTGTGCGCGTGGCTGCTGTTTTCACCTGAAAACAACAGCCAACAGCGGCCTGAGGCATCCTTGCGCTCCTTCCTCTTTTGTGGGAAATTGCAGCCCCACAATTCCGCGTGATCAAAACACTTTCATGACCGCACAGTGAGCTAACTCATTTTTCTTGCAGCGCGTCCATGCGATCTCCGATTCTCACGCCCAATTCCCCCTTCTCAACGCCGGCCCTCGCATCCACAATCCGGTGACGTTCTTCACTCCTCGCTTCTACATCCCTGTCAGCACGATGTCTGCACCTGGTGCTAGCCGCTCGACGGGCTCCTCTGCGGGAAACAGAGGTGACTCTCAGTCCGGTCGCAGCATGCCGTCGCTTCGCAACATGACTCCCACACAGCTCCGCGACATGAACAACACCACCCCAACCCCCCTTCGCGCCAGTGCTGTCGCCAACTACACCGAGGAGTTCACGATGCCTCGTTACGTGCCGCCGCCCATGCGCGACGAGTCTGAGCGCACTCAGTCGTCAGCAAGTTCCTCCAGCTCGTCGATCGCGTCGCAGCTCGAGATGGCTCGCTTACCCTCACAGATGCCAGCTGCACGCCCCCGTCAGACAAACACTGTCATGACTCCTCCCAACCAGCAAGCAGCGAGCCTCACCTTTCAGTTCGGATCCATGGATCCGTTTGCAGTGACGCCACGCGGAGCTCAAGCAAGCCGTACATCCAGCAGCGTCGATGCCGGCACTAATGCGTACTTGGCCAATCTGCCGCGCAACGAGAACCTCACCGGCCCGCACTCGTTCAGCCCGGATCCCGTCTACAACGCATCCTTCGCTTCCATCAACTCTGTCGTCACTCCCTCTGTTCAGAGCTCCGGCAACGACTCTGGCAGCTTCAACGCCTACGGGTTCGAGGCCTCTTACGCCGCGCGTCTTGCTAACTTGATCAAGTCCGGCGCTACGGAGGACCCTCATGATATCGACTACGGTAACCCAGGCCGCAGCCGTCGCTTGCCCCCCGAGCCAGTCAACCAAGTGCCGACTGCTCCTCGTCCTGAAGGCAAGCTGGGCTCCCCTCACAGCCCTGCCATCAACACGACTTCGTCAGGGCCACAGAGCCAAGCCGCCGCCTTCCTCGGCACAGCCAGCGTCCAGCTGCCCAATTGGTTCCGTCGCCTCCCCGCAGGCCAACTCCCCACCGTCGAGCAAGTCATGAATGTGCTGCCGATGATCGAAGCCTGCCGCCTCTCCACCCCCACCGACGCAGCCGTCGTCGCCAAAATCACCAACATCCCCTACTCCGCATCCCGCTCGGAGATCATGGCGTTCCTCGGCCGCAACGCCCAGATCCTCAGCCAGCCTGAAGGCTCGCCCTACCACGCCGTGCACATCATGCTCGACCGCTACACCGGCAAGACGATGGATGCGTTCGTTGAGCTGCGCAACCGCAAGGAGGGAGACTATGCTATGAAGCAGTACGAGGCGCGCACCAGGAACGGTCGTCGTGCGAAGATTGGTGACCGTGAGGTTGAAGTGACTATTGTCGGCGAGGGAGAGTTCATGGCGGAGTTGTTCAACCGTGCTGGCGACACCGTCACGTGGTTTGGACCCACGCCCAACGTCAGCAGTGCTCGTGAGGAGTACTATGAAGGCGTGCCGTCTGCGGGATTCCAGGGCTTCCTCAAGCCGGAAGAGCTGGTGTACATGTCGAAGTACGCCGAGACTCCTCAGCGCGTACGTCCACCACATCACCGTCGCCCTTCTTCTACATATCTGACACTAACATCTCTCCAGTCCCCCTTTGCTCAGCGCTGCCCCATCAGGAACTACGAGCACCTCATCACCATCCTCCACAAATACCCCTGGCACGCAATCGAGCACGTCCAAATGAACGAGCGTGACCGCATCTACAACACGACTCTGACCAGCATCCGCGCGCTCATGGGCCTGCTGCGCAAGACGCACAACAACACACAGCTGGACAACACGCGCCCCACCATGTCGACGCTGCAAGAGCTCGTCGTCGCCGCCCTGACGTGTCCCGGCTTCTCCGAGGCGCAGAAGTACATCGTCGTCGCCAACCTGCACCAGTCGGGCAACGGGTCCGTGGCCAACTCCCGCGGGATGAACTTTCGCTTTGGCGGGACGCACAAGTTCGCTAGCGATTGGCCTTTCGAAGGCCTGGCTATGCAGCCTGGCGTCGATGAGACGGTGGTGGAGTACATTGCCGCGCTGATTCACGCCGCCACTGTGCACGCCCCGGCCCCTACCCTCGCGGAGCTGCACGCCTACCGCGCCGCCGCGATGCAGCAATCCCTCTTCGGCATGCTGGACATCGACTACACTGGCGCGAAGACGATGGCGGATGTGGGCCGCATCGAGTTGCGTACCATCAAGTCGCTGCTCTCCCGCGTGCTGCCTCGTGCCGGCGATGATGAGGCCCAGGCTGAGGTGCACTCCACGTCATCGTCGTCGGCGTACGGCTCTCCTGACTACGGGCGGGGTTCGCGTTATCGCTGAGCTGCACACACTTACCTGTCTGGTCTGGACTGTGCCTCTTGCACCGTTTTACCTCTCTCTTCTCCTCCCGTCAACTTCTCTGAGCGTACGCAGCGCGGCGTTTCCCCTTTTTCTTTTCGGACGGGCTAATGATCAACTGGTTTGGGAGTTACTTGCATGGAATGGAAGGCGGTCATTGAACAACGGTGGAGGAACTGGATGATAAGACGACGCATGGCACGACACCAGCCTGGCTGACTACTTCTCTTTTGCTGTCTCGTTGGGCATGTTGCTTTCTTGCACCAACGACGACTCACAGACTTCTTTTGTTTTGTTATTACGAACAGCGAGCGACCATCGATGAAATGAATGGATGGAGAGATGGACTCGCTTGCTTGCTTGCTTTCTGCTCATGCGACACAGTGGGATTGGGCGCGCTTTGTGCCTTTGATTGTGATCCCGCTTGTGCTTGCTTTATGGATGATGAGTACGAGAGATGGGATACGAGATGAGTGCAATGACAAAATGAGTATTCTAAGCATCGCTGTGCCTGATCCAATGTCTTTGGTGTTGTAAGTGATGGTGATGATGTCGGGTCTGGGATGCAGGGTTGGAAACGAGATGGTACCTGCAGATCGACTTGCAGTCCGAGCTCGGATTTCTGAAGTCAAGGACGTCACTGCTCCTGCACGCCAGGCCTGGGCTGCATTGTGACTACATCCCCCTTGGATTCTCTCGATGCCGTGTAAGTATTGACCGTCGCTTTCTCGAATCCACTCATTCGAGGCAAGCTGGTGTATAACGCCGTCCAACCTGTCCTTCCTACCCAAGACTACGACTCCCCTCCGTCACTCCTTGAACTTCTCTCGTTTTCGTCTCCCTGCCACGGCCCCGTGGAACACTATGGCACGTACAACTCGATCATCCCTCGCTCGCGCCGCGACGACGAAAGCAGAGCCTCAGCAGCTCTCCAGCCCACCACCCACCCCTAAACCACGCGGCAAAGCGGCGAAAGTGAAGAAGGAGACTCCCGGCACTCCGGCGAACACTGGCAAGAAGCGGGCGAGACACCAGATTAAGCAAGAGGATGATGCTGCAGACAACAATGAAGAGCTGCCGCATAACTTGAGCGCTGCGGCGGCATTGCCTACTCCTGGTGCGGAGGGAGAAGATCAAACGAGTTCGCGGCCCAAGAAGAGGGCGAAGCGGTCGAAGGAGGATACGCCTGTGAAGGAAGAGGCTTCACCACAGCTTGATGCGAGCACGCCCAAGAAGACGCCGAAGAAAAAGGACAATTACGGCTTGACGCCTGGCAAATCTCCATACCCGGACTATCCTCGCCCCACGGCAGACGAATGCTACGAGGTCGTGCGGCTGCTGGAGAAAGTACATGGCAAAGTGACTGTACCCAAAGCTATTCCTCCGCCATCTCTCGACGTTGCAGGCTGCGGTGAAGTGCCTTCCGTCCTCGACGCCCTTGTCCGCACTCGTCTCAGCGCCAACACCACCAACAAGAACTCCTCCACCGCCTTCCGCGGCCTCGTCGATCGTTTTGGCACGCTGAAAGAAGGCATCGGCAAAGGCAGCGTCGACTGGGATGCCGTGCGTGTGGCGCCGCAACGAGACGTCTACAAAGCCATCGAGCACGGCGGGCTCGCGGACCGCAAATCAAAGGACATCCAAGCCATCCTGCAACTCGTGTACGAAGAAAACCAAGAGCGCAAAGCCGCCCTCACGAACCCCAAAGACGAAAATCCAGCGGGCGCCGAGCACGAAGGCGCCAGCGAAAAGCAAGCAGAAATCGCGAAAGCATCGCAAAACATCATCTCCCTCGACCATCTGCACCTCCTCAGCACGCCCGTCGCCATCGAGAAGATGCTCTCCTACCCCGGCATCGGGCCCAAGACGGCCTCCTGCGTCGCCCTCTTCTGCCTGCAACGCCCCAGCTTCGCCGTCGACACGCACGTCTTCCGCCTCTGCCAGTACCTCGGCTGGGTGCCCAAGAGCACCAAAAAGGGGCAGCCGAAGGTGGATCGCAACACGACGTTTGGGCATTGCGATGCGCGCATCCCGGACGATTGTAAGTATAAGCTGCACTACTTGCTCATTAAGCATGGCAAGACGTGTGCGCGGTGTAGGGCGGTGACGGGGCAGGGGAGTGCGGGGTGGGAGGAGGGGTGTCCGATTGAGCATTTGGTGAAGCGGCATGGGGCGAAGAAGGGTGGGGCGAGTGTTGGGGATCGCAAGAAGGCGGCGGAGGCTGCGGGCGATGGTGGAGAGGAGAGTGATGGGGATGAGGAATATCACGAGTAGGTGGAAAGATGAATGCGTGATCTTGTATCTATAGCTGCGATACACGAATCTCAACAACATCATGACTTTAATGCAGCATCACAGCCCTACCTTTTCCGATTCAAAAACTTGGCCATGTACTCCCTCGGCTCCACGCCGCCATCCGCAAACGACGCCGCCAACGCCTCCACCCCCGCCTGCACCGCCTGCTCCGCAGTCGTATTCTCCCACTTCTGCATCAAGCGCTTCTGGCTGCGAATCGCCTTGGGCCCCATCGCAACAATCATATCCACCCACTCAGCCGTCGCGGCATCCAGCGCCGCCTCATCCTCCACCACCCTCTCAATCAACCCCCACCGCTCCGCCGTCTCCGCGGAAATATTCTCCGCAAGGTACATGAGTCTGCGCGCGCGACCGATGCCAATCTGCGCCGGCATGAGCGCCGCCTCGACGACAGAAGGCAAGCCGATTTTGACTTCCGGCATGCCGAACGTGCTGGCTTTCGTCGCGATCTTCAGGTCGCAGCCGGCCATGATTTCCAGCCCGGCGCCGAGGGAGAAGCCGTGCACTTTCGCCAGCACGGGGACGGGGACTTGCCGTACTGCGTCGCAGGCGTGGTGCACGAGGGTGATGAACTTCTTCGCCGTCTCGTAGGAGGTCATGGTGTGCATTTCGCGGATGTCCATGCCGCCTATCCAGGAGGGGGGTTTGGGCTTGCCTCCGTCTGTTGGAGGGGCGGCAGGCGCGCCGGCCAGGACGACGACGCGCAGGTTGTCATCTTCGGACAGCTGGCGGCAGGTGGTGATAAACTGGCGGAGAAGCGGACTGTTGACTATGTTGAGTTTGCGCGGGTTGGAGAAGGTGACGGTCGCTACGTTGTGGCCGGGGGAGTGCTCCACTGTTTCCACGAGAATTTCGCCTTCGCTGGGCGAGGAGGTGGAGTAGGGCCTTGCTGGGGGATGGGGGAGTCTAGCGGTGCTGCTGGTCGGGTGAGTGGATGGTGCATTTGCACGTGGAGCGAGCGCACGTGCTGGGTTGCATGCGTGTGGCGTCCGCCTCGTGGTGGGACGGCAAAGGCTCAAACGGGCGAGGCTGCTTGCCACGCTTCTAGAATGCATCGTGCTCGGATGCGTGGGGTTTGCTGAGGGAGAGGTGTGAGACTTGGGCTATAAGCTACGCCTGCTCAGTGACCAATGCTTCTGAGTAGGATGCTACAATCGTCTACAAGAGAACCATGTCGTGTCCTCAATGGACAGAAGAGATGAAGTCCTCCCTTCCCTCGGCAGTCACTGATACCACCATCCCCGCGGCTACCCCAGTTTAGCAGATGAAACGTCAAGGCTGGACGCGCCCAGACCCGGCGCCGCCATCCCAAACCGGCAGTTGATGTCGTCCGCCCGCCCCGCAAAACTGGAGACCCCGACGGAGGGGCAACGCAACCAAATGAGGGGTGAAAGCAGCATCCCGCCAAGTCTCGCCCAGTCCCTCCACTCTTATTACCCCCATTGTTTCCTTCAAGTTTCCCTCGAATGGAAGAAGTGAAGCACGTCATCAAAAAGATTGTAGGCCTAGACACCCACGAGAAAGAAGACCAGCCCGTGCAACCGCAAATCAGCTCCAAACCTCTCCCCGATCAGACGAGAACGTCAGCAAACATGGGCGACAAGATGAAGGCGCTGCACTACGATGGCCCGTTCAAGGTGTCCATCAAGGAGATTGAGAGGCCCAAGCTGAAGCATCCCGACGATGTGATTATCAAAGTCACCACCACGTGCATTTGCGGTGAGTGCCTTTTTCCCCCTCTACCATTCTCGCCGAGATGCTGATCGTTGCCTTCGTTGCTCGCAGGCTCCGACCTCCACATGTACGAGGGCCGCACTGCTGCCGAGCCCGGCCTGGTCTTTGGTCACGAGAACATGGGCATCGTTGAAGAGATTGGACCGGGTGTGACGCTGCTCAAGAAGGGAGACAGAATCGTGCTGCCGTTCAACGTGGCGGATGGCAGGTGCCGCAACTGCGAGGAGGGCAAGACGGCCTTCTGCACCGGTGTCAATCCCGGCTTTGCTGGTGGTGCATACGGGTAGGTTGCGGCCATCATCCCAACATCTTCTTCCCTGGGAGAGCCCTCGCTGACGTGCTCCAAGATATGTCGCCATGGGTCCATACCAGGGTGGACAGGCGCAGTACATGCGTATTCCCTTTGCGGACTTCAATGCTTTGAAGCTTCCTCCGGGCACGGAGAATGAGGCCGATTTCGCATTGTTGGCCGATATCTTCCCCACAGGCTGGCACGGGCTGGTCCTGAGCGGCTTCAAGCCTGGCGAGTCGGTGGCTGTCTTTGGCGCTGGTGAGTAGCCATATTCTCCAATCACTTCAAGACCTCCCACTAATACAGCACAGGACCGGTCGGGCTCATGGCAGCCTACTCCGCCGTCATCCGTGGTGCCAGCAGAGTGTTCGTCGTTGACCAGGTCAAGGAACGCCTGGACCAGGCCCAGAAGATTGGCGCCACTCCCATCAACTTCAAGGAGAGCGATCCCGTCGAGCAGATCATTAAGGCCAACGACGGTATGGTCGATCGGGCTGTTGATGCCGTTGGGTACCAGGCCGTCGACAAGGGCGGTAGCAAGGAGCAGCCGAACATTGTCCTTGATCAGCTCATCATGGTCACTCGTCCTACCGGCGGTCTGGGCATTCCAGGCTTGTACGTGCCCTCTGATCCGGGCGCTCCTGACGCACAATCCGGCAAGGGCCAGATCTTGATGTCGTTCGGCAAGCTGTTCGAAAAGGGTCTCTCGCTCGGCACCGGGCAGTGCAACGTCAAGGCGTACAACCGGTACTTGCGTGACTTGATCATCAGCGGCCGCGCCAAGCCTTCCTTTGTCGTGTCGCACGAGTGTGGCCTTGACGAAGCTCCGGAGGCGTACGACAAATTCGACAGGAGAGTTGAGGGGTACACCAAGGTGTTGGTCCACCCCAACGGCCCGCTCTAGTCGACTGATGATGCAGTCAGCAAAGTGAGTCCTGAGGAGGACATTGTCAATACGTACCACCGCAAAACAACTTCGAGTCTACTCTGTGTCTCTTCACCCCTCCTTCTCCCCCTCCAACACCCTCGTCCCCAGAATCCTCACCTCCTCCTCCGGCCTATCCTGCTCCCCCGTCTTCACCAACCCCATCCGCTGCACAACGCGCATCCCACTCTTCACCCGCCCAAAGATAGTATGCTTCCCATCCAACCAAGGCGTCGGCGCCAACGTAATGAAAAACTGACTCCCATTCGTATCCGGCCCGCTATTCGCCATACTCAGCACGCCGGCCCCCGTATGCTTCAAATCCGACCGGATCTCGTCTTCGAACTTGTCGCCGTAGATGCTGGCGCCGCCGCGCCCGGTGCCCGTGGGATCGCCGCCTTGGATCATGAAGTTGGGGATGATGCGGTGGAAGATGGTGTTGGTGTAGTAGTTTCTGCTGGCGAGGGTGAGGAAGTTGCGGCAGGTTTTGGGGGCGTGGGTGGTGTAGAGTTCGAGGGTTATGCTGCCCATGGAGGTTTCGAGGAGGATGGTTTGCGCCATGGTTTGAGGGGGAGTGAGGGGGTGTTTATGAGGGGAGAGAAGAGGGGTGTTCAATGGCCCATCACGGTTGACATCAAGGTCAAGTTTTTTTGGAGAAGAGGTCTGGATTGTGTACATTTCGTCATGACGTGCTGAGATCTGCGCGGGAAGCCTTGTGCTGCCTTGCCGACGTCAACTGCTCTTCGCCCACGCAATCTACGAGAAGCGTCTTTCATCCTCTCTCCGCCCGGCAAAACCTCGTAACCATTTACACTGTCTATGTATTGAATGACCTTCACGAAGCTTCTAACCAATGACCGCAGTATCAATCGATCTGTTGGTCTTGGGCAAAAATGCAAACCTGTTGGGGTCCTACGAGTCTCGCCTTGCTTTCTCTCCTTCCTGAAAAGGGCTGAAAAGGAGTTTGTTTTTTTGTCATCTGCTAGACCCCGTGTTCGACTCTGAGTTGTTGCTTCCATTTTTGGCCTCGTTTGGGCTGGATAGTCCATTACCCGATTCCTGTCCGTTGAACAAACAGGCTGCAGAGCTCACTGGAGCCGATGCAAGCGTTTCCTTTTCCTCACTTCCAAAAGGGCTCTGCCGAGAACAGCATGGACGGTACAAAATGTGGCAAACACTACTCTGTAGCACGGTGCCTCGGTCACGACAATCTGCAACTATGCCACAGCTCGGCTGTTGGACTTCTTCAGTCACACAAGACGTCTGTGAATGAGCAAACTTCAACGAGGGAGGGGAATATACATCTTCACTGCGACATTGAATATGGCATTCAACAGCATCACCCGCCTGGCTATATATACGCAATTATACAAAACATCCAGCCGACATCAACTCAGCAACATCGATCTTCCACGCCTTCCAAGCACAAGCCAACAACCGTCAACGCCAAAATGTGCGTCGTCAAAGAAATCTGCCTGTTCTGCGGTCACCGTTCCAACCAGCGTTCCGGCCGAATACAGTGCGAGGATTCGAAGCAAGGACGACCATGCAAGATCGAATTCATCAGTGGAGGGGTCCGCGATGCGATCTGCTTGGCTTGCCGCATCGCGGACAACGCTGCTATCGTTGCAAATGGGGTCCAGGGGAGGTGGCCTAGTGCGCCGAGGACTGAGTCTTGATGGAATGGGCGGAATGAGAAGGGAGCCGGGGGAGGAAGAGTTTGCTACATCGCTGTGTTGTGTCGCAGAGTTGATTGTGTAGTTCTGTAGCGCATTCACCAATACCATCGTCGTTGCATTCACTGATGCCTTCTTCATCGATGTATATATACGACTGCTTCGCTCCCATTTTACAACATGTTTCTCCAATGTTTCGACAAGCACAACTCTACATCATCGCCACTTCGACTTTTCCACTCACCGATCGACTACCCTCGATCAACAACAATGTGCTACGCCAAGAACACCACCCTCGCCTGCGGACACCGCTCCGCCGAGCACTCCGGAACCGAACGCTGCGAGAAATATCGCAACGGCATTGCCTGCGGGGGAGTCAAGTTGATCTCGAGTACGATGCCGGGTGCCATCTGTCTGGCTTGTCGCGAGCAGGATGATGCGATCAGAAAGAAGGACAAGAAGCCGACCAAGTGGCCGGGGGTGCTGGACACGGAGTGGTGAAGTGGGAGATCAGGAGAATCGGCGGGCAGTCAGCGCAGTGAGACAGACTTTTTAACTTGAGAGAGTACTTCCACCAGTATCAATGCAAGTACGGGGAGATGTTTGCGAGGTAGTCGTCTCGCCAGCCTTGCGGTTGGCTGGCTGCAGCGCTGTCCAATCAAACGTCGACGAGGGAGAGCCGACTTTTTGCGGAACTTGACGAAGGAATGCAGTCATTCTCCTCACCTCCCGTCTCCATTAAAACTGTGCACTCTCAGCAGTCTCAGTCGTCTTCCACATTTTCGCCATCTTTCAACTCACTAGCACCTGCTGACTAGTAGCATACTCGTCAGCGTCTCCACTCCTTGTCGTTTCACCAGAGACCAGAGCTTGCCCTCCAGAGTAACTCAATGCACACGTACTACGCACCTCATTCCGTCGCCACTGTCAACCTCTTCGACCGATCCGAATAGCCTCTGCGGTCAAGGCAGTCTTTCCTGTCGAGGGGAGGCGAGCGCGGAACGTGAGAATAGAACCGTACATCGCGCCGCGCGGCCATGCCATCTTACACCTGTGGAAGCTTGCATTGTCACCCAGAGAGCTGATCTCGTCCCACTTCTAGTCGTACGTGTGGCCGGAAGCTGATGTGCAATGAGCTGCGTGGTACTAATCCACCATGGGCTTGTACTCGAGTACGCCGGCCGCCTTCTGCATCGTTCACCCGACATCCGGCCGCTGTGGAAGATTGTGTCAACCGGGGAGCGGATCTCGACCTACTTCAAGTCGTACCTGTGCCCGGATTATGGCGCGCAGATGAGCTACATCGTACAGATTGGCCAGCAGCCTGTGCCGCTGTACGCCCGCCTACGTTGTGGATCGTTTCCCATGGCTCTGTGATACAGCTGCTGTGGGACATTTTCGCAGAAAAGCAGGTATCCTCGTCCACTGTTGACCTTGTGCCAGCTTACAACGCCAGGCCACGGTGAAGATGGTTCGCTGCCGGGGGTATAAGGATCTGCAACTCTGCCAGACATTGTGCCTCTCAAGCTGTAGGTGGCTGCGTCCCTCGATGCACACTCTCTGCACACTGTGCACTGCTCCCCCCTTCTCCACCATGCCTCGACTCACGCTCTCCTACTCTTCGTCTCTATATAAAGAACTTCCTCCTCTGCAACTATATCGATCGGATCAGCAACTTTGCACACATTCGAACAGAATACGCTGCATCAATATCTAAAGTCCCTCGACAAACTCGGAACATGGCTAGCACCGCCAGATCGCAAGATCCCGACTTCAACCTCCAGCTGCAAACATGTCTACATCAGCTCTGGGGCGAGATTGAAACCATCAACCCTGAGGACAGTCTACCACACAAGCCAAACGACTGGCCGGCACTGAGCTGGGATCTAGCATATGCCAAATGGCAGTGCTTGCAGCTCGAACGTTTGCTTTCTGAGCGTCCCCCTCCGGAAGCCAGGGACCGGTGGCTTCTTCAACAACAAGCGGCATTGCGCGCCGTCCTCCATAGAGCGGTCAAGAGCCACGGAGCACCTGCAACGCCCCTTCCGCAGGCCGGCGTCACTCCCTCTGGCGCGATTGATCACGCGGTGCTCGGTGCTAACGACCACAGAGCACACCAACAGCAGCCAAGCCACGCTCCCGTGCCGAATGAGCGGCCGCTGTCGCCAAATCGCGTGCCTCCGACCGCTGGACCGAGCAGAGGTCGAGCAAACAACGGCAGGCTCGTACACCCCCGTGATGGATCGTGTGCACAGTTGCGGAGGAACGGCGCGGAGCCTTGATGGGGCTGTTGACGTGGACGCAGGAACGAAATAGATACTTTTCACTGTTCGTATATCATTCACTGGCGTCCGCTCGGCGCGACGTTCACTCTGACCACTTTTCCTGCGTATATAATCGCGTCTCTTCACGCCTCTTCTTCTTCCGATATCCGACCGCCTTGACTCCAACTCCAAGATCAACCGCCACTTGCACCTCGAAACACCGCTCCACCGATCCAACCACGCAGCAACGAGAAAGCCCAGATCATATCGCCGACTTTCCAACCACCGACGTAAAGATGTGCACACAACCCGTCTTCTTCTTCGCCTGGGGCCACCCGAGCAGTCTGCAAGGCTTCTACGAACGCTGTTGGCGCTGGTGGCGAGGGCTACCGTGCCGGGTGTACTTCGAGAGGCGCTACTCTAGACACCCCTGCCAGGAGTGCCTCCCCACCTGGAACTAAGCATAGGATGGCGCTGGGGAGAGATTTGACGCAGAGAGGTCCAGGTGATGATATGCATGGTTGAATGAGGCGAAGGAGTAGAAACTCCGGTGAGGAATTGCAGGGGAGGGTTCATAGGGCAACATGTTGAGATCACAAGGCTGAATAGGGGCTAGCAAGACTATTCCACGCATATTGAACTCCGTCCCTCGTAATACCTCTGCCTTTATCCCACGGGACTGGGTTCGGTTAATCGATAGTGTGGTACCAAACTTGTAGAGAGCAAACATTCATCCCCGACGCTGAAGGTATACATACACTGCGCTTGCCCCTCGGTGAATGTCGACGACACTCTTCACTACTATACAACACCTCGATATATAAATGGCTTCTCTTCTTTCAATATACTCTTTATCCAAAACCATCTACTCGAAACCGAGAACAAGACCACCGAAGTAGCAGTCAATACCACTCAAACCGGAACCAATACCGGCACGAATCGATCACAGCACCACAAACGTCAGAGCAATGTGCTTCCTCGCTACCAGATACTATCGCTGCGGGCATCCCACCGCCGTCCAGCCCAGAATCGTGCCGTGTAACGAAAACCTCGCAGGACGGCCGTGCCGCATGAAATTCGAGACGTGGACGGTCGACGCGGATTGTCCGGATTGCGCAACCTCGGACGATTCGGGCTGATGGTTTGGCTGTGAAAGAAGGGAGGATGGGATTCGGGGTTGTTTGCTTGGGTTGGGGGTATCTCGGGAGGACAGCCTTGCATTCAGCAAAGAGGCCGAGGCCTGAGTCCGAGGATGCACAGGAGTTTCAGATAGCAAACATTCGTCCAAGATACTTATATTCTGCATTCACTATGACCACTGTATTGAATGCCGACAACACTCTTCAATACTTCCAATCAACTCGATATATAGATGGCTTCTCTCCTTCATATACACCTTTGCCCGCAACTCAACACACCACTATCACAACAGCTGCAAGTCAACTCGGAACGCCACTCGAAACGCAACTCTCACTTGATCGCCAACACAAGAACAAGCACGATGTGCGTCAACGTGCTCGCCACGTTCCGCTGCGGGCATCACTCCGCTGAACGGAGCAAGATCAGCCACTGTCGATTGTGGCGCGCGGGTCAGAGGTGTGTGATGTACTACCACAACGAGTACATCCCTCGAGACTGCTCTCACTGCGCGGGTCGACGACGGGGAGGGTGACGAGTGAGGCGGGGCTGTTGCGGGGGATATCAAATCATCGATAGACTCCCTGGTCAGATGCAGTGTGCCGATGGGGCCGCTCGCGGCGCAGGCATCAAGCTGATGACGAGGTCAGAAGATCATGAGAGATGGATTTCTAGGGCACACTGGGAGATGCGTATTCCGAGCGGCCCAATTATATCGGCCTAGCTAGTTGTGCGATGCGTATCGATCGTACTTCATCGTGACGAAAGTATTGGGTCCAGCCAACGAAGAGAGCGACAGTTCGCACCTTCGAGCAAACATGTCTCACGTTGCTATATACATAAGGCGCAGCTTCAACTTTGTTGCAGATACTGCTTTGACCGCGCCACGGCCCACAATGAATGATTAGACGATCCCTGAATCATGCGAGGGGAATGCTGATAGGTTGAAGGAGGGGACTTTCAGGCTGAGTCGCTCGGGGGAGAGGAAACGGGCTGAGCGCGGCTGGCGGCGCACGTGAGACAGCCTTGCCGCCTTAGACTTCACGCTCAGCCTGATCCGGAGATGCGCAAAAGGCAGACAGCAAACACTCCACATGTTACACTATATATTCACTACTTCTTTCCCTTCACTTTTCGACGGCACTCATTCACTTATACACATCACATCCGACGCGATTCACGACAACCCCTTCATTCACAGATATCCGTCACATTCAACGCCATTCACGACGACTGCTATTCACACTCCTAGATATATAATGGCGCTCTTCCTCCGTATACACTCTCTCTCATCTTCAACAACTCCACCAAATACCAACCTCCACACAAGCACAGTCAAGCCTTCAGCGCCGAACCACCATGTGCAAACGATACACCACCAAGTACGCCTGCGGGCATCAGTCCTGGACCACAGTCGGCGTCGACCTGTGTGAAGACTTCAAAAAGGGCAAATCCTGCGTGACTGAGTGGATCACTGTCTACACCGACGCATTTTGCAACTCCGTGCTTTGCCTGGCCTGCACGCGCCGCTGAGATGCAAGGCAAGGCGCTGAGTATTACTCTGGAGAGATGGGGGTGGACACTGAGGCTCAATCAATCACCATGGGGAGGGAGGACGGGGAGGAACGCGGGGCTGTCATGAGGATTAGATCGCTGGTTTCCATGGTTTCCATGCAGTACGGACGGGTTCTTGGTTTAGAGACATGGAGTAGCGTACGACAAGAGATTTAGTCGTGCGTTCAGAAATCAAGGCTTCGACAGCAAACAATCCTTCCAGTCTCACCGCCGCCGTTAATGCAGTCGTCGACGACGCCGTTCACTACACCCAAACTTATCCGTTGCCTTGCATATATAAATCGCTTCTCTTCTCCTCTAACCCACTATTTCAAAAAGCTCCAAATTCAAGTCATCCAAAGTCCAAATCAATCGCTGCACCGCACATCCAATCAAGCCCAAGGCCATACCTTCAACGCCGCAGAAATGTGCAAATCAGTCAACAAGATCCTCTCTTGCGGACACAAATCGAACTACCAGCCCCCGATTCGACGATGCCAGGCCTGGAGCGACGGCAAGAAATGCGAGGTCGAGTGCAAGGCTGAGACGGTGGCTGGTATCTGCCAACGTTGCGCGGCGCGCGGCTACAGGACTGTGAGTACTCTACGGGTGAATTGCGACCATACCGTAGCCAAAGGGCTAACTTGTTGGCTCTCTAGGGAGAAGAGACGCTGGTGGAGCGTGGGGGTAATGGGAGGTAGATTGTTGGCTGGCGACGTTCATGCATGTCGGACTGTTCTCGTGTGGGTGTTGCTGTTCCACGTGGGAGAGAATCATCGGTGAGACACACTGTCGTACGAGAGTACAGACTAGCAAACATGACGCGCGGTATACCTTCATTCAATGGCTGTTACGATGCTCTGAGCCCTCGTTCACTGCTGCCTTTTCGATTTTGCTCCAGTATATATATTTCCTTCTCCTCCGCCTGCTGTACGATGCCTCCAAGTCTCCTCATCACTCTTCGAAAGCAAATTCAACAATATCTACATCTAAGACGCTCATCTCCAATACCAATTCACAATGTGCATCCACACAATGCTCCTCCTCGCCTGCGGATGCCTCGCGCAAGTCCAGCCAACAGCATGGCTCTGCCCACCCGTTCAACGTGGCGAGCCTTGCGAATATCGCCACATCGAGACGGCCTACGACCGCCGGACGATTTGTCAAGTATGCCGCTTTCTCGACAACTTGTGTACGATGGACGGCCAGCCGACGATTCACACCGGAGCTGACCTCACAGAGCCAACGCGTGTCTAATTCCACGCTGCGACTTTGGCAATTGGGGGATCCAATGGCGTACAGGCAAGAGGGCTTAGTTAGCGGACATCTATCGCAGTATGCATTCTTTCACTGCTGCGGAAAGCGTGCGGTGTCGACTAAGGCTCAATTCTCAGCCTTGCGGCCGAAATTTCAAACTCTAAATTGCCCATCATCAACCACGCTCCCCACGATGCAACGACACCCGTCTTCTCCTCCGCTCTGCCTGCCCGATGGCCGCACAACAGATTTACGCCACGTAACGCAACATGTCATCTGATTCATTCCAAGCTGTAACCCTAGTTGTGCAACTCGCAAAGGGTTGTTGTCATTGCATTTCCGCCGGCGACACGGCAAGGCTAGCAAATATTCGATAGACTCCCCTCATACATTCCGCACTAGTACTACGGTTCCGCACGTCGAACACCCTTCTTCACTGTCTCATTACCTTACCACCGCAGTATATAGATGGACTTCTCCTTCCTTACATATACACCCTTCTCTGTTCAATGTACAAAAGCGGCTGGCCAAACCACACAACCAGCTCCAACCAAAACCGCTCTCACTCTCATCCTCGCCGGTACCTCCAGCTTACCGACAATATGTGTAAACGCAAGAACCGCATCCTCGCCTGCGGCCACCGCTCCAAATACCAAGAGAGGGTGAAGTCGTGCGCGCCACTCCAAGCCGGCGAGCAGTGTGAAGGCATGGAAGCGAGTACTAAGATCATCGCCGGGGTGATTTGCGCCTATTGTCGCAAAGTCGACGACGATACCAAGAACAATGAGGAGAAGCAGACGAGTTGGCCGCATGCGAAGAGCACGGAGTGCTGAAGTCATTCCTCCGGGGCTAGAGAGGAGGTTGGCCCATGGGCTGCGAAGGAGATAGATAGCTTGTGCTCATTCTTTCAAGAAAGTACAGCGAAGTGCTCCAAAGCCTTTCCTCAAAACCCCGCCGTAAAGACACCTCTTCGTGTCTGACGTAGACAGTTAGCATCCGCTGATGCACGTGAAACCACCGAAGTTCCACCGAGCACGAAACGTCACAATATAAACAATCACCCGCGTTGCACCACCACCTTAAAGGGAAGAGTTGGTCAAAGAACCAAATTTAGTACCTTAAAGGATTTGTAATGTTTCGCCGAGAACGCAAGTTCGAACGAAACTAATTAGAGCGCTGATCCACCGCTGGCGCAACTATTGAAACCAATTGGCAATAGTTGTATCGGCGGGGGGCTTGTGGAGTGTCTTCTCTTAAGTGAGGGGGCCGGGGGATCGGCTGTGGGCGGCGACGTTCACTTTTTGATCTCTCTTTGCCAAAGGGGCATAAAGTGGGAGAGCTGATGCTTGACGCTCGGGAGATGTATATGCTTTGTTTTTGCCCCTACCTTATGCCATCGATGTCTCTGTAGAAAGATGTGTGCAGATTTGGACCCACTATTCACGTGATGCGAGGAAACGCGGGAAATGGGTGCCAGTAGGCAAACTGTTCCAGCTAGGTAGGCTCATATCAGCCTAATCGAAACGGCACAGCATGTTTCACAACGGAACGACGATACGAAAGCAGATGTGAGTTCCGAGATCACATGGCCATGTTGTGCAACGCGCGCAAAGGGAGCTGCCCGAGGAATCCCATGACGAGGCTGACAACATGCCGTGTTGCTAGTCTTCCGAACAAAGGTCAAATGACCTCTAACACCCTCCCATCGCAGCCCTCTCAAGTACATACATAGAGCTCTCCCTCTCCCATACACCCCTTCCCAACAAAACAAACCCCTCGGGCCCCTTCTCAAGAACCTAGCACCCACCTCCCAAGCAAACCCACCCCCACGCAATCCCAATATCACTCACACAGCACAACTCACCCATCCAATCCCCTCAAGCGCAATGTGTCTCCGCATCCTCCAAAACCTCACCTGCGGCCACCGCGCCCAACTGCAAACCGGCATCACCTTCTGCAACCCCCATCGGCGCGGCGAAGGGTGCAAAGGCATGGTGACGAGCACGCGAGTCATTGCCGGGCTGATCTGCGCTCGGTGTCGGAAGGCCGAGAATGCGGCGGTGAAAGTGGATGGGGCCCGGATGGAGGCGCCTGGTATTGGTGGGATGGAGGGATAGGGGGGGTTTTGAAGGGGGAGGTTGAGAGGGGGTGTAGCCTTCGTGAGTCATTTTGTTGACCAAGGTTGAAGTTGAATTGAGATAAGAAAGCGTGAATTCGATTCGCATACGTGAAATTGGAAGAAAGAAGAAATCCCTCGCAAGTCCATGACATCCATGCCTCCCCTCAAAATCCCGAAAACCGCTGATTCAACGCCGACATTTCATTCTGCTCGTCATCGTCCAACAAAAACGTGCCCATCCCGCTCACAACGCCATAATCAAGGTAAGGTGCATAATCCGTCATGCCCTGCTGCGGATGCTGCTGCGAATGCTGCTGCTCATCCTCGCTCGAATCAAAGTAACTCACAATCGATGCGCGCGTGGAGGAGTCGCTGGGGTAGCCGTAGCCGCCGGGATCATGATGCATATTGCGGTTGACGGATTTGAAGGCGTCGAATTGGAATTCGAGGCCGTTTTGGGGCCAGAGGTTGTAGGCTCCTGCGGGCGCGGGGGGCTGTGGCGGCGGAGGGGCGTATTGCATGTCGGGTTCTTGGGGGATGGTGCCTAGGGAGGAGGTACTGTCGAGGTCTGGGGGCTGCATTGTCGTTGCTGGGCTCATGAGGTCGTAGGCTTGTGGTTGGGATACGAGGCTGTTGGCTGCGGCGTATTGCTGAGATATGTGGTCGACCATTGGTCGCTCTGGTAGGACTGTGGATCCCAGTCCTGCGTATCTGGGGTCTGGCACCTGGACATGTGCAGTAGGTGGATATTGGAGACCCACTGGGGTCCTGGGAGGCCCAGGGGCTTTCCTGGTGGCTTCGGTTGAACCGCTGAGGTCGGAGCGATGTCTCTTGGCCCGCATTTCCCGAGCGGAAGGTGTGTGTCGGCGTGTTGGAGCACTTTGCTGGGCGGCGATGGTGCCGTTTAGAGCATATCCGCTGCTGGGTAGTGTAGCTGCAGCAGATGCATTCGCTGCAGACATGCCTGGTACCCCAAGGGTTGAACGACGAATGGCAGTTGAAACAGAAGAGCGACGTCGATCATGTCGGCCATCTGATTGCTGAGGGGGAGGAGAGCCAGGATGGGATTGAACATCTGACAACGTTCCGGCGCTGATCAACGCATGTAAGAAATGGCGGACGTTGAGCGCGGGCTGTGTATGTCCCTCGAAAGTGATGATGCCGTTTTCGTGCACCACCGCCGCATCTTCGAGTTGCTGGATCGCCAGCTGGAGTTGCGTGTCCGACCATCGCAGCCGTTTCCATGCATCGCCGAGCCCTAAGGTCACCTCGCTCATATCAATGACGTGTTCCACCAGGCTGGGATGTCCGAGAAGCGTGCGCAGCTTGCGATTCAGGCTCGCTTTCGGGCGAGTGCTCCCCTTTTTGGATAGCTTGAGGAGATGCTCCAGGTACATTGACTTGGATGAGAACCATTCATCCGTGTATTCCGAGGCGTAGATGGTCTTGGCCGGCGGCTTGACGACGTTCCAATGGAAGTTTCCCATGCCGCAGCGGTTGCAATGCTTCTTGGCCTCAGCTTTGGTGTCGAAACACTGGTTGCATCTTTCGCATTGGAACACGTTCGGGGTCACGTGCTGCTCGTCCAGATGCCGTTTGCAGACGCCTTTGTAACTGAGGTCTTCGTTGCACACAATGCACCGATATGGCATTTCAGCCGGGGTCTTGCTGGGCTTCGAATCTTCATTCTCCTTTGATTTCGACCTCTCCGCTTGATTCTGGCCATCTGATTTACCCCCATCGGGAACACCAGTCGTCTTCGAACCGGACAGCTGGAAGATGTGTGAGTACGGACACAAGACTAACCTCTCGGCGAGACGCGGGAGGCTCAACTCACCTGTTGATTGGGCGTCGGCGTCTTACTCGGCGAAATCTTCGAATACTCTCGCCTCGCAATTCTCAAAATCTTCGAAGAGCTGCGAGACTTGACAGAGCGTTCGGATGAAGCGGCAGAAGTACGCGCTAAGAAAAGCGTAAGCCAACCGTCCCAAAGCACTGGCGGCTACCAGAAAGAAACACCTCTCCGGGAGGGCAAGCATGGACGTACACTTAGAATGAATAAAGAATTCCCGCACTGGATTGCCATCCTCCAGCGCCAGATTCAGAATGCTGACGGCAATGTCCTCGGAGGACTTACCATTGCTCTTCTTCAGGATGTCGCGAAGAAAAGCCACGGCGCGCTTGCGCGTCTCCTCGGCGTCTTTGGGGCGCTGCTGCACTGAGTCGGGCATCGTGTTGCTGCCTCACGGATACATCTCGCGAGGGTGAGAGGTAGAACAGAAGAGCGAGAGGGCCGCCAGAGGGGAGTGCCTAGCTTGGTGGTTGAATTCGCGGGACTTTCGCCAGATAGGCCGGCGGCTGAGCTCTAATAAGCGTGACCTCGACGACGCATGCCGCAGTCCACCGAACGTGCTCCGGCTGACTTTGTGCAGATCCTTCGCCCTGGAAACCGTGATAATGGGGTGGTGATGGTGCTAGGCAGTCAATGGGGTGAGGTGACCACGAATCGTGGGCGGCAATTCGAAAGAGTTAGCTCGTGTGGCAATAAGGTTCTTTCCCCGGCCTTCGTCCCGCTCCGAGGTGGGCTGCCTGCTTAGGTATTTGGCGTGGACGTGAAAGGCATGGATCGGCTCTGTGCGTATTCCATTTTGGTCGGTGGAGGTGCGAAACATAGAGGATCGTATACGGATATTACCTCAGGTACTTAGAGCCCAGGCTGTATGACAATGGAAGCGAGTCTGACGTTTGACACATGCCATGCCGGCAGATTAACTTGCATTGCGCCATCGGAGGAGCTATAGACAGGGATACCCATGGCATACAACCACGAAGCCGTTATGAGCCCTGTCGCTCGTAGTATGGCGCAAAGACACACGGCACAAACGCACTAGCCGGCACTGGCACCTCCGGGGCGCATGAGCTGCGAGTTCCCATGCTCGACACCGTCATTGAGACTCTTCAGCCCACCTGAGACTGCTTCTGCCTCGAAGGCCACATCCAGTCTTTGAACTCCTCATAGCTCTGCCGCGCCGCACCCACAGCCTTCTCCTTCGTCCGTTCAAGCGCCGTACTGCGCGCGAACCTCGCCCGCGCCTTTGCGCAAATCGTCGCATCCAAAGTCTCCAGCGTGGCTTCATACTCCGCACCACCGTACGGATCGGTGGGCACCATCTTCGCCGCCTCACTCTCCTCCAGCGGCAGCGCAGGCACGACTCGAATGACGTAGAACTTGTTGGCGTAAGTCGGCTTGACGTAGCCCAGACTCAATTGCGCGGGTTCGTCGGGGGTGCTCGCCGGCGCAAGCATCTTTGCGTGATTGCCTGTGCCGGGAAGGCGTTGCGGCGTGGCTGCGGCGAGCACGTCGGTGTTGTCTTTGTCCGCCAGCGCGGCGGCGAGAGATAGCTTCTCCGCCAGGGCAGTAGCGACTGCTCCGCCGTGCGTGACGCCAGGCCAGCCGCATAATGAGCCGCCGAACCACACGACCGCGACCAGCATATCCTCGGCTCTGTTAAAGAAGATTCTCTCGACCCCGAACCCCTTCGCTCCTTTCAGCTGTGTGACCAATCCCTGCTTCGTCTCCGCCGTCTCGCCCAGCTCTACGGGTAACGGTATGACCTCCACCCACCCTCCGACTTCTCCCTTGAGTTGCTTCGACATGGATAGACATTTTCCGCGCAGAATCTTCACTTTGAATTCCTCGTCGATGCGCTGGTTCAGGTCGGCCAGCAGGATGCCATCTTCTCTTGAGCCGACGGCGGGCAATGGAGGAGGAGAGACGGTGTGGACGATGAATTGGCCGGCGACGCCTCCCAGGGTCAGACCGAGTGCGCTCCAAAGAAGGCCCGCTCGATTCCGGCGGAAGAAGCCTGGTTTGGCGGGGGTTGAGGGAGAGGCGGTGCTTGATTGTGATCTTCTTTGAAGGTACTGGTAGCGCGTAGAGAGATGGAGACGAGCTATGCGCGGTCCCAGCGTGCGGGAGGCGCTCATCGTGTGGTATGCCGGTAGATCAGGGCGATGTACTCATCTCCGTTTGACCTGCGAATGATGTTTCTTGCAGAGCCTCGGCTGGAGCTTCATCAGAGCTCGCTCCGCTTCTGGCCCGTGCTCTTGATCTTGTCTGGCAGACGCTTTGACTTACCGCATCAGCCTTACCACTTGATATGAAAGGAGTGTATTGTCTCCTATCATAAAATGCTCACCACTGGGTGAATGGAGTAAGCACATGGAAGCATCCACCTTCGTGCGGCTCTCGCCGGAGCTCCGCAACCTCGTCTACCATCACGTCTTCACGACCGACTACGCCGTCACGCTCAAGACGAATGGCATCCAGCATCCGCTAACGCTGACATGCCGTCAAATACGAAGAGAGACACTCCGCATGTATCTATCACTGACGACCTTCAACGCCCATCTAGACGATGGCCCGACCACACCTCTCGCGCATTGGCTTCAGACCATTGGCGCAGAGATGTGTCTTCTCCTCCGCGAGGTGCGGATTTGGGACATGCACACGCTCAACGCGACGCTGCGCGGGACGGAGAGTACAGAGCGCATGCTTACGGGGGAGAAGGCGGAGGATGGGGGAACGTATGTGCTCCGACCCGTCGGCCGCCAGTTTTTCTACAAAAGCTGGTTCCTCAAGGACATCAATTTGCCGCTGCGCTCGCTCGGCCTGGGACTCGAGCGCATCTGCATCCTGCAGGACGACGGCAGTTTGAAGCAGACGTCACAGTTTGCGCTTCTGCCGGTTACATCGCCGCCGGCGGTGGTGGATGGGTGTGCGGCGATGGCGGAGGAGTTTGGGCTTAGTGAGGCGGAGCAGACGAGTCTTGCGAGGCAACTTGGGCAGGGAAGGGAGGAGATTAGGCTGTTGGACGGGAGGAGACATGTGATTTTGAAGTTTGATGCGCAGCGTAGATTGGTGTCGATGAGGCAGGAGTTCATTGCGCGGGACGAGGAGTTCTATCTCTGACATAAATGACAGTCATGAAATGGCCGTTTGTAAGGCGTGCACCGGCTGGCGTGAGCTCTGATGAATGTCTCACCGACAAACCGGCAAAGGAGCCAGATTGGTAAGAGGCACTGACTAACTTCAAGCTGTTGGCGGTTAGTTCAACGCATGCTGACTGTCTAGCTGCCCAACACGACTGGAGCCTGTCATGTCGTGCTGGATGTGTCAGAGCGGGGCCTCCAGGCGTGCCGTTGTAAGCGTCTCGATCCCGCGGAGTTCATGTGCTGGCCAGCCGGTAGCGAAGTCGAGGCGCGCACGGCAGTTGTTTGGCAATCTTGTGGAGTTAGCGTGTCGGGGTGGCATGTGCCAAATGCGCAGAGGGCGGAGGCCGGAAGCAGCGGGCGCCCGGCAATGCGAACGGGTTGCGATGAATGAGGAATAGAGCCACTCAATCCGCTGCACCATCCGGCCCCGAAGCCCGACATGGGAGCGGACCGGGCGAATCTCCGGCGGGTGCGGTTGCATGTGCATCATCAGCAGCGTGCCTTGCGCTTTTTAGCCTTTCCGCCTCGTTCCACCTTGCCGTGCGCGTGGTGAAACCTGCAGGTGATGTAACTGCATTGGTCGGGAGAGTTCTTCGTATTTCATTAGATGCAGCTCCTCCCAACGTGTCCGGTCTGCTCACCTTTGTTTCCCGGGGATGCTCTCGTGCGGGCGATTCGGAAGGAACGACTCGAGTCTGGATCAGTGAATTGAGCAAAATATCCATTGAGTGCAGTGAATGAGGTCGTCATTCACTGTTTGTCGATCCACCCTGTCAGCCCGGAGCGCTGTCATCTTGGCGCCGGCATGCGATAACGAGAAGAGGATAACTTACATACCTTCGCACCTGCCGTGTGTGCAACAATCACCGCACCTTCCACACCTCCTCTGTGACAACAATAGCTTGGCAGAAATGGGAAGCGTCTTCAACGAATCCTCACCCGCCGTCACTCCATCTCTCACCAGACCAACCAAACCACCCTCCGCCAATGGCCGCTCGTTGAGCCCAGCTTCTAAAAAATCTTAGCGCTCACGCCATCTCCACCAACACCCACACCATGCCGTTCCGCTTCCGTTCAGCCTTGCTGTTCGCAATAGCCTTGCTCGGCCTCCTTCAACCCGCCATCTGCGCGAATGGCGGAGGTGGGAAAAGCAATGCAGACGATGGCTACATCTCCTACACCAATGCCCAAGGCCAAACCGTCTTGTTAGCAGACGATCGCAGACCTTCCTTGTACACTGGCAACTACGGAGACTGCTTAGGCAGTAGTCTCATCAACGTCACTCGCTTCGATGCCGCCTACTACCAGGACAACATGACTGTCATCTTCCACTTGGAGGGCAATACTGCTCTGCAGAATGAGAGCGTCGTCATGTACATTGGAGTCTACGCATACGGCTCCAGCAGATTCGACTTGCTCTTTAACCCCTGCCAGGCCAACATTCAAAGGTTTGTCAACCAGTCTTGATATTCACGCTTGGCGTCTGCTAACAACTCGTCGACAGCGCCTGTCCGCTGAACAGCAGCGTACCTATCGTTGCCAGCGGCACCACCCCCATAGCTCCAAGCGACATATCCGACATTCCATCAATAGCCTTCACCATCCCCGACTTCGAAGGCCAGGCCATCCTCCGAATCTTCGCCAACAGTACGGAGAGCGAGATTGGCTGCTACTCGGCTGTCATTACGAACGGCAGTTCGTTCGCGCAGCCCAAGAGCGTCGGCACCATACTTGGCATCTTTGCATTTCTCGCAATGATTGCGTCGTTTGCCACCGCAATCTACGGCGAAGCCATACCCACCATGCGACTGCATTATGCTCATTCACTGTCGGTTGGGGTCGTCTTTGCAGTCTATCAACACATCTTCTTCACCGGCGCCTTGTCCGTGAACTGGCCCTCCGTGCTAGTAGCCTGGTGGCACAACTTTGCCTGGAGCGGTGGAGAAATCTACGTCGCTAGCATGCAACGAAGCATCGACCACTTGATTGGTACCAACGTCGGAAATACATCCGAGGTCGGCGCGGCGCCGTCGACAAGCAATGATGTGGTCGGCGGCGGGTACGACATCAGTCAAATCTACAAGAGAGCGTTTGGCGCTACTCGGAGACTGGCTAGCAACCACCCTCTACTCCGAGATCTTGCGTCAGAGATCTATGGTGAGTCCGCCATACAGCGGCGTGACGCTTTGCCGAACAAATCCGACGGCTACAGCTATTACGGACACCCCATCGGAGCGGGCATGCCTCTTCCTGGCAACTACTCCGGCTTCGCGGGAACACTGGCACAGGAGAACATCGCCGTCAGCAATGCATTCGTGACCGGATTGCTATGGTTTTTGATCCTGCTGGCAGGTGTCATGTTTGCAGTGGCGATGTTCAAGGGCATGCTGGAACTACTCGCTCGCCTCCGCGCCATCCAGCACGATCGGCTCAAGTTCTTCCGCGACCGCTGGATCGGCTACACCGGTCTCGCTGCTCTGCGGACTTGCTTCATCGCCTTCTTCATGATGATGTTCTTGACTATTTTCGAGTTCACCTTCCAGTCATCGGGTGGTGTCAAAGCCGTTGCTGCTGTGGTCTTCTTGATCTTCCTTGTTGGCTTGGGAGGGGCCGCAGGCTATGCATGCTACTACAAGAAACGCTATGTCGATGGGCAGGCCGGAAGCATTAAGGAGCATAAGAAACTCCTTGGGGTCATTCCTTGGCCGGTGTCCAAGAAAGTGGATCCATATGCCGGCGATGCTCCACCACCAAACGAGGAAGGAGAGAAGGGCACTGGACACGCATCTTTGAGCAGAGCGAACGAAGCTGACGACGTGACACCAACCTCGGACGTCGTGGATAATATCCACGACAACGAAGATTACACCACCAAGTTCGGCTGGCTCGCTTCTCGCTTCCGGCGCACACGCTGGTGGTTCTTTGCCGTTTGGCTTCTCTACGAATTCGTTCGTGCCGCCTTCTACGGCGGGGCATCGGGACACCCTCTCACTCAGGTCTTCGGTCTGCTCGTGGTGGAATTCATTGCCTTCGCCTTCGTCGTCTGGGCGCGGCCTTTCGAGGGCAGGCGTTTGAATGTCCTCGTTGTCTACTGCTTGGGATTCAGCAAAGTCACCACTGTCGCCCTTTCGGCCGCCTTCGACGTCACATTCAACCTGCAGCGCATCACCACCACCGTAATCGGCATCGTCATTATCGTTATCCAGGGAATCCTCACAATCATAACGCTGATTGCAATCATCGTAGGCTGCATCAGCAGCTACATGTCAGTCTCACGGAACCGCGAACAATTTCGACCGAAGGACTGGCACGGCCACCGGGAGAAGTACTTCGATCATCTCGACCGTACGGCTAACGACCTACCCCGAGAACCGAAGCCGAAGAAGGAGAAGAAGAAGTCCGAACCTCCCGTCGAGCCTGTCGTTGGCTTCGAGGTGCGCGGCATAAGGCGCCAGGATAAGATCGAGGATGAAGATGAAGAGTTTGCTTCGGAGATGCGCTCGCAAGCGCCTGAGCCAACTCATCTCGCCTTGAATGACCTGTCAAAAGCGCCCATGTACCCTTCTAAGATGCCTGAGGAGAGGGTGAGGAGTGGAGCGGCGTCGCCAGTTGGCGCCAGTCGCCCGGCAAGCGTGGGTGGTCTCAGCCGCTCGGGAAGTGCGGCTGGTGTCAGTCGCGCAGGCAGCGTGCGAAGCTTGAGCCAGAGCAATCTGCCCTACGGCGCACGGCCCCATCGACCGAGCTGGTCTGCGAAGGACTTCAGAGACTACAACCCCGCTCCTGAAGGCGAGGGTATCGCCTCCCGACCTCGATCAGCGAACTTCACTTCCGCCGGCGACGCCGACGACTACGACGAACCAAGCGCTCCGCTGGCACAGAGGAGGTGGAGCAGTCACAGCCGCACCTCGTCGCTGCGAAGCAACAGAAAAGTCCCACACTGGAACCCTAGCAGCGAGTCTCTGAAGATCGGAGGCGATGTTAGCACGCGCGATACTATTGGCAATGTGCCGCCGCCGCTCACGCGCTCGCGCCCGAATTCCTTCAGCCGAGGACATCGCCGCAGTCTTTCGGGGCAGGCAATCGAGGATGAAGGAGGCGAGGGCGATTTTCAAGCTGCGACTCCGCAGAGGGGTAGTAGGTATTTGCCGATGATGACGCCGGCGCAGGAGAGGGACGAGTGGGTTGCTGGATCGTCGAGTGTCCAGGCGGAGGAACAACCTCAGATACTGGAGCAGCCGCAGACACAGGAAGGAGCTCAATGAGCTATGGGGCGCTGGGAATGTCCACGGCGTTCGATTTGCATTGCTTTCGGGGGATGGGTTAGGCGATGGGTGCTGTGCTTCCGGCACACTGGCGAAACCGACGAAGCTTAACGCAGCGATTTTGGGATTTGGAGAATGGTGCTTGGGATGCTGATATCCGGGAACAGTTAAACCGTATAGAGCAGTAGAGGACAGCTAAGATATGTTTACATCAGATGATCCGCGTCTTGGTCTATTCGGAACTCAGGCTCCATCTAGTCAGTTAAGAATCACGTGACAGCGTGCCACTCTCGAGAAAGAACTTCCCAAGCGGAGCCTCCAACGTCACCGCACATCCTCCTCCCAAACGAACCTCCAACAACCCCACAATGCGCACCTCACATGCCTGACCCAACCCCCAACGGCGACCCAGCCGATCCACCCGTCCGCCTCTCCCTCCCCCTCGAATTCCAACAAGACATCTTCCACTCGCTGCGCGAAGAAGACGGCCTCCTCGTGCTCGCGCGCGGCCTCGGCCTCCTCCAACTCGTCACCAACCTCCTGCACTCCTACGACGCCGCGGGCAACAATCTCATCCTCCTCGTCGGCGCCGACGACCGCGAAAATGGCTGGATCGGCGAGTCGCTGGCCGAGTATGCGGCGCGCAGCGGCAGCCCCAAGTGCCGGGGTTTGCAGCTGGTGAATACGGATAATATGAGCGTGGGGACGCGGGAGAAGCTGTATGCGGGCGGCGGGGTGTTTAGTATTACCAGTCGGATTCTCATCGTGGATTTACTGAGTGGGCTGATGGATCCGGCGACGGTGACGGGGATGGTGGTTTTGCATGCGGAGCGCGCGGCTGCCACGAGTTTGGAGGCGTTTATTGTGCGGATATACCGGCAGAAGAACCGGAAAGGGTTCTTGAAGGCTTTCTCCGACCAACCTGAGCCGTTCACCGTCGGCTTTCAACCGCTCAGTACGGTTTTGCGGAATCTGTTTCTGCGCACGCCATTGTTGTACCCTCGCTTTCACGTGGCGGTCAGCAAGTCTGTGGAGGGCAAGCGGACGGCCGAGGTGATTGAGTTGGAGATTCCGATGACGGACGCCATGCGCGAGATTCAGAATGCCGTTATGGAGTGCGTGGAGGTGTCGATTGCCGAGCTGAAGAAGTCGAATCCGGGGTTGGAGATGGACGATTGGAATCTGGACAGTGCTTTGCATCGATCGTTCGATACGATTGTGCGGAGACAGCTGGACCCTGTGTGGCATCGCACGAGCTTCCGTACGAGGCAGATTGTGAATGATCTGTCGCGCCTGCGGACGATCTTGCATGGTTTGCTGACGTATGATGCGGTGAGCTTCAACAAATACCTCGACACAGTGCTGGCTGCTTCTTCGCCACCACCTGGTTCGACGAGACAGAATCAATCTCCATGGCTCTTCCTTGATGCTGCTCACACTCTGTTCGACACGGCGAAGCGGCGAGTGTACACCGGCAAGATCACAGATTCCATGTCAACAGATCAGACGGGTCTCAACCCGGTGCTGGAAGAGATGCCCAAGTGGAGTATGCTGGCCGAGTTGCTGGACGAGATTGAGAGGGATACTTATTTCAACCCACAAGCGCATGATGAGAGCAGTGGAAGCATTCTGATCATGTGCGGGGATGAGAGCACTTGCCAGCAATTGCGGGAGTACCTTCAAACCATGCATATCCATGAGAACGAGGCACCTGATGACTCGACCGGAGAAGACGGCCAGCCGCCTGCGGCCAGACAGCCAAGTGCGAAGACTATGATGCGACGCAAGTTGCGCAGTTATCTTTACTGGAAGAGGCAGTTCGCCCGCGTCAGCAGCAACCTCTTTGCGGAGGATCAGAAAGTCATCAGTGGCACAACAAGCCATTCGAACACTCATAACAGCAGAGGCAAGGCGCCCCCAAACAAACGACGCCGGATGCGGGGTGGCGCCACAGCAGCGACTGCACCTCAGCGCACGGCCAGCGGAAGCATACAGATCGCCGGAGACAAAGAGGCTCACATCCAGTCCCTGATACAAGACCTCGGTCCGAACGATCATGAGGATGCGAATGCACCGGCGGATGATGTACTCGACGCTACCGACGATCGAGACGACTTTTACGAACTTTACGATATGAGAGACCTTGTTTTGATACATCCCTACGACGGAGACATGGACGACCATCTTCTGGAAGAGGTGCGGCCACGATATGTCATCATGTACGAACCCGACGCGGCTTTCATCCGGCGAGTGGAAGTTTACCGCAGCAGCCACAGCTCTCGCCAGGTGCGAGTGTACTTCATGTACTACGGCGGCAGCGTGGAAGAGCAGCGATACCTCTCCGCCGTGCGCCGAGAGAAAGAAGCCTTCACAAACCTAATTCGAGAAAGAAGCAACATGGCCATGACCTTCACCCACGACGCCGCCCAGCTCGACCCACAAGAATCCTTCCTTCGCACAGTCAACACCCGCATAGCCGGTGGCGGCCGTCTAACCGCCACCGCCGAGCCGCCCCGCGTAGTCGTCGACGTGCGCGAATTCCGCTCCAGCCTGCCCTCCCTCCTTCACGGCCGCAACATGATCGTCGTCCCCTGCATGCTGACAGTAGGCGACTACGTCCTCACGCCAGCCATCTGCATCGAGCGCAAATCCGTCAGCGACCTCGTCGCCTCCTTCAACAACGGCCGCCTCTATCACCAAGCCGAGACCATGTTCCAGCACTACACCAACCCCATGCTGCTAATCGAATTCGACGCCCAAAAAGCCTTCACCCTCGAGCCCTTTGCAGACCTCGGCTCCTCCCTCGGCGCCGCCACGCTCGTCTCCTCCGACCTGCAATCCAAGCTCGTCATGCTGTGTCTCGCCTTCCCCAAGCTGCGCATCATCTGGTCCTCCAACCCGCACCAGACGGCGGAAATCTTCGAAGAGCTGAAGAAGCAGCAGGAGGAGCCGGATCCGTTTAAAGCGGTGCAGATTGGGCTCGACAGCGGCGACGATCCGGAGTCGAGGACGTTTAATCTGACGCCGCAGGATATGCTGCGTGCTCTTCCGGGGATGACGGGCAAGTCGCTTGCGAGGCTGATTTTGGAGTATGATAGTGTGCTCGATGTGGCGAATGCGCCGCTGCAGGAGTTGGCGGATTTGGTGGGGTTTGAGAGTGCGAGGCCGATTCGGCAGTTCTTTGATCGGAGTGTGTGGGACGAAGGGGAGATGTAAATGAGTCTGGTCGTTGAACGAATACTGACATTTAGTGTCGGGTTGGTTCACTTGAGATGATTTCAGGTGAGCACTCCTAGTTGTATCAGCTTCAGTCAAGACGATGCCAGAAAATGGCATGTGATGCTCAGCTCGTCTGCTACCTCATTCTGCTTCTTTCTTTCACTTCATCCCTTCTTCCTCATCTCATCGAATATGAACGTCCTTTTCGAATTCGTCGCGGCCAGCGTCTACAATCTCCCGTCTAGGGGGGCACCCTGGTTGTGATCTTTCACCGTCATCGACTCACTTATCACCTTGGTTCACTTCTTGTCCTTTCCCTCTACTACTTAACACCAAACAGCACCCGCACTCAACGATACCGTTTCCTTGGAACTTGCACACCTTCGAAGATCACAAGCACTCACACCAGAGAATCTTGGACTGCTTGATGAGCGTCTTACCTCCGGACACAAGACTCGTAACGATCAACCCGTTGCGCTCCCAGCTTCTACTCGACCAGCAAGCACCATCGTGCGAGCAATCACACACGGCCAGTTTTAGCCGCTTCATCCCATCACGGAACTCCAAATCACCTTCGCCCCTCGCAAAGCTTCACTCAACCGCAACCATGCCTACTAAAAAGCTTCATTCGAACACGCTCATATCATCGACCCTTCCGCCTCCGTACGCCCCAGGCTCCCTCAACATAGACATCGATACCGAACCATCAACCTGGGGTCCTGAGCACCTGCTACCCAAGAAAGTCGGACTCTCCCTGCGCAACAACTTGGGCAGAAGCGTGAAGCAGCAAAGACTAAAAGACCACCGCACTACCAATGCACACATCAAGGACGTCTTAGGCGTCAAATACGACAAAATCGACACAAATTCGATGTCGAGGGAGCAGCGCGGTGGCTTGCTGTGGAGCCTGCGCAAGGCGGCTCTCATGGGTCTTCTGTATGCGGGCGAGGGCCCGATGCAAGTCACCCATCCTGAGGAGTTTGATGTTGATGAGGAGGAAAAGTGGTTGATAGGGGTGCACAAGAAGTTTTTGAAAGCTGCACCAGAGAAGAGTGGGTGTGGGGATGGATGCGAGGATGATGAGGATGATGAGGAGGTTTGGCCGACGGTGGGAGCGTCTTTCGAGAAGAAAGAGGGCCAGGATTTTGTCGAGAGCGACAGCGAGTCTGAAGATGGCGCGGACGGCAATGCGGATGCGGAACAAGAAGTGAATCACAAGGACGGGGCCGACATCAAGGACCGGGTGAAGGTTACGACCGAGAGCAAGGGTGATGAATGGTCGGAGCCTAGGAAACGAAACTGGGGCGTCGAGTGCAAGCCTTGTACTCGTGGCTTCGGGATGATGGTTGGTGAGGAGGGAGATTCAACAGCTGAGGACGAGCAGGACTTAGGGAAGAACGGAATCCCCAAGATTGCGAAGATGGCGTATGAGAGCAAGGGCGGGGAAGGAGGACTGGTGGGCAGGAATCGAAAGTGGGGCGTCGAGTGCAAGCCTTGCACCAGTGGCTTTGGGATGATGGCTGCTGAGGAGGATATCAAGATGGGAGGCTTCTATTGAGGAGTCAAAAAGAGGGACAGATGATGGAGAGGCAACGTTTGAGTTGCTCCACAAACCGATCTTCTGGTGCTGACCGGGAAACGTATTGAGTTGAGCAGGGATAGAACGACAGAGAACCCCAACCCATACGCAGATAGTCGAGAAACAATCTCCGTGCACCGAGAAGATATATGCGATCATGCCTACTTCAACGACTTCTTAATCTCCTCCCTCATCGCCTCCGCCTCCGCCTCCGCCGCCTTCCTCCGGTCAAGCTCGGCTTGCACGGCTTGCTTCTTCTGCCTGGCTGCTTGCTGTTCAATTTCGTACCAAACTGGGAGGCTGTCAGTCCAGGTTTACTGTGTAAACACTGAGCGTGGCTTACTCGGCTTATCACTCTTGGAGTACTCCTTCAACTTGTTGACGAAGTGGTCAAACTCTTCTTGCTTCTCCTGCCGCCGCTCCAAGGAACGGCGCTGGAGTTCGGGATTATAGCGCTGCGAGTCCTCATCAGCATTGCGGAGTAAGAAAGGCACGGATGGAGGTCCGTACGAGGAACAATTGCTCTTCTGTGGGCATGACGTAGTAGATCAATGCCGGACCGCCAATACACATTGCCGCTCCGCTGGCTTGCCGTCAGTCTTGCAGAAAAAGGGTACAACGAGTGTTGGGTTATACTCACGAGATCCCCATGAGGGCCCACACCTTGCCCGTGATCTAAATCTCGAGGTCAGCGATCTGCTCACGTGCTCTTGGAAACGCCTAATTTGCCACCGCCTGCTTTGCAGCGCGATGAACCATCCCTGGCTCAGCAGTATAGACTCATCGCGGCATTGAGCAATCGCTCGACTGGCGGTTAGAATGATGGACTCGACGTACCGGAGGCATGATTGTCAATACGCCAAAGGCGGATGTGCAGCGACTTGCGTCGCAAGATGAGGCAAGGGTGACAGCAATCGCACACGCGCTGTTCGACGGGCAACAGTAGCTGGAGTGTTGATTGCCGTGACCGGTCGCAGCGGGTGGTATCTGTTTCTTGATGGCGAGTTGATTTAATGTGGCGGAGCCTGGATGGGGGTTATAATCGCGTCAAAGCGTGCAAGTGATGCTGTCGTCGATTTAAGGTTCCGGTTTGCTGCGCGCTGATTGGTCAAAAGCAGGGAGCCTCGAATACTCCGACCATCATTCTCCTGCTGCATTTTCAGCTGCTCCCACTCGAAGCAATGTTGCTAAGCCGGCCGCATTTGAGACTGACGCCGTGTAAGCGGTTTCAGCTACTTGTGCCAACGGACAACCCCGCTTTCGTTACGTTGATCCCACGAAAAAGTACCTGGATAACTTCCTGCTTACATCACAGCCGCAGCGTGTATCCACGGTCCATAAGATCTCAAGCTTAGTCCATCTATCTTTCCCTTGCACCTTCGATCCACCCTTCTTGCGGATTGTTCTCGATGGCGCGACCCACTATCGTCTTTGTTCCGGGCTCATGGCATGGCCCAGAATGCTTTCAACCCCTGATGGATGAGCTGGCCGGCCATGGCTTCAAGACGACCGCCATTGCCCTCCCAAGCAATACGCTAGACACACACGCGCCGCCTGCAACGCTGTCCGATGACACAGCAGAGGTGCGCAAAGCCATCGAAGCAGATCTGGAAGTGGGCAACGACGTGTGCCTGATCGCGCACAGTTACGGAGCAGTGCCGGCAAGCAACGCCTGCCGCTCGCTAGGCAGAGACGCTCGAGCTGCATCGGGGCAGAAAGCAGCAGTCGTCTCGTTCGTCGTCATGACCGGTCCTCTAGTCTTCCCGGGAATCTCATTCGCCGGCGATTTCGGAAACAAGCCAAGCCCCATTCATAATATCCAATATCCGTTCACCAAAGTGGGCGAGCCGGGGCCGGGGTACTGGTTCTATCACGACTTGCCGGCAGAGGAAGCCATCAAATGGTCGCGGCGGGTCATGACCTCGTCTTGGAAAGTGTGCGAAGAGACGATCACGCATGCCGCATTTTTGGAGATTCCTACGTGGTACCTGCTTACCACGTTGGATAATGCAATACCATTGGGTGTGCAGAAGTACTTTGTGCAACGCGCGAGGGACAAAGGTGCGCTCCTGCCGGAATCCCATGTTGTCGAGCTTGCGTCTGGCCACTGCCCGTTCCTATCACAGATCGACGCGACCAGTGCGTTCATTCGAAAGGCGGCTGGAGAAGTCTAGATGTGTCGATGTGAAGCATCGTACGTATGAGCGTCGTAGCGCGTAACGATGGTCTTCCATCTCATCACATTCTGCATGTTTATCCGAGCCCTACAATCCCCGGCCAGCCCTGGGCGCCACATGAAGATCTATGTTATCGTAGAGCGCTACTGAGGAGTGGACTTGGTGCCAATGGACGTGCATAAGAGTAATGTGACCTGCAGTCACCGTCTCTGTGCGGGTTTTACAGCCCGAGCATGTCATCCGTGACCACTCCTTGAGAGTCCATGTCGACGCGTTCAACGCGTCAAGTCAAAGGCCGACATGAGGATCGAAGGGCGGGATGATGCTGAGCGCATGGCGGTCTCGGAAACGTACCATGCATTGGCGGCGTGTAGGCAACAAAGTGCAGTGTCGTGGCGAGGGAGTGTCGGAGTGGCACCGACCAAATGCGGTTAGTCCACACTCGCTAAGGGTCCAGCAAGGCCCACGCGGCTGGAGTGGACGAGACCGAGACGAGACTTGCAGCAAGACCCGTCGATCTTTGCAAGTTGCAGTAAAACATCGACAAAGCCAAAGGCAGGAGCCGCCGACTGAATCATCCCAAGACATCCCTCCCTGCCTCGCTCGAGAGCAGCGTGCGCCCTCTACCCAACCTCACCACGGCACCCTCTACCCCACGACCCTCCGCGTCTCGCTCCTCCACCACTCTGTCCTCCCCCCTCGCCGTCGCCGAACAACTCACCACCGCCCGCGCCACCCTCTGGGACCCCAAGTTCACCACCCGTGAGCCCCCCGACATCCGACTGCACCCCACCCATGTGGGCACGCTGAGTGTTGGTGCACGCACAGACAGCAACATCTCGGTGCGCAGTTTGGGAGGCGGACACACGATTGAACCGATGGACAAACGACATCCCTCCAGCTTCCAGCAGCTGGAGAAGCTGGGGGAAGGGACTTATGCCACAGTGAGTCGCAGTCCTAATACCCGCACGGAGTATGCTACCGCAGAAACCCCATCCTGACACTCCTCTCTCCCCCAGGTCTTCAAAGGCCGCAATGGCTCGACTGGCCAGTTCGTGGCGCTCAAGGAAATCCACCTTGACAGCGAAGAAGGCACGCCCAGCACCGCCATCCGCGAAATCAGCCTGATGAAAGAGCTTAAGCACGAGAACATCGTCTCCCTCTACGACGTCATCCACACCGAGAACAAGCTCATGCTCGTCTTTGAATACATGGACAAGGATTTGAAAAAGTACATGGACAGCTACCAGGCACCTGGTGGAGGGCCCCGCGGCGCCCTCGAAGCCAACACCATCAAGAGCTTCATGTGGCAGCTCCTGCGTGGCATCGCCTTTTGCCATGAAAACCGCGTCCTGCACCGCGATCTGAAGCCGCAGAATCTGCTCATCAACACCCAAGGCCAACTCAAACTCGCCGATTTCGGCCTTGCGCGTGCTTTCGGCATCCCCGTCAACACCTTCAGCAACGAAGTCGTCACCCTCTGGTACCGCGCACCCGACGTCCTCCTGGGCTCCCGCACCTACAATACCAGCATCGACATCTGGTCCGCAGGCTGCATCATGGCAGAGATGTTCACCGGCCGGCCCTTGTTCCCCGGCACGACGAACGAAGACCAACTACAGAAGATCTTCCGCCTCATGGGCACGCCTTCGGAGCGCTCGTGGCCTGGCATCTCCAGTTTCCCAGAGTACAAGACGACGTGGCCGGTGTACGCGACGCAGGAGCTGCGCGCCATCCTGCCGCAGATGGACGGGCTGGGACTGCAGTTGTTGGGCCAGATGTTGCAGATGAGGCCGGAGATGCGCTGCTCGGCGCAGCAGGCCCTCAACCACCCTTGGTTTGCAGAGCTGAATCAGAGGAGCCAACAGCAGGCGGCGGCGCAGGGGCAGTTTGCTCCTGTGCAGGGCATGGTGGCTGGGCAGCAGAGGGCTTACTAGAATTTCGACTCGCGGCGCTATCAAGGGGGTCCGTAGGTACATCACACGCGCCTCCCGGACGGTCGCGGCGAGAGGTCAGGAGTTTTGGGCTTGGCTACTGTGGATGAACGGAAAATATCGCTGTTTTGAGATCGTGTACTCTATTGCTTAGGGTTGGAACATTGCTTGCTATTAAGTTCATGGTGATGAATGATTCGGAAGAAATGATCGCATTGAAAGTCTTGCCTCCCACTCACTCGATTTCGTCTACATGTTGGATCAGACGGCTTTCACCACCGCCCTGCAAAGCGGGCCGATGTCAGAGTCCACTCAATTTGGAAGGTCGCCGATCAAAGAAGTCACATACAACCTCACTCATTACAAAACATACCCGTACGTGGAAGTCTTGAGCGCAAACCATCTCGAAACTCCACCATGCCCCATCTCAAACGATCCAGATAGCCAATGTCTCCACCCAAAAGGCACGTCGTCTTCGACGTAGTAGGCACCTGCGTTTCGTTCGACGCCTATTACCAACGCATCGACGCCGTGCTCGGCCCCCGGCTCAGGAAAGAAACCATTTCGGCGCAACACTTCGGCTTCACGTGGCAAACGGCTGCGGAGTTGGAATTCACCTTCCTCTCCATCTCGGGCAGCTACAAGGCGTACAAAGACGTGCTTCGCGGCCTCTTTTACCGCACGCTTTACTTTTGCGGGGTCGCGGAGCCGAGAGCGTTCGCTACTGATGAGGAGAGGGATGAATGTATTGATGGCTATTCAAGTCTGGAGTTGAGGCCTGGGTGTCGGGAGTGCTTTGAGGTGCTGCGCGAGAACGGCTTTACAGTGTGGTGTTTCACTACTGGGGACGTGGAGCGGGTGAAGGGGTACTTTGACCGTGCGGGCGTCGATATGCCGATGGAGAACTTTGTTAGTTGCGACGACGTGGGCGTGGCGAAGCCTGCTCTGCCGGCGTACCAGGCGGTTTGGGAGCGGTTGGGAGCCAGTGATGTCAAGTGGTTTGCGGCGGCGCATATGTGGGATGTTGCGGCTGCTACTAAGGTTGGCTTTCGGGGAGCGTGGAGCTCGGTGTACGAGCAGGAGCCGTGTCTTGACGTTTTCAGCGATGCTAAGATGGAGGTTGTTGCTGGGAGTTTGGTCGACATGGCGCGGGAGATTGTTAGGCGGTCGTAGATTGGGCGGAACAACTCATGTCTCGCGCCCGCTATGCATATCTTAAGCGGTAGCCATGGATTGACATCGAAGGTATGGAAAGCGTATTTGCTTTGGGAAGAACGACGATGCGCAATTAGTATTACGGCCTACACCAGAGAACACACACTCGAGACTGGACCGCGCATCTGGTGAGGCTCATAGATAGGGATGTAGTGATGGTCTTCGATATGCGAACTCCAGCCACGCCTGACGAAAGTCTTGGCACGGCGCTCCTTTCAGACCCTCCGAAACTCTAAACGCGCAACGTAGAATGAATGAGCATATTGCATCTGACCTCGGACTCGACGACCACTTGCTCACATTCCCCGATGCCCCTGCCATGAAAGACGAACCAAATTAATGGTGCCAATGTCGAGTTGAATGGAATACACTACGACATCCTCAGAACATGGCCGAACTAGAGGGCGCGCAGGTGCCCGCGGAGCAGCCGGAGGTGCCTGAGGGAGATGTGGAGGATGTCGATGCACAACAGGCCTCCAAGGTCCGCCTTGGAGATGATCAAGAGCCGGATTCTCCTGAACACAGTACAGAGATAGAGGTGCCTCCTGCCGCCTCCGCCGAGTCATTACCGCAATCGACGGGAGAGGAGAGCGAGGACCACCAGGCCCCAGCATCCGTTCCGATGCAAGCATCTGCACAAAATGGGGACCATGCTGCTACCCTTCCGCATCATGAGCCGCCTCCGCCAACCGCCCCCATAGATACTACGACCGCCGCTGGGCGTATACCTCGCGAGCGCACCGATTCCCAATCCACCACCGCCACCACTTCCACCCGACCCACTGCCCGAGTCACTCGCTCAAGCATGGTCTTCATTATCAAAGCCTTGGAAGACATTGCCAATTCGAAAGATGCGAAGAAGCGGAAAGCTCTGGGCGATGCCGCGCAAAGAGCACTCCAGGCGATAAATGGGGCGCAGGGCGATACATTTCAGATCGACCCCGAGATCATCTTCGAACCGCTGAGCCTGGCGACAGAGGCGACAACTGTCTCTGTGGTTACGGCTGCGTTGGACTGCATCGGAACACTGATCAGCTATTCCTACTTCTCCCTCCCTGCCCCATCGGACCCTGCCGCTGGCGCATCTCCTCCCGAGAAACCACCTCTTATCGACCGCGCAATCGACACAATATGTGACTGCTTCCAGGGCGAGGCCACACCGAACGAAGTCCAGATGCAGATCCTGAAGAGTCTGCTGGCTGCTATCCTCAATGACAAGATTGTGGTTCACGGCGCGGGTTTGCTCAAGAGCGTTCGTCTGCCATACAATATTTTCTTGTTGAGCAAGAGCAGTGCGAATCAACAGATTGCTCAAGGGACGCTGACCCAGATGGTGGGAACGGTGTTTGAGCGGGTCAGTGCACGGTTACGAGCGCGCGCCATACGAGCGCAGTCGAAGACCAGTCTAGAGAACGTGTCTGCGGAGCCGAAGGCGAATGGAGATGCATTGCATGCATCAGCCGGGGATGATACACCCACAGCATCCACTCCCGCGACGGAAGCAGAAGATCCCATGGGTGAAGAGCGGCAGAAGATGACGCTGCAGACGTTCGAGACCAGACAAAGCTTCGACGACTCGCGACTCACGGACTCTGCTCCTACAACGGTGACCCGAGCGAGGAGAAGTGGCACTCTGGGCAAGCAGCACTCTTCAAGAACGGCCTCTGGCCACGACCTTCCCTCCATCACCGTCCAGGGCGAAGGCGCGGATTCCATCATCTCCGAAGACGACGAAGAGGACGAAATCTATATGAAAGATGCCTTCCTTGTTTTCCGTGCCATGTGCAAGCTCTCCACCAAACCTCTGCGCGTCGAAGATGCGCTGGATGTGCGGAGTCAGGGGATGAGAAGTAAGCTCTTGAGCTTGCACATCATCCACACGATCCTCTTCAACCACTCCGTGGTATTCACGTCTCCTCAAGCTACCATCAGAAGTCCGGGTTCTCGCGAAGCAACCGGCTTCACCCAAGCAGTCAAGCAGTATCTTTGCTTAAGTCAAAGCCGGAATGGTGCTAGTTCCGTGCAGAAAGTATTCGAGGTCTCCGCCGAGATCTTTTGGTTGATGACAAAGTATCTCCGGCCGCAGCTGAAACGAGAACTGGAGGTCTTCCTGAAAGAAATCTATCTGGCTATCCTGGATAAACGCGCCGCACCAACTTGGCAGAAGACGTGTGTCGTTCAAAGCCTGTTTGCGCGTGTTAGTGCGGATCCGAAGGCTTTGGTCGAGATCTATCTCAACTACGACTGCGACAATACAGCGCTCGACAACATCTATCAACGCATCGTGGAGCATGTCAGTAAAGTGGCGAGCACTCCCGTGCCCGTGAATGCGATGCAGCAGCAGGCGTACATGGAGCAGAACAAGACGCTTTCGTCTGCAGGTGGTGATTGGAAAGAGAGGGGGACGCTGCCTCCTAGTCTCACTACTGCAAGCATGGTCGCAGGTGCACCACCCGTCTTTGACAAGGACGAGGGCTTCCCTCCAGAATACGCCATGAAGATGCAGAGCCTGGAATGTCTTATCGAAGCGCTCAGGAGTATGGCGCAATGGAGCCAACATAGTACCCCAGACGGCTCACTCAGCCATGTGGCAGTTGACGCCGACGGTCGACCATCAGTCGAGGAGATTCGGGAGAGCATCGACACGAGGGGTGGCGAATCCATTGTCTCTGCGCTATCTGGGTTGGAGCAGACACCTGGCGTCGAAACACCACCACCCATGTCCGATGATCCGGCGGAGCTCGAGAAAGTCAAGGCGAGAAAGACGGCGTTGAATAACGCTATCCGACAGTTCAACTTCAAGCCCAAGAGAGGAATCAAACAATTGATCTCGGACGGGTTCATTCCATCCAGTGATCCGAGCGCGATCGCAAGCTTCTTGCTGAGTAGTGAGCGGATCAACAAGAAGTCTTTGGGCGAATACCTAGGCGAGGGGGAAGAGGACAACATTAAGATCATGCACGCCTTCGTCGACGCGATGGATTTTGCACGCACTCGGTTTGTGGATGCACTCAGGCGCTTTCTGCAGAGTTTCCGACTCCCTGGCGAAGCACAAAAGATCGATCGGCTGATGCTGAAGTTTGCGGAGAGGTACTGCAGCGGGAACCCGAACGCCTTTGCAAACGCCGATACTGCTTACGTTCTGGGCTATTCGGTCATCATGTTGAACACCGATCAACATTCCGCCCAGGTGAAGGTGCGCATGACGGTGGAAGACTTTATCAAGAACAACCGTGGGATCAACGACAATGCGAATTTGCCGGATGAGTATTTGACGGGCATCTACGAAGAGATTCAACGGAACGAGATTGTCCTGGACACCGAGCGTGAGAATGAGGCGAATCTGCGCGGTGCGCTACCTCAGCCAAGTAATCAGGGAGGCCTTGCCAGCGTCATTGGTTTCAGGCGCGACGCCGGCCTGCACGCCACCGCACAAGCAAGTGAGGAAATGTCGAACCGCACGGAGCAATTGTACAGGAGCATTCTGCGAACCCAGAAGCGTGGGGGCGTTGTTGCGAATTCGCGAGGAAGATTCATGTCTGCGCTCAAGTCGCAACATATCGGGCCGATGTTCAATGAAACCTGGATGAGCTTCTTGACCGCACTATCGGGATGCGCACAAGAGACCCAGAACATCGAGACCATTCGGCTATGCATGGAAGGGCAGAAGCTGGCGATCAAGATTGCCTGCCTGTTCGATCTTGCGGATCCACGACAAGCTTTTGTCGCGAGTCTGGCGCGCAGCACGAACTTGTACAACTTGAGCGAGATGAAGGCGAAGAACGTGGAGGCGTTAAAGGTCTTACTGGATATTGCGCATACCGAGGGCAATCTGCTCAAGGAAAGCTGGCGAGACATCCTCACGTGTATCTCGCAGCTCGATCGGTTCCAGCTGATCTCCAGTGGCGTGGAAGAGGGCGCCGTTCCGGACGTGATGCGCACGCAGAGCGGTACACAGCCGAATGGAGTTTCACGAAAAGGCGCAGCTGCGCCTCGGAGATCGACCAACAGACCACCCACTGGTGGGAACTACCAAAGTGAGATTGCCGAAGAAAGTCGAAGTGCAGATATGATACGCGGCGTGGACAAGATCTTCACCAACACCGCCAACCTATCGGGAGAGGCGATTGTGCACTTTGTGCGTGCCCTGACTCAGGTCAGCTGGCAGGAGATTCAGAGCTCCGGCCAAAGCGACAGCCCGCGGACATACAGTCTCCAGAAGCTCGTGGAGATTTCCGCATACAACATGCTGCGCGTGCGCTTCGAGTGGAACAACATCTGGCAGATTCTTGGGCAACACTTCATCGATGTCGGGTGCCACAATAACACCCACGTCGTCTTTTTCGCGCTCAACAGTCTGCGCCAGCTGAGTATGCGGTTTATGGAGCTCGAGGAATTGCCCGGCTTCAAATTCCAGAAGGACTTCCTCAAGCCGTTTGAGTTCATCTTGAGCAACGCCAATCAAGTCGCGGTCAAGGACATGGTGCTCCGATGCTTGATCCAAATGATCCAGGCGAGGGGCGACATGATCCGCAGCGGCTGGCGTACAATGTTTGGCGTCTTCACCGTCGCTGCGAAGGAGCCTTACGAGGCCATCGTCAACCTGTCCTTTGAGAACGTCACTCAGGTCTACAACGACCGCTTTGGGGTTGTTGTTAGCCAAGGAGCGTTTGCGGATCTTATTGTGTGCCTGACGGAGTTCAGCAAGAATATGCGATTTCAAAAGCGATCTTTGCAGGCCATTGAGACGCTGCGATCCAGCGTTCCCAAGATGCTTCGAACTCCGGAATGCCCGCTCAGCTGGAAGGCGCCGGGGACAAAGGACAAGCCGCAAGCCGAGAACATTCCCAAGCAGCCGAGTCGTCAGACCGAAGAAGAGCAGTTCTGGTTCCCGGTTTTGTTTGCGTTCCATGATGTCCTCATGACGGGTGAGGATCTGGAGGTGCGAAGTCGCGCGCTGAACTACTTGTTTGAAACGTTGACGAGGTATGGTGGCAATTTCCCGCGAGACTTTTGGGATACGCTGTGGCGACAACTCTTGTACCCGATCTTCATGGTGCTTAAAGATCGCAAGGCTCTCAACCATGAGGCGGCGAATCATGAGGAGCTCTCGGTGTGGCTCAGCACTACCCTGATCCAGGCCCTGCGCAACATGATCAGCCTCTTCACGCACTTCTTCGAAAGTCTGGAGTACATGCTGGATCGCTTCCTCGATCTCTTGGCCCTGTGTATCTGTCAGGAGAATGACACTCTGGCACGGATCGGCAGCAATTGCTTGCAACAGCTGATCTTGCAAAATGTGACCAAGTTCCAACCTCTGCACTGGGAGCAGATTGTGGGGTCATTCGTGGATCTCTTTGCCAGGACAGAGGCTCGAGAGCTCTTCTCAGCCGCCACGTCGAGCTCGTACGAGAAGCGAGAAGGGTCATTCAGCAATGGCATCGTGGCCGAAGGCGCAAAATCACCGTCCGAAGACGTCACGCCGCTGTTCGCAAACCACGCATTACAAGCAAACGGCACTCCAACCGGCAAAGAAGAACACACTTCCCCCGCCCTCCGAACAGAAGACGCCCTCTCCCTCTCCACCGATGCCGAACGCGCCCTCTCCCCAGCCCCCAGCAAACCCCACCCCTCCGAACTCGAAGACTTCAACTCGACCAGCAGCAAGCCCGCGGCGCCCATCGTCGTCACCGCCGCGCGCCGCCGCTACTTCAACCAAATCATCACCAAATGCGTGCTGCAGCTCCTCATGATCGAGACGGTGTCGGAGCTGTTCAACAACGACGCCGTCTACGACCGCATCCCCTCCCATCTCCTCCTCCGCTTGATGTCGCTGCTCAAGAAATCCTACCACTTCGCCAAGCGCTTCAACGAGGACCGCGACCTGCGCACCCGCCTCTTCTGCGAGGGCTTCATGAAGCAGCCGCCCAACCTGCTCAAGCAGGAGTCCGGCTCCGCGTCGGTGTACGTCCTCATTCTGCTGCGCATGTACAGCGACGGGAGCGACGAGCGCGCCGCTTCCCGGCCTGAGACGGAGGCGGCGCTCATCCCGCTTTGCAACGACATCGTGCTCTCCTACCTGAGTCTCGACGAGGAGACGCAGCAGCGCAACATCGTCACCTGGCGCCCCGTCGTGGTGGACGTGCTGGAAGGCTTGAATGCGTTTCCCGAAGCGGATTTTGGCCGCTTGGTCGAGACGTTTGCGCCGCTCGCTGTCGGGCTTATGAGTCGCGAGATGGGGCCGGAGTTGCAGCGCGCGGTGCAGGGGTTTTGGTTGAAGGTTTGTGAGGTGCGCTTGGGGATTGAGAGGGGGTTGATGGAGGTGGGCATGCCGGCGCTCGGGAGTCCGAGTTCGCCTACTTTGAGGGGAGGAGGGGGGTTTGGGATGCAGAGGAGGATGAGTAGGCAGAGGTAGATTAGGGATGTAGGTTGAGTGGAATGCTAGAGAATTTTAAGGACTTAGGACATTTGAATACGATGAGTGTAAAAAGGAAGAAAAACTCGCTAGTGGTCTACAATCGAAGCAGATAGATTCATCCGTGGCCATCGACGCTTGAGACTCCTCCTTCTATTCCCCTTCGCCTGGCAACAAACACGCTAGGATAATAGCTCATCTCTTACTCGCGCGCAGTGTCATTGACACTCAATCTCTCTCCCATCCCGTTCGTCTCTCCCCCTTCTAACGTTCCGTGGTCTCATGTTCGGCACACCGCTGTGCGCCTGGATTCGACATTACTGGCCAAGCTGCGTGGCCTCTCCAGGCCAGACTTACGAAGCCTTCTTCTGCGTCGGCGACTGCGGCGAGACGTACTTGTTGAAGTCGGTGGCATCGTGCGCCTTGACCGCGGCGCCCTTGGCCTGCTCCCACACGTTCTTGGCGACAGGAGGGACATCCTGGCGATTGGCGAGGGCATCGCCCCTCGCGCCCAACTGGCGCAACATGCCCTGGACAAAAGTGCTCTGGGACAGACGGGCGCGCAGGAAGACGGTGTAGATGGCGATGAGGATCCAGCTGCCCTTGGTGAAGATGATGGCGGAGCCGAGCAGGCGGAACCACAGGGCGATTTCGAGGCCGGCGACGAGGGACATGCTGAGGTCGTAGTAGTCTTTGACGAAGCGGCCGATGGTGTCGCTGAGGCCGGTGGGCTTGGGTTTCTGGCCTGCTGGGGGCGGGGTGGATTGCTGGATGGCGGGCAGCAGGATGCCGCGAGTGTAGGTTGCGATGTGGAAGATGCTGTAGACGGTGAAGGGGAGGAGGGCGAGGGGGAATTGGCGGGAGAAGAGCCAGGTGATAGCCATGACTGGGGGGGTGTTAGTTAGGTAGAAAGAAGGGGGGGTAGGGGAAACGAACTCAGGTATTGCACATTCTCATCGCCGAGCAGAGCCAGGGGGCTGCCCTGACCCCGTCCACTCTTTTGCCGGGCGCGGTAGCCCTTGAAGACGACGATGCCGTATGTCAAGGCAGCCGCGACAAAGGCGGTGCGGTAGGAGAAGCGGGCCCATTTGCTGGTAGGGTTGAAGGTGATGTAGCTGAGGGTGTAGCGGACGGTGCAAAACAAGAGGGTGACGTGCCCTACGAACCACGCGAACTGGAGGCTGTGGATGGAAGGAGCGTTAGTGGGTGTTTGGTGAGCAGAAGAGTGGAGGGAAGATTACGTTTGAGCGAGCTCCAATAGGCGCTGTTGGAGAGGCTTGGATGCCGCGGAGGGCTGCTGGGGAGAAGTGGGTGATGGAGCCATTGTGGGTGTTTGGGCGGGTCAGTTGGTGGATGAGGGATGCCGATGGTGAGGATGATGGGTGGAGAGAGGTGGGGAAGAGTGAGAGGGGAGGGGGAGGTTTGATTGAGAGATGAAGTGAAAGACACGTCTGGCGGATGGGGAAAGCAGGACGGAGGAGATGAAAAGCTGTGGCCGGCAACGTCATTGCCAAAGGGTCCAAGCGCGCGCGCTGCTGGGATGTGCACTTGCGCTTACCTTACGACACGTGTGTCTGGCATCATTCAGCCACCCATGGACGAATCAAGGCATCAATGCGTGGATGTACATGAGTTGTCGGTAGATGGGTCGTCGACGACATCGCGACTGCTGCGTCTGCATCGCACCTTCCCACCATCTCACCTGTAAGTGTGTGTCCGCTGTCGCACGTGATTCTCTTGGCAGCGTCGGGAAATTCTCAGGTCGGTGAAGCTTGAAGAAACCAAAATGTTCGTCATGTGTCTCCATATGTTCCACAAGCACACCTCACCACACAACTACGCTCTTCAAGCCCCATGATGCGTGTCCAAGACACTCCGTCCCCCTCCCTCCAGCCCTTCAGGTGACTCCACACCCTCACTTGAGCCCAAGATGCGTCAGGTATTGCTCCCCTCACCCCGCCATCCCTCCCTCTTCACCACCCCAGGCTGACCAGACAGAACCAGGTGTGCATCTTCTCCGGCTCCTCCCACCCCCAACTCGTCCAATCCATCTGCGACCGCCTGGGCCAGAAGGTTTCCAAGGCCAATCTCAAGAAATTCGCCAATGGCGAAACCTCCGTAGAGATCCGTTCGTGATCCCAATGGCTTCTCAACCCCCATAGCTCGGCAACTGACGCCGCTCCTTAGAGACGTCGGTGCGCGATCAAGATGTCTTCATTGTTCAGAGTGGCAGCGGAGGGTGAGTGAACACAACCACATCCTCATATCGCATGAACAATGGCTAAACCGGTGCACAGCATCAATGATAATGTCATTGAAATGCTCATCATGATTGCCGCCTGCAAAGGCGGCTCTTCTCGCTCCATCACCGGTACACCTCCTTCACAACTCCTCACCCTACTTCACTCCCCCGCTGATACCACCCTCAGCTGTCGTCCCCTACTTCCCCTACTCCAGACAAAGCAAGCAAAAAACCCATCGATCCGCCATCACCGCCAGAATGCTCGCCAACCTCATGCGCGTTGCCGGCGTCGACCACGTCGTCACCATCGATCTTCACGCCACCCAAATGCAAGGCTTCTTCAAGTGTCCGGTCGACAACCTCCGAGCCGAGCCGCTCATCGCGAAATGGATCCGATTGAACATCCCCGACTGGCGAGAGGCGGTGGTGGTCAGCAAGAATCCTGGCGGCACAAAACGCGTCACCTCTCTCGCAGACGTCTTGCAGTTGAGCTTTGGCATAGTCACCACGGACCGGCGAAGACAGCACCCACCGGGGAGCATGCACAACAGCGCAATCTTTGAACCGATTGGAACAGATGGCACAAATGAGCCGGGCACACTCAAGGAAGAGGCCGCACTCGTGGAGGAATTCGAGCGTGCAACCATCCAGCCCGATTCCGCACAAACAAATCATTCTACAAACGGCTGGCGTCCTCGCCCTCACCGCTCCGTGAGCACGACATCCAACAACATGCGGAATCGTTTATCTAACGGCCATGGCGACTACACCTCCAGTCCTTTGGTCAACTCCACCAGGGCTGCATCGATTACGACTGATGACGAAGGTGACGGCTCCCACCCTCTGCAAAGAGTGACAACGGCCCCTGGCGTCTCCAGGTTGCACCGTGATGATGATGGCTACGAAGATTCCGACGACGACGACGACGACAACACAGATGAGGTACGCCCACAGCTCAACATCATTATGTAGGCACAGCATACTAACACCTCCTCTAGAACGCCCGAGACGTCATCACCGGCCGCCTAATCCACGGCCACATAGTCGACGACGACGACGACTTCGTCTCCATGCGCTCCGCCTCCATCCACGAAACCGACGACCACCCCGCAGACACCATGGCACAAAGCTTCATCTCCACCACATCCGAACGCATGCGCGCGCCCCGCCATGGCCTCGGTGGCACCGGCGACGCGACCGCCTCCGACGAAGAAGAAGAAGAGGCACTTCAAGACCCCGACATCGAAACGACCGTCACCCTCGTAGGCAACGTGCGCAACAAACCCGTGCTCATCGTCGACGACATGATCGACAAAGCAGGCTCATGGATCGCCGCGGCCGAAACGGTGGTGAAGCGCGGCGGCGCGACCAAAGTCTACTGCATGGCGACGCACGGGCTCTTCGGCGGCAACAGTTTGCACGAGCTCGAGCAGTGCGAAGAAATCGAGGCGGTCGTCGTCACCGATGCCTTTCCCATTCCGGCGGAGAAGAAGCGCGGCATTTCGAAGCTCGTCGAGCTGGATGTTAGTGGCTTGTTGGCTGAGGCGATTCGGAGGAACCACTATGGCGAGAGCATCAGTCAGCTCTACCAGCATTTCGAGTGATCTGCTCAAGTCCAAGGAGCGTTTACGTGTTTCACGGCTGGGCGGTGGCCGCGGCTGCGACTGAACACCATCAGGCTCGGTATCAGAGGTATTCACCGTGTACTAATAACTAGCTCGCAAAGAGCAAGGCGGGTTTGTTTGATCATCATATTATACCCAACGCCCGACGTGCAGGCCACGAACCACTGCGGGTATGCCTCACAAGCACGTCTCCACGATTCTCATGGCCGAACTTTCCATCTCCTTGACTCATCTCACTCTCGCCTCAGAAAAGCACGCGTAATACCCAGCGACGCAAGATCTCACGGATCCTGCCCAACTCTCTTCCCTTTTTGCATGGGATTGCTTGGTACGGAGCGCTGGTAGATCGAAATACCCCATCTTCCTCGCTCCCTTCGGGAACAGGGGAAGAGAGGGTCGGTCAGGAAAAGAAGGCATGCCTCTCAGGCGACTTTGATTTATTCTTTGTCGCTTCCGCTCTGGAGGTTTTCACTTCGGGGCGGAGAGAGGGGTGGGCAAGAGAACAGTCCTGGACATTTATTACGTCCATTCTTCTTCTTTTCACTTTGTGCGTGGAGATGGAGGAGAAGAGGGACGTATGTAAGGGTTGATACTGCCTTTTGTCTCTGTGCTAGTGAAAGTACACCGTCGCTCTTTGCTCCTCTCCAATTCAATTCTCATGTCCACCGCCGCTTGTCTACCAGTCATCGTCGTCCTTTTCGTCATCTGAACACAAAAAGAGTCAGCACACAGCCCCGAAACAAATCCAAGGAGAAACAGAGAAAAAGACAAACTCACCAGAATGGCTAACCTTACTCTTCCGCGCCGCAAGCGCACTAGCCAACGCCCCCGCCAATCCACCTTCCGGCGCACCACCCCCAGCTCCGCCCGCACTAGCCGGCGAAACAGCAGGTTCCGCCCCAGGCACCGCCGCAGCACTACGATCCCGCTTCTCGGCATCGGAGACGCGCTTCAGGCGCGCGCCGCCGCGGATGTCGGCTAGGAGGCCGTCGCGGCCTGGCGCGGGGGCGGGAAGTGGTGCGGAGGTGCGGGGTGGCATTGGAGGTGGTGGGGGGCCGCCGGCGGAGGATGATGAGGGTGGGGGAAGAGGTGGAGGTGGTGGAGGCCCGGAAGAGGGTGAGGAGTGGTTTGGGGGTGGGAGGGGGGGTGGAGGTGGAGGTGCGGAGTTTCCGTTTGGTGGTGGGGGGACGGGGCGTGCTGATGAGGGGGGTAGAGGAGGGGGGACGGAGTGCACTGCGTCTCGGGGTGGAGGGGGCGGGGGCCCGCCACTGCTTCTTGCGGGCGGTGGGGGTGGTCCGGTTGAGGAGGTGATTCGTTTGCCGTCGAAGGCGGGAGGGACGGCGTGGGCGCGGCCGTCGGATGGCTCGTCGAGGGGGATTTTGGCTGGGCGGGGCGGTGGAGGTGGGATGCCGCCGTTTGCGCTTTGGCTGTCTGCGCGACTTCGGCTTGGTGCTGCGTCGTTGGCGAATTTACCGGCTTCGGCGAGGGGCGGAGGAGCGCGGAAGCGGGGCCTTGGAGGGGAGGGTGCGCGAGTGGGACTTGACTCGGGACTGGGCGGGCGTGCACCTGTCGTTCCGCTGACTGCTCTCCTTGAAGGAGGCGGCGGCGGTGGTGGGCCTCTGCCTGCACTGCTGCTTGTTCTTTGCGGGGAGAGATCGCTTGCACCGCCTGGAGGTGGCGGTGGAGGCGCTCTTGATCTCCGATCATGCTCTGCAGCGGCTGCGGCGGCCTTGTTCTGCTCTAGATAGCTCTTGATGAAGCCCGCATGCTCCTCGATTTGATCTTCGGTGATTCCCATTGCCTTGAGATCCTGCAAGACAGCCTGCACGGCCGGATCGGTCAGATCGATTCCATGCGAATTGGCCCTCGGTGCAGCAGGCGCGGGGTTGACGCTCGAGTTGATCTCCACTCCTCTGGGGGGAATAATAGTCTGCGGCGGTCCGCTAGGCGCAGAGCTCTTGTGGCTTGAGAAGAGTCCGCCAAAACGATGGTGTTTCCCACCTCCATCCGCCGCACCACCACCACCACCGCCCTGTCCCGCACCATGCCCAAACGGCGTTTTCCGTGTATCCTTCGAAGCATTCTTCTCCCTCTCATCCACCTTCTTCCGAAACTTGCCCGCCTCCTTCTCATCTGCAAAACTCAACCCCATCATACACCCCTCGCCCTCAAACGAGTGAAAGAACGTGCGGTCCTGGTAGTAGTGAAACGGATCGTAGATCTCCATGTCCCAGAGCACGCCGCGGTTGGAGGAGCTGACGTCCACCAGCTTGAACCAGAAGGTGTGGCCGACCATGTCGTCGGCGAGCACGATGGCGCCCTGCAGGCCCGTGTAGGTCCATGTTGGGTTGGAGGGGGTGGAGGCGTAGAGTTTGGCGACGGCGACGGCGTGGATTTTGTTGTTGGGTTTGGGGACGGTGCGTTTGACGATTTGCTTCTCGTCGTCGGTGAGGATGGTCATGGTGCCGGTCTATGCGCTGTTGCTTGATGAGGAGGATTTGAATGGGCCTGCGGGGGTGCGCTGGGCGCTTTGGGGATTGGACGGCAAGCCTATTGAAAGGTGCCTGGGAGTGGCAATGGCCAGTTCGTTGTCCAAGCGGCACAAGGCAGACAGTTCGCTGGTGGCGGAGCGCAATCAAGAGCTCGGCGTGCAAGTCGACTGACGTTGCTTGCCAAGGCCCCGGGCTCGCACAAGCTTTCCCTTCCAAACTCAAATGGCGGAAGATGGTGAGGAGAGACGATTCCGTGAGGATTTACATGGCAGTATGTGTAGATAGCATGAGGAGATGTAGAGAATGGATTGCAGAGGATGTGTGTGTGTCATCAGAACGTGGCATTTTCCTACAACACCGGTGCGCATTCTGCAGCAGAGCCACAGCATGGTTCGCGTCATCAGCCTCTCCTCTCGCGGAGAGTTGGTGCACACCGAGCCCTTGTGCGTAGCAGCACGCAGGACTCTTCCGGTGCGCATCATGGCTTCTGCGTCCCATGCTTTGTCCTCCGCAAATCACAGTTAGGAAGAATGCTCAACCCCAGCTGCGACCAAACTCCCTCGAAACCACCCCAGTAGAGCAAGCAGCACAACAACGACCCCTTTTCACCCCCTCAGATATCATCCACGTCAATCTCCCCACCACTCTCACTGCCGCTGTCATCCTCTCCAAAGTCGAAGCCAACACCACCCTCCTCGTCTCCACCATAGGTATCCGTCTCGTTGATCTTCGCGCTCTCCGGCAGCTCGCCGTACGCCTTCAGACTTCTCGCTTCGTCGGCAGAGTACTTGAGGATGACATCGCCCTTTTCGTCTTGGTAGTCGCGGAGCGACAGCAGGATAATGTCGCCCTGGTTGATCCACACTTTCTTGCGCAGTTTGCCGCGGATATGGGCGAGGCGTTTGCTGCCGTCGAAGCAGAGCGCCTCCAGTCGGCCGTTGCCCAGCATTTTCAGGACTTGGGCGTATTCTGCACGGAGGCAACGTATCAGTATGTAGGCCTTTTTCCTTCTTCAGGCGCTCGCGGGCTGTGCGAGAGCGAGTGCGGCGAGAAGGTTGAGGGAGAGCGAGTGCGGCGAGAAGGTTGAGGGAGGAATGGTATGGGATGTGACGCACCTTGGCCCTCCTCCTTGAATGTGAGTTCGCGCTTCTCATTGTCGTTCTCGTTCTTTCCTCGTCTCCGATTTTTACCTCCCTGCAGTCATCGGCCATCAGTCGCATGTCCTGGTTATTGCCGCAATTGCGGTGAGTGCTGGGAACCCTACCTTTCCCTTATTCTTCGGCATCTTGACCTTTCACTCGGCTGTGGAGATGACGACGTTCGATGTGATGCGGCTTCCTCGCCGGCTTAATTCTGGTGCTGGGTTGTGGTTGTTTGGGAGAATGAGAATGTGGGGGAAGTGAGGCAAATGTGAAGAGAAGTTATACTTGCGTCAGGCGAAGAAAGTGGGGCTCTGCCCTTTCCGCTGAATCATTATGAGCCCAAAGTTTAATCCGGGCAAAGATACCACCACGTCACTCCTCACTCCATATTGTCCTCGGAGCAACATCTTCTCCTCTCGCAACGTGGAATAGTCGCACCCACATATGTCCCGTCGCATCCTCCTCCACAACCAGCCCAAATCTCCGACACCCACGAACACCATCCGCTCCTTTCTCCACCACAACTACCAACCCAACCCTCGACCTCTCAACCCTGCCACATCCCTCACCACAACTCTAGTCGCCTCCGACAGAGCTCACCCCCTCTACCCGCAAGTCCAGCGCGAACTCCAAGCCTTCAACCCCGGCCTTCTGCACTGGAGAGTGCGCACATCCAATGATTTAAGCCCGCGAGGCGTCGTGCGCAGCTGGGCGTTGCGAAGGGTGAAAGTCGCGCTGTTGGCGGAGTTGAGGGAGAGGGGCTTTGCTCGGGATGGGAGGAAATTGGATGGAGGCGAGGGCGACGGGTTGAGGGGCGCGTTGTCTGTTATTGTTGATAGGGGAGGGGGTGCGATTCGTGCGAGTGGGGTGGAGGTGAGGAGGGAGGTTGGCAAGGTGCTGGACGCTGTAATGAGGGCTCACAAGAGAGATCGCGATGAGAAGACTCGTGGTTTGACGGCTGAAAGGGCCGGAGGTGCTGCTCCTCTGAGGATACTACGTGTGAAGTCCGGCCGGGGCGATCGTTCTGACACCTCTCCTGGATGAGTATGCTGCGGAGATTGTGTCTAGCTTGACATAACCCGTTCCATGGCAGTGCATATTGCTGCGACATATTTACTGCGACATGCAGTTGCTGTCTGGCAGCCACGAACGGGCCTTCACGCAGCACGACACAAGGCTGTGTTAAGGTGCTACGACCTCGGGAAATTTGGTCACCAGCTTCAGAACACCAAGCTCTTGGCCATGGAAGATGAGGACAGCAATAACGATATACATGAGCACTCAGTCTCCCATCATTTGTTGTCTACATTTGTGCTTCTACAGCGAATGATTAGGTAATCTTGCGCTTTGACAGTGCCCGACCCCTGCCACGCGCACGCGGACGTTGTCGGACCGATAGCAATTCGAGTTAGCGCAAGCCAGAATGCAGAGCTTCCCAACCCGACCTCAGCACTACAACAATCTTTTGCCTTGCGCTTCACTCTCCCGTCCACGCTCATTTGACCTCCCCTTCACCCGCGCACTCCTTCGTCCTCCCTCCCCTGCACGCGTAGCTTGAGCCTTCTACCCAGAAAAGCGCGGTGCCGTGGCCAGGAAGGATGTCAATGCTCTCGAGAGCTTCAAGGGGACTGCCCTCGCATGCGGCATGGAGCGGGTTTTGCAGGACACATAATGTCGTCTCGTATGTTTCACTGCCCTTTACTCACGCGTGCGATTTCTTTTCGGCCACGGTTTGCTAACCTTGCGCACGACAGACGACGATTACCCACGCTCTCGGCGCTCGCGCGATACTATGCGGATAAATGTGCCTCTACCTCACCATCCCTCCACACCCCTCAATGTAACTAACATGCCCTCTGCAGCCTACCCCTCACACACCGTCATCTCCATGCCTGCCTTGAGCCCCACCATGACTGCAGGCAACATCGGCACGTGGCAGAAAAAGGTGGGCGAGAGCATCAGCCCCGGCGAGGTGCTGGTGGAGATCGAGACCGACAAAGCCCAAATGGACTTTGAGTTTCAGGAAGAGGGTGTGTTGGCGAAGATCTTGAAGGACAGCGGGGAGAAGGATGTCCCCGTAGGCAACCCGATTGCTGTCATGGTGGAGGAAGAAGGCGACGTGTCTGCTTTCGAGAACTTCACTGTGGAAGACGCGGGCGGAGACAAGTCGCAACAGCAGTCGAAGCAGGATGACAAGGGTGGTGAAGAGGCGGCTGAATCGAAGAAGGAAGAGAAGTCGGAACCGAAAGAGGAGAAGAAGGAGGCTGCCCCAGCGGCTCAAGAATCGCAGTCTACAGGCGAGAGACTAGAGCTCAGCTTGGACCGTGAAGGTGGCATCGCTCCGGCAGCGAAGAAGGCTGCTCTTGAGAAGGGCGTTCCCATCTCCGCGATCAAGGGCAGTGGACCAAACGGACGGATAAGCAAGAAGGACGTGGACAACTACAAGCCATCCGCTGCGCCCGCCGCTGCCGCCGGTGGAGCAGCAGTGCCCAACTACGAAGACATCGAAGCGTCGTCCATGCGCAAGGCCATCGCCTCGCGCCTCCGACAGTCCTGGAATGAGAACCCACACTACTTCGTCTCCTCCAGCGTCTCCGTCACCAAGCTGCTGAAACTCCGCCAAGCACTGAACGCCGCCGCAGACGGCAAGTACAAACTCAGCGTCAATGACTTCCTTATCAAAGCTCTGGCTCTGGCAGCGCGCAAAGTCCCTGTCGCGAATAGCAGCTGGCGTGAGGAAGGCGGCAAAGTCGTCATCCGCCAGCACAACACCGTCGATGTGAGCGTGGCCGTCGCAACACCCGTCGGCCTCATCACGCCCATCGTCCGAAACGTCACCGGCCAAGGCCTCGAGGCTATCTCCACTCAGATCAAGGACCTTGGCAAGCGGGCACGAGACAACAAGCTTAAGCCGGAGGAATATCAAGGCGGCACCATCACCATTTCCAACATGGGCATGAACGACGCCGTCGAACGATTCACGGCTGTGGTTAACCCCCCGCACGCCACGATCGTGGCCGTCGGTGCAGTCAAGAAGGTTGCAATCCCCAGGGAAGCCGAGGACGGACTGGTAGATGGCGTGGAATGGGACGAGCAGATCGTGCTGACCGGCAGCTTCGACCATAAGGTCGTCGACGGCGCGGTCGGCGGCGAGTTCATGCGGGAGCTGAAGAGGGTGGTGGAGAATCCGCTGGAGATGATGCTGTAGGTTTACGGAGATGGACGTCGCGTGGGGCAGCTGTTGGGATTGAGTCTGCGTGCTGGGACCGGCAACTTGTACAGTGAGCTCATTTGCTTTTTCTTGCGCTCCCTCCCCCCGCCCCCTTCTTTTGCGCATTTGGCGTTGTGGTTTTCTCTCTCCGCTGAAAGCAAGCAAAATGGCGCGGGAGTCGGTGCTTCTCGTCGCATTCATTCCATGGCTCTTTGTTTTGCTAGGTAGCGCAAAAGGATCTTCATTCACTCCGCTCACCATTCACAGTCTGCACGGACAGTCACATGACCTCGCGTTCGTGACGTGTAACTTCCCGCCTCCCGACGCCTTCCACCTTCATACCCGCGTTGCTGCCTTGAAGGTCAGCAAGGCAACACAAGCTTGGCGCGCCGCACCTTTCGCAACCTTCAACTTCGTTCTTCTCCCACTTCTCCACTTCTGCACTTTCTGCCTGCCCGCACTCATCGACTGCACCGCACGTTCGCCCAACATGGCGAAGACGAAGAAGCGGGCTGCCGTCGATACCCCTGAAGCTGCCGGTACGAGGCAAAGCAAGAAGCGCAAATCCGCCGCCGCTGCGATGGAGAAGTTGGTGGAGATGCGTGAGGCTGAGGAGGAGATGGAGGAGGCTGATGAGGATATCGTCGATGCTACTTACGATCAAGATGAGGAGGAGGCCGAGGAGCCTGCTCCCAAGGGTTTCAAGACCTGGAAGACCACTTCGAAGCTCGTATCTGGGGGTGCGCTTACGGAGGACAAGTCAAAGGTATGTTTCGTGGTCTTATTTGGAATGCGGCAGGCTGACAGTTGGCAGCTCAGCAACATGACCTGGCAACATACGCAAACGGTCGAGCTACATTTCAAGGATGCGTTCACGTTGAAGCCGGTGAGCAGAAGTCCACAATTCCTTAGTGGTTGGAAGCGCTGACGTCCGATGCAGCTCATCCTCACAGAAGGCGCTCTCAAAGGGCATCACGTTCTCGTTATCGAACCTGTTGCACCGAAGAAGAAGACCAAGGTATTTCGCTTGCTCGATCTGCCCGCCGAGATACGCACGATGATCTACGGCCACGTCTTCGAAGAGACCGGAGAGATTCGCATCAGAACGTACAAGCCGCGCAAGCAGCCGCGTCGCCCAGTGCGCGACAGCTTCAACACCTACTGCCGCCGCCCTTCTATGAAAGGTCTCACATTCGACCGTGTGCACGGCAAGTGGCTTGGCCAGAAGCCCAGCGCACTCACGATGCTCAGCGTGAGCAAGCGTGTCTTCGAAGAAGCGGCGCCGATCATCTACGGGGACAACACTTTTGCTTTTGACTCAACGAAGGAGGCCCTCCTGTTCTTCGATTGTATTGGACAGATGCGTAAGCATCTCCGTACCATTCGATTTCACGACATAGGTGCACCGACCACCACAGCCAACACCTTCCGCATGCTCAAAGATGCCAAACAGCTTCGTACGATCGAAGTGTGCCATGGTATCCTGTGTGGATCATACTATGACTGGGATCGAGCTCATCGCCCAGCTCCACCCGATGCGCGCACTCTAGTCAACATGCTCGCGCCGTTGGCCAAGGGCCTGTACAAGGCGTCGCCCAGCGGAGAGACCTCACACAGCGTGTTGGATATCATCCGTGTCTACTCGGAGCACAATGGATCACGCTGCTACGGATGCAAGATTGGTCGCAACTGCAATCGCGCGAATGACACGTATTGCAAGACGCACTGCAACGACATTGCAGCCCATCTCAAAGAAATCGCGGCAGAGTGCAAAACTCGCCTCGCCTTGCAACTCAGAATCGCCGTTTGACGAAAGCTACATCGAAGGAGGTACGAGTCGCGAATTGACTGATGGGTGATGGGTGGAGGCCACGCGTGCTGCGGGTGTTTCGGCATCGACGAGTTTGCGGTGCTCGGAGGAGTGGGCTTGCTGTGGCAAGCAACACGGCATCAAAGTGCTTGACGTATACGAGTATGCTTTGAGAAGTGCGGTCAGTGGTACTTTGCGTGCTTGCGCATACTCACCGATGCATTTATATAGTGGACTGGTGCCTGAAAGTTCACTCGACACTTCACGTGAATTATGGATCCTTCTCGACTTTACCCTGAGGTGAACTTTATCCTTCCCTTATACGTCATCTTATTTCACTTGTGCAACCTCACTTCAGTCTTTCAAATTCTCCCACCTTGTAAGACAGTCTTCTACCTTCTCCTACCTTGCAAGATGCCTTCTTTCTTCTTCTCACCCATCATGGCTCCAACCTCAACCCCTCTCGCCATCGAAAAGGCTCGCTCGGCAACGCCTCCAGGCAACAAGAAGACAAAGATGTCGACCATGGACACCAACAAGATCCTCAAGGCAAGCAAGATGACCACCAAGAACATCAAGACGACGAAAGGCTGGCGTGGGCCCAGTCTGCGCGTCGTCTCCCCAAGGAGCAAAGCCTCCAAAGCAAGCCTGCCGCCTGTTCAAGGCCACCTCAGACGCCGTGATTGCTAACAAATAGATGCAGTACAATCGCCGCACAGGCCAGTTCACGAAAACCATCACAATCCGCAGCGACTTCCCCATCGTCTTCCAACCCGTTTGTTCCAAGCCATCGGCCCCCATCCTCCAAGTTGACCGACTACTGATCATGTCTACAGATCACACTCAGCCACGGCTCGGAACATCGTCATATCATCGACGTGAAGCGCGCCCCAGCCTTCCGCATCCAAGACCTCCCCCCAGAACTGCGCAACAACATCTACCGCTTCGTGCTGCAAGAAGACGGGCCCGTCCGCATCGAAGCCTACAAGAACTCCGAAGAGCGCCGCGCACGCCGCCCCGTCCGCGAGTCGTTCGTCAACCAAATGTCTACGATCGGAGGCAGACGCTACATCGACCACTACGGCCAGGTTCCGAGCGACTACAGCCTTCTGCGCGTCAACAAGCAATTCAACGCCGAAGCCAGCCCGATCGCGTACAGCCACACCTTCGAATTCGGGCGCATTGCCATCATGGGCCTCTTCCTCGAGTCGATCGGAGAGCAAAGCAGGTACGTAAAGAACATCTCCCTCCCCAACCCAGGCGGCTGGTCACCGGGCGACGGGCGGAAGCATTTCGGGCTGTTGATGGGGGCTTCGGGGCTGCGGAAGTTGGTGGTAGAGGTGGACACTATCAGTCGTGGATCCGGGCGGGCGCACAACAAGGTGTCGGTGGGGAATTTCGTGTCGGCCATCATGCCGCTCATGAAGAAGTTGCATCGCGAGCGGAAGGGGTTTTCGGGGGCCGAGAGCGTGCTGGAGATTGTGAAGGTGACGGGGAGGAGGGTTTTTTGCGGGCATGGCGGGTTCAAGTGCAAGAATGAGACGGAGGAATGCGGGAATTGCGTGCAGGGGCGGGAGAGCGCGGTGGTGTTGGACGGGATGGTGCGCAAGATGCTCGCCAAAGCGCTGAAGATCTGAGGAAGCGGAAGAGGGACAGTGAAGTTTAGGCGGTAGGCAGCATCTCGACAATGCAAACCAGCCAGCCCACTGGATGGAATCAATGTTGCACGGCCAAAGCGATGAGAATATCGCTGAGAAGGTCACTATAGCCAGCAGGCTTGCCACGTCATGCCTGGCCGATCTCCGTAGTACTCTTCCCATCGGAACTGGGTTGTGAATCATCCAGCAGCCTTTGCATGTTGAGATGAGGTGGAGATATGCCGCCTGACGTCTGGTGCGGGTCTGGAGAGCCGCATCCAAACTAGGAAGGAACCGCAGCAGTCTGGCTGATCTCCGCCACGATCTTGCTGGCGAGGGCAGGTTAGCGTTTTCCGCTACGCTGGAGGAGTCGCAGAGACAGCTGAGATCGAGCAATCCCGCCGCGTACCGTAGCCGGCGCATCTCCGTGACAAACTCATCAGCGAAGGGCCGGAGATCATTCCCCACGCCGTGGAAGGAATGAGCAGATCAAGCGAGATGGGACAAACGGGCAGACTCACGGAGAAACATACAAGAGTTTCGCTATGCCTAACGATCTATTCCCATCATTACCCTTTCCTCCAAATCACCCTGCGTAATCCTGCCTCACGCCTCCTCAACATCGCTCGGCTTGACGCCCTCCTCCGCCCCCTCGGGAGCATCAGTCATAGCCTCGTCGCTCTCAGTCGCCGCCGGGCGCGCCGCAGCCGCAGCATCAGCAGCCCTCTTGGCCTCCTCGTCAGCCTTCCTCTTCTCCTCCTCGGCCTTCTTCTTTGCCTCCTCTTCTGCGCGCTTCTTGGCCGCAGCCTCCTCGGCCACCTTTCGCCGCGCCTCCTCTTCTTCTTGTCGCTTGTCGTTGAAGCGCTGGATGATGGGGCCCGCAGCGGCGCGCAGCTCATCCATCTTCGCGATGTATTGGCCTTTTGACGCGTCTTCGCCGTCGTCGTAAAGCCAGTCCTATTTCGTGTGTTAGCCATGTATATATTGGGGGCGGTCATGTTGGGAAGGCCTACCTCAAGCTCCTCGCACTTGGCCTTAACTTTCGTCTTTTCGTCTTCACTGGCAAAGTCCGCGTAGCCATTGCTCTGGTACGGCTCGTCAATCTTGTTCCGCATGGAGTAAATCTCCGACTCGAGCTCATTCTTCTTGTCCTCGGTGTCGGCGACGAGTTTGTCCTCCGCAATCATCTGTCCCTCCTGCTCGGCGAAGGAGTCCTTCTGCGTTTGGTCGAGCGATGCAGTGGCGACAGAGAGCGGCAAGTCACCCTTGCGAACTTGCTTCTTAACCTTCCTCGTCTTGAGCGGCGGCTTGGCCTCGCCGTTTGCCTTCTCGTCGGTGTCCATGGCCTGCGAGGAGTGCGATGTCAGTGTGGGTTCTTCAACTTTCGGGCGTTTCGCTGTTCGCGTGGTGTCAGGAGCGCTACTCACATCGCCGTCCTTCTTGTCATCCTTTCCTTCCGCCACCGGCTCTTCAACTTCCTGCTCTTCGACGTAGTACCCTTGCTCGACGTTCAAGACGCCGTGCAGGTTAAGTCGTGCTTTGAGTTTGCAGATCATGAAGTCGTCCTTGCCATCTGCCTTGACGCCCTTGACGCTGAAGCGTCCGATCCACGGGTTCATCTTGCCCGGTAGGAGCTCGGGCTTAGCGTACTTCGCCTCGAGGTCGAATGGCTGCTTTCGGTAAAAGGTCAGGATCTTGGTGGAAGGCATGACGTTGCCCTTGTTGAAGACCGTCAGGCTGGTGTCTTCGTCCGGAATGTCGGCAGACTTCTCCCAGGTGAACTCAATGGGGTAGTTGACAATGTCCTGCACGCTAAAGTCGCGCACTCGGAAGACAGGGGAGAGGATGGCGCAGCTGAATGCACAGCCGCGAGCGATGGCTTCGTCCGCGTTCAGGGTGAAGGACAACTGCTTGCCGAAGAAGTTCTGGATGGCGGCCTTGAGAGCTGGCACACGCGTGCTCCCGCCCACTAGCTCAACGTAGTCGATGTCTTCCGGCTTGAGCTTGGCCTCGGCCAACGCTTGCTCGAGCGGGGCGGTTGCGCGCTCCAGGAGAGGCTTGACAAGCTCCTCGAGCTCGCCGCGCTTCATCGATGTGCGCACATCGACATCGTTCATGAGCGACTCGATGTTGAGCGGCGCCTCGGCGTTGGCGGATAGAATGCGCTTCAATTTCTCCGTGGCAGCTGCCACTCGCACTCGAGCCTTGGGATTCTCGTTGATGTCGATCTTGAATTTGGTCTGGAATTCCGTCCGGAAGTGATCGACCAGGGCTTGGTCAAAGTTGCGGCCGCCGAAATGCCTGTCGTATGCAGTCGAGATGACCTTCAGCTCGCCCTTTCGGAACTCGCAGATGGAGCAGGTGTAGTTGCTGTGGCCGATGTCGATGAAGGCAGTCCTCCGCGGCTTCTCCTCGCCCGTAGGGAGATCGAGCTTGGTGATGCCATAGCCCAAAGCAGTCGCGGTGGTCTCGTTGATCAGGCGCAAGACCTTGATGCCGGCAATGTCCGCGGCATCGAGGATCACTCTTCTTTGTGCATCGGCATACCAAGCGGGGACAGCAATAACCATGTCATTGACAGGGAGCTTCAGCTCCGCGGACGCGGTCTGCTTCACCCTCGTCAAGAACATGGCACACAGCTGCGCCGCAGTGAACCTCTCCTTCTTGCCCATGTAGTTGACCTCGGCGCCCACCGTGCCATTTATATCGACCAGCGGAGCAGAGACGAACTGCTGCTCAATCTTGACATCGGGATCGTTGATCGAGCGGCCCGCCAGTCGGGTGAGCGAGCCGACGGTGTTTTTGAGGTTCGACACTTCCTGCGTCTTGGCCGATTCGCCGAGATATCTGCTCTTGGGGCCGAAGCTGACGAGGGAGGGGGTGGCACGGTTGGAGACTTCGTTGGTGATGACATCGACGCCCTTGTTCCGCGCTACTGCAATGACAGCATTTTGCGTGCCGAAGTCCAAGCCTAGAGGGGGAGTTAGCGGAGGCTCTGACATGTGTGTCGGCGGCCTTGAGCATGGCTAGTACGTACCTACGACGCTCATGTTGAGCAGCTGGCAATGGTATTCCTTTGTAGCTGGGTCGGGAGTGTGTTCTGAGGTTGCGGTGAGATTTGTTCGAGTAAGGTCGGAAGTGAATGGGAGTCTAGAAGAAGACTTTGTTTCCCCAAGTCGCCTAGTATCTAATTTGGCGGTGGTGAAGGGTGAGTCGCAAAGCAGACGTAAGGTGATACAGTTAGGTTGGGCGATCGGGCTGGCTGCAGAAAATGTTGTTTCGCGCAGCTTCCAGAAAAGTCGACGGGATGTGATTGCGGTCCGTCCCGCGTCAGACGTCAGTCTTGTTGCCTCAGGCATCAACATTCAGAAGGGAGTCGGGAGGTTGCATGTGATGCGCTGCGGAAAAGCTGCAGTGTCGAGTGAACATATGAACTATCCAAAGAAATAACCTCAACGCCTCGCTATCCCCCACTACTCCAAAAAAAAATTATAGTAAGACTCCTCACAGCTGCCCCGTCAGAACCGCCTCCGTAGCACTCCCAATATACAACCGCTTCGCATCCAACCCAACCCCAAACCGCCTCTCCAACTCCGCCTTGATACTCTTCTTCGTAACGCTCATCAAATCCGCCGTGCGCAGAATGTCGCGAATCTCCGCCAACAGCGCGTCGTCACTCGGCAACGCGTCCGCGAACTGTTCGTCTAAATCGAAACCTGACGACGACACTTGCCCGTGATAGATGCTGCCCGCTTCAGCCTGATAGGGAGGGAGCGTCATCTGCGAGACGTTGCCGTAGCCGTAGGCGCCGCCGCCGAGGGGAGAGTGCATGGAGGGTTGCAAACCAATTTGGCTCAGCGCCGAGCCGGAACGATGCTGATAGAATTGACTCGGGTCCTGCGCATGGAAATGCTTCGTGGCGTACGTGACGCCCGACACCTCCGATTTGGAGTCATCGGCAAAGTGGCCCTGCATCAGCGCCTGCGCATCGAACAGTTCGGCTTGGTATTCCTCCCAGCGTTTGTGCGGAATGGTAGCCGGGTCGAATTTGCCCTCGTCCGACACGACGACCTGCTTGCCCTTCTCGCCCGTCACGACGCGCGTGCTGCCCCACGAGAACTCGTCCATGTGCCAGAAGGCGTAGAGCGGCAGGCCGAAAGCGAAGACGGGCGTCGCGAGGATGTAGATGAGCATCCACCCGATCATCTCCCACTTGCGGCGCAGGATGAAGATGATTGCCTGCAAGCCGTAGATAGCGCCGAGCAGGATGAATGCCGTCACGGGGACGGTGGAGGGGCTGGAGATGCAGATGTAGATGAGGTAGGCGATGTAGCCGATGATGACGGGCTGCACGAGTGTGGACAGCAGGTCGAGGAAGACGACGAAGCGCATGGAGAAGCAGCAGAAGCCGCACAGTTGCTTCACGGGGATGAGCTCGATCAGGTTGTGCACGGTGCTGTTGATCCAGCGGCGGCGTTGCGATAGGAAGACCGACCAGCTCTCCGGTGCTATCGTCCAAGCTTCGGCGCGCATCGTATACTTCGTCTTGTACTTTGGATGATGCTTCAGGAGCAGCGTCGTGAGGTATCTGTCTTCTCCTAGGTGCAGGAGATTCTTGGTGTGCAGCGTATCGACGCGGATCTCCGCATAGTCCTCAACCACCTCTCGCGAAACGAAAAGCGGTTTCCCCGTTTCTGCCGCTCGGATGCGGAACATGGAGAAACAACCCGGAAGACAAGTCACCGAGCCAAAGAGCGATTCAAACGCCTTGGTGAGGTTGTGAGAGATGTAATACTCATACACCTGCATCATCGTGATCATCGAGGTCTTGGCATTGGACAGCGCGGTTTCGCCGCACACACCAATGATCCTGACATCGTTCAGGAGAGCAGCAACCATACGAGTCGCGGCGTCCGGAGCAACCACAGTATCTGCATCGATCTGCAGCAGGAATTCGTAGAAGGTGGGGTTGACGCCTATCACGTTTCGAATCTGATGGTGCAGTTCCAGTTCCAGGGGCGACATGGGGAGATTGTAGTGCACGCGGTTGAGGAAGCGCATGAGGAGCAGTTGAGAGTCTCGTTTGCCGCGATTGCCAGGTCTGCAGGATCAAAGGTCAGCATCACCTCTCGTGCTCTCGATCTAGAATGCGAGACTTACCGTGAAACTTCTGAAGGCTTGCCGACCTTGACAACAACCACATACGGCACAATATGGCCCTGCACCTCATACAGGCCAGAGTACACTTTGGCCATGTTGTGCTGCTTCATGCCCTCCCCAAGCGATTCGAAGCTCAGCGGATCAGGCTCGACAGTTTCCGGCACGCCCAGAATATCCAGTACAATGCGCGGAGTAGGACGATCGTTGCCCTGGCCGACAATCATACCATCACACACAATGAAGAGCAGTTTACGCTTGTCATCGTACCGCAGGCGCGCAGCGGAGTCAATCGCACGACGCAACGACTCCTCGTCTTCCGTGTAAGCGGGGATAGTAGCGATGAAGAACTTATCCAAGTTCTCCGGCGTCGTCTTGCGCCCGAATTGCAACGCAGCAAAGAATTTAAACGCAATCACCGAGACCAGCATCAGCGAGACGCCGAGCAGGATGTACTTCGAAAAGAGACAGCGCACGCTGCCGCGCGTGTCCAAGTCGCCGACGTAGAACAGGTTGTCCATGCACATCTGCATGCTGTCGCGCATGAAGTCGGTCAGAGGAAGCGCTTCCCAGAGTTTCGTGACGTCTTGGCCGGGGTTCGTTTGGAACAGCTCCACGATGGCGGGATACATGAAGTTCGAGTCGGGTGTGGTTTTTGGTGGTGTGTATCCGGCTGGGTACTGGGGCGACCGACCGCCTGCGACGTACTGCGTGAAGTCGTACACTCGACCGTACATGTAGGCGATGGACATGGAGTCCTTGTCGACCAGCGTCTTCAGGTACTGTGGAGAGTAGCCGAGATGGCCTTTGTAGTAGTTGCTCTCCAACATGAGCATCTGCGAGGTGAGCCAGAAGGGTCGAGAATCGTTCGTGGCCCATCGAAAGTCGTGATACTGTGCGTTCATATCGCTCAGGCTGGCGGCTGTGACGGAACCGGTGTAGTTGTAAGTCTGGTAGTTGAGCTGGACGGCCGGCGAAATGCCATCTTCAGTCATCCCTTGACACATGGCTGAGACCTGGACGGGGAACAGATTGGTGACATCCGTGCCGGCGTAATTGAGCAGCGAGGTCTGCGGCACAATGGTGGTGGGATAGTGGCCGACGGAGAACTTGCCCAAGTCGAACACAATGCCTCGAAGGGAAGCATACGCCGGTTCGCCATCCTTGCCATTCTTCGAAGTAAGCGCCGCCGGACTGATAATGTTCTGCGTGGGACACACGAGACGAGGCATGCCGATCATGAAGAACAAGACGGACAAACACGAGAACCAGATGATCATGTTGATCGCCAACTTCTCTCGCCACGCAAGGCGGACATCCGGCCGTTTGATACGCAGGAAGATCCGGATAAAGACATCGGGAAGCCACCAGGTGAGGAAGTAGACGACGAACAGCCAGCGTTTCCGCGCGCCGGTGACGGTTCGCTCATCAACTTTGTCGAGTTTCAACTCATTCCCCTTCTCGGCCAGTTCGGACCTCGTGTCCAGATTGCGGAACATGTCACCCTCTCTGAATGCCGAAACGCCTGTTTCACTCTTCGCATCCTGGTCTCGATTTCCGACATAACCAGGGAACTTGTCGTCGTCGTAGGGAACCGATGGGAGCAAGGCGGCCGTTGGCTCACCAAATCCAGTCTTCAAATCCCGATCGGAGAGCCCGCCAGCGCCATCATAAGATGGCCGCCCATGATCTCCCAGATCCTCAAGATCTGTAATCTGCCGCCAGCAGCGCTCACTCAAAAACACTCCCGTGCTTCCGACTCGCGCCTGGTCTGCAGTCCACCGTCGTTCCTCCACAATCATCTCGACCTTCTCCTTCTCGCTGCCCATCACGCTCACGTCTCCTTCAGCAATGTTCAGGAACTCGCCAAAGGGCATGAAGACGCTGTAGTCCGCATTCTTCAGGCGTTGGCTGATCTCCGCTATCCCAAGCGTCTGTACCTGATCGCGAACACATTTGCTGTCAAACATGTTTGCGATGCGGCGGTCGTTGGGCTTCAGGCAGAAGACGAAGTAAGGGTTCGTGTTTGCAGCCGAGAGGGTTTGCGTGATGGTTTCGAGGGAGGAGAGAAACTGTGCTGATGCCCCTTGTTGCTGCTGCTGAGCGTCTTGCTTGGGTCGTGCGCGACGCATCGTCGACCTTCTGCGCAGCTGGGTGGTGTCATCTTCCTCTTCTTCGATGACCGAGACCGAAGTCAGCCGACTGTCGCGATTGCGTCGGACCACGCTCGGCTTGCGAGATGGTTTCGACATGACGGAAGCATGTGTCACAGACGTGCGGTCTCTTGGATGGGTGACTTTGTTCAAAGCTTCTTGGCCGAAGAGCTCCTGCACGAATCTGCTGTTGCTGTACGACACTAGATTCATTAGATCGCCACTAATGACCTCGCCGTTCGCTTCAATGAGCCCGTCGACGGGGTAGTCGACTTCGCCGGCAAAGTGCCGCACGGTAAACCCAGCATTACGATTTGTAGTCGGGAAGTTGTTTCCAAACTGAGTTTCGATTGCTGTTTCGACGACTTCAATCGCGGGATTCCTGCCCTGGAAGCGTCGACGGAAGGTTTCGAGAAGCTGTACGTCGGTTTTATCGCGCCTCATTTGATCGTCGAGGATGCTGAGCAGTCCGTTGCCTGGTTTCAGGAGGCCTCTAACTGCATCACTGTTGTCGAAGTAGCTGGTCGGCGGGATCTTGACGTCTTCGGTGTCCAACAGGTCGGCGTTTCGCTCGAAGAAGGATTGGAGGCAGAAGTTATAGAGTGACTCGCAGGCGGCATTGTTCAACAGTTGGTCCAGAGTGCTGTTGGTCGATGGCTCGATGGCAAAGCCCGGGAAGTCGACGATGGAGATGGTGTTGCTTACGGCCTCCTCATCGGCGCAGATCTTTTGGTTGATCTTCTCCATGATCAGCGCAACTAGCAGTGCGTAGAGGGTACGGGCCAGCTCATCTGCATTCTCCTTTGCGCCTTTGGGATCAAGCATGACAGTCACACGTTCCCGGTGTAGCGTCTTCGTCCGATAGCCCATGGACTGCTCCAAGTCTCGCTCTCGGACGCCGAGGAAAGCCGCGATGATGGCGAGGTCGTCTTTGTTCTTGACAGTGGTCACATCCTCACCACCTTCCTGGCCGTAGCCACCACTCTCATCCGCTGCAGGCGCGGTGGATTGGGTGACTTGGAATTCCAGCTGTCCGATGTGTAAGATGGCCGCGAGAATCTCACACATGTGTGCAATATCCTCCCGCGGAAACTCCAACTTTCGCAACGCGGTCTTGAAATTTTCGAATCCCTCGGCATCGTTGACACCGATTTTGAGCTGGGAGGGGTGGCCGAGATATCGCCATCGCTTCTGCCCGTCCATCGACTGGTCGAGCCCCAGATGCTGTCTCTCGGCGGGCGAAGTGCCAGCTACAAGGTAGTAGAGAATGTGGAAGTTGCGTTCTCCAGCTGGCACGTAGGTCACCCGGCTTCTTTCTAGTCGATGGTCGAGGACTTTGCCGCCTATGAGAGCGGGTTGCAGACTGGATCCCGTTTCGTATTGCAATTCGTAGAACAAACCTGCTTTGGAGGCAGTCGGGGTCGTAGCCGTCTTGGTCGTCGTAAGAGCATCGAACACGAATGCAGCATAGGACAGCTTCTTGGACAAAGGAGTGGACGAGAAGGATAGCAGGGAGGACAAAGCATGTGATCGAAGTGTCGTCTTCCCTGACCCGGACTCGCCCATGAAGACAACAGCCTGATTCTCCTGTCGGTGTCCGAGTCTTGTGATGGCTCGACTTGCCAGCTCTTCGGCAGCACCCAATGCTGAACCATCTTTTGCGCCATTCGGTCCCTTGGCCGAGGAGTTGTAAGTGTTGATTGATATGACCGCTCCAGAGCTGAGATAGCTGATGGGCTGTTGTGCATGATACCGGCTGGCCAGATGCGCCGTCAAGTTTGCATCGGATTGTTCGTATGGCGGGAGAGAAGGGAGCGAGGCGTTCGAGTCGTGCATGTATGGGGAAGGCATGGTGGTGTGTTCCCTCTGGCCTTCAGGCCGGGCGTCGGATGGCCGACAACAGTGCGAATGGAAGGGTGTATGTCACCGCCCTTCTGTACAATAGAAATGATTCGTTTGAATGCCGTGAGATATGCTGGTGGTTGCTGCCGTTCAACTGTACATCGACAAAGGTACTGCACAAACAATGCAGGCGTGAGTTGCCTGTTCGAGATGTCAATGTGTTGGCGCTAAGATGTTAGCTTGGGTGCCGGGGTCGCGGATCGCCAAAACATTGAATCATCAATCCACAGCGTCGGATGATGAAACTCGACTAGAGAATACGCGAAGAGATGGCAATACGGTCGCTATTTTGGATTTGAACATGCGGGTCTATGAGGCCGTGCAGGCACGTGCAAGGTTGGGATGTTGTCCGTCGTATTCTTGCTGCGGCAGGGAATCGTGGCGCCTCGCTTCTCCCCGGCAACGCCAATCAAGGTTCACGCCGAATCCGGGGTTGGCAGATCTGGCGAAGCAACCACGAGCGTCGTGAGATGTACTGGAGGCACTATTTCATCGGTCGCTGAATGCATTTCGATTGCATACTCATCTTGGAATAGTCTGTGAGCTGTTTGAATCGTCTCCACAAGTGATAGGTCATACAGTCAGCCCTAACCAGTACAGTGCGCGCGAAGGGTAACCTCTTGCAGAGAGCTGCACCATAAGTCGAGTCCAGTTCACCAATCTCGTCCGGATCGTTGGAGAACATGCTCAACGTACAGATTTGGAAACACACCACCTCGCTTGGAGCAGAACATGTCAGAAAATAGACAAACCTTGGACGTTGAAGACCGTTGCTGTCGCGATTAGCGAGCGCCACGGACGCAGCCTCGCGGCAAAATAGACTTCCCTCCCATTCCCCTTTCGGGCTGGCTGGCTGCAAGGCAGAGCTCTAGCGTCGATCTTCTTTGAACGTTGCGTAGTGGGAGACAACATCGCGGAGCTGGCTGTCATCTCGACCTCCACACCTGCTCTTGCATGTCTTTGCTAAAGGACTGGTTACTCTCAACATCCCTCTACACTCCATCCTTCATCTCAGAAGGCAGAGAAAGTACAATGCGCTCCTACACCTCGAAGCCTGACTGCCATACACGGCGGAGGTGAACAATAAACAATCCGCATCACAACTGCGACATTCGACGAGCGCACCGCACTACACTCTCAACTCCCACCGCCTCCTTCGAGTATCATACATCAACCACCACTGCCAAAGACATGGCCTCCCGAGCCCACTCCTCCCTCTCCATTCCCTCCACCCAACTCAGCTCGAGCACAAACCGCTCCGCCTCTAGACCTGCCGTCTCGCAACAGGTTAGCACAACCTCACTCCTCGCCCACCTGAATACCGCCTTTTCGAACAACACCTCATACACCCTCGAGTCGAGTACGAGCGTGGTAGTCAACACCTGGGCAAGCGGAGGCATTGTAGACGAAGAGCTGGGCAGGAAAGCGTGGGAGCATGCGCGGAGAAGAGCAGAAGACGCTTGCATCGTCCTCGCCTCCCCACATCAGTCCTCTCCCTCCTTGCTCGATCCCTTCTGCGCGAGCCTGCCATTGTCGATCCCGAACTCCTTCTTCACCGCGCTCAGTGCACTCCGCCCGTTCCTGCATTGCGTTACGCCATACAACTCCTCAACACCTTGCTACTCCGCCTTGGCCGCCACATTCACCCTCTCCCTAGAAGGCCAGGTCCAGGGCGCATCACTCAGCTTGGCAACTTCTGGCATCAACACCAACCTCGCTCTGCTCAATGTGCCTGCTGAGCGAGGTTACCGCGCTTTCGACGTCTTTTACTACATCCTCGCGAGTGCTACGGCGAAAGAGCGAGATTACCTTGGCCTCAAACCACCTAATCGATATGCCCTGCTACGCAAGAGTGACACATACTCATCTCCTTCTTTCCAAACAACAACAGACGATGCCGCGAGTGCAGAGGACTGGCGGGAGACTTTACGAGCGCTTGGAATCAAAGGAAACCACTTCAGGAATCTATTATGCGTAGTCGCCTCGATCGTACGACTCGGAGACGCCGTTGGATATCTGGTGGATCAAGGCGAACTGGAGACCACCTGCCGTCAAGTCGGGAGCATGCTAGAGCTCGAACAGGATGTGTTACTTAAGAAATGCGTCACGGAAGACCGCGAAATCTTGATTGCCGGTCTCTATGAGGCCTTGGTCGACTGGGTCATCGCGAAGTTCAACGAAGCCATCAGCAAAGAAATCAGGGTCGGACGTCAATCAAGTTCCGCGAGGAGCAGCGATATTGGAGTCACCCCACCCACGACTGGCAGAGAGGACGATGTCGCTGGTGCCAGCATCACCGTGATCGACGTCGCCGATTCAATGTTGGGCAAAGCGGCTTGTCTGCGAGCAGTATTCGACGCATCTGCTGGAATTAATGGCGAGATGAAGGAAGATGGCGTTCCAATCGTATCTGCAGGCTCATCAGTAGTCCGAGAGATGTCGGAAGCTGTGGCGCAGTGCGAGGCCGATCTCGAGATCCCAGGCGGCAGAGGAGCGCGAGAGCGCGAAAACCAGCTCGATCAAAGGCAGACGGTACTCGACAAAGTCGGTGTCGAAGCTGAGCCTGACAGTTTCTTGAGATCGATCTTGTACCCTGTTCATGGAGACAGCATCAATGTTGGAAAGACGGGACGAATCAGTCTGCGAAACGTCATGGAAAGCAGTAGAGTATGGTTCCATCTCTGCTTACATCCTAGCGACGACTCGCCCGCCACATTCGCCCAGCAAAACTTCCCTTGGTCTGCAGGCTGTGTATCGTCACAAATCCGAGCATGGCGCCTTCCAGAATGGGCAAATCACCGCAACAGACAACTAGATTTCACCGCAGACTTCGATGTGGACGAGTTCGTCGACCGCTATCGTCTCCTTGGCTGTCAGGGCGGAAGGGAGGGCGTTGATGCCTGGGCCATGGAGCGCGGATGGAGCAATGGCGAAGTCGTCATCGGTCACGAACGAGTTTGGGTTAGAGAAGCAGCATGGTGGGGTGCGGAAGTGATGCTTGATACAAAGGCTGCTGATCAACCTTCTGGCTTGCTCGGTGCTGGACTCGGCGCTCCTGGATACATTCCTTCTCGTTCACCTTCGCCCATGGAAAATCCATTCCTCGCACAGCAGTACGAGGACAACGGCTCGCAAGAAATGCTTGGAGGGCGAGGGGCTCCAAAGTCTATAGGCCCGGCCGGTGGTGGTGACTACGGCCTTGGGCGCAAGGGAGACTACAGATACGCAGAGATGCTGTACGAGGACGACTTTGATCCACAGCTCGCAGAGGGCAAGGAGATCAAAGTGCAGAAGACGACGATAGGACGACGTCTGTGGGTTGCCGTGGTCTGGATGTGCACTTGGTGGATCCCGTCCTTCCTTCTGTCCTGGATCGGCCGCATGAAACGACCCGATGTGCGTCTGGCCTGGCGTGAGAAGCTCGTTCTCTTCTGCCTAATTGTCTTCATCAACGGTGCGGTAGTCTTCTACGTTGTCGAATTGGGAAGGCTACTGTGTCCGAACTACGACAAGGTCTGGAATCTCAAAGACGTCGGCTACAACCAAGGCGTTAATGACTACTGGGTGGCCCACATGGGGAGTGTGTACGATCTCACGCACTTCTACCGGCTGCAGCATTCGGATACATCCATTCAGACGAACTCTCAGAACATGCTTCCCTTCGCCGGAACAGACGTCACGGGCTACATTGTTCCGCCTCTTTACAAGGCTTGTCCTGGTCTAGTGACAAACAAGTTCTTGACGCTGTCCCAAAACACCTCGCTGCTTTACCCCATCGCCGAGCACACTTCCGGTCCGCTGAACCTTTATCATGGCAGTGCCTTGGACAATAGCGACTGGTACTTTGATGTCTTCCAGCCAAAAATCCAGGACTATTACAAAGGCGACCTCGTCACTTCGAAGGACACCATTTACTCCGAAGGCCAGAACTCCAATCACTATTGGTTCATTCTCGAGGGCAAAGTCTACGACCTTACGAATTACTTCTATTCGCTTGCACTGGAAAACAACCTCCCGCAGTACGAATTCCTTGGATCACAGTTCACGAACTTGGTCAAGAACAACCCTGGCCTGGACATCACAGACATGTTCCAGACGGATCTGAACACCACCTACCAAGGCCAGGCGCTCGAGTGCCTGAACAACATGTTCTACATTGGCAAAGTTGACTTCCGGGACTCGCCGCGCTGCCAGGTCAACAATTACATCCTGCTCAGCTTCACAATTGTCCTGTGCGTAGTCATCCTGACGAAGTTCCTCGCGGCTTTGCAGTTGGGATCCAGTCGCAAGCCCATCCAGCAGGATAAGTTTGTGATCTGCCAGGTTCCTTGCTACACAGAAGGCGAAGACTCCCTACGCAAGAGCCTGGATTCCTTGACGGCATTGACCTACGACAATAAGCGGAAACTCATCTGCGTCATCTGCGACGGAGTCACAGTAGGCGGAGGCAACGATCGTCCCACGCCTAAGATCGTCCTCGACATTCTTGGTATCGATCCCAAAGTCGACCCTCCCGCCCTGCCATTCAAGAGTATCGGCTACGGCAGCGAACAGCTGAATTACGGCAAAGTCTACTCGGGTCTCTATGAGTACGAAGGCAATGTCGTGCCCTACATCGTTGTCGTCAAAGTCGGCAAGGAGTCGGAGCGCAAGAAATCGAAGCCGGGAAATCGGGGCAAGCGAGACTCGCAGGTGCTGCTCATGTCCTTTCTCAATCGCGTCCATCACCGCGCGCCCATGAATCCGCTGGAGCTGGAGATGTTCCATCAGATCAACAATGTCATTGGTGTTGATCCGGAGCTTTACGAATACCTCTTCATGGTTGATGCGGATACACGCGTCGCCGAAGATGCATTGAACAGGCTTGTCGCGGCGTGTGCCAATGACGCCAAAATTGCTGGGATCTGTGGTGAGACGAGTTTGGAGAATCAGGAGCGCAGCTGGTGGACTATGATACAAGTCTACGAGTACTGGATTTCGCATCATTTGGCGAAGGCTTTTGAGAGCTTGTTCGACAGCGTTACTTGTTTGCCTGGATGGTGAGTTGCCGAATCGATTATTGGAAGGCGTATGAATGTCACTGACAATACACAGCTTCACGATGTATCGATTGCGAACTGTCGACAAAGGCCGACCGCTGATCATCTCGGATCAAGTCGTTCAGGAATACGCCGACAACGATGTGGACACTCTCCACAAGAAGAATTTGCTCTCCCTAGGCGAAGATCGCTACCTCACGACCCTCATGACCAAACACTTCCCGCAAATGTCGTACAAATTCCTCCCCGATGCATTCGCACACACCGAGGCTCCCGCAACATGGGGCGTGCTGCTCTCCCAGCGCCGCCGCTGGATCAACTCAACAATGCACAACCTCTTCGAATTGGTGAAGCTCAAGGACCTGTGCGGCTTCTGTTGCTTTAGCATGCGCTTCGTCGTCTTCATCGATCTCTTCGGAACCATCATCCTGCCCGCCACGTGCGGCTACCTGATCTACCTCATCTACCGCGTGGCGGCGCACAATGGACAATTCCCGTTCATCTCCATCATTATCCTGTCCGCGGTGTATGGGTTGCAGGCTCTTGTGTTCATCATCAAGAGACAGTGGCAGCACGTTGGATGGATGATTATATACATCTGTGCTTACCCCATCTGGTCGCTCGTGCTGCCTCTTTATTCTTTCTGGCGCCAGGACGACTTCTCTTGGGGCAGCACGAGGATTGTGATTGGCGAGCGCGGCGACAAGAAGGTCATTGCGGATTCCGATGAGGGTTTCGATCCTCGCAGCATTCCCCTACAGCGATGGGACGATTACGCTGCGAAGAACTACATACCCGGTACACGCGGCGGAAGCGTGATGCAAGAGAAGGGGCCCGGCGCGTACTTCCAGGATGGAGCTGCAGCGACAGGAGGCTACGAAATGGACGACATGCACTCCACGTACTCCACCATCAAGCCAGGCTCGACCATGCTCGCCGCCATGCCGCCGCAAATGTACCAACAGCCAGTACACCCACTCGGCCAGCCTCCGTATGCAGGCGGCATGATGATGCTACCAGGCCGCTACACAGACAGCCCCGGGCCCCCCGAGCACGGCCGGATGATGTCGACAGTGAGCCTCAACGAGCCCTTCTTCTCGCACTCCCGCCACCAATCCCGCGACAGACTCCTCCCCTCTCCCCGCCACTCTCCCTCCCCGCACCAACAGCTCTACTCCCCCTCCACTTTCTCCCATCTCCATCAACAACAGCAGCAACCTTTCGCCTACAGCCGTCCGTCCAGCGCGCAACGGAACCAGGCATCGCCTACCGGTGCTTTCTACCCGTCGTCGCAGGGCCAACCGTCGGATGAGGCGATTGTGATGGCCATTCGAGAGTGTTTGGGCGAGGTTGATTTGGATACTGTGACGAAGAAGCAGTTGAGGAGTTTGGCTGAGGGGAAGTTAAGGTGTGAGTTGCGCGGGGAGAGGAGGGCGTTTGCGGATTTGAGGATTGATGATGAGTTGGCGCGGATGTGAGGGGTTTCGGTTTCCTTTGTTTTGTTGTTTGTTGAGCGCGCGTGTTGGAGGGGATAGTGGTGTTGGGCGTTGGTTTGTTGATAGTCATTGCTGGGTACTGTACATGCTATGGGAATGGAAGTCATATATTCCTTCCGCGTTCAAGTCCAGCGATCCAAATCCTCTTCATCAACCATTTCGAAATTCTGCGAAGGGGCATCAGGAAGATCCGAATGTACTTCCTGTTGTGGCTGCTCTCGCTGCGCACCTCCACTCTCGCCTTCGACTCCCAATGCTGTCCCACTTCCTATCCCCGCTGCTCCGCCATTAACACCCTTATCGGTCCCCTCCGGCTTATACCACGTCAACTCCACCTTCCCCACATGCAGCAGCTCCGAGTTCGCAAGCGACGCAGCGCGCATGAAATTCTCGCCTTCGAAGCGCTGCCCAAACGCCACGAGCGCCGTGTCGTCGCGCTCCGGGTGCTTCTCCAGCGTCGTCATGTTAAAATTGTTGAAGAAGAGGAATTGCCGGAGAGCTTCGTCGTGGTCTTCGAACTTCGTGCCCGAGGGGAGGGTCACGGCGATTGTTTTGGGCCGGTTGTCGAGGCGCTTTACGGCGCCGCCTATGTCGCCTCGTGGGTGCCAGACATTGCCGCGGCGGGTGCTGGGGTAGTATGAGGTTCGTCCGCCTCTGGCGCGGCCGCGGTAGGTGCCTCGGCCGCGGTAGGGTGGGTGAGGGCTATGGGCGCCGTCTGTCGTTGCGGCTTCTGCTGGGTCGATGCCGAGACTTTTCGCTTCGGCTTCGAGTTTGGCGAGTTGCGCTTTTAACGCCTGCGTCTGTTCGCTCTCCTCCTCTGTAGTGTTGTTTTGGGACCCGTTGGCGACTGGAGAGGCGGTGGTACTGCTGGCGGTCTTGCCGGTCTTCTTCCAAATGAGCTCTGCCATCTTCTTGCGCTCGGCATCCATTGCTTTTAACTTGGCGTCCAGCTCTGCGCGTTGTTGCTCGGCTTGCTCTCGTTGCTGTTTTGCTTCCTCATGCTTGCGCTGCGCATCTTCTTGCCGCTTCGTGATTTCCTCCATGTCAAGCTCTCCTCCTCCCTCTGCCATGTCTGTATCTTCGCCGTTGGACTTTGAATGTCCTTGCCTGGCTGGTGAGGACGATTGCCCATTCTCGGCCTTCGCCCAATAGACCTTTACGAATCGATTGTCGAACACAACCTTGGGGCTTTGATAAGCTGCGCGGGCAGAGTCGTGGTCTTCGAACTTGATGATTGCAAGCTTGCTCTCCGGCTGCACGTTGACGTTGTCGATATTTCCAAACGCCGAGAAGAACTCGCGTACAGACTCTTCATTGCAATTCTCGGCGGGAATTGACTCGACGACGATACCCGTGATGGAAGTGTCGCGATTGGGCCCAATCTGAGAGAAATTCGAGCGCTTGCCACCTCGAGAAGTGTTGTTGTCGCGCCCTCGTCCACGCCCACGACCTCGCCTTCCCCCTTCGCCTCTTGAAGTGTCGAAGTGACTTGTAGGAGCAGGCGCAATATCAAGCAAGGCTGAGTTGTTTGGGTCGTACTCGGGTATGACGAAGGGGTCGTTGCCATGCTCGTAAGGACACGAACCACCAGCGGCACAGAATCCTTTGGTATCATAGTCCTTGCACCGCCGACCTGATGGCGAGGTACCGTTTGGCATGCCCGGCATCAGACCCATGGCTTGTTGCATGGCTAAGAAGGCGGCCATCGGGTTGTTGGGATCAAATTGTGGCATCCCCGCGGGCAGCTGAGGCATCGCGGGCATACCAAATTGCTGCGGGAAGTGACGTGCGCCTCTCTGGTTGTCCTGACCTCTACCACCACGCCTTGCATGTTTGATTGGGCGATCTCTTTGATACGAATGCGAGCCGTGCGGCCCCTCCTCCTCGTCCCGCGCATAGTACGAGCGTTTTCTGCTGTTGTCGACTGGCTGTTGCTGTTCGTACCTCGAGGTGACTGTTGGCTGGAATGTCGGTGCAGCTGGTCGTAGAGGGGCTCGTTTGGGGTCGAAGGAACGCGTGGATATGGCTATTAGGAGTTCGTCGACGAATTGTTCGGTGTTGTTGGACAGGAAGTCCCGCAGATTTTCGATGTAGTTGTCTCGAGATGCCGATTCCTGCTCTTGCGTCTTGGCCAGAGCGAGGACGTAATCGGCAAGGACCTGAAGACACGCGTTAGTGATTCGATAGTGATAGCGACAGGTATTGTTCACGAACATCGGCATCAGCATCGCTTCCGTTGCTCTCGAGTTTGGCAATGACCCATTTCTTGAGCGCCTCCTCATCCCCCAGCTCCATTTTGAAATGTAGCTCACGTATTCATCGACCACTGGGTATAGAGCACGTCTCGCTGAAGGTCGCGCGTATACTCGTTGCCCGTTCTGAGTATTGTTCCGTTGGAGTGCTGGAGAAGACAGGATTCACATGAAGTTCAGGATCTGAACGGATTGGGTGACGCGATCTGCTGACTCAGCCACCCGCGACGACTGGAGATGCACTTCACATGCATGCGCGACGACGTTCGAGCTCGGCATAGCTGGACCGCGAATACACGTCTGACCGGCCACAACCGCAACAACGGAACGGTGATAGATGCGAGCGCTCGGACTGTCTCAATGTGCATTGCGCCTCAAACACGATGAAGTGCGCGCCCTCGGTGCCGCGCAAGGTACACCATGGCGAGCGGGCTGACGGCGGAGCCCTTGGGATCCGGCTACGGCTTCAACTGGGTCTTCTTGGTTGAGATCCTCGTCTGCTCTATCCTCGCCGTCTTCTTCCTGTTCTACTTCAACCGACTCTTCGCCACCCTCGTCTCCTACTGCATCCGAGCCTACACATGGCACGCGTTCCGGGCCTACATCGACATTACCTCCCTCCAGATCAGCCTGCTGGGAGGGAGGGTCTTCTTCAAGAGTATAAGATATCACGCGCATAATGTGACCTGTCTGGTACATGAAGGTCACATCACTTGGCGTTATTGGCTCAGACAGGTCCAGGATGCAGAAGTGTTTGAAGAGGAAGATCCCGGGCGGAGCGGAAAGGCGCGCAGCAGTTCCTTCAAGAGTGAGAAAAGCGGCGGTCATGATCAGAACGAGCAAGCGCGCAGTCGGAGCGTAGGGAAAGCAGAGACCGGTGGCGCCCGGCCGAAAAAGGAACTGCCATGTCGATTCTCTATAAAGGTGTCAGGTGTGGAGGCATTCGTATACAACCGGAGTCCATCCTACGACTTGGTCCAAGAATCCACCCTGAAGCATACGCACGCTTCTGACGCTTCCGGAAGTGATGCGAGACCAGATTACGATCCCGATTCCCCGCCATCCTCCAGCGATGATCCCGACAAGAAGCATCGATTCCCGTTCTTTCGCGAGAAGACCAAAGAGAGCGTCAATACCGATTCTCGCTCCATTGGCCCCGACACTAGCCACACGAACGAGCAAAAGCCGCCGGTGCCTGCATTCTTGCGTCTCTTCCCGGTCAGAGTCGAATGCAGACAAGCAGCGGCCACGCTGGGTAATGAAAACACGACCAATGTCATTATTGCCAAAGTCAATAGGGCTACCGGAACCATCGATGCTGGACATGCCGGACCCCTCGATCTATTCAAGTTGCTCTTCAACTTCGATATGGAGAAGTGCAACGCCACGATGAGGCCAAACCAGGACTTCAAACAACTTCAGCTTGCCGCTGCACAGCGCATCTTAAGTGAAGAGGAGACCGACCCTACCCCAGAGATGGGCCGCATTTCCAGATTCCTTCTGCGCCTCCTTGCACCTTGGCGCAAATTGGCTGGTGGGCTCGGACGAGCAACGCACAGTGCCACCCGTTCTGTCCGCGCGCTTTCTTCCAGGTCATCCCGCCGAGGCAGTGCCATTGATCTGGACGGCGCACCCACACAACCCAAGTGGTCTGGTCTTGATAGATACATGGATGAAGCCGAGGCTGGCAAACATGATGAGTGGAACGACATCGAGTACGCCAAAGCCTCTACGCTGGCAGACATCGAAAAGCTCCACATGAAGTTCTACTTTGATCTTCCTGGGACTGTCCCTCATGGTGGAGGGCTCAATGGCAACCTCCAGAGCTCGGAATACGAAGACGATATCAATGGCTCCGCGCCCCCAGATTACGGCATGGACTTCGCGGTCTACGGAGGAACGGTCACATACGGTCCATGGGCGGACAGGCAAAGGCTCAACATACAGCAGATCTTTTTCCCTGCTTCCTACGTGGATGCTATACCGCCCGCACCTCTGAAGCCCGGAGAAACGCGCAATTGGACCATCTTCAAGATTTTCATCTCCATCGAAGAAGACGTAGTTCTCCGAATACCCTCGCGAGAACCATCAAAGGACGAGAAATGGCAAGGTCGCGCAAAGAAGAGTACAGCAGCCGATGACCAAGACAAGGTCGTGTCGAGGAAAGGGGGGAAACATGGCAAGAGACACAAACACGCGAGACGACGCAAAGGCAAGCAGGGAAACCCGGGGATCGATGCTCGACCCTACGCGTGGCTGGATGTTGTTGTCAAGACTGACACAACCGTGAGATATACCATGGACATGTTCCCCCGATCATCTGGCTACCGAAATACTTTGGACGTTGATTGCAAGGCGACTGAGATCAACACGAGCGTGAACCACGACTTGCTCTGGAGGACTGGCGCCATTTCTGTCGTTGCAGACCTTGCGCAGCCCAATGAATGGAACACTCTACGGAAATGGCCGTTTGACATCACGATCAACGACATGGAGCTCTTTATCCTGCGCGATCACTTGTTCCTCATCATCGACCTCGTGAACGACTGGTCTTATGGCCCGCCGGTCGAATTCTACACGTTCGTGCCATACTTTTACAGCATGCATTTGCTGTTCCGCAACTTCACCATGTATCTCAACGTTAACGATGCGAATATTGTGAACAATCCCGCGGATCTGACCCGGAACGATTTCCTCACGCTCGAAGGCGTGCTAGACTCCACCTTGGACATCAACATGGATCAATATCGACCTGTACGCAATATGATCACATTCGATGTCTTGGCGTCCGACTTGCGTATGAGGATGCTGAGCGCTACGCGGACCACCATGAGTTCGCTTTTGCATGACAAGGTCGTGGCGGAACTGCCGAAGCTGACGTTGTATGGCTCATACAGCGGACATCTCGAGGAGCGGCCTGGACTCGTCGACACACTTCGGTTTGACATCGTCGGATCAGGCCTCACCTTGAAGGCGTATGGGTACCTGGTTCGCCAACTCATCAACATCAAGGAGAATTACTTTGGCGATTACATGCACTTCAAGACGCTCGAAGAGTTCCAAGAAGCGGACGATGATCTCGCAGTGGCCAACATCAAGACGGCGAGCATACCAAAGCCTAGCTTCATCAACGAGCTCGATGTCATGTTGTGCATCGTTGCCGAAGACGTGACGCTCCTCCTGCCGACGAATATCTACTCCGCAAACGAGTTTGTGCGAATCGAGCTACCTGTGGCTAATTTAGATCTCCGGATCGTGAGCTACTATCTCGATATGGGCCTGCAACTTTCCCCGGTTACGTTCTTCGCAGACAGCACTACCTCTTCCAGCGGCGAGGACTCTCCGGTCGAGACGTCATCCCAAACGCAGCTTTTCATCAAGCACGTCAACTTGGATGGCCACCGCTCCTTTGGCCTTCCACCGGATGAGCCAGCATATATCAGTCAATGGGATGTCGATGTGGGTGCCATCTCTGGCGAGTTGCACGGCGCATTTGTCCACGATCTTGCCATGGGTGCTAGAGCATTCGTCTTTGGCTTTCAAGATTGTGAGAATGCGTTGCCGATACCTCCGCCGACTATCTTCTATGAGGCCACATTCGTGCAGGTGCGGACCGACATACTGCGTCTATGGTTCCATGCCGGGAAAGAGGCCTTCTTGTTCTCTGCGGATCCTGTTGAGGTTACGACGAATGATTGGGCGAGTGACTCATTTTCCCAGAGGATCAGTGTCCTTGCACCAAAGATCACGGTTGCTTGTGTGGATGCTCGCGGCTCAGCCCGCCATCGGGCGGCCGAGAAGCCCAGAACATCTGGTAGAGCGACTGTCAAGACGTACGCTTTCTTTCAAACTGGAGCAGCTATCAACGTTGTCTTACGAAAGGCGCACTTCGAGCTTGAGACGCGGAAACAGCAGGCTTACATCCGCGAAAATGATCGACGCACCAACCGTGCGCCATTCCTGCTGCGTGGAGAGGTTCTGGATGGAATCCCAAACGACAATCCCGAATTCTATCCACCTACATCGCCCTATCCTTTTATGCCGCCTCCGCTTGACAGTGCTGGCCAGGCTACACGACGCCCATCTTCAATCAAGTCGATACCCAGCCTCAGAAGCCTCAATGCCGTTCGCGCTAAGGCATCTTCATCGAGCCTGTCAGCCTCCATTCGTACCGGCATGCAAAGTGCTTCAAACGGCATGCGAGGACATGCCAGCGACTTCCCATCTTCCCGTGGGAGCATGAGAAGCTCTAGCCCAGCTTCATCATTACGATCATCGATTCACAAGGAACGAGACGACACTGCCGCCCACTCCCAAGGGCACATCAACCTCGGGCCGTCAAGGATAGCGTTTTCGAGCTCCTTCGCAGAGCCTTACTTTCCTCTAGACATGCTGAAGCCTGACGAAAGTGACGTGCCGGGGTATGAGCAGGTACCAGAGTCTGATGATACTACTTCGGACGATGGTATGCTTGATGAAGCCATCGACTACCCTCATGACCACAGTGCTGCGCGGACCTCGGTGCTCGTTCAACTCAAGCCTGGGATCCGCGCCTATTTCGAGCCCAGGACTGTGGTGGCTGCAGCGAAAATCTTTCGTAAGATCCTCCCAAAGAGTCCGGAGGAAGTCATGGATGCGTTCCAGATGGACGTCCTTGGTGCTGTCGCCGCCAAGCAGCGCGAACAGGGCAGTGGAGAGAACTCGACGCTCGAGATCCAAGCTGCCTTGCCAACAGCTCGTATTAGAGCGGTGAACCCCGGTCCCACGTCTGACACCAACGATCAACTTGACCTCAATCTACGTTCGATTGACGCGTTGGTCAGAGTGAGAGATTTGCCAATGTCGGATGTGAAGGAGACCCTCGCAGTACACGCCACTTCTAAGAGCGTCTCCGCCTCGTTTGGTCGTCCTGAGCATCTATCGACAGTCGGACCAGCAGTGCAAGCCAGTATCGATGACGCTCTTGTGTGGGTGGCAGCTGCGGCAGCAAGATCAATTCATGCCACCATCGAGGATACAGTATTCGCCATTTCGGGCGAGCGGGCTGAGAGCTTGGTGGACTTTGTGTTGCGGGTGGTCCCTCTGATCACCGAACTAAAGACCAAGGTTGCGGCGCCACTTGAGTTGAATCGCAATCGCTTGTTGCTGCTTGTTCACACCTTGACCCAACGCAACGAAGACCTTGGCGAGCCCGCATACTTCTCCCGGGTGACCTATATCCTGCGTGCTTTCCCAAACCACGTACGGAATCAGGAATCTTGGAAGCTTCTGGCAAGGCTGAGACACATTCTCAGAGATCTCCCTGCCGACACTCTTAAAGAGCTTACAGTCAAGCTCAAGAAGGCAGAGCTGGACTTTGCCCCGGACGCGCCCGCCAAAGCTCTTGACACGTGGGCACAATGGCAGAATTGGGATGTTCCCAACGTACATCAGACTGTGGCCTTCCAGATGTTTTTCGGAGACGAAGAAGAGCAGGTCTTGCATACAACTGTGGAAAAGCCGCTTCTGCTCACGGTCAGGTCAGATTACCTCCGACTGGCTGTTGAGGCCGACAAGCTGGCGAACGAAATCGTCATCAGAGAGACGTCCCTTGGAGTAGAGTCCACGCCTCCGACGGCCCCCACGGGTTTGATGCTGGTCGATGAGAATACAAGGACGAAAGTGATTGTGCAAATGCACTCGAGCTCAATCGCCTTTCTGGCGAATTGGAGTGCATTCTCCATCGCACAACGTGTGCTGGCATTCAAAGACAAGTTACAGCAGCTCCCTCTACCCACTCCCAAGGTGGAAACAGCATCGAAATCTCAGCGTTTCGAGGATGAGCTCAACCGCACCATTTTTCAAATCGTGGTGTCGACCGACAGCGGCAGCATCTCCGTTGAGAGCATCAACCTTCGCCATGTCTCACGGGCAGACGGACTCAAGATATCCCTCATCGGAGCCACACAGGTTGTGGAAGAGGGGTATGGGCCTTGTGCCACCGGCATAATTAACGCCGATACTGCAGTCACGGAACTCTTTGCCGGTTCTCGACCGTTGTGGCGAACGAACATCACTTCTCCGAGCATCTACGCCGACCACTTGCGGCCCGACGCTACCGTCAACGTGCCACCGTCAACCTACATAGCTGTCGGAAGCAAAGGATTGGAACTCAGACTGTTGGAACAAGTGCCCGGCTTGCTTCAAATCGTGGACTCGGTGATCTTAGATGAAGTCACTCAGGTTCTGGAGCTGATGAGAAGCGCCGGAGCAGTCGCCTCACCTACCCTTGACAAAGCGCAGCCGGCGGTTACGGCAACACTCGCAGAGACATCGAGCCCTCCAGTCAAACTTCATGTCGCTCTACTCGGGGGCGATCTTCGCGTCGAGGTATCTTTGTTACAGGCAATTACCTATCAGATGGTAGGCACCGGTACAAGCGTACGCTTGGCTCCAAGCCTGTCCGAGGACCGGAAATGGGCGATTGACTTCGATATCGGCCGGCAGAACCATCGGTTCATCAATCCAAAAGCCAGCAAGAAGTTCGAGCAAAGCATCCTCGACGTGCCGCCGGCCAATGGCCATATTGGATTGCAGCTTGCGCCCGATGTTACTACCTTGTCCGTTGGAGCCACCATGGAGCGAGTCGACGTCAACGCAGCGGCCATCCAAGGAGTCGTCGCAACGCTCAATCATCCTGGGGTCCAGGACGTATTGAAAGCGGTCAAATCCGGCGTTGACGCCATCAAGCAGCACGTGGTCGACATTTTCCCGCCTCGCGATAATCCACAGCCAAAGCCTGCCGCGAGTCAGAAAAAGTTTGCTTACGAAGTCCGATTTGCTCTGTTGGGTATCCGAGTCGCGGCCGTAACTCCTCGAAGCAAGCGATCGACTACCGAAGTCGAATTCGGCATAGGGACGTTGCACACCATTGCTTCGAACAAGCAGTATTTTCCCGATAACAAGATTTACCTGCCAGAAGTCCGCGCTCAAGTCAAAGAAATCGGAGCGAAATTACAGATTCACGAGGGCACTTACACTCATCCCTGCGGCCGCTTGACCCTTGGCATCAATATGCATTTCAAGTCGAGCATTGACAAGAATGGCCGACTTGTACGTACCTTGAGGGTACAAAGTGACAGCCTGGAAGTCTACGTCTACCCAGAGACAGCCTCGACGGCAGTCGACGTCATCAACCACATGCAGGATCGGCTCAGGCGTCTTGACTTGTCCAAAGAGATGGAGTACATCCGTCGGCTCGGAGACGCTCGTCGACACAGTGTGGTGCAGAAGATTAAAGGCAAGCAAATCGCTAACGAGGAAGGTGAACTCTCTTTCTCTGCTGCAGATCTTTTGTCCGTCTCCACGACCGTGCAGCTCAACAACATCAAGCTGAGCTGGATCGTAAATCAATCGTATGCGGCCAGTCCGAGCGCACGAATCTCCGACCTGGTACTCAGTCTGGCGGGCATCGAATTCACAACACGAGGAGGACATGAAGCGCGGCTAGCGATCACGGACCTTCAGCTTTCACTGGTGAAGCATAACAGCGCATTGGTGAAGCGAGCGCTGAATTCCGCCCTTCTCCCCGAGGTCACCTTTAGCGTGGGTTACTGGTCGACTGGAGACAATCGCAGTCTCACCTTCAAGGCCGCCGGCAAGCCTCTCGAGCTCCGTCTGGAATCCAAGTTCCTCGTCCCTGTGAATGCACTGTCCAAGTCTATCAACTTCGCGATCGAGAACTTCCGCAGTGGCACAGCGACATGGAAGACGGTGGCTCCAGCGTCAGCGGCGCCCTCCGTTGGCCAGCTGTTCGATGTGAAGCGGCTGGGCTCGCTCCTGTTCGAGGCAGACTTCGCCGGAGCTTTGTTCTACGTCCAGGGTTCAGGGACTAGCAATCAGAACCTGGCTACAATGGCGGCCTCGTCACACCAGCGTGGCTCGCAGCATGGTCGTTATGGACAATTCGCAGCCGAAGGCACAGAACTGCAGGCCACACTTAAGGCACCAGGCATTGCAATGAAGTTTGAGTACAATGCTGGGACCAAAGTACGACAGCCAACCTTGAACGGCGAAATCAGGATCGATGCTTCGAGCAATCTCCTTTTGCCGAATGTCGTACCGCTCCTGCTGGAGATCTCTCACAGCGTGAGCTCAGTCGTGAAAACCCAGGGCGAGCAGATGCCTCCAGGAGGAGCAGCGCCAACACCCACCACGAACCCAGCTCAGAAGTTGCTGGAAGACGACTCGATCATCGTTGCCGATCCTGCTGTCTTGTTCGGCAAGATGAAGCTCGACATTGGCTTCCGTGTCTGTCGGCAAGAGTTTGGCCTCACTTGTCAGCCCATCGCCCGCGTGGACGCCAAAGCCGAGCTGGACGACTTCTATTTCACCGTCAACACCATCGAGTCTGATGAGCATGGCCATTTCTTTGCAATTACCGCGGTGGCGACGAAGCTCAGCGCCCAGGTGAAGCATGTGTACTCCCGCGAGCCGACATTCACCTTCGACATGGAGTCCATGGTGCTGTCTGTGATGAACAGCAAGCATCTCAGCGGCGAACCAGGGATTTCGGCAATTTTGAAGCTGCATCCCACGCGTACGTTCATCAATGGTAAGCAACTGCAAGACTTATTACTGTTTCGGGAGATTTGGCTGCCGCCAGAGATCCGCGCGGCAGGCAATACAACTCAGTCATCTGCCGCCCGTCAAGATGAGTTCTTCGTGCAAAAGTATCGCGCCGCTGCTGCGGCTGCGGCTTTTCCCTGGAACGCTACCATCTCGATCGCGCAGCTGGCCGTGGACGTTGATCTTGGGCAAAGCATCGGGAAGTCGTCCTTCTCCATCACCAATCTGTGGGCCACTCAGACCAAGTCGTCGAGTTTCGAACAAAATCTGTGCATCGGGATGGACGAGATGGCGATGAACAGTACGGGAAGAATGTCCGGATTCATTCGCTTGAGCAAGCTCGGGGTGCGGACGTCCATCACATGGCCTCAGAATGCGGCAGCGCATCAAACGACTCCGCTCATCCAAGCGTCCGTCGGCTTCAACAGACTATTGACGAAAGCGGCATTCGACTACCAGTCTTTTGCTTTTGGAGACATTGAGGGATTCGATTTCCTCATGTACAACGTGCATCAAGCGCACAGCAGCGCAAGAGACCGTCTGGTTGCTGTTCTGGACTGCGACAAAGCGTACATCTTCTGTACGGCGACAAGTCCGGCACGAGCCGTGGGCCTCTATCAAGCGTTCGATCGTCTGATTCAAGAGAAGCAAACGGCATTCGAAAACTCTCTGAGGGATATCGAGAAGCACATTCGTCGCGAGAGTACGATTGTGCCAACTCGATTCGGACCGAGCATTCCGAACACCCCGGTTATCGCTAAGTCGGAGAAGAAAGGGACGATCTCGCTGCACACTGACGTTGTTCTGACCATTGGTACAATCAGCTTTGGTGTCTACCCAGGTACATTCTTCGACAATCAGATTTTGAAACTGGAAGCCAACGCCATTCAAGCTCGATTCGCAGCCGGTCTGGAACAGGGAAAGGTCGCAAGCGCACTGGGAATGACGTTGGGACAATTATCCTTTGGCCTTGCTTCCGTCAAACGCATCAACGCCGTTCCCAAAGCGCTCGACATTTCTGTCGACGAGGTCATCACCACTGCAACCAACGCTCGCGGCGGCACCATCCTGCGTGTGCCCAAGGTGATTGCTTCGATGCAGACCTGGCAAGCACCGCATTCCAACAACGTCGACTACATTTTCAAGAGCCTCTTCGATGGCAAGATCGACGTGGGCTGGAACCTGTCCCGCATCGACTACATTCGAGGCATGTGGACCACGCACACCCGCGCGCTCGCCGCTCGTTTGGGCAAAGCGTTGCCGGCGTCGGCGGTCAAGATTACAGCCGAGAAGGTGAAGGAAGGCATCGACGGGGCGACAGAAGGGAACAAGACCGAGGGCGGGCACCAAGAGAAGATCACCGCCGAGGTGAACCTGCCGCTGTCACACTATGACTACCATGCGTTGGTGCCGCCCATTATCGAGACACCGCAGCTCAGGGACATGGGCGAGGCGACACCGCCGCTGGAGTGGATTGGGCTGCATCGCGACCGCTTGCCCAATGTGACTCATCAGATTGTGATTGTGAGTTTGTTGGAGGTGGTGAGGGAGGTGGAGGATGCGTACAGGTCGATTCTGGGCTCTTCGTGATGATTCTGCTGGTTTTGCTTATGAAGCGTTCGAGCGAGGCGTTCAAAATTGGGCTTGGGGGGATAGCTTACTCGGCGGGTACGTATTGTATAGTGTGTTTGTAAGCTGCGAGTAGTCACCGTACCTAATTTAGAGGTTATTCACCAATGCTTCCTAGATGGCTGTGACTCACGTAGATCTTGATGCACATGGTGATTGGTATGCGGGTTGGATCACAATCATTCCATTGCCAGTACCCGACGCACGTGACGATGAGCGGGAGGGGAGAGCTTAACTCCGGACTCGGAAGGTGCAAAGGTGGAGCAATTAGAGTTTGGCGGGGCCCACTATGGCTTGTCCAAATTCGAAATCTTCTACAAACTTGCCCTCCTCCACCGCCATCCCAACTCCAAAGGCCTTCCATAGGTGCGCAAGACGACCCATCCCCATCTCCACCCATCGTCTAACACCCCTTGCAGGCAGACAACATCAGCGGGTCATCGAGTGCCATTCAGCACTCTCTCCACAGGTCATATCCGTGACCTACCCGACTACCGAGAAAACTTTTCCCCACTACAACCAGCTACAACACCGCCAACATGGTGCAGTAAGTTACCACAGCCGCAGCATGCGCGGGCGGCATGCGTCCTAATCTGAGCTCCAAGACTGACGCACGTTGATGTAGATTCACCGTCGAGGAGCTCCGTGGGCTCATGGACAACCCGATCAACATCCGGAACATGTCCGTCATTGCCCACGTCGACCACGGCAAATCCACCCTCACCGACTCCCTCGTCCAGCGTGCCGGTATCATCTCAGCAAAGAACGCCGGCACCGCCCGTTTCACAGACACGCGAGCGGATGAGCAAGAACGTGGTGTCACCATCAAGTCCACCGCTATTTCCCTCTACGGCTCGTTGCTTGATGAGGAGGATCTCAAGGACATCCCCGTCAAGACGGAGAAGAACGACTTCTTGGTCAACTTGATCGACTCGCCGGGCCACGTGGACTTCTCCTCCGAAGTCACCGCCGCTCTGCGTGTCACTGATGGTGCCCTCGTCGTCGTCGATACCATCGAAGGTGTGTGCGTGCAGACCGAGACTGTCCTGCGACAGGCGCTCGGTGAGCGTATCAAGCCCGTTGTCATCATCAACAAGGTCGACCGTGCTCTCCTCGAGTTGCAATTGTCCAAGGAAGATCTGTTCCAGAACTTCTCTCGTGTCATCGAGTCCGTCAACGTGGTCATCGCCACCTACTTCGACAAGGCGCTCGGTGATGTCCAGGTCGTCCCCGACAAGGGCACCGTCGCTTTCGGCTCTGGCCTCCACGGCTGGGCTTTCACCGTCCGCCAGTTCGCCACCAAGTACTCCAAGAAATTCGGTGTCGACAAGAACAAGATGATGACCAGACTTTGGGTAGGTTGAGATGATGAGTGTGTTTGTAGATCTTGCCGGCTAACAGCTACACCAGGGCGACTCGTACTTCAACCCCAAGACCAAGAAGTGGACCAAGGAGGGCAAGCACGAGGGTAAGGAGCTTGAGCGTGCCTTCAATCAGTTCTGTTTGGACCCCATCTTCCGCATCTTCGATGTGGTGATGAACTTCAAGAAGGACCAGATCCCCACTCTCCTCGAGAAGCTGGAGATCAAGCTTGCCGCCGACGAGAAGGACCTCGAGGGCAAGGCTCTCCTCAAGGTTGTCATGCGCAAGTTCCTGCCTGCCGCTGACGCCCTGATGGAGATGATGATTCTCCACCTGCCATCCCCCGCCACCGCCCAGCGGTATCGTATGGAGACTCTTTACGAGGGTCCCCACGACGACGAGTCTGCCATTGGTATCCGCGACTGCGACCCCAAGGGACCTCTCATGTTGTACGTCTCCAAGATGGTGCCCACCTCCGACAAGGGACGATTCTTCGCCTTCGGCCGTGTGTTCTCCGGAACTGCGCGCTCTGGTCTCAAGGTCCGCATCCAGGGCCCCAACTACGTTCCCGGCAAGAAGGAAGACTTGTTCATCAAGTCTATCCAGCGTACCATTCTCATGATGGGCAAGTACACCGAGCCCATCGAGGATGTGCCCGCCGGTAACATTCTGGGTCTGGTCGGTGTCGATCAGTTCCTGCTCAAGTCTGGTACCCTCACCACCTCCGAGACCTCTCACAACTTGAAGGTCATGAAGTTCTCCGTCTCGCCCGTCGTGCAGCGCTCCGTCGAAGTCAAGAACGCCAACGATCTCCCCAAGCTCGTCGAAGGTCTCAAGCGCCTGTCCAAGTCCGATCCTTGCGTGTTGACCTTCATCTCCCCGTCCGGTGAGCACGTCGTCGCCGGTGCCGGTGAGTTGCACTTGGAAATTTGCTTGAAGGATCTCGAGGAAGACCACGCTGGTATCCCCCTCAAGGTCTCCGACCCCGTCGTGCAGTACCGCGAGACCGTCGCCGGCGAGTCCAGCATGACCGCTCTGTCCAAGTCGCCCAACAAGCACAACCGTCTGTACGTCATTGCCGCTCCTTTGAGCGAGGAAGTGTCCAAGGATATCGAGAGCGACAAGATCAACCCCCGCGACGATATCAAGGTTCGTGCGCGCATCTTGGCCGACGAGCACGGATGGGATGTCACCGACGCCCGCAAGATCTGGTGTTTCGGTCCCGACACCACCGGTGCCAACTTGCTCGTCGATCAGACCAAGGCTGTGCAGTACCTCAACGAAATCAAGGATTCCGTCGTGTCTGGTTTCCAGTGGGCGACCAAGGAAGGCCCAATTGCCGAGGAGCCGATGCGCAGCTGTCGCTTCAACATCATGGACGTCACCCTGCACGCCGACGCCATCCATCGTGGTGGTGGCCAGATCATCCCCACCGCCCGTCGTGTGCTCTTCGCCGCTACCCTCCTGGCCGACCCCGCGCTCCTCGAGCCCGTCTACCTCGTGGAAATCCAGGTGCCCGAGCAAGCCATGGGCGGCATCTACGGTGTGCTCACCCGCCGCCGTGGCCACGTCTTCGAGGAGGCCCAGCGCCCCGGTACGCCGCTGTTCAACGTCAAGGCCTACCTGCCCGTCAAGGAGTCGTTCGGCTTCAATGCCGATCTCCGCTCCGCCACTTCCGGCCAGGCCTTCCCGCAGTCCGTGTTTGACCACTGGCAGGTCCTGCCGGGCGGCAGCCCGCTCGATCGGACCACCATGCCCGGCGCGGTCGTGGAGGAGATGCGCAAGAGGAAGGGTATCAAGACGGAGGTGCCGGGCTACGAGAACTACTACGACAAGCTCTAAGTGGATCGCCCTGGCGGAGGAGGAAAATGGGGGGTTAGAGAGAGAAGAATGAGGCAAACGTATGAAAACGCGGGTTCGTCTTTTCCTTTGTGTGGGGTTTGCATTTGTTTGTTCTTGCCCTCTCTCATAGAAGGAGATTAGATAGGTGAATACTCATGCACCAGAAGTCTTTTTCGGAAAGTTCTTTCGTCGCTCGTCCGTCTTGCTGCAGATGCGTGATACGCTAAATGCTACTTCTTCCCCGCCTTGCCCTTCTTCTTCCCAATCAACGACACGCTAGGCGGGCTGTCCAGGTTCGGCGCGTTGAGCAATGCAATAAACGCATCATGATTGCTGCCCTCATGCACTTTGAGGACAACCGACTTCAGTCGTGGATATGTTCGCTCCGCGAATCCGAGCGTCGGCCAATCGCCTGTAATCGGTGGGCCGGCGTTGATCAAGTATTCGCTGATGGCGAGTGCGGCGGGCGTCACACGCGCCGGTTCACGCACCGCGAGCTCGCTGATTGTCACGTTCACAGAGGGGGGTGTTTCTCCTAATCGTGTGAAAGCCTCGCTCACTTCGCCAGCTATGACGCGCGAGATCCGCACGTCGCGCACTCGAGGCCATGAGGATTGCAGCATGCTCTGGATTGCGTCGCAGCTCGACGTTTGTGTGAGCGTCGGCATGACGAGGTCTTGAAGTGAAGGCATGCGCGCGTGCGTGGCTTCAGGCAGCAGGTCTTCGTGCAGATGGAGCTGAGTGAGATGAGGGAAGTCGCGGTCGCGAAGCGTCACGCCGCCGCTTTCGTTGCTGTTTGAGCTTAGATTGAGATGGGTGAGTGTGCTCGAGGCGGTGTGGAGGAGACTGTCTAGGCCTGGGGAGGCTTCGGAGTGGGCGTGTGCGGTGAAGGAGGTGAGGATTGGGATCGAATCGTTGCTCTTTGTTGCTGCTGCTGCTGCTGCTGCTGCTGCTGCTGCTGCTGCATCAGGGGACGAGGAAAAGACTTGAGTAGCGTGCAGGGTCAAGCTCGCGAGACCGCATGCCTTCGCGGCGTGAATCAGCGCTTCGGCGGGGAAGAAAGCGCGAGAGAACTCGATGGAATGCAGAGCGAGTTTCAAATCAACGATGCGCGTCAGGATCGTCAAAGCGCCCCATGCTTGCTCTGCTTCGTGCACGACCAGACCCAGACGGCAGTTGGGATGCAGGAGTGACGCGTCGCGCAGGACGTCTAGGACTTTGGGCAGGCTGTTGCTGGGGTGCAGTCGGGCCATGGTCGGGATGCAGATTGTTAGGGAGGCCAGGCTGGTCATTGGTTTGAGGAGGCTGTGGACGCGGTCTGAGAAGTCCTCCTCCGCGAGGTCGTCGCCGGGGGTGGATGTGAGTCGGAGGTGGTGCACTTCTGCGAGTGCTGTTGTGGAGGATTGCGCCAGTACATCGGGTATTTTGTTCGAGTTGACTTGCAGGGAATTGGAGGCATTTGCGGTCTATTCACGAGCAGGTCAGAATTCTGGCAATAAAAACACTTTAGAGGCATTGACTACCGCTGAGATCCTCGCTGCGCTGCAAGAATTTGACATGGCGATGAGAATGTGAGATCTTGTTGAAGATATGGTTCTCGAGGAGATCTGTTTGTCTGGCGCAGTGTCAGTGTATGGAGGTCAAACTATTGGGCAGGGACGAGTTACGCTATGATATGCGGACGGAAATACAGAAATCGGGAAACACTGAGTGTAGAAGTAGGACAAGCAGATTTTCACCGAAGGGGTGTATCGAAGTGTATCCCGTCTATTTTGCACCAGTGATTGAATCTGAATCGTTGAGCTATGAAACAGCAGAAGAAAAGAAAGACGATCATTGAGGAAATCAGGCGCTGCTGGCGATTATGGGACATGAAGTCGAAATGCTGAGTCATCTTGTGAGCATCCATATCAATCCCTATGAAGGTACGAGGAATAGCACACTATAACTACTCGCCAGATCAATCCATCAATCCATAATCGTCGGCAAAGACGTTCGTCCAGTTTGAGTATTGAAGATGTTTCACTACGCAGTGCGTGTCAATACTCATGGACGGGCTTAGATACTGCTGGCCGCATCCTTGCCAGGAGCAAGGGCTGAGTAAGTTAATAGCCGGACGCCAAGCAACATCAGTCGAATACGGAGACTCTTTTACCATTCCTCTTGCTTGCCTCACTCTCCTTGTCCAGTATAAGATACTTCAAATATCCCGCCAGGCAAGCCCGTCGCTACCGATGCGGCCGCGCCGCCCAGCGAAGCGCCGATGCAAGGCCGCTACGTGCGCCTCGAGAAACTGACGGAGCACCACATCCCCGATCTGTGGAAGCATTACAGCGTCGACGATTCGACCTGGAAATGGGCACCGGGCACGACGCCGAGCGACGAGGGGGGCTTGGCGAAGTACATGAGCGACGCAGCGAAGACGTGTGTGATGTTTGCTGTGCTGTGCAAGGCGGGGAGACTTGGGCCCGGCAGTGGGGACCATGCCGGGGAGAGGGGAAGATGGGAGGCGATGGGTGTCATCGTCTACCTGGACATCAATCTGAAACAACGCACGCTGGAAGCCGGGGTGATCTTTGGGCCTGCGATTCGAAGGACAGTGGCGTCGAAAGAGGCGCACTACTTGATGTTGCGGAATGTGTTTTCGCCGGACAAGGGCGAGGCGTTTCGGCGGTGTTGCTGGAAGACGAGCAGTTTGAATGTGCAGTCGAGACGGACGGCGGAGAGGTTGGGATATGTGTATGAAGGGACAATGCGGAACCACATGATACACGCGGGGAGATCGAGGGATACGGTGTTGCTAAGTGTGATTGAGGAGGATTGGGGTTCTATGAAGCTGGCTTTTGAGCGGTGGCTGGATGAGGGGAATTTTGGGTCGGATGGAGGGCAAAGAGAGCGGTTGGAGGATATTCGGAGGGGGATTGTCGAGGGTGGTGAGGAGGTGTAGTCGAGTCAGGCTGACGGGTTTGTGTGTCAGCCTTGGGAGAGAAGTGGCCGCCTGGCTGGGGCAAGGGTACTCGGGTTACGTAACCCTAAGAAACGTGGGGATTGCTGCATCATGACGCTCAAGCCTGTTTTGGGCAGGCAGAAAACACACTCCTCGACTCCCTCATACCAAACAACGTCTCCTAACACGGCTTGCGTCTGCCCGTCTCCCTCCATCTCGCCGCCTGTCCCTTCTAAGTCGCTAAAAGACAGCTGCGATGCCGTAAATCGCCTTCCACTCCTACGGCGGCCAACAATCGTCACGACAACATGGCCTCGTACGAACAGCTCGCGTTCCTGATGATGGGAGGCGAGCAAGACATAGACGGGGGAACCGGCTGGCGCTTTGGCAGAATCGTCTTGATCCTCACCGGCGTCTCTTCTCTCGTGGCCTGCATCCTCACTCTCCTGTACGTCTTTCACACTGCACACGTTCAGAGTGGCAGTATAGCTGGCTAACAACATCCCCTCCAGATCCACACTCATCCAGGCCAAAAACTACCGCAAACCCCTCCTCCAACGCCATGTCATCCGCATCTTCATGATGGTCCCCATCTTCGCCGCCGCCTCCTGGGCCTCCCTCACCTCCCTCCGCGTCGCCTTCTGGATCGGCCCGTTTCGCGACGTCTACGAGGCCTTCACCCTCTACACCTTCTTCCAGCTGCTCGTCAACTTCCTCGGCGGCGAGCGCAGCCTGATCATCATGATGCATGGCCGCCCCCCGGTCTCGCATCTGTGGCCCCTGGATCTGATGCCCGGCATGGGCAAGGTGGACATCTCCGACCCGCACACCTTTCTGTGGATCAAGAGGGGCATTCTACAATACACTTGGATCAAGCCGTTGTTGGCCATTGCCACAGTCGCCATGAAAGCCACTGGCACCTTCAAAGAGGGCGTCATTAGCGCGAGCTCGGGCTACTTCTGGACCAGCTTGATCTACAACGTCAGCATTGCCTGGTCCCTCTACGACCTCGCCCTCTTCTGGGTCTGCATGAGCACTGATCTGCAACCCTTCCGCCCCATGCCCAAATTCCTGTGCATCAAAGGCATCATCTTCGCGAGTTGGTGGCAAGGCTTCTTCCTCAGTATTCTCGTCTGGCTAGGCGCCATCCCCAGTCTGGGCGGCGACTACACCTCCGACAAGACTGCCTCCGCCATCCAGGATGCGCTCATCTGCTTCGAAATGCCTCTATTCGCTATTTCCCACTGGTATGCATTCAGCTGGAAGGACTACGCCGATCGCACCATCTCCGACGCTCGCATGCCCATGCGCTACGCTTTCCGCGATACCTTTGGGCCGCGAGATTTGATCGAGGACGCGAAGGAGACATGGTCGGGCCAGAAGTATGACTACCGCAATTTTGACGCAGATGATAATGTCATTGGCCATGAGCAGTCGGCGAGTCGAAGGGCGCGGATGAAGGAAGGCATGAGGTATGAAAGGGACGGCAGGGGCAAGTATTGGATCCCGGCTGCTGGGGGCGAGAACGCGAAGCAGCCGCTTCTGAGTCGGCTCGTGGATAGCCATGCCCGGACTATGAGCCCGGGTGATGGAGGACGCAGTCGATCGAGGAGTCAGTCCAAGGGGTACGGAACCAACATGGCATTCGAAGAGCCCGAGCTGAACTCCGAAGAGGAGCGGCTGTACGAGAATGCCCGAGCGCTGGAGTTTGGCGATTGGAACTGTAAGTTTCGCCCCTCATCCTACCTTTCCGAACTCACCACTGACACGCTATACGCAGACCCCGTCATGGACGAACACTTAGCGACGCGCGAAGACCGCCTGCGCGCCGAGCCGAACATAATCACCGGCTCCACCAACCGCGCCATCCTCCAACCCAGCAAAAACCAGCGCCAACGTCGCAAATCCCGCATAAAGTCTCTCCAAGAAGACTCAGCACAGCACAACAAACCCGGCTCCTCCTCCGACGACCAACACCGCGACAGCGAGACAAGCAACGGCAGTGCCAGCGGCTTACTATCCAAAGGCAAAGAGCGCCTCGAAGCGCTCCCCGTCGTCGGCAAGCTGCTCCGCTCCTCCTCCGAGGAAAGCACGCATTCCCGCTCCTCGCAGCTCGTCGATCTCGTGGTGGAAGACAAGCAAGCGGAAGCTATTGAGCGCGTGCGCGCGAGGAAAGAAGGTGGGCCAGGTTGGAATGCCGTCGAGCCGAGGTATTTCGTCCAGACGTTCCCCGACGAGGACGCGAACGGGGAAGCGGTGGAGGAGGTGCGGCGCGGCTTCAATCCTGATCGTCCTGAGAAGGCGGCTGTGGGCGGTGAGACGCATACGCTTGATGATGAGGGGAGGGATGTGGCTGGTCAGGCGGTGGAGGACCAGGAGGGGGTGGATGAGACTGGAGCTGCGCAGCCTTGGGAGACGAGGAGGTATGAGGGGGTTGCGGATGAGGAGAGGGAGGTTTGGGGTGGGCATGGGGGTGCTGAGGAGGGGAGGTGATGGTGTTGCTGCTCTGGATGCGAGGTGCATTGATGCGATTTAGCGAGTGCGTTGTGGTGTTGTGCCGCCCGAGATTAAGGGCGTGGAATTTCGCTTTGCAGCTCGGCTGATTGTTCGTTGTAGCGATGGCATGGATGTACTGGTATAACAGCAACGACGACAATGATCTCAATACACTTGACCTACCACTGGTGAGGAGTGTCTGTCTGCATCCAGGATAGGATGCTGAATCAAGGGTTGGAAGATGAAGCGAAATGCGTGATTAGATACTTGCTGCGTTTATGTACATATGATCCGAGGTAATATGCTGGACCGTGAAGGTTGCCGTCACCCACTAGAAGTCGGATGCAAGGCATACGCATCCACCGCCGGCTCCTGACTGACGCGTGGGGAGCCGAGTCTGTTTAATCCACAACGATTAGCGAAGGCACACAACGAGATCCACGAAAGGCATAAGAAACGTACATAATGCCATCGACAATCGCATCCCACGTATCCTGCAACGACACCGAGACGGAGAAATCCATATGCGGCGCCGTAAACTGCAGACAGCTGAACGGGTTGCTCGCGCGCGCACGACTGACGCTCCCCTGCCCGCCGTGCGTCAGAGCGTCCATGGCTAAAGCGTACGCAGCGGCGTCAATCGGCATCTGTAAATGAGTGACGATGCGTAGTGGACACAAGTCTTGGACGCTCATGGTGGTCGCGCTGGGCAATTGAGCATTTTGCTGAGGCGGATTAACGACGCCATCGGACTGCGTCCAAATAGCGGTCGTCGGCACGAGCTGCTCAAACGTGTCGGCGTGCATGGCAGCATAGTAAGCGCTGCCAGCAGACTGCTGCCAGATAGCCGCCTGGCACAAATCGCCGATGCAAAAGTCGTGCAGGTCGCTGCCGAGGAGCTCGATGCCGGAGAAGTCGGGGGACAGGGGGATGAAGGCTGTTGTGATGGGGCGGGTGCTGGGCCAGAAGCGCAGGGCCCATTGCACGTTGGGCCCGCCTTGGGAGTGCGAGATTATGGCTGTTGAGGCGCCGTTGGAGAGGGTGGTGATTTGGTGGATGGCGTAGGCTACGTATTCGGCGGAGACTTGCATGTTGCCCATTGAGCGGCCGGCTGGGGAGGGTTAGTGGTTGGCGATGTCAATGACGGAGCGTGATGGCATACGGATGGTGATGTAGCATGGGGTATAGCCATTGGCAGACAGAGCCTAGTTTTTAGTCAGTAAGCTTGCGTCGAATCAAGCCATGGGATCAGGGTGATGTGTAATGCTCACCGGAACGTAACCTTGTCCCCAAGTTTCCTCGCCGGTGGAACCGGTGCCGTGTACAAGCAAGACAGGTGGTTTGGAGGAGGTCGGATTGCCATTGGGACAGGTGAAGGCTGCGGCTAGCGCAGAGGGAGAGACAGTGAATGGAGCATCGCCTGGATAGACGAAGCTGGGAGCAGTTCGAGGAAGGATTGGAGAAGCGAGGGAAGGGACGCTGATGGTCAACAACAGCAGCTGAATGAGGGACAACATCTTGAACGAACTAGGTAGGAAGAAGAGAACGTAGGAGGCGAGCTGCTCACATCGAGAAGCAACAAGACATATGGAACGAAGAGAAGCGGAAATGGCCTTGCCTTTGTGTCTTTTCTCCGCAAAGGAAGGCGCGGAGCAGGTGATTGAGATGAGCACGCCGGGGACACATTCCAGGGTAGTGAAGTGATCCGTGTACGCACGTTCCTACATCACCTGCGATTCCTTTCACATGTGCCCGTGGCTTGTGCTTCTTTGAGATGGATGAATAGGCTGGAGGTACATGGTGACAGGGCCAACAAGGCCCCGACCTTCTCAATCCGTTCATACACCCGACGCGGATGCTGGAAGCGAAACGCGCTATTCGACGTCATTTAAGCCATTGGAAGGACGGAGGTGGTCGGCGGACTGTCAGTGGACGGCGTGCGGTTCGTGGTCATTACAAGCTCATGTCACGCTGGCGAATGAGGCGGCGGAGATGGCAGATGCGCAATGTTTCACATTCTCCGCCTCATCTCTGCCGTCTCCCGCGCACAAGGCTTGGTTCCTTTCTAAGCCTTGTTGGGCGGGTACCATTCGGGAGTACTTGCGTTTCTACAGTAGATTGAATGTATTTTGGGATGCTGTTGAAGATGTAAGAAGAGGATAAAGGGGCCGGCAGTCCAGTTGCAAATGCAGCTCTCATCCATCTCCTGTGGCCACAAGTCGCTTCCCGTGGCCACAAGTCGAGGGTGGGATAGCGGGCATCGCCGCCGGGTCCACAAGTCTGGTCGCGCCAACATCACCCTTCTTCTGCCTCGTCTTCCTCAGGCGAGCATCATACGTCCCGTCACCGCGAAACCATCATCATCTCCAGCAATGTCGATGTCGCAGATGCGTGAAAGCTTCGCCGCTCTGTCATGGTCTAGCCTATCGCCCTGCAGCACGCCCACACGCTTACCCCGCTTGCGTCGTCGCACTCCGCGGAGCACGCCTCCCCGCAGATTATTGCGGTGAAGGGATAGCGCACTGGCCGGCCCGTGCATAAAGCCATCTGGCCGTGCGTTGGTATCTGCAAGTGCTGTACCTGGTCTCACTGTATACCTTACGTACGTACGCGTAGGTACATGTATGTAAGCTTTCCGCTCCCCCCTTGTGCGGCGCATCTCCCGCCTCTGCGCAGGTAGGCCTTCCTTTTCGCCTCGCCGCCCTTACATCCGTGCTCGGCGCATCACGTTCACGCCGTTCTTCCTGCCCTGCTAGTCCTTCACGTAATATGAAGCTCACCGCGCTTTCCGTCCTGCTCGCGTCCGCAATCACCACCTCGGCCTTCTCTCTGCGCGATCTCGGTGGACTGGCCCTCGAGCGGCGGCGTCACGACCATGGCCATGTCACCACGAGGAAGCCCCGTACGACGTCTACTACCACGTCCACCCCGGTTCCCAACCTCACCGAGCTCAGTGGCGTGGCAGCTGTTGCTCTCGCTGTAGCAGTCCCGGAGTCCTATACTTCGAATAATATCGTGTCCACATCACCCGGTGCTGCGTCCAGCCAAAGCACAACCACAGGATTCGGTACTGACGGCGCTTATGCTGGACCTGGCTCGGTGGCATCGGGAGCAGGGGCCGGTAGTGGGTCGAGTCATCACATTGCTCTGGCGCTTGCCGCTTCGGCAGCAGCAATCACCAATCCTAACGCAACGAATATCACTGTCAGCTCCACGTCCTCGGCCAATTCCACGACGATCGAGAGCAGCAGAGGCCCGGTGATAATGGCCTATGTAAGTTTGGACAGTACTTGCATTCCAGCCCTCGGGCCTCCTTCGATGTACCCAAACTGACCACGCGGCGTCCACAGGCTCAGTCGAGCACGACGGTGCAAAGCGCTGAGGGCGATTACGCCATGTACTGGGCGTGGGCTTCGGCGGAAGTCGGACCAGACGGTACATCGACAAACGGAGACTCGGGCGGATCGCATCGGGGCCAGGCGATCGGGGCCGCTTCCCACGGCGATTCGACCGTCAGCGTGTCTGCTGGAGGGACCAGTGTTACCGTGGGCCTCAGTGACGCAGGGCCGCCCTTCTCCACTCCTACCCCAGCCTCGATCAGCCCTGACGCGTCCGCTTCCGATGATTTGGTCGGGGTTGAAGGCGAAACTACAGGTGCCGTTGGTCTCGCAGCGGGCTCGCCAGGCGGGGAAGTCTATGGACCCGCGTCTCAGGGAGGTGGCACGCAAGCCTCCGCAGGAGCGTTCGCCATGCCAGGAAGCGGCTCCACTGGTTTTGCAAACGTATCTTGAGCTTTCCGGGGGGGTGTCAAGGGATGTTGTCCAGGCAGCATCGATTCTGCGCGAAAGATTGTTGTTCTGCGCATCACAAGTGTACTCGAGCCTACCTGCTCGCCAGGTTTCTATGGCCGATATAGTTTAGTTGTATTCACCTGACATTCAGATGAATCTGGCGTGCACGATTTGAATGCCCATGACATTGAGCAACGCCAGGAAAGGAGTACGCAGTGTCTGTTCATCCAACACGTGACTGATACTCGAATAAACTCAATCACGTGCAACAGCAAATCGCGAGCCGAATCGCGAGCCAAAAGTCCTGGCGAGAGTTAGGCTGCATGCACATTTGCACCCCTCTTTCTCCACCTGCACACCGCCCCCTCCATTCCCTAACCTGGAGACAACACAACAACCAAAAAAGAGCCCAACAACATCCTCAGATCCAACCCACAACTCCAAACCACACCAACACCACCTTCATCAACCAAAATGGCACACACCTCTTGCCCCAAGTGCGGTGCAGGCATCTCGGGAGGTTCTAAGAGCTGTGGCTCGTGCGGTGCCGTGAGTTCTTAGCTATTGCGATGTTCATCAAGGTTGTTTGGATGGGAGGCTGACTTTCTTGGTTTCGCAGAGCTGTCCTAATTAGTGGAGGGTGCTCTTCTCTTCTTCCTTGAGGTGGGATGGTGGTGGGCAGGTGGAGTGGAGAGTGAGTCGGTGGCTGGTGGGAGGAGGTATGGGAGAGTCGCGGCATGATGCGGCGGATCATGATGGGCGTATGAGTCGTGGCTGGCCCTTTTGCAGTTTTCTTTTTGACGGCCAATGAATGAGAATTTTGACGGCCAATGAATGAGATGAGCTCGAGTTTCTACCGCGTCTGTCACTCCTTCTGACTTCTTCCCACGCCTTCACCCGGCCCCTCAGTAGGGGAAAGGATGACACATGAAGGTGAGACGACCGTAAGAACACAGCCCGACGCCGTGAGACGAATACATCAACCCTCAAAACCCTGATATGATGTTTTCAAAAGATCTCTCTAACAGATAGCTGACCACGTCGTGAATCTGGTAAAAAGAAAGGATCAAAAATTCCCCAGTCCTCGCGGACATATCCTCTTTGAGAGAGACCACTCCCTCGAGCCCATGTCTAATTCCATCCCGCCAGAGTCCAATGTGTTTCCCACCAGTGTCCACCGCCGCCAGCCCGAAAATCCGAAGCCAACAGAACTCCTCGCTTGCCGAATGAAAGAAACGCTGTATATCGTGATGTTTGCCGCTATCGTACAATGGCCGCTGAGCTGAATGTGTTTGCTGATGTTGAGCTGTGACAGTAGCAGGTCAGCGTCCATGAAGGAATGAAAAAGTGTATCTCAGGTAACTCACATCATGTCTTGCAGTCATGTCAAGCAGCCTTGGAAGCACAGGGCTTGCACACCTTCAGCTTGCACACTTGGCACTCCCAGATGAACCAGTGCGGGCCTTGGTGGCACAGGTTGCAGTTCCACAGCACGAGGGTGGTGTCGGATTTGAGCATGCGGAAGGTGTGCTCGCATTTGCCGGGTTTGGCCATTGTGAAGGATTGGGTTGGGGAGGTCTGGGTTACTGTTAGTGCTTCGTGTTGAAGGGATGTCAGTTGGGTCTTGCGTACTTGATGAGTGTGAGGTGTAGATGTCTGTTGTTGGATTGGATACCCTCGACGCCGGTAGGTCGCTGACTAAAGGAACTGAGAGGAGTGCAATGCCGGGATAGAAGACAGGCAGAAGGTGGAGTGGGGTATGGTGAGGCCAGGCAAGGTAGATAGCGATGAGAAAAGACAACCGAAATACACAACCGTGCCGAGATCGAACAAACGAAGCGCAGAACCAGAGGGCCACCCAAGCTATATAGAGATGGGGAGGAGTGCGGACGACGCGGAGGAGTCCAGACAGCGGTGGGAAGAGGCAATGAAAGAAGAAAGACGGGCAGCGCAACCGCGTGCCTTTATTGCCCGCCCCGCCGCGCCCCGTGTGCAGCAAAAGGGATGGATGGCAAGCCCCGGTGACAGGTGCGGCGCACACCCGACTCGTCGAAAAGAGGCAGAAGGCGGATGGAAAGAGCAATCGAGGCAGAGATCTGGTGTCACCGTGGGAAGACGGCAGCTCGGTGCGACGGACGGCTTGACGGCGACGCCTGGCCCGGTTTTTCCTTTTAGTCTTTGGCGAAGCATCGTTCCAAACGTACCTTTATGCTTGCGACTGCTCGCGGACTCGTCGGCTGCGCGAGGGAAGGTTTACGGCCTCACCCTGTGCATAACACGGGCGGGCGTGGGCGTGCACCGCTACCCGTCGTCCATCGAGGGCTGCGTGGCCGATTGCCACCCGCCGCCGCGGTGTCGGGAGGCACGCATCGCGGGCGTTGGATCCCTGCGATTGCGCAAGGCGGACCCCCTCGCCCTCCTTTCTCCACGGCATGAATGCTATCCGAACGAAAGCATAGACATCTACTGCGAGAGAGATACGATATGACAGGTTGAGCACGGCAAACAGACACTCCCTTCCCGCCATACAATCGCGCACTCCGCCCGAGACACGGATGGCCCTCCATGCATACGATAGATGAAGACGGCATGCAGGTAGCCGAACATTCCAGCACCAGGTACCGGCAGCCGCTGACCAGTCGCAATCTCCAGATCAGCTGATCGCCCATTCACCTCCATTGAGCGTGTGCGGCCGTCTGCCCATTCCTGGCGCCCTGCATGAAGCTACGTACCAAAAGGTGGACGAGCAGCAACGCCACATGGAGGGTTTTAGATTGCTTCTGAGGAATGACGGTAAACGCAGACACCTGTCAGCCGTTTTCTTGTGCTGCGCGGCGGAAGGGTGTGGTGTTCGGATGGGAAGACATTGCCTTGTCTGCGCGCGCAGCCTTGTGTCGATCAGTACATTATCCGGATCGAGCAAAACGAGACGCCTCGCAAAGCAGCACCAAACGGCAGCACTTTACGCGTTGAATGTATTGTGATATACGCATGCAAATGCAGCACGCAAACGACACCATCACTAATTCATCAGCACGGCAGAAATAAGTCGTCCCTGATGGATAAAAGTCGGTGAAGCAAAAACTTGCGATCCGTCACAAATTCTCTCCCACATCCACCCGCACAGCCTTCTCCATTCCTCCGTCTGCTGACGTGCGCCTGGAATTGCGACATGTCGCCACCACGTAAGCATTCCTTCATGCACCTACAATCAAGGCGGTCAATCGCGAGCAATCACCTCATCCGACATCCTTGTACGACAATGCAAGTCGTCAATAGACGTGGAGAAGCTCGGCCAAGTCATTCAATCGCTGCTCTGCAATTCAGCAAAAAATTAAAACTCGACGCCCTCTCACTCCAATGCATCTCCCAGAGTCACACAAGCCGTCCAAACAAGGCCCCCGGCGTTTTTCCCGTCTCCATTCGTTTGACGTATCCACAATAAACGCCCGAAAACTCGGCAACGGCGAAGACATGGTGGAAAGCTTCCGTTACACCCTTCGCCGGCTGACGGCTGTTACGTACCACCGCACACAGCCATGGCGGTGCCCGCTTTCGACTGACGACAGCCGGATGCAGCCCGTAATGTTGTGGTGGTGGTGGCCGGTTGCGGGTTACGGGAACACAGCTTTCTAGCCAAGATGAACTTTTCTTCTTTTGCTGCTTTGGCATGTGCCTCTGTTCAATGCGTGGCGCGAAGAGTAATCACATCGCCCTCACTTCACTCCAAGGCAAAACGGCGCTCATATTCCTCTCCACCACGTGTCTTTCCGCAATACTCGCTCGTCGTTCCTCCATCTCACTGTCATCGTACGCCGCATCAAGCTGTTCACACCATCAGCGTGCCATTCACGTGTACAGTTCAGCAACAACACTCACCATGAACGGGCTCCTGGCCCTAATAGCTTCCCCCTTGAGCAACAGCACAACCGGCACAAAGCTCAGGATCAATCCAATAAACCCCAGCAACGAACTCGCCCACTGGAAGCCCAAATTACGATACAAGGCCGGCGTCGCAAGCGGCAGGAACGCACCGAATACATTCCTCCCCAGCGATGCGGCCGAGAGCGCCGAAGCGGCGTACTTTTCGTATGCGTCGGCGAGATAGTTGACCACGGCGAGGTAGATGGCGTACACGCCGATGCCGACGCAGCCGATGCCGAGTGTCGGGATGATCCAGTGGGTGTGAGGTGTTGACGCCCAGCCGTACCAGAACATGCCTGCTGTGAAGAGGAGGGAGCCGGGGACGGCGAAGTAGAGTCTTGCTTCCGGGATGGGTTTGCCTGGTCGTTCCATGTTGCGTTTGGAGGAGGCGAGGTAGAGTTTGTCTTGCAGGGGGTTGATGGTGAAGGCTAGTATTGCTCCGACGCTGAGAGCGAGTTGGATGAGGGTGGTGGTGAAGACGTCGAAGCCGTATAATTCCTCGAAGACGATGGGGATGCTACTTTGAAAGAGGAACAGGATGCCCCAAGCGAAACTGACCCAGAGCGTGAAGGAGGTGACCACGAACTCTGTCGCGAGCATTTTCGTCGGCCGCATGAAGGAGATCTTCAGCGCTTCAGGGATGCTGGGTTTGTTGAGTTCGGAGCGGGCGTAAGCATTGGAATGGCCTCCTTTGCGGAGCTTTTTGGCTCGCTTGGCCAACACCACATCGCCGCGTGTTTCCTTGAGAATAAAGTAGAAGAATGGTAAGAGGCCGGCGTCAATGATAAGTTGGATCCAGTAGATCCAGTGCCAGTTGAGATGCTGCTGAATTATGCCGCCGACGAACGGGCCAAGGGCGATGCCGACGACGCTGGTCAGGCCGAAGATGGACATGGGGAGGCTGCGTTCTTTATCGCCTTTCCAGATATCCTGTTACTCTCGTGTCAGTCTGACTCTTACGAGTTTTAGCATGTAGACCCACTGTGTTTGTCCCTCCAACGATATTGATCGCGACTGAACTGGCTCCACCGCCGAAGAATCGAGTAACGACTATAGTGGCAAAGTTCTCGGCCAGCGCCGAGGGGATGAGGAAGATTAGGAATATGATGTAGGAAGCCTAGGAAGAGGAATCAGATCACCGCTAATGTTCAATGAGCAGGTAGGACTCACGAAATAACCGGGCATCCGTCCTGTGTTCTCCGTCAACGGCACGAACAGCAGAGGAAAGATGGCGGCGCCCATATTCCAGGACACCAAAGCGAAAGATAAGAATGGGAAGGCGGATTCATCGACGTGGAACTCTCGAGACATCTGTCGGCCTGCTGTCCCGTACGCGCCCGCCGGGATTCCCGTCAGAATGGAACTGTGGCATGAAGTCAGCAGTACGGACCGAAGAGAGGTTTGGAGCAGACTCGCATGAAGCAGGTGGTCAGCGTCGCGGTCCACTTGTACGATCGAGACCAGTTGAAACTGGTTGACTTGTCAGTTTTGCGGTAAGACTGGGGAGACAATCATTGCGTACGGATTCTCCGGATCGCCTGGGCCTATTTGAGAGATGCGTGTGAGGACAGCAGTCTTTCTAGTAAGGCTTGAGTAGCTTACCATCCCAATCTACAATCTCAATTATATCACTGCTGTCTCCAGCTGATAGGAATTGGTAAGTTTGAGATGTGTATGCAGGAAGCATTCATGTCGTACCTGCGACAGAGGGTCGACATAGTCCTCCAGCATCCTCAATGCCACGGACAGAGCCCTTAGACAAGTCTGAATCAGTGACGGAGGCTTGACGGGCCATGCTGGTTGACTTTCATTCGAAATAGTATGAATATGATGGAGAGTAAGAAAGTGCAGGAGCGACAATGGAAGCAATAGATGAAGGAATCAAAAGGACACGACGGGCAAGAGGAGAGGTATTGGAGACAATCGAGCACCTGCCGTTCAATGATGCCATCTGCGCACGACTGTGGTCCATCATGCGGAGTGCGAGCCCGGACATCGAATCCATATCTGCTGAGTAGTAAAGGGTCTCCGCACTTGTTCCAGTATTTGCCAGGGCTTGCATTCTGGGCCGACGTCTTGCATTGTCATGACATGCGACTCTCCTCAACTGTGGCCCATTTGACCGAATCACTGGTGACGTTGATGGGTGATGATGATTCTCTTTGGAGATGTGGAAGAGACAGCGCTTGCAAATCCACGTCGCCAGGTGTTGCAGCCTGAGGCATCAATCTCAACCCCACCAAGCTCGACTTCATTTCTGAAATGGATTTTGAACAATGAGGAAGGCTTCATCAACACCACCCCTCCCACACGTGACACTTGTGCCACAGTCGCCACAACAATGGACATTACGGCCTTCGTGTCCAGTCGGCGAGAGACGCTGCTAATCGCAGACTACAACGCCTACCGCACCCAGCTCTCCCGCCAAATCCTCGCGACTCGCAAGCGCCTCGGGCGAGCAACGAACAAACGAGACAAGTTCGCGCCCAAGCCCGTTACGGCGGAGGACGTGGGCAGCAACCATGAATTCGCCCATCTGTTGATCTTGACCTCCGAAAGAGCGTGGGCGCATGCGATGCACATCAAGAGCTCTCACATTGAAGATGCATCGGCGAGAGGCATCACCGGCTCGACGAGGAGTCACTTGATTTCTCGTTTGGAGAAGGCGGTCAAAGCGGCGAGAGAGCTGGTGCAAATTCTCAAGGACCAAGGCACGTCGAAAGCCAATGAGCAAGATGTGCTAGAGGGCCGGGCGTACGCGGCCACACTGGCTGGTGCGGAGGAATTTGAGAAGCGCTCGGGCGGGGAGCGGCCTACGGATGGGCAGTCGGGGGATGAGCGCTGGAGAGCTTGTCTGACGCACTACTCTGAGGCTCGAGTGATCTATGCTGCATTGTATGAGAAGGACAAGAAGGACATCTACCGTGACGTCCTGGCCAACACCATCGATCCGACCATTCGATACGCGGCATACCAGGCTCACCTCTCACGCACCATCGCCATTTCCACAGTCGCTAAGCGTTACTTCCCCAAAGATGATACCGCCTTGGTAAAAGCTGTTGAGCAACTCGATTCCTACGCTTTAAAAGACAAGCCCGCGCCAAAGACCGATGGCGAGAAGCAAGCCTCACCCCAAGATGTGCCCAACAGCATCACATGGCGCGGCCGCAAAGCCAACATCATCGATGCCTCCATCGGTCAAGCTCTCTCGAGTGTCAACACGGCAGAAGCGAAGCTGGAATTTTACCTCTCCTCCAACTCCACCGCATCAAACAAGGACAAAGCAGCCGCCTACGATGACATTCTGGTCGCCTCGCAGGATGCAGCGGACGCCACGAAGCGAGCCACAGACGAGCTGGAGAAAGAAAAGGTCGAAGAAGGCGATCCGCGCATGCAAGACCTCCGCGTCACGAGCCTCGCCATCAACTACGACCTCGTAAGCTGGCGCGTCGGCCGAAACCGCGTGCTCATCGGCGCAGACGACGGCATGACTTTCTCGCCGCAGCAGCAAAAGAAGACCAAGCGCCTACGCAAGGACGGTTCCGAGTATCCCGTGCGAGAAGAGGGCCGCGGCCACAAACTCGCCCGACTAAGGGAGAGAGTAGTCCTCTACGACGCCAGCATCCAAAGCATCAACTCCGTCAAAAGCCTCCGCGGCGCAATGCGAGACGCCAAATTCGTGGAGGAACTCGATGGGAAAGCGAGCTACTTCCGCGCGCTGAAGTGCCTCAACATCGCCTACTCGCACAGTCTATTGGGGAACCACGTCAACGCCCTCGCCCTCCTCAACCTCGCCTCTGACCTCGCATCTCAAACCCTCCCGAGCACCTCAACAGCAGCGTCAAATGACTCGCCGCCCACCCTTGACATTCTGACATCGGCATCGAAAGCGCTGCGAGAGCACATCGCCGCATCGTTGCAGAAGACGCACGCCCTAGTCGAAATGCACAAAATCGAAGCCGAGGCCAACGCTGCAGCCGCCAAGCACGCGGCATACCAGGAGCCACTGGTGAAGAACCTCAACCGCTTCCCGCAGCCCGGCACGCTGGTGGATTTGGAGAAGCTGGTAACGTACCCGCCGCAGATCGAGCCGGTGCCTGTGAAGCCTTTGTTCTTGGACGTTGCGTGGAACTACATCGATTACCCAGGCAGGAAGAGTGTCCCAGCAGCTGAACCGGTAGTAGAGAAACCCGCCGTGAACGGCGTGGAAGCGACTCCGGAGCCGGAGAAGAAGAGAGGATGGTTTGGCTTCGGGAGGTAGATAGCATGCAAGTACGTAGCCAACAGCTATCATCCCTCAATGACAGACACTACTTCTGCAAACTCTCCAACAGCCCATCGCCATCCGTCTTCGTCACCACCGCTTTGAACACCTGCCCAGCCTTCTCCAGCCCCTTCTCCGCCCGCTCAAAAGCCTCCGGGCTGCGATCCGTCAGAATCGCCAAATCCGCATCGCTCAGTAGACCCTTCCCATCCGCGATATCAATCCGCTCTCCGTCATCCTTGGCCAACAGCGCCTGCAGCTCCGCAAATTGATCTCCACCAGCCCCCGCATCGCCCTTCACATTCCGGAACCGCCCCTTCTGAATAACCAACTTCTCCAATCGCCGCTTGCTATCCGCTTTCTCGAGCAGCATCTGCTCTACACTCCCTTTCGTAGCAAAGCGATACACAATCACCGGCCGAGTTTGACCGATGCGATGCGCGCGGTCTTGCGCCTGTAAGTCTTGCTGTGGATTCCAGTCGGAATCGAAGAGGATGACCGTATCTGCCGCAGCGAGATTGATGCCCTGCCCGCCTGCACGGGTGGAGAGGAGGAAGATATTCGCATCTGAATCCGACTCGTTGAAGGCGAGGATTTGATCCTGTCGGTCGGATTGCGCGACAGAGCCGTCTATTCGACACACCGGCCAGGAGCGCAGCTCAGTGCAGTACGTCTCCAACAAATCAAGCTGCGTTTTGAACTGCGAGAAGATGAGGACTTTATGGCCTTTGCCGAGCAAGTCCGGCAGCAAGCGGTCGAGCAGCAGCATTTTGCCGCTCTCGGTGACGAGGCTTTCGTCGACAGGCGTGTGGTCGTCGAGGTCGAAGGGGTAGTAGAAGTTGTGCGGCGAGTTGCAGCATTGCCGCAGCTGCATGATGGGGTTCTGGAGCTTCTTTTGCCCGATTTCGCGCTTCGCGAGGGCGAGTGTTTTCGCGCGCTCGACTTCTTCTTCGTCTTCGGATTGCATCTCTTCGGATATGGGGGATGAGGGGGCATCTTGGAGCTTTTTGAAGAATTTGGCATCGGAGATTTCTTCGTACTCTTGCTGCTTTTTGGAGCGGCGAGAGCCTCGTGCGCTGCCTTTCGATGTTGCAGGAGTAGATGCGCGACTTGATTTCGCGCTCTTGTTCGGCGTGCCAGTATCGTCGGCGAGCTTGCGCTTCAGACTTGAGCTACGGACGCTGTTGGGGGTTGCAGTTCCGCTGAGGCTTTCCACCATCTTGTTTTCCAGATATGCTCTGCTGTTGCCGGCCAGGATCTCCTCGTAGAGCTCGCGCTGCGTTTGCGTTAGAGGAGCGTATAGAACATATTCTCTCTTCTTCGGCAGCGAGGTCTCCACGTCCGCTTTCACTCTTCGCAGCAAGAACGGCTTTAAGATGGCGTGCAAACTGCTAACGAGATCTTTCTTCCGGTCTTCTGACAAAATCTGCGCGTAGCCATCCTTCTCTTTGAGCGCAGAGAAGTCAAACCACGACTCAAAAGACTCCAGTTTGTCGAAGATCGTAGGCATGAGAAAGTTGAGAAGCGACCACAGCTCAGCCAGATTGTTTTGCAGCGGTGTGCCCGTAATAAGCAGACGGTTCGCAGACTGATATGATTGCAACTCCCGAATGAGTCGGCAGTTGAGGTTCTTGATGCGATGGCCTTCGTCGATAATGATAAACTTCCACCCGAAATGCGCGAGATGTTTGCGATCGTTCATGCAGATCTCGTAGCTGGTGCAGATGACGGGGAACTCAGGGCTCCCGGGATTTCTCAGTCGCTTTCGCCGGAGCTCCTCCCGCTCTTGCTTGCTGCCGTGGTATAGCAAAACGGGGATCTTGGGTGTCCATTGCTTGAATTCGGCAACCCAGTTGCTGGTGGTACTCAAAGGTGCCGCGATCAAGAATGGGCCGTTCACGCCCTTCTCCCGCAAAAAGGCAATAAATGAGATGGTCTGGATCGTCTTGCCCAACCCCATCTCGTCTGCCAGAATGCCATTCAAGCCGTTCTCGTACAGCGAAGTCAACCAATCGAGTCCCTCCAATTGATACGTGCGCATGTAACCTCCGGTTACGAGGTCGGGTTGCTTTGCGGAGCGGAGATCTTGCATACCGACATCGCCGGGCTTCACATCGGAGTCTTTGGTTTCTTCCGCCAGAGCCTCGGAGATGGTTGTCTTGCCGGCCTTGGACTGCAGGTCTTCTTTGGTCATGTAGTCGGAAATCTTGCCGGTCTTGGTTGTAGTACTACTCTTCGAAGGTCTGTTCGTCGCTGTCAGAGCGCATCCAAGGTGATGTCAAAACCGCTGTCTCCTTGACTTACCGACCACGGCCAGACGCACTCTTTTTGGGAGACGCCTCGAGCTCAGCACTCTGCTGCGCACTCGCCGCCGCCCTGGTAGCCTTCTTCTGTTCCGTCTGAGCAGCCTGCTCAGCCTGCTTCTCCCGCTTCTCCGCCCTCTTCCTCCCCCGTTCATCCTTGGCCGTCTCCGCCTCCTCCTGCTGCGTCATCTGCTCCAGCATGATGGTGGAGTACAGCTTGCTCTGATTGAGCAGGTACTGCAACGCCTTGTACTTTTGATCGACCACCTGCTTCCCACCCTTCAGATCCTTCTCGCGCTCAGCAGCCATCTTCTTCTCGCGCTTCTCCTCTTCTACTCTCCGCGCTTCTGCCATCTTCGCCTCCTCTTTCTCCATTGCCTCCGAGGTTCCACCATCTCGAGTCTCGGGAGAGGTGGGTGGCGTGCTGGCCGCTGATCCTGCTGCTTCGGAAGACATGGCGGGCATGTCAAGCGGTGCAGAGAGATGGAAGCGTTGTTGTCCAAGTAGAAACACTGCATGCGACCACTTCTTTCGTGTTCGGCGAGTCCGGCTTGCTGCAGGGCTGTCGCTTGTCGCGAAACTCCGCGGGCAACCTCGTCATAGATTGTCGCACGAGCCACCGCGTAGCGAACGCGTTTGCACGTGTGCCCGCCCCTAAATAATTTAGGGCCCCATGCGTCGACCTCACCTTTGACGCACGTCTCTTTTGTACAACGATCGGTCCCTACATATATTACCCCTTCGCTCGTCCAATGAAAAATCCACACTTGCTCCGATCCCGACTGCGCAATCACGGAAGCATGGGCAGTCTTTTATATGCAACGATCCATTCTCATCTTCGTAATACTTCTCGATATCCATCTCTCATGGTCGTCCATCGCTTCAATGTTCACGCGATCAAAGTATCCATATCAACTCAAACGCACACTTCGTTTGTGCTTTGCTTGTGACACGGTAAGGCTGAAAGTGCATCGTGCCTCCCTTAGCTGATCGTCTTCATTCCCTCCATCCCGTGCAATCCAATGTACCACCGTGACTGCCTTCCTCCAGCGTCAACCGCAAACGACACCTGCCAGGTGACTGACGGTCACAATGCTTCGACCACTAAATTCTCCAGCGTCGGCGTTTGAACAGCACGCAATGACCGCACCATCATCACACAAGTATACCGCATCTTCACCTCACACAGAACCTCACCTCACATCACTTGCTTCGCCATTCCCGTCGCAGTTCTTATTGTTGTTGCAAGAAAACGATCCCACTTCTTCCTCCCTCACACATGTCTTCCAATCGAGCCCAGCGGAAGCGCAGCGTGAAACGAACGCAAAAGGCGCAGGAACTCCTCGATGCGGGCGAACATGTGCCAGGGTTGGGCATGCCGGATCAAGCGACAGAACCTCCAAAGGTGAGACCAGCTTTGACCCAGACAGCTCCTCAGAAGACGGCGAAAGTGACACCGGCGTCGAGATTGGCGCAAACACGAGCACCACCAGCGGCAGGAACGCCATTGTCTTCAGTACCCAGAAGACTTCAACAAGCCACGCAAGTGAACAACCCCAAAATGGACAGCATGACCATTCCACTCTTCAATCCAGACACACTGCGCATATACCCCTGGCAACCACCTTATCCGACGCGCTTCACGGCCCTCTCCGATGACCGCAAAAACGAAAAGTACAAAATGGACGATGCCGGGAAGTGGGAAGACATCAACGATGGAGCTGACGAGTGGTCTGAATTCTGTGGCGATCGCTCGTGCTACCCGGCTAATGACCACCGCGGCGGTTCCGCAATGGAGTACTGCATCGCGTCGACGTTTGTGCACCGTGCGAAGCGCGCGTACTGGAGCGGCAAGAGCTGGGAGGAGTTTGAATTCGATGAGCGCACGATTGATAGTGAAGAGCAAGCCAGGACGGAAGCGGATGGCGACAAAAGGGCGGTGTGTCTGGCGACTGCACTGGACAATCGACTGCGCATAGCGGTATTCGAAGGATTAAAGGGAAGATTGTGCTCGGAGATCTGGTTGAAGGAGCATCCAGGTCTGCCATCAGTGGTAAGGACGAAGGTGGAGTGCTGGGACTCCCGGGAGCCTACTCCGACATTGCAAGTGCCGAGACTGACGGATGAAGAAGCACGCGCGGCGCCTACGACGGTAGAAAGGGGGCGAGGCATTGTATTCTGGTCGATCGACGCCACCGGTCTCCGACAACCTGTTTATGAAGACGAACGGAAGCGACCGAGTGGGATGGTGACTTTTATGGATGAGATGCGCGAGCTGGCTGAGAAGGAGGCAGCGCCATCTGCTCCGGCCTTCATGTTGGGGAGGTTGGACGGTGTTGGGCCGAAGACTCCGCTCCCAATGCCAGAAGCGCAAGTGGATGGACTGCAGAAAGTGGATGTCTCGGACAGCGATGCGGAGGGTAGTTGATCGGGAGGGGGAGTTCGAGCGAGGTGAATCATCCCCAAGTCTTCACTCCTTGTCGTCAAGGGAACCTCGTAATCGAACCTGTACCGGTAATGCCACCGGTCCGACAAACCAGCGATCAAGCCACTGCATCTCCGCCCCTTCCGCCCGAAGCTCCCCAGCTAATTCCAGATCAAAAGTAGATACCAAAACCGGGACGACCTTCTTCATCTCCAACATGCTGATGTTCTGCCCGATGCACGTGCGACTGCCAAGCCCGAAAGGCGCCCAGTATCGGTTCATGACCGCCAGCGTCTCTTTGCTCGAATCGATCCACCGCTCGGGGCGGAAGACGTGGGCATCTTGTCCGTAGATGGTGGGGTTCATATGAACGGCGGAAGGAGTGGCGCCGACGACAGTGCCGGGTGGGAAGTAGACTCCTCCGATCTCACGTCCGCCAGCGGGCACGATTCGCTGGAGGGGTAGGCCGACGTGAACGTACATTCGCATGGCTTCGTGGATGACTGCATGGAGGTATGGCAGGTCGTGTGCTTCCTTGAAGGTCGGTGGGGAAGACAGGGCACCAGCCTCCCTGGCGGCAGAGATCTCGTCACGCAGCTTCTGAAGCACGCGAGGATCTTTGAGAAGGCAGTAGAGAATGGCTGTAAGCGCGCCTCCGGTCGAGTCGGAGCCAGCGATGACGTTGCCTAGAAGGCCGACGGTGACATCGCCTAGCGTGAATCGTGCGGGTTCTTGATCGTGCAAGTCGAGGAATTTGCTGAGCATGTCTCTGGGCGTGCTGTCTTCTGGTCGAGCTGGAAGCGAGCCCGCCGTCTTCTCATCCGATCGCTCTGCCCGCCTCTGCTCGATCAGCTTGCTAGTGAAACGAGCCAGGAACATGCGGGGTGTGCCGGTTCCGAGCTTAAGTCGTTGTATGAACTTCATGAAAGAAACGATGGGCGGGTGGATCTCCGAAAAGACACCGACAAAGGTGCTGTAGGCAAAGTTGCCGTGCAAGGTCTTCCACATGTCGCCAACATCTTCTCCCGCATCGAGGAAACCAACACGTTTGGAATAGGAGATCATGCTCACGGCGTCGCTAGAGTAGGCGAGGGTCCAGCGAGAGAGATCCGTTTCGCCCGGCCCGTTGGCGATCTCTTCCAAACGCTTGCATAACAGAGCAATACACTCGTTCGCAAAGCTTTCATAGCTCACCAAGTTCGACATGGTAAAGGTCGGCTGGAACTTGCGCCGCATCTGAGCGTGCGCCTTGACGCTCGGCTCGGAGAAGAGCGTCTTGAATCCGGGGTCATTCCAGGACTCGTACCAGCTAGACTTGTCGAGCTCTGTACCGTGGCCGTGGATCCTGTCGATGGCATCGGGGCTGTTGAAGCTGTAGTGATACGGTCCGAATCGCACGATCGGGCCGTGTTTGCGATGCAGCTCGAGAAGGTCTCGATCGAAGCGGCCCAGCCAGAGACGGTAGAGCATCCATCCCCTTGACCATCTGGCGAAGAAGGGCCCGGGGATAGAGCGAAGTGGTGAGAATAATGGGGCGAGGATGAGGGCGAGCAGGGCGATGGCCAAGCCGGCGATCACGGGGGTGCTTAGCAGACTGGTGATCATGATATCTGTGTTGCGGTCGAGTACGTTGACTATTGAAAGTCAATCGTGAACCGCACGCCCGCGTTGTCTTGTATATTTGTCTAGCCGAGGGAAGAAGAGATAGAAGTGGGAGTGGGCGATTACTATACCCCGAGCCAGCCCGTCATGTCAGCCGCGGGGAAGCTGGTCGTTCAGCATGACTGACAAGCTCTACATATCGCAACTCTTGCCTTGCTCGATCAGCAGCCACGAGTTCGTGCCCTAATCTCAGTGCATGCGGTCGGGAATGTGAGTAAGAGTGAGTTCAGCAATTGGAAATGCTCTGTCGTCCCTACCATGCTGCCTTTCAACACTACGGCGCGACGTTCTAACAACTCTGCATCCACATTCGCTGGCGTAGGCTGCAGAGCCTCTGGCCAAGCATTGGGAGTCATCACGCCCACCGTCTCACCTCCTCCAACTCCGCCAACTCCGCCTTCATTCCGAGTGTGTGTTGAGGCTATTGCTCACGCTGTTCGCCGCCTCATCCAATCAAGAGCAGGCGGTCAAGACTTGCCAAGGCATTGGAGCCTGATGGTGGACGGGGGGTTAGTCCGTGGAGTCATCAATCGCGGCAAGATGTCCGTATTCACGCCACGCATAAGTAGCCAGTGTTGTGCCCGCTCTTCGATCTTGTAATACACATCCAAACAGCATCATTTGATTGATCGATCGAATCACAATATCCAATCTCTCGTTACAAGGTCAAAACGGAAAACATAATGCCAGCCATGCACAACGCATCCGACAACGCGTCGCTGATCTCAACCTCGACAACCTCCTCCTCCACCCATCTGCTAAAGTCGATGTTCTCCTCCAAAGGCAAGACACAATTGAAGAAGACAACCGACACTCGATCGCCGGGCGAGAAGCAACGAGAGCGCAACGCCGCTCGAATCAATCCCGAGGTCCTCGCTACACTCGCAGCATTGAAATGATACATATCGGAAGTTCATGGTGACGATCGGAACGGGCACAAGGCGTTTGGTTGGACGTGATATGGGAACCGGATGGGACAGATCGAACAAGACTGCAGCGATCAGCCATAGTCGATGTATAATTAATCTAAACATCAGCAATCCTCAACATCTCCTCAACACTCCGAATCTTCTCCCGCTCTTTACCCTTCGCTTTTCCCCTCTGCTTCTCCTCGGCATCAATCTTCAACCAAGCCGGCCAGCTCACGACCCGCACACCTCGATCCTTCATCTCGCGCTGCACCGCTTCAAAGCCTCCTTTGCGTTGCCCCTCGCCCTCGTGGAACTTGACTCCGCTCTCCCAATCTTGCATAATGATGTCCGCGGTGTGGAATGCGTCGTCGAGCGTGCTCGCAATCACGCCCGTGGGGCCTCGTTTCACCCAGCCCGCGCAGTACATGCCCGGCACGTGGCCGGCTGTTAGTGAGCCGCCCGGGCCACGATCAGGAGACAAAATGCGACCGTGCATGTCGTTGGGGATGATGCCGGTGTTCTCGTCAAAGGGGATACCTAGCTCGTTGAAGCCCGGCAGAGGTGCGGCTTGGTACCCCACCGAGCGGAAAGCGACGTTGGCGTGGAGAAGTGTCTTCTTGCCCGTGCCTTTGACTTTGATCGCGCGTATGGCGTTCAGGTTTTGCTGGGGATCGCTGGTGAGGACGGAGGACATGTCGGATGCGTATTCGGTTTGCTCGAAGCCGACGGCCTCTAGCTGATCTCCTGTCGATGAAAGGAATTCCGTAGGAGAGCGCAGGTAGCCCAGCTGCCATGCCTTTGTCGCTTGGTCCATCGGTGTTGGGGAGCCCCGTTCCAGAAGCTCTGCTATTCGTTTCAATTGCCGCGGGAGCTTCTTGCGCTCGATTTGGATCAGGTCGTTCCATCCTTCGGGTGGAGGTGCGAAGCCCACACCGAGTAACTGAAGCAGCTCGCGGAGCTCTTTGATGGTGTATGGGGCTTGTAATGGACCCCGTCGTCCAATGATCTTCACATCTTGGATGCGGCTGTGCTTCAACGCTTCCAGCGCGTGCTCAGCAACATCCGTATTCCTCAAATTGTCGATTGGAGAAAGGAGGAAACGCGCAACATCGATCGCCACGTTACCCTGTCCAATAATCACCGCCGTGTCCCCTGACTGCAAATCAGGCTTGAGGTCCGCGAACTCGGGAAGGCCATTGTACCACCCCACAAACGTCCGGGCGGAGATGACTCCCTTTAGATCTTCGCCGGGAATACCTAGCCGGCGGTCTCTCGATGCGCCGTAAGCAAATACCACGGCGTCGTAGTGTGGCGCAATAGATGTCAGCGGCAATTCGCCTGCACCGCTCCCAATTTGCACGTTGCCGGCGAAGTTGAAGTTTGGCCATTTGCCTACGTCTTCCAGCGTTTCTGCGGATTTCTACTATTTGATGCATCGATCAGTTGTGCTCGTCACAGGTAAGAGAGGATGGAATTGCGCACTTTGACTTCTGGGTGATCAGGAGCTACACCAAACCTCACCAAGCCATACGGGACGGGCAGCTGTTCAAACATGTCGATGTGGACATCGGGCAGTTTCTTCATCAATCGATATGCGGTGTAATAGCCAGCCGGACCCGATCCGATGACTGCAAGGTGCAACGGACGCTCTCGCGTGCCCGTGCTATATCTCTGCTGGATGGCATAGCTAGCGGGCGATCTCCTCTTGAGAGCGCCATGGACGGAGTGACGGCACGTCTGGCAGAGGAAAGACGTGCCTCGGGCGATGTTCATCTTTGTCTCAGTCGCAAATGCATCGAGTGATGAGATGGCAACGCGACTAGAAATATTGGTTCATCTGACGAATGACGTCCGGCCGGAATCGGCGATACGACGGGCAACGGCGTCGGGGAGAATTGGTGGGTTGGAGCCGGTTGCTCGGGTTACCAGCCGTGTTGACTCCAACCCCCCGACCCTCTCGGAGGTTTTATGACACCTCTCGTCGCTTTCCATGCGACAACCGCAACTGTACAGGGTCCCAATCGTTTATCTTGCTTGATACTGTCTCCATCGCGCTGTGTGCATTGTCAATACTGTCCATCCGCTCACTCTCCGGCTTCCCACCAGCGCGTCGCTGCCATGGGCGGCGGCACTTTCCTCTACCCTCCTTGCACGCCTCTCTCGCAACGAACATCCCAACAATCCTCCTCCACCTTCAATCCCAAAGCAGTCACCGAAGCAGCATATCTCGCGGCGCAAGACAGCCCTCGATCCGCTCAGGATGGGCCGCTGTTGAGATTCGACGGGGAAAAGGTGGACTACACGCCCAAGGCCTGCGATGACCTCCACACTCGGAGCAGGAAACGGCCTCTCAGCGAGGCGACGACGGTCAACTACAACCAGCATCCCGATAGCTGGACTGTCTTTGCCGGACACAGTGTCCAGTACAAGCCCATGCCGGCGCACACCAAGACGGCGGTGACGTACGTCAGAAGGGTGCAGCTTGGGCTACGCGTGCTCACCGAATTGGCGGCGGTGGGGTTGCTCGTGGCCATGATCTTGATCCAGAATATCAGCAATGTCATCTCTTGGTTACTCCGAGTCGCCGTAAGTTTATCCCACTCAGGAGAGCAATATACCTCTGGTACGATACTGACTTGCGCCACAGCCTGCATGGGATGTGATTGCCACTCTCTATGCACTCTACCATCTTTGCCGATCTGCCACCGCCCGCACTGCCGCCAGTTCGGCCAGCTACCATGTCTTCGCCCTCGTGACAGATGTGGCCCTCCTCCCGTTTTACATCATCATGTGCCTCAACGCAAGGGCAAACTATCTTGCGAACCCCTCTGACCCATTCCGCTGGGCCAGCCTCTTGAAGCAGAAGGCTGATACGACGGACCTGCTCTTCGCAACGTTTACCGTCTCAGCAGTCATCACCGGATTCCATCTAGTCAGCGCATGTCTCGATCTATACTTGGCCCTTACCTTCAAGAAGATCGCCAGTCTCCCGCCCGATGCGAATCCGCTGGAGGACAACCTGACCAGCCGGACATCCACGCGTATGAGCAAGCACAAGTACAAGAACAGCGAAATCACGTTGACCGGCGATGCTTGGGCGGAGAAGAAGGCGGGCTTTCTTTCTGGGAGCACGCTCGATGTCGGCCGCCATTCTCGACTGTCGCACGCATCCAAGGATATGGACGATGTCGAGTTCCACAAGATTCCGTTCAGCCACACTCGCATGCGCTCCACGGATTCCTTCTTGCCGCACAACCCCGAGACGGGTCGTCTGTCCCGGAACGGATTTGAGGAAGTCAATCTTTCCCGACCTGCGAGTCCGTACATCTCCAGGCCATCTCCGCTCAGAGAGGGTGCATCCCGGCCACACTCATCTGCAACACTGCGCAAGGAAGTCGACATCACGGATTTCGGGCGAACAGCATCCCCAGCGCTGCCCAACGCCGCTCCCTCGCGCAACACCATCGCTTCTCAGCAGAAAGCTAACCTGCTGCACGACAATTGGTACGCGCTCGACACTGAAGCCTCAGACTTAGACCCCAACAGCCGCGGACCAACCCCAGGCTTCGTCGACGAAGAGCACGGCATGAACCCATCTCTCATGCCCCAACCCCTCAAAATGAACCCTCCCACCCCACCCGTCGAGACCGACACCGAATATCCCGACGCGGACAACGACGCCCCCTTATCCTCCTTCATCAAGCGCAAGCCCCTCGCCACGCGAGAAGACCACGGCAATGCAGACCTTAGCCGCAACGTGACGGTCATCAGTCGCTCAACCACCTCCTCGTATTACTCCGACGACAAAGACCACGACGATGGATTCGCCACCGACGATGACGGCGTGAAAGGCGTCGCGACCCCGAAGCGCAAATACTACGGCGATCTCGCGGCCGCGACTCGAGGCGTGCTGGGCACGGTCAAGTACAAAACCACACCCGCGTCAGCCGGTCGGATTCTGTCGAATGAGACGGTCAAGTCGAACGGGACGATTGACGCGGCGGCTTTCGATAGTACGGGGTTCAGTGCGCTTGGGGGCTACGGGTACGCTGAGTCGCCGAAGAAGAAGAAGGATCGTGCGGGGAGGGTTGTGAGTCGCACGGGGGTGGATATTGTGGATGTGGCGGAGCATGGGTTTGGACGGAGGCGGGAGGTCAGTGGAAAGGTTGCGGAGGAGGGGAGGGGTGGATCGTCGTGGTGGTCAAGGAAGGGGCATTGAGTCTTTGCTCTTGATGATGGGAATGAATGTCTGGTTTCCTTGGGAGTCCGGTGGAGTTCGGGATGGGAAAGGCTGAGGTTGGAAATGTGTAGGTAGTCGGGAGAGCACATAATATGCATGGCACTACATAATCAATGGAAGCTCTTGGGAGTGTTCGTGGGCGATCTGTTCGGTGTTCATCATTTATCTATGCCTTCATGTATCTGTTACATCTACACCTGCCTGATTGGGCACAATCGCCACCTCCACAGCCGACTTCCGCAACAGACTCCAAGCCTTATTCCTTTTGACATCAGACCTTCTACATCGAACACAACATCCGCTCTTCCATCACCGCATCTCCCAGAGTATGCACACCCCCGCATTCAAACGACCATGTTAGCCCGACATGGCGTAAGAGTGCACACCCCTCACTCTCGCCTCTTCACCACCACCACCCGCCGCTCAGCCGACTTCACCCACGCCGTCATCGGAGGCGGCGCAGTCGGCCTAGCAATCGCCCGCAGACTGCAGCAAGTCGATGGCGCGCAGGTGGTGCTGATTGAGAAGCATGGCATGGTGGGCAGCGAGACGAGCAGTCGCAATTCAGAGGTAGTCGCTTGCCTTGCCACCACGTTCGGTCTGTGTGATAATGCGGGAGCTGATGGATGAACTTGTGCAGGTGATTCATGCCGGTATATACTACGGGCACGACACGCTCAAGACGAAGCTGTGCATTGAGGGGAAACAGATGATGTACGAGCTGTGTGAGAAGTACCGCATACCGCACATGAACTGCGGCAAGTGGGTTGTAGCGCAGACGGAGGAGCAGCTAGCTGCGCTGCAAGGCGTGCACGATTTCGCGAAGAGTATCGATGTTCCGATTCGCTTCATTTCCAAGGATGAAGCGCAGAGCCGGGAGCCTGAGGTTCGAGCTGAGGCGGGCGCGCTGGAAAGTCCGAGTACGGGGATTGTGGACAGCCATTCGTATATGCAGTTTTTGCAGGGCGACTTTGAGGAAGCCGGGGGCATCACGGCTCTTGGGAGTCCGGTGTCGATGATCAGGAGTCCTAGCAAGTCACAACCGGACTGGAGGATATGGACGGCGCCGCCCGGATCGACGAGTCCAGTGCCAGAATCTCCCTCACCGCAGAGCCCTGGTCCCAATGCATCACACGACGACAACGACACCTTCATCACAGCCGAGACATTGATCAACAGCGCAGGCCTATACGCATGCGGAATCAACAACATGATCCTCCCGCCCGACCGACACCGCACCCCCTTCTACGCCAAAGGCACCTACTACTCCTACTCTAAATCCCACCCCAAACCCTCCACCCTCATCTACCCCGCCCCGATCCCCGGGCACGGCGGCCTAGGCACGCATCTCACCCTTGACATGGGCGGGCGTGTGCGCTTCGGCCCTGATGTGGAATGGATTGAGTCGCCCGTCGACCTTGCGCCAAATGCCAATAGCGAGCGCTTCCGGGCTGCTCTGGAGGATATCAAGTCTTATCTGCCTGGCCTGGATGTTGACAGCGTGGCGTTGGATTACTGTGGCATTCGACCCAAGCTGGGCAAGTCTGGAGCGCAGAATACGGGTAAGGGGGACTTTATCGACTTTTACATCAAGAAGGAAGAAGGGGTGCAAGGGTTTGTGAACCTGCTGGGGATCGAAAGCCCGGGGTTGACGAGCAGTCTCGCCATCGCTGAGCACGTGTATGCACTTCTATACAAATGAAATAATCTAGACGATCTAGCCAGGAGAAAGCGCCGCATCAATGCTGCAAAGTGTAATGCTTCGGATGCCTCTTCAACGCCTCCTTAAACCCCATCCCCGCCCTGACATCAGCCAACAACCCGTCATCAGCCTCCTTCTGCACAGGCAGCAAAGCCAGCACGTCCCCCAGCTTCTCAGCCGGAATAACACAACACACCCTCTCCCCCTCGTCCGCAACAAGCACATCCCCCGGCCTCACACGCACCCCTCCAATCTGCAACTCCACATCAACAGCCCAAGGCTTCGCCTCAGCACTCGTGCCCGACGAGCTCAAACTCCGCGTCCAAGCGGTGAACGGCGTGTCCTCGTCAGCTTTACACACCTCTCCAATCCCCACGACATCGCGCGCCCGCCCGTCGACAAACACGCCCTGAATGCCGCGATACTTGTACCGCGTGGCAACAATATCGCCCAGCAGCGCGGCCGTCTGGTGCGGCGGCTGTTGCATAAGCACCACGGAGCCCGACGGAGCGAGGTCGGAGAAGTGCTTGTCGGATGGCAAGTTGGACGTCTCCGGCACTAGGGGGAGATTGGGGATTGAGGCGCCGGGTTGGTGGGCGTTGGGGACGAAGAGCACTGTGCTGATGGGCGCTACGAGGCGGTTGGTGTAGCCGTGTCTGCTTGGGAGGGGGGCTTGGGGGAACATCAATGGGTGGTCTGACTGGTTTTGATGAAGGGGATGTGGACGTACAGATGTCGGCGAGAGTGCCGCCCAGCGGGACTTTGAGTGTTAGAAGGGCATCCGAGACCTGGTGGGATGGGTAAGTTAGCGGGTGGTTGGAGGAGGGTTGGGCTTTGGGAACTCACATCGCAAGGCGAGTAGTTTTTTCGTATCTCTTCGCACTGAGCGGCAAGGTTGGCGTTTGACGACATGGTGTTGCAAGATTTGTATTGAAGAATCAATGGAGAATCGTTGCGTCTCATGCTATTCAGTATGAAGAAGTGACGTTTTGGGATGAGCGGGCCTTCCGATTTCGGCGAATTTACACTCTTGGGAATAGCCGACGATGTAGATGCTGGCCGCAATGAGAACGTGAGACTCAAACACAAGAGAGCACAGGCAGCAGAAGACTAGCAGTGTATAGCTATATAGTACACTTCAGCGAACCGTAGCCAAACAACGTGTTCTGTTTTCCCCCACAGTGAACCATTATATTAGCATTCTCCGACGAAACGCTGCCGCACGCGAACAGAAGAGGCTGCTTTTCGTCGCGCGTCAGTGCATCCCCTCTGCCTGCCTGCTCCGCAATCTCCACCGGCTCTCTCACGCCTGAAACGCCACGCAAATGATACGGTCAATGTGATACAGATCTGGCCCGCCCAACTCCCCCCGCACGTGTTTGGAGTCAATGATTAGTTGAGCTCCGTCTTTTGCGTGACCTCGCGCGGAGAGAAGAGGTCATCAGGCTGCTCCTAGCGTTGCTGATGCATTCCCTGCTGGGGCGGCATGGGGTATCCGCCCTGCGCTTGTTGCGTCTGGAGGTATCGCTGGTATTGGATGGCTTGCTGGTGGTCGGCGGTCATGTACGGCCCCGGGACAGAGCTGTTGGGCATGGCTGCCTGCGGCATTGCCTGTGGGATGGCAGGCGGGGCGGCGTGCGAGTCTTCGGGAGACTCGACGTTGGATTCTCCGTCGATGCCATTAGCATCGGCGGGCTCGGGGGCGTTGAGGCAGGCCTAGGAGGAGTGTGAGTGAGGGTCATGTCACGAGAGCGGTATGTATCAACGCACCTGAATCAAATTCTTGCCCTCTGGCTTGGTGACGAGAGGCTGGAGCTTCGGGGTGGTGAAGGTGTAGACGAGGCCCGTTTCCGACACGACGAGAAGCAGGACCTGGGTGCCGGTGAGGACGGAGAGTTCGTAGGCCTGGGAGCGCGACATTAGCGAGATTCAATGACAGCACGTGGATGGCATTATGTTTAACGCGTACCTTCTTCATGATGCCCGCCTTGCGCTTGGAGAAAGTGATGTGACGGCGAGATTTGTCCTGGATGAACTTGATCTCGATCTTCCGTCGCTCACGGCCGGGTTTGTCATCGTCGTCGTCGTCATCGTCGGCGGCATTGCTCTGGCGTTGACGCTTGGTGCCGCGGCTCTCGACGGCACCGCCGTTCTCCAGGTCGTCGTGCTCCTGGTCGGCGTTGGGGTCGTGGCTGATGATTTCGGCCGACTGCGACGGCGGCGAGGTCAGTCAAGGTGAGGTGGGCGACGAGAGTGAGGGCTCATGGCAACACGCATGTGCAAGCAGGTGAGGTCGACTTACCATTTTGATGTGGTCAAGCTAGGCTGGATTGAGGATGTGGAGATAGTTGCCTGTTTGGTGTGAGAGGGAGGAACAACAGTCGAGACGCGGTGGTTCGGCAGACTCCGAAGGGTGCGACGGCAAAGTGCAGACGGGCTTCAAGCAGACGCGTCGCCAAGGTCGGGATGGGCGGCGGCGGCGGGAGGGATGAAAGAGGGATAGTGAGGATGAGGGAGGGTGATCAAAAGAGAACGTCGCTCCGTTGCCTGTTTGGAGGATGGAGGGCAGGCGGGGGCGGAGGCGGAGGCAGGTGCGAGCGAGCGAGCGCAGAAAGGGCAAGCGCGAAAAGCCGAAAAAAGAAGGCAGGGCGAGGAAGGAACGATCGGGTGGGTGGGCGGGGCGCACAGCTGGACCGGCGCACAGCAGAACACGCTTCTGGGCGGCGGAGGATGGAAGTGCTGCGCAGTGGCAACGAGTCGCGGCGCGAAAGTCGTCCAAGTCAGCGACGCTGAATGAGGTTTAGAGACGAGAGTTTTGGGAAAGAAGCGCAGGCATGCGAGGGGGATTTTAGGAAAAGACCTCCCTCGCCGTCTCCACTTTCAGCCGTCGGGCGCTACTGCCACTAACGCCGCGCTATCAGTCAGCGTAGCGAATGGCATGCTGCACACGTGAAAGCACAGTCGACGCGTGTATATAACGTTCGATGATCGCCTTCCGCAGAGAAACGCAGAAGGACACGTGAATGATGCAAGTTCATCGTGCACTGATCCTCCACGCTTCCTCATAGTCCGCGTTGTCCTTGTTCAAAGCTGTCTATCCACTCGATCGGTGATAGGTCGGAGATTCGCAATTCGGGATAGCGTGATCGGACGAGCTCGGGTCCGGCGGGAGCGGCACGGGGAGAGGACGCTTGGACGCTTTCCCTCTAGCCCCACTTCACGTGCTCAGAGCCTACGAGCCTACTACTTTCCCTGTGTGTATCTGTATGCGCTGCGCTGCGATATGTCTATCTCATTCACTAGATTTCTGTATGGATGCGCTCCTGAATGACACTGACTGCACGACATGCCCGTGGTCAATGTAGTCTGTTTCGGCTGCTGCAGTCGCTTACACGCTCGAAAGCCATCACGCGATCTCCAACATGATATCACACCATAGAGGGCTGTGAACATAGGCTGTTCGTAAACTGGCTGACCAAAGAGAGTGAGAGAAGTGATTGGAAGCTACTCCTCATGGCCGCATGAACAGCAGACCTCGATGTAACAAGCGAAAAGGTACACCCAAGAAGGACAGCAGCGACGGGAAACCAACAAAGCGTGATGGGAATTACTACTAACAATTAACCATTACGACTATATAATCGCGGACAAGCTCGTAAGTCATCAAATCGAAGAACTGCCCCCTAGATACACACAAGCTCCATCCATATTCCAATGCAAGCAGGCGCACCACGATCCACCACATTACCGATGTCGACTGTTCTGCCTCGAGTTGAGATACATATCAAACGCTTCACCACCATGTCCGCCCTTTGACGCCGCATTCCGCCGCGCAATTCGGTCTTGCCACACCATTGGTCTTCGAGGCATCACATCCGCGACCGTCGAGCTGTTCAGCCGGCCATTCGTCATCACCATCGCGTTCAAAGCGGCAAGTAGAAGCGCATTCTTCCGCTCCAGAGCGTCCACGCGAGTGTCGAGGCCTCCGCTGGGACTTGGAAAGGTGGATGTTAGCGGAGTCCGTTGCGTCTGACTTACGACGTGCGGAGCGCGCTCGGCGTATCTCGATGATGCAATCTCCGGGGCTTTGCTGTAAAGTGGGACGAGCGGGTGCTGTTGTCTCCTTGTGGACAAGCCTGCCATCTCACTCTGTCTTGCAGCGTTGTTCATTGTCGGCACGGCAGGCGTAGGTGGCAGAGCTTTCATCGGAGGCGGCAACGGCATCGGCGGGGTGTGCTGTTTGCGATGACTGCCCTCCGTAGGCGTGCTAGGTCTGGATGGTGTACGCGTGCCTGGCCGACTCTGTCTCTGGCTTCGAGGAACGGAAGCCGATCGAGGTCGCGGTGCGTACTTCCCGGAGGCTTTCGAATTGCCGGACCTGGGTTTGGACAACGGAATCTCCTCGGCGACTAGCATGACTGGACTCAATGTCATCGCGTCATTTCGACTGTCGCGCGAGCTCACCGGCGACACCGGCGAGTTCACAGCCTTCTCTCCGTTGCTGCGACCATCTTCCGACGAGACGTGCGGAACGGGGACGCGAGTGAACTCTGTCACTTTCTTCCAGCTTGCATCGCTCGATGCTGACGACGACGTGCGGGTGGTGAGCGGGTTCGCTCGCTTGCCATCGGGTACTTGGATATGAGGCCGGACTTTGCGAAGACGTTGACGTGGCGCCGGAGGATTGTCGTCATTCACCACGGCATCGATGGCTCTAGAGGCCGCTGCTGGCCGGTCGAGCAGTTTTGGTGCTCGCATGCGTTCTTTTCGGCATGGAGAAGAAGCGCTCCCACTCGGCATCGGCGACTTTGGACGCTTGATGGGGCCAGTGCACTCTGTTACCACCGTCGCTCGAAGGAGAGCAGGCTGCATTCTCGAGCTGAAGTTGCTCTCGATACTGGGGGCGCGTTTGGTGCTTGCTTTGACCGTGGACTGCGACGGTTCTCGATCTCTGGTGTTGGTGGCGCCTCGTGCCAACCGCAATGGGCTCCGTGCAGGCAGTCCGGGACTGTGGGATACGCTGCGGGGATTCGCGGGACCCGCCATCGACTCTTTTCGATTGAGCAACGGCTGACTTGGGAACCGGCGAGGCAAATGTTGTTTGGGTCCATGATCCTCCTCTTGCCCAGCAGCCGCTGGTTCTGAGAGCTGCTCCTCTGTTGCCTCGGTGTTGAGCATCGGCAGACTGCGACTCGTACTCATGAAGGGGTGGGTACTCTCGAATAGAATGCCTGTGTCGAAGGACTGCTTGGGCGAGGAACCGCCGAGATCGGTCATGAATGAACGAGTGACTGAAATCGCGGACAGCGGCTCGGGCGTTGGGGGACTCGATGCCGGCGGTCGGATAGGGACTGGTGTTGTTCGTCCACCACCCACAGCGACGGCCATCTCCCGAGCGGGCGATAGAACACGCTCAAGCTCATTTGCGGGCGTCGACGGCCTGGCCAATGGTCTTCGCTTGATGACTGGTTTATGCTCAACCCCAGACTGGTCGTTGCCCTGTCTCTCGACGACGACGGGAACTTGAGAGTCCATGACCCTCGGTCTCTTCTTCATGCCCTTCGCGTAGAGCGGCTTCACATTCTTCATGTCGAGCGCAAGGTATCGGATGCCTGTTCTTTCGTGAGCACTGCTCGAGTAGAGCCGGCCATGTGGTACACTGCTACCTTTGGAAGACACTTTCTGCTTGAATGGAGGCTCTTTCGCCAACAGCCCACCAGCATCGTACGGGATGTCTCTCGGCCTATTTCAGTCAGTCTGACGGCTCTCGCCCGCAGAAAAAGGAGCACACCTACTTTCCACGACCACGCTTCCGCTTGAAGTTCCAAAACCGCACCACTTTGTTCTTCTCCTCCAGCGCGTGCGGGGCTCCCATCCTGCCCGGCTGCCGAGGCGGAGCAGTCGGCCCCGTAGTCTTCAAGAAGAACGACAGATCATGCGTTCCATCCACGTACGGCAAACCCAGCAAGCGATTCCGCCTCGCTCTCCAACCCTCCTCATCCCCGGTGTAAGGCACCTGGCTTGCATCCTCATAATGCAGCGACTCCGAGTCCTCGCACCCCGCATGATCCAGCTCCTCGTGGATCTGAATGCAATCCTGTCGAAAGATGGACGAGCTCGCAATGCGAGCATGCTCCCGCTCAACAGCAGAAGGCGCCTGGCCCATAATGGCATTCGTGTAGAGTGGCCCAGCGCTGAAGGCCATCCTGGCAGGAGAGAGGGCGCGCTCGCTGAGGCGAAAAGAGGGCGAAGCAGCAGCAGAGCTGGTAGCAGAGCTGTCGTGCGGACCGGAACTTGTTGTCGTCCGCGGGCTGGTGGGTGTGGGTGGGGGCGTATCTTCAACGAGGGCGATTGTTGGCCGTCGACGATCGTGCACGGGAGACTGCATGGCGCACGAGAATGCTCGCCCCCCCCGCCCGATTCGAGCGGCGGCTGCGGTGTGTTGGCGTTTGTTGTTGCGGTTGATGTGGGACATGCGACTTCGGGTGGCTGCCGCAGGTGTCAAGGGCGTGCGCAGCGTGCTTTGTACAAAGGGAAGAGGGAGAGAGGCAGTCTTGGCTGTAGAACGAGTCGATGGAGGGAGGCGGGGGGGAACGAGGGGATCGACAAGAACCCCGATCTCCATCGCAAATCGAGTGGCTCGCAAGAGCAAAGACAATCTGAATCTGCTTTACCTTTCGCTCCCCGTTGAACTGATCACAAGCGCCGCGCAGGGCAACTTTTCTCGATAGCAGCACAGCGCCGTGTGCCACGACAGGTCAAGCTGCATCCAAGCACGTAGTGGCGGCGAAAAGGCCGCCAACGAGCGCCTCTGACATGTGTTCCTGCCCCGTCTGCCGAATGCGTACAGGACCGAGGTGTGGCATTAGCTCTAGCAATAAATCACGCAACTCAGTAGCCAAAGAGATAGAGAAAAGATGTATCGAAAACGCGGCAGAGAGAAAGCCCAGCCGGGGACGATGCAAGGGACAAATGCAAGCTACAGCGGTACGTGTCGCAATCGACCGGGGGGGTACATGCATGCACCGATTTCGAAGGGCAAAACGAGAGAAAACAAGGTTAGTGATTCTGTACTCCGCGAACAAGAGAGGAGGGGTGCATGGTTGTACACGCACCGAAAGTTGTGGAGCCAAAACGGCGTGGGATGGGGGCCGCTGTCAAGAGGATGCTTCTAGAGCGTGTAATGTAGAAGGAAAGGAAGGACCAAGGGAATACGGTGAATGTGAGAAAGTTCCCTGTTGGTGATCACTTGGTGCTCTCTATTCACGCACGGTTTCATCGAGTAAGACAACGTCTTGGAACCATTGCGACCAAGCCGCAATATCGACCAGATCTCATAACAGACCAGATCCGCCCTCCTCTCTCACTGCTTTGGCTTGGCCTGCTTCCGCGGCATAAACGGGCTTGGCGCAGGTCTCTTTTTGAGATGTTGTGCAACAGGCGCAGGCGCCACACTGCCTGGCCGAGCCGTCCCTGCTCCACCAGCCGGCCGCTTCTTCTCCTCCGCTGCTGAGAGTGGCGTGGCGGATCTGGAGACAGAGGAGCGATTCGACATCGCGGCTTCGTCGTCGGCGTTGCGCATCTCGATGTCTTCTTGATCGATTGACTTATCGATCGGCTCCTTGAGAGGCTGCGCAGAACGGCTCTCGTTTGTCGATGCTGTAGGTTTCTTGCTTTGCAGGCGATCCTCGGCTCGGTAGCGAATGCCCTCCATGCGATCAGCCCGACTATCCTGCACCGCCGAGATTGGAAGACGAGGCTCCGCCGGCGCAGAACCTGCCCCATTCCTTGTCGGATTTATGCCAGAGGTGCGGTCAATCGTCTGAACCTCGGAGCTCCCATCCAACATAGCGGCGGTAGTGATTGCAGGCGCTGGGAAATGCGACGACGCTTGACTCAGCATGCCCTTGAGATCACCGCTGGTGTAGCAATCTCTGGCCTTTGCATCTTCCACCAGCTTCCTCCAGAACTGTCCGCGAACGAGACTCTCCGAATTCCCCAGCACCCACAAACTCGACTTGGCTCGCGTTAGTCCGACATTCATACGTCGAACATCCTGCAAGAAGCCAATGCCACCAGCGGGTGAAGCTCTCACACAGGAGAAGATGATGATCTCGCTCTCTCGCCCCTGAAACGCATCGGTGGTATTGAATTCGACGTTCTGAAAGACAGAATCTCCGAACCGCGCGGGGAATTTGGTCTTCAAGGCGTTCAGCTGTGACTTGTAGGGCGTGATGATGCCGATTTTGGAGGTGAAGTCGTAGTTTGGTTGGTCCGATATCAGTCGCTGGTAGAGTAGCATTGCGATATCAATCTCTGCCAGATTGACCAGGGAATGACCTTTCGGAGCAGCTTGATGTTGACCGGCGACGTCGTAGAACTTGTACGGGGCGAGGAGCGCGCTCTTGTGCCATGGCCGCTCGCGCAAACCAGCCATACCTGGTCCGTCCTTGAGTAGCGCATCATAGAATGTCTTGGATGGGAAGAGTGAGATTTGCGGATGCATGCGGTACTGCGTGTCGAGCAGATGAACTTCATTGGCAAAGTTGTTTTGCATCCGGACGAAGAGCGACTGTTCGTACTGGAACTTGGCTGCCTCTTTCGAGAAGACCGTGGGTGGAAGTTGTTTCGGATCACCGACCAGAATGCACTTGACGCAGCCGTACTTCAACGGGATGAGCGAGCTCATCTCGACGCACTGCGCCGCTTCATCGATGATCACCGTCTCGAGGTCGATGTTCATGCTTTGGAACATGTCGTGACCACTGCCACTCAAGGTCGCGCAAATAACGTGTGCATCGTCGAGAACAGCTTGCTGCGCTCTCTTCCTGTTCAGTTCCGCTTGCCGATTCGCGTTGCGTTCGGCGTCCTTTGCGTTATCAATGCGGACTCCCAGATCTCTCTTTCGCTTACGCAAGGCCAGTAGGTCAGACTCCATGTCGGAGAGGGCTTTGCCGATGATGGACCCGCTGTCTCTCTTTGCAGACAGCTCACGCAGTTCGGTCGACACCTTCTCATGCTCCTTGAAGAGCTCTGCGTTCTTCTCTCGCATCTTCTGATCGTTGTCGGCAGTCCCCATGCGCTGCGCCACCAGCTCGTCCATCGTCACATCCAGGACCTGCTGGTTGATGGCTTCACTGCGGCCAATGCGGACCACGTTCAGCTTGTGATGTCTTCCACTCTTGGTCTTGACCCCTTCTTTCAAGCGCATGACCAATTCATCAACCGCCGCATTGCTAGGTGCACACACGAGCAACTTTCTGGGTGGAGCATCTGCGCCAGAGTTGGCATCGCCGTTGACCTTGGGCATGGCAATTTTCGTGCCGGTGTTAGAGGCACTCAATGCTTGCGTCAGCAGACCTCCGACAATCGCAACGATTGTCTTCGTCTTGCCGGAGCCAGGCGGTCCCTGGATAAGGGAGAACCCTTCATTCGTCAGCGCGGCATTGATGGCCTCACTCTGCGCACGGTTGACATTCCAGACATCTTGATAGGCTGCGATTTGCCTTTCGCTGAATGTGATTCGCTTGGATGGTTTCGCTTGCACAATCTGGTTGCAGAGGTCGTAATACTGCAACGCCTGCAATGCGCCATACTCTCGCTCCAATGGAACGATGGTCTGGATCTTGACACCCCAGACCGTGGCTTGCTGGAGCAGCGAGGGAGCTAAGCTCGAGCCAGACACGACCTGATAGACGATTTCCAGGAATGCTTTTTGCCGCTTCACACGGTAGACGCGAGCCAGACAGTGCGGTGCAGTTGAGTCTGCAACGGCGTTCTTGACCTTCGAAAGTAGAATGATGTCTCCTTCTTGTATCTGAACCTCGCGATTCTCCTGGTGTCCGATCAAGCTGCTGAGCTCAATGAAGGAGTCGACATTCGTGCGATTCTGGATCTTCACTTCGTACGGCTTGGCGACGGTCTCTTCCCGTGCTTTCACCATCCCTTGCCATGCTTCCAAGGTCAGCAACGGCTGAAAGGTGTCTCGGTAGGTGATTGGATCGGTGAAGGAATTCGACACGCCGCGGAATTGGTGCTCTTTTGATCCAGGAGGGTAGTCGCCTTCGTGGAAGAAATCCCAGCCCAAGATGATTCGATGTAGTGGCGTCAGATCTGGTGCCAGTCTTGCCCTTTGATCCTTTAGACTCCTCTGTGTTCTGTGGATTCTCGTCGGAGCATTCTTCTGCTCTGCTTTTAGCCCGAGCGCGCCATTCGGATCAACGTTAGGGCGCGCGGTCTTCTTCTTGCCGGGCCCGAGTCCGAACAGCTCGACATCCAGCTCGTCCTCCTCATCCTCCTCGCTCTCCTCATCAGACGAGACCATCACGTTCTGACCCTTCATTGAATGATCTTTGCCGATATCACCCAGGCCGGTGACACCGCTTCCAACACCAACAACGCCATTCGCTTTGGCCACTGCCGCTGCCTTTCGTTTCGCAGCTTCCTCCTTCTCCCGTTGACGCTTGAGCAGGAAATCGTTCGCCGCTTCTTGGTTCTTCTGCGCCGACTTGACGATCGCGGGCGTCGAAGTTGGCTTCTTCTGCTGTAAGAGTAGCTTCTTCCTTTGCGCCTCACTTCCAGGGATGGTGTTCATTATTTTCTTCATCTCCGCCTCTTCTTTAGCCTGCGCCTCTTTCCGACGCTTCGCCGCTTCGGACCAGGCGTCGACATCGATCGTCCCCGGCTTGGAGGCCCGACCAGCATCGCTGACTGGTGTAGAAGCCCCACTGCCCCTAGCACTTGAGGTCCATCCTTCCAGACTAGACTGCTTCTTTCGTACATCTGCAGAAGAAATCTCCACAACTTCAGCGATGCTCTCTCCGGTATGATTCTCGAGGGCTCGTTGCAGCTCCGCTTTCTGCTGTGGAGACAGCTTGGTCCTGACCACTGCATTCTTGTCGGTACTTGTGACAACGTTCTGAAGGTATTGAGCTGCGCCGTCATCGATCTGGATGCCCACTTCCTGCAAACGACCAAGAATCTTCGTCGTCAGTGTAACAGCCTTGTTGATGAGATACTCGTCCCTCAAGCGAAGCCATTTCGTGATCTGCGAGAATCTCGACTTTGGAAACTCCAACAGCATCTTCCTCACCTGACCTTTGGCAGCCTTGGCAGATCCCTGCAAGGTAGTGGCGATGATGGAATACTGGTCGAATGCGTAGTCGGCAAAAGCCATCGTCTCGCGACAGAAATCCTGCAGCATCTGCTTGTCGTAACCGTGGTTGCTCCATGGTTCAGTCTGCTCGAAGATCATGCCGAGAACCAGCCAAATGCGTTCCCAGAACAGCTCAATGCCCTTCATCGAATCTTCGCTGATCTTCTTCGATCTCAGTATGCCATCCTGACTGTCGCACAAGGAGCTCAACACATCTGTACACAGCTTGAGTGTGACGGAGCATGGAGCGAATACCCTGTGCCGAGCTATTCTGGCGAGAGCTTCGTTGATTGACGGCACTGAGGTCGTTGGGAAGGCGGATATGATGTGCATGATGCTGCCGCGACGCTCGTCCTGACCGCTGAGGACTTTGAGGACGTTCAGTGCGGATTGATGCACGCTTGCCTCGCCACTGAAAAGTAGATGTATCAAGCCATTGGCCGCGCTTGGAAGCATGAACAGCTCGTCGAGTTGCTCGGCACCGAACGCATCAAGGCGTTCGAGAAGGTCGTTACACACGTAAGTCTGCACTCGACCGAGGGCAAGATTCCACAACTCTGCCTGCTTCAACGTGGCCGAGATATGACGTGGTGGAAAGGTCTCTAGCAGAAGCAGATCACGGATTCCGTAGAGAATGGAGGCCGCGAGTGAAGGATGCCCAGGTCGCACATGTCGCATGCTCATCTTCCACATCTCCAATCCACTAATGTTGAGCTCATGGTCGAGAGCCTTGGTTTTGACGATCGTGTACCGGTCCTGTGCCAGTCCGGCGACATCCAAAGCCAATGTGTACTCAACAATATCCAGACACATTTGCTCGGTCTTGTCGATTTGCATCTCGGTCTTCTTCTCAATCCCATCCAATTCGGACATGACCAAAGGGATGTGGTCTTTCGCGACGATCTGGACCATGTGTCTGATGGTGGGTCCGCTTTTGACATGCTCTCTCATGGTGCGAAGGGCGGTGAGAAGACACGTTAGCCCCTTTTGCCAGCAAACGGAGCGAGCATATCGGGAATATGGATCTTTTTGAATGGCATGCAGCAGCTGATCCAGGATGACCTTCACCGGGGCCACGACATTGACGGGCTTCAGAGACTTTGTGATTTGGACCGTCCATTCCATCTTCTCCCCCAACTGCAGCGGCTGCGTCTCCTGAGTGATTTTGAGCGTTTTCTGCAAAGCCGGACTTCGAAAGATCGTTTCCACGACGGATTGGGCCGAGATAGGTGCCATGGCATCCCAGAAATCGGTGGGACTCTGCTCGACCAGTAATTGATAGGTTGCTAACAAATCGGTGAAGTGGGCATCGTCGATCTGGAAGTGCTCCAACCCGACAGTGTAGAGATTGCTGTCCATCGCTCGAAGGTGCGTGGCGATCAGGTCTGTTGTGAGTTTCAGTACGATCTCCCGCGTACCACGCCAAAAAGTTGGTAGGAAATCCCTTTGCATGGCGAGAATGTTGACGCGAGCAAGACCCGCTTCAAGGAAAGGTTTCACGCTGTATTCAAACTCCGTGCTGGTGAGGGGTCTTCTGATGCCAGAGAAGTTCTTCATCGCCCATGAACGCCTTTCCTGATTGTGAGAGAAGATAAACGCGGCCATTCCGGGCGCATAGCTGGGGAGCTTGACTTTCTTTTTGGTCTGCAAGAGATCCAAAGGGCGATCCAGGGATTTCTGCAGCGTCTCTTCGTCCTTGAGGAAAGGGATGCAATGGAAGGCCTCGAACAGAGCATACATGCCGGCGTCACCAGTAGCGGCGATGCTGCGTTTGTCCGGCGGCAGAGTGAGCAGAGCTTCCTCCATGGTTTTCAAGCCGTTCGAAATGCGGGTGATGTTCATGGCATCGAACTGGTCCATGAAGTGTCTCACTTCCTCAATATCAAACTGCGACTCCAGTCTCTGCATGAGCAGGCTCCGTGAGCGGTGGTATTCGCGCACGCAGACATCGCAGCGAGTGAGTTGGGCTTTCAGGGCGAGTCGTAATTGGTCTTGGAAGGGCAGAGCATCGACACCATCGTAAGCGAAGATCTTGCATACGTCTAACGCCACATCGCGCCTTTGGTTGGCATTGTCGATCTCGCGCAACCGGGCTGCTTTGTCGTGGTCGGATTCTTTCGGCAGGTCTGCGAGAACGTCTTCGTCAAAGAAACCACGAGAGTCCGCCGCAGCGGAGCGAGGGCAGAACCAGTGCAGACCGGGATCGAGTTGAGTGAGCTCGCTGAGTTTGAAGGCGCGTTAGTGGTGTGCTTACTTGCTGTGGAATGCGGCCAAAGGAAAACGTACTTTAAGCTCTGCACGATTGCATGGCCCATTTTGGAGGTTTACTGAACGCTCAGTGAGCGCTCAGTGAGAGCGATGGCGATCCAATGAAGAGTTTCGCAGGGAGTCACTGTAGTAGAGACACGCTGTTCCTCTTCATTGGTGGCGGTCGAAGGTGAATGCAACGATGAACCCGCCCCTTCATGCTGTTCCATCCATGAGAGCGAAGAAGGAGTTACGTAGCGGGAACATGAGACTATGCTAGCACCGATGGCATCTCTCGGGACATGAAGAGTAAGATGATGTTGGCAAGAAAATGATGATGACTGCACCGTTTGCTCCGGGAATGCAGAGCTTGAAAGGCAACCGGCTGGACGATGTCACCGCTTCTTCACGTGAGTCTTGCGGTCACTGAGCACGAGACTTTCCAGACCGGTAGGCGTCCCCGAAGGTGAAGAGGGGTGTCGAGGTGGTGAAGGTGTAGTTGACCCATGAAATCTCCATATTGCACTTTATATAAAATACGCGGGCACTTCCGCGCTTGTCCCGACGCGTTTCGCGCCTCTCCCGTCCCGACGCCACACCCCGGCTTTCAGCCTCTTTGCCCTCACCTTGCCATCAGTCACTCTCAGTCCATCTATTGACACACCACCTGGCCCTGATCACAATGATTTTGTGAAGAGCCTGATCTCAGAGATCCCCCCTATCAAGCCGGGTTTCACCCTCTCACATCCAGGTTTGATGACCACCGACATCTGATCCTCTAGGCTGCAGCCATGGGCAGCACCACGCTGCTCTCACTGCCCACCGAGCTTCTGGACAGGGTCTATAGCCACCTCGACTGGGACCGCTCGAGATCGCTGTACCTGGAACGACCAGACATCGTCAACATCAGTCTCACCTGTGTCCAGCTGCGGCAGTCAGTCCTCCCTCTGCTCTTCCGACACGTCATCCTGAAGTTACGCTGGGTCGATGGCGCCTTGATTGAGCCGACCCTCTTCCGGCTCCGAAGATACGAGCCACAGCTTGCACGGCATGTGCGCTCTGTCCTTATCCAGACCGAGTTCGGGCAGTATGTCGACCCCGACTTTGTCATTCCTGGATTCGCTGTTCCGGAAGCCTTGTCCGACTGGGTCAACCCGGCATCTATTCCCGACGACCCTACACGTGCCGTCGAAATCTGCCATCGCCAGAGCGTAATGGAAGTTGCTCGCTCGCTATTTGAGAAGTGCGAGCACGCTGATCTCTCTGGGCCTTATGGCGAGGAGCTCAAGAAGAGGGTCACCAACTTCAGCTACCACATCTTCGGCAAGCAAAACTCATTAGATTCGTCTTCATCGACTGCCACTCCCGACGACGAGTCTCGCCTACTGGGACCCTTCGGGCAGAGCAGGTCTGCAGGGTGGACGAATGCGTCACGCACATCGCTTGACGAGAGCAGATACTTAGACTCGGTTCATGGTGCGGATCTACTGCCTGCGGATTCCGAGTCAAGGACGTCACGCAGCGAATGCATCCGATTGAAGCTGGAACTGGATGCGCTTGTGGTGGTTATGCTACTACTACCCGCAACAGTGACGTCGGTGTCTTTCGAAGCGCATCCTCGGGGCCGGCTGGATCTCCTTCGCCACGCTTTTGCTCTCAATGTTGCTGCACGGGCAATCGATGTCTTCGGAGAGCGGCTACAACACTTCTCCCTGATCACGTCTCCGCCGCAGACCCCGCGCTACATGCGGGCCGGTCGGGAATACAGTGAGCTGGACCGGGAAAGCAACATTTTGACAAACGACGTGCTCAATAGAATGCGCAAGTTGAAAACTCTTGTCATCTCCGATCAGCAGTCTGGGGGAAACCATCGCCTCCGGGGACTGACGACCGAAGGGCAGACTCAATGGCACACTCTGGCCCACACGCTTTCTACACTGGAGCTGTGGAATTTCGAGATCGATTCTCGGGAGCTCTTACGGTTTGTGCAGGGCTTCGATCAATTGGAGAAGGTGGCGTTCGAAAATGTCGCCCTCAACGACACTCAAAGGAATCTCATGCTACCCGGAGCGCACCGGCGGGAGATCAGCCGTACGGTGTGGCTGATGTTCCTCATCCAGCTACGACGCGAGATGCCGACAGTGGCGATACGGCTGGGCCGGCTGAAGGAACACGGCAAAATCACGCCGCTGTCACCAAGTGTGGTCAACTGGTTGACGACCGAAGCCATTCCCACGAACAGTCTGGTTACTTATGACCGAGAGACGAGATTGGTGGAGGACTTTGGGTATTTCCTGGACCTTTGGATTGCGGACGACGGGGTGCGTGGAGAGCAGGCGAGAGAGGCGCGCAAGGATGGCCGGTTGGTGGATGCTGCCATGACTAGTCGATGGAAGACTTTTGCCAATCAGCGCTGAATTGGCTACCGATTGACGATGTGACGAAGGCAATGACGCGGGTTAGGGTGCTTCTTGCTTTACCTTGTCACTTACAGATTAGCAAAGCTTGGATGAGCATGATATCGCACTGGATCCAGCGCAACATGACCGGAAGGCTGAAGCATACTCGCAGTAAGCTTTGGCTTGTTCGGGGATCGCTCCGTCGAGCCCTGAATTTACCCCTCCACACCCCACGAGCTATGAAATCATCGTCAATGGGATGAGGACCCCACACGAGCAGCAGATAAAGCGACATGAATGGTCTGCATGCCCCTGCAACGACGTAACGGGAGAAGCCCGCAGGAAAATTGAGCGCCTATAATATACCTTACCAATCTGCTCAGCAATGCAACGTTTACCCATCCCTCCTTCCTACCTGCTCAAACAACTCTCATCCCGTCCACTCTCTCTCAAGGCAGCAAACCCCTTGATATCTCGTTACATCACTCCCCAAACCCAGACAACCCACTTCCGCATCCGCACATACGCAACCATGTCTACGCAATCGCACGCCTGCTGCACGGTCCCGCCCATTGTGGACGACGGCTACAAGGAGAAGGGCAAATGGATCCAATCCGACGGCCTGAAGACCTACCACACCGGCTCCAGCAGCGCGAAGAGCGGCATCCTCGTCATCTACGACATCTTCGGCTTCTTCCCCCAGACGCTGCAGGGCGCGGATATCTTGTCGTCGGGTGACCATGAGAAGCCCTACCAAGTCTTCATGCCAGGTATGCTCCTCTCACTCCTTTCACACCATTCCGGTCACTGACCCTGCTGTGGTAGACTTCTTCGAGGGCTCGCCCGCAGACATCTCGTGGTACCCGCCCGACACCGACGAGAAGGGCAAGAAGCTGGGCGAGTTCTTCAACACCAAAGCCGCGCCGCCCAAGACGCTCGAGCGCATCCCCAAGATCCTCAAAGAGCTGGAGTCAAAGCATGGCATTCAAGAATGGGGCATCCTCGGCTTCTGCTGGGGTGGCAAGATTGTGAATCTCGTTTCGCAAAAGGGCACGCCCTTCAAGTCTGCCGTCGCCGCTCACCCGGCCATGGTGGATGCGAACGATGCCGCCGGCGTTACTATTCCCTTCGCCATGCTGCCCAGCAAGGACGAGCCGAAGGAGGATGTGGAGAAGTGGCAGAAGGAAATCAAGGTGAAGAATGTGGTCAAGTGGTGGCCCGAGCAGATCCACGGCTTCATGGCTGCGCGCAGCGACTTGAAGGACCCGAAGGTGAAGAAGGACTACGAGGCGGCGTACAAGTTTGTGCTCGACTGGTTCCACGACACTATGTGAGTGCTTGCGCACTTCCCTTTCCTTTCCCTTCCCGACATCTCTGACCGCTTGGATCTCAGGTAATGCTCTCCCCATTACTCCGCTGACGCCATGCAAACAGGCAAGGCGGGTCGGCGAAATTGTAGGGTAACATGGCCATGCTGCATCGTAATGTGAGAAGTAATCAACAAACTTGTCCTGCCAATTTTGCCAGCAGTCCAACTTCCCCGTTTTTCGGTCATGTTGCATCGCAGCCTGTATACCTCTCAAGACACCACCCATGTGCTGTAGATCTTTGCAACACCACTCGCCCGATTTAGGTCTATGGCAGATCGCATAGGAGGTTTGCGATGTGGCGTCCATACCGCAGTCGAGGTATAACGTGGAAATGAAGGAGGTAAAGGGGAAGACGACGGTGACAGGTTGATTGAAATGAAATGAAAGAGACGGGCGGTAGGAAAAGCAGACACGAGTACGATTACCATAGCCCATTGGTCTCTGATTTGCTCGACATTCCTGTGGTGTATGGGTAGCATTTGAGCATGTTTGACATGCCGACTCTTTCTCGCTACTCGAGCTTGAGCATCGCCAAGATGCAACCCTTGTGAGATTATTGAGCCGGAGTGCACGAAGTCGAGACCGAGAGCAAGAGGAGGTGTGGTGGAAGCGGTGTACCCTGAAAGGCCACAGTTCTGTAGCCAAGGACTGACGTTGAGCAGGCAATGCAGGTCAAACCACAGCCAATTTACCCGACGCTCTCCACCAGCTGTTGGTAAGATTTAGGGCCCGCTCGCCACCACGCCACAGCCGCGCTGCGAAACGCCCGCGCGCCCGCACGGCGGCGTTTGGGTACTTGTACTTGCACGTGAAAGCAGCAGACTCGGAAAGATTGTGAGAAAGGCGAGTCTGGCCAACTGTAGAACGTGTGCGTCGCATGTCAAGTAATTCATTGAGGCTTTTTCGGTGCTCGTCGAGATTCTCACACAGCGCCAGAGGCATTTGTCGCCGCCGGCAGAGCTTCTTGTTGAGGCCAATGGAGGTTTCGCGAGCGGGCGGATCGACGACTTTTGTGGGACTGCGCCCAGCCGTTGTGGCCTTTCTTTGCAGATGCCGCCAGTCAGCGCTCTGGACATTCGAGCATTCGCCGAGTCTCGCCCTGGAACACGGAGGACGACGGTTGGCGCGTTTATTGGGGAAGAAACATCTCAGGTGGGCGGGTAGGTTGCAATAAGCAAACTCCCGAGCTCTTCGATTGGTAGCAGGGGGGCGTGTCGCGTGTTTCCCGCTTCAGCAAATGCCGACTCTTCGGCCGTACTTCAATGCTGCGATAATTTCCCGGCTTGGGATGCAGACCGGGCTGTGGGGAAGAGACTGGGTACAGCCCTGGGCTTGTACGGTGTTTGCACCCAATCTCCGTCCATGCGACCGAGCCTCGCATCCGTAAACATGACGATACACAGTGCAGACATGCGGCAGAAGCATGGATGGAATTATCCGGAAAAGGTGGCAATAGCGGCCGGCTGCATCCTAACGTCACGCTGCCGAAACTCAGTACTCCTCCGAGTCGACGTTTCTTGGAAATCAGAGTTCGTGTTGGGTGTGTCTGGGGAAAGTATACCCCCGGCTATCGAAATGCAGCGAATGACTCTCACGGCCAGTAGAAGAGCAGGAGATGGAAAAAGTGGGCGGGACCCTGCTTCATTACCTGGGCAGATGCAATGCACTGCACGATAGGGTGGGTTCAAGATGCTTGGTCCCGGTGATCTCTCCCCGAAACGCCAAGCTGAGGCGCTCGCGGGCCATGTCGTGTGGCCATTTGCCAGGCGTGGCCGCACTGTAGTATGTAGGACATAGCACCGGCAAGCCGGCGCGCTGATCATCAGCGATTCGATGTAGGTTCATCTCGGGCACCTGCAGGCCGCGTGGGGGCGGGCCAGCTCGAGCAGCAGTGTCGTTGGCGGGACACGGGTTTCCGGTCGGGTGAAGTTGCAAGCAAGGTTGGGCTAGTGCGCGCGCAGGAAGCGGCACGGAGGATGCAGTGAGATGTTGGGTGGGCGAGGCGGATGCTGAGGAGCGGCCACTCCACTCTCACTTGCACGCCTGCCGAAAGGGGCAAGTGGCGCTTGGCCGTCGGGAATAGGCCGCGGTTGACATGTGCGTGCGCCCATCAGTCATCGCCCATCCACTCCACCAACTGCACTGCCAGCACCGTCTGCACCTCTCCCTCCCCTCCTCCACCCCTCCAAGCACGTGCGCTGCGACTTGCATGCGCGTGTCTGCCCGACCGGCCTTGCCTGCGACTGCATGTACGCTCCCGCCGCCGTCCACCCGCGGGACGCCGAGTCTCGCAATGCTGCGCGCGAGCGTGGGGTCGTCAATATGCACGACATCTTCCCACACGGCCACGCCCGCGCTGCTTTGAACATCGCCACCACCCTCCCGCCCTCCTCCTCCCCTCCCGGGCCCTCCTCCGCCTTCGACACCGCTTCCGGCGCCTCCTCGGCCATCCAGTCGCTGACGTCCGCCAGCACGCTCAGCAATCTCGACGGCAGGCTGGATCTGTCTCCCCACGACTCCGCCACCTCCCAGGGCCTCTTGCGCACATCCGTCTTCGACGAATGGAAGAATGATGCGGGCGATCTCGAGGCCGAGAATCCGGAGGAGATGCAGAAAAACGACCCGCTTGGCACGCAGATCTGGAAGCTGTACCACAAGCAGAAAAACCAGCTGCCCAATCGCGAGCGTATGGAGAATCTGACATGGCGCTTGATGTCGATGAACCTGCGGCGGAAAGAGCTGGAGAGGCAGGGGTGAGTGCATTCATCCGCCGCGCCCTCGCAGACATACACTGACCACGACAGCAGCCTCCTGAACCTCCCGCCCTCTCGAAACGCGCCGAGTGGAATCGCACAGCTACGAAAGTCTTCGGAGCAAGCCAACGCACAACACGACGACGGTCAGATGAATCTGGACGACTTTCTCGTCCCTTCCTCCATCGCCTCTCCCGCCGGCATCTCTCCGGCCCCATCGAGCGGTGTGACCGATGGAACTTCTCCAGCCAGTGCCGGGCGTTCAGCGATCCCGATTAAAGCGCAGCAACGGACGGCGATGGACGACTTACACATCTCACGAGCCTCCGCACCGTCTAGAGACTACGATCGAAGCACGCAAGAGTTCGGATATGTCCCGCGGCACGTGCGCAAGACTAGTATTGACGAACGGAGGGTATGCTCTTCTGACGTAACTCTCGCGCAAGACGTATTACTGACACTTTTCGAAGCCTCCTAAGCGGCGAGCCGATGCTTCGCCGCTGGTCCCGCCCGTCACCGGCGTCTCACATAATGTGGCCGATGAAGCTGCTCTCAACAGCTACTCCCTCGACCCCACCATGACCACTCTCACCACGTTCGCCCCTCAAGCCCAGCATTCCTCGATCCCCTTCAACTTGGACACCTTTAACCTCGAAAACGACCCCATCTTGAACTCCGCCGGGTCCGTGCCCCAGCAATTCACCTTTACGCCCGTGGGCTCCCCGCTGTTAAATGATGCTTCCTTCACCAACTTGTACACCCCTCATGGATCCATGGGCCCTCCACGACACGCCAGCAATCTCCATTCTCCCATCGCATCGTCATACCCGTCCACAGTATCCACCCCGCAGCCCCTTCCCGACGATCAGCTCAACCTCTTCTCATCCTCACAATCGCTCAATTTCGGCCGGCTCCCATACTCGCACTCTACCGGGCTCTCGCAGAGTGCATCCCAGCAACAATTCATGTTCAGCTCACAACCCGATCAGCTGTTTGGCGGCATTTCTGCCGCCGACCCTTCACATTCGTTCTCCTCCTCGTCCGCTTTTCAAATACCCGGTACCCTCGACCCATCGCAAATCATTCCGCAAGACTTCGCCCCGATGAGCCTGCCCACTACCCGGCCCGACCACATGTTCACGTTTGGAGCCGACGAGGATGAAGATGACGACGACTCTATGCAATTTCAAGATCCGGGCATGCATATGCAAAGCTACTCCTCCTTGGACGAGCAGACCATGGACATGTACCACGGCTACAACTGGGACAGAGCGAGTCAATACAGCTCGACTTCCGGCCGCTATCCCAATTCTGCAAGGAAGGGTGTCACGATTGGGCATACCGAGATGATCCCGCAGACGCAGCAGTGGGAGCAAGGCGGCCTGAACAGAGGCCATGGCTCTGCGGCGTCGGTCAGTGAAATGCGGAATCGCATGGCCGACCCGCGAACACGAAAGCTCCCGCGTGCAACGTCCACGCCGAACACCGCGGCCATGGCTACCGGGATGTACACCTTCCAAACGCAGTCCTCCCCGTCTTCCCCTCCCGAGTCTGGTCTATCGTCCGCAATGCCATCTCGACCCGGAAGTCCAAGACCGGGTGGTGACAATGGTGGCGCACCGCCCACCTGTACCAACTGCTATACCCAAACAACGCCTCTATGGCGACGCAATCCCGAAGGACAGCCGCTGTGCAACGCGTGCGGCTTGTTCCTCAAGCTCCATGGTGTTGTCCGGCCGCTCAGCTTGAAAACAGACGTCATCAAGAAGCGCAATCGTGGCAGCGGCGCCACCGCTCCCGTCGGCACCTCGCGATCCAAGAAGGCGGCAAGTCGGAAGAACTCGGTCGCTCAAGCATCGACCAGCGCCGCGGCAAGATCCGGTAACGCAGACCCCGAGACCCCAGGCTCTGGCGGTGCAGGCACGAGCACGCCCACAGCCTCTACGAACAACGACAAACCCGTCAAACAAGTGATTGCCATTGCTCCCGGGCCTCCCAAGCCAGCTCCAGCCCAATCCTCCGCGCCTCTCGCGCCAACGTCTACTCGCCCAGTTGCGCCGCGCCGCGCCCGCCGCCAGAGCAGAGCAAGCATCGCAGCATCAAACCCCGCCGACACGGAAATGCCCGATGCCGACGCGGTGGGCGCCAAAAGGCCTGCAGGGATCGGGAACGCGGCGATGTCAACTACGCCGCGCTCCGCGACACTGTCCGCTTCGAATCCGATCTCCTCGCAGCCGAATCTGGTGTCGATGCAGGCTCCCATGGGCCCGCAAGGTGGCGGTGCCAGGGGAGGGCCGAACGGCAACGACAAGGCCGAGGGCTTGCCTCCTGGTATTTCGCCGGAGATGATGTCGGGGCCGCAGGAGTGGGAGTGGTTGACGATGAGCTTGTGAAGCAACGATGCTCACGATCAGGTTGGCATCTGGGGCCAGCTTTCGACCTTTTCTCTTGCTCACACGCGATCCTTCTTTCGACACAATATACCTTCTTGGACGAATTTCTTCGGACACACCAACCGTACACGACGAGACATAGAGCTTCGATCTTTTCCGCGTTTCGTTCTTTTTGTTTCTGATTTTCGGCAATGATACCTTTTTCGTGCTTTCAGATTACCCCGATAGATTGGAAGATTTGCAATTTTACCTGCTTGGGTTTGGGATAGTATTAGTTAGGGTATGCTTGGGACGCGCGATGTCAATGGCCGAGCAGACGGTTGCAGTTGATATGTATTGACGGAGAGCTGGACTCGCGGTGGTGCGTTTGTTACGAGCGTGCTTCTTGTTATGAAGAGATGAACAATACACACAATGCGTTCCGATCGCGATCTTTGAATACCCGTGAGTGATGTGTGGACTATGACGAACACTTAACCTTCGACGTTGCGGTGTTTCGGACTCCGGTCCGGAGTGAAATCCCGGGCGCCGGAATTGGATTACAAACTTCGGCGCTCACGAGGCTGCGGTGGGGGTCGGTTGGTCATCGGAAGCGAAAGCGAGTTAACGAGCTCGCAAGACTTCATCGCTCTTCGCGCGAGTGCGCCTCGTGTCGCCTCTTCGGCCATCCAACAGGCCCGCGCTTAGAATTAGTGGATTGTCAATTTGGCAACATGCACTTGCGAGGGCAGATGAGGTATATAAGTGGTTATCCGTTCGCTTCCCAGGACGAGTTCGAGTGAGCTCGCACCGTCTTCATCTTCAATCGCATCATCAACCCCCATCGACCACACTCCACCATGTCTTCCTCGTCAGCATCTCAATCCACACCCCTCAGCATCACAGACTACATCGCCCTCAACAACCTCCTCTTCGAATGGGCGGAAAGCTACGACAAGCAAGACTGGGCGCGGCTGAAGCCCTGTCTAGCCCCGGCCATCACGCTCGACATGCGCGCCCTGCTGGCCCGCTCAAAGAACGCCTCTCCCCCGACGAGTTCATCGCCATCCACGCCAGTCCGAAAGTCATTGGCGACCCGCGCGTCAAAACGCAGCACCTCGTTGGCGTGTCGCGGTGGAGTGGAGTCGAGGCGGATGGGAGCGTGAGGGGCTCGCATCAGCTGCGGGTTGCGCATCAGCGGTATGCGGATGAGGGGTTGAAGGAGGTGGTGAATAAGGGGCATGGGTATGGGGTTGTGCATCAGAGTTATGCGAAGGTGGAGGGGGAGTGGAAGATTACGGGGAATGCGCCGACGGTGGATTGGTCGGAGTATGATTTGTTTGGGACGATGAATCCGGATGCTAAGAAGGACTGAGGGCGTCCTTTGTATAGAGTTCAGATTGTTTTTCGTAAAGAATTTGATTTGATCGTTTGTTGGTTTCTTGAAGTGACTCTCATGGCTCCTTGGCTGATGGGTGTGATCGCTCGTGACGATGTGCTAGGTTTTCCACGCATTCGACGGGCTCGTTAACGAGATGACTCTGGCATCTGGCAACGAACGATCGTCAATTACTTAACATGCGAGGAGATCTCAGAAGGTAGGGGAACACGAGCGGAAGTAGTACACTTTGCACTCTATGGACACCCAAACGAGGCTGAAGCCCAGGATATATAGTATAGAGATGCCATTGTTCACTCAAATATATTTAAGATCCGCTTATCAATACACACACGTCTAATCAAACCACTTGTTCTTGCGAACAAACTCGGCAAATGTAGTCGGCTTCTCGTCCATGGCAGCATGGCTATCCGCCAGCTCGGCCTCCGCTCCCTTGCCCTCGGGGCCAAAATACTTCCAGTCGCGCATGAGCATGAACATTTCGTAAAACTCCTCTTGCAGCGGCTCGGGGAAGAAGCCCGTGAAAACCTTGTCGGGAAGCTGCACGTACTTGACCGTCTTGCCCGTCTCCTTGCTGAGGATGTCGGCCATTTCGGTCGGGGTGTAGAAGCCGCCGGCGCCGTAGATGCGCTTGCCGTTCCATCGCTCGGGGTCTTTGAGGAGTTGCGCGACGCACTTGCCTGTGTCGGCGACGATGTCGATGAGAGGGACCTTGGAGTCTGGTGCCCAGATGCAGTATAGAGCGTAGGTGCCATCGTCTTGCTATGAGAGGTGTCAGTGGAAGGGGCTCGAGCGCGAGGAGCACACCACGCCACTACGAACCTTTTTGGGGATCAAATCGTGCCCATTGATTTCCTGGGCAAACATTGCGGGCCAGAAAAAGGCGCTCTTGAAGGGCAGGGTGCGAGCGTATTCTTCAATCTTGGCCTTGCTGTTGAAGTGGTCAATGTGCGCCAGGGCGCCGTTGGTCACGACGGCGGCGTTGGGAAGGGTGGAGGCGATGAAGTATTCGACGCCCTCGGCCGCGGCGGCGTCGGCCATGGCTTTGCCCTGCGCGAACTCGGTCTCTCCACTCATACTTTCGAAGACTTGAAGCGGAAGGTATTGTTAGTGGAAGAGCATTGCAACGGACGTCGGTGACTTGGATCTTACAATTGGTGACGGCAAAGACGGCGGACGAGCCTCGCACGGCTGTGCGCAAACTGGCCAGGTCGTTTTGATCTCCAGCCACGACCTCGACGCCTTTTTCTTTGAGCTTCAATGCATTGCCCTTTGTGGGATCGCGGGTGACACCACGCAAACGGTAGGTTTTGGACAGTTCCGGATTGCGTAGGACGGCGTCGATGACGGAACCGCCTTGCTTGCCAGTCGCACCAAAGACGGTGAAGACTTTGGACATGTTGGAGTGATTCGAGGGGGTGATTGATTGATTTGGATAATGGGGGATTTGCTTTGCTGTTGGTGAGTGCAGTACCGAGCGAAGAGCGTGGGTATTTATATTTACTCCGTTGCAATGACGAGGTGGACGGACAGCCGGGATGGCCAGCACAAGGCTACCTTAGGCTCTCGTAATCCCACATTCGGCCAGTTCGTACTCGGCCGGCTTTCTTCGAGCCAGGCCTAGGGCGGAGGGCGCCAAGGTGCTTAGCAAATCTAGCGCAGCTTACCAAAGCCATTAGCGAGTGCCGGAGCGCGAACCAGAGGCGAAACGCCGAAGCGCCCTAGAGGGAGCCCCGAGCTTAGTCAAAGACGAGCTTCAAAGTATGCCTAATAAAGACATGCTCCGGCCGGCGTGAATACATCAATATCCTGCATGACAGCACATTCCGACCGCGCGCTCCCACGTCTTCACTCCATCTCACTCACCATGTCTTCACCGAAACTCTTCGCCGTCATCGCCGGAGTGGGCGAAGGCACGGGCGCAGCATTGGCGCGCCGCTTCGCAAAGGCATATCCCGTCGTGCTGCTCGCGCGGAAAGAGTCGAGTTTCAAATCGCTCGTCGACGAAATCCAGGCCTCGGGACAGACGGCCTTGGGCATCTCTACCGACGTCTCGCAGGGCGACAGCGTCAAGTCGGCCTTTGAGCAGGTCAAGAAGACGTTTGGAAGTGATGTTTCGTGTGCGGTATGAGATTCCAGTGTCCATTGGCCATGTCCATTCCTAATGCGTGAGACGACAGGCAGCCGTGTTCAACGCCAGCGGTGCTTTTTCTCGAAAACCCTTCCTGGAGTTGACGGAAGACGACTTCACCCGTCCCTACTCCGTGAGCGGGTGAGTGATATCAACCACGCCAACCCCTCCTCCTCCTCAACCTAACAATAGCACCCCCAGCATCGGCGCCTTCCACTTCTCCCAAGCAGTCCTGCCCCTCCTGCTCAAACACGCAGACCCGTCATCCACCTCAACAACAACAACAACAACAACAACAACCAGCACCCACCTCCCGCCCACCCTAATCTTCACCGGCGCGACCGCCTCGCTCAAAGCCTCCGTCGGCTTCTCCGGCTTCGCCGCCGCCAAATTCTCCCAGCGCGCCCTGGCGCAGGCCCTCGCGCGCGAGTTCGGCCCGCAAGGCGTGCACGTCTCGCACGTCGTTATTGACGGACTAATCGACACGCCCGGCACCGCGGGCTGGATGCAGGATGCGGGCCCGAATGGCAAGTTGCAGCCGCCCGCCATTGCGGAGTTTTATTGGGGATTGCATGCGCAGCCGCTGTCGACATTTACGTTTGAGACGGAGATTCGGCCGTTCAAGGAAAAGTGGTAGGTGTTGGGGCACTGGTAGAGCAACACTGTGGATGTGGCAAGTTTCATTCCATCGCGTCTGTTACTCAACGTAAAGTACCTTAGTCTTACAAAACGTCAACCCTGCCAGCCTGCTCCGTCTGACGCCGCAACTCCTTCACAAAACAAGACAGGTACCCCGATAGCGCAGTCCCGTAAAACAAAGTCATTATACCCTCCATTTGCTGCGTCCCACCATCACTCCGTTTCCCAATGCGCGACGTCGAAGTCTTCGTTCAGCTCAAACACGGCACAAAGCTAGAAGATGGTGCCAAAGCTCTCATCAACAGCAGACAGCGGCTTGCGCGGACTCGTCGGCTTCCCATCCTCGTCGGTGAGGGGCTTGCGATGTCTGAACAACACAACGTCAGCATAGATTCTCCACATAACACCGAGGGAGACAACCACAACTCACTTGAACGTGAAGCCCACAAACAAACTCCTCCCCATCTCCCCCTCGCGCTCCGCCATCTTCTCCAACGCCTCCTGCTTGTCCAGCACCTCCTTGTACTTTGCCATATCCTTCTCACTGCTGAAATCGTCAAAATACCCAGCGTCAGTATCCGAGTCCAACTCGGGGACGAAAGGCGCGCGCTCCGTGCGAATACGCTCCCACGCCACCTCCTTGAAGTACTCATGGTTCTGCACGGCCTTGATGCCGCGCAGCCGATTGCCCTTGGGCGCAATGAGGCGCGTGATGAGATCCCACGTGCGCCGCGAGAGGAAGTAGTTGGGGTCCTCGTATTCCGGCTTGCGCAGCACTTGCTGCCAGCGCTTGAGATTGTACCACGTTTCGTCGACCGTCGAGCCGGCGAACGGCGGATAGCCGGCCAACGCCTCGAACAGCATGCACCCCAGGCTCCAGTAGTCGACGGTGAAGTCGTACTCGTCGCCTTTGAGCACCTCGGGTGCCATGTAGTCGGGGCTGCCGACGATGGATTTGGCGTAGTTGACGTCGCGCTCGCGAAGGCTGCGGTAGCCCTCACGACGTTCCTTGAGTGTGCGCTCTTCCATGGGTCGGCCGAAGGGGATGGCGGAAGCGGGCATCTTGCCCACTTCCTCCAATTTGATGCGCATGCTTTCGATCTTGGCCGGGGCGAGGAAGCCGGCAGCGAGGCCAAAGTCGGTGAGTTTGACATGCCCCGTGCCGTCGATCAGGAAGTTTTCAGGCTTCAGATCACGGTGGATGTAACCGAGACTGTGCAGGGCGTCGACGCAGAGGAACATCTCGGAGATGTAGAAGCGGGCGTGGCGGTTGTGGAGGACGCCAGTATTGTTGAGGAGAGTGCGGAAATCGCCACCTGGCACGTACTCCATGGCGAGGTAGATGCTGTTGTCGTCTTGAAAGGCGTAGAGGAGACGCACCAACCACTCACTCTTAGAAGTCGTCAGGATGTCGCGCTCGGTCAAGACGTGGCGGACCTCGTCGAGTTTGTAAAGCAGCTTCTTGCTCATCACCTTCAACGCGCAGATCTCACGCGTGTCCTTTTTGGAGGCCAGGTAAACTTGTCCATAGCCGCCTTGGCCGATCTGCGTGAGGATTTGAAAGTCGCCATGCTTCATTCTCGTTCGGCGCTGACGGACATTGGCGCGCTCGTGACCGAGATACTGCGTCCAGAGCTGGTTGTACTTCTCGACTTCCTCCTGAGACATGGAGGGAGTGGGGACGGGATTGTGCGCCTTGAAAGCTTGGAGACGATTCTGACGATTGTGGGTGTAGGAGAGCAGGTCGTAGTAGTAGTCGAGGAAGTAGAGCTGAGTGACATTGGCCAACCGCTTGACATTGGGCCTCGTCAGCTTCTCGATTTCCTCGGAAGTGAGTCGGCCGCCGAAAGTTGCTGGCTGGCGGGTGGGAGAATGATCTTCCCGCGCACGATAAGGCTCTTGTCTGCTGGCGGCGGCTTGTGTAAGGAGGCCCTTGTCTTGCTGCTGAGCAGGTCGATGAGTGGGCGGCGTGTTCTCTTTCCCTTGCTTGCGGAGGGGACTGCCGGGCGCAACAGCCTTGACATCCTGTTTGGCGAATGGATCTTGCTCGGCTTTGTTGATGGGAGACGCGGTGCCCTGCTGTTTGCTCTGCAGAGGCTTGGCGTTGCTCTGCCCACCGGGGAGGAGCTTCAACGCATTGGAGAAGACATCGGGCAGGTCGAAGGCGCCAGGCGGCAGCTTGTTCTTGCTTGGACTGCCCTGGGGAGTTTGTGCGGGCGAGATGAAGGCTTCGTGTTCCCGGCCAGGAGTCATTGGGGCTTCGTGGACATCGTTGGTGGAGCGAGTGTGGATGAGGGGAGGCAGCACGGGCATGGAGAAGTCTGGCTTGGGCGTGCTGGACGCCATTGCAGCAGTGGAGAGCGCAGTGAGCGGAGCAATCGAATGAGTGCTGGAGTGATCTGGTATGTTCGGGGTGATGTAACAGGAAGAGTGGGACTGTGGAGAGTGACGGCAGGGAAAAGCGTGGACGGGGTTGTCGTGTTGGCGTTGGCCTGGCGTTGCGGCCTGAAACGTGCCTCGCCAAAGCGAAGTCGTCTCCATGGCAACCCAACGCCAGAATAGAACGCCAAGCCTCCACTTCATTCACTTCAATCCACTATACGAGCGTTCAGGAGTTCTTTAAAGACAGACAAAGCTACATTCATTCATATCCCCTAAGGCACGTATGCAAACCCAGGACTCCTAGCGAACACGTCTATCCAGGAAATGAAAGCAGCGACACACCCAGTCCCATCCCATGCTAGAGCCCTCACAAGCAGCGCAAAGCACCCGCATCATATAGACAAAAAGACCGTTCATATGTACCAATCAACACCACGCCGTCAACTCTCATCACTGCCAGCTTGATGCCAATCGGGCTCACATCTCCTCCCTCATCTTACTCGGCCCGGCAGTAGGCGCCGGCATGTGGCCCGACTGACTACTCTCCACGCGCGTCAAGTACGACGCCGACGTAAAGTCGCGACTAGCTTCAAAACTCGGCCGCACGCGATCCATGCTCGACCGCACTCTGTCGAAACTCGGGCGGGGCCGATCAAAGCTCGGCCGCATCCGTTCGGACGCTGGAGTGGGCGGATAAGGATTGGAGTAGTTGCTGGTGGTCATGGTGAGGCCTATGGGCGCGGTGAGGTTGAGGTTGTTCGGCTCTGCCGCCGGCGTGGGCGGTTCAGTGCGGCCTCCCACGTATGGGAATGCGCGGTCGATGCTGTCTTGCCGCACGCCGCCTGTGTACCCGGTACTATCGCTGTTGTTTGCCGTGCGTGTGTTGTGTGTGGTGCTGGTGGGGGCGAGGGAAGGCGGGTAGATTGGTCTGGTGTCTTCCGCGAGCTCAACCTTCAGGCCTGAGCCAAGCGGCCGCCCACTGCCGTACTCTGTGCTACTTGCAGAGTCCGCGGTCAGCTTCTCCGGAGCAGGAGTGACGCTACCAGGGTCCACGTCGTTGAGGTAGTCGAATTTGCCTTGCTTGACTTGCTCGCGAACAATGTCGACATCGCGTGGGTAGTACATCTTTTGGAATGCCTTGGCCGTGAATCGCGGCGCAAGACACATGACGACTGCCAGCAGGAGGTTGCACCAGAAGGTCAGCGCGCCGTACACTTCGGGTGCCGCTTCGTAAAACGTAAAGCTGGACGTAAACGCGGTGTACGCTCCGGTCCACAAGAAGATGAGCAGGATCGAGATGACCGTGATCAGGACGAAGAACCAATCCCATCGGTACGTGTTAAGCAGGATGTACACGTTCACCACGATGACGACCGGGTGCGCAATGAAGACACCCAATCGCTGGTAGTCGCTGATGACGTGTCCGGACTCCGACAAGAAGTTTGCTGGCCGGAAGTTGAGGTATGCAAAGTAGTAGGCGATAACGGATTGGTAGAGACCATCGAACATGTAGATCCAGAACTTGGTCTGCGTCCATTCCTTGCGCTCGATGCCTCTGCGGTAAAGCTGGGGCACCGCTAGCGAGACTTTGTCCGATACGTCTTGGTCCAGAATGCCCATGAAAATGACGGGAAGCGACGTGAAGGCCAGGTTGTACAGCAAGATGTACGAATAGTCGAAAGCATACGAACAGTCGAAGTTGTCGTAGATCTGGTACCAGAAGAGCGCAAACGTCCAGACAATGTTCTATGACACGCGTTAGTCTCTGATGTCAACGGGGTCCAGCAACCCAACTCACCTTGTAAAAGAAGTTTGGAATCATCTCCGCCAATCTCCTGTAGCTCCATCGTCCATGCACCAGCATGAGTCTCGTCAAAAACCGGAACTGCCCTATAGCGTAGTCGGAGCTCATCACTGCCTGTCTGCCCTCTTCGCCAGCAATACCGACACCGACGTGCGCCTCTTGAATCATGGCAACATCGTTGGCACCATCGCCTATACTAAGAGTGATGACCTCCAGTCCGTGTTTGACGAGACGAACCACAGCAGCCTTCTGCGCCGGGCTGACTCGACAGCACAGCACCGACCGGCACTCCTTGCACAAGAGCAAGAACTTTTGCTTGAGACGGACGTCGAGCACCAACTTTAATGTGTCGCCATCAATGATAAGCGCGTGAGTGGGCGCCGGCGCTTCGTGATTCTGCTGTGCAGCCTTGAGCTCTTCGTCCGACCCGGTCTTGCCGAAAGACGCAAGGTGCTTGTCGAGTAATTCCTCGGCCTGGTCGAGATTGTCTTCTTCCGCCTTCAAAATGATCAGATCCATGTCGTTGTCGAGAAGGTTGCACGAGAACCCAATGTTGATCGCCGTCTCCACCTTGTCGCCAGTGAGCACCCAAAGCTTCACTCCCGCCTGTGCCAGGAGTTGGATTGCATCGGGCACTCCATCCTGCAATCGATCTTCGATGGCGGTGCCTCCCAGGAGCGTCAGATCGCGCTCGATCTTGTCGGCGACCGCGTCCAGCTTGTCATCACGATCCTGCACTGATTCAGCGGCCGCGTCGTGCTCAAGATTCCACTTCTGATATTCGTCCTCATCCAATTCGCGCTGCGCGATACACAGCGTGCGCAGGCCTTCTCTAGCGAACATCTCCAAGTGCTCGGCCGTTGTTTTGCGCAGCTCGGCCTGTTCGCCGCGCCGGAGGCGGGAGTAGATGATGCTGTCGGCGCCCTTGCATAGTAGAATAATTTTACCATTCGGCATGCGCACAATCGCGCTCATCCGTTTCCGAGTGGAGTTGAATTCGAGGGTGTTGAGAATGGTGAAGGTCCGTTCCTCGCCGTGGACGTTGACGAAGATTAGTTCATTCTCCCGTCCCATCACCGTAAAGCCGACATCTCGAGCCGTTGCAACAAGCGCCGCCTCGTCTGGACTCTGCGCTTTGAACTCGATCATTGGTGGATCGCCGGGCGTTCGCTCGGTGATGACGGAATGGCAGAGAGCGAGCGTGAGCATGAAATTCTCACACTTCTCTTTCTGTTCGTCGCCACCGTCCCCGCGCAAGTCGGCAACAAAATCCGGCGCGACGAACGTCATATCATCGTCTCTGAAATAAGGGTTGTCGTAGATATTTCGCAGGCCCTCGATGGTCGTCACTCGGTCACGCGCAATTTGTTCCCGTGCTTTCGCCCCTTCCTCCTCCACGTTGACGCCTTGTCGCTTGCGCATCCCGGCCAAGGCCTCGGTGTAGGCCTCGCCGTACGGTACGCCGTTGATGCTGCACTTCTTGAACTCCATCACATTCTGCGTCAGCGTACCGGTTTTGTCGGAGAAGACGTACTCAATCTGGCCGAGATCATCCGAGAGATTCCAGCTTTTAGGAGTGCAGGGGTAGTCGAGCTTCTCGTAGTACATGTAGACGTCGGAGTAGATGAAAAAGGCCTGAGCAGTGCGGATGATTTCGAGCGAGATGTACAGGGAGATGGGGATCAAGTCTTGGAACAAGACCATGGCCGCAAAGAACGTGATCAGGCCGTTGACGGCAGCGGTGCCGCCGTAAGATCCGAATTCGAAGTACTTGATGGAAGTGTTTGGTTTCGCCCAGGTCGTGCCCTCCACCAAACCCGCGGTGAGGCACATGCCGAAGAGGATCATGAAGTTGTAGATCACGTTCCAGTTCAGGTCCTTGGAGAGGAACGCGCGCTTGGAGGGGGTGATGCCCGAGTTGATCATAATTTTAGTTTCCTCGCCAGTGAAAGCAACGACCCCCAGGATCCACTCGGTGTTTCGAAGGGTGCAGCCACGGAGAAGCAGGTTATTGATGCCAATCGGTTCGGCCATCTCTTTGGGTGGCGCTTGCGGGTCCCTGGGATCGTACTGCTGCCATCTGACGACAGCGGAGTAGGCGTAAAGATTGGCGTGAGGCGGCTCTGACTCGATGGTAAACTCGGTTGCTTCACAATCTCGCGCTCGGCGGACCTTTCGTCCAGAATGGATCGCCGTTCGAACTTTCAGATTCGTTTCGCCGTCCAAATTCTTGGTTTCGATGTAGCACGCGCCGTCGGTCTCGCTTGTGGCCAAGACAATGATGTCGGCGGGGATGGGTTCCTCGTTGCGGAGTCTCACAAAGTCACCCACCTGGACATTCTTCCAGTAGTCCCTCTTGAAGCGCGCCTGTTCCGTCACCTCTTTGCGAGGGTTGATCAAGCTCCCGTAGTTCTTCTTCTTGGCGGGGCGGGGGGTTTGGCGCTCGCCCGTGCTGTCCTTGGGAATGTCGAGTGACTGAAGCGCATCGACATAATGAGAGGCACCACTAGTGCGCGAGTTCAACGCGGGAGACTGGACGGGGGTCATTTCCATGCCCTCATTGTCGTCATCGGGATCGGGTGCATAGTGGAGATCCTCGGACAACACGCTGCCTCTTCGCTCGTCTGCCGCAAGAGCTTTCTCCAGTTTCTGGTCCGGAACAAGATTGCTCGTTTGCTTCCTCATGTGCATTCTCTTGGTTTGTTTCATGCTTCGCCAGATCCACAGAACGGCGCGAGAGTTGGCCTTTTTGAATTTCCGCCACATACTTATCCGAGTTTCGACGGTGTTGACGTTGTCCCAGTCAGTGAGTCGATGGACAGGCGCGTTATTGAGCTCATTGTCCAGCGAGCTTCGCCGTGCATCTTCGATGCCGTCTTTGATAGCGGTGACGGTAAGGATGATGATCAGAGGCACGGCGGCGAGGCCGGGATTCGTGACGCCGAATATGGAGAAGATCTGGGAGGAGCGGGTTAGCGGAAGCCTCGCAATGGATGTGCTCGAGGAAGACATACTCCGAGAATGATGATGACGAAGAAGAAGATGTTGGCGATGTTGTGGAATTGGAGATACAAGTTCTTGGGGATGAAGGTGAGCGGCGTGTATTTGGCGGTGCGGATTTTATTGCGTGCAAACTGGTGGATGGGGTGGCCGTGCTCATCGCGTTCGCTGTCGGGTAGGGGCACGTTGAAGTAGATTCTTCGGCTGTCGGGCGACGGCGGATCGTCCTCACTGCCCTCGCCTTCCTCCTTGTAACTCATATCCTGCGCCTCCGTTCCCGGCAAGACATGCGAGCCCGAGCCATTCGACTCGCGTTTCGACTCTTCCCTGCCTCGCCGGCTGAGATGGCGATTGAAGATGGACTTGCGCTTATTCGCCGCGGAAGCGCCCTTGACTCGCTGCGTGGCCCATCTTAGTCGATTGGGCGGCATGGAGCGCTCGCGGGCTCCCTGTTGACTCGGCGTCGCCATGACTGCTGTTGTGCTGGGTGCAATCCACGCGATGGAAAAGCGAGTGTCTCATGCGCCGAGACACGCCCCTTGGTTTCCGTGGCTATCCGGCCTCGCGTAAGCCTCAGCGACTACTGTCGAGCGACATGAGCGGGCTGCTGGCGAGGAATTGGAGGTATCCCGGGGTCGCCGCAGCGCATGGAGCAGATGGAGGAGAAGAGGGGGGAGGAGGGGCGATGGTGGTGATTGGAGTGATGGACGGAAACAATCCCACGAGAGGGTGGAAGTTCAGGGTTCGGGCGGGTCTCAGTCGCGCTTCCCGAATTCGCTTTGCGCTCACGCCTGTTTCATAAACTCTAATTGCTGCTTAAAATCTACGCCATTTCAGCCCCCGAGCTGAACTTTGTGCACGAGGGGTGGGGTGGATGGCCTCGGAAACATGAATCATAGACATCGACGCAACTGCGGATGACGGCGGATTGTCCTACTGTCGCGTCCCATCAAAGACATTGATATAAGAGCATCACTGGAATCAGTGACGCGCCCCCTCGACATTCTCGGCATTCGCCTGCCCCGCCACGGCGTGGTGCTTACATACCAAGAAAATCACGGACTCCGGCGGGCACGGGTTTTAGGCTGGGGGGCAAATGTCCGTTCCCTTGATTTTGCATCATTTAGCGATCTCCGCTTCCGTGCCGAATCCCCTGTACATAGCCAAGTCTGAATGCCATGAAGAGGGTCAATGGCTGGCTATGTATGCAATGCCAGCTTCCTTTCAGACTCGCTACTAGTTCAACTCTTTGCAAGTGTCGTATGCTCGTTGCGACGTTGCCAGAGCCTGATTCGTGCCAAGCCGGGGCGTTTTCGTCCAAGGGGCGGGAGATCACCTCCACCCCGGAATTTTTCCGGGTAAATTTTTGCACAGTGATATGATCAATTCATCAAATCGGCGCATTAGAGTTCGCAGAGATCCCGCGTGGCACAATTGGCTAGCGCGTGAGACTTTTAAGCAAGGCTTGCCTTACTAGACATCTCAAGGTTGAGAGTTCGAGGTAGGCTGATAGTTCGTCCTTGCTGTGTTAGAACCTCCCCACTGACTCCCATCGTAGCCTCTCCGCGGGAGTTATGTTGGATTGCTACCAACCGTTCGCTCTGTTGTTTTGCTGCCTTGAAATCTTTTTGCTGTCCGGCAGCGAGGTACTCCTGCATATCGACTTTTTTGGTGGAGAGCGACGATGGCGCAGCGGCCTTTGCACAGCGCAGCTCGTTGAGGGAAGTACACATAGACAAGGTCACCGGAGTGATGAGTCGATTTCAAGTAGCGTTGCAGCGAGACTCGATGCCAGGATATCTGGGCTTGGACCAGCACTTCCATGTCAAGAGGTGTGACCTCGGCGCTGATGGTCAATCCCGGACCAGACGCCTCGAACTGTCAACCTCCGAGATGTCTAGTAAGGCAAGCCTTGCTTAAAAGCTCTGCAGTGATACGTCCTGGATGTCCTGAACGGTCGTGGTATATCATGGGGTTTGTCTTTTGGTTGCGATGGCGGTGACGATGTCTCGGTCCGGCCACCGGAGCCGTTGACGAGTAGAACGAACGCTCGAGTCTTCGAATTGGACAATGCTGCAATGGAAATCGATAAGATAGTCTGGTGTGTTGGGCTTCCTTATTGTGGCATCTCTTCCGTCATCAATCGAGTGTAGTCTCATTAGAGTTTGGAATCTTCTCGGCTGTTCTCATGTTTGCACTCGAGGAGGAAGGAGCGATGGGCAAGCTGGGTGGATTCCCCTCCTTCCGCATGCCGCGCGAGAATGCACGTAAGATGTCATCATGATTGTTTGTTTGCAATCTTCCTACACCCCTGTTGAAAGATATGCATCGCTAGACTACACCACGCTCGAACGCTGCATGCTTGGACCGAATCAACCAAACCCACTGTGCCTCACTTTCTGCTTGGGCCGCCACTGACGTCCATCGCCGTCAACCACCACATAAATGCAAATTGCACAACGTAGCTGTAGATGAAGAGGAACTGCGTCCGCCGACTTCGTTGCCCGCGAGCAATCGTCTGCATGCCCGGGCCACCAGACGAGTTGTCAGAAGGTAGTAGGACGTATTTCAGGCTCCGCAACTGTAACGGTATCATTAGCCATGCCATCCTCACTCTCCGATGGATGGACTATGCTCCAAGACTCACCAAAAAGAAGGCATTCGCCATAAAGGTATAAGCAAACACCGTCCACCCAATCCATCCTGTCCCACTGGCACTCTTGTCTTTGCCCACCGCGAAGACTGCACTCAACCCTACTGTCGTGATGACACCGACAAACTTGTAGCCGGAGTAGGCGACCAGGTCATAGATCTGGGATTCGGAGGAGATGTTCAAGAAGTAGCGGCCAAGCCAGAGCACGACGAGCTCGAGGAGGATGATGACGGAGGCGTTGGAGAAGGTAAGGCCGAGGAGTTGCGGTTCAAACTTGCCGTTCAGGCCGGCGATGAGCGTGGTGAGGAGGATATAAGTCACAAAAGCCATGGTGGGGATGTACATATCTGACATCGTCCCACACGATTAGTGATTGCCTTGCACATTCGCGGGGCAGCGAGGGCTTACCGGGAGAGTTGATGTCTTCTCGTGGGGGCAGAAACTCAGCACCCTGCCCATTCGAATTCATCCGGCCTTGCTGGCGACTCCAAGGCCGATGGCGCCAGGGGAAGAGGACAATGAAGAGCTTCTTCATGACATAGCCATTCGAGACATTGAAGTAGTGTTTGAGCGCGGAGACATTGACGTAGCGGTTGAACTAATGGTCCAGTTAGTTTCTGGTGAGTGTGATATGATCCTCCTCCTGATACGACATACGTTTTGCTCCACATAGTCCTGCCCAGCCTGGGCCATGTTCTGGCCTAGTTTCAAGCCCATCTGCGCGGTTGGGTCGTTGATGAAGCCGCCGAATGCGGGTTGCATGTAACCAGCCTGTCCTCCCTGCTGAGATTGGGGAGGGGATGATTGGTAGCCATAGCCACCTTGCTGGCTGTTTTGCGAAGAGGGCGGAGGGGGTGATCGCAGTTGGGGCACTGTCGATACATGCTGGGGGACGGGGTGGTGAAGGGGCGGGCTGTTGGCGGGCGGGATGGAGTACGCTGGGCGCTGCATCGTGAAGGAAGGGAGTCGGCGGTATTGCTGGTCTATTCGGGTGGACGCATAGGAGGGTGAAGTGGTATTGACTGCCTGGCGAGCATGTGAAGGTGAGGCTCATGAAATTCAAGGTACGCGCAGTAAATTAAGGGACAGCTTGCTGAACTTCACCGCCCGCTGCCGCGTGGAAATTCTGCCGTGAGGTCATCCCCGTCCGCCGCTTCACTCGAGATTCACCAGCTCCATCCTCTGAGCAGCACCGGCAACCTCATCACCACCGGCGTGCGGGCGCGTAGCATCAACCGAAGATGCTCGACGCCTTCGAGATCATCACCACCTCGGGCATTGTGCTGTGGCGCAAGCACTACACCCCCGTCTCCTCCAACGTCATCAACAGCCTCATCAACGATGTCTTTATTGAAGAGCGAGGCGGGCAGAAGGCTGGCGGACAAGACGGCGGCACCAACCCACCCTACAAGAAGGACAAGTACACACTGCGATGGACGACTGGGAAGGATCTTGGTCTGATATTTGTGGTGGGTAAGCGCCGCATCGAAAAGACAGGACTCGAGACGAAAGACGGTTGACACAAGTATAGGCCGTCTATCAAAGTCTGCTACACTTGAGCTGGGCGGACAGCCTCTTGACGGCCGTACGCGCACTGTTCATCAAGCAGTTTGCCCCTGAACTGAAGAACCCCAATGTCACGGCGATCGACGCCCGGCAATTCAACCAGACTTTCGATGCGCTGGTGAGAAGACTCGACACTGGCAGCACTCGCCGACCCAGTGAGCCAGACTCGGATGTTGGGCCTCCAGAGCTCACACCCCCGTCAAGTACCGTGTCAGCTGGCGAGGATGAACCTCCGCCACTGCCTGTCTCAGCTTCTGCCACATTCAAGAAGCCTGCCATTCCCGAGCGCCAGAAGGAAGACGTTGCTGTGATTGATGACACTACAAGTGCAGATGCAACTCCAGTCCCCACACCGGATACGTCAAGACCTGGAACTCCTGCAGGCCAGCCGGTTTCAGGGGTATTGGTTGCCAAAGGCGGACCGGGCAAGTTTTCCCGGCGTGCGCGGAAGGCAAACTCCTCCATGCTCAGCAATTCTGCCCCAGCTTCATCCGGAGACGAAAGCCCCGCGAGGAAGCCCAAGGGTGGCAAGACTTCTGTCAAGCAGAAGCGAAGATGGGACACGGATGGCGGGATCGTGGAAGGAGATGACGAGGTATTGGACTATAGCGCCTCCGGCCCGACGAGCGCGCCCGGCGAAGATGACAGAGATTTCGACCTGACCGATGTGAACGCGGATGAGATGGGTTCCCGCACGCGCAAAGGCGAGTTTGTGCTGAAAGACCTGGATGATGAAATTAACGCCATCCTCTCGTCTCAATCCACCTCACGAGCATCCAAGACGGACCCCTCCGCCGAATCTTCTGGTCTTCTCAGCTCCGCAAGTTCCAAGATCTCAGGTCTCTTCCGGAATGTTGTTGGAGGCAAGACTCTTTCCAAGGCCGACCTCCAACAACCTCTTCAACAAATGCAGACGCATCTGCTCGAAAAGAACGTGGCGCGAGAAGCCGCTGAGCGACTTTGCACCTCCGTTGAAACCGACCTACTCGATCAAAAGACCGCCTCCTTCACCTCCATCGACAAAACCATCCACGAAAGCATGTCGAAGGCCCTCACTCGTATCCTCACCCCCACCTCATCCCTCGATCTCTTGCGCAACATCAACAACACTATCACAGGCCCCACAAGCCGGCCATACGTCATCAGCATTGTCGGCGTCAACGGCGTTGGCAAAAGCACCAACCTCTCCAAAATCGCCTACTTCCTCCTCCAAAACAATTTCCGCGTCCTCGTCGTTGCAGCAGACACCTTCCGCTCCGGCGCCGTCGAGCAGTTGCGCGTGCACGTGCGCAATTTGAGCGAGCTTTCGCAGCGCGAGCAGGTTGGCACAGTGGAGCTGTTCGAGAAGGGCTACGGAAAGGATGCCGCGACTGTGGCGCGTGATGCCGTTACGTACGCAGGCACGGGCGAGGGCAAGCGATTCGACGTTGTTCTCATCGATACGGCGGGAAGGAGACATAACGACACGCGACTGATGAGCTCTTTGACAAAATTTGGACAGCTGGCGAACCCGGATAAGATTTTCATGGTGGGAGAAGCGCTCGTCGGCACGGACAGCGTGGCTCAGGCGAGGAACTTCGCAAAGGAGTTTGTCGATACGAAGGTTCGTTGTTGTGCTGCCATTATCCTGCTAAGCACTTGCTGATGTTTAATCTAGGGTCAATTGAGGAACAACGGTGTGGGTATGGATGGCTTCATCATCTCCAAGTGCGACACGGTGGGAGACATGGTGGGGACATTGGTCAGCATGGTGCATGCGACCGGCATTCCAGTCGTGTTCCTGGGCGTTGGACAGCATTATGGGGACTTGAGAGGCCTGAACGTCGGCTGGGCGGTGGACAAATTGATGCGGTGAGGATGCTCGATCTGGCACTTTGTCTATAGTGATGATACCAAGAGATGTCTATTGCCCTCCCACCCGATCCTCTTCCAAGCACCGGGGACACGCGCATTCAAAGCCCCAGATGGATTCCAATCTAGCCCTTCTCGCGAGCACGGTCAGGTGCTTCTCATCGCCGCCCAGGTACGTGATGCAGCACTGCTCGCCAACAGCAATGTCCCGCGCGGCACGAAACTCCCACATAGCGCCCACACGCTGCTTGGAGATGTTCGGCGAGCAGGAGTGGTTGAAGTAGCTGGCGGAGGGATAGACGCCGTAGCCGAGATATTCGTCGCCGTCGGCGGAACGGAGGCCGAAGGCGTTGTGGTTGGCGGTGCTGATGAGTGTGCGGCAGATGTTGCTCGTAAGGTGGTGGTCTGTCGTGAGATGCGGCAGGATTGCGGCGAGCTGGATGTAGCTGTTGACGTGTGCTTCGAGGTCGCGGTTGCTGGTGTAGGGCGTGGGGTCGGCGGCGAGGGGAAGCATTTCTGCTTCCCATGCGTTGGGGTTGTGATGCTGCAGAAGGAGGCCTGAGAGGAGGAAGCCGAGGATGTCGGGATCGATGTTCTGCGACGAGACCAACGGGTGACTTTTCTTCTTCGATGATGCGGTTTGCTGTTGCCGCATTTGGCCAACAGTCTTGTCGCCTTTTGACCAGGCGGCTTCGATTTCAATCGCATCTGGTCGCGCGCAGACCGTCGCAAATACATGGTCCTGGACAATCGTATTCGCTTTCAAAGCGACAAAGCCATACAATTTCTCCCACGCCTCAATAGCAAGCTCTCCCTGCTCGCTCATCCATGCGCTCTGACATTCTGGGCTGCAAAACACCTTGCCGGTCGATGCATGCTTTACGGGCAGCGTGCGGCCGAGATTGTAACGGAAGCATTGCGCGCAGACTTCTTTTCGGTATTGCCAGTGAACCACGTGCGCGGCTGGACCGTCGCTCTCGAGAAGTAGAGTTCCGGTCGGGATGGGCTGTTTGGCCAGTACTCCTCGCCCTGCGTTGGCAATTTCTTGGACGTGCACCAGGTTGGAAGTGATTTTGTACATTAGGCAGGAGGCGTGATTGGACGTGAGCTCAGCATCGCGTTCCAATTCGAGATCGCATGCCACTTTTTGCTGTTTCCCGCTGGCGGGCGTTGTCCCGAAGTGGTGGCCGTCTAGGCTAGCTGGTTGTGCCGTTACTGACTTCCGTCATCGTTCGAGGAGTGATCGAGATGCACCATTGAGCACCACACGCTGAATGTTGTTCAATGATCGACATATGCAATTGACGATCTGCGGTTCTGGAAGATGTGAAGATGGTGAAGGTCTTATTAAGCTCGCTTGGATCCCGCACGAGCCCTGGCCTGCCGCCTGCGGCGGGAACTCTAAGCCGGATTTAGCAACGCCTGAGACGAATCCGTCGTCATCTTGTATCACGACTCTCCAACACGACCATCACCCGCTTCCCTGGCCTGGCCCTCAAATAGTATCAGCGCATCCCTACAATACCCTCAGAGTCATCCTCAGAGCCTGCACCGTCCACGATGACTGACGCGCATCGGTAACACCCCCTCCAACCTAGACTCTCCGCGACCACAACACACCGCCATGATGCCCGGCCTCTCGCCCGGCGCCGGAGTCGCGCTGGGCATCATCGTCGGCCTCATCTCGACATGCGTGCAATCTATTGGTCTCACCTTGCAGCGCAAATCGCACATGCTCGAAGATGAGAAGGAGGATTCCGGCTTGCGACGCCCGCCCTACCGCAGACGGCGGTGGCAGATTGGAATGTCGCTCTTCCTCCTCGCCAACATCATCGGCAGCAGTATCCAGATCACCACCCTCCCTTTACCGCTCTTGAGCACGCTACAAGCCAGCGGGCTGGTGTTCAACTCCTTGCTTGCGACGCTGTTGCTGAAAGAGCCGTGGACGAGGAGGACTGCATATGGAACGATTCTGGTGGCGGGAGGAGCGGTGTTGATCAGCTTCTTCTCGGCGCTACCGGAGCCCAGTCATAGCCTGACACAACTGCTCGTACTGCTGCACGAAACCAGCTTCCTGGTCTGGTTCATCTTGTCAATGGTCTTTGCAGGCGGGGTACTGGTGACGGACTTCATCTTGCGCAAATGCGTGTCCGCGGCGGTCCGAGATCGCCCGAGGGTTCAGTTGATACGAGGCATGAGCTATGGGCTGCTCTCCGGAATACTGTCTGCACACGCACTTCTACTGGCGAAGAGCGCCGTGGAACTTATCGTGCGCAGTCTGACGGATAACGTCAACCAATTCCGAGGCTACCAATCCTGGCTGCTCCTTCTCGCATTCCTCGTGCTGGCCCTATCCCAACTCTACTATCTCCACCTCGGCCTCAAGCTCATCTCAACCAGCATCCTCTACCCCTTTGTGTTCTGCATTTACAACATCGTCGCCATCCTCGATGGCCTGATTTACTTTCGACAAATGGACCGACTACCGCCTCTCCACGCAGGCCTCATCGCTCTCGGAACGGTCATTCTTCTGTCAGGTGTTCTTGCATTGAGCTGGAGATTGCAAGATGATGAAGATGGAGACAAAGCACAAATGACGCAAGCCGAGATCCCGCAGACGCTGCTCACCCCCGGCTTGGGATTTGCTGCAGACCCTGATGATGGCGCAAGCGAATCGATCGTGCCTAGCGATGCCGACGACGAAGAGAGTGATACAGAGCGCAGCAGACTGTTGAGCAAACGACCGCAAAGCCGGACATCTAACAGGAGAGTCAGTGGAAGAGTAGGACGAAAGCGCGCCTCGACGCTCAAAGAAGTGTCGCAGATCTGGCATGAGCTCGTTGATGAGGATGACGAAGGATACAACACGTTTGACCCGCCCGCGAATGCGCCCGATGACGACGACGCAGCTCCTAATGGCCGCCCCGCGAGCACCGGTCGACAGCGGCAAAGACGACATCGCCGAATGAGCGCGGGGAGGAGTTTGGAGGCTGGGTCAGGGGAGGAGGGCAGCTCGGATGGGCCTCCTTTGCGATCTCGCACCGTGCCTGCGCCCGCTCTAAACCCGGATCTGGCGCGGAGGCGGAGGAGTGGTCATGAGGGGAATGCGCTGTTTTCGGAGCTTTGGAAGGAGTGGTGGAGGGCGCGGCGGAAGGATGATCGAGATGGCGATGAGGAGGACGAGGACGGAGATTCAGGTCGACCTTCTGCGGCCAATGGACGACCGACTAATGAGACCAGAAGGAGGAGCAGCAATTGAATTGAGTACAGGGATCAAACACATCATGAACCTGAATCTATACATTGCTCTGAAAACGTTTTCGATCATCGCATTGGCTGGACATAACGAAAAGTGCATTTCGCGTTTGGGAGAGCGAGTGTGCATGTGATCGACGAGTTCATCGTTCCTTCCTTGTTTGTCGTTTGTTGACTGAACACATTCACCCCTAGGCGCCTCACCCACCTTGCCCTAGTTTCCTGCAACCTCGCTCAAACATTCATTCGCACACTCATTTCCCCATATCATCACTCCCTCAATCTCCCTCTCCCTTGAAGCACCTACCGCCTTCAGCACAATGGAGCGACCCAATCCATTCGGTCAAGTCGCTCGAAGCTACAGGAAGTACGTGCTAGGCCTGGGAGACGAACCCGCGCAAGAGGTCACGGAGACGTTTGAGGTCGTCGACGAGTTGCCCGACGAGCTGAAAGGCGCCGAGAAGGAGCGTGAGCTATGCTACCCGGACTACTTGGACCACGACCACAAGAAGCAGTTCCCGCTTGCCGCTGTCCATAACCATGGAGGCCGGATGTATCGCGGCCACGACGTCCCGAGATTCCGGCTTGGAGTTGACAAGAATTCGAAGGAGATTGCAACGTGGCGGTTCGCTTTGATCTGCATTCGCGATGTCGACGAGGCCCAGCAGTCAGTTTTCGGGCATCCTTCACACCGATACAGACCAGAAGACTCTTCCGATGGGGATCTCCGTTTGGTCCAGTTCATGGTACACGGTGGTTCGCAGCGGCCATCGATCCACCTCAGGATCAATCGCGAGCGTGGTGAAGATGGAAAGCCCACCTCTGTCGTCTTCTGGAAGTGCTACGCCCACAGTTGCGTTCGCAACACTGATTCGGAACCCGCCATTGGCCTTGAGTTCGGGGTCAACGACGATGCCACTGTGCGCGAGGGCATGCCACAGGGATCGAGGCAACTCCGGGAGCTGGCGGGTGAGAACAGCATTTGGGCAACACACTTACTGCTCAACGATATCGACAAGCAGCCGACGACCGGCGCTACTGGGAGGCCGGTATGGAGAGGCATAACACCCGCCGAGATTGACCAGCTTGCAACAAGGGCGGCGGCTGGCGAAGACCTGACCGAAGCCGATCGCGCGATCGTGGCGTTGCATCGCACCAGCGCGGTCAGCATCTACACGTGGGTCGCGGCGGAGCAGGCAGAGTACTGTCGCCCGTTCTTTCAGTATATCCGGACCGTCTTCTTCGCGACTGCGACTATGGGTCCTTGGTGGTACTATCGCCTGGCGTCTCCGGAAGAGGACCTTGACAGCGCAAACTATCCATTCGAACAGATTCCGCCACCACGCTGGCTTGTCACTCGCTGGTCTGTGAAGCGGATTGGCGGCAAAGCAGTGGACGCCTCTCCTGTCGCGTGGAACAAACTCAGCACGATCCCTGATGGCATCTTCCCAGACCTGGACGGCCTGGCATTTGAAATGCGTCTAGGAGTTGCGCGAGAAGCGGACAAGGACGTGAGCAAATCCGCCGAATTGCGTGCTCTTTGCCGAGATCAAGCTGGCCGGTTTGCTTCTCTCGATGCTGTTGACACCTTCAAGGACAAGATCAATCTGCTCATGACTGGCGGTCGGCGATCATCTGTGCTGGAGATTTCCTCCATGAGCGCAAACGAAGCATCCGACATCTTCCGCGATGCGATTGTGGTGCGTCCTGTCGAAGTGCAGCGTCCTCTCCACCCTCGCATAGCCGACTTTCCAAACAGGGAGATCTACGACGGACAGTTGAAGATTGCGGAAGCAAACGATGTGGAGTCGGCGTTGCGGGAGTTGGTGGAGCATCTGCTGGAGCCTCTGCGGAACACAGGTTGGAACCGATCCCCAAGAATCGGCATTGATACCAGCGAGACGAAGAGCGAGCTTTTTGGCGACACCACGTCGTCAGTGAACGATGGCGAAGCTGCCTGGATCCTGGATACCGTGGTCGGGTTTGTCCTCGGCGGCGTGAACCCTGTGGACATTGTCATCATCAGTCCCTACTACGGCCAAAGGCGCCTGGTTTGGAAGCTTCTCCAAGATCAAGACAAGAGCACGGGCGCGAAGGAAGTGCGAGTTCTGTCCATCAGCGAAGCCGAAAGCCAACATGCCAAGATCGCCATTGTCAGCCTGGTCGCCAATGATCCGGACAAGATTGGATATATCTGCCATCCGCACGACCTTTGCGTGGAGATCACCCGTGGGAGCGACTACCTTTTCATCCTCGGCAGCTTCGGCAAATGGGCCAAGGTGCTCCAAGGACTGGCAGTTAAGCCGTTGCATTACAGAGCGAACGCCCTGTTCCGGCACCTGATTTTAGGGCTATTTGCCAAGAAGGAAGTCATTACTTTGCAAGACTGGAACGATGTGATGAAATAGGGGAAGAATGAAAGGGCGCTTAGCTGTGACAACGACTGAATGGGCTGGACGATTGTGCTTGGTGTGCTGCAAGGTGGGGAATGAGCGGGTGTGCTAAAGGACGACTCGGGGGCTGATGGAGGTCTCCGTGGGCTCTCAAAGACGGGCGCAAAGACCGTGGCAGTGGCTCTTGTGGAGTAGAGAGGTTTGAACTGGATATCGGACTGAGCAACCGTAGTTATCGTCGAAGAAATCGCTGCAAGTCACAACTCGTCTTTGTCCAGTCACGTAGTCCAGGACCTGCGGTGTAGCAACTCCGTTTTCGGTGCGGTTGCATCGCCGAGCCAGTCGCAGTGCGGAGGGAAAGTTTGGCGAGAGGCGTCCAGTCCCTCCCGCCCGCCGTCTGCCTACCTACTACGTAACGGACGATCTGGAATCTCCTCACCCACCCTTCGTCGCCGCCTGTCTTCAAATCACTCACCACCTGCTCTCATGATTTGCGTCATCCTACGAGAGGCAACGACATAGCCTCACCTCCCCTGTGCTCATAGAGACGGGCAGCCCGCCGTCGACGCTCAACGCATCCCCGATCGGTTACGTCGCGAGTCTGAAACATCAACACCCCCCATCCCTCGAATCCCTCGAGACCGACCATTTTGTCGCCATCCCCTTCCGACAGACTCAACATCGCCTGCGAGCGAGTGTGTAACTGAATGACAACCCGCTCTCGCGCTCACCGCCGGCCGATGGCGTATCACGGGCCATACTATGGCTCTCATCTGTCTACCCTCACGACATCTTACATCCCATCACACCCCACCTCCAGCGCATCATCACATCACATCTACGAGTTAAGAATAGAGGACAGCTGGAAAGCATGGCAGGACGGAGGAGCCGGCGACCCCGGACTGGGCTCCACGGGCAAGGGCATCCTCATCGGCATGCTGTCCGCCTTCGGCTCGGCAGCATTGGTGGCCGCGATCATCGCCCTCGTCTATTTCTTCCGCCACACCACCCGGGGACGGATATTGTTGGACCGGATTGGCCGGCCAGGAGAGTACGATGATGAACAGCAGCAACTGCGAGAGGAAGAGGAGGCAGTGGCGGAGATGGACGAGTCACAGCGGGCGGAATGGTCAAGAGCGAAAGGTGGGTGGTATGCCTGGTGCAAGTACTTGAACACCGCTGACTGATTGCCCAGCCTTTGTCCAGCACAATCCTCCCGAGTCGATGCACACTGATATCTCCTTGTCACAATTTCTAGCCATTCAAGAGAAGGGGGTATCAGCGTGGGAATTCGAGCCCGAACTGGAGATTGCCAATTGCTTTGTGGAGGCACGGACGGAGATTGAATTCTTTGACTCGGAATGCAGCGTGCAGAGCAACCTACCCATTCCGAAACAGAATGAGGTATACTATTGGGAGGCCAAGCTCTACGACAAGCCGGAAACGACCTTGGTCAGCATCGGATTGACAACGAAACCCTATCCGCTCTTCAGACTCCCAGGCCTACACAAGTTCTCCCTTGCGTACTCCTCGACTGGCCAAAGGCGATACAACCAGCCGTTCACCGGGACAAACTATGGCCCTGCCTTTGTGCAGGGTGACATTGTGGGTGTGGGTTATCGACCTCGCACAGGCACCATCTTCTTCACCAGGAACGGCAAGAAACTCGACGATGTGGCACACGGCTTGAAATCGCAGAACTTCTTCCCCACCGTGGGAGCAGACGGCCCATGCAATGTGCACGTCAACTTCGGGCAGGCAGGGTTTGTCTTCATCGAAGCGAATGTGAAGAAGTGGGGCCTGGCTCCCATGACCGGCAGTCTCGCGCCACCGCCTCCTTACGGCAGCGAAGCAGGTAGTATACTGCTGGAAGGCGGGCCAGAAAGCGTCCGAGACGGCCATAACTTCACCACTCCTACGCATGGCCGGACGAGTAGTGCGCAGATCCGACTTGGACGAGGTCCGCCAGCACGGAGTCCGGGACCCGAACGTTCGCCGACGGACATTTCCCTGGCGCAGCTGAATTTCACGGACTACGCGCGACAAGAAGAGTATGATGATGCGGGTGAGGGGACGAGCGAGGCGGCGCAGGGCAGCCAGCAAGCCACGGATGCTCCGCCGCCAGATTATGAGAGTCCGGAGGAAGAGAGATATGAGTCAGATGATGATACCACGCCCAGAGCATCGCAGGACCAGGAAAGCGGGGAGCAGCAGCCGTTGCTGAGTCCGCCGATACCAAGCTACGAGGCTGCGATAGGCGATGAGAGAACAGGGAGAGGACGGTAAAAGTCGTAGGCGGAAGTTTGTCACGACGGACGTTTCTGGCGTTCTGCAGGGTGCAAAAGCTATGCTTGTTCGGGGCTCTGTAGTCACGGCGGCTGGCTGGAGTATACCCATGGATTGATGATGTATATGAGTGCTCAACGCCTTTACGGAGGCGACCTAGAAATGAAACGCTTTCTCTGTCATTCATCCGTCTGAGCACGTGAGCTGGGGTTTTCATGCCTTGTGGCAAGGGTACGGGGAAATACTGGTACATTTGGCGTTGTAGCTCGCAGCATGACGTAGCATTTGCCCATGAGCCGACCTCATCAGAACAACCGTGTGACTTGAATGTGATCTGGAGAAACCGACGAAGCAATGGCCTCTAAACTCACACCACTGAAAGAGCTCAAAGTCCTACAATTTCAGATCCCCAGCCACGGTCTCGTACCCAATACATCCATCCAGAACAAGCCTCTCCTCATCTACAAATCCGCCTTTCCCCCCTCCAGCATCAACGCCTCGCAGATCGAGTCCCATCTTACCTCCGTTGGAGTGGTGACGCCGCAATGGAGATACTCGATGTACCCCTTTGATCATTTCCACAGCACCTCGCACGAAGTCCTAGGCATTGCGGCTGGTAAGGCGAGGCTGTGTTTTGGGCATGCGGAGAATCCTAAGCGTGTCGAGGAGGTGCTGGAGAAGGGGGATGTGGTTGTCTTGCCTGCTGGAGTGTCGCATCGGCTTTTGAAGGACGAGGATGGCGGGTTTGAGATGGTGGGGTGTTATCCTAGGGGGTGTAATTGGGATATGGTGGGTTCATATGTTCGTTCCTTGCCTGCGGAGGAGCTTGCTGATTTGAAGATTTAGTGCTATGGGAAGAAGGGCGAGGAGAAACAGGTTGAGAGTATCAAAGGCCTTCCTTGGTTTACGAAGGATCCAGTGTATGGTGATGATGGACCGGCATTGAACGTATAGGCGTAGTTTGCCTTACTAGAGAGGTGGATAGACCTACATGCCATCTTCATCCGGGAGAAAGACGCTGGCCAGTCGACAACGTACGCGTAGAAGTCTCTTCGCACGCGTCCAACTTATCTCTCGGGCACAAACTCCCTAAACACCTCTGGACATGAAGGTGAATGTCGGCACGTGGTGGTTGTGAGAGGTGACTTGATGGAGCACGCTGATTGGCTCGGAAGTTCTTCGGGGGCCTAGAGGGTCGTGACTGCCTCGTCGATCAACACCCTGCCGTCACACCAGCCTGCACTCACCCGTTTCCTCTCCCGATCCACCTACGTGCTACATCTTCTTTCTTCAGAGGTTGCAGTGCCCTCTTTTTCTTCTTAGCATCCGCGTGTTGACTTGCGCGCTTCTCTCTACCCGCCCGCAACCTACCTGCGGCAGTGGACTGAACAAAGCGGCCGGCCACGCCACTATCACCCTTCGATATCACTACCCCTCCCATCAACCCACCAACACGCAACCCTCTCAGCCCATACCGTCAGCTTCCATCACCCAACACAGCTGCCTGACGCCGTCGAACCCTCCCGCACCCCCGCCATCATGTCGAAAACGAGCAGTGCGGCACGCCCGCCACCACCCATGCCCACGTCAAAAGATGACATCGTCAACACCTGGAATTACCTCGAGTGGGGAGTGGACCGGCTCATGTACAGCCTCAAGGATGGCGTGGATCTCAAGACGTACATGTCCCTCTACACCTCCATCCACAACTTCTGTACCGCGCAAAAGGCCGTCACCCAGCACACCAGCCTCAGCAGCAACCACCGAGGCGCTCACTTGCTTGGTGAGGAGCTGTACCATCGCCTCAACGACTACCTGAAGCGTCATCTGGCCGGTGTCCACTCCGAGATGGTCAAGCACTCCGACGAGGCCCTCCTCACATTCTACATCAAAGAGTGGAAGCGGTATACCACCGCCGGCACGTACAACAACCATCTCTTCAAATACCTCAACCGCCACTGGGTGAAGCGAGAGATGGACGAGGGAAAGAAGGACATCTACGACATCTACACCCTCCACCTGGTGCGGTGGAAGGATGACATGTTTGGCACGACGCAGAATGCCGTCATGGGTGCTGTTCTGCGCCTCGTGGAGAAGCTGAGGAACGGGGAGACGATTGAACACTCCAAGGTCAAGGATGTCGTGGCCTCCTTCGTTTCCTTGGGCATCGATGAAGCCGACAGCACCAAGCCGACTCTGGATGTGTACCGGCTGTGCTTCGAGAAGCCATACCTGGAAGCGACGTCAAAGTACTACGAAGCCGAGTCAGCACAGTTCCTCGCCGAGAATTCCGTCGTCGACTACATGAAGAAGGCAGAGAAGAGGCTGGATGAGGAGAAGGAGCGCGTGTCTTTGTTCTTACTGCAAGAGATCATGCAGCCGTTGATGAAGACCTGCGAACAAGCACTCATCGCCAAGCACGCCGGTGTCATGCGTGACGAATTTCAAGTCCTCCTCGACAACGACCGTGAGGAAGACATGGCTCGCATGTACAAGCTGCTTGCTCGCATTCCCGAAGGTCTCGATCCTCTCCGATCTCGCTTCGAAGCTCACGTGCGTCGTGCGGGCCATCTCGCGGTGGAGAAGGTGGCAGATCAAGGCGACAACCTCGACCCCAAAGCCTATGTCGACGCGCTCCTGGAGGTGCATGCACAGTATGCTGCGCTGGTCAAGAACGCCTTCACAGGGGAGTCAGAGTTCGTTCGATCGCTGGACAATGCATGCCGCGAGTACGTCAACCGCAACAAAGTCACGCAGAAGAACTCCACGCGGTCTCCAGAGCTCCTGGCCAAGCATGCAGACAATGTGCTCAAGAGGTCGACCAAGGCCACCGAGGAAGACGACATGGAGCAGATGCTGAACCAGGTCATGACCGTCTTCAAATACATCGAAGACAAAGACGTCTTCCAGAAGTTCTATTCCAAGACCCTTGCCAAGCGCCTCGTCAACGGCACCTCTGCCTCTCCCGATGCCGAGACGTCGATGATTTCCAAGTTGAAGGATGCTTCCGGCTTCGAATACACCAACAAGCTGCAGCGTATGTTCCAAGACATGCAGACTTCCAAAGATCTCAACCAGGCGTACGATGAATGGCGTAACGAGCACATCGACGCCGAGGATCGCAAGAATGACATTGATGCCTACTACCAAGTCCTCGGCACCGGTTTCTGGCCGCTGCAACCGCCGGGCACGACCTTTGTCCCGCCGAATGAGATTGTCAAGACGTACGAGCGCTTCCAGACCTTCTACTCTAACAAACATGCGGGTCGGAAGCTCACATGGCTTTGGCACTTGTGCAAGGGTGAGATCCGCGCGAACTACGTGAAGATGGGCAAGGTTCCCTACACCTTCCAGGTCTCGACATACCAGATGGCGATTCTGCTGATGTTCAATGATTCGGACACTGTGAGCTACGACGATATCGCGAATGTGACGATGCTGCAGAAGGAGACGCTCGATCCGTCGCTGGGCATCATGCTCAAGGCCAAGGTGCTCACCGCCAAGCCTGACGGCGCGCCGGCTCAGTCGGGCACGTCGTACACACTCAACCACGACTTCAAGAACAAGAAGGTCAAGGTGAACTTGAACGTGGCGATCAAGGCGGAGCAGAAGCAGGAAGCGGAAGACACGCACAAGACGATTGAAGAGGACCGCAAGATGTTGATGCAGGTGAGTGAAGTTGCTGTCGTATCGATTATCTCCAATTTATTCCGACTAACCACGATCCTGCAGTCTGCCATCGTTCGCATCATGAAGTCTCGCAAACAAATAAAGCATGCCCAGCTCGTCAGCGAGACCATTGCGCAGATTCGGAGTCGCTTCAGCCCGAAAGTGCCGGATATCAAGAAGTGCATCGACATTCTGCTGGAGAAGGAGTATCTGGAGCGGCTGGAGGGTGATGAGTTGGGCTATCTGGCTTAGAGTGGACACTCTCTACCTTTTCGCGATGAGCCATGTGGCATGACGGGCGAGAAGACGGGCGAGAAGTCGGGGCATGCATTACGACAGAGTCCATTTCGTTCAATGAATGGATCTCATACGATGGTGGTGGACGGGGATCGGTTGCACTTCTTAGCATGGCGTAGGCGTTTCGTGGGCGCTGGAGCTATTATGGGCTCGCCGCGGCGGAACGGTGCGAGGTCTAGATTAGGCAGTGCATGTGTATAAACGTCGGTCGTTCGAAATGATCTCGTGTCATATTCTTGACAAGTGAAGTTTGCAAGTGAATGTGAGCCGGTATTAGGCGGAGTTTAGCTTCCCCACAATTGGTTGTTTGTCTCTTTTGTCGTTCGTGGTCACTTTTTATTCCTCAACTTCAGACCACTCCTCCCTCCTCAACCTCTCACCAACACTCAACAGCACGATCCATGCCACCATGGCATCCTCCGACACGTACTTTCTGGCCCACCCAACCTCCACCTCCTCCTACGCCATCCCCGCGCCACCTCGCATCGTGGTGCCCCCACCAGCACTCACCCACGACAACCGGCCCGACATCCCGCTGACCAGCATCGTGCCCTCCGCCCTCGATTCCATCTTCGACCTTCGCAACCTCCTCCAGTACAACCCCGTGTTCGAATGGACGTACGAGCGGCGCCGCGACGCACAGCTCATCCTGCCCTACCTCTACCTAGGCCCGATGACGGCGGCGAAGGACGAAGAATGGCTGAAAAGAGAAGGAATCACCGCCATCCTCGCCGTGCGGCAGAAGGGTGCGTTTGAGAGCAAACTCATGAACAGCGCGCTGCGCAAAGCGGAGGCCTTGGGGCTGCAATTCCAGGCTCTCGACGTCGCAGGCCACGCGGAGCTCATTCAGCTCTTCCCGCAGACTACGCAGTGGATCCATCAGCACGTCACGAGCGTCTACGAGCAGTACCAAGCGATGGGAAAGGTGCTGGTGTTTTGCGAAAGCGGGAATGAGCGTTCGGCGGGCGTCGTCGCGGCGTACCTCATGGAGACGCACGTGGATGTGGATTACATCAAGGCGATGCAGTTTGTCCAGGCGCAGCGGTTCTGCGTCAACTTTGACGATGGCATGAAGAGGTTGCTGCAGGGGTATTGGGACATTTTGTGTGCGAGGCGTGCGGTCGCTGCTTCTGCTGCTGCGGCGGAGCAGAATGGGGAAGGAGGAGAGGATGTGATGAGTGGGGTGGTGCAGAATGGTCAGTCGAGAGGGAAGCGGGCGTTGGAGCATGATGGAGAGGGGGATGAAATGGTTGATGGGGACGATACTGCGGACATGGCGAGGTTTGACGGAAGGTCTTTTGCACCATTCGTCGATCTGGAGTTCTAGAGGTGGAGCTCAAGACACGGCAGGGAGTGACTTTACGACATGGCATAGCGGGAAACGGAAAGGGAAGCATGGCAGGCGCATGAGGCATTTGCTTTTATGATACCCAATGCTTCTACACGGCTGGCTGGTGTTGATTTAGCGAGGCGTTGGAACGGATTGCTCATGAAGAGCAGCGGCAAGTCATTCACTTGCAGCAGTTAGCAGCGTAGCGAAATGCATTGTTCTTACGACTATTCGAGTAGGAATTCAAGAACTCCTCATTCCGATTTGGCGGATGTGAAGCAAAGGCCATGACGTTGGCGGGACATATTTGGCTGAGGTGGACATATTTCCCAGCACGTGAAGACAGATGACGCCAAACTCGATTGGGGCAAGGTCGATCAGGCACGGAAAGTGTAACCGGGGAGCCGACAATGATGAGGTCGTCGACTTTCCCAAGCGGTTGGCAGCATCCACCCAAAGAGCGTGTAGGTATTTAGTGGGAAAAGGCGCGTGCCTTTCCCGCTAAACATGCCCTCACGCGTCTACACTCTTCACAATGCAGCCGTGGGCCCTCGTATCGCCCGCTTCTCGCGGCATTGGCCTGGAGTTTGCTCGCCGCCTTCTATTGACGACAAAGGTGCCGGTCGTTGCGACTGCTCGGACGGATTTGGATCAGACGAGGGAGAGGGTGCTTGAGGGGTTGAAGGATGTGAAAGAGGAGCGGCTGAATGTGCTGAAGGTTGATTTCCTCGGTGAGTCGTCCAGATTTACGAAGGCAATGGGTGTCTCTGTGCTCCAGGTTCAAGATAGCTAATGCCACTCTACAGACGAGGACTCAATCGCAGAAGCAAAGCGCAAGGTATCCGAACTCTTCCCGCCCAAAGAGCACTACCTCCACCTCGGCCTTTGCATCCCCGGCATCCTCTTCCCCGAGAAATCACCCGACCAGATCAACCACGACAATGCGTTGCTCAGCTTCCGCGTCAACACCATCGGTCCCATGCTGCTGACCAAGCACTTCTGGTCCTTTCTGCCGCGCAAAGGCTCCGGCAACAACGAGCAGCCATCCGGTCTGCCGGCCAGCGCCATCTGGGCGAACATGAGTGCGCGCGTCGGCTCGATTAGCGACAACAATGCGCAGGGCGGGTGGTTCTCGTATCGCTCGTCGAAAGCGGCGGTCACGCAGTTGTCGAAGAGTTTCGATAATTACCTGCGCCTCACGATGAAGGACAATGCGATGTGTGTTGCTATGCATCCTGGGACGGTGAAGACGGGATTGAGCGAGGGGTTTTGGGAGACGACGGCGGAGGGGAAGCTGTTTTCGCCGGAGTACTCGGTGGAGAAGCTGATGGAGATGCTGAACTCGCGGACGATGGAGCATCGGGGGAAATGTTGGGATTACAAGGGGGACGAGGTTCCTCCTTGATAACATGACTATGAGATGTACTTGATCGATGAACAATGTTCAAATGTTTTTGTTGAAACTCCACTCCACTCTATTCTAATGTCCTATTTTCCTCGGCGCCATCTGAATGTGGATGCATGGATGTGTGTATGCCGTCCCTCACGACTGCTTGTTCAGCTCGTGCGAGCGCTTCTTCAACTCCTCCTTGCTCTCGGCGGCCGGCATGTTCTGGACGATGGCGGGGCCCGGGTTGGCCTGGTGGTGCTCGATGCTCGCCTTCTCCTTGTCGGTGTCGTGAAGCGGGTGGTTGGAGGCGGTGGAGGATTCCGACTCTTTGGCGACCTGGTCGGTCAAGTCTGGGGGGTCGTTAGTTGAAGGGAAATCGGATGGAGTGGATGGGTATCGACTTACTGCCGTGAGTCTCTTCTTCTTTGCGCTGGACGGGCATATTGGGTGGTATGGTGTGATGTGGATTCGTTTAATTGTTGATTGTCGGATGGGCAGAAGTTGAAAAGGGAATAGTTTTTGAAGAGCACGTGGCGTGGGCAATCAAGTTCCAGGTTTCAGGCGTGGACTTCTGCATCATCGAGTGGAGGGACGGGGTGGGGCGGAAGGGGATGACGTGCAGCTGCCTTGCTGCCTGCGCGCGAATACCCTTGGCTTTATGTCTCCATTTTCCAGCCTGAGGCCTCCATCCATCATTCATCACGTTTCTCGAAACTTCACTTCATCTCCTCGTCCGATCGCAGTGAGCATTGGCGATCCAAAGATGGCATTGGCATCTCGAAATAGCTCCATGCTCATCCCGCAATCTCCAAACTCATTGTACCATGGTCATGGCCTTCGCGACGATGGTCTTGCTGCGCCACGGGCAACATCCTGCTTACCGCTTTCGGCCAGCTGCTCTGTTGCTTGGCCTCACTCCATCAAGCACATTTGTATCATAGAGGGTAGGTACAAATAGCACCCGATCTCTGCTTCTATTTCTCCTCTCTCATTTTTAATTGTTCGTGAAATCATACCTTCGTTATTTCTACACTCGGTTCTGCCATCCTCTCTACCCGCAATCATCCTTCTCCACCACTAAAATGAGAACCAACATGGCTTCCAACGAGCCAATCGCCGCGACTGGCAATATCCGAAACCAATATCATCGCCCTACCTCATCACAAGGCCTTCAAGTACGTCCGGTCGAAAATGATGGAAAAGAACTCGTCTCCGTCGAGTTTTTGCCTGCCGAAAGCAATTCCTTCATGATTTCTACATCCGACGGCATCGAAGCCGTCCAGCATTCTGACGAAAAAGAAGTCAAGCACCGGCCACGATCCATCGCAGAGAACGCGCCCACCCCTGTGTACTCCTCCGGCCCCGCAAGAGACCTGATGAACGACATCAAAGGCCCTCCCCCCTCGTATGACACTCTCACCACCCCTACTCGCTCCATCAGCGATGACAGCTTGACGAGACCACTTTCCCTCCAAACAGACGAATCCTCGCTCTCTCCCCGCCCAGAAGACAAATCAGCCCTCGGGCAACTGCTCTCCTGGATCCCTGCTGCGCCCTCTGTCCATCCAACTCAAATGCCTCCCCTCTCCCAACCCATCATCATCCCTCAAATCGACGTCCCCCCACAAGGCGAAAGCGTCCCTTTCGCCCGCTGCTACACCGACGCCCTCGCCTCCCACAGCATTCCCATGCGCGAGTTCCTCGCCTTCCTCGACGGCCTCGCAGTGGCCCAAAGCCCCAACGCTACCCTACAAGGCGTGCGAATGTTTGGCGCGGGTGCCTCCCACGTCCCTATCCCCTTTATCCCGCTTGCAGCAAAAGGCCTCCGCGCCCTCGCCTCTACCGGCTCAGGCCATTCCGGCAGCCGCGCGAGACTCTACCTCGAGCGCGCCAAAAGCGACTACTTCGCCCCCCGCGGCCTCCGCGTCACCGTCGTCAAAGACAGCGATCTCAACTTCCGCCTGCAAGTCCCGCCTCACGCTCCCCGTCTGGCTCCCTTGACGAAAGCCACCGTCTCGAATACCCTCTGCGAGCGTCGGCTCGAGGGCACCGCGCCGTATGTCTCCCCGCTGCGCTACAACGTACCCCCCGAAGACGAGCAACTGGCAGGCGTGCACCGTCTGGCACGCAAACACCTCCAACGCCAAATAAAGCGAGACGCCAACTTGCTCGCCGACCTGCGGCACGAGCAATGGCTTGACGTTTCCTCAGCCGGGCCTAATCAGCAAGAATGGGACGCACGGTACGCGGCGAAGATGGCGGAGTTGCGCCATTGCCAAACGAGTCTCGCCCAAGGACTCGGAGCTTCAGGGGATAGCAAGGAGGGTGCACAGCAGTTGGCGCAGCTGCAGCGCGATGTGCAGATTCTCGTTTCGGAGAGGCAGGTCATGATGCAGAACCTGGGCCGGGCGGTCACGGCGGAGATGGAGGAGGATAATTGGAGTCGGCGGTTGAAGTGGATTGTAATTGAGAATTTGGAGTAGCCTTGGTAAAGGAGGATTGATGCGACCGACGACTGTAACGAATGAAACGAAATGAATCATTTAGATCACGACATGAAACGGCAGTCATAATTGCTATCCACCGTCAATCTTGCTACGCTAATCACGACGAAGGAGGAGTACAGCCATTGTATACACCAAGTGACAGGCCGAGATCAGGGCCTCCACCAAGATCGAATACGTCAACGCTGCCGAACTGGCAACTGCCGGTATTACCATCGTAATAGAATCCACTGCACGATACATCATTGACGTAGTAGGCCTCACAATCGGACATGCAGGCTTCAAGGGTCGAAACGGTGGTGGTGTTGTACGCGTTCCATTCGATAGTGCCGGAGTGGTCGCAGGTGACGTCCAAAGCGTAGTAACCACCAGGCAGCTCATCGCAGCCGGGGGTACAGCTGGCCAGGCATCCTTCAGAGGTAGTCGTGGTCGGGCCTCCGTCGACGGTGGCCGTGGCTTGTTCGTCCGTGATTGTTGTGCCTTGTACGGACACTGTAGTCACGGTGTTGGTGGACAACGTGCTTGTGGCGGTAACGGTGTCGATCGTGGCAGCTTCCGCGTCGCTTGTCGCCGTGATCAATGAGGTGGAGGACACGGTGACTGTCGCCGTGTTCGTGACGCATGGCTTCGCCGTTTCGATGCAAGAGCACGCGGTGCTGACGAATGCTGAGGCTTCCGAACTGAGCTTCGACAACAGACTCGCCTGAGGGTTGGTCGTAGGCGCGGCGGTCGTTGTTGTGCTCTTTGGTGTCGATGTTGTGCTCTTTAGTGTCGTTGCTGTGGTCTTCGGTGATTTTGTCTTGGTCTTCCGTACAGGTTTGCGAGGAAGGTGCTTCTCTCTCCACTCACGGTCTCGCTCAAGAAGGGAGTCGCCAGCAACGTGCGGCTCACGTCCTCGCAAACGCTTGCTGAGACTTCGCTTATTCTGCAGAGGAGCCTAGGAGCAACGGTCAGGTTAGTTTCCATTCCTCTAATCAGATGTACGCGATGGACTCACGTCGCCGGCCACCGTGCAGATGGTGCTCGTAGTTCCGTACGTCGTCGTAGTGGACGTTCCAGTCGTGCTCGTTATCGTGGTCACGCCGGTGGTTACAGACGCTTCATGACACGCTAGATCAGCCTTTGCGCATACCTAAAGTGTCGGAAGTTGACTTACCCGTCGAAATGGAAGTAACGACGGTCGAAGTCACCGTACCCGCGGTCGCCGTCGTTGTAATCGTACCTGGCCGGTCAGTGTTAGGTGGAGACGGCGATGCAAGGGGGACTTATCACAGACCTGTGGTAACAGTCACAGTCGCGACGGTCGACGACGCGATCGTCGTGGAACTAGTAGTGATTGTAGTAGAGCATGGCGTCAGAGGGAATCTGGAGGAGCAAAACGCCTCGGCCGGCGCGTAATTGGAGAGCGGCAATAGTTCAGCGTATGGGAACTGCGAACAGACGTTGCTTGCCACTGCGACTGCAGCAAGGGAGACAAGTAGCGGAAGTAGACGAAACATCATCGCGAGTATTGGAGTAGGCAACGTAGCATGCCTCATGTGAAAAGTCAAGGAGAGACATTGCTTTATATCCCCTGGAATTGCAGCCGTTCAACCACCCACCACCCTGCATACACTGAGGAATGCAGCACTGAGCCCAATGTGGCAGCTACCGCAAATTGTGGCTGCGGTGCAGCTCGTATTGCTGCAGGGAGATGCCATCCGCCCCGCGCATTAAAGCCAACGATATTGGCAAAAGACGGGAAGCTGATGCGCGACGAGCAGTTACAGACGCCTTGAGTGCAATCAAGTACGGCTGTTTCAGTCGATATAGAACACCATGTTCGAGCAAAAACGTCCTGTCACAGCGACAGCGTCGTCGACATAGCAGTCCATCCCCTGAATTCAAATCAGGCGCTGATGGTGTTGTGCAATGAACACGACATGTATCCTACAGTGGACATTCATGCATGAACACGAGGAAGGATCGAGTTGAACGATAGAACATGCGTATGATCATCACCACTGTGTTCTAGACTGGCACCGAGATGCACGAAACACGAGTTTGTGCAAAGGCAAACGGCCTGGTCGTCCATATCGTCCAGATCGCGCCGAGGCTGCGGCAAAGATCGGATCTGTGCCGGTCCATGATTGGTGGCCTTGTGCATTAGCGTGTACATGAAGAGCCTGTGCAACTTCCACAAAAGTGCTTGATTCACCTGGCTTGCCGTTTTGCCGTCTTGCCGTTGAGGGAAGTTGGTTGGCGTGGCACGCACCAGCTCTCGTCTGCCGGATACGAGGTGCTTGCAGTATACAACTCACTCGCTCGTATAAGGTAGGTAGTAAACCCAAGGCGTGATACGTTCAGTGAGCGTCTGCCGTCTGTGAAATGATCCGCGCATACTACGCGTTGATTCGATGTTCCGCGAGTGATTGGCCTTGCAACTCTCTCGTGGCCCGATTCTCCTTGTCCTCTACACCTAAACGAACGTCCTATTATTCACTCACCCCCTCACACAACCTTCCCACTCCTCCATCCCTCCATTCCACCTGCTCCCTCCGTCACCGTTCATTGCTGATCTACTGAGAAATGCGTCAGCGGAATGGATAGGACAAAGAGCGGCAGACGATCACAGCTTACACAATTGCACTTCTTGGGGTCGCTGCAGGAGCAGGACGGGTTGTTGCAAGACGAGCCTACGGATGGAGGAGTCAGTCTTCCACTCTGGCGACGTGAGAGGTTCCAGCCTGGCAGAGTGCAAAGCCCGGAAAAGGAGACAGGACTCACAGCCCATGTTTGCCGTTATTCTTTCGAAGCTTGAGGCTCAAGTGCAAGAAGTTGGGTAGTGATTGATGATGTTTGATTGAAGAAGATTGCTGGGGGTGAAGAGAGGAAAGAAAAGAGAAATCAGAGGCGGGAAGACGGTGATACTTATACCCCTCTCCTCTCTCCTCTTTTCGACGGAGAACGGGCAGCTGATTGCCCCCAAACCAGCAGCAGCAACAGCGACAGCGTGGGAAGCAGAGATGGCTCCAACCCTCTCACACCCCCTTCCCCGCCACTAGCCCATCCGTCGACTTGCTGGACGTGCATTGGGGTGGAGGAAGGAGGGTGCAGCACATCCTAAAGTGTCGCATTGCATGCCTGAAGTGCTGTCGTTGCTGCACGCCCCCTTCTGTCATTGGGCATCAAGGGAGAAGGATTGCGTGCTGGCAGGAAGTCACATCCCGCCTTCGCTGTTGGGGTGGGGCAAGGGAGCTCGCAGACTGCAGGTCATGATTGTCCAGCGTGGCATGCGCTAGGCATAAATTGTACTGCTGTACACGCCGACACGTTTGACATGTGATGGTCGGCGAAGGATAGAAGGGCTACAGAGGTGCGTCTGGGGCGAAGGAGTTGAATAATAAGAGGTCGGGTTTTCGAGCTTCCGATAGCCACCCATCTGCCAGACATCGCTGCGCTGCTGGCTGCGTCACTTTCCGGGAAGCTGCCTTCGCACGAATGTGGAGGATCCGCGATGTACATCTGGAGGGTCAAACCTAGCTTGATATCTCCCGAACAAGGACACCCCGACTCCCGGTCGGCGGAGGTAGGAGCTCAGCCTAGGCGTCATGTCAGCGATGAGAATCAGGCGCTAACGACCTCCTATCGACCATCGCGGGCCACCGTCGTAGGGGTGGAGCTCCCAACCCCCGGAAGAAGAGGTGGAGCATGCGAGCGCGGTCTTGGCCTCCGATATTCATCGACACCGTTCGTCCGAGGTTGTGCAGCAACGATAGGTATCGGGATGCTGGAGGCTGTGAGCATCGTACGGTGAAGATGGTCCGTAGCTCTATGCAAGGCAGATAGCGGTAGAGCGTACTGCACCAGCGTTGCGAACGTGCAAATCAAATGCACCATCCTCCCCTGCATTATATCATCTTTTTCACCCCGCCCAACATCCTCATCCAACTGTCCGCGTAGCCCATCTCCACCACTCCCTGTCCCATGCGAAACGCGCCGGATTGCATGGGGTAGTCGAGTTTGGAAGGAATGCTCGTGCCAATCAACCACGGCCATCGATCCACACACACGCTCTTGACATTGCACAAGCTCCTCAACCCTTCTTCCGCGGCGAAGCGACCGTAGCCGGACCCTCGCACGCCTCCAAAGGGCAGTTGAACGGCGTAGAAGACGGCAAAGTCGTTGATGGCGACCATGCCGCTCTTAACCTCGTTAGCGACGCGACGGAGCTGGGCGCGCGATGCAGAGGAGAAGTTGGGACCGAAGACACTGCAACCGAGGCCGTAAGGGGTGCTGTTGGTGACGCGAATCGCATCGTCGACGCTGTCCACGCGCATCATCACGCACACGGGCGCGAAGAGTTCCTCTTGCGCGATGCGCATTTCTGGCGTCACATCGACGAGTAAGGTGGGCTCAAAGTAATGGCCGTGGGGGTACTGCGCGTGTTCGATTCGATGGCCACCAGCTATTAGGCGTGCGCCTTGCGACACTGCTTCCGCGATGATCTTCTCCAAGCGGTCGAAGGAGGCTGGCGATATCATAGCACCCATGTCAACGTGGTCCATGTTGAGGTCACTGCCGACGCGCAATTTCTGGATGCGTTCTTGCAAAAGGTTGCGCAGCCTGTTGTAGGCCTGGGGCATGGCGACCACTCGCTCGATGCCGATACAGTTCTGGCCAGCAGATTGAAATACACCTCGCATAAGAATGCTAGCAATTCTGGTCATGGCCTCGGGCTCCTCGGGAACGCCAGTGGGGTTGTCGAGGATAATGGCCGCGTCCTTGCCGCCCAGCTCGACACAGAGAGGGGTGAGGGTCTTTGCTGCACTCTTGGCGACTGCGTGTGCAATGGGTCTGCTGCCTATAAAGGTCATGTGAGCGATTCCTGGGTGACTGGTGAAGTGGTCCGCGGTGGAGGGCCAGCACGAGATGGAATGAACCAGGTCGGCATTGTGGCCACAAGCCGTGAGTGCCCCACGGACGATGGAGATGAAATAGGCCGAAGACCAGGCAGTCTGTTCGCTGCCTTTCACGACAATAGCGTTCCCGGAAAACAGAGCACTGATGATTGGTCCTATGAGGTTGTGGAAAGGATAACTAGTACATGAATTAGTGCCATGGCGGTAGGGAATGAGGGAGCAGGGAAACATACTTCCAGCTGACACAAGCAGCAACGACACCAAGCGGCTCATAGTGCACCTCATTGCGCTTGTAGAACATCAAGAAGTTGGTCGGACGTCTTTCAGCGTTGAGAGCAGCCTCGCCATGGTTGATAGTCCACTTCAACTTCTCGGCCGTGACCAGCAGCTCTCCGAAGATGGCATCGACACGCGTCTTTCCGCTGTCGAGACATGCCACCCGCGCAATGGTCTCCTGCTGGTCGAGGACAAACTTGAGCAAAGTCTTCAAGACTCGTCTCCTTTGGGCAAAAGTGGTACGAGCCCATTCGATCTGGGCATGAGTGGCTTTCTCCACAGCCCTGTCAATGCCGGCAGGAGTGACGGGATTGACAAGAGCCAGCAGCTGGCCGGTTGCGGGAGCGTAGCATTGTATGCTCGTCACACCCGGGACCTTGATGTCCGGCCGATCCAGGGTCTTGCCGCGCCATCCTGCTTGAGTCTGCTCGGGAGCGGGCACGGTGAAAGTGACTGCCTTTTCTGCATCGATTCGCAGGAGTCGATATGCGAGCCAGACAGCTAGAAGAGCGGCAATGGCGGTGACGGTGGTGGTGATGTCGAGGTCAACAGGAAGTTTGGCGAGTCCTGGCCGATGATGATTGGTCGGCTCCACCATCTTTTCCAGAACGTGGTGGTGAGATCGCGAGGAGTAGTACAGTGCACACGCGCTGGAGGGGAGCGACAGACCTGCAGTGTTATGCAGGAAAAGTGGTCCGTCTATGCGACTCGAAACTCGGGAAATGGCCAGGGGATGGAGAAGAACAACCAGCGGCAAGTGAATGCCCGCAGGACAATCTCCACGAACAAAAAAGTCCAAACCGTACGTTGGAAGCTCGGACCAGGCGTCGGGAAAGCCCCATCCACATTCGTTCGCAATACCCGAGACGACATATCTCGATACAACATCACTTCCACCAAGCATCTCTCACTCTCGTCCCATCGCAATCATGTCTCTCAACGTCAGCGAGCTCAAAGTGGGCGACAAGTTCCCCGAAGGCGTCAAATTCGAGTAATGTCATCTCCAATGGAAGCATCCGTGATACGAGCAACCGACTGATTACAACATCAGGTACGCACCAATCCAGGATGCGGATCCCACGTCCTGTGGAGTTCCCCAGACCTACAATGCCTCGGAGGAGTTCAAGGGCAAGAAGTTCGTCATCGTCTCCGTCCCGGGTGCCTTCACGCCCGGCTGCCAAGCCCGTCACCTGCCTCCGTACATTGAGAATATCGAGAAGCTTGCCTCCAAGGGTGTCGACCTCGTTATCGTCATTGCTTTTAACGACGCTTGGGTGATGGCTGCGTGGGGGAAAGTCAACGGTAGAGCCATGTGTCTGTATTGCTAGTAATCTCCCTTCTGACGTATCTACTAGGCGTGACCGGCGACTCCAAGATCAAGTTCATGTCTGATACCAAGACGAACTTCAGCAAGGGCATTGGCTGGATGGCGGGCATGGGAGACCGGACTGGACGATATGCCATTATTGTCGAGAAGGATGGCACCGTCAGCTACGCGGAGATTGAGAAGAGCCCCCGAGAAGTCTCGGTAAGTCAAGCCAGTTCACCAAGTACTCGCATTCCGCTGATCATTGCTAGGTCTCTGGCGCGGACGCTGTGCTCTCTCGCCTTTAAATATGCTTGTGCGGTCACAAGCACGCAAATCAGTGCGAACTTTGGATACTGTCGTTAAACCCGTTTAGATTGTCTTGTTAAACCAATAGACTACAGGAATTTGAATCGAGTCTTGTTCGACTTTGCGGGTTTGTAATCAGATCCCAGACACGTCTAGTGATCATTCCTCAGAGATATGCATTCCCATTCTCGCTTTTCGCCATCTTGCACTCGTTACATTGCTCATACTCCGTGAGTCATGTCTGTCATTGACAAGCAAATCCTCCCCACCGTCACTTCCCTCTGTACACTCATAAAACTCGAGACTCATCAATTCCTCACGAGCCCTTCAGCCTCTCCACCATATCCATCAACTCCTTGATCTCTTTCCTCAGCTCCCGGACCTCCAACAACGTCCCATCGACAATCACATTCGGCTTCGTATCGCCCACCCGCTTCGCCCAGCCGGTACTCTCAAAGTCCATGTCGCCCCACAGCTGCTCCCACTCCTCCACCGTGTCTTCATCCGCTTCATTGCGGCTGCGATTCCACCGCACCTTTCGCGCCGTCCTGACTTCCAGAAAGGACGTGACGACCAGCAAGGGCGAATAGACGAAGCCCATGATGTAGTCGTTCAAGCGCTCGTACTGCGCTTTCGGCATCCACCATTCCAGCGGGATGACGAGGCCGAAAATCTCAATCAAGTTGAATGGGGCAATGAAGACGTTCTCATCTGGCGCGCGCACGAATTGCATCGTCTTCTGGCTGAAGAGGGCGAGGTACTCGTCGATGGCGTTGGAGGTGATGTCCTCGTAGGCGCTGTTGAAGAGTGCAATCAGCACGTTCAGCAGGATGACAACGATGATGAAGTTGTAGATGTAGTAGAGGATGAGGCCAAACGGTGCGGCGAAGTCATCCCAGCCGTCGAAGTTGGGATCGCCGAGCACGGCGTTGAACATCATACGTAAGATAAAGCTCAAGTCGTTGAGCTGGAAGTCTTCGTTGTTGTCCATGCCGACGAAGCCTTGAACGAAGCCAATGAAGATGACGATCAAGAGCGCGAAGAAGATGAGCGATTCCTTCATCATCACTTTAAGAACGACGAGCATGGCACCAAAGAACCTGAAGCTGTCGAGGTAGAGAAGGAGGCGCATCCAGAACATGGGCCCAACGAATGCCAGGAAGTTGTATGACAATTTGTTCATGCCGAATCGGTAGTCGCTGTCGATGTCGTAGGTCAGAGCGATCATCCTAGTGACAAAGGAGACGGTCAAGAGCGCGTAGAGGGTGGAGTTGAAGATGTTCCAGAAGCCGAGGTAGTAGCGACCGACCTTCCAGAACTTGCCGGCCTCGTCGCAGATGAACCCGAGGGTGAAGATGTACAAGAGCCCTTCCACGGGGTCAAGGTCACCCGTGGGGTTGATGGTGTTGATCGCACCCGTGTATAGTCCGAGGTAGATGAGCGAGATGAGGATCTGGACGAGGTTTTGGTATTGAGGGACACGCATGCGATCGGGATCGAAATGGTCCCAGTAGTTGGTCGAAGTCTTGAGCTTGTAGTCTACAAAGCGAGACGGGTCGTCGTCGTCTTGAACGAGCCAGCCACGCCAGAGGTAATTGATGCACTTTTGGTAGCCGCTGCTGCCAATGACACGCACAGCATGAATGTCGACGGCCTTTTCTATAGCATTGGACGGCTTGGTATCTATTAATTGTCAGTAACTGCCGAGGGAAACAGGATTATCGGGACAATCACCTTCGCCATCCACGACAATGCTGTAGCGCTTCAGCAGCACCTCCTGCATAAGGTAATTGATGTCCTCCTCTTCCTCGATGATCATCTTAGCAAGCTTCTCGCAAGCAGTGGCACGAAGGTCATGCAGGTCGGCATCCCACAGCTCCAATTGGGCCTGGCGGCGAAACCAGCTCTTAACAATCAGCAGGCAATATACCACACACGCGCCGTAGTCCTCGCTCATGCCGCTGACTTGGCCGGCAGACTTGGCCGTCTTGACCACGCCGTCGGTGATGACATTGCTGTGAGGCTTCGTGACGGCTTCCTCAGGCAGCTCGCAGGGGACGACTTCTTCGAGCAGGTATTTGAGTCGCAAGGCTATGTAGGTGACTTGTTTCGGGGGGATTGCGGAAGCGATCAGGTCTTCGCGATTGTGAGTGGGGAGGAGGGCTTGGAATTCATCGTGGAGGTGCCGGCGGTCTTGTTCGTTCCATTGGAACAACCTTGTCTGGTTAGCCGGAGAGGATGGGATCGGAAGGCTTCACCACCACGTACTTTCCCCACCGCACCATACTCGCGTCGATGATCTTCGAGTCTATCGTAGATACGCCACGATTGCAATGTCTGGTGCAAGCTGAGCAATCATGAATGAGGCGAAAACAAGGACCAGACGGTATTCTTAGGGCAACGAAGAAGACACAGCAGAAATGCACGAACAACCAGCTTTTTGCGAGATGGCGTAGGTGGTTGGCGATAGTTGGAAAAGCGGGGCCGATGAGCTGTCGGGGCTTGGACAAGGCTCGGCGCGGGTCCAAGCTTCCGCCGTTGCTGTGGGGCGGCGGCTTTGTTTGGGGTCCATCAACACTTCAACCTCACGAATTCATGAACAAATCGACAGCACTTTACGCGACGTCATACTCCAAACAACAATCGCAAACGCCAACATGGTCCTCTTCGACGAAGACCCCAAAGAATTGCTCAAAGAAACGACGGCGCAATTCCACATCGCCCCCGACCGCGACAGCATCTCCCGCATCTCCGACTCCCTCGCCTCGCTCTCCAACGCGCGCACCTCGCGCCTCGACCACCAACAAGCACTGCTCAAATCACTCTCGCGCCGCCTCAATGGGCTCGAAGAAGGGCGAAGATGGGAGGAGGACCGGCACGATGCGGGCGGGCATGCGGCGCGGATGTTGAAGATGGACACGGAGAAGTTCCGCGTGGCCAAGGGCGCGAGCGATGCGGAGATTGAGAGTGAGCGGTTGGAGGGCGAGATTGCTGGGTTGAGGCAGCAGTTGGACGTGCTGGAGAAGCAGGGAGTGGAAGGGGGTTGGAGGAGGGACAGCGGGAACGAGGACGAGGTTGTGTGAGTGCTTCTTCGTCGTAATCGAGAGGACGATCCATGGCTGACATTGCGTGCGCAACAGACTCAAACTGCACATCTACCGGTCTCTCGACATATCAGCCACACAAGACCCGGCGACCGGCGAATTCACCCGCGCTGTTGTTCACAAGCTGCCGACGTCGCAGAATGCAGATGGAATGGGGAACAGTGTCAAAGGCAGTGTAAATGTCATCAACGTCGACAGGCGCATGGATCGGAACTTTTACACCAGCATGTTCTGGGATGCACTATAGCGGACGACAGCGCAGAGCATGATACCCGTCACGAAAATGAAAGCACTCTTGGCACAATGTTGGATTACTCATTAAGCTATTACTCCTTTATTGTATGTACAGTTGCAACAGCCACGCGCGCCGTCCGGCGTCATGGCCTCTTCTTCGTAGTGTTCCCCGACCCGGGCAGGTACTGGGAAAGCCTCGCCAGCGAGAGCGGTCCATTAGACAAATGGATGAGGGATAGCCACGCGCACAGGGCGTTCACGAGGTAATGCAGGCGATATGCGTACGTGACGCCGTAGATGGCCGCGTAGAGCGCCAGTCCAAAGATGAGGGTGTTGGTGAGGTAGCGAGCGCTGTGGGAATGGTTAGCTTGGGGGAAATCTGCTCCTGCACGCTCCCTCAGGTACATACCGGCTGGTCAGACGAGGCACCATATTGCCCATGCTCATCGTCTCGACGAGAAGGATGTACGGCAGGATGCAAACAAGGTTATGATGCGTGGAGAAAGGGGAAAACCAATGGACGGCGAGGTTGTGGATCCACACGATCAGCACGGGCATGTTGAGCGGCAGAATCCAGAGCATGACGACCAGCATCGCATGGGTGTAGTTGTAAAAGTTGGAGTTGTGGCCCGACTGCGTTTCTCGCGCGGTCCGGAGGGCACGGGTGCAGGTGATGATTTGCACAAAGCAGAGGACCAGGTACGCCCATTGGTAGGGAATTATTGTACTGACCAGCAACAGCAGGACCCCAATGGTCATGAAGCGTTGCTGCGTCGTCGAAGAAGCGAAATTAGTGGTTGCGGGCTTTCGAGGATCGTCGGAGCGCGATGTCCAGCGGTGGATGAGCGAGTATGCGATCGCAAAGAGATGTAGCAAGGTCAGCGCGATGTAGTTGACCGCGATGCAAATGCCGACGCTAATAAGGCCAAACAAGGGAACCAAAAACCAGAAAAACGGATCGGAATTGCCCAGTAGAAGATCATTCGTCGTGAAATCGATGGCGTGTTCGGCAGTGCTGCTGGTTGCACTGTTCAGCCAGTTGGCTGTCCACGGCCCTTTACTCGCTTTGGAGAATGCAACCCCGAGAAAGGTCAGGGCGGTGAAGATGGTGGGGAGGGATGTGCGCAGACACTGGTCCATGCTGTGCGAGAAGCTCATGAACACCCCGGTGGTGTCGTAGACCTTGAACTGCTTGCGCAGGACAATGGCGACAACGAGCACAGGGAAGGCGGCAAAGACCGCGCGGTAGCGCATGACAAGCTTTCCGGCGCTGCCCAGTACATCCACGTGGATGGAGATTCGCATGGTGGAGTTGCACGCGGGATCGGTCCAGAATTGCAAGGAGAGGCCCTCGCTCGCGCCACCGCCGCTGAGTGGAGGAGGCATGTACGGTGAAATGCCATGCACGTTGATATTGCCCGCTCGAGCATTGACAAAGTACTTCGACTCGTAGGGCTCTTGGATATACTGCCGCAACAGCGGTGCGAAGCTTTCGCTGTGTCGACATTGCCTGCGCTCGATCTCGAAACGATAGGCGAAGAGCGTGGCGTGGACCTCCGGAATCTTCACCTCCATCATCATTGGCCGGTCTGCGGGTAACTTTCGGCGCAGCCCATTCATCAGGATCTGGTGATGGCCTTTGCTGATGGTGATGGTCGAGTCGGAAGCAGTCGTGAATTCGGCAATAAGCCAGCCGGGTAAAGGCTCCGAAGCATTCTCGACGACCGCTACGAACTGAGTGTCCGACAGGTCGGCGACATTATACTGCAAGTAGGAGAACGGCTTGGCGGGGCCAAAGGCGTTCGTGGACTCGTTTGTGGAAGCCGGCAAAAGGGAGACGTCCGCAGCTGCATTCTTACAAGCAAGCCGAGTCGAGCCAACGCCGCCACCCTCGGTGTCGTGATTCATGGCAAAGGTGAGGATGGATGCTCCCGAAGGCGGAGGGGAAACGCTGCAAAGGAAGACTGAAATGGGTGCATCGTCGTTTCCGACACCGAGTGTCTGGTCCGTTAGCAAGGTAAACTTGCCGCCCTCGGCAGAAAGCTGGCTCGGGACTGGCATGACGTGTGCCCGAGTGAGCCCGGCCTCACCGATCGAACGAAGTTGCAGTCGCTCGCCGTGCGCCATCATGGTGGTGAAGCTGTGTTCGAGCGTCAAGAACAAGGTAGGATCCTGATGCAGTGCAGTCTGGTCCACCACGCGCTCCATCCCGGTCAAAAGTCGCCGCCGAAGCGCGGCGACGCGGTCAGGTTGCGCACCGGTTTGCGCAGGTCTTCGCACATCAACGACATCGAAGAGAGCCTTGACGAGCGCTTTCCGGAATTGATCACACCACATGATCGCAAGATGATCCATGCCGGTCCAGACGTTTGGTATGCTCGAGGTGAAGACTGTGAAGCCGTGAGTGTCGGGCACAAGGGAGGTGATGCTGGAGTACTCGGAAGGAATCATCGTGTCCAGCCCGCCACCCGCGACCGAGACCAGCGTGACGTCCGCCAGTGGATTCCGTGCGGGAGAGATGGCGGAGAAGGAGTCGCGCCAGAAGGTATTGATCTCATGATACGTGGACACCATATCCGCGTCAAAAGAGATGGGCGCGCGTGCGTGCGGCGCGGACAGCGTGATGATCGTATTGATTGTGTTCAGCTGGTAGTTCGGCATGTGGAGCATAGTGCGCGCGACAACGCCGCCCATGGAGTGGCCGAGGATGATGACGGATTTGGGCTCAGGCAGCCCAGGCTCCCGCAGTGACCTGTCGGAGTTGAGGTAGAGGGCGAGGATGTAGGCGATGGCCTCGTTGAGGTACTCTGCCTGATCCAGAAGAGTCTGGCCATGAAAGGCCGTCAATTCCTCGTGGAAGTCAACGGTGAAGAAGTCGAGTGGGCGCTTGCCGTTGTGCAGAGCAGCAGCATCATGGCGCAAGACATCGTGGAAGTAATGCGCCGCCTCGGCAGCGATGGGCCGCATCTGTTTGTAGCTGCCAGCATTGCCCGGGATGAAGAGGACGGGGATTCCCTTGAGGCGATTGTCTTCGTGCACGCCCCCTTCTCGGTACAGGTACAGGGAATATTTGCTGGCGAAGCGAGTGTGCTCGGTGTCAAAGTCGGTGAAGCGGGTGAACATGGGGCTCATGTAGGACATGGCGCATCCTTTGGGGTCTTGTTGGCGGTGCAGGAAAGAATGGACGATGGTGAGAAGGAGCAGGATGGAGCATGCGCTGGTGGCCAGAGTGAGGAGGGAGCACCTCCACGCACTCCGCATGTGGCTGCGCTGTTGCTCCGTGCCATTCTGCTTGTTTTCCTTGCTCTGTGAGAGAGGATCGAGGGGCGTTTTGGCGAGCGCGGGAGGAGAGGCGGGCGTCTGCGGCCACGAGGTGCGCCGGTCGTGGTTGGTGGATCGGCGTGGCTCGCGGGCGGTCTTGCGATCCGCGGCAGACTTCACAGACTGCTGTGCGCCAGAGGGGGTGTTGGCAGCGCGAGGGGACTCCTTCGTCGAGGCCGCCATGTCCCTGCTCTTGTCCGACGACGGGCTGGGACTGGCGCAAGTGCTGTCGGCGTCTTCGTCATCTTCGGCCGAACCCGACGGTCGTCTTCGCATTGAGCCCGCACACAGAGGCTCAGCAGGACATGAATGGCACAAGCAGCAGGCGGCGGAGGGGAGGGAGAGGAAGCAAGGACAAGCTTCGCAGCGAGCCTGGGCAAGACCGAGGCGTGCCGAGTCGGACTGGGGTGGAGGAGAAGGTGAACACCCAGGCCCAGGCCGTGTGCGGCGGCAGGCGGTAGCTGGGGGGAGGATGGATGAGATGAGGGCTCGAGCTTTCTCCGTTTAAGATTATTGACGTCGCCTAGCGTGCCCGGGCCAAGTTTTGCGGTGGACACTTGCACGCTCGAGTCCGGGGATTTACCAGATATTCACGCACGGCAGCTTCTGTTGGTCTTCTCTGATGTTGTGTTGATGATGATGATGATGATGGGTCACAATGATTGTCGCACGCGAAGCAACCGTACGACCGCCGGGCCAAGGCTGCGTGCAGACGGGTGGCGGGACGCAACACGACAACCTCCTGGCCGCGTGCGCCCCTGCGAATTTTTACGACGTCCCAGCGCGCAGACAATCCGCGCAGCCAGAGCCGCAATCGTCACGCTGCTCCGAATGGCAAAGCTCCGGCGCAGGTCCACCAGTGAGAAGAGGCCAATGCGGCTGATTCATCCGCCCAAACTCGAGAAAAAAGAGAAGCCAAGGCTGTGACGCGCAAGCCGACCCTTCGTCTGCAGGGGTCGCCAAACCTAATTCGTCCGCTGCCGCCGCTGATAGGTCGACGGCACAGCGTGCGTCTCTCGCCGCATGTGGAAGTCAACTACCCTCTCACTTCACCTTTCCAACAAATCCCCCCGTCTGATGTTGCAGGGCCTGGGAGATTGACATGCGAGAGAGCATTGCTCCGATTGAGTGACGAGTATATTTCATGAACTCGCGTGCCGTGCGTGCAAGTGTCGTTCGCGCTCCCTCCCATCACCCCGATGAATGACGGTCCTTCTGTGCCTCCTGGTTGGAACTTCGGAGGCAGTAAAGAGGTCGCCTTGGCCACTCTGCCAAAGGAGCCCGCCATGAGAACAAGAGGAATGCGTGAAAGCGAGGACGGAAAACTGCAAATCTCGGAAGATGCGCAAAGCTGGATTGAAGTAGATGTCCAGAGTCATGGCAACCCTGGGGATGAAAATGCGCGGGACCATCTTGCATCATACCTTGACTCGTGACCACACCGCTCCCCACCTCGGATCTGCCCTGAGGCTGATCCAACTACACAGTACCGTGTTGCAACTCACTAACATGTGACGGGGTTGTCCGACCCTCAGGTCCCCGCTTGTCACCGCTTCTATCTTGCCACTTTTGGAAGTGACTTACTTCCCTTTGGAGAATCGAAATCTCGACCTCATGTAGGTGGTCTCCTGGCGTAAAAAGGCTTTCCGTTCGTCCGTTGTAACTTTGCACTCTGCGATTGTACACCACGATCGATGCTTCGTTTCCAACCAACTTCCCCCGTTGGTTTACTCACGCCGGGCTATGCCACCCTTGCGGCGGTATTGTCACAGGCAGGCCGTGCGCCCAAAGCTTCCCAAGATGAATCAGGGGAATGCTCTAAAGCGGCGGAGGACTCTAAGCACGGCTCCGTCTCGGGGCGCATGTCACACCTGTCGGTAAGCAAAAGTGCACCAACATAAACGCGGCATAATCAGAAGGCCAGCTAATGAGATCGAAACGCAAAGCGCGAGACGTGTGAAATGCGATGAAACTCGGCCACATTGTCTGAAATGCGCGCTCGCAGGTCGGCAGTGCCTGGGCTATCGCGAAATAGAACTGGCTGTTCGCGCCGAGCCAGGAGGACAGGTGAGTAGAGCCCAGAAGCTGTTAGTAATATGCGATAACCCATAGTAGCTCGCACCCTGTGGCGCCACATTCGATCGAAATGTTGCGTTGAGCGACCAAAAGGAGGTACTTCAACTGAGCATTGCGGATGCGTCAGCGATGCTGGCCCGCACTCGTGCTCGTGCAAGCGCATGGGATGGTATCACACTCAGCGCAGCTAATGCAATTAACTCGAGATCGCTTGAGCAGCTTCAGATGTTATCCAACGTTCTCGAACACCACTTCCCATCCCGACTGGGTGAGGCCAGCAGCGCTAAGCTGGGATCATTCCTTGGCCGCGTGCCAGCTCTGGATCTCTCTTCCCCCCTCGTCAGCCATGCCGTCGACTCACTTTGCTTTGCCCATTTCGGCGCACATAATGGAGACAAAAGCCTACTGAGAGTGTCCCAAGTTGCATATGGGCACGCAATCAACGCCTTAAGGCGCGAGGTCACTAGACTTGACCATCCAACATCCAACCACCGAAAGCTCCTGTACGCCATCATGGTCATAGGGCTCTATGACGATGCAATGCCATTAGAACATCGCCGCCAAAACAGTTGGGAAGTGCATTATTGGGGCGTGCACGAATATCTCCAGCGAGTCGGTCCGTCCGCATTTGATTTTCAGAACGAGTTCGACCGACGTCTATATCAGAATCTTCGCCTTCCTCTTCTATGGCTTGCAATGCTTCGTCGTAGACCGCTAGTCTTCGCCCGATCGGATTGGGTCCAGGCCACCACGTTTCCGGAGCATTTCTATATCAATAAGTCGAATCAAAAGGACTGGTACATGATCGCGTCACGGCTGCTGGGCGCTCTTGGGCGAGCGGAACAGCTTATGTCAGAGAACGGACGCACAACGGTTTCGCAACTATTGGACGGTTTCCATAGCATTGATCGCATCTGTCAAGAACTGAACGCATGGTTGCTTGGCGAGCGCGAACATCGCCACGCCAGACAAGTTGCTTTGAAAGACGAGGATGCTTTCGACCCGACTATCGAGGAGCACATTTTCATCCTTACGTCCCGAACATTTGATGATTTCCTGGACTACAAAGGCGCCACAACGATTACGCGAGTCTCTGTCGTATGGTTCCTACTTCTCACAGCAGAGTGCATGAAGTTACGCTTCTTTTACATTGACGCGTTTGCAAGGACAAGACCGGCGCGCACGCGAGAAGGGTTGGAGGGTCTCGCTTGCCGCCATGCGAAGGAGATGTGCCGCATGGTGTTCTCCTTCAGTCGGTTGACGGCCATAGCCAACGCCCACTGGATGTCTCTGATGTTGAGGATCGCACATGGGTTTTTCGAGGACTTTGGCGCCACCCGCGAAGCAGAGTGGTGCCTGGGCTGTGGCATTGCCACAAGGCTGAGGATAAAACGAATGGAGAAGACCGAGCCACCGACACTGTGTCGTATGGCGAATCTCGGCGCTACTGCGAATGTGTTGGCGGGCTGTGCTCGGTATAAGCCGCGGAGCCGCACACCCTCACCGCATCTTGCAGACTGGTGTGTTGGACGCGGTGTTTGAGTCATGCTTAGAAGGCGTTGCTTGATCAGCATGGGGCAGGGGACTCGTCATGCTCCGACATTGCGGATTAACGTGGCGCACTGCAAGCCATACCAAGTACATCCACCTCTCCATTCGTGCAGGATCTCGAACGTTCAGACGATTACTACGACGCTTCTAGACTACATGGAGGCATCAGCTCTCCACTGGGCCGACCTTCACCTCCGCTCTCTTCTGCATTTCTCGCCACCGTTCGTCCTTCTCCCGCACCCTCTCCGCCTTCGCCTTCTCATTCTTCATCTTTTTCACCCTTCCCCGTGCGCCGAACCTGAGCTTGGTGATCCAGTCCGAAGCCCTCCCCTTCGTCACCCCGCCGGGCTGAAGCTTGTTCCCCTCTTCCCGAAATCTGTTCAGGAAGGCAATCTGCTCTGGCGTTGCTGGAAAGCGCCTCCAGGGTGAATGAACGAAAAGAAACTGCACCGCGAACTTCTCTTTGGCATATGTGTCGGCTGCATGCACCGCGTCCTCGAATGTTGATGCCGTTGCAATGCCTCGTGCCTTGCGATATGGCGCAGTGCTCGATTCGGACAGCTTGGACAGTTTGGCGGTGACGGTGACAACGAAATTCTTCTCCTCGCTTGTGATTGTCAAAAATGAGCCTGATCGATCCGAGAGGATGTAGCGACGATCATCCACTTGCACCCAAGCCATGTTGGAGATTCCCCGGATGTGCCGCTCTCCCGATGTGTTCTCAATGAGTGAGTTGACATCGTCGTAGTGGGTGAATGTGATGTGGCGGTTGTCATTGGACGCTGCATCGCCGCTTGACGTAGCAACTCGCGTCTCCAGACCTCGGTCGGCAGTTTTGCGCTCCTTCAACCGCTTGAGCTTCTCAGCATCCACGTCCTTCACCACTTCGTGTGGATCGAGCCCAAACAGCGTGGGCGTAGTAACGATGCCTCGCTCAAGACTGGCGACCATGTCGATGACATGACAGTCCTCTTTTCCAGCAATCTTCCTCAATCCACGGCCGATCATCTGAATCAACAAATTGCGAGACTGAGTAGGGCGGGCGAGCAGCACACAATCGATGTTCGGAATATCCGTCCCTTCCGTGAATATGCCACAATTCAAAAGTACAGGGAATTCTCCATTCTTGAAAGATGCCAACCGCCTCGCACGAACGTCAGCCGCAGTGTCGCCCGTGATGAAGTAGGCGTCAATTCCGTGAGCACGGAAAGCTGCGGTCAAACTCGTGACATGCGCAATATCCACACAGAACACGAGAGTGGATCTGCGGTGCTGCGCTTCCGCAAGCCAGGACCTGACGGTGATAGTGTTGGTCTCCGCCTTATTCACTGCCTTCGAGAGGCTCCCAACTTGAAAGTCGCCATGCGAGGTTTTGACCCGTGATAGATCCGCTCCGGATTGCACGGTGGTGAATTTGACATCGGACAGCCATTTATCGTCAATCATATCAACATAATCCCTGCGTCACAGTAAGCAGTGCGATCTGCAGTCATCGACAATCGTAACATACTTGTGGTACACGATATGGTCAATGGCTGCACCCAGCCTAAGACCGTCCGACCTTGAGAATGTAGCAGAAACTCCGACCAGCGCCGTCTCGCCCTGTTGATCTTTCTCCCGATCAACAAGCTTGAAATGTTCCAGCACTTCGAGGTAGGTTGGTGCAACGATATGATGGGCCTCGTCCACGAGCAGTAACTTGAACCGACTGGCATCGTAATTGTCGAGCCGGCCGAAAGACACGATGCTCTGAATGGATGCACAAGTGATGTCGGCAAGTCCTGAAGCATGTGACTTGCCCATTTCAATCTCGATGGTCTTGTCGGGATAGAGGTTAGAACAATGGCGCGCCGCTTGCTCTACCAATTCGCGACGGTGAGCAAGGATAAGTGTCTGCCTTGCTCGTTCGTTTGGAGGCGCAACGCGGTCTATGAGATGGCTGAAGATGACCTTGCTAGGATTAGGAAGGATGCTGTTGCGCCAGAGTCAAGGATGGGCTTACCGTCTTGCCACTCCCGGTGGCCAGGGACAGTCCCAGTCTTTTCTCGCCATTTGCCAGATATTTCAGTACCGCTTGGATACTCTCCTCTTGATACGGTCGTAGTTTGACATCGTTTGTCGCTGGCGCATTTCGAATCACGGGCGAGATGCGCGTTTGATATGTCCGATTATGCCGCAGGAAACGATCTTGCCGTGTCAAATAGGGCCGAAGACTTCCACTTCTGATGAGACAGAATTCATGCAGGCCGAATCGAATGTGACTTGCGATGGATCGCATCTAGGACAGCATGATCGTCTATGGCACCGGGGGAAAGACACAGGAGCAAGGCATGAGACGAGATGAGGCTCATACCACAACTTTTGACATGGCCAAAAGTCGCTGTATCAATCCTGAATGCTTGCCTCACAACAGCGCCCTGGACTTCGCTCTGTCACTGGCAGAGTGCCTGCATCTGATACTGCAACTCCTCCAGCACAGTGCACCACCGTTATTGTGATTCTTGTGCGCATGGTCCAACGTTCGACATCAGAGGAGAGTATATCTAGCAGCGACCTTACTTCAACTAGCTCGGACGACTCTTCAAGCAGTGAAAATGGAGAGACTACGGCCGAGTCGGATGGACGCAGAAGCACAGATCCAGGCGTCACGGAGTCGTCACGAAGCGCAAACGATAGGAAGTCTACTGAATCCCGCAAACGTTCCAAAACCAGGCCAAAAGGTCGACTAAATGCCGCATACGAAGACTTGGTGGGCAAGGCACACGATGACATGATACTTACCGGTGAAAGGGAAGGGGCTCAAACAACCCGTAGCAGCACCATCTGGACACCGCGCGAGAAAGAAGTGTTTTTCCGCGCCGTGGAACGGCATGGCCAAGACGATCTTCGGATTCTCGCCGAAGCCGTGTCAACGAAAAGTCCGCTCGAAGTGAGGGCTTACCTCCTCTTATGCCAGGATGCATCCCACGATGGAGGTTCTCTTCAACCGTCAGGATCTAATAGCCCCTCCGTGGCCCTAGAGATCGGGCAGGAGTGTGAAGAAGCCCTTGATCTTGCTGCCGATGACCTTGCACGCCACGAACAATGTCGGGAAATCGAAGCCGAAAAGGCCAGATTCGGTGCTTCATGGTTGATAGACGAGGATGCCGCGGCGACAAATGAGATTGACCATCTAGAGACAGTCACAAAAGACGAAGATCAACTTGAGGGCTCCGTGAACGAATCCGAAAGCATATCAACGCAGATCTCCCCGTCTCCGAACCTTCTCAACCCAGCTGCGTTTCTCCAGCTCTCACGCCATATTTTTATGAACGCAGCTCCATTATCAGGCAACAACTGGCGCGACATCTCGCCGTACGATGAGGCCTCCTCAAGCCCGGCAATCTTCCACTCGGCTTTCGATGACCTTCACCAAACTGTCGTCGATGTAGCCAGGCGACTGGTACAAGCGACGCTGCTTCAAGCTACGTCCCGCATCCGCGCCAAGGCGAACGGTAACCCTAGTCCCGAAGTGAAGCAAGCAGATGTTGCAATCGCATGTGGTCTTCTGGGTCTCCCGTCGAACTCAAGAAAGTATTGGGCTTCAGTGGCACGGAGATCCGGCATCGACGTGTACACCCGGTCCACAAAATACAGGAAACGGCACGATGACGAACACTATCGAGTCAGACTGACATATGACGAAATCGAGACCGAATTGGGCTTTCCTCCCATCGCTCGCGCCTCCGCGACCAAAACCACTCTCAGCGGAGAGCCCGGCACCTCAGCTTCCGAGGACAGTGATACTGACTCCATCGCGAGTCACGGCTCGCAAGCTTTCAGCGAGAGCCTATCCTCTCACGACACAGAAGATGCAACCGACAACGACGACGAGCTGGACAAGATGGACGCCAAGCAGAGCCGCGCAGAAGAAAGGCGTCTTACGCAAATGCTGATGCTTAAGTCGAAGATTGAGCCGTCGTCAGACGAGGAATCGCTACAGACATCAAACTCGAAGGCCAAGCGTCGCAAACGGAGACCTTCGAACGGTGTACCTCAGTGGCGGAAGAGGGTGCGATACGAGGCTGAGTGGGAACGGAATCCACAGTTGTCCGTCAACGGTGGCCAGCATGTTCATGTGCAGGGGAACGAATCAAAACATGGGGGCATGACCGCCCCTGCGCCGTCCGTCCGTCATTCCCATGTCCCTACAACGACGTCGGCAGAGACGAGAACCACCAGTGAGAGCAGTGATGATGCGGAGCTATGGGCAAAGTCAAACTAAGAAACGATGATGGCATCTCACGATACCTAATTACCCAACATTTTTCAATGGCATTCCTGTCTGTGATACATCCCATATGATTGCATCTACTTTTATGCACCCAAACGCTTTGGCAGTGTCCTGCCGCTCCAACACAGTTGGTTGAATCCTTCTCCTTACGCTCCGTTCTGCGGCTTCGCCGGCGGCACCACTGTACAATTGTCAGCTGCGGTTTACCCACCACTTAATCACAGTAAACACTCACCAGGCTCCGTATTCCAGATCTCCTGCGCATACTCCTCAATGCAGCGATCGGAGCTGAAGAAGCCCATGCGCGCCACAACGGTAATAGTCTTCGTCAGCCACTCCTCCTGGTTCTTGTACGCCTCATCAATCAGCTTCTGCGTCTCGACGTAACTCTTGAAGTCGTCCGACACGAGGTAGTAGTCGCCGTGGTCGGTGATGCTGTTGACGAGCGAACTGAACTGGCCAGCGTCGCCGAACATGCCGTTGCGGATTTCGTCAAAGACGCGCTGGAGCGACGGGTCAATATTCAGGCCGGAGTAGTAGTGAGCATGGCGCAGGTCTTCGACGTCTTCGGAGAGGTTGCCGAAGAGGAAGATGTTGTCTTCGCCGACTTCGCGCGTGATTTCGATGTTGGCGCCGTCGCACGTGCCAATGATCAGGCCACCGTTGAGGACGAACTGTGTTGGGTTAGTGGATTGGCATCATGATTTACAATTGATGCAACTCACCTTCATGTTGCTCGTACCGGAAGCCTCGGTACCTGCTGTGGAAATGTGCTCGCTAATGTCACTGGCAGGCACGATGATCTCGGCTTTGCTGACATTGTAGTCCTCCAAAAAGACGACTTTGAGCGCATCGCCAATGTCCTTATCATTGTTGACGACCTCGCTGACTTGGTTGATGAGGTGGATGATGGTCTTGGCCATCCAGTAGCCCGGAGCAGCCTTGCCGCCGAAGATGCTGACACGAGGCTGCGCCTTCTTCCGATCTGCCGGCGACATTTCTTTCAACTCCAGGTAGCGATGGATCACACCAAAGATGTTCAGCTGCTGTCGCTTGTACTCGTGGATTCGCTTGACCTGAATGTCGAACAAGCTGGCCGGGTTGACGGTGATGCCCTGCGCCTCCTTGATGTACCTGGCGAGGCGGAGCTTGTTTGCGTACTTGATGTCTTGGAACTCCTTGCGGAAGTCCTTGTCGTCGACGTAGTTTTCGAGCTTGTGCAAGAGGGTGAGGTCGTTCAAGTAGTCATACCCGCCCAGCTTGCTGGCAATGAGCTCCGACAATCGGAAGTTCGCCTGGTGGAGCCATCTGCGCGGCGTGATGCCGTTGGTGACATTGGTGAATTTGTCGGGACCGTGGATCTTGACAAAGTCCTTGAAGATCGTGGTCTTGATCAGGTCGGAGTGGAGCTCGGCAACACCGTTGACCTTGTGGCTGCCAATAACAGCCAGATAGGCCATGCGTACCATCTTTGGTTGAGATTCTTCGATGATGCTCACTCGAGAGAGCATGTCACGGTCCTTGGGGAAGTTTCGCTCCACGAATTGCAAGAACTGGAGGTTGATGTCGTAGATGATCTGAATTGAGACAAGATTTGCTTAGCATCGAGGACAATCAAAGCAGCACAGAGTATTATCTCGAAACATACCTGCAAGTGACGCGGGAGAAGATTCTGAACGAGCGGGACAGACCACTTCTCCAACGCCTCGGGGAGGACGGTGTGGTTGGTGTAGGAGAAAGTCTTTTGGACGATGCTCCACGCCTCATCCCATTCCAATCCTTCAATGTCGATGAGAATGCGGAGAAGCTCGGGAATGGCAAGAGTGGGATGCGTGTCGTTCAGCTGGATGGCGACTTGGTTGGGGAAGTCGGACCACGCCTTCTTCGACTTCTTGAAACGTCGGACAATGTCAAATAGCGACGCCGCACACCAGAAGTACTGCTGCTTCAGGCGAAGCTCCTTTCCGCGGTCAAGGCTGTCGTTGGGGTAGAGGACGGCGGAGATGGTCTCTGCTCGTTGTGTGTCGGCGACAGAGGCCTCGTATTCACCCGAGTTGAACTTGGTGAAGTCGAACTCGCCATGAGAGGCCTTACTGGACCACAGGCGGAGGTTGTTGGTGGTCGTCGTGCCGTAGCCGGGAATTGGGGCGTCGTACGCAACGGCCGTCACGATCTCACCATTCTCCCAAGCGGTGTGCTGCTTGCCACTGTCGTCCATGTACTTCCTGATCGTTCCATAGAACTGCACATCGACGGTGACATCGTGGCGGGGAAACTCCCACGGGTTGAACTCGAGCCAGTAGTCGGGCACTTCCATCTGATAGCCATTAACAATCTCTTGACGGAAGATGCCGTATCTGTATCGAAGGCCGTAGCCCCACGCGGGATAGTTCAAGGTGGCGAGAGAATCGAGGAAGCATGCAGCGAGACGTCCAAGACCGCCGTTTCCGAGGGCAGCATCGCGTTCTTGGTCGATGATGTCTTCCATGCGGAAGCCGAGCTCGTCGAGGCCCTCTAGATCTTGTATTAGCGGGGTCTATGCAATGGCAGTTGGGGCGACGAACTCCTGGCAACATCCTTCATGCCCACGTTCAGCATGGCATTGTCGAGAGCTCTTCCCATGAGGAATTCAAGCGAGAGGTCTGCCTTCGGTCAGTGTGTTGTGTGAGCGCAAGGAGTCCTTCGAATATCTCACAGTAGACACGCTTCTGGTCGGCCGAAGTCTGATTCTGCTGGGTCCTGTTCCACTCAATGACCAGTCGATCTCTGAAAGCCAATGCCGTGCCGGCGTATGCACCGCTGGGTCAGTGTCAGCAGAGGTGGGGGGGCTTGTGAAACAGTGATTGAAGCACGCACGACTCATCCACATTGTACAAAGATCTTGCCAAGGTGGTCTCGATATGTCTCACGACAGCATCTTCAAATTGATCGCTGGTGTTGAATTCTCTTGCCGACTTTGGGGGGTCAGTATTCGCCTGGTCTGTCGTCCAGCAAGACGTATAGATCGAATCTCCCACTCACATGCTTGCGCCAGCTACACACCAATAATGTCAGCCAAACGTCCTTCGGTCAATGATAGGAAGAAGTATCTCAACATACGCTTCTCTCTGTGGCTCGGGCACACTAGCTTCCACGCTCTTGATCTCCTGCGGGCTGAAGCCCGTCACTGTCCTGCGATGCTTCGGCTTGGAGATACCAGGTGGCCCAATGGGCTCTTGGAACGCTGTGATGGGGGCGGAAGAGCTCGGCTTGCGCTCCCGGGGAGTGGCAGCGGTGGATGGGGTGGTCTTGGTGGCCATGGTGACTTGTCAACGAGTAGAGTCGAGCCAATGGCGGGAGAATGCAGTGAGGAGGGATCGCCGTGAACGACAGCGGTGTAGGAAGAGTTGGAAAGACGAGAGAGCAAGTCGCTGCAGCTCGTATTAAGGGTGGAAAGACAGAGAGGAAGTGCGTGTAGCCTTCATGTGCTCCTCAACACATCGACCAAAGCCCCACCAAGCTGCTTCCCCTTTTAGGCGCGCTAACCCGCGGAGGTGGGGCTTGCTTACATCATTCCGTCCCGCATCAACCACGCGCTTCCGATGGAGGTGGGCATGACCCAAGCTACGGCTTCAAAGTGCACGACGGTGCATGTTGGGCGGATTGCTCATCCATCACGTGTACGGCAAGTTGATTACGGTACACACTACACAACATATCCATAGATAGTAACATCGGCCTGCCCGTTCCGCCACCACCGGCAACAAGCGGGCGGCATCATCGCTTCACCCCTTCGCCCAACCGCTTCGCCAAATACTCCACCACATCATTGCCCACCACGCCCTGGTTGTACAAATGCTTCGCCAGTCCCCGCACCACCTCAATCTGCTCCTCCGCCGACAAGCCGGTGATCACCGTCTCAATGACACTTCCCACGCTCGTTTTGTACACTGCGATGAAGCTTTGGTAGTACATGAACGCGAAGAATCCCATGATGAACTGGCAGTCCATTCGGTCCGTCATCCCCCCATGCCCGGGGATGGAGTCGCCAAAGTCTTTGATGTTGAACGTCCGCTTGAGCCCAGAGGCGAAGAAGCCGCCGAAGGGTGCAATGAGCGAGGCAAAGGTCGCCATGACCAGGATGTGGAATTGCATTGGCGCCACCGTAATCTTTTGCGGCAGAAACGTCCAGGGGCTGGGGATGAAGGGGAGGGTGTAGGTGTGCGGGAGGAACACGGGATTGGGGGTGCAATGTAGGCCCGTGAAGACGTTGGCGCCCAGGTCGTTGACGGGGCAGATGAAGTAGCTGTAGCGCATCAGGACGTTGGTGAGGACGAACCCGAGGAGCACTGTGCAGATCCAAGCACCGACAAAACCTGCCACACGTTAGCATCCTTCTCACTATGGCAACGTGGCAAGCACATACCTTCCACCGTCTTCTTCGGACTCAGCTTGATAAGCTGCGTCTTTCCAAACGTGATGCCACAGATATAAGCAAAGATGTCATTCGTGATGACCAGACTGACGGGAAGGAAGAACCAGATCATCCCTTCGAAGATGTTGTTCATGATGAAGTGGGCCTGCACCACGATGAGGTAGAGCGCCATGTGCGTCCACGCGAATTGGGTGAACTGGAACCGGTAGTGCCCTTTTTGCAGAGAAGCAACGAAGAACACAAAACCTGGAGGTCTCGTCAGCAAGGTTTCTTAGCGTTATCATTCGTGGCGCCCTCGTACCCATCACGTATAGCATGAAGCTGATGAATCGATGGTGTGTCGCAAACGGCAGCAAAACCCGATCGATCAGCACGATGTGCTTGAAGTAGTAGATGACGCTCTCTCCGTACAGAAAGTACATGGTGGTGCCGAGGAAGTACCAGCTCAGGGTCTTGGTGAAACGTAAACTCCGCGCGCGGCTGGGCACGTTCGAGATGGCAATGACTTCTTTGAAGGAGATGATCTGCACCGCGGTCACGATGATGATGAGGTAGATGTGCCCGGCGGCTATGCTTCCGAAGAAGACGCCTATCATGATCAAAGTCCAGATGGCGCGGGTGATGAAGGTCTGCTTCTTCTTGTCGAAGTCAGATTGGGCCTTCTGCTTTCGCGAAGCTGGTCAGCACTCCGAACGAAATACTATCGGGCGGGGTGGGCATGGGCACCTTCTTGTCGTCTACCTCCACCTCATTATCCGTGGCCCAGTCACTCGCCCCTGTGTCTGTTCTACTGTGCACAGGTCTCGTGACCGCTCCATTGCTGTCCTTCTTGCTGAGCGGCGGCATCTTGAATGATTTCTCGTCGACGGGAGAGTCGAGCGCGACGTCGGAGGAGCTGCTTTTGCTTGCGCGCCGCTCCGAATGGTTGAATTTGACGTTCCTTTTCATGCTCCTTGCGCTCGATCGAGTGCGACGAGGCTTGCGTGGGGTGGAAGGAGCTTCGAGATGTGGCCGTCTCTATGCGTCGGGGATATGGGGCGGGCAGCCGTTGCGCTCGAGGGGCAGTCGCTCAGGCGATGGTCATGAAGGCAATTTCTCGCACTGCAACCATTTCCTGTCGGATGCGAGGGGTTGGCCAATGTATTGGCGTGTGGTGAGTGGATGGCAGAGAGCAGAAGAAGCAGGTTAGGAGGATGCGGAGTGACGACAACCTGAAGCCGCCGAGAATTGCCCGGCGAATTTCACATGCCGACGCGGCAGCCACGCGCGCCTTCCGCACTCCGCGGCACGTGTCGAGCTCCTTCCCTGCATGTTTGTTTGTTGCCTCAAGCATCTTCACTCCGTCCTGAGGGAGAGAGCTGATGATGGGCTAGTCGGATGGTGGAAAGGTCAGCATGGATAATGGAGACTTTGGAGACGACGACGCCTTCGATGGCATCCCCGACAACACCCTCTACGAACTCGAAAACGCCGCCAAAACTTCCACTCAAAAGCCTTCTACCAACCCGGCTTCAGTCGCTGCCGAACGATCAAAGGTTCAGACATATGCCACGACAGGCCTGAGTCGGACAAGTCGTCCCCTTGGGAGAGATGCGTGGCGGCCTCCACAACCGCGCAAACAACCGGCCGTACCCAACGCTCCTCCCGCTTCGGCACCCGCTCCACCCTCTTCCGACTATGGCTTCGAAGACGAGGATGTCATTGATCTCGATGAGCCGTCAATGGTCATCCAGTCTGGATCCGCTTTGCCTACTCGGCATCCCGCCAACTCCCTTTCGCATCCTCCCGCTCCTCGCTATGCGCCAAAGCCACCCCTCGACCCCGAAACTGAGGCTGCTTTCGCCGCAGCAGATGCTGAACTGGGTGCTCGCAATTCCAGACAATGGAATCATGCATCGCAGCTTCATCCTGCACCACTAGGAAACGGCAATGGCGATATCCACGCCTTGCAAGCCCGGATCGCGGAACTGGAATCGCAGCAGTTACATCTACGTCAGTCCGAGGAAGAGGCACGACATGCGGCACAATCGAAGGCCGGCGAGATTGCCATTGTCCGCGCAAACCATGATAAATCATCAAAAGAGTTTGAGCGAAGGATAGCGGTAATGCAGAAGTTGCACGCTGAAGAGAGCGCGAGGCAGAAAGCGGAATTGGAGTCGGGGAAGAAGGAAAGGGAGAAGATGGAGACGAGGACTCGCTTTCTCCAGCACGACCTTGCGCAAGAGGCTGAGAGGGTCAAAGGCCTGAGAGGGACGGGCAAGGCGAGGAATTCGGCCCAGCATGGTGCGGACTCGGGCACGGCCACGCCGAGAGCAAGCAGAAGAGCTGGGATGGGTGACGGTTTTGACGACGGAGAGGTATCCCGGCTCGTCAGTCCGAGTAAGAGTAGAGACAAGGCGCGACTGAATGAGCAAACGCCCAAGGCTGGAAGCAAGAGGAAGAGACAGGCTATGGATAGCCCCGTGCCGGCTCCTGCTCTCTCGTTGAGCGGAAGGGCCCAGCCCGTCAGAGAAGAGACCGCTACACCTCTGGAGGACTCAATGCGATCCGCTCCACTGCACGACGACAGATTCGATTTCATGCAGAGGATACTGCATCACCGGCCACGGGAGGGTGCGGAGCGGACCATGGAAACCTTGACGAAGCTTTCCTTCCCTTCAACAAACGATCCGCGCACAATGTCGTCAATGCTCTTGGACAGCATGTTATCCTCTACCGCACTGTTATCTGAGCCTCTCGTCCTCAAGCTCTCCCATGCGGTCTTGCACCTATGGTCTCGATGTCTGGAGGAGGAATTCTACCTCCCGGTCCCTCTGCTCGTGGACTTGTTCAACTTCACCGTTGCCTTTGAAACGGCGTCCACTCTCGTCCAGCTCACTGCCGACGCAGTTCCAATCTGCATGAGAACGATTGACCTGATCGCCTCACATGTCGCAAAGGCAAGCAGATACCCTGCGTACGCCGACAGTGAAGAGTACAAGAAGATCGAGTTGAACATTGGCCAGCACATCCACGTGGATGAAGTCATGGACTGCCTATCGTGCCTTTGTGATGCTGCCAGTCTGCAACCTGACAGTAGCGCGGAATTTTGGCGGACGGTGGAGTTTACGTTTATGTTGCAGATGCTGCATAAATCGCAACCTCTCTCGCAGATCTTCACGGCTTTGCGCATGCTCTCCACGTCGGCCATGGACGCCAGTTTCGGTCCGATATGTGGAAATCACTCGACGATCAATACATCCGGAGACAGCGCAGATGCGGCAAGGCAACAAACAAAGCAGGAGAAAGACATGCTCGATCGCCTTACCATTTTGCTCTTCGAGATGCCAGAGGTACCGAAAGGCGAGCCACCGTACACTGACGAGGAGGTGCAAGACTTACGCCTCCATATCTTGGCCGTTTTCCGAGCTTTGCAGCTGACAGATCACGGGACTATGCTTCTAGCACAGCACCCAAGCGCCATAGGGCGACTAGTGAAGTTGTTAGAAGCGCAGGTGACACGGCTCTATACTGCACAGCCCTCGCTCGGACTGGAAAAGCTCTCACTCGGCGATCCAGAGACATCCGAGCACAGCTCTCAGCCTTCGTCGCCCACCCTCCACGACCTCATCACCCAGACCATCAACACCACAGTTCGACTGCTATACCATCTCCTGCACAACTGCACGCCACCCGTGAATTTACAGCAGAAACTGAGGGTGGTGCGAGGAGGTTATCACAAGTTTCTGCTTTCGTTCACCCGAATCGCGTTCTCCGATCAACTTGTGCTGGAGGCGGGACTGGAAAACGAGGTCATAGAGGCGGCACACACCATCTTAGATGAGACTCTCAGTCCCGAGGAGGGAGAGGCGGTCATGCGAGCTGTGGAGACGCCGAGAGGGACGAAGGGAAGAGAGGAAGTAGATGGGAGCGAGGAGATGGCACGCGAGGATGGGTGAAAGCTGGGCGAGAGTTGGAAGAAACTGAGATCCCGCAAGCTGTCCAGCGCTCATCTAGAAGATGATGTGGTTGACGGGTTACAAGCCATCGCCGAGGCCAAGGGGTTGGAAAGTCCGCGGATGGCCCGGTATTTGCAAGTTCAAATAGCAACCCGACCTCGGATGCCACGCCTGGCGCCCCACTTCCACGGCATTGCAAGACCGCCACGATGATGATGATGCGACTGAATCTCGTCGCTTTATATACCAACAATAATTTGTACACTCGCATAGCTCCAGCACTTCTATCTCCATCCCTCTCGCCATGGCTCCGGAACTCCCCAGAAACATCGGCTGGGTCGGCCTGGGGTTGATGGGTCTGCCAATGGCAACAAATCTGGTGAAGAAGATGGATTCCGACACCAAGTTCTTCGTATTCGACGTTGTCCAGGAAATCGTTGATAAATTCGTGAATCTCGAAGGGGGCAGAGGCAGGATAGAGGCGTGTGGAAGTGCGAAAGAAGTCGCCGATAAGTCTGTATGCACGTCTCTGAATAGTCCTCCCGAACTACCAGGAGCCTTCATGCTGATGATTGACACAGGATCTGGTTCTCTCCATGGTCCCGGAAGGAAGCCATGTGCGTTCCGTCTATCTCACCGACGACAAGGGCGTGCTGGCCAGCGATCTCGGCTCGAAGATTCTCATCGACTGCTCTACAATCGACACCGGCACCTCTCTCGAAGTCCGCGACGCAGTAGCAGAAAAGTACCCCAAAGCGAGTTTCTACGATGCCCCAGTCTCAGGAGGCGTGATGGGTGCTGAGAAGGGAAGTCTGACCTTCATGCTCGGATGCAAGCAAGATGACCACAACGTCGATCTCCTCACCACGCTTTTGAGCTTGATGGGCGGCAATGTCTTCCCCTGCGGTGGAGCCAGCCTCGGATTGACGGCGAAACTGTGTAACAACTACACGTCCGGCCTCATCGCGATAGCCGTCAGCGAGGCGATGAACATCGGGATGAAGTCCGGCATGGACCCGCGCGTGCTTGCCAACATCTTCCACACCTCCACTGCGCAATCTTCCATTCTGGACGACTGGAATCCCGTGCCGGGCCTGTGTCCCGATGCGCCAGCCTCCAAGGGCTACAAGGGTGGCTTCCGCGTGCAGCTCATGAAGAAGGATTTCGGGCTGGCGGTCGACACGGCTGATCGGGTCGGGGTGAAGTTGGCGCTTGGGGATGCGGGTTTGCAGGTTTATCAAGACGCGAGCACAGATGAGAAGTGTAAGGATTTGGATTCGAGGGTGGTGTATAGGTTACTCGGTGGAAATGAGGACTGGAGGAAGGATTTCCCCGAGGAGGTGGAGATGAAGAAGGATGCTACGAAGAAGGCTCTCGAGATTGGGAAGAAACAGATGGCGGAGAGTGGAAAAAAGAAATAGATATAGAGGCAGCAATATGATTGTACTGGCCAGCCGCAAGTTATCGTCACATCGACCCGACCGGCTCGTACTTCATCGCGCAAGATCTCTGATCTTGTCAAACGCACCGCCCATGCGATCGCTCAATCCTTTATGGCCGTGCGACATGGCGCTTGCCTCTTCGCGTCTGATCGCATGCCCGGACATGAGTGATTCGAGCAGATCGAACCCAATGTCGTACCGCAAGCCCTGAGGTGCCTCCAGCTCGGCATCGTCGACTTGGAAGATGTCAGCATATGATCTCACGAACACTCCTTCAAATACTGCTACACTCACACCAACTCTGATCGGCTTCGGGATGAGGGCCTATCAGCCCAACCCAGCCATCGCCGAACTTGCTCAGCGTGGAAGCAATCCGACCGTCTTTTGAGTACCTCCCTAAGATGAAAGATGTATCGGACTCTTCAAACCCCTTGATGCAAGGGCCCTCTTGAAAGAAGATCCATTGATCCTTGTGTGTCTGGCCGGCCTTTTCGCCGTGACTGTACGTCCAGTCGACCTGGATGATCGCGTCTTCGTCATTCGTCACCTGTGCGCCTTTCTGCTCGCATTCGGAATCCGTATCGGCGCCCTTGGGCAAAAGGCCGAAGCCTGGCGAGTGGCCGGCTAGATAGGCGCCGAGACAGACTCCAAAGTACCGCCCACCATCCGACACGAAGTTGCGAATGGCACGCTTCGCACCCTTTGTCTCGTCAAAGGCATCATCCAAGTCCGGGCCTCCGGGCATGGCGAGGAGGTCAGCATCCTCCAAGCTGTCTTCGTCGAGGTCTTCGTCTTCATTCGGACCAACGATCCGAACCTTGAAATGGCGTGGCGATTTCCTGAGAAACTCGGCTAGAGGCTCTGCGAGATCATCATCTTGTTCCGTAGATTCACCACGAAACACCAATGCTATTGGCCGTCCCATGGTGATGGACTGTGGAGACGAACGTGGTGCAGCGGACGGAAGGCACGGCGAAGCACGTTGTGGGGATGGAATGAACCCAGTGGTGTTCGGTAAAGAGTCAGACGTTAAACCTCCGAACGAATGGAATCAGACATGGAAGAAAATTGGGACGGGAGAGCTCGCTTCAACAAGTAGCTGGAGCAAAGTGAAAGCATGTGCCTTTGGTGGCCATGGCTTGAACCACAGCCTGGGGCTGCAGCGTAACGTGCCAGGCGCGAAGCCTTTCGGTTAGTACATCTTCAGCTCTCCAGAATGCCGGTGCCTGAGTTACGTCGAGAGGGTCGGCCAGTAGAAAACATTCCGTAGTACTCCGAGCAACTGGGCGAAGCGAACGTCTCGATTGACACATTCGATGAACCTTCCTACTCGGTAACCCACGAGCCCTAGATCGCTATCGCGTTGCACCAGCGGACCATGATGTAAACTGGACAGGCAGATAGATTTCGAAGGCGTCCATTGGGCTGGTGGCTGTCGTAAACTGGCAAGCGCGCTAATTGGTGGCGCGCTAAGGGCATACACTGAAGGCCCAGCCGAAGCGCACGGCTTGTTTGCAGATCTTATGTAAAACATGGGAAGGGCCAGTCCCTCACAACAGTCTTTCGGCTGCTGTTTCTGCACAGCCTTGGAAAGATCGACGGAGGTCTGTAAGGGCAGAGCCGCTTGTTATAAGGTGGAGTGTCGCAACCTCGAACGGGAATCTCGATTGTCGACAACAAGATCCAAGACTGTCTGCAGCACCGTCACAATGCGTCCCTCCATCTTCCTCGCAATCGCATCGTTCGCGGCATCTATCACCGCCGCCGCCCACCCTAAACGTCCCAAAGCGCTTGTCTGGCGAGGCGGATATGTCTGTGGTGGTTGTCCCGCTGCTGTCAAGAACTTGTTGACGAGTTCCCCCTCGCATTTCGATGTCTCATTCGTCGGGCCGAACGAAACTGTTCATCTCACCCCCGAGGCTCTGAGCAAAGTCGACATCTTCGCCTACCCGGGTGGACCAGGTATGCGCATCCCCTTCGCTCCTTCTCTCGTCTTGCCACGCGGCTAATCGTCGACCAGATGCCGCACGGGCGGCAAAGAACATGGCGCCTTACAACGAGACAGTCCGTAACTTCGTCGCCAATGGAGGCAAATACCTGGGCTTCTGCCTTGGAGGCTATCTGGCCGGCCTACCGGGCTTTGGCCTCCTCCCCCAGGGTGACAACACCTATGCAGAGATTGCTCAACCGGGAGCTCAGGTCAAAACCGGAAAGAACACCATCATCCAAGTCGACTGGACATTCCACACCGGAAAACTGGCAGGCCAGACCAAGGAGCAATGGATGTTCTTCCAAGACGGAGGTACCGTTAAAGGAAGTAACACTACCAATCTCGAGGTTCTCGGACGATTTGCGAGCAATCAGAACATTGCTGCCGCAGTGTCGCCATTCGGCAAGGGCTGGGTCGGTGTGACGGGTCCCCATCCAGAGGCTGATCAATCTTGGTGTGAGTCGCTGTTCCTTTCTCATCTCTTGTTCGACGCCGGGGCTAATGAGGACTTTCTTCAGACACCCCGTACCACCTCAAGAATCCAGACGGCATCAATTTCACCATTGGTTGGGATTTCATCGAAACCGTTTATGGCAAACCAAAAGGGGGTGCGCCCGCGTGGACATGAACGCCTGCCGTAGAAATAGAGAATAGACAGGGCTGCCTACGAATGGCATCCCGTAATTCAATACCATCAAGTAATGCCAATTTTCGTGCGATAGTATGACTTCCCGCTTCTGCCAAGTGAGCGAGGCCGTGGAAATCTTCAGCCCATCGTCTGTTGCCAGAATTCAACGATCCGTCGCTGTAGTCCGAGAAAGATCGTACTTGAGCCGGTGAGGGTGTCCGGTAGAGGATGGTTTCGGAGCAGCATGGCTGCGATGGCAACGAGCATTGCAATACTGGTCAATGCCGCCGGTCTTTTATACCTGCGAGCCAGGGTACGGTATTTTTGCAATCGTTGTTGCATAACCGCTTGACGCTGAAGCTCCGCAGCTTCCTTTGCGAAAAATCGTTCGCCATCCTGTAGTGTCTGCTGCGCGACTTCGTCAAACTTCCGAGTCGTCTTGAGCACACTATTTGATGATATACGAGCCCAGCTCCTACCGGGCAGGCGCTCCGGCGGGTACTTTTCGAACAAAAAGACGGTGTCGTCGATCAAAGCCTCCAGGTTCAGGGGTCTTGGGAGTTTGGAGAGCACAGAGTGCAACATCTCTGGCTCGTCCGCTTCAATGTCGAGCAAGCTGCTCTTTCGTGATCTGATTACCTGTGGGACTGATTAGTGCGCGACTCTCAGATGTTTTAAGGCGACAGGACAGACTGCAGCAAACAGGTATACGGATACCACGGCCTCACTGGCAAGTAAAAAGTCGAACAATCTCGCAATTGAACCATACTCCTCAATCTCATGCGCATACAGCGTGAGAGTGGCTGGTAGAGCGAAGAAAGGTTGGGTCTGGGAAAGGTGTGTGGCCAGAGTGGGATCGGAAGCGTAGAGTATGGCAGGAAGTAGCCGCAGATGTGGCTCTGTGCCCGCCATGGTTGGGAGCATAAAGTCGCGAATACGAAGCAAAGACAGCCTGGCGGCAGCTGAGGTGGCTGCATCCACGCCAAGGACTAGCAAGAGCACTTGAACGATGTCGTGGTAGCCTTGAAAGTAGTGCAGCATGGGATGTCGGCGGAGTACAGTAGTGATGACTTGCGATAGCTCCTGTTTGCGAAAGTCCTTTTTGCTCTCCGTTTCAGCTGGCAGTTATTAGAAAGGGTAGAGTTCGTTCGTCGGCGTGTGTGTTGACCAACCTTCAGGGTAGTAGACAAACGAGCGATCCACATCCAGCTGCACTTGTCCTTCATCGCGGTGTTCGGGCAGTTCTTTCGATGCAACGGCGGAATCGTCATCACTTGTGTCGCAGGCGAGAAGTATTGGCCCTATATGGGTATGTAAGAATGAAGCGGGAAGGAGTGGATGGACATGGGCTTACATGCACGGCGCCGGAGCTCATCATCAAGCAACCCGCCTTCTGATCTTGCATACTCCCTCAGTCGCTCCACGCTGCGAGTTTCACAGGCTTGTTGAATGTCTTCATTTTTGTTGTGAGCCGGAACTGCAGTATCGTCGTCGTCCATTGAGTCGATCTGTTCGCTGAGTACGAGCAATGGGGGACACGTATTCTGATTCACGATGCTTCATTGGCGTGGGCGCTTGTTCATAAGGTGTATACTGGTGAAAGGCGGCTCGGAGGAGGTGAGGTGGCCGAGTCCCCTATCAGCGCTAACCCCATGCCGTTATTCTTAACCAGTCAAAGCCCACTTTGGTTAAGCGTTGCGCGAGAGGCCAATCAAATCCGCGTCACTCGTTCTCTGATTCCATCCTCTTGACAACGAGTGCACATGCAGACTTCAGCCAAAGACCAGACCTGCAGAGGACTGGACGGCGATTCCATCTGGCCAAATTCGATAGTGTGTCGCCATCACCATTCAAACGCCGAAAGTACACGGGAAAATCAGCCGCTTGGGACTGTGTGCGTATGCACAGTACAACCTAAGCTCACGCAGTTCGAATCGACAAACTACTGGCCGTGCGGAGCACATGCAAGCATCCCCGCGCGCCTTCAGCATCAATCGTCCTGGGAGGGATAGACGCTCGACGTTGCAGCATTAGCGCGTGCTCCTCTGCCAATATACCCTGGAGTGACGGGCCAGCGTGGTTACACCAGCGGACATTCCTCCGAAGTCATTTTGCACACAGGCTTCCGGGGTGTGAGCGGTCGAAACAGCCACAATCTGCTCTCTGGCGGTCGGCATGGGGATTCCTGCCCTCTAAGCCTCGACATGGCAGCAACAGTGCGCTCGAAGCTTGAATCGGCCAATTCCATCAAGACACAAAACGCTTGTCGATAGGCCCCGCTTCACCATGGTTGGCGTCTTGACACGCACGGTGGTCCGGAGCCCCGTGGTCAAATGCATCTTACAAGCCCGTATCCGCTCCAGCACCTGCAACGATGTCATCTTCGTGGGGGATGATTTCATCGACGTCAAAGAAGTACGGCACCAAGGCCACTTGGAGCACGTTGCGGCGAAGGCCAACTTTGATGCTCGCATTCGTGCTGCAAAGGTGTTCACTATCGACCCGCTGCTCGACGAAGACGACATTTTCGTCAAGCTGGAGAACGGCGAGCCCTCTCTGGACGATCGCAAATTGCCGCCGCAATGTCTTGCAATCACTCTCGACTCCAGCGAGCTGCTATTTCTCTACTTGAGAGGTGATCAGGAGACTGGCTTCCACTTTGTTCATCAATCAGTCCCGCTTCCCCGGTATGACAAAACGATCTTTCAACCCGGTGAGCACCTGGCTGTCGATCCTTCCTCTCGCGCCTTGGCCGTAGTCGCCGCTGAAAGGGAGCTTGTCATTTACGCCGCAAACACGAAAGATGATATAAAGCGTAGCATACGGCAGAACACCGGAAAGTGGCCCATTGTCTCTACACAACGCCACCTGCAGGTTGACGGGGTTATCCATCACATGGACTTTCTGCTACCGTCTGCAGACGATGAAGATCACATTGTCCTCCTCCTCGTTGTCGCACATGGACGAAGAACGAAAGCTTTATGCATTGACTGGTACGTGGGCTCCGACCTACATCAAGCCCACATCCATCCTGGCCAGCCGCTAGACATCGGAGGAGGCACGCCTTCGCTACTGATTCCACTAAGCAATGCATCTTTCTTTCTCATCAGCGGCGCAAATGTTGTACGGTGGACAAACGTCATATGTGGCTCGATAGTGGGCAGGGAAGTTACCCTGTTGCATCGCGACCCATACCATCCCGGTGCATCGCCTAGACAGCCAATGTGGGTGAACTGGTGCCGGCCGAAACGAGTGCAGGCCAGAACCGACGAGGTGGACCACCTCTATCTGGTCCGCGAAGACGGCGCTATGTTACTGCTCGAGGTCCTCGAGGACGAGGTTTTCTCCAGCCACGCAGGCAACTTCGAATGCCACGTCGGGACCGCCTTTGCCTCGGTGGGCGATTTGCAAGATCCTGACATTCTGATCGCGGCAGGAGATATGAGCAATGGCAAGATCTACGCCATTGGACACTGGTCCCTACCGATTCGAGTGGCGGATCTCAATCGATTGGACACCATGAAGATGAGGCTCGTGGAGAGTCTCCCGAATTGGGCCTCAACCACCGACATGGTCACTTCCACATTGCCGGGCAAATCGCAGCGGTTTCGAGATGGCGTTTTCATCACTTCAGGCCGTCAGCCATTCGGATCAGTCACCGAACTAAGACGAGGCGTGGAGGCTCGCCTCTCGGTATACTTCGAGCTGGAAGAACTGCGAGGAGTGACAGACGTTTGGGCATTGCCCATCGTAGGGGTGGGCCGGATGCTTATCCTTTTGGCCACTCCTTCTCACACGCAACTACTTGACATCTCGTCTGATGTCGATTTGCAAGTCTACGAAGTTGATGAAGAAGCCTCTGCCTTGGATACCGGTAGTCAGACCTTGGCAGCCGCCAGTAACTCCGAAGGAATGCTGTTCCAGATTACTCGAAGGAGTATCTGCGTATCTAACGGCCCGGCTGCAAACTTTGAAGACTCTGCACGGTTTGATTGCCGCGATGCAACAATTGTGGCGGCTGCCATTGAAACAGGCCGGCTTCTGGCAGTGACTGCGGAGCGATCTGGCGACTTAGGATCGCAATCCACCCTAGTATGCTACCGCCTGGGAGGCAACGAAGATGACATGGACCGGGCCAGTGTGGAGCGAAAGGCCGAGTTGGCATTGCAAGAGGAGCCTCTTTGTGTGATGCTGTTTACCCAAGACCCGGCCACGATCGCCTTCGTAGCTACTACAGACGGCAACTTGCTGGCGGTTTCAGTGGGGCAAGACTATACCTTGAAAGCCATATCGAGTTATGGCGTTCCAACCTCTCCAGGAGGCCTTGGAATCTGCGATAGCATGGCCATCCTTAGCGCCGGCTTCGAGAACGGTGGCGCACCTGATTTACCCTTGCTAGTATGTGGCCTACGAGACGGCAGGATCTATACGTCAACAATTGGGCCGACAGAGAATCTCGCATTGGGCGAGGGCAAGTTCATCGACTTCAGCCAAACGAGCGTCAAACTTGTCCAGGTGCAGGACCACGGCTCCATTTGCTATGCAATAAGTGGCTTAGACACTTGTCTGCTTACCTGGGACCGTCAACGGCCAGTATTCGTGGACATTCAGAATGTGTTCATATCGGATAAATCGCGACCGCAACTCGCTCAAGGCCCTATAGTGGCTTGTACACACATGCCGGCTGCTCATTTTCTAGCGACTACCAGTCTCGCAGACTCTCTCGTCTTGGTATCTGGCAACGAGTTCCTGGTCACAACGCTCGACACCACACTTGTCACAATACCGCGGCAGATACCAGTCAGCGGAACGCCCAATCGCCTGATATACGCAGAGCAACAGCGATCACTGGTCTGTGCATCATTGCAATACGGCGTCAACCCATTCCCGTCCGCGGCGCCTCAAAGACAAATATGGCCTGTAATTAATTTCATCCCATCTCGAGGCAGTGAGCCATCGTTCACCTACGACATGCAGCCTGGAGAGCGGGTGTACAGTCTGCTCGAATGGTCTTTCAGGCTCGGCGAGGACAAGATCTATTCCTTCATTCTCGTTGCCGGAAGCTACACCCGATCGAGCGGATCAGTACGAGGACGCATCTCCTTTCTCCAGCCAGCAAACAAGAATTGGACAGTGACTGGCGTCAAAGAAGGGCAGAGGACCAGCTTCGATGCCCCGGTATACGCTCTGGCGCTTCTTGATGAGATCACTTACGCCGCCTGTGTTGGGTCGACCGTTGTTGTCTTTCGCTTCGCCGTGGAAGAGAGAAAGTGGGAGCAAATGTGCTCGCCATTCGAGCTCGCCAGCCCTGGTATTCACATTACCGTCTGGGGGACGAGTCAAATCTTCATCTCCACGGCCGAAGATTCCTTGGTCAAGCTCGTCTTCAGCGACCACGACCAGCACTCGGAGGTCGAGAGCTTTCCGCACCGCCTATCATTTGGCGCATCCGGCCCGCGTGCGGATGCCCTCTTGAACCACACCTGGCTTGAGGCATCCACTCATCTCATGACCACCAAATACGGCCAGTTACTGGGTCTGGACGCCACTTCCCAGACGGACGGTCCCTTTGGTCAGATGCTCTTCGAGGCTAATCTACCTCGCTCGCTCACAAGGGTGCGCAAATGCAACGTGCGTGCGCCGTGGAAGCCTCGACGGCCGACGGACCAGCGAGCCGAGAAGGATCGAGTAGCAGATTACGATGTCGTTGCGTGTGCTGCAGACGGCACCATCGTCGGCGTCACGCTCATCAGCGAAGATCTTTTGCGCCGTCTCAGTTGGCTGCAGAGATTGTGCGAATGGAGCGAAGTGCTCTCGCCTCATTCTCATGGCCGCGCCGCCTACAGCGTCAGTGAGCAAAGCTTCGCGAGGGACGAACGGGCTATGTCGGTAGGGTTGGGAGCAGGCAGCACTGCCGAGCTTGTGATGAGGACGGGTCGGAGCGCGCTGAGTGATAGGCACGTTGATGGCGATGTGCTGGCGAGATTGCTTGAAGGCGATGGCAAGGAGAATTTGCGTTGCTTGCTCAGAGAGATCGCACAGAGGGAAGATGGAGTGGGCGAGTGGATGCGCGCTCATATGGCGCAGGAGCTGAGTGCAGTTGATGAGACGATGGAGATTGCAGAGAGGCTGCTTGATGCGTGGATCTAAAGACCTCCTCCGCCGCTGCTTATCACGTTGGATGCCTATCGGAGAAAGACAAGTGGGGAGTTGGGAGACTGGCACTTTGACACGCAGAGGCGGCTATGATAGGTTGTGGCACGCATGTAGCTCACGATTAACGGCAGCAATCACCCAATGCCCCGACGTGCTTTGCACTCGCATATCTATCCTGCCATGGACTGTCATCGTCCGCGTCGCGGATTGAAGAATCACCTTAGACGCTGGCCAACAACTCTCGCAGGTTCACGGCGACAGAGTGCGTAGTACCCAGAATACTGGTGACCATGTGAAAAGCACAGAACTGCGTGGTTGATGTGCTTTTTAGTCCTTGAGACGCCTTGATCATCGCCCAATGTTTCGGAATGCTGGTCGCTGGAGGTAGACTTTGATCAGGAGGTTGTCTGAATCGTATTTGTGTGGAATTCGTTGGTTCGACGTCAGCCGAGTCCTTTCGAAAATCGTTGGCGGGAGCTTTTTGGAGAGAGAAGCTTCCTGTGCTGCCTGGGTAAGGAGGCTGATGTTCCGGTATAGAGGGAGGTACGTTGACGTAGCCGGTTCCAAGCTTGTATGGTGTCGGCATGATGTTCGAGGGCGTCGATACTAATCCATAATCGCAAATTGCTGTTCTGTCTTTCGCGAGGACACAACACGGCAGTTGTGAGGAGCATGACGGGCCTTGGCACACGATTCAATATCATCACCAGTCCAGAGATGACACCGTCCAATGGGAATCGTCCGAATGGTTGCTCGGTCGCTCACGCAGGCCGTTTGACCCCCACGATCACCTGGCCCAGCGCGTCCACCAGCCTCTCCCTTTCCTTCTCCGCCTTTGCCCTTTCCTTCTCCACCACCGTCAGCTCCGCTTCCAGCTCTCGAATGCGTTGATTCTGATCGGCCTCACCCGCGCCAATCCCCGGTAAGCTGTTGATCAGGATTTCAATTTGCTGCTCCTTGAGCACCAAATCACGGGCCAGCTCGTGCATGGTGGCCTGAAAGCGGTCGGGAGCTTCTGGTAGAGGAGTCTCTGGTGCTTCTGAGCGACCTACTTCGCCATTCGTTGCGGCAGGCGTTGACGCGGCCGCTGGATCAGGTGCTTGGCTTGGTTGTCCCGGGATGTCTCCATATGGATGTCGGTTCTGAATGTAAGACAGTGAAGCGTACATTTGTGTAAGGAGCTGTGAAAACCAGGTAAGCAGTCATTCCACCTCACGCTGGTGGGCTATGAACGCACATCATCCAGGCAGTCCTGGAGTTGAGTGAGGCGGTCTGCCATCTTGTTTCACGTTGTCCGTCGAGCCTCGGGTGAGTGCTGAAGGCGTGTGTCATGCGCGACTCGTCGCTCCAGGGTTGTGATCGCGTGCGAAGCAAGGAAGGGTTAGCATCCAGCGAATTGTCAGGTTGTCGTTGCAATTCACGAATCCTCCACGCACGTGACAGACCCACGAAAGCGGAGGATATGCCTGCTGCGGCACGGTCCGTCTCCACAAACGATGGTCCAAGCTTGGAGGGTCATTTAAATAAACGGCATTGAACATCACTCAGTCTTTCATTCAACCATACCTATGCCATATCTGAAGCCACCTAGCTGATGCTGTGGCGCTATGGCAGGCTTCTGCATCCCGTGAGAACATCTTCATGGCCGAGTCGTCTGTTCTCCACGGGCGGGATCGTCGGACAGGAGCAGCCGGTACTGGTAAGAAAGAGAGGGCGTCCGAGGAAAGATGAGCAGACGCGAGAGGTCGTGAATGTTGCAGAGATATCTCAGGCTTCCATCGACATGCCCAAAGCCCCAGCATTCGAATTAGCGCTCGCAAAGGCGAAGTCCAAGCGGCGTGTCTTCAATCCCGACAAAATGCCTCCTCGTGTGCTTCCACGGCCTTCCAAACACAACGATCTCGCTTCCTACGTCAAGTACGCCAGCAACGTCAACCTTGATTTAAAAAGCAACGTATACAAAGGCACGCTCTACGAATACACCGTGGCATCCGTTCTGCAGTCCTACAATTTCGCACTTGAACGCGTGGGCCAGGCCAACGACAAAGGCATCGATCTCCGCGGCTACTGGTATCTACCCAGCCCTTCAAAACTCCGCCCAAACATACTGCCCATCATTGTTCAGTGCAAGGCGTTTGCACCGCGCCCTGCGATGATTCGAGAGTTGGAGGGGTCTTACGTGGGTGCTCCAGCTGGCTGGAGAGATGATGGCGTACTGGCATTGCTGGTGTCGAGCGAGACCAGTACGAAAGGGGTAAACTTAGCCTTGCAGCGAAGCTCATTGCCTATGGGTTTGATGCAGGTCACGCCTCAGGGACAACTGCGCCAGTTCGTGTGGAACCTGGCAGCGGCAAGGGCTGGCATGGAAGGGCTGGGCGTTGTTCTGAAGTATGGCGAGGATAACGCTCGAGACGGAGAGATAGCCAAGGGCCGCGTCCTGCTTACTTGGATGGGCAGCGTGTGGCGGACTGGAGACGTGGGAGGTTGAGACATCGCCTGGCTCAGGCTGATTGAAGGTCGCTACAGTATCAATTACTCCGACACTCAGACGTCGTATCATACCACAACGGGTGCCGCATGCACGCGTCCGATCGATGCAGAGACAAGAATGCCTATCATACTAGTCTTCGTCATGAACCCCGACGCCAAATCCATGTCCGATAAACAACTGCTCCTTGCCCAGGCAAGATAGCAACGCTTTTCATGCCGATTCTGATTGCACCGGAAGCCCTCAATAGATCTGCATGCCGTGGCACCGACATCTAATCGTCCACAGCCACAACGCCGTCGTCTGACGCAGAATCATCCTCGTCGCCGCTGACTTCCTGGTTCTCCCGCTCCCTCTTGTCCATGAGCGCCTGCAGCTCCGCGTCATCGTTCTCGGTGACAGCCTTGGGGGCCATTTTCACCACGCACACGCCTCCTGCTGCTCGAATACTCGCATCGGCCGCCTTGATGGCATCTTCCAGCACTTTGATGCCAATGCTCTTGTCCAGCGTCTGCGAAGTGAAGACGTATAGCGGCGGGCTGACAAGTCGGACGTTGACCTGCGCCTCTTCGTTTGACTGGGCTTCTGCGGTCCTCAGGGCGGCCTTGATGGCATCGATGCCCTCGTATCCGAAGCACGTCACTTCCACATCGGCGCGCACCTTGGTGGGCTGAGGCGTCAAGCGCTTGGAGATGTAGCTCTGCAGTTCCTCCTTGATTGACGGGCTCTTGAATGTCACCTCATCCCACACGTTCGGATTGGTGATGCTCAGTTTGAACGCATCCACGGCGTGGCCGTATTTCTTGTTCAGCGGCCAGCCAATGTCGGTGTATAGCTCCTCGAGCGGGGTGTTGGTCTTCTCCGCCACATGACGCATGATGCTGTGCACCATCTTGCTCTTGTTGTATCGCTCCTCGCACTTGATGATATCCTCGGGGCTGACTCGCCGCTTGCTGAGATCGATATACCCCTTCTCCTTGTCGACTCGCAACACCACCACAACTTCGTTGCGGCCCACACGAATGAGCTTTTGGATGGAGCGGATACGTCTGCGCGAGAGTTCGGAGAGCAGGATCATGCCGTCGATGTTGTCGTACTCGAGCAGTTTGACGTACGCCCCCATCTCGGCGATCTGCTTGACGTTCACCATCACGAACGACTCGATCTCCGGGAACTTTTCTTCATAGAAACGGCAATTTGTGAGAGACATGTTGGCGGTGTTTTCTTGAGGTTGCGCGACAGGGCGGGGTGATGGGTGTATTTGTGATTGCAAAGACTCATCCGCACGTGGTGGGGTTGAAATATTCTTGGAGATTTCCAGGTACGAAAGAGTGAGTGACAAAAGTCGTGGCCGGCGATGAAGCTCTCTTCCAACCACATGCAACCAACAGCGTCCTGTGTCCAAACACCCGTGAATATGCCACCGAGAAAACGGGCGCGGGCGTCGCGGGCGGCCTCTCCGACCACCACTTCCCAGCCCAAGACACCTACGCCGGCAGCGGAAAGCTCTCCGGTGAAAGACGATGAGGATGTCCTTCACGATCCATGGACCGACGAAGAAGAGATTGGGCTCTTCAAAGGCCTGATCCGTTGCAAACCGACAGGTATATCGTCACGCTACCGCCCGACAGTCTTCTCAACAGGGCTGATGGTGGAAGCAGGCTGACCAAGACGACCAGGGATACATAAGCATTTCCACCTCATCGCCCTCCACCACTTCCTTCTCGACAATGGCTACATCCACCCTAAGAGCCCACACACCACCCCTGCTGGCATCTGGCGTAAGCTACAGACCTTGTACAACCTCGAGGCGCTGGACGAACGCGAAGATGCTCGCCAACTGGAGAAGATGGAGCTGGATACGGACGAGGACGCAGAAGACAGCGATGAGGAGGAAGGCGATGCAGACGCGTATAGTGACGCGGCCCACAAGATTTCAAATGAGGACTTTGATCTGCCAGGCGCGGACTTTGAGGAGCTGAAATGGAGAAATCGATTGGCCACCGACAAGCAGAGACGCGACGAAAGTCCGCCATTACTGCCAGAGTTGAACCTGGCCAGCGCACCTCCCGTCCGCTTCACCCCGAGTTTCAGCATCGAGCCGGAAGTACATGCAGCGACACCTCGGGCAAGAGGTAAAGCAGCTGCTGCCACTTCGACGAAAGGAAAGCCTGCCGCTTCGCAGGGAAGGCGCAGATCGACAAGACAGGTAGAGGTTGACGCGGAAGATGTTGAAGCAGAAGAGGAAGACGAGCCGGAGGACGAGGAGGGGGAAGAGGAGCAGGAAGACGACGAAGAAGATACGGGAGAGGAGCAAGAGGAGAGCGCGCGCAATACGCCTGCCTCGAGGCTCACCAGAAGGCGTGGACGCCCTCCTGCAACAACTGGCCGAGGCCGTGGGAGGGGGAAATGACATTTCAATTCTCGCCATCTATTCCACCCTCTAATCTTCTTACATTGTCAAAGAAAGCCAATGATTCGCCATATCATCGGCGGCCGTACTGTCAAACCGCTCTTGCGTCATGCGGAGTGACTCTGGGAAGTATTCGGGCTGCCGGCCGAGCATCATCGATGCCAGAGCCTGCCCTGATCGCCAACAGTACACCATTCCGTTACCACAAAACCCGGCGGAAATCCACTCCCCGCCAGTGGCATGTCCAGCAAAATGAGGATGCCGATCGGTCATCTTGCTCGGTATCTTGCCCACCCACGGTCGACCATCGCTGCTGAACCCCAAGGTCCCCGTCCAGGAAGTCTGCATATTCACGTTCGGCGCGGGCTGTACAGACTCCTGCTCAAACAGCATGGGCAGGAGTCCACGCAGATGGCACAGTGCGGTGAAGTCCTGCTGGCTGTCCGCGGGATTTCCAATGGCGTCAAGCCCTCCATTGCTGCCTTGAAGCGCCCCTCCGCCGAGATAATAGTCGCCGGTCGATGGGCTCTGCGTCATGTAGTCATATCCCTTCCCGTGTCGAAGCAGCCAGGATCGCTTATGGCCAACGTTCGCCGGCGCAGTCGGCCCCGTCATACTTTGCACAGTCATTTGTCCTCGGAGTGGGAACAGTCTCCCGCGTAGACGGGGCAGCAGATGCCCAACGTGGCTATTTGTCGCATGTACGATGTTTCTGCATCGGATCGTGCCTCGAGATGTGTGCACGAGGTACGGATGATCGCTGGCAGATTGGGCGGTGTCGATGCTGACGACCGCCGTGTTCGTCTCGATGCTCAGACGGCCGGGACACTTTTCCATCACGTTCTTGTACACACCCGTGACGAAGCGATATGGCCAGATGGCTCCTGCCGGGCCACTGATGGCGCCATAGACACGCGGCATGCCAAATTTCTGCAGTCAGTCTGTCAGACAATCACTTTCCTCAACATCTACTCAAAACGCGGCCATTATCTCACCTTCTTGGCCTCCTCGCCATCCCAAGCTCGCCACCTTTTACTCTGCTCTGGAAAATCTGTGAGGAAGTTGTTGAATTGCTCGCGCATGTGTGTCCAGACGGCCTCATCGAAGAAGGCATCGACGGTTTCCACGGTTCGAATTTCGCTATAAAGCTTCGCCTTCTCGCTCAACTGCGTTTCCGCAAATTCGACCAGTTGCGGCAGATGGCCCATCCGAAAACGCACAAGCTTCTTTGCCTCCTCGGTGCCCAGTAGGCTCACCTCCGCATCGTACTCATCATAGGGCAAATCGATGATGTGGCCGCCATTTCGCCCAGTTGCTCCAGAAGTGATGGTGCGCGCTTCGCAGATGACGACGGTGATGTTGGGATCCTGTGTGAGGAGGTGGTGTGCAATACTTGCTGCTGAGATGCCCGATCCGATAATGACAACGTCGCTTTTCTCCGGGAGCACAGGGGACTGGATGTTGGAGAGATCTGGGTCTGGGGGACTTTGCCAGAAAGCACTGGTCGGATTGGAACATGGAAGGCCAGGGTCTTGGGAGATTTTTGCTACAATAGCGGACGCCGCGGTGCCTGTTGGGAGGTACGTCAGTACTTCTTCGATCGATTCTGAAGACGCAGGATCAGCCTTACGTGCTGCTAGCATTGGTTGTAAGAACCTGATGAGTCTTGCAATCGGCCGAAACAAGGCATGGTGGGAACAATACAGAAAGAGGCGCAGAATCGGGTCTTGCGAGTCTTCTGTTGTGTCCATGATTCTGTTGCCAGCCTGTAAAGGTGGTCTACGGGCAAGTGGATTGGCCTGAGATTGACGAAACGACGAGCTCGATGTGATTCTATAAATGATCACAGTCGTTTCCAATCAAAGACCAAGCTGTCAAGCGTATGACATCTTGTTTCACGGGGCTCGCGCGCTCGAATGCTGCCCCATTCATGCAAGGTGGAAGACTTGGGCGAGAGACGTGGATGTCGTCGAACAGCCGAGTGCAACGCCGGCGCTCAAACACGCCGGTGAAACGAAAATCCGCGCTTGATTGCTGCCCAAAGCGGTAATCGCATGCGGGCAACAACATCCATCCATCGCGGGGTCGGATGAGCAGAAGCGATGCCGATCGGCTCTCGAGGTGTATATTAACAATCGCGTGGAGACAGCTGCGGACGGGAAGCTGTTTCAACAGCCAGAATGCGCGATGCTGTCGACATCGTGAAGTGAGGGAGCAACATGGCCGGCCATGCACCCAGACCGAATCAGGAGGAGCTTCCTCCGGGGACAGCATATATCGAGTCCGGCCGAGACCAGCATGTCGTCCGGTCTCCCGTCCCCTCATCGGATCCCAATGATCCGCTGGTGAGCGGCAGTCAACCGAGACGACAAGGTGCGATGTATTGACTCTGAAATACAGAACTGGACGACCGGGCGGAAAGCGCTCCAGATCACCATCCTCTCCGTGTATACGCTCATGGTGTTTGCCAGGTATGCTCCCTGCATCGCCATCCATGGATCCCATCTCACGCTCGAGCAGCAACACCGTCTCCGTTCCACTCTACCAGGATATGAGCAAAGACCTCAACTACTCCGAAGAAATCCTCGATGCCAGCTATGCCGCAAACTCCGCCGCACTGGCCTTCGGCTCCATCATCTTCGTCCCCTTTGCGATGGTATTTGGACGGCGTGTTGTGTACATTGTGACGTCTTTGATCGTCTTCGGTTGTAATGTCTGGTCCGCTCGAACACAAGGACCGGCGGAGATTATTGCATATAACATCTTGCTAGGCTTGGCTGGAGGGTCGAATGAGTCGCTATGGCAGATGACGGTGCGTGGATCCTCGCCGTGTACAGGCCGTTGCGTGCTGACAAGCTACAGGTCACCGATTTGTTCTTTGTCCACCAACGAGGCTCGATCAACGCCATATACTTTGTGATGGTGATGGCTGGGGTAATGAAGCAGATCTTCAATTTACACGTCCAAATGCTGACGCGCAAGCAGAACTTCGTCGCCCCCGTTCCTTCGGGATACATAGCCCAAGCGTATGGGTGGAGATGGTCGTTCTGGGTCACGTCAATCATCGTTGGCACCGTCTCGCTCTGCATGATCTTATTTCTGGAAGAAAGCAAGTACATCCGCAGCGGAACAGACCCTACTGTGGCCTCGACCCCGTCGCAGCCACTCCAAGACCCCATAAAAGATTCGAAAACCGTGGCAACGGAAACATCAAGCAGCGACTCCGTCGAGCTCAATGAAAAGATCCCACTTCGATCTTACCGGCAGCGCCTCGCCTTATTCAGCGCAGCATCCGACTTCTCCGTCAAGTCTTTCTTGCCATTGTTCTATCGACCGTTCGTGGTCCTCTGGCGCTTTCCCGCTGTTCTACTCTCGGCCTCGGTCTATGGTTTCTACATTGCGGCCATCAATATTCTTGGCGTTACTCAAACGACCCTGTACGCGCTCCCTCCTTACAATTTCGGCACCCTTGGAGTGGCTACGATGAATGTGCCTCCGGCCATCGGTGCCGTGCTGGGGTCCGCGTTTGGTGGCCCGCTGGTCGACAGAGCGATTGTCGTTTTAGCGTCGCGAAATCAGGGAGTTTATCAGCCGGAAATGCGGTTCTGGCTGGTTGCGGTGCCGATAGCGAGCATGCTCATTGGCATTCTCCTATATGGCCTCAGCATTGCACAGGTACGTATTTGCGTGATCAGTAAAGATGGCATGCGAAGTCTCACCTGTTTCGTAGGGCATGCCGTGGATCATTAGCGCCGTCGGAGCGGGCTTCATGGGATTCGGGCTTGGGGGCGCCGGCGATATGGGCGTTACGTATCTCCAAGACTCGTACTCCAAGGTAATTCTCTCCTCAGTGGCTATGCTGATGAAAGTACTTGCTAATGTTCTTGCCAGATCATCGGGCTCGTGTTTGTCGGCGCCGCATTCATCGCCAATATGATGAGCACCATCTTCCTCTTCGCGTTGACTCCCTGGCAGGCGAGCTTGGGCACATACTATTTGTTTGTGACCCTTGGCTGCATCTCACTCGCCATAAGTCTGCTGACCGTGCCGTTGATATTTTACGGCAAGCGGTGGAGGACCAAAGGTGCCGAGAAGTACCATAGATTGGTGCTTGCGCAGACCGCTTCAGGTTGATAGCCATGAAATGATGATGTATCACTGGCCTTCGGCTGACTTTCATCATAAGGGGAATGTCTCTCGATCAGCGCTCCTCCTTCGTTGACGTGGTACTGCAGAGACAAAAGTCACCACATCCCGCTGTTGTAGCTCCCCATGCCAATTTCATATCCCCCAGAGCCACACCTGCAACACGGAAGCCAGCGTCTGATAGACCATCCAGGATTTCCGCTATGCGCTGCCGCATGGTGAGACAGCGAACTTCGAGCGACAAGGCCGTCAACGCCGGAAGGTACAGGATTGAGTCGCCGGAAGGCCTCGATCGGAATCTCCCATCGACCAGTCTCCAAGTGTCCGAGATCAACGCGGGCTGTTCGGCGCTAAGCCACGCCTTGCCTTCGGCCACATTCGAATTGCCTCGCCCCGCCTCGGTAGTGGGGATATGTGCTTGGAGAAGGCTCGGTTCGTCCAATAATCTGGTGAGAAATAACAGTGTCATGTTGACATAGACTTGGAGGAAGCACAACGTGGCGGATTGCATGTCAAACTGGCTCTGAGCATCGAAGGGGGGGTCGCTGTCGGCGCCTGGCGATTTAACGGCGCCTGCTGTCAATATATCGCGGACTTTCCGGAAGTGCGTGAGCAAGTTCAGCGTGTCTTCCACGAACGACAGCGCTATGGCATCTTCATCTGGACTTTGCGCCTCGGGCGGTCCTCGTGTGGCGCGAGGAGAGCTGCTTTCAGCATACCCTTCGTGGTACCGCGACACGATACTGTGCATGGCAGAGTCAGCAAAAGCACACATTCACAACGAAAAGTCCCGTCCTTACGCTGTGTTGAGTCTCACGAAGCGTGCAAACCCGTGAAGTACAAAATCGGTGACCTGATCTAGTCTCCAGACATCTGATTCCGTGGACAAGTCCGGTACATCTAACTTCTCGAGCCAGCCCTGGTTCGCTAGGAAGGTGTCCTGATCTAGTTCAATGCCGAATACAGTATCAAAGACCCAAAATAGTCGCAGAAACGGTCTTTCCGAAGAGGTCGTCATCATCGAGGATTCTCCCCATCGTTGGAGCAGGGGCCGATATACTTGGTCACTCCATTTAATCAGCCGGGTGCCAGTATCGTCGATCATCAGCTGTAGATCTCATTAGCCCGAGCTGTATCTGAGGCGTGAAGTGGTTCGACAAGGCCATACCGCATGGATCCCAAGCAAAAGAGCGCTTAATACCGTCGGCGTGTCAGGATGGGCGGTGGATGCGATGGCTGATTGCAGTCGAGCGTGAACTTGATCTAAAGCGCGCTCAGCCGTGGTTGAGGCGAGACCGCTGCCATCTTTATCCGCGTAGAAAGTGGCGCCAAGCGCTGTTATCGCAAGGCGTACGGAGTCGTTGTTGTCGACCAAAGGCAGCAGATAAGGGACATTCAAGGCCTGGAGGGGAAGAGACAGTCCGTCGGAGCCGACTGCGAATTCGAAAAAGGCATTGATGTAATCACGCTCGGCTTCCGCGGAGGATTGCCGACGGGAAGGGCTGGGACGAGGGCTTCTGGCGAGGTGTGGTGTCGCTATGACTGGCCAGAAGCCAGCATGTTCCGGACTCTGGACGGACGTAGGGGACTCTGCGGTGCACTCGAGGCCTCTAATACGGCATGCGGAACATGGTCTGCCTTCATCGCACTGCAAGAAGCCATTAGTATCGTTCCTCACCGTGAGTAAGCGAAGGATGGGCGGCATACCTTGCGGTGGGAGGATTTGCAGTGTTTGCATCGGTAGGAGCGGCGACGCTTGTCCAATGGCCCAAGGCGTCTCTTTTCAATCATCGACGGCTTCATGATCCGCCCTCGTTGACATGATCTTTGGTCATCAGGTGGCGAGGGTGCGGTCAAGTTTAAGCTTTGGCATCGAGGCTCGCGCCACGAGCTGAAGTGCTTGGCTTTCGAACGCTTCTTTTCCCCTTGCCATATCATCAATATCAACTTGAATTTCCCAGGCTACCTGCATTTCTGCAAAACGAGCGGGCGTACGATTTGGGCATGGAAGGAATGTGTGCACACGGGGTTCAAGTGAGCACTTCTGACTAGGCACAGAACCACTCATTCGCATTTTGACCGATGCCCCCATGAGCAACCAAAAACGAGAGATGGAGTGCTTCTCATGGCCATTAATATGGCTGACATTGGTGTGGCCGTATCTCTGCACTTGCACCATCCCTCAATACGTCTTGCGTTTCACTTTCTTAGCCGCCCGTTGCGCTCTCCGAGCGAGACCTCTTGACCATCCATAGAGCATCCTGCCGATATGCTTATCCTGCCGCGTAACCCCGTAATGGATCGAATTGATTGCACCGATACACATGTCGATTCCAGAGCGTCTTCTCCGCTTTCGCAGGTCCATGATGGAAGTGTTTGCCGCCGCAGTGCGATTCAGGATCTCCATGAGCTCACCAGCGCAGGTGCTGTAAGTTGTTGTCGAAAGGTCCGCATTCATCTTCGTCCGAAGCATCCGCGCCGCTGGTAAATCGGCTCTGAATGTCGTACAAACGCTGTTCAAGATCACAGACTGCTTGCCAGGCCCGTGACGGGTGTCGTCATCTTCGATCGCGTGGCAGAGTATCAGTTGGCGTATTTCCGCCGGGAGATCCAGCAATCGTGACGGCGGTGGGCGATCATAGCGTCCGGACGTCAGCCTTCTGTACTCGGCTTCCGACTCGTCGATACATTCGATCAGTCGTTGGCACGATGACAGGCCTGCTACGTCTCGCTTCGTTTTCGCTTTCTGCTTGCGTTGGCGCCTTTGGGCCCAGGTCTCATGCCGCATGTTGGTGAAGGTTGAGTCACTGTGATGTGTGGGAGTGAGAACCAGCTTTGTGTTCGAGGAATGGGTCACGCTCCGGCAAAGCTAGCTTGGGAGTGGCCAACCGCGTCTACCGTGGACGTCAGCAGCCCTGCAGGGAAGTTTGGGTTACGGGAAGAGAATGATGATGCTGTGAAATGGATTATTTGCATACTGGCGAACCAATCATGACTCATGTGAACGTGTCCTCGTGAATACGTCGAAAAGGTCGATCGGGCGTCATTGTCCCTCTTCACCGCCTTGGAGGGGGCGACCTGGAGTACTCGTCGCTGTAATCATCCCGCCGACTCCTACTAGCCCTCCTCCGGGGCGGCGATGGCGTATAGTCTCTCTCCCTCGAATCGTACCTGCTCGGCGAGCGGGTGCTGCGCCCGTGACTCCGCGCTCGGCCCTGGATGGCTTGATCTTTGTACGGCGCGCCAACAAGGGCCGCCTCTTTCTTCGACCTGCGCTTCTCGAGCTGGCCCTCCGCCACTTTCGCCCCGATTGCACCAATAACGGCTCCGCCGAACGTTTCAATCAGCCCGCCGCCCAACTCATGCCCGATGAGCCCTCCCGCTGCCCCTCCAAGCAGCTGCGCGCCAATGCCCTTCTGCCCTTCTCTGCCACCAAAGACATCGGGCCCAGGCTTGCGCTTCATGCGTGTGCTCGAGCTTGCTTCATCGTACTTGCCATCACCTCTGCGCCTCGGACGATGATCTCGGCGGTCGTCACCACGATCTCGTGAATCCGGGCGGTAATCGTAGTACCTATCATCGCTTCTGCGATCCCGACTGTCATAGCGTCTGTCGTCGCGACGGTCGTAGTCCGCCGGAGGGCGACGGTCATAACGGCCTTGTGCGTCTTCGTCCTCTCCCCTTCGCCATTCGGCTTCCGCCTTTTCATCATCGTAGGGTGTCAATTGGTTCTCGTTCGGGCCACGAGAGCCTCGGCGCGGGCGATTGCCGTGGTCGCCGACCGGCGGCTTGTCGTATCCGCTGTGATCATAGTCTGAAGGTGGGGGACCGTATCCGTCGTCATGATGCTCTTGTCGGGGCGGCGGTGGGAAGTAACTGGGATCGTAGCGAGGCTCCGCGCCTGGAGGAGGCGGCTGCGGCGGAACGTAGCCCGGTGGAATGGGACGTCCGTCACGAGGATCGTAGGCGTGGTGTAGAGGCGCCGACTGCTGCGATTTGCCAAGGTTAGGGACTCGGGGTACGCGCGCATGGTCGTGGTCATCATCTAGCGGCGGAGAGTTGGAGGGGCCGTAGCTGTCGTCCGGTGCGCCGCGATGGCCTGCAGCCGGGTCGTGATAATCTGCGTAGTCGACGTCTGACATTTCAAAGACTGGAGGCTGGTCGACCTCGCAATGCAATGCTCCTGGGCATAGGTTTGGTCAAGGTGAAATACAGAACACGAGGGAAAGTGAGAGGTTGGGCATCACATGTCGTGCCAGTCGCACGGTGACGTCGCGTGCGCAAGCTTGCAGGGAATCCCGGCCAATGGCAGCGTTGTCCAAGTGGACTAATGTGCTCTAGGCTATGAGCTTTCAATGTTTCACTTATTCGTACATCTAGTGACTCCAATACTGACACAAAGAAGCGCGACTGCACAATAAAGCGATGCCTGACTAGATGACCGTCCAACATCCTCGTTGGTCATATCTCGACGCTCAAGCCGCACTGACTTGAAGTGCCACCGTGCAAGATGACCACCAATGGCCACACCCAACCAATCGACTTTTGCACTCTCGGCATGTTCATAATCGATGAGATCCACCCCGCCCCTTCCTCTCCAGATCAGAAGCCCCACTACAACATCCCCGGCGGCGCGGGAACGTATTCAGCACTCGGAGCGCGCCTCTTCAGCCCTCCACCCACATCCTCCCGTTCAGTCGGCTGGATTGTCGACGCCGGCCCCGACTTTCCTCCAGAACTGCGAGAGACAATCCTTTCCTGGCAGACCGGCGTGCTGCTCCGTCCACGGGACCAGCCCACCACAAGCGCCTGGAATGGATACGAGGCCAATGAGCATCGCGCATTTCGCTACCTGAACGAGAAGAAGCGACTCACGGCTGAGGACTTGACGCCAGCACTATTGAGCGCACGAAGTTTCCATCTCATATGCTCTCCCATCCGATGTATAAGTCTCGTGCAGCGGATTCTCGATCGCAGGAAAGCCGAGACTGCGGTCACTGATGCGCCCATCTTCATCTGGGAGCCGGTGCCTGACCTTTGCATTCCCGACGAGCTGGAGAACACGTACGAAGCGCTGAATCATGTAGACATTGTCAGTCCGAATCACGAAGAACTGGCGTCGTTGTTTGCATACAAACAGCCCGAAACGGGAGAAGTGGACAGGGGAGCAGTGGAAGGTCAATGTCAGGATCTGCTCGCACGATGCAGCGAAAGCAGCAGACTGAATGCAGTAGTCGTGCGGGCGGGAAAGGAAGGCTGCTTTGTTGCGAGAAGGAAAACAAAGCAATGGCTACCCGCCTACCATCAGGACTCGAGCAACGTTCTTGATCCTACCGGAGGCGGTAATGGCTTCCTAGGCGGCTTCGCAGTCGGCCTCGTGCGAAATGAGGGAGACGTGATTGAAGCGGCACGCTGGGGAAGCGTGGCAGCAAGCTTCTGCATCGAACAGATTGGCTTGCCGATGTTGAACACCATCATCGCATCGGCGACGTGCGTTGACGAGGTGTGGAACGATGAAAGCGTGTCGGACCGACTGAGCGAGTACAATACACGGATATGAGGTGAATTCCATTGTGTAGAGTAGACACATGCTACGATCTTTGTGTTCTCCAAAGCGCCAAACCGCTCCAAACGCCATTTCACTCATGATATTCACATAGCCCCGACACTTCTCCGTGTCGCCCGTGCCCGCTCCTCTTCCTCCTCCATCTCGCTCTCTCCATCTCTGCTCCCGACTTCGGACCAGCTGTCGGGAGTTGCAATTCCGTCGCCCTCCTCCGAGAGCATGTCGACATCACTGTCGTCTACCACGTCTACGACTTCTATGTTGGACACCTCACTCCGTGTCTGAGATTGCGAGCGCGACGCTAGCGGTGAAACAGAAGCAAAGGTTTCCGACTCGGAATCCGTATCGAAAGCCGGTTTGGACACCGGAGTTTGGGCGCCTTGTGATACCTCGATGCGTTCGGGGGTCATTTCGTGATCCATGGTGTGAGTCGATGCGGGCGAGCCGGCGGAGGATGCGGCAGAGTAGAAAGACGCTTCCATTGCGGCCGCTAGTGGTGTTGAAGTGTCTCGCTGAGTCTCGGCAAATCCAGCAGCTTCGCGAACAGGATCGTAGGGCTTCTTCGTCGCCAAACCGTGGAACGCGGGGCGTAATGAGTTGTGAGTGGCTAGGCGTGCTTGCGTCAGTTGAGGCGTGACTCGATAGAGCTCATCCTCCGAGTCCTCCACAATAGGGCGAGGTGAGGCCATTGACAGCGGCTCCTCTTTTGGCGAATACGCTTGGTCAAAGACAATTTCCCAATGACCACGCGGAGTAGGCTGATGGAGGTGTGTAGCTTGCGTAGGAACGGAGACGTCAATCAGTGGCGGCGCTATCTCTTCGGGGTTTGCTTGTGGAGCAGCTTTCTGGGAGCCGAGTTCCTTTAGGCTCAAGGCGATAGCTTCGCGGAGGTCGGCGGCCTCCCGTCCATCTTGGGTTTCGTGCTGCTCCACGGCCTTGAGTGCCGCTTTCTGTGCTTCTGCCTCGGAGAGAGACAAGGCAATAGCAAGTTGTTCATCAAACGGCAATTCGCGGTGATCGACTTCAGCCTCCACGGGGGTCTGGATTGGTGGATTTGGAATGAAGCTGCCGGGCATGGTAGGCGTCGACGGCACTGTGTCGGCCTCGATGGCGACTTTGGGCGGAACCGGGGGCTTTGGTGTCTCGCTTCGATCGAAGGCATGCTCATCGCCAAATGGATTCGCGAGTTGAGAGGCCAACTGCCAGGCGCTTGCGGAGGAGCTTGCCTCTGAAATCGAGACTGGCTGGAGAAGTTTACTCATCTCGTCTTCAAGCTGACTCGACACATCCCCCGAAGGGACGGCAGGTAATTGCTGCTGCAACTCCTCGGCATCCATCACTGCGGCGGTGGGCCTTAGGTTGCCCTGTGAGTCGACCATTTCATCGAAAGAGGTTGGCGAAGACGGCTTGGGCGATGCATCCTGCACCTCGATATTCACCACACCCTTCTTTCTCTGTTTCATCTCGTACATCTGATGGTTTCGGGCGGCCAGGTACTCTCTGCCCTTCCTCCTCCGCTCTTCAGCCTGGTCGGCATCAGACGGGCTACGAACGGGGATCCTCCGGATGGTGCTTGGGTTCGACAGGCTACGGCCAGTCGCTACGGCGGCAGCTTCGAGACTTCCGCTCGCCTCTCTCCTCAGGCCAGCATCGTTGGCGAGAGTGTGCCCCTCGTAGGCGAAGGCCTCGGCGGTGCGTCGACTCTGTGGATCGAGTTCTTCATTCAAGGTGCGGAGGAGCTCGGCAATCTTCTGTCGTTGTTGCTCGAGCCAGGCTTGGATCTGAGGGTTCTCCAGAGCGGCAGCGCCGAGGGCGACAATGAGGCCGATCGAGAGGAGGATGCCCTTGATGGCGGCGGCAGGCATGGTGGCGAGACGCGAGGCAGCACGTGAACTGTAGGGTGGCAAGGTCACGCGAGGAGAGGCATATCACGGAGACCAAGGGTGACTGGAGCAGGTGAGGGCGAGCGACACAGACAAACAACAGTGTGTAGACGTAGACGTACGCGTAGGTGAGAAGGAGGAAGAAGCAGGAAGAGTGCAGGCTGCAGCTTGGGTGTGTCAGCGTGTCGTAGCCAAGGTCTGCCTCAAGTCGGTACCCTTCCTTGAATGCGGGGGAGATAAGATAGAGTTTGTCAGCCTGAGGCTCCTTATTTCCACGTCAGCACAAGAGCTGCGCCACCACTCTGCTCCCTTCCTTGCTCTTCTAACAAAGCCCCATTCATCTACGCCGATGCGAGGAGATAGCCTCCGTCAATCACGAGCACTGCCCCAGTGACAAACTTGTTCACAACCAAGCCGAACACAGCCTGGGCGTAATCCTGAGGCGTTCCCGCTCGGCCCAACGGGGTGCCCCAGTTCTGTCGGAAGTACTCCTTGTCTTTGTCCTTGTATTGCTCGACTGGTGTCATCTCGCTCGGGAAATATCCAGGAGCGAGCGTGTTCACGCGAATTTCGAGGCCAGAGTTCTTCAATTCCACGCCCAGCTGCTCAGTAATGCTGATCGTGCCGGCTTTGGCGGCATTGTAACTGCGTTGATCGATTAGAGCGCTGCTACAGCGTTTGAGACGAGACACGACCCTCACCTAAATTGCCCGTTCTGGCTTCCCTTGGTGATGCCCGAGATGGAGCTGATGTTGAGGATGTTCCCGGCCTCCTCGTATCCGTGATCCCGGGCGGCACACAGGAGCGGGATGAAGGCAACAGACATGAAGTAGATGCTGGCAACGTTGACCTTGTAGATCGACGTCCAGTCGTCAAAGTCCTGATAGCCGAGCATCTTCTCGCTCACTGCCTTGGGGTCGCCGTGCGGAGTCCACTTCTCGCCGTAGTTGACGGAAGTCTGACCTGCATTGTTCACCAATAGATTGATGAATTTCTCCTTCTTGCCAATCGTTTTGGCGAACTCGAGGATGGAAGCTTTGTCGGTGACATCCAACTGAATGGCAATGATGGAGCCGCCGGATTGGGCGTCCTGCGTCTCTGCGGCCTTGATCTTCTCCAGACGTCGGCCTGTAATGTACACCTTCACTCCGTTGGCTGCGAGGGCCTTGGCCGTCATCAATCCAAGCCCCGTTCCGCCGCCTGTCACAATGGCCACCCAGCCCTTGATGTTGAAGAGAGACTGCGTCGTGAAAGCATTGAGGCCGGCCATTTTGATGGATTGATTGTCGCGTTCGTTACCTGATTATGATGTTTACTTTGACAAGAGACCAGACCCGCGATGTTTAATACCTTCTCCCACCCCATAGGCAAAATCGGCAAGTGGGGGGGAGCAGTCGAACACTTTCCGGCTAAAGTCTCTCACCCTCGTCGAGGCCGGTTAAAGGCGGGCACGAGAGGACTCGAGTTGCAGGACTCTGGCAGAAGCATGTCGTAGAGCAGTGTGCAGTAGGGTCGAGCTGATCCGTCAAGGCAGTGTGAAGATGTGACTCTCGTTGCTGTGCCTCCTCAGTTATTGGCTCCCACACAGAGGTTCGGCTTCTCAAACGCCATCGATCAACCTCATCTGCCGAGGCTGCAGGTAGCCCACACGCCAGCTTCATGTCCGTTGCTCTTCCTCACATACCGTCTACTTCCGCCCGTGGCGAGCCATGGGCATTCCACAAAGATAGTCGCCATGCCCAGCAGAAAACAGCCCGTGATTATTGGCGTTGCAGATGTCAAGAATGCCTCCAAAAAGGTCGAAGATGCCATCGAGCCCTTGGAGCTTATCCTGCAAGCCATCGAAAAGGCCATCGATGACACTGGACTCATCAAGCCTGTAGCACCAGACCTACTGTCGAGCGTCGATAGTCTGGATGTCGTCCGCACCTGGACCTGGCCATATCCGGACCTGTCCGGTCTCATAGCGAAGCGATTGGCCATCAAGCCTACCCGACGATACTACACGGAACAGCACGGCGGAGATCAGCCTGCGAAGCTTTTGGATGGAGCTGCTCGCAGAGTGTCACTGGGCGAGACGAAAGTTGCCATTGTCACCGGTGGTGAAGCGCTGGCATCTTGTACGCACGCGCGCTCCCCGCTGCACATCTCCCAACATCATGCTAACAACGTGAAGTATCCGCCTGCGCGGCCGCGAAGAAGTTGCCACCTCCGGGATGGACCAAAGTCACAGAAGAAGTCAACTCCGTCTTCTCTCCCACCACTCGCCAATTGAAACCAAGTGCGTTACCTACCAACTGGACTCCACCTCGCTCCGAAGCATCTAACAATCCAGACATCGGAGCCAAACACTCCTTTGGCAATCCCATCCAAGCATATCCCATGCTTGAGAACAGTTTCCGCGCACATCGAAATCAGTCTTGGGCGGAGAATCATGCCGAGTCGGCGGAGATGTACGCCGAGTTCGCTCAGGTGGCGCAGAGAAACCCCCACGCCTGGTCTCACAGCGGCCCCGCGCATACCGCAGAGAGCATTGGGACTGTGTCGCGGGAGAATCGGATGATATGCTGGCCCTGTAAGTCGATCAAATGTCATTAGAGGATTGTTCCACTGCTTATGCGCTTAGATCCGCTCCTGATGAACGCTTTCAACACCGTCAACCTGGCGGCCGCTTGCATCATCACATCTACAGACTATGCGAGGGAACTTGGCGTCCCGTCAGATCGTTGGATCTACCCTCTTGGGGGTGCCGGCACCACCGACCAAGACAATCGTAAGCTCATGCATGCTTGGTTCCCCGCAAGCGTTCCTGTCTAATTGAGATGATTCCAGTATGGAACCGTGCCGAACTCTGGTGGAGTCCAGCGATATCACAATCTCTTGACGCATGTATCGAGGCTTCAGCAGTCGATCAGAGCGACATCGACCTCTACGACTTTTACTCGTAAGCTATCAACGATGACCATGCGAAGATAGGATATCTGACGGCTGCACAGCTGCTTTCCAATCGTTCCAAAACTAGCCGCCGCTCATCTCGGTCTGTCCACGAGTAAGGGGTCCAAGCCCATCACCCTGCTGGGCGGTCTGACGTCGTTTGGAGGGGCGGGGAATAACTATTCCATGCACGTGAGTGATTCCTTTCCCTTGAGATCCACTCCATCTCATGAACAACGCCCTGCAGGCCATCACGGAAATGACACGACAGCTCCGTGCACGCAAGGGCAGGATTGGTCTCATCCTTGCGAACGGAGGCAACGCAACATACCAATTCGCCGTTTGCCTTTCGACGAGCCCCCGACAAGATGGTCTCCCGTATCCGACGACCGCGCCTCTGCCACCAAAGATCACCAACGTCCATGTCCCGAAAGTGGTAGATCAAGCCGAGGGAGATGCAGTTGTGGAGGTTGGTAATATTGTCCAAGTTTGAGCGCAAATGGCTAATAAGCTTTAGACGTATACGGTGCAGTTCAACCGGGATGGGACTCCCCAACGAGGTATTGTCATCGGGAGACTGAGGGAGAATGGTAGCCGCTTTATTGCGAACGACGCAGATGATGCCACCCTGACACAGCTGTGCAGCCGGGAGGTAGAGCCGATTGGAAGGAGTGGGAAGGTGAAGGTCAGCGACGACGGCCGAAATGTCTTCACGTTCCATGGGGATCAGGCGAAGCTGTGAGTCTTCAGGATCCATATAATCGTTCTGATAGACAGCGTCGTGTTCGGAGCTTACCCGAGCAACGCTTACGATGACGGAATGTTTGGGCTTCCGAATATTCGAAGCAGATGATTGCTTACGCCAAACCGAGTTTCATGATGCACTACCAGGTTTCTAGGTCAAATGAGCATGTCAACAAATGCGTCGGGGCCAGCGTGCCACCATCAGCTCCCAAGTGACAAGCGTGCGTGCGAACGGCCTATGCCGAACACGAAGCATTCAGATGGAAATGTTGCGCCGATGAGACACATCCACCACCCTCTCACTGCCCTCCGTCTCCCTGATCTCGAATGGCCAGTTGACCTCTTGCACAATGAGATCGCCAACACGAGCACACACAATCCGCTCCACACCATGCTTCACGTGGGCTTCGCGGTGAAAGTCTCGTACAATCTCCTCCAAATGTTCTACAGAAAGCGTCAGCGCATCGTGCATATCGAGGAAGACCTGCATGTACTCTACCTTTGCGGTCGCCGTGCTCCAAACCACGGATCAAAGGCTCATATGTGAGCATCCATGCCAAGAAGGCATCGCTGGCTGAGCGGGGGGCATATGTACACCATCCTGCTCCTTGACCGGGTGACACGAGGATCTTGGTGGGCCGGACGGGGTGGTAGGTGACAACGTTTTCGCGGACGTAGTCGAGGTGCTCATCGTGCCGCTCAATGTTCTCGATGCGGTGTTCGAGTCGCTGCATGGTGGAATAGGTATGTGTATTGGTGTGGAGGTCGATAGATGGAGAGATGAATGTATTGCTGAGGATCGTACTGTGAGGGTGATGTTGCCAGTGGATGAAAAAAGTACAGGGAAGAAGGACAAGTTAGTATACCACCACCTGAAGGCATGAAGGTGAGAGGAGCCTATGGCGTTCCTTCTCAGCTGACACTCTCCTCGGAAATGGAAGCATTCGCGACGGCATCAGGGTGCAGGTGCAGTGAAGGAAACATGGATTCAAAAAGCAAGTGCTAGGTACCTGGGGCAACAATCCAAACAAAACCAAAGCAAGCGCCTCGCCTCTTGCCGCCGGCGGCCGCTCACGAGCTACCCAGTCGGTTGCACCGTTCAGCCTGGCAGGACCAAAAGCCTACATACAAATCATGTCAATCGTGCTCTCACCGCATTAGCCCAGCGCGCATGTATTTTCTCCCAACGCCCACCACATCCTTCCACTACCTTACTTGTTCAGCACAGCTTCGTACAGAGCCACGAGAATGCCGACATAGCTTCCAATCATCATGCCCTGGTAGCCACCAATCATGGACATGCTCACAGCAGAAATGGCCCGGCGATCGATAAGCCCGAAGTTGTAGCCTTGGCCGTAGATGATGTAGGTCAAGAGGGCCTTGGCCACGTTGAAGATGAGCGGATCGAAGCCGTGTCCGGCCGCGGTGACGGCGCGAGTGCGAGGGCGCCTGGCATCACGCGTGCTGACGTTGTAAAAGTAGCTGAACAAGAGCGGGATGAAGATGGAGGTGGAAGACCAGAGCAGCGTGTTGTACCAGAAGCCGCCCGTCACCAGCTGGAACAGATCTGGCAAGGTGATGGCGTAGCTGGGCGTGGACGTGCGGCCGAGACGGACGGAGGGGACATCAAATGCATATCTCCGGGGCAAGACGGTGTTCTGAAGTCCATAGGCCTCGAGGGCGAGAGCAGTGGCTTGGACGGCCAAGCCGGAGCTGCAGTGCTCGCGGATGGTATCGGCGATTTCGGGAATGCGCGTGTCGTTCCAGATGCTGCTCAGGCCGGAGTAGAACTTCTTCGTCGCGTCCTCGACATCGTCTGCGACATCGGCGGGGGAAGCCGGGAGCAGCTGAGAGCGCCTGCGGACTTTGTTGACGGCGGGGGTCAAGGCGTTGTTGATGGCATTGCTGGCCGCGGCCACCGCTCCGGACGGGGACAGATTCGCAACATCCTCGTCGCTAGAATTTCGGTAAGTGAGTGCGCGCAAGTGGAGAGGGCAGACTGGATGCGCGGCGCATACCCGACCTCTGGCTTGACCTTTGTCGTTCTCCTCCCCCGCGCCTTGACCACACTCTTGACTTCGCCATCGTCGCTCGTCACGGCGCCAGCGCTGCTAGATCTGGCCTTGAAGGGGGTGCGACGCGTGTCGAAGTAGGGCTGGAAGGAGGTATTGCGCGCCAGGCGCGTCGAGTTGGCCTGGAGGTACTTGTCGAGGTTGTCGATGAGGTCGTCTTTGCGCACATCGTCGTCTCTGCGCATGGTTAGTGTGGGTTGGACTGGCGCATGGCGCATGGGCAAACTGACTGCTTGAGGCCGGCCTCGGCGGACAATTCCAGCAGCGCCTGCTTCTTCTGTTTGCTGAGCCACGAAGTCATCGCGACGAGTCTGGTGTTGCGCGGCGCGTAGTCGTGTGTTTTGCGATGGGGAGGAGGGAGATGCGATGATGTGTTTGTCGGGGCGAAAGCTATGCAATCATAACGTGCTCTGCGCTGCGCCGTGACAAGGATGTCGGGATGGATGCGACGCGTGGGGAAGGTGGTGGTTGTTATGGAAAGCAGAAGTGTCAACACGCCTAGCTGCTTCGGGGCTAGCGCGGAAGATCAGCCGACCTTGGCCCGAATCAGCCGTCGATGGGGAGAGAGCGCAAAGGAAGCGTCTCTACCGAAGAGACGAGCAAGCGTGGCGTAGTTGGAGCGAGGCGGCGGAGATTGCGCTTCGAAGGGATGAAGCTGGCAATGCCTCCATCTGCGCGATCGAGCTCGTCAGCACCTAGCTTAAGGTGAGGTTGTCCCAACGTCATCGACGGGAACGGAGGTCGGAGCTTCCACCCAGTCCCTGGAATTTTTCGGCCGACTCATCGAGCCATCTCTCAACACCGCCGCTCCAAACTTGCTCATATATGTACATCTCACCTCGCCGCCTCATCCACCGGTCAACCCCCTCTTTCAAGTGCACATCAAGTGTACCGTTCGCTTGATGCTGTAACGATAACGAGAGACAACCTTCACATGACACTCGGCCAACTGGCTGAACGACTCACCCAATCTCCCCTCCAGTACATCAAAGATGGAAGCAAGGACACATCGACCGTCGCAATGGCAGACATCCAGGGACGGCAGGAAGAAGTCTTTCAGCCGGATACTGTCGCCCTCCCCGACACCCCCACCAACGACCTCGTGCCGGAGTACCGCCCGCCGTACATCCACGCCATGTTAGCAGGAGGACTTGGTGGCACGATGGGAGACATGTTGATGCACAGTCTGGACACGGTCAAGACCAGACAGCAGGGTGACCCGCACATGCCGCCCCGCTACACAACCATGGCGAACACGTATCGCACCATCTGGAGGCAGGAAGGCGTGGCACGTGGCCTTTATGGCGGCATCACACCCGCCTTCCTCGGCTCCTTCGCCGGCACGCTCCTCTTCTTTGGCGGATACGAGTACAGCAAGCGATTTATGCTCGATCACGGCGTCGCCCCCACCGTCGCCTACTTCTCCGCCGGCTTCGTGGCAGACTTGTGCCTTAGTCCGCTATATGTTCCCACGGAGGTTTTGAAGACGAGGCTTCAACTGCAGGGCAGACACAACAACCCCTTCTTCAACTCTGGCTACAACTATCGCAATACCATGGACGCTCTACGCACCATCTACCGTACCGAAGGGCTCGCCGAGTTCTTCTCGGGCTACAAGGCCACCATCTGCCGAGACTTGCCCTTCTCCGCCTTGACATTCGCCTTCTACGAACAGGAGCAGAAGCTGGCGAAACGTTGGGTGGGCCCGGGCAAGGATATTGGCTTGTCGCTTGAAATCCTGACGGGTGCAAGCGCGGGCGGGATGGCGGGAGTGCTGACATGTCCCATGGACGTGGTCAAGACGCGCATTCAGACCGAGTTGGACCCGGATGTTGCTGCCGCGACGAAGCAGAAGAAGCAGGAGAAGCGCGAGAAGAAGGCGGCGGCGCGAGCATCTGCTGGCAAGGGGGCTTCGCGGAAATTGACCGCCACCCAGCCATCTGGCCATCCGTCTCATCAGCAGAGGCAGACCATCTCCACTCTCAGCCCGAGCACCACGCTCAAACGACATGGCCAGGTGACTCTGGACACGGAGAGCGTGATCAAGGCGCTGCGCATTATATACCGCACCGAAGGCATGGCGGGTTGGTTCCGGGGCGTGGGGCCGCGGTTTGTCTGGACGGCGATGCAGAGCGGGACGATGCTGTTGGTGTACCAGAAGCTGCTCAAGTTCTTCGATGCGCATCCCGTCTTTGCGCAGGCCGCGGATGATGTATAGTCAGAGGCCACCACATAGGGGTGGAGTGAAGATAGACATCCTCAATATGATACCAGTTATTCCGGTTCACGCCATCCTGCTTCACGTGACGTTACTTACTGCGGTCGAAGGCTCACGAGGACACCGATGCCCGATTATTCAGTGGCGCTTCCAGAAGCTTCCTCTTCACGGGCACGCGACCAAAGATCTGACTATCCTCGTCGTGGCTATCTGTTATGGTGACAGTCAATTGGTCCAATTTCTTGCGACTGATACACCACGGCTGCGCATTGTCCGAAGTCAAGTCAGCGAGACTAAGGCCCTGACGGTGAAGTGAGGTCGAACTCGTCGCGTACCTCGCCGTTGTGGCGCGTGGCCGAAAGTTTGAGTGGCAACGGCGCACGGCAACGTCATCGCCCGAAATCTAGCAGTTTGGCCATCTGCGAGCTGCGCACGCGTCAAACTTACCATCTTTCGGCCCTGTCACCCTGCAAACAATGCCCCGTCGTTTGCGATAGCTCGTGCTCCTGCCGTCCCGCCCGTCTCACAAAGCACCCCGACCTCCACCGACGAAAGTGAAGGCGCCAGGAGCCGGTCAGGCAGACAAAGGCACCGCTTGCTCTGCGCTTGCCCGGCAAACCTGTTTCCGACTACAACCCTTCCTCCTCCCATCGCCGGTACATCTACTGTCGCCCATCTCCCTCCACCCTACATCCTCCCTTATCCTTCGAGCCTCACCCCCAACCTCATCACCATGAGCAACGGCCGGCCGCGCGACATCGTCTACTGTCACGAATGCGACAACGAGTGGTACAGAGACGAACATGGCCTCACTTGCCCCAGCTGTACCAGCGACTTCACGGAGATAGTGGAGTCCGCTAATGATCCTCGCGGCAGCGAACAGCATGAACCCGAAGACTCTGCGCCGGCTGGTGGCTATGGCGACTACTACGCCCCAGCGCCCGACCCCGATGAGGAGGATATAGACAATCTTCGGTGGACACAGACGGGGCCTGACACGTATCGGTTAAGGGGAACCTATCGCACCGATATCCCCATCACTCCGGGCACGAACCTACAACAGCCAGGAGCTGCGCAACCGGGTTTGATGGGAATGGTGGGCAGTGTCTTGCAAAATATGCTTGGTGGGGGCCAACAACAGCAGCAGCAACCACAACCGCAACAACCTCAGTCTCCTCAGCAACCCAGGAGTCAGTCACCGTGGGAGGAAGGCGGGCAAAGACCCGGTATCCCGCCCCACCTCGCCGCTCTCCAACGATCCCCGACCCCCGGCTCACCCCCTGGCAACGGTACTTTTGTGCGCCATGGCTCGGGGCCGGGCTTCACTTATACCATTGCAACCACGGGTACTTCCAACTTCGGCGGCGGCGGCGGCGGCGGCGGCGGCCATCTGCTCCCCCGAAATGCAAATGGTCCTCAGCCCTTCCAACCTCAGCCTGATCACATTGAACAAATGCTCGCACAGCTGTTTGCCAACATTGGCGCAGGTCCCGTGGGCCCGGATGGTCGTATGCAAGGAGCAGGCCAGATGGGCGGGCCCATCATGTTTGGCGGTCCGGGTGGTCAGGTGCGCGGCATGCCATTCGGCGACATCTTCCAACTCTTTGGCCCTCCTGGGGGAGTTGCCGGCGATGCAGTCTACAGTCAAGAAGCTCTGGACCGCGTCATCACGCAATTGATGGAGCAACACCAAGCCGGCCATGCCCCTGGCCCTGCGACGGAAGCCGCCATCAAGTCCCTGCCCATCAAAACCATCTCCAAAAGCGACCTCGGCGAGACGGGGAAAGCCGACTGCAGCATTTGCATGGACGAGGTCCCTGTCGGCGACAGCGTGACGGAGCTGCCGTGCCATCACTGGTTCCATGCAGACTGCATCCGCGCGTGGCTCAGCGAGCACGACACCTGCCCTCACTGCCGGCAGGGCATCATGCCGAAGGATGGCGACGCCAACTCTTCCCGGCCACGCCAACCCAATCAGGCGCCCAGGCACGACATGCGAAGTCCCGAGTACACCCGACCGAGTGATGTCCCCGGCGCCTATCCGTTTCCCAGGCAGAATTCAGGCCAAGCGGGTGGAGACGGAACCCAACAAAACCCATACACCGTGCCCAACAGTCCGAACATGTACCAACCGGGTAGCCCTAACGACGACAGGCGGAGGAGTAGCGGCAACGGCATGTTCAGTCGTATGCGCGATGCTTTCGGTGGTGGTGGGTCAAATGGGGGCCGAGGATGAAGATGCATCCATCTCCCTGGACCCTGCATGACGGTACGAAAGCTAGATGAGAGCAATGAGTTTGCTCACACGGGTTGGTAATTACTATAGAGACGCGGCCACGCCAGCCACCAACGACCGACGATTTCGCCAGCACCCGTACCCGAGCCTCGACCTTCCGCCGCCTCCGCCGTACCACCAGCACCTTCAGCCTGCGTGCCCGGTCGTTGAGTCGCTCAGTCCTCTCCCCCTGGCGCCGTCTCAGAGCACGCAGAGTGCAGAGGCGGCGCGAGCGGCAGCGTCGGGAAGAGCAGGAGCGCGCGCTCGTAGCTGTGCACGACAGGGTGGCCGAGTTGCAGAGGCAGTATTCGCGGTTCCGGCATTTGGAGGAGGATGGGGCGGAATCAATCTCCATTCTGGGCTTGATGAGCGGCGCCCGTCGGTCGACTTCTGAGTGCTGATCTCGCAATTGGATAATGGAGATCATCGATCTGGTCTATAGACACGATTGGCGCGTCATCGAGCGTTGGCCTACGACCCTAAGCTACGTGACACACTTCTCATTCCCCGCCACAGATGGCGGAAGCCGACCTCTGGCACCCCTTTCTTCTATCTACTCTTACATTTTAAGATCTCTCCAATCCACAGGCATGCCTTCAACGAGACCGACAACGCCCCACGCTCAGCCCGCATGCTCGACAATCTCACTAACCAACTTGCCCCCTTTCACAACCGTCCGTATCTGCTCGGGAAGCGGGTGCTCCGTAGAATCCTCCTCCTCCTTCTCCGCCGGCAACACAATGTTAATACTTGAGCACTTGCTGGTAAACACCTCGGTTGATAGACTCTCCTTGCTCAAATAGATGCTCGCGCCATCCACCTGGTCCAGCAAGACGGTGGGCGCGGCGCCGGTGATTTGCACCGCGAAGCCGGGGCATTTAATGACGTCGATGCTGCTGACAAGGGAGTCCACGAGGATCTGCGTCTTGGGGCTGTTGTCGATGGAGATGGCGTTGGCCTTGCCCTTGAGGATGATGGTCGTGTTTTTGCATTTGGTGATGAGGACGGACTGCGTGAGGGTGACTTCGATTTGGACGGGGGAGGAGGGAGAGTCGTAGTCGGAGATGAGCCATTTGTTGCCGTCCAGCTCTTTCTTTGCCTCCTTCTTGGCCGTGGCGGTGGATTTGAGCGAAGCGGAGCTGCTTTGTCGCATTGAGGCTGGCTTGGGCTTGACTTCCGGTCCCGGGCTGCGTGAGCGGTTGATTTCGGCAGACGGGGAGGCGTCGGGGACTGTGCCGCCTGCGCGTAGAGCGGGGTTCTTGTGCGTCATTTGGGACTTGTCGACCTTTTTGAGGCCGGCAGTGACGGACTCGCCCTTGTTGAGTTGTTCGAAGACGGCGCCCATGTCACTACCACCCGCTGCTGCAGTGCTGACTCCGCGAGCAGACGAGGCAGAAGAGGAAGTGACATTGTCGAACATGGGAAGAGGCGGGGGAGGTGGCGGCGGTGGAGGAGGAGGAGCGCCAGCGCTTGAAGCTCCGCCTGCTGCTGTTGTTGATGATGTCGAAGGCTTAGGGCCGGAGCCGGCCTCCTGATATGCACGCACGGCATCATCTTCACCCTTGCTATTCCAGGTCAATCCGACGGGGTATTGCTTCTTGATGTATGCTTTCAGAGCTTCGAGGAGGGCGTAGTAAGAGCGGACATATTTGACATGGGCTTGGTCGCTGTGGGGAGTGGGGGTCAGCGAGGCGATGACGGAGGTCGTGGGGTTGGTATGCACTCACCCTTCCTTGTAGGCCTTGAGAACCCGGTTGCCGTACAGTTGTGCGCCACCAATGACCTCGCCAACGAAATCCGCTGGCTTCCCATCCATGATCAACCATTGCAGAGCCTGAATGCCCTCGCCCACCATGGCTAGATGCTCTTTCATGGGGGAGGCGCGATTGCTATCCCGGATATCCCCGATGGTGCCCATGTGGTGTTGTAGATCGGTGAGGAGGTCCATGAAGGACTTGGACTGCGGATCGGGCTTCTTGGCCTTGGTACTGACGAGTAAGAAGCGGCGTTGGTCGGAGAATGCTTGTGAGACGGCTTGCGACTGTGCGAGGGATGGGTCAGCAAGTAGCGTTGATACTTTGCACGCCTTGAGTATCTCACCTGCTCTTGCACGAGGGCATCCAATCCCGCGCCTGCGGCCACGAATGCGGTAACGTGCTCTGATATCAGCTCGTCCATGGCCTGAATGCTGGGCGGAAGATCTTCTTGCTTTGTGGGGACCACGGTGGACGAGGTGGGTGCGCGCGACTGCAGGCCGGGCAAGTTGGGCTCGCTTCGAGTGCCATGCTGCAAGGTAGAGTCGCCGGTTGAGGAGGGAAGGCCATTGGCTTGGTCGAAGTTGTGTTCGGGGGCGCCGGAGGAGTTGGCAATGTCTTCTAACCGCGAGGTTGCCGCCTCAAGTCTGTAGATGAGGTGGGTCAGCGAGGAGGGGTCGTGGATGACAGTGACGGGGGAGACGAGGGTGTGCGAGGCGGAGCCGAGGGAGTCGCTGGAGGGATTGGGATGCTGGGTCATGAGGGAGCTGAGGGCGGGCATGTTTGCGATGAGATGGAGCAGAGGATGGTGACTGACCGCTTGATGAGGGTGACGAGGTTATTGACTCCCTGACCTCCGCCCGGCGCTCCATTGGCTCCCAGCGAAGACATGGTTCGGGTGGATGCGTGCGCGGCGGAAGCAAGGGGAAGGCAGCTCTGCTGGGGTCAAAGACGGGAACGGAGAGCGGTCGTAGCGGTAGGATGCTCAAACGCTCAATGCGCAGGCAGTGCGAGAAGATACATGTATGTACAGGAGATGGGAGGAGGGAAAGTGAGAGCCTGGCAGGCTGTCGTCTGGAGCTGCGACGCCATATGCCCACGCTAGCCTGAAGCTGCCTGAAGCTAACTGGATGTGACGTTGGCCCGGCCGATCGTCCACGTCCGACGCGCAGACCATCGCTCAGACGTGATGAGGTGGATGATTCTGCATCCGACGCAGAGGTACTCCAATCTATCTATGTAGTCCAGTCTACAATCCAGCTCATCCGTCGCCCATAATTTCGTGATATCGTCCGTCGTATAAAGGCATCCCTCCCTCATGAGGGAAAGGTAAAAGGTGGCCTGCGTACGAGCTCCGGGAAGGATGCTCGAGAAGTCTCGGAACTCCACCCGCCACTCGCCCTGGACCTCCGCCGTCTTCGAAGACCTCGAGGCTCGGCTCGCTCGACCAGACAGTCCTCCAATTCGAGTGGCCTCGTCAATCTTGCCCCGCTCGAAGCCTGCTCGGATCGCAACTCCGTCGGAGGATAAGGCCTTGCTCGTAGCCCTGCCGCCGGCTCGTCTTTGTGAGAAGGCCAGAAATCGTCGTATAGATTGTAGATTGTTGCCACCACCGATTGCCGTAAGATATAGAGACCGGCGAATAAGGAGATCATCAGAGCCAGGGGAATGGTGATGGTGCTCAGAAGGAGCAGTGGCACGCCGACGCAGGCGATGAAGAGGATCTCGGCCACAACATTGAGTGACGCAGTCAAAGTGTTGACGGGCCAGGTCACGACGGCCCAGCAGAGATTGGAAGATGTCATCATTCGAGTGTGGGATGTGCAGAGTGTGTGTGAGAAGCTTCCGTTTGGTGAGATACACGCTGTGCGGTGAAGCGAAGCCGATGAATCAGCGAGCCACTCATCATCGCCTCATAGGTACATCTCCTCCATCTACAATCCTTCCACATAGATCTACGAACTCCTGTCTGGCACAATGGATCCTTCCAACAGCGATGCAGACTTCCCATGGCACTTGGGTATCTTCGACGCCCATTGCCACCCCACCGACACCCTGTCCAATCTCCCGTTAATCCCCAGCATGCGCGCCAAAGTACTAACCGTCATGGCCACTCGCGCCCAAGATCAGCAGCTCGTCGCTCAAGCGGCCAACGACATGGGGGTGACGGAAGAAGATGTGGCTAGTGAGGACATGGATTGGAGGTAAGACGGCACCAACATCCAAGGTACTCCCGCCTCACAGCATCAGCCAGACTTTCAAACTGACGCTTCTCCGCCCAGGCAAAGCCACAAAATCATCCCCTCCTTCGGCTGGCACCCGTGGTTCTCACATCAAATGTTCGACGAAGCCGACTACGACGGCGCAACATCCCTCTCCCTCGACCAAAAAGTGGCTCACTATGAAAGCGTGTTAACTCCCACGCCCACCTCCCCGGACTTCCTCCGCGCTCTCCCCCAGCCACAACCCTTTGGTCACTTCGTCTCGCAAACACGCACCCACCTCCAGCAATACCCTCTCGCCCTCGTCGGCGAAGTGGGCCTCGACCGCTCCTTTCGCATCCCCGAGGCCTGGCTACCCCAAGAACTCGAGCAGCGCGATGATGCCCTCACCCCCGGTGGTCGGGAAGGTAGGAAGCTGAGTCCGTACCGGGTGAGCATGGAGCATCAAAAGAAGGTGCTGACCGCGCAACTGCACCTCGCCGGCGAAACGCAGCGCGCCGTCTCCATGCATGGCGTGCAGGCCCACGGGGTGGTCTTTGAAACCCTGGCGGCCACGTGGAAAGGACATGAACGGCATGTCCCCAGTAAAAGGGAGAAGAAGTTGCAGGAAGCTGCCGCCAAACGATCCGCCGAGCCCGCAGAGGAGAAGGTAGAAAGTCCCTCTCCTACTCCCAAGCCGTATCCACCCCGCGTATGTCTACACTCCTACTCCGGGCCGGCCGAAGCGGTGAAGCAGTACGTCGCCCCGTCAGTGCCTTGCGACGTCTTCTTCAGTTTCAGCACGACCATCAACGCCTGGTCGGACTCTGCCGAAGATGGCAAGGTGGAGGCGGCCGTCCGCGCAGTGCCTGATAATAGAGTGCTGGTGGAGAGTGACATGCACATTGCAGGCGATGAAATGGACCATCAGCTCGAACAGGCGGTACGCAAGATTTGTCAAGTTAAGCAATGGCCGCTCGAGGAGGGAGTGAAGCAGCTTCGATCAAATTGGAGGAGATTCGTATTTGGTAGGGAGTGAGACAATCTGCGCGAATGAGATCTAAGACAGTGTGCCTCCCTTGGGGCCACTTCGATTACTCTACGCTACGCTATGCTGAGCAAAACAAATCCCCACCTGCGTCACCATGGATCGCACGGGAATATCACATCATCTATCGTCTAGAGGCGCCTCCAGTACCTGCGGGCGGCAAGCCTCAATCGTACATAGGTAACGACGTCGTCACTGCAACTTTGTGACTTCCTGCACGCTCCCGGCGTCGTCTTCAATACCCTCCTCCAGCGAGAAGGGGTCATCGCCGTGCACCCGCGAATACGGCATGTCGTATCCCAGTGTCTTGCCTGACACCCGCTTCCACCACGGCTGATGCGTTCGATTCTGGGACCGCGACAGCCTCGCGAGAGCAAAAAGTCCGCCAAGGAAGAGGAGCCAGAAGACGCCGAGCGCGACAGGGTTCTGGGCCAGGTCTTGCGCCTCCGCGAGCCAGGCGCCGAACGGGCTGTCTTGTTTCCACCACTCTTCCTCCGCCTGGATGGTAGCGTTTGTAAGAGTCGTCGGCGTCAGTGTGAGGGTGATGTTCGATCTCCCCAACGAGTTGCCCCTTCGGTCCAACGCTTCGACCATGATGTATTTGGAGTAGCCTTCGTCTTCAAGCTTCGTCTCGAAATGCTTACGTGGGATGGTGGAGAGTAGTTTCTTGTGGGCTCCGCACTCATCCGTCTTGTAGAATTGCCACGCGGCCACCTCGGTGGCTCCATTCCAGCTGACATGCATGATGGTCTTGACTTGCTCGCCATCGAGCTCGGTGATCGAGTGGACATCCGGTGGATCGTGGGGGAGCCCGACGAATGGGAACTTGTAGCTGCGGTAGGACTTCAGCCACCTGTGGATCTCAATTAGCATGAGTTCTTGTACATAAGGATGTCTGCTAAGACTAAACGCACTCTTGCTTCACCTGCGCTTCCATGATGACCCGGCCATCAGGGGCATGTTCGCTGTGCAGGCAGGATTCCACCCAGCAGTTGAACACGTTGCCGTTCGGCAAGACTTGCGTTGCTCCTCGACCCAGAATGTAGTTCCCCGGGCCATGAGGATGGGGGTATTCGGCGATCAGTGTCGCCTTCATCGGCTGCTCGTTGGGCTGTATTGCGAAGACCAAGCCACGGGAATACGGCGCGAGATGATCAATCCGATCCTCCGCACTCGCATTGTCGAAGAGGGAGATGATGGTGTGAGTCTCATTCTGTTCGAGAATTCGAGCGTGGTGTTGTCTGGTGAAGGAGAAGTCGGCCTGGAAATCGTTCTTGACACCGCCGAGACGCCAGACGATGCTACCATTTGGAGCGATCTTGTATAGAGCATCGGTGTATCGACCGGATAGGAGGTAGCTGCCGTCTGCAAACTTGTCGAGGGAGTTGGCGTGCAGGAAATCCCAGCCCTGTTGGCAAAATGTCAGTCTCCAGACACGGGGAGGATGTGGATTCACTTACGGCGTTACACCTCCAATCGACATTGCGAGCCTCAAAGGTACTCTCGGCAATGTCAATGTGCTCCGAGGCCATCCATTCAAACACGATCGAGTTGTTGGTCAAGTCATACTCGCGAAAGCCGTTGTCTTGGATGCGACACGCCCCGTCGAAGCCCAGTGCGCTTGAGCGCGCCTTGGAAAGTGAATCCCATTTGTCGAAGAAGTAGAGCGCTCGCGTACCCGAGTCGACAAACTGCAGCTCGTGCATGTTGTCGTGCTCGTACCTCCGTTCCACGGTGGGGAACTTTTTGACAATGTTGAAATGGTTGTCGAGGACCAAGGCTGCTTGATCATGGGGGTAGAGCCAGGTGAGCATCTCCTGGCCCAGGACATTGCTAATGCGAAAGTCGAACGAGTCGTACTTCTGACTTAGGTACTGCAGGCGCGGCGATCGTGTCAGCGGCAGGGGGGCCAAGTGCTGGGACGATGGGGCGAACGTACTGAGCCGCTCCATACGAGCTCTCCATTGGCATCAAAGATGTGAGGAGCGTTCCACAGGCCGCCTTTGCTTCGCCATTGATCGAGGTAGTCGTATGTCTCGACGAACCAGTAGCCCGGGCTGACGAGGTCGGGCTCGTAGACGGTGACGTTCCATCTCGGCGCTTCAATGTCGGGACGCTGTGCGAAGGCGTCAGTGAGCAAGAGGGAGACAGTAGAGAGGGGGTGTGGTCGACTTACAGTGATGAACTTGTAGCTGTCGACCAATACGTGTTCATCGGGAGCCTGCGCAGTGACCGTATAGGCATACGACAGAGCGAATAGCAGCATGCAAAATGTTCCGCTTCGCATCCTGCTCCTCCTATACGCGAGACAGCCTTGCGTGCGCATGGCCGTGCATAATCCCACGGCACTTCAACGACACACGCACACACGTGCACTGAACTTGGCGACTGTCGTGAACTCGCAGCCTGACGACTCGGCGGACGGGGGGAGGAGGGGAAGAGTGGTAGGGTTGGGAAACAAGAGATGGCCAAGAGCCGTCAAGCATTTTGGCCAAGGCGGGGGGAGATGATGGACATGGGCGGCGCGCTCGTTGCTTGTGACCACGCGGCCCAGGGAAAGCGCTAGACATCAGCGGTGGCGTGGAAGCGAGGGAAAGCAGCAGCAGCGACTCGGTGGGCGGCCAGGCAGGTCTGGTCCTGGCGTGGCGCCACGCCCCGGGGGGCAAGGGCGTAGCATGCTGGCATGGATTGCGGCCAGGGCTGGAATGGGGAAGGTGGAGATGGGGGAAATTGGCGCGGGAAGCAGGCCCTACAAGCAGTGCCAATGGCGTTGCGGAATGCGACTGATTGCCGTCGCTACGGGCGGGCGACACACGATTGCACAGAGGCAAGTGAGACCATGGGAGGAGTTTGCCAGCCGCCTTCCCTACAAGCAGTCGTCTTGTCCGAAGCGGTGTCGAGCAACGTCGGTACCGCGATTCTGGCCACGACGAGAACGTCGAAAGTGCCGAAGCCGACCTAATCGTGCCGCGCTAAGTTGGATGCTCTGGACGCGCTAACATATAAAGACCAGTCAAGGACTTGGCCAGAATGCTTGTGTACGCACGGGCCACGCGTCTAGCCTGTCGGCTGCGGCTGCTTTTGCACGGCTGACGGCACCCCTCCCTCGCTCGAGTCATTACACGTCTGCATTCCTCGGCCTCCTTATCACCGGCCGTGGGGCACATTGTAATAACATAGGCTTCATGTTTTGGTCACATGTACTTTTCCATACCCCTGCTTCCGATTGATTACACTTTACACCTGCTCGTTCACAAACAGCCCCGCCATGCCCATGCCCGTGCCGATGCACATCGACGTCAACAGCACCTTTGCCTTGCGTCGGCGGCACTCGCTGAGTCCGGTCACAATCTGTCGCGCTCCAGTGGCCTGGTGAAATTAGTCAGCGTGAGTTCTCGCGGGGAATGCAACAAGCACGGGTACATACTCCAAGTGGGTGGCCGAGCGCAATGGCCCCTCCTCGAGTGTTCACCTTCTCCCAGTCCAGACCCAGCGTGTCGCGGCAGTAGACCGCCATGGACGCAAACGCCTCGTTCAGCTCCACCAGATCAATGTCGTCGAGGCTGAGATTGAACTTGCCCAGCAGCTTGGGGATGGCGAGAGATGGCCCAATGCCCATGATGCGAGGAGCGAGCCCCGTCACCGTCGCACCCACGTACTTGGCGAGGATGGGCAGGCCAAGCTCTTGCGCCCGCGACCGCTTCATCAACATCACCGCCGCCGCGCCATCCGTCACTTGGCTGCTGTTGCCACCCGTGCTCCGGTTGCCGTAGTCGGGGAAGGCGGGGCGGATCTTGCTCAGGCTCTCATACGTCGTGCCATATCGCGGCCCTTCGTCCTTGGTGAGCGTGACGTCCTTGCCATCCACCTTCACCGTAATCGGCACAATCTCGTCGTCGAACCACCCGGCCTTCTGCGCCACTTCCGCGCGCCGGTACGACTCGGCGGCAAGGCGGTCTTGCTGCTCTCGCGAGATGTTGAAGTCGTTGCCCACATTCTCCGACGTCTGGCCCATGGGCTGCATGCAGTCGGCCGCGTCTTGCGCTCCGTTCAAGATCTCGTCGACGAAGGGCCGGGTGAGGCGATCACCACCCATCGTCATCGACTCGGCACCGATCGCCAGGCCGATTTCGATGGATCCGGTGGTGATCTGGTTCGCAATGTCCTGCACCGCCTTCAAGCCCGAGGAACAGAAGCGGTTGACGGAGGATGCGCTGGTGGTGTTGGGGAAGCCTGCGGCCAGCAGCGCCGCTCGCACGTAGTATGCCGCCTTGGCATCGGACACCTGCAGTGCCTCGTGTCAGTACGGTACCTTTGCCACCGTCATGTTTATCCGCCGAGCTCTTACATTGCCCAAGCATACATCCTCCACCAGCTGAGGGTCAAAGTTCATCTTCTTAAGCGTCGCCTCCAAGATCTTGAAGACAATGCCATCCAGCGGCGTGTCCTTGAGCCCGCCCTTCTTGCCCTTGGTGAGCGGCGTGCGGATGGCCAGGGTGATTACAACATCGTCGGCATGTTTCTGCAGGCTGTGCGCATGCCTTTGTCAGTAGATGTTCGTCGAGCTCGCACGTGAAAACCTGATGGCGGGGTGAAGCTCACATCTTGTCCACGGGCTTCTGGAAGGGGGAGATGTGCGAGAGCACGTTGGAGAGACGTTCGCTGGCCATGGTGCTTGAGATGGTAGATTATGCCGATGATGGGCAGAGATGATGTGCCAAAAGAACGGTGTGGTGCGGTGGCAGCAGTCGCCTTATACATCCCTCGTAAGCAAAACGGCCGAGCCGAGGCATCTCGCCCTCCCAAGCCTTCAAGCCGGCCTAGCCCGAAGCAACGAGGCAACCTCTCCCCTCACTCTCCAATCACGGCGTGCAACGCAAGGTGGCGAGTGCTCCGACCTCATCCAGAAACACACTCGAGGGATGTGAGAGGACTGCAAGTTAAGTCCAGGGCACTCGCATTGCAAAGATGGGCGGAGCAGGCGACGATATCGGGGTCAAGTTCTCCAATGGTTGCCGCATCACTCACGGCACAGGCGCAAACGTCAAGAAACCGTTTGACGACATCCCCTTGACTATGCACGAGCTGTCCCCAAGCAATTCGCAAGGCTTCAAAGGCCAGCTGGGCTTCATCGAGTTCAACTCCGACCTCCGACTGCCTCGACACATCCACATGTCCGCCGACAAGACCAAGCTCGTCGACGAGCGCATCCTCGTCTTGAACGGCGTGGGACTCGTCGAGGTTGCAGGCAAGGTCTATGCAGCCGCTCCTGGCACGCTGGCAGACCTCGTTGGCGGCGTTCCGCACACTTGGACGGCGTGTCCGGCTGGCGTCAAACTGCCGGACGGATCGGTGTCGAATGGCAAGTTCACCATGGTGTATGAATATGAGGAACCGACATCCTTCTTTCCAACCAAGTCAACTACGGTCATCACGGATGTGTCCAAGTATGAGCCGTTTGAGGGCAACGATTACGACGAAATCCGCTTTCCGAAGCTCACTGCTCAGCAGGTCGTTGAGCATGGAGAGATAGTGTTTGATACTGAAGTATGTAAATTGTCACTGGCTTGAGAGCTGTAACCTCAACTCCATTCACGCTTGTCCATCGTGGTACTGTCAACCCTGAATATGGCGCTCGAGGCAGAGTTGATCAGAGGCCTGCGTGATGCCGATATCGGCGGCTGGAGACACGCGCAGCCCGCACCGTCATACTCGGCTTCAATGCCGTGTCTTCTGTAACTGCCGTTGGTGTTTAATGCCGTCTATACGCGACTCGGTCTAAGCTACGAGGATCAGCGCTTCCGAGTCAGCGGGCTCGGTGGCATTTCTCCGTTTCGGGCAGTCCGTGTGGTGAAGCCTTGCCGTACGTAAAAGCGAGAGTTTTCCATCAACGAGACACGATTGTCGAAACTACACGACTTTAGCAAAGCAGCCATGGCATCCACAACCGTCTGCAAGAATGCAATTCACGCTCCCCAGTCGGTCCTCCACCTCCTCGCTCGCCTGCACAAGCAATCATTCGAGCAAGAAGAAATCTTGAAGCGGCCGGATGGAGGCTACAATGTCATCAGCGACACGCTCAAGTCAGATCCCGCCAACACCGAAGCGAAGCGCAATGAGATCATGCTCGACAAATTCATCGCTCTCGATGCCGACAAGGCAGCCTTGGTGTACAGCTTGATCCGCGCGACTGGTGCTTTGAATGTGGTTGAAGCTGGGACCAGCTTTGGTGTGAGCACCATCTACCTCGCCCTGGCAGTTGGGCAGAATGCAGAGGCAGCGGGAAAGACATCGGCACAGGCAAAGGTCATGGCCACCGAGTTCGAATCTTCCAAAGCGACCCAGGCGCGCAAGTATTGGAGAGAGGCTGGAAGCAGCGTTGAGCCGTGGATTGATCTCCGCGAGGGCGATTTGTTGCAGACATTGAAAGGCGACTTGCCCGTCATAGATTTCGTGCTCCTGGACAGTGAGTTGGTACCAAGAGTAATGACCGCGGACTCGCTGACTCGAATCACAGTATGGACGCCTATGGTTGTCCCAACCCTCGAGCTGCTGGAGCCTCACTTTCGACCCGGCACGCTTCTCGTCGCTGACAACACCGTCACATCGGCCAGCGGCTACCAGGACTTCTTCAAGCGGATTTCGGCACCAGGAAGCGGGTATCGTACGTTGACACTGCCATATAGCGGCGGTCTCGAGTTGGTCACCTACTGGCCCAAGGCGTGATAGCTGGCTTGCCGTCGTACGAAAGCTGCTTTGTCGAGTTGGCATGGGCGAACTCTCGAGTCGGTCCATGTTGCCAATTCTGAGCCTCTCCTGCTTCCCGTCTTGATACCTTGCTCCTGGTAGACCATCGCCGCTCGCCGTCCTCCAGTCCATCGATAGGTGTCCAGATGTACCCCGAGCCTGTCAGGCAATACGTCTCTTCAGAAATTGTCGAAGTGTGTCTCCCCTTCTTTTGTCCCGGCTTTGATCTTTGCCCTCCTCTCCTTGTCAAGTGATACCCTGAATGGCGATCCGAGGCCAGTTCCCCGGACTGACGATGGACCCGACGTTGCGTATTTGCTGAACATCTCGCCGTATCGAAAACACGGGTGAACTGTCTCAGGCTGGTGAAACCGGTGTCAGCTGGCCGTAAAGGAGCTCGCATCTGCCAAACAAAGCGTGACATATTCGTTCCACGCGTCACGGCGGTTGCTGTCTCTGGTCGTCGACGCGTCTAGCATCTTCTGGATTATGCGGAAGCATTGAGAAGCATGGTGGGAATAGCAAGTGAACAAAGAAATCATATTCTCCGCATCCGGTCGTTGAAAGACAAAGCGTTCTCGCCTGCATTGTCTCTACCTGGAAGACAAGCATTTGCGAAACATGCTCGTCGATGTCTCATATTCGTGGGAACCCCGAACAAGCCGGGAACTTCTCGTTGTCTTGGTCAATTGTCATCAACACAAACAGCTTGCTGCGTGTTCTTTGTCGAAAAAGACATATACGCGCCGTCTTCTCCCTTCCTGCTCCTCTTCTCGTTCCTCACGCCGGGGGATGGTGTTGTCCATCTCTGCACCATTCAATATAATCCATTCACTCACTCATATAGCCAATGTGAAGGCTGCGTTGCTGCAGTGACAGCATGGGGGGACTGTGCGCGTCGCGTTTCAGGTATGTTCTGTGACGTTCGACCAGCCACTCCTTTTCGCACCTTCCACATTCGGTGGTGTATAAATTCTTGCTCCTCCTCCCCTACACCTTTAACACCACTCTCCGACATCGACACCAGCACATCCCGCAACCCCTTCCATCATCGACGTCCATCTCCATCACCATCAGCTTATACCAACCACAGTCCTCCTGAACGCAGCAAACATGCAAGGTGAGCCCTGAAGAACTGGCACGCAACCCTTTGAAGATGCTGACCGCTCGAGCAGCACAATCAGCCACTCCCGCGCAGGCTCCTGCTCCTGCACCAGCACCTGTCGCAACGATCGGTCAAGTGCTCGCTGCAGCACCACCGCCTCCTGCCGAACGAGTCACGACGGCAACCAACTTTCAGAGCCGCATCCAGAACTCGGCCTCTGGGTACGGCGACCTCATTCAGGGCCGGCCACCATTCAACGCGCAGCCGCCGCTGAACGTTGACATCACCATCACGGAGATCTGCACGTTCTTCCCGAGCTGGTTCCTGCTTCCCGAGGTGGCAGTGCGTGCTGTTCGCAACGGCTGGGGCCGGCGTGATATCGCCAAGGCACAGCTGCACGCGGCCAACCTTCTCGACAGGGAGAACCTGTCAAAAGCCGAGAACCGCATCCAGAAGCAAATCTCGGATGGCGGAAAGCATTTCTGTGGCTTGTGGGGGGCGGAGGATGACCGTTGGAACTCGGAGGAGCAGCGGATGGCGCTCGGTCAGGATGACGGTGAGTTAATGATGCCCATGATAACTAAGTTCGCATGCTAACGCGTGATTCGCAGACCTGACAGCGAACGACTGGAGCTTCCGACCGCCGAAGCGCGGGCTTCCACCAGTATATGGCCATGTGAAACTGGCAGACCTTGTGAACGGCGTGGTCAACCCACCTGACCCGCTCGACCAAGGTCTTGTGACCAAGTGCATCGCCTTCGCTGCCAGCAACCCTCACTTGGACCTCGACACCTCGCACTGGGACTGGGTCATTCAACAGCTCAGTGCAATCGGATCACCATCACCACAGCGCCTGAATGCGCAATACGATATTCAGGCGGTGGAGCGGCTTCGAGCCAACGTCTCTGAGCCATGAGGGTGCTGGATCTGGTGACTTGCGGTCAGGAGGTCAAGGGGCGGCGTCAAGATGAGAAGCCAAGATATCAGGGGTTCGTCGAGATCATCAGGTGTTCATCATGCAAATAACGAGGACTGTGAAGTGACGTTTGCGTACTGGAATGTGCTTTTCAGTCGACTCCACCTATCCTATTCATTCCCACTTTCCTTGAAATTCCTCCGGTAGTCCGTGTCACCTTCAACTTCGTGCACCGGGAAGAAGCGTTGAAAGTGGCCCAGATGCTGAATCGGGCTGTACATCTCCGACGGCGGGCTCATCGGGCTTTCCAGCTCCGATCGCGTATTCTCAGCGCTGATTTCCACCGAGTCCGCATTCGATGGCGGCGCTGACCAGCTCTCGCGGTGATCGACCTCCTTCTCCGTTTCAATGGCACTACGCTTCGCTGCCTTTCCGCGGCGGTGCAGAACGATGCATATCACAGCCACCACGAGGGCTACCACTGAAGCGGCCACAGCCACCCCTATGCCTGCCTTGGCACCAGTGCTCAGGCTGCCATTGCCGCTTTTCTTCGTATTATTCGTGGCAGGCGCAGCAGTCGGGGCCGCTGCTCTCGTGATGGTAGTCTTTACCGTGGTGGGGTACGTAATCGAAGTTGAGGTTACCACACTGCTGGTATCGACGCCGGTGGTCGTGGAGCTCGATGCAGCGGTGGTCGAGGCCGAATCACCGGCGATCGAAGTCCATTGTGAGGGCGCGACAGCCGAGAAGGTGTCCGATGTGGGCGTGCCATTACATCCATCGTCTCCACAGCATTGCCATAGCTGCTCTGAAGCGTTCCACTGAATGAAAGCCGATTGGTACTGGGCTATGCGTTTGGTCAGTCTCGAGCATTCGTTCGGCCATCAACGGGGATGTCTGACGTACTGCAACTCGTTCTGCATACCGGATCGTTGTAAGTGATGTCGGTACACCCCGCCACAAACCAGGTGTTGTTGACGCTGGTTCCCAGCACTTGTCCGGGTGACGCATGGCAAAGAGAATCGCTGCCACACTCCGAGCCAACTAGGCAACACGTCTCTGCACCGCTGGACGACAGTGCAGTCCCCCCGCACGCAAACCAGTTCTTATCCTCGTAATAAATGTTGTCCAGAGCGCGAGCATAGCATTTCTGCTGCGCTCGCGCACTTCCGATACATTGCAACAGCCCGATGGCGATGAGACATGGTGTACAATGCCATCGTGAGAGTGTCATGTCGTGATAGCGTGTGGCGAAGAAGGGCTGATAGTGGGAGGGAGGTATCTCGGTCGATTCCTGGTGTTTCGAGGCAGCGTCTACTCCGTCAATTAGAAGCGGAAGCCCATTGCAAGCCTTCGATACTTAATTGATCAATCATTGTGGCAAGCTGGACTACTTCTCTATATATCCGGGCCTTGATTTGTCCGAATGGAAGGAGAGGGGAAGCAGGGTCTAAGCCTCGCGCGCCATTGTAATCCCAGCTTCCCAATGCGGTAATTTTGTTTCCTGAGTAAGCGTCCTCTGAGCCCCAGCAACGTGTGGGGTGTCTGCAGGCACAGGGTCTAGTCATCACCGAGTGAGGGTACATGGGGCTGATCGGAAAAGTGACATCCGTCATCATTCGTAGCGCTCAAATCATAGCCTACCTATGTCGCCATGAGAGAAAAATCCATGTCGTCCCTTTGCAGTCGTATACAACTTATGATCGTCAGTGCGCCTCGCCCTCCTCGGGCTTCCTAGCGTGGATGAAGTACCTTCGTCTCGTCAGTATCTCGTAGTGTTGAACAGATCAATCGCCGCACTTACACCGTGGTCTGCGCTTGCATCTCCCCCGAATCCACTTCCTGGGCCACGCGGGCGGAAAACACTTGAAACTCCTCCAGCTGCCAACCCAGTACACGAGTGAAGATACCCACGGAGTTGCGGGCCGCTTCTTTCATGTTCTTGGTCTGCGCAGCGCCAATAGTCTTGTTTTTCCGGCCTTTCGGCCAAGTGCCCACCGGCCATTCTATTGATCGTTCAGCTGGGGACGTTCAAGCAGGAGCGTATGTCGGCAGACTAACCTTGAGTCGCAACCTCCACATCCACGAAACCCGCCGCTCGCAGCATGTCGCCCAACATAGGCGGCGCGTTGAAGTCCCGCCCCATCTTGTGCATAGCCTCCGAGATGTACTTGCTCAATTGCACGAGATATGGCTCGGGAGGGTCGGGCTTGTTTCTGCAGACTACCAGGCCATGATACTCGTGCAGCTCGATATAACCTCCAGGTCTCAGAGCTCTGCTGATATTCAGCCATCCGTCATACTGCACACGCTGCCGGGAAACTCACTCGTATACTCTTTCAATCAACTTTGCCCAGTCGGTCACTGCCAGAGTCAAGGCGGCGGTATGAATCAGGTCGTACCGCTGCTCGCTCACCCAGTCCGCGTTGCAGTCGTCTACGTAGAAGTAACAGTTCGGTGGCACCCTGATCCGAGTCAGTGGTTGCGAAAGATGCTCATTGATCTAAGCTGGGGGTCTTACATGGCGGGTTGAATTGGACTGTTGCTAGCTGTTAGTGGTCCGCCGTCGCAACTCCATTCAAGTAAACACACCTGATATCAATGCCCTCTACTTTGGCATCGGGAAGCTGGCTTGCGACTTCCATACACCATACCCCCGTCCCCTGGTATGCGGAGTCAGCGTCAAAGATCTTAAACCCAGTTTATGAGGGCTGTGGCGGCAGCTTACGCAACCGATATCCAGGACATTTCGAATCTTCTCCGTCGGCATCGGAGAGAAGAACGCCCGACCGTCGAGCGCAATCCGAAAGATGTGATGTTGGAAGTCGAGCCGGTCCTGCTCGGTTTCATCGTTGGGCAAATGGTAGTCACCCGCTCGAGGGGAATGATATCTTCGACCGTGCTCGAACCGGTAGTCTGTCACGGATTCCGTGAGGCTTCCGCTGTCGCTTCTAATGGGATGTAAGCTTGCACGACCTTATCGGCTACGGTTGAAGACTTACGATCCGCGTAGCGTTCCAAGTGCCGAGTCGTCATCCTCGAAAGTATCGCCTTCGTCGTCTGCCTGCGGGAGCTGTCAGCGCATGGGGCTCCCTCAGTCAGTCTAGTGAAAGCGAGCGAGCCATCTCGCACCTCTAATGTCGTCGTTGGCATCACCGCCGGCGCAGGACCCGATGCAGCAGGAGCGTCGTCTCTCTCTTCATGTTTCCCGTCGGCTCGCACCTCTTGGCTCGGCTGCTCGTCTACTCCCGCCGCCATCTCGAGAATCTGAGATCGCACGGTACGGTGTGAGGCGGAATTACATGTACCAATCGACAGGGAATTTTGGAGTTCGGGCAATGACGAAGGCCGGTCCGCATTCGCGGCGTTCCACCCCGCAATCTAAATAACGTCAGACCCGCTGTCACGCCGCCGATCCTCCAACACTGTAAGGGTCTCCGGCCGATCGCAGAGCGTTTTCGCCGATCACTTCTCAACTTTGCCGGCAAAAAACAGCTGCAGCTACACCTGCAGCAATGTACGTACCGCGATAGTCGCCCGCTCTGCGTCCCTCCACAAGATAACGACAGATACCGAGTCCTCGCATGGGCAGCTCTGCCGGACAAGTCGACAGGCCCAGGCAAGATGGCTTGAAGGACGTGGAAGAAGGATTTGCATTTTTTTCTACAGACGTGACGCTTTTGCCTCATAATTTCATACTTCGTGTACACCGTGAACAACAAGCAGCTAGTAGAAATTGCCCTTCGGCACCGCGCAGAAGATGCCAACAATAATGGCTGACAACGCAAAAGACCCGATGATCGCCTGCAAGAAGATGGTGTCTTGTATCTGTCGCAGCGCAGGCTCCTCAATCCACAGCTCGCGGTCGAAGATCTTGCGAATGAGGTTGCGCTTCCGATAGCTGGCAACCCACGGCTCGTCCTCGAACGAGTTCCGCGAGCTGCTAGCAAGGCTGTCGGAGGAGTCGCGCTTCTCGCTTGGCACATCGTCTTCGTCGTCTGCGAAAAGCTCCCATGGTCGAAGATGGCGGTGGTGCAGACCGTGAAGGACAACGCACATTCCCTTCCACGCGGCGATGAGGGTGGCGATTCCGAGGAACCACAAGAGGAAGGGTAGCGCGCGCCAGCCGCGACTGGCGCGGCTGAGCGTGATTAGCAGGTCTGCGAGCAGCCCACCGACGATGCAGAAAACGCCAAGACCGCGGGCGAAGACGACGCGAGGACGATTGCCGTTGCAGATGGTCCAGCGGATGAAGTTGGGGTGGGATTGCCGGCGCAAGGCGTATTCGACGTTGGCGGCGAGGAGACGGAAGGCGGTCGGGTGGGTGGTGTTCTGCAGAGCGTGCAGGACTGCCACTCGTTCACGATCGGAGATGTTGAGCTCGCGTGAGCTGCGTCTCATGAGGTAGATTGTGATGATGCGGTTGATTTCATCGCGATATGGCTGAGCGGTGACTAGGCTTCTGTCAGTGTGGAGTTCATCGCTGATCACGCAACGAGACTTACAAGGTTTCCACTGGAACCCGGAATCCTCAAAAGCATTTGCGGCGATGGATTGCACTGCCGTGCTGCTCGAGAGCGTTTTCTCGTCCCCTGCAGACGACGCACTCTCCGTGCCATCTTCTTGTATTCCGCTGGGCGAGGATGGGGCATCGGGTGTGCCAAATGGATCCGCCTGCTCATCGGGCGACTTTGGCTTGGTGTCTGCGAACTCGGTGCCCTGGAGGACGGCATCGACGTGTGGGTCGACGATCTTGGGCGTCCTGGTCGATGCCTTCATGCCCGAGACTTCGGCTTCCGCTTGAGTCTTTGACCACGGCGGGGACAAGGCTCGCTCGCTGGCCGGAAGGTTCTCGAAGCGCGCGGAGTAGTCATGGAACCAGAGGTAGAATTGTAGGTTCTCGGCAGAATGCTCGATGTACTTGAGGTAGTTCATGAAGTCGCGAAGGGTACAAGGCTGGGGACGGAGATTGAGTCAGCAGGTCGTTGCATGAACTTGTGAGTGGGACAGTGTGAGACGAACGGGGCAGGCACCACCGGCGACGACTCGGTCAAACGATAGGGCTTCGGGGATGCCATTGCTCATGGACGAGCCCATCGACGCGATGGATTCGTTGATGGAGCGCTCCTTCTCCTCGCCGGTGAGCGAGTTGCGGTTGGAGGCATTGTAGGAGGGGCGGCGATACGACAGCTTGTAAACCATGGCGGCGGTGGTCGGTGTCGAAGTTCACGACGTCAAGACGAGACAACAGATGGAAGAAGTGCGACGGATAGAGACGAGCGAGGATAGAGTTTCACGGTGGGTGGAGGGTGATATATGGCTGGCTGCGTGGCGCCGGAAGAGGTTCCAGATGGGGAGAGGTGCAGGCAGGCGGCGTTGTATTCCTGGAGACACCAGGCGCATTGTTGATTGGACCCCACCATCTCAAATCGCGCCCGCTCGTTACACGTCGCCCAGGGTCGAGGATGCGAGTGCAAGGTAGAAGACGGAGGCGCGCCTTCCGCGATCAATGGCGTCCCACCTGCTCCACTCGCGCCGTCTGCTTCCCCGGGAAAAGCGGGGCGGCATGGGTTGGATCCGCCGATCCCCCAGCCCGTGTCCGGATCTCCTCACATGCCCGCCTACTCTACTTGGGCGAGGTCTCTGTGTACCTGACCAATCGACGGCGCGTCTTGCATGCACGGATCACAGCCGCCCGCCATCCCCCACGGCCCAGCAACGTTTTGATGAACAGTGGCGTCGCCTTTCTTCCTTCACGCCCTCGTCAAAGTACCTTTGTCTCCTGGTGGAGTTTAGGTCTACGCGATCCCACTCACCTTGCTGGGCAAATGCTAAGCGATGTTGACGCCATGCGTGCGCTGTGCCAGGGTCTTCCTTGCTGGAATGGCGCGAACTTGGACGATCTCCACGCGAGTGAGTGTAACATATGCGTCGGACGGTGCTTGACATCAACATCCCCACGAGGCGTTCTTGCACGGCGCCACGGAACCGCTCTTGGTCTACCAAGACTCCCTCGAGCTCCCCGCTCTCTTCTCACTTCACCTCACTCCAGTTATCGTGGTGGTTACACGTGGTGCAGCTGCCGGAACGGCATCTGGCTCTGCAATTTCCCAACGGATGAGGGACTGTGTGCTACAACAGGACCGTTGCCTCTCATGCATCCTTGCTCAGGGCAGCTTTTCCGAGCTTTGCCAATGCTTCCAGCCCACTCACACGTGCATGACAAGCCTGCAGCACCCAGCCGTCGCCATTCATGTCCGCGTTTCGCCTCGCTTGCCTGGCTCCAATCACTTGCATGCCGCCATCTACCTCGCCGCTCCACAGTCGCTGTGAGCATGTCGTGTAGGCGCCCAGATTTTGCGTTCCAGCTCTTGGGTTGTTGTATTCCCGCGGGGAGACGTCTTCGACACATGTCAAGGGTCCCCGGCACGGGATGCTCGCCACGGGGTCGTACAGCTCCCCATAAGGCCAAGCACCAGCGCCCACGCGGTCGGAAGTGTCTCCACCACGAGTCTGGATGCATCCCGATGATCAATGCATGGCTGCACGGACTGCTTGCATGCCTTGAGCCGCCGATTCATGCGCGTATCCTCTGCCTAGGTCAAATATTGTCTGTACCCACGCCTCAATGGATCGCACTCCTGGACACTACCTTGTTGTGGAGAGGGGAATGCCCAGGCGGAAGGGTGAGCCTATGTGCATGAAGTGTCGGTGAAATGCGGTTTTGCATTGAGTAGGAGCTGGGTGCGAAACCTGGCAGAACGCACAAGAGAGACTGTCTTGGCGTGCAGAAATACCTCTATGAAGACGCTAAGATGCATTCTCGTCATGATAGGACGCCCGCTGGTCGGGGAACATCCATTGAACCGCTCCGAAAGCTGTCGTAACAAATATGGTCACGGTCGATGTCTGCATCGCGCTCCGTCTCTCCCCGTCGCCACCTCGGTTGCATCAAGGTCGTAAAGAATGCTTCAGCTCTCAATGGCCGTCGTCCATGGTCGCGTATCGACCGACAGCAAGCTCGCCGACAAAGAGTCCGGCCAGAATGGAAAGGAAGTAGCCGACATTCAAGGTCATGACGCCCAGCATACTATTCAATCGTCAGTCAAGGTGATACAACCCCGGGGGATGTCTCTCACTCACAGTAAGTAGCCCACGCCAGCTTGAATTGTATAGAGACACGATCGCGGCACATCCGTACTGAGTCTCCACGGCTTCGTCTCAATCCCACGGCGAGAGGATCGAATAACGCGAACCCTCTCATCGACGCCATGCGTGGTCAGAGTGGCTTCTTCGCGCTTCTCCACGCCACTCGTGCCGAGCGCTTTGCTGGCCTGGGCCGAGTCGCCGGCGAGCACAATGTAACGGCGTTGAATGGCTTTGTCGTGCCATCGCACTTCCAGCAGATGTCGGTAGGCGAGCAGTAGACGTGAGAGGACGGCGAGGAGTGCGAGGAAGATGCAGGTGCCGGCGTACGCGCCAGTGGAGTTGGGCGTCCATGCGGAGGAGTAGAGTGGGGTGCTGTGGTCGGTGGTGAAGACCATGGACTTGGCCATGGACGTCATGTTCATCATCATCATGTTGGGGAAGGTCGCTTGGCGGAGGAGAAACAAAGAGGTGGGTGGATCAGACGAGACGACAAGGCGCGGGGACGTTGGTTAAAGGGCCTGGCGTCAAGCCTGCTCAGCGCGCAGATATGAGCAAGTTAAGGGTGATGTAAGCCTGTCGAATCCGCCGTCAAGCGTGCAGGATGAGGGGCAATTGTCGCGCGGGGGTGGATGTAGTGGAAAGTCAGTGGTGGGAGATGGGCAGTTGCTCGAAACCAATCTCTCCTTTCATTGTGTTGCAGAATGAGCGGCTTCATGTCAAATGCGCGAACGCGCCGAGTCGAAATGAGCAAGTTTTGGAAAGTCTAAATGTCAGGAGCCGCTCGCGCTTCCCAGATTTCTGGGGCGGATCGCGCCGTCGGCGGAGCTTAAAGTTCCTAATTTTACCGCACAAGGCTGCCGGCCTCGCGTTCAAAGCACCGTGCCTATTGAAAGACAATCAAAGAATCAGAGAGAATACCCATGTGTCTGAACAAACGTGAAAAGACGTAGTTTCATTGAAGTTAGCCGGCAGGCTGCCTCTAATAAAGCACATTCATCATCAGGTCGTAAAGTCGTCAACAAAGAACTCAAGCTTGCCCACTCAGCAAGATATCTACAGCCCGATCGAGCCGCAGATTTCCTCCAGCATCGCTCATGCGCAAAGCCAGCCGGGCTTGACTCGCAGTGAATCCCATGTCCACAATCTGAGGGACTGCGCGCTCCACAGGATCCTCAGCCAGTCCCACATCCGACGGGACAGGGGACAGACGGTTGAAGGTCTCCACTCGATCCTCGATGATGGGCGAGATGTGGCGCGGCGACCAAAGCGTCACAGCCTGCGATCTCGTTTGCGGCGGCGCGGAGTGCCTGAACGCTGCTTGACGTGCGTGTAATGGGGTTTGCACTCCCCGCGCAGGCATGATGCCAGAGGTGCTGTTGGACCTCGAGACATCGCCTTTCGCCTGCTCCATCTGCATGTCGATGACTGGTCGCAGCCTGAAGCTACTCGATTGACGCGCAAGCGTGATCTCCGCGGCGAGTGTTGCGACTCGCTTCCGGCTGATTTCTTTCAGTTTGGCCTCACTCGGATCCTGCTCTTGCAGGGCCATCGCCGCCACTCGTTCTTCGTACAAGCGAGATACGGGCTCGTCGAGGAAGTCTCGACGGCTGGCGTGGCGCGCGGGAGGCGCCCAGCGTGACCATCCGTTCACCTTGGCCAAGGCAAAGCCTGCCGAGCCGGCATCGTTGGCATACTCCGCCATCTCGAGGACCACCTTCGGCCCCATGGTCAAGAGGTAAGAAGTCCATTCTTCCAGCAGTCGTTCTTCCGTCTCGCCATCGTCAATGCATACCGTGCAACCATCAAAGATCCCATTATTCCGTGCTTGTTCCGTCCGGTAGTGGTATCCCTCCAGCAGCGTCTTCATACATTTCCACAACTCGAGCATATCGTAAAGCTGGGAGGTGCGCAGACCACCGTTATTCCCCTTTGCGAAACAGTCCGGCGGGTTCAAGAGCACACTCGTAATGTCGTAATCCATGTTGGCAATGGTCGTCGCGCTCAAGTCTTGATTTGTAGCAAGCACTCCACCCTTCAACCAATCGAGCTGGCCAGCTACATCCTCCTCGCGGCCTTTGCCATTACCAAAAACGGTGCAAAAGCACCAGATGCGCCACAAGGCGTCATTGAAGCGCTGCGCGTAGGGATGTCCCGGCCTGGACAGTGCGATGGCCGTCTCTCGACGTATGACGGTCTGGCAGCGCTCTAGAATCAGCCGTTTTAGAGCTTCGATAACAACCATGTCGCAGCGATGGGCGTGCATGAACGATTGTGGAGTGTATCCCGACCAATGTGTATGCTTGTTTTGCAGTCGGCACCATTGCCGATATTCCCAAGCGGGTGGTGACTGGTTATACGTCGCTTGCTGGACGAGATCAACTTCGTTCTCTTTGTACACCCGGTACATCCCCTTGTTGATGATAGCAGTGTTGAACAGATCTGTCGTACTGCTCACGGACGCGAGGATGCGCAGGAGGACAGTCTCCGCCGCTGGCGACCGACTTTGCTTTTCTTCTTCTCCAGGATGACCTTCTGAGTGCTCTGTGTCCAGGACTCTCATCGGCACAGAGGGCAGCGCTGGATGAGGTGGAACTTCTCGCGACCCCAGCTCCGTAGTGCTCTTTCCTCTTCGCAATGTTTGTAAGGAATCCTTTGGTGGGCCAGGCCGTTGCAGCTGCGACTCCGAGTTTCTTCGTCGTATAGTCCTGACAGGAAGCTGACTGGCCCGATCATAGGTGCGCGGCATCCACCAATCTCTCTTTCGACTTCGCTTGGGTATCGTTGGTGCCCTTGAGGGAGGGTGCATGACATTATGCACGCTGCTCTGTCGATGTAGAGGTGGCGGACCGTCGGAAGAACTGTAGACTGATTCGTCATCCTCCACAGTGTCGTCACGGCTTGACGATAGAGACAGGTTAGCTGCCGAAAGGTTGGAACGTTGCGTTGGCGGAGCAGGAGGCGCCCGGGTGGGCGAGGGTCCTGGGGGAGGTGGGGGAGGGTTGCTGGGCTCCAGCGGTGTGCAATCGGCCTCCGCCAAAGTCAGGCGCTCGATTGGACTGGCGGACAGACAGTGTTTGAGAGAGTTATGGTCCCGCTCATCGGGCGTCGTGTCGGCAGTGACGATGTTCAGGCTGGTGGACGAGCTTTCTTGCTCCGAGTCCGAGTCCTTATCTTGTTCGAAGGAGCTGCTCGATGATAGGGAGCTGGGTTTCAGAGTCCGGCACCGTTGTTCCCTCATGGGGACCATGGCAGGCGCAGAAGCTCTCAAACGAGCAAATATGGGCCGCACAAGAGTCTGGGGTGGGTGCTGTTGAAATGAGATGTCTCTCGTTGCCTCGGTCGCTCCAGATGGTTCTGCAAGAATGCGTTGGGATGAGATGCTGTCCGGAGCAACCGGCACAAATGTGCGTTCCAGGCCGGATTGTAGGATTGTTTCCATCATCGCATCGTTGACCAGTGATTCGGTCTCGGGAATGATGACCGTCAGCGCGGGCTTCTGTGTAAGAGGTGCAGCATCCAATCTTTCTGTATGCACTCGACGTAGCGACGTAAAGCCTGGCGCGGCTTGCATGTTGGGCGAACTCCACCGGTTGGGCTCACGCTTCGTTTCTTCGTCCCAATGTGTCACGCCGTCCCGCCATACACCAATCCGACTATTCCTCTCTACTCTGCGCTGCGACTTGGTGCGTTGAGCCAAGGGCACGATGTCCGGGCTCCACAGATGCGCCGATTGCTCTTTTGACAGCGGGGGCCAGATGAAGGCCGAAGGGGTGGTGGGGGTTCCTCCGATGGCGGACAAGATTTCTTCGTTGGGACTCGTGGCCATCTCTTCCTCCAGAGGCGTCATTTGTATGGTTTTGGCCGGGGGCACGGCATTCAAGATTGTGCCTCTGACCTTGATCTTGCTGTCCGGCGGCAGACTCTTTCTCTTGATCCACCTTCCCGGCTTCTCACTCGATCGATTGGGCATGCTTATAGCTGCTTGCGCGATAAAGGGTGGTTTCGGCTCGGGGGAGTCGGCGCCCCGTCGACTGAAGATGGAGATGCTGCGTCTCGCAATGCTCTTGGGCCTCCACTGTATCTCACTTGTTTGTCCATGGAGTGGCGCACCGTTGTGCGAGGGCGAGCGAGCTTCCGGTCCCATGATGTTGGTGGGAATGAGATATCATCAACTCGCCACAGTCGAATGCTGTGCCCGCGAACGTGAAAGGTAGCGTGCCAGTATCGTACCACCGACGGGTACTAAGGGACCTGCGGACACTATCCCTGCTCGTTAATACCCGACAAGTATAGCCTCTGGCGTGACAGCTCAGAAAGTACAGCAACGCGAGGGAAGGTGCATGCCTCTCCTATATGAGATAATGGATATCGAAGGAATAGGGAAAGATAGACATGGCGCCAAAGAAAGTCGGACTCAAGAGAGGCGCAGCGAGCGAGCGGTATCTTGATCTTTTCCGAGTCGGCCACCAAAGGCAGACCCAGCCACGGACGAGAACCTGCCCGCTCACAGGGTCAGCGCCTCGCCTTAGACGCACGTCCCATGTTAGTGCATGCACATGCATAAGCCCTGTTGTCGCGATTCAACCACGCGATGGCAGGGCGCAGGCCAGCTCGCAAGGAGGAGGGAGAGGCCACATGCGCCAGCGAGGCTGGTCATTGCCTAATGGAGCTAGCGCGCTGCTATTCTCGGAGACTTTCAAGCCTCCCCCGCGGGCAAAGCCACTGCCGATCTTCTCCGAATCCGCCAAGCGCAGCGGTGATCTCGACGACATCCGCTCCAGCGTTGCAACGGCAATCACTCTTCCGGAGCTTCAGGCCTCGGTGATAATGTCAGCAATTCTCCCAGAATTCCTTGACATTATGTGTTTACCTCAATATCATCACTGCCGGTGTAAACAAACGGAGTTCTGGGGGAAGACCGAGCTAAGGGCATCCATCCACCCATGCTGACGATCCTTTGAATCCGGAGTGGTCGTACGACATTGAATTCCACATGCTCTCGCTAATCTCCATCACCTGAAAGGGTATATGGAGTCGCGGCTGATGCCCACAACATCACTCGGCCGATGGCTCCAACTGCTGACATGCACATCCTTCGGCATGCCTGCGCCCTCGTCCGTGGCAGATACGAGCTGACCAACATACCCGTCAAAGAAGCTGCTGGTGTGACACCAGGCAGATAACGAACCCGCATCGTAGGCTATTCTATCGCTCCATATGCTGACATGCGCCTACCATGCCGTTGTCTGTCCTTTCTATACATTCGCTTAGATGACAATCATGCCGCTGGCGGCTTCGCATTCCCAAAATTCAACAACGACTTCTCAAACGGCATGCTCAACGGCAGATCCCTCGACGAAAAGCCCAAGTGCACGCGGAACTCGCCGTCGGGCATGATCCACGTCTGCCGCTTGACATCCCAGTAACTCAGATCCTTCCGCGTCAGATCCATGCTGATTCGCGTCCGCTTGTGGCTGCCCTCGGTCCAGATCTTGTCAAAGTTGCGGAGCACGCGCACGGGCATGTCCACCGGCTCGCCGTCAGCGTCGACGATGTTGGGCGGGAACTCGAGGTAGAGCTGCACGACGCAGAAGCCGTCCATGGTGCCGAGATTGGTGAGTTCCGCGCGAACGTTGACGGCGGTATTAAAGAGATCGTGATTGCCGCCCTCGCCACCACCAGCCTTGGACACGGCTTGGGGAGTGTCGTAGCCGTTTGGGTAAGGGTATTTGCCGTGTTTGATGTCCGATACACTGTCGATGTAGGGGTAGATGTACTTCTTCAGTTTGCGCATCCCTTGGGGCCAAAGAGCAGAGTCAACGGAGGGGATTGTGGTGTCCAGCTGCGGTGGCTTCAGCGCATCCGGTCGTGGCAGGGCTTCGTGGTTAGCACTGCCAAGGGGATGCACCATGAGACTGTTCAGTTTGAACCCGCCATAGGAGAGCCCATAGCCAAACTCGTAGCGCGGGTCAATGTCGTGCTTGTCGAAATACCGATAGTCGATGTACAAGCCCTCGGTAAAGTTCTGTTGTGGCACGACGGCGTTGGGCAAGTACATCACTTCGCTCGTAGGGCCGTAATCCTCGGGCTTCTTCGCAATCGTGTACGGCAACCTCCCAGAGGGATTGGCCTCGCCAAAGATCACGTCGACAATCGCTTGACCTGCTTCTTGGCCTGGTAAGTGTGCGATCAAGACGGCTTTGACGCCAGGCAGGTCAATCCAGCGCTCCAAAATTGTCGGACCGACGGTATGCAAGACAACGACCGTCTTCTCACAGTTCGATGCCACTCGCCTCACCATCTCGTCGCCGCCTTTCTGCGCGTACAGCTCGTTGCGATCGCCCTTCACATCCTCCCAGCCCAGATAGCCCTCTCCGGCGTCGGAGCTGATGAAGACGAAGCAGACATCCTGCTCCTTTGCCGCCTGCTCGATACCGGGCTTGTGGTTGTCCGCCCAATCTGTGATGTTGTACTTGTCCTCCTCCATGATTCGTCGCAGCGTAAAGGCTGGCGGCGACAGATACGGGAGCTCCACGGCTCCACTACCCCAGCCCATGGTCAAGGTGCCTACGTTGCAGGCTCGATCGACGCAGTTGTTGATTCCGTCCGGGTTCGGATATGCGTCCTCGCCAAAGATACCAACTTTGACAATGCCATAGCCGTCCTTGGAAGTCAACCCACTCCCAGTTTTCGAAACGGGAAGGAAGCCATCCGTATTCTTGACCATTACGATGCCTTCGGTAGCAATCCGTCGAGCTAGTGCGTCATGGTCCCCATCCTCGGGTGTATTACGCACGGGGACGAACTTGTTCACGATGCCTGTGTCGCTGCTGTCCGGGCTGCCGGGATGTAGATTGCCAACCTTCTCATTCGTCCAGCTGCTGAAAGTTGGCCCACCTCCTGCGGACACCGGAGGCCATTGGCTGTGCGAGTCCTGCTGAGTCTGGTACCACGCAGCCACCACGCGCATCGTCATGTCATTGAGTCTCTGCATGGGCACGCTGGAATTCAAGACGGCTTTGGTCAACTCTGTGCCCCACAGGCTGTTCCCATCCTGATGATGAAGGCCATCGCCGGGCATAGTCATATCCAGTCCGGCAAGAGCAGACGCCACTCCGGACCTTTGAGCAACCCAGTCGCTCATGACGAAGCCTTGGAAGCCCAGTTCGTCCTTGAGTATTCCATTGAGGAGTTTACTGTTTTGGCACGCGTATGAGTTGTTGACTTGATTGTAGCTGCACATGACACTCGCCACACCAGCCCTGACGGCCTCCGCGAATGGCCAGGCGTAAAGTTCATGGAGTGTTCGGTCATCGATGTTGGAAGAAATGGCATTAGGGGTATTCCATTCCCACGCTTGCCGGAAATGTTCCTGCTCGTTCCCGACAAAGTGCTTCGCCGTGGCCATCACGCCCACGTTTTGGATACCTTTGATCGTCTGAGCGGCCGAGATTCCCTGCAAGACAGGATCCGATCCGAAGCCTTCCCAGTTCCTACCACCTGCAGGCAAGCGGCCGATAGGGCCCATCGAGGGGCCGAGAAGTACGTTGATGCCCTTCTTCTTGGCCTCAAACCCGTGTGCCTTGCCTCTGAGGAACATCAAAGGTTTACTCCACGTCGCCCCAACGGTAATGCCCGCGGGCCAGGCCGTGGCATTGTCCACAAAGCGCAGCCCGAGAGGGCCATCTTGCAGACACAGACTGGGGAAGCCGAGCCGCTCGACGGGACCTGTATTTCCCACGCACATTCCCATACTCCAGCCGGTGCCCGTGGTGATGTTCACCTTCTCCACCAGCGTCATCTGCCCCACCAATGCAGCAGCCTTTTCGTACGCATCTTTCCACGTTGAAACCGTGCCGCCTTGCGGGGAAGGATACCAGGGAGGGGATTCTCCATAACTGGGAACAGAGGCGGTGTAGACCCAAAAGCCGCCGACACTAAGCAGAAGGAAGAGGGTTGTGAAGAAGAGGGCGATGAGGATGCAGCAGAAGCGAGAGGGAATGAGCCATTTGCGCCACCGTCCCTTTCGCCTTTGATTGTCGAGCCATGCTAAAGGCTTCTCGTTGTAGGATGTGCGCTCCGCAACGGACCGCGGGCGTTGTAATGGCTGTGAAGCGTCATCTCTATAGCTCTTCTCATGGTCGTCCAAGGGGTCAAAGTCGTCAATGTCAGAAGTGAGGGAGTCGTGGTCGGAAGAATCGCGGGTCATCAAAGGGTCGTGGGATTGTTCCAGTTCGTAGGATTCGGGGGGTGTGAGGGCCATGGTGGGTTATCGCGCTGCCGACTGTCGCATCTTATGGTATGTAGAACAGACGAGGGCTTCCAAAAGAGAGTGGGATGGGCACTAAAGTCCTCATAAGAAAGAGAGGAAACCGAATCTTACACCCTCGTCGTCAGGGGTCTGGAGTGGAGGTGGAGGGAGCCTGATCCTGGGACGGATCTAATCTACCCGTCGCTGCCGCAGCCAATCAGAGCACGTCCTTCGGAAGCCTTGCGAGGGGGACGACGATGATGTGGAGGTGTGAAAGACGGGCATTTGCATCGATGCACCGCAGCTGTTCCTTCAATGAAGAGGTTTCTTGTCGGCAGTTTACACACATCGCTCAAATGCCTCTTGTGTACAAGGTATCTGATTGATTATCGAAGCGGCCCAACACCTGTACAACATGGGTATTTATCTGGCTCATCAACATCGCCGCGTCGTCCGCTCAGTGCTTGTCGTCCGGTCTGATGTTCCATCCCTTCAAAACAGCTTTGTCCATTTTGAAATGCCGGCTCGACTGGCTCCCACATTTTGCAAACTAGCATGGATGTGTACACCCTGCCATGGGCGATCAACTGGCCCCGTCGCTCTGGGAAGCGTGAGCTTTGAACTCCGTTTTGAAAAAACACCCCCCTTGTTGGCAATCATCAATCGTCGAGTTCCAATAGTTTCCTGAGCACGCTGATTTCGGCATCTGAAGCTATTTGTGAGCAATACAACACATATGTTAGAAGGGTGACGCATGCAACTTACGGCCTCGCATGTGCTTCATCCGATGACACCAGATGACCTGGCCATCTTCAAACAGAAATTCGCCGCCAATCTGCAGCGGGTGGCCCCCTCGAAAGACATCCCGTTTCCGAATGCCCTCCGGGTCTTTCACCGCCCCACTGACATCCCTCACCTGCCCTTTGACCACATCCAGCACCGAGATCTCGCGCATGTAATCTGGTCGTTCCGACCCGAGTGACATAGACCAGTTCATGCCGAGCTTCTTAAACAACATGCGAGTCGGTTCGGCGAGGATGGTGTATTGACACTGGTTGGTAAATCGGCGGTATTGGGGGATGAGATCGGGCTTGCCGCAGCCGATGATGATGATGGAGGTGGGAGTGGGAATGCTGTAGTAGTCATCGATGCTGATGCCCTCGACCAGCGCCTTGACATAGGCCTGGCAAGCACCGCAGTAGAAGTGTCGGACGAAAATGATCAATTGTCGTTGGTGTGGGGTGGTGTCGGGATGGTAGAGCGAGCCAAAGGGCACGGCATTGCCTTCTGCGTCGTACACGGGGATGTCTTGCACCGCGGCTAAAGTCGCTCGATCGGGACACTCGTCGCCCTCGCCCACGGGCAGGTTGTTGTCGGAAGCAGCAGTCTGCTTCATGAACCACGCCTCCCGCTCATCGGTGTCGGAGGGCGCAGCGACCAGCGCATCGTTCTCATCTTCTATCTTGTGGTCGGGATGGTCGAGCGAGGTGGATGTGGGTGCTGTGCTGTAGGTCGGGGCGGTGGAGCAGAGTGAGGGCTTGCTGTAGTGGGCAGTGGAAGATTGAGCGATGATTGGCGACGAGGTCTGCGACTCGCGTGACGAGCCTTTGCTGGAGCGGGCGGGGACATGGACGTCTGGGATGTTGGGCGCGGTGGGGGAGGAGGGCGAGGTGCTAGTGGACTTGCGACCGGTGGCGGAGAAGGGCCGTTCGAAACGTGAGGCGCCGAGTGGGGAGACGTCTCGCTTGGGCGTGTAGACCATGGGCCGTGGCGGCGGCAGCTCGGTGGACATGACGGAGAAGGGAGTGGCTGCCGCCGCGAAGGGGTAGCGTGGCGGAGAAGGGCAAGGCCGAGAAGAATGGATGAGGGGAACGATGCTCCGACGTAGGAAGACGGCAGTCACGAAAGCCAAAGCGAATGAGGGCGCCAAGAGAGGGAGGATGAGAAAGCCATGGCACAGATGAGGTGGCACTTTGAAACAATCATGGCCACATGGGCTAAATGGGATGGCAATTGTCGACCGTGCAGAGCGTTGCCTCCTCGGGCCAGCATTAGCGCCCTCGCCCGGCGCACCTTCCCTTCCTCATTGGCCTCGCGTCGGGGAAACTCCGGCGGCGTTTCTGCGCGTAACCTCCGAACCACCAGACCTCAACCAGCTGGCCTTACTGCAAGCACCCACGCCTGCGCAGCACCCCGACTCCTGGAAAGATGCTGGTCTCATTGACCGTCGGCAAAGTCGATGCCGGCGTCGCAGTCCTGCTGACAGAAGACAAACGCCTGGTTCGAACACTCCTCTGCCAGTACGGCTTCACTCCTGCTAATCCCCGACCACCAGATCGAATTCCCCTCCATCCTCCTCCCTCCCGACATCCATTCCGGCAGCATTGTCGACATCAACGTCTCCCGCAATCAACACGCCGAACTCATCGCCGAGCAGAAGTTTGGTGCGCTGCAGAGCGAGATTTACGAAGCCTTCGGCACCCAGATCCCTTCTCCTCCCGTCCTACGATGTCGCAACGCAACTCAAACCAGTGTCGTGCTCGAATGGGACCCCATCAATCTTGCCACCGCCGAGCTGCGCAGTCTGAGTCTCTACCGCAATGGCACCAAAGCGGGCATCATCCCGCGTGACAAGCTGAGCACCAAGATCTCCGGCCTAGCTGTGGACACGGAGTACACATTCCACCTCATTTTGAGGACGAGCGCGGGGCAATACAGCAGCGAAAGATTGACCATCCGAACCCACAAAATGACCGATTTGACCGGCATCACCATCACCCCCGGCGTCATGCCCTCGCAACTCAAGGACAGCCTCGCCGAGACCGTCAACAAGATCGGTGCCAAGCTAATCGACACCGTGCGCATCGACACCACCCACTTCGTCTGCACCGAACCACGAGGGCAAGGATGGGAAAAGGCGGTGGAGATGAACGTGCCAGTCGTCGTGCCCGACTGGATCTTGGGGTGTCAACGAGAAGGACGTATTGTGGGCGTGCGAGGATACTATCTTGACGCAGACCCCAAGCACCGACAGCTGGGCCCCAGCCAATCGCAACAACAACAGCAGCAGTCGCAGCAGGTCCAGGCGGTGCAAAGAATGAATAGTGCTCGAGACAGTCCGCGCATCGAACATACCCCTCCAACCCCTGAGCGACAGAGTCACGAGCCTTCACGAGCAAATGGAACCCCGGGCTCCTCTGCGGAACCGCCTACGCCGCCTCCCAAACCGAGGAGTGAGAGACCAACGGAAGCAGATGACGAAACTGGCGAGGGGCGATCATCATATACTGGAAGCGTTGTAGTTGCGCGGGAAGCGGCGAGCGAGGATGGAGATGGCGAAGGTTCAGAAGACACAGAGAGGGCATCGCAGACTTCTGAACAGCATAGGGGGAGCAGTAAAAGCAGACTGCCGCTCGAGCAGGACGGGGAGAGAGATGCTGTCGCGGAGCAAGAGGCCATGGACGAGGACGGCAAGTTCGACGAGGTCGCGCTGTAATGCGAGCACGGCGTGCAGTTCGAGCAGAACAGGCCTTATATTAATACGCAAGATCTACATCCCATACGATCGGCAGAACAATCCGATCTAGCCATCGAGCTCGCCCATCGTCGCCAATCCCATCGCAATCCTGTAACGCCATTGACTCTTCGATATCCACACTCAGGAGGAGAAGAGAAACAGAAGGCGCGGTCCATGCACGTGCACCATGAACCGCGTGAGACGTGCGGTCCGTCAGCCCCGTGACCACCGCAACGCTTCTCTGTCATGTGAATTGTGGGGCAAAGCCGGCTTGGCATTTCCATTCGGCCTGTCAATAACGCGTGGCTGCCTGAGCCGGATTGTTTCACTGCAAACACTTCGAGCAGAAAACTCCCCTTCTTTCTCTTCTTCTCTCAATCTCTCACTTTCCCGACAAGTCCTTGATCCAACATCTGTCCAAGGTGTTTGCCGCCTTGCTCACGGTAAGTTTGTCTCTTCCCAATCCATCTCCTTGCTGATGCTAACGTGACGTTGTCCTGAGCAACAGACAAGTCACCTCCACTCATTCCAAACACCAACATGGCGTCTCCCACTCCCATCGACAACAAGACCCTCAGGGACCTCGCAGTCAAGTTCATCAACGGAGTGCCTCCCACCGCCGAAGAATGCAAGCTCGCCCCTGCCATCAAAGCGAAGCTCGCCGAAGAACTCGCCAACGGTGAGGACACAGCCCCCAAGTGGCTCCTCGACATGGTGAAGGCCGACAAGGAGGAAGTAGCGGCGCTGGAGAAGAAAGTGGCAGATCTGGAGGAGCAACACATGGGCAAACTGCGCGCTAAGGCCAAGGCTGCTGCGTACGGAAAGCATGGCTTCATGGTAAGTGATGTCGAAGCTTATCGAGACGTGGCGCGTAGCTTACTCTTTACAGGACCCCGATGGCGGATCTGTCTTCAACGCGGCCTTTCAACTCGCGCACCAACTCCGAGCCGACGCGATGGTCGTTGCCAAGAACACCAAACCGAACTACGTGGCTCACAGGAAGAAGATGGATGCCAACTGGGACCCTACCAGCAACTTCTTCGTTCAGATGCTGGACGAGGAAGAGGCAAAGGTCGCGCAGGGCAAGGAGCACGAGGGAATGAAAGAGGCGTTGACAGACGAAGGTGTCTACAGGTATGGCGAAGTCATTCTGCCACCAGCCAAGCACCTTGCTCCATCGGTTGGATTTGCTTCGCGCCACATGGAAGTCGAGAGTGACCCGCAGATCGAGAAAGGCTCAGGAATCGGGAGCACTCGATGCATTCAAGACAAGCACAAGACCTCTGGGACGATGGTCTATGATGATAACGACGCCGAAGACAGAAGGGTGGACCGGGAACGGGGAACGAGGCATATGCCTTGCTGGCCTCTTTGACACCGTCGCCGCCCTCGATCCCAGACTCGTCGACCCCGTACTCTACTCCGTTCTTGGTAAGCTCTTGATTAGATGAAGTCGCACTCTGCGGCCCTGGCTCCCCGAGGAGCTGGAATCAGCCTTGCAGCCGAAAATGAAAAAGGTATGAAGGAGAGGCCGCATTGGACCTTGAATTCATGCTCTTGTCCCACGTTCTGTACTCTCCTCTCACTCTTCACATGAACTACTTCCCACATCTATGAGTCTGATCCGCCGGGGCGAGAGCACATATCCAACCCGGCAGCAGGGATTCTAGCAGTCCATGCAAGTGTAGCGAACCCCATTCCTTATCGCCAACCTCCACCGACAGGCGCCAACGTAGATACGTGTCCCGCCAAGCACATCCGTTCCCCCCGGTGTATGGGCACAGGACGATAAGATGCTTCGCATGAAATGGCATACAGCTTGTCAATGCCGATAAAAGGACAGCCGGTGGGAGTGGAGAGCACCTTCCCCATCAGGGCAAAGTTTCCGTCGTTGGGCATCAGCACGTGAGGGCGTCATGGTGGTACATGCAGCATCAATGTAACTATGCAAGCGTGCCAACGTCACAACTCATCATCATGTCAAGAGACAGGGCATGAAAGAAAGTGGAAGATGCAGAGTCAATAGCGCGCCGTTGAAGGCGCAAGGCCGAGAGAATTAGGTAGCCAGCCCTTTCTACACAAGGCATCGCAAAGCACAACGACCACCTGTATGATGACTTGGGGGAGAAACCGAAATGTGCCATGTCCGCCTCTATCCAGCCAGAAGTACTGCGCAGAATGCAATCAAAGCAGACCATCCACCCAGATCCCCGCCCCTCTATCAGTGGCAGAGCCGCAGAAATCTATGACTCCAGCTCACGCCGTAAGCAAAAACAACAAACTCGCTAGAACGCTTCGACTATTAGAAGTGGCGTGTTGAACATCATCGCCAGAATGCCTCCAACCGAATGCCGGAAAAGATAAGAGCGCAAGCAATGCAGTAAATCATGGCACAAAAACAAGCACGGCCGGAAATCGATGCATCAACGATGGCAATCAAGCCGAAAAGAATCGTCAGTCTGGGTCCACATCCAGCGTCGTATCGTAGTCGGTAGGCATATGGCTCTCGTGTCGCATCTCATCCCATAAGAACTACCAGGACGAGTCAGTAAGTCATTGAACGGATGGGAGAAGGGCGGGGACACGACTCACTCTCCCACTTCCAATCCCACATCACTCCAATCCAGTGCAAGTGTCCTCGCACCGTGTACGCAATGTCTTGCAGCTCGCCCATGCGAGGGTCTTTCCCCACCCGCCGCTGGCGAGCGCGCAGCTTCTTCTGCGTCTCCTTGTCGGTTTCCAATGGATCCGATGTGCCATTTTCGTTAGTATCGCCGACATAGCTAAAGACCATGCCCGTGTGTCCGGGGTCGCCGCCCAGCGCAATCGTGCCCTTGGGAGATTTCACAAATGGCCGGCTGCCGTGGCGTTCCGACTTGAGGTCGGTGGTGGGCACGAGTTTGCGGTTGGTGGAGGGTTGGGCCTCGTAAAGGTCGCGGCGGGACCAGACCTCTTGCACCACGGCCGACGCTTTGTCGACAACGCCGAGACGCATACGGTTGTTCATGGAGGCGAAGCGACTCATGATCCAGGTCCGGTCTTCGTCCAGCTTGGCTTCACAGCCGGCGATGAGGAGAGGAAAGACGTGGACAATGACGGCGCGGCTGGTGAGAGGTACGGTGGCGACGTATTGCAAGACACGTTGGGCGAGCTCGGTAGAGGTGAGAGAGGGGAGTTCGGGGACGGCGGAGTGGAGGTGGAGGAGCGTGGCCCATCGATATGCTTCCGCGGTTTGAAGAGTGTGTTCGATCGTGGTGGTGGGGTCGCTGGGCGGCTCGATGTCGGTTGGCGGATCCCACGTTTCCAGAGCAATCTTGATATCGTGGGCTTGACTGATGATGGCGGGAGAGTTGGCTTGCGAACGGCACACCTTGCGCACCAGGTTCGCCACGCGTCCAATCAGGGGGAAGAGAGTGCCAGCGCAGCCCATTAGCGGGTCAAGGCGAGTGTCAATAGGCATGCCGAAATCAATGCCAAAGCCAGACGATGCGTCGCTGGTCCCGGGGATGAGAGCGGGCGAGTCGTTCGGGTTGCCCGAGAAAAGATAGGTGTTGTCAAAGTCTTCGGACTCGTTGGATTCGACGGACGTCAAGCGGGAGATGACATCCATGTACACCCAGGCGTTGCACAAGAACTTGAGACGCGCGAGATCCTCGTCGTTGAAGCGCTCCTTCCGATGGGCGGCCAATGCATGCTTGACGAGTTCCTGGGCGCCTTTGATGTGGGTGATGCCGGTGCAGATATGCTGATCCCAGGCCTCTGCAAAAGCCAGGGCGAGGCACGTAGCGATGGCCGTGAGCAAGGAGAAGCTGTTGTCACGAATGCCTTCGCGGCAGTAGCGTATACTGGCGGCTTTGTGTTCGTGTCCGACGATGCGCAATTGAGGAAGGTCGAATGCGGAGTGAAACGCGGCCATGGCGTTGATTGCGTGGTAGAGGGCAGGAGAGTGCTGGACCAATGGCCATAACAAGTCGCGCCAGGGGTTCTCGCCAGGCCCATCGACAATGGACAAGACACCACAGGTGAGTTCCGCGAAACGCCAGGTCAGCACTTCTCTGCCATCGTTTTCGTACTGGGGCTGCGGATAAATGTAGGCAAGTGCGGGGTGGAGCCCGTCGGGGGATTCCGCCAGGCTCGATGATGTTGGAGTCGGAAGTCCAGAGGTGGGGGGCATGGTGAGGCCCATGGACAAGGGCATGTCGAAAGCCATATCGTTCTCCAGAAATGCCATGTCGAGCGCCGCGGCCGCGAGCGTTGGAGACATGGGATGGGGATCGAAGCGGGGCGTTTGAAAGACTTCGGGTAATTCGTAGTTGACGAAGTCCTGATGCATGGGGTCATCGGCATTGTAGGGCCACAGGGAGCCCGTCAATGTTGGCGAGAGGCCCAGACCCGGGGCGAACTGGGATAGAGCGCCCGGGCCGAGCACATCGGGGTTAAATTCGAAGTCCGCCATTGTGACCGGAGGCATGAGATCCATGGGGATGACGGAGGCGATGTCATCCGTGAGCGACAGGGAGGCGGGGTCGGGCAGCTCGTCGGATGGAGTTACAGAGCCTGAGGGCGGTATGGGCTGGGTCTTGATTCGTTCCGGCAACATCAGGCCGGATGTATCGGGCGGTTTGCTGGCACGTCCATGACTGCGAGGCGAGTCGCTTCGCGCGGTCGCCGCGTCGTCAGCGGGAGAACCGCCTGGAGCGGACGTTTCGCCAGGAGCCTTGCCAGGCTTGATACCCGTTGGGGTGGGGTTTGTGGATGTGCCATTCGGCGGCGAGGGTCCTGACCAGCATCAGCATAAATCCCAACTGACCATCGCTGTTGGACAGCCACAACGCAGGAACACCATCTCGCGTGCAATGTAAACCGGAGGTCGACATACCTCGCTTCTGACGGTCAATGTTGATCTTGACATTCGAGTCCTCAAACGGGCGCCACTTGAAATCCTTTCTGTATCCTCCACACGGTACATTTCTCCTCGCGCACTGTTGACACGTTGGCTTCTCTTCGTCGCATTTCAGCCGCTTCGCTTTGCAAGTCACGCAACCTGTGGGCGGGGCAAGGGCGGTCAGCGGGAGTGGTCAGGGAGTGATGATGTACCTCTCCCATGCTTTGGGGATGTTTGGAGGGGGGTGTACCATTACGACTCTTGCTCTGTTTTGGCTTGGCCACGCTGGAGCCCTCGAGGATGCCGGCAGTGGTGTCGACTACAGGCTGGCGGCGGGGCGCCTTCTTCTTCGCTTGCGTCGGGGTGGCCCGGCGAGCATTGTGGGTGGGAGGGAGCGGGGGAGCTGGCGGAGGGGTTTTCCTGAGGAATACGGAGGGGGAGGGGATGGAGACGTCAGCCATATGGCTTCCGCTCTCCCTCCGTCGCGGGGCCGATGACTACCCCCACGAGAATGACGACGAGGGGCACGACGGGCGGGCGAGCGAGCGAGCGTGGGTAGGGGTGGCGGAGGGAGGAGGAGGGGGATGAATCAGACGCATAGAGGAGAGAGGGAGCAGAGAGAAGGGAGAGGGGAGGGGTGTAGGCGAGGGGGAGATGTTGGTGACACGACGGACTTATTTTTCTGGTCATGTTCCCTTCTAGTGCCGACCCTCGAGCCGATTTAGGATTTCCGGGGGAGCCAAGGAGGGCACCTGCCTTACGCTACCCACCTTTCGCACTGCACCATGATGATGAATGCCCGCCCGCCAATTCCCCCCATTGCAGTAGTGCCGCGCGCGCTTCCCAACAGGCTGGTCCAGCCGAGGCGAGGACAGCAGCGGTGGAGGAGGAATGAGGAGGGGGTCAGCAACACGCCTCCACGCCAAACACCACGGCAGCGTATCATCGGGGACGGAGGGCAGCACGCGGTCGAGCAGCGCGCAAAGCAAAGGGCCGGGAGTGGAGCACAAGCGTAGGGCGACGCGCAGCTGCAACGCGCCACCGCAAGTCTGGCTCGCAAAGGGCCGATCTGGGGACTGGAGGGAGCATCGTGATGCGCCAAGGGCAGGGTCACGATGCCCCGCGGGTTACGAGAGAATTACGAGACCAGCTTTGATGCTGCACGCGTAGCACGCAATTGTTCCGTTGCTGTCGTTTCCTGCAGCTTCCCTGTTGGTGCGGAACCGCATGCTACAGCGCAGCACGCCCGGGGCAGATTGAATCTGCTTTCTGCCGATGCCGCTCGCCATCGCCGTGGCCGTCGGTTAGGGATAAAAATACCTCCCCGACCTTTGAATTCGCCTCCCTCTACCCCGCATGCCATACGTCTCCTGACATGCTGAGTCTGACGCCGCGCTGCTGTTCCCGAAGCCCCGTCACCGCCTTTTGCTCTCACTCGCCTTGTGTTATCACGATAGTTCTCCACCCCTCGGCATCCACGCGATCCCGCTGGTGCTTCTGCCATGCTTCTGCCAAGAGCAGGATGATCTGCGATAAGGCTGCACGATAGCGTGTTCACCTGCCACCACCCGACACGCTCCTCCTAGATAACAACACCGACCCTATTTGATAACACAGATAAGCATGCCGTCGTAGTTCTTCTCCCCCACCGTCTGCAACAGCGTATGGCCCAGCACCCGCTCATCGGCCCCGGCGCCCTCAATCACCCTCCTCGCCCCCTCCACCTGACTGTCCGTCTTAGCCAGCTCGTCGTCCGCCACCCGTCCCCTCCGCACCACGTTGTCCACAATAATGCACCCGCGTGAGCGCACCATCTGGATGGCCTCGTTGAAATAGTTGAGGTTATTCGGCTTATCGGCGTCGATAAAGACCAAGTCGAACTTGGATCGCTCGCCTCTCGCCACTTCCTGTCGCAGCTTTGGTAACACGTCCATTCCCGCCCCGAGCATTACTTCCACCCGCTCGCTCAGGCCCGCGTGGGCAATGGCCTGCTCCGCCACCGCCTTCCGCTCCGGCGCAATCTCAATCGTGGTCACGCGCACCCGCGAACTCGAAGTTCCGAGCCAGATACTGCTAATCCCGCCAAGCGTGCCAACTTCGAGTACGTGCCGGGCGTCAATCAGCTGACACTGTGTCTGGAGCCATTTGCCTTGAAGAAGGGAGACTTCGATGCTGGGAAGTTGCTTCTCCTCGGCCAGTTGGATGGCGTAGTTGATGGCTGCGTAGTTGGCAGAGCCGGGCGGGTGCAGATGTTTAATCGCGTACTGGTCCACCGCCGTCCATCGGTCGTCCTTTTCGTGCGACCATGTGTGAGTCCGTGCGGCTGCGAGCTCCTTGGAGTGTTGCGGAGGTAGGTCGGAGTTGCTCATCTTGTTCTTGTCTCAACTGGTATCAAAGCATGCACCAGGCACCCCTTCTTAGCCGTGCCGTCCACGAGGCAATGGAAAAGCGGCAGGGAGAAAGAAGGAGTGAAGTCGTGATGCAAAACACCGCCACCGACGGGGATGTCTTCCGATCTGTACGTCTACTTATGGCGCAACGTCAAACAGGCTTCCGCCACACTCGTGGCTCGCCGCGTGCGGGTGCGCAATCCCGCGCTAGACGCGATGGAAGGCAGGCGCAAGGCGGAGGAGTGACGTCGGTGCGCTGGCAAGCTTCCGTACCTGCCTTGCCTGCCTCGGAACAACACCTGTGCCTACTTACATATCCCTGCACTCTCGATCATCTTCTTCACACCTTTGCATCTCTTTCGACTAGCTCGTAATCTCTCACCCTCCTCATCAAATCCGTCAGAATGTCCTCCGACTCCTTCGCCGCCCTCCGAAAAGGCCTCGGGCCCGAACTGGGCGCATTAGCAGAGGAGCATATGAAACACGAGTAGGCACACTCCCATCCCGATATTCGTTATAGCCACCTCTAACACGCCTCTTCTCCCCGCCCCAGCCTCCAGCAATCCGACCGCGATGCTCTACGAAGCGCCGCCTCCACCCTCAGCACCCACGTCAGCATCGGCTCCGTCCTCGGCCTCTCCCTCGCAGTCTTCGCCGCCTACCGCCTGCGCTCCGCCCGGAGAGCCATGTTCAACACCTTCCGCGCCAGCGAGCAGCCCACTGCCGTCAAGTTCGCCAATGGAAGGGAAGAGGTCCTGCCCGATTTGACCAAAGTCATGCGCCCGAGTACGCTGGGCGACGTGGCCACATACACCCTGTTGGGTTTCGGAGGATTGTTCTTGGGTGGGGAGACGGGAGTGTTGACCGGAACATTAAGCGCGAGGAGAACGATTGGTGCCGATCGGGAGAGTCGGGAGAGGATTGAGAAGGCGTTCAAGCGGTATGTTGCCGCATCTATTGGAACGAGGTTCGAGTGAAGACATGCTGATGAAGATTGCATGGCTAGGTTCCGAGCGGATGTTCTACGAAAACAGGCCGATGCCTTGGATCAACAGCAGGGCTCGTGGCTATGAGAGCATAATTTAGTGAAAGCGAAATGATGGGTAAGTGAACAGGAATCAACCTCAATTGAGGAGCGAGCGCATACTAATATCATCTTAACTCAGGTCATTCCTCACTCACTCTGTATATTCATTCGAGTTGCACGTGCCAATGCCGTGTCAGCTACTGTATAAAAGATTCCAAGGAAGACCACTTCTTTCCCAGACATTCAAACTCGTGTTTCTTCGTTACAGCTTCAAACGACGTCTCCGTCAACATCTTCGAGAGTGTCGACCTGTTCTTCACAGCCGACCTCCTCTCCGCAGTCAAGTACCTCTGCCCAATCGAAGGCCTCATCGCAGCCAAGTGCGGATCAGGCTCTCCCTAACGGCAGTGCTTCTCGCCAATCCACGACCATGGCCCCACGCTACCTCCTGCGAGCTTTCAGCGATGTGTCGAACGGTACAAACACCAGGCACGGCTTCGCGCCCGCCGGAAATGCCAGCGAGCGTCAGTCTTCTTACAAGGGGTTGAAGTACAACAAGGACGTGGGAGCTCTCAATCAACAGTTGAAGGTTGCGGAGTACGGCAAGGAGGCCCCTGAGAATCCGTTCATTTTCGCAACAGTCTCTCTGCTGTACGCACTCCAGCATGCATGGAAAAAGGGGCGCAAGTGCAAGCGCTGGGCAGCCGGAAATAACATTCAGATCGTCGTTATCGACACTGGAACCGCAAAGACATCTGGTGGCGAGCCCGTCGCCTGGCATCGGGTGCAAGACTTGATGGCGGAGCTTGGCCTCAAATTGACTGCCAAGTACTCCAACCATGTCATCGACTACTCCGACGTCTGGGTCACTACGGACGACATTGTCCTTGGCGAAGGCTCATACCATGCATCCTTTGACGAGCTAAAGCAAGCGAGACTCTTCGACTTGTGCCCCGAGCTGAGTGCCTGCTGGCAAGGTCTCGAGAAGCCGGTTAACGACCTCCGACGCCTCTGGTACGAACAGGACAAGAAGCCCGACTGGACCGGGTACGACGTGCGCGGCAAAGAGATCAGCCTGGCTGCCAAGATCGCCGATGTCTTCAAACCCGTGCGAGACCCGAAGAGCGACTACGTTGACCCTCACCTCTTTGCCATTCTGCTTGCCCTCAAGAACGAGAGCGCCAACAGTCCTCATTTGCGTGCATGGCTGGACCTCCACTCGAGTGCCAATGACGAGGACGTCACGGACGTCACCGAATCGGTCCAAGACACGGGAATGCCAGAGGTGGACAAAGCCACGGCGCTCTTCGCACGGCTTCGTCAGCGTCGCGTTATGGCTGCAGACGTTCTGCTCCTCGAAACCACCATTCCGGAGGACCACATGGCATTGCAAAAGAAAGCCTACTTGAAAGACAGGCTGAAGCGGAATGAGGAGAAGAACAAGGTCCAAACCGAAAAGCGAGCTGCAAAACGCAAGCTGGAACTGGAGGCGAGTATGGAGGCCGCGAAGAAAGCGAGGCTCGAGACCCAAAAGAGCGGTGAAGGTGCCGGCAAAGATGGCAACGCCGACGCTGAGAATGGGGAAGCGGACGAGACCGCGACCACTGGTATTGAGGCAGCTCAGGAGGGTGGGACGGATGCACCAGCTGATGCTAAGGCTGATGCTGTTGGTGCCTATGGTCAAGCCGGACAAAACTTGGCGAATAGTTTCGAGCCTACTCAGGAAGACAGCACCAAGTCTCCTTCGGCGGGGACGGATACTGACGGGCTCCAAATTGGATGAAGCACGGCAGATAATCGTTCGTCTGTCCAGTTGGAGCTGTGCCTTGCTTGAGGGCACCATGGCACAAAGCAGAGCCAATAAACATTCACGAAGAAACAAGCGTTGCGATGACAAGCGAACAGTCTCATCGGACTAACACCTTGGGGAAAGATCGGGGCAAATCTATTCATAGCAACATCATAAGCGCCGTTAGGTATCAACACAATTCTCATAGCCAACGTCTCTATCATTTCTTCAGAGCCTTCTCCGGCTTCTTGGCATACAACTCGCACCACTTGACCCATTCCTTTGATCCCTTGCCCATGACATTGCGCAAGTCATCCTTGACCTCGGAAATCTCCCACTGCTCGTCCTCCCAGTTCCGCTCCACGCCGCCCTTGTTGCTGGGGAACCAGCCAATGGACTCCAGCACTTCTCCCTCTCCGGGCGACAGGGCAGTGCTGGGGAACATGTCGGAGGAGCGAGAGTGGCAGCGGGCGGCGAGGTACTGCTCCAGGACGGCGAGGCGAGGCGAAGGGGTGAAGTCGAGGTGCAGCGTGTCTTCGTCGTGGCGGCCGGAGGTGGAGGTGCTGGTGAGGCGTTTGGTGATGGAGCGGCTGGTTTTTGCGCCGCGGATGCTCGCGTAGGCCCAGACGGAGTCGATTTCGAGCAGACCGCCAAAGGGCCAGACGACGGTGAGGAGGATGTCGATGGCGGCGCTGACGGGCAGGAGGCCGGTGGCGATGACGGCGTCGCGCTGGGCCTTGGTTTTGGAGCGCATCATGGTGTTGATAAACTCTTCGCGCATTTGTTCGGCGGTGCTGGTCATGGAGGATGGGTAGATGAGGAGCATCTCTTCCAGCTTCACGGTTGCAGCGGTGCGTTCCTCTTCGTGTTTCCCGTCGTCGGCGTGCGTGTCGGGCTCGCTGTGGTCGGAGGAGACACCGATGCGGTTGAGGAAGTCGAGGTTGGAGGACTTGGTCTGGGCCATGCCCCAGTTGATGCCCTTGATCGCCTTGCCCTTGACACCCTTCCAAGACATTGTCTCCGCTTTGCTAGTCTTGGCCTCGCGAATCTCCTCCTGCCATTTGCGCTGAACCTTATGCACCTTGCCCTCCTTTTCCCCTTCGGCGGGCTTGTCGACGAACGGAGGTGGTGGTGGGGTGTAGATGAGGAAACGCGTAGGGATGTCCTCGGGCGGGATGTTGGGTAGGCGGGGTTTGGGAAATGGGACGAGGTAAGCCACGAGTTTTTTGGGATCTCGGGTATAGTGCACAGGCGACTGCACGTCTTGTTCGCCGCTGTATCGGTTGACATTTCGTTTGGGCGGCGGAGGGAGAAGGGTTTGGTCGGTCTTGGGCTGGTTGGCGTAGTCTTGGGGATTGTATGGGGGAGGCTGGACGTGCTGCTGGGGTGTTGGAGGAAGGGCATTGTCTCCAGAGGTAACTGGCATGGATGGATCATGCGGTTGGGCGGCAAAGGCAGAAAGCTGAGGTTGCTCGGGGGAAGGGATGTAGTGTGGTTGATCGGATCGCGGAGGCATTGGCGGCGCCTGCCCTTGAGATGGAGGCGGTGGGAAGCTTTGCTGCTGTTGATGCTGTTGTTCGGCCATGATGGGTTGTTCGTTGTATGCGCAAAGGGGTGCTGAGAGGAAGGGGTTGGAGATGAGAAAGAGGTGTATTTATGCAGAGCTTACAAGGAAGCCTGTAACTGCGCCCACCTCGAATTACGTATCTCTGCAAACGCGGGTCTCGCAATGGTTGATCGGCGCCGACGCTGATGTGAGCTGAAGATCACTCTGCTCCACTGCTGCCTGCCTGGATGGCGTGAATGGAGATGCTGTTGGTGTTGGATGTCGTGCACTGACGACGCCTCAGGCCATGACGCAGCTTCGGGTGGCTTGCCGGACGGGGATCTCGACTGCGCCACAGCCCCAAACGGCCGAGGTCGGTCGGGATGTCTGAGCGAGACGGGAAGGAACGATGGGAGTTGAAGGTGGCATTGATCTGCCCGACAGGCAGGGAAGGAGACGCTGAGCAGACGGGGAGGAAGTGTAACGGATCTGGAGATGTTCTAGCATTCTTCTTTCACGCATCCACGCTCCTTCACATCAACAACGCTGCTGAGAAGAGCAGATGCATGCATCGTCGGCGCGCTCCGTCCACGCCATTCCCCTCATCCGAGGCGAAAAAGCGACGGAGAGCTCGTTGCCGGTGACGACATATAACCGCCTTAAACCGCCGCATCTGTACCTTCACCTCGACATCACACATCCTTCTTCTCCCATCCTCTCATCTTCACTCCACCCCCTTCCCACTACACTACACTACCCCACCCCGTCAAGCGCATTCCGTCACCATGGCAGGCGTCGGCATCACCTCCAAGTCCGCCCAGCTCCTCTCCCGCCCCGCCAACCCCGAGCAGATCCTCAAGGAAGTCAACGTCCACGGCGCCCTCACCGACCAGAACAGGCACATCCTCAACAAGGACGTCACCGTCTTCCTCGCCCTTCTGCACCGCACCTTCAATGAACGCCGAAAGACCCTGCTCGAGCGCCGTCTGCTCCGCCAGGCCAACCTCGACAAGGGCGAGCAGCTCGACTTCCTCCCCGAGACCAAGCACATCCGTGAGAATGATGCATGGAGAGGCGCCCCGCCCGCCCCGGGCCTGCAAGATCGTCGCATCGAGATCACCGGTCCCACCAACCGCAGCATGGTCGTCAATGCCTTGAACGCTGACGTCTGGACATATATGGCCGACTTTGAGGGTATGTAATCAGAGCAGGCATCGAAGAGCAGGCACTAACCACTCTATCGTCTCATTCAGACGCCACCGCACCCACGTGGGAGAACATGATCAACGGTCAGCTCAACCTCTACGACGCCATTCGTGGCCAGATCGACTTCAAGCAGGGCGAGAAGGAGTACAAGCTCCGCACCGACCGCGTCCTGCCCACCCTCATCGCCCGCGCCCGCGGCTGGCACTTGGTGGAGAAGCATTTCACCGTCGACGGCGAGCCCATCTCCGGCTCCCTCTTCGACTTTGGTGTCTACTTCTTCAACAACGCCGAGGAGCTCGTCAAGCGCGGACGTGGCCCCTACTTCTACCTGCCCAAGATGGAGAGCCATCTCGAGGCGAGACTGTGGAATGATGTGTTCAACTTGGCACAAGACTACATTGGCATGCGTCGCGGAACCATCCGAGGCACCGTCTTGATCGAGACCATCACTGCCGCTTTTGAGATGGACGAGGTCAGTAAATGTCCATTCCCCCTCACCCTTCCCCCTGCTAACCTCCTCCAGATCATCTACGAACTCCGTGACCACTCTGCCGGCCTGAACTGCGGCCGCTGGGATTACATCTTCTCCGTCATCAAGCGTTTCCGCCAAAACCCCGGCTTCGTCATGCCCGATCGTCAAAACGTCACCATGACCGTGCCCTTCATGGACGCCTACGTGCGCCTGCTCATCAAGACCTGCCATCGCCGCCAGGTCCACGCTATGGGCGGCATGGCGGCCCAGATCCCGCGCAAGGACGACCAGGCCGAGAACGACAAGGTCATGGACGCCGTGCGCGCCGACAAGATGCGCGAGGTGCGTGCTGGCCACGACGGCACCTGGGTCGCGCATCCCGGCTTGGCCGCCGTGACGGCCGACGTCTTCAACACCTACATGCCCACGCCCAACCAGATGCACGTGCGACGCGAAGATGTGCACGTCACCGCCAACGACTTGCTCAACATGAACGTCCCGGGCACCATCACCGAGGAGGGCATCCGCAAGAACCTCAACATCGGCCTGGGCTACATGGAGGGCTGGCTGCGTGGCATTGGTTGCGTGCCCATCAACTACCTGATGGAGGATGCGGCGACGGCCGAAGTGTCGCGCTCGCAGCTGTGGCAGTGGGTCCGACACGGCATTACCACCGCCGAGGGCAAGAAGATCGACAAGGACTACTCGCTCAAGCTGCTGTACGAGCAGGCGGATGAGCTGGAGAAGAATGGACCCAAGGGCAACAAGTACAAGCTTGCGGCGCAATACTTTGCCACGCAAGTCACGGGCGAGGACTACTCGGAGTTCCTGACCAGGTGAGTTTACCCCTCCGCCACACTATGCGTGCAAGACTAACGTGACCAGCCTCCTCTACGATGAAATCACACATGTGAGTGGAAAGACTCCTGCTACCAACATGGCGAAATTGTAGAGTAGCGCGATGGGAGAAGGACCAAAAGACGTGATTCTGCGATGTACGGCGAAATATGTAGGAAATGCTTGTTGGCCGTAATTCCTGCTCGAATATCGCATGTTGATTTGCCTCGAACCGCCTCCTCTTCTTCATCATTGTCCTCAAAATGCAGGCTGACGACTTTCGATCCTCTAGGTCGAAACCAAGCAGCCTGCTAGTGAACTGCCCTCGCAAGACCCTTGAGATTGCCCGTTGAATGCATTGCCCTTGGGTGTTGGAGCTTGGGTGTTGGAGGGGGAACATTGGATCTGAGCGTGGCGCCTTACTTTTCCTTTCAAAGAAGTATAGTCTATGTCAATTGTACAGCAACGCCATCGAAGCACCGCCGTAAACACGCCTTTGTACACCGCCCCGGGGGTATTTCCGTGTAGCAAGGTGCCTGCCCAGACCGCCGGGAAATCCCAATCATCTCTCCTCGTCGTTGAGGTTGTGCAGCGAAATGTCCTGGCTGTCGCGATGCTCCTCCCTCCGCTCCTCCGCATAGCCTTCTCGCTGCGCAGAACTCGCCGACCCATTGTGATTCGTCACGCCGCCATCGCCTCGTAACCTCTTCGGCGCCCGCTCCTCCCCATCCGACCCGCTGTCCCGCGCAACCACGTCGCCTTCATCCGTCACTTCGACCCCATTCGTTGCCATGCGGATCTGCTTCTGCCCCGCCGTGCCATCGCGCACCGCATTCCTCGCCGTCTGCAGCACCTTGTCCTTCTTGCGTTCGCCGCGCATCCGCTCCAAATGCTGGAAGTAGTCCTCCGGCACGGGGGTGACGTACTTGCCGCAGAACACACCGACCTCAAAGTCCTGCGTCGCGGGGTCGCGGGGACTCTCTTGCGCACAGGCGGACTTCAGGTCCTCGAGACTCTGGTACACCACGGCGTCGGCGCCAATGTGGTCGGCGATGTCGGCGCTGTTGCGGTGGTGGGCGATGAGTTCGCTGGGGCTGGCGAGGTCGATGCCGTAGATGTGGGCGTTGGTGATGGGTGGTGCGCAGCTACTAAAGTACACCTTCTTCGCCCCTGCCTCCTTGGCCATGTTGACGATCTCGCGGCTGGTCGTGCCGCGCACGATGCTGTCGTCTACCAGCAGCACGTTTTTGTCTTTGAACTCGACGGGGATGGCGTTGAGTTTTGCTCGCACGCCGCGTTGCCGCGCTCGCTGCGATGGCATGATGAAGGTGCGGAAGATGTAGCGGTTCTTGACGAAGCCTTGGCAATATGGTTTCTTCAGGTGCTTGGACACGGCGTAAGCAGACACCAGCGAGGTCTCGGGGATGGGGATCACAGCGTCGATCTCCTTGAGCTGCTCTGCCCCAAGCTCCCGCTGGATCGTCTCGGCCAAGCGGTAGCCCATGAGTTGTCGCGATCGATACACCGAGATCCCGTCAATGACGCTCTCCGGCCGCGCAAAGTACACGTACTCGAAGATGTCGGGTGCATAGTTCTGTTGGGGTGCGACTTGGGCGAACACGGGAGCCTTGCCTTTTTCGATGATGACGGCTTGGCCGGGTAGGATGTCGCGGATGTTATTGTAGCCGTTCTGACTGAGCGCAACAGATTCCGAAGCCATCATGTAGTCTTTCCCGCCCTCCACATCACTTGATGGGCGCTCGCCGAGGACCATGGGTCGGATGCCGTAGCTGTCCCGGAAACCAATGAGGCCGAAGCCGGCCAGCATCGCCGTGCAAGCCCAGCCGCCCTTGCATCTCGCATACATGCGCTCCAACGCGGAGAAGCAATCCGAGGCGTTGACTCGCGCCTTTCCGGTCTCGTTAAGCTCGTCGGCGAAGATGTTGAGCATGAGCTCACTGTCCGACTCGGTGTTGATGTGGCGGTGTGCTTCGTGGTCGAGGTATTGTTTCAAATCCGGTGCATTGATCAGGTTGCCGTTGTGCGTGAAGCAGATGCCGTACGGCGAGTTGACATAGAAAGGCTGGGCCTCGGAATTGGCGCTGCTACCAGCGGTGGGATATCTGAGATGTCCGAGACCCATGTAGCCCGGCAGATCATTGACACGCTGGCCTTCGTGGAAGACCTTTGCCGCCAGACCGTTTCCTTTGCATTGATAAATGCGGCCACCGTGAGAGCAGGTGGCGATACCGCAGGCATCCTGGCCACGGTGCTGGAGGTAGTATAGTGCTTGATGGATCTCTGGTGCGGCGTTGGCCTGAGGCGAGGCCAAGATGACCGCGATGATGCCACACATATTGACGGGTTCGGGGATGAGGAACTGCAGATGGATGTTAGCAAGGTGTGCGCTGCGGCCGGCAAGTTCATCCACAGCATCATGACTCCAACGCAAGATCAGAAAAGAAGTTAATCATTATGTTCTCGACACCAATGTTCAGAAGTCGACCATTTGATTGCATTCATCACCAAGCAAGTTCCATCGCTGCAAGAAGAGTTTGAGGACTCACGACTTACCCGGGGCTCTCGTTTCACGGCGGATGTGCAGTGGATATGCTCAGGAATGAGAATGCGTCATACCCATCATGGCGAATGGAGGGACAGCGCCTTGGATGCCGGCTCGCACAGTCTATCAGGTGCGACATTTTCTAAGAATCTTCTGCCAAAACTTCACGAGTTGAAGTTCTCGGCAACGGAAGTGGCCCGGGCTTTTGTTCATCCGACACCGGCCAATCGACCACTCGACTTTTGGTCGAAAGAATACAACGACTTCACCGTGTTTGCTCTTCGTGTGCTGCACCTTTGTGCACCTCACCTGCGAGGTGTAGGTCGAGATGGACAATTGAAACTTAGGCCACATCATCTAATCCCCCCCAGCGCCTTGCTGCAGGCTGGTGGAGCCTGATATGCAGTGCTCCGGACCAGCCCAATCGACACTTGTATGTACATCGACGCGCAGTGCATCGACGCGCAGTGCACTTGCATTCATCAAGAGGGCAACATGCCTCACCACATTACGAGATTTCGCTGTCCGTTCAACCACGTGTTGTTCCAAGGCTCCGGAGCTGTTACCGGCGACGGAAGATCAGTCCTGAAGTGCATTGAAGTCGGTTTGCCACGCCGAAGGTTTCACTCGTCTAAGCGAAGTCGAAAACACTCGCCCGCCATAGCAGACACATGGCATAGTTTTGCTGAGCGAGCAAGTTCACTGACTAGCCATCTCTTGGGACTCTGCTCAACATCGGTGCCGACAAGCACGTTTTCGGGCGTTGCATGGTTCGTTCCTGCGTCGGCAATTCGTCACGAACCCCGAGTCATACACCTACGTACACATGCCCAGCAAGTAGGTATAGCCGTCCTGCCAGCCGCATCTCGGAGTTTTACCACCCTTCTCATGTTGTTGCCACTGTGCCTTCGCGTACCCGGCAATTCGTTCGTATGGCTTGGCGATCGGCAGATGTGCCGTGGGAGATGATCTGGCCGTCCACAAAACGTGTTGCGTTGGCTCTCGTGTAGATCTTGGCATGGTGTAGCGAGCGTGTCCAAGCCTTGCGGTACAATGGCATCTGCTTTCCATCACTTCGTCACCAAGGTTGTGTCTGCCTGTGGCCCGAAAACCTTTCTTATCAGTACATTGTCGGCAAGTAATGCCCTATCTAGTCAAGTCGCGTGCGAAGAGGGCGAGGTGAGGAATCTGGACCGGGTCGCTACAATACCCACGGCTACGACGGCTCCGGCGATGGTCATCAACGGGCAGACACTCGCGTGCTCGGTGCGTCTATGCCACCAAGTTGACTGCACATATGGCCAGTGACGAGCGGCACGCGCGGGGATATCGCGGACGCGGAGCAGGACACGGGAGATTGGAAAGAAATGCGTTGCATCGGCACGCGCTGGCTAAAATAATTACCCCAAACGGCCAGCTTTGTAAGCCCCCTGAGGATGAATCCATCCGGGGCGTTGCCAGATCCGACCACGCGAAAGCACGTTTTTGGCACTTGCCATGATCGTGGGAAGCCGGAGAGGCAAGGCAAGTTTAGGCTGGGGTGGGCTGGATACGGTATGGATGCCACGCGACCACGGATATGGCTTGCTTAAGCTTCATCGGAGGCGCCGATGAGGCTGGCGGGTGGAGTGCTGTAGCCGGGGATGAAAAGAGGAATGGTGTAGCGGATGGCGTCCACCAAGTCCAGACCGGTCTATGGTCTCAGCGACGAAATCCGGCGCCATGACGCGGATGCGCCGGCGGCGGGAAGAATAGTCGAGGCTAGAGGCCACGAGGCACGTCCCGCTGCCAAGAGACAACCAGACCTGCGGCGAAGCATGGGAGCAGGCTAGAACGCAGAGCTCGCGTAGGGCGAATCGTGATTGGCGGATGACGACGCGCCCCCAGCAAATTCAATTCGGTCGAATCGAGCAATCGCAGACTTGCGGAGGCGCTCGCACAAAGGCAAACCAGGAGATAAAGTCGAGCGATTGTCGTCGCAGTGGTGGTCACAGTGGCCAAGAAGTGATGTGGGAGGTTGTTGTATCAGTGGCAACGCCGGCCGCTGGCAATGGCTGAAAATGACAGCAGTCGAGCCAGAGAAGGAGGAAGATGGAGGGCAAGCCATCCGCCGCCATGGCGGGCGGCGGCCGCCGCCCTGGGGAAATGCGTCGATCATGGGCTCATGCGCCAAGCAACTCTGATGCGAGCCCTGGCTCAGGAGTCCAATCGCGGCCGCTGCTTTCTGATATTTGGAAGCAATCCGATGCAGCTTAGTCAAAAGGGCAGTCGCCAATATCGTGCCATGTCGTGCTTCTACTGGCGCAGAAGATGCTCTGCAGCGTAACCTGAGGAATCAATACGCTGCACCCACTGATATACAGTGCAGGCTGGGGGATTCACGCCCCAATGCTTATTCCCAAGCACGTGGAGGATGGGGCGTCGAGCGAAGGACGGTCCGCGTCAAGCCCCCAATGTCGATCCGGGCAAGCAACCGAGGGCGTGCAGGGTATTCTTGCCCCACCAGATGTGATGGATAAGAGATTGCCCGTCCGGCGCTAACAAACAAGACGGAGACTTGCCCGTCTGGACGATAGACCATTTTATTGCTCATTCCACGCCGTGCAACGATACTTGCGTCGCGAATCACGACAGTCGTGTCTTGGCGGGCGAGGGAAGCTGGCTGCTGCTGCCGCGGTTGCTGACTCGCCCACACGAAACCACTCTCGCGTAATTCCACGTAAACGCAGTTCTTCGTTCCCCCCGAAACGCACAGTGTTGCGTCGCGATGTGAACATATGTCGAGTAATGTCCGGTGCGAGAAGGGAGAGAGAGAAGAGGCGGGCGTGGGTGGTAGTATCGCCCCTGCGTGGAAGAGGACTAGAGGGGAAGTTAATCGCGTAGGACGCTGACAGGCCGGATGATGCCGTGACAAGGATCAACAGACTTTTCCCTGGTTGTTTGACCGGCGTGCTTTCGTTTTCGGGCTTACTCCTTGCCCGCGGAGCTGTAGATGGAGAGATGCAGATGGTCTCGGGCGAAAGCTGGACCACGGGCAAATCTCGCTTCAGCGCTCCTCGCTTTCGCCTTTCGTCAGAGGAGGGTGCGGGCCATCTTATTAGCCGGCCTGTTCACGCTTCCGCATTGGGAAGGCAGCATCAGCAGATGCGTCACGTTGCTCTCGCGGGGGCCACAGAGCTGCAAGTGGCAGTCCGAAAGGAAGGGAGAGACAGGGTTCGCGTTGGGCAGGGTGTAGCTTTGTTTCGCGCGTGCTGGACGAGTGAACGGGAGAGGGGAGTAAAGGGGGGAGAGGTGAGACGTAGGCGCCCGCCGCAGCCATCTGCTTTGGACATCTCGTCACACTGCACCCCCCCAAGGCCTCGTTTGCGACGCGCCACCTCGTCCGTTTTCGGGGGAGGCCATGTTGGTGCGAGGAAGGGTCCCAGCATCCGCGTGGCCACTGCACGGCGGGTTAGCAGATCCAGAGCGCGCTCTAGTGCCCTGCTCAACCACGCTAACGCACCCGCCCTTCCCAAACTAGCCTGGAACTAGCGGCAAACCTTGAGTCGCCAGCGTGGAAGGTGCGCTGGGCCGGACTGGGCATTGATGAAAGCCTCGACCGCCTCCCGGCGCCAGGCACCTGAGCTTAAACGGAGCATCGCCGCCGTCCCCACGCCCATCCTTTCCACAGACACCATAAACGCGACCTCACCGCGGTCCGCCAGAAAACCGTCTCCCTTCCCTTCACTTCTCTTGGCCGCCGCCGCAAACCTCCCCACCTGCCATCCACCCCATCCGCCCGTCTCTCGCTCCGTCGCCCGCGCTCCAACTCACTGTTCCTCATTGCGCAACCCATCGCCACCCTCGGATTTCCCGGCCTTGCTCCAACAAAGAACCAGCGACGTGTGAAGTCGGGTAACGTCGTTGTACAGCGTGCAACGCGCCATCTGCACCACCTCTGCCCATCTGCCACACCGATCCGCTCCCTGGCTTGACTGCTTCCGCGAGACGCCCGCCTCGCACAGCATCCCCCACTCGGATCGTTGCAGACGCCCTTCCGGACACCACTGCATCTTCTCGCGCGACTCTCCACTCCCTCGGAAGCGCGCCATTCCTGATCTTCTGCAGCCACTTCCGTCTGCCCACGGACTCGGGAGTCGGGCTTGAGTACAAAAGTCGCCTGCTACCCGGCCTGTTGGATCTCGGAGCAGCATAGCACCTTGTCCACACTCTCACCCACAGCTTGTAAGAAGCCGGCCGCCCTTCCTGGCTTCCTCATTCTCGCAACCAGGACAGTCCTGGGAAGGTGACAAGCTCTACGCTCCCCCCTACCACTCCGGTCTCTTCCATCCGCTTCCCACCCCTCCTGCGGACTCCTCCTCTCCGCCCTTCGGCCTGTCGGACCCGCAACAACCCGCAAACCTGCCCGCAGCCCTACCCTTCTCTCCTTCCATGATTCCAGGCTCGGAGTCGATGGCTGCTCCCGCGAGCTTCACTGCCCGTCGACCGAACGCTTCAAATCTTCCCAACTTCGAGCTGCCTCCTCCTCCGCTTTCCGCTTTCCAGCAGAAGTACCCCAGCTACCAGGGCTTCGGCTCCAACCACCCCACCTCTACCACCTTGACCCCGGTCGGCAGTCTATTGACGCCGCCTACCAACAGCTCCACGGATGGCTTGAGTCCGGTGTCTGGACCCACCAGCGCCGGCTCCCAAGGCATCCTTCCGCCCTTCACTCCCATCGGAGGTGGAATGTGGCCTCCGCCAAACACCCACAACGCTTCGTATGGCTATCAGCCGGCCACAACCCCCCAGCAAAACTACGGTCACAACCGAGGAGGCTTGTTCTCGCCATCATTGAACTCCCTCGTTCGAGGCAACCCGACGCCCACGAATGCCGAAGGTCTCCCGCCGCCTCCCTTCGAGATGCCGCAATACTCCTCAGCCCCAATGTCCGCCCCGAGCTTGACCAGTGGCGCCCCGCAACATCAGATGATTGGCAGTGCCATGATGGGCGGCCAGAACCCAATCCCCACCTCCGTCTCTCAGTCTTCTCCCATTCCCGCACAGGATGCCTTTGCTCGTCCCCCGCCTACGGCCACATACTACAACCACTCACATTCGCAATCCGCAACGTCTCAGCAAAACCCTTACTCCTATTCGAATGGCCCATCGCCTGTCCACCAGAGCCCTGGCCACGGCAACGGAGCGATGAAGATGTCTTCAGGGAACGGTCAGCCCTTGCAATCTCCTCACTCCCAAGCATCCGCGTACAACCGCCAGTACCAATACTCGCTCCCTGGACCCGTCCTCTCCAACGTCAACAACCCTGGCGGCCAATTGCAAATGGTTGGCGGCATGCCGCATAATATGGTCCCCGGTGGCTTCAACAGCGGTCATGCGGCGGCACAGATGCAACAACAAATGTACGGCCACACGCAAGCCCAAGTCCAGCAGAATGATCGGCCATTCCGCTGCGACCAATGTCCACAGAGCTTCAATCGAAATCACGACCTGAAGAGGCATAAGCGGATCCATCTCGCCGTCAAGCCTTTCCCATGTGGTCACTGCGACAAGAGCTTCTCCCGAAAAGACGCGCTGAAGGTATGTGCAGGACATTTTCACAAGGCCAATGATGACAATAGCTAACAATCTCCCAGCGACACATCCTCGTCAAGGGCTGCGGCAAAGCACACGGCACCACGGAAGTGAAGGAGCTCGAAGACTCTCTGTCACCGACATCCGACAGCTCGAATTCCGGCGGTGTCGTCACTTCATCTCTTTGAGACGCGCGATGTGTGTCTGTTTGGCGTGCGCTTGATACCCTTCGCTTCTCGGGATTGTATTAACACAATCGACTTGTTATGCTTGCCTCTTTCTGTCGGATTTACTATTCATATCACGCTGTCACGATGGAGATGGAATTGGGGTCATCGCGCAACGAGGTGCGCCGGGGTCGGGGAAAATGGGACGGCAAAAGCCAATCCTAGGTCCAGGAGCGCATGGGATTCTCTAGAGAAGCAAGCGAAGCTTTGAACGTTGTCATATCCTCACGAGCGGCGAGCAAGAGGACACGCTCCTGCCATGCTATGGCGATAGCGAGAGCGATGACGCAGAGCTTTGGCTGCTTTGCCGTGCTTTCCTCACGGTGATTATGAGCAGAATAAAGGAGTAATAGCATTATGCACTTTGAAAGCATCAAATGTAGAGCGATCAAGAGACTTTCGACGATGTTATTTTCGTCCCGACTTCATGTGCGGCAGGCTAAAAGATGCAGGCTCTGCAGGCTAAACTATGCTGGAACTTCCCAATCGAGAAGTTGGGGAGCCGGCGTCCGAGCATAGCCGGTGGTTGGCTTCTGCTGTCGCACAACAGGAGGCTCGAATAGGCGAGCGTACCACGGTCAGGAATCTGTCATCCATGGCCCTGGCCGTCTGCCGTCTTGCGTCTTGCAGGACGGGGTTGGGAACACGAGCTGCAAGACATTACGATCGGCGGTGATCTCGTGTAGCATCGGCAAATCGGAAGCCGTGGTGCTGTAGTGCTGATATCGGAGTGATGATGGCTGGCTGAAGGGTTGATCTATTTCCTTCTCCATCCATCATCATGCACACCTGCGAATGGACGAGTCTCCAAAGCCTCTGTTCGCGCGCCCCCTGCAGAACGCATGGTGGGTGTGTTAGGGTCGAGGTTAGGTACAGTAGCCGAATACGAACGATAGAGTTTCTCCGTGCGGAGATTGGACTGTCGTCTTCTCCTTGCAAACCAACCCCCTCCGCCTCTTCTCACCTCACCACGTGGAGGGAGCATGCGTGGGTGAGGTGACAGGACGCGGCGCTGGTTGTTCTTGGCGTGACGTCCTCCTGTCCCTCTCCAGTCTTCCTCTTGAACGCTCGACGAGTCGAGACGACATTTCGAGAGAGTGCGGCCTGGGTACTGCCCTCGTTGTAGTGCACGCCACTGCATGGCCATCGGTATCGTCGAAGACTGTATCAGTCACGCCTTTCGCAGGCAATCATGAGGCCGAATGTGTGACTGCCGCCCTTTATCGCGAGGAGATGAGGAGTCCATCCACATTCCAAGCACGGCGCGAGGAAAGTGCAAAACAAACATCTTCTCGAGCATTCCACGTGCTGGCCGATTACCTACTAGACCGGTCCAATTCTGCGCACGTACTGCACGTGTAGAGTGTTATAAGACGAATTGCAGTGTAAGAGTGGGTGATGCCTTCCCTTTCCCGCGCAGCCTTCCCTCGCTCCTTCCTCAACCCTGCACGACCTGCACTGCACATGCATCCAGAAAAAAGTCTACAGCACAAACAAAACCCAAACAACCGCTCATTAAACCCCTGGGACGACGGCAACTTCCACCGCATTCCCTAATTCCATCAATCACTGCTTCCTGCATCCGTTCATGACAGAAATACACGGCAGTGGTAACAGCAGCATCGCCATCCTCGCCAGCCTCTGACCCCTCCGTTCGTCCGTCCTGTCGCTCGTTGAAGATCTGACCAGATCATCCACACTCGCTCCGGCCTCGCGTGCAACGGCGGCATCGCGATATTCATTGCCGCACTCACTTCCCACCCACAACACCACCGCCGTCCACACCCAACGGGCTCGGCCACGATTGGATACCCACGCCCACACAGCATACCAAACATCCTCATCTCCATCCTCATCGCCAACAGGAAGGCTACACCCAGCATTCACCACCAAACGCCCTCTGCTCGCCCACTGTGATGCCTGCACCTCCGCCTCACATCATCTGGTAACATGGCCGACAGGTACCGCAGCCGCTTAACAGCAGCAAAGCGGCAACCTCTGGCGGAAGTCACCAATAACACGAACACCCCACCTGTCCAAAGCCGACAAGCCAAGTCTGCCAAAGCAGCCTCCATCTCCCCAGGCAATCTACCCCACAATGAATCCCTCGAACCGAACGGATCTCTGGTGGTGCGCGGCAGCAATCCCAGCTCTCCTGAACACGCCCGCGTCTCCCAGATTGCCACCCAGGAAGCTCGTGACACCAAGCGCGACTCCGCCATATCTACCACCTCCACCAATGCCTCGGGCAGAAGGCGCAAGACATACATCGGCCACTGGCAGCTGGGCAAGACCATTGGCAAGGGAGGATGCTCGCGCGTGAGAGTGGTGCGACACAAGACGCGCCATCTGTATGGTGCCGTCAAGATCGTCACGCGCAGCACCGCGGAGAGCACGCGTGCACAAAGCCTTGCCAACCTCATCGAGAGCACCAAGGGTAGCCATGCGCCTACCACTTCAGGACACAAGCCCATCCCGTATGGATTGGAGCGCGAAATTGCGGTCATGAAGCTTCTCGAGCACCCCAACATCGTACGGCTGTATGATGTATGGGAGAATCGCAACGAATTGTGTGTACCCTTCCTCCCTTCACCCCATGCTATGCTAATTGGAGTACAGGTATCTGATCATGGAGTATGTAGACGGCGGAGAGCTGTTCCACTACGTCGACGACAGGAAAGGTCTACCAGAGGAGGACACGGTGTACATCTTCCGCCAGATCGTCTCCGCTCTCCTCTACTGCCACCGTCTGCTCATCTGCCATCGCGACCTCAAGCCGGAGAACATATTGCTCAATCAAAATGACCTCACCGTCAAGCTAATCGACTTTGGCATGGCGGCACTTCAGCCTGAAGGACGGCAACTCAGCACCCCGTGTGGTAGCCCTCACTATGCGGCCCCGGAAGTCGTGAGCAGTCGACCCTATGACGGCAAGCAGGCCGACGTATGGAGCTGCGGAGTCATCCTGTATGTGATGCTGACGGGTACGACACCTTACAACTACTCCCCAGACGGTGACATCCGCTTGCTCTTCCGCGACATTGCCAAAGCAAACTACTGGATGCCGCCGAGCCTCAGCCTGGAGGCGAAAGACCTGATCCGGCGGATCTTCGTCCCCGATCCAAAGCGCCGCATTACCATGGACGAAATCTGGGAGCATCCGCTTGTACACAAATATGACAAACAGTTCGGCTGTCCCAGCCAAACCAAGGAAGACGCCATCGGGCCCATTCCAACGGTCACCGACTTCAAGGTCAAGCGCATACAAGACGTCGACCGTGAGATCTTGCGCAACATGCGCACCCTATGGCATAGCGAATCAGAGCAGGGTCTCATTCAAAAGCTCCTCAGCGACGAAATCAACCAGGAAAAGCTGTTTTACGCTGCATTGTTGAAGCATCGTGAGGAGAATCTGGAGCACTATGCCGGAACCGACGACATGGGCCACTCGAACAGCGACTACCACCACAATCAGCTGCCATTGTCTTCCGCAGCGCCGCCGCTACCCACTGCTTCCGCTCCAAGATCGCAGTCCCAGTACTCGATCCTGAATGACGAGCACCTCAAGCCCAGCCATAGCTTTGTTGAGCCGCCCCCTTCGATTAGCAGCTACGACCCTTACAGAGCCTCCAAGAACCCGATCGTTGCACGTGGTGAATACGTGAACGTCACCGTCCATCGCAACGAAAGCGCTCGTGGAACCCGCAGGGTCAGTGCCAAGCGCAGTCTGCGACATCCCAACTCACTCCGCATTGAAACGCTCAAGCAAGGAAATCGTCGCACCTCGGAGCACTCATCGTCCAGCCTCGGACATTCTGCGCGCAGTTTGAGGCGGTCCTCGGCGTCCAAACACTCCATGACGACCTCAGTCTGGCCTAGCAGTCCCCCAGTCATCGCAACGATGCGACCCTCGGATGTCCATAAGCGTGGTGTAAGCTTTGGGCATCTACGGCGTACATCTACCGTCAGCGCTTTAGAAGCTCAGGGTTCCGGGAAGCCCCCATCTACTCCGAGCATCTCGACCATCTGCAAAGACCGGCGCAAAACGCGGACAGCAAGCAGTCGAGTTGAAAGCTGCAGCCCGACTGCTCATGCGGATCAAGCCATTCTTTCGCGCAAAGAGAAAGCGCCTCTGCCGAAGACTCCACGTATCAAGGTGCGGCACGCGGACGACTCAACTCTGCACATCCGTAACGACATTCGCAAGCACAGTGCGGAGCTTGAAAAGGCATGCGAGGAAGCCTTCTTCCGGAGCTCTGTCGGGTCCAGCCTCACTGCTCAAACCACGTTCTCGGACAAGAACGACCCGTTCAACACGCCGCCATCCTCTGTGTCCCCTCCTGCTCGCACAACTCCAATCATGAAACAGCAGGGCCTCAAACCAATGTCGCGCCCGTTGCCCGCAATTCCAAAGGAAACACCTAACACGTACTTGACGAAGACGTTGGAGGAGACGAGGGAAAAGCTTGCCGCTTATCAGCCCAACGGCGAAGACAACACTGCCAAATTCGAAGAGGTGATGAAGATGTTGGAGAGCATCATGCCTGGTATGCGAAAGTCGCCCGAGAAGCGTGCGACATCTGCACCCGATGCGAAGACGCCAGACCGTCGTGGACCTTTGCCCGTTAAATCAGAGGAAACGGACTATCGCCACAGCAAGGATACTGCGGGCAAATGGCTTCGATCTGCCACTGCGCCAGTGTCCAGGGAGAAGCTTTCGGAGGACAGGACGATTCGAGTTGTGCCTCCCTCATCTCCGGGCACGGTCGCGCCATTGAATGTTCGCAAGCGCAGCAATGGGAGCGATACGAGCAGCGCGGGTTCACAAAGTCGCCTGAGTCCGAAACACTCTCAGGAGCGGATGGGTTTGAAACGTGGCAACGACACTGTTGGCAGCTTGGCAGTCATTGACGAGGACACTGCACTTTCGTCACCTCAAAATGACACCCCGACTTTGAGAAGGAAGCAGTCTGGTTGGTTTGGGATTAACAGGAAGAGAGCAGACGTGGAGAACAACACGAGCGACGGTGCTGCTGCTGTCTCCCCCGGCGATGTTGTCGATCGAAGAGATCGGAGACCGTTGAGGACGGCGATCAAGACGCAGTCAGAGAAGCCTCTGCCAGAAGAGCCCCCGCCATCCGCGCTGTCAAGTGAATTCCCAATTCGCAAGACCAGGCTTGTGGGAGGAAAGAAGAGCTTTTCCAAATGGCTTGGGAAAATAGGTGGGGATAAGACTGATCCCGTGAACGACGCAGGCAAGCCTCCCCCTTTCGTCACTCTCCTAACATATTGCTGACTTGTTTGTGCAGGCGACAACTCCAACATAGTCCACCCGTCCATGGACTCGCTCTTCTCTTCCGCCTCACCAGCACCATCCAGCGACGACAGCCCGCCGATCGGCGGCCCCGAGCGCTCCTGGTTCGCGAGGTTCTTCCACTTCAAGCCCATGTCGAAAGTCCTCTGCTTCTCCATCCCACGTGGTCGCGCTCGACAGGAGCTTGTCCTCTTGCTTCGCGAATGGCAGCGTCATGGCATTCGCGACCTCCAGTATTCCCGGGAGACGAACACCGTCACAGCGCGGGTCGACAAGCACAATTCGCTAGATATCAAGCCTGTGGCGTTCCGAGTGGAGCTGTTTGTTGTGCTAGAGCATGGACGGAAGGCGGGTTTGTCGATTGCGCGCTTTGTGCAGGTCAAGGGGGCCGCGAGTGGGTTTAGGCGAGTGATGGAGGTGGTTGATGGAGTGATGAGGGGACGCGGCTGGTTGGTGGAGGATGAGGAGAAGTGGAAGGCATTGTGTGAGGTGGTTGGTGGGTGAGCATCTCTTGTGCTCGTTGGGGTAAGTCTGATCGAAGTCCTGGACACACAAGCACACACACTGTTGAAAAGAAAGGACGGGGGCAGGTGGTTAGGGCGAAGCATGCTTGCGGTGGCGAAAGCTACAAAGGTACTTTCTTTGCGATTTGACGGACAGGCGGGCGTCTGATGGCATGGCGTGGGTTGGCGTTGACACCGACTCTAAAAGGGCAGTGAGCATGATTACAGGGGGATAGATTCTCGATAGACGCTGGTAGAAGAACGCTAATATACATAATGCACCACTGTTCTCGTGCGGAAGATCTTCAGCAATGCAACGGAGGCATCGCCAACGCTGTCAATTGCCCTTCTCGTCCATCGATTTCGATCGAGGGCGATACCTTGGCGTATTCTCCTTCTGCGAGTGTGAACGCTTTCGATTGACTTTGGTTGCCCCAAACGACCCCGCAGGATCCGTACTATTCGGCAACTCTGCACCCAGCAGTGTAAAGTCCCTCGAGTGCAGATGAACATGGTATTGCTCCATGGGGTACAGCCATTTCTGCACCTTCAGCACCGTCCGCCGGAACAGCAGCGTGAACAGCACGCTCAGGATGAGGACGGGCACGACGGCATAGACGTACCACAGCGCCTTCCAGGTGACGGAGGAAAAGCCCCAGAGGCCGGAGAGGTAGGAGATGGGGAGGAAGATGGTGGCGATGATGGAGAGGAACTGGCTGTTGTCGGACTGCACCGCATTCTGAATGTTGAACTCGAGGTCGAGGAGGTTGTTGAAGCGCTCTTTGAGGCCGTCGATGGTGCTGCTGTATTGGTTGAGGTCCTCGACGGCGTCGTCCACGTCGGTCCACAGCGGGGCGGCTTGCGCTTGTTCGGGGGCGTCGGATTTGAGCTTTTGCAGCTTGGTGAGGGAGGATTGGTGGAATTGGAGGTATTCCTTCAGCTCGTAGATGCGGTCGACTTCGTGGTGCATGGTGCGAGCGCGCATTTTCACGGGCAGCTTTCGGCCGTGGCTGTTATCGTCGGCTTCTTTGAGGCGCGCCTTGATGGCGAAGACGATGTTTTGCCAGTCGGTGAGGAGCCAATAGAGGCGGAGGAAGATCCACGTGATTTGCTCTTCGTCACTGTTGCGACGCTTCGCAAAGTCTTGGTCTTTGTAGAGAAAGGGAAAGAGCAGCTCGGTGACGACATGCTCGCAGACGTCGGTGGGACGGGTGAAGATGATTGTGACTGGGACATTCGGGTCGAAGGTGCAGGCGCCCTGGCCCATTTGCCACACCCCCAGGCGGAAGCGGAAGTTTTGAATGTACGGGAGGCCGTAGTCGTCGAGAGAAGGAGGCTCGAGATCGACGCTCCAGTAGTAGACTTGCGGGACGTTCATGTTGTCGATAATAAAGGTCCATGGGACAAAGTCGCCGGTCTGACTCGCCTTTTCCGGAAACTGCATCGAATTTGCGAATTGCACTTCGCGGTCGAGATCGGACACCTCGGACCATGAGTCGCGGATGCAAGAGTTGAAGACCTCCTCTAGCCAGGGTTGGTAGCCATTGACGGCGATGATGAGGGGATCGCGGGGGTAGGTGTGGACTTGCTCATCGACAAATCGGGCGAAGCGGCCGGCGTCCTTGGGGCCACTGACCTGGATCTCGTGGAATCGGCGAGGAGAGCGACGACTACCGACTCGGATGGCTATCGGTTTGCCGCCGTTGAAGGACCTGCGGCGGTGGAGATGGCGTCTTCTGCTGGCCATGACGAAGATGATCGAGTTTGGGTGGGTGTGAACGGTAGCAGGCCGGAATCAGCCTGGCAAAGCGGTACTAATCACATCGTAGACAGATCGGTGTAGTAAGTGGCAAAGGGTGGAAGATACGAGCTCCAGGAGTAGATGTTATAGTCGGAGGTCAACAAGTGAAGTTGCGTCCCGGAGCTCGAGGCGTGGGGCCTGCCGCGCGAGGCTGCGACGTTCGCTCCTTCCGGCTATGCAGTCTTGGCTCGTCTCAGGGTCCTCGCTTCAGCCTTTCTCCGCGCATACACCATGTCCATTATCCGCATCAAGGCTGCACTGTTCGGAGAATTGTGCTCTCCATACCGTACAACATGGCTCGTCGCACGCTAGTGTTGTCTGGCGAGCACGTGCAACAACACTCACTTAGACTTTGAACTCTAACTTTCAGCTGACAGCTGTCGGAAGCTCGGGCCAACCACGCCATCCTCGAGTGCTGTCGGCCAGGCTAGATCGTGTGAACACAGGACCATACTTTCGTCGTCTTCGAACAGACGCGGTCCTGCGTGTCTACCGCTGTAACATCCCTGATCCACAGTCATGGAGTTAAGTCGGCGTTATCTCAGACCAAGCAACCGCATATGGGCGATTATTCCACCGCGAAAGAGCTGAGCAGGCGCTTATGCATGACAGGGACAGCGTGACAATAACCATACATATCGAGTGTGCGGTTGCATCAGCTCTACGCTCAGTTGGCTGTTCGTCGCTGTCTCGGCCAGGTCAAGCGATGATTCACCGCCTGCGCGACCCAAGCGCGCTTCATCAAGGTGGGCGTCAGCATGCAACGTCAATCCTCCGTAATGTCTATGCCGGGGCCTGTGTCAGCCTGGGACTCCCTTAAGTCGCCGCTTACAACGCTATGATCGGTGGGTATGCTACCAAGACTCTTCCATACAAGGCTCGGCGCGAAGGACTGCTGCTTTCGTCCACCTTCCACGTTCTCATGCCAGGCTGCAGTGCGTCTCGGAGGAGTGAATCAACAACGATCGACTGGTGAGAAGACGCACCAATAATACGAAACGTAATCACCGCAAGTCCTCCACCAATCAGAGTCGTTGGAATTGAGCTTACTCCTTTGGGCAGCAGGTGATGGGATGATTCCGCGCCGGCGGAAACGCGATGATGGCCGGCGGCCAAGGCAGCCATACCATCCTTCACCACTCGTTACTGCATCATCCTACAGGGACGATGATTCATTCCAAGCAATCGTCTCGGTGGAAGAATCTTCAACCGTAGACACCCGATGCTCACCCGTTCAACGAACGCCGAACAATCAACGGGCTGTGACATATACCCGCGCAGCGAGACGCTCCTCAAATCCCGTCACGGACCGATCGTCTTGGTATGACTCGTACTCGCTTGGACCCCAATTCAACTCATCAGCTGAGCTTGGGGGTTAGCAAGCGTCGGTCGTCGGAGAAGGAATGAGGAACGTCAGCTGCTGTCGCAATCCGCTGACGGTCGACACGAAGCGAGGATGCCATTTGACCAGTTGGGATGTGAGAACGAATGATGTTGATGCACTAGATTTACGAGTTTGGCAAGCCTTGCTACTTGACGATAGATCGTTGCCATCGTTGTCATGGCCAGTGCCGGCAAGCGTAAACTAGAGATGACAACAGCGCAGAGGGCCTGTTGGGTGGCCTGACTGATGCGTTGGTAATAATGCGACACGCTGCAGCACTGCGCCCGGGATCCTCCCAATTCGATGTAGATGATAATCGACAACGGCAACAGCTGTAGGCCCAATTCGAAGGCTATTGCTCCAGGCCCGTCCATGATCATCACCAGCAGAAACTTGGGCAGGACGGGTCGCTCGGCGTGGCGAAAAAAAAAGAGAGGCCGAGAGGGCGCAGTTGAGTTGGCAGGGTGGGGATGGGGAAAAGGTGGGAAGGCCGACCGAGTGGCGTTTCTCTCCCGACCCCCGGCCCGCACGGACCACTTTTTCCTCGAATTACTCATTCTGCCTGCCGTCGGCGCAGGCCCCAGCCCAAAGCTCCCAGTCATCCTCCCCTCCGCCGTCTTCATCGCGAGCAGTCGAGCAGTGTGCAGAGCAGTGCAGCAACATCGACATCCCTCCCTTCTTCCTCCTCGCCGCCTCCTCCTCCCTCCGCCCACCAAGGCCACGCGCACGCCCGACGACGTGTCGTTTCCGGGAAACGCGCTGCGCTCAGCGGGAAACACCTGGCCGCTTGCCGCCTGCCGCCACCCTCTCTGCTCTGCCTCCTCGTCCTTGGTTGCACGCGGAGTCATCGAGCCTCGCCACCTTGATTCACCCTCTTCATCCCGTCACCTCTTCCTTCCCCTTCACTCATACTCACTCTTACGCCTCTCCCCTCTACTCTCCACCCCTTCCCTCTCTCTTCACTCGGCCTGCAAGGACGGAGACTTGCGCGGACCGCCTCCCAGCAGCCTACCGTCACCACCGCAAGCCGCCAACAACCGCAACTCATCCCGAGCCAGCCCCTTGTACTCATACCACCACCACATCGGCTCATACGCCTTTGCTCTGATTCACAGCAACTGCGCTCTGTCCACACGCTGCATCTCCACTCAGTCATCGACGCTCGCAACCACGCTACGACAGTCATAAGCCCTCGTTAATATTTCCACTGCGCCTCGTTCACCCACCTCGATCAAAATGTCACCCGATATCAGCTTCGCAGAGCTTCCAACCCGCCGCACAACCGTCTCCAAGTCCTTCGATTCCGTTACTGGTCGCCCTTCATACTAGGACGACTTTTTGCACCGAGAAGAACATCAGCCTGCCGGGAACCTCACACCTCGACACGCCTGTGTACTATTATCGACGCGAAAGAGCAGAAACGAAACACTTGGGTCACACGCGCGCGCGCTGGTTGGAGCCTCTCTCCCAATTCGCCACCTTACATCGATCTATCCTTCCCTGCCTTGTGCTTTTTGATACCCCCTCCCAACCCCTACCTAATCACATGTCCTCTTAATCGGCACAAGCTGTCACACGTCTTTCGGCACTCGAGAGGCGTCGCGGAATACCAGGTCACATCGAACGGTCAACTCTTACTGGATTACTCTTACCCTGCTCTCTCTCACAGAGAATGAATTTGCACGACGGCGAGCAGACACTGAATGGGGCCCACCATCTCTCTTCTTCTGGACGAGCAGATGCGCCGTACGAACCATCCATCTCCTCCTCCGTCTCCTCACAGGCCTCCGTCTTCTCCGAGTCGTGTTCCATCTCAAGCTCAATAGCGAGCTCCGTCTCTGACGACTTCCGACTCGGCCATGAGGAGGCGAGGGACAAAGCCTGCGCTCAACTGCAGATTCAAAGCCAATTGTCTCTCGACGACACACACACTGCCGCCGCGCCATCACAGGCCGACTGCCCCACCAAGGCATGGGATCCACCGGCTCCATCGTACGCCGACGTCACCTCACTGCCGCAGGAGCAACGACAAAATCCCCGGAGGAGTTTCGGCACAAGGAACCAGAAGCCTCCTGCACTCGTTCGACAAGATGATCGAAAGAGCAATTTTGTCGAATCACTCGTTGGTAAGCCACTGCACATTTTCTCACTCGGTCCCCATAGACCATACGCTAAGACTTTCGGCCGCTTGAAGACTCCGCAACTCAAATGGTTGAGGTGATCTGGCCGCTCTCGGTCGTTCCCTGCCGAGGCGAGGCCGCCAATGGTCGCGGCGTGCTCCCGCTACGCACCTACATTGAAGAGACCTTGCGCCGTTCGCGGACAAGCTACTCGACGCTGCAGGTCGCGCTATACTACCTCATCCTGATCAAGCCGTTTGTCCCGAAGAACGACTTCACTCACGAGCAGCAAATGGACTGCCCGGCCAGCCGTGCGCTCATGTGCGGCCGACGCATGTTCCTGGCTGCACTGATCCTAGCATCGAAGTACTTGCAAGACCGTAACTACTCCGCCAAAGCGTGGAGCAGGATGTCGGGCCTCAAGATCACGGAGATCAACACTAACGAACGAACCTTCCTCAGCAAAGTCAATTGGAAACTGCACATCCCCGAGCCCATCTTCAAACGATGGGCGGAGATTGTGATCAAGCACACGCCCAATCATCAACCGCCATCGCCCGGGGCTCCTTTCAATCTTTCCACATTATCGTGGAAGAGCATTGTGCCGTTGCTTACCCCCGAGCTGGACACCATCCCCATGCCAGACACCAAAGCCCGACCGCTGTCCGAGAGCACCGACACATTCGGCTTGGCATCACCTACCACCCCGACGCCAACGAAGGGCGCGATGAACTTGTTCAAATGCGACTCGACGTCGCACGAGGGCACGCCTACACCATTGACCGTCGTCCCCCGCTTTTTGGAGCCGCGCCCGGATCTCGCCCCTCCTACCCCGGCACTGGCCCGCATGGGCCCGCTGCCCACACCGTCAATGACACCGTCATCGGTCGCTGCGAGTACTCCTGCTGCGAGTGTTTGTAGTTCCCGACGACCCTCCATTTGCTCGGCCATGGCGGCAGTGCAACGAAATGGATTCAACCGATGCGCCGTGGACGCCCTTCCGTTTGGCTTCAACACGAACAAGGACAATGCGCCGTACGGATACTTGTCACGTCGACCATCCATCACCAGCGCAGCCTCCTCGCGCTCCAGCCCCGAGTCGATGATCTCCGACCGCTCACGCACCTCGCGAGCCTCTTCCATCTCCTCCATCTCGACGGTCTCGTCGACTTCGTCCATGGCGCCGAATCGAGCTTGCTTGGCTCGACTGGCGACGTGTCGAGGCGCGAGACTGCCGCCCCCACCTGCGACGGTGGCGGAGGAGAAGGAAGGCTCGTGCGCCAAGCCCATCGTCATCTCCGACGACGTGGAGATGCTGAGCAGTCCCGATCCCATCGACTTCACCATTAGCGAGAAGGTGCTACACACGCCTCACAAGCACAGCAAGCACGCTACCCAGCCCGCCCTCTCCGCTGCTGCTGTTCATGCGACCGAAAAGTCGCGCAAGCGAGGCCGCACACAGGGCAATCGCCGCTCGGACCTGCAGGAGGAAGTGCGTCTGGCGTTGGAAGAAGCGCAGGACGAGTTGATGGACATTGACGGGGACGACGAAGATGTCGTCGATCTGACCACGCCGTCGCCCGCGGTCGATTATACCACCAAGATGCTCTCCCGGTCTGGCTCCATGGCTTCGACGAAGGAGGTGCAGCCGCCGGCGACACTTTCTCGGATGGGGTCAGGCAGGATGCCGGTGCAGAGGCACGATGGCTTCAAGAGGAGCTGCTGCTCCACCACTGCCATGTCCATGTCGCCCGCGCCGCTCTACGGAGAGGTCGCCTAGGCCATTGCACACCTCGATGTTGGGAGAGAACTTCCCCTGGCTCCACTGTTACGATACCTGTGCATTAAGCGTAGGAGTATTGAAGCGGTGAGTCGTCAATATGGCGACTTGCATGCTTTGAATGAAACATGAATTCTTTTAATTGCATATACGTTCCATCTTCTGCTCGTGACCTACGCTGATGTCTTTGAATGCACGTAGTGAGTGAGTAAGGTATCCTTTTGATGTGCACCTCGGTAAAAGTTGCGGATTGCTGCGCCCCGTGCCAAGCCTCGGGCCACCATCAATACATGGCGGGAGCCAAGCACAACGACAAGCCCAAGACTTTCACCAAGAGGTCATCGTTTCCTCCCTCGCCACGCATTCTGCGTCGCGTGTCCCCGCCGCCATGCTCGCGCTTGCCGTAGCTCCATGTAGCTTGATGGTGATGATGGTGGAATCGCCTTCGCACGAGGCTTCCGTGCACCTCATCTTCCCGGACGAGGTAAGAGACTTGCGACCCGCTGGTGCTGGGCAAACGCGACAACAGAGCACTGCCGCAATCACTGGTGATATCAATATCTCCAAGAGCTTGGCGGAGGAATATTGCGTACCTCTGGCATTGTTTTGGTGGAGTTTGAAGGGGCGTGGATTATCTCTCTCTTAACACTGCGCCGGCGGTCGTTCCTATCTTACTGACCTCACCTGCCTTCCCTCCTCAACTCGATTGACCGATTCGCAGTGCTTAGGATGAGATTATGGCGATGGAGAAGTGGCGCGGCGGTCTGCGCCCTCCTTCTCGGCGGCCAGGTTTCGCGAGCGCTCGAGCTAGACCTTAATGATGCCTGTACGTGATCTTCCCGGCCCATGTCCGCCGTCGCGCCCCGACTGACCTCAAGGTGTAGCTTCCATCAAACGAGCCGCAAAAACCGCCGCGGAGGGAATGCTCGCCTACTACACCGGAGGAGTGGAGGGTCAAGTCGTCTCCCAGATGCCCGGCGTCCTCCCCGGCCCATACTACTGGTGGGAGGCGGGAGCGATGATGGGCTCCCTTATCGAATACCACTACTACACCGGCGATACCTCCTTCAACTCCCTCGTTACCGAAGCAATGCTATTCCAAACCGGCCCCGACGCCAACTACATGCCACCCAACCAAACCCAATCGCTCGGAAATGACGATCAATGCTTCTGGGCTCTGAGCGCCATGTCCGCCGCCGAAACCCGATTTCCCAATCCCGGACCCGAAGAGCCACAGTGGCTGGCGCTCGCACAGGCCGTCTTCAACACCCAGGCGCATCGCTGGGACATGAGCTCGTGTGGCGGCGGCTTGAAGTGGCAGATATTCGCCTTCAACCTGGGCTACGATTACAAAAACGCCATTTCGAACGGCTGTTTCTTCAACCTCGCCGCGCGGCTCGGCGCCTACACGCACAACGACACATACTTGGAGTGGGCGAACAGGGTATGGGACTGGGAACACGCCGTTGGCCTGATCGGCGAGAACTACATGGTGTATGACGGAACGGGCGATTTGGAGAACTGCACTTCGCTCAGCCACATCCAGTGGACATACAATGCCGGCATCCACATCTTAGGCGCGGCAATGATGTGGCGCGAGACGACCGGCTCCCAGCAAGCACTCTGGCAGACTCGTCTGTCCGCCCTCCTCGAGTCAGCCAAGGTCTTCTTCACCGGCGACAGCCCTACCATGTACGAGGCTGCCTGCGAACCGCCGGGAAACTGCAACGTCGACCAACTCTCCTTCAAAGCCTACTTCTCCCGATGGCTAGGCGCGACCGCGAAAATCGCCCCTTTTACACACGACATCATCCTTCCGCTACTGCAGTCCTCGGCACAAGCAGCCGCTCTTTCATGCACGGGAGGGATACAAGGCACATTGTGCGGCATGCGATGGACGGCGGGCACATGGGATGGCACCGACGGCGTCGGACAGCAAATGTGCGCTCTCGAAGTCATTCAGACCAACCTCCTCGATTCTGTCCCCGCACGTGTTTCCGATGGGAATGGAGGCATTTCACAAGGCAACCCTTCCGCCGGAGGCGACACGAACGATAACTTTGTGCAACTGCGCCCCATTACCACAGCAGACCGCGCCGGTGCGGGAATCTTGACCGCGGTGGCGGTGATCCTCACCGTAGGCGGCGGAGGATGGTTACTTTCTTGAACCTGCGATGTGTGGGTGACTCGGCTCGCTACACAATGATTCATGGCCTTTTGCATCTGTCTTTTCTCATCTTCACGTCCGCTTTCTTGCTCCTCCCACGGAACCTATTGTCACAGTCCCGCCGCTCTCACGCTCAATAGTGGCATTTGGACTCCTCTATGAAACTGTTCCAAGATTGAATGCCTGCCCACCAAATTGACCTGGCTTTCCCCCCTTTGAGGGGTTGGTGGACGTTCGGGTCTCATCGTGCGCTTACATATGTAGTCTTAGAGAGAATGTACCAATAACAACTCAAACGTGTGAATGCTCGTGTTTCTTTGCTTCTGCTCAAGATAATCCTGCTAGACTTGTGGTGCATCCGCGCTCAAAGAGAGGAAGTATTTCGCAGGAGCGAGCCATACGCTGCGTGGGATCGCAGTGCTCGCATGGCTCGTAGTGCTTCGTCCACCAACTCAGTCATTCCGAGTCCATCTTCCCAATACCCTGTTCCAGCGCTGATCCTCGCACCGAAGCCGATCTGTCGTTGATGAAAATCATCTCCTTTTCAGTCCAACTCAATAACTTCCGGCTCCCACTCCGCCTCAACGCTATCAGTCTCTCTCATCGTCTGGATGACCTGCTTGAAGATGGCCTTTGCGACTGGCGGCGGGACGGCGTTGCCAATCTGCCGACGGATACTCGTCTTGCACCCATAGAATGCGTGCGACTGAGGAAAGCCAGCAAGGCAGGCAAGCTCTTGCAAGTTGAATGAGCGCCTCCCGCTGGGGTGCACGTCGGATTGGCCACCATTGGTTGTGATGCAGCTGTGAAGTGGCTGGTTGGCATCGTACGGAGCGGCAAATTTTGCAGTGAAGGCTCGCATGTGGGCTGGAATCGTGAAGGGGTTGATCCTAGACAGAATGCGGGCAATGGTCTTGAAGGGTTTAAGGCCCGGTGTGACTCCGTTTGTGGGCTGCGGGAAAGGAGGAAGAGGCTCTCCTGGGCTGCTTATGGAGTTAGTCTCTGCTCAAGTTGCAAGTGAAGGGTTAATGACTTGCCATGAGGCTATAATGAAGAGCCTCTTGCGGGCTTGGACGCAGTTGTAATCTGCGCAGTTGAGGATCCCAGCTCTGACGTTGTAACCCATCGACGTAATTTGATGAATCAAAGCGCGGAAGTGGTCGCCTCCACCATGCGTGACGATCCCCGAGGTCTGCTCTGTTATGGAAATCAGTCGTTTCCTAAGAGGTAGGACGATGGCGGTACATACCCATCGTGAGGATACGCGGCTTATGCTGTTCCAGCAGTGGAATAACCGAGTAGCCTGCGGCAATATTCCTTTCATCATTCCTCCCAAGCGCTGTGTGAGCCGGACTGTGAGGTTGGCATGGGAAACTGATATGCAGGATGTCAACGAGACGAGGGATGAACCCCAGGATCGTATTAGTAGCGAGGTCGAAGATGTCGTGGCGCAAGACGTGTACGTTTCCGAAATTGGCAGCCAGAGTCTCGCAAGCATCCTTCCAGTGATCGAGAAAGAAGACGGCCAGTAAACCAGCCATGATGGCGCCTAGCGCCATACCCCCAGCTCCGGTGCAAACGTCGGCATAGGTGTAGCTGTTCTTCTTCTGGTTGAATTCGAATTCTGCCTTGTCAATGACGACGAAGTCGACATCTTGGGTTGCTCGTTTCTTGTGTGCTTGGACGGACGCGCCAGATACCCCTCTGAACCCTCTCTTCTGCTGTACACTCGAGATACCGGCGTTGGGAGAACACTCGCTCTCGTTCAAGTGTAGTATGACGTTGGTGACGACTTTGCCCGTTTGCGGCTGGACATACTCGATGTGCTTTGACCGGCAGACCAGAACCGCGTGCTCTTCAACATCTACCAAGGTGTTGTAGAGGTTGTTGTCGTGGTGCTTGCGAAAACTCAGCTCTGGGAATTTGCGGTTGGTGAAAACGAGTTTGCGAGTCGCGATTGCGTGGCTGATAGGGACGGAGACCAGGCACTCGTAGAGCTGAGGGCCACCGGATCCGTCATGGTGTCCGTTGATAGCTTGGTATTGCACCGCGACCTCGTTACACTTCTTTAGCAGCATGCCCTTGAATTTTCTTGTCCGGCGGAGGAGGTTGCCTCGCATTGTCATTGGGTTAGTGCTGCTCACTTTGTGCACATAGAAAAAGTTGTGGTCTTTGAGCTCTACGCAGATATCTGGTCCTATTGTGATACCCAAGGAGTTCACCACCGTGAGATCAGAGCAGGATGGTGAGGTGGTAGAGCGCTCGAAGCGAGCAACAAAGGCGGAGCGCTCGTGGTCGGAGAGCTCGCGAAAGCAGTCTGCGTCGTTGTCTTCGTCATCATCGGGAATTTCGAATACTGGGATGCCCTGTTCGTCCTCTTCGAAGGTAATGTCTTCCATCATAGCAGCGATGTCATCCTGGCGACGGGCGAAAGTGCGATTGTGAGCCATGCTAGCCGATGAAGAGCTGAGTTTTCTCTCGCTCTCTCTCTCTCCACAGTGCGGTCTGCCTTCTCAAAGTAGGAAGCAGTAGGGGAATGCAAAGAAGAGGACACCGTCTCTGATTTGCGGTGTGGAGGGAGAAAGCGTTGTGAAAGGCTGCAAGGTTCGATGAAGAGGAAAGAGGGAAGAGGAGGGGTGGTGAAGAGAGTTGGCAAGAAGAAAGAAGAAGAGGAGGAGGAGAAACGCTGTGAGCAAAGCTCACTTGCTCCCTGAGTTGCACATGCGTGGGGGATGAGATTTGTGACGAGAACGCCTTCACTGAGCAAACGAAGCTCAGTTCAGAGCAAACGCAGCAGTGAGTCTTGAGTGATAGTGAAAAGACAGACGACAATCACGTGCTCTGTTGCTCTTGAATGAGTAGGCGGCCTGCGTCCAGCTTGAACGTTGCTGTCGTGCTATCGTCCCCTCCAGCTGCATTCACATGCGATACGTGTGCATCTACCAGACGAGGAGACATGGCATTGACCTTGGGAGTTCTTAAGAGCCAAAGCATCGCCAAGTTGGAACCGTGAGGGCGAGGCCAGAATGTTGCAGCATCGACCGGGCGCAACACAATCATGGTGAGGTATTGGCAAGTAAATGGTTTGAAGTTGTCACGGCCAAGGGGTGAAGTCGAGAGGATCTCCAGATGTGGAGAGCGCGGTGCGACACCTCGCCGAAAGCGGACTGGTCAGCCTTCCCATTCTCTTCACCACACCGCCGAGGCACACATATCATCATCATGCTCTACGCGAAGTATTCGAGGGATGTAGAAGATGTTGCGGCAATCGCTCTGCTTCTAGATAGATCTCATGTAGCCACTCTGGCGTCGCTCAAGTGTGACATCGTCAAAAGACAACGATTCGTTGGGACTGGCAACACCCCTATGCCATCGACATGTTTCGTTCTTTCGTCAGTCCTGTACTGTCAAACTTGCGTAGCAGCCGTAAACGACCATCCATATTCTAGGCCCCGTGCAGATCAACTCGAATGCTTCTCCTTTGTAGCATCCTCGACGGCATGATCCACTACATCGCTCATAAATGCACCGCCTAGCAAGATTGCCGGCTCATCTAAACTGTGATGCTCGTAGCTCAAAGTGCCTACTCCCCCAGCGTCCAGCAGTAGACTGGGGTTGTCCGCAATGTTCTTGCCAATCCATCGTCCGGCAAATGCTCGCAAGATATGGCCGTGAGCGACAATGAGTACGTCGTAGGGCTTCTTAACCGTACCCTTCGGCTTGCCAATGGCATCAGCGTGATATCGTTCGCGCAGGCTCTTGATCAGATCGTCGAGTCGCGCTGTGATTTGCTCTGGTGATCTGCACAGCACACAATCAGTTCCACCTCGTAATCATCGAAGTGGAAGCACATACTCTCCCCCGGGACATCCATCCCTCCAGATATCCCACGATCCCTCCCCACTCTCCTCCCTCCTCTTCCGAATCTCCTGGCTCGTAATCCCCTCATACTCCCCATAATCCCATTCGGAAATCTGCGCCGTCACCTCAATCTTCGCCCGCGCGCCCTCCGCGCACGCCACATTCCCCTCCGCCATCTCCCCATGCGGCGCCCACGGCATCTCCTCATGGCATGCCAGGCCGAGCAGCTCGAGAGTGCGCTGGGCACGCTTGCGTGGCGAAACGTAAATGTGCGCGAGGTTGGAGGGGACAATGAGGCGGTCGGGCCCGACGAGCGCCTTGCCTGTGGCGCGGACGCGCTTCTCGCCATTGGCCGTGAGCGGGATGTCGGAGGTGCCGGTGTGGCGGCCGTTGAGCGACCATTCCGTTTCGCCGTGGCGGATGATGAAGACGCGCGGGGTCGTCATGGTGTCGGCCGCTTCTTTGCTCGAGGTGCGCTATGAGGAGAGCGAAGTGGGAAGTGCAGGGCAGGTTGGAGAAGGAGGATGATATCACTCTTCCGCCGCACACGAGGCGGAGGATCCACTCTTTCCCTTCGTCTCTGCCTCCACCTCGACCTACCTGTTTCCCACGTGTCTAGCCCGATCCAACATCTTCCGGACGTTCCGGAGACGCGAGATCACGCGTTGACGCCCAAGTGTTGGATGACAATGTGTGCTAATAGACTAAACGTGCGGCAAGAAGGCAATGACAAAGCCGGCGCCGGCACACTGACAACAAACACCACATATTCGACGAGACGACGCGAAGAGGAAAAGATTAGGATTCTCTAATAAAACAATCCTGCATTATGAAGAGAACGAGGGGAGCCGTCTCTTTCTGCTGCCTTTGCTCTGCTTGCTTTTGGGTGTCAAAGACGAAGGCAAAGAGAGCACAGCACCGTTGTATGCAACCATTTCAATATCTCCGCAATCCTCCGCATTCCGTGCAATGGATCCGTCAATCCAGAAGCTGCCGCTGCATCCCGAGGAAAGCGGGATGGTAGGACCTGTGTGAGGAAAAGGTACTCGAGCAGACGCCGGATCAAGTGCATGTATTAAGAGTGCTTCCCTGCCTTCCTCCTCCCGTGTCTTCCGTAAGACCTCGATGCTTATATACGTTACTCTCCCAGGTTTCCCTTCTGAACGCCGGACGCAATGAAGAAGGGACGTAGAGTTGGTCGTCGATGCCGGCCGTGCACGGCCGAAGAGAATGGTGGTGGTAGTGAAGTCGTGTATGGCGAAATGTGTGTTGCTTCTTCAAGGCAACAATACCCCTGGGAAGCAGCCAATCGGGTATGACTGAGCCTGATCTCGTGAGATACATTCGTTAGATGATGCTGGATGAGCCGGTCGTGGACCGAGTCCACCAAGCGAAGCCAATCGGTGGGCGTTGAGCAGCGTCTGCGCCCGCATCACGGATGGCGAAAGGGCTCAATGCCAGACGCTCGCACGGTTTGTGCGCTCGCTTATCGAACGCCGATCACATGGCGGGGGCCAAGGCTGCTCGAGGAGCTATGCGCGGAGGGATCCGAGTCCAAGGGTGCCGAGGAGCGATAACTATCACCACTGCCCGCGCTAGCGCTCGCAGAACCTGTCAGACTGCGTACTTGAGGCTGAAGCTGCGCCGAAGAAGACGGCGCCGCTTTTGGCGGGGGCGCGGGATAAACATTGCTCACCCCATTACTCTGCTGCTCCAGCTGCTGATGCGGCATGACTCCATTCACTGGTCCTCCGGTCGGGTACCGCGGAATGGGTTGGCGCAGGCCGGGAGGGCTTGGGCGGCCATTGTTGTAAGAGCCGCTGGGGGGTGAGGGGCGAAGATTGGGACGCGGTGTGATCGAACCATTCGTCCCGTTCAAGAGATTCGCTGGTGAGTGGCTGCCACGTCTGCTGCCCGGTCCCGGAAAGGGAGCGCCAAACCCGTTCGGACCAGGACCATGACCAGCTCCTTGCTGGAGTTCATGGAGCCGCTCAGCCGTGAGAGAGTTGGTCCGCGACTCGATGCCCATGTTGTGTCGGTCCACATTGCCGTAGCGGTCAGAGCTGTAGCCCATCAAGGGATTGTTCATCAATTCCTCGCGAAAGTGTGGCATCTCGTTCATGAGAGTGGTGCTCGTTCGGTTCTTGGGGAAGCCTGGACGTCTCGGTGGATTGCGGCTGTTGCGCATCTGGCCACCCATGCCCATCATCTCCGGGTTCGCGCGCAATTGACCGGCGCTGGGAGCCTTGCGCGTTCTCCTAGAAGTGACGCTCATCATATCGATCTGATCGGCATCCACGCCAGCCATGCTCGGCGCCGCCATGGGGTCGAAGAAGTCGGCGCCATCCTCGTCGTCATCGTCGTCGTATGCGGCGGGAGCCATGCGCCCTTGCCCCTGCCTCATCCGGAATTCTCGCTCTCGCAGTGCAAGCTCTTTCTGACGAAGGGCAAACTCCCGCTCGCGCAGGTGAATATCGCCACCCGCACCGTTTGACATGTCGTATCCGCCATCGTCCACCATGTCATCGTAGAGCATCACATGACTGAATTCCTCCAGCCCAGTCTCTTCCAATTCCGAGCGGCGAGGAGGCGGGCCACGAGGGCCATAGCCGTTGCCATTCATCCCACGCGGTGGGTATCCATTCATCGGAGGCGGACCCCTTCGCATACCCGGAGGCATGGGCCCGCCGACGGCTGAAGCCGCACGGTTTCGTGGTGGCATCCCGTTACCCATGGGGCCGCGGCCCATTGGTCCAGGACCGGGCATTGAACCGCGCATAGACGGCGGCATCTGAGCCGGACCACTTGGTGCCGAGGACATCCGTGGCATCGGTGGTGGGACGGCGGTGGCGACGGCGACGGGGGAAGGAGGAGGTCGTGTCTGGTTGATGGTGTTGACGTTGTGCAAGAGCGCGTAGAGTGTTTCGATTCGGGGTACCGGCACGCCAACTTCCTGCGCGAGCTTCATGGGGGAGCCCAGATAGGTCTCCACCTCCATCGGCCGGCGAGCCAAGAAGTCTTGATACATGGTGCTTGTGCTTTCGGAGGGAAGGATCATCTGCTCCATGACCTCTTCTCGATAGCCGGGATTGAATTGGCACCCCTGGGCTTGGGCGATGGCGAGCAGCTCGTCAATCACGCCGCTAATAAGCGCACGCACGCCCGTCTTCTCGAGCAGCTCGGCATGTGATGGTGTCTCAAACACGACGCTGGCGGGGTGGAAAGCAATGTTCCTGCGTGTTTTGATTAGCTTTGCGGCAGTGAGGAGGCGGGACATTGCATCTGCTCACCCCATCGTCCTTTCGTACTGCTGTTGCCGAATGTTGGAGGAGACCTCGCAGTCGACTTGCCCTGACTTGAGGGTCATGGAAAGAGCCTCTGCCATATCCTTCTGTATTGATGCGGGGATGGAGGGATTCTTGTTCGCCGCACCCACCCACAGCTCGGTGCCTCCTTTGTGTTCGAACTCGGCGGGACCCAGTTGTGCAATCTCCGCGCCGCATACCAAGGAGAGGACGACGTTTGTGGGGAAGCGTTGTTCGAGGTAGGATTCGATGCCAAGGGTGTGTGAGGTATTGACGAGGATGCAGGTGTGTTGGGGCGCGACGACCGACTCAATGACGGAGGCTAGGTCGTAGACGTCGGGCAAGGCCTTGACGCAGAGGACGACGTAGTCGAAGGAAGCTCGCGAGGCGCCGGCCGCTTCTTCGGGGGTCTTGACGACTGTGAAGGAGGTGTCAGCAGGGGGAGGGGCAATGGTGGCATTGTCTCGGTCGAGAGTATCTTACCTTGTCTGGGTTTGAATCGCTCATTTCCAAACTTGCTCGATCTATACGCGTGTCAACGGGAGTGAAGGTTGTCGAGGTAATCAGACCGTCACGCACCGAAAGGAGATGCCGTATTGTGCGACCGAGTCGAAGCCGCTCTTCCACACCAGCGTGACATCGCAGGCGTTTGTGGCGGACAGACGCCAGGAGAGGAAGGCAGAGACGGAATTGCCGCCCACTAGAAGACAGACGGGGTCAGCTTGGCGATGGTGACGCGTGGAGATGGTGTTTGATGGGTGTGAGGGTGCGGGAGGATGTTTCGGGGAGAGATGGGGTGTCGACGGGACGGAGACTCACCGGAGAGGATGCGCAAGCGCGGCGTGGAGGGTGCCATGATGGCAATGAGGGCAGGGATGGTCCCTGGTGATGGGAAAGGGAGGAGATGTGATGCAAATCAGTGGTGGGCGTGTTGGCGTGGACGAAAAGCGTGGCGCGGGCGGAGGAAAAAGTAACACGGGCAAAGCAAGACCCGCGTCGGCGTGGGTGCACGGGCGAAACGAACGTGATGGAGAATGCGCCGCAGCAGAAGCAAGAAGGCGGAGGAGAAGCGAGTGTGAGGCGGCGGGAGGAGGGGTGGTGTGGTGAAGAGACGAGAGGTGGGAGGTGTGTGTGGGAGGGTGTGTGAGACGGAGACGCCTGCAGGTGAGAATCGAGGTAGTCAAAGTCGTTGGCGTGCGCGGCCCTGGAAGTCTCCTGCCCGTGCAAGTCCCACTTTTGGAGAGCTAGTCGCGGAGGAAAGAGCGAAGAGACGGCGGCGGAGGCGGTGCTGGCGCGGACGGGTCGCAGCTGGCGGGAATGCGCAGAGTCGCGAGGGGGGCGTGGTGCGGTGGTGCGTCGACGTTGCCAGCATGCACAATGGCATTCATTCACGTTGTCCGGGCGTGGGCGAGCCCGCCGTGGCTGGTGTGTCGCGCTTTCCCGACCGTTCAATTTGCCTCGTCGCCGAAAGCGGAAAGTGGGTCAGGAATTGGGCTAAAAACGGGTTCTCAACCTGCACATCAACCATGTGCATCTGCTGCACAGACTACAAGAAGACTAGGATGATGCATGGTGCGGCAGTGCGAGCTCCGGCGAGATGACTGCATGCATGCCACAGGGTGAAGCATGCTGCCATCTACGCGCCCGAGTCTGCCATCACCATCGCCAATGCCAGAGCCCTGGCCCTTGTAGCCACACCCTTCTGCAATTGTTTGGTCGGGAGTTAGTGCGCCAAGGACAAAAAATCTCGTCGAGCTACCAAGTCTACCTTACCTTATGCAAGCATGCCCTGTCTTCACAACTCGGGCTCGCGGACGATGCTGACGGATGCGACGAGTCATTCGTACGGCCTGGAGAATCCAATCTTCAACGAAATCTCAGATCCAGATCTCATCAAAGCCAAGCGTGAAAACGCATACCAGCGCCCATGAATTATTAGAATTCATACACCACCGTGTTTCTTTGCCCTTCATCACACGCTCCGGCGCGTCGGAGTGTTTTGGCCCTTCCTTGAGATCAACCCCGGTCGATGTGAAACAGTTGAGAGCAGCGGGAACGGTTCCTCTTCCGCCGCCATCCGCCACACATTAGCCGTTGCACTAGTGAGCCTAATCTCCATCGACCATATCTGCCTTACTACTGGTCCGATATCAATCACAGATGAGGTTATATACATCCGCATTATTACTATAGCTGCTCGATATCAGACCGTCGACAATCTCCATGACCTGCTGTCGTTCCCGTCCTGACATCGCTGCTCGAATCGCACGTTTGTCATTCGTCTGTTACGGAGTCCGAAGAGCGAGCTGCAGGCATCAGTCCCGAACACAGCCAGTGTAATAATAGATTATGACACTGTCACGGCCTTCACCAGGCTATCATCAGAAGATGGACCACGTGGCACGAAATGAAGATGGACATTCCCTGCCTCGTCTGTCTCATCTACATCCAAAGCGCGGCGACTCCTCCCTTCTCACTCGCCGCCCCAAACATGGGGATGCGTCCGCGTCATCCAGCGCAGCTCATCTTCTTCCTTGTCGTCCATCCCGCGGTCACATTGCCGCGTTAGCCAGTATCAAAATCACACAGGCCAGAGTTATGGCAACAATAAAGACCGCCGCCCAGGGTGCTGCCGCCTATTGCGAGCAGATGCTATGTTCACTACAAAAATCAACGCTGTTCTATCTACGTCGCACTGATGGAGCTCAGTAATAACAACAACACGGCAGTAGGATGGCAATCCAGCTCTCGAAGACATCGCCTCCTCGATCAAAAGACGTAGAGCTGCCTCAGCGCTTGCTCCTGCGGCGCCGGGAGATGGTGTAGGAAGTCGTCGAAATTGCCGCCAATCAGCCGTTTGTACTCCACGAGCACCTTCTCAAACACCTTCAGCGGCCCTTCGTCTTGCATGCCCGTCAGGAAGATGCCGGGTGCGTTGGCCATCTCCATGAAAAAGTCCAACAGTCCGTTCTCCAGCGCTTGCGGGTTGTCAAGCACCACCTGGCCAAACCCCTTGTATGCATGCCCCTTCTCGTCCGTCCACCCGACCTTTTGCATCGACTTGAGGAAAGGCAGGGCAAAGTTCTGCAGGTGCGGCGCCAGCTGCTGATGGCATCCTATGCCCAACCGGCCCAACGCAATCGCAGAGTTCTCGTTCAGCGATTCCGGCACGGTGTCATTGAACATGATGATGGCCAGCTTCTGCAGTAGTCGGTCGATATACGGAGACATGCCTGGGCCTTGTCGCATGGCGATTTCGCCGCAGGACCAGCAAGCATTATTAATGACTCGGAAGGCCGTTTCGGGGTCGTCATTTGCTTGATCGAGGTCGAGTTGGTTGATGAGGAGTTCCAGGATCGTCGGAAGGTATGGCTGTAGGAGGGGGAATAGGTAGATTGCACAGTCGCCCAGCAGAGCGTAGGCGGACTGCTTGACATCATTGTTGACGTCCTTCATGCAGTACGCCACGAGCTCAAACACGTTCGGCTTGGCCGAGTTCGCCAGCGCGGTGCTCTGCTGCTCGCTCAATACTTGAATCATGCTGCTGACAAGGTCGAGGCTGGTCACCAGAAAATCCTTGTCCGGCTGATCCAGCCACTCGCTGTCTGCATTGGCGCTTTCTTCCAGGTTTTGTTGGATGATCTTGATGCAACGCAGGAAGATGGGCTCGGCGAAGGGAGCAAACTCCGCGCCCAATGCAGTTGCCACAAAGGCAAGACATTCCAGCAACGGGAACATCTCTCGTGATCCATCGGGCACTTTCTGCCACCTGGCAATCAATGCCGGCATGAGGAGATTGACCAGCTCCGGCTGCGCGAGCGTCGGCCCTGCATGCTCAGCGAGGGTCTGCACGCAGTCGTAGAGCAGGTACGTGTTCTTGTCCTTGTACCGGCCGAAGCACTTCACAAACTGCTGGAGGATGATTTGGCAGTAAGGCGCGAGCTCCGTCTTAGCCGCTTCTTCCAGCGTCGCAAAAGCCGATGCTGCCGACTCTTGCACCTTCTTGTTGTGGTCCAGCATCCGCTGTAAGATGCCGTCCATCATTGGCTCGAACAGCTGCTGTTTGGGAGCGGGCTCCAATTGAGATGCCCAGCCAGCAAATCGGCTCAGCGCCCAGCAGGTGATTTGACGCACGACAGGCTGCTGGTCATCCAACAGTGTCGTCATGTACGGTATCAACTGCGGCAGGTGAGGTTTAATCTCGTCCATGCACCCTGGGCCAATTGCACCCAGTGCCAGCACCGCGGCCTCGCGATTCTGCCAGTCCTTGTGCTGGAGATTGTTCATGAGCCACGGAATGGTGACGCCAAACACTGGCGCTCCGAAGTGCAAGGCTAGACTGTCGAGTGCCGCCGCGGAGCACTTGCGCAGGTTCCACTCGTCTTCCGGGTCGATGTCAAAGTCCTCGTCCTCTTCAATCTCGCCATCGCTGAGCTCGCCGTCATCTTCGTACGCATAGCCGTTGATTGATGGTTTGTCGCGACCGTTGGCTGACGTGGAGGGTGCGTCCGGGACACCACTCCTTGCAGATTTTGCAGTTGCAAACTGTGGCCGAATTTCTTCTTCTTTGTCTTCGGTATCAGCGTCGTCCTCGTCGCCCTCTAACCGCAGCTGATCGTCCTCGCTGTAGATCATGCTGTCCAACAAGACGGGTACGATTCGGTCAAGATATGGACCAAGCGCATCCCGGAGGGCAGGTGCGCTGCTGGCCTCGAAGAAGAACTCTGCCGCATCGAGTGCGAGTTCTTGATTCTGAATTTCCGTCTGTTGGGAGAGAGTGTAGTCGACAATGCCTTGGACGTGTGGGATGAGGACGTTTGGCATGGCATCGGCAATGAGTGCGAACGAGCGGCAGACGAACCTGCGCACATCCTCACTGCTGTCGGCAACCAGGTGGATGATGCGTGGCAAGATCTCATCGATATGCTCCTTCGCGGTGAGCGCCGCGGGGTCCGTGAGAAAGACGTTGACCGCGGAAAGGGCCCTCCAGCGGATTTTCGCATCGGGACTGGTGGTGAATTGCAATAGCTTGGGCAACAGAAAGGCGAGGGGCCGTGGGGAGTTATGCTGCTCTTCGTCGAGTTTGGCTTTGTTGTCCTCGCAGATCTTGAAGAGAGTACTCATGGCGCCGTCCTGAGCATCTGCCGATGCCTGTGCGCTCTCCAGAACGGAGACCAGACTCGGGATGATGTCGGGCCAGCCCACGACACCTCCTTGCCGCACGATCTCGGTGACGGCATTGCCCACAAAGTTCCGGATCTGTGCATTGGGATCCTGCAAGCCTGCCGGAAGGTGTAATTTCATGTACGACTGGTTGTCCTCTGATATTGACTTGTACGACGTCTTCACGCTGTTCTTGAGTAGGAGCGCACCAGCCGATCGCGCGGCATGCCATATCTCTTTGGTGTATTCGGTGGGGTTTGCCGATGTGACGCAGATGAAAGTCAGATAGTTGATGATGTCGGGAGACTCCTTTGCTTGTTTCAACATCTGGCCTTTGGTTAGCGAGAAAGACAGGTCGGGCAGGGGAGACGGCATCTACGCACCTGCTCCGCATTCTTCTGTGCGGCCGCATCGTGTCCACTAAAAGAGTCTCGAAGGTACAGGGTGAGCTGGCCTAGCGGCTCAGGCTGCGGTTGCCACCCCATCGTATGATGCTACGGGAGCTTTCGGTGGGTGTAAGGTGAAGATGGTGAAGGAGAGGAGGGTGTGGGAGGGCACGGGTGATGTTTGCAGGCCGGAAAGAGGGCGGGGGAGGTGTCTGAGCGTGGCCGTCTGGTGTCAATTGTCCGCTCGAAGACCGTATTCCCAGTGACGCCCTTGATGGACGTCCGACAGGTGACTGACCGTATGATGAGCACGCCCTTGCACGCAGATGTCTCAGAGAATCCACCCCTCCAGCCTCTTGGTCTCGCTCTCGGTGCTTAGCATGGTCCCATGGTTGTGCGCGCAGGAAGGTGTGAGCATTGGAGTCAAACTGCCGGCAGTCTGCACCAGAAGGGATGAGCGGCAGGGCGGTGCGCGATGGGTCGGGGGGATCGAACAGGCGTCAAACGCGGGTGTGGTGATGGTGGAGGTGTGGGTGCGAGCCGAGCAGGGAATGGACGATGTTGTGGCAGAAGGGATGGCACGTGGCTGTGAGGGCAAGCTTTCAATTTTTCTTGCACACACTTTGGCTCAATGCGGTGACGTCTGGTGGTGCCTCGGGTCGCAGCCAACCAGAACTTTGACCTACGCCTATACGTACCTTCAACGCGTGCGCTGCCTTTGCCATGTTACACCGATTCTTGGTCGTGCTCTCATCCGATAATTGCGATATAATGACAGGGCTAAGACAAGGACTTTCCGCAAGGACCAAGCGTCTCGCTGATGACTGCCTCTCCTTCACACCTTCTACCTAACCCCAATCGCATACCTCTGTCTCTGCGAGATGCTCAACGGCACTGCCCAGTCTACCTCATCTCGACTGCCAACCGCAGCACCAATCTCACTCCGTCGCTCTTTCCACAGTGAACAGCACGTCATGATCCGTGGTGATGGTGATGACGTCCGCAGTGATATGATTGCTCGTGCTCATCTGCCCACCCATCTCCGTCGACCAGTCCTGAACATCCCACTCCAAGCCCTGCGTGCTGATCACCGCGCGGCCATACAAGGGCAAGATGCCGATGTTCCTCGTGATCAGCCCTTTGCCCAGCGGAGTGTGGAGTACTGTCGTTCCGGGCTGCAGAAGAGTGCTGATGCCAGACTCCGAGAACAGCCAGAAGCGCACGTCCGGATTGCGATACTTCTGCTCGCGGTAGAATTCGCCTAAGAGCCCGATGCCCTGGTCGACGCGCCCACCAACGCTCCCCAGCACGAGGATGTCTCGGAGATGGGGCACTTCGTCCTTGATCTTCTTGACTCCCTTGCCGAAATCGGTGCTATACTGATCAGGGTCTTTGGTGATTTCGACGCCAATCTGTTCATAACGCTGGCGAACAGTGTCGTTGAGTGAGTCCAGGTCTCCATGGACACTGTTCGGCAGGGCGCTTCGGAGGGCATCCGTCCAGTCCCATTCTCGATATTGTTTCCTCAACAGATCGTACAGTCTGTTGGCTCCTCCGTCCGCACAAAGACAGTAAGAGGCATTGTGGTACAGCCGGCTAAAGTAGTCGTAGTCGGAAATAGGCGAGTTCAAGACTATCAGTGCAACGGATTCGTTGCTATGTCCGGTGTCGTGTTCGGATTGAGGCGTCAGAAATTGGGTCGGCCACAGTTCGTATCTTGCCTCATGAGTAGGGATGCTCTCTGACATCCCGCGGCGACTGGAGTCAGATTGATCGTGTGCGAAGAATCTCAAAGGTGCTCGTGTGGCTGCAAGTCTGCGACCTCGATGCGGGCGGCGTCGGCTCTGCTGCCGAAGCCCTAATAACTAAGCTGCGTAGGTGTACGGTGCACCACAAATACCACTCTGCACTTACATGAACTTCCCAAGAAAGATTTCTAAGCCTCTACGACTCGTCAACGTCTCTCAGCCTTCGCCTCACCGCCCATCGAATTGTTCGCCGCAATGTTCAGACCGGCATTTCGGGCGACACTAGCATCCTCACCGGCCCGAGCGGCCCCAGGAGCGCGAGCGGCGCGACGCTTCCTCAGTACCGCGCCGCCACATCACAAATCCAGGAGTTGGAAGAGTTCGGCGGCGCGATGGGGATTGGCGGGGGCGGCAGTGTATTACTATAACACTGCGACGGTGTTTGCGGAAGAGCCAGCACGTACGTGACATGGGCCGTACAACCATCGCGCGAGATCTGACGATACTAGATGTAATGCACATTCCTCCGGAGACGCCACGAGAAGCAGACGCCTACCCGACCGTTGCATCCATCTCGGAGCAGAGAAGAGCGCAAGCAAGATCGCAAGCCCAAACAAAAGCCACGGATGCGTCATCGACACCAGCAACGGGGACGGCGACGGCGACAAAGCCTGACGCAGAACAGGTGGCGCCTGGATCGCCAGAAGCTCTGGAGGAAGAAGCTGGAGAACAAGGGGCATTCAACGAGGAGACTGGCGAAATCAACTGGGACTGCCCGTGTCTCGGTGGGATGGCGCATGGTCCTTGCGGGGAGCAGTTCCGCGCGGCATTTAGCTGTTTTGTCTTCTCGAAGGAGGAGCCGAAGGGGGTGGACTGCATTGAACACTTCAAGACGATGCAGGATTGCTTCAGACAACACCCGGATGTTTACGGCTCTGAGTTGGAGGACGATGAGGATGCTGCGTCGCCAATAGAGTCGCAGGAGGGACAAGCTGGTGCTGCGGAGCCGGCGGCGGTACATGCAGTGGCAAAGGAGAGTTCCGGGGTGGCTGAGAGCAGGACACAGACGGCCGAAGCAGCCCAGACTTCGGCATCTCAAAACGAGGACCCTGTGCAGGTGTCGAGAGACGAATTGCAGCAGGAGCAGAAGGCAGCGAAACGGGCTCCAGGGAGCGGCGATACGACCGAACCATGGCATGATGCCAGAGGCGAGAAGCCCAACGCGGGCTGATGCAATGGCCGACGCCGAACCCCTTGTACAATCTGATGTAGAATAGATAGAACATTGCCACTCACCAAACATGTATATCCCTCACGCGCTTCTACATCTATACCTTTTTCGTTCTCCCCGAACGCTCCGCGGCTGACATCCCACGACTTTCGCATCGGCCGCCCGAGCTCCAACCTCTGTCCCTCATCTTCGGCTCGTTCGCCGCCGCCGAGGAGACATACCCCGTCTGTATATGCATGCTCCCCCCACCCCCAAGCTTGACACGGATGGTGAACGAGCAAGCCAAGGGGCTAACAATGCGGTAAGTGAGGTGCCATCTTTCTTCGCTTCTGCATCGTCTCGTACGCAACACAACCGCTGTGATTGGTGCTCGTGGCGGCACGTCTGACTCACCGATTGGCTATGCACGAATCTCGTCACCACGCGGTGAGACAGACTCCAGGCACAGCGTCCGTGTTGGTGCCGTCCGAAGGGCAGCACAAGACCCTCCACCACCCCCGACCAACCAACGCACTCCTCCTGCCGAGCGAGTGGATGGTAGGCAACGACGACGCCAGTTCCGGCCACCGCTGGCCACACTAGATCGTGACCTTCGCCACTGCGAACCATTGCTGGCAGGCAGCCAGATACTCAGCCCTCGCCGGTGACTCTACGCCTGGGAGAGATATAGAAAGCTTGAGCTGCAGCTGCCACTCCAAGTTACACACGCACACAAACGCCTCCCAACAACACACCGCTACACCCGCCGGCCCAGTCTTCGCAACGTTACTGCCCGGCACCAGCACATCCTCCTCCTCCTCCTCCTCATCTACACATCCATTCCATCCCTGGTCGGGCTGATCCTACCGTAAACTATGAGCCTAGAGTCCGGGTCAAACAAAACCACTGCGTCCCTCACGCACACTCTGCCCTCGACCACCCCGTCATCCATCGTCACTCCTGCCTCCTCGGCTGTCGGCAGTCCTCCAAGAGGCGCACTTTTCACCGCTCCCCGACAACTGCATACCGATCAGACCATGGACGACACGGAGAAGGACCAGACAGCCGTGCCAAGTGACCGACAGGAGCAAGCAACGCCGGTAACGGCGAAACCAGACACGGCACCAGAAGATGACGGCAAGAACGCGACCGTGGTCACTAAACCCGTGAACAAGAAGAGCAAGTGCACAAAGGCTGCACACAAGAAGCGCAAACATGCTCGGAAGCCTTCCAAAAAGCGAGCTTCGAAAGACGACTCCGACGTCAACAGCAGCTCAACCGCAGATTCGAGCGACGAGTCTTCCAGCGAGACCTCAGACAATTGCTCTAAAAAGAAAGCCAAGCAAGTGAAGAGCAAGAAGAAGAAGAAGCGTCACCAGAAGAGCAAAAAGGTCCTCGGTGACAGCGAGTCAGATTCGTCGGACAGTGAGGCGAGCGAGGACTCGACAGATTCAAGCTCGTCCGAGGAAGATGTCAAGAGTCGAAAGTCGAAGAAGAGCAAACGCGCCAGGCAAGCAAAGAACAAGAAGTCACGCAAGCCGAAAAAGCTCTCCGGCGATTCTGGGACGGACGTGGTGTCTGGAGAGACGTCCGCCGAGGACTTGAGCGCGCTGCAACAGAGAATAACTGAGTTGCAACTGCAGATGGCTGGCAAGTCGAGCTACATCAGAGACCCTTTCAATTCCCTGAGTGGTCTCAAGCCAGCGCCGAAACTCAACTCCAAATCGCTCAAGAGCATCAAAGCGATGGCAAGCAAGCCTGTGGCAGAGCCGGCAGTCTACAAACGTGTGGACCAGCTCTGGGATTCCACCATCCACAACTACAAGCTCAAAGAAAGCGCGGAAGAGGATGACTCGGAGTTTGCTGAGTTTGCTTTCCTGGTTCGCCGGACTTTCGACTGGGAAAACAAGTACCGTGACACCGTCGTGGACATCAAGTCGAAGTTGCTCCGTGCGGCCCTGGTGGACGTGATGAAGGACTGCAAAAGTGTGGCGTTGGAGGTTGCAGAGCCCACGCTCGACCCAAACCTGCTCTTCCTGTACCTCGAGGAGCTGCGCACCTACTACAAAACAACACTCAAAGCCAAGATCAAAGCCGAGAAGAAGAAAAAGGTCATCAAGAAGCTCGAACAGCAGCGAAAAATCGTCAAAGTTCTTGTCCAATATCTCGACGTGGATTACGAGGACACCAAGAAAACTCTCTACCCTCTGTTGGAGGCCGGCAACATCACCTTCGATCTGTTGTGGGCCCTGTTCAAACCCAACGAGATCGCCGTCACTTCTTGCTACGGCATCTGGAGCGAGCCTCGCTGCTTCAAAGTGGAATACGCAAACAAGTGCGCTTCCTTGACTCGTGGGGAATGGTACTGCATCGAAGGAAGATACCTTGAGTACGATGGCAAGTCTTTCGGGTTTGGCGACTTTGAGAGTGATGTGGAGGGTTTCAAAGGTCCACGCAAGATAACCACACTCTCGACCTACCCTCTACAATACCACCAGGATCCGGAGAAGGTGAAGCAGCAGATTCTCGAGCGGTCGGAAAAGTTCCTCAACCTGGAAGGCATGCATTACAAGTTCCACAAAGGCCTGGCATTCATGAAGAAGAAGAAACAGGTGTTGAAGATCAACATCAACAGCCGTATCATGCTCGACCCTGCCACCTTCCGAAGAGTCAATCCCAACTACCCAATCTCATGGATCAAGCCCAAGGAGGACGCCGACCTCTTCAGCCTCTCGGATGACGATTCAGACGGCGGATGCTCATGTGGAGGAGATTCTGACGACGACGTCGCCGGTGGTGCTGATCATGAGCTTTCCACGGGTGAGGATCGCAGCCCCAAATACAAGTACAAGTGGACCAAGGACGACAAAGGGCGGACCGTCGGTGTTCGTGTCGAGGTTGATGATGACGGCAACCCTGTACAGTCTCAGCGAGTCGAGAAAGTGAGCGAAACGCCTGACGGCCGACGCAAAATCTTTACCGAGGAGGAGCTCTTGCTCACGTCTCCTGTCATGCTGGGGTTTGCCTTTTCGGAGAAGCTGTGGTTGGAATTCTCCATCTCCGGCGTGCGGGACATTGTGTACAACGAGGACGCGTTCGAGTCACTGGTCCTGCCGCCCAATCAAAAGTCCATCGTCAAGGCGCAGGTCGAGAGTCATAAGTTCCATGGCGCGAAGACGATTGACGATGTCGTGCAAGGAAAGGGGAAGGGACTGGTTGCGGTGCTGCATGGCCCGCCCGGAACGGGCAAGACGTTGACGGCGGAAGGCATTGCGGAGCTTTTGAAGTGTCCGCTTTACATGGGTGAGTTTTTCCATCATGTTGTTGGTGTGGCAAGCAAGTACTGATTCTGGTTTAGTATCCGCTGGCGAACTGGGCACGGATTCGTCCAAGCTGGAATTCGAGCTGCAGAAGATCCTCGACATTGCGCACTCCTGGGGCGCCGTCTTGCTGCTGGACGAAGCCGATGTCTTCCTGGAGAAGCGAGAAGTGCACGACATCCACCGCAATGCCCTTGTCTCCATCTTCCTGCGTTTGCTCGAGTACTTCCAGGGCATCCTCTTCCTCACCACCAACCGCGTCGAGACCTTCGACGATGCCTTCCAGTCTCGCATTCACATCGCCCTGCGGTACAACGAGCTGAATCAAAAGGCGCGCAAGGCCGTGTGGAAAATGTTCCTCGACAAGGTCAAGGACATGGAAGGGCTCGATGCCGTGGCTTTCAGCGACTCCGAGCTCGACATCCTTTCGCGGAACCAGCTGAACGGCAGGCAGATCAAAAACTTGGTCCGCACCGCCCAGGCTCTCGCTCTGAACGAGAAGGAAAAGTTGACGATGGAGCACATCAAGCGGGTGATTGAAGTCGCCGAGTCGTTCGGTCACGATTTGAGGGGTGGGACGGGGTACATTGATGCCATGCGGAGTTATACTTAACGTGTGACGTTCTTTTGCCACGAACGATAATGATTACGACACGAGAACATGAGAGCAAGATTGGGCATGCAATCCCTGGGGGAAACACTGGGAGGAAGTAACGAAACATATTATGGGATACAACAGAAACTCTTCCCTCACGTTGCACTTCCTGTCCTGTAATGTGAAGGAAGTGCCAAATCGCAAGGCTGAGGTGAGCCCGTCTTCACGTGATGTTGGTGAAGTCGCCGTGCAGATTGCAGCACGGGCGTTGCCAGCCCCAGCCCAGCTCGACCCTTAAGTTATTACTACAAACCCTCAACTTTTTCGACACCTTTCCGTAACCCATCTTTGCCATCCTCCATCCACCTCGCGGCCTCTTTGCGCGGTTCCCTCCTTTCCCTTCGCCATCATGTAAGTCAAAAGAGCCCCCCTTCTCCCAACGACATGCTCACCTCTCCGTCCAGGGCGCCTCTTGTCGATAACCCGCACATCATCTCCGCCTCCCTCCACAACCCCCGGCCCCTCTTCTTCCACGCCTACATCTGGCCCTTTGCCATCGCCTGGCCCGTCTTCTTCTCCATCTACCTCTCCACCGAGTCCTACAACAAATACATCAACGGGCAGGAATGGACATTTGTCTTTGCCGGCTCCATCGTTACCGTTCAGAGTCTCATCTGGCTCTCCACATTCTGGAACGTGAATGTTCGCACCTGGTTCACCACGACCAGCGCGCGGAGCATCAAGGATGCGCGCCTGATCAAGGTCATTCCCGCCCAAAATGCGGGCAGCGCGGAGATTTGCCAGATCCAGAGGAGCCGGCGGCCCACGGATGGCAAGGAAGAGACGAGCTTCTTGTTTCAGAAGAGAAACTTTCTGCTGGACGAGGAGAAGGGATCGTTTGCGCCGTTGCATTTCAACATGGACAAGGATCCTAAGCCCTTGATTGCCGAATTCCAACGAAGTAAAGGGCTGAGGAAGAAGGACGAGATTGAACGTTTGCGCCAACACTACGGGAGCAACATCTTTGACATTCCCATCCCCACCTTTTCGGAGCTGTTCAAGGAGCATGCGGTCGCACCGTTCTTTGTGTTCCAAATCTTTTGCGTGGGCTTGTGGATGCTCGACGAGTACTGGTACTATTCCCTGTTCACCTTGTTCATGCTGGTCGTGTTTGAGTCGACGGTTGTCTGGCAGAGGCAGAGGACGTTGACGGAATTTCGTGGAATGAGCATCAAGCCTCATGACATCAACGTGTACAGGGAGAACAAGTGGCAACTCATCTCAAGCGATGAACTCCTACCCGGTGACCTGGCTTCGATCTGCAGGACAAAGGATGACAGTGGAGTGGCGTGTGACATGGTTCTGGTGGAGGGTAGTGCCATTGTCAACGAAGCTATGCTTTCCGGAGAGAGCACGCCCGTCTTGAAGGACTCGATCCAGCTACGGCCGGAAGACGCACGAATTGAGCCCGAAGGACTGGATAAGAATGCGTTTCTATGGGGTGGAACGAAGGTGCTCCAAGTGCAGCACGGTACCGCTTCCGAGGATGCGTCCGAGACCGTTCAGCAGGTTTCGTCCGGCGTTCCCCCACCCCCGGACAAAGGCGCCATGGCCATTGTCATCAAGACAGGCTTCGAGACGAACCAAGGTGCTCTCGTACGGACGATGATCTACTCGACCGAGCGCGTCAGCGCCAACAATGTCGAAGCGCTACTCTTCATCCTCTTCCTCTGCATCTTCGCTATCGCAGCGTCGTGGTACGTGTGGAAGGAGGGCGTAAAGACCGATCGGCCACGATCGAAACTCCTACTGGACTGCGTCATCATCATCACCTCGGTCGTGCCGCCTGAGCTGCCAATGGAGCTCAGCTTGGCCGTCAACACCAGTCTGGCCGCACTCAGCAAATTCGCCATCTTCTGCACTGAACCATTCCGCATTCCCTACGCTGGCCGAGTGGACGTTGCCTGCTTCGACAAAACCGGTACTCTCACTGGCGAAGACCTCGTGGTCGATGGAGTCGCAGGCTTGTCTTTGGGCGAAGCCGGCGTCACCGCCGAGCCAGATGGAGCGCAGAGTGAAATTAGCAAGATGGCCGCCATCCCATTGACTACCACTCTCACGCTTGCCACCGCGCACGCCCTGGTCAAGCTCGAAGAAGGCGATGTTGTAGGAGAGCCCATGGAGCGGGCAACATTGCAATGGCTGGGCTGGACCGTTGGAAAGAACGACACTGTCTCTGTCAAGCCCCCAAAGAACTTGTTTGGACAAGCTCCCGTCAGCGTTTCTTCCGACACGGTGCAGATCAAGCGTCGCTTCCAATTCTCCTCCGCGCTCAAACGACAGAGCTCGGTGGCGACGACTGTGACGACTGATCCCAACACCGGCAAGAAAGTCAAGGGAACTTTTGTCGCAGTCAAAGGTGCGCCGGAGACCATCCGAAAGATGCTCGTGCAGGCCCCGCCGAAGTACGAAGAGACATTCAAATACTTCAGCCGAAACGGCGCGCGTGTCCTCGCGCTGGGCTACAAATATCTGTCGAGCACCGATGAGATCGGCCAGAATAAAATCAACCATTTGAAACGGGAGGAGGTTGAGTGCGATCTGCACTTCGCCGGCTTCCTCGTTCTGCAATGCCCGCTAAAAGACGACGCTATCAAGGCTGTCCGCATGCTCAACGAAAGCAGCCACCGTTGCGTCATGATTACTGGCGACAATCCGCTGACTGCCGTCCACGTTGCGCGACAAGTCGAGATTGTGGACCGAGATGTGCTCATCCTCGATGCGCCGGAGCACGATGACAGCGGCGAGAAGCTGGTGTGGAGAAGTGTGGACGACAAGACGAACATTCCCGTCGATCCTGCTGCGAGTCTGGACCCGGAAATCCTCCGAACCAAAGATCTGTGCGTGACTGGGTATGGATTGGCCAAGCTCAAGGGACAGAAGGCGCTTCGGGATCTGTTGACGCACACGTGGGTGTACGCACGCGTGTCGCCAAAGCAGAAGGAAGACATCTTGCTCGGCTTGAAGGAAGCAGGATACACGACCCTCATGGCCGGTGACGGTACGAACGATGTGGGTGCTTTGAAGCAGGCCCATATTGGTGTTGCGCTGCTCAACGGCACATCGCAAGATCTGGAGAAGATTGGGAAGCATTTCCGCGAGACGAAGGTGAAGGAGGTGTATCAGAAGCAGGTCGCCCTGATGCAGCGATTCAACAGGCCGCCGCCTCCGGTGCCCATCCAGATTGCCCATCTCTATCCGCAGGGGCCTGAGAATCCGCACTACGAGAAGGCGATGGAACGAGAGGGGCAAATCATTGCGCAGATCGCCATTGCGAATGGGGAGGCAGTGCCGCCCGCTGCAAATGGCGCTCCAAACGGTACAGCTGTCCAGCCTGTTCCGGCGCAAAACGTGCCGGCCAAGTCGCCGCAGGAACAGCGCAAGATTGATGCGGCGAATAAAGCGCAGAATGCGGCGCAGCAAATGGCGGAGAAGTTGACGCTGTCAATGATTGAGGACGAGCTGAGGAACGACGAGCCTCCGAGCATCAAGCTGGGCGACGCGTCTGTGGCCGCGCCGTTCACGAGCAAGCTGGCCAATGTCGTGGCCATCCCCAACATCATCCGACAAGGCCGATGCACCCTCGTTGCAACGATTCAGATGTACAAGATCCTCGCGCTCAACTGCCTGATCAGCGCATACAGCTTGAGTGTGCTCTATCTGGACGGGATCAAGTTTGGCGATTATCAAATCACCATCAGCGGAATGCTCATGAGCGTGTGCTTCTTGAGCATTTCCCGCGCCAAGGTATGTTTCCTTCCCTCGCCATCATGACCTCTGTCCCGCTAACATTGCCGCAGCCCGTGGAACAGCTGTCGAAAGAGCGACCACAGAACAACATCTGGAATTGGTACATCATCCCATCCGTCCTCGGGCAATTCGCCGTCCACATTGCCACGCTCATCTACATCTCCAACTATGTGCATCAATTCGAGGCGCGGGAAGACCGGGCGAAGATTGACCTGGAGCGCAAGTTCGAGCCGTCGCTCCTCAACAGCGCCATCTACCTGCTGCAGCTGATCCAGCAAATCTCGACGTTTGCCATCAACTACCAAGGCCGGCCCTTCCGCGAGTCGATCCGGGAGAACAAGAGCATGTACTGGGGGTTGGTGGCCGTGGCGGCCATTGCGTTTAGCTGCGCGACGGAGTTTGTGCCGGAGGTGAACGGATGGTTGAAGCTGGTGCCATTCAGCTCGCGCTTCAAGATGGAGATGACGGGGGTCATGATTGTGGATTACGTGGGGTGCTGGGCGGTGGAGAATGTGTTGAAGATTGCCTTCAGCGACTACAAGCCGAAGGACATTGCCGTGCGTCGGCCGGACCAGCTGGAGCGGGAGCGCAAGCGGCTGCAACTGGAGCAGGAGGAGGCGCAGAAGGCGATAGAGCAGCAGGCCGGCAAGGCTTGAGTTGGGTGGCTGTCAGATATTGTAGAAGGAAATGCATTGGAGTCGGTTTGGCATGTTGTATCGACCCTGCGTCTTCCGTGCGTCACCCATAGCATTACAGCAGACGAATTGCGAGAATGGGCGTATAACTTCATAGGACATTGATATAGGAGAGACGTCGATGCAGCGTCTACCACTTCGCCTCTTTCCTCGCCATAAATTCCTTGATGATATCGACGCGGAATTGCAGCCCCTTCAACCACGCGTCCAGCTCCTTGTTCACCCTGTCCTGATCATCGCCCAGCTTGGCGTAAAAGTCCTTGCGGTAGGGGGTGGCGCTCATAGCGGCACTGAAGATGGGCTTGATGAGAAAGCTGTGGTGGGGGCGCAGGGTGTTGCCGTAAGCGTCGCGGAAGGAGGAGGAGAGTTCTTCGCCGGGGGTGTCGAGGTTCTTGCGCAGGGCCTGGGCGGTGAAGTCGAGGCCGCGGGTCAGCCAGAGGAGGCCCTCGCTGGCGGTGTGGGACTTTGTTTTGAGTTCGTTGCGCACGAGGGATTGCAGGGTTTCGGAATCGAGGGGGGCGGCGAGTTGGCGGTTGCGGATTTTCTGGGGAGTGAGGAAGAGGCTCGGTCAGTGTGTGCACGTATGGCATGGAGGAGAGGTTGAAGTGGGAGGAACACACTGCGATATTGCCGGTAATGTCACTCTTGACGGGCTTGAAGGCTGCGCTGCCCAAGACATCGAACAGGCCGGTCAGGGCCTCGGAGGCCTCGAGGAATTCGGAGGTGGAGATGGCGTTGTCTTTGCTAGCATCGATGGGCACGTCGACGAAGGAGCGTTTGCCATTGTCAAAGTACGTTCCACCCGGGGGATATGCCATTGGGAGTGGTGAAGGAGAGGGTAATAAGTCGGGAGGGTAAATAGATTATGCTGTACAAAGAAAGGAAGAAGGGGAGGTGTGGGAGAGGGTGGTGTGGTGTCGTGAACTTTCCCACGCGCGGACCCTGGATTGCGCGGTCTCGCCTGCCGAACCGTTTCCCACGCGCCTTCCTTGCATCGCAGCCTTTCCATCCATGTAGGGTGTGGAAAGAGCAATCGAGACTCCACACAAATCGAAACCTCCGGGAATGCTGTTATTTCCAAAAAGTCATCCATCTGCCGTCAGTCGCCGAATGTCGGGCGGATGTACATCACGACAATGCGCTCTCTCGACAAGGCTGTCCCTGACTCCAATCTCCCTCCACTCCCGCCTTTGCAGCCGCCGACTTCGCTCGCGCGGTGGGGTATTAATATGTCCAGCCCAGGAAAAGTGAGCGACACTTGCACTCTTCACTCCCCCATCCTTTTCAGACGTCCAACCCTCCAATCTCCTCTCATATTCCAATTTATCATTTTATCAGCTCTCCAATCAATGGCCCAAACATATAAAATCGCCGCCATTCCCGGTGTAAGTTCCTCGTCGACCCAATACGTCATGACACGATTGTGCCTCTTGTCGGTCACGAAGCAGCCTGAAACTGACCAGATGCACAGGACGGGATCGGCGTAGATGTAACCGAGGCGGCAGAACAAGTATTGCACGCCGTCGCTAAAGCACACGGCGGCTTTCAATTCCAATTCACCACCTTCGACTGGTCCTCCAAAAAGTATCTCGAGCGCAAGTGGTACATGCCCGACGACTACGTGCAACAACTCCAAAAGCACGACGCTATCTACTTTGGCGCCGTCGGCTGGCCCAATGTCCCGGATCACATCTCCCTCTGGGGCATGATGCTACCCCTCCGCAACTCCCTGAACCAGTACGTCAACGTCCGGCCGACGAGAGTGCTCAAAGGCACTACGGTTCCCCTGGCCCAGTTGCAAGACAATCCCAAACACCTTGACTGGGTTATTGTCCGTGAAAATTCGGAGGGCGAGTATGCCGGCCAAGGTGGCACCACCCACGGCCACAGCGACTACGCCATTGCCACCGAGGTTGCCATCTTCACCCGCGTCGGCATCGAACGCATCCATCGCTTTGCCTTTGAAATGGCAAAGTCACGCCCGCGGAAGAAGCTGACCATGGTGACCAAGAGTAATGCGCAGCGGCACGGAATGGTGCTATGGGACAAGATCTTTTATGAAGTGGCTAAGGAGTACGACGGAGTGGTAGAGTACGACAAGATGCTCGTGGACGCCATGACGGTGCGCATGGTCAACAAGCCCGAGAGCTTAGATACCATTGTCGCAACTAACTGTGAGTGGGAGTCCTCCTTCCCTGCCAGGTCAGACTAACGCATCGCAGTGCACGCCGACATCTTGTCCGACCTAGCCGCCGCACTGGCCGGCAGCATTGGCATAGCACCATCGTCCAATCTGGACCCAACCCGCAAGAACCCCAGCATGTTCGAGCCGATCCACGGCTCGGCGCCGGATATTGCAGGGCAAGGCATTGCCAATCCCGTGGGCGCCTTCTGGTCAGCGGCAGAAATGGTGCGGTGGCTTGGGAATGGCAAGCTAGACCACACAGCTGATCAGCTGATGGAGGCCATTGAGAATGTGACGAGCAACCCCAAGACGAGAACGCGCGATATGGGTGGGAGTGCGAGCACGAAGCAAGTCACCGACGCGCTGTGTCAAGAGGTCGCGAAGATTGTCGGACAGAAGAAGTAGAGTAGAGCTGACTTACTCGTGCTGCTCTCCAACATCTCGATTCGCTATGAGGCGGCACACCTCATATTCTGCTGTGCAATGGTCTGTTCGCCGACTCAAGATCATCGCGGTAGGTGCGGGTCCTGGATCTCGGCCAGCTCCACGGGCAGGTTCGAGTTCATTCCATCCTTCGCCGTGACAACTTTGGTCTTGCATTTGAACCCCTCCCAAGGCTTCGACCAGAACTTGTCGAACGGCCGCACCACCGATATCGCCACGCCATTAATCAGTCCCATCGAGATCGGGCCGTAGTCGTTACTGTCCGTGCTCAGCCCGACATTGTCCCCCTCCACCCACACATGCCCCGGCGGCACCGTCGCCCGCCCCTTCCACGCGTCCCACGCCCTCGCTTCCGGTCTCTCCGGGCCTGCCTTAGCTGTCGGGCGACGTCGCTTGTCCAACACCACCGTGTCTCCCTCCAACGCAATCACTCGCTTGACTGCAAGCGCTTCGGGCCTGTGCGGCGGGGAGAAGTGCACAATGTCGCCGCGCCGCAGATTACCACACGGATTCCACTTGCGCCAGAGCACCTGGTCCTCCTCTTTGGTGGTGTGGTAGTTGGGAGACAACGTCGGGGCCATGGAGCGGCCGGTGATCCAGGTGGTCTCCACTACATTGTCGTTGATGAAGATGGCCCCGCCCGCGCCGAAGAAGATGGAGGTGCTGGCGATGTATTTCCAGTCAATGTACTTCCAGCCCTGCCATATGTGGCGCAGCCGAGGAAGCATGGGGCGGAGACCGGGCGGAGAAGGTGAAGCGCTCCGACGAGCGTCCACAAGAATTGAAGATGTGCAGTTGGATGGAGTCGATGTTGATGCGCGGTCCACTGGATGGTCACCGACCGGTATCAGAAATACACACTACCGGACCTATAGATTCGCAGGCCAACTGCTCCAACACACAGTGGAATACTTCACGACGAACAGGTTCGTGGTGGGTACGCAAAGGGGGAAAGTGGCTGCCATGCCATATGAGGGTATCTGACAACCTGTGCTCCAATCTCCAAAATCTCGACAAGGAGAAGTCTTCGTCGACGAAGAACACCAGCATGCTGAACATTCGCTGCAAATGAAGAACCGACAACGCCTTTCGATGCCTCCAACAATCCGACAATCAATCGATGCCATGCACATCACACCGCCGTCTTTCCCCCCTTCTTGCTAAATGTTCTCTTCAAGCTCTGACTCAGCCCCCTCTTCAATCCGGCCCCGGCATTACTGACGCTGCGGGTGATTCCTCCCGAGCCGTAGCCCATGGAGTAGCTGGGACGACTGGTGTGCAACATCGGCCTCTGCGCCATCGTCACCCCGCTCGCCGCAATCTCCTGCATCACCCACTTCACCTCGTCCACCACGGCTTCCGGCCGGTCGCGAATGACATGATGCCCCACGTTCGGCACTTGGCAGAAGCGGCTGCGCCGGCTGAGTTGGAGCTGCTTTTGCTTCAGCCTTATGTCCTCTGCCTCCCAGCGTTCCAGCATGTGGCGCTGTGGCTCGAGTTGCGCCTTCTGTGCCTCTGATCTGGCCATTGCGGCCGCCTTCACCCACTCATCCTGCTTCCTGCGTAAGGTGTTGCCGCGCACGACGCTCAGCGGGGCATCGCCCAGGATCTGCCGCCGGTATTGTTCTTCCTCCACTTGTGGCGCCAGCGCCGTCTCTTGCCCCGTTTCCACCAACACCATGGCCGCGACCTCGCGCGGTTTCTGCTGCAAGAACAGCCTCGCAATGCAGCCGCCGTAGGAGTGTGCGACAAAGACAAACGGCCCGCGGAGTTCCATGCTGTAGAGGTAGCTGCACAGCTCGGAGACGGCCCGATGGGGCTTCAGGTCTGCACCGCTGCCGCCGTGGATGCTGGGCGTCGGCCGGTCGTAGAGCAAGACGCGGTGGCCGGATTTGTAGAGGACTTCGATGAAGGACAGCCAGGAACGCATGCACGAGTCATTGCTGCCGTGCAGACAGATGATTAGCGGAGCGTTGGGTATGGGAGATTTGGGCGGGGTGAGGAGGTTGATGCGTGAATGTCTTCGCGGTTCGGGGGGCGGGCGGGAGGTGCTGTTGTTGCTAGTGTTGCTGTTGTATCGCGCATAAGGGTGTCGAGAGGGGCGGCGGGAGGAGGGGTTGCTGGAGTCGTCTTCGTCTTCTTCGTACACTTCTTCGCCCATGGCCTCGCCGGGGGTGAGGAAGGGGTTGGAGTCGGTGGTCTGGACATGCATGCTCTTGCGCAGTTCCTGCAGAGCGTAGTCTTCGGAACTCATCTTCTTCTCGCCGCCCGGGAGTGGGGAGTACTCGTTCATGGCGAAGAAAAGTGGAGGCGATGCAATGGAAGGTGGGAGTGCGGGTGGGTTGCACGAGGTGTCGCGTCACGTTGGGCGAAGCGAGAGGGCGAAGGATTCCAATTCCCGCTGGTAGACAGAAGATGGCAGACAGGAGGGAGAGGGAATGCTAACCAGCAATGCATGCCTGGAGGTGGAGGTGGCCGATCCGCGCGAAACGTGACTGCACCGGATCACTTGCATTTGCCCCGATGCCGCGACCAATGAAGAACATTATGCGCCAAAGTTCGCTGTGTCGCCGTCGGTCAGGGGTCGGGCGTTGGAAATGAGAAGGGGCCCAGGGTCTGCCGTCGAAAAATAGATTGCGCGCTAAACATTCGAGGAGCCGACGCGGCACGGCTGCTGCCGCTGATTCGGCGCGGCAGGATCTACCGGCGCGCCGTCCGCACCTGCCTTGAAGGTGATCATCACTCCTGCTCATGCTGTGCTCGACACTCCACTTCCAGGGGTGCTGCTCGTGCTCCAGATGGGCACACACGACTAGCCTCTCGGCATTCCCTCCCCCGCGGATGTCGGCAAGCTGCCTCTCGGCGATGCGCAAACGATGAGAACATTGAACGTTACACTAAACACACGCTCGTTTCACAATGGCAAGCAGACTGCCTTGCGCTCATGCATCGCGACTGCCCAGTGCCCTCTTCAGCATCCCGCAGAAGCTTTCAAACAGAAGCCGATCCAGACCACGCAGCCATCGGATCTCCACCTCCTCCTCCTTGCACATCACCTTCACCGTCAGTGAGATTCCATCGTCCTCGTCTTCCTCATTCTCCTCCTCGTCGTCATCGTCCTCTTTATCCTGCTCGTCGTCTTCGTCCTTCCCACCTGCCTTCGCATGCGCACTCGCCTGCACATCCACACCCTTCGACCACGGCTTACCAAACTGCTGTCTTCGCCTCGCCGCACGAGACCATACGTTCTCCCTGGCCTCCATCACACCGGCGGAGATCAGCGGTCGCCACTTCCACCGCACCGCCAGTCCCTTCAACGTCGCATCCACCTTCTCCCCCGCCCACTTCGCACTCATCAATGGGACGGCAATCGTCTGTGCCGTGGGCCACGGTCGCACCGCATTCACCACGTCCCCTGCCGCCGCAATATCGTTGCGCGGTCTCCATGTCTGAAAGCTCCAAGCCACCGCCCACCGTTTCGTTCGGTGGCCTGCCTGTAGGTTCGTGACGGCGAAGTTGTTGATCTCGTGTTCCCGTAGTTTGGCCACGATTTGTTGCAGGCTGGCCAACTTGCCCAGCATAGCGGTATACCACTGCACTCGTGTCCGAAGCATCAGGCTCTCGTTGAAGATGCGGTCAACGAATCCTATGTCTCCGCCGGGGCAGATCAACTCGTTGTCCGCTGCAAAGCTGATGGCGGACGCCGCTGCATCCTTGCCCACGTAGCTCTCCTCCATGTCTTCTCGCGACGAGTAGAAGGGTGGGTTGGTCATGACAAAGTCTAGCTCCTCCACTCCCATCGCTGCCATGGGAATCAGTGGACTTTCTGCGATGGTGTGGATGAGCTTGACGCGCTGCTCAAGATTGTTGCCCGCTACGTTTTGCCGCGCGTAGTCCAGAGAGTGCGTGTCTATGTCCGTGCCTGCCATGAGCCATAGTGACCGTGTGGAGCAGCCCAATAAGGGATAGATGGCCGAGGCTCCGGTGCCAATGTCAAGGCCGAGAACGTCGCGTTGGGAGTCATAGCGGTCAGCGTAATCGTCGGATGTAGTGTCCAGGAGATCCTGGATCCAGCGGATGTAGTTCCATCGCACCGGCACCGGTGGGCAGAGTCGGTCTTCTGGGAGGGAGAGGGAAAGGTTGAAATTGCACTTCAGGATGGATTTGGTCAGTTGTCTGCATTCCTTGGTCAGCGCGATCGGGAAGAGGTGGTGTTGGGTTGTCCGGTCGCCTACCGCACGACTTTGGGATCTTGAAAGTCAAGCCATCGCGCCTCTTTGGCGCATTTGGAGATGGTCGCCCAGTCGGGATCACGGGCCGCGAGCTCGTCAAAGTCGATGTTCAGGGCGTGCACGGAGGTATTGTCGTGGCTGCGCTCAACGATGGATCGAGACATGATATGGGGAGTGAGTTGGCTATTCTGCAGCCTTTTGAAGTTGTCGGGTGGGGCGAAGTCCGGCAGAATTCAAATGGGCGGGCCACGACAAGTGAACGAAGCAACACCTCAACACACGCGACAGCATATGCGCCACCGAGGGTGGAGTTTCTTATTCTACTGATCATGGTCGTACGTGCGTGTTGCATCTGGAACACGATGCCGTAAGGCGGGTGTGTCTATCTAGCCTGTCTTGCGATCGCAGAGCTGCTCAAGGATCTTAGGACTTGCAAGTTCCGGTAGGAAGATAACCCATGCAGCCCTTCCGCAGTCTCTGGATACTCTGGCGACCCTCAGACAGCCACAGTCCTCTCTAAATCACGCAAGCCCATCCAAATGACCCGTCAAACTCAAACTTCCCCGGCTCCTCTCCGCGCCGGACTTGCTCGAGCGTGGGCACGACGTTCGGGCGATACGAGTGCAACAGCTCGTCCATGTCCTGCTCCTCCATGCTGCAAAGGTCTTCTAAGCTCCACTCCACGCACACCTTGGACATCCTACCCGCATAGTCAGAACGAGACGCATTGGATCAAAGGCATAAGCGGCGAGAGGCAACATACCATTGCATCCTCTTGGGCCCCTCGCCATTTCCAGGCGCAACAACGCGTAGCCTCTTCCTCAGCTCTCCAACTTTGGCAATGGCGTCTCCGATGTTGGGCGGCAGACTCTTGGCGATCCGTCGCCTCACAATGTTCGCCATCTTAGGCCCGTTGCCGTTGGTGCTGACCATGATCTGCAACGGGCCGTCGCGATGCACGCTGCCAAAGTAAAAGTCACATTCGGGAGGCACGTCGGCAATGTTGGCCGGGATGCGCCGCTCTTTGCAGAGCTGCCAGATCTCGGTGCTGGCTTCGGGGTCGTCGATAGCCACCAGAACCATGGAGATGGACGGGTCATCGAGATCGGTGGACAAGAATTTGCGGTCGACGTATTGGACTTGCATACGCTCAACGCGATGCGCAACCTCCGCATTCAACCCATCCCGAGGGCTTATGACGGTCACTTTCGCATCGGCGTTGAGAAGATTAAGGATGCGACCGGCTGCTACCTGGACTGTGTCAACACGTCAACATTGTGGGCCCGTGCCTGCACAGTGGAAGCGCACCTCGCCGCCGCCGATAACCACCACTTTTCGGTGCTTCACTTGCCACGCGAGGATCAACGAGCCACCGCCTTGCGGCTCGGGGAAGGATTTGCCCATCACATAGGGAGATGTCGCAAGAGAAATGTCTGGCAGAAGCCGGGCAAGGATGCGATAGGGTAAGGATATGCAAGGGCGTGAAGGTGGAAGTAGAGGTGGAAAGTCGAGAAGAATGATGCCTTGACGATATCTGCTTTCGGCCTCGTTCCGAAACGCCCCACAATCTGCGACACGCGTGCGGCATCATGCGAGCTTACCTAAGAATTCAAGCCCCGCCATGCGACACAACCTTGACTTCACTTCCCATCCACCTCTCATCCTTCCGCCTCGCTCCTTACCATGCCCGGCTGAGTCTCGCATGGTGTTGACAATGCAACATGGCTGCCTCTCGGAGGAGTCTCGGCGGCGGGCGGGTCTTGGGGACCGGGAAGAACATCGCCCCCCCTCCCACCTCTCCATCGCCGCTCGCTCCGGGCAAGACGATTGTCCGCAATGCTGACCTGCTGTCGCCGTCGGAAAGCTCGCTTTCCCTCGACAGCCAGACCTCGAGCACGCCCGTCTCGGCAGACAATGAAGACATTACATCACGAGTCGCCCTCCACGCCCATGGATCCGCACAGGCCGGTGCTGCCTCGGGCTCGAAGATGGTGTGCCCGATATGCAATGAAGAGATGGTATACCTCCACTATTGCGAGTGCCTTGCGGACATCTAGCTGACCATGCAGCTCACCCTTCTTCAATTAAACAGGTAGGCTTGTACTGTGATGAGACGATCGGGCGCATGCTAAACGCGGGCCAGACATATCGATGACAACCACGCGAATCTGGAGGCGGTAGAGCAAGAGGAGGTCAAGGATTGGTTTGAACAACAGATGAAAAAGGCCAAGAAGTTCCAGCCCCTGCAGTTCATCAACCAGAAGCTCCGCGGGATGGAGGCTTTTGAATCCAACAACGATGCTGCTCCCCGCCCGCCGCTCTCGAACGTGCAAACCCCGCCAAGATACGATAGTCGTGGCGCTTCACCGGCTCCTTTACCCCCGCGACCCTCTACCCCGTCCACCGACCCAGACGACATTATCAAACGGTCACATTGGCAACGCTCCACCGGCTACGATGCATGCAGCGACCCAATGTGCGGCAAGCGGCTGGGAGCGGCCAACGGCCAAATCAATTGCAGACACTGTGGCAAGCTCTTCTGCGAGGAGCATACCATGTATCAAATGAGGCTCTCCCGCGCCGCCATTCATGAGCCCGTCCGAGGCTTGTGGTATCGGGTGTGCGAGACCTGCTTCAAAACTCGCGACGGCTACAATGATAAGACGGGCTTGGAGCGGAGTCACTTCGAATACTTCAAGGCAACACGACGGAAGATGGTGGACGAAAAATACTTGGAGACCAGCCGCCTCGAGACACGGTTGACACGCCTGACCCAGTTGCTCGCTAACCCGCCTCCCCCCGATCAGCAACAGCGGAGCATCTGGTCCTCCATCGCCGGCGACCGAGATCATATCAGGAATCTGGAGCAATCTGTTGTCTCATGGCAAGACGATGCGCACGTCGTAGAGTGCCCCTTCTGCCAACAACCCTTCTCCCAGTACGCCCTACGGCGGCACCACTGCAGGACCTGCGGTCGCGTTGTATGCAGTGACCCTGCCACCGCCTGCTCCACCGAGGTTGGACTGGACGTCGACAAACGTATGTCTTTCTTATTATGGCCATTATGCCCTCCCTCCACTAACACTCCAGCAGCCTCTAACACAGTGTCGGAGAAAGGACCGAGCGGCAAAGTTGCTCTCAGTATACGAATGTGCAAAGACTGCCAGCGCACGATATTCAGCAAGGCCGACTTCGCTCGGGAAGTGGCTGCACAGACCCCCGACCAACGGGCGTACCAGAATCTGGTTCAGTTCGAACAAGGCATACGCCTGATGCTTCCCAAATTTCAGCGTCTACTCCCCACCCTCCAAGACCCCGAGAAGCCTCCCACCCCCGCCCAGCTCGCCGAAGCAAGTAAAGTGCGCAAGCGGCTCACAGATGCCTTCACTCAATACAACACAGCGGCGCGACGGATCCGAGACCTGCCGACGGACAGTCCGACCCAAGCCCGATTGCAGAAGGCCATCTATCAGCAGGCCTCAAGCTTTCTCCACGTACACATGCTGACCTTGAAGGCCATTCCGAAGATCCTCGGTCACGCCACTCCAAATGCCAGGCCGCAAAGTGCTCTCTCATCCATCAAGAACAGTGATGCGATGAACGGCGAGGGTTCAAGATCAGGCAGTCGCAATGGCAGCGTTGACTTGGTTGCGGTGACGGCCTTGGAAGCGGAGGAGAAGGAGCTACGGGAGCGCTTGATTGTGCTCGAGGAGCAGAAGTTCATGGTATCCGAGATGATTGCCGATGCCAACAAGAGGCGGAAGTTTGACGAAGTCAGCAGCTTGGCACAGAATGTGGACGATCTCGGTCGAGAGGTGGATCAGATACGAACGCGATTGGGGCAGATGGATTTCAAGGGAGCGTACACAGGGGATGCAACGGTGAAGTGAAGTGAAACGAAGCTGCGGAAAGGGAACTCTTTGGAAGAGCATCTTCTGTAAGAATTGAGCTGGCCCAGCCGTTTGGCAGTGCTGGAAAAGGAATCCTGAAACGTCGAGAGGGCCTGCTCTGCTGTGAATGGAAAGCATATTGGGAGACGAGCTCTGGGAGCAGGCTGACGGAGTTGTAGCTGTGGCCAATCGGGGACTGGCCGAGTCACATCTAGTCATCAGGATTTGTCGTCAACAGAGAAACTGCACAGACAAGGCGCTTCATCTAGTCATGTCAGGCAGGACTGGAGGAGCTCTGCATGCGGTCCGAGACACCTATCACTCACGCTGCTCGTCAGTAATGCTCGTCACACATCTGGACCTGCTAGCATGTCATTTATATGCTACATCGTGCCCTTCAGTCACTTTGCCTGCCCAGATATCCGCCCCAATCCGTCTCCCTCCCTCCCACCGCTGTCTCAGCAAAATCATCGTCATTGTCAATCGCATCACCCTCCAGCCACCCATTCCACGCACCCAAGCCCGCCAGATGCCTCATGGTCGGTCTGCCGTGCGGGCAGTTCCACGGTTTCTCCATCTCCCCCATGTGCCTGACAACACTCTGCATTTGCTTCAGCGTCAGCGTCTTCCCAATCATGATGCTGCTTCGACAGGCGCGCATGGCCAGCATGCTCTGCACTTTCTTCGGCCTGGGGATCTCGGAGCTGCCAGCGGGCGCCTCGGCGAGGAGGTGTAGCAACTCTTCGAGGTCGGAGAGCTGAAACGTCTTTTCTCTGCTCATTGGTAGAGTGATGAGGCGGAACGTGCGACGTGGCGACTCGTCATCGCCACCTGTGTCCGATGTGGTGTCTATTTCGAAGCCATTCGCTTTCAGTGCTTCGGGGTGGTTGACGATAATCTCCTCTTCGACCGCCGTCACATCCAGGCGCTTAGGGCGCACGAGTCGCTGATTCTGCAAGGTGACGGTGCGCTGAAATCGCTCGTAGTTATACTTCTCATCGGCGGCGTGCTGATCGATGATGAACAGCTGGTTTTCCTCATCCGGCCCTGCTGCCGCTCGAACAGCAAGAATGAAGCCCAGATTGAACTGACCGATGATCGTCATCTGCTCAAAGTCCGACTTGCTCACAGTCAGCGCCAAGCGACTCTCCGCGTTCGAGTCGTCAATCTCGTTCTTCACAATCGCAGTCTCATTCCTATGTTGGAAATTGGACGTGGCACGGGCGTCTTCGTGAGACCTAACTTTCAGCAACTCCTGGATCTCGACCATTGTTGTCTCACAGTATTGCGTGAGATGCAAGGTCGTGTCTTTACGATTGCCCACGTTCTTGAGAACCTGCGAGGCTCGTCTCAGGTTCTCGTCCGTAGGCCGCGCAGCTGCAAGTTCGGCTTCGTGGATGAGACGGGCGACCTTCTCGTCCTCGCGGATCTTTTTCTCTGCTTCGTCCACGTACTCCCCGTCAGACTCTTCTTCTGATGCAGACAAGAGTTTGTCGAGCGGATCCGAGGTCGCCAGGTCACCGGTTTCTGCATCATCTGCGCTGGCTGCCTCAGTCTCTTGCATGACAACGTCTCCGACTGCCAGCGCCTCATCGTTGTCATCATTTGAATCGTCCTCGCTCGCATCGCTGGTGGAAGAAGTGGCGAGCGAGGGCTCCTGAGAGGGTCTTTTGGCCTCGATCTCCAGCTGCGACCCAGGAGCAGCAAATTTGCGAAGACTTCGAACCACGCGGCCACCACGATCAGGTCGGGGAGCGGGCTGGGGTGGGCTGGATGTGTCAATGCGGCGTCTCTTGTACGGCAAGCCGCTGCCAATCACCGTCGTAGTCGTCTTGTCGCCGATAGTAACCTCGGCAGTCTGCATTGGTATTCGCATGGGTCGCATGCGATCGAAAGCACTCTCAATGGGCCCAGGAGTGAGTTTTTGAGAGCCTGGAGCCACAGCTCTGATCTCGGTCTCTGGTGGCACGCTTTTCAGGCGCTTTCCGCCGTCCTGCACCAGTGAACTTGCAGCTGTATCGATCTTAGCATGCGAAGTTTTGTCGGAGTGTAGTCCGCGGTCCATCAAGGCCTTGAAATCTTCCACGCGTCTTTGTCGGTTCGCTTGCGTTTTCGTAGGGTTATCGCTCACCTCCTCAAGCTGGCCATCCTTCTTCTCGTCTTCGCTGAGGTCCTCAGATTCGCCACTGTCTGCTTCCTCTGCTGTAGCTTGTTCGACAACGGCCAATCTGTTCCTCTCAATGCCACCTTCGACATCCATATCAGCGACAGCCTTGCTTCGCTGCACGATCCTGCCGTCGCCACTTCCATGGATTTTGACATGATGGCCCCGAGAACTTTCCCGATTTGTCTGGTCCTTGCGCGCTTTGACGCCATGATCAATCCAGTTGTGGATGAGGCTGGACCGAGTTGTCGGAGGTGGGTCAACCGGAGCAGCATCGTCTGAATGCACGTCCTCCTGACCAGACTCAAGCTCCGATTCGGAGTCGTTTCCGGGGTCAACAGGGGCATCTGCGCGTACGGGGACCGTCAAAGGCTGGTAGTTGGGAAGCTTGCGATTCTGCATCTGAGATTGCGGAACGGCATACTCGCTTGTGTCGAAGAGTCCGGTGAGTGAGGCCTTGAGGTTCTCCAACAAAGCAGCCTGATCGTGAAGTAATATGCTGCGCTTGTCGGGCGACACGTTCACATCGTACGCATTGGTATCCATGACCAGATTGGCGAAGATGAAGGGAGTCTGGGAGAGATTGAAAGACTTGTACACTTCATTGAAAACCTTCGCCACCTGCGGAAGCGAGCACGGGCGCGAATTGACGAAGAACATTTGTCGATCTGGCGCTTGACGACCCTGACCGAATATTGGCTTGCTGATGTGGCCGTGAACATGCACCTCCATCGATGGCTCTGTAGCTGAGGCCATGAAACTGCGTGTGGATGATGGGGCCATCTGGAGTTCCAAGTCGAGCTGCACCAGGGACAGAAGCGTCTTTGACCCGAATACGTTCATGATATTCTCTTTCGTTGTCGGATTGGCTTGTGTGGCGAAAAGAGCGGTCTTCTTTGCCTTTGGCATTTGATTACTGACTGAGATGCGCACACCAACACTGATGCAGGCGTAAGCATATAGATTGTTGAGGGCCTTGCCATACTCGCGTTTGATGTTCTTCTCCAGTTCCTTTCGTCTGACTGGTAGACCGGCAAAGAGATTCTCGACAGAAACAGTAGTGCCTCGTTGAGCGGCCGACACGGATGTGCCACGAAGCTGTCCAGAGACCTCGAAATCGAGCCTCTTCCCAACGGCTCCATCTTCGGCTCTCGCAGTGATGATGTGGAAGTTGGACAGAGCGCACAGGGAAGAGAGCGCTTCGCCACGGAAACCGAAGGTATCGAGCGATGTCAAGTCTTCGTAGCTCGATAATTTGGAGGTGTAGTGTTTCAGGGCGATCGTTTCAAAGTCCTCAGGTGCGATCCCCTTTCCATTGTCTTGCACTTCAATGCTGTCGAGACCTTGGTTCTTGAAGCGAACTTCAATTGATGTCGCTCCGGCATCGAGGCTGTTCTCCACGAGTTCTTTGACGACGGAAACCAAATCCACAATCACCTGGCCGGATTGGATTTGATGGACCGAACGACCTTCTATGGCCTTGATTGTGGCCATCTGCGACCATCGTTCAGCTCATGCTTATCATGTCTGCGACTTTGGTTAAAAGATGTATGTTCCCTGGCGCGGGCGGCGTTCATCTCAAGGCGGCAATCGCGTCGGTGACGCGTTAGTAATTTCTGACTAACGAATGCCAATGACGAACCGATCCTCCCATGTTTCGACACACGAGGACTTTTAACGTCTTCGCGCAATAGCCAAACTCCTCGCAGTCCGACGATACCGTCTTCTCGAGTTGTATCGTTGATGAAGATTGATACTGCGACCATGGCCTCTGCGAGAACAGCTATGGCTTCCGCCGTCCTTCGAAATACTGGTCGGCAATGCAGACGAACACTCCCCCTGCACACCATCTCTCCGCGGAGTGCCGTGAGACCAGCACAGCGCTCTCAGCCATGTCTGGCCATTCCTCGGTATCAACCCTTCTCTGTCTCCTCCTTCCGCTCCAGCTTCCGGGTATATCACTTTGACGAGGTCAAGAAGATGAGCGAGTCTCCAACTCCGGACAGGATCTTGATCGGTGAGTTTGACACGCCATTTACAACCCACACTCGGAAGGCAAACTGTCTGATGCATGCTAGATGTTCGCGAACCCTCAGAAGTACAAGCCGGCCACATTCCATCCGCCATCAACGTCCCCGTCAAATCCCACCCAGATGCCTGGCATCTTCCGGAGGAAGAGTTTGAGGATCGCTTTGGCTTCAGCAAGCCAAACCCGGACAAGGAGGTCATATTCTACTGTCGATCCGGGGTCAGGAGCAGTGCTGCAGCACAGCTGGCGCAACAAAATGGCTATCAGAACATCTCGGAGTACAAGGGTAGTTGGTTGGATTGGCAGGAGAAGGGTGGACCGGCTAGCAAGCCATGAGCGCGTGCCGACTTACGAATGAGGCGGCATGGTTTGGTGTTTGTTGGCCGCTGACATGAGCTGTGGGCAGGCACCATCAGGTACGAACCAGCAGCGCTTGTGGAGGGGCTGCAAAGGTTGCACATGCGATCTCTTCACCATGCACTCCTACATAGCCATGCGGTTGGGTGGCATAGCGCGGCGATGCCTGGATCACGCGGACCATGGTATCGAGGTCGGGTGATCAGCAAAAGCCATCGTTAAGTGGAGGAGCGTAGCAGTCATTAGTGCCTTCCCCACCTTAACGCGCCCCACCGCAGCGAATTCCAGCCTTGGACACTTGACCGGTAGCTCGTTGATCTCCCTATATTACCCGGACATCCAACGGCATGCACGACCGTCTTCGCATCAGCAGACAGGCAAGAGCTGTCAACGCGAGGTAGGCGACATCCAGCATGCCTCACTTGAGTTGGATCTCCCTTGCTCTCGCTTCCTCTTCAATCACCCAACTGCGACATTAACCCTCATCATTCCTTGCCTCCAAATATATCCCCAGTCACTTCACCTCAACAGCAGCTGGTGGCCCAGATAATACGGACTCGCGAACAACACTACACATGACGCCCAACATGCAATCCAACCCCTACGCCTACCAACGTCCCAGCACACTGGCCACGCGCTCACTCATCTCAAACAACAAGGCCGACGAGTTGTCTCCGACTTCCTCTAACGCTTCATCGCCTGGCAGCACAACAACACATTACGAGCGAGCAGCGGCGGAGGCAACCCGAGCCGATCACATCCCCGCCACCACGGCCGGAAGCGTGCTCGCCTCGGTGACTGATAGACCCGGCATGATGAGGCAGCCGAGCTGGAAGATGGCGGACCTCAAGGGTCAGCAGCAAGGGCAGATGCTGGCTGGTGTCGTCAGTGGCCATGGCTATTCAACGACGGCAGCTCCGGGCCAGTAAAAGGGACGATTCGAGAGCGCCAGCCGTTCATTGAACCTGGTATGTATGCGTATCGTCTGTGCAAGCCTCAGCGGCCGCGAGGCTGACCATTGCCGCAGCGATTGAACCTGAGCTCCAAAACACTTCACTTCGCACAAAGGCACGCGGAGCAATACTTCGCAGACTCACAATACTCCTACAACAGACCCTCAAACTCCTATGTCGTGGGGAATGCCAATCTTCATCACTCAAGGAAACTCGTAAGGAATGACTAGGGTCAGTGTAGCTAGAGTCCAGTCTGTCACACCAATGTACCATCCGCTCAACCATTGTACTTCTCGACTTCTTTCCGATTCATCCGCTCAACGCACAATCATCCATGGCCGCTCCACTGTCTCTCAATCTGCGACTCGGCGTCGACGCTTCCTCTCACCCTCCTCAATAACATGCACATGAGTCTGCAAACACGAAGCATGAGATGCTTGCATGAACAGATGCCTCACTGCGCTGTTGATCGCATCGATGGGTTATCGTCGTTCGATCGGCGTTGTCGTGCAATGTCGTGCGCTCCTTAACGCAAGGATGCACTAATTTCGTGGCTCTTTGTGGTCGTATTCGTGCAGCTTTCGTAGCCCGTTACGTCCTGCATTGCCGCGAATTAGCCTTGTTTCTACTTCATGATGGCAGCATCTCTGAAGTCGCCGCTGCCCGAAATCGATCGCCATACCAATCCATGTCTCCCATTTGCAGCTTCCTCGCTCGCTGCTTGCTGCGGGTATTGCCCGACTTGTCCTGCCTCGGCTGACTATACGGATGATCAATAGGGCCTGTCTGGTCAGTGAATGAGTCTGAGGGGGCTTGTTGTGGGTGCGTAGCTGGTATGGTGGAATTCCTATCCCGTATCTCGCCAGAGCTGGCCGAACGTTGAGTGCGACCATCTCTGTAGCTGGGTGGCCTCAGGCTTCTGTTGAGATTGCCTTTGCCAACGAGAACGGAATGGTGGCGGTTGGAGGCGTGAACGTAATGAAAGGCGGGTTCTTCACCATCATGCTGATCATCGTTGAGATCGTAGTTGAGCACCAGGTTCTTGATGCGTTGCTGCTCCGCTCGTTCGGCTTGCTGCTGCGATCTCATGGCGAGCGCAAATGTGGAATCCGACGGCAACTCAATCGAGCGTGTCTGGAGAAGTTGTCAGTCCACATCATATCAGAGCGCACGCCTGTGAATAAACTGACCTGCTGACGATTGCCACGTTTACTGAGAAGCGAAAACTGCATCTTCCCCGGTTCGCTGGGAGGAGCGGGGGCGGGCGTCTCGTGATCGCTGTCGTCGGCGTTTGTTGGAGCGGCCTCACGCACCTGTCGACGCATGGGCAGCGGCACATCAAACATCGGCTTCCGCTCAAACTTTCGGGACTCTACACTCTCTGACATTAGTTTGGCAAGCTCACGATCGAACTCTGCGTCGGCCTCTGGGTCCCGCTGCTCGCTTGGTCGAGTGACAACAATGTGCTCACTCTCGTCAGACGACGATGCTTCAGCGGATCCTGCGGCATCGTCGTGGACCTCATCTCCTTCGCCATCTTCTGCCGAGCGTGGGCGCATCTCGCCGTCAATGGCGGCATCATCAGAATCCTCGCCCTCAAAGTCTTGTTCCTCAGGCTCTGGTTCTTCCGGCTCAGAGACTCTGTTAAGAGGAGCTTCCTGGTAGTTTTGTCTGACAGATTCGCCGAAGACTCTGCTCGCTTCTGGAGGATCGTTCAATACGAGCTTCCACTGGGGTCGCAACGCATTGAAGGTGTCTTGCACGACAAACTCGATATCCATCGGAATCGGATCCTTGGTATTGATGTAGTACTGAAAGAAGGCGAGGAAGAAGTCAAGCTTCTTCTTCACTGGCCCTTTCTCAAAATACATCCCACAAGTCTCCAACAAGGTGCTGACGAGTCGAATGCGGAAGAAATCGTCTGGCAGATCGATGCTGCACAAGCTGCCCGGCTGGGCATAGCCTTGATGACCATGGTTGAGGAGCTTGTACAGCGTATCGAAGATGAGCGTCGAATCCACCAAACGATACATGTAGAGCTCCCCAAGATATTTGACTTCGGCGATGCGTCGCTGGTTGTACTTGAAGTCGTTCATGTCCAGACCGGCAGTGATTCGTTCGAGAAGCTCGTCCAGGACGGTGATTGCGAAGCTGAAGTGAAATTTGTACAATGCGCCCAGGATCACGGCCAGCAGGTGAATGTTGGCAAACTTGATCTTGCCGGGCTTGACAAAGATCTTGCGCAGCGTCTCGACCACTTCAGGCTCCTCCCAGTGTAACTTGCGGATCTGCTTCGTTACCTTTGCGATGGTCTTTTTGTTGAGATCCTCGTAGACCAGTTTTCGGACATAGAGCTCCAGAGGCGTGCGTTCTTTCTGCTCAATGGCCGCCCTTTCTGGAGGACTGACAAAGTAGACTGCATTCTCAAGAAGCATACGCTCTTGTTGGCCCAAGTGTTGCGCAGTCTTCTTACGCTGCAGAGTCTCGAGGAACGATTGCATCCGGGGTGAAGTCTCCGGGTTGCGAAGTAGATAGCGTCCACAGTGCTCGAGCAGGTTCGCAATGATTTCGATGTTCATCCGCGAAAAGTCGTCCAGGCACACTTTGAGGCAGTGAAAGATGACATGCTCAGGCACGACGCCAAACTTGGTCAACTCGGCAATGTAGCGAATATTGACCATGCGCACTTGCCCGAGGAACTCTTTCGACTTGCGACGCTGGAGACTGCGGAATTCATCATCGAGATAGGACACGATCGCTTGCTGGACCGCGTTCAGGTAGCGGCCGAGCGTGGCGATGAGTCGCCCATAGAGCGGCAGGAGATCCACCCTGCCCTTGGGGATTTCTTCGATGGCTTTGATCAGGCGGTTGCGCGAAGCTTTGGAGTTCAGGAAGCAAAAGTCGACCGCGAACTGGTCGACCTGGTCCTTGTTCGAAAGCTCAACCAGTCTCGCAAGCAATGCATCGACTTGGGCTCCGACCGTCTTGTTGGTGATCGTTGTAGATGCGTCGTCGTTGTCAACTTGCTTGGTTTCGGGGGCTTCTTTGACGTCGCTAACGTCGCTGATCTTCTTTCCAACTTGATCATCGTTGTCGGGCTTCTTCTTTTTACCTTCCTCGAGCAAAATGATGGGCACACGATCTTTCAGATCAATCAAGTTTTCGTAGAATCGACGCTCCTCCTCGTCTTCCCAAATCCCAGCCCCATCACCCTGGCCGCGGAGATACTCGCCCGTTTTGACTAGTCCGATACTACCTTCGGCTCCAACGAAGGAGGCGTCTTTTTCTGATAGATCGGGCATCTCCACAGCAAGGGCATCAGCCAGCGTCTGCGCGCTCGATACCATCTTTTCCTGCGCTTTCAACGCTTTTTCGTATTGCGCTTGACGGTCTTCAAACACCTCACCAGACTTCACATACGCCTCGGCATTTCGTTTGCCCTGATTGGCGAGCTGCTTCTGGTCGCGGACAACGTGAGCCTTGACATCTTCGAAGTATCGTAGGAGAATGTTCCGAAACCGCTGTTGCATGTCCGGCGACGCGAGAGGCGAGTCCGGAACGGAAGCATCTTCATCTTCCGTCGAAGTCGCCGACTCGAAGTTGCCGTTTGCAACAGATATTGACCCATCCTCCGCCACTCTCTTCCTCCCCTCCTTCACTGCAGAACTAGAACCAAGGATGTCCCAAGCGAAGGTCTTGACAAACAGAACGACCAGTGGCAAATTGACGTGATCGCGGTCATGGCCGAGCATGTCTTTCAGCACCTCGAGCGGGAAGGGCTCCGGATCGGCTGCAGCTGGTCGCGTACCATTCAGCCGGGCTTTCCCAGAGGTCTCGGTTGCTCTTCCGGTGTCTTTCGCTTTGCTTGCATCCTCGGGACGTGTCACATCTTCCAGGCTCTTAAGTACACCCACCAGCCAGAGCTCTGTAGCAATGCGCAACAGTACGCGCTGCCTGGCGATCCGTTCCTTCTCCTCCCTCTCCCGCACATCTTGAGGCAGGGTCTTCAGCTGCGACTTGTCGGGCGTGCTCAATCCACGCCCAATGAGCCATCCGAGATAACACGTGAACTCCTGCGGCCCAAAGCGTTGATGCAATGCACTAACCACCTCGACGCCAGCAGCAACTTCACCGGCGACTTTCAGCCTGCAGAGGCCTTCGAAACAGGCCGAGACAATCTCGGTGAGGTATTTGTGGAGGGAGAGGGTTCGGATTTCTTGCAGGAAGGTTGGGACGGCGGCTGGGTTGATGGCGGTGCGCAGGCGTTTGATAAATGCCGTGTTCTTCTTCATGTTCGAGTCGAGGGACTCCTGAACGGGAAAGACATCTGAAGAAGGGTCAATCATGTCCAATCCGACAACATTGCCTTCCACGCTCACCTTTCTCGCCGTTCCAGACTCTTGCGTTTACATCCTTCAGCTCGCCTTGACGCACATGGTTAGTCGCTCTTCTATTTCACTGGAAGATTGGCTGTGCATACGCTTTCTACGCCGCTCCATGGCGGCTTGCTCCTCCGGTCGCTAAGATCGGCGCGACACGAGGGAGTAAGGAAAAAGAAACCCGAGCTCTAACGTGGTAACATGAGTGGGATGGGGTGTTGCAAGCTCTTGGACTGCAGAGCTCGCATTTGCGCCGACGGTGGGTAGTTTGCGGGCGGTCTGAGCGAGCGGTTAGCTGTGGCAGAAGGAAGAGCAGCGTGCAATGCGTGAATGAGTGAGTGAGTGAGCGGCCGTCTTGTGAACGTGGGAAGTGGGGTGTCGAGCCGGGGCCAAATGCAGCGGTTCGGGCCGACGCGATGCACAACGGGATGATGCGCGCGCTTGCGCCTTCTTGCATGCCTCAGGTGCACAACATTCGCCCATGCCTTATTGCTGTTATAGTACCATCCTCGTTGATGAGATAGCTAGCAATTACAGCAGAGTGTCATGGAAGAACATGAATCGAATTCCGCGCTACTCAACCTATGAAAACGTGGCACCACACCCACTATGAGTAGTCAAATCGATCGGGCATCAATGCCGGCGCGGCCAACGTCCAGCCAAAGATGCCATAGCACACCCACGCACTCACAATCTTCACCCAACTCGCCCAATACGTCCTGCCCACCGGGACGAACTTCTCCTCGCTGTTATGCTCTCCGACAATGCTTTGGGTCAACAGCGTTGCAATCCAGGCGGTGGCAAGCATGAAGATGATGTGGAACACAGCGTAGTTATACTGTGTCCGGTTCTTTTCATCGTCGTTCTTGTGTGCCGGGGAGTCCTCGTCGTCGTCATCGTCGCTGTCGTCCAAGGCCGACGCGGGCAGAGCGCCAGATTCCACGGCGCGACGGAGCGCTTCTTGCCGCATCTCCCTCCGACTCGCCGGCTGGGTATCGACCAGACCATGACCGCCGTACTCCTCTGTTGGGAGTTGGCCGTATCCTGGCTGACTGGAGCCCATGGCAAGACCGTAAGTGGCCGCACGTGTGGTGGTGTATGCGCACGTGAGGAACGTCACGACCGCTCCCAGCACGATGCTGGCCGTGCGCGTACCTGTGGCGCGGACGAGAGGATTGCAATGCTGGTCGTCGGGCTCCATTGCAACTGCGCTCATGGTGAGATACGTGCAGTAGATGGACACCGTGGCTGCCTGAGCCAGGCCAGCTCGGGGATTCGATGCTTGGATCGCGGGATGGATTGACAACACGCTGGTTCCAATGAGGAAGAGTAGGTTGATCTGGGAAGGGTTAGCCGTTGGTTCCACACTGACGCACAGTAGCACACCAACCGTAATCGCAGACTGGTTCATGGAACAGCCAGAAGACGCAAAGAAGATGTACATGACAATGGTCATGGCCAAGCTGCCCAGGTACATTGTCAGGGTGGAGCCAACCAAGATGCCGCGCCAGAGGCGGGAGTCGGTGTCCTCGATCTTCTCAATGCAATACTCGGCAAAGGTGTGCGCCAGATCCACGAGCAACACCAGGCCGAGAAGCAGGAAGAGGATGGCGCCGACCAGTGCGACGTAATTCCCCCACATCTCATAGAAGCTGTTGGGAATGAAGAAGGTGCCAACGATCAGGGCGAGCCAGATGACAATCTTTGGGCCCCAGAAGCCATTCTGAATTGGAGCACGTTTGTCCTTGGAAGTGTTCACGCCAATCAATAGCACGGCCAAGAGGGCATGGAGGAGGCCGAGTGCAAAGTTGACGCGGTGTACCGCAGCGAAGCCAAAGCATTGTTTCCCCGCACAGTCGATTGTCACGTAGTCGAGGAGGACTCCCTGCAGTTTCGTAACCGCCCAATCCGTGAGCATGAGCCATGATATCAGCGAGTTGATGAGCAGTATGAGAGCGTAGGCGATTCGAGTGGCGACGCTATTGTTGCATTTACTGGGGTTTCGAGATCAGCGGAGGATGGCGGGAGGCGGAGGCGGAGGAGGATGGGTAACATACCCGCAGGCTGAGCAGACGGCGGAGCATGTTGCTATAAGAACTGTCAGTCATGGTCGGATGGGTTGATGTGGGAGACTGCAACTCACCGGCGCCACAGCATGATGCGGCAAAGGTCATGAGCTGCATGAGAGGTCAGATGAAGTGCGGCACTGGTCGGGCGATCTCATACGCACCGTGCCCACGCTGGGGATCGCCAGCAGCGGCAGCGATAGTAGTGCGCCCATCGTTGAAGCAGCAGGCGATGTGCACCGGACGATGATGAAGGCGGGGATGTGTGTGAAGGCGATGCCTGGCACACTGGCTGTCGAGTGGTTGCGACGACTTTACATCACGCCCCGGACGCGGGCTCGGCCGGCGGGAAGAGCCGCCGGGGGAGGCGACTCCGAAGCCGCCAGGCCTTGGCGTTGATGTCGACGGAAGAATGAACCAAGTCACACGTTCCCTGGAGTTGTGATTCAGCTGGTCGGAGCAAGGCTATCAATTACATTGACATAAACTGCAGCAACGGATCATCTTTCCTGATAGATGCATTGAAAGTGGAAAAGCGTCCGTCCCACGCGGCTAGCCGTAGCTTAGCCCATAATTTCAGGGTCGCTCCTCCGTCCTCCGCATCAATCAATGGTGTGGACACATGCACATCCGCTCTTCGCTTACACCCACTTGCCACCTTCACCTCCCTTTGCTTCAGACGCATTGATGATTTGTACATAGATCCACGCAAGTCTTGTCCCTTTCCCTCCGCCTGTCTCTTCGGTCGACTCGTACGCGTGCCTACTCCTTCCCCAACTGCAATCCGACATCGCAGCCCGACGATCGCTCAATCCTCCCTCACCCTCCCCAAACCACCGCAAACATGCGCGACCCTTCTCCCCCCGAACAAACTCATCGCAAAGCTCGCATCATCTCCGTCGTTGCCGCCACGGCCATTGCACTCGCCTGCGGCACCAATTATGCCTTTTCCGCATGGGAACCACAGTTCGCCGAACGGCTGCAATTGTCCGCGACCCAAGCCAATCTGATTGGCAACTTTGGCAACATTGGCATGTATGCGATGGGCATCCCGGGCGGCATAATTATCGACTCCAAAGGTCCAAGATGGGGAGTGCTGCTCGGGGTGATTGGGCTCGCAGTCGGCTACTTCCCTTTGCACAACGCATACGACCAAGGGGTCGGCAGCATGAGCGTGCCAGCGCTGTGCTTCTTCTCCCTCATGACGGGCATTGCCAGCTGCACGGCGTTCAGCGCGGCATTGAAGGTTGCCGCCATGAATTGGCCCAACCATCGGGGCACTGCTACGGGTATACCATTGAGTGCTTTTGGCCTAAGTGCCTTCTTCTGGACGACTTTGTCGGCATTCCTGTTTCCCGACGACACCTCGGGCTATCTGATGCTTCTCGCCGTAGGGGCGACGAGCCTCGTCTTGCTCGGCATGATCTTTCTCAAGACGGTGCCGATGCAGTCGCAATACGATGCCGTACCTACAAGTGAGCGACCGGGCCTGGCAAGGGCTGATAGTAATCCGATGAGGAAGAGTAGGTCACACTCCCGCAACGCCAGTGTGTCGAACGACATGGGTGAGTGATCCACACCAAATTGTAATATCTTCAGGGCCTGACTTTTCTCTAGCAGAGGAGACGTCCTCTCTTGTCTCGTCAGCTCCCGGCGATATACAAGACGGCGAAACACAGTCTCGTCACGCCAGCAAGCCCGACATCACCGGCTGGAGATTGCTCAAGACGCCGCACTTCTACAAGCTGTGGATGATGCTCGGCATTGGGTGTGGTGTAGGGCTGATGACAATCAACAACATTGGCAACAACACCCGTCAGCTGTGGCACCACTGGGATGCGGGCGCCACTCATGAGTTCATCCAAAAGGCCCAACTGACGCAGGTTGGCATTCTCTCCCTCATGTCCTTCGCCGGCCGCCTGAGTTCCGGCATTGGCAGTGATTGGCTGGTGAACCGCAACGCAAACCGCCTCTGGATGATTGTGACCTCTTCGATCATCTTCGTGCTGGCACAGACAGTCGCCATGACGCTCGAGAACCCCAATTACCTTTGGCTGCTTTCTGGCCTGACTGGCCTCGCCTATGGCCAACTGTTCGGCGTCTTCCCTGCCCTGGTCGCTGATGCGTTTGGCACCGCCGGGATGGCTATCAATTGGGGTGCAATGACCTTGGCTCCCGTAATATCTGGCAACTTCTTCAATCTCGCGTACGGCAGCATTCTCGATCAGCACTCCAGGCTCGAAAATGGGCCGGATGGGAAGCCAGAGTTGATATGCAACCTCGGCAAAGCATGCTACTCCTCCGCATACTGGATCACTTTCTTTTGTGCAATTGGAGCCATTGTGTTTTGTCTGTGGGCGATTCGGGGACAGAGAAGAGAGCGCTCGCTGGAGGAGAGGGAGAGACTGAATCGGGAGCATCAGCCGTGAACGTGACGAAGTACATTTGTTGTGCTATTCGATAGACTGGGCGCTTGGATACCCATCCTATAGCAGAGTGTGAATATAGCAATTCTGCTGATGTACGAATCTGATGTGTACAAGAAGGTCACCTGAGGAGCCGATTTCGGGCGTGCAAGTGCCGCGTTCTCTTTCCTTGCTGGGAAGACTGTGGGGAAGTTTGACGGCACTCGTTCCGCGGGCAGGGTAAAGGGCACCGAACAGCTGCAGTTGCATTGTGTGTTTTAAGTACTACTGATCAAGTCAATAACTCGTCGACGATTAAATCCGCACACTCCAGCCCGTCCGACTACCTCACACAAAGACCCACGCTCCGCCGTTTCCCATACTTCCCACGACGTGAACTTCAAGATGGGCGAGCCCTCGAACGGAGAGGCTCCGAAGGCGTCCGTACACTTCTGTGTCCTTTGACAGCGGTTGACTCGCTGACTCGTATTCACAGGATGTATACCGCGTCCTTTGCATTCTTCGAGGCGCTCTGGGATGTACGTGAAAGGCGCAAGATATATCAATCCGGTCCGCCGCTCTCTAACCAACCGGATAGGCTGGCGTAACGCATTGCTTCGTCAATCTTGGATCCGACCACCCGAGCATCATCGAGGCCATGGTGAAAGGAAAGAGAGACAAGGGAGACAAGTTTCCCAGGATCATCACGTGCCCTAACGTAAGTGTGGTTGATACGTTGCAGTTCTACGAACGTCTCACTCATTGGAATCCCGTCGTTGCAGGAAATGGTGGCGCTTTCCATGGCCGATGGCTACGCACGTGTCACGAACCGGCCCCAATGTGTCATTGTCCATGTAGACGTGGGTACGCAAGCCCTCGGCCAAGCGGTGCACAACGCATCCTGTGGCCGTGCACCTGTCTTGATTTTTGCGGGACTATCTCCTTCTACCATCGAGGGCGAGTACCGCGGCTCCCGGACGGAATATATCCACTGGATCCAGGATGTGCCAGATCAAAAGGCCATCGTGGCACAGTATTGTCGGTACACGGGAGAAATCAAGCGAGGCAAAAACGTCAAACAGATGGTCAACCGGGCGCTCAGTTTCGCCACGAGTGAGCCTCGTGGTCCGGTGTATCTGTATGGCACGAGGGAGGCCATGGAAGAAGACATTGAACCCTATGAGATCAATCAAGAGCACTGGGGCCCTGCTGAACTGGGAGCATTGACGCCGAAACAGCTCGCGAATGTTGCCCAGACCTTGGTTGATGCAGAGGGGCCTTTGCTCATCACCGGCTACTCCGGACGAAATCATGCGTGCCCGCAGGCGCTGGTCGAGCTGGCCGATACTGTCAGAGGACTAAGAGTTCTCGATACTGGGGGCTGCGACATGAGCTTTCCTGCAAATCATCCGGCATGGCTTGGCATGAGACATGGCGTCGACGAATCCATAAAAACCGCCGACGTGATTATCGTTCTGGACTGCGACGTTCCCTTTATCCTCACGCAGTGCCGACCGAAGGCCTCGGCGAAGATCATTCATATTGACGTTGATGCGCTGAAGCAGCAGATGCCAGTCCACTACATCAACGCAATGGCCAAGTACCGAGTCGATGCCGAGACTGCGATCAGACAGATCACCAGCCACATCAAGGACCAGTTCTCGTCCAAAGTTACCAGCCAAGTCTTCGACGAGCGCTGGTCGAAGCTACAGCAGACCTACCGGCAACGTCTAGAGAAGATTTCCAAAGAAGCGCAGCCTGGCGAAGATGGCATGTTTGGGACGTCGTGCTTGGTGAGCCACGTGAGGAAGGCGTGTCCGCCGGACACAATCTTCGTGGTGGAGGCCGTCACCAACGCCGTCTTCACATCCGACCAAGTGCAAGCAACTATTCCCGGTTCGTGGATCAACTGCGGGGGTGGAGGGCTTGGGTGGTCTGGTGGGGGAGCTATGGGCGTGAAGCTCGCCACCGACTTTCAACATGGAGGTGCTGGCAAAGGCAAGTTCGTGTGCCATATTGTCGGCGACGGCACGTATCTGTTCAGCGTGCCGAGTTCGGTGTACTGGATTGCGCAGAGATACAACATTCCTATCCTGACAATTGTCTTGAACAATGAAGGTGAGCGAATGGAGAGGAGCCATTGAACAACGGTATGATACTAATTTGGGGTGATCAGGTTGGAATGCGCCTCGAAAGTCCCTCGAGCTGGTGCATCCGACGGGCGAAGGGTCAAAGGTCGACAACAAGGCACTCAACATCTCCTTTGCCCCGACGCCCGACTATGCCGGCATTGCCAAAGCGGCGTCAGGAGGACAGTGCTGGGCGGCGTATGCTGATACTGTTGGCGATCTCGAGCGACTGTTGCCGCAGGCCATTGGCGCCGTTCAAGGAGGAGTTTCCGCTGTGCTGGATGCGCATCTTGGAGGTCCGCAAGGGAAGTTTGGAGGCGGCAAGGCGGCCTTGGTTGGGTAGAGATCTTCACAGTGCGGTACATCATGTCCAGCCCGTGTCATGCAGTAATGGTACGTTGAGCTTGCTGCCTGAGGCCGAGATTGTGAAACGGCAAGGCGACGCCAGGGCGGCAGATCAGGGTCCAGGGCAATGTGTGGAACGCTGAACGCCAGGCGACCGATAGGAAATGGCGATTGCCTGGCCCGCGTGCAAAACCCCCTTCGCATTCCTCAACCCTCTCTCTTCCAACCCTCCGAAGTGTTCCCCTCTCTCCGACTGTACCTCTTCCTTCCGAAGTGCACCTCTCTCTGCCCATCGTCTCATCCATCACTCTCCAAAGCATCGTCACCCGCCTCGCCCGCCATGGACAAATTCAAGGCCTTTACCTCCACCGTCTCCAGCAGCGTCACCCCATTTGCGGCACGCAGCCAGCAATGGTTCAAGGAACAAACGGGCAATGCGGAGGCTCAGACCGAGCTGCCCCACGACTACGTCGAGCTGGAGGTGCGCATCGACGCCCTGAAGGCCACGCACCAGAAGCTGCTCGCGGCCACCAGCCAATACGCCAACGAGGCCTACGACTACCCGCCCAACATGCGCGAGAGCTTCCAGGACCTGGGCAAGAGTATTGGCGAGAAGGCAAGTGAATACCATGCTACTCAACGCCAGCGTCAAGCATGCTAACCCTCGCACCCCAGGTCTCTCTTCTCTCCAAAGCTGGCAGCGCTGCTGAAGCCCAGGCTGCTATCACTGCTCAACCTTCAACAAAACCGCAGCCTAAGACCTTTGCGCACGCCATTGCCCGCGCCTCCCTTGCCGGCTCGCAAGCCATCGCTACCGCCACCCCGCAGGGCTCCAGCGTGGAGGACCCGCTCGCCCAGGGGCTCGAACGCTTCGCTATCGCACAAGAAAAGGTGGGCGAGGCCAGACTCGCCCAGGACGAGCAAATCCAGACCAAGTTCTTGTCTGGGTGGTCGACAACCCTCAATATCAATCTCAAATCAGCGGACAAGGCTCGCACCGCCGTTGCCAACGCACGTCTACAACTCGATGCCGCCAAATCGAGGGCCGCCGCTGGGGGAAGACACGAGGAGGCTTTTACAGAGGCGCAACGCAAAGCCATTGAGCAAGCAGAGGACAACTTTGTGGAGAAGGTCGACGAGGCCACGGGCATCATGAGAAATGTTCTCGACACCCCCGAACCCCTGCGGAACCTGGTTGAGCTGGCCAAAGCGCAGTCGGAGTACCATTTCCGGGCCGGCGAGATCCTCGAGGAGGTTGCTAAGGAAGTCGGTGAGATTCAGCAAAGTCAGGAGAGCGCGTATGCCAAGAGAAGGTCAGAGGTCTGATCAGTTAGAGTGCGTTTGAAAAATGGCAGATTAAGCGATGGGGTTGAGACTGGACTTAGGGAATGGAGTGGTCTGGATTGCACTTCGCGGAACGCCCCTGTAAGCAGATCGAATCGGCAGGATACTAAGTGTCACGGCAATTCAAGCGTACGACAGAAATGCAATTTGACGGGTTTCTATATCGGCAAGACCTCATGGAGACTCGTAACATTTACTGCCCATCGGTTGCATCTCATTTACTTCTTGCTCGCAGCGATCGCCTTCGATCTATCCTCGCGCACCTTCTTGACCGACGGGCGCTCCGAGACCCTCTCATTCCACGCCCAAGCCGTGGGGTACTTCTCCTTCCATTCATTGGGGAAGTCGGCGCCCATGATATGCGGCGGGCTCAGCAACAGCCAGTGCCAAGGCATGAAGGCCAGATCAGCGTAGGTCAATTTGTCGCCAACCAAATAAGGTGTGCCAGTCTTCTTCAGATGGGCGTCAATGACTCCAATTACGCGACGGATTTCGTTGCCGTAGCGGTCGAGGCATGAGTCGATCTTGTCCTGATGGTAGAGCGTGAACCAGGCCTGTCGTAGACCGATTAGCTTGTGCTCCTCATAGGGCTTCCGTCCTCACTTCGACTTACACGCTGACCGAAGTATGGGCCTAGTAGAACATAGAGTAAGCGCTGGTTTCATGGAGGAGTGAAGAGAAATAGACCAACCTTGACCCGTCTTCTGAAGCTCGAACCATGCCTTTGTGTCGTACTTCTCCGGAACCGACGTGTAGCTCAGGCTGTTGTTCTTGTCGTGACTGCCGAGAGTCAGCATCATGCCCGATGCCTCACAAAAGGGCATAACTTACGTCTCCAACAAGTAGTCAATAATGGCGCCAGATTCCCACAGCTTCAAGCCGCTTTGAGGGACTTCAATGGCCGGCACTCGGCCGTTGGGATTGATCGATTCAAACGGCTCTTTTTTCAAGTCGCCCTTGTGATGGGTCAGCACATTCACCCACAGCACTCCCGGACAGGAAGACTGACGAAATCCATCATGATGCTTTCGTAAGGAACGCCGAGTTCTTCCATGATGATGGCGACCTTCCATGGGTTGGGGCCCTAGTAGATGTGAGCGGCATGAAGGAGAGGCTGGGCATGGGGATGACATACACCGGCGTGGGAGTAGAGCTTCACTGGTTGAGTCATTGCGAGGATGGAAATAGGATCAGTAGATTAGACAAATTGTTGTTGGGATGGAAGAGGAAGGCCAGCGCGCACGCAAAGGAATTTGTTTGTCTTGCCCAAAGGCTAGTCTGGCCGTGACGTCTACCACTCGTCACACCCCATTCGCCACAGCCAACGCGGGATCGTCGCCGGCACTTTCATCAAGGTGTTTGACGCCCAAAGCTTATACCCGGATTTTTGACCAGAGTAAAGTCGAGACCATGTCTTTCACGCATGGTGCATACCCTAGCTGTCTCCCTCCACGGACGGCATGCATCCTCTCCCCAATCAACGCTTCCCCGCCTTCTTCTTCGACTGCACCACTCTGAAGTTGCCATTGGTCTCCTCCCTGCTGCTGCTGGCAGGAACTTCCTTAGTCTTCTTCGCAACCTCACTCCATCCGCCCGCCTTGTCCACGTTCGCCGTATGCGGACTCGCACTCTTCGGCGGCGCAAAAGCATCGACTAGCCCTTTGTCGGCCAATTTCTTGCGTCGGATAAACTCCTCCGCGAAATGGCGCGAGTCAATGGTGCTCGACGCGCCGTGCACAGCTTCCGTGATGATGTCGGAATCTTGCGGTAAGGCGACCAGGTTGCCAACAAAGTCATCGGCTAGTAAAGGTTAGCATTTCAGTCTGTCAAGTGAAGCTGGTGTTAAGAGAGCCACCTACCCGCAATGCCCTGATTCAAGTCCGGCCGCAATTCGCCAACCGCCCATTTCCTGAACTCTTCTTGCGCGTTCATGCTCCCAGCACTTGGAGTCGCAGAAGACTTGACCGGCGTTTTCTTGGCCAGTGGCGACGCTGCTGCTACCGGCGCCGGCACTGCACTGGGCACCACACCAGAGCTCACGGCCCTCGTAGGGTTGGCCACGGGTGCAGTGACGGGAGTTTTGGTCTTCCCTCCAGCTCCCACAGTTGTCCAAGCACCACCAGCGGACGCGGGTGCTGCGACTTTGCCGGCCAGGTTGGCGTAGCTTTTCCCGCCAACAGGACTTGCTACGCCGCCCGTGGCAGTCGCTTGGGCTGCAATGGCCGCCGCTGCCAACTTCTTCTTCCGCGTTTCCTCCTCTTTCTGAATTTGCGCCATGCTTTTCGCAGCAGCTGGTCCACTGACTTTCTGGGCGGCCTTTGCCCAGGCAGTTGCATTGCCAGCGGCGCTAGCAGATGGAGACGCCGCGGCCCAGCTCGCGGATGCCGGGAGACCGGGGGCCACAACGCTCTGCGCCTGGACTTGGGCCTCCAGTTCTCTTTGCAAGGCAGCCCGACGAGCAGCAGAAGCCAGTTCCTCGGCCTCCGCCGCTTTCTTGGCCTCCATCTCTTGGATTTCCTTCAGCGACGGTCCTCTGCTTGCTTCGTTGAGCTCTTTTGCCCACGGTGCTACCGCGCTGGGCGTGTCCGCCGACGATGTCTCCGACAGCTCACGCTGCTCCGTCTGAAGCTGATCTGCGACACTTTGTCGACCTGTGCGCTGCGCAGCCGGGGCCGGCAGTGGAGACTCAGATGGTGCGGGAGGAGGAAATGGCTGTGGAAAGCCCGACTGCGCCTGAGCGGGCGATTGCTGCACCGAGGCAGCTTTCTGCACCTGCTCGGTCAAAGACAGCTCGCGCTGCCAAGCCTGGTCTTCTCCAGTGGTCAAAGGCGAGCCCACACCGCCCTGTACCTTTGAGCCCGCACTCGGCCCTGTCGCATGTCCAAATCGACTGTCAACTTTGCCCTGGAGCTGCTGTAGTTGCTGTAGCCGTTCGTTTGTGACGGGTTGGTCCGACTGCGTCGCATCATGCCTCTCTTGCTCTTGTCGTAGTCGGGCACGATCGTCCAACATCTGCTGCACCTGGCGTTCGTGCTGCTCACTGATTTGCTGGCTGGAGTAAGGCTGTCCGGAGGCTCCGTACGATGCCTGTCCAGCTTGGCCGCTATGGGTCACGCGATCGGCGATACTGGGAATCTCTTCTTCTCGGATCTGGCTCAAATTATCACCACCCGCGCCACCCGGCCCCGAAGCAGCCCCTGGGGAGCGGAAGGAGTTATCGAAGAATCCGGGTGTCTGGCCCTGGGAGCCTTGGTTTGGACTGGACTGGTAAGCCGCAGTGTTGGGACTGGCCATGCTCCCAAAACTTGGCTGTGAATGCAGAGATTGCGCGGAAGCGTGATGTTGCAATTGACCACTTCCTGGCATCAGACCCCCGCTGTGCTGGGGATGGCTGCCATGGTGTATCTGTTGCTGTTGCTGCAACCGCTGTGCGATTTGCGCTTGGGCCAGATGCTCCTTCTGGCGGGCCATGAGGTACTGTTCCTCCTGCTTGCGACGTTCCAACGCGTTCTGCTGCTCCGCTGTGAGTGTAGTGCCAAAAGAAGGAAAGCTAGAGGCAAAAGGGGGTTGTGCACCCCCAGAGCCCGCAGCAGACCCAGCGGGGCCGGAACCCGCCCACGCATTTGGCCCGTTGTTTGACGGCTGACCATGGGGGATGCCAATTTGCGGGACCAGGAAAGGCTCGCGTGAGTTGCCAATGCGTCGAATGAGTTGAGCAAGTGGTTCGTATTCGGGATCTTCATACTTCTTGACCAACAGTTCGGGCGAGAAGAAACCCGCTTTGTACCAATCGTGCATCTCCAGACCAGACCAAGGCCCTTGGGTCTGGCCTTGAGGATCTCGATAGATCCACCGCATACGATCAGGCATGACCATTGTACGCTGTTGGGTCTGAGGGAGCTGATTTGACGCAGAGCCACCCGACGGCGCTCCGTGTCCTGGACCCTGGTGTTGGCCAGCGCCTGGTTGAGATCTTGCTGATTCCTGAGACTGCTGGGATGACTGGCCAATGGGTGGCTGAGGCTGACTCGGTTGTCCGGGGGCACCGAATTGTCCAGATGCTTGGTCGGAGCCGCGCTCTTGTTCCATCAAAGATCTCGAGGACTCCCCAGGTCCAGTGGAGCTGTCGCCCGAGCGGTCGTAATCCTGCTCGGCCTGTCGCATTTGCTCTTGCATCGCGGATGGGAACAGAGTCCCCATTCTACTGCCAGCGTAAGCACCCTGTGGTGAGAGCATCCCGCCGCCACCAAGTCCTGACAGGCCTGGGGATTGCACATCTCCGAGTCCACCAGCGAAGAAGCCACTGCCAAAGGCGCTGGAAATACCAGACGCCTGCCGAGTGGGGGTGCCTATCCCGCCGTGCCCAAGGGGCCATGCAGCCGCGCCGGACATGCTGTTGAGCGAACCAATTGGTCCCAGTCCAGGGAATGCACGATTCGGCCCAGCGCTCGACGTCTGACTGCGGTCGCCTGCAGAACCATGCGGTAGACCGGTGCGGCCCAGGTTCGGGAGGGCGCCTAGGCCGCCAAGACCCCCATAATGCTGGGCTTGCTCGCTGTTGAATCCCCCTAGGCCAGGTAGTTGGCCATTGTGGATGTCGTCAGATCCTTGGTCTTCGGTGAGCTGCTCGATCCCATGCTGATCCGGAGATTGGTAAGGGTTCGTGTCTGTGGGACTCATGGGTTCGTTGCCACCTCCCGCTTGGCGTTGTTGTGCCGGCGTCTGGTGGTAGAGGCCATGTCCAAGTCCCTGGGCATTATTCGAGGTCATACCAAAAGCACCGAACCCAAAATCCTCACGCAATTCGGATCGAGCAGGAGTTCCAAATCCGCGCAGGCCGGATGCCAATTCGGCGTTGCCCGACGGAAGATCTTCGTCGCCTTCGTCGAGTGCGGATGATGTGAGGTCTTGAGTCTGCTGCGATCTCCAAGATCCATTCTCATCCACCCGAGACAGGTTGGACATGCTCGTCTTGCGCTCGACGGGCTTGGGCGTGTCATCTTCGGTCGCGTCCTTATTCAGCACGTTCTTGAACCGACTTTCCGCCCGGCCTCCAGTGGCAAGACTGGGTCGTTTGTCGCCCGAAGTGGCTGTTTGGCCGAGGCCAAAGTTGCCAAACGACCCCATCGGCGACATGGTGGCACTCTGGGGCGTGTTGGACCACGGCGAGGAAGGGGCGCCGAACGCAGTGCTCAAAGGGTTGGTAGTGGTACGCTTCATGGATGCGAAGGGTCCCTGCGAAGACTTGTTCTGGCCCTCCGAATCCCGCTCCGATGATTTGGGCGCGTCTCGCGTGTCGGCTTTGTCGGTTCTTCGGCGCACCAAGGATGGCGGAGGCGAAGGCGCCCTCGGCTCTTCGCGATTGAAGCCAGTGCCCGACGGGGATAGTGGGTTGGCCGGGTATTGCGAGAACTCGTTCGTCTCGCGGCGACGACCGGACCCTCGCGTGGTGGACGGCGACAAAGGCCCGTACGCACCGGGAGCTGTCGCCTGGCCAGACATTGAGGCCTTTCGACCACCCTGCATGCCATTCGATTGCTGATTCTCCTTTGCAGTGTTGGGCGGTTTGAGCGGCGTATTGACAGAAGTAGTAAAGAGCTGTGCATCGTTAGTAGGTGCATAGTATTCATGTGCAATCCAACAGACTCGTACCTCGCGCTCTTCATCGTCCATTTCGCTCAGGCTGATGGGCTCAATGCTGCCGTTTGCATCCCAGCACATATCGGGGCCGGATTGGGTGTCTCGCGATTGTTCGCTCTTTCCCCAATTCGACCCCGCCGAAGCACTTGTAGCATCGGGTCTCCAGCCACCAACGTAGAGATCCGCCAGGCCATCCTTCAGCGCTCCAGGCACGTGGTGTTGTGATTTATACAAGTCGAGCAATTGATCCCTGGTATAGCGTAGGTCGGGCATGGCGCCGTTGCGATGAGGCGGGACGTATCGTGGGGGTTGGGTTGGAGTGCTGGCGTCTTGCGGCTGGGTGGAGGAGGTGGCCGATACGTGGCCTGATGGTCGACGGAAGGTCTGAGTGGCACCGTTCGGCCGGCGGGACCTGAACGTTGAGTGTCAGCAGAGTGACGATGCAAATGCGCAGATGGCAGGACACGGTGGAGGTTCATGCACGAAAGCGCCACTTTCCCCAACGCGAAAGCGGGTGCCGAGCTTCTTACGTACCATTCTGTGCTTTCCCGTGTAGCATTGGAGTTCTGTGAGGCAGCGGAGGCAAAAGTGGGCGCCATTTCGATACGAGCGTGGGAAAGACTCGACTCGAGGGGGAGGTTGGGTTGATGTGGGAAGTACTAGCGAATTCCCAGGAGAGAGGGTTGACGAGGGAGGAGGGTTGCGGGGATGGGCGTGCTTGCGATATGGAAATGTACGTTGCTGATGGGACTGTGGTGTGCTTGTCGATGCCGATGTTGTTGAAAGGGTCGAAGACACGGAAAAGCTCGAAACGGAGTGCTGCGTAGCTCGTGAGGTGAATTTTAGCGCGACTTCCCACACTTGCCGATGAGGTTAAAGGGGCGCACGGGCCTCCCGGCACGCGACTCGCCCTAAATCAGGTTCTTGTACCTTGCATGAATCGTGGAGTACAGCCTCTCGACGAGAGATATGGCAGTATGTAGAAGGCGGGATCGTGTCACTGCACGGCATGGCGCCTGTGATCACGTCAAGAGCTTCCGGCATCAATCACAAGCGTGGTCCACCTTCATCACGAGCTACTCCATCATCAGGGTATGCCATCGCGTGTCCATTGTCTCCTGCCGGCCATCTGCTGTTTGTCCAGCGTCCGCCATCCTCCTGGCCCCTCCTCCAATCCATTGCGTGCCCCGTCAGGCACCTCTCTCCATTTGAAGAGACGAGTGTACGGTGTGTCTTTCTTCTCAATGACATCAACCACGAGGTCACCGAGAACCGGCAAAAACTTGAATCCATGCCCACTCCCGCCATTGGCAACAAGCAGGTTGTCGGTGTTTGGAACATAGTCGATGATGAAGGAGTTGTCAACGCTGTCGGAGTACCAGCACAACCTCCCTCGCTCCAGCTCCAACTCGAGCAGATCGGGTAGGTTTTCTTCGCAAAACGTCTTGATCACTCGCATCGCCTCCTCCGGTATCTCACCAACGTCGGTCTTGGGGTAGGAAAGACGGTTTCCTGACGATTGACTCTGCACAGAGTAATTGGTCCACTTCGCGCCACGAAACGCAATCTTGACGACGCCTTCAGGGGTGCGCGGCAGGCCATAAAGCCCGCCGATGTCTCGTCCACGCCGCTCGTAGCCGTACATATTCCATGTCCACACGGGAAATCTCTCTGGAGAGTATCTGTCCCACAAGTCTTTTCGATCTTGAGGAAGCCGGATCGACAGCACACTGCCAGCCGTCGTCTCTACCAGCCGCTCGATCTCAGGCAGGAGACTGGGGGTCCAGCCGCCGCAAGCCAACACGACAAGATCCCCGTGATGCTCACGCCCGTCGTTGGTCACGATTCCCGTGATTGCTTGTCCATGTCGCATGAGGCGTTTCAACCCATGTGGCGCGCCCAAATGAGCCTCGACTCCTGCTTGATGACACAAGTGCAGTGCGAAAGCACAGGCTCGACTGGCCAGGACAAAGCCTCCTGTCATGTCCAGAACACCGTCTGTCGGCAACCCTTTCTCCAGTCGTCCAAATGGATCAATCTTGGCCGATGCAACCCCCTCAGCTTCGGCATCCCGCCGCCGGCCTGCGTCTGAGATGCGGTATTGAGTATGCCGGATCTCTTTGGGAAAGTTGGCCTGGGTTTCGACTTCACTCTGCTCGAGGCCACTTTGGCTTAGTCTCAGATAGCCACAATTGTTCCACAACGGCACATCAGGCGTCACCCCAGGCGGCAACTGCCCAGCTGGCGTCTTGGATAACAGCTCATTCCACCTTTGCCACTCAGGCATGGCTCGGTCCAGCGCAAGGTCTTGATACAGCTTCGCATTCCCGTACGATGCTCGCAAGATCTTGTTCTCGTCGCAACTGGCGCCGTCGCAGCCGGCGGAGTATGCGTAGCCGTTTTCATGATATGGCTGATAGTCGAACAGGTGGACCGCATAGCCTCGTTTCGACAGATGCAATGCCGTCGAGAGGCCGAAGACGCCGGCCCCGACTACCAAGACCTTCTGCTGCGCACCGTTGCGCTGTGTGTCTCTTGAAGGCATGCCGAAAGGTTGGCGTTCTGAATGTGGTGTGAGTCGACTGTGCCCAGATATCAATAATTTATTCAGAGTCCTATCCTCATGCCCACGCGTTCCCGGTTTGGTAAGCGAGCCTTTTCGTCGTAAATGGAGATGGAGCTCGATCTTTAAAATGACAAGCTTAAGTGTCATTCAGTTGATATTGCCGATCTCGGCACTGAGGATATTAAACACACAGAGTAGAGTACAGAGTATATTTTATTCTACAATGTCTATCGCCTCTTCAGATACCAGTTGAAGGTCAACCCCATCGTTTCGCCGTGGAACGGCGTGGGCACTTCAGCCAGACCCGGCCGAGCTACCGGGTGTCGCAGATAGACGGCCGAGCAAATGTTCTGATTGACCTCCAGGTACCGCGGGATGAAGGCGAACGCAGACATGAACTCCCGCGGCTTCCACGGCGTAGCATAGGGCTTCGAAGCGTCAATGGGGTTCTCTCGCGCGCGTTCGAGTGCGGCGTGGAGGAGCTCGGCGTCTCTGCGTGTGCGAGTGTCGTCAACTGCTTGCTCCTCTGTTGCTTGGTCTTGTTCGGCGGCCGCACGTGCGCTGTCCAACGCAGCCGCTTCGTCCTTTGGGAGGCTGTCCTGTGGAACCTTTGACAGTATTTCCGCCAGTCCGAGCTCGAGACCATCAATGGTCTCTTCAACCTGCTCCTCTTCAATTCCACGCAATTTGGACAGCGTTTTGCGCACCGTCCGCGAAAATTCCCGAAGCTCTTGCCGCCGCTTCCCCGATAGGTCGCGCTTGGAATCCAGTATACGGGACGCTCGCATCGACAGCAACTTCAACGCCGCCTTTGGATCTTCCTGCTCTTCTGGCTTCGCCGCCATGGCCTCCAAATCTTCGTCCAACTCTGCTGTATCCGCACCAGCCTCCGTCTCTTGCGCTTTGGCAGCTTCTTCGCGTCGGCGTTGCTCCTTCAAATCCGCCAAATCCTGTGTAGACATGGCGCCGGTCTTTTTCGCCTTCCTCGCACCAGTGGCGTACATGACCTTGTCGGGATCGACTTGGAACATGTCACCAGGATTTAGTCGGTAGCCCGGGTGTAACATTCGCTTCCCATTGACCTTGACCCCGCCGTGGACTACAAACTGCCGCGCTTGTCTTGTTGATGAAGCAAACAGAGCGCGCCATATCGCCGTGTCCAGTCTGCGCTCCAATGGATGAAAGGTCATGTGCATATATGGGGTCTTCAATCGCCGCCGGCTGTCCCTCGCGTGGACCTGATCCGCTTCCTTGTCTAAACCTCCTCCTCTTCCGAGTGCCATTTCGCTGCCATCCGTTTGCGCAAGATACTGATAGTCCATGGGCACCACGGCGGGCAGTCTTCTATCGAACATCCGCGTCCAATGCTTCTCTTTGATTTGCGGGTGATGATACCCACGAGTCATCGATTTGGCCAGCCATTTCTGCTGAAAGAAGGTCTTGGTGGCGGCGGCAGGGGTGGATAGGCGAGAGAGGTTGTAGAGATTGATCTTTGACCAGGATTGTCGGATTTTCTGTGCCACTGTTAGCCGTCTCGCAGAGTGCGCGCGAGTTCATCGATATGGAAATTACCGGCTTCTTCAAGGTATGGAACTTCAATAACGACTTGCGCGGCATTGCACCCAACACTCGTTGCTCGATGAAGAGCACAAGCCGAGTTCCTTTTCCTACTCGAACTTCGAGACGGATAGAGTGAGTTGAGCGCAGCGCTGTGGCCACAAATCGTGACGGCCAGAAGTCGTAGCGGGCAGGCTGGTGTGTTTATCTCCGTCAATGACATAAGCTCATGTCTCGTTCTACCGACTTCACGTCCACCCGTGCTCGGAGTTTGGCTCTAAAGTCCTGCGGGGTGGAGCACTTGTCCGTCGAGATATTTTAAATAAAGGGCACTTCGAAGCTCCGTTGGCTGTCTTCCACCGCCATCTTTCAAACCCTACGAAATCGCCCAACATGAGTGCTGGACTCGCACCGCCCCCCAAGTCTGTCCTTGGTCGACACCGATTGCTGGCCCCAACAGCCTCAGTGTTCGTCAGCCCGTTATGTCTCGGTGCAATGAATTTCGGAGAGGCCTGGAAGTCTTTCCTGGGCGAATGCAGCAAAGAGACCGCCTTTGAAATGCTGGACTACTTTTATGAACAAGGCGGCAACTTCATTGACACTGCCGTGAACTACCAGGCCGGGGAGTCTGAGCAATGGCTCGGGGAATGGATGCAGAAGCATGGGAGGCGAAACGAAGTCGTCCTCGCCACCAAGTACACTGGCCCGTTCAATCACGCCCTTGGAACCTCCGTCCATCAAAGCAACTACGGCGGGACGGGTTCCAAGAGCATGTACGTCAGTCTCGAGTCGAGTTTGAAGAACTTGCAGACGGACTACATTGACCTTGTACGTAGTCGTCATGGAATATCATGGACTTGGGCTAATTGCTGTCACGCAGTACTACGTGCACGTCTGGGACTTTACAACTGGTATCCCCGAGTTGATGCAATCCTTGAACCATCTCGTCCAACAACGGAAGGTATTGTACCTCGGAGTCAGTAAGTGATGCTCTTACACGTCTATTACCGACTGCATTGGACGATTCGCTCACCTATTCGTCTTGTAGGTGACACTCCCGCGTAAGTGTCTCCTTAAACCGATCGGGTCGTGAACGTACCTGTAGTTGACTTGTTCCAGTTGGGTCGTCGCTCAAGCCAACGCCTATGCGAGGCAACACGGACTGCGGCAGTTCAGCGTTTACCAGGGGCGATGGAGCGCTGCGGAACGAGATTTTGAACGAGAGGTGAGTCGTGTGACCAAGCTTGGCAAGACCAAATCATTCTCTTTTTTTTCACTTATTAACACGCTCAATCGTCTTCGCAAGATCATTCCCATGTGCAAGAGCGAGGGAATGTCTCTAGCGCCATGGGGGGCCTTGGGTGGCGGACTGTTCCGCTCTCCAGATGAAGGAGAGAAGCAAGGCGGCCGGAACATGCCATCCATTGTCACTGGTAAAGAAGGCTCGGTTTCAGTCGTGCTCGATCGTATTGCAAAGAAGAAAGGGGTCCCGATCACCAGCATAGGATTGGCCTATGTCATGCACAAAGGTATGCTGCTGTCAGCGATGTTGAGTTCCGGCCACCGCTGATTAGAACACAGCCCCATACGTCACCCCGATTGTCGGTGGTCGCAAGGTCGAACATCTCAAATCGAACATCGAGGCGCTGACCATCCAGCTGTCTCCGGAAGAGATCGATGAGATCGAGACTGGCTACGACTTCCAGCTCGGCTTCCCGCATAACTTCCTGCGCGGCGCGAACAAGGCTCCACAAGGACCCGAGGATGTCAAGTTCACTCGAAGCCGTGTTCACGCGGATTTTGTCAAAGGACCGCAGCCAATCGCGCCTCACCAAGGGCCACTGGACTCGTGAAGTAGTGCTTGCACTCATGCTGTACGGTCTATCTGCATGGGCGTAAGAGAAATCCGCATGCTCTCAACGCCTCGCTATAATGTACGTAGCATTGAACAGTGCTCTTCATGCTCAGCATAGACTGCCAAGTGTTGCAGCTCCTCCTTTCTGAGAGTGCTGGTGCGCGTCTTTTGCATCAAGAAACAGGATGCTGCACATCGGACTTGACTCCGTCCATCTCGTCGGCAGAGTCCGCCGCTGCGCCATCTCCTTCTTGATGGGATTTCATACTGCTCGCCCGACTGACTGCTTGACTTTCGAGGTCTTCTTCCCGCAACCCCAGCTTCCTCTGCACCTTGCCTGCAGTGCTTTCATTCCCTCTCCAATCCGCCGGGGCAGCCTGCTGGACTTCTTCGTCCGGCGCGGGCTCATTGATCGCAACACTAGGCATCCGGCTCGAAGGGGTCGCCTTCCATACGACCGCAATCCTATCGAAGGCCCGTGTGCCCTTGCGACTGCTGCCCTTGATGCCGTCCATCGCGTCCCACTCGATGTTGAACACTCCTGAATTTTCGGGGATGCCGTTGTTTTCCGGTCCCTGGCCTTCGAAGAACGTGTTAAACCAAACGTGAGCCACTGATGTCACCATTGTGAAGCCACCGTAGCGAGTCTTGTTGCGGCGCTCAAAGTCAATGTTGACATCGCTGGACGGTAACAGGATCCGCTCGGACGGTCGGAAGATGACATCGCTGTCGAGAGAATCATCGTCTACTTGCGACGGGACTACCGCCTCGGAGCCGTCGGCGGACTGAGCAAGTGTGGCCTCCTTCTCCGGCCGCTTTGAGCCCACGAATCCAAAGCGAGAGGCACCGCCTACTCTCTGCCTCTCGCTATTCTGAAAGGTATGGAATTTGTGGATGACCTTGCCCTCGTCGACATAACCCTCGACGGCCACCTTGACGCCGTCTCGTAGACCCCACACGTGTACTTCCGTGATCTCGACCGGCCGCTCGACGTAGACTTTGCCGCCCTTGGACCATCGATCGACATAGCTGATCCATCGCTGCTGGCTGGGTATGCTGATTCCAACTCCAAAGCCGGGACGCATGCGGCGCTCCGTAAAGCGTTGCATGGCATCTTGAGGGGTCCATCCCTCCTCGCTGATCAAGTAGGAGCAAGCCACGGTGCCACTTCTGCCCTTGCCAGCCTTGCAATGCACCACCACCACCCGATTCGCGGGAGCATCCTTCTCTTTCAGCCAGTTGCGCATGGACGCCATGATCAAGGGGATCAAGTTGAAGGGAGGCGGATGGTGATCGGGCCATGGATAGTGTCGCACTCTTCCGTACACCTCTGAATCCGGATATCCCGTGCCCTCAGCTCGAAACTCCCAGATGGCCCACTGGTCGGCATGCTTGGAGTCGAGAAACTTGACGAGCTCCTTCAGCGGATTGCGATAAGCCAACTGAGGATATGTCGCGGACGGGCCCGAGGTGGCGATGATCTTGTCGGTGACATAGCACAGGTCTAAGTTGGCTTCGGGATGGGGTGCGCGAGGTCCAGCGACTATCTGGCGGAGTATGGAAGCCATGCTATACCCACTGGCGGAGTTGTAGAATTATTAACAGTCTGCCGTGTTCTTCATGTTTGCAGGCGAGGACGAGGGAAGAGAGAAGTAAGAAAGGGGGAGTAAGAGGAGGTTGAGGAAACAAAAGTCACGAAAGCGAATAGACAATGACGTAGACACGCGACTGAGGTGGATTTCAGGTTCCGCTGCCAGCCTTGCGGCCACCTCCAAACTTGGTCGTACATGGACATCCGACGGTATCTAAACATTGATGCGGCAGAAGCTGTATTTTGTCGAACTGGTAATCACTGAACATTGGTCTAAACTATCAGGGCCTTTTGAACGATTCACAGCAATCACAGCCTGGCCATAGACGACATAGGAGCTGATCATCGTCTTACGCTAGACCGACAGTCTCTCACAATGTTCCTGGGAACTTCTTGTGTTTGTTCTTCTCCCACCACACGTCTTCATGCGCCGCAATAATCTCTACTTGGTCCCCAGCGGCCTTTCCAAACTCCCTTAGCCGCCGGATGGACTCAGCAGCGGCTTCCTTGTCCAGATGAATGCAAACCATGTGCCCACCCGGGCCTTCAAATGTCCCAATTTCCTTCTCGCCCGTGAGGAGTCTTCGATCGTGAAAGGCATCGCCGCACAGACAGATCCACTTCTCCCTCGTCCTGCACAATAGATTGACATGTCCGGGCAGGTGGCCGGGAGTGTCAACGACATACACTGAGCCATCCTCGAAGAGGTCTAGCACGGCTGGAAATGGGCCTAAAGGTTTCCATTTCCCTCCCGTGGGATCTGACAACTCACCCGACCGGTCATGTGGAAGGGTGTCCGGGTCGAAATGTTGATGAGAAGCGATCCCACCGAGCCCATTCTTCAGCACGTGCATGGCTCCGTGACCGATCAGGAAGCGAGCATTCTCAAAGTCTTCCGGGTCACCGTGATGGTCGTAATGCACATGGCTGAGCAAGACCAGGTTGATCTCTGAAGGGTCCAGGCCTCCATTCGTCAGCTCGGCGGCGACTCCCGGGGCGAGATCGTATGGTGCTCGGCCCTCGAGATGCTTCTGGAGGACTTCGGGATAGCGTGCTTTGGCCTTGCGCAGACCTAGATCAAACATGAGATGGAATGGCTTGGACGAGTGTGCTCCGAAGAGGGATGTGCCGGGGTGCTTGATCAAAAAGGTGAGAGAAGGTACGGTTCTTTTGGCCCCCGGCTCGGCGGGATGTACAAAGAAGTGGTCGGAGAGGGTGATGAAGCCTCCTGGTATGGGAGAGACTTCGACATAGTTCTGATTGGACGTTGCGGCAGGTAGAGGAGACTGAGAATGAGAATGGCCCGTCATTTTGTCGGCGACATTTCCCCACAACAAAGAGAGGTGAGTGTCCGTCTTTCAGTGCACTCGACATCCTTCCTAACTCGGACCGCGGCTTCGCTGCCCCTCTTTGGTGGCCCCTCGACGCCCCACTATGATGAGAGCATGTGCCTTCGTCAGCGACTCGAGCTCTCGCGCCCGCACCAAAGGGCACGCGCCACACTGACGGAGCATGACGGAGTAAGTGAAGTACTCTTGTAGAAGCAATCCGCTCTCTTCCATCACTCCTACCCAGCCGCCTTTTCTCTCCTTCCGCAGCACCCCGCCTTTTGCTCCACTCAGCACACTCGCAGTCCACCATGGCCGACCGAGACTACAAATCCGACCGAGACTCAAAGCAGTCCACCTTCGTGACCGAGTACTCAGAGGAGGAAGTCAAGAAAGCTCACGACGTGCTGTACAATGAAGGTCTGCGCATGCGGATCAAAGTGAATGGGGAATCGTATGTGCGCAAGGCGTTGGAGAAGAGCCATGACCCCTTCAGCAGGCCAATGCAAGAGGTGCGTAGTTGCATGATGAGTATTGGTGGTGGAATGGATGCACTGACACTAGTAATACAGTACGTGGCCGAAGCCTGCTGGGGCTGGGTATGGTCTCGACCAGGCCTCGAGCTCAAGACTCGCTCGTTCCTCAACATCGCCATGCTCTGCTGCCAGAACCGCGGCACGGAGCTGGCAACACACGTGAAGGGTGCACTGACGAACGGGGCGACGGAGGAGGAGGTGCGCGAGGTCATCCTGCAGGCCACGGCGTATTGCGGGATGCCGGCGGGCATCGAGGGATTCCGCGTGGCGGGCAAAGCGGTCAGTGAATGGAAAGAGGAGCAGCATCGACATGGACATCATGTCGATGGCCATGCCGACATTGGCATGGAGATGCGGACGCAGGAGCACGACGTGTAAGCAGCGCGGGCACACAGAATGTCGCGGATGGGGCGGATGGAGCTTCATGCGGTGCGTGGGTTAATGCGGGTTCGTTACGGCCATCATCAATCACGCTCTTTTGCTTGCGGCAACCGGCCTCTACGCTACATTTTCCTCGTCGGTCGTCGGTACAAGACGTCTACGTACTGAAGAGTGTTTGATGGCGGATGCTCATAAGGTTGGATGCGCTGCATACGTGGGCAGGTGTTTGAAGTGTGGTATGACCAGCATCATATTAGATGAAGTATTGGATCATTCCAATCACTATATTGATGCCCACGTCGAGGTAGACGCACCGGTCATATCGAGCCCACGTGAAACGACAATTGGTCGGTACCTGAACGTGCAATCGACGTCAAAAATGGGTCTGTGCTTCCTGCGAATTGATGAATCCTCAATCATCCATCCACCTTCACCCATCGCCATCGTCCTCCATGCCTCTACTCTCATTTCCTCACCACCATGGAGCGACACATTTCCCAAGCATCTCGTAAATAACACGCACATCCACTGCCATGCGCCTCTTCCTCCTCCCCATCTCCACTCGAAGAGCGCTCATCTACTGCGAACGCGTGCAGCAGCAGCTCTCCCCCGGCCAGAGCGCGCCCATCCTCGACCGTGTCATCAACAAGGCTTCCGAGACGTGGATACAATGGGAGCGCAAAGAGAAGGGGTGGCAGAAGAAATTGACCGACTACGGGAATCAGCTGTTCAAGAGAATCCCCTACGAAGAATGGGGCCTCAAGAGTCTCCCTCCTGCCACCAAGCGCCGGCTGGAGGAGATTGACAGTGGCAAGCTACAGTTTGAATGCTTATATCCCAATGCCTTCCTGAAGGGCTCCAAGGTGCTAGAGGTGATCAAGACGCTGGCCGTGGAGAGACAAGCCCTGCACCGGAAGAAGATGTGGCAGTCGATTGCGTGGATGCCCATCACCATTCCGTTTGCCATTGTACCAGTGTAAGGTCGGCCGTCAGTTGAGCGTCTATATGGAGCCTTCCTGAGCTAATCCGCCTCTACAGTATTCCCAACATCCCTTTCTTCTACTGCTGTTTCCGCGCGTATTCCCACTATCGTGCACTGTACGGAGGGAAGTTGTTGGAACATCTCACGTCCAAGGATCTCGTGCGCGTCGCAGCATCACCTCAGATGAACGAAATGTACACCGCAGGACTCTTACATCCGACGCGAAAGGCTTCACGAGAAGCGCGGCGGCCGACGGAGACGGAGACGGAGCAGGTGGCTAGAGTGATCGAGGCGCAGACCAACAACGATCAAGAGGATGTCATGGTGTTGCAGCGTTGGAATGGCAAGTTGATTGCTGAGGCCTTCCACCTGCCCGAGATGGAGGTCGAAATCGAACGGGCCGTGGAGCAGGTGGAAAAGGCCATTGAGAAGGAGAAGACGGAGCTCGACGACGAGAAGCAGGAGATCATGAAGGCCACGGAGCGGAAGAGGGATATGAAGAACCCCGAGGCCCGGTGACGACATGCACACAGCATATGACGCGGAATGAAAGGGCGAAGCATCGTGCGGCATTGGGAAAGCCAGAGATTGGTGTAGAAGTGTACGACTATGCTCTTGGGCTTCCTTCTAATCGCTGAGTCCATAAGCTCATTGTCGGGCTCCATCTAGATGTATGTGTCGAGTGAATCAGCTCGTGCGGCGAGCGCTCTGCATTGTCGTTTGCACACAAGTCTCCGCGGGATCTATCGAGCGGTGAAGCCGCCGTCCACGGGCAATGCCACGCCAGTCACCCATCGGGCATCCTCGCTCGCCAGAAAGACGCATGCTCGCGCCAGATCCTCCGGCTCGCCGAGTCTTTCGCCGAAGCCATGCTGGCCGATCAGCGTCTTCACCATCTCCGGGTCGGAAAAGGTCTTCTCCGTCATGCCCGTGGTCGTATAGCCGGGACATATACAATTCACATGGATCCTGTGGGGGCCGCAAGCCAGCGCGGCGGAGCGTGTCAGGCCGACGACGGCATGTTTCGACGCGGTATACGCGGGAGCGCGTGGATTAGATACCAGGCCGAGGATGGAGGCGGTGTTGATGACCCAGCCGCGATCACCGCTGGCGTGAGGGGATTGCTTGAGCATCTGCGCCGTCGCGTATTTGGTGCCGAGGAAGACGCCGCGGGCATTGATGAGGTGCGTGGCATCCCAGGTCTCAACATCGCAGTCCCAGATGTAGGTGTTGAGCCTCCCTTCGATCCCGACGCCGGCATTGTTCACCATCACGTCGAGCCGGCCACCCCATGCTACGGCGCGTTGAACGAGCGCTTCGACTTGCTCCGGATGCGCGACATTACACTCCACGAAGATTGCCTGGCCGCCCGAGCTGGCGATGCGGTTGTGCGTGAAGCTGGCCGACTCCACTCCCGGCGAGCCTTCACGGATGTCGGCACACACTACCTTTGCGCCTTCAGTGTGATACGCGAGAGCGATTGCCTGGCCGATGCCCGACGATGCGCCGGTGACGACGGCGATTTTGTCCTGAAGTCGCCCGGACATGGTTTGCGATTGACAAAGGAAACGATGGTCAGACAGTTTTGACTACAGGAACTACAACGGTGCAGAACAGTTTTAAGCACAGGGTCTGGTTGCCTGGTCCTCGTCCACGGAATACGGCATCGGAGATGGAACTCCGTTAACCAAAGCCCTCTCTCGGTCAACGGAAAGAAACAAGCAAGAAGGATGCAATCATCTCTCACCTCGCCAATCGACAGTCAACCCCCAGCAGCTTGGCAGAGCAGGGAGGGGAAAATGGCGCATTGGTGGAGTCGACATATGACATCGTGCTTGGCGTCGCCGTTATCGAATCGAATCCCGCGAACGCGCTCAGGGGACGGAGGAATTAGGTGATGGTAATGAAAGTCGCGCACCAACATGCAGCTAAGCAGTCGCGAAATTGGCAATGGCCTGTAGCACACTCCGGCCAACGCGCTGTCTTTTATCTCTTCCTACTGCTCTTATCGAATCGCAACTTAACACCCATTCCTCGCCAACACGGTGTGATCGGTTGAAGTTGCGGGGCCAAGCTCTGAGCATTCGCCCAAGGCTGATCTGCGCCTCCCATTTCCTCCGGCTCTCTTTCCTCCTCCCTTCCCCCCCGCTCTCTACTTCTCTCGAGGGTGAAGTGGACGTGGAATCTCCCCCAGCTGCTCTGCTTTCTCCCCGCCTAACCACCCCCCCTTGAATGGAACTGAGCCCACTGGCGAGAGATCAAGCTGTCGATGCGCCACCAGCCTTAGATCCCCCGTCGCCGGCACCTGCCGGCGCTGAGAGCTTACGCTCCAACTCCCGCTCCCCCACCCTCATCAACGAACTCGACTTTGCAGTCGATTACCATGGACGGCCGTCGGCCGAGCGAGGCTTCGGGCAAAGGGCTGCCAGCTACATCAAGCATGCCTGCGCCCTGATCTGCTCCGAGCGTGTCAATGTCCTGCTACTCTTCGTCCCCGTCGGCCTGGCCGTCGGATATCTGGATGTCGATCCCATCCTCAACTTCATCTTGAGTGCCCTCTCCATCATCCCGCTCGCCATCGTGATCAGCTCTGCGACCGAAGTGCTCGCAAGCCGCTTGGGCGACACGGCTGGAGCTCTGCTGAATGTAACTTTTGGAAATGCCGCCGAATTGATCATCTTCTTTGTCGCCTTGGCCAAGAACCAGATCCGCATTGTCCAGGCTTCCTTGCTCGGATCGGTACTGACCAATTTGTTGGTGGTGTTGGGAACGGCGCTGCTTCTCGGTGGCCTTCGCTTCGAAGACAAGCTACGAGATAGGCCGGCCGCGCGAACTGGTATTGCCTTGCTTACTCTCGGCCTTCTGCTTTCCATCTTCCCGGTGAGATGCGTCCCGTGTGCGTGCATTATCGGGTGCCGCTGATCTAATCCTTTCCGCAGATTGTCATTTGGACGGCAACGAATCACCAGTCTTCTGCCACCAAAGTCACCCACACAGTGCTGAGCATCAGTCGCGGCTTGAGTTTTGGTCTGATCTTCATCTACCTGCTCTACTTGACCTTCCAACTGAAGAGTAAGGCGGCGGGACAAAATGAACACGACACCAGCGCAATCATGCATGACTGTGAGGCAATGCCTCGGGCTGAGGTACCTCGTCGGCAACGACTTCACAACCTGCAATCCAGCATGAATCGCTCAAGGTGGCTCCAATGGGTTGCAGCTATCCATTCGCGCGATCATCGCGGATCGTACACCACCGCGCCGCAAGCAGATGAAGCAGCAATCCCTTTGCCTCCGTGGACGGGCAAGCCTCATCAGCCGTACTCAAGCGACCACGCACATCAATGGAGTACGCCAGATCTTGAAGGCGGGCCAAAGGCCGGGGAGCATAACTTCCGGCAAGATCATCACTACCTGGCCCGTCGAGACTCGCAAATGTCGGACGCCAGCTCCACTGTTGCCGGAGATGAGGCTGTCATCTCAGCCGTGGCACAGGCAGCACGCTTGCCACCCTCACCACCGTCAACTCGCTCAGCTTCTCCCGTGAGCGAATCGACCGATACAAGTCACCATTACTTATTACCCGTGGCCTCACAAGCGGGTCCACCGTCACCGAATCCACGCCATGGAGTGCATCTTTTCTTCCGCCGCAGAGACACCTTGAAGGATCTGCGTCAATATCGCAAAGCACAAAGCGATCAATCCAGCACCCCCACAGCCGTGGCTTTGGGTATTCTCATCGTTGCCACGGGACTCGCGTCGCTGTGCAGTGAGCTTGCGGTTGACGCGATCCCGTTCATTGTCGAGTCCTGGGGAGTGAGCCACATTTTCCTGGGCTTCATCATCCTGCCCGTCGTTGGCAATGCAGCGGAACACGTCACCGCGGCGAAACTGGCGATGCATAATAAGATAGTCCTGGCGAAAAGCGTTGCCGTTGAATCCAGCACTCAGGTACTGGTCTTGATTGCTCCTTTGATGGTTCTGCTCGGCTGGGCGAGGAACCGCGACATGAGTCTGCAATTCGATGCTTTCGAGATTGCGAGCGTCCTGGTTGCTTCTGCCCTCGCGAGTATTGTGGTGAGCCGGGGCAAGGGCGGGTGGAAGCAAGGCGTTGTCTTGCTGGGGAGCTTTGGTGTCTTTGCGCTCGGCGCCGTCTTCTACCCAATCCCTTCCGAGTTGCATGGGAGACACGCCGATGCAGTGTCGAGGTCATTGAAAGATTTGGGGTATAGCTAACACTTCAGTGCGCACAAGTGGTTCATTAGTCTGTAAGACATTATACATAAATCGTCGAACACGTGCGCGACGGTGTCGGCATCGCGTGTCTCGCAATCTCCTCCAATCTCGCAATCTCCTCTTCCTTGATAGTGCCGGTTCACGGTGAGCATAATTAACCATCGCAGACAGTCTCCTCCTTCAAAGGCACCACGATAGGATCGTTGAGACGAGGCCGCCTTAGTTCTACGGCGCATCGGAAGGGCTCTTCGCGCGCAGCTCACTGAGGCAGCTATGCTTGATTGCCTGGCGTCTCGAGGCGGGCTTGCAACGCTCGTCAAAATGATAGTCACACTTCGTGCGATCTCGTGATGCCCTTCACGTCAGTCAAATCCACCATATTGGAAGGGCATCAATACGGCTGGCAGCAAATCCTGGCCGCACGTCGAGAGCCTTGGATGCGCAAGTCGGGACGCAGATGCTGCTCATCTGTAGTTCTGCACCGGTGGATCAGACGTAGTCCTTCCAACAAGGAGGCTTGACTCCATACCTCGACGATAACACTTTGGCAAGGCCATTCATTGGTGCTGAGATGGTTGCCATCCCACCTTGCTCTCTTCGTCCTTTTGGCTGTACTGATGACTGTAGCGGCGCGGGGGAAAATATCGACGATAGTTGAACAGATCGGCAATGTCCTGCCGGTTGCGGTGTCGCACTTCACGCATATACTGCATTTGAGAGTCGCTGAAGTTCTGGACCAACCCCTCGGTATGAAGGAGCAGGCGGGCGAAAGACCATATCATCAGCATGACGGCCACCGCGCCCAGGATGGCGAGCAATGGAATGACCGCATATGGCACGGCAGTCTGCTGGCCTACAAATCGAGTGACTTAGCATGGCATTCGACGACGCGCGCATCAACTGTAGACTCACCATCCTGCTGATTGACAGAGCCGGCCATGCTGGGAGAGACCGTTTTCTTCGACAACGGGATCGATTGAGTGGCGACGAACCGATTACACCGGCCGACACACCTCTTTCGTCAAAATCGACGAGTTAGAAGAGGGCGATATGGAGAGAAGCGAAAGAGGAAGGAAGGGGGAGTGTGTTGGCGCATTCAATGTTCCCAAGAGGAAAAGGCATGCCGCGTGCATGCTGCATCTAAAAGAAAAAAGAGCTATGGCGGGAGGGTGCCTGAACTCGAGTCGTCGGAGAGGATTGAGTGAGCAGGCCACGCCATCCACCGTCCACTCCTTCCCTTTTTCGGCGACGACGGCGTACCCCAGGGAGGCGACATATCTTTTTTCGGCAGCACCCTGACCCCAACCCCGAGCTCACCGCGCCTGAAGGAGGGCTTTGCCGCGCTGCGAGTGGCTGCTCTCGCTGACCGACCCCACCCTCGCTCCTCGCTCTCGGCGACGACAGCAGACTTTGAGAGAGGTGCATTGCCCCTCCTCCCCGTGGAGCTTGTCATTCGCCAGTCCAGCACACCACCCCATCAGCATGCTTGCGGACTGCTTGTGCCGGGGCGCGGTGCTCTTCGCTGACGAGAGCATGTACAGCGGGCAGCGGGCAGCGGGGACCGAGGTATCTATGCAGTCTTGCGGCCGCCTGCTCAAAGCGGATATGGGCCACCGGAGTCTTGCACTCGGCGAGCAATCGGATCGGTTCGGAGAGTGCGCCGTCTCACTTCCAAACTCTACAACACAGACACATCGGAATTTCGGGTGTGTCGCCACCGCATCCGTAGCTGCCGGGTCCACGCCATATACAGGTTGTGGCATTAGTACAGCTGCCTCTATCGTCAAGATGGTAGCCAGAAATACCATCCATGATCATCTAAAGCTTCGGCTCCGGCCATTCGCCCTCCGTCACAACAGTCATGATGCCCGTCCTCACGCTCCCGGTCACCCTAAAACGTGTTAACACGATACCACCATGAGGAGGAATGGTCAGGTGCAAGTCACTTTTTCAACTCCGCATGAGCCGGACATTCTTTGTCGTAGAAGTCGTGATCTTCCTTGCTTCGAAAGACGGACTGCGAGGAGATGGTGAAGCCTTCACTCAGCGGCGAGCTGGTGTTGGTGATGCGTCGCGCAACGTTGGAGACGATGTAAGGCTTGCCGTCCTTTGACCGGCCCTCTTAGCAACGAATGGCTTGGCAAATGGCACTACCTACTTTCACCGCCGTCTTCCTCAGCACCTCATACTGCTTCAAAACCAAATCAATATTCTTCTCCGGGATCTTGAAGAGCGTCGTCCGCTTGACATAACCGCTCGACATGGTGGAATACAATCGTGCTGACGCTAGCTTGGGCACCGACGACTTGAGATGCATTGAAGTGAAAGCAGGCTTTGTCGAGATAAGAAAGGGCAAACTATGTCATTTGTTCCTTGATACATTGTGATAGTTTGAGGGATCCGCAGCGATGCCAAGCTTTGGAGCCAAGTGTTCGACAACCTTTTTTTTAGTGACGACGGCGCTGCAGATCATGCGGTCGTGGGGACGACATCCAGCATCTCGTTCCGCTCTGCCCGCAGAAATTGACAAAACATCCAAACGCCTCTTCCGTGGATGCAGAGCCACCTATCTCCTCTGCTTGGCAGTCTCGGCCGAATGTGCACGCTGGTTGACTTACCCGTATGCAGATCGCCCAAACCACGCAAGCGAGTGCTCCCTCACCAGTTTCAATGCTTTCATCCTGGAGCGAAGTGAAGTGTTTACTGCAACGCCACTGACAGATTCACCGCGCCCTGGCCATGCTGGCAAGACCGCCGTGCTCCCCCTGGCCCAGGTGCGCGCCGTGGAGTGCCATTGTCTATGCTCGTCCAGCGGCTACATGTACGCCTTGCGGTTGTGTCACTTGGTGCCCGGTTGTGTCACTGCTTGCTGCCGGTATCGCTCATATCCGGTCTTGCCTGACCGCTACGCGAACAGCCAATCAGCATCCACCCAAAGCGCATGACACAGCCGAATGACGCGCCAGGGCAAGCAAGGCTGGCCCCATTTGCTCCATATTCTATCCCAGACTTCCTTCTGCTATTTCCTTCTTTGAGCGGATCTTCACCACAGACTCGCCGGGATGATGTTTGATTGGTCACCAGCGTCCATGCTTGCATGCATCCGGTGGTATGCTACTTTTATGCACAACCCAACTGCCGTCGATACTCGTTGCACCGCGGCCGAGTATTGCTTTCTATCGCACGAACTCAAACCGTGATCCGATCAGGTCAAAGTGCCGTGCAGGCGGTGCTGGATCACTAGGTTGCACGATACGTCACAACGGATGCTCGGCCCCCAGTGAGGATCTTATATATGGACCAAGTCACCGCCATCTTCCCTCATTCACTTTCACATCCCAAGTACACGCACAATTTCCAAGATGCTCTCGCACCTTAGTCTTCTCGTTTTCGCTGCTTATCCATTGCTGACTGCTGGCTTGCCAGCCTCGGCAACAACAACGGCCACCGTTGCACCACCCTCGAAATGTGCAGCATTGATGGATGGGAAACTGCCCACCTTCACCCCCTCGAGCTTCCACTTCTCGGGAACCGTGAGACAATACTACATCTCTGCAGAGGAAGTCGAATGGGACTATGCCCCGACGGGATGGGACAATTGGCTCGGGGTGAGTGTCCCATGTTGAACGTGCTCGAGTCTACTCTGACCGCGATACAGGTCCCGATGAAAGACTCGCCCCGCGCAAAACAAGCGAACTACATCCACTGGGGCACCAAGTGGCTCAAAGCCCTCTATCGCGAGTATACGGATAGTAGCTTCAGTGCGTACGCGCCGCAGCCGCCATGGCAAGGCGCGCAAGGACCTAGCATTCGATCCGAGGTCGGTGACATGGTCGAGATCATGTTCTTCAACAAGCTCACAAAGAACTACGCGACGATGCATTCGATGGGTCTCTCATACACCAAATTCTACGAAGGCTCCGACTACCCCAACAACACGGCGCCAGGCGTCAATGTCACCCTCCCAGTGACCGAAGCCGTGAGCCCACAAGATGGAGGCGTGGAGCCCGGGGACTGCGTGGTGTACAAGTGGTTGGTCGACGAATCTGCCCTTCCAGACGCTGGCACGTCGGCTCAGGTACGTCAGACACGTCTCGACGAGAGTGACTACGCGTCTCACGAAGCGAATGCAGGTTCACAGCTACCATTCATACGTGTCACTGCTGGAAGACGTCAACGCGGGCTTGATTGGCCCGCACTTTGTCTACGCTCCAGGCAAGCTCAACACCACCGTTGCGAACAGCCGCGAATTTCCCCTGCTCTACATGACATATGCCGAGGGCCAATCCTGGCTCTCGGGAGAAAATTTGGCCAAGTTGAACGGAACCATGCCCATGTCCAGCAGCGACGTGCTAGACAAGGACATGCCAGCGGGTAACACGACTGTGTGGAAGCCGCAAAACGTCAATATCGAGGGCGCTGGCCAGTTCATGGGCGCGCCGACGTTCTATGCAATGAACGGGTAGTGAGTGAAGATACCACTGAAGCGTGTTGAACTACTTCAGCTGACCCATCTCCCAGTGTCTTCGGCAACAACCCAACATTCGAGATGTGCTTGGACGATCCGGTCATCTGGGTGAGTTTCACCAAAGCCTCGTCCGGCCTTTTTTCTCCACAACGTACACGCTGACCCTGAGATCCACAGTACGTCAATGCGTATGGGTCGGCGTCGCACGTGTTCCATATGCATGGCAACAATTTCCAGTACGAAGGCAACTACGACTACGCCGAAAGTCTCAATGATGGGGTTGGAAAGGCGCTGTTCATGAACGCTAGTAGTGAGTCAAGACGGAAGGACGACGATGGAAATGGGTGTGCGTGCTAACTCAAGTCCGCAGATCCCGGCAAGTGGCAAGTGATCTGGTAGGTGCCCGCCAGCCCTGTCAGACAACACGAACTCGTTTACTAATCTCATCTCGTCGTAGCCATGTCTCGGATCACCACGATTCGGGGATGGAGTTGTACTACCAAGTCTACCAGACAGGTTGTCCTCTAACGGCGCTCGGCGATTGAAGAACTAAGATCGAAAGATCAGAAGATCGACGACCATCCATTCCGGTCGATCTGCGCCGGTGCACGCTGCTTTTATAATTAATGCAAAGACCTCCTTAGCTTCACGCGATTATCCAATCCTTGACCCACAGCTCGTCAACCATCTCGCGTCTGAATTCTAAGGTTGACGGTAGTTCCACACAATGCATGGGATGGCCCGCCGTCGGTCTATTGTGTATCCACGACATCCTCACTGGCTGTCGGACAACCACGCACGCACGCCCTGTATATATCAAATGCAGCCGAGTGTGCGCCGATCCGCAGCCTTTCGGGTGTGTTGCCTGACGCCGATTAGCAAGCGTTGTAGTCGCCGCCGATCATCCCCAATTCCTACCGTTTGAGGGTACACTAAGAAAGAGGCGACAGCACAACTACGCTATTACCAATGACAGGCTATAGCAACGTCGTACTCAGTGAAAACCTTGAATTTCGACATCTCGCATATGCAGGGGACATCACGGGTGGAAGGTATTTAATCATCTCAACCCGACGTCCGATATGGATCGTCATATCTTGGGCGTGTGTGCCGCAGACTGTCTTGCTCAATACCTGTTGATCTCTTCACCCTGACCGGGCGTGTTCTACCAATCGACGAACCGACCATGGCTTCTTCAAAGGACGAGAAAGAGGCGGCCATGTCCACCATCTCCGAGTCGGACGGCGGAGACTACGACACTTCCGACGCCAAGGAGATGCGGATGATGGGAAAGAAGCAGCAGCTTCGACGCAACTTCGAATACTGGAGCATCCTCGCCTTCTCTTGCTGCACAATGATAACTTGGTCGGGCCAGCTCATAACCTTCACCACAGGCCTTGAGAACGGCGGGCCTCAAGGCTTGGTCATCAGCATGCTTGTCATCTGGTCCGCCATGGCAGCCATTGTTGCCAGCCTTGCGGAGCTCATGAGCATGTGGCCGACAAACGCTGGACAGTTTTTCTGGTGCTACAACCTCTCGCCACCGAAGCTGGCGCCGTTCCTTTCCTATCTCTGCGGATGGCTGACGGCCTTGGCCTGGCAGGCCGCGACGGCTTCGGCATGCTTCTTGGGTGGAACGTATATCCAAGGCCTGATTGTCCTGAACAATCCCAGCTACGTACCGAAGCCATGGCAAGCAGTGCTGCTCACTTATGCCATCCTCTTCTTTGCTCTGATTGCCAACACTCTCTTGGCAAGATGGCTTCACGCAGTGGAGTGGTTTGTCTTCTTCATATACGTCAGCGGATTCGTGGTTGTGTTGATCACCGTTACTGTGGGTATTTGAACGCTTTGCGTTTGCATTCAGGGTAGCTGATATGACGCTTTTCAGGTCCTGTCACCGCATAAATCCTCGGCCCACGACGTCTTTCAGGTCTTCTTTAACGAGGGCGGTTGGAGCTCCGATGGGCTATCATGGTGGGTTGGACTGCAAGGCATCGTGTTCGCGTGGCTCGGAGCAGACGGTGCGATCCATATGGCCGAGGAGTGCCGCAATGCGTCCAAAGTCCTCCCTCGCTCGCTCATACGAAGTGTGGGCATCAACGGCACTTTGAGCTTCGCCATGCTCCTCGCCATCCTCTTCTGTGGAGGAGACCTGCTGGCTGCACTCAAATCTCCGACGGGCTACCCAATACAAGAGATCCTCACATACGCCACCGGCTCCACAGCTGGAGGCACGGGGCTGGCCATCATCCTCCTTTTGACCGTCATCTTCGCGGTGATCGGCAATGCGGCGGCGGCGAGTCGGCAGCTCTGGGCATTTGCTCGCGATCGCGGCCTTCCGGGCAGCAGCTGGCTGAGCTTCGTGCACGAGCGCACGAAGCTGCCCCTGTCGTCGATCCTCGTGACGGCGCTGTTCACAATGCTGTTGAACTTGATCCAGCTTGGCAGCGATGTGGCGCTCAATGCCTTGCTGTCCTTGAACAATGCGGCCTACATGTCATCATACATGCTGCCAATCGGGCTCGTGCTCTATCGGCGCGTACAAGCCATTCGCGGCAAGGGCAAAGAGCTGCCATGGGGCCCGTGGAGATTGGGCAAGTGGACGGGCATCGTGATCAACGCCTACGCGCTGATGTGCGCTGTTATGATCGTCATATCCTCGTTCTTCCCACCAGCTGTATCGCCCAATGCGACCTCCATGAACTGGTCTTCGGCGGTTTTTAGCGGCATTCTTGCCTTTGCTCTTGTGTTTTGGATGGTGGATGGAAAGAACAGGTTTCACGGGCCGGTCAGAAATGCCGCTACAGGGGCCGTGGCTGTTGGGCCAGTAGAGCCAGTGATGGGGTGGCTGAAAGCATGAAGATGCGATCCTCGATCTACCTCCAATAGTAATGTGCGAAACATATTTCCGTAGCTTCACGGCCAGGTATCTGGGATGAGAAGGGAGTGGAATCTACTGCAAAGTCTCCGACTGCTCCCTTCACTTCGGAATGGACGGGACCGATGAGTCTAAGGTGGACGCGCAACGATGAGAGTAGACAGAAACTTCTGGTAATGACAGACAGACAGCAAACTACCCTAATTCGACACATTTTGACCCGTCACTTGTGTGAGACAACATACACCAGGGATGCATCGAATCCGCGCGAAGCGGAGTACGACGAGCTCTCTCCCACTAGCCTGCTGGGTTCCTGCAGCCAAACGAGGTGACCGCGGTGACCTTGTAGAACGCTACCATGCCCGAGATCGATGCCCAGAGTCCGAGGACAGCAGTTGCAGCGGCTGCAAGGAAGTACAGGCTGTCCCAGGTGTTCATCAGCCATCGCTTTTTGAAACCACGCCACAATCTCATCGGGCCATTGTCGTGGCGGATGGTCTGGCCAGTGCGAGGATCGTAGCTCTCCCCGGGCAAGGCAGAGTCGGCTTGGCAGTTGTACGCGACCATGAGGAGCGGAGGGAATCTAGAGTAGATATTAGCAATCGGGCTGTCATGAATGAACACTGATGGGACGCACGTGTAACTGAACTGCTGAATGGTTAGGGCCCCTTCAAAAGCGGTGAGATTGCTGATCTGCGGCACGGCGGCGGCAAGAATGAAGGCGAGGCCCCAGTAGATTGGTACTTGTTAATAAAGGTCAATCAGCCCATATCCTCATGTGATTTGTGACAGGATAACCGAAGCTTACCCATGACGACCCACGTCCATTTGCCCTTCTTATTGTCCAAGGGAGGGAAGGAGAAAACGTCCTGCAGGACGCTGGTGTAGAACACCTTCATGCCGATGTTGCCGTACAGAAGAGCAGCGATAACAGACACAATGAAATAGAGGGCATTGCCTAACGTCTGCAAGGTGTACCCTGCGTTGGAAATGCCTAGTGGATCGTGTCAGCGAAGTACGACTGTCAGCTGAGTCCGTTCGTATTGTTACCTTGAAAGGTCGGGTTGTACGTGAATTGTCCTGATACAACGAGTCAGACAAAATGGACATCATTCAACGTAGAAAGGCAAATTTACCCTGCTGGCTGTAGACGATCAGGCCAAAGACCATGTATACGCTCGTGATGAAGACCTGCGGACGTGTTAGCATCTCTGGACATATTATCGCCTGGTCGGGTGGTGAAGCCGACCTCTGCGATCAGGATCGCTTTCCAGAAATCGAACGGCCTTCGCATTTCCGCGAGCAATTCCATGAACATCGTTGCACCTCCGAAAGCGAAGACACCATTGAAGACGCCTACAGGAGAAACAGAGTCAGCTCGATGCATACAGCATTGATGTGAGTAAAGTTCAGGTCGGTTGATATGCATACCGCTGACGTTGACTTGTAGGCTTTTGCCCGGAGGGAGGCCCCCAGACGTGACGATCGGGCCTTTCGGGATACCAAGGGTAAGATTGGCCGCATAGTTGGGGGCATAGATGAATACCGCCGCTAGACTAAATTCGATTGTTGATCAGCTGCCACAAGCATGACTTGATTGATAATACAAACACTCACGTCGAGATCATGACCGTCACGTTGAGCCAGACGGCCAGATTTGCAAGCCAGCTAAGGCGTTGAAGAGTCCGGATCTGACCCAGGATAAGGCCGATGATGGTGAAAACAACCTCTGCCACGAGGACTGTCCGTCGAGTTTAGCTTTTCATCCAAGAAGGAAGCTTTGGCCACGTTATGTGTACCAGGGATACCAACTTACAGCATATCCATCCGGTTTGATTTACGCCTCTAGCCATCTGGGCGAGAGCTTGTCCGTTTGCAACAATGCACAGGGCAACGTTGAGGAAGAATTGGAAGCTTTGCAACACGTTGGCGGTAACGCGGGCCCAGTTTCCGAACAGACGAAACGCGAGATCGCCCTGAAGAGTCGATCAGTCGGAACGCACTCTAAGTCTTTGAACGAAAGCAACACCCACGTAGTTTCGAATCGGGTAACGGGGAGAGTCGAGGCCGCAGAACATCTTCCAAAGCTGCATAGCCGAGTAATACGAGAGGACGCCGAATACCAGGAAAATGGCGACGCCGGGCCCGTAGCCCAGTTGCTAGATAAACACACCAGGTTAGTCTGGATTCTCTGTGGTGTTGATGTGTTTCTCGACGAACAGCAATTGCCCCTAGATACACATGAGTCAGTATACAATTGTGGCGGGGAGGAAGAGGACAATTCACGAACACGGCGCCGAATATGGACCCAAGATGTCCGTGGTGAGGAGGTAAAATATTGCACCCCAAGAGGCAGTCCGGCCGGCACGCTGGGCCTGAGCCCATTCGGCCTCTGTAACGGCATAATTGCCTGCGCTGGATGTTCCGGTCGGAGGCTTAGCGTAGGGCGGAGGGTTGTCATGGCCGCCAGTGCTAAGATCCACATCACCGGCACTCTTGGAGACGTCGTCTTTCTCGTTGCTAACATCTCTGTCGGAGTCGGAGTGCGGGACGTCGGGATGCAGCTCGGCCTTCTTGTTACTTGCGCCCAGGCCAATCACTTGCATGAGGCTGGTGAAGCCGGCATTGGCGGGGATGCTCTTTTCGAACTCGCGAGCGCGTGCCGCCCACCAGCGGTAGTCCTCGAAGGTGATGCTACTGTCGAGATAGATCGTGTTGTGTCCGTTGGCGTTTGGAGGGCCGAGGTGGTGGATAAGTGAGTCACGACGCGTTCCAATATCATCCACGGCAACGCTGTTCAGTCGAGGGTCGGCGGACCCGCCGAGGTTTGCAGCACCCATGGGAGCGGCCATATTGAATCGAATCTGTGCGAACGCAATTCGAGACGAGAAGAAAGGAGAGGGACGAGAGGAAGGATCTGAAAGGGACGGCTTATCCTTAAGTGGGAGAGGAGAGATTGGAAATATGACAGCGCTTGGTCTCCACCGCGGCAAATAAGTCATCGATTCGGGAGGGGGACACGCGATTGACGTTACTGGGGGGGCACCCCGGTGCCGCCGGATCCATGTGTCACTCGCGTGAGGCGATGATGTAGTGCGTGTGCAGGTGTGGTTTGTTCTGCGGAGCTCGGAACACGATGGCACCAATCAATTGGCAGGAACGCCACAAAGCTTAAACTGCGAGGTTGGTCAAGGCTGCAAAAGCTTTTCGGCCAGTTGAAATCGCGCACCTTGAATCCTTGGATGTAACGCCGGATCGGAGTTCACGTCCTGCGGAGAATGTCCGGAGTATGGAGTCATCGGAGCAGTATGTGCCAAAGTACTCTCCGGGTCGACATCTTTCCACATCAGGCACGCTTGCGGCTACCCTTTCGTGGTATGTCGAAGCCAACCACCTGCTGGAGCCTAACCTTCAAGAGCAGAAACTGGTGGTAACTAGTAACACCATCTGGCGGCCGAGGCGCACATTCTCGCGCCCGATCCTGGCGCACGAGGCGTGGTCACGCTCGAGGCCGTGGGGGTAAGCACTACCGCTGCGCGTAGCATCGCAGTGGCGACGAGAGCGGCTCTATCGGCACAGCCGTACATGCACTCGACTCCTTCTACGGCATAATAATGCGACCTTCTCCGCTTCTTCGGAGCGCGCCCCCGTTGACATCGCTCGTCTAACCGGCCCCTGTGCAACAGACAGCCTCACGTCAGCCTTGACCACCATCCACGGGGTGTCCCTGCCACCGGCCCATATGCTTCTTGATGGGGTTTCGGGCGGCCCTTGCTGTTCTGAGCAATATGTCCGTTGGCATTCTCTCAGTAATCATGATTCCATCAGTATGAAAGACTGTAGCATTCAACTTTCCCAGGGACATCTGCTGAGTGATGCCCGAGGTCTGCTGAGTGATGCTGGACGCGGATCGCTTCTGCGGTGCCGAGGACGACTACTTTTCAAATCGATCGATCGGTCAGGGCACAACCGGGTTGCTCACGAACGGCGACTTACTATATCCCCTGCTTTTCGAGCATGTGCCAGTGCGTGGGCCCAGCTATTTGATCCGCGCCAACCATGACGTTGTCTGTTCTCCTCTAACTCTGAACCGCGACTTGTCCGTCCGCGGTGCTGCTCACAAGTGGTTCATATCGCTGCAACGGAGTGCGTCCCAGATCAAAAGCCTGCTACATCGCGTGTCGTTTTCCGAACCAATGCGACTACCTCAAATCGTCAAATTAGCACGACTGGTTGTCAGTGGAACGACAACTTAAAGCCCATGTCGTCGGTCGAATGACAGGCGTAAGACGCAGCACCGCGCGCGGAGAAGCGTGCTTTTCGTCTAAAATTCCCTCCAACCGGTATTGGACAGACGCGCACCGTCTCTCGGCCCGTGAGGTTGCAGCAGGAGCTTATCAGCGGTCGAGATGCAGTGAATTTGGCGTGCCGGGGTGCCGAAGCATTGTATGCGATGTGTCGGGGACATCGGCGAGCCTGCTGGGGTAAAGGACACTCGAGGGCAAATGTGAGCCAGGCGAATGAGTTCATCGATATGAATAGTTGACTTGACAGTGAACTCTAGAATCAAAGTGAGGTGATGACGAGGTACCGACGGGCGACAACGACAAAGAAGCGCAGCAGTTTCAAGGTCAAAAGGCTATTAATCGATGCAAATGGCCTTGCACTGATTCCAGAACGAGTGTAATCTAAGGAACTGCGATTCACATGCAGTTACATGTAATTAAGACAACAGTCGATAGGCAGTACACAGTGACAGGCGTTGGAAGTGAGCGCAAATCCCGACCAATGAATGCCCAAGCCTTGTCGTGCAAGACTGTCTAGTGACTTGCAAGATTAAGTGCAGTCGGCTCCGAGTGCTCCTTCTGCGATTCTTGTGCCATCTCAGTATTTTGTTTCATGACAGCCTCTGCAAATGTCTAACACACTGCGCCATACTTCGTAGTGAAACCCTTTGAATGAATGCGCATCCCAAGGACCCGGCGACGCGTGAGAGAAACCTTCCACCCTCAGTGCTCCATCTCGCGAGGCCACCTCTCCAGGCAATCACATCCAGCTCACGCCGTTGCAGGTACATGTACCTCGTTCACTTTATTGGATATTTAAATTCACGTGCCTCGCTCTATTGTGTGAGCGCTTCCTATCGTGAAAAAGTTGCGTTTCATTGGATTCAATTGTCCATTTCGAAGTTCACACCAGCCACTTCACCTCACCTCACCCAGCCACTGGTTGGAGCTTGGCTTGGCGCTTGACTCAATCCCTCACTTTTAAACTTTCCTAAAAATTTCGAGCTCTCGAATTTTGGCTTCACTCTCGCCGGATATCTCTCCATCAAGCAGCAATCACCACATCCTCCCAAACATGGCGGATGTCGCAGAAGAGACCAAGCCGGTCGCCGCCGTTCAGGAAGACCAAGTCAATGGCGAGAAGCTCGCACAGCCCGCTGGTGATGAGGTGACGACAGGCGCTGATGTCGAAGTCAAAGCGGAATTGAAGGTGGACGCCGACAAGCAGACCGCAGAAGACGGCGCTCTTGACCCCAGCGGCGATGCCGAAGCCACAACCATCAAAGCAGAGGAGGCGGTCAAGACAGAAGGCTCCCAGTCCCCGGAGCAGAAGCGCAAAGAAGCTCCCGTGTCCCTCTCGGCTCATGAGCGCCATGAGTCCAAACGTCCGCGCCGCCCCAATGCCAAAATCAACTCGCGCTTCGAAGACCAGCCAGAGTCCAATGACGCCGACGACATTCGCCGCCAAGTGGAATTCTACTTCTCCGACTCCAATCTGCCCATCGATGCCTATCTTCTCTCCCAGACCGGCGGGCACCGCAACCGCCCGGTCGAGCTCAAAGTCATCCACAACTTCAAGCGCATGAGACACTTCCAACCCTTCTCCGCCGTCCGCGATGCTGTCAAGGCCTCCAACTTCCTCATCCTCAACGACGACGATGAAATCACACGCAAGGTTCCTCTCAGCGAGAAATTCACCGACGATGCTGGCCGCAATCGTTCGCTGGTCCATTCTAGCAGCATGCCGCGTTCGATCTACGCCAAAGGCTTCGGTGACGAAGAGAAGAGCACGCACCTTGACATCGAAGCCTTCTTCGCCCCCTACGGCCCCCTCAACAGCGTGCGCTTGCGACGTAGTGACGATGGCCTATTCAAGGGCAGTGTCTTTGTCGAGTTTGAGACCGAGGACTTGCAGCAGCAGTTCCTGTCCCTGGACCCCAAGCCGCAGTGGAATGGCAAGGATCTGGAGATCATGGGCAAGCAGGAATACGTCGACATGAAGCACCAAGGCATCATCGATGGTGTCGTCAAACCCCGTACTTCCTACACCCCTCGCGGCGAGCAGAAAGGGCGTGGGAATGGCCGTCGTTTTGAGGACAGGGATGGACGCGGCGACCGCGACAGAGACAACTGGCGCGACAGGCGTGATCGTGACCAACAGAACGATAGGCGTGGCGGCCGCGGCGGCAGGGGCAGGGGCAGAGGTGGTCGCGGTGGCCGTGGCGGTCGAGGGAACAGAGACCGCACCCACAGACGCAGCGATGCCAGTGACCGCGAAGAGAGAGAAGACCGTGTGCATGCCGAGGATCAGGTTGTCAAGACGGAACAGGATACCGGCGCCGCCCCGACCGACACCAACGGCGATGCGAGCAAGAAGCGCGGCCGGGAGGATGCACAAGAGGGGTCCGGCGAGGCGAAGAAACCCAAGACGGAAGCGGACAGCGAGTCTTGAGGCGACTGCCTTCTTCATGCATTCATCAGGCGTCCTACAGGCTGGAGTCCGGCGCCGAGCTATGTTCTATACCGAAGGCGCATGTCATTGAGTTTCGAGCGGTCTTGAGCAATGAGGTTCGATTGAGCAGTTTATCACAGAGGGAAGGGGAGGCTTTGCGGATCGATTTCCTACGGCAGGCTTGGCCATGAGCTGATCAATAGTGCTTGAGTTTCAATTTCTACCACACCCTGCTACTCATAAATCTCTCATCAATTCCGCCAGAGTGATGGGTTTCCTGACCGCATTGGAGAAGCCTTCATGATACGTCACCCACACTCTTCGCTCTTCATCCTCCACCCCCTCATACATGGACTTTATCCCTTCCTCTGACCCCTGAGGATGTTGTGCAGCGATCGGCCGACCGAAAAAGTCGCGCTTCACCGCTGTCAAGCCCTTGATTGCCGGCTGCCCAGCCACCTTTTGCTTGTCGCTCGTGCCGGCATCGTCTTCTCCAGCCGCGGGGCCACGAAACCTAGCCAGTCTGGCTGCTTCTGCCCGCTTCTTCTCCGCCTTCCTCCATTCCTGGTCCAGGACTTGACGGACCGCATATCTCGTCTTGCCTCCACTCGCCCCGAACCCCTTCCCGCCCGTCTCGAACACGCCCATCTCATCCAGCGAAGGTTCCATTCGATAGATCCACTCTGCGCCATAGGCTGTTGGTCCAACCACATTGTCAGTAGAAGAGACCTTCGTCCTCTCGAATCGCACTCCGCTTGCAGCCATGGCTTGCACGGCTCGCTGGACTAGCATTTGCTCGCTGGCTTTTCGCACCGAGGCAGTGCTTTTATCGTTCCCACTGCCGCCGACTACCACGGGATTGACGTTCGGCGAGACCATGCGAAGCAGGTACGGGAGGAGATCTGTGGCGATATCGTCGGTTGAGCTGAATAGACGACTCAGCTCTGTTGACAGAGAGGATTGCAAGGATTGGAGCAAAGCACTGTTCTGCTTCTCCGCTTCGTGGGCCGCCCACGATGCTTGAACACCCGAGAATGGATGTGTGTCATGTCCCTCACCTTCGGTCTCCTCGCCAGCCGGAGCACTGTGCGATGTCTTTGTCGATGAAGCGAACAAATGGTGGAAAGCGATAATGGGTGAGCTTAGATATGGCGCAAGTTCCCATTCGTTGCTCCCGAACACCGCAGAGGAGAGGGAATCGTGAAAGTGCAACCATTCGTAAGCAGCTTCGGGCTTGGAGAGCAAGGTGTCGTCGTGAAAGGAGCGAGTGGGATAGGACGCGTAGCAATCGGTCATGATCCTGTCCGAGTCACCTTGTGTGTCCACCAGCTCCCGCAGACGCTGACTGCTGACGCGCTTGAGGCTCTCAGCAACGCCTATCACTTGAGCGCCGCGCTGGTGCTGGAAGGGAGTGGTCGGTGCTGTAGACTTTGGAAACCCGGCCCCTTCCTGAAATACCCGCTCTACAATGTCCTTTGGTCCGCCTCGTCCAAGGCCTCTCGCTGCTCCACCGCCATGGGTGAGGTCGCTCAGGACGTGGTCTTCCACCCACCGACGCGTCAGGGTGGAACTACCCTCAGCGCGGAGCTTGCCTGCCACCCATTCGCCGACGACCATGATGCCTCGCATGTCCCCTTCGCCGCCTCCACTGCCATGCCGGTCTTCTTTGCGGTTGCTGACGCCCCAAGTGGCTTCACAGAGTCTCCGTACGCCATCGGCCTCACATGGGACGCCTTCTTTGTCGAAAATGCCGTGGAGCCTTGATATGAGGCTTTGGACAGCGGGCTTGCGAACGTGAATCACCTCTGCGTGGGGCCCCTGCCGGAGGAGGCGCAAGGATGGATGGTAAACGTCATTGCAGATGAGGACCAGTGGGCGACGTAGGCGGAAGCGATCGCCCTTCCCTCTACGCGTAGGCGCTTGTTGCAAGGTTCCAAGGGCAGAATTCTTCTGATCCAGTATCAACAGGTCGACCAGGGCTTTGACAAATCCTCCTTCGCCAGTTGCGCCGCTTCCCGTCATGACACCGTCCACTTCATCCACAATCACGCATACAGGTTTGCCTGCCTTTCGCACTCGACCGTCTCCACCCTGAGACTCCACGCCTTTGACGTTTTCCGTACCAAGCATATCGCGAATGCGTCCTTTCACAACATTGCCACTCCGCTCGTCACTAGCATTGATCTCTTGCACCTCGTAGCCCGCTTGCTTCGCACACACGTGTGCGAGTGTTGTCTTGCCGAGCCCAGGCGGCCCGGTCAGAAGCAGGATCTTGCGATGCGCCTTTTCCTCAATGCCTTCCTTGAAGACTTTTGGTTTGACCTGTTGCCGGTGGGAGCCCGGAAAGACCAGCGGATCCCATCGCTTCAGCCAATGCATGACTGCGCGATGCGTGCGCTCGTCGCCCACCAAGTCGGTGAATTTTCGAGCTCGATATTTCTCAGTCCACAGCAAAGAGGAGCGCTTGGTCGGTTCTGTAGGCGGTGTGGGTAAGGCCCTTGCGGCTTTGGGGATGCCCTCCTCTGCTTCTGCTTCTTCCAGCAGTTTGTGTATGTTGATGCCATAGTACGAGCGCTGCGCCTTTGAGGGACGCTCAAGCCCGTTGACCCCCAGGTCCAGCTCGACAAACTTCCGCTTCTTCGTGGGCGACGGAGTGGGCGGCGGAGAAGAAGTGATAAAAGGTCCACGAGGCATGTTGGGCGAACTTGACAGGCCTTGAGGCTCGGTAGGAAAGACTTCTTGGGTGGTCCAGCGTCGATGTTGAACGACCACGCCGTCGGCGATCTTTGCCCGTGTCCGGGCGGCGTCTGTTTCGTGCAAGGCTAGCAAATCGTCGCTGAAACTGATCACATCTCTTTCCAATTGCTTGTCATCATCGGACTCTGCCGCGATTCTCATGCAGCCGTGTTGTCGGCCGTGCATTTGCTGAGAGAGGAGAAGAGCACTTCGGCAGCGACGCGGAAGACGCGACTTGAAACTTAAATCACTCCAACGCGCGACACACCAGTCCGGATGAGGAAATTGCGAACCTCCACCTTTATACAAATGCATCCTTTGCGTCTCCTTCGATGCGTTTCACAGAAAGATGTTTGGGATTTGCAAAAGACAATATTCATGCCCCATGTCTACATGTGAAACTTTAGCAATCGTCGACGGGCCCTCGCCGCCACCCTCAGCCCATCCGCAAACCGGACCGCATCGATGCCGAGCCATGTTTAGTTCATTCGAGGCACATCATGGAAAATCACCCCGTCGTTTTGCTCACTTCGCTCCGATCTGGACGACACAGTGACTAGTGGACAGAAAGGCCGCCTCCCTGCTTTTGCGGGAAGACCTGCTGCAAACGCGGACCGGCGCCAGGGAAGTAAGCAGCGACTGCCGTTTCGACGTTCGGTAGAGTTTCGGGCGCCATGAATTTGACGAGACTGAGGTAACTCTGCTTGAACATGGCATCCGTGGCATAGGCATTGAACCCCTAGTTGAGTATGGAGCTGCTGTATCTGCTCTCCATTAGGATTTTAACCCCCGTCGTTGTTGTGACTTTGCCTTCCTTGGACTTTGTATTGATCTTGGTAGTGATTGCGCCTTTGCTGGACTGCGCATCGCTTGCCCAAAACACGAAGAACGGCCGATCGCTACAGAACCCCTTTTGGGTCTTCGCATTGGCGTAGTCGGCATCAGTGCCTTTCAGGTCGAATGTCCCTTTCCACATATCGATAAAGGCATCGTTAAGTGTCCCAAGCGGTGTCAGCAAGATTGCACCAGATTTGTCATATGTCGGTGGCCCCTCGCACGGTCCGCCAGAAGGCAGGGTCATCGATTCTAGATAACCAATCCAGTGGTTTTGGGCTTGTTGAGTCTCAAAGTTACCGCTCAAGTCCTGGAGGATAGCTGTGCAATGCGGGAAAAGTTGCGCCAGCTCGCGCGCAACTGATGCCGGGGCTGTCTTGGGTAACTGTGGAAAGGCATTTTTAGCTGTCGAGGTGAGGCCAGCTCGGTACTTGATAGAGCCGGCCACGAACACATACGCAAACAAGGCAGCCAGAGTGGAGTGGAAAACAGCATCGTCGCTGGGCCATTCGTCGGTCTGCAGTCGCTGGACCAACGCCCCCGCAGCTTGTATTGCAACTCCCCAGAGTGCGCGGAAGGTTTGGATGGCGTAGACATCTGGCATCGGTGTCTTTTTCCAGCGTTCGGTGCCGTTCGCCGGATCAAGCCACAACTCCTCGTTCGTTATCTTTGTGGCCTTTACCAGCCATGTAGAGCCCCACTGCAATTACTAGGTCAGCATGGATACGTCCAAGAACAGTGAGTAACTCACCAGGTTCTGCCATGCCTCCATGTTCGTAAGCAGGGTGGAGATGTTCAAGTCATACGTGAGCTGCACATCGGAGAACAGACCAGCCATGTTGGGTTCACTCGGATGAGCCCAGGATTGGGGATGGTTGAGGGTGGTATTTGGGGGCCGCACCAGGATCGAGAAATTTCGTTTGATACTGAAGAATGGCACCCACTTGCCGTCTGTCTCCGAAGTGCCTCCAGCCAACTTTGTCAGGTGATCCGACACTCTGAGCTTGAACTTGTCCCTCGGCCAGCCAGGTCGTCCTGCGGGTGCTTGTATGGCGTCCACCGAAGCATTGTACATATCAAGGAAGTCGCCGAGGGGAAACCAACGATCGTTACGGCTGGATAACACCATGAGATCCTGACGGCCCGCGTAAGCCGCGCAGCTGAAGAGCGTCATGGTGTTCCGGAAGGCCTGGAGGCAGCGTCGAACAAACACCCAGTAATCCGCATCGGAGACGTCCTGCGCCGGCGTTTGTAACTCCAAGGCACATCCGGCGATATTGTCTAGTATATATTGATCGGGCACAGGTTGGCGTCCGAATTGCAGAGTGAGGAAAGAATCGGCTACAGCCCGAAAGCCCCAAAATGAGGTCCAGTCGACATCTGCGTCAGTCTTGCCGGCTCCGGGAAGGCGGTATGTGCTGCCATCATACGGGACGAGGATCGGATACGCGCCTACCATCGTCGAGCCCAAGCGTATGTCCTGGCCTTGTGCATTCTTGGGGTGCGCAGGCCAAAAGACGACGTCCGCGGGGTCGGTGCGTTTGAATGTGAGCAAGAGTCCATGCATCTCAGTTTCCAGCCCGAACCGGGAAACATCTGTGGTAGACCATTGGCTAAGGGTAGCAGATGATGAGGTACTGGCGGTCGGCCCTGTCATACGTGGCTCCATGGTGGAAATAGGGCGACCGTGCTATGTGTTGGGTCAAGGACTGGACCGAGCGATGGAACCTGGGAGAACGAATGGGGCCGAGGGAAGCCAGTCAAGTAGGTACAGATGAGCGTTCCGTGCCTCTGCGACAGCTATTGTCCTTCCGCGGGCGTGGTGTGTGCATGATTCGCTCTCCGCCCGCCACATGGCTGGATGCAGACATCAATACGAGCGTTGCTGCATGCTAGACACCAATCCGAACGTGGCTGCATACGGTATGTGATAGAGCTCGACTCCCTGCATCAGAGGCGCGGAACCTGATTCTTACCATTGGTGTGTATTCAGCTCCATGTCCGCTTCAGTCGCCGCATAGCTGCTGCTGCCGCCCTACAGCTTGCACAAGAGCTGGGGCGTGCATGAGCGGAAGCTAGTGTTGTGTTTGCAGAGGAACACATGATTGAAGTGTGACCAAGGGAAGATGGATGTCTCTTTGTGTTTCCCTTCCACATTCCCTCGAGACTCGAATGGTTACTCGGGCTGGCCCAACGTTAGATGCATGGGCACCGTCGCTCCTCGGAAGCACAAAAGAGACAACAAGCAGGATGCCTGCTCTCGTGCTCCATGAACCTACAGGTATGTCCTCCTCACGCTTTCACTGGCGAAGGTGTGATGGGTGCAGCGAGCTCCGTTCATATTGCCGAAGACGTTACGTCATACAGCGACAACTTCCAACACCTCGACAACCCTTTCTTACATCTTTATGTTATTCAGCGCCGAGCAAAGTATTAGCGATCCGACGTCTGAATACCTTTTCGTCACTACCTCCAACGCATAAGCGTCGTCCGTCCGCTTCACAATGACTTTCCAACAAGAACTCTCGTCTTGGGTATCAAACCACAAATCCGCGCCCCCAACAGCAGAACCCGTTCGAGTTGGAGACAAGGCGCCAAACGCCCCCAAACTCGGCGTTGAAGCCAAACCTACCATTTTAGCCTTTTTGAGGCACGCTGGATGCCCGTGGTAAGTTCGCTCCCTTTCAACGCACATCTCAGGGTAATCCCGCTGACCAGCAAAGGGCGGAGAGGACATATGTGAACATGCGCTCGGCCGCTAAGACGCACGGCGATATCGATTTCATCGCCGTCTCTCACAGCGATAAAGCGGCGACCGACAAATGGCTGAAATCACTGCCGGAGCCGGGCAGCGAGCCTCCCAATCTACGCATCGTGGTGGACGATAAGAGAGAAACGTATGCTGCTTGGGGGCTTGGCAATTCCGGCTGGCTCCATGCTCTGGGCATTGGGCAACTGTGGAACGTGTACAAGGCTGGCCGGGATGAAGGGCTCAAGGTGCGACCGACGGAGAGCGGAAGCCGCTGGCAGACGTCGGGCTGGTACGCCGTCAACGACAAGGGTTTCGTGACGTGGGGAGCTCAGGCGACCAGGGCTGACGATGTGCCGGACTTTGAAAAGGCTGTCGCGAGCCTGGGCAGGAGTGGCGCGAAACTGTGAGCATGCAGGAACTGTTTCCCCGACTGTTGAATTTTGCTGGCGGACTTGCACGATTCTGCTTTGATTTGTACGATGTGCGAAAGAGATGTGTCGAGGTCTTGAACGAGATGGTATCTTTTTGGTAAGCTATGGTATGATATCTCGACGGAACTACAAAGCAGCTCGATTCCATCCTACGAGGCGTGATGTGGACCTGAAAAGATGGACCACTCTGCCCACAGCCGCGAAGGCAAAGGCAGCGCGGTGAGTAAGCGGTCATAGAAGCGTCAATCTTCTTTGCACCAAAATAGGCCCAAACCAGGGAGACGCGGTAAAGGCCAGAGTGTTGGCAAAGTGAACATGAAGCACGGACGATGGAGCAACCGACGAAGCTGGGATTCACATTTGTGATATGCCTACAGGTTTTCGATGTCGTTCCTCTATGCTACCTTTACTCTTCGGGAACTATGATCTGTTAGCGCGGGGACAACTTTGAATGGGAAGAGCCAGTGCGTACTCTCAATCTCGCCACTCTCAATGTCATCGCTGATAGCCTTGGGACTTCTGCCGTCCACTTGGCAGCCAGTGCTGAATGCGGTTCCGAGAATCTCCTTGACGGTGCCCTTCAGATCCTTCGACATCGACTTGAAGCGCATCTGGCGCGCGATCTCGATGATCTCGTCAAGGGGGATCGACTTTGTGTGCTTGATATTCTTCTCCTTCTTGCGGTCTCGCGGGGGTTCTTTGAGGGCTTTGATGACCAGCGACGAAGCGGAGGGGACGACGGAGACGGCGGCTTGACGGTTCTTGATGGTCAGGCGAACGGTGACACGGAGACCTTTCTGTTGCGGAACGTGAGCAAAGTTCTCGAGCAGGGTGAAATCCATCGTGCACGTACCCAGTCGCCCGTCGCTTTGGCAATGTCTTCTCCCACCTTCTTGGGCGACAGACCTAGCGGACCGATCTTGGGAGCGAGAGCAGACGAGGCACCGACCTCACCGCCCGTCGCGCGGAGGTGAATGATCTTCTCCTCATTGGGATCGATTTTGGGAGCTGAAGGAGGGTTTTGTTAGCGACACAGTGTTCATTTTAGGACAGCCGGCCGCAGCCAATGCTCGAGAGGGCGATACTTACGCATGGCTAGTACGTAAGGTAGTCTGCCTTTCTCGACGGATGAAATGTGATGTGAAAAGTGAGATTGGTCAAAACGTCGTGGGAAACCCGAATGGAGATTTCTCGACATTCAGTGCGCTTGCGGGAAAAGACGGGTGGGGCCGCAGTGTGCCCGTTCTGCCGTCCTTGGCGCAGGAGGCTTCGCTAGCGAAAGTCAAAATATAAAGCAACGTAGCAATTCATTGACCCTTTAACACTTTAATCCTTGCCCGCCTTCTCGCCCTCGTCTTTGGACTGTCTTCGCGACCAAAGCTGCCGGTCTGCTCATCTTGCTCCGGAGACATCAGCGATGGCTCAACCACCACCAAACGGGCCGTTTCCGGCCTTTCCAGGGCTGCAACCTGGACAGCAGCCCTCCCCCGAACAGATGCGTCAACTGTTAGAGGTGGAGGCGCAGAAAGCCGGCATGACCGTCCCACAATACGTGGAGCGACTCAAAGCACAAGCAATGCAAGCCCGACAAGCGCAGATGGCACAGGCACAAGCACAGCAAGGACAGCAACCCCCTCAGGGCCCGCAAGGCGCTCAGCCTGCCCAGCAACAAGTTCCCATCCAACCTGGTCCGCCGAAGCCAGAGGCCATCGCCCTCGCCAAGTTCCTCCAGTCACAGAATCTCAAGTCAAGAACGTGCATATTCCAAGAAAAGAGAAAAGACATGTTCAAGGTCAAACGCGCGATTCGAGCATTGCATTCCGATGCTTACGCCAAAGCACGAAAGAAGAACCCGCTTCTGCCGGAAGTGACGGACAGGGTCACAGCAGAGAATACTTTCAAACTGTTGCCGATGTCGCTCCTTGCTCTGCGAGTCTCCAAGATCGACCCGCATGATGGACACGACCACGGGAAGAAGAAGCGAGTGAAGGGGTTGTGGACGGTGAAGGTGGAGCAGCAACAAGAAGCTCGCGATGACTTCCACTATGTCTGGCTGTACGAAGGACCGCAGTGGAGGAACAAGCTATACGCCGGCGCCGCACTGTTCGTCATCCTCGCTGTTGTCTTCTTCCCCGTCTGGCCTTACCATCTACGATTGGGGGTGTGGTATCTCAGCATGGCCATGCTCGGCGTGCTCGGTCTGTTCTTTGCCATGTCGATCTTCCGTCTCATCCTGTTCCTGGCGACCATGTTCGCTGCGCCGCCGGGTCTATGGCTGTTCCCAAATCTATTTGAGGATGTCGGGTTCTTCGACTCCTTCAAACCTGGATGGGCATGGCACGAAGACGAGAAGGCGGTGAAGAAGAGGAAGAAGGCCGAGAGGGAGAAGAAGCGCGCGAAAAAGGAGGCCAAAGCGAACGGGACAGTAGGTGGAGGGGAGGAAAGTGCGGCGGAGGAGTCGGACGTTGTGGAGTCGGACATTGCGGGCTCGGGGGCAACCACCACAACGGGTGCCGAGGGCGTGCCGGCGAATCCACAAGCCCAGGCACAGCGGCGGAATTTGAGCGCGAGGGTGGAGGAGGTGGACGATGAATGATTGTCCTCGCTTCGAATGGCATGAGTGCGGCGTACCTTGGGGACTCCCGTGCATGAGGCTACGCAGCCTTGTGCTTTATGTAACAACTGGAACATTCAAGCATGGTTGGCTTTGAAAGCATGTACAGTACTGCTCGTCGCCGTCGCAATGCTGCATCGAGGCTCGACCGTTCCGAGCGGTCTACACAATATGGTCAAGATGCCACATCCCCAGGGTCGAATCACTTGCCCTACGATCATGCCAACATTAATGACTGTGCAGCCCCGGACGGGTGCGGACGGAGAACGAGGATCAACGCTGCGAATGCCCGAGTTTGACAATCATGACTAGTATCCGTTGTGATTCCGTGCAGCCTAAGCGGGCCCGACTAGGCTGAGGTGATGCTGATCCGTCTCCACTGCAGGTTGATGAGCAGAAGGATCTGGGGACAAGCCCGAGTGCTCACATCGGGGCATGTCGCACGAACCCAGCAGCTGCGTGGATACACCGCCGGCCGCGGGCCAATCTGCTGCACGTCTTCGAGGCAGTTGCTACATGCACACCCCGACGACGACGGATCGGCGAGGGTAGGAAGCAGGGCGCATCCGGGATTCCCATGACCCTCGCACAGAGTGGATCGGACGGGTTGACCAGGGCTGAAGGTGCATGGCCAATCAGAGGGAAGGGCAAGCAGCCTGGCGGACAATCAGTCAAGAACCTTGCCACGGCCATCCGCCACCACGCATTCTTTGCACTGCCATTTGCTTGCGGCCAAGGCGGAGAGTTTGGCGCTTAGCGGGAGGAGGGGTGCGGTGGGTTGACGAGAGGTCGGGCGAGCCGTCCACATTTCGAGAGGGATGTGGCTTGCTCTTTCCACCCCGGCCTGCCTTCATGAGGCTTGGTACGGGCCCGCGGGGACCCACTCGAGCCACTGTCCCGCCGACTTTTGTCTCGACGCGACCCACGCATGCTGCATCCATGTCCCCTCCCCTCCATCGCACTCCGTGCGCCTAATCTTCGCTGCGCTGTGCGTGTGCGTCGTTCTGCTTCCCGTGTCAGTCGCCAGGCCACTCCTCCTCCTTCCGTATAGATAAGGTGGGAAAGCGTCGCCCGCGGCACCCCATTCCCCCCCCATATCCTCCGCCACTCCAATCGGGCCCGTCTAACGTGCAGCCTTCATCATTTCCTGCGCCTTCCCGTCGTCGCCGCCACCGCGAGTCACCTTGCATCGGTGCCTGCAGTGTGTCGTGTCCCTATCTTCCACCACCGTACTCCGGCAACCACACCGGCGGCAACCCATCGCCCTCCTCCCGCTGTCTTTCCTGAGCGCCGCGCTCCATTCACTCTTATCCACTCCCCGCCCGCACCCGCGCCCGCCCTCACCGCCCATCCTTGTGTACGACGACTGGGCAGCTTGTGCATTCATGCCTCTACTGCGGAAGATCGATTGAAGAGCACCCCGCCGACGCAGCTCCACTGCGCCTCCACTCCATGTTGGGATGCTCGAAGACTCGGGAAAAAGATACTCGACACACACACACACTTACACGAACGCAATGCAAACCGCATTACTCGCGCGCTGCTGTTGCAAAGGGACCGCCAACATACTTGAGCAGTGTGTTGGGCATTGCCCTTGATCGCCTGCAGCCTACAACCTTGCATTGGGAGGCACGATGAGTACTGAATTCGCCAACAAGACCAACCTGGGCCCCGGAGGATCCGCCGACTCCTGGGGGAGCTCGGCGTGGTCTGTGGACACCACGCCGCATCCAACACCCCCGTATACCCTCCCCGGCCCTCAATGTGCTTTCCCTCGATACAGCGGTGATGTCCCCTACCACCAACACACTCCGCGAGCCGAAAACACACTCCGACGAAAGACCCCCAACGGTACTCTCATCGCCGGGTATGACAGCTCCTTCGAATGTCCGAGTGCGCGCAAGCATCAGCTCGTCCCCTTCCCCGAATCAAATGTGCCGCGTGGCTCCCACGCCATCTCAGCTAGTGCAAAAGAATCCCACTATCATCGACACCAGCAGCTTCAAAGCCAAAGCAGAGATGGTTGGAATGGCTCGTGGGGAGCGGAATGGGCGGGCGCGCAGCTTTCGCAACCGTCAAATCTAGTCCTCGGCATGGATTCAATGCTTCATCAAATGCCTGGGCCCGCCTCCTACGCTGCGCATTCGTACTTTGGCCAAAGTATCCCGAGCGTCCGCCAGCCCTCTTTTCAGTATCTGGGTCCCACCGCATCCGGAGGCCAGGGCGCGGGACCTTACGGACCCTACTGGCATGATGGCACTTTCGAGCCCTACAGGCCCGCAGCTGTCAGAGATCCCCGCTTCTATCATCATCATACCTCGTGGGGGTCATTCATGCCTTCGCATGCCCAAGCTGCACCTGCGCTAGGTCTTTACGATTCTGTCCACCCACCGGCATATTCTGTCGACGCCAATTACCCAGCGGCTCTGCCCGGGCTTGGGCCATTTCCCAATACACACTATTTTCCGGGACAGGGAAACCCGTCCATGCTCGATCAAGCCCATGCGTTTTATCAGCAGAATCACACTGGTGATTCTTTGCCTGCATACGCCGCATTTGGCTCCGCAGACGACATCAAGCAGGAGTATGGATCCTTCTCGCCGAACGGACAGCAGCGTGACAAAACGTTCGCCTGGGCCTTGCAGCAGTATCGAAACCTTTTGGCCTTTATTCAACGATCGAGGAAGCAGCAACAGCAACAACAGCGTTTGGTTCCGGGGCAGTCACATGTACCTCAGCGGCCGACGTTCTATCCCCGGCCTCCCAAGCCGTCTCGCTCTGGCTCCTCCGGCCAGATTGGTAAACGGAGGCTAGGGTCAGACCCTCAACAACATAACACTGACCGTAATAATGTCGTTGGATCGCAACACTCAGATTTGGACACCGTGCTCGATAATCCTTCGACCAGTGATTCCGAATTCGACTACAACAGAAACCGCGGCCCTGCCCGGTGGTCTGCCACTGGTCTCCACTTCCAAGACAACGAGTATGCTCGGCGAAGTTCGGCCGAGCTGCAACGAGATGCCGGAAAGCGACTGCCAGACTTTGTTCAGCATGCAACAGACCCGTTTGCATCCATTCAGCCCTCTTCTGGACCGTCCGTGTCGACCATCGTATCTCCCTTACCAGCCGATGACTCGCCGCCGTCTCGCGCCGCCGTCGCTCTGACAGTCATGACCACACTCTGTCAAGAGTCAGATTGGTGTTGGACTGACGGCATGCACCTCGGCGGCTGCCTCGCCTATGGACTCGGTCACTACGAGAAAGCCCTCAAATGGTATCGAAAAGTGTTGAAGATGGACCCACAACACCTAGAGGCTTCATCGAATCTCGCTGCGACATTGCTCGCCTTGGGCCACAGATTGGAAGCCGAACAGCACTGGGCACAGGTCGTCAAGACCGCTCCGAATCTCTTCGAGGCGGTGGAGCACTTGGTGGGCATGTACTGTAACGACCAGCGAACCAAAGACGCCGTGGCGGTCATTGACCATGTTGAGCGGTCTCTGCGACAGCCGAAGTCGTCGTCCCTACTGAAGCCATCGGCAGACCGATCCAGCGACTGCTCCGTGTCAAATGCGAGTCGCTCACCTTGTGCGTCCGAGCCGTCGGACAAGATGGTATACGACTTTGAGAACGATGGCAATGATCGTGATCGCGAGTGGCGGGAGGCCGCTGGTGCCAATGAGCCCGGCTTCGGTACAAGTGGCTTTGCAATCCCTGGCTGCGACAATGGTCGCATTCTAGCGTTGATTCACGCAAAGGGTAACATGCTTTACGGTCTTGGAGACTATGCTGGTGCTGCCAAAGCTTTCGAAGAGGCGGTTTTGATTGCCGGAGGGCGAAGGTACGGCAACATCCAGGAGCTCGTCAGACACATCCTCAGCGTGGTCACTTCAAGTCTCAACCAGCAGCCTCCAAACCAACTCGCACGCTCTCGACCGTCCAACGAGCCAATTCTGTTGACGCCCGTTCAGGCGCTCAACACGGCCAAGCTATGTTTCCCATGCTTTGGTGAACTCCCAGGACTACAACATCTGCCTGGAGGGCCACACAGCCTCGCGCGAAAGGCTGTCATATCGACCACGAGTAACGCGCTGCTGTCACTCGCAAAGATTTTTCAGGACGGCATGTCCAACACGAATCGAGCGACTGGCGTGAGCCCACTCGCGGCTGGCGTGCGGGACATTCTCGCGCTGTACTATCTGTCCCTGTCGCTGCAGCCGAGTCCGTCCACAGCCAACAATGTCGGCATCCTCCTGGCCAGTGTGCAGCAAGCAACAGCTCCTGCCCCGTCACAGCAGCAAAAGATGGACATCCCCGGGGTGGTGCCTGGAAGCGGCGTCGCGCTTGCCTTGCAATACTACAACTACGGCCTGCAGCTAGACCGGAACCACGCGCATCTGTACACGAACCTGGGCAGCTTGCTCAAGGACATTGGACAGCTTGAAGCAGCCATCGGCATGTATGAGCGCGCTGTCAATTGTGACGCCAAATTCGACGTGGCGCTGGCCAACCTCGCCAACGCCGTCAAGGATAAAGGCCGGATCAACGACGCCATCTCTTACTACAAGCGCGCTGTAGAAGTCAGTCCCAACTTCGCCGAAGCGGTCTGTGGACTCGCCAACGCACTCAACTCCGTCTGTGCCTGGCAATGTCGGGGAGGGATTGCACTCGATGGGGGCAAGCGAGATCGGTGGCATGTCGATGTCAAAGGCATGCTACTTGACGCACGACAAGCCGGAGCCAAAAGTAGCGGCTGGATCAAGCGTGTCGTTGAGATTGTGGAAAAGCAGCTAGTTGATGGCGAATCGTGGGGCTGCGGTACAGTGACTACTACGTTTTTGGAGGAGTTAATACAGCAGATCTCGCACCTCGAACTTCCGTCCGAGGAATCCCACGGCCGCGCATCCAGCCTGAGACGGACTCTGACCAAGTGGGTGGGCCAGAAGTGGGAGGGCGCTCGGGTGGTTCGCTTGATCGAGCGAGCAACGCGACTCATTGGAAGGCAGTGGTACCACGATGCCCACGTCAAATTGATCACGCGGCCGACCTCGAGCTATCGCCGACCGCAGCTCCCCTCTACGCTCACCGTACCTGCTGCGCCAACGGTCCTACCCTTCCACACGTTTACGTGTCCAGTGTCTGCGCAGCAAATCCGCCTCATCTCGCAAAGGAATGGTCTTCGGATCAGTGCGTCGACTTTGCGCTCTCTGTGGATATCGAAGCAAGTTTATCGTCCGCCACGGCCTCCAACACCGTACTTGCGTGTCGGCTATGTCTCCTCCGACTTCAACAACCACCCGCTGGCCCACCTGATGCAATCCGTTTTTGGGATGCACAATCGAAAACGGGTGAAGGCGTATTGCTATGCTACCACGGCGAGCGACAATTCCGTCCATCGACAGCAGATTCAGTCCGAGGCGCCAGTGTTCCACGACGCCAGCGGTTGGCCCGCCGAACGCCTTGTGCATCAGATTGTGGAAGATGGCATCCATGTGCTTGTGAATCTCAACGGCTACACCCGAGGCGCGCGGAACGAAGTCTTCGCTGCACGACCAGCTCCCATCCAGATGTCTTTCATGGGATTTGCTGGGACGTTGGGCGCGGAATGGTGCGATTACCTGCTCGCCGACGAGACGGCGGTGCCGCAAAGTACACTACGACCATGGCGGGGCAACGTCAATCTCCAAGACCAGATCATGGACGACAACTTTGGTAGTCACGACGAAGAGTGGGTGTATGGGGAGAATATCATCTACTGTCGAGATACATTCTTTTGTTGCGATCACAAGCAGAGCTCTCCGGATGCGCAAGAAGAAACGCGGGCGACGTGGGAGGAGGAGCAAGAGAAGCGTTGGCAGATGAGGAAGGAGCTGTTCCCTCACATCTCGGACAATACCATCATCTTTGGCAACTTCAATCAGCTCTACAAGGTGAGCAGTACTGAACGTTCGGTACTATGTCGGCAAACAACTAACATGCTTTCTAGATCGATCCCACAACCTTTCGCACCTGGCTGCGCATCCTGGCCAAAGTGAAGAACTCCATCCTCTGGCTCCTGCGCTTCCCCGATCTGGGCGAGTCGCATCTCCTGGCTACCGCGAGACTCTGGGCCGGCACGGAAGTAGCATCGCGCGTCATGTTCACGGATGTGGCGCCCAAGCACCTGCACATTTCCCGAGCACGCATCTGCGATCTCGTACTGGATACGGCCGAGTGCAACGCGCACACTACGGCCGCCGACGTGCTTTGGAGTGGCACGCCGCTGCTCACCCTCCCGCGGTATGAGTACAAGATGTGCAGTCGGATGGCCGCGAGTATCTTGAAAGGCGCGCTGCCGAAGACGGAGGAAGGGGCTCGGGCGGCGAAAGAGCTGATTGCGACGGACGAAGATGATTACGAGGAGAAGGCGGTGGCGCTTGGGAGAGGGCTTGCCTACATCTCGAGCTCACAAGGAAGGGCAAAGGGCAGGCTGATGGAATTGCGGCACATGCTGTTCCGTGCACGCTGGTCGAGCGCGCTATTTGATACGCAGAGATGGGTGCGGGATCTGGAGGACGCTTACGAGGAGGCGTGGAGACGCTGGGTCGCTGGAGAGGGCGGTGACATCTGGCTGGATCGGATAGCAGCCCCCAATGAGGGCTGAGCGCATGTGCTGCACGTCGGCACAACGGATGCACCTGGCGTTGGGTGGGCTGGGATGGCTTCCGAGGATAGAGCTTTGATTACTATTATACCCATGGAGCGATCTGTCGCGCGACGGAAACAGCTTCTATTTGGAATTTGTCACGACATGTATTCTCGTATGCCTCGCGTCAGGTCAGAGGATGTTTCGTAGGTCATCGTCATCGGGCCGGGAGTTCGAGCCGTCGAACTTGAGCATCGGCAAGTTCGACAACAGATTTATCACTAGCAAGGGTGGCCCGTCATCCCGGGCATGTCCGTGAGACGGCTCAAAAGGGATCGTGCCGGTGCTGCATGTCGGCTTGGCGGAGAGATTCAATCGTGGAAGGGATGTGCATTGAAGAGGTGTGATGGAGGGCAAGTCGGCAGTGCTGAAGCCAGGCTGCAGCGGAATTGCCTCCGGCGTCCATGATGAGAAGCGTCGTAGATGCATTCAGTGTGGGTGTCACGAGCGGGCGGGTGAATCGGCCGTACAGTATGCAGGTAGGTGGTGTCGACGACGGTTGGCAAGTACCTACACAAGAGTGGAGACACCGGCTCATCCCCTCCCCGAGACTCGACCCCAGATCTCGGGCGTGCATCATGTACTCTCGCTACGGGACGATGCTGATAGGCTGCTGCCAGATCTGCTAGAGATCCCGACGGCGATGCAACAGGAGACACACATATGCACTGCCATGCATGCTGGCTGCGTGTGGTGCAGGCATCGATTGGGTGGAAGGACCGGGATGTTTTTGTCAGTAAACTCTGATCGTCCTGCGAGCAATCTACTGCCTGTGCTGCATCATCATCCTCAGCTGCCTCAGTGAGACACGGGCGCCCGATCGCGTGTCTGCCCTGCCGCCCGTGATTACCACGCTGCACTGTCCGCGAAACGCATGGGCCTGCTGGCGAGAAGTCAGAAGGACTCTGCAGGATTGCAATGCCCTCGTATGCACTGGCGCTGCAGAAACACTCCGATCTACCGTTGACTGGTACATCTACCAAGCGGCCGAGATGTGCCGTTGGGGTTGGATGCTGCATCGAGAGCAGGCAACGGCCTCTTGGCCATCGTTGTTGGCGGCAGCTACAGGCAGTCTAACGCACGGTGCCGCCGACTAGTCCGAGCGGGAGTGCGTGCGGTCGGCCGGGCTCGTGCGAGCTCTTCCCCCTTGGGCCAATGCAGGTGTCAGGGCGTATTTGGAATCGGCGTGGGAGCAAAAGAAAGCACGTTGGCCATGGGCGAAGACAACAAACAGACACGCACGTTTCACTCGACCCAAGCATTTGCCAGACGCGTTTGATCAGCAGTCAACAGTCCGACCCGGCTGCAAAGCGTGCCCAACGCGAGGCGTGTCCTCGCACGGCCTCCGTACCAATTAATGGCTGGCGTGGGCCCCCCTGGGATCAAAGTCAGGTAGCCGTTATGATGCACGAGCGGACTAGGTATCGCTCGTGGCGCCACCCCGCGCCTGATCGTCGACCGTTGAAAGCCTCCTTTCCCCCCTGGGAAACCCCGGCTCGTTTTGGGCCAAGGGGGAAATGAGGCCAGCCAGGAATGGCAGCGAGACACCTTTGCCCTCCCGCGGGCGCAAATGGGCATGCCAAAGCTTAACGAGAATCCAGATTGGCAGGGCGGCCAGCCAGCCAGCCAGCCATGCTCGTGCAGTAGCCATGTTGGGGCGAAGGGGGGGGGGGGAGCGTCGACAGCAATCGACACTCTCGTCCCCGCTCCCTGTTCGACTCCCAAACACCAGACCCTCTCAAGCTCCATCCTGCGGCTCCACGCTTGGCCCAACGCTCGACCGCGTTGCAACGCCCAAGCAGAAGGGCCGTTTGAATGACAGCTTGTCGCTCCCGATGGCGCAAAGGAGAGTCGCGGGGGCCGCGGCGGAAGTCAAAAAGCACAACCACACGGGCAGAAATTGCATGATTGCATCAGGCATGTTGACAATAAAACATCTCACACTAGCGCCGCTCGTTGGTCCATCCCCGGCGCGCTCTGGCTGGCGTTATCGTGGGCGCGGAAATCCTTGTCTGCAGATACAAAGGTACAGTCCCCATCCCCTGCCCTGACGACTCTGTCGCCGTCGGCCGCGAGTGCTAGCTGTCGGCCGCGTGCATGAATGAGCGAGCACGAGCAATGCACGTCTCGATCCATAGTGCCTGCATGTTGCAAGTATCCCGAGGGGGAACGAATGGAGGGATGGATGCGCGACGAACGGGCCTCTCACAATGGTCCCTGGGAGATCCCATTGTGATCCCCGACTCCGCCCTCTCATCAGCAATCAATTCCATGATCCGCCCGCCCCACCCGCCGCCAATTTTAACCTTTTAGCCTTCCCGAACCGTTGGAAGTCTATCTAAATTACTTTTGCTGGTTTCTTTCCCTGCTGCACCTGTTGGTGGAGAGGGGGGGGCCGTGGTGACGGCAGATATATCTCTGCAGCCGCGCCCATGCCTGCATCGATCGAAGGTCATCGTCCATACATTCGGACCTCGACCCTCTGCTTTACTGCAACCCGCGAATAATACTAATCTTTCAACAACCACACTCTCCTTTCGGGTAAGGCTGACCACCAAACACTTCATATCTTGCCGCACGCTTGCATTGGGGAGCCCGCCGTCGACGAGACTCAAGCTAACCCCCTCCCAGACACTCTCCCACACATTCTCTTGCAATCTCTACGCATCAACATGCCTCAACATAAGCGGGGCCCGTGGTCGCAGGCCGAAGACTCGATTCTCTTGTCCCTGGTCAATCTTCATGGCGCCCACAACTGGGTGCGAATCTCCCAAGCCATCCAGACTCGCTCGCCCAAGCAATGCCGAGAGAGGTTCCACCAGAACCTCAAGCCCAATCTCAACCACGAGCCCATCTCTCCCGAAGAGGGTGTGCTGATCGAGCAGATGGTGGCGGAGATGGGCAAGCGCTGGGCGGAGATTGCCCGACGCCTGCGTGGTCGAAGTGACAACGCCGTCAAGAATTGGTGGAATGGGGGGATGAACCGACGCCGCCGAACTCACATCCAACGACGAACGGAGCTGGACGTCCGTCATCATCCGCAACAAGACCACAGCCAGCTCCACGGCATGCCCATGCAGATGCATCAGCATCCCCTCCCTCCTGCATTCACGCCGCAGCATCTTCACCAACTCCCGCCTCAGTACTACGGCATGCCGATGTATCATCATGGACACCCCCAGGTGGCTCAGCCGGTTCGAGTGCCCTCCAACGGCCCACCCCTCCGGCCCATGGGTCTGATGGAAACTCCATTGCCCTCCCCGTCCGCCTTCTCTCACATGTCCGCCGAGGGGGCACCACCATCCTTGGTCTCCGACACCTCTTCCATCTCCACCCGCTCCCCCCACAACACCACCTCGCCCATCGAGCTTCCCCCGCTGTCGGGTGCTCGCAGCGATCGACGACAATCCGCTGCGCCGGTGCTTCAACTCGGCGTGCCGGCCTCGTACGTCCAGGACGGCGACATGAGCGGCATGTCCCCCATGCCTCTGGCGCGATTCGGCGAGATGGAGCAGAAGCCATCCCCTCGTGTGCTCCAGGAGCCATTCATGCCACAGCACCATCAACACTCCGGCTTCCCCCATCATCCTGCACATTACGTGCCCTCTCAGCCGCAAGCAACGCAACCCCCGCGTCTGATGGCGCCCTACCCTCTGCAACGCCATCACTCTCTACCGCAGCATCACGCCATGTCCACCCATGGCGTTCAGCTTCCCAAGCTGGGCACACCCATCCCCACCGTGTCTACGCTCGACGAAGGCTCGCCAAAGGACAAGATGAGCCTGTCGAACCTCACTCACTAATGTCTTACCTAATTCATCTTCTTCATGAGCGTCCGGTCGCACCGTCCGAGTTGCTCGACCCAGCATTTATTGATACCCCCCGACATACCGTCGCATGGATTTCCTTTCTCTTTCGGCATCGGAGCATGGAGCGAGACGGAGCACTGCACCGGCCTGCAGGTGGCCGAGGCATAATGGCATTGTTGTTGTTCGACTAGACACACTGTACAGTAGCATATTGTAAATCGCCTCGCGCATCCTCACGACATTGCTCTACTGCAATCTCCCAAAGTGTTGTGATCAGCCTCGAAGCAAGCTACGCTCAGGGGCGCGCTCGCCGGCCGTGCCCTCCACCGCGTTAATAATACAACGGCAACAACCGCGACGGTTTCGAGCGCGCAAAAGCCGTTTTCGGACGAGAAATGAAGCCCGACGTTTGTCGCCCCCTGCAGGGCGGAGATTAAGCATTCCCCCAACGGGCAACGGATGCCATCGTCTTCAACGCCCACGCGTGAACCGTGCGTGCCCTTTTTCCATCGACTGTGCCCTGTTCTCATCTCTCATCACTGCTCGGACAAGCCACGCTCCTCTTCGAAGATAGGCGCCACACGCTGTAATTTACCCATCCGTCAATGTCCGCGGACCGTGGTTCGTACGCGGCTCGCCTCCTGGAATAGACATGCTCTGGTGACGCGCCAGCCGGCTGACGCCACCCATTGTTCGAGCCTCTGTACAGTAATCGATGCATTATTCGAATGTGGACATGGCTCTTGGCCTATTCGGGACGGTGTTTCTCGTGGTGAATGCTTATTTCGTTGACTCTCTGCGGTGCATTCGTTGTCGCGTGTTACTCTCTCGATTTGCACATGACCCGCTCACGGCTTTGTCAGGCATGCCGTCTAGTCACTCTATAGCACTCTATGTAGGTTCGTTATTGAAGGCATGGCCAGGAAGACGCTCATCGCAACCCGTATCAACGAATGAGGGTGGATGATGCTATATACTAGGGATCGCGAGCTGCCATTGGTCGAAAGGGCCTCCCGGCTTCCCGCTAGCGAGGACGACGACAACCTGGAGTCCTTCCGCTCACGCTGCTGTCAGCGTCGCAAGTGATGAAACCGGTATCTCTTCATCTCTACCCCTCCAGCCCTGACCTCCCATCTCGCGGCTTGCACATGCGTCGACCTTGTGCTGAGCCTCACGTGCTCGAGTGGTAGACTTGCGATCGCAGAATCCGAATGCATGTCGCTCTACGATCCGGATCCCGCGGCCATCCCAGTAGGCACTCCATTCATCAGGTACGACACCTGTCTTTGGCGACATTGAGCGCTCTGACTTGTTGGAATCTTGCTAACCGCTTCCACGCGTTCACAGACAGCTGGTCAGTCTCCGTAGAAGATGTGAAGCCGGCTCATTCTGACCACCGCTCCCATACAGTCACAACGAGACCTGTCTCTACAGATACCCGTCGACCATGTACCAAAACCGGGCGTAGCTTTGACCCCGTAACTATCTTCTCCATGCTCCCCGCCCGTTCGACGGTCGCTGATCATCCATTCTAGTGCGTGTTTCGCACACCGCGCCTATGAGGATGCCTCGGCCTCAAAATGCTTCTCCAACTTGCTCGCTACTGGCTTCGACCGGATCGAGGCAGACCTCTTCTGGGACGGAACCAGAGATGTGTGGAGTTTGTGCCCTGTCCAGCTCGGAAACGTCGCCGTAGACAATCCCACCGCGCGGAATCGGCATGTGCGCGAGCGGAGGGGGAATGATCGCCTGGGAAAACGACAGGCCAGCACTTCTCTAAGCATGCTGCAACCATCAGGTCACCGCCATACCACCACTCCTTTGCCGACCCTCGTTTCGATTTCCACGACGTTGACGTTGGGTACCGCGACCGGCAGCACCGCCCCAACCGCATCGGCTCCCCCCGGAGCGGGAACTCTCATCCAGGTCGGGCCCTATTCTTGCACAACGACGGTGGATCTGCAACTCCTCACGGGTATCATTTCCGGCCACCTTGGTTCTACGCAGTTCAATACCAACGCCACCCTGAAATTCCTCGTTTTGAACCTGCATGCAGCAGCACCGGCGTCAGACCCTACAGGCAGCGGTGCTGCACCGGCAAATCCCGATTTGTTGAGCAATATCCTGAACTCGCAGGTCTCGGATTACTTGTACACCCCAAGCGACCTTGCCAGGGAACGAGCGGACTTGAATGCGACTGGTAGCTGGTTTGGCGGTTTGCGTACATATCAGTCGAATCCGGCATACTACGATATTACACAAACTGGAGATGTGTATTCCACCCCAGACGGCTGGCCAGGCGAGAGCTTTGTGGAACTGGGCCTGGCCAAACGCTTGTTCACCAGCTACGGGCGTGTCGACCCACAACTAAGCGCATACAACTTTTCAGGGGATGCTTCGACAATATTCGGAGCGAACTATCTGCAGAAAACGCCGCCGGTTACCATCGACAGCAATGGTCAGGTCGGGAGCGGATGCTTCTTTGACCCCGGTGTGTACTCTGTGAGCCGCGTGAATGATTCGTGGGCAACAGCGGTAACAACGCTGGACCCGACAAACTCGCAAACCATTTCTCTTCACGTCGGCAATCTGACAGACTGTGGCATTTCGCCCCTCCTCAACCAAACTCTGAACGGCCAGACGGCGGACGAGAACCCCGAGCTGTACATCCAGTACGCTCGGAGCACAATCTGGTCCTGGGGGCCTGGAGAGCCGCATAATGCCACTGACGGCCAGGGATTCCAAGCCCATGACTATCGTTGCGCCGTGTTGAATGCGACGTCGGGGTTTTGGGCAACGGAAAACTGCGGGAGGAGCTACCGAAGTGCCTGCCGCAGGCCGGACGCCGTTTACGAATGGTCCATCAGCAACGCCCCCGCTCAGTATATGAACGCACAGATCACCTGTCCCGCAGGTACCGACTTTGACGCCCCAAGGACAGCACTTGAGAATACTTATTTGCTACACACCCTGCAACAGACACTCGCTCAAACAGGTCTAACAGGAGTGAACGACGAGCTGCTATGGGTGAACTTCAACGACCTCGACATACCGCAATGCTGGGTTACTGGGGTCAATGCCACTTGCCCTTACGTGAATAAACACTCGGGGTCTCAGGAAATTATCGTGCCGACCATTGCGGCGGTGGTCGTGTTTGTGCTGGCCTTCCTCACGATCCTAGTCAAATGCGCCGCGAACAGACAACAGTCCAAGCGGCGTAGACGGCGGGGAGACGACGGCTGGGACTACGAGGGCGTGCCATCTTGAAGGGAACATCCACGAGTGGCGCATGATGTTAAGCGATTGGTGACCTCGCATCTTTGATATTATGAGAGGGCCCGGGGACTTCGGGAAGCTTCATGCATGATCTAATGCGACAAAGAGCGATTTATAATGTGTATACTTGACTCGCCTAATGCTCCATCTATATGATGAGTCGCACAACGGTCGCATATTCGCGCTCACTGCGTAGTGACCTTGCCATCGCGCTCGACAGTGATGTGCTCGTTGGATTCCAACGCCGACACCTTGTCGTCTGGGATGTCGGCACTGTCGAGGACTGTCAGTATGCTGCGTGGTTGGGTGAAGGGGATCATGACTCACGTGAATCCCTTCACGATAGAGAACTCGCGCGTGATCTTGCCGCCGTGCTCCGTGACTTGCTTCTTGGCCCTGGTGTCACGGTCAGGTGGAGGCGGGGGACGGGTGAAAAGGAGGATCATAATTACTCCTCATATTTGTCCTCGCTCGCACCTTTCTTCAGCGATACCTATGCGCTTGTTAGATTCTTCGTTCGTTATCAGTCAGAACCCCTACGCCTCATGCTTACGTTGACAGTAGGCATTCTGAGTGCTGTTCTCGTCTTGAATCCTCGCGTAATTGACTTCGTGATGGCTGACTGTGGGTCTGAACTTCTCTGATGTTGTCTACGAAGCAGGGCTTTGACGGAGGTAGGTTGCAATTCGAACAATCACCGCCAGGAATTCGGAAGCCTACTGGCCGATGACGTGCAGTAAGGCAGTGCAGCGAGCGGGTCCCGCCTCGTGGCGCATCGGATAGATCCGAGATTAGATTCCACTTCACATTAATCTTCGACTGGGAAATTTTGGGAGGCCATCCACCACAGCACAGCAGAACTCCAGGCGCAGCTGCTCATCCTCGCCCTTCTCGACATGGCCGGCGAAGAGCAGGGTCACCGAGCCCACCGGCCGTCAAAGGTCAAGAAGAAGCGAGACCCGAATCAGGCAAACCCGAAAGCATTCGCCTTCTCTGGGCCCGGCCGCCTCGCAAAGCAAGCCGCCCGCAGTCAGGACATCCGCGAGAAGCGCTTACACGTCCCGCTCGTTGATCGCCTGCCCGATGAAGCTCCGCCGTTGGTAGTCGGAGTCGTCGGCCCTCCAGGCGTGGGCAAGACGACCCTCATCAAAAGCCTTGTCCGACGCTACACCAAACAGTCCATTTCCGATCCCCGAGGCCCTATCACTATCGTCACGAGCAAGAGGAGGAGACTTACATTCATGGAGTGTCCGAGCGATAGTCTGGCGAGTGCCATTGACATGGCAAAAGTGGTGGACATCGTCTTGCTCATGATCGATGGCAATTTCGGCTTTGAGATGGAGACGATGGAGTTTCTCTCGGTTCTCTCGAGCACAGGCATGCCCGGCAATGTTTTCGGCATCTTGACACACCTGGACTTGTTTCGCAAGCAAGACACACTCAAGGCGCAAAAGAAGAGGCTCAAGCACCGCTTCTGGAGCGAGCTCTACCAAGGCGCCAAGTTGTTCTACCTCTCCGGCGTCATCAATGGCCGCTATCCCGATCGCGAGGTCTTGAATCTATCGCGCTTCCTGTCCGTCATGAAAAATCCTCGCCCGCTCGTGTGGCGCAACTCGCATCCCTACGCTTTGGCAGATCGGATGCTGGACATTACGCCTCCCACGCTGATCGAACAAAATCCGAAATGTGACCGCACAGTCGCTTTGTACGGGTACATACGCGGAACGAACTTTCCATCACATGATGCTCGAGTACATGTCCCAGGCATTGGCGATCTCCCAGTCATACAAATCGAGGCGCAACCAGATCCATGTCCTACACCTTATTTCCAGCAAGTGCAGGAGAAGGTCGAGGGCACGAAAAAGAGACGGCGGCTTGATCAGAAGCAAAAGGTCATCTATGCCCCCATGAGCGATGTCGGCGGCGTCCTCGTGGACAAAGATGCGGTGTACATTGACGTCAAGTCCAACACCTTTGATGTTGAGGACGAGGATGCCGAACGAGGATTGGGAGAGCAGATGGTGGTAGGGCTGCAAGGCGAGCGAAGAATGCTCGGGCAAGATGAGCGTGGAATCAGCTTGTTCAATAGAGGCGAAAGACTCAAGGAAGTCGAGGACGAGGAGGGGAATACTGGTCGCAAGAGTAGACGGCAGCCAGCCGTCATTGATCAAGATAATGAAGAAGGCGATGGTGAGATCGACGAAGGCTTTGAAAGTGGGGATAGCGACGAGGAGGCCGATCCGGAAAGCTTGCAGAAAGCGCCGCAGCGCATTGGCAAAACTCGAGAGGATCGGCAAGTCGATGGAGACATCGCTTTCGCGGATTCTGACAGCGATCTTGGATCGCTTTCCTCCAACTCTGACCAAGAACTTGAAGACGGCAGCGATGGGGATGGGGAAGGCTCGGAAGACGACGAACATGATTTGCGGTGGAAAACAAGCATGTTGGATCGAGCCGAGTTACTGCATGGGAGGAGACAGATGTACCGCGTTGCAGATCTCTCCCGGATGATGTACGACGATATGCTGTCAACCGCCGAGGTCGTTCGAAAGTGGTATGGTAATGACGAGGAGGATGCTGAGCAAGACCGCGAGAGTGAAGCAGACGATGCACCGCTCGTGAAGAGAGGCCGCAGTGATGAGCAAGACGAAGACCGACTCGTTCCTACCTTTGACTATGAAGTGCTGGCGGCTAAGTGGACAGATGCGGAGAATCTCGAGGCTCTCAGGCAGCGCTTCGCTTCTTCTGGCCTGACAGGTGCCAATTCCGAAGCTCTTGGCGATGCTGTCGAAGGCAGTGGTGGCGAAGATGAAGAAGATGAAGGCGATGGTGCTTTTGAAGATCTGGAGGCTGGTGAAGGCAAAGGAGACGTGGAGGGTGATGTCGAGCCAGAGCAGGAATCTCTGGAAGAGGAGCGGGCACGAAATGCAAAGAGGAAAGAAGAGCTCAAGTTTCGGTTTGAAGAAGAAGACCGTGAGGGCTTTCTGAACCCGAAAAACGCCAACCGTCAGGCTTCAGGGGCCGATGAAGAGCAGGAGTTTGGTGAGGACGAATGGTACGATGCTCAGAAAGCCCGGCTGCAGAAACAGCAAGATATCAATCGGCGGGAATTCGAACAGCTCGACAATCCTTCGCGCGTTCGTGCGGAGGGATTCAAGGCCGGCACGTATGCACGGCTGACTCTGTCCAACGTTCCCCAGGAGTTCGTGGAGCACTTCAACCCGCGCTTTCCCCTCTTAATCGGTGGTCTGCAGCCGACCGAGGAACGGATGGGCTTCGTGCAGGTGCGGATCAAACGACATCGATGGCACAAGAAGATCCTCAAGACGAATGACCCGCTCGTGTTCTCCCTCGGCTGGCGTCGATTTCAGTCGCTTCCGGTGTACAGCATCAGCGACTCTCGCACACGAAACCGAATGTTGAAATACACGCCGGAACACATGCACTGCTTCGGCACCTTCTACGGCCCTCTTGCCGCCCCGAACACGGGCTTCTGCTGCGTTCAGTCATTGTCGAACAAGAACCCCGGCTTCCGAATCGCGGCCACGGGGGTTGTGCTGAACGTCGACGAGGGCACGGAGATTGTCAAGAAGCTCAAGCTGACCGGCCACCCTTACAAGATTTTCAAAAACACCGCATTCATCAAAGATATGTTCAGCACTGCGCTCGAGATTGCAAAGTTCGAGGGAGCAGGCATCCGCACCGTCTCTGGCATCAGAGGCCAGATCAAAAAGGCGCTGAGCAAGCCCGAGGGCAATTTCCGAGCGACGTTCGAGGACAAGGTGCTCATGTCGGACATCGTCTTTCTGCGAGCGTGGTACCCCGTGCGGCCCCATCGCTTCTACAACCCCGTCACCAATCTACTGGAGAGCGGCGAGGCGGATTCCTGGGGCGGAATGCGGTTGACGGGCCAAGTGCGAGCAGAGCAAGGCATCGCCACTCCGCGCGTCAAGAACTCCGCCTATCGCCCAGTCGAGCGGGAGGAGCGGCACTTCAACCCGCTGCGCGTGCCGCGCAAGCTGCGCGCCGACCTGCCCTTCAAGTCGCAAATCACGCAGATGAAGCCGCAGAAGAGGGAGACGTATGCGCAGAAGCGGGCGGTGGTGGTCGGGGGCGAGGAGAAGGTGGCGCGGCGCCTGATGCAGCAGGTGATGAGCCTGCGCAAGGAGAAGGTGGAGAAGCGGCGGGCGAAGCAGGAGGAGCGCAGGCAGCCGTATCGTGCGAAGGTGGCGGAGAATGAGGCGAAGCGGTCGGAGAGGGAGAAGAGGGAGAAGGAGGAGTATTGGCGGCGGGAAGGGAGGAAGAAGAGGGGACCGGCGGAGGGGGGTGAGGGAGGCGGCAAGCGAAGGAGGACGTGATGTTTCTAGTGAGGAGAGTGGCAGATCTGGAGAAATCACTAGATGTCTGTCGCGTCAGGCTGCTCGTCATGCTCATGTTCTTAATTCGGCTGGCTAGACTAGAATTGCCACTGTCTTGTACATGGCCAATCACATCGTCTTCACCCAGAGATTTCTAGTCCGCATATATGCACTCGTGCCGCTCCAGTGACGGCACTAAATGGTCGCCAGGGTAGAAACAATGGCTAAACCTCGACCATCTCCCCCTCCCGAACGCCATCAGCAATCGCACTCTCCTGCTCCGACGACCCAGACCGACTCAACCCGCTCTCGTCGCTGTCACTCCGCGCAAACATGACCTTCCTCGGCGTTGCGAATTCCGAGCGCAAAGGCGAGTTCTGCGATGAGCCGGCCACGCTTGCGCTTTGGTATCGGTGGTGATTGTGGTGGAAGGTGGCGCCTTGCGGTGAGCCGAGCTGGAAGAGGGCTTGTAGCGCTTCTCGTTCTGCTTCGGCTGTTTGGAGTTCGGTGCGGATGGTGGGTGGTCGGTGGTGGTGGTGGTGGTGGTGGCTGCCGTTTACTGGCGTGCGTGGGGGAGAGAGCATGTTTGACGAGGTGGTGGTTATGTTGGGTTGGCTGGAGGAGAAGGGTGGTTGGAGGTTGTAGGGATGCGGTTGCGTGTTGCTGCCTGCGGGACGAATGTCTGCTGCTGGTTGAAGACGTGGTCCGCTGTCTGTGCTGGGGAGAGGTTGCGAGGCGGAGTGGAGGGAGGAGTAGGAGTAGTTGGCGGAATGGCGTTTCGACAAGGGAAGTGCGCTCGAGTGGTGGTAGCCGTTGGGCTCGTACGAGGAGAAGCGGTGCAGGTGTCCATTCGGGTAGGCATCAGTCATCGGGCGCCGAGCGTAGTCGAGATGGGACATGCTGTGCCGGTTGGCATGGGTTTTGCGACGCGTGAGGTCCTCGACCTCGTTGATGTTCTTGTGCTCCCAGCCCTGCTGTACCTTGGCCATGGCGTAGCCGAGGCGCGTCTTGAGCGCAATGGCGAGGTCGCCTGCGCGACTGCTGGTCGAGGACATGGAGTCCGTCCTGGCACGGCCGTTGGAGAAGGCGGAGGAGGAGGTGAGAGGGGTATGTGGCAGGCTGGGCGTGTTCTTAATATGCCCGCTTGCGGTTCTCTTGGTGCCATTGGTCACGACGAGCGGCGGAGAGGTGATGGTGTCGGCTTGATTCGAAGCGGTCGCGCTCTCGGAGCTCCGTGCAGGCGAGTCGTCCCGGGTGGGCTCGGTGGCCGTTGCTGCGACGGATGTGGTGGAGGTGGAGTCGGTGTAGCCGGTCAATTGCGAGGCGTCGCTGCTCGTGTCGCGGTACGAGAGTGCGTCGCTCTCCTGCGTGCTCTGCGCGTCGGTCGAGGAGCCTTGCAGGACGGCTGGCGACAGGTGTGGTGCATCGGCAGGCTGCATATGAGTGCGCGTGGCGGGTGGGCGGGATGGAGCGGCATCCGACGTAGAATGCGGGACGAGGTTGGGGTTCTCTGGCGGAAGAGATGAGATGTTCGGAGAGGTCGACATGGCCTCCATTGCTACGGCGAGGGAGTGGGGAAGAGTCCACAGGCCCGGCCTTTCCGTGGGTGGAAGAGGAGGAGGATGGGGGTGGGTGGGTGCATGCAATGACGTTTGCCTGCGAAGCCACGCGTTTTGGGCGACGCGACGAGAGACGGCCGTGCATACGACCGTTTCGCCACACTGAAACTCCGCCGAGAGGGAGAAGCAAGTGGTTTGACGGATAATACATTCAGACATGATATATGGCTATGGAAATGTGTATGGTGGGCCGAGTTCTTCAGAGATGGAGGATACGCATGTCCAACCACGGATTGGGCTGGCACGTGTGCACTTCAATATTCCACCCCCGACGTCTTCTTGCTCATATCTTGCCCACGCCTCGCAGGCTCAAGTAGACATCCGTGCCCCATCCCCACAGGCTCTGTACGGCAATGCCCCCGCCAAAGTACTCGGCGTACGCCCTGCCCAGCGGGAGACCATAACCCAACCCAGCCAAACTACTTCCTCCGCCGGCGCCGCCACTGATCACGTCCAGCGCCATCACGCCTTGCCCGCCGCCGGACACCTTCTCCTGGATTTCATCTTCGTTGAACGTCGTGAAGCCGTAGTTCCACAGCTTGTCGTAGACGTCCGGGCTGATGCCCCCGCCGCGATCGCGAATGCGGATCGTCACTCCCGGCGTGCTCTGCGCAAGCGGTCGGATGTTGGAGTTCGTGTCATTGGGACCAGCCGAGAGATCGACAAAGCCTTGGTCGCGATTGCTGACCGCAGCCAGCTTCTTCGACACTTTGCCGGGCTTGGCCGACTCTGTGGCTGTATTGAGCGCCGCGGCTGCTTGCGTCTCGCTTGCGGATGGAGCAATGGTGACCTCGACGGGCTCGCGTTCCATGCCCGCTTCGATGGTCGCGCGGAAGCTATTCTTCAGCAACTCCGTCAACACATACTCGATGTGCATCGGCACGTGTGCGATGGTGGTCTCGGGCTGGCCGATAATCTTCACCGTCGGCCGCACGCCGTACTTCAACTCGCAAATCTCGCCCACCGTGTTCTCGCACGTCCGAATGAGACTGGCCGCCTTCAACGCCGTGTCCACGACGCCAATATAGGTACTGCCATCCGGGGCGTGATATTGGGAGTCGTTTTTGTTTGCCTCCTTGTGCGGCTGGCTGCTGACGTGCAGCGCAATGTGCTGTTCCGCAATCAACCTAGTACCAATCCTCGCGCGGAGGTGTTCATCCAAGAAGTCGGTGACCTGTTTGGCGGAAATGTACTTGCGCGCCTCCAGAAAGCCCTTGGCGAGCACGGCAATGGTGTTGCTATGCGTCTGCACGAGTTCCGCCACGGCGTCGGTGAACTTGACCTCGTCTTCCAGCGTCTCTATCCTCTTCTCCGCGTACGGCATGATGGTCGACAGCGAGTGGACGTAGTTGCCATGGATCTTGTTGACGTTGGGGTTGGCCACGACAATGTACGGCAAATTTCTCAGACTCTGGATGCGGTGCGCCAGGCGCGAGGGCAGGATGCTGAGGGTGAAGTTGGCGCTGTGCAGCAGGCTCTCCTCCGACAGCGGCGGCCGGCCATGTTTGCAGAGGTCGGCGAGGGTGAGGGGGTGGAGGGGTTGGGAGGCGAAGCGAGCAATGTCGCCGTCCGTCACCGCTTTCGTCTGGACATGGCGGAGGGCGGGTCGCGTGACGAGGGCTCGAAGGGGGTGATGGCGTAGTCCAGCGCCACGGCTGATCATCACCGGCACCTGAGTTCCACGAACGTCGACCAGTCTGACGCGAGCAGCTGGGAAAGCATTGGGGGATGTCGAGGGGGAGAGAAAGACCGGACTTGGTGGGTGAGTCAAGAAGTGAAGAAACACCAAAGCCGGGGTGGGGAGAGGCTGGCGGAGCTGTGGCCAATGGGGATGCTGCCACCCTTGACGTCCTCAGGCATGCCACGGGTTCTTAACGTTGCACAGAACAGTGCAGCAGACACACGCAATGGAGGACGGCGAAGGCACTCATCTTCATATATAGAAAACACAATACAAGAAAGGATCGCACGCTTTCGTAGCACACTCCCCTCTCCCATCCCCATCCATCGCACCACCTCATATCTTCTACTTTCCCTGACACAATGCTCCCGCCCCGTCCAGCGCACGCTCGGTAGTAGCAATGAGGATATTAATTAGTGACATTAAGGGATCCCCGCGCACACCGCCCTCACGATTCACCGTGGAGGCCGCCACCGCCGCCGCCGCCGCCGCCGCCAATCTTCGCTCCGCCAGGCCCCGGACGGGGGGAGTCAAACGTCCACATGCACGGCGTGCGTGCGTGATCGTCTAACCCCTAAGCGAAAACCCGCCCTTCTTCTTCCCCTTCTCTTCCACCGGTCGCCCGCTTTCGATGCGCACCTTCTTCTCCTCCAGCTCCGCCCGCTGCGAGTCGAGCTGCTTCTTCATCTCCGCGTGTCGCGCGTACAGCTCCTCCTCGCTCTGCTTCAGCTTGTTCTCCTTCTCCTCCACCTTTTGCTGGAAGACCATCTTCATCTCCTGCTCCATCTTCGCCAGCTTCTGCTCGTGCAGGCTGCGCTCCTCCTCCTGCTTCACCGACGGGTTGACTTCCTTGAACACGCTCGGGTCCTGCGCGACGCCCATCTGCGTCAGCTTGTCGGATCGGTAGTTCTCGTACAGGAAGTTGTTGGTGTGCTCCTTCAGCTCCTCCATGTGCGTTCGGATGAGCATTTGTCGCAGCTTGACAAAGTCGCAGTGCTCCTCGTTGTCCACCTCGATCGTGCCCCACGGGTAGCGGCGTCCGCGCACCTTGCGGCCTTCGGGCGTTTGCACCTCCGTGTTGGCGCCCACCACGGCAAAGGGAACCTTGGACATGATTTCGTTGTTCTCGGCAATCGTCTCCTCGTCGTCCAACTCGTAGCGCGGGCCCTCGAAGATGTGGATGTTGTGGTGGTGGATATCTGCGAGGATCTGTTCCTGCCGTGTCAGTACTGCTCCATGGGTAGATTGTCTGGGGAAAGGCTTACACGCTGCTTGAATAGTGCAATCTCCTCGTCGGTCAGGGTGTCGGCCTTGGCAATGACTGGAATGAGGTTGACTTTGGTGTGAAGGCGGCGCATCACCTCCACATCCAGGGGCTTGAGAGAGTGGCCGGTGGGCTGGATGAAGTAGACACACGCGTGCACTCGGTTGTCCACAATGTTCATCCGGTTGATCTTGTTCTCGGCGTCCAGGTAGGCGTCGAATCGCTGCTCGATGTTCTCGATGATGGGTCGCCACGAGTCATCGTTGTTCACAAAGTCGCCAAAGCCCGGCGTGTCGACCACGGTCAGACGCAGGCGCACCCCGTTCTCCTCAATATCCGCGCTGATGGCCTGTATGCTGACGGTCTTGGGCGCAAAGTCAAGCGACGGCTGCTTGCGCTCCCTGGGTGGGTACAGAGAGGTGTTGAACAGGGTGTTGACGAGGGTCGATTTGCCGAGGCCGGATTCACCTGTCGGGCCGCGTTAGTATTGGAACATTGTGCATGTGGTGTCGTCCGCAGCAAACTCACCAACGACCATAACGTTGAAATTGAAGCCCTTGCGGACGCTCTTGCGATGCCATTGGTTGGGCAGGTTGGCGAAGCCGACGTAGCCAGTGAGTTTTCGACGCACAATATTCCTCATGTCACTGGCTGCCTGCGCGGCCGCCTTGGGGTCTTTCGAGGTCACCGTCTGGGGGGTCGGTGAGCCGCCATTGGGAATGGTGTTGCTGGCCGTGACCAAGGGCGAGGCGGGCTTGCCATTGGGGATGCTGGCGGAATTGGGGACGGGCGAGGCTCGGTTGGGGGGAGGAGTAGGGGCAGCTCCGTTGGTGGATGCTAGGGATTGCGCGTTAGTTGGCAGAATGGTGACGTGTGTGACAGACGTGCTCGGTCTTCGTGGCGGTGGAGGGGAGGTGGGTGGACGGGGGCAGAGGGGGCCATCGACGGCCTTGTCGATGGTGCAGCACCGCGATGAGGCTGATTGCGAGCGAGACAGCATCTTCGCCTTGACACGTGCTTCTTGGACCCCAGAAGGGCAAGTGTAGGCGTGACACGCGGGCGGTGATGGATGGGGTGATGATGCAGGGAGGAAGGGAGGGAGGGAGAGAGGTGAGGTGAGGTGAGGTGGCTTACCCATGGCGAGTGCAGTCGGCGAGGTGGGTTGGAGCCGCGAAACGTGGCGCTCCTTCTCCAATGGTCTGTGGCAAGGGCGACAGAGTCAGCAAGGCGTGGCAACAGCAGTGGCAGGCGCAGTATCGCGACAGCCACGCGCGGTGTGGATGGTGTGGTGAGACGAGGGGACGGTCATACAATTAAAACTTTTGTTGCAACCCCCTGGTCGTCGCGAGGAGGGGCGCGGTCGGGAAACGAGTGCTGACTGGGGATGGCACGAGGGTGGATGAAATGGATGCAGTGTCGGTTGGGCGTGTGGGAGGGAGTGGGCGGGATAGAGGTGTTGTTGCTGGAGGTGATGCAGTGCAGGACGGAAATGTCACAAATTGCACCGTTTCCCCTTTCTCGCGCCTGCAAGTGCTTCGGGGGGGTCGGCGGGTGGTCCGTGCGTCGGGACGGCAGAGTTCCCGACAGGCCAACAGGGTTCAATTTCAACGGCCGCCAGTGACGAAGGCCTGCAGCTGTGGTGAAGGCGATCCTGGCACGGAGAATGCTGGACAGTTTAGTATGACATCTGTACAGCTAGCTTCCATCATCGTACAGACCAGCTGCAGACGTCTGCCGTCTGCCGCCGTACGGCTTGCACCGCACCAGCTCGGGACTGTGGTCGAGGGATGCGCCAGTCCTATGCGAGCCTGACGATTGGACGAATCGGCGGGCGAGAACCAAACATTACGGAAAGCTTCGATCCACCCCCTCACGTGCGTCCGCGCGTAAAGCTGACGCTTCTTGCGCCTTTCATACGCCGTGTTAACACAGAGACAGCTGCTATCATAACTTTCCCAATACGCTATGCCCTCCCAACTCCTCGCCAAAAGACTACAAGCGCTGCATGGCTGCCTTGTTCACGACAGCGAAGCCAGAAGACTGCTCAGCTGAGTCTTGTCATACTTGACGTACTTGCCCTTGCCCTTGTCCACCTCATGATACCTCTCCCAGAAGCGCGTGTACAGGGGCTCGATGAAGGTCTGCACGTCCTTGCCAAACTGCCGTCGCACCTCCGCCTCCATCTTGAAGCTCTTGTGCTTCGTCACCAGCTCGTCGAAGCTGAGATTGAAGTTGCGGAACTTTTCCTTGATGCCGTCCTTGTCTTTGCCGGACATCGACTTCACGACCGCTGCCGAGTCCACTCCCTGCCCTGTTGAAGGCGGGCGCGGCTGCTTGCTGGTGTATTGCACATCGAGCAGGTGGATGGATGTCTCCTTCCACGCATCCGTGTAGAGTTGTGACGCCTTCTTCTTCCACCCGTCGATCTTGGGCTGGTAGTCGTAGAGGAGAGAGCTGAGCTCGGACGACTTGATCATCCGATCGACCACCGCCACGTTGTTGGCGAGGAAGACTCCTTGCACGCTCTTGCCTTTCAACAGCACTTTGCTCCTCGATTCCAGATTGGATAGTAGTGTATCCATGGTGTCGGTGCAGTAGGCAGAAAACAACAGTTTCCCGTCCGCTCCAACGTCAAAAGATTTCAATGTGGGGATCGATGCAGCCGAAGTGCCTGAGGATGGAGCCGACCAGCCACCAGCACCCAGGCTGCGCATGATGCTGCTGATGGGCGAGAGGTAGGTGGACATGATTTGCAACCGCTGCATCACTTCTGCCGTGATCGGCACGGTGTTGCCATCCTGAGGAAGAGTTTGCATTTGCTGGATTCGAGACCGTACCTCATTGAGGAGGGTGGAGAGCGAGGTCTTTGCCGTTTCTCGCACCGGCCGAAGGGCCTCAATCATGGCCTGCTTCAGCTCTCCCGTCCGATTCTCGAGTTCGAAAGAAGTGTTTGAGACCACGTCGACGATTTCATACGCCAGATAGCAGTCGGTCACGATGTTCGACTTGACGTGGTTGTCAAGGTCTCGTAAGGTGGACGAGAAGACGGCCAGAGACGCTTGACATGTCGCAGCAAACACGGGCCGCCATTCATTGCGATGGAAGATCTGACAGACGTTGTCGTACTCGGCCAAATACATGCCGAGGATGCCATGAGCATATGTGCCAACCCCGTTGCTGCCCTTCTTGTAGATGGCGTCTGCGCTTCCCATCTTGCGCGCAGTGGAGAGCGAAGCGGCTGCGAGGTTTTGCAGGGACAGAGTCATGTACTGTCCCCGCTCGTGCGTGTAGACCTTGGCGGTGGGAGACAGCTCATTGGGCGATGCTTGCGAAGCGTAGCTGTACACCTGGGCGTTGATGGTGCGAAGCTGGGTGGTCTTGTTCGAAGGCAAACGGGGAAATTGAGCGCCCTTCATAATGAAACCCAGCGGTTCGATGGGCTGGCAATCCCGCCGGCATGTCTCCCTGAAGGCCTCCTCCAAACTCTGGGTGCCGAGTTGCAGTAAGCCGGTCAGCTCGGAGATTGCTTGCTGGTTGGAGCGCATGTTGGAGTTCTTGAGCTCCCGCAGCGCCTGATTTGTGCGGTCCATACTGGAGATGTATTCGGCCAGGCCGACGCGCTCCGGGCGACTCCTGAGGATGCGCTCCTCGGACTTTGTCATGTCGAAGGGCTCTCGCGCCCTCTCGATGGCCTCCAGCAGCCGGTCGACGTTGGCGTTCATGGTCTGCAGCTTCTGTGTGTTCCCATACACCGGGCCAATGGCCTCTTGCACCGTGCGCCCACTGACTTCGAGGCGCGACATGGAGCCCTGGATCTTCCGGGAGAGCGACTTGAGCTTGTCGAGATTGGCGTGCAGCACCTCCACCTCGGCTGCCTCCTCGGCGAAGGCAGCGCGGCGTGGGGCTGGCATGGTCGTGGCCATTGCCCAAGTGGGCCGGGTCTATTGAGATTGGAGGGCCCGCGCAGGTGGTGTGAGAAGGGTAACAGAGGTGTCGTGTGTGGATGTGGTGAGGTCGAGACGGGCGAAGCTTAGCGGTGGCTTGACTGACAGCGCTCGTCGGGCCGCAACGGGAAGGTGTGCCACACTCCAACGGCCATGCCTTTCACATGCAAATCTACCAGTCTTTCCCCTGCATGTGGTGGGAAGCCTCTTTGCTGTCCCGAATGATGCATTCTACCAGCACAGCTCCTGCCCAGTTTATGTGCCATCATCCAATGCTCGGTGCTTACTCCGCTGCCGCTCCACGCCGATTCCAAGCCGTCCACATGACGTCGCGCGGCGTGTGTGGCTGAAGTACCCTTGTGGCGGGTAACTTCATCCGACACGCTAGGACCAAGATTCTATCTTTCCATGTTCAACACTTCACTCTCTCCTTGGCCCGCCTCGATCTTTTCTCCTTCACACATTCCTTCTCTTTTTTTCATTTCGTTTCTGCGTGCGCGATTACGTGAGGGAGAGGAATTTCCCCCTTCCTCACCCTTCACCATGCAACGCACGATCCGATGGCAATTCTACACCAAAAGACAGAGGGATATCGCTCTGGGTTTGCTCCTCGGCTCTTCCCTCTCCACCGGACTCGGCGCCGCATATTATTCTCGACGGCCTTTGCTAGCACATGGCGGCTCCCTTGAGCAGTCCAAGTCATGGCGCTCCAAATCGACCGTCATCTCTTCCGACTCCTCGACTTCCAAGAACCGCTCACAGGCCTCCGCGGACAAGAAGGACATCCAGGCGCCCGAGAGCGCCAAGAACACGCAGGACCCTCCGCTACAATCCCACGGCCACTCTCCGTTCGAGGGAAAAGACGACCTGCCCGAGGCGCCTACTTCTGCCTGGCAGGAGGCTACTAAGCGTGTCGCTGCGGTGAGCGACAGCTTCACCGGCTTCGATTTCGCCTCCATCCGCTCCAAGATTACCGATACGATTCTTCCATCCTGGATCCGCATGCTCCCCGAATACGTGCACAAGGTGCAGGATGAGCTGTCCGGCGCCCCATACTCCCTGGGTTGGGAGATCTGGGAGGATGCTCATGATGCCGAGATCAACCCCGAAATCGTCTGGGACGCAAGCGTCAGGATTTCTCGAGACCTATGCTCGCAGGAGCAGGACTTCCGGCAGAAACGCCTGCAGTTTACAGCGAAAGCCCTGGCCAAGTACTTGAACGTCCCCGAATCCGAAGTCCAGCCTGAGGATGTACCGGTGATTGCCATGTGTGGATCGGGCGGTGGACTGCGAGCCCTTGTTGCTGGCGCGTCGTCTTCTTTGTGCGCGCAGGAGGCAGGTCTTCTCGATTGTGTTACTTATACCGCCGGCGTCAGTGGCAGCTGCTGGTTACAGACTCTTTACAACTCTTCCATCGGCCAACACGACCACGCTCGGGTCATCGAGCATCTCAAACACCGAATCGGCGTCCACATCGCCTATCCGCCCAACGCATTGAAGCTCTTCAGCCAAGCACCCACCAACAAATTCCTGCTCAGCGGCTTCGTGGAGAAGCTACGTGGCGTGCCGGACGCGGATTTCGGCGTGGTCGACATCTACGGCCTACTGCTTGCAGCCCGTCTGCTCGTGCCCAAGGGCGAGCTCAACGTGAGCGCCAACGACCTCAAAGTCTCCAATCAGCGATACAGCGTACAAAGTGGTGCAGTGCCAATGCCCATCTACACGGCCGTCCGTCACGAGATCCCCGAGGAAATGAAAGGCCACATCGCTCCGTCGCAATCGGCATGGTATACTACCAAGCATTACGACTGGTTCCAATGGTTCGAGTGGACCCCGTATGAATTCTTCTGCGAGGAGCTCGGTTGCGGCATTCCAACGTGGTCGGTTGGGAGGGGCTGGAACGGAGGAGAAACGGTGTGGCGAGACAATGGACTCGCTCTACCCGAGCTCCGTGTACCTCTGATGCTGGGCATTTGGGGCAGCGCCTTCTGTGCGACCCTTTCGCACTACTACAAGGAAATTCGGCCCCTCTTAAAGACCGCCGGACTGGATAAGTTGGACGGTCTGCTTGCCGGGAAGGATGATGATCTGGTCAAGGTTCATCCTGTCGATCCAGCCCTGATCCCCAACTTTTGTCTGGGGTTGCGTGACAAACTTCCAGACACCACTCCGGAGAGCATCCACAGCGAACAGCATCTACAGTTGATGGACGCCGGCATGTCCAACAACCTGCCCATCTACCCCCTGCTGCGGCCTGGACGGGATGTGGATGTCATTATTGCATTTGACGCCTCGGCTGATGTCAAGACGGACAACTGGGTCAAAGTGGTGGATGGCTATGCGAGGCAACGAGGCATTCAAGGCTGGCCAATGGGTGCGGGATGGCCGCCTCAGACCAACAGCAGGGAAGAGAATGCTCAGCAGCTCGAGGACAAGCAAGACGCGAATCACTCCAATAACCACGAGGCCTCGCAAACCGCGGAGCAGAACGATGAGATGGAGGAGTCCGTGCAAGTGACGGAGAATGATGAAGATCTGGGCTACTGCAACGTCTGGGTGGGCCAGGTGCACGAAAAGCACGAATACATGGATGAAGTAGCGGGACGCCCGGTGAGGGGGGAGGACGATGAGTCGCACTTGACATCCCCAGACGCAGGCATTGCTCTCATCTATTTCCCGTTCCTGGCCAACGACAAAGTGTCCGGCGTGGATCCCATGAAGTCGGACTTCATGTCGACGTGGAACTTCGTCTACAAGCCTGAGGAGATTGACAGCGTCGTCAGGCTTGCCAAGGCCAATTTCGAGGAAGGGCAGGAGCAGACTAAACGCACCGTTCGAGCGGTGTGGGAGCGGAAGAAGGCGAGGAGGTTGCAAGGGGAGACGGAGGAGAAAGAGTTCCAGCGAATGGCGAGGATGGTGCACACCGATGGAGTCGGCCAGTGGGACCATTTCAGTGGCCATTGAAGGCCATGATACCGATTTTGAGGCTGAGATTGACCATTGATACCCATTATAATCGAATGAATAGCATCTCGCGAACGACATCTATGTACATTCCAAGTATTGTACTCATATTTCACATGAAGATCGATATGCACCCCACAATATAGATCCGCTAGCGTGGCGCCGATCGCTGCCGCCGCAATCCGGTTTTGTCACGACTCAAGATAATTCCGCCGACAACATCCCTCATTCCCGCATTGTTACTTGGCCGCCCGGCAGAGCAGCCCGCCATCTCGCAAGCATGCCCGAAGCGGCACAACGCGAGGCGCTCATCTCGTCGACGCGCGCGGCAGAAAGCGAGCCCGATCCTCACCGCGCCGCCGCAATCCCTCCCTGGGTGCACGCCAACCACGACGCCGACAACGCAGCGCAAAGCGACCCATTGCTGACCACGCTCACCCCTTCCAGACCCAACACCCGGCACTACAAGCCGCCGACGACGCATTACAAGCCGGGGCGCAAATGGGACCACTTGCGCAGCAGCGAGCCGCCGCTTCTCAGCGGCCCGATTGCCGAGCATCAAGAGCGGTGGAAGGGGTTTATGAAGTCGGGCCCGAACCCGTACGAGGCGCAGGGGAGAGTGGTGGATGCGGCGTGGATGGAGGAGAATATGCCGGATCTATTGCCTGGGTGGCAGGATGAGAATGAGAAGGAGTCGCCTGCTCCTGTTGCGCATGGCGTCACGGCGAAGGGATTGATGTACAAGGGTAAATGGCTGATTAGTCCGGAGAGGCAGGAGAAATCTGTGAGGTTGTTCTGGGTGAGTGTCGTCTGCATGCAATCATTGTGTGCTGTAGAACATGGGACCACATCGGCTAACGTCTCCCCCCTCCAGCGACTCTTGCTCAAGAATGCATACGTCCCGCTCATCTTCCGCATCACCGTGCTCGCCTTCACGGCCGCGGCGCTAGGCCTGGCCGCGGCAATCTACATCAACGTCGACAAGGTGAACAACGACTCCGACCCCTACAACCAATGTGCCACGCGCGCCTCCACCTTCATGGCCATCTGCGTCGGCTCCATCGCCGTGCCCTACATCATCTACGTCACCTGGGACGAGTATCTCAGCAAACCGTACGCATCCCCCCCTCTCCCAATCAATTCCCCATTCCAACCCCAAACCCTAACAGCACCTCAGTCTCGGCCTCCGCTCCGTCGCCGCCAAAGTCCTCCTCCTCCTCTGCGACCTGTACTTCATCTGCTTCGCCTCCTCCAACCTCAGCCTCGCCTTCGACGCCCTGTACGACCACCGCTGGGCCTGCTACGACGAGCACATCACCAACTCCAACCACACCGCGCACATCCAGGCTACCTGTCCCAATAACACTGCCATCTGCCTTAAGCAGCGGTCCCTGGCGGGCGTGCTGGTCGTCAGCTTGATTGCGTGGTGTGTGACGTTTAGCATTAGTGTTTTAAGGGTTGTCGAGCGGTTACGGCCGGATTAGGGGCGGGTGCATTCATTGGGATGCTTGTTTTGTGTGTTAGCGTTTTGAGCGTAACGAGGTCCATCACTCAATATGCATTCTCGACGAAATAAAATCTAGGGCAAACGATATCCAAGAAGAGATTGTTCTATTCCAATTCAAGGTACCTAAGACAGTATCTAAGAAGAGATGATTATTCTTGTTGTCAAGGTAGATCCACAACACGTCTCTGCAATCTCTCCGTTTCGTCCACGAGATCGCATAGCATCAACTGCCTCCATTCCCATGAGCCTGGAAGGCCAAGTCTCTCAGCTTCCGCGAAAGCAACGATTGACTCTGCCCATCCACTTTCCGCTCTCGACTGCGATCCCGGTCGAAATTAAACGGCTCATCGAGTTTCCGGAAGGCATTCAGAGGAGCAGGCAGCTCCCACACTGGCGGAGAGCCAATTGGACCATTCGCTGGCCCTTCTCGAGTCTGCTCGGAGTCTACGTCCATGTCGTCTGCAAACTGCCTGCTCGCGGGGCGTGATTCCAGCGTCGGGAGAATGGTGCGATGGAAAGAGAGAGGCTGCGACGGTATTTGCGGCTGGATGTTGTACTCCGCCAGGGGAAGGGACTGCGCGAGGAATTGCGGATGCCGGGGAGCCTCAATGGACGATTCATCAATGGCACTGCGTCTCCGCGCTGCGCTACCAGGTGTGGTGTTCGGCGCCAAACCGACATTCGACTCTCGCCCTGGTCTGTAGGTGCTGTACTTCGGCTCGGGCAGCTGGATCTCGTTCCTTAGTTTCTCCTTTCCGTCAGGGACGCGGTTGGCGAAGACCACGCGAATGGATTTGTGCAGAAAGTACCGGCCTTTGGATGGACAGCAGATGTGTAAGTGGATCAGGTATCTCAGCATCGGCCGATCGTTCGGATCATCATCGGCGGGTATCGAGGCTTCCGGTCGGTCAGTGCCGAGGTTCGTCCGGGACGAGAGCGGCATGTCGATGATGGGGCCGGCAGAGTAACTGCGCTGCCGGATGAATGTCTTTTGCCCGGGCTCCATGTCGGAGAGGTCGTAGGGGACGAGGAAGAGCTTGACCGCGGTCTTGTTGGGATTCTTGATGACGATTTGAATCTGTCCTTGCTGCGGAATGCGATAGCTGCCGCCGGGTGGTGCTCGAGGAGAGCCGGAGCGGCGCTTCTGCTTCTGCCGTTTGCGTCGTCTTGCCTGAACTTCAGACGCTGTATTGTCGTCCGCTCGATTGTGCGAGCTGGACCTGCTCCCTTCATTGCTGAGAGTCCCTTTCGCCCGACGACGCACCTTTTCAGGCGAGGTCTGCGCAGGTGGCAGGCTGTTCTCCAGATCTATCAGGCCTACGTATGGGCTTGGCTGATCGGTGGAGTTGACAATTCTCGTGCCCGAGCCGTAGCTGTAGAAGACCGCTGGAAATGGGACAGTCGCGTGCGGTGGGCAGAGTAAGTTGGCCTTGCCCTCCCCTCGTCCAGAGACGCCAATTTGGGCAACGAAGTTCAAGGGTTTTGAAGGGGTGGTAGACATGCGACCTCGCAGGATCGATTCTTCGTAAGAGCCGACCATGGCAGCGTGGTGCAGGGGCGAGTCCGACAACGACGGGCGGCGCGCGCGGGAGATGGGCGTTTGTGGCAGGCTTCCAAAGGAGTTGATTGACCGCCTTGGCTGGTGGGCTTGGTAGGGGTAAGTCCGTTCAGATCGGAGAGCTGGCGGTTGACGCGTCGAGGTTGGGTAGTCTAGCGCGGAGCTGCCTCGTAAAAGGGCGTGCGGCGAGAATGTATGCCGTCTCGACTTGTCTGGACTGCGCGATTTCCGCCTCGAAGCCGGCTCGGGGGTGTCGGGCCTCGAAGACTGCACCAATGGGCTCGTTGGGGGCTTATATGCGAAGCTAGAAGCAAAAGACGCACTCGAGATCGCTCTAGACCTGGCCTGGGAGGAGGGATGCGCAGCAGGGACATATGAAGCGGGCTGGCTGCGACGCAATGCCGCCGTGGGGAAGTCGGAGTGCCATGGAGCTACGGGGGAAGTGGCGAGGGCGGGGGTCGTATCGGCACGTCCATTCTCGCCGAATCTTTCAAAGGCGGAGGAGGTGTCTGCTTTTTCCCGAAAGTCGCCACGATGTAGGGCAGACCGCGGTCGCTCAATTTGCTGTCCGATGCTCTGGTTGTCTATCTCGACTGGGGTCGTCTTGGGAGCGGGTTCGGTTGGCTTGGTGCTCGTTTCGTCGAGCGGGGATGGTGGGACGTTGTGCAGCGAGGGCTTGGGAGAGAATGATCGCTCGAGTTCGGGGGAGGTAGGGCGAGACTCTCCTCTCTTGATCCGCCGAATGAGGTCCTGACGGTCTATGGAGACCGACTTGTTTCCACTGACTGGCGTGCGTGGTCGGCCGGTGTAGAAGGGATTGAAGATGGAGCCTGCCGCGGGCTGATGGGCATGCTGGGTGGGCGAGGCTGCTCTTTGCTCCACGAAGCCTTCCGGCTGCTCATGCCATGCTGCTTGACATTCGGGGCAGCCGTGGTGCTTGGCCATTCCTCAGCTCGGAGCCTCGTACAGCTCCGAGCAAGTCCGTATGCTGGCCAACGTGATGGACACGGTGTTTCTGCTTTCCTGTGTTTCTGCTTTCCTAATGCACGTTCCGCGCAGTATTCCCAACTCGAGTAGCCACGCACTTGCGGACGAGGAGGGGCAAGACGGGCAAGCAAGGTCGGGGCGGGCAAGGTGATGGGTGGGTTCAGACTGCAGACACCCGAGTGGCCTCGATGATGGTTGGCTGCGGGGCGGGCGGGAAGGTGACGGGATGGGGTTTGCAGGTACTGCGTTGAGAGCCACAGTAGTGGAGGGAGTCAAGCCGAGTAAGCGTGCGTGATAAGACGTGTGTGGTGTGTAATCTCCGTTGCCCAAGCGTGAAGGCGTCACCAGACAGTCGGCGCCCAGAGGTGGGGAAGAGTCATTCACAGCCGCCGCCACGCCCAGCGCGGCGCGGTCTGAGCTCGTGCCTGCCGCTTTCGGTGCAGTGCACTGTCGCTCTTTCTTATCTAATCACTTCTTGCGCTTCTTTTCACATGCAATCCCGGCAACCTCACAACCTATTCCCCTTCTCGATACCTGCACCCCCTCCACCATGTCGGAGAAACGAAAGCGCGCAGGAAATGAGGAGACTCGACACCCTGCAAGAGCAGAGAAGAAGGCGAAGAAAGGCTTCCAGGTCGGGCCCGCCAACCTTCCCGATGGAGCATATAAACGAAAAGGTAGACCTCGCATTGCATACCTCACCTTTGTCAAGAGCTTTCAAAGCTGACCCCAGAACAGTCAAGAAGATCAAAGCGAGCCTCATAGAAAAAGCACAAATCAAAAAGCAATACTCCAAAGTGAAGCGGCAACGCGAGGAAGCGCAGGAGGCGGAGAAGATGCAGCCCGCACCATCACCGCCGCCGGAAAATGTCACGCACGAGCCCAGCACGGCGCCGCATCCTGATCGCCAGATACTCATGGACAACGAACCAGCACCATTCGAAGACGATCGGACTCCGGCAGAAAGCAGAAACCGCAGGCGCAAGCCCAAACCTGTCCCGTTCAAGCGTGAATACGAACAGGCGCAGGTGCGGAAGGCCGAGGCGGAAGAACGTCAGAAGAAGCGCGAGGAAGCGGAGAAGCAGCGGGTGCAGAAGGTCGAGGACAGGGAGCGGTTCCGGAAAGCTATGGCGAAGGCGAGGAGTGGCGGGCCGAATGGGCAGAGGAAACTCGGGAGGGAGAGCAAGGTATTACTGGAGAAGGTGAAGAGAATGGTTGGAGAGGATGGTTGAGTCTGCTAAGACCTCCACTCTATGTCGACCAATTACTTCCCACCGTTCCGACGTTCGATAATCGAACTCATTTGATGTCCACCAACGCCTCGCTACCCGGACTCGGGTCAAAAACAGAAAGTGAACCCCGTCCTTCCTCCCTTTCAATCAGGGTTTCGTGGATGGCTCGATGTGGGCGACCAGGCCTGCCCTCGATTCTCCGGCGAATGTGGCCGGTGTGGTCGAGAGCGGGGAATGTTGTGCGGGGCTGTGTGCATGCCCACCTACAATGCCACCGGTAGGGATGAACGATCCGCTCAAGTCGGATATCTGACGCTCTACGCTCACCCATTAGCTTGCGGTGCCCCAAGGACATTCGAAGCACGAGGACGTGCACTTACCCAGATCGCGTATTCGCTGCTTCAGCATCTGATTCTCGCGGGTCAACATCTGCGTCTCCGCTTGATAGAAGGCAGTCTCATCCCGCGTGCCGCCCAGGAAGAAGTCTTCATTCAAAGACCCAAGAGTACCCGAGGCTGGGCGTAGTGCAGGCGAGCCGCTATGACTGTTGGTGCCGGCATTCGACATGCGGGCGGAGGATTGTCGGGAGAGGGAGTGGGGCCGATTGATATGAGAGTACGACGCAGGGAGCCCGGGGATGGAGGAGCGGCGCGGAGATGGATTGTCGACGTGGTTGGTACTTGTGGCGGGAGTGTTCAGCGTGGAAGATGGAGAGGGGAGCGCAGGTGAGGCGGGCGAGGCATCCGGCTGGCTCTGCGACTGTTGTCTCTGGATCTGCGCAATTTGGTCTTGCTGGATGCGAATCATGTGCAGCAGCCGATTCACTTGTGCTTCCTGTTCATTCTCGAGCTCTTGATGAATCTCACCCAGACTCGGCTGGCGCTGGTGGTGGGGATCTGCGGTCCCATATGCGATCGACCTCCTTCCTAGCCGGGGACTACTCCTATTGCTGTCATTGCACTGCTGTAGTTCGCCGGGCCCGGGCGTCGTGGGGTCGTTGATGGAGAGGTTGTTCATGAGGCTAGATCGTCTTCTGTCCAGACCGGGGCCACGGTTTCCCGGAGAGCTGTTGCTTGGCGAGCGTTGTAGGCCGGCGTTGATCGTTGCTGCCGCCTGTAGCGATGACAGAGAGGGGGATCGTGGGGAGGGAGGGCGGGCGAGGGAAGCGTCAGAGGTGGTGATAGACACGCGGCGCGGTCTTTGTTGAAGTGGGATGTTTGCAGCCGATGACGGCGGCAGCGAGTTGATGTCGGGAGACATGGTTGATGCCACTGCCAGATGATGGGTGATGGGCGAGAGGGTTGAGTGCTGTCTGACGATTCAAAACATCATTCGTGCCCGCAGTGAAGAGCAGCAGTCGCACAAAGGAATGATGCAAAGATGGAGTGGATTGTCTTGTCGATCACCAAAAGCCCCGCGCGTGGCTTGGCAGCAAACGCGCGGGACTGCAGATGTCATTCTCCGCCTCTCTCTCAACCCCACCTCTCCTCGAACCTCCTGCCATCGTATCTAATCTGCCCAAGCAAACCTGATCCCGTGACACTGGAGGTTCTACTCCTTCGGAAATCGTCATGTCACATGCATCATAACGCACACCCGACCGGACGGCTATGTACCCTGACCCCAGCACATTTTCCCGCAAACTTTAGCTCCCGCCGATCACCAGGAGGGCCCCCTGCTCCCTGGAAATGATGGCCGCAGGCCCAACAACGCGTCGCGTCGACCAGCAACATTCATTGAATTAAACGCGCCTGCAGGCGTTTCTTCCTCGTCAGGCTTGCCGTCTGCCTAGGTAGGGCTATCTCCAGGTAGTCACAGGGGTGATATGCGACCCCTGCCGCCACTTCATCAACCCCGACACGCGCGTGTGAACGCTATCCGTGGAGACGATTCCGTGGTCCAAAGGGCCGTCATGATTGGGGATGGCGTTGAGGAGCCCCAGCGCGCCCTGTCTCGGAAGGGTTCACGTCCTGCCCGTTTTTGACATCTCCTATTCTCCTACTTGGGGCCACCCGGCTTTAATTTCCTTTGCCAATCACGGCACCCGTTTGTTTCTGACGCCACCCCTCTCCTCTCTTGCGCTCGTAACCCGTTTCCTCTTCCGCCACTCGTCAGCAGCTGCCCTCGCGGTCCGACGGCGCGTGCGCGCGACCAACCCGCGTGTGGTCGGCTCAATTTCATCAATGCCTTCGCGTGTCGATCCTTCGATAATCTGGCCGCGCGCATTCTTTACGCCTGTTCTCCTTGTTTGTTCATTGCCTTTGCTTTGCTTGCAGTTCGCGCCCTGTCGCTCTCAAAGACGGGAGTCAATGCTGCTCTCCATTCATTTCTGTAATCTTTCTAGTACTGGTTCGTCATTTCACAACTACTTCGAACCACGAGGCTATCGGCTCGACCGCGTTGGAACGTCTTGAGCACTACCCTCATGCTGGCTCTGCTCTCGCCCCAGAGCTCGCTGTTGCTCCCACCACACTGCCTCAATGGAGCCGGGGACCTCCTTCTTAAGGTCGCCATCGCGGAGTCCTCAATGCCCTCCGGTTGATTCAACGAAAGGTTATGCCAGCGCTGAAAACCGGCAAGCAAGGCTTCACAGAGGTCAGACTCTGCGAGTACGACCGTCAGACGTCCCCGAGGATCCTGCGCCGCTCTCGCCATTGAACCTGTCCATGCACTCCCAACCCACACGCCGACCCTCGAAGATTTCGTTGTTCCACCTCTTCAGCCGTCCGAAAGTGGAAAAGCAGCACGGCCACTCCGAGCCCATACCCAATGCTCAACCTCCGAAACAGGACAAACCCTCGCCACCAGCGTTGGTGATTCAAGTGCCACCCACAGATGCTGTTATCGCGCGGCCGCCCAGCATCGTCTCGGTCAAGACCACGGCCACCAGGACTTCGAGGATGAGGCCGAGGGCCTTGAGATCTCACTCCACCCAAGATTCCAAAACGCCCTCGTTCGAGCCGCCTCCGCTCTTCCAAGTCTATCCTCAGGCATTAAAAGAGGGAAAGTTGGAGGTGTCTTCGATTTCGGTGGACACCTTGAACAAGGCTAGAAGCAAGAATTCTGGGAAACATGGCAACCCAGATCAAGACGACAAGACTAGTGGCGAAGCGAGAAGGACGTCAACTCCAAAACACATCCCCGGTGGCACCACTGCCGCTGTGGAACTGCCACAGAAGATATTCGTTCTGGTTACTTCCGGTTATCTGCTGCAGTATAGCGAATCTGGCTTGAGTGATCGCTTGCCGGAGAAGGTGCTCCATCTTGGCAAAGACTCCGCTGCCTTTGCCTGCGATCTGGTTCCTGGCAAGCATTATGTGCTTCAGGTATCACAAGCTGTCGACTCCAACGGTATCATTGTCGCCAACTCCGGCTCCATTCTGGCGAGGCTTGGATTACAAAGCGCTGCGGCAAAGCGGATGGCATCGAGCCTGCTGCTGGTCATGCCCGATGCGGCGGAGATGGAATCCTGGATGTTGGCCATCAAACGAGAAATCGAGTCACTCGGCGGTAAGAAAGTACAGAAGGCCGGCCGCGCCGGAGCGCAGTCGAACGTGCCGGAGCTGCCGCAGCTGAGCAAGACCTTGAGCCATCGATACCAGATCAAGAGGCATCCGAGTATGATCTCGAGTATGCCCCCATCTCCCAATCCCGACCCAACGCTGGCTTCATTCCCCTCAGGAATAGTGGACGACGATCGATCTGACACGGCTACCATTGACGACATCGAGCTCGAAGCCGCAAAGCTGGACAACCATGAGGAATGGCCTCAGCTCGTGTCCCAGGCGTCTTTCGAATTTCCGGAAATCGTTCCTCCACCCTTGGTAATTGTCGGGCAGCCGCAGCACGGTGCTGAGCAAAACATCTCCACCGACACCACCATGGCTTCATCGAGCGATCAGGAGCGAGAGACTACAGCTAGCACGGCACCCGATGATGAAGGGAATGCCTCAATGCAAGCTATTCCCACATCTCAAACAACACCCACCGCATCGAGCGAGAATAGCATGACAGCAGACTTGCCCGCGAGTGAAGCTCAGAGTCAGAGTGGGGTCCGCAAAGCAGCGCCGCCACCACTGTCACTGAACTCATGGGCACTCAAGCGAGCAGACTCCCCACTGGTGGCGGAATCTCCAGTACTGCCGCATATGCCCATTCTACCACGAAGGAATCCCAAACGAGTGACGAATTCCTTCAGCGAGCCAGACTTGCAGGCTACCATGATCAAAAGAACCAGACACGACTCGAAACTTCCCCCCTACCTGCCGCAGCCATTGCTAGCAGAGGGCGGCGTCTCTAGAAGTCCTGACAACGCTTTGGAGTCAGCAGCGTCGACCGGCTTGGCTCTTCCCCAAATCATCAATACAGGAAACTCCGTGGTCAAGGCGAATGAGCCGGGTAAAGTGCGCAAAGTGGCCTCCTTCTCCGTGCCGTTGAGGGTCAATCCCTCCGCCATACAAGGCAGCCCGCATGGAGGAAACGTCAGGCGTCACTCTCGCATGGATGAGTCGCCGAACCGAAACAGTGGACTGGCGGTGCACGCTCTCACTCCACCGGAAGAACCGGCCGCGGTGCCTCACGATACGAGCGCCCACTCGGCGCCATTGTCTACATCTCCTCCCGTCCGCCTGTCACTATTCCCGAGCAAAGAATCATCGTTGCCACCGCCTGGTCATGTCAAAAGAACGTCTTTCGTAACCGCACAGCAGTCTACAACAGCCCCAGATTCCTCAAACAGCGGATCCATGCGCCGACCCATGAGCTTGCAAGCTGGCTCGGGTCACCCTCCTCACCTCTCGTCTGCACGCAACTCTGTCGGAGCCTCAATTCCACCGGCCACAGGCGCCACAGTACCAATCCGCAGCATGAAGCCCTCGCGCTCAGCAAGCAATCTCGAAGCCCTCTCCTACCGCCAATCTCAACTGCTAGCCTTCAAGGCCTTGAAATTCGACACGCCTACGCTGGCCGAAGAAGCAGAAGACGCCGAAGGCGAAAAGGCAGACGTGTCGATGCCGCTGCCCATCGAGCATCACACCCACGTCTCGAGCGTGCATTCGTCCCGACGCAACTCTTCGGCGAGGAGAAGCACGAGGAGCCGCACGTCGCTCGCGGACCTCGATCTCAACATTGCCATGGCGAAGTTTGGGCCGCCGGCGCCGCCGCCTCAGGCGCCGCTTCCTGATCCGCCGGCTGCTTCGAGGAGTGATAGTCCGATTCGCATGCACAGGAAGAGCGGCAGTGTTGGTTCACTGAAAGGGCTTGGTATTAGTGTGTCGTAGATTCGACCCGCTGGAATGAAGGGTTGCTCATTAACGCTCTGTAATGACTGAATTCAAGTCTGCCCTCGATGGTACCATCGAGCATTGCTGCATTACAACTACAGATCGTGTCTCTCTTTCGACTAGGTATCATCGTGAGCCTCTGTGGCAAAAAAAGGATGCAAAGCCTCGGACTATCTATAAGCCTTCGTCTCCTTCTCGCACCACTCAATAAACCGCTCCACCTCCTTGGTCTCATCCACATCCTTCCGCAGCGTAACAAAGCGTCCCCAAGGCCCAATATACGCCGCCTTCGTATCCACCTTGCCCGCCTCCTCGCTCCACCCGGCAAACAGCTCGGTGTAGGCGCCAAAGTAAGTGGGAAACAAGATGGGGGCGATTAAGAAAGTCTCAAACCACTTCATACCGCGCTGCAGCTCGCTCTTGAGATTGCCCGGGTTCCACGCATTACTGACGATACCATCCTTGGAGTGCTGCGCGACGTACCCCTTGGCGAGCAGCACGTTCGCCCCCTTGGTTTGAGCATAGTTGGTCATGCTCTGGCCATGCAACTTCGGGTTGCCCGTCTGCTCGTCCCACGCTACGCCGCCGGTGGGACAGAAGCTCGTGGCGAGCGAGGCGGCCCACGTGACGCGCACACTGCCTGGAGAATTGGATGCGGCGGTCTTTTGCAGGAGAGGAGTCAGGAGCTGGGTGAGCAGGTACGGGCCCAGACAGTTGGTCCCGATGGTCAATTCGTGGCCGTGCGAATCTTTGGAGCCCTGCGCGGGCTGCATGACGCCTGCGTTATTGGTGAGGACATCGAGGCGTTGCTCGCGGCGGGTGAACTCGTCGACGGCGGGTTTGATAGTGGCCAAGTCGGAGAGGTCGAGTTTGAGGAATTCCACGCGGCCGTCGGAGGAAGGGTGGGCGGCTTTGATTTCGGCGAGCGCTTTGTCGCCTTTCTCCTGCGAGCGGCCGGCGACGTAGACGGTGCCGTTTTTGCCGTACAGGATTTTGCAGAGTTCTTTGCCGACGCCTGCGTAGCCTCCGGTTACGATGAAGACGCGGCCGGCTTGGTTGGGGAGGTTCTTCTCTGTTAGGGTTGGGGTTGGGATGAAGAAGCACTGGTGGAAGACGTCGCGCCAGAAAGCCATTGTGGGTGGATGATGACAGGAGGGAGTGAAGATGCGGAGGACAAGAGAGGCGAAGGGTGTTTGAATGAGCGATGGGGAGGGAAGTGAAGGCCGCGTTTACAATTGATGATGCAGTACACAAATTTTATGCACGTTGCTGATCGGTGGCGCTGGTGTACTTCAGTACCTTATCTTACCTTAGAATGGAAGTGTTCCGTGATGGCTCGGGCATTCTAGCAATACCTCCCAATTTGGACACACTGAGAGATATATCTGCACTGATGGGATGTCAATGGGGCTGGCTGGCCTTAAGCAAGCGTGGTAAGCAATCTGGTGACATCGAACAAGAGCCAGCCCGGGCCAGCAATGCAAAAAACGCGGTACAAGCAATGGAAATTGGACGCATTGACGTCACGGGAATGCGCGGCTCCTGAAGCATCGACGAGCAAACACCCATCCTCTTACTGAAAGATGTACGGCAGACTCGCGTGACTTAAGAAGTGAGAAATGTATGAGGGCAGTGTGATTCCAAGGTACGGCGGATGGCACTTGCCCAAACCGAGATGAGCAGCAGCAGCATGGCGGGGTAAATCGGGCAAGGAAGGAAGGTGCAGCTGGGCTGAAGCCTCGAGGGAGTGGAAAGTGGCAGGCGCGGGCTCGCCTACACCGACTGTGCTCTCTTTACTTGTCACTCAGGAAAAATCACGTGTTGGAAGAAGTGCAGCTCAAATCAACACGAGCTTGTCTTCCATAATTGACAAATGTAGAATGGATTAATACGTACATGTCGTGTCGTGATTGATGCTGGACCAGCCGCTGCCGCCGAGTGGATGATGCAGGCGAGCCGGATGATCTGTGCGCGTCACGCTAGCCTCAGCACCTCACGACACGTCGAAGCATTCCTCCGAAACACGCCCGCCCGCACCGCGACCTCGTCCCTGCAATTATTCCTCTCCCTCGCGGCGTGCGGGTGTGTCGAGTATGTCCATTGACACTGCACGCTTTGTCACTGTCCTTGCCATTGCCCTACTGCCATCGTCCTCTTCCTCCCCCAGAGCGCGGCTCAGCCTCGCGTACACACTACACGTCTGACTTTCTCCCGCACCACACGCGGCTTTTTCCAGCCACCCACCGCGTGTTCGACCTATTTCACCCCCCCTACGCAATGGCAGACCGCAGGCCCAACCATTGGCCTCCTCGCAACATGCCTTCAACAGGGTCTGGCAATGCTGCACCTCACCCAGCTCTGCTGCCCGCCTTTGAGCCATTCTCTTCCTCACCACCCTCCGCCCTGCCTCGACCTTCGAAACGCAAGATCGACGACGTCCTAGATGATAGAAAGTATTATCCAACACCTATCCCCACCTCGTCCACCGGCATCCTTCCCTCCTCACCGCCACCACCACGTCAGACGCGTCCCGGCCTGCAACGCAGCGTCTCCGCCCTCTCCGAACGCGCCCCGCTCGCCGACGTGCCCACCCTGACCCTCCCCTCCTCCGGCGAGCCCCTTCTCATGGGTCGTTCCAGCAATTCCTCCGACTACCAGATCTCATCGAATCGCCACATCTCACGCGTCCATATACGCGCCTCTTATTGCCATCCCGACTCTTTCAACGTGGCGGGCAAGGTGGAGGTGGAGTGTCTCGGGTGGAATGGTGCAAAGATCCACTGCAGGGGCGAGATTGTCGAGTTGGCCAAGGGCGATGTCTTCGTGTCGGACAAGCCATTGGCCCAGATCATCGTTGACGTGCAAGATACGCGTGTGATGCTGGTGTGGCCCAAGGGTGAAGCACGCGAGTCGGTCTCGGCCGAGGCAAGGTCTCCGTGGGCAGAGGAATCTCCGTCGAAGCGTCGTAATACCACGGGCGCCGAGTTCGCGTCGAGCCCGCCGCTGTACACCATGCCACCCCGCCTACACTCCCCGGTCTCCCCTACACCAGCCGTCGACCTCAACTCCAGCTTCTCTTCCACCTTCCGCGCCGACCAGACAGAGGAAGTCAAGGTGTATGTGGACGCCGGTGAGGACTCAGAGGCGGATGCTCCTCATGATCCAACGCCTTCGCCATCGAAGACGTCTCCTCACGTGCCCACGCCAGCCCTCCACGCTAGTGAAGAAGTGTCGCGTGCCACCGATCCGGAGGAGTTCTCGGAACACGACGAAGAGAATGATCCCGTCGTCCACTCCTTCGGACCCTTTGGCGATAACATTCTATCCCGCTTCCAGTCCTTCCAGCCCGCGTCCCCAGAGCAGGCCCGCAAGCCGTTGTCCGCCTCGACGAACCCAGCAGCCCACAGCCCACGCAAAACCAGCCCGGTGAAGAATCACGTCATCAACCAGCTGGCGTTTTCACGCGTACACTCCCTGCCCCTCTCGACCATCCATAGCAACCTGCCGGCCGAGCTGCGTGGTGCCGTCGCCAAGACATCCGATGCCGAGAACAACGCCGCTCTCACTGCTGCAGACCTGCAGAGCATCCTCGACGACATTCCGTGCGTGGGTGAGATCAGTCGCGAGGGCAAAGACGCGGCAGGCAAGTTGTTGGAGAGCGAGTTTTACTACGTGCCGGAGATGGACACGGACGTGAACCGTCGCGACACCGTGACGCAAAGTCTAGGCAAGACTAGCATCCGCGCTGCAAGGAAGCAGCACAAGGTATGTTGTCCTCCATCTCGCAGACCTGTGTGTGGTGCGTGTAACCGTCTGCTGACTCGTATTCCGCTCACAGCAATACTACTGGAAGCGTCCAAGGAACTGAGGGGTCGCTTGACCTCTCCCGACCTTTCATGCTTTCGTCTGATGTTCGGGGCCTGTATGGGCCTCTTCCGTTTCCTCTCTCTCCTACGTCGGATCGACTTTGCATAGCGGAGGCGTTGAGTACGGCACTTGCGTTTCGTGAGGTCGGAAGCGAAGCATCTTTATCGTCCAGCAATGCATTGCATGAAGGGGTCGTGATATGACTGATGTCTGAGCTCGAAAACAAGAATGTGAGGGGTGCGGGATGGGAGAAACGGGATGAAGGCGTGTCCGCGTTTTCGACGTACTCTAAAGGAGAGCGTGTAGATGGAGAGGAAAGAAGGAAGAATGGAGAGGAAAATCGTAAAAAGTCAAGGTTGTCTTTTCCGTCCCATTCACATTTCAGACGTGTCACATGTCGCCCGCGGGGTGGCCTGGCATTTGACAGGTGACGTAAGCGGTGTCGGTCCGCGCTTAACCCTTTTCGACCTCGACTACATCATGGAGGTCAACTGCACAAGAGGCAGTAGGCATCAGAGTAGGGTAGAGACACCGTACTCCTCCGTCACCTTTCACGAACAGCTCGTCAATTAAAGCCGCAGCGCAAGCAGCAACATGCGTCTCCTCCACCTCCCTGCCCTCTTCGCCCTTCTCTCATTCTCCTCCGCCCTCCCCACAACTGCCTCCTCCAAACCTCTCCCCCTCCTCATCTGGCACGGCCTAGGCGACCGCTACGACGCAGAAGGCCTGCACTCCACCGGCGAGCTCGCGCAAAAAGTCCACCCAGGCCTCTACGTGTACTACATCCGCACAGACGAGGACGGCAGCGCCGACCGCACCAACAGCTTCTTCGGCAACGTGACGCAGCAAATCGCGCAAGTGTGCGCCGCCATCCACGCCGACCCCTTCCTTGCTCCGCCCGAAGATCGCAAACACGAGGACATCCGCGTCGATGCGCTTGGCTTCAGCCAAGGCGGGCAGTTCCTGCGGGGCCTCGTGGAGCGCTGCGAGGGCTTGAGCGTGCGCAGTCTTGTTACGTTTGGCAGTCAGCACAATGGCATTGCGCAATTTCAGAAGTGCGGGGATTTAGACTTCGTGTGTAAGGGTGCGTCGGCGCTGGTGAAGAATAATGCGTGGACGGAGTACGTACAGAACAAAGTGGTGCCGGCGCAGTACTATCGGCCGCTGAATGAGAGCACCGGTGGGCCGACGGACGGGTACTTGGAGCACAGCAATTTCCTGGCGGATGTGAATAACGAGCGGGCGGAGAAGAATGCGACGTACAAGGAGCGCATTGCGGCGATGGAGAAGTTTGTCATGTTCGTTTTTGACGAGGATGAGACGGTGGTTCCCAAGGAGACGGGGTGGTTTGCGGAGGTGAATGCTACGAGTGGAGAGGTGACGGATCTGAGGAACCGGGCGATTTACAAGGAGGATTGGCTGGGGTTGAAGCAGTTGGATAAGAAGGGTGGGTTGGAGTTTAGGGCGACGAAGGGGCCACATATGCGCTTGACGGACGTGGTGTTGAAGAAGACCTTCAAGGAGTTCTTTGGACCGGAGCGGAAGACAAAGAATGCGGCGGTTGCTCTTGCTGATAAGGCTTGGAGGTATTTCGCGCACCAGGATGTGTTGTAGCAGTACAATGAACGAAAATGGTTTAGAGGTGTTTCAGTGAGCTGTCTTCTCTTGACTTCGAATACGGAACGTCGTACGGTGACGGTTCACACCATCTTCTCGGCACGACGTCTCTCAGCCCATATCGACAATCTCCTTCGATGCACCAACCCACCCCACACGCCTCCCACCACTTCGAAAGAAAGCGATCCGTTTATTTGATCTTCTTCTTGGGACGCAGCTGATTGCTGTGTCCGCACTTCTTCTTGCGGCAGTTGGTCGCTCGCGGGGGAAGACGGGCCTATAAACACGTATGTTAGTGAACGCAGTCCACGACCCACTCCATCTCTTTCCGGAGAGAACTCACGTAGCACTTTCGGCAAATCATCTTGTCGCAGTTGTACTTGGACGCCAAAGCCTTGAGCGAGGGCTCAATGATACCGCCGCGCAGACGCAGGACCAAGTGCAGCGTGCTCTCCTTCTGGATGTTGTAGTCGCTGAGCGTGCGCCCGTCCTCGAGCTGCTTGCCGGCGAAGATCAGGCGCTGCTGGTCGGGCGGGATGCCCTCCTTGTCCTGGATCTTGGACTTGACATTGTCGATCGTGTCGCTGGACTCCACCTCGAGGGTGATGGTTTTACCCGTGAGGGTTTTGACGAAGCTGTGAGGGGGCGGGTGTTAGTGTGGGTGTTGCAAGGGTGGTTTTCGGCGAGCGGAGGGGGTTTCGAGGGACCTACATCTGCACTACGCACACAGTCAGTATCGGAATTTGTGTAGATCAGCGTGTGCTGCGATTTTGAGATGGAACTTACTGGTTGCGACCTTCAATCTGCTTGATGTGGTGGATGGCGAGGTCAAGAGTGAGGGATGAAGTCGCTCATCGCCGCTTAATGCAAATTCGGTGGTGGACCGCGCCAAGACTTTGCCAACAATTCCTGCCTGAGGCAACAACAAACGTCGAACCCGCATTTGAGCTCTATGCACAGGAAGGTCAATTATATTCTCACAAACGCATACATGTAGGATATCTCTTCGCAATCTCTGGTTCGTGATTCATTCATTCATGTAGCAACTGCTAGACCATCTCTCTTCTCCAAATAATGCCCCTTCACATCGTCCGCCAATTTGCCCTCCGTCTCGGCGATGATGGTACATACGAGAGAGTAGTTGTTGTACAAAAATCTCTCGCGCTTCCTCGCCTCTGCAATGCCCTTGCTTAGCTTCGTCAAGAAGGCTTCGAACTCATTCCGCAGTCTACCCACGCTGTTGGAGACCGGCTCATCGTCGCCCGCTTCACTACTTAGCGCGAGTATTCCTTGTAGAAAGTTGGCGTATCGTTGCGTCAGTGCGTGAGGAGTGGTGGACTGCGCACTCGAGGAGGAAGCGGTCAGACTTAGTGCCGAACCGCTCGGCCTCCCGGACAGGGCTGCTGTTGCTCGCCGGATAGACTCGCAGTGGGCATCGATGATGATTTGGAAGCGCGGCCAGAGCAGCATGTTGGTTCCGTTGATGTAGCTTTCGACAACGGGAATCTTCCGCCGCTGCAGTTCGAAGGCCAGGTGCTGGTTGAGTCGGACACACGTGAGCACGCCTAGCGCGTCGAAGCTGGCTTCGGTGAGTTGTTTCGTCAGGGCGAAACCCAGATCCAATGCGGGCTGGAAGATCTCGTTGAAGTTCCGATTGGTCGTTTGATACGGCTGTTTGGAGAAGAACTCGGTGAGAAAGGCGTATTCAGCGGACGCGTTGTCCACGAGTGCGAGGTTGAAGGTGCGGAAAGGCACTTCCAGATAGTGCGTGCCTTTGTCATCCTCGGCAACATAGGCGGGCATGGCTGTATAATTTGGCGTTTGCAGGATATCCCTACGACGCCCGATGGAGAAGGGGTCTCGGCTCACGCCCTTTGCACCTTTCGTCGAAGTGGTCTCGGATGCAAACGACTCGGTCTGATCGATGGTGTGCAGACTCAGCTTCTCCAGTGCCGCTTTGTATCGCGTGAAGTGGCTGAGATAGTACCAGCGCATGGTGTTGATGTAGGCTTGCGATATTTCTTGTCCAAGCTGCGGCTGTCTCTTGGCAAGGAAGGCAAACACATTCTTGTATTGCAGGAAGCTGTTGTGCTGGATCACTTGCGCATTAATGCTGGGCGAGCGCAATGACTTGATCTGGGCGACGACAAAGTCCCGTATACGCTCCACCGCCTTTGCCGAAAGATCTTCGATAAACGGTCGGACATCCTGCAGAGCTCGGATATCTCGGTCCTCTTTCAATTTGGCATCAATCGCCGCGGATCGTCTCTCCAGCTCATCCAACGCTTTTACCCATGCCTCGTCTACACTTCCTTCCGAGATTTTGCGGACCACCGCAGCTGGTATTGCGAGTGCCTCGACTTCGGGAGCGAGGACCTTCTCTACCGCCTTACGGTTGTGCAACTTATTGTTCAACGTGGCCGACCGGTTTTGTAAGGTCTCAATCTCCGCCGAGACATTGGCCAGGTCGGCTTGGAAGGAGGTCAAGTATGTCTCCACGGACTTGAGGACCTCATCGCACGCGAGGATGGATTTGTGCAGGTCCTCGAATTTGTCTTTCTCATTCTCAAAGTCTTGCACAATGGCAATGTCCAGCCCCGCTCGTAGAAGCAGCGGAGTGGATTGAGGAGCAGTGTTGGCGAACTCGCGCAGACTGAGGCCGTTGAACTCGACTTTTTCGGTCAAAGTTGTTGGTCTGCCGTCTGAATGGACATCATTTGTACCGTCGGTGAGGTCTTCATTGCGCAAAGGGCCCAGGATGTCCCTCAGGATATCGACCGGGGAAGATCCATCTTGAGCAAGCGAGCTAGCGAGTTCGTTCTTTAAGCTAGAGCCATTCGTGAGTCTTGCGGTACTGGGGAGACTCTCGGTCGAGCTGGCGAGTGAGGCGGCGGACAGGGAGGAAGTTCTTTGATTCAAGCCTGGTCTTCGAGGGATTGTGCTAGGCCCCAGCTGGATGGATCGATTGGGAGCGGGCGAGAAGGAGCGATTCGGGGTGGCAGAGGGCGTCGATTGACTCGACTGGCCGGAGAAGAGGTGCATGAGCTGTTGTGAGGGTCACTGGAGTGTGTCGTGGGCCATTTGAATGCCTCGCGAGCTGGGCGACTCTGTACAGCACTTAGCCAGACGTGGTTGCCATGTGCCCTCGCCCCTTCCGGCAACTAAGCCGATGGGGATTGGCTCGCCTACAGGGGTCCAGCGAGTAAGAGCGCACACTTCCGAATCCCCAGGCCCCACCTTGTCCGCTCTGCTGCACCACCTTTTTTCACAATCCATTTCGCTCGGCCGCCGAATTTCACCCCTCCAGACCTCTCCTCTCCCACCACCTCACCTTTCTTCTCATCCTCACACTTCCATCTTCACCAACATCCCTCGGCAATCATGGCGGACAATGACGCGCAGGTGAGTGTCCCCCGAGCCCCTCCATATCGCCGCACTGCTTGTCCCGCTTCCCAGGCGGCCGCAGCAGTGCCTGGGCCCTCTTGCGCCCTCCATCCCCAAAGCACCACTCGCTGACCCTGACGTTGCTCAACAGCATGATGTCACCTTCGAGAGCGCCGACGCCGGTGCCTCGGCCACCTTCCCCATGCAGTGTTCCGCTCTGAGGAAGAACGGGCACGTGGTGATCAAGGGCCGCCCTTGCAAGATTGTCGAAATGTCCACCTCCAAGACCGGCAAGCACGGCCACGCCAAGGTGCACATGGTTGCCATCGACATCTTCACCGGCAAGAAGTTGGAAGATCTGTCCCCGTCCACCCACAACATGGACGTCCCCAACGTCTCCCGCCGTGAATACCAGTTGGTGAGTCTCGTCCTGCCAGGAGTGCGGGGTGTCGACGTGCTAACACATATGCGACAGCTCGACATCACCGACGACGGCTTCTTGTCCCTCATGTCCGACGACGGCTCCACCAAGGACGACGTCAAGGTTCCCGATGGCGATGTCGGCGACAAGATCACCAAGCTCTTCACCGACGACGGCAAAGACACCAGTGAGTGCCCACTTCTGCGCTTTTCTTCCCCTTGCCCACCCCACTGACCACGTGCGTGCCGCAGATGTCATCGTCCTCACCGCCATGGGCGAGGAGGCTGCCATCGATGCCAAGGAGGCTCCCAAGGGTTAGATGCTGCCTGCACATACCGGGAGAGTCATGAGCGACGATGAAATAGTACAAAAAATGGGCCGTGGACCTTTTCATGGCAGTGCAGTGAGCGGCATGGGAGAGTGGGGCAAGCATGGCAAGCCATTGCCGCTTTTCAGGGATGGATATGTATGCGCGGTTCTCCGACCTGCATCGTGTTGGATGCGATCTTCTCTAGATCAACGATATCAAAGTTTTGTGTCGGATCGCAGTCCTTTGTGCCGTTCATTTGTCGTGATTTGTGAATGTGCTGGCTTGAAGTTGCTGCCTGAGGCTCGCCAGCCTGAAAACACTTCACCTCCGTCTCCATTCATCTCGCTGCTACATACATTTGTTTTGTCGCGCACCGACATGAACGCGTTCAATTCTCGTCTGTCTTCGATTAAGAAGCTTTCCAAGTCCCGTCTCGATCCCTTTCCTCATTCCCATCTCCAACCTCCACAGTCAACAATGATATCCGAGTAAACTGACGCATGTCTTCCACGCGCATTCGAAGGTCAGAGCCTTGCACATACGGAAACTGCGGCTCGCGACGCTTCCACATCGGCGACGATGGCTACACCTACTGCGACCAAGGCCATCAACAGTCAGACGTATCCTTTGGCCCTATCTTGGTTCTGAAAGCGGTGGATAACTGACGTTTTGCGCAGCGCGGCACTGTCATCGCCGAAGATACTGGAGAAATCGTCATCCACGGGCCAAAGTCGAGACGGAGAGACTCTGATGCAGCGTCTGCTACCAGCAGGAGTGAGGACTGCCTTTCTTCGCCTTGGCCAGATGCGCTGACTGACTTGGAACAGCATCAAGTTACAGTGGTCCTCGCGCGTTCGAGCACTACCTGCTATGCGCTCAGCTTATCCTCCGAAAGCAGCTGCGATGGCTGATCGAGGTCCAGAAGCTACCGGAGGAGCTTGAGGTATGTTTACATGATATTCCACCAGCAGCTACGACTACTCGGTCGCTAAAGCGCAGCAGATCCTCGTCCGCGACTTGTGGACGCTTCGACTACAAAGGCTACAAACGAGAACGCCTGCCGCGTACACATCCGGATCCGACAATGAAGCACAGTCTTCCCAACTCTTCAGCTCGCAGACTGAAAGCGGAAGCGGCTCGGAGTCGCAGAGTTCCCGGCGAAAGGGTCGGTCAGCTAAAGAAGCGCGACGTGAGGCGCCCAGTCTCGTGGACGCCCTTGCGATATGCTACGTTGGAGTGCTACTGCTGCGCATTCCTCTGACCGTCACAGACTTCACCAAGTGGGTGAATGACGGCGATCTTCTATACTACCGTGCGCGACGAGAAGTCCCGTCTGGGATGCGTCAACGTCTGCCCGGTGAATACGAGCGACAACTCGAGCCACTGGATTTGCTGCGTGGCGAACTCCTTCACCAGAAGATCCTGGAGACCATCACATTGCTGCACGATGGGTTTGGCATGGCTGTGCCGCCGATCAACACTTCGCTGGTTCTACATCGATGGTTGACGGAGCTGGCACTACCGGTGGAGATCTTCGTCGCTACGCAGAGACTTGCTCGAATGGTAGGAATGGACTTTGCATACGATGGACAAGATATGCGTGTGATTCTGCGATATCCCGAGGCAAGGCTCATGGCGCTTGTTGTTGTGAGTACTAAGCTGTTATGTCCTATGGATGGAATCCAGCGACAGCCTCAGTCTGCTCCCGGCTTGTCTGCAGTCTCGGTTGATTGGGAGGAATGGGTGAAGATGCACGAAGGAAAGGACAGCGGGCGACATGACAAAGGGAAACTCACCTTTGAGCAGGCTTTCAGCATGGACGAAGCAGACTGTCTCAACGCTGACAACGAGACACTGGACGCTTACATGGATTGGTACGCCGACAATATCGCCAGCGAGGAGGTCCGTGAGCGCGGTGCCGCTGGTAAGGACGCCGAGTTCAGGCGTGCTCTCTTTGGTCTTTTCCCGCAAGAACCACGAGCGAGGCCACTCGGAGATGTAACTCCTTCTTTCCAACCCACCGACAAGGGCAACCGTCTACGCAGCCTGGGAGAAGCTCTCACTCTCGACAGTCCTGTACAAGGAGATTCGCATGAGGCCGAAGTTCGCGAGCTGGGCAGCTTCTATCGTCGATACCGAAGCGTGGATGAGCTTTCGGGGCCGGCAAAGGTGTTCTTCGATAAGGCTGCCGGCCTCGCTGGTGTATCTGTGGATTCTATGGTGCAAGCGGTGTTCGTCGTGGAGCGGAAGCTGCAGAAGCAGGAGGAGGCATTTCGCAAGAGTAACGGCAGCGCAGGAGAGTAATATATGAGAGGCATGATCAACGTTAACAATGAGTCGTGAACACAATGGACATTCTATTCACATCCCCCACACTCCGAGGCCTTCCCTCCGTCATCGCTTGCGTATTGTGTACACAACAGCCCCCGCCAAATACGTCAAGTGTGGTAAATTGGCCAAAGGATGCGGGAGACGCCCGAGCCGGGAATGGAGTTCGGCCATGTGGAGCGAGACAATTTTAAAAAGACGTTGACGACGAGCCCAAAAGCGAAGTCATCGCGAGGAGATATTTTGCGCTTGGACGTCAATATTGCGGTTGGATTTGCGCTTGCATGGGGGGTGATATGGCGATGACATGCGCGGGACAGGAGAGGGAGGGGCATATGTCATTGTGCAGAGGGGTGATGGAGATCTGATAGTCTGAATGCCGGCAAGGCTAAGGCTTGATTGTGAGTAGTAGCATTGCATGCAACCAACAAGAGGCCAGAGATGAGCCAAGACCGAAGCAGACAGGGTGGTGCTGGCCCTGTTTGGCTCCCCTGGCTATGCTCGCGTGCTGGCCCTGGACATGTTATGGCTGAAAGTGGCCCGGGTGTGGCGTTCTTGCCTGTCCCATTCGGCGAATTTGTTAATTTGCTTCCTCCCAATTTGGGCACTTCCCTTCCCGCTGCTATTTTGGCCCGCAACCCCACTCTTTTCATGGTGACCGCACTTGATGGGCTGTCATTTGGGGTTGACGTTGGTGTTGCCCTCTGACACTAATCGCTGTCTCCGCGGCCGCGGCAAGCGAGCCAATCGCTCCATCTGCCATGCCTGTCAATGTCCAGAGCGCCCATGCAAGGGGTGGATGGATGGCGCGGAGCAGACGGCTTTGTGCACCCATCCGAACCGCCGCGGCCCCATGCATACTCAATCACACTCGCGCCATCCTCGTGATCCTTTGCCCGGCCGAGAATGACCGACCGATAGCCACGCCGATCCACTGAGGCGCAACGCTCAATTGCAAACGGGCAGAGGCCGGTGATTGCCCGTCAACGCTCCCCCCACCCCATCCAGGCATGTGGTCGCCCTGTCCTTTACGTATACGGTAGGGTGGCATCCACGCCCTCCGCGGTACCGATCCGCAATCGGAAAGTGACAACCATTGCCTCGTCCTATTCCATCCCAATGGCTTGTCCGTGCCCGCCTGATCGCTCGCTTTCTAGACCACACGGTCGGCTCTCTTCGCCCGCCTGCCGCCGTTGCCCTGCTCCCGTCTAGCCTGTCGTCATTGAGACGAGCCACTCAGCATCGCCGCCTGCAACTGCCCGTGTCCCATCCGGGCGCTGCATCGCCTTTCCTATCCCTCTGGCGTTGTTGCTTGTTGCCAATCAAGCCCTTTCCTCTTCCCCTTCCCCTTCCCCCATGTATTCGCAGATCCTCAGGAGGTCTCTCGCCGCATTCTTTTGCAATACTTCATCCGCGCGCTGCCCGGCTCTGAGCCTGCTGTTTGTCTGGCGTGTCGAAAGCTGATCGCCCGCCGCATCTTTTAGAGCTCGCGCCGCGCCCTTTGAGGAGGGGCTTGTTTCGAGACAAGTCTGAGACAGCTCCAACTTTTTTGACTCAGATCATACGCCCCGGCGCCCTGGCTAGTATCACACACCCACTCTCTACCCCACCGACCTGGTTGGATCTACCTGACGCACCTCAAAATCTGCACGACAAACGGGCGCTGTGCGGCTCACGCGACTGCCTAACAGCCACGCTCACCCGGACGGAGCATCATCGCCGTCGGGCGCGTCACGGTGCAACACCTCCAGCCTGCGCGGGAAGGGACTTCAGATCAGTTCACTGCGCCTGAGCGTATCGTTGGTCAGCGTGGTAAGTCTTACCTTTGAGCACCACTCCCTTGCGCGAGATCTCGTCTTCTGAAACCTGGCAATCGCCTTGGCCCTCCTCCCGACACACCTCTGTGCCAGTGGATTGAGCGTCTTGTTTGGAATACGAGATGAATCCGTTTGCCATCTGTGACATTGCCGTTAATCCATTTGTCACGTCGACGAGACAGCCGAAATGCAATGGGTCCTGATGAGCCTGGCTGACGATGAGGGTAGACACGGTAGCACGATCGGCCGTTTTCGTCGAATTGCCGTCCGCCTTGCCACGGTATTGGTGTCGGGAACGCGCAGCAGCCACGCACCAAGGCTCGGGATCCGGCGACGGAGCAGCCTGCAATCTCCTGCGAACGACGGGAAGACGTAAAGGCGGCTTCAAAGGCTTCGTCTGACCCATCTGTCACCCAACTTTGGATCGATTCACGCCGATATCGTCCACCATTCCTTTGTCGCTGCATGTCGGAGACGGGTAGCTGCTGATTCGCACGGATCAGGCGTTCGCTCGGAGTGAACAGGGCTGTCTGGCCTTGCATCCCTTCTGCCGCTCAACTCTTCTTACTTCTTCTGCGTCGTACCAGCCGCAGCGTCCTGCTTCTGATCATCTGTCTCTTGTTCCAGTCGCAAAGTGGCCACTCGCGAAACTGGCATACTACGGGCGTATGCACTCTCAGGTACGTTGTATCCGATGGCTGACACGCGAGTGCCGGCCTGTGAGTGTACCTCTTTAGCCCTGTCTAACAAGGCGAGAACAGCTCCGACGGCGAGATAGCAAGGCTGCCATTGCGCTCGACAGAGGTGATAGCAATCCCTTTGCAGCGAACGAGAGCTATCAGGTGTACCAAGACTTCGGGCCCTTGGCTCATTCCGAACCAAGGGGCCAGGCGGTGCCCATGTCGGAGTACGAAAAGACCCCGACGTTTGGCGTGTATGGTGAGTCGATGATTCCTTCCTCGAGCCATGTACACGTGTGTCGTGCTTTCCTCAATCTTCTGGCAACTACCTCGGTGGTGGCGTTTTCCGACCACGCGCATGAAGAGCAGGCAGCAGGATGAGCAAATGACTGACGTCTTATCCGTTTCCAGAGTATCACACGGCCAGAAGACCCAGCCCGGCACACGACTACCGCTCATTCGCGGCCACCTATCAGGCATACCCTGCAAGCTATGGAGGCCCACCGTCTCAGGTGCCTTCAGGTCTACCGCAGTTGGCTGCAACCTCGCACACCCCCACCGCACATCAATACAGCCCGCATGATCCTTCGCATTATGCGCCGCAAAATGTCCAATACTCTGGATACGTCGACACTACCGCCGCATCTCGCCCGCTGCCAGAAGTGATTTCGTACAGCCCGGTTCACGGACAAGCCGGCACGAAAGTTACAATTCGCCTGCGATCCGGCCATGATCTAGACTCTCCATCAATGACTCCGGTCATCATGTTTGGGCAGAAGCGCTGCCCCGGATTCTTGTCGAGGACTACGAGTCAGCCGAGCACCAGCTTCGATTACTCGTTGACAACAGAGGCACCACCGCTCACGCCCACGAGCACTCCGTCTCCTCAATTCCCGCTGGTGTTGACATTCGAAGACAGCTCTGTCAATGGGCAAGCTTTGTCGACGGAATTCGGGAAGTTTACCTACCTCGACGACGCTACCTTTCAGCAACCCATCCACTCCACTCCTCGGACTGGAACGATGAGGAAGCGCAAGCTCGACGCAGAAGCATCTCCACGACGTTCGCCAACGAAGAAGCCTTCGATGCATAACCTTTCTGCAGCCGCCGGTGCTTACCGCCAACCGGCACCATCATCGCCCGTCCAGCTGCGCAACGCCGGGGAACCATATTCCCACACTCGCCGCTTCAGTGGGCCCGACTTCCAGCAGCAAACTTTCCAGCAGCCGCCTCACAAGCTTCGAGCCGCTCGATCCATGTATTTCCCGTCGGCCCAACCAACGCCGTCGTTGCACGCACCTCCCACGCCTACATGGAGCCAAATGGGAGATCCGCAGCAGCAGGGCAGGCTGTATGGAATGAACAAGACGTCCATCGTGCCCTTGCCATCGCCCAATCCATCGCTGGTGCGAACGTCTACACTGCAACAGTCGCCGACGATGCCTAGTGCTGCCATCGCGCAACCGCAATTCAACCCATACGCGATGATGTACCCTTCCAAAGCCGCGCTCAAACTCGAAGGCGATCTCAATTCCATGACCTACAAATGGACTGCTGAAGAGTGGGAGGCGGGAAGGAGGCTGGTTCAATTCCGACGCAGCCAACAAGGAAGCACCATCAGTGCCAGCTTCGAGGCAGTCACGCTGGAAGACCGCATTCCGAACAGCATCTGTGTGAGCTGCATCTGGTGGGCGGAGAAGGAGGAGTGCTTCGTCACGAGCGTGGACACCATCTCGCTGCTGGAGTCCTTGGTGAGCGTCCGCTTCACGGTCGAAGAGAAGAATCGGATCCGCCGGAACTTGGAGGGCTTCCGGCCTCTGACGGTGTCGAAGACGAAGCAAGACAGCGACGATTTCTTCAAACTGATCATGGGGTTCCCAAATCCCAAACCGAGGAATATTGAAAAAGATGTCAAGGTGTTCCCCTGGCGCATCCTGGCCACCGCTCTGAAGAAGATCATTGGCAAATACGTGAGTCACTTCCCCCCCGAGCCTATCATTCTCGCCTGCAAGCACCCATCATGCACATGAGCTAACGATGCACGCAGTCCGCAAGCTACGCGTCCACCGCCGGCGCGCTGCATGGCCCAGGGCAGCCAGAGCACCAGCAGCAGCGCTTACTTGCATCCCCGCTCTCGACATCCTCCGGTTCCGCAGCGTCACATGGCCAGGCATATGCATCCAGCATGGCCAGTGCCTACCCCATGAACCCCATGGCAACAACGGGACTGGGCATCGTCGGCCTCTCGCAGCCCACCATGGGCGGCCCCCCGCTATCCGATCTGCGGATGACGCCGGTGAATCAATCGACCACATGGCGCGTCTCGCCGCACCACTACTCCGGCCAGCACATGTCCGAGCGCGCCGCGCCGTGGGAGCTCAGCGATGCCTTTGCGCAACCCTCGCCGCAAATCGGCTTGCCGACTCCGAGCATGCCCACCTCCCGCCCGCCACAGCTTCCCTTTTCCGCCCATCATCAGCATCCTCCCGCGCTGTCGCTGCCCTTGACTCCTCGCTTCGTCCCGCTGGAGAACTATGGAGGTCAGAATCAGCAGACATCCAATGCGTGATGACCTTTCCTCCAGCGATGAAGCGCCTCTCCCTTGACACCCCCTTCATTCATTGGCTAAGCCGCCATCCAGCCTTGTGGTCGCACAACGCCGTCCGGCCCCTTTGTCGACTTGTCATGCATGCGTGCAACGCCTACTTGCATGACGTGCAGATCCATGCAGCCTTGTGCCACCTCCGATTGTGGGCCATGGGAGGGGTGGTGGCAGTGATCTGCGGGCTCCACACATTCTCGACCTGTCTGGCAGCCAACCACACCTTACAACACCTATCTCATCGCCTATCATCACTTCTACTGCAAGGCGTATCTTCATGGCGTTTCCCCTCTTCGAACAGCGTCACGCGCGACGCAGCAGCATTTCCCTGCGAGCAATCTTATCACATCTTAATGTCTTCTCCCCCGGTCGTCTTACTGGACCGGCCATCACACCACCCTGCGTCCCGCACGCACTTGTTACACGATACCCACTCTGCAACGTCGCTTGGCAGGACGGAAAGTTTTCGCATCATCAATCTAATGGATCACATATGGGTGTTGAAGGGAAGGAATGCATAATGGTTTCCGAGCAGATATGGGCAACAAGAAGCCCTGTATGATTACGACTGAGCGAGCGCTGTTTTTCACATTGTAGCGAGCATGAGAGAGAGTGAGCGTTGATGCTGCTGGCTGATCAAAATATACACCCCTTAATTTCTAATGGACAGTCAGACGGCGAGGTAATGATACGATAAAAGCACACAGAACAATGCTTGAGCATCAGTCCTTCCTATGTCATCCTCACAGTAGATGAGTGCCTTGAATTATAGCTATCAAAACATATCATCCTCAAACCCCCTGCGCACAACCAAACTCGGACTCGGCTCATCCACCAAACTCGGATCGTCAATCCCTTCAATCTCCTCCTCCTCCTCCTCCTCCTCCTCCTCCTCCTCCATCGTATCATCCTCACCCCCCGCCCCAGCCGTAAGCAACAAATCCTCTACAATCCGCTTACTCGCCTCGCGCGCCGGCGTCTGCAGCAGCCGACTCTGCGGCACAAAGAACTGCATCGTTTTCGGCGGGGACATCTCGCCGTCGCCGTCGGAGGAGTCGTCATCGTCTGAAGAGAAGATGTGCGCGGCGCTGTTGGAGCGGGCGTTGGACTTCGTTGCGCTGTATGTTTTGTCTTGGGGGGAGAAGAGCTGGCGGCCTGTAGAGGTTGTGGGTGCGGCTGTTGTTGTTGTTGGCGCTGCTCCTGGCCCGCCGGCGGTGGTGGTGCGATTTCGCGCGGGGGTGAGGATGGAGACGCCTGGGGTGCGGGGGAGGTTCAGGGCGGTGGAGGGTTTTGTTGGGGAGAAGAGGTCGCTGCGGAGTTGTGGGGCCGCGATGGCAGGGGAGGAGTGAGGAGAGTCGTCCCAAGGGAGGCGTTTGGAGGCTGTGGATGGAGTTGGTTTTGCTGCTGCTGCTACTGTTCCTACTGCTGCGGATGGGCCGGCTTGTCGTTGTCTGCGTTGGGTGTGGGGCGTGGCTTGGACGCGGTAGTTCTTGTCTAGCACGGAGCGATGCATGAGCGGGTCGTTGTTGGTGCGTGGAAACTGGGCGGAAGCCTGGTATGCGGACTCGGGTTCGAAGGGGGAGGATTGCACGTTGGAGTAGGTCTGCGGGCGAGGCGTGCTGGGGTCTTCGGGTGACTGGTCCATAGCGAGCGGATTCTTGCCGGTGTACTTTCTCGGGGAAGGCGAGCGGAGATGCGCGGGTGCTTTGCCGTTCGTTTTCTTGGTCGTCGAGGGAAGTCTGGGCGTGGTCTGCAGGCCGGTGACTTGGGTTGGGGAGTCGACCTCGAACTCATCCTCGTCTTCCTGCTCTTGTGCGCCTTGTTGCGCATAGCCTCCGTGGTCCGAGGGAGTGTCGAGGGCAGTGGATGTGCTGTCGGTGTGCGTAACATCTTCCTCGTTCACGTTCTCCTCGTACCCCGACAAGGAGACATTGGCGGAGGCCTCGAAGAATTGTTTCCAGAACTGCAACACCTTTGTCAGTCGCGGTGGCGTGTGGAGCTTGCTGCAGTGCGAGTACCTTTGAGCCCTCCCAGACGCCATTGCTGTGCTTGGCATACTGCTCGATGATGGGTAGGATGCTGGTGGAGACGATGCGATGCGCCTTGCTGAAGTTGGCGTCGATGTCCTGCAGGCAGCGCGTGATGGACTGCTCGAGATGTTCCAATTCCTCCGTCAGGCTCAAGTTACGGGAGGCGAGTTGTCGCGACATGGCTGTTGTGGAATGTCACGTCGTGTACGGCGCTGCGTGTGGTGTTCCATGCGATTCACCTCATCTGCTTCGCCTTCACGCGTGCAAAAGACACGAAGACGCGCTTGCGGTGGGGTCCTCGTCGGCTAACTTGCCCCAACTCTGCCCCGCATGCTCATCCCCCACTCCACTTCCCCTCATCGACCTCCAACTCCTCCGCGTGCTAACGCTGCCCTGGAAGGCATTTGTTACAAGGATGGCCTGGCAGTTATTGCCGCTCTCCAGAGCCGGGAATGCGGGAGAGCTCACGCTGCCAATTGCTGCCAATGCACCTCCTCTTTCCCTACATCAAGGTAGGCTTTCGCTCAGCTCCATTTCCTTTCCCTGCTCTCCCTCTCATATCCTCCTCGTAATTACTTGAGTCGACACTGCTCTGATCGATTGACACTCTCCTCTGTATCATTATCTATTTGCTGACACACACACACTCTCTCGCATTAACACGAGCGTTCAAACTCAATCGCGATGGGGTGAGTAAGATACGGTAGTTGCACACCAACTTCCCATCCACTGATTCCCCCAAGCAAAACCGCAATCGTCACCGGCTCCAGCCGAGGCATCGGCCGCGCCATCGCTCTCCGCCTAGCCGACGACGGCTACGATGTTGCCATCAACGACGTTCCCGCCAATCAAAAAGGCTGCGAGGAAGTGGCCGAGGAGATCAAGAAGAAGGGCCGCAAGGCCATTGTGGCCATTGCCGATGTGACGAAGCTCAGCGAGGTCGAGGCTATGATTGAGAAGAGTGTCAAAGAGTTGGGAGAACTGAATACGCTGTGGGTTTGACTGTGCTTGCCTTGAGTGTGGTCGAAATGCTGACAACGGGGTTCCTCGGGGACACAGCGTTGCGAATGCCGGCATTGCTCAAGTCAAGGCTCTCCTCGATTTGACGGAAGAGGACTTCCAGCGCATGTTCGCCGTCAACGTCTTTGGCGTCCAGAACTGCTATTCAGCGGGTGCCAGACAACTCATCAAGCAGAAGAACTGCAAGCCCGATGCCCCTGGCAAACTCATTGGCGTGAGTGCTACATCTGCGTGTGAGACGGCCACCCATACTGATCACTCCAGTGCGCGAGCATTGTCGCTTTCAAACCCTTCCCGCTGCTATCCCACTACTCTGCTTCAAAGTGGGCCGTCCGAGGCCTTACGCAAGCCTACGCAATGGAGATGGCAGAACACAACATCACGGTATCCACCCCATGACTCCCTATGGCAAGCCGCTAGCTCACAACCCTCCAGGTCAACGCCTACGCTCCCGGGATCGTCGGAACAGCCATGTGGGATGTGATCGACGAAGAACTCGCCAAGAAGCAAGGCAAAAACAAGGGCGACGTAATCAAGCACTACGTCAAAGAGTTGACCGCACTGGGCCGCACATCGGTGCCAGAAGACGTAGCGAAACTCGTCGGCTTCCTCGCTTCCTCGGACTCGAATTTCGTAAGTGCAGCGAGTAGTGATCTTCTCGAGCCGTTTGACTGACTTTACTCTACTCTACAGGTGACGGGACAGACACAAGTGGTCGATGGAGGAATCATCTTCACCTAGCTTCTCTTCTGTAGGAATCTGTACAGACTCGAGATGAGAGGACGCAGAGCTGCCAGAATAGCCTTCTTCTTCTTCCAGAGTCTGCCGATACGATACAACTTGCACAAAAGCGTGTCTATCCATTGTAGATATCCCTCGCCTTCCCACCCTCGAAGGCGATAACCACCTCATCCTCCACAACCCTTCAACCACATCCACCAACGAAAGCCCCAAGCGTCATGTATCGTGGCGGAAGCGAAGCAAAACCCAAAAACACCCCTAACCACCAAAAGAGAAAAGCGAGAACGAAAGGAACCAAAACAAACAAACTCGCATAGTGGTATATCCCTGTTTGAACTCTCTCCATTTTGTGCCCCGCCCGTGCCCCCCGCCCATCCGCCCTTCTCCGCACCAAAATGCAGCATTGCCCTCCCCCCCCAAACTCATCATCATTCTTCACCCATAGGTAGCAACTCGCGCAAAACGGGGTATTTTTCTTTTCTTTCGCCGCAGACCCCGAGAACAAAGCACCCAAAAAAGCAAAGAGACAAAACCAAAAGCACTAACAACCAGATGCATGTTTTTTGTTGATCAAGGGAAAAAACGTAACAGACGGCCTCGGCTAAGAGGCTGGGTATCCTGAAGTAGCATTCGCAGTAGTACCGGAAGCAGGAGTAGTCGCGGTGGAGGTGGTGGCAGGGTTGGCACCAGCAGCAGCACCAGCAGAAGTGGCAGCAGATGCGGGACGCGAAGCAGCAGCGGAAGAACTACCACCGAAGCGCTGAACATCGAGCTTAGGCGTGGTGTCGCCCGCGGATGCTGCCGCCGCTGCAGTGCTACCGCTAGTGTTATTGTTGCCGCTGGTGGTAGTGCCATTCACCATTCCGAGACCGGGTATCATAGGGGTGGTAAGAGAACTCGTGGACGCATTGCCGTTGATGCCGAAGGGGAATTTCGATTCAAAGGCGCCGGAAAGGGAGTTGGAGGAGGTGTTGGGCCGGCTGGCGGCGGCGGAGGAGGAGGAGCCGCCGAGGGAGCCCCAGCCGTTGTTCGCGTTGGCCGTGGCGGTGTGGGCGTGAAGGGTGTTGTTGGCGGTGTCGTGTTCGAGGTCGATGCCGGAGTCGTTCCAGGGGTTGCGATAGCCGGAGTCGCGCGACTCCATGCTGACCAGGGAGGCCTTGGAGGCGTTGTTGGAGGCGTGCATGAAGAGGGAGGCGGGCGAGTTGGTGCCGTTCTTGCGGCGGCGTTCGATAAAGGAGCTGAAGGATGACATGCTGCCGGGTTTGCGGAGCTTGTCGAAGATGGAACGGTTGCTGTTGTCATCGGTGAAGTTGGCATGGGTCGGGGATTCGGTGCTCATGGGTGGTTCCGCGCGATGAAGCAGCTTGGACTCGAAGTAGGGCATGCTGTCTTCGAAAGAGTCGGACTTGGGTCGCGGGATGGAGCCCTTGACGGCACTTTGGTCGAGTCCGCGGCTGATGAAGGGCATGAGCAGGAAGTCAAGTGCGTCCTTCAAGCCCCCGGCATTGTTGCGGGTGTAGTTCAAGACGAGTCTTTCGTAGAGAACTTCCTGCTCGCCCTGCTTCTCGACTTTGGGCTCGTGCAGTACCACTTCAACGACGTATTGATCTTTCAGTTTCTGCGCAACATCGCGGAATTCCATCGACCGGAGATAGGCTGATAGAGTGTCGGAAGTCGGGAACTCGATTTCGTGGGTTTCGGGGACCATGCCCTGTAAGAGCAGATGTTAGCAACAGTAATCACGACTGAGGAATGCGATTGTAGCATACCAAGAATTCGTCAACAGCAAATGGCACCTGGTACTCCGGCCCAGACACAGTGACAATATCACTCGCCTGTTCCGTGCCGGGAAAGGTGACTTTGCAGTTGTGTTTCCTCTCCAACTCCTCAATCTCTGGCATACGAGCAATCAGCTCACGGTGATAAAGTCGGTCGACGGGCACCTGCTCGGAGACAAAGTCCTTGTCGCACTTCTCCACCAGATCCATAATCTCTTGCTTGACAAGCTCGAGGTTGTCGGCGTTGCGGGCGGGCGTGCGGCAAATGACATTGTCCACCTTGACATCGTCGTCTTCCTTGCCCATGCCGCCGCGGTCCATGGCGTTGGAGAACTTGACGAAGACGGAGTACTTCTTCATGATGCGCTGGATGTGCTGACCGCCGATGCCAATGATGCGTTTGTGGTACTGATCGGGAACGTGGAATGAGACGGACGCCGGCATTTCAAGCTCCACCAGATCCAACCCATTCTTCGTGGCCTCGTACTGCGGCCCACGAACGTCGATGTAGAAGTTGTACTCGTTGAAGCCGTCAAAGACAATCTGCACATTGCTCTGGCTCATGATCTTGTTGATTTTGCCATTCTTCTTCCCGCTCACAAACTCCTTGTGCTCGTTGGCAAGTTCGACCTTCACGCGAAGCGTCGAGCGTGCCTTCTTCACAAAGGGAAGAGTGTTGATGATGGACATGGCGGCCTTGACGGAATCGTCGCTACCATTGATGTGGAAGTTGAGCTTTTCAAAGGTAATCTCGCAGCCCGAGTTGATGCAGATGTCCGGAAGCATGGCGCGAATGTCCGACGCTGTTGGCTGTCGCTGTCCACTCTCGCCTTCAGTCAACCACCAAGAAGCACTGTAGAACTGGCCAGTCAACGACATGATCTCACGCGTCGTTCGCTCAATGTTGAGGATGTCCGTGGCCTGCACTCGGAGTAAACCCACGTTGGCGCCAATGGTAGGCAGCACGACGTTCGACCCGTTCGCCTCGACAATCTTCCGTATCTTATCCAGGCGCTCGAGCAAAAGACAGTCGACCTTGCTGGTGGTGATTGCAACGTCCTTGACGAATGTCTTGGTAGCCAATACGAGATCGTGCATCCGCTTCTTCGCCTGCAGAATGCTGTCCATACTGTCGCCCGTGATAAGAATTTCGTCTCTCCCACGGACCGGAATCGCTCCGACGGGGGCGTTGCCGAACAAGCTAGGGAACATGGGCGGGAAGTATATGGCAGTGCCAGTCTGAGATTCGATCTGCTTGATATTGCGGCGATGGCGGCCAGAGACGAGAGCGTGCAGGGGATGTTCGAGGCGGATCGAGTCGACCTGACGGTGCAGCAATTGATCGATCATGATCAGCAGCCTGGTCTTTGCGTTCTCCAAGTTGTCCATGTCTCCGTAGACGAGGATACGAAGTCGGTGATCCATGCTACTCTCCAACGCACTGCTGAAGCTGATCGAGTCCGAGTCTTTGCGTTTTGCCTTGGCTTCGAGGAGGAAGATGTCCGCTTTCGTTTGCTCGGCGATGGCGTCCATATGGGTGAGGATGTCTTCTCTCGCGCCATCCTGTCCCTTTGGAAAGACGATTTCGCGGTCAATGTCGATTGTCTCACACCGCTGCAACTCATGTCAACATTTTCCCAACGCTCTCACCACTACTCAGCGCTTACCAGAGTTATCGAAGTCTCACTCAATATCCTCGCCCGATGCTTCTGCACAGTGTCGGCATCCCCGGATATACAGACATTCGTGATCAAGGCGGAACGCGGTCCACCCTGCATCCCCGGCACAGGCTTAGGCTTGGCGGAGGTGACGGTGGCATGGATGCGATCCCCGCTGGTCTCGCTAATCTGGCGACACATGTTCCGCAGAATGTCCACGTTGCGCGTATGGACGGGCAGGGCGTGGTTCGGCGGATCCTCTGCTGTGCCCTCCGGGTGCGTCCATTTTTGCAGAGCATTCGGGCTGCTGTACAGCACGTCATCGGCGTCGGGGCCGGCGAGATTGGAGTTGAAGGGGACGTTGAAGGAGAGGTTGATGGGATGGCCGGCTATGGAGGGGTTGGAGGGCATGCCTGTGCCGTTGAGGGAGCGCTTGGTGGGCGGCGGAGCGGCGGGGTAGTTGTTGTCTTGATGGATGTGCTGGGGCCGCGACATGCCGAAGCCCATCGAGGGCGTCATCTTCTCCCAGCCATGCCTGGCTTGGCCAGTGAAGGTGGTGATTTTGTGCATCACCGGGGGAGGGAGGAGGGGAGGCCTGCCGGATCTCACTGGAACCGGCAGAAGCGAAGGGCGTTGGAGGGAGCGAGGGAGGGAGACGCGTGGAGTGGGCGGACGGATGGGGACGCGTTTAAGGGGAGGAGGGTTGAGGAGGGTGGGGGAGTTGGCTAGGAAGAAGCGACAGCACCTGGTCCGTTGTGGGCGGCCGCCATGCGCGTGATGTTGGAGGTGCAGTGCAAGCAGTGTGGAGGAATTCGAGGATGTGCACGGACGATGACCTTCCAACTTTGGCAGCAGGGCCAGGGTCGCACTTGCCGGCCTGCCGAGCTTTTGACCCTCCGAGCACCGAGCACATTTCACATCATCCCAACGACAAGGCGGTGTCGCGTGCGTGAATGCACAAACAAGATTGATTAGTCCTGCGATACATAATGGATCCGGACCATATTCAATCAAGTCATCTGATGTTCCTCGTCTCGACCAACCTCCATCTGTTCATCGCAGGGCCCAAAACCACGCCGTCCACTGGCATTCCTTTGCACCACCTCCAAGTCCTCGAAACCCGTAGTGCCATCAATACCGCACCTGTCTAATCTCCGTCGGAAACACCGGATTCCCATTCTGATCCACATACATCACCCCAGGAGGCGCCTGCGAGTAGCCACGCTGTTGCTGCGGCTGCACATGCTGTTGATACACCAGCCCGCCATTTCCGTGCTCGGCGCTGGGCATCACACTGACAGCCCTGATGGGCGGAGCCGGCACATCCTGGCGCGCGTACTGTACCGGAGCCACGCTTGCATGGCGTAGGGAGTTGTTGCCGTACGCCTGGGGTTGGAAGACCTGATGCTCGTCCGGACGCGTGCTGTAGCTCCTTGCGGGGGCGTACAGCTGGTTAACATGCATTGCTGTCTGTTGACGTTGAGGCATTGGCTGGAATTGCTCATAGCCTTGGATTGGTTGGTAGACGGGCGAGGTTGACACCTCCCTGTACCGCAGCGGTTCAGCAGCGTGCGAGTCGTGGCTCGAGTACGCGTTTGCCTGAACGTATTGCTCTGGCTGTCTTCTGCTTGCGGGAAGGGGCGGTGGTGCCATGCGGGGGTCCACGGGTTCGTATGGCGAGACTTGCACCGGAGCTGGACTGGGCATGACTTCAGCTGCAAGATATCGGTTTCCGTGTTGGTCGACCACAATCTTTCGCGCAGGTGCCGATGGCGGCGGCATCATTCCAGGGCTTGATGCTCCTGCAACGTACCCACCACCATGCTCTGGATCCCGTAAAGGTGAACGCAAACGTTCTGCACCGTGGTGATAGGCAGCTTCAGCTGGCGGCCTGGTTTGGCGTAGATCCAGGTCGCCATAAGTCATGGATGCTGTTCGGTAAGGAGCAACAGGAGAATAAGTCCTTTGCTGCGGTGATCGCTGGGCGTAGTGAAGGCTGGCCACCCGCCTCAAGTCTTGCGTATCCCGTTGTACCGGTCGATAAGCCGAGGGAGAAGCAACCCTTACGACCGCAGGCGAAGCGGCTTGTAGCTGTTGGTATCCAAGACGCGAATATGGAGGTTCGTAAGCATATTGAGGCTGCGGGACATATCGTGGAGATGTCAAATCGATTTCGGCCGGCCTTGCTTGAACGTATGTCTGACCATACGGCGGCGCATCGATTACACTCAGGAATGGCGGAGGTGACACAGGCTCGTCCTTGATATAAGGCTCATCATAGGGCAAGGCTCCATTCGCTTCCGGCGCGGCTTGCCGCTCTCGCCGTCGCTTGGACCGGCCAGAAGGTTCGGCATCTCGTTTCCGCTTCTTGTTGCGGCGTTGTTTTTTGCTGCCACCAGTGGCACCGTTGCCGGAGGGCGATGCAGTAGAAGCTCGCGAGTGTACATGGGCGCGACGCGTTTGAGGCTTCCGCACTACTTCAGGTCGGCCATTGACAAGCTCCAACTCGATAGTCGGGCCTTTGGTAGCTAGCGGGGAGACGCGATTGGGCTGTGGCGCGACGATATGTGTAAGATGGTTGCGAGCGAATTGCATGCGAGGGGAGGCCTGTGGGGGGTGGTTGGGTGTCGTCACGTCAATGTCGGTAATCTCTTCGGGCTCGTAGTCCGAGTTGTCGTCTTCCGGCGGCGTGATTTGGCCAGTAGGGCCCACTGCAACCTCTTCGTGGAAGCTATCGAACGCGGCCGCATCGGGAGGAGTGTATTCATCATCTTCATCGCCTTCATCTTCCTCTTCTTCTCCAGGCTCGTAATCGTCTTCTGGCTCATGGGTATACACTTGGGGACCAGCTTTTGACGGTTGGTGTACAGATATGCCGGGCACAACGCCAGCAGAAGGCAGTCCCGCGCCATCGAGACGCTCGAAGTCGGCGGTGAAGGCACCTGTAGCCTCGTCAGAGCCTTTGCCCACGCTAGCTTCGGACGACCAATCACTTTGAACTTGGCTGGAGTAGTAGTCGTTCTCATCGAACGAGCTATCATCCCCCGACTTGTCAGCATCCCGCAAGCCCGACACTGGCCTCACGCGCTCCAGGGCAGAGAGGAGGATGGCCTCGATGTCTATGTGTGCGGAGGCATCAGCGCCGCCGTCTCTGTCTCGCGACGAATGCTTGCGCTGCTCTCCTTGCTCCTGCAGGACGCGCTCGAGTCGTTGGCGCTTCAGCTGGCCCTCTGCTCTTATCAGGCTGTCCGACTTTTCCAAGAAAATCGGATCGAGTCCGGAGGCGGAGGGGCGTTGGAGGAGAGATTGCTGGCGCGCTTCATTGGGAAGAGATGATGCAAAGCCGCCCAAGCCGGGTACACTGCCTTGTGTCGGCAAAGAAGAGGGCTGGAGGCTATTAGCGAGGAAGGCAGCGTCATTGATGCCACTATTCGACAAGCGCTGACGAGGGTCAGGTTGCGATGGGTCAGACGCGAGCAAGGATCGCTTCAGTCGCTCTATCGCTGCGGCTGGCAGCTTGATCGAGGGATGCTGTCCAGCAACGACGACATCGCGCAAGCGCAGCAGGCGAGCGTACAGCTCCTCATCTGCTGGCTGCGAGGGCGGTGTTGTCGTGCGGTGGACAAGCGCATTCGCGAGAGCGACATGTGCCATGGAGCGCGTCGCGGGAATACTACTTTGCAGTGTCGAACATGGCGAGGGACAGGCCTGGAACAGATATGCCGTTCAATTCTCTCCAGCACAGCAGTGTATCGGCGAGATGGCGAGGGCTGTGCGGTGTATGTTGTGGGTGGAAAGTCGAGCAAGGGAGGCCGAGTCTTCATTCACGCGCGAACGGCGGGCCGACGCGGGCGAACCATTCATTCATTCACCGCGCCGCCCGGCAAAGAAAACGTGAACGATCGTATGGCCGTCATTGTTGATGACTCGATTTACTTATTGCTTTATACATAACAACCGCCCCTTGCTTTCCCCGTTATTTCTTTCCATTTCAATATTTCCATGAGCGTTTATTAACAAGACTCGGACGGGATAGAAACGACTCAGGTTCTCCCAAGTTTGCCACTTCCACGGTACATTCCTGTTCACAATGGCTGTCCCTGCCGTCAACGGCGAGCACGCAGCCGCCGGCAAGAAAGTCTTCTTCTTCGACATCGACAACTGCCTCTACCCGAAATCCTACCGCATCCAGGACCTGATGGGCGACTTGATCGATGAGTACTTCATGACCCACCTCACCCTCACCAAGGAGGATGCACGGGAACTCCATCTCCGCTACTACAAAGACTACGGCCTGGCTATCGAGGGGCTAGTCCGCCACCATAAAATCGATCCGCTCGAGTACAACGCCAAGGTCGATGATGCGTTGCCGCTAGACGATATCATCAAGCCCAATCCCAAGTTGCGCCGCCTTTTGCAGGACATTGACCGTTCGAAGGTCAGGCTGTGGCTGTTCACCAATGCCTACTTCACCCATGGGCAGCGCGTTGTGAAGCTTCTAGGTATCGACGATCTCTTTGACGGCCTCACGTATTGTGATTACGGCGTTGCGCCACTGCTTTGCAAGCCCGCTCCGGAAATGTTTGCAAAGGCGATGAGGGAGGCCGGCGTTACGAAGCCCGAGGACTGCTATTTCGTTGGTAAGATGATGCTCGCTGACTTGTGTCGTGCTCGCATGTACTAATCTGCTCTAGACGACTCTGCATCAAACGCTGCGGGTGCTAAGGACTACGGCTGGACGGCAGTGCATCTGGTAGAACCCCAGTTTCCGGGTCCTGCTGCACCCGTTGCCCATTTTCAGATCGAGTACCTGGAGGAGCTGAGGACTATCTTCCCAGAATTGTTCAAGGCCCCGTGAGATGCCCCGGTGCACAAGTTCGTCCATGTTGTTCGAAGGACCCCACCTTGCGACCTCAAGGGCCATGGATCTATCAGATACGTTCCCAGACGACTTCGCGAACGGCTTTGCCAGCAGCTTGATGGATGTCAAGCCTCGAAACGGGAAAAAGATGGCGCTCCAACTGCTCGACTGTTCTTCGTTCCCGTCCGAAGGACAGCCAAAGTCCGCTGGAGCAAGTACGCTTTACATAGTGCGACTTTGGGACGGTGGTGGTCTGACAGCCAGGAAGATACCTTGGTCGGTGTGATGGGTCCCTCGCTGAGGCTGAGCGTCGGGATCAAACTGCGTGTGTTGGCACTGGTGGCGGGGCGTCTTCATGTCCTGTCGATTGACCTTCGCCTTGAGACTTCAGAACCTTTTTATAATCCTCCCACAAGTCACCAACAGCGTGTCCACCGCAACAATCCGCAAACAGAGTCTTCTCATCATACTTCCTCCCCCTCAGCCACCCATTGATCTTCCTCACCGTGCCCTCTCCAAACCGCCCCTCGAGGTAATCCAGGAAGAAGCCAGTATGCTGATACCCGCCATCCCACTTTCCATCCGCCTCTTGCCGCCAATGCTTCGCCGCCAAACCAGCTCGCAGACGAACCCAGTCCGCGATCCCCTCAATCAAGCCACCGGGACACGTGCCCCGCGCGTTGTATTGAAAGCAATGCACCAGCTCATGACAAATGACGCCCAGCATCTCGTGGCGCGCATCCCCCTGGATTCCCGTGATGTAGTTGAGATTGAAGTGGATCTCCTTGTGGTCTGAGTCGAGATCCGTGCCGTCGGTGTACGCCACGCCGTCCATGGATCTTAGCACGAAAGTGACGGATCGTGTGCCGGGGCGGTGATCGTCGGGGGCGTAGAGGAGATTCAGGACATTCTGGACTTGCGTTTCGAGGTCTTCGTTGCCTTTGGTGTTGGAGAGGAAGATGGAGCTGCCTTCGTGGGAGAGCTGGTTCAGGTGCAGGCGCAGTTTGGGCGTCGGGAAGCGATGTCTGCGGATGGGGAGAGGGGCGGTGGTGGTGGGGTTTGAAGATGCCAAAGGCGCTTGGTCTGCTCGTGAAATGGCCGGCATCTCTTGTTGGAAGTATTGTGGGATGACGGGCATGGTGGAATGGCTATCTCATGCCGACAGTGTGACATTCACCAAATCATGGGGAGATGTTGACGCCTGAATCGCGCTGGAATGCCTGAGGTCGCAACGCGCGTTAGGTAAGCACGGCTGCACCCAGCCTTGATCACCCCAGACCCACCGCGGTATCTCCCCACAAGGCACACCTCCCTTCGAAGAGGCGTGCCATCTCGGCAGATGCAACTCATGGTCTGCCGTGTTCCCAACCACCTACTGGCACAGGAACCCGCCGTCCACTGCAACTGCGGCCCGACATCCAGCTCGCATCCTCGCTTCCCAGCATCACCGCCACCCGAGCGATGTCGATGGCCGATTGGTTTCTTGGAGCAGGAAAAGGACGTTGCAACCTTGCTGTGGTCGAAGTATACAAATACGTTGCTGCGTTTATTCGAGAATTCGATGCGGAGGTGGTCAACGAAGACCAACCATGGGTCACCAAGTCGCAGTGGTTCAGCTTCCAGCGGGACTTTTGGAGGAAGACAGATCGTGATATTCGTTTTTCTTTTGCCCGCATGGGTGATCTCACGGGCACTCAAGTGTGAGGGGTATCATTTATTGATTCATGCATTCATTCATTCGTGAAAACCTGAGCTGAAGAACGTACGTATGTTCAAATGTCAAGGAGGCGTTGAAGCCGAATTCCACCTCGTCCTAAAATCTTGCCAGCTGCGCCTTTGCTCGCACTGCATCTCTCTCGGGGAGCTGTCCAATCAGATGCTCCAGCTTGGTACACAAGGCCTGAACTTGCGCTCCCACGGCTGCATAGAACTCCGCTGCCTGTGCTGGGTCCGAGGGCGCCGGGGGCAAGAGTGATCCAAACCAGTCCAGACGAGCTTGAGCAAGCCATGCGGCCGTCTTCGGATGGCTAGCCCATGCCAGTCCGTTTCGATGAGTCTGATAGTTTACAATCAGCCAATCGATCGTCTCGTCCGGATGCGGGACCGCTCGGCAGAGTGCGTTCTTCGTCTCGTCATCAGGATAAGTCGCCTCGACGTGTGCGATGAATGCTGCACTAAAGACCTGTTGGCAAGACCGGACCGACTGGAGGGTGATTTGTCGCCCACGGAAAACGGGGACGGGCTCCAATTTCGCAAGTGCATCGGCCGAGCAGTCGATATAAAGCGTGTCCGGGGCAGGGCGATAGCTTCCTTGCTCCATAATAACCTCCTCTTCGCCGATAGAGACGACTCTGCCCTGACGGATGATTGTTCCGATGTTCTTAACTTGTTCCAACTCCGCCAGGGAGATGGTAGCGCATTTGAACATCGTCGGCCACACCTTCTCCGTCATTCTTGTGAGCTGCACCGCTTTCTCCAGTCTCAAGAACAAGTCTTCGGGAGATGTGGCCGCCATGATGGATTCGTTGATCGCGGCTACACTTGCGGCAGTGCTTTCGGCAAACGCCGGTCCAGGCTGGAGGCCGCCGCGTTCAAAGAACCATGAGTCCCGGGGCATGATCCAGGTGATCTGACCGGGATCGACGCCCGACGCCAACAGCCACAAGCAGGCATCGATCCCGGTTTTGCCAGCCCCGACGACGGTATATCCACCGTGCGGCCGAGCAGTCTTGGGAAGGTCGTTGGGTGTCACAAGATTTACGCCTTTGGCCACCTGATATGCTGGCGGGGCCATGGCAGGTACTTTGACTTTCATGTACGTGGCGTCGACAATGCGTGCGTTCTCCGAAATTCGGGACACTTTGCCGGTGAGGACTGATCGGAACTCGCCTGATCCCAGATACTCATGCTTGGCGAAGTACTGGACTCGGCCGGATGGGAGCAGGGTTTGGTGCATGACAATACTGTAGTAGGCGCAGACCTCGTCCACCGTAGCCAGCTCCGCCAATCCTTTGTTCCAGCCCACTTGGTCGATCTTGTCCTCGCCAAGGTGACGAGAGTTGACGCCGTAAAACGCTGACGGTTGGTGAAGACGGACGTACGGGTAAGCAATGGTCCAATGACCCCCTGGTCGGGCATAGCGGTCGACCAGAACGACGGTGGCGTTTGTGTCCGACACGAGGGTGTCAACGAAAGCCATCCCCATGGCGCCCGCGCCGATAACCAGATAGTCTGCGTCGATTACTGCGGCCATGATCAGAGCCTTTGTCGGGAGAAGGTTGAAATTTACCGCGCACGATGGCGTGTAGGAAGAAGAAAAGTCAGGTATCTCGTTGCCCTCATAAACTCTAGCCTAGAAAGCGGACGCCGCAGCTCTCCCACAACCCCACTAGATCTGCGTGTGGAGAATCGCCGCAAGGCTGATTTTCGCCGTCTACCATCCCATCTCCGTACTATTGCACCTGAGCCCTTGCTCTACTCGTACTTGTTATCCGCCGCTGGTCGTACGTTGGTGGCGATTGTAGTAACGCCGATTCGCCACTGCCCGTTGCATGTCTTTCGTACGGCGGCGGCGATGTCAGTCTCGTAGGTGCAGCCTGATCACCCTCCTCCAACTGCCCGCTACCCGGCTCCATCTCATCGTCGAGGTCTCCCGGGATCGCATATTGATTGCTGTCGTATCCCGCAAGGCGTCTCTGCGTTTCATGCTGTAGTTCGCGATATCTTGCTTCAGCGCGAGCCTTTTTCTGCTGCCGTCTGTGCTCCTTTTTGTTCGCGATCGCTACGCCGACCAGGATGAACAACGCTGCCATATTGAGTATTGTGGGTTCTTTGGATGTGATGCGGTTATTTGTGATTTGTGAAAGATCGCTGTGATGTTAAAAGGTATGCATGACGAAGGTGAAGCTGGTGGCAACCTGAACAGGCTGAAGTGGGGCCTCCCGCGGGGGAAGCTTTTGTGGGGCCGGCTTTGTCTGGCGTCGTAGCAGCAACGCGCGAAATAACAATTGATTGGAACCTTTCCAGAAGCAGGCTTCACTTCTAATATCGTGCACCACGCCGTCGTCGCAGGGTACCAAGATGGACACGCAGGCAGCGACGCTGCTGAGCACCCTCAAGCGTCCCGCCGCATCGTCCGACTCGAAACTCGCGCTGCTCAACACGCTCAAGTCCGACATCAAACACTACCGCGTGCCGGAAAGCGCGCAGGCGACCATATTCGAGTGCATCAAGCTCGCCATCACCCAACAGGCCTCCTCCAACATCTCCGCTTCCGCCTTCTCCACCCTGGGACATCTGGTGAAGCGACTGAAGATTCAAGATGCCTCCGGTCAGAGCATTGTCCAGCTGGCCCCGCGACTGTGGCCCGCGATCCATGACCGACTAGGCGATACCCGAGAATCGACGAGGGCCGCCGCCTCACAAGCCATGACCGATCTATATCCCTTCCTGACTACCGAAGTGGAGACGATGATACGAGACGATGCGATTGCCGGCTCCAACCCACGGGCACGACAGGCGGGGATACAATGGGTTCTGAAGATGCATCAGGAGGAAGCCATGCCGTTCAAGAGCTACGTACAAGCCATTGTGGCTCGGTTGGAGGACTCGGATGGCACTGTGCGAGAGACTGCGAAGAATGTGCTCATCGAGCTCTTCCGCGATGCGCCAGAACGAGCAAAGGCGGATTTGAAGAAGCAGCTCAAAGTCTTTTCCGTCAGACTCTCCATCGAGAGCCAGATTCTCGCTCAGATCACTTCGCCCGCGTCTTTGTCCACCTCCCAGAACCAACCGGCCCTTGCGCTCGAACACAAAGTCGACATGCTTGCTTCAATGCCGAATCTGGCCGCGAGTATTAACAGCGAAGCGGCACAACCGCCTCCTCAAGAAGTCGTCAAGATGGACCCCATTTACGTGCAGTCGCGCTCGGAGCTGGATGAGATCTTCCGAGACATGCCACCTCATTTCGAAGGAAAGGAGACCGAGCAGAACTGGACGCCCCGAGACAAGTCCATCTTGAAGCTGCGACGCTTGACAAAGGGCAATGCGCCGAGTGAGTACCATCAGGCGTTCATGGCGGGCATCAAGAGTGTGATGGATGGCATTCTGAAGGTCGCAAACTCTCTGCGCACTACCATGTCGACGAACGGCTGCCAGCTGGTGCAAGAACTTGCGCGCACCCTCGGCCCCGCGATGGACCCCCACGTCGAGGTCTTGCTTCAAAGTTTCATCAAAATGAGCGCCGTGACCAAGCACATCGCCGCGGAGGCCGGCAAGATGACGTGCGATGCAATTTTTCAGAACTGCTCTTACAAGCATGCCATGATGCAGCACATCTGGTATGCGGCGCAGGACAAGAATGCTCAGACGCGCATGTGCGCTCCAGAATGGCTCAAGACGATCTTGCGGCGGCAGTCGAGTTACAAACAACATTTCGACGGCTCCGGCGGGCTGGAGCTGGCGGAGAAGTGCATCAAGAAAGGACTCGAGGACCCGAAGCCGGAAGTCAAAGAGAGCATGCGGGCGGCGTACTGGACTTTTGCAAAAGGCTGGCCGGATAAAGCAAGCGCCATTATGTCAACTCTCGACCCGAAATCCAAGACGGCTTTGGAGCGTGACTCGAACAACCCCCACGCTGCGCTGCACGCTTCTCAGTCCAGCAACTCCGGAGCTGGCGCCAGGGCAACAGGGGCGGCGAGTCGCAACGCCTTGAGAGAGATGATGGCGGAGCAACGAAAGGCAAAAGCGGCTGGCTTACTACCTGACCGACCCAGCTCTGCCATGGCGCAGCTCTCCCCAGCCCGTCCGAGAGTCCCAAGCAACCTACACAACGGAGCACGCGTACCGTCAAACCTTCACTCTTCATCCCGACCGGAGGCGAGAGTTGTATCGTCCACATCCACCGCAACAGCAACGCCCGGCTCTGCAGCAGCGAAGAAGGGTGCATCACTCATGTCTGGACCAGTGAGACGGCCGCGACGCCCCGAAATCGCAAGACCACAAACCGCAGATCCGTATGCCTCGAAGCGACCGCTACGACCAGAGACACCGGCCGAAAGTACACCGGGGAATAGTCCGCCCAAAGGCACCGGCACCATCGGTTCGAAACATACCGTGCCTTCATCTAGCGTGGCTAAGAACCGCGCGAAAGCTCCAGGCCACGCCGCAAGCCCGTCTGCCAGTCCTGCTAAGCGCAGCTCACGGCCGAGTTTCGTGGCTTCGGCGGGAGATTCGAGGCCTACAAGCAAAGGTAGCGTGGGGACGACTGGTGAAGATTTGTCCAGCGTGCGGGAAGACGATTTCACGATGGTGATGCCTCAGGGCATGGGGATTGCAAGCCGAAGCGGGTTTGTATCCGGTCACAAACGTGGTGGCGCGGGCCAGGCTATGTCTATGGATAGTGGGATTCCGCACATGGCGGAGGAGGAAGGGTTCACCATGGTATTGCCCAACCTACCGAGTCATCCCCTGCCGACGCGCAACCGATCGCCGCTGGCGTACCGCAGTCCTCTCAAGGCAATGTTCGAAGAGGCGCGAGAGATGGTGGAAAGCTTCGAGCCGAGAGCGGAACGATCAGTCGAGCCAGAAGAGCGCGCTGCCCCTCCTCGAAGCATCAGCCCCATCAAGCTGGCGCCCATGGAGGACGTGCAGATCTACGAGGATCCATTCGTAGCGAATGACGGCGAGGCGCCGACGGATGGCGAGCGCAAAGTGCTTGGTGAGCTACCCGTCAACGAAAACGTGCGATTGCAGAGTCCAACGCAAAGCCCAGCTTCCGGGGACGGCCAGGGCAGTCCTCGCAACCTCGCCGACGTACGCTCACCTTTGATCGCCACTGCGCAGGATCGCGCGGAAGTGCAGCGCAACAGACGACTACTAGGCGCGGGCATCGATCGCATCCGAGCTAAGACTTTGGACGCGCATGGCTTCCGCAGAGTGCAGGATGTGGCGAAGAGCGAGCTCGACATTTGGGAGGGAGGGAAGAAATATACCGAGTTGATGGGGGCGCTGGTGGAGTACTTGCAGACGTTCGACGAGGAGCCGCGGTTCGCGCAGCTGGCGCCGTCCAAGACCGCGGGGCTGAAGGTGCAAGCGCTGGGGTTGACGAGGACTTTACTGCAGCTGCACAAGAAGCAGGCATTTGCATGGCACGCGCAGGTGCTGGTCGGCGTGCTGGCGTGTCGACGAGGCGTGGATGGCAGCGGTCACGTCGTGGCGGAGATTGAGAAGACGGCGGCCGACATCGTTGCACAGGCCGAGTCCTCGGCAGCGGCTTGCATCGACGCCATTGTGCAATACCTCCCCTCCGTCCGGCGCGACAAGAGCGCCTCCCGCTCAACAGCAATGGCTCTCACTCTACTCCGCCAACTCCTCAGCTCGGCGAAGACGCAGAGCGCAGATCTCGGCCCGGAGCGCAAGATCCGCCTCGTGCAGACCACCGCCAAGTTCCTGGATGACCGTGAGGCGGAAGTGCGCAAGGCGGACGTCGAGCTGGCGAGCGAGTTGTTTGAGTTGTTTGGCTCGAGCAAGGCGGAGTTTTGGAATGAGTTCAAGGGGACGGATGAAGGGCGACTGGGCCTTTTGACGTACTACATTGCGCGGAGGGGCAGGGCTGCGGCGTAGACGGGCTGGGTGGATGTGATGATGTATGAACGATGGAATCAGGGATAGGGATACGGGATGCATGCATTGGGCAGTCTATTCGAGTGATATTTTCCGAGCGAGCGAGGGCGTTGGTTGGTCCATTGGGTTAGAAATTCCCCTTACTATAGCAACTTCGTCGAAGCGAATGCCCCGAATTGCAATGCTGGACCCTGTAATTGTCAAAAGGAGGATTCTAATCTCATGGACAGTTGCTGGTGTGGGTTGGCGACCGCCGGTTGCGCCTGTAGCTACTGCATAGTGTGCGTGTAGTTGCCGTTCGGCTGAGGGATCTGCCGCCGTGCCGAACCATCCGACACGCGACAGCTTCGTGATTTAGTTACAGGAGTATCTGCATGCACTTGCTGTCTGCATGAGCGGGTATATAAGGGAGAGGGGGAAGTCTTGACTTACTTGGAAGAACAGCTCGAGGGATTGTGCTGGCGTAGATCTAAGCATAAAGGTACATGAGTACATCCATACGAGGTGGTGTCGATTTAGATTCGGCGAGCGCTGGTCTTCTCCACCAACGACCTGAAACATTCTTCCTTGATTCGTCGTCGCCAAGAGGCTCGTAAAATGCACGTTGATTGTCCCGATAAGATGTTCAAAAGAAGGCCAAGAAGATGGAATTCTGGAGTGCCTTGGAATCCAGCTCCCAGACGTGCACCCGACGCGACATGATCGTGACTGCCGTTTCATCCCCCGCTGATGATGAGACGAAACGAGAGCAACGGAAAGCGCAAGCGCCGACAAGAAGCTAACTAAGGCAATTGCGACAGGCCGCTAGCCCCTTCCGGCCCTGCTCAATTTCGGTTCTCCACCCTGGTCGCGCGCCGCCCGCGCCCGCAAATCACGGCCACGTCCACTCCATACTACTACCGCTCACACACCACCACACCTCGCTGCCTGCCCTCCACCACTCCACCCCTCTCCGCGCCATCCTCCCTCCGCTCCCACACATCTCCTCGCAGCATGCTCCCCCGTTCCCCTTGCCTGCTGCTGTCTGTTGAGCACCGCGGGGTGAGGTGAGCAACGTGCAATCGGAGGTAGGCGGTGGCGGCGCATCCATCCGCCTATCATCCACTGCCTCCCACCGCTGCTCCCTTCCCGAGAACGGGCAACGGGCACGGCCGACGCCTCTCTCCTCTCCGCCAGCACCTCCTATCCTCCACCTTGCACCCCTACCGCGCGACTCGATGGCCTCCGTCGAGGGCCCGATGCTGCATCCCGAATCGCCCACCCCAATGGACCATGAGGACGTCATGTTAGATTGCATCCCCTCCACCCCCTCGCCCGTTCCCTTCACTGACCCTCCAGCAGATACCCATGCAAAGGATGTGGCGAGATTCTCGAGGAGGGCAAAGCCTTTGTCCGTTTTCCCCAACCCTTCCCCCTATCGCAACGCCATACTGACTCGTTCATCTCAACAGGAGCTGGCTGGGAACCGATGGCATCTTCATTGGTACGCGACACTCACCCCGTTATTCTCCCCTTGTCGGTGTTCAAGAATACTCACGTATCCCCTGCAGCTTTCGATGCGGCTCTTGCGGCGCCTTGCTCGACTCCGACGCGAACCTCCTCCTCCTCGGCGACGGCAGCCTCATCTGCAACAACTGCACCTACTCATGCTCGGCCTGCGGAAATAAGATTGAAGACTTGGCCATCTTGACCGGTGACCAGGCCTTTTGCTCGAGCTGCTTCCGATGTCGCAACTGCAAGAAGAAGATTGAGAACCTCCGCTATGCGCGCACTTCACAAGGCATCTTTTGCATGAGCTGTCATGAGACGCTCATGGCAAGACGGCGGAAAAAGTCGCGTGTGCCGTCGAAATCTGCACAGCCTGGCGCAAAAGAGAAGGCTCTCCCTTCATTACCACAGACCCTCCCTCCCTCCAGCGCATTCTCCCCCGACATAGCAGAACTCGAAACGCCGCCTCTGACTTCACAAGCCGCGACGCCCGCGGCCACTTCCCCTCCACAGCGACAGCTCAGTGCAAAGGAGGGTCTGTCTTCGGAATCATTACCCTACTCTGATGGTGCGCAAACACACCCCTTGTTGCGATGCAGCTAAATGCTGATGCTAAGACATTCATCAGATGCCCCCACACTACCCGCCAGCACATATGGCGAGTCGCGCGCCCCAAACACCTCACCCCACGTGCCCGACGATGGCCTCGAAAGCGGCTTCCTCCCCATGACCTTCGATCCTACTCCTGCCGCTGGCCCTCCCCCATCCTTCGGCCCTCCATCGATCACTCGCAAAGCCGTGCCGTCAAATCATGAGCCCTCTCCGCCTGCACAGGCCGTCAATCAATCGCGAGACTATTTCGGAAAAGCCCCCGTCAGATCTACACACAGAGAAATGCTTGTCGACGAGCACAGACCAAACTCGTCACGCTCTGCATCTGCAGACCGCGGCCTCGAGCGATCTGGAAGTCAGGCGCGTGCGAGTCCGCACATCTTCACACAGGATAAGAGTCGGGCACAGAAGACATCCGAAAACCGCACGCCTGCCATTAGATCAACGGTTGCATCGCCGCCTACTCCTACCACTGAAGAGCGTGCACCGTCTCAGCTTGCAAGCAGGAATAACAGTCAAAAAGAAGTCTTCAGGCTGCAGGAGGCGCCGAGGTCGAAGAAGAACAGCCTGCGCACCAGCTCCGATACCCAATCACCCATCTCGCCGTCCAAGGACGTGTCGATTGAGAAGCTGGCATCGCCCGCGCCTTCTGCCGACTCTCCCAGCTCGAGTATCAATCCGTTTGAAGACCCCAAGCTCACGGAGAACGGGTGGTCTGGGACGTTCCACAGACCTATCCGGGGCGATTCCCTCGCCGGTGCTACTGCTCGAAAAGGGAGAAGCCCGCCAGACGACGCGCCAACACCGACTGCATCTACCACGCATCTTCAAGCTGGCCTTGAACGTAATGCGTCTGTCAATTCAGCCGCCTCAACCTTCACCGACGCACATGAGAGTCTTTCTCGAGACAATAGTGTCACGAAGCCAGTCGAGTCTCCGCCCGTGATGAGCAGCCCAGACGTTCCCCCTCCGCCTCGTGCATCTAGTCGACAGAACCGTACGCTGGCGAATGGTGAATTCACGACACCGCGATCTGCCCCTGCGCCTCCGCCGGTGCACAACAGAACCGAGTTAGCGCAAGTTGTCGAAGGCGCGGATTACGACGAGCCGCCGGGATCTGCGCAATACAGTGCTGGTCTACCGAAGCAAAGCATGGACACGCCATTCTCGATGGAGGAGGAGATGGCGCGCATCCTGAGAGGAGAACACACTCGCGGCAAGCTGTCCACCGATAGCTCTCATGGCCCATCCATGCTACGGAAGGTGTCGAACGCGGTGAGGCACGGGCGCAGCTTTAGCGATCGCGGAGTGAGCTCCCTTGGCAGGCCATCCACGCGTGACGGTCTTGAAATCAGCTCTCCGATGACGATTAGCAGTCCAATGTTGGCCTCGCCGACCGGAAAGGATAGTAGTGAGCAACTCTCGGCACAGCTACGACGAGCGCAATCGCGAATCACCGATCTCGAAGCGGAGGTCAATCGCCTCGAAGACACTGTCAACAGCTCTACTGAGATCAAGGCGGCAAATGTCGAGCTTCGGGAGAAGCGAACAACGATGGTCGTGTTGGACACACAGCGCGAGCTGGTCGTACGGGAGCTGGAGGTCATGACGGATCATCTGAGCCAAGCGAAGGATAACAGCAAGCCTCTGGACCTGAATTCCTTAAAGACCGAAGTTCTGAAGGATTTCGCCGACTCGATACAACGATTGAAGGATGAGATGACGGCGCAGATTGAAGATCTCATGCTCAAGCGCAACAAATTGACCGACGAAATTGCGAACCTGATTCAGATGAAGGACAAGGGCTTCCAAGAGTATGAGTCGCTAACGACGAAGAATGCGCAGCTGCAGGAGATGAATGCGCAGATTCTGCACAACATCCAGGACATTTACAAGTCGAATCGCGGCGTGAATGGCCCGTCGACGGCGAATGGACTGGGCATCTACAATGCAGGCGCCCGCTTGGAGTCTCCTGGGACGAGCGAAGTCCGCAATTTGAATCTCGTCAACACCGACTCGTCCATGCCGAACTTGCTGCAAGAAACCGAGGCCGAGCCGGCGACGATCCTGACGGCACCACAAGTCGTCAACATCCGCAAGGGGCAGCCGAAGAAGTTCAATTGGCGCAAGGGAGGGGAGAAGGTGGCGAAGAACGTCACCAAGGGCCTCAAAGCTTTCGCCAGTGAAAGGGGAGGTGACAGTCAATATCCTGCCATTGGTATGCCGTACGGTCAGATGTCGGCCGGTGCAGCGCCTGGGAGTGATCAGGTGGGCTCTGCCAGCAAGCAGTACGGCGATCCCGGCCGCTCGGGAAGTGCGTTTGCGTTGTGGGGACAAAAGTCCGGTGGGCTCAAGGTCGGCGGGCTGGGCAACATGAAAGACAGCAGCAGTACCAATCTCGTCGATGGATCGGGTGAGTCGTCGTTGCAGACCGTGGCCTCCCATCCCATGCTAACATCCCCACCAGTCCTCTTCGGCTCCGAGCTCTCCGACCGCTGCGAGTACGAAAAGCGCCTCATCCCCGGCATCGTGAATCGCTGCATCGAAGAAGTCGAAGCCCGCGGCCTCGACATGGAAGGCATTTACCGCAAATCCGGCGGCTCGGGCCAAGTCAAGCTCATCCAGCAGGGCTTCGAGCGCGACGGCGCAAACTACGACATTGCCGACCCAGACCTCGACATCCACGCCGTCACCTCCGCGCTGAAACAGTACTTCCGCAAACTGCCCACGCCGCTCATCACCTTCGACGTTTACGACGGCCTGCTGGACGCCGGCCGCCTAGCGGACAAGGAAAAGCAAGCCGCAGCCTTGCGCCTCGTCCTCTCCGAACTCCCCGAACACCACCGCGACTGCCTCGAATTCCTGATCCAGCACCTCGCGCGCGTCATGGCGCACGAAGCAGACAACCTCATGACGTCGCTTAACCTCGCCGTCGTCTTTGCGCCGACTATCATGCGGCCGGAGTCGATTGAGCGCGAGATGAGCGATATGCAGGCGCAGCGCATGGCGGTGCAGGCTATGCTTGAGCAGTGCGCTGTTGTGTTTGCTGAGGAGTGATTTTTGGGGTTTCTTTCCGAGGGCCTTTCTTGGGTAAAGGAGTGGGGATCTGTTGTCTTTTGCATAGCGTGCGTTGTCTTTTCTTCTCCTTCTTCTATCTCTCTCTGTTCTCCGATGTGTCCGAGTCGAGCAGACTGGCGCACGATGGGGAACTGGAATGGCATGTTGATGACGGACCGCGTTGTCCCTTTTCCGCTTCTGCTTCTGTTTTCGTCGTCAAGACTGATGTGTGAGCTGTTTTCACAGCCGGCGAAAGGGAACGGGGTAACGGGCGAAAAGGACTTATACCACATGTTTCGGTTTTGTTTGCTTGCTCGCAGCCAGCTTGCTGTCTTTCACGACAGGCTTGCCTGTTTGATTTTCGGCTTCGGTTGCGGATGTTTGGATAGAGCGATGATATCTTGGGAAACGGGCTGAAAACGGGGACGTGTTGAATATCACACCGCGGCGGGTGTGCTGAACGAATGGAAAGAGGGATAGGACAGACAGGCAGAGCGAGATACCACTTTCATTCCCACCTCGCATGCGTCTTAAGACTCTTCGTTCTCGTTCTCTTGTCTTGTTGGAGTCTATGTTTCCTACGCTTGCTCCTCTCCTTCCTTTCACCCACCCATGTTCGATATCGGACACGCCCTTCGTTTCGTCCTTCCCTCCCTTCCTTTTTCGAGACTTAACATGGCAGTAATACAGCATACACGGAATAAATTCTATAAAAATTGCGAAGCGCCCAGGCAGGGGGGGAGATCGATCACAACTTGGCCTTGCTCTCGGCCGACGCCTCGAGCATGGCGCGGATGTCGCCCGCGGCCTCGTTGACGAAGAAGGCCATGCGCTCGCAGCCGAGGTTCTTGCTGACGATGTTGAACTGGATGCTGTTTTCGTTGATCATGTAGGCCATGCTGTTGCGTCATGAACATCAGTGTGTGTTTCTTCAAGGAGGATGGATGTAAGGAGTTAGTGAAACTCACCCCCAGCCTTCATCAATCACCTGACTCCACCCATACCCATTGTACGTCTCGGAGCTGAGCTGCGAAGTGGAAATGTACCACGTCTGGCTGTACGTATACGCCGGGTCGGAGAAGATGTCGGGCGTCTGCTCGCCGTCGCGGATGAGCTTCTTCAGCCCGAACAAGTGCCTGTCGACGCCCTTGCCGTCGCTCGCAGCGGCAATGTACTCGCCCTGCGCCTTCAGCGCTTTCATGAACAGCTCGCGGCACTCCTCGTTGGAGGAGAGGGGGTGCGTCATGGCGTCGCAGAAGGCGACGCTCTCGTCCGACACGACGCGCGCGGCTTCCGTGCGGCCGAGCTGGAAGCGGCGCACTGCGGCGGATTCGTAGGTGGGCCGGTTCTTGCCGTAGAACTTTTTGTACGCTAGCTGTACCATCATCTGCACGTAGGCGTCTGGGGAGCACTTGAGCTTCTTCATCAGGCCCTTGCCGTAGCCTTGGTAGGCTTCGACGCGCAGCTCCTGCTGCGACATGAGGCCGACGTGGTGCGTGGTGGCGAGGGCGAGGTCGGCCATGTTTTCGCCGTTGAGGAGGAATTTCAGCGGGTGCGGGTCGGGGATGTCGGAGCGGACGTTGGGGTTGTCGATGTCGGGCAGCTTGTCGTTGAAGAGCCACGTCATGATGGTGTCGTTGAGGCGGTGCGTGGGCGTGCCGTCCATCATGCTGTGCTCGCCGCAGAAGCCCGAGGTGGCGTTGTCGTTGACGATGAATTGCAGTGGCTTGTCGAACCATCGGTTCGAGCCGTCGCCGTGCCAGTATTGGTGCGCGCGCTCGTGGAGGGTGATGGGCGCGGCGTCGTCGAGGCACACGACGAAGCTGGAGGATTCGATGGCTTCGAGGACCGCCTTGTTGGCGGGGTTGCTCTTGACGAGTCGCTCGTACATGTCGGCCCAGCGGTCGCGGTTCTCGGTGGTGAGGATGCCGACGCCGGGCGACTTTTCGGCGTTCTGGTAGACCTTGGCGAACTGCGCCTCCAGCTCGGCGGCATTGAGCTGCTGGCCATTGTGGTGGGTGGGGATGCGGAAGAAGCCGTTCTTGCGGATTGCCACGATGTGCTGATTCTCGGCGGCATCGTATTTGACGGGGTAGTCGGTGCCCTTGGCGGGTCTCCGGCAGCAGTTGAACATGTATTCGTAGGAGGACATGGCGATGGGGAGTTTCTTCATGTATTCCGGCTCGAGGGAGCCATCGTCCACGGACTTTTTGAATTCCAGCGCGGCGTAGGAGATGGCGGCGGCGCGCTTGGCGGGCTCTCTTCGCTTCCGATCATCACGGTGGCTGTAGAAGTAGGAGACAAAGGGCACGACGGGATCGCGGACGGACAGATAAGCAGCGCTGTCCCACCATTCCGCCAGCCAATTCTTGACACCTGGCTCTTGGCTGCGCTTGACCAGCCGGTCCTGCAGGGTGTGGCCGAAGCTGCCGGGGGCGAGGAAGGCTTGCACCGCCTTCTCCGTCTGTTGGTACTCGGTTTGGGAGAGGAGGGGATGGACGGATTTGAGGTAGCGCTTGGCCGTCTCTTCGAGCGTCGGCACGGGGAGTTGGGGGAGGGAGTCTTCGAAGCGGAGCATCGCGCCTTTACTGTGGTCCTCCTTGTACCCTGTTCCGGCGTTGGTCAGCTCTGCGCGCATGTGTCGTGGAGGTGCTGGCCCGTCACTCACCCTCCGGCAGGCCGCTCTGCTTCCTCCTCTGCGGCGCCATGATTGCAGCGGTGCGAGGGGTGTGTCGGGACCAGTGCGATTGCAGCAATGACGCGCCAAGGGGCTGGGTGCGGGTAGGCAATACTCGAAAGGTGCAGCGGGCGAGCAGGCTGGACATCGCCCACGCAATGGAAGGGGAAGGGAGGAAAAGAGCGTGGGAGAGAGGGAAGAAGCAAAGAAAAGGCGACTAGAGCGTGCGAGCAGAGAGCAGCGAGGCCAATTGCGTAAGGAGAGCTTGGGGTGGATGCGCGACGACGTAGCTGGGTTTAGCTGGGTGGTGGTTAAAGGTGTGTGCAGTCGAGCCGAGGATCGCTCCTTCCTGCCGCAGCCGAACGAGCCGCGGCTTCGGCCTGGCCCGGGAACGATGGAAATTGCCGACATCACCTCTGCAAGGCTATCATCAAACCTCTCTACTCATCACTCTCGCATATGCTTGTACACCACCAGCAGCAGCCAAGTCGGATTCCCTTTCTCCTCGGCCCCGCTGGTCAGGTCGGGCTACGGGAAGCCTCCTCTCCATCTGACCTGCGAGACGTAGCATGGGCTAGCTTCATATCATTCGGGGGCGTGGACCTTGGGGCTTTTGTGTTTGATGTTGATGCGAGTTCTGGGAGGGCGAGGATTGTTGCTGCGCCGGCTTTGGACGTTACACTCACCCGCCGGTCACCTGCGGGCTGCTGAGTGAGGACATATCATTGAGCGACATCCTGTGAAGTGCTACAGACGGCCAAAAGCGACAACACGCTGTGAAATTCTCGGTGAGGATACATCTTACCTAGGCGTCGTCCTCCGCCCATTTAGCTGTCGCTTCCTTTGCCCTTGTGTTTGACTCCTCCTCCCCGCTCGACCCTTCTTCCTCGCTCGACTCTTCCTCCACGGTCCACCTATCCTTGCTCCCCTCTTCCTCCTCGCTCGACCCTTCGTGCAAGATCCACTCTTCCCGAGTCTCCTCCTTCTCTTCGCTCGGCTCTTCCTCCATGATCGAATCTTGTCCCTCCTCGCGGCACAGCAACTCAGCCTTAGACCATTCATACAATCGTTTCAAAGCCTCGTACGGCGTCTTGCTGCGGTGTCTATCGATGTAGCAAAAGCAGACTTTGACGTACACCGTCCCTTTGAATCGCGGTTCCGCGCCCGGCGGCCCGCTATACACTCGGACGCGATAATTTTCCAGCTTGCTTGTAGGTGCGCCGTTCAGCGAAATCACGTTTCCATATTAAAGTCAGTTACACCGGTTCTCTGAAGAATGTGAAGCACCTTGTACGTACGGATGACTCTTTCCTTCAACTCAAAGAGTCGGGGTTCGCCCTCTGGTATCTGCCACCAATCTTCGGGCCACATGTTGGTTGGCGCAGAGTTTGGCAACTGGAGTTGGAGGAAGCAGAAGGACGTGAGATAATCGACAGCGTTAGTGGCAACCAGGAGAGAGGAGGACGAGAAATGCGGTACGCGTCGATGCGCCTTTTATTCGAAGGTATTCTTTGTCAAATGCCCTGGTCAGACGAATCCCTGACGCCAACGCATGCTGCAGTGTGACACCCGGTACCAAGTGGTCAACATCGGCCACGCGCATATGAGGAAGCACAACCTCAGTTGGAACGATTACGCAAATCACAATTCTCCAACTCCACAAACCGCCCGCCAACCCTTCAATCCGACTACCTCTCTCATTTCAACATTTCTCTGTTCCGTCGGCTCCGCTCTTCCTGCGTTGCCCGCACATCCCGCTCTATATAGGGCTTCACAGCAGTCGCAGACCAGTGAAACAGCTGCTCCAACGCATCGTAAGCCGTCGTGCAGCCGAGCATGCCGATATGCCACAGGCTGCTCCCGCGATAGAGGACTGCAAAGAAAAGAGGATCTTCGATCGACCGCTCGTTGCACATAGCGATGTGCCAACGATGTTGTGTTCCTACATGTACAAGTTCGTTGTTGATCAACATTGCGTTTCCTGCGTTCAATCAGCTTAGTCTGGTCATGATTTGGAAGTGGTGTATTTACGGATGATCAGTTTCTCGAGCGTCGCCGCTTCAACAAAAGCCTCTCGTGAGTCGAGAGTGTTTTCAGCCATTTCGTCTTGGCTGGCGTTGGAGTTTGGCGTTGGAGTTTGGCGTTGGAGTTTGGCGTTGGAGTTTGGCGTTGGAGTTTGGCGTTGGAGTTTGGCGTTGGAGTTTGGCGTTGAAGTTTGGCGTTGGAGTCTGGCGTCGGAGTTCGAAATAGCAGAGTGGATCGGAAAAGTCGACAGAAAGGATAATAAGGGGAGAGAAAGGAGTGTGACAGGGAGCGCGTACTTATGAAGGCATGCTTTGTTGTCCCCCTTTTCTCGCCCAACCACTTGCTCAAGGCCTAGCGGCGGTGTAACATCCATAACCAGTGTTGAACATCAGACACGCGCATATGTGAAACCACCAGTTCCACGCACGACGCATTCGTTGTCCGCCCATTGGACGAATGAGCAGGGCGGTCAGACGGCTTATTGCATCAACGCGTCTGCTCAGACGGTTCTTCTACACGTAGTGTTGCAGCCATATCCATCACGGGTAAAGAAAGGAGATGCACTACAACATTTGCATCACCGTCTACCCATTCGCAGCAACGCCTCACCCCTTCAAATCCTCCATAACACCCCTCAATCTCTCCCACCCTTCACTCCCCTCAAAACTCCCCTTCCCCCGCCCCAAAATCCCCCTAACCGCACTCCTAGCCTTAAACCTCCAATCCCTCGCCACCAGCTCCTCCCCGGCCCCCATCCCCTCAGTCCTCTCCCGCGGCCCCAAACTTTCATACGAATCGCAAAGTCGCACAGTAGCCTCGACCACCTCTTCCCACCGCGCGCCACTCTCCCCCGTCTCCCAGCCCGGCCGCGACGAAACGACGCGCCACGCCTTCTCCTCCGCGTCGAGTGCGGAGGCAGGCCGGTTGCGCCAGAGTGCGAGCTGGCTCACTAGACGCCACAGCTCCGCGGAGCCAGTGATGACAGGGACGACGCTTTCGTCCATGAACTTCACCGTCATGCGCTGCACGCCCGGCTGCGCGGGATCGTACGTATCGCTCAGAGCGATGACGTATCGCACGAGGTGTTCGAGGATCTCGACGTCGATGCACTTCTCCCCTTCCGTGGAGCCGCGGAGGTCGAGCAGGCGTTTTTGCGCCGTGAGGACGGTGGCGTAGTCCGGTGGGGACAGCGAGGCGGCGACGATGAGCGCGTTTTCCCAGATGCGATGCGAGTCGTGTTTGAGCGTTGCGGCGCGCTTGAGCGCTTTGAGGGCGTCTTGCTTGTGTTGTTCTTGTTGCTGTTGTACGGTGTTGGTCTGCTCAGCACTGTGGTGCACGCTTTCGTCTTCGTCGTCTAGTTTGGCTTCTGTGGGAGTTTGAGCGACTTTGTTGACTTGTATGTCCTTTCCCTTGCGGAGAAGAGCGGCGGCGAGATTACTCCACGCCTCTGCATCGTTCTCATCCAGCTGCACGCATCTCGAAAAGGCCTCGGCGGCTTGACTGAAGTCCGCGAGTTCGAGATAGGCGCAGCCAAGTGCAAACCAGCTGGGGTGATTCAGTTGACTCGCTTTCAAACTCAGCCGATAAGCCTGAGCAGCTTTTGCGAAATCCTTGGCCGCGAAGTAGAATCGGCCGAGCGAGCGCTGAGCGCGCGCGTACCGCTGGTTCGACACCTCCCATGCTTTTTCGTACATCTCCGGCGAATGGTCCAGATCGCCAAGGATGCAGTACAGTCGCGGCGCATCGGTTGGAGGGGGCTGTCGTGCCGGACCAGACCACGTTTCCGACTCGTCAACGGTGTGCTCTGCTTTGCTGTCCGTGGCGTGGAACAGCTGTTTGCGAACGATGTTCCGGGCTCGATCTTCGCGCTCCGTGGCGGCCCAGCATAACGCCGCTTCCGCCCACATCTCAAGGCGCTCGTAGATGTCGAGTGCCGAGCGGAGACCGCCTAGTTGCACCCAGCGGGCTGCGAGCTCGCCTTCCAGGTCCCAGCGATATGGTGAGGCGAGTTGGAAGATGTATCGTAGTCGCTCGGAGGCCGAAGCGCTTTCGGACTGTTGGGGTCTGGGTAGGAATGTCGCTGACTGGGCTGTGCTGTCGTCACCGTTGGTCGGGCTTGTTGTAGCACCGGTAGTGTCTGCAATGACTTGGTCGACGAGTGCTTGCAGCTGCAGGAGTCCGCGCTCGACAGTCCGGGATCTGTAGCCTTCCAGACGGCTACGGACGAGCAGGGCTTGAGTGTAGATCTGCCAATTGGAACTGCCGCCTTCTAGAACCCGGGTGGCGTACGGCAAGGTCTCTTCCCGCGTCAGCCCATGCGCAGGCGAGGTGTTCGTGATGGAGGAAGCGAGTGCGAGAAGGATGGTCGAGTCCAGGGGTTGTAGTTGCGGCTGCGCAGAGGGATCCAGCGATGCTAGGTTTGGGGGCAATGCGTCCTCGGCAACGACTTTCGCAAAGTCGTCGGCCGGAGCTTTCGTAAATGAGATTGATTCTAGGAGTGTTTCATCATTCAGGTCGATGTTCTCAGGCTGCGCTTGAGCTGTTGTCGCAGTGACATCGAGCGCGGGGGATTTGCCCGGTTGTGATTCCGAGCCGTTCAATCGAGGTGCACCATTCGTGTCTTCTGCATTACTCTTGGCCAACACCACCAATTGACTAATATCAGTTTGCTGGAACTTGGTCCGCTTGCCCAGCCGGCCCACCAGGGCGAACTCGAACTGTCGCTGCCGCCTGACCCTGTCCAGGTCTTCTCTCGCGAGTTTATCCAGACCATGATGGATGTGAATAGTAGCCCGTTCCAATGCGAATTCTTCTTGAATGCCCACCGTGGCATTGATCTCATCGTTGAAGATAGGATCTTGCAGTAGCCGTAAATCCTCGTAGATGACATCCTGCAGAAACGGCGAGACTTCAGAGAGGAGTCGCTGCTGCAAGAACGCAACTCGTAGCTTTGCCCATCTCGCCGCGGCAATATTCTTCAAGATTGGAGGACAGGTGAAGATTGCATCGGCCAGACAAAGCAATTCGATATTTGGCGTCAATTTGTAAGCAGCAATACCGTCCATCCCTAAGCTCTCGAGGAGACCCGTTCGCACATTTTGAAGCTTGTGCTGGTCTGCTGCAACGGCCGGAGTAAAGAGTGACTGTGCGGGAGAAAAGGCCAGGGGAGGCCCCGTGACATTAGACTGCAGGAAAGCAAGCAGAGCGGCATATCCCATGCAAAAGAAGACGCTCTGTTTCTCAGGCCTCCTTCGGTCGGCCAACAAGACCCCAAGCCGGTGGAAGATGTAGTCGTTCCATGTTGGGAAGTCCTCAGGTTTGATATCCTCGGTCTTGGAGTCGTTGTCGAGACCCACGAGCGCTCGGGCATCGTCATCTTGTAATATGGCTTCGTACTCGCCTCGTTCAAGTCTGGCGATGTAGGGTTCTGCCAAGGTTGCGACTTCTGAGGGCAGAGTCTGGCGCAGATATACAATCAGTGCGTCGGCCATATTTATGCAGTTCACGATCTCGTCGTATTTTGAAAGGTCGTTTCATGAAAGAGAGCGAGTATTCCAAGGCGATGTCTTAAAGATTTTATTACTCGGGCTTGCAGCTCTTTCCCAAACGGGCTAGCGCGGACCGCAAGCCTCACGTCTCGCGAAGCCCAAGTCGCAACCTGGCGTGTCCTGAACTGCAGGTAGTCTTCCATCACTGCACTCACTCCAGTTCATACACAATGGCGAACCGAGGCGGCTACGATGCCGTAGTGGATGTTGATGCGGAGGTATACATGCGCTCCCTGTAACCAGGCCAGCGAGGTGCTGACGATTTACCAACAGGGGGATCTCGGGCATACCGACCTCAACGACGACCTCGAATTCCACAACTCCAGTCCGTCATCACACAGGATCACTCATAGCGTACGTCCAGACTGACACACGAATCCGCAGACTTCGACTCCAATCCCAACGGCCGCAAAGTCCAACCCGACACCACCTTCCTCACCCCAAGCGGCCGCGCAAACGGGGGCTCCTCTTCGTCCTCCTCCAAACGCTTCCTCTGGAGCATAAGCTTCTACCAGCAATTCTTCGACGTCGACACCTCCCAAATCCTGCACCGATGCCGCAGCGCCCTCTACCCCCGCGCCCTCTTCCTCGACGTCATGGAGGGCAATCCCGACCTGTACGGGCCGTTTTGGATCGCGACAACGGTGGTGGTCATCTTATTCATGACGGGCACGATCAGCCAGTACTTGCAAACGGCGGATCGGGGGTACTACGCGTATGATTTCAAGCTGTTGAGTGGTGCGGCGGGGCTGATTTATGGGTACACTTTGTTCATTCCGCTTGCGCTTTGGGCGGTGCTCAAGTGGTTTGGGAGTGAGGGGGCGAATGTGTTGGAGTTGTGGGCGCTGTATGGGTATGGCAATTTGATCTGGATTCCTGTTGCTCTGGTGAGCTGGAGTCCGTTGAGCAGTAAGTTTTCTACGACGATGCGTGAGTGTACATCAGGCTGACAAGCGACTACAGTTCTTAATTACGCCTTCACCGCAGCAGGATTGGTCCTATCGGCGGGATTCTTGATGCGAAATCTGTACGTACAAGTTGTCTCTCTCGTAGGCTACTCTCATTCGCAGCAAATACTAACCCTGCTCCCCAGATATCCCATCATCACCGCCATCGACGCGAAACGGCCAACGTCGTCGGTCATCATCGTGGGAGTGGTTCTGCTGCACGCCGGGCTGGCCATCGCAATCAAGATTCTGTTCTTTGCTCACGGTAGCCCGGCTGCGAAGGTTCCAGCTGGCGACGACTCTTCATGAGGGTAAGCTAGTTGAAGAGGCATCCCGCCAAGGTGGACCTGAAGGCGGCTTTTTGCAGCACGTGATAGCGCCTCGGCCGTTTAGAAACATGCTACATGTAAAGACTCATGGTATTCTTCCCATGACTCAAAGCTGTCCATGCCATGCACTACGAATCACAGTCATACAGCGATCAATCCACGTTAAAATGACGGCGACATCATAGCGGAACAAACAAAATCCCCCACCAAACTTTAACCGTTAATTTTCACCTCCCCACTCCACCTCCCCACCAAACACCAAGAAACAATCCGCCACACCCACCCATCCCAAACCACTCGGCCACATCGCCCTCCAACTACCCGTGGCCCCAGCAACTCCATTCCTACCGCTTGCTTCTGCGGTAGTATGAAAGCACGATTCGCCACCCTAAACCCCAACCCGCCTCCCGACAAACTCGGCGGCGATACAATCCCACGTCCGCACCGTGTGGCCAGCTGAAGTGGCAATTCTCATCACCATTCCTTTACAGACACCCTCTTCGTGATTTACGCTCCTGACCATCCGTCGAATCCATCGAAATGGCGCCCAAGGGAAAGAAAGGCAAAAAGGGCAACGACGACTGGGACGAAGGCCTAGGCGAGACGGCCGACCCCATCGCGCAAGCAGAGCAGGAGGCAAAAGCTGCCGATGCGGCTGCCGATGGCGAAGATGACGCTGCCGGCGGTGGCGGTGGTTTGATGGCCGCGTTGAAGAAGAACAAGGAGAAGCGGAAGAAGAAGGGCAAGCATGTCGATAATGACTTCCTTGAAGGCGAGGATCCTACGCAGAACGGTGACGATGCTGGAACTCCTGTGCCGGAAGCGGTGGATCTCAGCGCCAAAGCGCCTGAAGAGGCGACGATGGACGATGAAGATGCTTTTGCTGCGCCGGTTAAGGGGAAGAAGGGCGGGAAGCAGCAGCAGCAAGCGAAGAAAGCGCCTGAGCCCGAGGCTGATGGAGACGGCGCTGATGACGAGGAAGACGGGACAGGACGTGTCAAGACCAAGGCGGAGAAAGAGCGGGAGAAGAAGGAGCGGGAGAAGCAGCGGAAGAGGGAGCAGGCTGCGGCCAAGAAGAAGACTGCTCCGACACCGAAAGACGAGCCGAAGGCTGTAGAAGCACCTGTTGCGGCTGAGGCTGCTCCTGCTATCGATGCCTCGGCCGGTGGCAAGAAGAAAAAGCTCAACCCCGCTCTTGCGGCCCTGCAGAAGCAACAAGAAGAACTCCGCCTCCGTCAAGAGGAGGAAGCACGACTGCTGGAGGAAGAGAAGAAACGGGATGAGCAAGAGCAAGCCCGCATTGCGGAGGAAGAGCAGAAGCTGGCGGAAGCAAAGGCGGCGAAGAAGGCCAAGGAAAAGGCTCGGGTCGAGCAGCAGAAGCGCGAGGGCACGTACAAGACCGAGAAGCAGCGTAGAGACGAGGCACAGCAGAAACTCCGCTTGCAGCAGATGCTGGACTCCGGTGCCAAAGTCTCGGGGATTGATAGTCAAGACGATTCTGCCGCAAAGAAAGCCAGCAAGGATGATCGAAAGAAGAGAAATCCTCGCAAGGAGGCGGAAGAGCGGAAAGCACAGCAGGCGAAAGAGGAAGAAGAGGCACGGCAGAAGATGGAGGAGTTGAAGTTGCGAGAGGAGCAGGAGAGACTTGCTGCTGAGGAGGCCGAGAAGGCGAAGGCTGATGCCGAAGCCAAGAAGGCAGAGGAGGCCGAGAGCGAGCCTGAGGATTGGGAAGCGCTCGCCGAAAAGGAGGACGGCGACGTCAAAGACAGCTGGGATGCGCCATCCGATGAAGAGGGTGCGAAGAAGCAGGTCAATGGCAAGCCGGCAAGCGATTCCAAAGCGACCGCTAAGCAATCCAACGGCAAGGCCCGTGATGACAGCGACTCCGACTCGGACGACTCATCTTCGGAGGACGAGAGGCAAACCGTCACAGCCAAGCAAGCCGCACTCAAACGACAACAAGTAACTGATAGACGGCGGGCGGAGATGGAAGCAGCGCGAGATGCAGCCTCCAAAGACGACCTGCGCTCCCCGATCTGCTGTATTCTCGGCCACGTCGACACCGGCAAGACGAAGCTTCTCGACAAGATCCGGCAGACGAATGTGCAGGAAGGCGAGGCGGGAGGTATTACGCAGCAAATCGGTGCGACGTACTTCCCTGTCGAAGCACTGCAGAAGAAGACGATGGTCGTCAACCAGGATGGCGCGTTTGAATTCAAAGTCCCGGGTCTACTGGTTATTGATACGCCCGGTCACGAGTCGTTCACCAACTTACGATCCAGAGGAAGCTCTCTCTGTAACATTGCTATTCTGGTCGTGGACATTATGCACGGTCTGGAGCCTCAGACACTCGAGTCGATGCGATTGCTCCGCGACAGGAAGACGCCGTTCATCGTTGCGCTCAACAAGATCGATCGTCTATACGGCTGGAAGCCGATCGCCAACAACGGCTTCCGCGACAGTTTGAGCCTGCAGAGCAAGGGCGTGCAGAACGAATTCCGTGACCGTCTGGAGAAGACCAAGCTGGCTTTCAGCGAGCAGGGCTTCAACGCCGAGCTGTACTACGAGAACAAGAGTATGGCCAAGTATGTCTCGCTGGTCCCGACATCCGCGCACACGGGCGAGGGCATTCCGGACATGCTCAAGCTGCTCGTCACGCTCACGCAGGAGCGCATGACGAGGCAACTTATGTACTTGTCGGAAGTGGAGTGTACGGTGCTGGAAGTCAAGGTGATTGAAGGGCTGGGTACCACGATCGATGTGGTCCTGTCCAACGGTATCTTGAACGAAGGCGACCGCATTGTGCTTTGCGGTACAGAAGGTGCAATCACCACCGACATCCGCGCGCTTTTGACTCCGGCGGAGATGAAGGAGCTGCGCGTCAAGTCACAATACGTGCACAACAAGACTGTCAAGGCGGCGCTGGGAGTGAAGATTGCAGCCAACGGGCTCGACAACGCCATTGCCGGCTCGCGTCTACTCGTTGCCAAGAACAAGGACGACGAAGACGAGATTGAGGAGTTGGAGGAGGATGTCATGGGCGATTTGGAGAACCTCATGTCCAAGATTTCCCCGACGAAGCGCGGTGTCACCGTGCAAGCGTCCACGCTTGGTTCGCTCGAGGCTCTACTGGAATTCCTGCGAACATCGAAGATTCCCGTGTCGAATATTTCCATCGGCCCCGTGCACAGACGCGACGTCATCACGGCGTCGACGATGCTGGAGAAGGCAAAGGAGTACGCGGTGATGCTGTGCTTCGACGTGCGCGTGGACAAAGACGCACACGAGCTGGCGGACCAGCTCGGCGTGAAGATTTTCACGGCCGACATCATCTACCACCTCTTCGACGACTTCACCAAGCACATGAAGGCGCTGAACGAGGCGAAGAAGGAGGAGAGCAAGATGTTGGCCGTGTTCCCTTGTGTGCTGCGGCCTGTGGCTGTGTTTAACAAGAAGGATCCGATTGTCGTCGGGGTGGATGTTGTCGATGGGAATCTGCGACTCGGTACGCCCATTGCCGCCGTGAAGATGAATCCTGTGACGAATGTGAAGGACATTGTCAGTTTGGGAAGAGTGTACGTCCCCACCATTCATCATATCTTCCATGGCCCAACGCATACTGACTTTGCATGGAACTACAGAACCGGCATCGAACGCGACCACAAGCAAATCCCCATCTGCAAGCGCGGCCAGCCTTCCGTGGCGGTCAAGATCGAGGGCCCCAATCAGCCCATGTACGGGCGGCAGTTGGAGGAGAAGGACATGTTGTATTCGCAGATTTCGCGCGCGAGCATTGACTGCCTGAAGGAATTTTACCGCGATGAGGTGGAGAAGGATGAGTGGGCGCTGATTGCGAAGCATTTGAAGGGGTTGTTTGATATTCCGTAGTGCCCTGAGGTGATTGAGTAGATTGTTGAAGTCTTCTGCACGGCCAGGCTCCAGCTCCACTCCGCGCACGGACCACACGGCTGAGCCTGGGACGAGCCAGACCTTGCCAGCACAGCTCCCCCGGCCTCGACGAATGCTTGGTAGCGGGATTCTAAGTCAAGTCACACTCGGGCGCTGCCCTGGTTCGTGTGACACCTGACACCACGCCTCTTCCCCTTGGCACCGCGGGGCCTTTTGGTTTCAGATAATGGCGCCTCGTGTGCGCGGCGGGCGCCCGCCGCCCTGCTCTACCTCTCCATCTCTTCGTACCTCTCTCCCCCACCACCACTACATGCACACAGGCCGTGGCGGACTGCAGCAGCGGCCATGTCTCTCCAGCCCGGTACCACGCAGCTGAGGACCTTCACTCGCTCGCTGCTCACCGATGGCACGCGGACGGTGACGACCTTCACCGAAGCTATCTGGGCTGTGGCTACTAGAGCTCCCGGCGGCGGCCGCACCACCACCACCATCCGCATCCTTGTTTCGCCTTCGACTACCAGTCGCAATATTGGGAATGGGAGGTCTTCTTCATCTACCCCTGCTCTTACTTCGTCTTCTTCTTCATCGTCCTCCACTTCCTTAACGACCAGTGCTTCTGGGGCGTCCAACACCGCTTCTTCAACCCTGCAAAGCAGCCACCATGGCTTCACATCTGGCGCCGTGGCTGGTGCGGCTGTAGGCTGTCTCATCGCCGGAGCACTAATCGCTTTCCTGCTCGCCTTCTTCCTTTTCCGCCGGAAGCAGCGGAAGCACGAAGCGAGCGTTGCGGCTGCTAACAATTATGACGCCTATCACGCTCCCGACAGGAAGACGCCGCTGGCTCCTGTGCCTGTTGCTCTTGGAGAGAAGTCTGCCGCTACTGGAGGCACAGCTGCGACTGGTATTGCTGCTCCGCCGGCTTCGCCTAGTTGGCTGGCGTATCTCCCTCCGTCGGCTTCGGATCACACCATTGCCACTGCTGTCAAGACCTTCTATGATCAAATAGAACAGCACGTCGACACCTTCTACTCCCACAGCCCAACATCCGATAGCAGCAGCGGAGCTCAAGACGCGCAACAAAGTCGCCAACCGCTGTCTGAGATCGACAGCGGGAAATTACCAGGACGAATCGAGGATCTGATGCAAGAGTCCGCCATGGTGCTTCCGGTCATCAAGCACTCCATTGCCGATCTGCTCATCACGCGACTCTCGCCGCTCGCCTTCGCAGAGACGTCGCTACTTCCGCCTCACTTGGCTGAGTTTCCTCAGCGGCTGCAGGAGTCGCCTGCTTCTTCGCCTGCTGAGGCTGCTGGTGCGTTTCAGTTCTCTTTCCTACGCACCCTGTCCTTGAACGTCCACACTAACTGTTTTCCGAGTTTTAGCATCCCAACAAGCATACTCCCAATGGCGCCTCCTAACGGCATACCTGTACCCCTCGCCAGAATCAACAAGTGCCTACGAAGACGACCGCGACGCCAAAACAGCCGATATCTCCTCCCTGCTCGCCTCAGCCTTCGCTCCCTGGCAACAAGAACAGCATCAGAAGCAAACAAAAGTGAGCAGCAGCGGAGACAGCGCCAGCAGCACAGATAGTTCCAACGACGATGACGAAGAGAGCAGTCTCCACCAGCATGAACGCACTCTGATCGCCACTGCCGCGAATCTAGGCATTCTACTCATGAGCCAGGCGGCGGCGTTTGAGTTTCGATGGAGTCCTGCTGGTGCGGCGGCGGCGGCGGCGGAGGGGGGAGTGAGGGAGGTGGGTGTTGTCGTTGTTGCGCCTGGGTTTTGGAGGACGACGGATGATTCCGGAAGGGGGTTGGAAGCTGGGACGGCGAGGGAGATGGTTGAGGCGAGGGTTTGGAGGAGTTAGCCCCGTATCCTTTAAACGGATTGTTTGGCAGTGGATTGGACAGGACGATTTATTTTAATGTTAATGATCTACGAGTCAATTATCTCCTACTTCCTCACAAGCGCATAAGGCTCACAAACCGCCATGCCCGTCCGCGCCGGCACCGTCACGCAAATCGGGAACCCGCCATAATCCGGCTTCGCACTCGGCATAATCGCGAACCGCCCACTCTGCGTCTCATCCCCGTTCAGCAGCCGCACAGTGCGCATCGCCCCTGTCGCCCGATCGACTACTTGCTTTTCTTCGAAGCGCAGGATGCCGGTGAAGTATGCTGCGGGATTGGTGGAGGTGAAAGTCACTTGGAAACCCCAGCCTAGGAGGAGGAAGGTGTTTTGTGTTTGCTGGATTATCATTCCGGAGCCGGGAGAGGGATGGCCGAAGACGAAGGAGCGTTCGATTTTTAGAGACCAGGGGCCGAAGGTTAGAGTGAATGGGGGAGAGGTGGCGGGTCCGGTTGGAGGGAGGTCGTCGAAGAAGAAGCCTGCGCTTGATGAGGGCGTTGCTTGTGCGTGCAGGATATGTGGCGCTGCATCTGCTAGGAGGCCGTAGTGTGCTTTGAATGGATTCTCGTCGAGGTCGAGAGAGTCGATTCCGAACGGCGCGGTGCCGATGCAGTTGTGTGAACCAAAGGCATGCCAGATGCGGCGCGCACCGTACTCGTCCCGTCTCTGCTCCGGGATGAACAGCGGCTGGCCGCGGTGGGTGTATTTTGCGCAGGTCTTGGAATAGTCGTTGAGGTAGATGTCCGGCGCGATGAAGTCGAGTGAAGGCGTGAAGAGTTGCCAGATGTCGAGCACTTCTTCCACGCCGCCACCTGAGGGGTAGTCGCCTGGGGTTCCGCCCCCGCCGACGACGGTCGGCACGCTCGGGTCGTTGTCCTCCCCTCCATAGTTCTGCCAGACGTTCGTGTAGAGTGGGAGCGGGTAGGCGCGCTTGCCGGCCGACGCTACCTGCTCGACGTACAGGCTGTAGTGGTACGCCATGAACAGCTCATCGATACGCTGCCGATCAGCGGGGAGATCGTACCAGCTCGCATCGGCGGGGACAGCGTCTGCGTCCAGCTGGCCGAAGTTCCGGCGGAAGGGGCCAGTGAAGTTCGATTTGTCGCTGAGCAAGATGCGGAGCAGCTCTTCGGGGATGGGCGATTTGTAGCGTACTTCTGCTGCATGGCTGCGGTCTCGTGAATCGCCTAGGATCCCGATTTCGTTCTCCACTTGCACCATGATGACGGTTGAATGTGCTTCGTCTACTTCGCGGAGGTGCTTCATTAGTGTTGCGAAGGCCTTTGCGTCGGCTTTTTGCGCTGCCGTGTCGAAGATTGATAGGACTTCGATGGTCTCAAGGGTGCCGTCTTTGCGGTGCGTTTGCACACGTGGGAAGCGGCGTGGGTTGATCTTGACCCATGATGGGACGTATGTTGATTTTCCTGCGTGATGTGATTAGTCTAAGGACACAAATATCGGCGCGGGCGTGGAGTGCACCATTCTTGAAACTTCCAAACCACAACAACACCAGCTTCAAGCCGTTGTTGCGAGCAGCAAGGATATTCCGGTCGAGCTCTGCGAAGTCAAACCGCCCTTCCTCGGGTTCAGTCTGCTCCCAACTTACAGAGCCGAGGACAGTATTAAGATTGGCGGCTGCTAGCTTAGGGTAGACATCTTCCATGAAATGTGAAGAAGAGAAAGAAGAGTTCTGCAGCTCGCCGCCGAGGATAAGGAAAGGCTGGCCATCGACGATGAGTTGGGTGGTGTCGCCGGTACGGCGGAGGTGTGGGATGTCAGGGTTGGTGGTCCTGGTTATCATTCTGGCTGTAATGCCAAGCAAGGCCGAATAGAGGAAGATAGAGGGAGAAGAGAGAGACTGAGATGAGATGGAGAGGGAGAAAGAGGAACTCAGCGTGATGCGATGTTCTATCCAGACGACTGTGGTGTGGCCGAGCCGACACCGGCCGTGAGCGACCTGGTTGGGCAGTCTTTGTGCGTATTAACCCTCTCGGTCTTGTTCTACGCCTCGGCATATGCATTGGGGAACATGCCGTGGGGCACGCGACGTTCGAGTCTCGTTGAGTAGGCGTGCGGGACGAGGTGCAGAAGAGGGAGGGAAGGAGCAGGAGAGTCGGTGGAGTTGGGGAGCTGCCATTGGCCGCAATGCCGGAACACCTGGCGTGCCCAGCCGCGCGCCGCGCCCCACGGGAATCGACGGTCTTCGCATCTCCCTTTCAGCCGCCATCGCCTTCTCCGTGACCGGGTGTGGCCTGTCCATGGCAGCGAGGAAGACACTCCGGCTGCCGACGCGTCTGATTCGCCCATCCGCCTTTCAGCCTGGTTTCCCACGTGCTGGCCCATGGAAGCTGCTCCGCCGGAGACAGCTCCGTGCAAAAGGCTGCTCGAGAGTCTAGAGCTCTGAGAGCGTTGGCATTCGTGCAGGTACCTTCATTTAAGAGGGCGATGGCGACCTCTCCCTCTGCTATGCTTTTCTTTCGCACCACCGTGCTACCCACGCTCGTCCTGGACATCCGTCCACCGCGCGGCCGTCATGGCATATGCTGCCGGCAAGGACGAGAAGTGTGCGGCCATGACTAGCGAGGTCGTCGAAGTACCCGCGTCCGCCGGCGCGTTGGAGATCCCGTCCGTCACCTGGTACAAGGATGCCGGTCTGCTGAAGCTATACATCATGATTCCCATCCTCTTCCTCGGCTCCACGACCAATGGATACGATGGAAGTCTGTTGAACGGGTTGCAGACCCTTGATCCGTGGCAAGACTGTCAGTTTCAGCGCCTTTCCCGGATAACACGAACTAGATCACTGACGTGAGCAACAGACTTTCACAATCCTAGTGGATCTACGCTCGGCCTGTTCAGCGCCATTCTGCAGATTGGATCACTGTGTGCAGTCTTCTTTTGTTTGTCACACGATCCTCTTTTTCGGACGACACCCGATGCTGACAACACATGAAGCGGCCTATCTCGCCGACTTGCTGGGGCGCAAGAAAGCCGTCGCGTCTGGCACCATCATCATTTTCGCTGGCATGGTATTACAGGGTCCGAGTCAGACGTCGCGCAACAAGAGTAGAAGCTAGGCTAACATACGACCACCAGTCGTACCCGGAGTCACTCGAGGCATGTACATTGGCGGACGCTTCATGGTCGGTCTGGGGTAAGCGAGAGGACCGCAATGCTAAGACCTTGGCTTCCAAGGCACACGCTGATCGGGTACATACACCAGCTCCAACATCTGCCAAGGCTCCGCTCCGCTGCTTGTCCTTGAGCTTGCCCATCCGTTGCATCGTGGCAAGGTCACGACCATGTACAACACCCTCTGGTACCTCGGGTCTATCGTCGCCGCCTGGACGGTCTTTGGCACCATGGGCTACTCGGGCAACATGGCGTGGAAGATTCCCGTTGGTCTTCAGGGGTTGATGCCTGGCATTCAACTGATTGGTAAATCGGGCCGAGGACAAGTCAGTGTCATACAGCTACTGACAACATGACAGGCATCTGGTTCCTCCCCGAAAGCCCGAGATGGCTCATCGCTACGGAAAGGCACGCGGAGGCCATGGACATCCTTGTCAAATACCACGCAAACGGCGATCGCCAGAACACCTTCGTGCAAGCCGAGTTCGCGGAGATTGAGGGCACGCTTATCGCGGAGAAGCAATACACCAACCAAGGCTGGCAGGTCTTTGTCCAGACCAAGGGCAACCGACGACGACTGCTGCTCATTGTGCTCGTCGCTTTCTTTTCACAATGCTCGGGTAACGGGCTGGTGAGCTACTACCTGCACGACATTCTGCAGTCGGTGGGCATTACGAGTTCCTACGACCAGGCGCTGTACAACGGCGGACTGCAACTCTGGAGCTTCCTCATGGCCATCATCTTCTCAAGCCTGCTCGTCGATCGCTTCGGCCGCCGCACGCTCTTCATGATCGCCAGTGTGGGCATGCTGACTACTTTTACGATCTGGACCGCCTGCTCCGCCATCTACGCCGAGACGGGCAACGTGGCCGCGGGCAAGGTGGTGCTGGCCATGATCTTCCTCTTCTATGGCATTGCCGGCTTCGCGTGGCCTGGCCTGACCATTTCCTACACCATTGAGATTCTCCCTTACAATATCCGAGCCAAAGGTCTTGCGCTCAGTTTGATGATTGTCTCGGCTGCGTCGGTACGTGATGCCTTCGCCCATTGAGCGATCACGATGCTAACACCTCTCTTCCCTGCAGGTCCTCAATCAATACATCAACCCGATCGGCCTGCAGAGTATCCACTGGAAGTTCTACTTTGTTTACATTGTCATTCTCGTCATCGAAGTGCTGTGCATCTGGTTCTTTTTCGTCGAGACGAAGGGTCGGACGCTCGAGGAGGTGGCGGTGCTGTTGGATGGTGAAGAGGCGGTTGCTGCTGTCGAGGCAGAGGCTAACCATACTGTTGGCGAGAAGAGGGATCTGGGGGTGCAAAGTTTGCGATATGACGGACGAACGGTATTGTGAGCGAGGGGCATGTTGAAATGAATTTATGGCATTGGGTTGAGCGCGGCTGGTGTTTTGCGGGGATCTGGTTGGTTGTACATATTATGACTGCATTTCTCGGATGTGCCGGATACCCCACTTGTACATATGAGCAATGCCCTTATTCGGCCCCTCCACCAACCCCGTGCGTGCTGTGCCGTTTGCCTTCAACTACAGTACAGTACTTTGTGGCGCGTAGCTTCCCCCACACGGCCTGGCCGAGGGGTCTAGCCTCATCACACCTCCAACCCTCGAGTCTCCGCCTTCCTCCAACCTCCAACCTGCAAAAACACACATGCCTCCAGGATGCGCAATGCCACGGCGTGCAAACAATGCCGCCAATCGAAGCGCAGATGCGCCCGCCCCGCCGTCGACGGCGTGCCCTGCAACAACTGCCACCGCCGCTTCCAACACTGCTCCTTTTGTCCGCTCCCCCACGACCGCCCGCGGCACCTCAACGTCTCCATCGCCCCCGAGGTCCAATCGCCCGACAGCAGCCGGCCCGAGGACCTCCTGGCCCGCCTCACCAACACGCAAAAACTGGCGCTGGTCGACAACTACTTCGCCCTCATCCATGATCGCCCGCACAGCCTCTTCCACCGCCCGACCTTCATGGCCGAACTCCAGGCAAACCGCATCCGCACCTCGCTCATCCTAAGCGTCTGCGCGCTAGCCTCCTACCTGTCCACCGACGACGCCATTCGCACCCTCGGGCAGGAAATGGCGCTGGCGTCCAAAAACCTGCTCCTCGCGGACATCGGCTCGCCGGCCATTGCGCACATCCAGACTGCCATTCTGCTAGCTACCATCTATGCGGCGGAGCGGCAGCCGCGCGCAGACGCCATGTTTTTTGCCATTGGCGCGCGTATGGCGCAAATTCTGCGGCTGCATGATGTGCATGAGGGTGACGATGCGGTTACTGCGGAGACGAAGGCGCGCGTCTGGTGGACGCTGATTATGTTTGATTACTGGGGTTCTGCGGGGCTGATGATCAGGCGGCAGCTAGAGCACCAGCCTTCTAATATCCCGTATCCCGGGCCTGAGGATATCTTCCAAGCTGCAAGGCCCTTTCAGCAGACTTTGGAAGTGCCCGGCTCCGGACTGTGGGCGCATATGATTAATCTCGTGAAGATCTTCGGCTTCATTCAGGACTTGCATCAGGAATTGGCGACGCAGCGATTAAGCCATTCGGACGTCGACTCGAAAGTGGAAGACCTGGCGAAGCGCCTGGACGCGTGGGCGAGCGCGCTGCCGAAAGGCGTCGTGCTGAGCGACGACAACATCAAAGACCACATCTCTCGTGGCCTAGGGGGTGCCTTTATGGCGCTGCATCTCGGCTTCCATCACTACTTCACCCTCCTCTTCTACCACTCTCTCGACTCCTACCAACCCCCTACGGTCAACAAGTCCACCTTTACCCAGCGCTGTCGCGGCCACGCGATGAAGTACAGCGAATTACTCCAGACGTCTCGCAACACGCCGGGCTGCGAGGCGAGCTATCCAGTCATGGGCCACATGGCCGTCGTCTCGTCCTCGGTGCTCCTCCACATGCTTCTCTTCGGGGACGACAACGAACTCGTGGGAGCAAGGGAAAGTCTAATGGGCAACTTCGCCGCGCTCGTGGAGCTCGAGAAGTTCTGGCCAAGTCTAGGCGTCTCCGTAAGTTCCATCTCCCACTAATACTCCCCAAGAAAGCCCACCTCCTAACATCCCCCAAACAGATGCGCCGCCTCCACACCTTCCAAGACGTCTGCCGCCAGCCCGCCAACATGAGCACCTACCGCATCGACCAGTGGATGTTCCGCTTCCTCTACGAGCACTCCAATTCCATCGGGGACCGCGTGGCGCCGAAAGAAGGCGGCGGCGGCGGCGACTCGTGCAGTGTCTCCCCCGCTGCGTCGATGATGAGTAGTAATGCGGAGGCGCCGCCTTTGCCGCCGCGATTTCAGGAGGTGGCGAAGGGGCGGGAGGCGGTGCTTACGAGTGCGTTGGACTTTTTGAGGCGGTGAGGTTGGCTTCCTTTGGGGAGGTCTTTGTAAATTTCATGATGACGGCATTTGGGATTGGTTGCTTTGGGCATAGGGTCAGGGAGGGCGGTGTATGATGGAGCGGAGTTTGGATTCCCTCTGGCTGCTGGCGGCCGTGACGTGGCGTGACCAAAAAGTCGCATGAATGGATGAGCTGAATGATGTCGATGTTTGTAATGACTCTTTGTTACGAGGTATATCTACACCGCCCACTTCCCACCACAACCACTTCATCACAGCCCCAATCCATAGGGCAACGATACTCAGGACCTCCCATCAGGTTGTCCCCCTCCTCATCTCCCCGCCCGCTCTACAAAAGCCCTCTCCAACTTCCCCACCTCCGCCTTGAAAGCCTCCACCTCCTCCCAGCAGTCCAGCGGCCGCCGATCCTTCGTCCGCAAACACCGCACCAGCTCCTCCTTCGCCTTCTCCACTTCCTTGCTAGGCTTCTCGAGTTTCTTGCGCGCGTCGAGTTTCGCGCGCAGAGTCATTATTTCTTTTTGCACGCTGTCGTGTGAGCGGGAGGTGGAGTCTTTCGAGGAGGTGTCGTTGGAGGAGGAGAAGGGGGAGGAGAGGTGGGATGTTATGGTTTCTTTGTCGGGGAGGACTTTTGAGAGGGGGGAGTCGTTTTTGGTATCGGATGAGGAGGAGGATGATGATAGGGAGGAGGTGAGGTCGGCGAGTTTGCGACTTTGCTCGTCGCGCAGCTTTTTGAGCTCGCTGTTCACTCGCGATTGGATTTTGAGCTCGTAGTCTTGCGCGCGGGTTGAGTCCGTCTGCGTTGGCTTTGCTGTTAGTAGGCACATTCGAATGGGAAAGCCTGGTTGATGGATGGAGGCATACCTCTGCGCTGTTCTGGAGGGAGTCGACGACGTTCTGGCTGAATCTCACCGGCGCATCGCTGGGGGATGGGGAGTCAGTTTTCGAGCAGTGAAAGCAGGACTGGACTCCGACATACGCATTGAAGACGTGCTGCTCTTGCTTGGAGCCTCCATTGCCCATTGTGACTCGCCGGACAAGGTCTGGATGTAGTCGGCTAATGATCCGTGGAGCTCCCTTTGGTAGTTCACGGATGAAGTTTTGGGTGGAGGTGGTTCAATGCTGGCAGCTCGGAAGCCGAGTCTTTGCCGAGACATCTCCGCTTTCGACGACATGCTATTCTGCTACGCGCATCGCATTGTGTTGTACGCTTGAAGGAATAATGGATGATCGGAGAAGATGATGCGCCATGCCGCAAGCTTCGATCCTGGCATGGCTGAGCAACAAGTCGACGAGTGTACCGGAGGCGACATGCACAAAAGCAGAGTCAGCCCATAGCAACTTCACATCCGCCCAGCCAACTCGGCCATTATCATCGCAACAGGACTCGTCACATACCAACATTTTCTCGGCCACTACGGCCACCACCTCTACGCCATCTCAACCGTTCATCGGATCCGCACGTCCCCTCCCAGCAAACGTAGAACTCCGCACCTGCACCAAAACCGACATCCCCCACCTCAAACGCCTCAACAGTCTCCTCCTCCCACTCCCCTACCCAGACTCCTTCTACCGCGAAATCACCGAAGATCCCACAACTTCCAACCTCACCCTGCTAGCATTCTGGCACGACGATCCTGCGAAAATCAGCACTCCCGAAGAAACGAAAGGCCGGCTCGTAGGCGCTATCAGCTGTCGTATTCTCCCCCGTCCATCAGCACCGTTATTTCCCAACACGCCATCTACAGAGGTAGAGAAACGCATGCTCTACCTCAGCACCCTCGTCGTCCTCTCGCCTTTTCGACAACACGGAATCGCCACGCGGATGCTGGACATCGTCACGCGGCGCGCTATTTCCGCTTACGGCGTCGCGAGCATCGGAGCGCACGTTTGGGAGGCTAATGCGGAGGCGAGGGAGTGGTATGCTAAGCGGGGGTTTGTGGAGTTGAGGCGGGAGGAGGGGTATTATCGCCGGCTGGAGCCGAGGGGTGCGGCGGTTGTGGTGGAGAGGCGGGTGTCTGTTATGGATCTGGTGGGGGATTGAGAAGGGAAGCAAGACCGGAGGAAAGCACTTTCCAGGAGGGATGTCCTGTTCTCTCAGTCTGGTTGTTTGAGAGACGACATAGACGACAGTGAGCTTTCTGAATGATCAGGGATGCCCAGAGAGAGACTGCGTCGGTGGCCCTGCATCTTCAGCACGCTCAGGTCGCACTGGTCGCCTATGACAGAGTGCATATAGGGCTGCCACCCTCGAGTGCGAGAGTATCTAGCGAGCTGCGGTCCCGAAGCACACGGCAACACGTCAAATTCGGTACACGGGAAGGCACGCAAACTTGGAGAACATTCATTCTTAGTTTCCGCACCAGCTATGCATGCTTCATGCCCTTTGTACGCCGCCGAGAAAAAGCGAGCAAGGAAAGCAGCAAGCTCCATCTTGCCTTATTCCGCCCTCCGTCCTCTTCACATCACGGCCATCTGTCCCACTCCGAGCCACACCTTACTCCACATCGCCCTTGCTCTCGAAGTTCTCCCCCTCGACCAGATCAGGTATCTCATCGTCGTCATCGTCCTCCTTCTTGCCGTCCTCGCCCTCGCCCGACTTCTGCAAGCTCTGGTAGCTCTCGGCCAGCTTCCGCAGCGACGCAAGCGAGTCCGGTCCGAGCTGGTTGAGGATGCCAGGCACCAGCTCCGTGAGCTCCTTGTCCTCGCCGTTGCCGTAGATTGCGAAGGTGTTGGAGGGGACGGAGGCGTGGACTGCGGTGCGGCCATTAGCTGCGCTGTTCTCCTCTACAACGTACGAGATGTGCTTCTTGCTTACCCTTCGGCGCGGAGAAGTGGATGACGTTGCCGTCCGATTTGAACATGTTGACCTCCTCGATGGCCTGGATGGGCTGCACGTTCATCTTCTTGAGCGTCGACTGCAGCTTCTTGTCGTCTGCTCCCGCGCTCTTGTGCACCTTCTTCACTTTTCTCCGCGGGGTGCCTTTGCCGCTACATGTCACCGGAGATATTAGCCATGGTTAATGTTCTGCGTTGCGCGTGTTTGGCTTGGGGAGTTTCGGGGGAGGGGTGTGGTTCGTGGGATGGATGATGTCGCTTACCCTGCAGGTTTGTTAGCATGTCATCCCGAATAGTTGGAAACCAACACAGTATGGCTTCTAGAATAGCAAATTGGGGAGATACACACCAATGCGCACAGCATTTTGCATGCGAGCCAGCTTCTCGGTGTCCATGATGGCGAGAGGAGCTTCAAACAACGACGGTGATGGGGAAAGGGGGGAGCGTATGGAGGAGCGGTGTCTCGATTGCTAGTCGTGGTCCGTTCGCAGCAAGGTCCTCGACAATTGGCAATGCCCGTTCGACACTCGTGTGTTGGGCTGCGAACTTCGGCCGCCGTTCGAGCGGCGGCTCCTCCCGCCGTGTGCGTTTTTGTGCCGCCCCGCCAAGACTTGTGGGGTCGTGCTCCGCTGAGCTGCCGATTGCTTAGGTAAGGCACCTTTAATGTGGACGAGACAGCACTTCCATTGCTCAGTCCATCAAGAACAGCTGAAAAAATAGCAAAGAAACCCTTGATCACGATCGAGCTCCATGGCAAGACGACAAGTGCGCGTCTCAGTTGCCGAAGTCGTCTAGGCTGCTCGCAATGGCTAGCCAACCGTGGCCCATCACCACTCATGCATAATGGGTCGTACCTCTTCAGTTTCCGTAGCCTGCAGGGCTTCTCTGCCGTCTATTACGAAAGGGAACTGACTGTTAGCATACTTGGCAACTTAATCTGGCCCCATCCGCATTGTTCGCCTCGTAGCAGCCTGCAGGATGCGGAACGAACGGCAAAGCGAACGAAGCTGCATGCCACGTACCGTGATGCGCTGTCGTACATGTACCTGTCCCGGAGTGATGCTATTGGCCATTATTCTCACCGGAATCCGGATCGCGTTGTGACTCGTATTGCGAAGATCATATATGACCGGAGCAGCTCACGTCTGTTGTTGTGGAAAACGAAGATCTTCCCTGCCACGATCTACTGGCAGCATTATGGCCACGCCTTCCGTTCAATCCATTACTCGACAGGTTGAGGCAGCTGAGATATCGCAGGCCGAACGCCGTCCTTCCACTCCTCCTGAAGCCCCAATACAGGGGCTCGAATGCCTGCCTTTCGACCCTCCCGACCCTGCTCAACTCAGTGCTATACCTCGATATCTCTTTCGAGCGTACAGCCCTCACTCTCTAGGTAGTACTGATGAAACCTGGGTCAGATCGAGAGACGTTAAAGCTGGCCATGAGAACGCAAGCAAGGACATTTTTCAGACTACGCCTCGGCAGAGCACGGCTCGAGGAATTGCCGACCATCTCAACTGGGCCAAGGACGAGCGAAAGGATAATCTGATGTCATGGACATCATCACTGCTATTCGCGGTTCACCTTGTCCTTTACAGACAAGCAAAGCGTAAAGATGCAACGAAAAGAGACGGTTCAGCAATGAGCGACATCAAGATTTGCATCATCGACACAACGCTGTTGCCTGATCGTACATTCATTCGAGATATGGACCTCATCAACGCATTCAAAGCGAACCATCAAAACTTGAGGAGTCTACATGATCTCCGAACTGGTCGCAGAGGCCCCGGAACGTACTATTTCTGTGAATATCTGTCTCAGGGATCGCTGAACGTCGGCGGAAAATGTCAGATCGTCTCTGCCGAAGCCATGATGAAATCCGGACTACTGTCATTGCAGACCGAATTCACGAGCGCATATCAGAATGCAGAATGCGGATGGGCAGAGGAAGTCCGGCGAGTGCGCAAAACCTTCCAAGGGGAGGGCACAGCAACTCTGGATCCCGAACAAATCAAAGTCGCAATCCGCATTGCGCAGCTCTTCGGTCCAATGTGGCGATTGCCAGTCGCCATAAGCTTGGTAGCATTGCTTCCGGGCCGCATAGATGCCGATGAGATCAAGACGGCATTTAGCCACCGGGGAGACTTTAACGGTATGATTTCTTTTGCTTGCTTCACATCTAGATACGCAACCCGCTAACGCAACGCTCGATACCAACAGATGAGGAGCGCCTTGACTACGGTATACGGCCAATCACTATTGTAGCTGATGAGGTGATGCTTGAGATTGCTCGGGTCAGACGTCTGACTGAGATAATCCATGTCGATTACTTGGAAAGTTCGTCACCCATCTTGTCTGGAACATTCTCTGCGATGCTAATATGCACACAGAGCGATGGCAAAAAGCTGAAGAGTCGCTCGGCTTGACCATATTGAGTCTTTATTCTTTGAAAGATTATCGCCGTGAATGGCCGGCCGAAGAGTGTCATGAAATGCTTGGCCGTACAGAGAAGCTCTCTTCCTTGACTGAACATCTCTGTAGCATGGTGCAAGAGGAGTTACGAAAGATTGGCCGCTCACCCAATGTGACATAGTCTCTCTGCAAGACATCTTTGCTGCCCCTGCCTGCCACTCAGTGGCTCGGAATACAGGGCTGGCAAAGATTGAGGGCTTGACACAACGCTTGCTCGATTTGTCGAGGTCACGAGAATCCTAGCCGCGAGACGTCTTGATCATTATCACCAAGCCTTCAATTTCAAGCACTCACTCCGTAAAGCGATCGAACCACGCAAGCGTCCTACAGCACGCATCTATGACTGCAGGGAAGCGACGAACCCCATGGCCCTCGAGAGGGTACTCAACCAGCACAGACTCGACACCATGATCCAGCAGCGCCGCGTGAAAGTACCGCGCTTGCTCAGGCGGCACGCACGTGTCTAACGTGCCTACCATCAAGAGCGTCGGAGTGGTGCAGTGGTGCGCATACGCCAACGCACTCCGTCTCTCCACAAGGCTGTTGCGATCGTCGACATAAATGTGCGGGCCCACGATAGGCTGCCGCTCTTCTCCCACGAGCCACTGCAATTTGTAGTCTTTTACCCCGCTTCTCGATAGCGCTGCCGCGAAGCGGTGCGTTTGGGTGATGATCCAGGCTGTCAGGTAGCCGCCGTAGCTGGCTCCCATCACGCACAAGCGATTCGGATCGGCGATGCCTTGGTTGACAAGATGGTCGATCCCGCTTAGGCAGTCGCTGGCATCAACTCCGCCGATATCCCCATTGAGTCGCTCGGCAAACTCGACTCCGCGGCCGGTCGATCCGCGGAAGTTCGGGACGAAGACGGCGTAGCCGTGCGCAACCAGCCATAGGATGTCGGGCGTCCAACCGAGCCAATGGTCGCTGAGGCTACTAAACGGCCCGCCGTGAAGGTATGTGGCGAGTTTGTATGGCGTGGGCGTTGCAATAGGTAGGTGGAGCTGGCCATAGATGTCCACACCGTCTGCCGCCCGCCATGCCACCGTCTGAACGTCTCCTACTTGACTCTGGAGCCATTCCGCGCCGGCATGACTGAAGCTGAGTATGTGGCGATACGAGCCATCCAACCCAATCAGTCCAATCTCGGGTGCTAGTTTCCACCCGTTGCGCACGACTGTTAATCCCTGACCGGATACCCACGATGCAATTCCCGGCGACCTGTACCGCCACGATGAAGTGTCACTCCGAATCTCGTGTACATCCCTCGTCCACGGATTCACCTCCAATGCAACGGAGTCCATGTTCCGCACTCCCACGGCAAGCAATCGGTCTTCTGCTATCCATACCATCGAGTGCACATCCACTCCCTTTGAAGGCAGTAACACTCTTTCCTTCGTCTCGATATTGAAGAGGATCAGGCTTCCGATGAGCTTCGTACGAGACCCGCCAACGGCTTCGACGAAAGCAATATGAGAAGGGTCAGCAGGTAATGGTGCAAGCTCACCAATCATTCGATGATCAGGAACTCGAACCACCTCCTCCCGTCCGCTCTCGACTTCGATCCTCACCAGCGTTGCCTCGCGATATCCGCGCTCAAGCGGCGTGTCGCCGACCAAAGCGAATGCATAACGATCGCCACTCCAGCACGCACGCCATATGTTCCTTCCTGCTAAGCTGACTTGTCGAGCGCGCTTCGACCGCGTCAGGTACACCCAGAGCGAGCGATGTTCCGTCGGCGGATGCTTACTCTTCACCGAAGGCATCCAAGTCGGCAGAGTCTGGCTACCCCCTCCTACAGTACCCGAGCCTTCGAAACCAGACAGCGGCATTCCGTACGCCGCCAGACGAAAAAGCAACATCGTGCCGTCGGCGGACCATTCGAAGTCTTCGATGACTCCTGGAAGACTCTCTTGCTGCGGTAGCACGCACGCCTCTCCCGGCTGGTCCATGTCGAGCATGTACAGTCGAAAACGACCCTTTCGCGCTCGATCGGAGAGGAAAGCTAGCGTGCTCCCATCCGGCGACCATTTGGGCATTTTGTCCGTGTTCGGGCCTTGGGTGATGAGCTGCATGTCATTGCCGTGAGTCGAAGACACGTTCACGAGAGCTATGCGTTTGCTAGCTGGCTCCTCCAGCGAGGTCATGATCGTTGCTGTAAATGCTATTTGGCTGCCATCTGGGGAGGCGCAGAGCTCTTCTGCGTTGCTGACCTGGCCGAATGCCGGACTGTGTAGCTTTTGAAACCAGTCGTGCGTTTCTTGCCACTGTGGCGTTGAAGTAATGTCCTGAAGCTCTGGTAGGAAAGGCGCTTGTTGCAGCCCTTTGCTACTCGCTCCAGTGGTTTGAGACATGGTCGGAGTCGGTGGTGGCGAGCATCGTAAGACGTGTACGCTGGGGAACTCTGAATACAAATACCAACTGTGGTGATGGTAGTGGTACGTGCATCTTCTGCTTTCCGCCGATAACGGTCTATGCATGCGCGTCAGCATGGTGCATGTCATGGGTCGAAAAAATGCCAGCAGCAGGTGAAGCCGGCAAGGTTTGAGGTTCTAACGGTACCTTGGCTGGTTGTGCAATGCTACCATCTCATGAGACAGTCATCGGTGAATACGGACGCCGACTATGTCATGAGATTTGGACGCCGACCGGGATCAACGTTGCGCATACCCATGCATTCAATCGATTTCCCTACTTCAATACCTAAGCACGGACAGCCTGCTACCGATTGCCAACTGGATCCACCAAAAAGCGCTTGTTCCGCCCCTTCCACCCGTCCAATTCCCCCAGGTCTCGTACTGGCCAAGGATGAGGCTCCTCGCCAGTCTTAACGGGCACAGCACCAAACCTCCACCTCCACAGCTCAGTGTATTCCGGCGCCAGCTTCCCCTGCAGCATATCCACCACATATCCTCCAATCGTCGGGAGGAATTTGAAACCGTGTCCCGACCCGGCGGTGGCGATGAAGAGGTTGGCGTTCGTCGGGGACGGACAGATGCGGAAGTTGACGTCGCGCGTATCGCCGTCCCAGCACATGCGAGTCATTGCCCACGGCCGATTTGCGAGCTCCGGGATCAAGTCGCGGACGAATTCCCTCATTTCCTCTTCGATTCGGCGTAGTACGCCGTCTTCGGGGAAGTCTTGATGTGAGTGGCCTAGAGAGGCGCCGGGGGTGTGAGAGTTGTAATAGTTAGTGATGAAGCGACAGCTGCATAGTTTGAGCAGTCCGTTCTCATCGGGTGGAAATAGGATGCCTGGGCACAGGTTAGGACAACGAAGCTTGAGACGGTGAAGAGGACGCGCCTTGCTCGAAATTGTCCACGATTGGCAGCCTGCGGTACTTCTGCACTTCGTCCGCCGTGAGCTGAATCGCGCCCACGCAGTGTGAGCGTGCCACGATCTCGGCACTCGCATCGACCAGAGCGGCGGTGTTTGCTCCTGTGCAAAGGACGATGATGGACGAGAGATGCACGTCACCGCTCTTGGAGAGCACTCCAATGCAGGCGCCCGCTGCATCGTACAGAAGCCTCTGCGCCCAACCCTTGTTCCCTGTGATGTATTCGACGCCCATGGCTCGGGCTGCTGTTGCCATGCGCAGCAGAGCTTCCCCGGATGGCACCTAGAGGAGAATTCAGTGATTCTACGGGTTAGAAGATGGGGAAGCACTCACCCATCCAGCTTCCGGGCTCCACAGATTCGTCCAACCATCCATGCAGCCCGTGAGTTCGGGAAACTGTCCTTTTGTCTCCGCTGCAGTTAGAAACTTGACGTCTCTGCTCCCGCTCGCCACACTCGACTCGTATGAAGATTGAAGGAACGACTGCGTCATCTCTTGCGCCGCCATAATCCAGCCAGTAGGTCTAAAGAGACCGGAGAGCAGACCATGCTCGCCTTTCCACTCCGCCATGGCCTCCAGAGCGAGCCTGGTATACAGTGGGTTGGGATAGTCGTATCGAATGACCTTGTTGAGATCTGTTGCGGCAGCATCTTTGGACGGCGGCTCGAAACGATCGAGCACTTTGACGTTGCTGTAGCCGCGTTGGGCAAGGTGATAGGCGGTAGATGTGCCGAAAGCGCCGCCTCCGACGATGAGAATGCTCGAAGTGCTCTCCATGGGTCATGCGAAGTGCTTACCATTTTTGGAGGGTGCCTGGGGGCGACTTTTATACCTTCACGATGCTGGAATATGCTCAAGGGAGCAAATGTCGAAACGCGGGGTTTGGCAGGTCAAGCCGACTCATCGCGAGGATGTACTACTTTGACTTACTCGTCGTCAAGGTGACATACCTATGTTCCCATCATTGAGACTTGGCCCGATGCAGGTCTGTCGCCCTGCTGACTAGTATGCATCCTTTTTCAGGGCGTGGATCAACGAGCACTGAGTCCCTCATTCCCAGCGGTAAGCAGAGCGGGCCCGACCAGCACACGGTGACGAAGGAAGAAGTGTGAAATTCGAGAGGGAGGAGGTCGAGCCGAAACGGAAGGTCCGTATCGGCCAACTGTCGTCGTTTGAAAAGCGGGACCGTGAGTCAGCTCAAGGACACGGCTCTCACGAACAGTTCGATGCGCGACTTTCTTCCTCTCCCTCAAATGCGAATATCAAGGCTCGAGTAGCCTCGCACTGCATTTCACACCTCCTTTCGCTCCACTCACCCCCCAGCACGACTATCTGTGCAGGATGTGTCCGGAGGTCGATTCCCCTTTCGTTCCCTCACCACGCCTAAACGATGTACTACCGTCAGCGTACCCACGCAACCGAAACCTGCTGGGCACGCATCACTCCTCCCGTCGATCGAGATGCAGGCGTGCGCGCACCGTAGTCGTGATGGGTGCCGGGCGTGTCGGGAGGACCATGTAAAGTGCGATGGTGCGAAGACTGGCTTACGCGTTTGTCCGTCAGCGCGGAGACATCTAACTAGGTCCAACAGAACGGCGGCCAGTGTGCTCGCGATGCAAAAAGCGGCGCCAAACATGTGACTACGGTTTGAAGTTGATCTGGTTGGAGGAATCGATCGCCAAGGGCCAGTGTCATGGCCGAGGGCCTCAACATCGTAGCACTGCGAGGATTGAGGAGCTGTCTGATTGCCCACCGGCGCAACTCTATCCATCCGGCGTCTATTTTCTCAACACCAGCACCACCGAGATCGCACGCCATATGCTTCCTGCAGGCTTGAACCGCAAGTTAATCGCCCCTCTTGAAAACGCTCCAAGTTCGGAATTGCATCCACAGCCATCGCTCTCCTCGCCGCTGATACATTACAACGACACCCTTGTGTCCTTCTACGATCAAGTCATCTGCACCACTTCCACCTTCGTGGACAGCATCGAGGACAATCCTTTCCGCGGCGTGCTCATGCCGCTGGCACTGCGCTTTCCCGCGGTTTTCGATGCCGTCCAAGCGGTGTCAGCAAGGGTGCTGACGCTGCGCGAGCCAAGGTTTCACGACACGGCGTTGCAGCTGTACTCGACGTCTCTAAGAAACCTGGTGGTTACGATAGACCGATTGATAGAGAGCGAGAGTGGGCTTCAAGAAGCTGGTGCGTTATCGCTGCTTCTGTGTTGGTTTGAAGTCGGTGCCCACACTTGGCGATGGTCCCATAGATCGCAGCGTTGCTGATGATTGGGACAGATCTCCAACGACAGTAAAGGGAGGTGGATCAGTCACTTCACTGGTCTCATGCATTTGCTGGTGCCTTGCAAGTGCTCGCTCAGCTCGGCCTTTTCTTCCTTCTTTGTGGATTATTTCCTGTTTCATCTTGTGATTGCCAGAACTGTCTCTACCTTGGAAGACGTGAGTTCGACTTTCCAAAGTCAGATGCAACAACACACGCCGGAGTTCGAGGCCGACTGCCACACAAACAGCGTAGGAGCCGAAAATTCCAGGCCCCCGGCGCCGTTATCCAGCCTGGAACAACTGCTTCTGCCATCGAGTCCGTCGAAGATGACCACCGTCCTTTTCAGTTGGATCGATGAGCGTGATCTCTACGAGATCAATACTTACAAAGGACTGAGTGACGGCTTGCTACTCCTTATCAACCAGATTGCAGATCTAGCTTTCCCTGCCAACAGAGAAGAGATCCCTAAGCACCACCAAGACGCCGTGGCGCTCAGAGACTCCCTTGAACGTCTGCAACAGCGGCCTCCACTTCACCTCGAGCCCTTTACATCCCACCAAGTCTCGGCCACTGCAGAGATCTACCGGCTCGCGAGCCTCCTCTACCTCCACCACAAAGTCACACTGATACGATCGCGCATCGCCACTCGCACGTCCGCATTGACTCCACTGGCCTCGGAGCCAGAAGTCTGCAGCCTTCTCAACCGTCTTCTAGAGACTTTCGAGGCGACACCAGACTTGACCAAGCTGGCGGCGATTCCCTTGTGGCCTCTGTTCACCGCGGGGTGTAGCGCGGAGGGGGAAGACTCGCGGGTGCGTGTGCTGGGCATCTTTGCGTGTGCCGAGAGTCACGCGCGCTTTGGCGTAAGTCTTACCCGGGACTAATCAAGCGTGGACATTGACGTCTTTTCTTTCCTGCTAATGACTAATGCTCCAAACAGAACGTGCCTACGACCCGCCTAGTGGTGGAGCAAGTGTGGCGCGAGCGCGATCTCGGTGTTGATGAGCCTGTATTGCCCGTGCGAAAGTACAAGCGGACTGCGGGCGTTGCAGAAGGAGGCGCAGGCGGGAGGAAAGATGGTCGTTGCGTGTGGCAGTGCGTCGTAGATATTATGGCTGATGACAGAGGCAGCCTGACGTGAAATTGTTCAGCAAGACTCCCCGCCGCGCCCAAGCTGTGACCTTTGCTTATCCATTCCCTTGTATTCACCCGTTACAGCATCGCAGTTCAGTAAGATACGGTTAGTGCGAAACATCGAGACGCAGCTAAAGCCGAATTACGGGCGTGGGCAGCTGCAGCCGGATCGCCGCCTCATTTCGTCAATCTGACTCTACAGATCCCGAGTGGAGGCTGAAAAGATTATAAAAAGAAACCCGTCCCACTTTCTGCCCTTCATCTTGCCATGTACATCTTCTCTTCCATCGGAGAACCATGACGTCCCCCGCGCCCTACAAACACTCGCCTGCCTTTGACGAGGGCTTCCTGCAAGTCAGCGAGCTTCACAAACTCCATTACGAGCAGTATGGAAAACGAGATGGAAAGCCCGTCGTCTTCCTCCACGGCGGCCCAGGCGGCTCGGCTACATACGAGCACACCGTCTTCTTCGACCCGGCCGTCTACCGCGTGATCCTCTTCGACCAGCGCGGAGCAGGCAAATCTCTCCCGCCAGCCGAACTCCGCGAAAACACTTCTCAACTGCTCGTCGCGGATATCGAGTCGCTGCGGCAGCACTGCGGGATTGAAAAGTGGGCGATGGTGTTTGGCGGGTCGTGGGGCTCGACGCTGAGCTTGCTGTACGCGCAGACGCACCCGGAGCGCGTGGGCTCGCTTGTCGTGCGAGGTGTGTTCACCGAGCGGAAAGAGGAATTGCAGTTCTCGCGGGGACGCGGTACTGGTGCTGCTCGCATTCATCCAGAGGTGTACGAGCGGTTCGCGGGGCATCTGGATCCTGCGATTCGACATGATCCTATTCGCGGGTACTACGAGCTTCTCACTTCGGAGGACTACGGTACGCGATTGGAGGCTGCGAAGCGGTGGAATGAATGGGATAGCATGCTGGGGTTGCTGGTTTCGAAATCCGATGGTCTAGCTGGCAAAAGTGACACTTGGTTTCTGCAGCATGCGAGGCTGGAAACGCACTATGGTGTCCATGGGGGCTTTATGGAGGATGGACAGTTGCTGAGGCCGGAGAATTTGGCCAGGATCAAACATATCCCCTGTGCGTGTTGCATTTTGGGTGTTGACGCTACCGTGATGGCTAATGTTCAGGATGCAGGCGCCATTGTACAGGGCAGATATGATTTGTTCTGTCCGCCGACTACTGCGTGGCAGCTGCACAGCGGTCTCCCGCTCTCGAAACTCCACATCATCCCGGATGCTGGGCACAGTGCATTCGTTCGTCACATCTTCCTTGGAGATCAACTACGCTCATCGCTAACCAATCCAAACAGGAACCGGGAATCTATCGCAAGCTGATTGAGGTGTGCGATGAGTTTGCAAAGATGGACCTATAACGGCGTCATCAGGCGACAACACGGAAGTCGGGGCAATAGACGCATGCAGTATCTGTTCCTGGCAAGGCTGGACCCCGCGATTCAGCATCCATGCCGAAGTTGGCAAGTTGACTTTTCCATCCCACGTGAAAGGATCGAAAGCAGAAAAGCGCCGGCCACGCTACGACCACGCTAGCCCCGCGCTAGAACCCCGGCACCCCGCAATAGCCTTCCAAATCCGCCCCAAGCTCGCAAACTCCGCCGCCGGGTTCCTGGAGAAACGCGTCGTGCATCAATATTGCGGCGGGGCACTTGGCCCAAGCGAGACGGACTTGCCGGGGTGGTTTTGCGTGTTGTCTGCTGCGGACTCACCATCCCAAGCAACGGGGGCCGAGATGCCGCGGTTCTTTGCGCAGTAATTTCTGCAGAACCACGCCGTTGCCTGGTCTAGATTACGTCCCACCGTAGTTTTTCCCATCTCGTATAAGAAGTCGAAGCATTCGCCAACCCTCTCGGCAGCCCGCTCACTCGTAAACATCCTCCCCCTCCATCATCATCCACCATGTTGACTTCCCTGCTTTCTCTTGCCCTCGCCGCCGGCCTGGTCGATGCCCGCGCCGTGAAGTCCTCCGGCACAGGCAACGCACCGCCTCTCGCCACTTCTTTCCCTACACCCTCCGAGGACCCCTTCTACACCATCCCCGCCAACATCTCCAAGTACGCCAACGGCGCCGTCGTGCGGGCCCGCACCGTGGAAACGACCGAATTCCAAGCAGCCATCAACGCCCGCCAAGTGCTGTACCGCACCACCAACCGCGCAGGCAAAGCCACCGGCACCGTGACGACAGTCTACATCCCGCCCGTCCCCGCGTCGCCCCCGCAAATCCTCTCCCTGCAGTCCTTCGAGGACGCGCTGAACATCCGCTGCGCCCCCAGCTGGGCCAACGTCAACTCCTCCTCCACCCAGGAAGAGTACCTCGCCAGCTACCTCGATCCCATCGGCGGCTTCGCGCTCGCGAACGGGTACTACTTCATCAACTCCGACGACGAGGACGAGGACTCCGAATGGCTCGTCGGCATCACCGAGGGCCGCGCCACGCTCGACGGCGTCCGCGCCGCCATCAACGACCTCAACCTGTGGAGTCCCAAAGTCGCGCTGATCGGGTACAGCGGTGGCGCCCATGAGTCCGTCTGGGCTGCTTCGCTCGCTGCCGCGTACGCGCCTGAGCTCGACATTGTCGGCGCCGCGTTCGGCGGTACGCCCATCGACCCTAAGCTCGGGTACGAGCTGCTGAACGGCAGTCCCGACGCGGCGCTCGCGGGCGGCGCCCTCGTGGGCTACGCAAACGGCTACCCCAAGCTGAACCGGACGCTCAACAAGATCCTCACGGCGAAAGGCAAGCAAGTCTTCGCCGAGTTCCGCGGGGCGGACGCGTGCATCGTCGAATCCGCCGCCGCGTTCGCCGGCGTCAACTTCTCTTCCCCGGAGTACTTCAAGTCCAACCCGCTCGACAACAAGGAGGTGCAGCACGTGCAGAAGATCGAGTCGCTGCTGGAAAACGTGTCCCCGCTGCCCATCCCCGTGCCGAAATTCCCGCGCTTCGAGTGGCACGGCCTGAACGATACCACGGTCCCCTACGCCCCCGAGGCGGAGTACATTCAGCAGCAGTGCGCCAAGGGCGCCGATATTGTTTTCGTGTCGTACCCTGGTCTTGACCATACTGAGGCCGCGGTTATCGGGCTGCCGGGTGCGCTGTTGTTTGTTCAGGAGGCTTTCAAGGGCACGCTTACCAAGACCAAGTGCGGTGGGAACATCACTACGCCGGTTTTGGGCAGCGCGCAGGCTATTGCGTTGCTGGGCGCGACGATTGATACGGCGTTGCTCGAGGAGGCGGCGGCTGGGGGTGCGTAGACGACGCCCTGTTTCCTCCTTGGTGGTAATCTGTGCAAACACTCTTTATCAAAATAGCACATGTATAGTATAAGCCTTGTCGGTTGTCGATGTACATCTTTTCATCTACGTCTGTTTGTCCGTGAACCTTACAGTACCACCGAGCAAAGTCCGTCCATGTCAGATTCCCTCTCCACATGTCCACAGCAAAATCCACATCAATCCACCATCCACCTCCTTTCACTGTGCAGCGACGGCACCAGCACCAGCACCAGCAACAGTATAAAGCGTAATCCCCCCAAACGCCACCTCCTGCACAACCCTCAACACCCCCTTCGTCCCCAGCGCAAGCACATGCAAAAGCGCCTGCGCAGCCACAACACGACTATGCTCCGCCCCAGGCAGCAAGGCCGCAAAGTCGACACAACCACCCTCACCCTCACCATCCCCTAGCTCCTCAACACGACTGCGCTCAACCTCCTCAATCCCATGCTGCACAAACTCCAGAAAGTGCCAGCTTTCCCCGTCCAGCGCGGCGCGCTGCCACTGCGATTGCTCGGCCGTCTGGGTATCCACGCCCGCCGCCGCGCCGAAGAGTTCGAAATCCGCGTCGGTCGGGAAGCCGGCGGAGGTCGCGAGGTCAGGGGGGAGGTGCAGGTCTTCCATCTCGACGTCTCCTCCTGCGGTGCCGGCGGTGGTGGTGGGGAGACCGCGGCCGAGCAAGGGTGATGCGGAGGTTAGACGGCTTCGAGAGGGGCCGAAGGGTAGTTGGCCGAGAGAGGCGGCTGATGTGGGAAATGCCCCGGCGCTGAAGATACCCGTTGGACGGCGGGAGTCGGCGCTCGCGTTCCAGGGCATGATGCTTGAGGCGTGGCGGTCTGCGAGGGGGGTGGGGGCTGTACGACCTTGTTCGATTGGGCGGTCGTCGAGGTGGTCGGAGTCGAAGATGGGTGCTTGGTAGCCATCGTCGTTGGTGTCTTGCAGTGCTTCTCCACCTCCCCGGCCGAATTCGTGTGATGAGCTGCGGGGACGGACACGGCGGTCGTCTTCCTCGTCTTCCTCGTCTAGACTGGCGTCGGAGAAGGAGCGCTTACGAGCGAATCCGCGAGCGTTGAGATCGGTGAGTGCGGCGAGCAAGTGAGCGCCAGAGAAGATGCTAAGCGGCCCGGAGAGATGGACGTCGTGCATCCAGAACTTGGCGTTCTTCTTGGCCAGGGCGGTCGCTTTATGTGCATTCTTCACGCGGATCATGTCTTTCATGTTCGTGAGGTACTTCTTTCCCCAGGCCGAGACCACCCTGTTCTGAATCTCCATGGCGTCGTCGAGGGGTACGATCTTGTGCTTTGTGCGAGGTTGACGCTGAAGAGGGGCGTCTGCCGTCTCTTCCGACGTCTCGATCTGGGGTTGGGGTTCCTCCTCCTCTTCTCCTCTAGCCGCCGTTGGGCTGCGAACCGGCGGTCCAATGTATGCATCGTCGTCGTAGAGGGGCAGGAAGCCATCGTCGTCAGGCTCTCCGAGCTTGTGAGAGTTAGTGAGATCATTCCATGTTCGTTGCTCAAAATCCACTCACAATGTCTTGCCCTGTAGGCCCTCCTCGTACCACATCACCCGCACTTCCCACTCCTGCACTCCGATCCCTCAACACCACGCTCGGCGTCTCATGTCTCAACTCATCCGTCATACGCAGCGTGCCATCCTCCTCGATAGCAAGTCCGAGATCATCATCAAGCCCACCGATATTGCCCCTCGTACCAGCACTAGAGTCTCCACGGGCACTGAACGCTCTAAATCCACCCATGCTGCCAGCCCCGCCACCGCTTATCATCGAGCTCGCGGAGCCCGGAATTACCAATCCACCCAGATCCGCTTGCGAGCTGCTGGCGAAGCTTCTTGCCTGGGAAGTCAGGGGAGAGAGGGTGGAGCGTTGTGACTCCTCGTTCGTAGTCGTCAGGTCGAGTTCCATGCGATCGATATCGAGGGGGAGGATGTCAAGGTCAGCGAGGAAGTTGGGGTCATCTTGGAGAATGAGCTGGTCTGGTCTGTGACAGCAGGTTAGTATAGTTTGCGGCCGCGCATCTGGAAGGGCAAACTCACCGGCCTTGATTCTCCGCTTCGGCGTTGAGTCCAGCATCGCGAATGGCTTTCAGCAGGAGCCTCATGTCCCGGATGACAGCATCGGCATCGTTGAGCACATACCCGCATTGCTGCGAGTACACGCTAGCAACGCCAAATCTACCCACAGTATCATCAGCAACGTGATCTGTGCAAAGGGGTTGGAAGCAACAGCAAGCAAGCAAAAACTAACAGCAAATTGCTCTGCAGCCTCAAAGCCAGGGGAGCTCCAGGACCAATAATCGTCTCGCAAGCCTTGTGCACGTCGACGTCTAGGATGGCTTTGCGCGAGACCTTCTTGAGAGCGGATTTGGAGCCGAGAGTGGCGACTACCCTGGTTCAGGGGGTGGTGTCAGTGATGTGCGGTGTTGAGGAGGGTGACGGGGCAGGAGAGGAGGGCGGGGCTTACCAGACTGTGGCTATGCCATACTTGCGGGAGGTGAGGACTATGGAGAGATTAGTGGCACGCGTCTGGATGTGGGTTGGATGGGGATGACGGTACCTTCGTGTGAGTAGAACATGGCTGATGTGTGGGGTGATGATGTACTGTGATATAAGGAGAAGGATACTGATGAGGAGGAGGGCGGTAAGAAGTGGAAGAGCTTGCGAGCAGGCTGAAGGGAGGGAGGATGGAAGAGTGAGAGGGGTTGGGAGAGAGAGACGCGAAATGGAGTGAGGTTGGAATAGAGTGCACGCGTTCGTGACACGACCGCGACCAAATGACCGCGCGATCATGTGATCATCCCCCTTTTGATTGAAAGAGTGAGCGGAGGAAGTTCAGGCGTTCGTCTATGAATGTAAGCGGAGACGACTTACTCTCTATGATACATACGATGCAGGTGTAGTCCATTTGGATGCTTCTCTTGTCTTGCTGTTGGAAGGCAAATGGCCTGCGTCGACTTCGTCCACGTCGCTCCACCTCTTCTCAATCCCCATCTACGCCTCCGTCACCTCAGGCAGCTCCACAGCCCGATACAGCAGAATAAGCGCACTATGCGTCTCCCCGCCCCCAGCCAACGTCTCAATCTTCTCACTCTCCACCTCCTGCACCTTCTCATCGTTAAACCACCACCACTTCCCATCCTCCGTCTTGCCGGGCGCCGCGCTCTTCTTCACATACGCAGTGTAGTGGCCCGAATCGGCCGAGGAGCCCTGATGCGTCACCACGCCGCGCAACTCGTACAGCGCCGTCTGGCCTGCCGAAGGGTCGTGCTTCATGTCGTCGTGCACCAGTCTGAGGACCTCCTGCTTCGCCGCGAGGATGGAGGCTGCGCGCTCCTTTTCGATTTCCTCGTCCGTCTTGAATGTCTCCTCCGTACCGGCCATGGGGGTGTCTTGACTCCCGCCCGCAGCCTTCTTCTCCTTGGCGAGTTCGACTTCCGAGTCCGGTCCGCTGGCCTTGAGCTCACGCTCCTTTTCCTTTTCCTTCTTCTTCTGCAGCGGCTCGTCGGAGCGCACACTGCTCTCGCCGTTCGCGCTGTCCAACGCTTCCTTTCGCATCCGCTTCTGCCTCTTCTTCGCGCGCTCCACGTCCTCGATCTCCTTCCTCACTTCACGAACCTGATCTCTCACAGGAATAATCTTCTTCCGTAGCTCATCGGTGCAGAACTCGGAGAGATCAATCTCGTGCTGGAAGGTGACCTTACGCAGAATCTTCGCCTTCTTCTTCGTGTCCTTGCGCCAGAAGAAGCGCACGAGGTGCACAGGGAGGTACTTGGGGAGGCGCGAGATGCGCGAGACGCGCGTGTACGTCGCCTCACGCCCCAGACTCGGACTCGTCTTCTCCAGCTTCTCGTTGAGAGCCAGCTTGAGCCCTTCGCTGAGATGATTCGTCTCGCCTTGGATGTTGCACTTGAGGTCGTGGAAGCCCTCGGTATTAACGGTGGCCGCCTCCTCCGGCGCATCGTCGCAGGTGGTGGTGATTTCGAATCGTCCGCCCATGTACTTGTCCACCCAGCTGGAGAAGCCGGCTTGGTCTGCGTCGCTCACCTTCAGCGAGCCTTGGAGCACGTGAACCAGTTGCGACCAGACTTCCTCGGCGTCTTGCTGTGCGTATCCATGCCCATTCTTCGCCCGTTCCGCAAACTGAGGAAACTTCTGCCGGAGAGTGGTGAGGAACATGAGTGGCGGGAAGCCCGTCTGCGTCTCGCTCATTTGCTTGTAAAGATCGCGAAGGGAAGCAGTGAGATCGTTGCCGCTGCCCAGCCCTCCAATACCATGCTGAGCAAGCTGCTCAGCAGAGAAGAGGGAGGATGCAGCAGAGGGTCCCACGCCGGAGTCCGTAGGCGTATACCGCAGCAACTCCTGTTGCAACTCAGGAATAGCACGAAGAGTCTGCAGCGTGGCGTTGGCATAGCAAGTATTGCCCGTATTCTGCAAACCAGCGGGGACAGCGCCTTCCAGCTGCGCCAGCTCCGCCTCCGTCATGTCTTCCGCAAACTTGATACGCTGCGGTGCGTCGACCATGACTTCCGCGCTCGGGTTGCCGAGCAGCGTGAGCGTCATGCCGTCCTTCAACCCCACGCTGCTCAACGGCGTGTCGTCTTTGATCATCTTCTTCGCGAGGATTTTCTGGTTCGCCGGCTCCACGTTCGTGAGCGAGTAGAGCTGCATCTTCAACTCTTCCCCGTTCGCCTCGGTGTTGACTGGCACGTCGTACACCTGACCTTTGTGCTTGACTTTGATGTTGATTTCCGCCATGGTTGGTGTTGGGTGGCGTTTGCAGAGGGGAGGTCGCAGAGGTGGGTGAAGCCAAACGTGGTCGTTCGTGGATCGGAGATGATATGGATTCGAGCAGAGGAGTACCTTTCTCTCGCTCGTAGGTACTTGGAGAAGGATTTCAGAAATTGAGAATGGCTTGTTGACATGACGGAAGCCATCGCTGCCTCATTACTAAGCCGATATCTTTGCCGCGGAGGCAAAACGCCACGTCCGTTCAACAATTGTTCGTGCTCGAGGTATTCACTGATTGACAGTATTTATCCTCTTGATGACCAAGTTAGGGCATGACAACATTACACATAACACCCTAGTCGATTCTCTCATCAACCAGGCAAGCCTCTGCACCGAGTTCTATGTACAAATGCAATCGCTGTAATGCCGCTGCGCGCTGCACAATCATTCACTCCACATCTATTCCCGTGGACGATGCGATATGCGGTGTTGGATCCAGGACGCCATGCTTCCCTCTTCCCCTCGTCCATCACTCCGCGCGCCGTACCATCGTATGCTAATCGTAATGCATGCTGCGCCGTCTATCCATGCCCGCCTTGGCCGTCAAAATAGAATACAGAGGTATTGCCTGCCCATCAGGTCGAACAACCATCCATGAACGAGTTCTTCGGCCACGGATACCCAGTATGCTCCCACTTGGTATTGTTGACATTCAGGTACGCCTTCGGATGCTGCGCAATGTACTCCGTCGTCTCGTACCCCGGCGGGTCGCACGTCACGCTATACTCTGACTCGAGCTGGTACCAGCGCACGTAGTCGATGCTCATGACCGTGGGGAACTCGAGGGCCGCCCAGTCGATCGAGACCCAGTTGTTGGAGATGCCGAGATTGAGGATGATGCTCATCGGCTCCTCCGATATTATGCGCTGCCCGATGTTGCCGTTGGGCCCGACGGCACGGGCGTCGAACTTCATCATTTCCTCGCCGCCGATGCTCCATGCCACGTATGCGTTCTCGTCTATCCCGGGAGCGTACTCGAACTGGAAGGTTTGGAACTCTTTTTGGTCGTACCAGTTGTTGTTCAGCATGCTCGTTGTGCTGACTGCTTGCTGGAACGGCCCGCCGGTCCATGAGTTGACGAGCGACAGGTTGTAGTCGGGATTCTGCATGAAGCGGTAGTCGGGGTAGTACCAGATGTCAAACGGCGCCACCTGATAGGACTGCGTCGCGACACCGACCTGGGTGGTGCCCCAGGAGGCGGAGACTTCGGCAATGTCGATCTCCGGCGCCCCTCGCCCAACTCCTGGAGTTGGATGATCCTCGCCTAGGCACGTGCAAGAGGGCAGACGCTGGCCTGGCAGCTCGCTGATGCCGTCGGTGCTAGACTGGTTGGGTGTGATACCAGCATCACACTCGTTGTATGTATACGGCCACAGGCCGTCCGTGGTGGCCAGATATCCCGGCCGGCCGAGATTGCCCATGGTCCACATGCCAGGCCACAGGCCATGGACACCCGCAGGACCGGGCAGAGACACGGAGACCTCCAAGATCCCGCCCTTCATGCAGACTTGATTCCAGGAGTTCATCATACCTGACCGAAAGTCGAGATTATGATTGGGAAACTTGTCCATCTGGATGAGAAGCATCCCGTCGCCTGCGAGAACCAATAAGCAAATGCATGCGTGACGATGAGAGGTATTCTCAGGATCTCAGATACCAACCTGTGTTCAGCGCATCGGGATCATACCACTCCAAGTCCTGTGTCGCCCCATACCAGCCGTTGAATCCCGTCCAGTACGCATCGTCACCCGGGTAGAACGTGCGATTCTTCACGTTGAACTCGTCACTGAAGACGAGATTGAATGTTTCGCCATTGATGCCAGTTTTGGTCATCGCATCTTGCGGAGTGTCGGGGTCAATAAGACCAGTGCGAACGTTCTGGAGCAGCGGGTGGTGCTTGTTGTTGATGAATGACCAGGGCTGCGCCGGCGCATAGTATGGAAATTGGTCTAGCGGGGTCTCGCCATTGTCTAGGAAGATGATGCCTGCATACGACAGTATGGGCAAGACGACAAAGATGCAGAGAAGGCCGAGGGCCATGAGCAGCAACCCAATCGTGCTGGACATGTTGCCGCGAGTGAAGTGATCTTTCCATCTCGGCTTCAGGCGTATGTCATCATCCCACTGCGGCATGTGCAAGTCGTCATCGTCTTCTTTCTCATCAGTAATGAGGGGGAATGCATTGTCCGGGGCTCCCAGCCGATCGTCGAGGTAGAGGAAGAAGGGCATCTTTTCGAGGTCCACATTGTGAATGAATGTGGGACTGGATGAGCGGGCTGACGTTGATCGAGAAGCTGTAGGAGATTCGGATTCGTCGACTGTGACACTCGCATCCTTCTTTTCAAAGCTAATGGTGACATCCTCGGCGGATGCAAAAGGGTTGGACATGCGTTGGTTGTCGTGGAACGGATTCGAGACTTGACTGGCGGCGGTGTCTTTCGTCGAAAGTGGTATCCCATTGCCAGCGTTTAGACGAGTCGCCGATGGACGGCTCTGCAAGGGCCGGAAGGGGTTGTTCGAAGGCACAAAGGGGTTGAAGTATCTCGTGTAGTCGGCACCCAAATCCCTCACCGATCTTGGAGTACGCAGACGTGCGAGGTCCGGCCTAGGAGCCTCTCTCATCTGCCCATCCGGCATTCGTATGCGAGGGAATGTTGGGCGAAGGGGTAGCGATCTTTGTTGAGTGAGAATTGGGTGGTGGGCAGCAGCAGAAGCTTCGTCGACCGCCTCTTTGCTTCCTTTGCGACTGGTAGGGGCACTGATAGAAGTAGCAGCGGTGGTGGGATTGAGAGGGGAAGGAACGTAAGGCGTAAAAAGTGAGTGTCTGCGTTGCGCCGGCGGTGGGGCCAGATTCTCCGCTTGCGGGCGTTGCTTTTTGAGGACATTGTGCTGCCTCGTCGGTGATTTGCTGCGGGGTGGTGGCGGGAGGGAGAATCTGGCGGCTTCGCGGAGCGATTGAGCGGATTGCTGAGCAGCGAGGCTGGTGACGGACCGGCCGGCCTGCTGGGCGTGGACTTCGAGGCCACCATCGCTCTCCTGACTCGAGCTGTGGGAGGAGGAAGAGGAGGATGATGGGCGGGAGGCCAGCGGTCGAGCGGGCGGGTTCGCCATGGCTGGCGGACGTGTTATCTGTGATCGGACGTCATGTGGCGCCGTGCGGACAAGGCGGAGTAGCGATGGACGGGAGATGTGGTTGCGGCGACGTCGAGCAGCATTGATGAGACGCGCGGTCGTTGGGCGGTGGCATCAGCAGTCTTGCCGTGTGGTGCAGCAGCAGCGACAAAGCCAGTTGAAGATCAACACCTCGATCCGTTTTTCCGGAAGTTGGACGAAGGCGCCATGGTGGTACAGGGAAGGTGCAGGTACCCGTTCGAGGAAGGCACGATCGAGCGCGACTTGCTGCGCGCCGCGCTGGACACAGAGAACACCAGGTCGGCCGTAGGGAAAAGTGGACGAAATGGAGGATTGTATACAGGTCATACCGGAGTAAAAACGTCTCGACCAACCTCGAGGCCTGGAGTGAGCATCTTGCTTACCACAGAACCTCCGCGCATTACACCCCTCGTCATCGCCTACTTTCACCCATACATCCGCCCCGTGGCGGAGCCTCTCGTGTCAAACGATAGGCGGACCAGGCAGGGTTCATCAAAATGCGCCGTGGTGTCTGGTGTTGCACCACTCACGGCCCTTCGCTTCTTGCTGACATCCGGGATGATTCAATAAGGTAAGATGAGATCCATACAAATGATGTTTATCAAGCGGCCGAGGAGCTGTCGCGCTTAACTTCTTTGGGTGTAGTACACAGCGGGCCGCTGCATGTACCGCCGAACTGTAGATTGCTTGCGCTAAGTTTGGAAACGGCGAAGGGGTGGAGGAGCTGTCAATGAAATCATGCACGTGGAGAGTCGGCTTTGATGAACTCGATTCATAAATTGTTCTAGATGCCCACTTGTTAGTCATATCGATTGGTCTACAATGCCACTCCCACTTCGTCAACAATGCTCGCCCCAGGCGGCAACAAGTCTTCCTTCTCGCATCCACGGGTGCCGTCGAATTCTCGTCGACTGGAGGGAGGAGTGATGGGCGACGACAGTCTTGAACTCCTGGACTCCTCCGTAACAGATCGACTATGGCATGAATCGTGTATCGAATAGGCGGCGGAGGACCCTGACGACGAATCCGATATCAAAAACGACTCCGACATCAACCCGTCAGAGTGACTTCGACCTCGTTCTCGCCGTTGCTGTCGCTGCGCTTCAGTGGCGTCTAGCGCGTAGCAGGAATTATCAGAAGCAGTACGGGTTGGCGAAGAGGATCGTAAGAGGTTGTATAACCAATCCGCAGCTGCTGAGCTCGACCACGAGTCTGTCTGCATCGAGTATGGTGTTTGCGAACGCCCCTCGGGTCTGCGCCTGTCCGGGCCGACGAAGTCCGACCTGCTTTGGGCGGTGAGTGGCCTTGAGAGGGCAGATCCAATGTCGTCCAACGTCTCTGATCTGGCCATGATGTGCATCGATGGGGCGACGGCGGCGACGTGCTGATTTGATACACGAGTGCGAGCCGCTTCCGCCTTGTGCTCTCTGACTATAGCATCGAGTTCGAGGATCTCTTGATCAAGGCGATTGGATTCGATCCTGCGCAGTTCCGTTGCCGAGCATTTCTGTAGCTTGCGTGACCTCGCGTTGGATCGTTGAGACATCAAAGAGGGTGTGGAGGTCTTGGACGTCCCACGTGGCAGAGGGATTGTTGACGAACGAGTTGGCGAAGGCGGGTTGGCGGGGTTGACTGCTGAGACTTCGCTCGTTGGGCATGCCTTGACATCCGCCAAGTTTCCCCAAAAATCCGAGCGACAATTCGCGAGATCAAGAGTCCGGTCAGAATGGGTCGGGTCGTTGGTTTCAATGCTCGGTAGATCTCGGAGTACCACCGGGCCGAGTCGTAACGGCACGAGGCTCTGTCTTCGGACTCCAGTGTGATTGAAAGCTCGGTATGGCCTCGTATATGAAGGTGCCGGTGAAAGAGCGTTCATAGACCGAATCCGTGGGGAAGGTGCAGTAGGTGAAGTTGAAAGCCAAGAAGGTTCGTGAGAATCTTCCGATCCGTGGAAGGCTGGCTGTCCTGAGAGAGTGACGACATGGCGTCTGGTGTCGAGCGATGGCACATTGATCATGCGCGATTCACCCGTTCTGACTGATTTCATGGGTGGCATTGAAGGGCGTGGAGATGGTTGTTCATTGCATATACCAGATGGCGCCAAGGCTGTCCCGGGCTGAAGCTCGTCGTCATCGACGGTCGCGCCGCAGCAGAGAATTGCACCGAGCGAACCGTACTGACGTCCATCGGTCGACTTGAAGTGGCCCATTGACCCCGAGTCAAGCGAAGCATGAGGAGAGAAGAGAGTCGGAACAAACAGAGGCAGGAACAAGAAGGGACAGAATGGAAGACGGCCCTTGAAAGTCGGAGAGAAAAAGGGCCGGGATGGCGCAACGATAAGAATGAAATATAGAGACATATCATGACAATTATGGCCGTCGTAGAGCATGCGCTGCGCATAAACTATCGTCGTTTGCAGGGATCAAGGGTGTTGGGTAGCTGCCTGCGCATTCGTAGTGCTGAAACCATGGTTGACCGATCACCGTCGTACGAACCCAATCGGCCCCCGGTCTCATTCCTGTGCGACAAATCAGCGTGGACGAATGAATCAGACCCAGGCGGCATTCCTCTGCAATTGCAGGAACATGGGAAATGCAAGAGTCGTAGGTGCAGCGAGAAAGTTGGACGTCCGACATGCAAAGTTGGTGTCTTGAAGCTGCGCCAGATCTGAGACACTCGCCTTTCATTGGCCCGCGCAGGGATCACAGAGATCGCGCTGGGCAGATGTGAGGCCTGGATCGGGCGGTGATTGGTCGGCAGAGATCGGATCGGAGAGTGCAGGGCGTGGTGTCAAGCATTCGGCGCATGGATGAGAGCACTTGGCCCTGAACCTTGCCGTCGATCTGGGTTTGCGCCGAGGCATTGCGATATGCATGTTCCGAAGGACACCCCGGCGGAAGATGTACAATAGGGGACGACCATTCCTGAGCTGCATGCCGGAGGAGTCTGCTCGATCGCCAGGGTGATTGAGCGGTGAGCAAGTCTGGTCGTGCTCTCATATCACGAACCAAAGATGGAGCATATCGTCGTCGGAAGCCTGCAGAAAATCAAATCTCCGTCAGCTTGGGGAGCGTACATACAATGATGGAATGTACCCATCATGCATCTAAGACAAATCAACGACCGCGGCCTCGGCCTCGGCCCCATGTCGGTCGGCCTCATCGAGGTCCCCAGCTAAAGTTCCGACCTGCAGCCCGTTCCCGCGCTCGCAATAGAGTTGCTGTCCACGTGATGAGCAGCCCAATCCCGTCCAACTCCGCTCTCCACCTCGAATGCCAAAAGCGCCAACTGCCGCGCGCGAGTCTGGGGAAAGTGTTTAGGCCGGCCAATGAAACCGACGCCGTGGCGTGTCTTTGGCGTGCCGTCGTCCCGGTCTGGCAGGGCAAGGATCGCCGTCTCCAAATACCGACGGCTAGCGCTGCTGAGAAATCCCCTCGACCCCCATCAATTGTTGACTACCGCAAACTCGTGTGCAGGTATATTAGACGTCAATCCACTTCGCCTGTGGATAACGGGCACGGGCAAAGCGCGTGACTTGCGATTGAGAAGCGCGTCGAACTGCTCCTCTCTTCCCGTCCGCTGTGCTCGGGACCCGGCTTTTGATCCGTCGCCACAACATCCAAACTGATCACGCACAACATGGCCAAAAACTACTTCTTCGGGCTGAGAGGCTCCAAGTTGCGCGCGGCGCAGCTCTGGGCGGTCATCATGCCGGCGTATCTGTAAGTCGCGTGTCCCCGCAGAAGAAATAGATATCAGACCATGCTCATACCATCGCAGTCTCTTCGGCTACAACCAAGCCGTGGCCGGCGGTCTCCTGGGTTTGCCGAGCTGGATCGCGACCTTCCCGACCATCGATACGACTAACACGACCGGTGCGAAAAACGCACAAGCTGCGCGGATCCAGGGAACGGTGGTGGCCATGTACACCCTTGGCTGCTTTTTCGGCGCGCTGTCTTGCATCTACTTGGGTGATCGACTTGGTCGTGTTCGCTTGATTCAGTTGGGCTGTTTGGTTTTTGTCGTCGGCGCCATCCTGCAGGCTGCATCTTACGAGCTGGGTCAATTGATTGTTGGACGTCTGGTGCGTGAAAGTGGCTGTTAGCTATTAAGGATTGAGTGCTGACAGGATCATGCAGGTCTCTGGTATTGGCTTTGGAGCCGTCACAGCGACAGCGCCGAATTGGCAGAGCGAGTGTGCGCCGGCGTCTCATCGCGGCGCGGTGGTGATCATGGAGAGTCTCTTCATCAGCGGTGGACTGGCCATTTCCGCTTGGCTCGATCTGGGCTTCTCATTCACCACCGGCTCCGTAGCATGGAGGTTTCCCCTGGCATTCCCGATGGTGTTTGCCCTCATCACGACCGTCACCGTCGGCATGCTCCCTGAGAGTCCTCGATGGCTCCTCAAGAAAGGCCGCGTTGATGATGCACGAGAGGTCCTCGCTGCCCTGGACGGCGTCGAGCTAGACAGTCCCCAGGTTCAGCTTGATATTGACGAGATTTCCGAGTCGCTGGCAGTCACCGGTCAAGGGCGCTTCATCGATTGCTTCAAGAACGGCGAGCTACGTCTCTTCAACAGGACATGCCTTGCCTGCGCAGGGCAGATGTTCCAACAAGTACGCAATCCCCGACATCTTCATCATCCAAACACCCAGCTAACTCCACCCCTCTCCCGCAGCTCACCGGCATCAACGCCCTGGCCTTCTACCTCTCCACCATCTTCCACTCCTACCTCGGCCTCAACGCCGTGCAATCCGGCATCGTCGCCGCCTCCGTCTTCACCTTCCAAACCGTCTGCTCCCCCATCGGCGTCCTAACCGTCGACCGCCTGGGCCGGCGCAAACTCATGGTCATCTCCGCCATCGGCATGGGCAGCTGCATGGCCATTGTAGCCGGCACGACGAGTCAAGGCGACAACAAGGCCGCCGAGGGCGTGGCGGGCGCGATGATCTTCTTGTTCTCCATGTTCTTCCCTGTGGGCTTTTTGGGCTTGACGTTTTTGTATGCGAGCGAGATTAGTCCGTTGGTTGTGCGGGTGCCGATTACCAGTTTGAGCACTGCGACGGCGTGGATTTTCAATTTTATGGTTTGTTCTATCTTCGAAGATGGCGTGGTGTTCATTGCTAATACGAATGTTCCAGGTGGCCGAAGTGACGCCCGTCGGCTTCGCAACGATCGGATGGCGATACTTTATCGTCTACGCCGCGATCAACTTCTTTTTGATTGCACCATGTAAGCCTTGCCCTCTCGTCAATCAGCAGACAATGATCGCTAACGACTCCCCTCTAGCCGTGTACTTCTTCTTCCCCGAAACCAACGGCCGCCATCTCGAGGAAGTCGACCAGATCTTCCGCGACAGCAAGAATATCTTTGATCCGGTCAAGGTTGCGCGCCAATTGCCTGCGCGCGCTTTGCAGGTGGATGACTATAGCGAGGAAGTTAAGCCTGGCAAGGTGGATCATTTGGAGTCGTAATATCTATCGTCTTGTAGTCGTGGAGGCTTGGAATATGTGTGTAGGTACTTATATAAGGTCCCTCTGCATCGGTCAGAATGAATGAACGGCGATTGCGATGCTGGACCACCGACCTTGGACATGCCATGCAACCGTCTACCACGCTTTACTGCTGCAGGTAGTTAATTCGACGATCCATGCGCAGGATGCCCGGGCTGAAAACTCGCAACTAGGGATAGATGACAGCACTCTGTACTTAATCCGTGCCACCAGCCAGACTTTCCCCCTTCCACATGCGCCTCATTCAGAACGCCGCCATTGACCTCGCAACAGCCAGTCCAACACCGCCCACCCAAAGCATGTCGGAATCCACCCGCGCCCTCCCAAACAACACCACCGCCCTCGCCCCCAGCACCGGAACCGCCTTTCTCCTCCGCGCCAACCAGCACCTCCGCATCATCGACCCGCAAGGCAAACAAGTCGCCGACCTGCTCGCCTACAACGCAGCCGATAAACGGGAAACGCTCTCCAACGGCCGCACGTTCGACTACGCCGACAAAATTTTGCTGACGGAGGGCGACGCGCTGTACAGCAATCGTAGCAATGTGCTGCTGCGCATTGTGCGGGATACCGCTGGCCGGCACGATTTTCTGTTCACGCCTTGTTCGACGGATACGTTTCGGGTGAAGTTTGGGGGCACGGGGGAGGAGGGGAAGGCGGGGTGTTTTGGGAATTTGGTGTATGCGCTGGGGAAGAGGTTTGGGATTTTGGAGCACGAGGTTGGCACGCCTTTCAATTGTTTCATGAATGTGGTAGTCGATGGGGGGACGGGGGGGATTGAGGTGAGGGAGCCACTCAGTGGTGCGGGGGATTTTGTTGAATTTGTTGCGGAGGTGGATTTGATTGTTGGGCTTACGGCTTGTTCGGCGAGGAGGAGTAATGCGGGGGTTTGCAAGGAGATTTGGTATTCTGTTTGGTAGAGCGAGGAGGGTGGTGAGATGTGATGTAGCGTTGGGGGGAGGTGGCGGTCAAGGGGATATTGATATAGCTCGATCGCAGATGGCGAGATTCTTCCCTGTCAAAATTCCAGGCGGTAGGGATGCTGGCATGGTCTCCCAGTCTCTCGAACCAGTCAACTTCTCAGAGTTGGAGAAGAAGGAGAGGGTGGATTGATGTCTGGTCAGGCTACGGAGTCGAGTGCACTTGCCACATTGGGCATTACGCGGAGCGCGGCCTAAAGCGGGAGCATTCAAGCATCGCCCCTCCGCGTGAATTTACGACTCGGCTACCGCTCTACCTCATGCAACGTACGTGTCTGTCGGAGCAGACACCTCCTCGTTCAGTCGGACCAGATCGAGCATGTCGCAGGACATTTCATGACACCCCTTCCACACCTACGAGAGCAGAGAGAATGATGTGAAGAGCCCAAGTCCTCGGAAGGAACATGGCGGACCACTCCTCCAACTCTGGCCTGCGCCATTCCTCCACCTTCCCCATTGCTAGCCACGACGCGGCACAGCAGCACCGCCCTTCTGTTCCCTCTGGTCTGCGACAGAGCACTCTCCTCTCCACCTCGCCGGAAGCTCTCGCGCACGAACGAGACGATCATTCTACTGAAGCGCAGGGCCAGGAAGACGAGCGGACAAGATTGATCAATGGCGGAGCGGCAGATCACTCAACACAAAACGGCGGAGAGCACGGCAGCAATCATGGGACAGCGTCACGGCGACCACGCTTCTTGAAGGGGTATGGAAGTGTGGCGAGTGCATACGAAGATTCGCAAAGTCTGTCCAGCGCGGACCACGATCAAGATCAGAGGGGCCGGCAGCGAGGCCTGAAACGCACGTATAGGGGAGATTTCGTCGATGGCGCCATGGCGGATGACGACTCGCCGCGGCGCTTGTGGAGTCGGACGTTGACGACGTCGTGGTTGGCGAAGAAGTATAATGTAAAGAGTATGCATTGGCTGTACGTTTCCTAACGTGAACACGCAACCGGTGGGGTTTGTGCTAACAAGATGGGGATGGCTCAGCTACCTCCTATACTACGTCCCGTGCACCAATTGGATCCGACAATACCGTTGGGCATTCGTCAAAGGAGACTTCATCGCTGCCTTGACCATGGCATCCTTCTACATCCCCATGGCATTGTCTCTTGCCTCGAATCTTGCTCACGTCCCGCCGATCCACGGCCTCTACACCTTCGCCATCAATCCCCTCATCTACGCTATGCTGGGCACATGCCCGCAAATGGTCGTCGGCCCGGAAGCGGCGGGCAGTCTGTTGACTGGCGGTGTAGTCAGGGAGGCTATCCGAGCCGGCACGCATCCCGACGACGACGGCACTAAACATGCCCAAGTCGCCGGCATGGTAACCGGGCTCGCCGGCGCATTCATCCTTGTTGCCGGCCTATGCCGACTGGGCTTCCTTGACGGCGTCCTTAGTAGGCCATTCCTCCGCGGCTTCATCAGTGCTATCGGCATCACCATTCTCGTCGACCAACTCATCCCCGAAATGGGCCTGGAAAGGGTCGCGCGGGATTCTCAGGCGGTACAGCACGGCAGCAGTCTGGATAAAATCCTCTTCCTCTTCCGTCACGGCGACGATGCGCACCGCCTCACCTGCGCCGTCTCCTTCTCCACCATCATCATCGTTCTCGTTCTCCGCGAACTCAAGAAACGCCTCCAGCCTCGAACGCCGTGGGTGGCGTATATCCCCGATCGCTTTGCCGTCGTCGTGCTGTCCGCCGTGTTTGCATGGAAATTCGACTGGGAAGGCCAAGGGCTGGAGATACTCGGCGACATTCGATCGCAAGGCACTCCCTTTCGCATGCACTTTCCCTTTGACGAGGCCAACTTCCGGCATGTTGATGATGCATTTAGCACGGCCTTCATCATCTCGCTGCTCGGCTTTTTCGAGAGCAGTGTTGCGGCGAAGAGTTTGGGGAACAGCTCGGGGCAGGTGAAGAAAGTGCGGCATGGAGATGGCGAAGAGGAAGAGGAGAGCGACGGGATACGCGATCTCAACCTTTCGCCTAACAGGGAGCTTGTCGCTCTTGGAGTCGCGAACCTGTTTGGCGGTCTCTTCATGGCTCTTCCTGGGTTTGGAGGGTACGGCCGCAGCAAAGTGAATGTGAGCACGGGGGGCAAGACGCCGATGAGTTCCGTCTTCTTGGCGCTCATCTCCATCCTCAGCATCTTCTTCCTGCTGCCCTACTTCTACTACATCCCGGTACGTCATCACCTACCCTTCCAGCCTCACCCCACAGCTAACACCCCACTCAGAAAGGCGTGCTCTCCGCCATGATCTCCGTGGTAGCCTACAGCCTCATCGAAGAAGCGCCGCACGACGTCCTCTTCTTCCTGCGCATCTCCGGCTACTCCGACCTGCTGCTCATGACCCTCATCTTCCTCGCCACGTTCCTGTGGAACCTCAAAATCGGCATCGCCGTCGGCATCGGCCTCTCCCTCCTGCGCATCGTCAAGCACTCCACGCGCCCCCGCATTCAAATCCTCGGCCGCGTGCCGGGCACCAATACCTTCGAGAATGCGGAGCTGTACGGCCGCATCGACGAGGATGGCACGGGCGTCGAAATGGTGCCTAACAGCTTGATCGTCAAGATCCCCGAACCTCTTACGTTCGCCAACACGGGCTCGCTGAAGGATCGCTTGCGCAGACTAGAAGACCACGGCGGGCGCGCGGCGCATCCTGCTTTCCCCAAAGCGCAGCGCTCACATCGCCACGTGCCGAACGTCATTTTCGACGTCCACGGCGTTACAGGCTTGGATCCCGCCGCTGCGCAAGTCCTGCTGGAGATTGTCGACGGGTACGTGGCGCGGGGAACGCACGTGTTCTTCTGCCGCGTCCCGAGTCGTCGGACGGAAGTGTGGCGCTTGATGGAGGTGAGTGGGATTGTGGAGCTGGTGGGCGGCGAGTCGCACTTTTTGCGCAGCGTCGAGGAGGCGCTGGATGCTACTGAGGCGGGGTGGGAGCGGCGGATGGCGACGGAGGGGGCGGAGGAGAGTTCGGAGCGCTTGGAGAGGGAGCTGTCTGCGAGGGAGGGGGAGGCGGATGTGGAGGCGGGCATGGATCCGCTTACTAGGAGGCATACGGTTGCTGCTGTCGAAGTGAATGGACGGGAGATTTGATGTTTTGAGGCATTTTAGTGGCGTCGGGCGGGAAGCGAAGGAACGGTCGTTGGAATGATATCCCCAGGGAAGGAAAAAGCATTCGCTCAAATGCATGATTAAATGCTCGATCTATATCAGGGCACGACATTCTACCGCGCCGCCCCCTTCTCCGCCTCAATCTGACTCCGCAGATCCTGCAACACGCCTTCACGCTTCCGCAAATGCTCCTGCAACCCGTCCACTTGCTCCCGCACCGTAGCAATCTCCTCCGCCGCCTCTCGCAGCCCCTGTCCCGTCTTCGCCTTCCCCTCGCCCAACTGTAAATCCTTCAGCTCCCGCCGCTTGTAGTCCAGCATGAGTTCCAGCTCGCGCTTCACCAACGCAGGCTTGGAATCGTCTCGCCTCCCACCACGGTCCCGCCTCTTTTGTGCCGCGGCCTCGACCTTCGCCGTCTTGTCTTCCAGCTCTTTCAGTTGCTTCTTGAGCCGCACCTCCTCCCACTCCGCGTCTCTCGGCGTGCTGCTGAAATCCGTGCCTTTCGGTTTGCGCTCCCCCACGCCCAGACGAGAGAGGTAGGAGTCGCCGAACTTTGCTTTCCGTCCGCTGGCCGTGCTGTCGTCTCGCCGTGTGCCCCATCTATCCGCGGCGCTCTGGAGATTGCTGTTCCGATCTAGATCGTAGGAGATTTGGCCTTGCTCGAAGGTGGCGCGCAGAGACGGCGGGACGGAGCGCGGGATGCGGTAGCCTTCGTGGCGGTTGTTGAGGATGTGCAGGAAGGCGAGGCAGGCGTCTTTGTTGATGCCCTCTTCGCTCTTCGGGTTGACGAGATTCCACGCATTGTGCACGTCTGTGTCCGGGACGTCAAGGCTGTCGTACAGGTCTTGCAGGCTGTTGTACGCAATCAAGCCGGAGCGCGAGTTGCGGTTCGCCGTGTAGATTTCCTCGTACTTGCTGCGGTCGCTGGGCGACATGTACCAGTCGAAGCCGTCGCGGAGCCCACTGCTTCCGCCGTCGTCATCAAAGTCGTCCGCCGGGTTCTCAAACCGTGTGCCTTGCCCGGACAACGCGCGCGTCGCTTGAATAAGGTGTGCTTTGCTTTCCGGCACCATCCAGTCCGGCAGCGAGGCGGGCACGTCGCCGTACTCGCCGTTCATGAGGTCGTAGATGAGGCGCATGGCGACGCAGAACTCCTCAAAGTCCAGCTGGCCGTCGCTGTCGACGTCCGCCAGGTCCCAGATCTTCTCGAGCTGGTCATCGCGCAGGCGCGAGTTTTTGAGGACCGAGGCGGCTTGCGTGCCGTTGAGGTGACTGCCGCCGTTGGAGAGGGAGGCGAAGATCTCCCAGTAGCGGTCGATTTCCCATTGTTCGATGCGTTTGGCGGAGGACATGGCGGTGGGAAGGGAGAGGGGAATGCTGGGAATGGCGTAGTCAATGGGTGTGCGTAATGCTGTGGTGGTTGGAGGTTCGAGGTCCTGTCAACGTCACGTGTGTCCGAGCTTCTCGGAATTGATCCGAACCAGCCCAAGCCTTCCAACTTGACCTCCACCACACGGATTTCTTGACCTTTTCCTGCACAACCACACTTTATCGTAGCCACCTATACCTTACCATCTATTGTCGCCAAGGCTCACATACTCGACGGACCTTATTGGCTTCATCACGATGCTAGGTGGAGAGACATCTGGTTGTATCAGGCTGACCTTCAGCCGCCTCAGCAGTTCTTCCCCCACTTATGGTCTTTTTTCAATATTGTTGCTTGATAATTTTAACGGTAGAGATGGGAATGGCTATGCCATACTATCCCTTCCTTCTGCTTTCGTGGTTGGTCCTCTTCTCCTCCTCGTCTTCCCTTCGCACTCTTTGATTTCGCACGCCAGAGCTTCCTCGTCTGTCACACACTCCCTTTAATTCAATCTCGCTTTCACTTTCATTCAATGCCTGCCCATGTACCAACCTTTTCCGGACGATCTATGCTGCTGTTAGCTCTCCTCGCTCGATTGCTATGGCGATATCGCGTGCTCACGCACTCCGAGGAGGAGTTCTGCCCCCTTTCAACCCCTCCTCGAAGGGCTCTCGAAGCGCTTCCTCCCGAAATCTGGAGTGCAATATTCGACTATCATCACGATGATGTCCCCTCCATCAACGCCATCCGAATGGTCTGCCGAGCGTGGACGCACGCTGCATGGCCGGCATTTGCGAAGAGCTTCGACTACCGCATGTTCCACCCCACGGTCAAAAGCCTGCGTGCATTGCAAGCATTCGCCAACAGAAGCGACTGTGCCCCGTACATGACCTGCCTGAACATGAGTACAATCCGTCCGCAATACGACGCCGGGGAATCCCGCCATACTCTCACTGATAGAGAGATCGATGCTTTGCCGCCACCCGATGACCTTCAATCCAGCTGGACGCACCCTCGCAGGGCACTCTGGAATTATTCCATCAGAAGTGGGGTCTTTAAGCGTTTGCAACCCAAGCGAGTGATGCATCTTCAGCTGCGGCAGGCATTGCGCAAGCTGGTATGGCTGGAGGAAATCCGAGTGATGGATGTTAGTGCATCGTGAGTTACCGCCCTTGACGAACTGCCTCACATACCTTCAATCGCTGACATGCTACCCAGTGCTGGCTATCGTCCATCGTTCACCAATGTGATGAGCAGGGCCATGTGGAATGCTTTTCCGCCCGACATGAGAGACGAGCCATACCACCTGCAAGCTCAAGCAATCACGCTGTCACTTCTCTTCAACGCCATGCGCCCGCCTCACGATGGCCGAACAGACTACCTGCGAAACCTCACGAAACTCAACGTGGAGGGTAGAATGTACATCGGCTCCCTTCCCGACAACACATTACCCAGCCCTCACAGCCCAAGCTGCTCCCCAATCTGGACCCTCACCCATCTCAACCTCTCCCTCACAACTTCAAAGCCCCCGCTCGAGCCGCACGATCAACCAGCCTTCTTCGATCGCCGCCTCCCCAGCTTGCTCACCCAACTCCCCAACCTCACTCATCTAGCCCTGCACTTCCCACCCCCCAGACTAGCCAACGACTACAACGAGGCCGGCGCCGTCATCAGCACCCACCTAGACTACACCTACGGCAGCGACTCCTTCCGAATCCTCTCCGCCTCCCTGCGCCTCCCACGCCTCCAAACGCTCCACTTCAGCCACCTAGGCGTGAGCTCCGCCTACCCCCTCATGGAACTGCTCTACCGCCACAGCCCCACCCTGCGACACCTCTCCTTCCTCTCCCTCAGCATGTCCGTCTGGCACTGGCGTTCCTTCACCAATTTCCTCGCTGAGCACCTGCGCCTTGAGACGCTGGCGATGGACTCGGATGCGTCGGAGGAGCGGCGGGCGGAGAGCAGGGAGCTTTGGGGGCGTGTGCCGGCTGAGTATCACTTTTCCTGGAAGGATTTTCGGCGGGCGGCGAAGAGGGCGCGGTGGGGGACGTTGGAGAGTGGGGGTGAGGGGGCGGCGGGGAATGGTGGGAAAGGAGCGGGAACTGGATGAGTTGATAGATGATTGTTGAGCGGGTTCGATAGGGGTGAGGGAGGGGGTTTGGGTGCGGTTTCTTGGAGAGGAGCACTCTACCATTGGGGGCATGTTTACTTTCACCATGCTGTGATATTGGAAGCTGTTTACGAAGGAATCAGATCGAGGAATGCGGCATGAGGCGACACAAGACGGACGCAGATTATCGCGTGGAAGCAGTACAGTCGCTGCATCTCGTCTCGTTCTTCTTTTGGGGAGAGTGAGGTATGGTCTTTGGCTAGATGTGTTGGTGAAACGAGGCAGAGAAGTAATATGCCAAGCGATGCAGTCGAGCTGCCGTGGATCACGCCTTCCCGTTCATTTACATGCAGATGCCCACGGGGTAAGACATGAGACAGACGCAACCAAGGAAGGAGCAATGAGGCGGGCTGACATTGTCCGACCTCACCTCCTGCACAACCCAGTCTTCTTCCTTTAGACAAGGCGACTTCCGGAGAACCCGTTCTCCTTCTTTCAGACAAGACGATTGATCTGGCAAGGGGCTGGGCACACGGACTCTGGCTGCTAAGGCTGCATACGAAGACCCCAACCCCACGCTGCACACGGAGGTGCACGTGGACTCCGACCCCGTGCACCTCATTACCTAAATCGTGCACAAGCCGGACGCTGGTACGAGGGACGACGATCATTCGCTTACCTCGAACCCCGGATGGGGAAAGTACGACGCACGGAAGCAGCGCGCACAACCACACACGAGGACCTCGAGTCGTGCAGCGCGCACTCGGGACTCCCGCCCTTACGGAGAGTTGGTCGCACGTGAAACGGGAAGGCAGGCACGCGATAATCGTCGGACTGCACGTCCAATCTCCACATCAGAAACGGGAGAGTAGATGCGGAGCGAGGGGTGGTGGGTGAGGCGCGCCGGGTGGCGAATTCCGCCTTTGTTCTGGGCCCTGCGCGCGCCCCGCGAACTGCTCGAGTTGGCCAACGAGCGGCGGCGAGGGGGACGCGCAGTCAGCCCTGCATGCGAGTTGCAGCGCTGGCTCGAGCTTCCCTGGCACCCTCGCCCTCCCATGGATTGCCTTCCTGCGACTCGTGCGGAATCACGCAGTCTTGCGCCCGATAAGACGCTTTCACGCGCGCTCTCGAGTACGTGCGCACTCGACATAAGCCTATTACCCCACAGGCCAATTCCACTCAAGCCGCGCCAAGAGCGCCCGCAGCCAAGATGCCCAGCGTGTCGCGTGTCGCATCATCCCCTCCCTCGTAAACCCCGGCCGGGAGAGGATTACGTTTATGTAACGCCGAACACACACCACATGCTCGTGTGATGGGGCGGCAAGCACGGCATTCGGAAGCGGTGGCGTTGGCTGGAGATTCTGGAAGGTCGATGGAAGGAACGACCGACGAGATAATCCCGCGGGTGGGCTGGCCCCGCCAATCAGCATCGCGCCTGCCAGACCCACCCGACGCACTTGCCATGGGCTCCCCGCGAATCTGGCCTAGCGACGCTTGAGGTTGCATCCCTCGCAACTCTTATCTGCCAATCCAACCAATCCCGCCTCCTCGCCCGCCCCCAGTAGAGGCCCTTGCGCCCGCCTGCATTGAGGGGTCCTGTCTGCTGCCATCCCGCCTAGTCCCTCTTCAGCCCAGCACCCGAGCTCACGCCTCCCCCCCCATGTCGCTCTTTTAAAACACCTCCCGCTCCCTCCTCCCACGCGCGCCGCCGCATCTCCTCTTCCTCCCCTCTGCCCTTCCCCCATCACCCGCAACCATGTCTTCCTACCCCCCCGTGGAAGATTCAAAGGCCTTTGATGAGCATCATCCCCAAAACTCCACCCACATTGGCGATCATGAACGGGGTCTTTTCCACGCCAACTCGCATGCCTTTGATGGCGAGAAGAACCTGGGCTTGGACAGCCATGGGCATGTCATCACCGATGCCGAGGCGCCGCGTGCGCTTCGTCGTGACCTCCAGGGCCGTCACATGCAGATGATTGCTGTCGGTATGCGCGGCTCCGTCACCTCTCCCATCATGACCTGACTGACCTCACGCTCGTAGGTGGTGCCATTGGTGCCGGTCTCTTCGTCGGGTCCGGATCTGCTCTGGCACAGGGTGGTCCGGCCTCCGTCTTCCTTGGCTTCACCATCGTCGGTATCCTGCTCGTCTTCGTCATGCAAGCCATGGCTGAGCTGGCCGTCATGTACCCCGTCAACGGTGCCTTCTTCACGTACTCCGTGCGCTTCATCGACCCCGCCTGGGGTTTCGCCGTAGGCTGGGAGTACGCTGTGGACTGGCTCACCGTGCTTCCCTTCGAAGTCATCACCGCCACCATTACCCTGCAGTTCTGGAAGGCCACGCGCGACATCAACATTGCGGCCTGGGTCACCATCTTCCTCTTCATCTTGATCGTCATCCAGTTCTTTGGTGTCCGAGGTTACGGCGAGGTCGAGTTCGTGCTCGCCGTCATCAAGATCATCGCCGTCGTCGGCTTCATCATCCTCGCCATCATCATCGACTGCGGTGGCGTGGGCCATCAGGGCTATCTTGGTGCGAAATACTGGTATGGCCCGCCAGGCGGCGCCACGGCGTTCCGCGGCGGTTTCAATGGCTTCTGTGCCGTCTTTTCCACCGCATCGTTCGCCTATGGCGGCACCGAGTTGACTGGTCTTGCCGCCGCCGAGGCCGCAGACCCCCTCAAGAGCGTGCCCAGGGCTTGCAAACAAGTCATCTGGCGTATTGCCGTCTTCTACATCCTTTCGCTCTTGCTGGTCGGCTTCATCGTTCCCTCCAACTCTCGTGAGTTCAGTCCCTTACTCTCTTCCGTTGCCCTCCTCCCACTGACCGAGTTCCCTTACAGCGTACCTGCTCGAATCCGGCAGCAACAACCCCAAGTATTCGCCCTTCGTCCGCTCGATCGTGCAAGCCGGCATTCCCGTCCTGCCGTCGATCTTCAACGTCGTCATTCTCTTATCCGTCATCTCCGTCGCCAACAGCTGTACTTTTGGCAGCACGCGAACAATGCAGGCCCTCGCCGCCTGCGGTATGGGCCCCAAATGGCTCTCTTACGTCGACAAGAAGGGTCGTCCCATCTGGTGTGTTCTCATCCAGATCGCCTTCGGCTTCTTGGCATATGTCGGCGAAGCTCCTGGCGCTAGTACTCAGCTCTTCGAATGGCTGCTCGCGCTCAGCGGTGTCGCGGACTTCTTCATTTGGGGCTCGGTGTGCTGGGCCCATATCCGCTTCCGCAGCGCGTGGAAATACAACGGCCGCACCCTCGACGAGATTCCCTACAAGGCGCAATACGGCGTGTGGGGCTCCTACGTGGGCTGCTTTCTCTCCTTCGTCTGCCTGCTCGCCAGCTTGTACGAGGCCGTCATTGCCGGACAGGGAATGGGCGCAGCAACCCAAGCCGAATTTTTCTTCCGAGCCTGGCTTTCTGGCCCACTGCTCGTCCTCCTCTACCTCGGCTGGAAGATTTACAGCGGCAACTGGTTCCCGTTGCTCGTGCCCATCTCCGAAATCGACATCACCAGCGGCATGCGCTTGGATCTTGAGGAGCTCCGCCAGGCCGCTCTGGAGAACAAGGTGGCAAAGACGTGGAAGAATCTGCCCATGCGTGCCGCCCGCAATCTTTTCTAGTCGAATCGTTGCTGCCGGCGGTCTCGCGAGCTCTTGCGTGCGCGCGCTCAATACATCGTTTTCAGCAGGATCTTCTCTTGGTATGCAAAGCGTCTTGGCGAGCTCTTGAATCGACCTCTTCGCTTGGCATAACTAGACGTATCCTCTGTTGGCTGCGGTTTTCGTGTGTGCGCGTGTGTGTAGGTGGGATGTGGGACAGGACAGCACTCGATTTGGAGATGTTTGGGGGATTTTGTGTACTGTGCGATTCGAGTCTTGTATTTAGTTGGTTGATGAGTTGTTTAGCTGCGTGCAATACACCTCTTCCAACCACTTTCAGTCCCATTTCTTTCTCTTCTTCTTTCTCTCTGCTTTTATCATGCTCTTATTCACTTTACGAAGGCTGGCTGTCTTGCGGCCAAGGTTTTCTCATGCAATCACGTGACATTCATTAACATACCTGACAATCTGCATATTCATCACCGAGCTGCTTTACATTCTTGATCCTCCCATCCATCCCACAACAATCTGCCGCCTTTCCTTAACAGCATGCCATCACTCCTTCCCCCCCTTCTCTTCATCCGACCCACTATGCCCCCGCTCCGCATCGTCCACATGCCTCATCCTACCAGCACCACCCTCTCTTCCCATCGTCGCCTCTTTGAAATCCTCGTCATGTCCCACGTCCAATGGCCGGCCCTTCCACTCCGGCCCCAAGATGGTGAGTAGGATGACGTACGCATAGACGCAGCCCATGAAGATGCAGCTGGCATCCGTCAGCCTCGCGCCCCCTCATCGTGGCAATCTAAGCGGGAGGGAAGCAGGGAAAACTCACATGACCTTCCCGTACGCATATCTAGGCACGATTGTCCCGTCTTTCTCGTGGATGGGGGTCAGCGGGAAGCGCTCGCCAATCGTCGCTTCGATTGTCGAGCTTGCGGAGGACACGAGGTTGCCTAGTTGGTAACTTGTGCCGACGACGAAGGTGCGGTAGCCCGGGGGTGAGAGCTCCATTAGGTGGATGGGGATGACGCCCCAGGCCTGTCCATCATCGCATTAGCGGGTGTTAGGGTCGGAGATTGTGGAAGCCTGGTCGGTACGCACCCCTTGCACGCAGAACTGCTCGAAGAACGCTGCTGCGGCGACTTTCTCCGTACTCACGAAGGAGTAAGGGTACAGCAGTGCACCCCCAACAACAGAAATGTAAACAATACTAAACCTCCGCCCCAACATCTGCGACAAATACCCCACGGTAGTCCCGCCCGCCATGGCGCCCAGATTCGCCACGACCTGCGTAACAGTCACCGCGTCGGGGGAAAACTCGTACTCATTCTCGAGGAGCGTGGGGTACAGATCCTGCGAGCCGTGCGACATGAAGTTGAACCCGGCCATCAGGAGGACGAGGTAGATGAGGAGGAGCCAGTGGCGTTTGAGCGCTACGCGGCCTTCGGCGATGAAGGTTGCGCCTATGTTGGCGTTGGCAGCGCGGACGCGTTGGCGCTCGAGAAAGGTGTCGGTTTCGCCTAGGCCTGTGGGGAGGGTGTTAGTTGTTTTGCTTCTTTTGAGGGTTATTGGAGAAGGTGGGCACGTACAGAGGCGAAACGCGATTATCAATACTGGCACTCCCGCCCCAAACCAATACAGCGGCCTCCAACCTGCAGATGTGGTATCCACCAATCCACGCGCAAAAGCCGTAGCAAGCAGATACCCAAACGCATACCCTTGCTGCAGCATACCCGAGATAATCCCCTTTGCGCGCGGCGGACAGTCCTCGAGGGCGGTGGCGGCAGCATTGCCGTACAGCCCGCCCATGGCGATGCCGTACAGCGCGCGCACGCCGAGGAAAGAGGCGTAGGAGTAGGTGAAGCCGGTGCCGAGTTCGAGGATGATGAAGAGGACTAGGTTGGCGATGAAGGGCCATTTACGGCCGTAGCGGTCGCTTAGCAGGCCGAAGATGATGGCGCCGACCTGGGGGTGTTATTAGCATGATGGGAGAAAGGGAGGCTTGGATAGACGAACGGAGCGTAGCCTGCAATCAAATTAGCCATATGTCCAGCTTCAACGACAAGAGATAACGACTTACATCAACACCAACGTAATCCCCCACGTAATCTGCGCAGTCGTCTTATCAAACTGCGCCGCCAACTGCCGCACCGTCAACGAGACAGAAAAAAAATCAAACGCATCCCACGTCCAGCCGAGAAAGGCGACGAGGAAGTACATCCACTGCTTGAAGGAGAGCATGGCGAGGACGGTGAAGGGGTTCTCGATGCGGTCCATGGGTGGTTTGAGCGTTGGGATGCGCGTGGCGAGGTAGCGCGTGATGGACATGTGGTGGCCTGTTGATGGGGGTGGGGGGCCTTCATTGTAGGCGTTGTCGTTGGTGTTGTCATCGTCGTTATTGTGATGGTGGGAGTGGTGGTGCTCTGTGTAGCCTGATTCGGCTTTTTCGCTGGTTGTAGACATGTTTGCGATGCTTCTCGTTGCTGGTTGTGGTGTTAGAGTGACTACCTAGTCGTGTAGTGGTGCATCAGGCTGTCCCATCAACTCACTCTCGCGTCCAACAGCCTTGACCACGCTCCTACCAGCTCAAATTCAGCAAAGATAGAAGGGGAAACCAAGCACTTATTTCAAAGCAAGAAGCAAAAAACCCCTCAAGACGAGCAGATCAGCAACGGCCCCCCCCCCTCATCACAAAGAGCAACATGCGCGCGCCCAGCGAAAGCCAAGCCCGTCCATTCCATCGTGCTGCTCGCGTGGTGGGGGATCGGCAGCGTGATGAGCAGGCCAAGCACCAATCATCTTTGCATCGGCGTGCCAACTCCAAGACTTTGCGCATGCTTTGCTGTGCTTGCACCGATGCCGCGTGCCGATCGCCCGCCCTCTCGTTGGGAGGAGACTTTGGGTCTGGGGGATTTGATGCTGATGCTGAGAATAGCTCTCCGTGCGTATCGGGAGTTTGAGGGGGTTTGATCGTGTGTTATCTGTCGATGACTACCATGGCGTACAGAAGGCGCTGGCTTTGCGGTTTGTCGGGAAGGTAGGTGAGATTGCTAGATGAATGACGTAGAGAAGACATGGATATGTGCCACAAGAAAAGGTCCATCATCTACAGTCCATCAGTAACACCTCGGCTTCCAGACGCAAGATACAGCGTTTCGGAGAGAAATCGCGAACCAAAACCCCTCCAAGATCCCCATATGTTCGGTATCTCGTCAGCCCAACTCATCCTCTACACCCGGAACCGGACCGTCTTGTTCCACGCGTCCAGCCAGCCCTGCACAAGCCCCCCAAACACAGTTTCAGTCCTCGAGACGTGCTTCGCGCCTGTGTCACAAGTCAGCGCCAACGACCATCCAGCCGCAATAGCAACGGAGCATCATCAAAGACCTCACTCACCAGCGCTCTTCATCGCCCGATCAGCCACAAGCGCAATCAACGCCGCCCCAACACCACTCCCATCCTTCGCAATCCCAATGCGAATCCGCTTCTCCCCTTCCGGCCCAATGCGCGGGATCTCGCGCAACGCCTCGCGGATGTACTCTTCGAAGTTGGGGTAGAATTCCACCAGGCTGCCGTCAACGCCGATATCCACTACGTCGTCTTTGTCCCCTGTGGCGAGGCTGGCGGTGCTGATGACGACCGCTGCGATTGCCACGGCGGATAAGCGGGCGGCGCGCTTGCCTACTGCTGCGGCGATGAGGCGCACCGCTTCTGCGTCTTCGGCGCTCGCGGCTGATACGCCGTAGTCGTTGTCGAGACTTTGGCGCGTCGCTTTGAGGCCTAAGCCGGAGTCGCCGGCGGCGATGGAGAGGAAGCTGGTGTCCAGCCCCCATTGCTTGTAGAGGGGGGAGGTGGCGTCGATTTGCGTCGTGCTGTGCACGTCGTTGCGGCTTGAGTCGTCGTCGTGGAATAGCGGGACGGCGGGGTCTTGGACGAGGGAGACGATGGCGCGCCGCAGGATTTCCCCCAGGAACATGCCGGAGATGCGCTTTTCGAACATTTGGATGCCCGGGTTGACGGACTCGCGGTCGAGGTCGCGGTCGTAGGGCGTGTCGGGCAGGACGGAGAGTTGGTTGTCGAAGCTGCCCCATTCGGTATTGATAATCATCTCGCCGGTGCTCTTGTCGTAGTTGCTCGAGCTGCCGGCGGTGGTGTTGAGTTTGGTGATGTTGGAGAGTTTCTCGACGTATGCTCCGTTTGTGCCCGTGCCGAAGATGGCGCCGAGGAGGGTGCGTGTCTTTCCTGGGCTGGTGTAGGACCGTGCCATCAACGTGCCTACCGTGTCGTTCACCAATGCGCTCACCCTCACCGGGAGTCCGAGCGCATCAATCTCCTTTTGCAAGAGAGCGCACACGTCTTTGCCTACAGTGTCGTGGATGTCGAAGCCTTTCGTCCAGCGAATCAACGTACCCTTGTTAATCCCCACCTGCTGCACAGGAAAGGAGAACGTGAAGCCCAAGCTGAAGATCTCCTCCTCTCGGAAGCCGCCAAAGCCCGCCATGCTCGCCCTCCTCTCCGTGTGGGTGTTGTAGTGCTCGCCATGATGCGTCTTCAGGAACAGCTGGATCTGCTTGGCGAGGAAGGAGAACAGCTCATGACTCGTCTGCGCCACCATCAAGTCCTTGGGAATCGGCACTTTGCTCTGCGTCAAGCTGAACGTGCTGTTGCCGTGCAGCTGGATGCTGCACACGCGGAAATTCGTCCCGCCCAGATCGACGGCCATGTACAAGCCCTTCTCCGTCCCGTTCGGCACGCCGGTCACGTAGGTTGGGATCTGCGACATGGTGGCACCCTGCTTCCCCAAACCCTCGTGCATCTGCGTGATGAAGGCATCGACGCCCCGGTTCACTGCCTCTTTGCTGTACTCGAATTCCGCGGCTACCCGCTGGGCGGCGGCGGCGAGAGCCATGCTGCGTGGCGAGGTGCTGTATAGGGAACCAGACGTCTCTTGTGCGGGTACTCGGCAGTACAAGTCCTGCAGGAAGGGATTATAAGGGTTGTACGTAGGGCAGGATTGCGGCGGAGAGATGGATTGGTGGTGGAGGAATGGCTGGAGGTACGGGAGGAGCAGTTGGAGAAGAACGGCGACGAGGAGGAGGACGACAGCCGGGACGAGAGCAGTCGGCGAGGCGAAGAAGTGAGAGAGGGAGGAGAAGCGTCGCTGTTTCTGGCCGCCTCGCAGTTCTCGGAGAAATACGAGCTCCCCGTCGTCTCTGGCTTCTTGTCCGATGGCAGAGAGCGACTTGGAGCGGTTGCGGAGGGCCAGGGTGAGGAGGAGAGGAGGAGAAGGGTGAAGGAGAGGAGTGTTGGCGGGCTACTGCAAGATGGAGTCTAGATGTAGGGTCTGGTGCGAGGGATGTTGGCGCGGGAGCTCTCTTGTCGATGCAGCATTGACCCCACACCGGACGCCGATTTTGCGGAGGCGGGGCAAACGGAAGGATTCGGTCCGATTCGACTTCACGTGGTTGCTTCCTCACTGCAACAATATCATTTAATCTGATTTAATGACCTGTCTGAACGGAATCATCGGAATCCACTCCTTCTGAACATCGAGATATGGATCTCCAACGCCTGCGCGGCGCGACCGAGTACGTCTCTCGGCTTCCAACACCGCACATGCATCCTTCCAAGCCAGCCCTTGCAGCGTCATCTGCGTGGAATGTGCATTGTTGAAGGTGTTGGCCACTACATCCGATTCGATTCGGTCAAGGACAAGTTTGACCTTGTGTTCTGCGGTCACCTTGCCTATCCCGCCCTCCTGTCCAAACAAAAGTCAGACTCTCCTTTCGATGGGCGGTTACGCGAAGCGAAACTTACCGCAAGCCTCTCCCTCTGAACATATGCCTCGCAGAGATCTCGGCGAAGATGCCTTAGCTTCTCGATGTCTTCTTTTGACTTGGTAAACAGAATCTCTTTCGGCCGAGAACTTGACGCCGTGACTTGCGAACTCGACGCCGTAACTTGAGGACGCGATACCGGAACCTGCGAACTCGACGCCACAGCCTCCGACTGTCGCATGTGCGCAAATGGAAACAACACCCTAGTCGGCCTAGGTCGCCGACCAGTCGTGTTATCAATCGCATCATCGAGTGTAATCGACGGCATCTCTGCAGGCCTCCCAGAAGGAGGGTCCTCGCTATCGCTCCCCGGCTCAACTGTACCAATCGATGCCCTGCGCCCTGTCGTGCAGCGCCGAGCGACTTCGGGTCCAGGCAGCTCGAGCTGCGGCGTGGTCTCCTCAGATACATCTTCGCCGGAATCATCGTCAAATGGCGACATCCGGCCGAAGAACTCGCTTTCGAAGACGTCGTAGTCGCTGAAGGGGGATATGGAGCGCCATGTGTCGCTCACAGGTGAGGGTAGTCGCTTTGAGGAGAGGAATTCGCGGGTTGCTGGGGAGAATTCGGGGGTGAAGGAGAAGTCGGCCATGGTGGAGGCTCGATGTGATGGGGAGTGGGTCTTCTCATGGCTATACTGAGATTACTCTTTGATATATACTGTGAGTAGGGACTACATTCACTGAAACTCATGCGCAAGGTGAATGACGGACGTACACAGACATGCTGATTGCACGGCGTGCGAGCCTGGCAAGTGGTTGTGGTGACGTGTTGTCCAACAAGAATACAGGCAAATACCTCCTCTCACGTCAACAGTTTGTTACCCTCCCAACTCAACCATCGCACAACATCCTCTCACAATCCTCATCCCTTCCCAAGACCTAACCTACCTAGGCACAACAAACTGCACATGCCCCCCATACCTCCCAGTCCCACTACGAGCAGCAAACATCTCCGGAACCCAGCCTCGCTGCACCTGCACAAACACATCCACGCGCGCATCAAACATCGCCATCCGCAAAATCTCCTGCGCATCGTCGGCCGCCAACCGCTCGAGGGATACAAGGTGGCACGCGTTGTATTGCGTTGCGAGCCACTGGTTGGCTGTGAAGCCTAGTTGGTCGCCGAGGCGTTTGCGGCGTGCGTGTTGGATGCGGGGGTCCTTTTGGGGTGGTGTTAGTCCATTTGTTTGTTTGATTGGTTTTAGGGTGGGTGGGGAGGTGTACCCTGTTCGCCACCATTTTGTATCGTATGACGAATGCTTCGCAGAGATCGCGTCGGAGTTTTCGGAGTTCTTGGACTTGTGCTGGCGTGAGGTGGGTTCGTGTTTCTAATGGACCGGGGGGAGCGGTGGGTGAGGAGGGGGGAGACATTGCTGGCGTTTCCAGGGGCGATGTACACACTCGTGACCCATCTTCTTGAGCAGTCACGAACGTCTGGGCGAAGTAGGAAGACGCGGTTTCGTGTTCATTGACTTCCATAGCCTGCTGCTCTGTTGGTGATACCGTGGATGAACTCACGCTGTCCTGCCGTCTAGACGGCGGGCGATCCATTGAGAAGCGGCCGAAGAACGAGACTGCGCCATCCAAACTGCCTTGCGAGGGTGGACGTGGTCTGTCTGCATTGGAGGACTGTTGCCGGGCTGAGGGACCGGCGCGGCTGGAAGAGTGAGGGGCTCTCCTCAGGGGATTAGGCCGTTTGAACATCTCGCTTTTTCGATTTCGGGAGTTCTACTGTTTGATTAAGTAGGAATCGGAGAAAGGCTGTGGCAGGGCTGCGTTCGGACCGTGAGAAGGCTTTATATTGCGCTCTATGACTCTTTTGCTATTCCATGGTGCGATGCGTTTTTACTCGCTGTTCGTAGATGCAGCTCGTTCAGCATAGGCGCCGTTGCCCATGCATCTGTGGAACGTCGTCAGCCTCATCATTGCCCGGTGGTAGAGGTCTCACTTGCACGGATGAATGAAGCACGAAGGAGGACGGCAGTGAATGGCGCAAGCCTTGCAGTCACATCGGCCGAGCCGGAAACCAGCCAACAAGGCATATAACCAACTCCAACACCCCGGCAAGCGCGGGAAAAGTGTAGGAGGTCGAGGAAAGTCTGCCAGCTTCGGCTGTCAACTTTCTTTCTGACAGCCCGCGCTGTCAGCTTGGCTGAACCGCTTTGCCCGTGCTTTCTTTTTTGGCGGTTTGGAGGGCGATCATTCGAGCTGGGGATGATGCCTCCGGGTTAGAATGGTGGGTGACAGACTTTTGCTGCGGCGGTGAGTGTTGATGGCAGAAGAGCGACGTAGGGCTATGGTGGCTGCAAGTAGTCCGTCATGCGTGTTCGAATCTGTGACCTCTCGAGATTGAAAAGGCCAAGGTCAGGAGTGTGAGCCGGAGCAGCGTTGTCGGTCTGGCTGAGAGACGCGAACCGGCAGCACAAAAGGAGCCGAAAGCAAATCACGATCTGCCATTTTTAAAAAGAATGCTCCGAAAGCGGAGTCGGTGAACGGTCGGCCTGTCACCGATTCGAATCCGCGCCCTGGACTGGGAGCGAAAACCGACAAAAATGAAACACCACATTGGGTGAAGCGAAATTCGGCTGCGCACATTCATCCTTTCGGACTTTCATGGAGCTTGGTTTCGTCTTTTTAGTTTAGGCGGGAGCCTAGAGTTCGCAGCAATTGATGGGGGGGAGGGGGCCATTGGGGTGACGTTTATCCTCCTCTCCTCCTCTAGGTGTCGAACTTTTGGATTAGCAATTCGACGGGGGAGGGGGCACCAACCACTTCAGCCTTTGGTCACGCGCTGAAGTGATTGGATAAGATGCGAGCGCGCGGAAATAGTTTATATACCTTTGAAAGCGTGGCGAGGTCTAGCCGAAGGGAAGGGGAAGGGCATAACGACACTGCTGCATGTGTGGTGCGACCACGTGAAATGTGGGTGTGAGCGCCCGCTACGCGGCAACGTTGGTGGCCAGGAGTGTTCGCGATCTATGAGAGGGGTAAATCGTAAGCACAAAATCTTGCCAGATGCGCATGAAAGCAAAGACTCAGCAACAAAAGAGAACAGCAGCCTACGACATGCCATCTCAAAGGAAAGCACCGGGAGCGGAACAAGACAAAGCTCGCCGCCGCTACAACTCGAACCCGCGCCCTTTGAAAGGCAAAAAGTAGGCGGCAACCAACGCCCACCGCTGATGCCCCGGCCCCCTCTCTCCAGGAGAGTAGGGCACTCCACAAGCCCCCCGCCCTACAACCTATGCACGTTAGGCATGGCTGCATGAGCGGTGGATCAGCACCTAATTATTTCGACCTCGAGAGGCGAAAGATTGCAAAGCCCCCGGATTTTAACATCCCTCAATGTACTTTTGGCGTTGACCAATTTCCTGTGTGAGGTGATGTTGCAGGCGCTGGAATCGTTGATATGTGTCGTTCGGTGGAACTTCGGCGGTGTCACATGCGCAGAAAGACGTCCCTGCGGAGCTGGCCAGGTGTGCTCTGAATTCACCGGTTCGAGCAGCATCGACTGGAAGTCCTGCCTTACTTCTGAGGTGCGAGCGGTCACGTTTCGCATTCCGAATCCTAAGAAGGAAGACTGCACGTAATTTTGAGCGACTTCGACGATACAGCAACCAATGGACAATGAGAATGTTGATAGTGGGAATTACGATGTAGCGAGACCAGTACACTCATCTTATCGCACAGTAACGTATCGTCTGATCCAGCCGCAACGCACACCGTCTACTTTGATCCGCATTGTCGAGCAACTGAACATCATTTGAAATAACAAAAGAGCCTTCTCGTCGAAATATACCTGAGAAGCAGTGGGATGAAGTGAAAGTGAAGTCTGATGTTGCCCAAAGCGGAATGGAGAGCAGGCAGACTTGGCACGAGCTCCACCTGGGCGCCATGCGGTGGGGCTGCCTTCGCAGCGGGAAAAGACAACGACGTAGTAGCTACCTCACTTCATCTGCATCACAATCTCCAGCACATTGACATCACTCCCCCACCCGCCTAGCTCTGCGTGTGCAAGCAGAAAGAAACCACACCGCTCCCTAGCGCCACCACCTCTCCCACCCATCAAACATCCCCCCCACCCACAGCCACAATGTCGACCGCCATCCACGCCATGTCGGACGACCAAGTCGCCAGCGAGCTCCGCAAAATGACCGCCTTCATCCGGCAAGAAGCGCTGGAAAAAGCGCGCGAAATCCACCTCAAAGCCGACGAGGAATTCAGCATCGAAAAGTCCAAACTCGTGCGCGGCGACACGGCGCGCATCGACGCCGAGTACGAGAAGAAGTTCAAGCAGGCCGGCATGAGTCAGCAGATTACCAAGTCGACGCTGGCGAACAAGATGCGGTTGCGCGTGTTGAGTGCAAGGCAGGAGTTGCTTGATTCGCTTTTTGAGGATGCTGGGGGGAAGCTGGGGGAGGCGGCGAAGAAGGCGAAGGGCGGGTATGAGGCTGTGCTGAAGAATTTGGTGCTGGAGGGGTTGTATGGGATGAATGAGAAGAAGGTCACGGTGAGGTGTCGGGAGAAGGACGAGAAGGCTGTGAAGAAGGCGGCGGAGGAGGCGGCGAAGGAGTACAAGGAGAATATGGATGGAAAGGAGGTGGAGGTGGTGATTGATAAGGAGCGATTGCCCGAGGGGTCGTGAGTGCTTTCCTTTCTCACTTGTAATGTGTGCCTGAATGCTGACTGATGCAATGTATAGACCCGGCGGCGTCATCATCTTCAACGGCACCGGCAAAATCGACATCAACAACACGCTCGACGAACGTCTGAAGCTGCTGGAAATCGAGGCCCTCCCTTCGGTGCGGGAGACGCTGTTTGGCGAGAATAAGAACCGCAAGTTCAAGGATTAATGGGAGCAATGTCACACACGCACATCGAAGGTCAGGCATCCAGCAGGGGGTATGGCTTGTGGAAACCAGTTTCTGGAACTCTGTACAGCTGTCGGAATTAGACTTGTCAAATTGAAGCGTTCAGCTTATTCGCCTCTCCCTTTCTATCATCTATTTCATCACGCTTGAAACACAGCGGGGTATATGATTACGCCTCTCCTCTCTCCTCCTCTAATACCACCTTTTCATCCCCATCCCCATCCCCATCCTCAAACCTCACCACCCTGCCAACACCACGTCCACCCCCCTCCCCAGCCTTCGCCAAAAACCCCCTCAACAACCCCCTCTGCACCTCCAACCCAGCCCCAAAAACCCCTCCCCTCTTCCTCGGCCTCGAGCGAACCGCAAACTCCAACCTCCTCACCAACCTCTCAAGCGCATGCTTGGCTTCCGAGCGGCGCAGATGCGTCGTTCCCGCGTCCTTAATGCGGCTGGCCATTAGCGTGAGTTGGGTGATGAAGGCATCAATTTGGGCGTTGAAGGCGGTCTCTGCTGGTGTCTCGCTGGCGGTTGCTGAGGTGGAGATGGAGGGTTTGAGAATTGTTTTGGGTGGGGAGGACGGTGCTGGGGTGCGGTAGTCCTGCTCGTAGAAGCCTGCGTCGAGGGCGAGGTCGAGGATGGTGAGGAGCGGGTTGAGGAAAGAGTAGTTTGTTGCGTCGGAGATGTGGAATTGTGGGGCGTTGCGTAGAGCGTGCAGGATAGCGGTGGCGTTTGCAGGAGATGTATTAGGAGCTGCGACGGTTTGCTGACTGGTGACGAGGCTGATGGCTAGTCGGCGTTGGAGAGCATGGCTGTGTTCGGATAGCGCGGGGAGAGAGGCGATGGCGTTGCATTTGAGCTGCGTCGAATAGCCGGAGTGGTGGAATGCTTGTTTGAGTTTGGTGAACATGTCGTCGTGGGAGGATACGCGTTGGAGCAGGTACTCGATGGCGTCTTCGATCGCACACTTCAACGCGGTGTCGCCGGCGACGCGTGCGTCTATGCGTGCGTACACGAACTCGAGAATCGAGGAAGCAATGGCCTCGTCACCGCATTGTGAGCCGAAATGTCGCACCACGCGAAGCACGCTGTCGAGGGCGTCGAGAGAGGATGATGCAGTGGATGCGGGATTCCGTGGGGCCTTTACGCTTTCCACCGCGTTCTTGGAAAGAACATAATAGTCACTCAGTCGTGTCGGAAGCGTTGAATCTTTTCCAGTTCCCGAGATCTTGCAGCTTTCGAGAATGCAAGCGTATGCTTCGCGCAAATCTCCTCGTTTCTCGTGCAGCAGTCGGCTCGCAAACCAGTCGCGCGCAGCATCGGGGAGCTCGCCCCTAGCTGCGACTTCGGACAGGAAGCCAGTCAAACACGCTTGTGTACGCCAGCCTTCGTCCTGCAGCTTCTGCGCCATAAAGGTGTGTGCATCTCCAAATGCGTGGCTGGGGAACTTCGTATCAGGCGGCGTGTCGCTCCTAGCATCCCGAATATAGTAGAAAGCCTGTTCGTCGTCCGCCGTCTCGGTCCGCTGCATAGCACGCATCATCCTCCCGCCGTCATCGCCTTCGTTCGCGACGACAGCTTGCAGATCCACCGCAGTATCGTCCTCTTCGTCCCGTTCTCGCTCTCTCATTCGCTGCGACTCCTCGAATTGCGTCTCGGCCTCTCTCATCCTCGCAGCCGCCTCCTCTTCTCTCTGTCGTTGCTTGACCATAGCCGCCAAACCATACTTGTACACCACCTTCTTCTCCGGCAGTGGCACGCCACCCTTTCCAGGGGTTCGCACGCTCCCCACTGTCTTGTTGTCACCCGACAATCTGGCACTCTGTCGCTGCTTGACATCCGCCTCTTCCAGCCGGGCCTTCTTCCTCGGAATGAAAGCCGAAATGTCCACCAAATCATCACCACTCGAACTCTCCTCATCACCCCTACTGCTGCCCGAACTCTCGACGCTATCTGAGTCGGAGTTCGTCACAGCTTGTATTCCATTCTTCAGCACTCTTCGGCTGGAGCTCTGCGTGCTCATCGGGACGCTGGAGAGGGTGGAAATGGAGGAGAAGGAGGTAGCGGCTGCGGTGGTATGAGGGATGGGTAGTTTGGGTGGTGCAGTTGGAAGATCAGAAGAAGAGGAGTGCAGCTGCTTTTGTTGCGATGTTGGCAGTGCAGGAATCTCCACGGCCGTCATGACTCTTCTTTGTTGCGAGGAGGGAAGATTGCGTGCATTGCTTGCGTGCCCGTTCTGCTGAGGGCCAGGGCGAGCAGGCAGTTTGCTCGGCGAAGCTTGTGAAGCTTTGGGCGTCCTCTCTTTCGCCGTGAGGATGGACAGCGCACTAGAGAGCACCGAGCTCTCCGACGCCTGTGAGCTCGGGAAAGGTTCATCATCTTCCTCTCCATTCAACACAGACTGCTGCGGTTGATCCGGCGAAGGCTCGTCCTTGGGTATAGACGTCGCAACAACAATCTCGTCCTCCTCCTCTGCGTACACGGGAATGCGGCTCTTGGGGATGGTGAAGGGCTTGAAGAAGTCCCGGATGTTTCGATTCGGGGGTCCATCCCTTTTCATCGGCGCCATGGGGTGGCAGCAGCGCACATGGTGGGATGTGCTGGTTGTTGAGGATGATTAGGTGGGAGTGGAGAGGCAAGAGACGTGACGCGATTTGAGTTCCGACGGGGTTAAGCCGGGGATATGCCTCAGGTCTCTTACTTCAGCCTCGTCCAGCTTCATCAGACACCCAGTGAACGATCAATGTGACAAGCTGCAGTACATTTCTTCCAATAGTACAGCAGTCGGCTAAACCTCGTCACCGCCTACAATATCTACATATCCATTCATCCACGCATCTTACCCAACCAATGACCGGCAGTATCAATGGATCTGTCAGTCAGCGGCCCAAAAAATGCAAACCTGTTGGGGTCCTACGAGTCTCGCCTTGCTTTCCCTCCTGAAAAGGAGTTTGTTTTTTTGTGGTTATTTTGGGGCAGGTCGCGAGTTCGAGTCTGGGTTGAGGCATAGAAGTACTTCTTTTTGCGTCGTCGGGTACCTTTGACATACATGTAAAGGTAGTTTGGATACCTCACTAGTAGTCCATGAGATGAGTACATCCACCCTCCTGTCGACATAGATCTACAATCCCATCATCGCATTATGCCCTCCCGCGCATCAAGCACATCAAAAGCATAGAGAATCATAACAAAGCCCACTCATCCACCCCCGTCGACGTCGCCGTCCCCATCCCTCCCCCACCCCCATCCTCCCCCATCTCCATCTCAACCCCCCAATCAAAATCAACAGCCAAAAAATTCGTCCCCGTAGGCCCAGCACTTCGCATCCCCCCGACATTCCCATTCCCGTACCCCAGCTCCGTAAAAGCGGCGAAATCACCCATATCATCCGTCAAGCCGCCGGCGGAGGGGAGTTGCTGCTGTGGAAGCGAGCCGGTGCCGGGGCCGGTGCCGGGGTGCGTGTGCTGCGGGTCGTGGTTAATTTGGTTGTCCCACATTTCCCAGTCGAGGTTGGCGGGGGCGTCGAGCATGTTGCCGATCATTGCGTAGTCGGGTTCGTTGGCGCTGTTGTTGTTGTTGAAGAGAGTGGGCGGGGAGAGGGAGGCGGATGCGGATCCGGTGCTTGGGTCGGTGAAGGGGAAGCGGAGTTGGTTCCAGGAGGGCGTGCTCCCGCTGTTGCTGTTGCTCGTGTTTGTCATGGCCAGCTGATGGTTCGCGAGGGTGTAGTCGACCGGCACGCCGTCTACATTTCCCCAGTCGTGGCTGACTTCTGCCCCCTGCCAGAACTCCGCCGGCATCCCGTTCTCCGCACTCGTCCACGGGGCTAGAGGGTTCAAGCCTCGACCAGGTGATGCGATGCCAGCACGGGACAGCTCACTCGGCGCATCGGCGACGTTTGGCCCCATTTGCACCTTCACCCGCTCCAGCATGACCGCCATAGCGCGACTAGCCTTCTCCGTCTCATCGAACATCGGCTCCGCTTTGGACACAGTCTCATCGCCTCCAACACCTGCCGCACTCTTCTTCCTCTCCGCCGCCTCGCTCCAGATCCGCTGGCTCTTCTGCAGCGCCTCGATCATCGCGTCTCGCTTCGGACAGTTCGGCGGCGCAAGTTGTGGGCCGCGTGACCTTGCGTCCTTGATCTGCTCGTTCAGCTCCAAACACATCACCATTGCCGCGAGCAGGAAGTCGTGCGTGGAGATGGAGCCCATGTACCACTTCACACTCTCTAGTTGGCCACCCGGCTGCGTGGCCGTGTAGATCGTCTGGTGATGCTGGAGTACTCGCATGGCGGCATCGGCGCACGCTTTGCGACTCGTGCCCACGCCTATCATCTGTTCCTCCGCCGTGAGCTCGTGGAAAGGCGTGAGTATAAAGCGGCGATGGAGCACGATTTTCGTCTTCAGGTACAGCAAGTCGAGGTTGAAGCGGCACATCAGCTGTTCCGCTGGATCGGTGACCAGCTCGCTGATGTCTGGCATTTGCAACAGTGGCGGTTTTGCAGCTTTGGCTTCTTCCAATTCGCGGTCGAGGCGCATCACTTCTTCGGTGCTGGGTGGGATGGTGGAGTGCCCGAGATCGGCGGCGTCGGCGAAGACGCGCACGATGCGCAGCTTGGCACGAGTGTATGACGAGGGCGTGAGCTCGTCCATGCTGCGGCTGGGGGGTAGTTGTTGTGTGGAGGGACCGAAGTCGCGATCCAGTAGATTTCGCGGAGGTTGGGTATCGGAATGGATGGTTTTGATGATACTCGGCAGGCCGATTTGGAAAGAAATCATGACGTCGATCATGGAGATGATGGTCCAGATGCGCCGGCGCATCTCGCCTTGAAAGACGGAGATGGAGGGGTAGGAGCTTGCGTCGCGATGGTAGCCCATGCGCATGGCTAGGCGTGCAACGAGGCCAATGAGGAGCCAGACGTTGACGAACGCGTCATTGCTGCGCAGACCGGCGGCGTAGAGCATCATGCACTCTAGCGTGTGCTGCTTGGGTTTGGTGAAATCGCCAAGTACCAGGGCTGAGGCCGCGAAGGTATGGTATTGGGATACCTCCTTCAAGATGGTCTGCGCCTGCGGATGTCTTGGGTCCAAGTCGCGTAGGCCAAAGGAAGCGGCCAGGCTCATGATCGCGTACAACAGGGCAATCCACATGACAGGGGTATCCTTTGGAGATTTCCAGAACCGCCGGTATTCATCTTGAAAGGTAGGTGCGTGGATGATGGGCTTGAAGGGATCCGGAGAGTTGAACCATAGACTCAACAGGCGATCGACCACCTTCTTCTCCGGCATGGCGGCGATAAGCTGATCTTTGGTCATGGTGGTGTGATTGCCAATCATGAATCCCACTTGCGTAGCATCCCGAGGAAGAGCGGCGCCAGCAGCGGACAAAGTGTCGTTCCTCAGCCCCCAAACGTTGACGGTGGGCGGAGCATCGTCATCCTCATTCCCGCTCTCCTCGTCCTCCTCTTCGCCGCCAATGTCGCGCTTCAAGTCGGAGATGCTGTTCAGAATCGCACCCCAATGTGACTCGCCCACGTAACTGATCTCATTCTTACTGATCGTCATCTGCCCCAGCGGACCAGTAGCAGCATCTACATCGTCCGGACTATCCGCCGACCCTCGACTTCTTTCCGTCCCGAATTGCGGAGAAGTATCGCTGTCCGAAGGCGGGGTAGGTTGTGAGTAGGGCAGCGGAGCTCTCGCTGGTTCTGATGTCGTCGCACTGCCGTTAACACCACTGCTTGTCTCTCCAACCCGTGTCTGCAACGCGCCGCGATTCTGATTCATCAAGTCCACCACCAAACTCTCCAATTGCCGAATGCGACCTTTGACATTCTGCGCCTGCTTATGCTTTACGGGCGGAGGCACAAAGAGACACGCCGACTCGCGATTCCGCTTGATGCACTGATCACACGCCGGGTCTTGTTGGCGATTGCATTTGAGCTTACCCTGGCGGCAGGGCGTGCAGGAGAGTTGAGAGCGCGCTCGTTTCTGCTTCGCATGCGAATGCGACTGTGAGTGGTGGGAGGGGAGAGGTTGCGCCGAGTCGCCGTTTGTGAGCGTCGTCGATGCAGAGAGGCTCGGGCTTGTGTCGTCGGTCGCCATGGCTGTAGGTGCAGCGATTCAGGGCGTGGCTGGCTGTGTGCTGGCGGAAGAAGGCAGCAGCTGAGGTCGTTGATCTGGACGCTGATGGGATGCGATACGATAAAGTTACGCTAGCGTTAGTAAGCGAATGCGGCATGACGCGAGCAACTTGAATTCACACCGAGCGAGCCAGGGTCCAGCGAATCAGGCTTGGGAAGAGCAGCCTGGCAGACCGTTCGCTTTATCTGCGCTCTGCATCCTACACGTACGGAAGCATCGGGTACGTTGTGTTTTAAGAGACCTACCTATACAATCAACGTTCACTTGAGGACGGAGAGCGTCTGATCTGATCATCTGCTTCATCCGGACATACACCGACCGCCATCAACACGAATCGTAGCCACAGCCATGTCTCTCATCCCACCTTTCACCGAAGAAACGGCGCGCCAAAAGGTAAAGAAAGCGCAAGATCTCTGGAATGCCCGGTAAACCCACTTCACCATCACCCAGTAACACCCTCATCTAACCCTATCCCTAGCGACCCCGAAGCCTGCGCCAAAGCCTACACCCCCGACTCCATCTGGCGCAACCGCGACCACTTCTTCACCGGCACCGCCGCAATCAAAGCCTTCCTCGACGAGAAGTGGGCCAAAGAGCACAACTACCGCCTGCGCAAGGAACTCTTCGCCTTCACCGCCGACCGCATCGCCGTGCAGTTTTGGTACGAGTACCAAGATGCGCACGACGGGATGAAGTGGAAGCGATGCTACGGGTTGGAGGACTGGACTTTTGCGCCGGATGGGCGGATGCGGAAGCGCCAGATGAGTGGGAATGATGTGCTGATTGAGGAGGGGGAGAGGTGGTTCCGGGAGGGGGTGGATGTGAATGCTGTGGAGATTGGGGAGGAGCATTGGTAGGGGACCATCGACTGCGTGTGTATGGCTGTTCTCTGGCCTCTCATGCAGGCGGGGTATCATGTATAACGACCAGCAAGAACTTCGCATCTGTGCAGCATCAATTAGCCCTTGTATCGCACGTCACCAGATCTTCAGAACTCACCCGGCACAACGACAATCTCATTCCTCTTCGTCCGCAACCTCAGCAACTTCGCCTCATCCTGCACCCCATTCAACTCCCCAATCATCTCCCCCGCACTCTTGACAAATCCAAAAACAAGCCTCGCAACCTCCTCCGCATTGCGAGTCCCTTTGCGGGATCCCTGACCCTCTGCACCCCCACTCACGTGCTCTCCGTTCGCAATAGGCTCTCCGTTTTCGGCTACAGTCTCTTCGGGAGTCACGAGGCCGGAGGATTTGACAATGGCGCCGGAGTCGCGAGAGAGGATGAGGGTGCTTTGCACGCCTGGGCGCTGCGAGAGGCGGGCGAGGAGGTTTTGCGTTTCTTCGGACGGCGAGGGCTGTTGCATTTTGGTGGTGTTTAGCGCCTGCGCTTCATAGTCGAGGCTCTTCAATTCCTGACGTTGTGTAGGGAAATTGACGAGTGACGAGGTGTGAGATGAGGTTAAGTAAATAGAGATCTTTAAACAACCACAAAGCAAGCCCCACTAAAATTCCTTGCGGCCTGAGGCTTCAATCTGAATATAAAATGCTGCAGTCCGAATTTCCACCACTCCATCAACCACACATCCCGCCACTCAACAACCATGGGCTCCTCCGCGAAAAAGAAGAAGGAAAAGAAAAAAGACTTCCAAAAGACGAAGCTGAAAGTCGGCAAAGCGCGGCCGAAAAACACAAACGCAACCGACACCAGCTTCGCCTCGAAATCCATCGTCTTCAAACAGCAGAACCTCACGGAAAGCGCGCGGGATAGCGCGACGCTCGCGGCGCATAACCTGTCGCTGCTGGGGAGTAAGAATGAGACGCAGCGGAAAGATGCGTTGATTTTCTTTACTTCGCTGTGTGCGGATCACGAGGAGACGATGGCTGTGTCGCCGACTGTGATTGCGGGCAAGGCGATGCCGTTGGTGTTGGATGGGAGTGCGCAGGTGCGGACGCAGCTGTTGAAGCTTTTGCGCGCGCTTTCTACTAGGGGTGATCTTGGGGCTGTGGTGGATCAGTTGCTGCTGTATGCGAGGGCGGGCATGGCGCATTTGTCGAGCGAGATTCGGCTGTCGTCTCTCGATGTCTTGAACTGGATGCTCGAGGGCGAGAATGCTTTGGCCGTGGTATCGAGTGCGGGCGGGTGGATCAAGACGCTGCGAACTTTCCAGAATCTGCTCTCGTGGCATGGAGAGGTCCTGACTGGCAATGCGGGCGGCAAGTGGTCGACCAGCAAATCCACCTCGAACCTCGGAAGCAGCAAACTCCTCGTCCACCAACTCACTACTCTCTCTCGATTTCTGCACGTCGGCCTCGTACGCCCGTCACTACAAGAAGAAGCAGAAGCAGCCGCCCAGCGCGCTGCCGCCCTCTTTCCCCTCTGGCATACGGACGCCCATCTGCTCCCTACCAAGAGCAATCCCTTCGGCTACTTGAATCTCTTCGGTGCGGTGAGAGATGTGGAGAGCGAGGTGTACGAGGATGCGGAGCAGCGCGCGGAGATATTTGTGGAGCTGGGCGTTTACGCTGCTTGTGTGCGCGGGGCGAAGGAGGCGAGGAAGGAGGCGGGCGAGGTGGGCAGGGCGGCGGCTTTGGTTGAGAAGGCGCTGAAGCTTGTTGATGGTGGGTGAAATGGAGGAAATGCGCCCTGAACTCGACAGTCCTGGATGAGATGTTCACATGCTCCTCAGACGGCAGGTGAACATGATGACACACATCGGCCGCCCCTTCCTCTTGAACGATATGACCGATCGTGGCTGCCCCAGTACTGGACGAGGGAGATCGCTTGGTCTGCATGAGCACATGACTACGACCACCTGACCTCCACAATCAACAATCTCCCCTATCAACTCGTCACGGAACTCGACTGGGCCGCAGAGAGATGACCATCACTTCCCGTCTTCCCGTCTCTCCGTGTCGCATACATTCGACACCATACGCTATCAACACTGAGAAGCAAAAACCTCGGTATGCAATGACATATGGCTCTGCAGAAGGGCCGATGGATCTGTTGACATGTGCATGTCGCAGCAGACTCACCTGAACATCACGGTCAGGTGTTCATGTGAGATCAGTCGCATACCTCACCTGCGACATCACACCCCTCAACAACACCCGACATGCTCAACCCCCATTCAGGCGAGCTCCTGGGAAAATTGTGCGTTGTTCACACCCACTCTGCGATTCTCATCGAGTTCAGCACAGTGCATCAACATCAATTCCTCCCCTTCCACTTCACCCATCCAAACACTCAACCCGACACACCGAACAGTGAAATGCAAACATGGCAGTAGAAAAGCTGATCCTGAAAAGCATCCTCTACGGCATCGACAAGATCCCCGACAAGTGGTTCGATCGAGTGCCCGGCGGCTACTACCGAGCAAAAGACGGCAAAATCATTGCGAAGAAAGATGCACCTGGTGAAGCAAAGCAGCAAAAGCGTCGTGGGCAGACGGATTACATCTCCAGCCGACCTTTGAGGGAAGAGGATGCGCACGACGATGGGTATCGCTCGGATCGGGGCCGGCATCGCTATCGTCGTCGGAGCTCGCATAATGGCGGCGATGACGAGGATGATTGTGATGATGAGGATGATTACTATCATCGCCGTGATGACAGGCATGCTCGGTCGAAGTCCCAGAGAGCAAGGAGAGGTGAAGAAGATGATCGGTACGGGTACGATGACGGATATCGATATCCACCCCGTCGCTCTGAGTACGAAGACCGAAATGAGCGTCGGCCTGAGCGTGAGCGAGAACGCCCTCGAAGACGACCAGACTACGAGCATCGCCGGAAATCGCACCCCGGAATCCTCTCCAGCCAGATCCCCCTTGAGCCACCGCCGATTGGAATCCCACTGCATCGGCACACAGGCATGGCGCCAACCTACGTGCCGTACGCCCACATCTACAATCAAGCGGGCCAGCAGTTTCCGCAACAGCACTTCACCCCTGACTTGTCTTTCATGAGCCGTCGACATCCCAGCGATCCAAAGTATGCAGCGCCATTCCCCAACCCATTCGAGCAGCACCGTTCGTCCGCACAATCAGCATCTCCAACCGCGGGAACCGCCCATCGAGATCCAAAGCCAACTCTACACCCGCCTTCACACCAATCCTCTCGTTCATCAACCCACCGCCGCCCATCCTCAACAACAGCCCTCGCAGACGGCGACCCCGGAACTCCCTCCGGCACAAACAACCTCTCCGGCCCACCCGGGCGTCACATTCACCACTCCCCCCGCCCTTCCGCGCAAGCTACGTCTTCCACTTTGGGGGTGACGGATGGTGTTCCTGCGGGGACGATTTTGCGGCCTGAGTCTGCTCGTTTGGGAGGGAGGTCCGATGCTCAGAGCCGAAGTTTGCGGAATGAGGGTGGGCGTCTGGCGAGTGGTGGGTCGTACAGAGATTCTGGAAAGCATCAGGCGGCGGAGTACGGGGATATCACGGGTTTGGGCGAAGCCTCTTCGAGAGGGCGGCAAGGGAAGCGTGAGCGGGAGAGGTACTATGCTGATCGCAATGGGGCCTAGACGGGAGCCCAAAGGTCGCACAAGATAGGTTTTCCGGCCTGCGTGCAGCCGCGGATGTTGCGTATCTCACTAGCAGACCTAGCCCAGACAACATCTACCGTTCCATCAAACAAGCCAACCGCACCTAATGCCCACTCCCCGGCTTCGCTCCCAACCCCATCCCCCTCTCCACCCACGCCTTCCCAACTGCTTCAACACTCATCTTCACCTCCCTCTCCACAATTCCAACAACCCTTTCCAGCCTCCCATCCCCCCCATCACCACCACCAGCGTCTAGATCAATGTACTTTCCAAAAACACAAAGATTCCGCGTGCTCGGAATGCGCAACACCTCCCTCTGCGTCTCGAACCCGACTTCCACTGCCAGGCTCTCGACGTACGATACCAAGCTGGCGTAGGCGGAGAGCATTTTCTTTTGCGCCACTGTGCGGCGGAGCGAGCCGGTTTCTGCTGCGCCGGGTCTTTTTGTTTTGTTATGATCGTTGATGGTGGGAGGGATGTCGTTGATATGAGCTGCGCCGGGTATGGCTTGTGGGGATTCTGCCTCGGGGTCTTGTTGAGGTAGACGAGGCACTCCGTTCGTCTGGCCTGATTTCACGCTCGGCGGGGCGCGGAAGCGCGCGCCGGTGAAGTCGTGGCTGCAGCATGGGATTGCGACGAAGGAGGAGGAAGTCAGGTATGCTAACAGTGGAGTCCAGGCGGTGAGTTCGTCGGCGTGGTTGGAGATGATGAATGTTCCTTTGGGAAAAAGGCCGTTGGTCCATTGGAGGGTGGTTTCGTCGGGTTGTTCGTACGGCTGCTGCTGCTGTTGTTGTTGAGGGAAGATGGAGGGGACGAGGAGGCGCTTTTGCAATTTAGCTTGAACCTCTGCTGGGAAGGTGGACCAAGTTTTTCGCGCGCGCGCATCGAAGCCCCAGCCTGGGTACTTCTCCGACAGCAGGATGTAGACTAGCACGCCGTTGCCGCAGCCAATGTCGACGAAGCCTGGGAAGGGAGGTTTGCCTGCAAGATCTTCCCCCACTCCATTCACTCCCTCCCTCTCATCCGCCGGAGACGCTCCCCCACCAGGAAAAGAGTACAGATCCCCCCACAACTCCACCAGAAACGCTGCAATCGCAATGTCCTCAAACACATGCTTACTCGCGTCCGTCACCTCAACCCACTTCTCCGCCAGGAAGCGGCCGTACTTCGCTTTCAGCCTGGCGTACGTATCCTGGTATCGCTTTTGCGGGATGAGCTGGTCGAGGTGCACGCGCTTTTCGTAGCCTGAGAGCTTGCCTTGGCCGTGTTTGTGCAGCGTTTGGAGGAGGCGGAGGGCGGTGCGGGTGAGTTTTGAGGGGAGCGGGGTGCTGGGGGCTGGGGAGGGGAAGAGGGAGTAGGAGATGGAGATTGTGGCTGTTTTGGTGAGGAGATGCTGGGTGTGGGTGAAGGCTAGGCGGGAGACGGCGGGGTGGTAGAAGGGCATTTCCTCTGCGGTTCGGACGTGCGGCGTGTAGATTACCAGCGTTTCTTCTTGGTCTGAATCGGACTTGAATAGAAAGTGGCATGTTTGCAGCAGATGGTCATCCAATTGCGGATTCCGGGGGATGAGTTTCCGCACGATGGTCCGAGTGGTTTCGTAGCCTGGCAGGGAGAATGCAAGAGGCCGATACTCTTCTCTGAAATGATGCTGGTTCTGCGGGCGCGCCTCGTCGGAGTCGTAGTAGATGTCTGCGCGGAAGAGATGGCTGGAGGTGATGTTGGGGTTTTTGATTAGATTGTACATGATTTCGGTGAAGATGGAGGGGTTGAAGGTGCAGGGCGAGTCGAGGATGGTGAGCCAGAGTTCGTCCGGGAGGTGGATGTCTGGTTGGGAGGAGGTGCGGTCTTGGGGGGTGAAGCGGGGGGGTGTGGATGGTGGGTCGGCATCATGGCTGTCTCCGTTATCTGACTGAGGTGATGGGATGGTCATTGTGGTGGTAGATGGGCGACCTCCTGCTGTGGTTGATGTATTCACTGTGCAGATATCGCGGATGCAGTGATGAGCGGTGCTGAATTATTCGGCGACTGCGTAGCCGTGGGCATGCCAAGGTCGACTGGCCGATGGCTGTCTCTTCGACGGTGAGGCTGTCTGAACTCGTTCGTGAGTGTATCTAGATCTATGCTCTTCGTCATGTGTCGTCTGCCATTCCATGGCATCACCCATATGTCTTGCGCTGGTGCGCAGCTGCTGTGTCGAGCTGCACATGTCCCATCTCGCTGTAGGTTCTGGCCAATCTCTACCCTCTTTCCGTGCGTCTCTTGCTGGACCAGTTGCTATCCTGAGGCTGTTGGACCGCCCAATACTCGAGACCTCCATCATCGTCGTCCTCCTCCGTCCATCTCTCAAGGTATTTGTCCGTAGTAATGCGCCATCTCCAGCCCCGCCCTCTTGAACCCACACTTGACATAGAAGCCCTCATTCGCCTCGGAGCAGTCCAGAATCGTCTTGTAGCATCCCACCTTCTCCGCGACATAATCCAGAGCCTGAATAATCCTCAACCCAAGCTTCTTGCCCTGCTGATCCTTTGCAACAGCAATATCCTCAATATGCCCAACAAGTCCAAGGTGATGTATGCTACACGCGTTAACCAGAACTCTCGCTCTTCCATAGCCAGGTCAGGAGTATGCAACTTACAACTTCCGCTCCACAATCAACGCCCCCGTTCCCACAATCTTATCCTCCCCATCCAAAATGACCAGAATATGATACCCGCCCGCCCCGGCCTTCATCTGGTCGAAGCGCTCGTCAAACTCCTCTTGCGTCACCTCGCCCACGACCGTCAGCACGCGCAGCACGTCGAGGAAGCCGTGGTGGAAGTCGGAGCGTTGCAGCGGCCGCATGGTGTAGCCTTCGGGCAGGGCGGCGAGGACGGTGGGGGAGATTAGGGTGGGGGAGAAGAGGGTGTCGGGGGTGGGGGTGCCGTTTGTTGTTGGTGGGGGGGCTGGAGGGGTGGTGATTGTTGCCATTTTGACAGGCGGTGAAGTGGTGCGGTGTGGTGAGGTGAGGTTAGGAGTTGCGGTCTCGTCCCTTGCTTGAGGTCCAATGGCCGGCAGACATGCAGGAGCTGAGGGCGTGGGCACAGCAGGCAAGGTACTGGCTGGTGGCAGAGTCGTGGGAGGATGTAGATGCTGCTGGTCTTCTATGCACTCTCCTGAAGGCGGTGCACGATTGCCGAGTGCGTCATTGTTGGTGTGTTTGGAAACGTCGATGTTGCTTGGTGTTTCTGCTGTTTTGGGCAGCTGGACCCTGACGGCTAAGAATAGACTGGCACGTGCGGCTTGCAGCGCAGCCTCGCTGGTGTCGAGACATCAATTCATCTCTTCCAATCAATTTATATACACTCGAATACAGGTGCAAGCAAAGAAGGAATACGTGGAGTCACGAACAGTCCAAGTCGCCTTGGTTCATCGGCATGGCTAATCGATGCCGCGAGTCTCTTCTTATCCCGGGCGATGGAAAAAGCCATCCACCACTTTCAACACGTGATGCTCCACGCCTGTCCGCAGACTCTTCGTCTCCCGAACATGCGCCGCGACTGCATCACTGGAGTCATGAACCTCTCGGAACCGACTGCTCTCATACACTTCCAACGTTGACAGCGTGTCCTCCTCTCCCTCCTGCCGGAGCAGGCCATACGACAGCGTGCCCGGTTCTTGCTTCTGTGCGGCCCCGATGACAGCCTGCCAAGAAGGCAATGCTTTAGTCGCGCCGCCTGGCGTGTAGACCGAATCCGCAATCACCACATGCGGCTCCTTGTGCCCCGACACGGCCGGGTTGGTGAAGCGATACTCCACCCCCACGTACTGCGGTCGGCGCACCGAAGGCGGCTCGTCTCCAAACGGCGAAGCGGCGCCGAGCCACGCGATGATGTCTTTGACGCATGCCGCCGCGTTGTGCGCATCAAAGGCCGCTTGGTCGGCGTATCTGCGACACCATTCGAATCAACATTCTGCCTTGCTGCCGTGGAAGGTCGTTGCACTCACTCTTCAATCATCCAGATCGTCTTGCCGTCGTCTTCGCTCGCCGGCACGCAGACGGCGTATTTATTCACCCTTGGCTCGTTGTCGAGCACGTGCTTCATGATGGCCGCCGTCTTCTCCTGGGCCTGTTGGGCACCTCATTGTAAGCGTGGTGTCGACCACATGCTCGGGTTCGGGGATGGAACTCGCCTGCACGCGCAACTCCTTGCTGCGAAATGGGAGACGCGCAATCACTAGTACTTCCGGGGAACTCATTGTGAAGCACTACTAAAGCCTGGGAAGATGCACTGGAATCATTGCACACGCGCAATCTGGACCGGCCGTGAAGCAACTTTAAGTACTTGTTTGTCTCACCGAATGCCACGGATCACGACCTCCGCCATGCCCTACCTCGCAAGACGACTTGCGGGAGGCTGAAAATGGAGATTTGCGGAGGGAAGAAGCGTGGCACCGACATTCGACATCGAAAATGTGCGTATGCTCACGAATGCCACGGGATCTCACGTCAGCCATGCTCTACCTCGTAAGACGCCTTGCGGGAGGCTGAAAATGGAAATTGCGGAGAACGGCTGGCTGAGGACGTCAACTTTGCACAATGCTGAACTCATCACATGCTTATAATCGACATGGCTACTGGACCGGCAGTGCGGCTGATAATCCAGTCGGTTGCATAGACTACCGCCTTGAGTCTATCTCCCCGCGGCGGGGGCACGCGAACCAAGTTGAAGTGGATGTAACAATGGCAAGGCTGAATACGAGGGCTGGAAAAGCCGGCTGCGCTCACCCACCCACGCTGCCCCCATCTCCTCGAGTCGAAGATGACCTCAATACATCAAACAATAGAATGAACACACGAATCCATACCTTCGTTGATCGCCCGCGGGAAGTGGAGGATATCAACCTCACGCGACAATGCGTGTACTCCGGTGCGTCGCGTCAATTACACCGTGGAAGCCCCACGGGCGACCCCACCGTAAAGACGGGGGATCGACAGCCTTGCGCCTATCATGGAGGCTGGTAAAATTGAAGATGGGATTTACTTTCGCTAGGGGTGTTGTGCATGTCGCTTGCGAGTATGCACGAGAGTGAGATGGATTGAAGAAAGGGGCCGGGGGCAAGGTTTGGAACCTACGAAGCGAATGACGACCGCGATATCGTACACAGCGAAAGACGAGCCTCCTCACGTTCCGGCGCGGACGAAGGGATCTAGTTCTGTGCCGGCGTGCCCACAGTCTGCGTATCATTCTTCATCCACACCACGTCGCTCATGCGCGACGCCGGCGTGACGCTCAAATCCGGGATCCGCAACCCCTCAATCGTCCCCTGCACGACAGTCTGCTGCGGCGCGAGCAACTTGAACGAGCCCGTCCAATTCGCGGGCCAAGCGGGCAACAGCCGGATTTGCGTGTTGTTGTGCGCGAAGGTCTGCAGCAGTTGCTCTTGCAGGCCGATGGCGCCGCTGCCGTAGTGGTTGATGTCTGGGGACCAGTCGTAGTTGGGGCCTTTGAAGGCGGAGAAGCGGTAGGTCGTCGAGTCGGCGAAGCGGTAGATGGAGTTTGTCGTTACGAGGTCGGTGAGGCCCATGCGTGCCCACCAGATTTGATCTTGGCGCCAGCCGCTGCGGAATGTAAGGTCAGTCTCATCGGCAGCTGGTGTGGATGGAGAAACGTACTAGGGTGGATCTCCGTGGAAAGAGCCGGATTCGCTGTCGTTGAAGTATGCGTCGTATGCGTAGGACAGATTGGTCGGCTGTCCGAGGCCGTACTCGCTCCACGCTATCCACTGCATCAGCTTCGACTCAACTCGGAACACGGAGGGGAAGACTCACGGAAAACAGGGTACAGTGCCACCGGCTCGGTATTTTCAGTGAAAGAGTAGTTCAGCGCGGGGGCAATGCAAGTAAGCGCTGTAGCGAGTCGTTAGCAACAAAGTCGTTCAGGTCTCCTCTCTATTCAGCACAGGCTTACATGTAGCACCCGGGCACGGAATCAGTGGCGTCTGAGGAACTCGCGCCCGATATTCCTCATAGTACGTCGTGTTCCCCTTGACGTAGTCGACGCCACTATCCAAGAGATCGGTAATGGTGCGCACAAGTCCCGACACGGTAGACGCAGGGTTGTACGCGAGTTTGTACGTCTCCGCCCCCGAAGCGGGATAGATGATCAGAGTGCCATTCTTGAGCAAGCCGTTGCGCTTCTGGTAGAATTCGTCGTACCATGCGAGCTGGTACTCGACGAACGGCAGCCACTCCTGGATCGAGTCGCCGTACACGGACTTGTACAGGATGATCTGGTCGGCGAATTCGTTGGCCGTGTCTTGCAGCCAGGAGAGGTAGTTGTTGAAGTCGATGCCGTCGGGGTAGAGGTATGTCCGCGTCTCGTTGGCGCTGTATTCTTGCGCGTCGTACTCGTAGACATTTGGGAGGCCTGGGATCAAGCTGTCAGCACTACACTTTGGGATGTCTTAGATTCTGTCAAGTCTTACCAGTATTGTCAATCTGCTCTGAGGTGAGGCCGACATCAAGACCAAAATACAGCTGGCCGAGCTTCCGGTTGTTGGGCGAGATATTGTTGTAGTAATTGAACTCCTCTGAAGAGAAAAGTCCGCAAGTACATGCAGTAAGCAGTGCAGGTAGCAGTCATACGGTGCATAATGTCCCAATCGCCCGTCTTCAAGAGCGGCCAGTACAAAAGCCGCTGGTTCTGCGCCGTAAACGTGCCGCCAGACCACTTGCGATAGTCAGGCGTGAACGGCGTGTCCGACTCAACGAGCACCGGATCGAAAGTGAAGAGCCCGCCGTTGAAGCGCGTGGGGAACTTCCCGTACGCATTGCATCCCATCATGTACCGGAAGTACTGGTAGTTCTTGCCGACTTGGAAACCGGGGTCCGAACCACCTGCATCCGGGTTGATGATGATCCACGAGCGGTCCCAGAAGGCGTTCCACCAGGCGATGGTCGTGGAGTGGACTTGCTTGGACAATGCTTTGGTCTGAGAGACTAGTGTTGATGTCCAAGAGCTCACGTCTGTAGTCTGGTTCTGCCCGACGCCGACGTACAAGTCAAAAGACTTGGACATTGTTTTGGAGACGAGGTTGAACGAGGTGTAGTTGGTGCTGATGTATTTGCCCTTGCTGGTCTTGCCTTTCTTCAGCTGCGGCGAATACATGAACACTCCGAACTGTGATTATCGTCAGTGAGAGATTGTTGGGTCAAAGCAATCGCACCTACTGTATTGTTTGTCATGGGGTTGAAGTATGACTCCGGGTCCTGCAAACCCTGCTGCTTGATCTGGAAATCGAATAGAGGAGCCTCCGTATTGTGGTGGTAGCTCAACACGCCTCCATCGGCATATTCAACGGTATCGGGATACTGATATGGAAGGGGAATATATTCCGGGACATAAATCACACCCCAGGACGTTTGCTCTGCACCGGAGGGTTAGACAAGAGATCACCATCGCTCAGGTAGAAACTTACGCTGCTCGTTCTCAACCATCGTATATCCGCTGGTCCGCCACGACTCCAGACCAGCAGTCAAGTTCATCGGAGTATCACCTTCGAGCTCCACATGGATGCCAGAGGTGCTCACATCGACCCACATGGTGAGGGTGGTGTTGTAATCGCCCTGGAACGTGATGTATCCATCGATGATATTCAATCGCTGCTCGAACATGCTGGAATTGACGGCGAATGGATTGGGATCCATGGAGAGCCTGACTCGTCCGAGCTTGAGCAGCGAATTGTTCTCGTCGAACGCAGCATTCTGCGCAATGTAGAAATAAATGTATCCTGTAATGCGTGGTCAGATCTAGTTCTGTGAGATGATGGACCGCACGACTCACCAGCCTCGGCCCAGACGTTAAGGCCAACACCTCCTCCGCCCAACGGCATGGAGCCGGCGGAGTTCTTGCTCTGCGTCTTCCACACATTGTCGTACCCAATAGGAAGCTGAATGGCGCTGGCGACAGACGCAAACGCCGCCGCAGCGGTGGAGGCAAGAAGGGTCCACTTCATCCTATGCTCCGCTTGTTCTGCTTTGCTGCAAGAGCCTGCTCGAAAAGCAAGAGGCCATGCGAGCCGACACGCACGATATATATATGGTTGTAGCACAGGAGACGATCATCATACCCCACACGACGCTAGAGAAGGCTACGTCGAAGTAGAAGAGGGGGCCGCCGGCGGGATGTGGACATCGGCCCCGGTAGTAGGGAGCCTTGCTGATCATCGTGCCCGAAAGCGCATTTAGGCGATCCGCATGGCTAAATCGGTTGCGTGGAAGCGCTGGCCCTGCAATTTCCGTGCAGAGTGTAAGAGGTACGAGGAGAGCGAATGCAGTCGTCACATTCGCGGGGTAGGCCATTCCCGCCCTATGCAAGCGGATCAGCGGCTCCTAAGGTTCGCGCGGGAGAGTCGGCAGCCTCGCGCATGGGAGATCTGCGCCAATTACGGCGAGATGGAAGTCGCACGCACGTGGCAATTCATCCGAATAATTCATCCGTATGGATGGAACGGTAGAGATGACGTTGAACGCTCGTCTGGCATGAAACATTGGTGAGATCCCATAGCGAGACTGGATGTGCTGAACGACTGCATTCTTTCATCATAGCGACAGATAATTCTTTAACATGTATCAAAGACGGACTTTCTCAGATTTGTCAAGCAAGAAGCGTGATGATGTATACCAAGGGAAGACCAAGTAGTGGTATTGCGTAGATCTCGAGCCCATCGGGACAATCAAGCCTTGAAGGGAGATCGCTTCTTGACTGGGTCGCCGCTGGACAGGCCAGAGGGCTTGTCAGTCTGCGAGTCCCACTCGCCAAGGTGCGTGATGCCACTGCCACTGCCGGCGGCGGTGTCCTCTCCCTCCACGGTGTAGCTGGCGTTGGACGGCTGGGCGTAGATGGAGATGTCGCACGACTGCCCCAACACCGGGGTAAAGACCTGGTTGAAGAGAGCAGCGGCAGCTTGTGCGCCGGCCTCGACTTCGTTGGGCGCCGCGCTGGCGAGAAGGGTCAAGCCCAAGCAGCCGATTTCCTCGGGAGCTTCGGGGATGGAAATGTTGAGGGGGACGAACTCGCCGTTCACGTTTGCACCGAGGGGCTGCGGCTTGAACAGGAACAGGTCGCCGATGTCGCCGAGCAGGTCGACCAAGGAGTACGAGTCCGGAATGCGGTACCAGTTGTATGGGAAGGTCTCGTTCAGGTAGAAGGAGGCGATGTTGCTGAAGTTGGGGAAGTCGGGGTCAGTGCCGTTGGGCAGCGGGCGGGTCAGAAGAGCGCGCGTCGCGTAGACGACGGCGAAGTTGCCGCCAAAGGCGAACTCAGGGTTGACGGCGCGGGAGTATTCCACGGCATCGGCCGCGTTGTTCTTCATGGCTTCGATGTTGAAGAGGCCGTCTCCGTAGTTGTTGGCGTCTTCAACGGCCTTGTTCCAGCGGGAGATGTTGAAGGAGTGGTCGTCGCCAAAGTAACGGTCCCATCGCGAGATGGATGCATCAATCTCAAAGAGACCGTGTCGGTCAATGCCAAGCGGGGGAACGCCGGGGATGGTCTGGGGAACAAGGGGGCTTGCACCGCCGATGGTGTACTTTCCGGTAGGGATATCACCACCGGCAAGCAGGCCGAGGGCGCTAAGGAAGATGGCAAGGTCGTAAGAGATGGAGTAGGCAATCTGGACGGCATTGGCAGCCTCGGCAAACGAGGTAACACCATTGCGGGACAAGTAGCCGTGGTTGGCCAGAGTGTTGAGTGTCGGGCAGACGCCACGGATGTCGGTGGGGCCGGGAGGCTGGTACTGATGCGCAGGGTCGTTGCCCGGGATAGCCTGCTCGCCAGATGCCTGGGGTGTGGGGACATCAAGGCCGGCGAGGATGCCAGTCAAGGGGGCGAGAAGGCCTCCCAGCAAGCCACGCTCTTCCACATGGCGCTTGTGGGCCTTGGGTGTGAGGATAGGGGCATCGATGTCGACATCTTCATCGCGTTCCTCCAGGCGGGCGCGGAGATGTTCACGAGCAAGATCGTGTTGCGCCGAGCGAGGGACCAGAGACCCAAGGCCGAGAGGAGAGAGGATCTCGGACAGAGGGTCGAGAAGAGGGGGGTCGTTGGCCTGACGTTTAGGGGTCAGGGAACCAAGGCCGATTGGAGACAGGAGGCCCGAGACAGGGTCGAGGACTGGCGGGTCGTTGGCCTGACGTTTTTGACCGGGTGCGCCAATGCCCTCACCACGCTTGTACTTCTCTTCGAGGTCGGGAGGGGCCAGTCCACGTTTCGACAGCTCTGCCATGGGGCAAAGAGCCGCGGCCGTGGAGATGTAGGCGCACAGGAGTGCGCTGGAGATATGCATCGTGAAAGATGGATGAGTAAGAAGCGAAGTAATAAATGCGGTAAACCAACTCAGTGACTTTGAGAGGAAAGCAGCAGGAATCGAGAGGAATATCGACGTCTTCTTATACATTCATCGCGCTTGGAAGTCGATCTGACCTGTCTTTCCGCATCGCTATGGGCACGCAATTGTTTGTGAAGCACGCCATTGCATATGTCAGAAGCATGTGAGTAGATCGACGATGGGTGTCAAATTGAAGGATATCTCAAATAGAATGACCCCAGTGTGATGTCGCGCAAGGCTCTGACGTTGTGCTCAAGTGAACACGCCATCGCAGGCGGAGCCTCACCGTTGGGTAGGAGATGAGCGATCATCGACGACATGCCGAAAGGAGAAGACTCGGCACGTAGACATACCAATAGGACGCGGTGGAAAGCTCCGAGTGCGTGCTCGCGGCTACACGGCTGGGTAAGCAGCAATGCACGAGACGCATGTGGCTCAAGCGAGGAGGTGAAGTCAGAAAATACCTGCCGAGTCGGGGCAAGTGGCCGGTGCGGCGAAACTCTAATACCGAGCCCGTTGGGTGGAGGCTGTCAAGAACATCATGTCTCCATCCAAGCACGCAATATCAGTGCAATGGGAAAGCGCTGAATTGTCACCCGCGCCCCGTTGCAGCCACACTGCGGATGCGCGGAAACCTCACTTTCAACGGGGATCTGCATTGTCGCAGCCGCATCTTCCGCCCTCACCTCCTGGACTATTGAAAGCCTGATGCCGTGTATCCTAGCCTCTTCGCATCTAGTTATGAGGATCTGCAACACGCCATTTCGCGCCAGTCAGGCCATCAGCACGGGACAGTCGTTGAGAAACGCTCCGGCAGTTGGGATTAAGACTTTGACATACGAGCAGAGCGATAAGAGAGCGCTAGGCCGACGAGCTTGTGTGTTTGGCAGCCGTTGCATCCCAATGGATCAGTGTAATGACGAGAGCGCAACATACACAATGATGCATTCGACTGGACTCCTCTAAAGTTTTGGGCGTTAGAGTTATTTCCGGGTGCATGAATTGGATCTCCATGCATTGTCGGTCGGTTCGAGCCGTCCGAACGAGCTGCAAAGGCGATCAGTACATAAAATGATCGACGGAGTTAAATGGCAGCCTAGGGGCCGGGCCGGGTGCAGCGCAGTGGCGTGCTAGGACAACCAGCCCCATATACTGTGGCGACCATGAGGTTGTTGGCTGCACATTCGGAGGCTATCCCAAGCCTCCTACGCAGCACGCCCGAACATTGACGTCAACTTCCGTCCATTCCACAGGCGGCGGACGTCACAACTCTCCGCATAACATCGCGAGCGTAGCACCAAAGCAAAGCATCCAGTGCCCCATACCGATAGCGCATCCATTTTCGGGCAGTGCATCAAGCCCATACAACACCCGACCTGACTGCCGTCCCGTCACGCCATTTTCTTCAGGGGCTCGCATGGCTATTGCGGCCTTGATCCATGCGTTGTTCGGACCACGGCTGCAGGTCCGGTAGTTAGTTTCCAGCTCTCGTTGCCAAGCCGTTCGGACGGAACCTCGAGCGAGAGTGCTTTGTCTTCGGCATCAGCTGCATCCGTCGGTCAGGGGCAAGGCCTCCAATGACATTGGCATTGCTCTAGAGAGCAATGACATAGATGACGTTTCGCCGCGATGGACCAAGATTCGATGACCATTGCACAATCTGGGACTCGAAGCGTGGAAAGTGTGGAAACGCACGACTAGGCTTCGAACTCGGCGAGGGTGCCTACCGAGGGGGCAGCTCCAGTCCATGCCGGTGGTCCAAGTTCGTCAGGCTCGTAAACGGTGACGGAATGTATGGGCATGTTCGATCGAGCGATGCGGCTTCTCCCAGCTGCTAGCTGTGCACTCCATCGGAAAGATTCCGGGCAAAGTGCGAGTAGCGGCAGTATAACACACAGCTGATACAGGCGCTGGGCTGATTTGTGAAAGCGAGAATGCTAGATTTGCCGCTGGCATTCGTAGAAGGATACCGAGGCGTGCAGTGATGCTGCAGGCCACGACAGTCACCCCCAAGGTTGTTGCGATCCGTGCTCACGACGAGGATCGCATGAATGCAACAATTTCATCCACTTTCTGCACTCCATCGCCAGTCCGTATGGTACGGGCTTTGTCGCGCAGAGATGACATTGGTATAAAGAATTGATGATGACGGCTGGGCAACGCCATGGCGCCGACGTGGCGTTGCCTCGGCATAGTCGCAGCAGGACAGCACCCACGTAACGACGTGAGACGGCTCTAAAGCTAAACGCGACCTCACATCCCATACCGCTGTATCTCTCGGCCATCTATAATTCCTCATGTCATCTTCCGCCATAGAAGCAATCGACCGCGAGCACCCTGCTCTCTCGCGCCTGCCGCCTTGGACGCTGGAGAAGCTCTCGCCCAATGCCGTCCGCCTGATCAAACAAGTCCACCACTTCGTTGAGACGGAATGCATTCCTGCGGAACCCATCTTCAAAGCGCAGCTGGAGCAGTATGGGCGATGGAAGTCGCCGCCGCTCATTCGCGAGTTACGTGGCAAGGCCAAAGAAGCCGGCCTGTTTAATCTCTTCCTTCCGAAGACGTTCGGCCATCTGAGCCCTGGCCTCACGAATCTGGAGTATAGCTGTTGCGCCGAGATTATGGGCCGCTGCTACTGGGCGGCGCAGACGATGAATTGCCACGCGCCGGATACGGGTAACATGGAGCTGCTCGCCAAGTACTGCAATGAGGAGCAAAAGGAGAAATGGCTTATGCCTCTCCTGCGCGGCGAGACGTACAGTGCGTATAGTATGACCGAGCCCGACAAAGCGACCTCCGATGCTACCAACATTGCTTGCCGTATCACGCGCGATCCCAACGATCCCGAGACGCTGATTATCAACGGAAGAAAGTTGTACGGCAACTGCAAATGGAATGACGAATTGGGATTCTACATCCTCATGGCTTGCAGCGATCCAGACAACCCCGATCCGTGGAAGCGACACAGCACAGTCATCGTACCAAAAGACACCCCAGGCTTCCGCATGATTCGCAATCTGACTATCATGGGGTACGATCACGCCCCCGACGGACACGGAGAATACATCTACGAAAACGCCCGGGTTCCGGCGAAGAACATCATCCTGGGAGAAGGACGGGCGTTTGAGATTGCGCAGGGCAGGCTGGGTCCCGGGCGAATCCATCATTGTATGCGATTGATTGGTCAGACGGAGAGAGCGTACGAGTTGGCTTTGATCCGCGCCACCGATCCCCGAAAGAAGCCAAGAGGCAAGTTGATCGGCGAGTTCGACTCCAACATTGAAAGGCTGGCCAATATGCGTCTACGTCTCGATAGTCTGCGGCTGGTTGTGCTGAACGCTGCGCATACCATGGATGTGTACGGGAACAAAGCTGGGCGGTACGCCATTGCACAAAGCAAAATTCTCGTTCCGGAGATGGCGGTGAAGATTATCGATGAATGTATGCAGATGTATGGCGGCCAGGGTCTGACGCAGCATAGCCCGCTGCCGGAGATGTGGACGTATGCGAGGTTTGTGAGAATCGCTGATGGACCGGATGCTGCACATCGACATCAAGTGGGTCGTGATGAGCTCAAGACGGCATCTCGCATCAAGAAGCGGCATGATGAGTACCGCAAGACATGTGACGAGTTGTGTCAAAAGTGGAAGGTGAAGATTGATACTCGTGATAGTCATCTATGATGTGCGTAAGATGCACGTTGTCCTTCGTCTCCAACGCAGTTCATACGGGAGCGTCTTCGTGGAAGCTGGCAAGTCTCCGCACTGGAAGGAGTCAAAACTGCTTCGCGGCTCTCTCTCGGTTTCCAAGTCGAGAAAATATGCTGCTCATCTCGGATACTCCGCGATGATGGACTGCAATGTCGTGGCCTCTCGGCTGGTGATGACCAAGTAGTCCATCCGTCAGGATGGGGAATTTTTATCCCTCACGCGGCTATCATTGGCGCGCGTAAGGCTGGGAGAACTCGCCTAGCCCGCAGACATTGGGTCTGCATTGTCGTTTCCAGCATTTCCACGCCTCGTGCTCGCCTTGGACTGCCTAGTCGCCCCAACAGGCCATCGCTTCTGTGCACCGCAGACTCCACACTGCTTCACCGCGACATTGGCGTGCGCTTTCTTCTGGTCTTTGGATCGGTTCTCCACGAATGCTTGACAACTGCTTCCATCGACGAGAACAGTAGAGCATCGCTTGCAGATTGAATGCTTCGTATTATGGTCCAGACGGATTTGAGATTTTCGGGCGACTTGTTTGAGGTGAGAAGATAGTCTTGATCCGGAGGAGAGGGGCGATGATCTAGCAACCGGAAGGGTGTTGGAGTCTGAGCTTGGTCCAATGAGATTTGGCTTTCCTCGTCCATTGATGTTCCTGACAGTAATAGAGGAGGTTCGAGCGCTATCTTGTATTCCTGGATTTCCATCTTCGAGCGTCGCCGCAGAATCGTTTTCACGATTCGCAGTCACGCCAGTTTGACTCGTCAGATATGTGGCGACTTGGTGTAAGTAAGCCACTCGGGCGCGGAGATGCTTGTTTGGAGCACCATCTCCAGCCTTTCCCTTTGCCATGCTGTACTTCTTCGATCATCACATCGTGATGCCCGTCGTGAATGTCGGACTGGTGTGACTGAGGCATCAATTGACGAAGTGCAAGTGAAGCGAGGCTTGGCGGCGCTAGCTGCGGCCGCTCCCGCGTTCCTGCCTCCCGTCGCGCCGCATTCGTAAAAACTTCCAACGTTGCCTCTCACTGTTTCCCCTCTTACATCCATCCCACCACCGTCGCACCACCCGCTACTGGATCGCCGCATCGTGTCACTGCTGACACAACCATTAGTCTCTCTGCGACCTTCACTCGGGGCTCTTTGCATTCCCCCTTCCCCTCCTCAACCTTTCTCCCGCGCCTCACTTCGAGAGCCGCGCTCCTCCAAACAAACACCCTTCACCACCTCCACACACTTCATTCACCATGTCCGCCGAAGAAGACCTGATCGATTACTCCGATGAGGAGATCCAGCCCACCGAAGTCGCCACTGGAGCCGCGGGCGCGACCAACGGTGAGAAGAAGGGGGACTTGACGGTCTCGGGCGCAGCCGCCGAGAAGGCCAAAGGATCCTACGTCGGCATCCACTCGACTTCCTTCCGCGACTTCCTGCTCAAGCCAGAGCTGCTCAAGGCCATCACTGACTGTGGCTTCGAACATCCATCCGAGGGTTAGTCACTTGCTTATATCCACCCCTCCTGCTTCTTCAAGCTTTCGAAACCGAGCGAGGAGCGTCTGTCATCCATACATCCGGCAAAATCATCGTAAGATTATATACACGGGGCGCGCACTCCTCACCGAAGCCGAGTCCCAATCGCACGGAGGCCATCACAAGGGTGGGAGAGGGAGATTTGAACGATGGGCCCGATGACGTGTGGTGGAGGGTTTTGTGACGATTTGAGACAACTTGGCTGCTCAGTCGGATACCACATCCCTATCAGGCTTGCATGCTCTCCGCATGACGAGAGTCTCGGAGGCTGCAAATGGCCGAGTAAGCCCACGGGCTTACGATCGGGCTTGGATGCCTGTTGCACACCTTTGCTTGAATCGGCAATACGTATCAAACGCAGACGGACACGACATGGAACAGACAGACGCTCCTCGCTGGACGAATCGCTTTTGCTTCAAACGCTTTGGACGATCGAACTCTAACATTCCCTTTCACCACAGTCCAGCAAGTCTGCATCCCACAGGCCATCCTCGGTACCGATGTGCTCTGCCAAGCCAAGTCCGGTCTCGGAAAGACTGCAGTGTTCGTGCTCAGCACCCTCCAGCAAATCGAGCCTGTCGCCGGTGAAGCGTCGGTGCTGGTCATGTGCCACACCCGCGAGCTCGCCTTCCAGATCCGCAACGAATACCAGCGCTTCAGCAAGTACATGCCCGAAGTCAAGACCGCGGTTTTCTACGGTGGAACCGACATCAAGGAGAACGAGAAGCTGCTGAAGGACAAGGAGACCCACCCTCACGTCATCGTCGCCACCCCCGGTCGTCTCAACGCGCTTGTCAGGGAGAAGAAGCTTCGTCTGGGCAGCGTGCAGAGGTTTGTGCTGGATGAGTGTGACAAGATGCTCGACCAGATTGGTGAGTTGGAGATCCAGCGTCCTTCATCCACCTATCCTTTACTGACCTCTGAAAGACATGCGCCGTGATGTACAAGAGATCTTCCGCGCCACCCCGACGCAGAAGCAAGTCATGATGTTCTCCGCCACCCTGTCCCCAGCCACTCGCCCGGTGTGCAAGAAGTTCATGCAGAGCCCCCTCGAAATTTACGTCGATGATGAGGCGAAGCTCACCCTCCACGGTCTGCAACAGTACTACATCAAGCTGGGCGAGGCGGAGAAGAATCGTCGTCTCAATGACCTTCTCGATCAGCTGGAGTACAATCAAGCCATCGTCTTCGTCAAGAGCACCGTTCGCGCTACGGAGTTGGACCGCCTGCTCCGCGAGTGTGGCTTCCCGAGTGTTGCTGTTCATTCTGGTGTTAGCCAAGAGGAGCGGTATGCTGACTGTCAATTTCCTACAAGACAAATACAGTACTGACAATCTTCCACAGCATCAAGCGTTACACCGACTTCAAGAACTTCGCACACCGCATCTGCGTGAGCACGGATGTCTTTGGCCGTGGTATTGATATCGAGCGCATCAACGTCGCCGTCAACTACGACATGCCCGACTCTCCCGCCAACCCCGGCGCGAGCGACAAAGACAGCCTCGCCCAAGCCGCCGACACGTACTTGCATCGTGTGGGACGTGCCGGCCGCTTCGGAACCAAGGGTGTTGCGGTCAGCTTTGTGAGCACGGAGAGGGACGAGCAGGTGCTCAAGGCGATCGAGGCCAGGTTTGAGAAGAAGATTGAGGAATACCCGGAGGGAGGCCAGGGAGTGAACGTGAAGGGCGACTAAGCTCGCACGCATTGGAATCTGCTGAGACTGTCATGCGATGCCGTGAGCGTCGGGACGAATGAGACACGGAAACCGGCGTCTTCCATAGGTTGTACTTCTAGGCATGGAAAAGCTCCATTAAAGTGCTTGTCATGCGAGTCTACTCTTCCCTATCTTTATCAGTGTTCCAGAATGTGAATGTGCAGCCCAGCCCGGCCAGTCCAGGCTCGCGCAGGCTTAGTCATCCACTCCGCGCTTCTCGACGCGAAGCGACGTGAACTTGAAACTTTTGAAACACTGCATTCACTTGACAATTGCAGGCGCGACCGTCTGCTTGTTCTTTTAGCATCCTTCTTTTGTTTTTGTGTGTGATTCTCCCTCCTTCATAATCACCTCAGGCATCACGAGTCTTGTCCAGCCAGCAACACTCTCATCTCTCTGGCCCAAACATCCTCCTCCTCCCCACGATGCAGTCTGGATTTCGTGGTTTCCGCGGCATGCAGGTCCACGCGGTGCCCGACGCAGACCGTGCAATCGATGCCTCCGGCCGCAAACTGCCATGGGGCTACGACGTGGACCCTTCAGCAGCAGCAAGCCCGGAGAGGCGTGAACCCGTCGAGAAGGGGCCCTTTGGACGAAGTCAACGGCGGAGCAGAAGCGGCTTGACAAGAAGTCGGAGTAGGACGGCCGAGCCTAAGAGGGAGGAGGACCGCATTCGCACGGAGCAGTTGGCGGCGGAGGATGCGGTGTTTGGGGGGCTGCGGAAGGTGGTCAAAGAGGAGGAAAGCACTGCGAGGGGAGGACGCGAGGCGCTGACGGAGGTGGATGGGAATGCTGTTTCGCAGCCGCGAACACCGGCCCGTGAGACTGGCGAGCAAGAGGCTACAGAGGTGCTGCTCTTTGGCTTCGCCGACGAGTCCCAGTGGGCAGCTATCGATTTCTACGAACGCGTCTCTGGCGGCAGTATTCTTGAGGACTACGAGCGCCACGCACCGACTCAGCGAAATGACATCTCCCGCAGCCTGAGTCGGACCGGTCGTCGACACAGTCTAAGCAGAGCAGCGCTCAAGAAGAAGAATACCTTTGCTGGTGGTAGCCATTGGATTAAAGTCACCTTCAACTCGAGGGAGGCGGCGGAGTTGGCTTGTGCACGCTCACCTCATATCATCAAGGGGAGCTTGGTGTACGCAGAGCCATGGCAGGGCCGCGGACCGGGAAGAGACGAACACATCCCCGCCACTCAAGCGGGGGCACAGATTTCTGATCCGACCCTCCCATCAACCTTCTCGAGAAACACGGCCTTCCTAGAAGGCAGTCCAAACGGCTCATCAACAACAGCCACCTCCGCCACCGCAATGTCAACCCCAGGCCCCTCATCACGACGCAACGCAGACGCAGTCCCCGACCGCCAACTCCCCTTCCAACCATCCTCAGCCCTCGCCGCAACACCCGCACCCCAAACACCAGCCACCGCCCGCCGCAGAGGACGGATAGAAGGCGCCACCCCCGCCCGCGTCCGCCCGGCAGATCTCGCCCTCCTCCCCAAACCCCCGAAGCAAAGCTGGAGCGTGTGGCTCGGTACGAGCGAGGTCATCGGCTCCTCCGTCCCTAAGAGGGAAGACGGGAGTTTCGATTTCGACCGCGCGAGTCTGTACTGGAGGATCTTCTACTTGCTGGATGGGTGGTTGGGAACGGACTTTTGCGGGATGAAGATTGATTGAGGTCGTCACACCTATGCGATGACGGTGGATGATGAGCTTTGCCGGCTATAATGAGTACCGTACAAGAACAACGGCCATACCGCGTCAATAAGTAATCTCACTTCTTGTCCAAATAGCTCTCCCCCTGCGCCTGCCGCCCTTCCCTCGCAAGCGAGTACTGCTCCGCCGCACTCTGCAGCCTCGCAGCCTCGCTTCCCTTCTCAAGGTGCATCTCCTGCCCACTAATCTCCTCTTTCGCCCGCCTCTCCAACGCTCCTTGCAGTTGATCCCGATCTACCGTCCCTCCGCTCGCGTCGACTTCGCGGGATACGTTCCTCTGCCCTGCGTTGAGGTCTGTCGCTCCGGAGGATTGGGCTATGGCTGATGCTAGTTTGCCTTGGGCTCCTGAGACTTCGTTAGGGTACCGCTGTTCTTGGTATGTTCGGGAAGGGAGGGAAGAGTGTTTACCTGCGAGATGCTCTTTCGTTGCCTGCGACTCGTTGGACGCTTTGGCGTTGATTTCGTCTTGCTTTAGATCTGCGAGCAGCGCTTTGTCTGTGGCGTTGGACATTGTGGCGTGCGTGGGATTGGGAAGGAGGATTGATGACGTCGATGTGATAAACAGCACTAGACTCGACGAAAAGGATTACTTGCAAGTTGTAGAATGGAATGTGAACGCTCATGTAGTAAATGTGCATGTGGGTGTAGGGCACCCAAATAATCAAAACGTCATGCATGCTACGGATTTGGGTTTGACAGCCGCGCTGTGCCTGTCGATCAATTTCCTGCGGTCGTTTGGTCTTGGGCTTTGATTGTAACCTCCAATAAACGTCAGTCGTTTGTATGTGTGCGTTTGCTACTCACGCAGCCGTGTAGCTGAATGTTCGGTCATACGTCTAACTCGCTCGGTAGGTTGAGGAAATTGTCTAGGAAGGTCCATGAGTTGTCGTCCAGTGTCGATGAAGGTAAGCTGTTCCAGTCCATCCACTGGTCCTCGGGCATAGATAGGGCTGTAACCTGCGTCGAAGATGTCTGCCATGCTCCGTTAGTGGTTGTAGAAGTCGCGTTTCCCTCTCCGTTGGGTCCATTTCGGTGCACGCCGTTGCTCCGCGCGGAACTAACACCTCCAAAGCGCTGAGATATCGCGGACAAGAGCTTCATTACTCGACCAGCATAGCGACTCTGACGATTCGCCGACGCACACACCTCCTGCGCCCGCTGGAGAAGCACCAAACTCGCTCCAACATCCAAAGACACCGGCGTAGAGGCTTGATTACCCACACACAGCACCATAGACAGCACGGTAATACCAGTCAAGAAATCATGCCAAACGAGCGTGCTGTTGAACCACCTCTCGCTCTCAAATTGCCCGCCGGGGAGCAAGTCCCTGTAAATATCGACGAAATAGCTGACGAGATTGGTAGCCGCTTCGTAGCAAATGCGAAGACTCGGTTCGTGGCCTGTGACGGCGAGTTTGCGATGTAGCACGCAGCGGCAGATTTCGTAGCAGAAGAGGACGCAGAGGCGGGTTGTGATTAGGGAGGGCGAGTCGACGATTGCTTCGCTTATTGGGCGGGGTTGGAGGATGGCGGGGAGGGATTGGTAGGCTGCGTTGAGCTCAGTGTCTAGTCCGTTGTTGGTTTTGGATGATGGCGGTTCTGTGCTGAGGCTTTGTCGGAGTATTTTCTCGAAGACGGCCATGAGGGCTGGTTGTGGGTCAGTTTTTCAAGTAGTAGGACGGAAGAACGATGGGGATGAGTAGAGAGAGACTCACTATGCTTCGCTGTATAGAACATGATACGTGTGACTTGATGGCCAGGTCTAGCCGGCGGTAAGGTCTCGGTATCCTCATCAAAGTCGCCATCTTCCAGGTGATGCGGTATCCACGTGTCCCAAGTCGGGTACTGGACATTGCTAGGAAGGCCAAGGGCGAAAGAGATCAGAAGATCGAGCTGTAAGCACAGCGACCACGTCCGTCGCCGCATCTCTCGCTCAAAAACTGACATCCCGAGCGATGACGCTTCTCGATGGTAACCGCTGCTCGTTGCCAAGCGAACGACTGATGCCATGATCATGCCGTGGTCGGGAGTGATATCCAGCGAATTGAAAGCCCGAGCCTGTGCGAATAGGACGAGGGCTTCGACTGCGTATGGTTGCGGATTGAAGTACTGTCCGATGGCTAGACACTGGGCAGATGCAACACTGTAGACGTTTGGATTCGTCACAGTGTCTGTACGTGGTCGCAGTGCAGTATTGGCGACGTGACAGACGGAGAAGAGCATCGAAGTCCACAGCGGCGGACTACTTCCAGGATCTTTCCAGAAACGTTGATATCTTTTTTTAAAGTGGCCAGCATGGACAACAGGCGCGACAATCGAGCTCGCTCGAAAGTATGCACCGACCAGCGCATCAACTTCCTGTCGTGGAGGGAGGTAGACTTCCAGAAGTTGAGCATAGGACAAAGGCACTGCTGCGCCAAACAGATATTCCGTGCCGTCTTCTCCAGTTGTATCAGATGCAGTGGGAAAGGGATTAGATTCCGGGCCGGCGATAACATTCCGCAACTCGTCGATATCTTCGAGCATAGCCGACCAGTGCGTCGGACCGCTGTACGTGAGACCACCCGATGGCAGCACTGAAGTCTGCATCGTGGAGTCCAAAGAGTCATCAGATGGCTGCTGCGACGGCGTCTGTGATGGCGGCCCATCATTACTGCCCGTGCTCTGAGAAGCAGCGAACTGCTGCACCAGCTCCTCGAGATGCTGCAGCTTCGCCTCCGCCTGCTTGCGTCGCTCCCGCTCACTGGCAGAGCCGCGAGCGAATCGCTCATACGTACACGACGCTGCATCGCCTCGCCGCACGCAGCTGCCGCAGGGGACATTGCGGTCGCATTTCTGCTTTCGATTGCGGCATTCGGTACAGGTGAGCTGCTCGCGCGTTCGAGTGATGGGGCGACGGGACGGCGTTGTCATTGTGGGAATTGCCAGACATTCATTTTCGTATGGCAGCACTTTGGCTTCGCTCTTCGATCAACGGGGTGATGTGAAAGGAGAAGGAACGGGTGAGTGGACGCAAGAGCTGAGAGGGCTTACGCTTCCCAGATAGGAAATCAAGCGGGGCCATACAAGGATATCATCAGATGCTATCGAGAGAAGACTACAGTTGCAGCTTCATCGCAAAGAATCGCCAGTGTTTGGAACGGGCAGAAGGAGAGCTATTCACGTTTCAAGAGCAGCATTACCGGGTGAAGACCATCATGTGTGCTGCATAATGAGAGTCCGACAAGTCTTTCCTCCATCCCAAAGACACTTCTACAGTCGCCCAGCGATGTCAAATAGGACAATTATCTATCGAGGTGTTGCCGAGGCCCATGGAGCTGCGGAGGTTATTGCTTCGCAGTAGCCATTGATACGGCCACGTCCTGATTGCCCTGCAACTGACTGCGCCAGGCTTGCCCGCTTTGAGGATATGCATCGAAGACAACGCGGGCTGCGACCTCGTGTCTGGCCAATGGCGATGCCCTGGATAGATGCAGCTGGGATCCCGCAAAGAAGCTATACTCAAGGAGTAGTCAGTATCCAGCAAAAGACTCAAGGGTGCAGTCAGTGATGTCCATGTTTAATCGTCCATGTTTACCCCGGGTATTCGCCATGATTCGGCAAAGGGCAGCGGATGTAAGAGATGGGATGGGTTCACACTCACTACCGCGATGCGAAGAAAATGATTATGAACGACACCCTATGAAGCCTGCCATATGTAGCACCTGTCATATCCACTAGTAACCAACTTCTCAACCCTCGACCACCCTCCACACTCGTCCAGTAACATCAAGTCAAGGTGGAAGAGCCCCAAAACGAGGACGATGTCTGTCCGAGGGAATTCGACCATTGTATTTCAGGTGGTTATTTCAGCCTCGCCCACGACAACCGAGTTCACCTCCCCGCAATAGCCATTTCCAACGGTGACTATCGCGCCATTACCATTAGAGAATATGTCGCCGGCGGGTTCGCATTCGACTGTCACTGGGTTGGCGGTCTGGTTGGTGCAGACGGCGTTGGTCAGACCCAGCGTAATCACGAGGCACACTGCTCCAGATGGGCTGTAGGGATCGGAGGAAAAGCCCCACGCTATCGTGCCGTGCGGGTCTGTTACAGCATAGACGCAACAGTCGTATGCGGTGGCAATGACGGTCGACTCGTCAATCCCAACTAGACTACTGTCACCGGCAAAGCCGTCGAAGTAACACGGCGCACCAGCCACAGGGGCCTGATTGGCGATGTTGTTTGATGCGCAAGCGGCGTACGCGGTAGAGGTGTATGAGGTTGTCACGTGCGTCTTGGTGACAGTAGTCTAGGAAGGGAAGGTTAGAGCATGCCATGATGCTAGGGTCGCGCAACGAACCGTTGGGAGATGCTTCGAGGTCTTGACGACGGTCGAAGTGGTAGTCTGGGTGACGGTGGAGCAACGCGGCGACGGCTCCCACGACACACATTCACAAGCAGTGGCGTATCTGCCTCCGAAGGGCCCAGACTGGTGGGCTCTGCCTTTGGCGTGATGTTTGTGTTTGGCGTGGTGATCGCGCTTCGCCACGGGACTTACGGCCACGGTTGTGACGGCAGTAGTGGGTGTGGGTGTGGGGCCGTCGTTGGCACCAGGTACCGTGTCGTCGACAGGACTGAAATACGCAGGGGCCGTCACAGTCGACACGGTCTCCAGAGTGGACGTGGTGATCGACGTAGAGGTGACTGTGGACCTGGTTCGTTGCAGGAACGTTGTCAGCGTGGTTTAGAGTGGATGGCACGCGTCACGTACTTGGCCGACGAGGTTACTGTGTGGGTGATGGTGGCAGTAACTGTGCACGGCGTGTACGACGTCCTTGTCGTTGTTGGAACTCCGTGAGCCGGTGGGTAGTTGCCGTATCCGGTGTAGCAGCGCGAAGGACCCGGTGCTCCATCCTGTGCTGATGCCACTGCTGCCAGAGAGGCAAGCTGGGCCGCAAAGGCAATGTAAAGTCGCATGTTGGATGGATGAGCTCGGAGAGGTGCGTAGGGAGCGAGGGAGAATGGAGCATCACGCTTTCACCCGGGGCGACATTGGCGATTTATTAAGGGACGGACGCGTAAACACGAGATCAGCCAAAGCGCCACCAGGTGGTCTAGTTGCACCCCCATCATGCAGCTGAATATCGATTTCCCTGAAGTCTTGCAGGCGGAGTCGATTCCAGCCTATGACAGTTCTCACATTTCTACTCCGCGGAGGTGGCTGTTGACTTCGACCGATCCAGGAAACACTAATCTCCTCACCCCCCTATTCCGCGCAAACGTGCCGCCGATCCGCTCGGTAGTGGTCTTCCAGGCCGCATGGCGCCTGCATTGCCCTCGTATTCGGCTCTCGAGCTGGTTTGGGGATATACATTGACGCCCGCACGTTGTGTGACCGCGGACTGGCCAGTGCGTGCCATTGCTGTGTAGGTGCAGCTTGTATTCAGCAAGAAGTCTCAAACGCAGGTATAGTCAGTGTCCAGCAAGAAACCCAAGGGCTGTAGTCAGTGTCCGGCAGAAGAGCCAAGCGGTGCAGTCTTCATTGCCTCCATCTTCATTACCCCGGGTATTGGCCATGATTCGGCAAAAGACACCTCGTGTACGGTGATGATGTACCTCCCCCGCCGTAACCCCTCACATCGCCAACAAGGGTCCGCACTGCACTTCTGCACGCCTCCGCCACAGAAACTCAGTTGCAGCACCTTTCTCAATCATGCAACTCTCACCCGCAGTGGACGCCTCATCAACCATGGAACTAGTTGGCGATTTCCCCATCAAAGATAAAGTCGTGGCCGTGACCGGAGGTGGCTCCGGTGAGTTGGGGCAGCCGTCCACCCCGCATTGTTGGTTGATGCGAGCTAACGTCGAGAGTATAGGCATATGTGCGGCTTTCGTAAAACGCTGCGCGGATCTAGGCGCCAAAGGCGTCGTTAATGGCGACCTCCGCATGACGCCCGATGCGGAGAAATTGTTGAAAGATTCGCCCAATGTCGTCTTTCAGAAGACCGATGCCACGAATTGGGCCGACTTGCAGAATCTCATCACCGTGGCGAAGGAGAAGTTTGGATCGACTCCGGATATTTGTTGGTCACCGCATTCATGAAATCGTGGCGTTGGCGTACTGATCGTTCTCACTACATTAGATGTTGCTGGTGCGGGAATTTTCGAGCCACCCAAAGTCTCGTCGTTCTGGCATGATCCGGAACAGGACAACCGCTACCGCACCGTCGAAATCAACCTCAATCACCCGCTGAAGTTCACTCGAATGGCCATGCGGGCGCTGGTATCCGAAGACAGGAAAGGCGTGGTCCTGCCTATTGCTTCCGTCGGCGGCATCGCAGGAACATATCATTGCCCGCTTTACATCGCCACCAAGCACGGCATCATCGGCTTCGTCAAATCAATGAAACTTGCCGAGAAGTACGAAGGCGTCAAGATCGTCACCGTTTGCCCTGGTGCGGTCGACTCGGGCTTGTGGGATAAGGACAAGCGTGAACAGGTCAACTTCTCCGCCATGGAATCGTTGAAGCCCGACGATATTGCCAGGGTCATGATCGATCTCGTGCAGGAGGGCAAGTACGTTGGCGGTACTTGTATGGAGGTTATGCCTCGGGATGGTCCCAAGACGAGAGGTATGATCACTGTGATCACTTGCGTGTATGACACGCCTGCTGACTATCGCAGTCATTCCTGAATGGAACATCGATCCGCCCAAGGGTGGCTCGACCAGCTTGGTCGATGGAACGAATGAGATTCCGCCTGCTTTCCGCGAGGCTAAGCGTGTCATGGATGCCGAGAGAGGGACGGCCAAGAAGTGAGGAGTGCGTGACTTGCTGGTAGCACCAGAATGTAGTCTTCACATCAAATGAGTACTCAATATGTCTGAGCAAGGACGCGCTCTCATTGGTCAATGGGCGAGTGGCAAGGCTTCGGCCTGCTCGGCTCGTGCCGCTGCAGGGTGGTTGTGCGCTAGCGGCGTTCCTGGACGGCGTCACTTCTGACGAGACACTTTTGGAGATTCTATTCGTGTGCGAGCGAGTGTTCATTTGAGCCGCCTGGTCCTTGCAATCTATACATACACCGATCCTCGTCGAGTCCTTGCTCTCTCCTCACCAACATCGGTGCAGCCGGTATCAAATCCGGCCGGAAACGTGGGAAAACCATCTTACCAACACACCCAACATGATTGCACGGTAACACGAGACTCGGCGGCCGCACAGCCCGCTCTCGCAATACCCCATTAGCCTCCTCACACGTCGAAACGCACATCCTAATATCCACTCCCAATGGCATCCTCCAAAGAGCCCAGCCTCGCGCAAATCGCGCAGTCCCTCTTCCGCGACGCCCTCAGCAACATCATCCACGACACCATCCTGCACCGCCACCGCGACCACAAACTCACCCTCATGTCCCTCGACCCCACCACGCGCCTCCCCATCTGCGACACCTGCAAACTCCCCCGCCTCCTCGACCCCCCCATCGCGGCTTCCGTGCGAGGCGCCTCCTCCCCTCCCCCCGCCAGCACAGTCTACTGCGACAGGAAGCCGTGGTGCCGGCGAACAGGCTTCGACATCTACGGCAACCCCTTCCCAAAAGCAGACGTCACAGGCCGCCCGCCGACGAAGAAAGAGCGCGAAGCAGCCAAAAGCGGGGGCAAACACGACGGCACGCCCGCCAGCGCAGACGACGGCACGGCGCCCCCCTCCCCTACAGCAGGAGGCGACGACGCCGACCGCAAACTCGAAAAGGGCGAGAAGAAGGCGTCCAAGATTGACGAAAAGCTGCGCAAGGGCGAGTACATTCCGTGGCAGACGTGTCCGAATTGCAAGCGCAGTCTGCTCATCACGCGCTTCGCCAAGCATTTGGAGCAGTGCATGGGGCTGTCCGGGCGGGCGGCGAGCAGGAACGCCCTGGCGAAGATGAATGGGCACACGCCGGCGGGAAGCCGGGGTGGGACGCCTGTGCCCGAGGGCAGTCAGGGCGGAGGCGAGGACGACGAGGAAGACGAGAAGATCAAGGGCCCTGGAGGGGTGAGGAAGAAGGTGTTGAAGAAGGGGTTGAGCATCAAGTTGAAGAAGGAGCTTCCTTCCAAGACGGGCTCGATGAATGGGAAACCTGCACGCCCTACTTCGTCTGCGGGAGGGGAGAATGGGAGTAAGCGGGATTTGGATGAGATGCTGCTTGGTGAGGATGGGGATGACGATGATACGGTGCATGTGAAGAAGCGGCAGAAGATGCAGCGGGTTGCTAGTACTGCTTCTTTTGCGAGTGTGAGCGAGGCGATGGAGATGGAGCGGTCGGAGAGCCAGGATGGGAGTTTTGTGGGCGAGGAGCTGAGTTTTGGGGATGATTGATAGCCATCTACGTTGGTTTGCATTTGAGGCATCGGGTAAGGGAGTATTCAGATTGCACAATAGCCTACGTCGGAACGTGATTATGGGCATGTGGTCATTGGTCATTTCGTGCTCTATGCAAGTATATTGCGCTGCTTCCCTCTTTACATCCCCAAGTGAGCTTGTTGAGGAGCGCCCGAATGCACCGCCAGGATTCTCCGATGTCGTCTTCCTTCTCTCATACCGGAGCCAAGTCTTGATCTTCTGCTTTCACTGCCCGCATCGAATGCCGTATGAGCAGGGTTGGATCATATAAGACACTGCGCCCGACTCCTTTTGTCCGACGCTTAACCTCCACGTCACGTGCACTCATCTACGCAGTTCCCATCTGACCCGGACACGTATTGGGCGCGGTAGTCCAGCCCGTCAACCGATTCGCAATATCAGAAACATAGCATGCCGTCGCGCCCGCCGCCTCGGACAAATTGCCGCTCTTGGGGATGTAGCCGCTGTTGTACACGCGCGCCGCTTCGTACGGATTGCCGTATTGGTTTAGCAGCTGCACCAGGCCTTCGCCTTTGTCGGTGCCCTGCACGCCGTCTTGGATCATGGCGAGGATGGAGAGTTGACTGTGGCTGGGGTTGTAGGAGTGGCCGTCGTGGGATTGCATCAGGCCGGGATTTCGGACGCCGGAGTAGGAGGTTGTTTGCCCGGCATGTACGCAACCTCCGGACTGTTTGGCAATGTGCATTAGCGAGGGTATATGAGGGAGGGTCCAGAGGAAATGTCTCTTACCTCTTGGAGGATGACGGCCAGGATGAGGCGGTGATCGACCAGGGATACGATTGAGCGATTGCGGATCGATTGTGCAATGTACTCGATCTCTTTTGCTCTGCACGTGGGGTGTCAGGTACCTGCTGGAACAATGTGAAAGAAGAATCACTCACGTGTCATCCGCGCCATCGCCCAAAGTGGTGCAGGAGCCGGAGATGGTATTGAGGTTATTACTCCACATCTTCTGGTAAGACATCCATTTGGTGTTGTTTGGGAAGTTCGAGGCATCGCCGGAGTAGTAGGTATAAGTGTCCTCTCCCGCGCCAATACCATCATGCGCAACCGGAGATCCGTGGACGGCACCTCCACTAGCAAAGGCATTTACGTTGGTAACGTTGGCGAAGGATTGAGTGTAGCTGAAAGGCGAGCCTTCAGTCTCAGCGACGGAAACACCGACGACGACGGCAATGATGACCACCACGGCGGCAATGACGGAGCTCGCAACGATAATCTTCTTCCGCCCCGTCCACCGATCCCACGTCTTGCTCTTCCATCCTTTCACGCCGCGCGGAGGGTATTTGGAGTCGAGGTAGGTGGCGGGTACGGCGGGTTGGTAGGCGGTGTCGCGATTTAACGGGGCAGCATCGTCTTCGTGGGCGTGGACGGGTTCGTAGGAGCCCAGGTTGACGGCTGACTCTGACGCATCGAGGTTTGGGTTCCAGTCGGGGTCGTCGAGCCGGTCGTAGCCTCCGCTGTAATAGCGTGACATTTGGAAGGGATGTTGTTGAGTCTAGGAAATGAGGGCAAGGAAGAGACGGTGAGAATGGATGGAGGAGATGAGCATGCCTTGGAGTAGATGTGATGATTTCGTGGAGGCCTTCACGAAACCCTGAATCTGTGGAGCAGTGAAGACGTCGTTCTAAATTTGAAACGCCCCTAAGCCCCTTCCCAACGCCTCGGCGGCGCGTGGCGCTTGGGTTATGTAAGCAGAATCCGTCGCGAAACAACCACGACTAGCACATCGACACTTCGGCCATCATCACTCCATCGATTTGCAGCCAGTCGCATGTATTGAGCAGACAATGAAAGCCTTGCTTAACTGCAAGTCTATTACGACAAGTCTTCAGAGTCTACGCCCTGCGAAGATGTGCAGGAGTCCCCACCGGCGCTGTATGCTGGCCACCATTTACCCACGAAGCCGCACGCTCACAGTCGAAAGTAGTACTCATGTAGCTATCCTCTGTGGAATGACCTCCGAGCGCTTCTTCCACGCCCGGCATTCCTCACTTCTCTCCCATCTCACATATCGCAGCCTTACCCGATTCCCGCGGCAATCCACCTCCGGTTTTAATGTGGGGTAACACGTTCGTGCCGACGTCGGTTGACATCACCGCATTATTTCCCTTTCCTCCTGTTCTAAACAATCTTTCCTTGCGTAAATCTCTCGAATCATCAAAAGCAATCAAAATCAGACCACCATGGGCTACGAAACTAAGCTGTTCATCAACAACGAGGTTCGTTGGCAGGCTCATAACGGTCGGAGAGCAACGTTTTGACACACCCCACAGTACGTCGACTCCAAATCCGGCGAGAAGTTATCGGTGCGCAGTCCCCAAGATGGCTCGCTCGTCGTAGAAGGTGTGCAAGCCGCCGGCGAGGCAGACGTCGATGCCGCCGTTGCTGCCGCCGAGGCCGCCTTCAAGGTATGGCGCAAGTGGAGCGGCCCGCAGCGTGCAAAGGTCATGATGAAGATGGCCGACCTCATTGAGCGCGACTCCGAGAAGCTGGCCAAGCTCGAGACGGCGTGCATGGGGCAGCCCATTACCGTCGCTTTGAAGTTCATGGCTAGCGTTCCTCCGTATTGGAGGTATTATGCTGGCTTTTGCGATAAGCTGCAGGGCGAGTCGTTCCCTGAGGATGGCGATTCTCGTGTCAAGATTACTCAGTATATGCCTTTTGGCGTTTGGTAAGAAGTCCGTGCAGAGTATCGATTTGAGTCAATGGGCTAACATGGGTGCTCCCCTCAACAGTGCTGGCATTGGTAAGGGTCTTGAACGAATCCATCATCAGCCACAGCGCTGACTTTTGACACAGCTGCCTGGAATGGTACTCACGTCACCGCCTGCAAGAAGATTGCTCCAGCCATCGCGGCGGGCAACACCTTTGTCTTCAAGGCGTCGGAGAAGTCTCCCCTGGGTGCCATTGCGCTGGGCGAACTTGTCAAGGAAGCCGGCTTCCCACCCGGTGTCATCAACGTACGTATTCACCCCTTTCCTCGAATGGCTCCGTTGACACATTCTAGATTGTGTCCGGCGGCGGTACCACCGGCTCCCTTCTTGCGTCTCACATGAAGATTGGCAAGATCAGCTTCACCGGAAGCATTGCGTCTGGCCGCAAAGTCCAGCAAGCCGCCACAAACTCCAACCTGAAGCGTGTGACCCTTGAACGTAAGTCTGCCCTGCATCGGTCTTCCAATGTCATGCTAAATCACTCATCCAGTCGGCGGCAAGTCCCCCGCCATCGTCTTCAACGACGCCAACCTCGACAACGCCCTGGCCATGAACTCGCAAGGCTTCCTTGCCAACACCGGCCAGATCTGCGCCGCATGCAGCCGCACACTGGTGCAGGAGAAGATCGCTCCCGAGTTCATCAAGGGCCTCAAGGAGAAGTTCGAAAACATGTCGAGCGTCATGGGCGACACGTCTGACCCCAAGACCGCTCTTGGCCCCCTAGCCGACCAGGCGCAATTCGACCGCGTCATGGGTTTCCTCGAGAGGGGCAAGAAGGGCGGTGCGCAGGTACTGACCGGTGGTGTGAGGAAGGGAGAAAAGGGCTGCTTCATCGAGCCGACCATCTTCCTCAACCCCGATGCTAGTGCTGAGATCTACACTGATGAGATCTTCGGGCCGGTGCTCAGTATCAAGACGTTCAAGACGGAGGAGGAGGCGATTGAGTTGGCGAATGATACGACGTATGGTCTGGCTGCGTCCATCTACACCACTGACGTTACTCGCGCTATGCGTGTGAGTGCGCTCTTGGAGGCTGGGACTGTAAGTGGCGTCCTTCTCAAGAATGTGGAATCATGTGCTAACGACGACAGGTGACGATTAATGCCCCGTACGGCGGTCTTCTCAACGCTCCGTTCGGCGGAATGAAGATGAGGTCAGTCCTTTGAGATCCATGTGGATTGTACATTGCATGAGAAATGCTGACTTTCTCGCAGTGGTATTGGCCGAGAGTCCGGCAAGTATGGTTTGATGGACTGGCTCCAGGCCAAGGCTGTCGTGTTCAAGTGAGTCCCGCTCATTCTTGCGAGACCACCAAAGCCCGTTTGCTAATTCTTCTTTAGCATGGCCGTCCCCAGCGCGGACTGAGCAGCGTGACCCACGGAGGAAGCTTCTGCAGCCTTGCCAATTACTGCCAAGAATGAGAACAAAAAATCGATTCTGCCCACAAGACCTGCGCCTTACTTGATCTTTCTCTACTTTATCGCTTGATTTCGTGCACCTCCACCAAATATCGCCCATTGACCAGACTTTGCCGATCGTTGCCAGCCTTGTGCATGTCGGCTGCTTGCTGCGACGCGGCGGACAGCCGAGCGCGGGGAAAAGCGTTGCATCACCAACCATGCTTCTTCTGCCGGCCCCCTTACAACGCCCGTTATAATCGTGATCGCCGCCTCACAACAATCACCTAATGTCGTGAGACAGGAAGAGACAATCTACTCTGCCAATACTGCAATTCTCGAAGAATCGCCCAAAATCCTAATTCGTGCCAGCATCGATCATGGGCGATCAGCAGGAGCGCCAGCCATTGCTGAACGATACAGCGAATGGCAACAATGCCAACGGGAAACCGTACCACGTGTCCTTCGAAGATGGCGTCGAAGGGCAGAACCCACTCGAGTGGTCGAAGAAGTACAAGTGGTTCTCCGTCGCTCTCTTATGCGGTTTCGCCGCCATCGTGTACGGTGTTGACTAGTCACGCGATCACCTTACATTCGCTAACTTTCGACACAGAACGTATACCTGCATCGGCATCGTCCCCGTCGCGGACGAAGTCGTCACGGAACTCGCGGGCCATCCAGACCGAGAAGCGACAGTTCTCTTCGTCACCATCTGGGAGTTGGGCGAGGCCACAGGCCCGTTATTCATCGCTCCATTGTCGGAGATATTCGGCCGCTTTGTCGTCTACAATGTCGCGAATTGTCTGTTCATCGCTGGCGTCGCGGTCACTGCTTTGAGTCAGAATCTTGGCCTGCTCATCTTCGCGCGCTTCGCTACGGGGTGTGCGGTGGCGGCGAATGTGCTCAATCCGGCGATTATTGGCGACATCTTTCCTTCCGAGTCGCGGGGTGCTGCTATGTCTGCCGTGATGCTGGCTCCTTTGATTGGAGGCGCATTGGGGTAGGTGAACTAAAGACGGTTCAACGTTTGGCACTAATATATATCGCGTGCAGACCTACCATCTCCGGCTCCCTCGCCGAAGCAACCGGCTGGCGAGAAATCATGTGGCTCTGCGTGGGCATCGCCGGCGTCATCGAAGTCCTCTTCCTCGTCCTCTTCCGCGAAACATACGCCCCAACTCTTCTCCATCGCATTGCGAAGAAGAAACGTCAGGAGACCGGGGATGATTCCTGGACTACTCCGGAGGCGGAAGAAGGCGCGGGATCGACGAGGACTTTGCTCCGCTCCATGACGCGGCCGGCGAGGATTGTGTGGAGTTCGTCGCTGTTGCAGCTCATGTCGCTTTGGGGTGGGCTGGTGTTTTCCTTCTTTTATGTCAATTCGACATCTTTGCCGGATATCTTGAAGGTGGTGTATGGTTTCAGTCCGAGTAAGAGGGGGCTGTCGTATTTGGCTTGGAGTAAGTGGAGGTCTTCGTGTGTGTCTCTCAACCATAGCTGATGGTTCCTAGCACTTGGCTCTTGTATTGGCCTGACAGCCTGTGAGTATCCTCACCCTGAACTCCACGGATAGCAACTGCTAACCCAATGACCCAAGGCAACCGCCTCATGGACCCAATCTACAACCGCCTCACCAAACGCCGCAACGACTTCTACCCCGAAGGCCGCCTCCCCCTCTGCATCTTCGGCGCCTTCCTCCTCCCCCTAGCCGTCGGCCTCTACGGCGGCACAGCCGGAAACCACATGCCCGTCTTCGTCTTCCTCTCCACCGTCACCCTCCTCTGCATCGCGGTCGTCACCTCCATCGTGCCCCTAATGACTTTCATCACCGACGCTTTCGGCCGCTACTCTGCTTCTGCTTTGACGGCTACGCTCATCATTCGGTGTCTGATGGGTGCTTTTTTGCCGTTGACGGTGCCGCCGCTTTCGGAGAAGGTGGGGTATGGGCCTGCGTTTTTGGTGTTGGCTGGTGTTTGTCTTTTGCTGGCGCCGATTCCGCTTTTGGTTATGCGGTATGGGCCTTCGTGGAGGCAGAAGTCGAGTTTTAGTGAGGACTCGTGAGTAAAGGGACGGGTTGTGCAGGTCTGATTGATTATATGTGAGCATGGGAGCTCGAGAGTTCTGATTTCAATTCATGGAGTGACGACTAGCAAGAGCATCAAATATTCAATCGACGAGAACTGTGCACATCATGTCCACATGAATTGACAACGATGCAATGGTCAGGTGATGCTTAGAAGAACGTGGCTTGCGGCCGAGCTGACAGCCTTGCAAGGCTGGAGGTGGTGTTGTACACACCGTCGTTTACATCGGCGCAATCTTCTCCACGCAGATTGAGAGCCGTATTCCGTGCATATGAGGCATTCACTGCGCAATTACCAAGCATGACAGTGGTGCATTAAAAATGCAAGTGCATGTTCGGCCAAAGTGGCCGCAGACACCTAGCTGGCGGCAAAATTGGCCGTCGGTCGCGGCGAGTTTTGTCAAGACGAAACGGTGAGTTACACATATAAAAGGACCTCCTGTCTCTCTGTACATCGTGCTAGACACTTCGCAATCGACATATCATTCTCGTTCTATCTCAACCACGAACCTACAATGTCCACCATCGCCCTCATCACAGGCGCCAACCAAGGAATCGGTCTAGCGACCGCCACACGCCTCGCCAAAGACCACGACTACCATGTAATCATCGGCTCTCGCAACTCCGCAGCCGGCGAAAAAGCCGCAAAAGCAATCGAGGCAGAAGGCGGCAAAGCCTCGAGCATCCAACTGGACCTCACTTCCGATGACTCCATCACGGCAGCGGCCAAAACCATCGAAACGCGCTTCGGCCGCCTCGACATCCTGGTCAATAATGCGGCCATTCTGCTCGATGGGAAAGATCCCAAACTGAGTCTTCGGGATATGCTTACGCGCACTCTGGAGACGAATGTCATTGGTACGGCGTGTGTGACCAAAGCGATGCTGCCGCTGCTTCGCAAATCCGCTTTGCCTCGCGTCGTCTTCGTTTCGTCGCGAATGGGTTCCCTGGGCCTGGCTACGGATCGCAGCACGATGTGGTACGCCATTGATTACAAGACGTACGATGCAAGCAAGGCGGCGTTGAACATGCTTGCGCTGAATTACTCGCGCGAGCTCGAGGGCACTGGGGCAAGAGTGAATGTTGCTTGTCCGGGGTTGATCAAGACGAATCTGACGCAGTACCATAAGTACGGTGGACAGCCCGAGGATGGGGCGCGCAGAATCGTCGAGCTGGCGACGCTGGGGAAGGATGGGCCAACGGAAACGTTTTCGAATTCGGAGGGGTTGATTCCTTGGTGATTCCGCTGAGGAGCATCGAGGCTCATAGCATGGCGGTAGCAATGTTCATCAGTGCTCCCAGACTATCGCTCCTCGCGTTCCAAGCGTCGAGTCGTTGAGCGTGAGATGGATCAGTGCTTCGCTTTTTCGACTCGACCAAGGCTCCCAGTGTGTTTATGGCTGGGCTACTGGTGATGATCTCCTGCTGCCAAGTGTCGTTGTCTCTCGCTTCCCACTGTAGTTTCTGCGATGGAAGCGGCAAATGCCAGGGCGTTCCGATGGTCGGACAGCCGGCGGTTGTCTTCACGGATATCACCTTTGTCATGAGGAGCCATAGACATGAGGTTCTGTTTGAGAGAGTGTCAACTGCACCATTCACGGTAGCGCATTCCACTTTGGACGGAGGCTTGCCTTCGTCGGGACTCGGCAAAGATCCAATCCTCCCATGTCAAGCTGGGCACTTTTTGCTCGTCTTCGCAAAACTTGCCATTGCATAATTCGAGGAAACGGTCGCATACGACCTGATTGATCAGCTATTGTCACGAGCCGTCGGTTGTTCGGTGATGCTTCTTACCGTATGGGAAGTCGCCATTTCCACATTCCACTCGGGCGATTCCATCACACCATCAATGATGCGCATGGTGAGATACACTATATGTGCTTGCATGGCCGCCAAGAGGTCTTCCTTCGACAGCTGAAATGCCTAGAGACAGTGAGCTCGAGTTCATTTCACGTGATAGAGGCATACAAACCTGCTCAACGAAGCGTCTCTGCTCCGCTAGAATCGTGCGCCAGATGAACGGTGTGACGTCGGGCGTACGGAGGGCAAACATCTGCGCGATACGCATGCAGACTGCGAGTGGCTGTGGCAATGTCTGGCGATGCCAGTGCGCGTGGATGAAAGGGGGGAAAGTGGCGCGACGTAGCATTTGTTCGGGGATGGCGCACAGTGCGTCTATGACTAGGTTTGCACTGTGTTTGGCGACTGGGTTGGTTTTGCGGAGGCGGGTGAGGAAACCGGTGTTGGTTGTACTGTTCAGTCGATCGATTGGTGTGTTCGTGATTGCTGCGCGCTGGAGTGGGTTCAGGTCACGAGGGAGATACGACTGGTTGATAAGATTGAGGACGTCGATTTGGTCGTCAGTGGCTCCTTCCCCTTCAATCGCCCTTTGCGTAATCTGTCCCAGATCGCCAAGTCCCATGAGATCATCATTGTCCAAGTCGAAGAGTGTTGGATTCATTCCATCTATTTGGTCGACAAGTGAGAAGTCAAACGTCTCGTGTACGAGACTGTCGGTCAGGACATGATCGTAGGTGCAGTCCAGCTTACGGCTGGCACATCGATCGCACGGCGCCTCGAATGTGCATTTGGTCTTGGCCAGGCGGCAATTTCGACAAGATGTGGATCGACGATGCAGACGGTCTTTGTTACGGCGACAGTAGGACAGATGTCGTTTGTACGATGAGGCTGGTTGCTAGTGATTAGTACGGCATTATAGTGAAGTTACACATCTGCCTAGCACCAACCTGCAGTAAAGGGCTTGGAACAGAATAGACACAGCTGTATTGGAGGGGAGGCTGTCACGTGTGCCATTGTGCATTGGTCGTTATGTTGAGGGATGGCAAGCTGACCGAGGTGAGGTTGGGATGAGTTCTGGGGGGTTGTCGGATTTGTAAGCGCGGCTGCGCTGAAGCGGCCAAATTGGCCGGCGGACACGACACTGACTCGCGACACATGGTCTCCTCATATCTACAGTCTACAGGCTTCTATGCCGTCTCGAATGCCCATGCTCTGTTCTCGTCGTCTTTCACGGGAATGTCCAATTCCTTGAGCACGCCCGTACCCAGATCGTAGATGACTCCGTGTACCGTCAAGCCTCTGCTCTTGATCGCTGCAATCACATCGGGGTTCTGTCGGAGCACTTCGACGCCGTTCATGACATTCAGCTCGGAGAATCGCGTCCATCGCTGCTCCCATTCCAGGGCTTGCAGTTCCGCGGCATGTTTCAGCCTCAGTTGTCTTGACCCGTATTAGCAGAGATAACAACCCCAGCACCGTGTATGGCGCGACGACTCACCGCAATGGCATGAGCCAAGTATCAATCTTGCCGACTTTTGCATTGCCCAGCGACGCCTTGCACCCTCCACACCCCGTATGTCCACACAAGATGATATGCTTGACCTGCAGCGCATTCACCGCATACTCAATCACCGCCGTCGCGGACAAGTCGGTGGCAGTAATGACATTGGCAATGTTGCGGTGCACAAAGCAGGTGCCCGGTTTGGCGCCGAGAATGGTCGTCTCGGGTTGACGGGAGTCGGAGCAGCCTAGCCAGAGGATGGGCGGTGCCTGCCAGGTGGGGAATTTGGACAGCAGGTCACCGTCTGACTCGGCGAAGGACTGTGCCCATTTCTTGTTGCCGTCGAGGAAGGGTGCGATCGCGCTTTGGGAGGCTGTGGGATTGCGAGGTTAGCTGGGGACATCAAGGTCGGTCGACATCATGGTGGAAGGGGAGGGTGCAGCTGCGTACTGGACGACGCCATTGGCTTTACAATCCAGCAGACTCTGGCCAATCGCTTGTTGATGGGGAGGGAGAGAGGGTTCTGTCACCATGCCTGAACCTCTCCATTTTCCCTCTCACCTTCGAGCTATCTCGAGTCGCCGAAGTATACGGGATGACGTGCTCCGCCTTGTCTGGAAGCATCTGCCGGCGCACGGCAGCTAGCGAGATCGCTTGGCCTGCAGGTCCCGCCCCTGACACACCTCGTGGTATTCTAATGATATGCACCCCCCCATCACATCACGAACGCCCTGCTCGCGAAAGGGGAGGTATCGATGAAAAGGGAAGGGGATTCGGAGTGCGCGAGGATGAACTCGCCGTGGTGAGACCTACGCAAGCCACAGCGAAGCCACGGCGCGGCTAGAACGACAGCCGTTGTGAAGCTTCCAAGCAACTTCATTTCCACCACGCGTCGAGACCCCGTCGACCTGCAGCCAGGGGCGATATGGCTTGAGATGTGTAGACGAGGCCTGTGACAGTGGCGAAGGTGTTGTGTTTCTGTCCCCCTTCCGTCGCCTGTCTCTTAATACACTCCTTTCCTTCTGCTCCGTTTCTTTCTTCCCTCTCCTAATCATCATGCACAATGGCCGCCTGGTTGCCCACCCTCCTGGCCCTGCTGGGCTTCGCCATCGCCCGCGCTGAAGCCCAACACGTCTTTGCGCATGTCCTTGTCGGAACCACGGTCGGCTACACCGTCGCCAACTGGCAGAATGACATCCAGCTCGCCGCCAGCTTCGGCATCGAAGCGTTTGCGCTGAACATCGGCACGCCCTTGCAGGGTATCACGGCGACGCAGGTCGCAAATGCCTTTCAGGCTGCTGCGGCGCTCAATACTTCGTTTCAGCTCTTCTTCTCGTTCGACTACCTTGGCGGAACGGCTGGCGCATGGCAGACTAGCGATATTGTCAATCTGCTGCAGAACTATACCACATCGCCTTCGTATTTCCAGGTCAGTATACAGACATGCAGTGCTTCGCTCCCATTCCTAACGCCGTTCACAGTACCAAGGCCGACCCTTCGTATCCACGTTCGAAGGGCCAACAGTCTCCAATGTGAATCAATGGTCGACCATTCGGAGTTCCATCAGCGGAGGCATCTACTTTGTGCCGGATTGGAGCTCCCAGGGGCCGGGGTACAACATGAACCTCTACGATGGCGCGTTCAGCTGGACCATGTGGCCCGATGGCCCGAATCAGATGACCACCGCGCCTGATCAGCAGTGGACGTCGTCTTTGACCCCCGCGAATAAGACGTACATGATGGGTGAGTGTTCGCAGTCTCGCTCCAAAACTTGGGCCTACGACTAACGCATTCCAGGTGTCTCCCCCTGGTTCTACACCGACTTGCCAGCCTACAACAAAGCCTGGGTGTGGAGGGGCGATCGCCTGTGGTTCGACCGATGGCAAGAAACGCAGCAAGTTCTGCCCCAATTCGTCGAAATCGTAAGCTGGAACGACTGGGGCGAATGCCACTACGTCTCCCCAATCTACCAACCCGGCATCCCGAACGCGCCCAACGCTGACGCCACCGTGTACGTCGACGGCTACCCGCATTCCGCCTGGCTGCAAACACTCCCGTACCAAATCGCCGCGTACAAGCACGCCTACAACAGCGCCAACCCGGCCCCCAGCGTGCCCGTCGGACAGGACAAGATTGTCTTCTGGTACCGCACTTCGCCCGCCGCGAGCGGCTCGACAGACTGCACCGGCAATTGCGCGCAGTCCTCCATCAACACCGGCGGCTATCAAACCGGGTACCCGCCCTCGCAGATTCTCGAGGACAACATCTTCGCCATCGCCCTGCTGTCGTACCCCGCCAGCGTGTCCATCGCCATCGGAAACAACGTCATCACCTTCCCCAACGTGCCCGCGGGCATCAATCTCGTTAATCGCACTTTTGGCGGATTCACGGGGCCTGTGACCGTCAAGTCTTCTTCCGGGGCGATTGGCACGGGCGTGAATATCACGAGCGCGCCGGCTAGTGGAGTCGCGAATTTCAATGCTTTTGTGGGGCTTGCTAGTGTTGGGAGTGGTGCGCAGAGTGCGGCGCCTACTAGTTCTCCTACTGGGGCTGGATCGACTAACACCACCGTTGTAGGCAGCACTACTACTGGCACTGCGAGTGCTACTACGAACAGTACTGGGAACAATGCCGCGAGCACTACGACCGGCTCCAGCACCACCGGCTCGAGCACAACTGGTTCCACTACAACGAGCGCTACGAGCGGAACTACAAGCGGAACTACGAGCGGAGCTACGAGCGGAACTACAGGCAGCAGCACTACAAGCAGCACCACGAGCAGCAGCGGAAGCAGCTCTACCACCACCAGCGGAGCCAGCACGCCAGCCAGTACCACAACCGTCTATGTGACAAATACAGTCTCCGTTCCGACAACAGTCACAACCACGGCCACAGCGACTTCGACTTATACGCAAGCGGCCAGCACGGTCACCTCCACCGTGTCGTCTCCTACTACGACTACTGATGTGGTTCCCACGACTACCACTCAGACGGCGACTTCGACTGTGACTCAAGCTCCGGTTACGAATACTGTTACGAGCACGAGTACGGTGACCCCGGCCGCGGTAACGAGTACTGCCACGAGCACTGTGACCCAGAGCCCGGTTACAACCACTGCCACGAGTACTGTGACCCAGACGCCGGTCACAAATACTGTCACGAGCACGAGTACTTTGACGCAAACTCCGGTCACGACCACCGTTACGAGCACGTACACGCCTCCCGCCAACACCGTAACGAGTACGAGTACTTTCACTCAACCGCCAAATACCGTGACGAGCATGAGTACTTTCACGCAACCTCCAAACACCGTTACAAGTACGAGTACCTTGACTCAGCCGCCGAACACCGTTACAAGCACCAGCACTTTGACCCAGCCGCCGAACACCGTTACGAGTACAAGTACTTTCACTCAACCGCCAAATACCGTCACGAGCACGAGTACTTTCACGCAACCTCCAAACACCGTGACGAGTACGAGTACTTTGACTCAACCGCCGAACACCGTCACGAGTACAAGTACATTGACCCAGCCACCGAAAACAGTGACAAGCACCAGTACTCTGACCCAGTCCGCAATCACGAGCACAGTAACCAGCACGCAATCAGCAAGTACCGTCACGACCACATTGACGCAGCCTGCGATTACCAAGACTGTGACCCAACCGCCAAATACAACTACGGTGACCAATACTGTAACCCAGCCGGCAAAGACGAGTACAGTGACGCAGCCGGCGAAGACCGTCACGACGACAGTGACAAAGACGACGACCAAAAAGAAGTGAGGTTCATAGACATAGACCTGTTTTCTCTTCCACATACTGCCACGAATGAATGCCAATGCACACCGCATACGCACGGGCCCCACTGCGGCCGCGGCCGTTCCCGCCTACAATTAAGCCTGCGCCGAACTTTCTCCTCCTCCTCCCTTCTCCCTCCATCGCGCTCTTCTTGCGTAGCCACGGCACCCATGCAGCTGGCGCCGGAAAAGATGGTCCTTGTTCAATACAGTTCCCAGCGAGCGCGACAGAGCGAGCATCTCAGCGGCGTCCTTGTATCTCCTGCTCTTTACCCCCGGGAATGAGAAAGCGGGTCGTTTGCGACGTACATTCATTCTTTCGCGACTATGTGGACTTTATTTGCTCAGACCGCGCTCCCATTCACTTATCGTGAAGTCCCATACGCGTGCCGGCCAGCCTTGTTCTTTGTATTCCTCGACCAGCTTCGTCTGTGCCGTGTCTCCCCACGGCTCGGACTTGTTATCGATGCGCCACATGCCTGGCGTGTATCGTTCGTTGGTCAGGTGGTACGCCTGCCGCTTTGCCGAGTCAATGGGAGCAATAGCGAGGAAGTACCAAGCGATTGCCATCAGGACTGACACGATTTTCAAATAGACCGCTTGCAGAATGCCGGGAGGAGCAGGGGGTTTCCTCCGTCGCGGATTACTGGTGTTGACGAATGCCGGATAGGCATGGATGAACACGATTCCCGGCTCTTGCTCCGACAGGTGATGCAGAGCCAGCGTGCTCATCGTGGTCGAATGGCCCACCATCTTCCACACGCCCCAGGTCTGCACCAGGCCCAGGTCGTCCTCGTCGAGCTTTGCCTCTTTGCCGGCATTGAGCACGCTCAGGACGCGCGGGTTCGGGGCTTTGCGTAGGAGGGGAAGCAGGTTGCTCACGAAACGCATGCGTGCGAAGTAGCTGACGGTGAAGCAGGCTTCCAGCCCTTCCGATGTATCTAGGCAGTGCATCTTAGCGAATCACTTATGGAACATGAACGAGGGCTGGGGATGCTAACACTCAGGGCCCGCGAGCGGGAGGCTGCCCGAGCTCATGTAGAGGTAGTCTACGTGATCCTCCGCCGCTCGAATCTGTTTACACGCCCGGTCTACCCCTGCGATCAAAGAGATTTCGTCTTCGATGAAGATGATTTTGGCGTCGGCGTTCACCTCCGCCAGCCGTTTACGCTGCCGCTCAAACCTCGCAGCTGACCGTCCGACGACGTAGAAGGTTGGTGCATGAAGGAGCGATGCCATGATCTCTAGTGTAGCCTCGCCGATGCCATTCGTGGCGCCGACAAAGACGGCGATGTTTCTCGTGTGCTTGCGCTTGGCAATTTGAGCGTTGCTTTGCTCGACGTTCACGAGGTTGACCATGATGGCGGTGTGCCCAGTCCCCGGCCCAGACGGAAGATTAAAGCGTTAGAATCGGCACGGAACGCGTGCAATGAAGGGAAAAGCTGGATGGAGAGGAGGAGCATGTGTCGAATTGCGTTGGGAAACCAACCGGCGGGAAGAAGCTAGGCAGCACTGTACCTCTGGCGCAGTGATCTACTAAAGCAGCATCGTATTCGGAAGCTGACATGCCTTGAAACTCACAAACGACCGACGGCGTCAGCCGGTCAGGAAAGCATCTGTGGTGTGGGCGCCTGAAGTTGTGATGCTGACTCAGCACTCGTCCCCGTGCGTCCTTCGCCTGAATTTCAGTCCATCTCCTTCGCTGTCCTTCATGAAATCTATGCATCTGACTGCTTCCCTACTTGGCTGTAGCGGACAGATGCTACGACCAAAGCATGGAGACACTTGATAGGACAGAATGGGATGTCGTGATTGTAGGCACTGGCCTTGCACAATCGCTCTTGGCCCTGTATGTTCTCCCAAACCCGTGCATACACTCCGCTCGGACTAACTGACTGACCAAAGACCGCCAACATGAAGATCTCTCTCGCGCTCGGGGAAACGGGTCCTCCACCTTGATGCCAATGACTACTATGGCGGCGAAGAAGCGGCATTCAGTCTGGATGAAGCGCGGGCGTGGGCTGCTAAGCATGCTGCCGTAGATGTCTCATCTTCCACCCACAGCCATGCGGCGATCACCACCAAGCAAGACGATCCAACGCCAGGCGAAGGCGGAGACAGACCGCGACTAGCCTCCTCGCGCGCTTACTCCCTCACCCTCTCTCCGCACCTCATCTACGCCCGCTCCGACCTCGTCTCCACCGTGGTGTCCTCCCAAATCCACAACCAGCTCGACTTCCAAGCCGTCGGATCTTGGTTCGTGCTACACCCACGACCACCCGCTTTCTCCATCACTCGACTCAGCCGTGTACCCAGCGGAAGGGAGGACGTCTTCTCCGACACTGCCCTCGATCTGCGTGCAAAGCGTTCGCTGATGAAGTTTTTGCGGTTCGTCGGCCATTACGAAGAGCAAGGAGATGTGTGGGAAGCGGAGAAAGAGACGCCGTTTCCGACGTTCCTCGAGCAGAAGTTTGCCCTGCCGCCATCCTCGCATGCTCCGATTCTCGCTCTGACACTGAGTCAAAAGCCGGGATCAAGTACATCCACAGCCGTTGCTCTTCCGAGGATAGCTCGACACCTTCGGAGTCTGGGGGTGTTTGGGCCTGGCTTTAGTGCTGTCTTGCCGAAGTGGGGAGGGCTGGCAGAGATTGTACAGGTGGCTTGTCGAGCGTGCGCTGTGGGAGGCGGTGTGTATGTGCTCAACAAGGGCATTCGATCCGTTGAGAAGGAGCGACGGGACGAAGAGCCCAGTGCACATATACAGCTTGACGGTGGCGAGAACGTTTCGACAAGATGGCTGGTGGGCCTTGACAATGATCTACGGGCAGTCCTCCAGGGCCGTCCTGCACGAGCGGACGAGACTGTCGCAACATCGCGGAGCATATCTATCGTCTCTTCGCCTCTGGCATCGCTCTTCCCGCGGACATCCGAGGGTGGCCCAATTCCCGCCGGGGCTGTCATATCGGTTCCATCTGCGAATGCAGACGAGCCACCGGTGTTTGTGCTCGCGCACACCTCAGAGGCAGGCGAATGCCCAATGAACCAAAGTGAGTCTCTCTCGTTCCATCTCTCCCCAGCCCAAATGCGTATCATGATGATCCACTTCAATTGAATACTTATCTACATTGTCTGAGTCGCTTGACTTTGACGAGAACATACTTCTGACAACCTGACACGATACGCGCGAGGCTGCTGCTCTACCATTCGCTTGCATTGTTTAGGCGGTGCAGAGGCTAATCAATCGGGTTAGGTGTGCTGTATGCGAGTGTCGCTCTTCCCGCAGAGCAAGGCCATGAGCGTCTTCGACAGGCTGTCACAGTCCTTCTGGATAACGTGACCGAACGTGACCCGCAGGAGGGACAAGTAAAGCCGGAGGTGTTGTGGGAGATGGCATACCAACAGACGACTCCGGTATCAGGAGACGTCCAAATCGGCGACGATGGAGTGATCACACTGCCCGCAATGGCTCAAGACTTGGTGTTTGACGACGGCGTGCTCGGTGGCGTGAAGCAGGCTTGGCAGTGCATTACCGGCGAAGGCCCAGATGTCTTCATGCAATTTGATGCGCGCGAGGGAGTTGGCGATGATGAGTTGAATGATTGAATGAATCTAATTTCGCCTTTGATTTTCGCGTTCATGCAGTGCAGTGTCACAACGGTGTGACGGCGGGAAAGACGTGCAGTGCAGCCCGTTGCGACGTGAAACTCGATCAGGCCACCAGCAATAAAAAGACACGGCCCTCAGGCCACCCAGCTCTGGACCCGTAGCTGGCCAGCTGTGGCCAAAGATAGCCAGCCGCACCTCCTCCCGACCCAAATTTCCACCCTCCGCGGCCGTTCATCAGTGGAAGCTTCGTACCCTGCAGCCTGGCCCAGGTGCGTACAGCTGAAACCGACTCTCAGCTGAGGCGACGATCGGCATGTGAGCGTTGGAGGGGTTTGAGGGGATTGATTAAAATGTTGCCTGGGATCGCGATTTTTGCCTTCTCGCATCTTCATTTATTTCAGCCATTGGTTTCGTTGTCCTGCTTTTTTCTTTCCTTTCTTCAATTCGCCTTTGCACCGTGTCGGAATCCCCAAGGCTGCCGAGACTCGAGCGCTCCGCCTAGAACTCGGTTAAATACGTCTTCTTGAGCACTGAAATCCTTCCCTTCTTTCAATCACCACACTCACTCGACAATGTCGCAAGCCGAATGGCGCAACGGCCTGTGCAGCAACTGCTGCGGCGCAGAGAACTGCGGCTCCTGCGTGAGTGTCCCAATCCCTCCCTTCCCCCTCTCCCAGCGCGCCATCCCTCTAACACGTATATCCCGCAGATGGCCAGCTGGTTCTGCACGCCCTGCTTCTACGGCCGCATTGAGGAACGCCTAGAGCAGTTCCCCCGCGACGACAAGCCCGACTTCCTCAACGGGTCGTGCGTCCTCTTCTACCTCGTGCACTGCGTCGGCTTCTCCGGCATCCTGACGTGCGTCAAGCGCGGGGAGGTGAGGAAGAGGTTTGGCATTGGCGGGAACGCGTGTACGGATTGTTTGGTGAGTCCTCGACCTAATTAGTGGTCGCTAAACCGTGTGAGGATCACGGCTGACGGGTGCGTGCGCAGGCCGGATGCTGTTGTCTCCCTTGCTCGCTGGGCCAGATTGAGACGGAAATCAAGGACCGCGCGACTGTTGCGCGCCAGGACTCGGCTGGGCCTTATTCGCAGCCTCAGGGCGGGATGCAGTACCAGGCGCAACCGCAGCAGCCGGTCATGGCGTACCAGCAGGGCCCGCCGCAGCAGGCGTATGATCAGCAGGGATACCCGCCTGGGAAGTAGAGTGAAGTGTGTGTTGAGTGGTGTGGTGGAGTTGAGGGGGAAGGTGGTGGGCATTTAATTAGGACTGGGGCGCATGGAAGTGTGTTTATGTACCCTATCTCTGCGCGTATGACTATTGCTTTCGTGTGCTCGCGCGTCCCCAGCCGTGGACCCTTGTTCTTAAACTGAGGATTACCGTATTGGGTAGTGGTGCACGATGTGAGCAGTCCGGATGTGAGGACTCCCCAGATCCGCTGTGCGTGCAGGCGGACTCGTTGCCCACTACCAGATCCGGGTATCGCGGCGCCGATCTCTCCTGAACCGTTACAGCCTCTTGCACGGAGGCGGTTGCTGGTTCGTGAGGACTTTGAGTCTTGCACGTCGTGACCACTTCCAGATGCGGTACACGTGCAGGCGATCGCTGGGGATTTGTTACAGCCTTTTGGATGAATGCGGTTGTGGTTCGTGAGGCTATGAGGATATATATATCGTGGTGAAGTCCTCCTGCTCATAACCTTCGATTCTCCTCTCTCTCTCATCCACTCGCTTCTCCCGCAGCCTCGTGTCTCGCGCATCATCTCTTCAGAAGAACATCCTTTGACCCCAAGTAGTACCAATCCGCCTCCTAGATGGCCCAACAAGGCGAATGGCGCAACGGCCTGTTCAGCGGCAACTGCGGCTCCGATAGCGCCGGCTCATGCGTGCGTCTCGATCCCCATCCTCTGCAAACAACACAACCTAACCTGCCCCGCTCCAGCTCACCTCCTACTTCTTCCCGGCTATGGTGTACGGTTGCCTGGACGATCGCCTCGAAGAGTACCCCCGCGAGGAGAACCCGGAGTGCATCAATGGCTCATGCGTCTCGTTTTGCTTCTTCGGTCACTGCGGTGGGATTATGGGGAGTGCCAAGCGCGCGGAGGTGAGGGAGAAGTTTGGGATCAAGGGGAGCGCGTTCAACGATTGGTTGGTGAGTGTTGTTTTTGATGTGCTGAGATGCTGCTGCATGGCCGGCTGACGTGTTGACTAGTCGGCGTGTTTCTGCTTGCCTTGCACTCTCGGCCAGATGGAGACTGAGGTCAAGAGTCGCGCTGCCTTGGATCGCCAGACTGCAGGAGGGTATTCGCAGTCTCAGGGCGGCATGACGTACCAATCAGCTTCGACTCAGGGGGGCCCAAGAGAAGTAATGTCGGGCTGCGGAGGGGCTTCGACCAGGGAGTAGTGTTGAAGCTGGATGTGGTCAGTGTCGAGAGAGGCTGTTGCAGGATCATTCGGTCTCATCTATTCCCCATAATCGAGATCTTTCAAATCCCTCTTCGGTGCTGTCTTCTCATGCGCTCCTCGCCATCCTGCTCCAGCCTTCTTCCACCCCCAAGCCCGGTCTCTCTCCTCTCCATTCCCAGTCCCGTTGAGAACATTCACCATGTACTTCCCAGCGTTCGGTAGGAATTTGTACGAGTGGAAACTGCCGCCAACGCTGAAGTACAAGTTGCTCAGTCGATCGTCCGGATGTCTGCAGAGTAGCCAGTCCTGCGTCGGGGTTCGCGCGTCCCAGCATATTCGCCAGTAATCCGCCGTCTTGCCTTTGGCGAATGCCGGCATGACTTTGGACATCATATGCGTTTCTGTCTCGCGTTTCAGCCGATCGGAAACGATATGCTGGTCTCGATTCGGTGGGACGGAGATCTTGTGGCCTGATTTTGTCGTTTCGATGTTGGTGAAGGTGCGTGCATTGGTGAACTTCAATAGCCGGTTGCTCAAAGGTGGTGGAATGACTTCGCCACTTTCGCCGTACACGACTACCGGCATGTCTCGGAGTTGGCTCATTTCTTGGTCAGTCATTTTATAGTGTGCGACAGCGACGCCGGCAGCTTGTGCTTGCTTTTCAACTCTTTCGTCTTCCGGAATGTTCAACTCGTTTTCCAGTGGAGAAAGCAGACTGCTCGTCCAAGCGCCCGTTGCAATGACGATTTTGTCTGCGGTCAGAAGCTCGCCCTTCGCAGTGCGCAATCCGCTCACCCGTGCCCCATCTAGTTCCACCCCAACAACATCCGCAGTCACATACCTGACCCCAAGTCGTTTGGCCGCCTCCATCAGACTTCCCGTTGCAGCAGCAGCTTCACACCACCCCGCCTCAGGATTCCAATACCCATTCTTGAGGCCCGTCGTATCCGTTCCGTTCAAACATCCGCCCCACCGCTCATCCAATTCCCCCAACTCCATATCCGACGTCAGATCATGCCCCCGATCCCGAAAGACCCGCCGTATGCGTTCCGCAAGATCACTGTCCTCACCATCCAGCATGATCCATCCGGACTGGTGATAGTAGGGCTGGAGTTCCGGCCAGGTCTTCCAGGCGTCTAGAGCTTCGTAGGCCAGGTCGCAGTAGAAGCGAGACGAGTAATCGGCGCGGATGATTTTGTTGATGTCCGTCGAGGCGGCAAGATCGGGTGGTGACGCGGTGCGGTCGATGACTGTGATGCGGTCCGGATTGCGATATGTCTTTGCTAGATGATAGGCCGTCGAAGTGCCGAAGATGCCTGCTCCGAGGATGAGGATCGAGTCATCGGGGACCGACATGATTCGACCAGGACGAAATGCGCAATGATTGTCGGAGACGTGGATCGGATGTGGTGAGAGCACCAAGTGAGTCACGATGTTCAATGCGATGGTGTTGGACGGAGACGGGAGGTGATATGCACGAGCTCCGGCGCTGATTAATCGGCCTCGCAAAGTTACTGGTTGGGACGTATAACTATGAATACGCGGTGTGGATTGGGTTTATTTAATCACTTCAGCTCCTCCCGGGTTCGCCGTACGCTCCGGAAAACCTAGTCCGCTCCTCCCATTCCCACGGACGTACTTATTCCAACATCCATATACTCGTACTCTATCGCCACTCCAAGCACACTCTGCACTCACTTCAATCATGTTGTTGTCACGGGAAGAGTTGAGCCGGCTATCGGTCATGGATCGTAAGTAGAACCGCGCGCCGCCTCCTGCATCTCAACCGTTGCATATATATTGACAACATGTCCCCAGCAACGATCGCAGAAGTCGTAAACACGACCCCCCGCCCGGAGATCGACTTGGCGAACATCGACTGGAACAAGATGCGTGTCGGCATGAAGGCCATGGAAGACGCCTACAACGCCGGCGCCATCCCCGCTGCCGACGAAAGCTACCATCAACTCCCCATGCGAGACGGATTTACCAGCACGATTAAGATCCATAAGCCTATTGATGCTGCTCCTGGACCGCTTATCGCCCTGTTCTTTGGCGGAGGCTTCGTGTGCGGCTCGCTCGAGCAGTTCACCCGGACTGCGCGAGCGCTCAATAAAGTGCTTGGAGCGACGGTGGTGAGCTGTGCGTATCGTCTGGCTCCGGAGTATCAGTTCCCCACCAGCCAGCTGGATGCGTTGGACTCGATGAAATGGATTGCCGAGAATGCGACCGGATCTCTGTTGCACTCTGACCCGTCGAAGGGGTTCATCATCGGAGGTGTGTGCCTTTTCTCGCCACTTCGAGTGTGTCTTACAGGCTGACAACAGAACAGGCATATCCGCTGGCGGAGCCATCGCCGCCGCCCTGTCTCGACTATTCCAAGACGAACCTCTCGCCCACCCAATCACAGCGCAGTGGCTCGCCATTCCCTCCGTAATGGAAGAGACCCGCGTGCCCAAGGGCTACGAGAACTACTACATCTCCGCCGACGAGCAAGCCGATGGACCGTTTTTGTCGAAGAAGTCGCGCAAAGCAATGCAGAAGGCTTCTGGCCGCGATCCCAAGTCTCCTTTGGGCTACGCTATCAATGCCACCTCTCCCTTTTCCGGCCAGCCCAAGACGTATTTCCAAGTTGATGGTGCGTTTCGAGACTCGACTTGTATGATTCCGCTGACCGTTCACATAGGCATGGGTTAGTAATCCTTCGCCTCGACCTCGTTGTATCACGCCAAGTGCCGATTCAACCGTCACAAATGCAAACAGGCGGGCCGCCATTCTGACATTGCCACAGATCCCCTTCGAGACGACGCACTCATCTACGACGACCTCCTCACCAAAGCCGGCGTGACGACCAAAGTCGACATCTATCCCGGCTGTCCACACGGCCACTTCAGTTCTTTTGCCGGCTTGGAGATTACGGATCGAGCCAACATTGATTCCATCGTTGGCCTTGGGTGGTTGCTAGGGAAGGAGATTCCGCGGGACATCGCCGCGGAAGCGCTCGGCCTTGCAGCACGATGATCGTCTGCTAGGTGCTGTTGAGATTATTCGAGGAATCGAATGAGAAATCTCGGAATCTCACCACTCTGTGAGTAGATTGTCCATTGTGTAGGGTATCTAGACTTCTTCCCTCGAGTCAACTCCTTGCCATTCTCAAAAGTGAGGCCTTTGACTCGTGGTACATGTCTGTCACTCTGCGCACAAGTCTTGCTTTCTAAAGCAGTCTAATGCTCTAAGGCTGTCGAGTCTGGCGAAAGCGGAGCGCGGCTGGCGATTGGTTGCATCCGCCCACGTGTTTGGGAAAGTCCAGTCGATCGTCACCACTTCCTCCCCATTCTCCACCCTAAGCAGAGCACCACGCAGCAGTTCCTTAGTAGGCCGGTCGTGCTTGCTTCGATCCATTGAGGTAAGTTGTGCGTTGACCTGCACCCGGCGACATCGTGCACAGTCGCGTGCCCGTCTGGCGTAACCTTCATCTTTCCTCCTTCATCTCAACTCCCGAGTCAACCATGCCTCAGCAGGAGTTCGTCCCCCAGAAGTACCACCTGCAGGACTCCACAGGTGATGCTTCAGTGCATCTGCAAAGTAGAGACGGCCCCAGCCCCGTCAATCTCCGCTTCGAAGCTCTGCGGCCGGGATTGTTCAGAACGACATTCTACTCCGAAACACATCCTTTGCCGCCCTTTCCGAGTGCTCGCAAGCCAAAATCAATCCCATCCACATTCGACGTCGACGGTGATGGCTCTCAGAAGACGTTTCTTTCGGAGGACGTCGTGGCCAAAGTAGACTGGACTGGCGTCCCAATCATCTCCCTCGGTTTCGCTGGCCACGAACCGTTATACTCCGATCTCCCCTTCCGCGCGTACGCTCTTGATGGCGATGGAATCGCACACTACACCCGCTACCACCGCGGAAGCCTCCACGTTGGCCTGGGCGAGAAAGCGGCGCCCATGGACTTGTCGAATCGACACTTCACCCTCTCCGCCACGGATTGCTTCGGCTACGACGTCCACCGCACCGATCCAATGTACAAGCATATTCCGCTGCTCATCCGAGCGACTCCACAGGGTGTCGTGGCCACTTTCTCTACAGCACATTCGCGAGGCTCCTACTCCGTTGGCAGCGAGATGGACGGTCTATGGGGCTATTACAAAGTGTATCGACAAGACCATGGTGGACTGGAGATGTATACCATGATCGGCCGTACTCTGCAGGATGTTGTGACGTTGTATGCAGATCTCGTTGGCTACCCTCTGCTCGTGCCCCGCTGGGCGTTCGGATACCTGGCAGGCGGGATGAAGTACTCCATGCTCGACTCTCCCCGCGCGAGCGAGGCGTTGATGGAGTTCACCAGGAAGTTGGAACGACACGACATTCCCTGCTCCGGGTTCCAAATGTCGTCGGGCTATACGGTGGCGGAGACCGAGCCGAAAACACGCAATGTCTTTACGTGGAATCGACATCGCTTCCCTGATCCCAAGGCTTTCTGCGACGCTTTCCACGCTCGGGGTATCAAGTTGATTGCCAATATCAAACCTTACATCCTAGCCTCCCATCCAGAGTACGAAAAGCTTGTCAAAGCCGGTGCATTATTCACGGATCCGACGACGAAGACTTCCGCCGTTGCACGTCTCTGGTCCGCGGGCGGCGGTGAGAGTGGAGAGGGCGGACATATCGACTTCACCTCCAAAGCAGGCTACGACTTCTGGTACAATGGTGTGAAGGAGCTGCGTAAGACAGGGATGGACTGCATGTGGAATGACAATAACGAGTACACCATTCCCTCCGACAACTGGAAGCTAGAATTATCACATCGCAGAGATTCAAATGTCGACAGCACTTCCGACAGAAGAGATGTCGGTCTCTGGGGCCGAGCGATGCATTGCGAACTCATGGGCAAATGCTCTCACGATGCTCTCACGGAAGCCATACCGCACGAACGTCCTTTCGTTCTCACTCGCAGCGCCACAGCAGGGACAATGCGGTACGCCGCTTCAACATGGTCAGGCGACAACGTCACAAGCTGGGACGGCATGCGCGGCGCAAACGCCCTCTCGCTAACAGCAGGCATGTGCCTCCTGCAATGCTACGGCCACGACATCGGCGGCTTCGAAGGCCCGCAGCCGTCGCCTGAGCTGCTCCTCCGCTGGGTGCAGCTCGGTATTCACAGTCCGCGATTCGCCATCAACTGCTTCAAAACCGGGGACGACAATTTGGTCGGAGACGTCATTGAGCCGTGGATGTACCCGCACATCATTCCGGAGATTCGCAAGGCGATCCTCCGGCGGTACGAGTTGATTCCGTATTTGTACAGCTTGATGCTGCTGAGCCATTTCCATGCCGTACCGCCGCAGCGGTGGGTAGGATGGGGGTACGAGAACGATACAGAGGTGTGGACTAGCAAGGTGCTCAAAGACGGTGAACAGCAATACTGGCTCGGCGATACGCTCTTGGTCGGGGGCGTGTATGAAGCGGGCGTCAGCGAGGCGAAAATCTACCTGCCGAAACGAAGCAATGACGATCTGGGTTATTTGAATCTCAATGCTCCGCATCAACACTTGCCGGCTGGACGGTGGGCTACAATCGGTAGTCCGTGGAAAGGCAGCATCCCGATTCTCGCTCGAATCGGTGGCGTCATTCCAGTGGGCAAGAACAAACAAGTAGCAGCACCAGGAGACAAAGTAAACGAAGCCAACCTCCCGCAGGACGATTGGCGAGGCGTGGAAATCTTCCCGCCGCCGGAGGAGTACTCGGACGGTACCATCAGCTTCGTCAGCTCGTGGATGGAGGACGATGGTATCTCTCCGCCACCGGCCAAAGTGGCCAAATTTGTGGTTGGGTATGTGGCGACGGCGACGGAGGTTGCGGTGAGTTTTAGTCAGGACACTGCTGCTTTTGTTCCGCCGTGGGTTGGGAAAGGATTGACTGTCATTCTTCCGGTTGGCGATGGCAGGAGGGTGGTTTCGAGCGATGAGGGCGTGTCGGTTGAGGTGCGGCGAGTAGATGAGCAGGGGCGAAAGCGGTTTCATATCATCGCTGAGGGGTGAATGAGGGAGTGGGAGTCATGGAGAAGTATCCTCGGGATATAGACCTAGATCGTTAATGCACGTTCTGTCGGGAGCCTGCCAGATCGAGTATCGAACGCGATTGAACCGGTGCTGAGGACACTCTTTAACGCAATGGATTCTTGATCGCTATCTGCCAGCTGCCATGGTATGGATGGACGGAGCTTGAAGCTCCAATCCGCAGACGCCGTCGTCGAGTCCCACAAACATCAAACCAAACGCTTAACGAGTAGTCGGCTTCGGCTTGGCAACGGCACCCTTCGCGGCTTGCTTGCCCACAACACTGCCAGATCGTCAGCAAAGCGGTCCAAGGATATTCCCAATTGATGTACACTCACCGGCCAGTAGTCTGTCCCTTCGCAGCAGCCCCCGCATTCTTCGCCTTCTCCGCCTTCTTGACGCTCTGTGCAGCAGCCCTCTTCTCCTTGCCCTCCTCAATCGCCTGCTTGCGGGCAGCAGTGCGAGCCTCGGGACGCATCGAGCGGCGCTCCTTGATCACATCGAGCGAGGCACCGACAACGGCACGCTGGGCCTTGACTTGTCGGCGTCGGCGGGTCTTGGCTTGTTCCTGCAATGGCCATCAGTATGTCGCCTCTTTCTCCCCATTCCTTGACGGTGAATTTTACCTCCGAGATACCCTTTCTCCTCTGTCTCCGGCACAGCACAGTCCAGGCGATGCGGCGAGGGTTCTTGCGTTGAAGGAAGAGGGACTCGGTCTTGCCATTTTGGAAACGGAAGACTTTGCTGTCGCCGCGGATGAAGAGTTTGCCCTGGCGGACGAGTTAGCAGGATGAAGATGGGCAACGGCCGTGACGGCTCGCTCGGTGCTGCGCTACCTTTCCGGGGTAGATTTTCTGGCCAGAGAAGGTGTCGTCGTAGGTCCTCATGATGGTGGTGATGCGCGTGGAGTTCGGATGAGGAGTGGTGCGGCTTCGTCGCCTTGTGTGGTGAGAGACAATATCGAGGTGTCGCTGGATGTTCAGACAGCGCGCTGGGCTTGGCACTGATGTCGGCAAGAATTTGGGTCTCGCCGATTGTGTGTCGGGAACGCCCGCGCTTGGCACTGATGAGAACGCCGCGCTAGTCCGCTTCGGGCATTGAGCTTTCCGACGCGGTGACGGGAATCTACGCGTCGCCATCACTTCGCCGTTCTCTGAAGCTGTTCATGCACGCACACTCCAAGTCATGTCGCTCTTCGCAGAGTTCGCCACACCGGCAAGGCGGTCGCGTGAAAGAGACGATGAAAGCGAGTTCACTGTGTCCGTGGACGGCGAGGCTTCTCCGCAGTCAAGCGGAAACAAACGCCGCCGCCTGAATCCCGAGGAGGAAGATGATGGACAAGAAGAAGAGGAAGAGGGTTCCGAGGTTTGCCACACCCGTATATCTTGGACACATCACATTCTAACAATCCAACCAGACACAAGAAGGCGACCTCCTCCCAGACAGCTTCCGCCGATCACCCAAAGGCAAAGGCCGCGCAAATGACCCCGTACCCACCGCCGCACCTCAGAAGCATCAGCCTGGATCAATTGTACGGGTGAAGCTCACCGACTTCGTCACATACACCCGCGCCGAGTTTCACCCCGGGCCAAACCTCAACATGATCATCGGCCCAAATGGAACGGGAAAGAGCACGCTCGTTTGCGCCATATGCCTTGGTCTCGGCTGGCAGACCTCTCATCTTGGACGAGCAAAAGACATCGGCGAGTTTGTCAAGCATGGCGCGAAGAGAGCGGAGATTGAAATTGAGCTCGCTGCCCATCCGGGCGAGGAGAATCCGATCATTCGCACGAGAATCACCAAAGAGGGCAACAAGGCCGATTTTTCCATCAGCGGCAGGAAGTCGAATAGGAAGGGCGTGCTGGAGCTCGCACACAGCTTTTCCATTCAAGTCGACAATCTGTGCCAGTTTCTGCCACAAGATCGCGTCGTGGAATTTGCCGCCTTGTCTCCAGTCGATCTTCTCACGCAGACTCAGCGGGCAGCGGCGCCAGAGTACATGAGCGAATGGCACGACAAGCTCAAAGAGCTCCGAAAGCAGCAAAAGACACAACAGAGCGAGCAGCAGGGCCTGATTGAGATCTTGAAGACACTGGAAGAACGGCACCGCCTGCAGGAGGCTGACGTCGCTCGTCTTCGAGAGCGAGAAGTGCTCAAGGACAGGATCAAGGCGATGGAGAAACTCCGCCCGTTTCCGGCCTACCAGGTTGCAACTGACAAGTTCAAGGAGGCGAAGGCGCGGAAGAGGGACGCGGCGAACGAGCTCAAGGAGCTGGAGAGACGCGTCGAGCCAAATTTGCGAGCAGCAACGAAGAAGCAAGAATATGCCGAGCGTACGGAGAAGGTCGTCAATCATCGCAGCAGGCTGGTTGAGCGTGGCGGTGATGCAGTGAAAGAGGTGGAGCGGAAGATCAAGGCTGTAGATGAGAAGCTGCAGGGCTGCGTCGATGAAATCGAGGCGGAGAAGAATACTGTCAAAGCTACCCGACAGAACATCCCGCGTCTCAACCAGGACATTGCTCGCATCGAGAGGGCATTGCAAAGCCCGCCCGAAGAGTTTGATGCGGCGGAGATGAATGCTCAGATGCGAGAAAAGACACGACTCGCACGTGAGGTGGAGGAGAAAATTAGAGAGCTGCAGGGTCGTGGCGAGTCTCTAGCCACTCAGATCAAGCAGAGACATCAGATTATCGAGGAGAGGAACAAGGAAAAGGAGGGTCTGAGGTCGCAGGCAGGACAGCAGGCCAGCAAACTCAAGCGTGCATCCAACGACGCCGCACGCGTTTGGGACTGGATTCAGCGGAACAAGACCGCGTTCCAGAGCGACGTGTATGGACCGCCCATCGTGGAGTGCACGCTGAAAAGCCCGAGACATGCTGCTGCGGTGGAGTCGATGATCCCAGACGGCGACAAAATGTCCTTCACCCTCACCAGCCAGGCAGACATGAAGATGCTCCTGGACAAGATCAGTGAAATGCGACTGAGAGATGTCAATCTGCGCCTCTCCAATCAACCCTTGGCGGCTTTCCAGAAACCGAATGTGTCTCAGGAGCAGCTGCGGCAGTACGGTCTGGATGGCTGGCTGATTGATCTTCTCGACGGACCGGATCCCGTGCTCGCCATGCTGTGTGACAACCGCAACATCCATCAGATGGGCTATGCCCCGCGCGAGATCAACGAAGCCCAATTCAATGCGCTGAAGGGGAGTCCTATCGGCTCCTGGGTGACGCCAAGTCAAAGCTATCAGATCACGCGCCGGCGAGAGTATGGGGATTCTGCCGTCAGCACACGCGTGCAGGCTTTGAAGCAGCCTCGTTTCTTTACCGACGTTCCGGTCGATCGGCAGCTGGAGCAAGACATCGATCGTGTCATCCGCGAGACGGAAGGCGAGATTGAAGAACTGGGCAACGAAAGAAAGTCGATCATGGAGGAAGGCCGAACACTGACAGAGGAGCGTAAGCAACACCACTTGGAGAGGAAAGAGATCGAGGACGAAAAGAACAAGCAGCAACGTGCACTGTCGGAGTTCAACGGCTTGTCCGTCAAGCTAGAATCGCAAAAGGCCAAGCTCGAGAAGGCAATGGAGGGCATTGCTGGCTATCGAGCTCGCGTCAGGGTGGTCGTCGACAAGGCCGACAAGCTGCAGCTTGAAAAAGGTCAGCTGGCACTGGACTACGCCAACGCCGTCGACGCGTTCCGAAACCTCCACATGCAATTGCTCGAAGTTCAGATCATGCGGATTGAAGCCAATTCGGATCTTGAGCAGCTCAAGGCGCAGCATGCAGAAGAGTCGCGCCTTTTGACCGAGCGTCGGAAGGAGGTAGAAGCGTTGCAGGTTATTCAAGACAAGGCACGTGAGGAGGGACAGGCGCTGGCTCAGAAATGCCTAGACCTCGGTGCTTCTTTCACCGAATTGGAGCGGGAGATTTACGATGAGTACGATGGGGAGAAGGAAGCTGGCGAGAAGTGGACGGTGGAGTCGTTGGAGACCGAAATCCAATCTCATCAAGCCAGGCTGGAGATGACGCACGGCGGAGGCAACGAGAATACGATCAACGAGTTTGAACGCCGACAGCGAGACATCGAGCAGAGGCGAAGCCGGGTGCATGACCTTGGCGCTGCACTCGACAAAGTGGGTGACGAGATTACGGAGATTCGCAATCGATGGGAGCCGGAGCTTGACGAGCTGGTGGGCAAGATCTCCGAGGCGTTCAAGGAGAACTTTGACAAGATCAACTGCGCGGGCGAGGTTGCGGTGCATAAAGACGAGGAGTTTGAGCAGTGGGCCATTCAGATTCGGGTGAAGTTCAGGTATGGCTTTCACGAGTGGAGGGGATGAAGACAATGACTGACAGATGTCCACAGAGAAAACGAACAGCTCTCCGTCCTCGACTCACATCGGCAATCCGGCGGCGAGCGCGCGGTCAGCACAATCTTCTACCTCATGGCACTGCAATCGCTGGCGCGCGCGCCCTTCCGCGTCGTCGACGAAATCAACCAAGGCATGGACCCGCGCAACGAACGCCTTGTGCACAGCCGCATGGTGGACATTGCGTGCGCCAGTGCCGAAGACGGCCGGCCGGGCTCGCAGTACTTCCTCATCACGCCCAAGCTGCTGAGCGGCCTGAAGTACCATCCGAATATGAAGGTGCATTGTATTGCTTCGGGCGAGTACATGCCTGCCGACTACCGCGAGCTGGACTTTGGGGTGTTGGCTAAGAAGGCTTTGGCGCTGCGGAGGGGTGGGAGGGGAGTGAGTGCTGCTGGTTGAGGCGATACCGTTCATAAGGCGGGAGATGATGGCCTTTTGCTTTGATGTTTGAGGCTGAGACGGTGTGTGCGTGTTTGAACAGGCGAGGATAGATGTTGTATTGGCCAATCATGCGCTCATCCGGCGCTTAATGATGCGTATTGCGCTACTGATGAACAGTGCTTTGGTCGATTTCTCAATGCAACAAAGCCGTGTGTCGTTAAGCGCCAGGACTGTATGGCCTGTTCAGCCGACGTCGGACAGCCTTCCTCGACTGCCCCGCAATCTTCGCGCCTCACCTCGTCTCATCTCGCCCGCAGCGTCAACGCCTCCGTGCAACAGAGGCTGAAAGCGAGACGAGTTGACCAACCAGCCAGCTGACGGCGGCAGAAGTGGCGCGAGCTGCCCATCAACCATACAATGCGCCGCAACCGCACCATGCGTAGCAGCCAGCGCCTCCATCTCGCCGCCATCGTAACACTCCTCCCGTAGCTGGCAACCACGACAATGTCACGCCCTTGAGTCTACCGTGCCGCCATCATTACCTCCACCTCACCTCTCCCATCACTCTTCCTTCCATCCCCACCGGGAGAAATGTCGTAGCATGGCCCGCTACACCCAACCTCATGCCTTCCTCTCACCGCCCCAGTACCACCACGAGCAACAGGCACTCCACCCGCCCACACCAACACCGTCCCCAACCCTCAAACTCCTCCCCGCCTACATCCTCCACCCCCAACCACCCCCCCGCCAGCCCCCCCGCTTCCATCAACATCATCCAAGACACCCGCCTCGGCCTCTCGCCCGACGACACCGCCACTCTACGCCAACACCAGCACCTTGCGCACGCTCAGGTGCGTAGTCCCGTTGGCTCGCAGGCTAGTAGTCAGGGCCGCTTGCTGCTGGATCCGGGCAATTACGCACTACTTGCCAGGCACTTCGATCGGGTTATGGGTGCTATTGAGGGGAGGATCGAGCAGGTGCATCGCATCCCTCTCTACTCCTCCGCTCTTCTAAAAGCAATGCTAACGGGAGTGGGTATGCTAGCTCCACCGCGCCACGGAAACAGCTACAGCAGCGCAATACGACCGCGCGCACACCGTGATGCAAGTTGCTGACGCGGAGATTGCGCGTTTCCGCGCTATCCTTGCGCAGATTGATGAGCTGGAGTTGGAGTTTGAGAAGATTGCGCGCATTCGCGAGATTGTGAGGGTGTATCGGGCGAGGGTTGCGGCTGTTGAGGCGAGGTTGGGGTGAGGCGTGGCTCTTTGTGTCATTTGGGTAGATGAGTGTCTCGCGGCTAAGATTGGATGGAGTTGCCTCACGGCAGATGATTGGGTTTAGCTGTATTCAGATGGGAGGCTATGTCATGAAATGGGGACGGCGTTCATGAGGCAGCTTGTAAGGGAAGACCAAGAGAGGGTAGTCAGATCTGTCTGCCTCCATACCTATCTGTACACTTCCTTGCATCGGTTCATGGAAAGACGTAACCCTCGCAACGCCCTGAATCGTTTTTTGATCATCATTCCAAGGTGGAGGTTTTGTTGTTTACAAGTCCAACTTCCACTCCTCATCCACATGAGGCTCAAGCCTTTCAATCAACTCCTCGACCGTCATCTCTCCCTCTTCAATCTCCTCAACCTGCTCCATGGCAGCGTGCTTGGGCGGGATGATAACACTGCTCAGGACCTGAATCACACCATCGGCAGCCACCACATCGTTGACAGCCACGGTAGTGAAGCCGTTGACCTTCATCCACACGACGGGGCCCCAGTTCGTGATATCGATGGAGAGACTGCGGTCCTTCAGCGCGGTGGGCAGATCGACGTGGATGTTCCGTCCGGTAGTCTCCTCTTTGTCCTCATTGTCCTTCTCCGGGTAAAAGGCGTCGGAGTAGAGCGTGTTCTGCGGGGCAACGTGGTACTGCAGCAGGGCCTTGAGGTACTTTTCGCCATGCGACGAGAACAGGAAAGCGTTGACCCTCGGGCCCAACTTCTGGAAGGCCCAGTTATTGGGTGCGAATAGAGTACCTCCCCCACGATGAGATGTGTTGTTCAGCTTGTCCCAAATGCCAGTCTTGTGCAGGGCGAGGTTGAGCGTGCTGAACTCGCCGGGGAAGAGGTCGATTTCGTGCACGGCGGAGATGGGCGGGAAGATGGGGGTGTCGACGCCGTGGATGATGCCGTTGGTGGCGTGGATGTCGGCGGCGACGATGCGGCTGAAGAAGTTGACCGTCAGGCCCTTGAAGCCCTTGCCGATGCGGAGGCGCTGCGGGTGTTTGGAGCTGAGCTGCTTGGACTCGAGCAGAGTCGGGGCGGTGTGGGTGAAGAGGACGCGTTTGGCGGGGTAGACGCCTGGGACGACGTGGTACTTGAGGAGGTCCTCGACCTGGCTCTTGGAGAGTTTCTCGAAGAACTTCTTGGGGATCTTTTCAAAGGCTTTGTCGGTCGGGGCGAAGACAGTGCCGTTGAAGTCGGTGCTGTTGAGGGCTTTGGCGAGTTTCGGGTGGTCGTCGAGGAGCTTGGCGAGGATGGTGCTGTACTTGCTTGATTTGATCAGGCTGAGCACCGTCTCGTTGACCTTGGGGTGCTTGTCGTGGCCGTGATCGCCATGGTGTCCGTGGTCACCGTGATGACCATGGCCGCCGTGATGTCCGTGATCACCGTGATGTCCGTGGTCACCGTGGTGGGGAGGAGGTGGGCCATGATGAGGCGGCGGTGGTCCATGATGATCATCTTCATCAACCCCCATCATGTACTCATCAGCCTCCAGCATGAGCTCGTCAGCGTCGAGCATGTAATTCTCCATGGCGTCCTGCAGGCCATCTACATGCGACTGCATCCAATCCTGGACCCCATCCCGAGTCTCAGTGAACGAGTCTTCGACATTCTCCGCAACCTCATAGGCATTCTCAAGAGCATAGTCGAAAGCGTTCCTCGATGAGTCAGCAACCTGCTCCCAGGCCTCGTCGGACGTCTCCTCGACCCGCTCCCAAGCGTCTTGAGACACCTCCGTAGCTTGACTGACGAGTCGTCTCAGTGCATCCTTTGTCTCGTCTAGTCTACGCTCGCTGTCGCCGACGAGCGTTTGGTACCATGGGGTGGGTTCGTGGTGGCAGATTTCCACTTCCTGGAATGTTTCGGCGGGCGGCAAGACCAGGGCCGAAGTGGCGGCTGCCAGTGGAAGCAGGTTGGTGAGCTTCATGTTGGTTGTAAATACCAATCAAGAAACGATAGATATTCAAAGGGACGAAGAGGAGGGAATGGAGAGGAAATAGCAAGGTAGAGAAACAGATGACTTGGAATCTGGGGAGGTGATGGCGGGATGAAACCGAGTGATGACGACTACTGATGATCCCACCCTGACGCGTTCACTCCAGTCGGGGAACGGAGACGGGGCTTCTGCCACGAAATGCTGCCGCCTGCCGACTGCAACCTTGGCATTCGGCGGTGATATGTGCTTGCGTAAGACGGAGTTCATTTCCACTCCGGCGTTGTGCATGCATGTTGTTTGGATGTTGGTGGGCAACTCGTAGCGGGAGAGGATGTGGAATTGTTGCCCTTCTCCGCGTGGTCGAGACTCGATGGCCACAATGACGTAAGACATGATGCCTTGCAGCCTTGTTCCAATCACTGCAGAGGCAAAAGGTGTAACACCAACGATGCTAAGCCAACATAGTGGCAGGACGCTCAATCACAACTTAATCATTGCCAGCCCGCCTTCTCCATCGGCCCAGTCCTCGCAGCTTTACCATCTCGCCCGCCTCGTCCACGTCCTCCTCCACCTCCACCTCCGCCGCCGCCGCCTCTTCCTCTGCCCCTCTTCGCCCCACCACCCCTTCGATTCACAGAGTAATCGATCCGCACCAACGGCCGCTCGACCCACTCCACCCCCTCCAACCCCAACCTCTTCTTCTCCTCCGCCGGCATCCTCCAAGCTTGGAAGACGCCCATCAGATCCTCCGCGCTCCCCTTCCCACCACCTTCCTTCCCCCTGCCCACGTCTCTCAACTCCGGCACCCAAGCCCGCACATACTCTCCATTTGCATCGTAGTCCACTGCCTGCTTGACGGGATTGAATACTCGATCTCCACGTGGGTCATTGCCCACGCCCGCCACATACTGCCAATTGCCCCAATTGCTCGAGACGTCGTAGTCAATTAGGTTCGCCTCGTACCACTCCGCCCCAATACGCCAATCAATACCCAGGTGCTTCGTGAGGAACGATGCCACGTTCTGCCGTGCGCGATTCGATGTCCAGCCCGTGAGGTAGAGCTCTCGCTGTGAAGCATCGATGAGTCCCGTTCCTGTCGTGCCTTTGACAAGCCGCTCAATCGCTGCTCTCGTGTCGTCGTCGTTAGATCCTTTGGCGTTCTTCTTGTCCGTGGAATGCATAAAGGGGCTGCTAATGTACTTCCAGCTCGCATCTTTCGCCTCCCTGTATCCATCCACGAGGAATAATCGGGAGCCGAACTTGCGCGTGCAGAGACGCATGTAGTCGCGCCAGAGTAGCTCGAACCGCACGGCTGCCGTGCCTTTGTTCTCGCCCTTGCCGGCTCCCGCGGCCGTACTGGCACTGAAGCGGCCCTTGCCGTCTTCGAACTCGAGCATGGTCCAGTGCACCTGCCGCGCCGATATGGATCCTAGCGCTAGCCAAGCGGAGAGTTTGGTGCTGAAGTCGAGGCCGAGGAGGCCATTGCGCGTGTCTTTGTAAGATGTCATCGCCCCAGAGTCGAGGAGGTGGTGTACTCGCTTGTGTGCGGCTTCTGAGCCGCCGGTGAAGGGATGGGCGGATTCGACTCCTGATGGCATGGTGGGCATATTGGAGAATTCGGCTTTCTCTAGAGGTTTGAAGAGCGCGGAGATGGTGGCGTCGAGGGTGTCGGGGATTTCGAAAGGAGTCCTCTGCGGAGGGATCTTGGCTGGGAGTGCGGGCAGCTTTTGGGGGGAAGGCAGCTGTTGTCGCGGGACTGCGCGCAAGGGCTCGACGGTCTTCCGGAAGTTCGTGAATACGTCAGACAGATCTTTGATGCTCTGGAAAGGAAGATCTCGGCTGCAAGCATAATCAGTATGGCAGGGCTCAGGTCAGTGGTGGGATGGCAAACTCACTCGTCAACGAAATACTTCTCGTCCTTCCACAACTTGAACTCCTTCTGCTCGCGCTGCAAGAGCCGCTGAACGCGCTTCTCCTCCTGCTTCTCCTCCCACCCCTCCTCGCTCGTCATCCACAAGCCATGTACCTCGACACCCTCCTGCTCGCGGAAACCTTCCAAAAGCGACTTGACTGCATCTGATACGCTGCCAACACGGATCGCAAGGCCACTGCCGATCTTCTCAAGATCGGTCTTCAGATCCCACACGCTTTCGGCAATGAACTTGGCTCGTAGCTTGCCACAGCGCCAGAAGCCGCCTACCGCACTGCGTGCCTCCTTGTACGGCGATTGCTGTGTATTGGCAGATAGAAATCCTGACACTTCGACTTGCTCCGCAGGGAAGACGTAGACCGGGAGCAAGTGGGTGAAAGGTCGTTGCGATTGGCCATTGAGCCGCGCGATTTCGTGGAAGACGGGGTTGTCGGCGAGGCGTAGGTCGCGCCGTAATATGTAGATCAGGACACGCGACATGTTGGATTGTCGAGATTCGCTGCTGATCGCAGCAGCCCTTTATTGTTGGACCGCGATGGAACGCGATTATGTTCGAACTTTGTTGCCACCAAGTCGGACGGATGATCCGTAGACTCAAACGAGGGTCGAGCAGTGATTGTGATGGGTGGCTGAAGTGAATCGACTTCGATGACGAAATGATTAGGTCTCGTGCGCTGTAGAATGCAGCAGTATGAGAGCGAAAGTGCGAGCAAGAGTAAACGGAAAGAAGAAGGAAAGAAGGAAGGAACAAAACGATCAGTCGACTGTGAGTTTGCAGGACAAAATGTGGAGAGGATTGCACGGTCAGTGAAAGGGAAAGAAGAGGCGAAAACAACCCAACTTGACGTCTGGCAAGTGTTACATCATCGAAAGAGAGGTCATTCCAGGGGCACAGTAGGTGAGGAGCGCGCTAAGACCGAGTGGCCTACTAACCGGGGGGAAAGAGCAACAGCGTCCGCATGCAACTGCTCGACCATGGGAGCATCAGTCAAGAGATGCGTCGTGGCGCGAAGCATTGGCGATTCCGCGCCTCCATGATGGGGCAAAGGAGCCAAGTGCCGGCGAGTGACGGGCGTGCTGAGAGCAAGGGCAGTTGTAGATCGACGGGGGTCAGAAAAGAGCGAGTCATTCGTTTCCTCCACGTTGCTTGGCGATCGGAAGGCAGACCCAGCGAGGTGGCACTTGGCACCGCGATCTGATACTCGGGAGATCGAGTACTGCAAGATAAGCTTGCCGGCCGGACGCCCACGCTAGTTGCACGCCGCACGATGTCATCATCTTCCCGGACGCCTGAGGGAGGTGAAGCAGCTTGCGACGCAGGGAACATGAGGGTTACGCAACATCCTGCACCTCCCAGAGCCGGTGGGCGGTAGAACGAGAGGACGATCGGTCGGCCATCAATTCTGGTCACTCGAAGAGTACATGCATCTGCAAGGCACGAGGAAACAGGACACGTGAATTGTGAATGATGTAGACGTGAAGATCCTTCGAGAAAACTTCTGCTGGGACACTCCCGCCCTCATGCCAAAAGTCGTGGTGGCCAACGTCAGGGTCTGGACCTGCGAACCGCGAACCTCTCCACAACCTCATCCCACCTCCACGACATACACTTGCGCTTGACAAACCAGCATCTTTCACACATACAGGCCGTTGGCAGATTATCCGCCGCACGAGTGCCTGGGACTCTGCCGCTTGCACCCCCCGTCATCGGTCTCTCTTCCTCTGCCTCTCCCCTCCGCTGTCACTCCACTGCCAATCATTCATAAGCTCGTCTGGACCCCGTTCACAAGGACACCATAGAATGGCGGCGCCGCTGCCGAAGCGAATCATAAAAGAGACCGAGCGTCTGCAGAACGAGCCAGTCCCGGGCATCTCCGCCCTTCCACATGACGATAATGCGCGCTACTTCGATGTGATGGTTGAAGGGCCCGGCGGAAGCTGTTACGAGGGTATGCTCTTCGGCTTCACCACACAACTCTCTTCTTCTCTACATCCGGCCCACTGACCAACTTCCCCGCAGGTGGCGTATTCAACCTCGAGCTCTTCCTCCCTGACGACTACCCCATGACCGCCCCCAAGATCCGCTTCCTCACTCGAATCTATCATCCCAACATCGATCGACTGGGGAGAATATGCTTGGACGTGCTGAAGAACAACTGGAGCCCCGCCCTGCAAATTCGAACCATCCTCCTCAGTATACAGGCATTGCTGGGCGCACCAAACCCCGAAGACCCGCTGAATGAAGCAGTGGCCAAGCAATGGAAGGTGAGTGCGAGCGTTGCGCTGCAGTGACTCATGCATACTGATGAGCGTGCAAAGGAAAATCAAGCAGAGGCCATAAAGACTGCTCGGGAGTGGACGGCGTTATACGCGACAGCCAAGAAATGAGATGGATAGAGAGCGGACGGATATCGTGAGGTGGGCGGGCGATGGAGCAGTCGAGCAGAGGCAGACTCCCGGCGCCCATGCGCGTGCGATCTTGCGGGAGTACGACGAAGACCGAGAACGCCGACCCCTACAGCTCGAAATGTGCTGGATCACGAGAAGCATGAATACATCACCCGCGAGGCGTGTGAGAAGATTTCAGATAGATATCGTGCGGTGGTCACACTGCAATTTGAAACGCTGACACCACCTCCGACCATCTCCCTTTTCCCTTGTGTCTGCAGGATTATCTCTAGGGGTGAGTTGCATGCGAGGTTGCTACCTTTTGCTGATCGTATAAGTCAAGATTTGGAGACAGACGTCACTCTATCATTCTAGCAGCGCAGGCATCGATCAACGACATCACTCATGCCAGGTGAACTATGCAACCTCACGTGACCCTGTACCACACAACAACGTCACTTCATAAGGCATGCGATTTCAGGTGCGCAGTCGCAATCTCACTCTGAAGTGCTGACTCGCAATGTTTTCACTCCCACCACTTCACATCATCAATCAGTTTCAATCCACATGCTTCTCGTGCTTCTTCTACCTCCAACGCACCTTCACGCGCTTTCAGCAACATGGCCGAGCCCGATCCGATGAGAGAGCGCCGAAAGCGGTACCGCAAGTCCCTCACTCACTACAGTGAGTCGTCAACCTCATCACAGCAAGACTGCTCCGACTTGCCGGCCAGTGATGTCCCATACAGCCAGCCCAATGCTTCTCGGTTGAGCTTTGGCTCGGACGATCCTTACGGTACGTCGTTCACCCTTGACAACCGCAAATGCAGACATTGACGAGATACAGCACTCCCGCCCCTACCCCCTTGCGACGAAGAAAACATGACAATCAACGAGCCCAAGAAGCAAGCAAGAGGCGCCACCGAGCGCGAAGAGACCGCCGAGCTCCGCAGCTTCTTCCAAATCGACCGCGTTCGACCTCAAGATCTCCCCTCCCCACCTGACCCGCGGAGCTTCTTCGACTGGGACGATGGCACAAGCGATGGCTCCTCCACCCGCCTGATGGAAAAGGGCGACATGCGCGCTTTCAAACGAGCAAACAAACGCACGCAGTATGCAAGAGTCTTTGGGACGGGGGTGACGGTTGACGATTGGATGGAGAGCGCGAGGAACTACTCGAAGAATAGCGGGAGTGACGGGTCTGGCTCTCTGTCTCGTCGCTCCAAGCCGGAAGATCCACGCAAGAGGATGAGTGTGCTGAAAGTATTCGATGGTCCGATGTGGACTGATGAGGATGGTTAGTGTGGCATGCTTGCTTGAGGTGAGCTCACACATCACTTTGGCTCGCTGACTGACGTTTGCAGATGTGGCGAGATCGCTTGGCCGAGCGAAGGATGCGACTACGGGTCCAGATTCCTGGCCGTTGTACAGCTCGTCCATCGATCCAGCGGCTGGCTTTGATCGCGATGCGAAGTTTGCGACCCTGCCGAATGGCTTCCGCTACATTGACTGGAGTAAGAGCAACAGCACGCCCAAACCCGGCAAGCCCAAGCGCGGACGCGATGTGACTCCGTTCTTCCCTGCGTTGTCTACTGCGAGCCTCCATTCGAGTAGTCCTCCAGACGAGCTGGTCGGCATATTCGCTCCCCGAACGCCGCGTACCGATCGTTCTGGCACGCACACCTCGCTCAAAACGGCTGCCTCTGGCTCCACCACAACGCTGTATACCCGATCCAGCCTGGAGAAACGAAATCTGGCAGAGTCACGCAAGCCGTCGGGAGAGAGCATGATTACTGGCAAAGGTGTAAGTGATCCCTTCATGAATTTTCCTCCCCTCCCCTCACTGCCCACTACGCCCATGGTGGATCGAAGGAAGGTGTACGGAATGGATCAAGGAAGCAGCACCGGCCTCGCTGCCCTGATAAGAGACGAAGAGATGAAGCTGTCCTCATCCCCACACCTACCACGCCTGAGTCTCAAAACTTCGCCATCGCAACTCACTTACGACACATTCATCCCCACGTCGCCAGAGGCTAGCTCTCCCGCCATTTCCGATGCGCAAACTCCCACTCGCTTCAAAGGGTACCCGCGCGGACCGCAGGACCCAGAGTGGGACGAGGCAGTCAAGCGTGTAAAGAAGATGGTCGCAGAAACGGAAAAGCGCGAAGCGCTCGAAGCCAGCAAGCAAGCGAAGGAACTCAGCGTGCGCGCCAAGAAAGCGCAGAAGCTGCGTGCGGGCAAAGCGGCCATTATGCGCGGGAGTCAATTCGGGTTCGCGACAAGGAAGCCCATTGAAGACATCACCGAAGAAGAATTCGAAGCTGTGGGAGCCTTCAGCAATGCGGCGGCGGCGGCGGAGCAGGTGACGCCGAAGGGGAGAAAAGTCAAGACGTTGGGGGCGCTGTTTACGAAGATGAGGGGTTCGGCGCTGGAGAGGGAGGAGCAGGTTGCGCGCACCAGGACGCAGCTGGAGAAGCACAAGTCGTTGGAGGTTTTGCTCGCTTCTTCCACCCCTGGAGGAGCGTCGAGCGGAGACGAGGAGGACTTGAGGCACTATGATGAGGTGCTGCGGTTGTTGAAATGCGATGAGTGGCGGCAGGAGGAGGAAGGGAGGTCCCCGACGGTGGGGAAGATGCTGGAGCATCGCGCGCGAAGATCAGGGAAATATGGCATCCTGCCATCGCCTGACAAGATGGCCGTCTCGGCTGGCAGTGATGTGGAACCGCACTCGATTGGGCTTGGCATCACGACAAACGATAAGGTGCCGGCCCCCAGTCCTTCAGCACACACGTCGTCTACGATGACAAAGAGTCCGCAGCTTCAAGATCTGGTTGCGGAGTATGTTCGAACGCCACGCGAGAAAGACGATGCTGCGAACGAAGATGGCAGCAGCTGGTGTACTGAGAGCGTTTACTCGCAGGATGAGGCATATGAGCAGAAGCACGAGACGTTTCTCATTGACGACAGCTCGCCAGAAGGAGCATCGGCAAACGACTCACCTGACTTCACGCCACACGGCCCTGTCGGAAACATCGACGGCAACGAAAGGAAGGGCGAGCCCGAGGAACTGGATGCCGTCCCAGCACCCCTCAACATCAAAGTGTTGAAAGTCCGACCAAGCTTGACACAGTTACGGTCCACAGATGCAGGCTCCTTTGCACCAGAGCGTCAGGGCTCGTTTCGAGCGAAAATTCAAGCAGCCAGTCGGTTGCAGAAGGTCGTCATTGGGAGCCGGAGTCATCCTGCTTTGCGTGCGGCGGCTGAGGAACAAGCCTTGTTGGATGAAAGAGCGAAGCTTCCCAGAAGCTCTACGATTCGCGCGAGGAGCGAACCCTTCGATGCTGAACTGGCATCGATGCCAGATGTGCCGATGCATCAGACTCAGCAGACTGCGCTCACAGAGCCAATACCACAGCGCAAATTTGCCTCCGATCATACACCAAGTCCGAAGAAACTGGTATCCTGGCAACAGCAATCACCACTTCCAGGCAGCGGCAGCAAAAGCGAACAGCCAGCAAGACGTGGACATTCAGAAACTCCGCGCATCCGTCGGTCTGCCCCCTTTACTCCTCGCGTGTGGCTCCGATTCCCTCAAACACCCCAACCACCCCTTCACATGGAACCACGAGAAAGTCATGTGCCGCCAGATCCACACTCCCGATGACGAGAGTGCGCCATCCCCTCCACGAAACCTGGGCAACGCCTTCGCGCAAGCACAAGAACAACAATCGACCACTTGCCCCCTCTGCGGTGCACAATGCTGCCACTTTGCGCGCCTGCTCACCACCTCGCAACGCAAATCTACCGACGTCACAGACGCCGTGATCAAGAATCAGGCTGCGCGTGGCTTGCAGCAGCTTCGGAGTTTGCATCCTAATGGCGTTGAAGACTACGATACTTTCTTGCCTTGTTTTGGGTGTGGGACGCGTGTTTGTCCTAAGTGTGCCATCAGGTGTGGGGAGGCGATGTGTGCTGCTGTTGTTTGTGGGCGGTGTGCGGAGGGGGCGGAGAGGTGTCCTGTGCATAACTTTTTTTGATGATGGGAGCATGAGAGACGAGGGGAGGATGAGCATTGGGCGTAGGACCGACTCGTGGTGAGCTGGGGGAAAGGAACTTGGGACGAACTGGCCGCTCAAAGGCAGGCCTGTCTACATAACGACTCTAACGTAATGCAAATGATCATTCAGCTCTCCTTCTCGCCATCCTCTTCTTTGTGCTTGACGAATAGTTCATAAAACGTAGCCGTATCCTCCGCTCCTTCGACACGGACACCATTGATGTCGAAAGTAGGCACACATGACACTCCATCCTCTCTACCTCGGGCATCGAGCCGATCAACTTCCTCCCCATACCTCCCTTCCTCCAACGCAGCCAACGCATCCGATGCAGAAAATCCAGCAGCAGCCTCAGCACATTCCGCCAAGAAGGAGTAGGAGGTGATGTCAGCGCCAACTTCGCACCACCGGAAATAAAGCATCTCGATCAGCGCTCGCTGCGCTTCGGAGCCTTTGGAAAGACCCACGGCGTAGATTAGACGGTGGGCAGACCGTGTGCTCCCAATTTTGCTGTCAAAGGTGAAGTTGATCCCGTGATTGCGGCCGATGCGCACCACTCGCGTCTTAATGTCGCCAGCGGCGTCAGGGCCTAGAAACGAATCCAGGCGTTGCTCGAGGGGGACTGGGACGGCGGGTAGGCTGCGGTCGCGATAGTAAGGGCGGAAGGCGAGGTGGAACTCGTCATGTCTGGCGCCCGGATATGTCTTCTGGAAGAGAGCAATGGCTTGGAAGAGGGTACGGTGGCCGATGTATGACTGCGGGATGCGGGTTAGGATGGATCGGTGGTGAGCTCGTCGTGTTGAACTAGACGCACCCAGGCACAGATGATGTCGAAGTAGATTGTGATGGTGTGTTGGATCATCTTCGTTCAATCGCTTCATCAGTCATTCTCGGCATTCTGTCTCTTGACAGGAGATTTGAGTCCGATCGTTGGCTCAAGGCATCATCTGGCTTTGCAATGTTGCAGCCTTATCGAAATAAGCTCGGAGTGCCAACGGCTTCGTCCGGCGCTAGGATGCACCTTCACGTTTGATCTCTTTGCACGCGACCTCCTCCACATCTCGCCGAGACACCTCTTCGGCGTCGGCCCTGACGTGCAATGGCTCAACCAACCCTTCCTGCACCTTCAGCACCGTCAAAAAAGCGAAAGGATCCGCCCATCAACTCCGCATTCAGACCACACGCGCAAAAGAAACAAAAGACGGACCATCGAGCCCGACAGCGCGATGCCCGCACCCTCAGCACGCAAACCACCTCCAAAGCCTTCCATAATGGCGCCCTCGATGTCTCCGCCTTCATCAAGGCGCGTGAGTATGAGATCACCGCTCTGCAGCAGGGCATTCAGCGGAGTGGGCACGCGAACAATCGGAGAGCCTTTCAGCAGGTCCCGAAGGAGCTCAGAAGGAGGACGGCGAGTCATAATGCGAAGAAGGTGCCGAAGAGGCTGAGGCGGAGGGCGGAGAAGGAGGTATGTGCGTGCTTTGTTCAGTGTCATGGACGAGTGGAGACAGGGTGCTGATATGCTGGTAGATGATTGAAGACAACACGCCTACGGTCACTGCAAGAAGACGAAAGCCTACGGGGCATATGCGATTACGTCTGGACACCATGAAAAGACTGAGGGCTCTCGGTGCACAGAAAAGAGCGGCGAAGGACAAAGCAAAGGAGGGCAAGGCAGATGCAACGGGACAACCTGATCGTGCAGCCGCAATACTTCCTCGCAAACCGAAGCTCAAAAAGCAACCGACTCTTGCCAAACCTCCCACCCCAAAGGCGAGATTCCGCAAGCGTCAAATACACAAGTCCTGGCTACCTACGCATCTCTTCCACACAAAGCGGGCGCACATGACTCCTCCTTCTGCACCGCTTTGGAGGTTCTCAATTCCCCTTACGCCTACGCAGAAGAGTTATCGTCCAACTCATCGAGCTGCAAATGAGCGGGGTGCGGTTGCTTGGGATATGAGTTACATCGCGACCATCGCATTGGAGGGCAGAGAGGACAGTATAGAATCTCTGCTCCGAGGGTTGAGGGTGGATATGGCTCAAGGACGCGCGAAATGGAAGAATGGCACGAGATGTCGCGAAGTGTGGATCTACGGCCGCGACTCGAAGCATCCCATTGCGCCTGTCACGATCATATGGTCCGCTTCATCGACGGTGGAAGTGCAGCCATCGTCGAGGAAGCGAACGCTCTTCCTACGCATGCACCCTTCAGCGTTTACCCAGACATGGGAGGAGGTGTTGAAAATGGCACGAACAGCTAAGCCAGCTGTGACTGTCGAAGATCTCCGATTCGAGATCGGCAGCATAGACATCACAGGTCCAGGCAGCACCGAGGCATTACTGGCAGCACTGTGGCCGACGCAGACACCGACCGAAGAAGTCAGCGTGGAGAAGACGTGGGCCTCTCTCCTTGGACTTACGAACCCTGCATCACTCCCTGCCGGCGCAATGCTAGCTTTCGACACGCAGGATCCGAGACTGCATCATCCGCCACGGACGGTTCAGCCTCCAACGTCTCAACAGGAGTACGACAATCTTTTAAGACTGATCGCCGAATGGCCAGTCGACCGCCTGCTTACCAACCCTGTCATATTCGATCGCATCGCCCGACAAGAAGGGTCTCGTCTTCCCTCCCAGAAAGCAATCAACCGTCGCAAGTCTCTCGCAACGCCTGGAGCATATCCAGAAGCTATCGCCACGGATCCCGCGATTCCAATTCTCCTCTACACCACACCGGACAGCGATCGAAGAACGCAATCCACCTGGACACTCCTCGCACCTTGGAAGACAATCCAACCGATCTGGTACAGCATCCAGTATTACCCGCTCTCCACCGGCCACCAGCCTCGGTTCGGAGGCTTGAACGAGAAACGACAGCTTGCCTTTCAGCGTGGGATTGCGTGGTTCCCGGCCGACTACCCCGGTACTGATGCTGGGTGGGAGTGGGAAATGCAGGAAAGGAGGGTGAGATTGGAGGAGTGGAAGAAGAGGCCGAAGGCGAAGAGAGTCAGTTGGGAGAGGGTGGATTTGGGGGGCGGGAGGAGAGGTGAGGTCGGGGATGGGCTGGCGTGTGACTGGTCGTTGCTGCTTCGTCGAGAAGAGGCTGCCGTTGCCAGAGAGGAAGGACAGGCTACCACCCGACCCGAGGGGCTTGCGCATCTCCCGCCCGCGCATGCGCGCGAGGTGTTGAGCAACGCAGCCAGCACATCACCGAGTCCGATCGACGGCAAGCTCGCCACCATCCGTTTAACACTGATCACCCGCGGCGTCCCACAGACATGTGCACGCATCTATCGTCTACCACGAACCGACATAGCCCTTCGAAAGTCCTGGCTCACGCTGCTCGAAAAACCCAACGGAAACCATAAACACCACCTCCCAACTACCGTCGCTCTACCCAAAGACGCCTCGCCTCATCTACTCCAACGCCGCCTCGCGCAGTCTCTCCTTTACACCGCCCAAGCAGGCGAAGAGACCTACCCATCTTGCCCAGGAGAAGAAGACCTGATTGGTTTCGTCACTACGGGCAACTTCAATTTGGCGGAGGGAAAGGGGACGGGCATGGGGTGTGTGATGCTTGCGAAGGTGCTGGAGGATGTGAGGAGTGGGGAGGATGAGGTAAGACGGTTGTGTGTGGTTAGGAATTCCGGGGAGGGGATTGCGAGGCTGGGGAGGTGGGAGGTTGTGTAGGCTGTTGGTTCCGCCTGTTCCCTGCATGTACAGCGCACCATGTCACTTGTTATGAATGAGAGCGACGCACAGCAGTCGTGCAGTTGTCAACGAGGCACAGCAGTCGTCCAGTTGTCAACGAGGCACAGCAAGGCTGGTTGTTTCCCGCCAAGCGCGAACGAGGACCAACGCCGGCCCTAAGGGAAAGCTTAAATCTTTGCCAATCCCGACGACCTGCGCGCCCGTTGAAATTGCGGCACAGCACCAACTAACGCCGTCCACGCGCCTCCGATCCTGGTGAACGTTGCACAAAGTGGTCGATCTTGAACGTCTACTGCAATTAGGTGAAAAGTCGGCGGCTCGGGGCCGAAACCTTGCCTCCGCGTCGTTCCTCATGAGCCGCACACCGGCCAGTCTTGACGTCGCTCATCGGCGCGCATTGCTTCGCCCGAATATTCCAGGGGTTGCTGCTGCGGCGCCTTACCTCAGGTGGGCTTCAGCATGACGAACCAGACGGCTTGGACCTCACCGACAGCACGCAGTAACGAGCGAGACGAGGCGTAATAACGAGATGTCTCGTGATGCGCAATTCCTGTGGCTGCTGCAGGAACAAGACACCCTCGCGCCATTTCTACCTCATTGGGTGCAGTTTTCCGAACATTGTTCTCCGTGCCCATATCTTCGACATCGCGCGCGCCTGGGAGCAAACTCCGACACGCTGGATGGCTGGACAATTTGGAATTCGACAAAGCTTCAACTCGGCTAGACGCCAAATACAGTCTTCGGCATCATGCGCATTCAACCAAGACCAGCACAAGAGCCGCGCAGCCTAGCAACCTCGTCACTGCGGCGCATGGAACCAAGTTGCAAAGATCGAAACTTTAACCGCCCTGTGTCGGACTCCCCGCCAAACTCTGTCTAGCGTTAAGCCTCATTGACACTGACGAGAACGTGGCGTCCGCGCGATGACGATGAGCCGCCAAAGCTACCTTCCAAGCGCTTCCTCCACGCTCCTGTCGCCTGCCTAAATGAGCTGCCGGGCGTGAAATTTGTCAATGCCATGCCCTAACGTCGGACTGGTGTTGAGGCATTCGTCACCAAGCTCCCAAGCTGCTGGGGAGCTTGCACCTTGCTGCTTTTGTAGATCACACCATGGTAAATGTGGTGCCACCATGCCGCATGATACACTTGGTGCGGCGAGTGCTGTCAACCCCACGTCAGTCCGGCGGGAATCTCCACGCGCTAAAGAGGAAACGAAAAATGTGGCTTGGCTCGGATGCCGCAGCGCTTCTAGAATGGCGGAATGGAAGGAGTGGTTGGCCGCTCTCCTACTCTCCTGGTAACTCACGGCCACTAGCTCGCAGAGACCCAGGTCTCGGCACCGATGGGCACAAGGCTACGTTGCTGACACTCGGGCCTCTCGCGTAAGCGCAATCTGCCTATTCCTGCAAGGCCGCAGGCCGAGACACGCCTCATACGCCTCACAAACGCCTCATTCGTTTGGACTTGCCAACCCCCGGCCAGTGCCGGCCCACGACTTCCTTTTCTTGGCGGCGGCAATGGACAGCAGCATGGACACCAAGCAATAATCTGAGAATACACGACGCATCTTGGACGTTCTCAGCGGCGCACCGTCCTTGCTTACGTGGAAGCCCGACCTGGCGTGATCCTACCAGGAGAGTTTCACGCATTGAGCTTAATGCTTGTTAGCGTAACACAGTAGCCTGAGCCCAAACATTTGGGAGAGGACCGAAGGCAAACTCACGCCGCCGACGCACAGGTTGTCGCGCTGTGGCTCATGGGGAGGCGTCATCCCCTCGTTCCGCTCTTCCGAATCCATTCCTCTTGCATAAAGTGAGCATTTCGGGCGCGGCGCCACATGCAATCGCCAACCTGCAGCCGGTCTCAAGGTGGATCCTCGAGGACGGTGCCTCTTCAACACCAGGCCAAGACAGGGGTCTCTCCCTTCTGCCGTGCGCTATCAACGGCTCTCGGGTCTCCTGACGTCCATTTACCTGACCGCTCTGACTACGCCATAGTGATTCGCACATCCCCACAGCCCATTTCCTCCCCGTCCTGCTGATTGGCAGGAGTGACTACATAAGTGGCGACCACCCAACATCATCCCGGGTTGGACTGTGTGCCGCATTCATACCTGACACTATTGTTTGTTGGCTTTCCTCCACACACTCGCCGCACATTCGATGGCTTGGTCATGGAATGGGACAGACTCGACTGCTTTTCCTTTTCTCCTATACATTGGCGCCCCCCAGAACCCGGACCTTTCTCCATGCCCATCACGTTGAGCGCAGAATTTCGTTGCGACCATCGGGCGAAGGCGAGAAGCAGACTCTCACGCATTTGGACGATCGATCTGGTTCACGGCGGCGGAAGAACAACCTGCATCATTCCCTAATCTCTTACTCTTGCGCACGCCCAATTTCGCTTATTGACCTCGTACATGGCACCGCGACGGCGGCAAGACAACACTCCAAGATCGAACTCAACGTCGGACCAAAACGATGCTCAAGCATCCAGTGCAATCAGAGGCGTGAATAGCGGCGGCGGCGGACGAGTCGCGTACGACATCCCATCACTTCCCATCCAAGGAAACGCAGGTGGCATCCGACCAAACAGCGTCGGCGGGGTGCGAATACACGCTTCGCAAAGAGCCGCCTCCGCGCCGCAAATGGCTCAGAGACAGCAGGCGTCTGACGCGGAGGGCAGGAGAGTAGGGAACAGGTTGGGCTACAGACGCGCATCGGTCGCTTGTGGTAATGCTCCTTTCCCCTAACCTGGTCGCGTGCTTGTTTACATGGGCGTGCGCGCGCCAGCACGCGCCAATACCTTATCGCTGACATTCATCAACAGCATGGTGCCGCCATCGAAAGATCCGCTGCCTTCGCAGTTCCGCAGATCCGCAAGAGCCGTGCCAGAACTGTCAGGCGTCCGGGCGAGAGTGCGTTTTCGAACCGCCGGAGCGCCGAGTCGGATCAGAAGAAGAGTCGCCCGCCTCCAACAATGGCGAATACTTGTCGACTGCCAGCCGCACTCCGGACGACGACGGCTCGATGGATGGAGAGGGACACTTTTACCGGCACCCGCCTCCACTCACGAGCGGCCCCCCGAATTATCCGTACCCCATGGCCCCCGGTCATGCAGCAGGTGAGTTCGCGGTACTTGAATATCTTCTGGTGCAGCTCGTGATCTGACCAAACATCCACCAGCCGGACCAGCCTACGCCCATCCTTCTCCCCTACAATCGCCAAACAGCGACTCCTCGCCCTGGCAATATCCCGGCACCACCATCCCCGGCATAGGCCACCCACAATTCCCACCCGTGCTCTCATCGTACCCACCACAGCCGCCGTACATGCCCTTCCACCAGCCCTCGTCCAGCGCCGACGTCGCCCCCTTCCACTCCACTTACGCGCCTCACGATCCCCATTCCTCGAGTCCATACACGCCCACCGCGCCGCAGCCGATGTGGCAGACGAACATTCCTTTCCAACACGCGCCGCCAGTCCTTTTGACCCAACCATACGCGAATGAGTCGGCTTTTGCTCCACCGAGCCAGCCGTACGCGAGTGAATCAGCGTTCGCTCAGCCAGCCCCGGCGTACGCGAATGAAACGGCCTTTGCGCCGCCGCTGATGATGCCGGGCCAGGGGTTGGGTTTGCGATCGCCGCACCAACAACAGTTCTGGCGTCCACAACAGAACGACACATACGACCCTTTACGACCTGAGAGCGGCGATGCGAGTGCGCGTCTAACGTACGATGCTTATGGTTCGTCGCAATCGGATGGCAGTGATGCGGCTGCGCGTCGAGCGAGAGGCGGCGGGGAAGGGAAAAGACGGGCGCATTGAGGGATTGAACAACATTTGTTCGCGTCCATGTCGGATGGAGATGGTGTTGCGAGCGTGGCTGGCTGCGATGTTCAAGCTGGGATCGCAGTATTCACGGCGGAAAGACACACATCCGCAACATATGGCAGGAGAAGACTGGACAGGAGAAGCAGAGAGACAAATCGTACTCTGCGCGACGATGCGCCGTCGCGACGTCTCGACAGGACGAGTGCATTCCGGCTGTATGTATCTGGGGGGCCACTGCACAGCGGCCATTAATCCATTTCGGTTGTCATGGATCTCGGTGGGCTGGCATTGGATACAGGAAGACTTTCGGCATCCCGTTGTGTACGATGGACTACACAAATGTGTACGATGGACTACACGAGGAGCTCGAAGTGCCAGAAAGGCACACTCAATCTATCATGAATTGCCTACTTATGCCATTGATGTGATCGCACAATGACGAAAACAGCAAGCGACGTTCCGTTGTGATTATTCGAGGCCAGAGCCGCAACGACCAATTTCCCCAAGCGTGCATGTGGCATGTGACGACCAATTACTGGCGCCGTACCGCCGTCTACTAGTCCAGATCGCGTTCCGCGTTGGAGGGAATTGGGCGGGCGATGACGTCTGATCATCACGTCTGGGGCAGGCGAGGGAGGGGGCGGGGCTCGCAGCAATCGCAACGTTTCCTCCCTCGACCTGTATCACTGCTGTCTTTGCTCTCTCTTTCTCCAATTTCTTTTCTCGACACGCTCTATATCAAGACTACTCCATTTCAGAGACCATCACACAAGAAGACTCAGCATCAACCGCAGACATGACCGACAATCTGTACGTCACCTCCTGTACATCGCAATCTCCGTGGAGAGGACTGCCCGACTAATAGACTGCTCCTTCTATCCACAGCCGCCAAAGCGCCACCGACAAGGCCGGCTCCGCCCTCAAGCCCGACAGCGAGAAGTCGACCGTCGAGTTGGCGCAGGACAAGGCGAAGAGCGCAGCGGACAGCGTGGCCTCTACTTTGCAACCTGGTAAGCAAGCCTCGCTGCTCCTCCGGTGCCGTGTGGCAGAATGTGCTGATGGACGGGTGTTTGCGTGATTGCAGAGGGCGAGAAGTCGGCGACTCAGAAGGTGAATACCCCGACAAGCGTTGTGCATCGAAGGATACCTGCTGACACGGCCTTACTTGACGCAGGCCACTGACACCGTCTCCGGAAGCGGTTCCGAAGGCAACACCTACCTTGAGCAGGCGCAGGAGGCGCTGGGCAATGCTGCTCAGCAGGCACAAGAGACGTTGGGCCACGTTGTCGAGCAGGCCAAGGAGGCGTTGGGATATGGCGAGCAGCCGCCGAGTACGTGATCCCCCTTCTGCATCCTGCCTCCAGTCTATGAAGGATGGGAGAAACGAGGAGATGTGTGCTAATGTGTGTGGGACTCGTAGAGTAGGGAGTGGATGGATGAAAGGAGACCGATTGGTCTTGTGTGATGGAGGAGTTGGTGGGGATGGCTGTAGAGAAATGCTGGATCATGTAATGGGCAATCTCAAGACACGCCTGCGCGTTCGTCCGACGTCGTTTGTCCAACTTCGTCCGATGTCGTTTGTCCAGTTTCGTCCGATATCGTTCGTCCGCACGCTGTCCGATAACTCCCGCGTGACAAGGTTACGAACGTTCGATTCGTGGTTCAATGGAACCTTTGGACCACGATCTCGGAGTGGAAAACCGGCGCCGAATGATGAGTTAGGTATAGGGTCGGGAAATGCAGAAGCTCCGCTCCGACTCGGTCTCCCACGCGCGCGGATGACTTCACTTCTCTCTTTCTCTTCCATCATCCCTTCACTCGTTCGCAACGCCCTGCTCTCTTTAGCCTCATTTCACTGCGATTGCGAGGCCGCATAGCGTCATTCTTGCTTCTCTCGCGGTCTCGAATCCACGAGATCCCTGGCTTCTGGCTGGCACTGGTATGAACTCTCTTCGGCTGCCCGCCCCGATCGCCCATTCCACATCCCGGCAGATCAAGCGTGGCGCTTTCGGCTTCTACATCTGGTAGCCGGCGACATCAATAAGCCTTCCAGCCTTCTGACAAACCGCGCGCTGCCCTCGCTGCGTCCACGTCCTCCGGCCGCCTCAATCGACTGAAGCGTCGGTAATCATTCGCTTTCGTCACTCGCGGAACATGATGGCATTCTGCCTTCATCGGCATAGCGCCTCCATCCGCCAATCATCCTTCGAGTATGTCCAGCGTTACCGGTTTCTTTTCGGGGCCTTGCATTGTTGTTCATGTCCGTCCATCACACGACCCTGGACTTCGAATCGTGTCTAGATCGTGCGGTAGGTGAAACGTTCGCTATATAGGGCCTGCATACTGGTCGGCTCTTCTTTCTGTCATCCCTACCCCTCCATTGTTTCCTCATCTCCCATACCGCTACTGCATGACGCTACTCGCGCATTTGCAGCTGCGACTACTCTTTCCAGCAAATGAGCCGCGTGCCACCAACTACTAGATCAGACACCAGTGGTGAAGCCAGCTCCTCCTCCACCACATCATCCTCGCCTTCCGTTCCCGCCCTTGTGCCCCCGACCGCGCAAGCACCGCCTGCGCCAGGATCCTGGCTGTTCTCCCCACAAGCGTTAGATGACGCGAGGCAAGGTACGTGCTTGGCCATCTTTACATCTTGATGATTCCAAGTCTGACACACACCAGGCTACGTATCGCCCTATCCTCCTGTGCCACCAACGCTTGCAGCAGGAGGACCGGCCGGCGGACCGCCAGCAGCGAGCAGCTCGGGACCAGGAGCATTGTCCACCATCCCCGAAACAGTTCCGGATTCTCTTTCCAAAGACACCGAGCAAAGTGTACGTGCGCAGCGACCGCAGAGGCGTCCTTCTCGGACCGCCTTGCCACGATTTCCCTCAGGTCCGCAAGACTTCCCCATCGGTCTTTCCACTGACTTGAATGCCCAGCGAGCGCAAATGCTGGCACTTGCCACCGCTCTCAACGAACGACGCATAAACACCATCGGCGAGCTGCGGAGAATCGAGCGGGACTTTCCCATCCAAATCACTCCCGATTTCACGCAATCTTTGACCTTTGCTTGTAAGTCTATGCCGTTCCACACTTTTTGTCTCCAAACTAACATCTCGCACAGGGCGCAACTACGTCAATTCCAACAACCTGCTCACCGACCTCCGCCGTCTCACCCGCAACTACCCCTTCAGCTCCGAGTGTCTGACAGAAGCGAAGAAGCGAGTCGGTGAAGACCCTACCTCCACTCGCTCCTGGAACTACTGCTGGCTCGTCCTGGCCAAGATCGAATCCGACGAGCTGATTCCCACATTTGCCAAAATGCTGGCCGCCGATCCGAGGATGTGGGGTGGTCGTGTGCCAGAGGATGGTGTTGAGGCGGTGGAGAAGCTTACGGCGGCTTTTGTCGAGGAGTGGACGACGGCGCTGGAGTATATGCTTCGCTACTGGGACACGGATCCCGTGAGACGGTGAAGTGGAGTGCGTTTCGTTTGCTGTTTGCATTTGGGTGGCTTTGGCATTTTCATTCATTGCATGTGCATTCAGCGAGGCAGGGTCAGAATTGAATTTCACGCTATGCTAACGTTTGACCGAGATGGAAACCTGACAAGTTGCAGGAAGTGTCCGTCAGCCTTCCGAGACGGTTTCATCAATGCTCAGTACACCGAACCCTTCTCGCCTCGCGCCTCGAGCTTAGCATTCACCACGCCCGTGTCCTTGAAGATCTTCACATGGCTGCACTTCAACCCCTCATGCGGCGCCCCGGGCACCTTGACAAGCTCGTGATGAAAGAACACCGGCACCAGCACATCCCACTCCTCCCCATGCGAATCCTTGACCTTCTGCTCTCCCTTTGCCGCCTTGCCAGTAAGATTGGCCGCCACATTCGCCTGCGTGTACGTATCGTACCCATCCTCCGACTCAATCGCGATCAGCGTAAACACATTATGCTTATACTTCGCAAATGGGCCCTTGTAAAACTTCTCGATGGCGTCCTCGTAGCTCTCCAGCCCTTCATCCCAGTGCTCGCCGTCGGGCGTTTTGATGGACCACGAGTCGACGAAGAAGTCTTCTTTGTTGCTGTGGTCCGGCTGGTCGAACCATTGCGCTAGGGCTTCGATGAAGCGTAGCGCGGGGTGTTCGCGCGTCTCTTTGCCGAAGTGGTTGTGCACTACGTAGGCGGGTTTGGTGTATGCTTTGGACATGGCTGGTGTGGGAGGCTGAGTGCTGAATTCGATCTGGGGAGCTTTGGGATTCACGGAGACTCGGTGAACGGGGAAGTGTCGGACGTAATGCGAGACGGCGACATGTTTTATACTCGACGCAGCTCAGAGCTCGCATCGTGACCTCTTGCATGCATATCGTGGTGCAACTTCCTCTTCCGGTATGTGCAGCAAACCTACGTCTGCTCGTCGGGCACCAGAAAGCTTGACTGTCAACGCTAATGGGTGGGTTCGACGGACTGTTGGTGCTTTGCAAGTGAGATGGCGCGAGAGTACAGGTGTGGTGGAATGCAGGGTGGTGTGGTAGACGCCACGTTGTCAGCCTCCGCGCGATTGACTGGAGTTTCTACAAACCTTCATGCTTCGACCGCGTCTGTTTACATTACAAGTGTCCAGAGCAGAAGGTCGCCGCGGGAGAGGAGCTCGTGGCGGGACGGGGATAATGCGCAGACCGTCATCCGCCGTAAGCGATATGTAGCTGAGCCTGTGATGAAAAGAGGCCCACATCGATTGTTGCTGGTTAACAGGCTGAGGTTAGCAAGCAATGACTAAAAGTCAGGACGAGTTCGAAGTTGCGAGCCCTACGAGCCTTGCGAGCCACCAGCACCCAACTCTCTTCCAACTTCACCCCAACTTCCAGCGCACTTCCATCTCCAGCACATTCGAACAAATCACACATTCAGTCTATGACCTTCATCTCATCGGGCAAGTCTCGGCGGGGAAGCGGAGAATGTCAGGCAAATGGAATCTACGATGCACCATGCGAGCTCAGCAGCCTCTAGCAACACTCCAGTCTGGATTGCACGGCGTATCCTCGCCATTCTGACAACAGTCATGCCCGGGTGCGGGATTGCCTGCCCAAAATGGAGAAAGTGGCAGATTGCGCAAAATCCGAGCGTAATGTTCAATGCAACGTCCATACCTGCGGCGAAAGTGATCGTTGGCGACCTCAGCTGGCGCAAGCTTCTTCTACTCCACCCGCTCATGCTGTCATTGGCGAACTGTTTCTTCCGCTCCGGTTATGGTTCCCACAAGAAGAACCACACTCAGCGCTGCCCTCTGTTCGCTTGGTCAGCATCTCACCTTGCATGTTTCTCCCGTGGAAGTGGAGTGAAATCCCGCCATTGCCGTAAAATGCTATCTCGACAGCGCAACAGACTCTGCGAACTAGCCCGGAACTGGTAGCGATGGTCGTTGGAATTATTGCGTGATCGCCATTCCCACGGCAAGAATCTCGGGATGCTACCCCGCTACGTAACCAGGACCGGACCCTGGCGCATGTCAGCCTGCCACCATGGCCGACATATGTAAAGGCGTCTCGGCGCCGAGAAAACAAGCTCTCTCGGCAAGGCTTCTTTGCATATCCCACACGTCTCGACATGGCCGAAGTCACTGATGACAAGACTGCAAGCGCGGTGTATTCCGACCACAATGGCTCAAGCGAGGACGGCCCGAGAAATCAGGGCGCCGGATATGCCATTATCGAGCAAGAGTACATCATTCCCGAGGTTGGCGACGGCACGCGGAAAACCACCACCCCTCGGGAGTACTGGGCGTTTGCGCTGTACAACTTGGGTGCTACCGGGGTTGGCCTGGGCAATTATGCGGGCGGTCTGCAGCAACAACTGGTCGAGTCTGCCCACCCGAGCGGATACCTGGACTGGCCTTCGAAGACCTCGACGAGTGCTTTTATTCTCGACCTCAATGGCATCATCTTTGCGGTCCAGGTTGTCATTCTGCTGGTGATTGGACCGTATGCAGATTATGGACGTTGGCGCCCCTGGATTCTGATCGTCTGGACAATCATTGCCATCGCTGCCTCCTTCGCCTTCCTTGGATTCAGCAAACCCTCTCAATGGAATCTCGTGTCTGGCTTCTATGTGCTAGGCAACGTCGCAGTCAATGTTACTGGTTCCTTTTACTTCGCTGCCTACCCCAGCATCGTTCGCGATCTGCCTCAGATGCAAGAATCGGAAAGACAAGTGTTGGAAGGCACCAAGACTCCCGCGGAGCACAATCAGCTCGACGGCCTGGAACGCTCGAGGCTGTCCAACTGGACCTACGTCTTCTCCGGCCTGGGCAGCACTGCCTTCATCCTCCTGGCCCTCGCCATCTCGTATGGTATTGGGTATCAGACCATCCCGGAGAATGACCGGATCTTCGGCGTCGTGACTGCGTACTTTGGTGGAATTTTCATCCTCACGTCTATCCCATGGTTTCTTCTTGACCAACACCGACCAGGCTCGAGGCTGCCGGACAATACCAGCTGGCTTACTGTGGGACCCAAGCAGATCTGGGAAGCCGCGAAGAATGTGGCACACTTGAAGCAGACGTTCCTCTACATCCTGGCCTATTTCTGCCTTGCGGATGCCAGCTCTACTTCGGGCAACATCGTACAGATCCTGCAGAACAACACCATCAACTTTGACACCGTGAAATACTCTGGCCTCTACGCTGTGGTGTATGGGACCACGGGCAGTACGTTGATCTCCCCCCCTCTTTTCGCCGAATGCTGACACGCAACCCCGCAGTTGGTGTCCTTGTCCAGATTTGCATCCAGAAGAAGTGGAAGATCACGCCCAAGACCATGTTCATTTGGAACACTGTCCCGACTATTGCCGTCAACATCTGGGGAATTATCGGTATTTGGACAAACGCAATCGGCTTCCATCACGAATGGGAATTCTGGCTGTTTCAGGCATGGATTGGTGGCGCTTCTGCCGCCTGGCAGGCATACTCGACCACGCTGATGGCGGAGGTGTCGCCGGCCCCCAAAATGTACATCTTTTTCGCCTTGTTCAATACCGTCGGCAAGACTTCGTCGTTTGTCGGACCCTTCATCTCTGGAGCCATCATTGACGATGCCAAAGGGAACAACAACGCTGGGTAAGTTGGTTGCATGAAACGGCGATGTTGTGCGTTTGACCTGTGTCCTGACTGCCCACAGATTCTGGTTCCCGTTGTTCCTCAGCCTGCTTGGTCTTGGCTTGCTTCTGTTCGTCAATGTCGACAAAGCGAAGCAGGATTGTGCCAAGTTCTTGGAGCGCGAGCGTGACGATTTGTACAAATCCTACGGACAGCGGGGAGATATCCAGGTGGAGGTTGAGGAGCGGAACCCGTCTGTTACGGTCGACACCAAGGAGGCAGAGAAGGAAGACTAGTCTAATCAAGAGATATCGACTGCGCATATTGGGGTTCGGTCTCGAGGCGTTTGAAAGCTGCCACTAAGATGGAAAGAGATCTGATGGTGGTATTGAGGTACAGAAACGCGGAGGATGACGGGGAGTGATGGCAGTGCACCAGGTCAGCCGAAGAGGAATGATTGTGTGGCCGAGATCTTTCCCCTGCATCCGAGAGGGCTACTTCGTGGCAATGGGGGCACGTTTGTCATGATTATCGGGAGACGGGCTGCAAATACTTCCCCGCATTCTCGCCTTTACACCTCATCTTTTACCGCGCTCAATGACTCCCTTCCTCGGAAGACTCTCATAAGTCGACAAAGCCGGGAACGAATAGCCAGCTATACCACCTGCTTAATCGGTCTGTTTGAAATGCCACCCCTATGGAACTGCTTACGCTGTTGATCGCCGTGGCTATCGTAGCTGGGTCTTGGGCAGTATGGGCCCATAGCCGCGGCGCCGCAGATGCACGTCTGCAAGCACCAAACACCCCACTGAGCGCAGTCAGCGCTGCGTTGCTTGAGGACCTGCCTGAAAGCGTGTCCACAGAGGGCCAGTCCCAATTCGCAGCCTCCGTGGACTCTTACTGGGCTGACCAGCAGCGTGAGATCGTGCCCGAGTGCGTCGTCAAACCGCGAACCGATGCCGAAGTCTCCATCGCCGTAAAGATTATCAATGATCATTTCACACAGGCTATTTCTCAGGGCCGGGAACCGCTCAAGTTCGCCGTGCGCGGTGCGGGCCATTCTGCTATACCCGGCTTTTCCAACGCTGCAGGTGGCGTTGTCGTTGACTTGAGTCTTCTCAATCATGTTGAACTATCTGCCGACCGATCGACTGTATCTGTTGGCGGCGGTGCGAAATGGGTCGATGTCTCGCGAAAGCTCGACCCTCTAAGCCTCGCTGTCGTCGGCGGAAGGAACGGCGATGTTGGCGTCGGTGGACTGACATTAGGAGGTGAGACGGACAACGCCTTACCGGAGGATTGAGCGGCTACAGAAGAAGCTGACGTTTCATCCAGGCGGCTACTCATTCTACAGTCCACGCAAGGGCTTTGTTTGCGATAACGTCGCCGAATATCGAATCGTGCTGGCTTCTGGCGAGACCACCACAGCCTCTGAGCAACACAATCACGACCTGTGGCGCGCTCTCAAAGGCGGTGGTAATAACTTCGGTATCGTCACGAACTTCACCTTGCGAGTATTTCCAAATGGCAAGCTCTGGGGCGGCTTTCTCTACATGTCGTCTAGCAAGATCGATCAAACGCTTCACGCATTCCACCGGTCGCTTGAGACCTTTGACGAGTATGCAGCCGGTCCGCTCGTTTGTATTACCTGGCTTCAGAAAGTCGGCTTTCGAATCATCTCCCTGCATCTAATGTACACCAAGCCCGAGGTATGGCCCACATTCTGGCAACCATTCAAATCGATTGGCCGGCTGTGGAGCACGACCAAGATTCGCTCTCTCACGAGCGCTACGGAGGAACTGGATAGCGTTGCTCCTGCACGACCACGGTTTGTCATGCTCGGTCTCTGTCCGGGGATTCATACTGATCGCTGTGCAGTAAGCTGCACATGTCCACAGTCATCAAGAACGATCTCGCGACACTGCAATTCGCCCACAAGGTCTTCGAGGAGAAGATTGGACGTCTAAAGAAAGTCAAGGGGATGACGTGGACTCTGGTCTTCCAACCAGTTCATGCCTCGTCCATGCAAAAAGGCCGGGACAATGTCCTGGGTCTGCAAAATCGCACCGAAAATCTGGTTGTGGTACTGTTTGCCGGCGTCTGGGAGCAGGCGCTAGATGATATGCATGTCAATGAGACGGCAAAGACGGCGCTGGACACGATTCGGCGTTACGCAGCTGACCGGGGAATGGCGGACGATTTTTGCTACGTGAATTGGTGTCCCAATACCTCGACTAGTCCCTTTCTGTCTTACGGGGCGGAGAACGTGGCATTGCTGAAGCGTGTGGGTAGGGCAGTCGATCCCGATGGATTGTTCCAGCGCGGCTGTGTTGGCGGGTATAAGCTAGTGGGTGTAGAGGCATAGTAGCGGTGATGACTACTCTCCTCTCCTGCATCTCTGACTCTTTTCCTCAGGCGTTTGACAACCGTAGAGCGCCTTCGTTCCTTTGCGTGCGCAAGAGATGATCCCGACAGGCAGCGCAAGAAGCGGACAGGCAAGAAGTTACGAGATCGCAGTGCTGCCGACCGGTGATCTCTCTCAGATTAATGTAACTGCTTCGAGGCTTGTTTGGCAAACATACAGCATCTTCGCTGCTTTTCTTCGCTATGGAGATCTACCTAATGGGCAGCGTAACCGCGCTCACCCTCCCCTCAACCAGTCTTCCTCTTCTTGCCTCCACCCACCGTCTCCTTCCCCGCCATGACATGAACCTCCACCCACAACCTCCTTCCCCCACCGCCCTTCACCACGACCTCATCGAGAAAGTCCCCTGCCGTCCACCCGTCCAGCCCGCGCCAGCGAAACATCTCCACACTCCCCTCCCGACTGTGCGGCAACACCCAGACTTCGTACTCCGTGGGTGTCTGCGCCAGGCCAGCCGGAAGGAGGCTCTCTAGGCCAGCAAAGCCGGCGACGCCACTGGTTGACTGGCTGCTGCGGCTGCTGTCGGCGGAAGAAGTAGCAGAGGAGCGGCGGGAGAGCGGATCGCCTGTCTCCACCCAGTCGCAAAAGGTCGCGAGCGTTTCATCGTGGTCCAGAGACACTTGTACGGCCGTGTCAAGCTTCCGCGACGCTTTGTTTCCCATCATGTTTCTGAAGAAGACAACAGCGTCAATGCGTGCTGTGCTGTGGGTCTTTGATGGAAGTGGAGAGGGCTTGGAGGCGTAGGGAGCGTATGTCGGCATTCGGACGGCGAGACGGGTGAGCATCAGCGCCCTCTCTCCGGTCTGGTAGGGCTTTCCCTCCTTTTTGGCTTGTTTGACTTTCTTATCAATGGCTTGCTCGATCGTCTTGACTTCGGCCATTTTGGAGTTGCGCCGCTTTCGTGGCGGATCCGCCTCGATCCAGACAGGCGTGTGGAAGCCGTCGACAATCCCAATCAGCATAGGCGTGATGGCTTGTCTAGTAGTACATGCATTGTAGTCGAGGCCGTGATCAGCAGTGTAGGGTTGCGGAGTGGCATCAATGTCAAACTTGTTTCCCAGCGCGCAGTATCCGACAGTGATGCCGCCGATGTACCAGCTTTCAACGTGGCGGAAGTTGATGGACTCGGGAGAGCGGTTGGCCTTTATGGGCACCTCGGCCACGATGACTTCGGTGCAGGGGATGCCGTTGCCGTCGGTGACGGAGGTGGTGCCGTTTGGCACGCCAATGCGGATGTAGTGGCACTGAGGATCGAGCTGGGCTTGTATCTGACCTTTCTTGGGCGTTGCAGGGCGGATAGCGCGGAGGGGTAGGTCATCGGCAAAGGTAACAGCAGCGTTGCGCTTGCGTGATGGCCGTGTGGGGAGGGTTATGGAGTTTGCGTTGTCTGCATCGGCAGTTGTGTTGGAAGGAGCAATGTCAGGGAGAGAGGAGGCTGGCGGCGATGGTGCAACATTGCGCTTCATGACTTCAGCCACGATGACGGCGTTGCCCTTGGCGTCACGGTGGTGGTACGAGGGATCACGTCGAAGCCATTTGGAGAGCACGGCGAGGTTGCAGTCGTTGGGAATGTGGACTTTGACGGAGTGTGTCGTGGGATCAAGGCTGAGTTCTTCCAGGAGGGTGTTGGCGTATTGCTGTGGCAGAGTTAGCGGATGTACACGCAGGAGAGAGGGAGGGAACTCACGCTCAGAGCGGTAGCGTTGGGAAGTGTGATGAGGATGGACTTGTTCTCATACATCAGGTGGTCCGCAAAGTCGGAACGCTCGCAGATGACGATGTTGATGGCTGCGTCCATGCGGGGCGCCATGCTGCGCGATGTTGATGGTGGGTGGAGGGTTTGTCGGGTGGAAGACGATGGCGGATGTGCGAGAAAAGAGTTGGGAAGAAGCACAAACACTCGCGGCTTGGGAAGCTTGCCGCACACGCAGATGAGCCGTGTTTGTGTTGCCTCCCACTCAACCTCCCGACATTGTCTGGCAAATGCAGGGTGAGTACACAACTGTTTGTCTCATGCAACAGCGGTTTTCTCGTAGCAACCGCCAAGACGTCACAGGCTTCTGGTCCAGTTCCAACCCAACTCACCCACCCGAATAAGAAGCAGTCGACGGAAGAGACGAGGGTCCTTCAGCCGTGGTGGCCCTCCTGCACTGCCGGACATCCAGCGGATCGACACCATCCATCGAGTCCCTGTCAGTGGTATACCCCAGACTCCTCCGCTCCAACCCACCGTCATCATCATCATCGTCATCATCATCATCATCCTCCTCCGAATTCTGTGGCCTCCCCCCAACAGGCCTCACCGGCATCTTTCCCTCCTTCCCCTCCGCCTCCTCCGCTTGCACCTTCGCAACAGCACGAATCAACCGATGCATACTCTCGCACAATCGATCCAGCACAAACTCCGGCTCGCCCACTTTGGCCAGCAGCGGACTGTCCTCGCCAATCCAATCCCACTCAATCAAGTCCTCCTCTTCCTCCTCCGCCGTACCCCTCAGGATCATGCCGTGCTCATCGTGCCGCGCAGTGAAGCGAATCAACCGCGTAAATTCCACCCATTCCTCGTACGAATACCGCTTATTCGGCTCGCGCTTCATCTCCTCCGCCACCTGCCGGATCTTGGTCGTCAGTTTTTTCGCCAGCTGCGGTCTCGTTGGTTCTTTGGCGGCCAGGTCTTCAATCGTGGGGCCGTGCGACTCTCGGTGTTCCAACTCGGGTCCCACTTGGAAGCCAGCCTCCAACCTCTTTCGCTCTTCTTTCGCCTGCTTGCGCTCCAGCAACCACCGGCGAAAGCGATGATGCTTGTCCAGCCACTCCCGCCACACGCCATATCTCGGCAGGAGGGTAAAGTCGGCGACCCGAAATGTCCCACGTTTGAACTTGTTAATCACCGTCGCGCCCAGGTCGGAAATGAGAATGGTCATCGTGGGCACGGCGATGAGCGACCACAGCACGAAAAACGGGCGGCCCACATTGGATTGCGGCGCAAAGTCACCATACCCAATCGTCAGCAGCGAGACGTAGCAAAAGTAGAGCGCTTCAAAATAGGTCATGCCTTGGATGACACGCTCCGCCCGCCAAAACACCACCGCGCCCACACACCAGAGGATGCCAAAGGCGGTGATGGACGCCCCGAGCGCATACCAATTCTTGAACTTTGCCGTGTTCATTTGGATGTGCCGCATGGCGTTGAAGCGGTCTCTCTCCTCGCGCAGGATGAGCAATTTCGGCTTGCGTTGGCCGGGGGCCTTTGTGACGAGACTGGCGACCTTGCGCAGCGTGAGATTCTCCCGTGGCGCAGGTTGGGCACTGTCGTCGGCAAATGCTATTGCCGTGTCTCGGGAGCGATCGTGAGGATTGCTGGGAGCGGAGATGGTAGGAAAGGCGTCCGTGGCAAAGGTGGGTGCGCGATCGCGGTCGAGATCTAACGAGCTGGTGATGGTTCGGCCCGCGGTTTTGGCCCGACTTATCTCTGTATGCTTCCTCACGATATTTGTCGACCCAATCTCGCTCGCAAACTTGGCTATACTCGACACCATCAAACCCAGCATGATGATGCCGCCGATGGCATACGGGAAGAGTAATCCGCGGCCGAGGTTGCTAGTGGTGTACAAATCTCCAAAGCCAACGGTCAGAATGGTCACGTCACAGAAGTAGAGGGCGTTGACGTAGCTCCAGTTCTGACTCGGATCGGTCCCATATGCGCTTTCGACGGTCGAGAAGACGGCCGCTCCACCGGCCAGCCAGACGAAGAATAGGATGGATTGCAGGATGAGAGTGCGTTGAGAATCGGTCAAGTTGAAGTGCTGCGGGTAGTGGCCGAGGAAATACCCCAGCATGTTGATCATGAGCATCATGGAGCTGATAAAGTATAGCACGGCCGCCAGCACCGCATACCAGAAGCCTTCAGAGTAGATCTGTTGAGGCGAGTGTGGCGCGACCTGTGTAGCCATGGCGGAGACGATGCCGATCAGGATGCCGGTTGCCACGTACCACATGAGGATGGTGACAGGCAGAGCGATGATATACCGGATGCGGCCGGTGAAGTTGCACAGCAGGAAGAAGTTGCCCACGACACCCGCAACCTGTTCCAGACCTCGCGTCAGCGCCGTCTTTGCCATCAAGACGTGGAGTCTTACCAGCGAGACAATGTTCAAATGGATGCACCACGACGGATCGGGGTAGTAATGCCCATTCAGGTCCAGCACGAGCGAGTTTGGATTCCCATCCCACACGCACTTGGCCGCCGCAGCATAATCGCTCACGGCTTCCACCACGCACATGCGCCAGTAGGTCACGAGTGCGGCGATGGAGAAGACGTTGGCCAGCGGACCGATGGTCGCCGCCAGCAGCGGGATGGCCGTGCCTGCAAACCACCAATCCTGATACTCGTCATCGTCCCACGGCCGCAGCGTAAATTTCCACCATCGCTTTCCCGTCTGCATGCGGTGCAGGATCAGTGAGGACCGCCGCTTCTTCCGGCGTGCGTGCGGCGCGTGTTGATTGAACCACTCTTGCGCACCCTGGAGAGTGTGTTCCCAGTGCCTTTGATGCGCGGCGGGGTGGAGTAGATCATGGCCAGTGGGCGAGGACGTATCGGTTGGCAAGGGCTCACTCCGGTCATTCCCCTTCTTCTCGTCCATGTCGGCGGTTCTGCGTGCGTGCTACGGCCTGCTGCCCCAGCGTCGGAACATGCTCGTCATCGGCGGAGTAATGATACATTCAGCAAGAACCGCAAACCGCCGCCCAGAAACGAATCGCCGTGTGTACACAATAAGTGGGCAGAGATGAGAGGATGAGGAACGTGATGGCGCCACCATGCGCTCCAGAACCTGGGCACTTGGAACTGCACGCAACCGGAGGTGCCGCTTTGGCCGCAAGCCACGCCACCCACCCGGATGGCAAAAGTTAGAATGTCGGAAAATGGGTACATGAGCTCTTGTACCTGCCCCGATATAAGGTATGTAACAGAACCTCTGTTCTCCCTCATCCTTACTCCTCCATCCGTCGGAGGTGTCGGCAATCCCGGGCTCTCCGTCGCGAGCCGCCTGACGTCCAATCACCTGCGCGCTTCGGGACATGACCAGAATTGGACCACTGACGAAGCGTACCGTACAATGCATTTCGTCGTGACTTCAGACAGACTTAATGCACAACAGCTTCGACCGCTTGAATACACGATACGTACAAAGAGTAGAGACTCCCACATCTTCACATCTCCACCCCCAATGCCTCCGCCTGCAACTTATCCGCCACCCTCGGCAAGCTCTGCACAACGGCAAAGGTCATTGGGGCTCTCGTGCGGATCTGCTCTACAGTGCCCCGATACTTCTCCAGCTCCTCCGCTTCCCAGACATCCGACGCGCTACTTTGCCAGCTGCCCATCGCCTCCGACACGCGCATCTGGGCCAGAGCGCCGGCGAGCATCACCACGGTATCGTACTGCGGCATCAGAGCGCGCTGCGATACGTTGCGCGCATTCATGTACTGCCTGCCGAGCGCAATGGCGGCGGGCTTCGCCGGATATTCGGTCCTGCGCGCCCAGCCGGGGAAGTTGGGTGTCAGGAAGCGCTCAGTCAAGACAAAGGCGAGTAATGACAGAGGCGGCTTTTCTTCGCACAGGAGTTTGATAAAGTCATTCCATGTCGTGTTGGTGAGGGCGTAGCCTTGTTGAAGGACTTGGGTGACGGTGGCGATTGCGTCGAGCATGCGATTTTGCCGAGAGAGGGAGTTGAGATACCAGCGAAGGATTCCAGAGAGGACGTGACGACGGCCGGGCGCGGGCGGAGGAAGCTCTTGCTGCGCTGTAAGAGGCAAGATCTCTGCATCCTGCTGGGAAGTGCTCTCCTCTGCCAATTCTTCCACATCTTCCTCTGTGTTCTTCAACTCCGGCGGAGGCTGCAATGCCAGCAGGTCACTGTCCACCTCCCGCAAGGCCTGAAGTCGCGGCACAGGAGTCAGCGGTGTGTGCCGGTCAGCTTGCTCCTTTGCCAGTCGCCAACACTCCCGAAGACTCCCGTAGTCCCCACTGGTAAACTGTGCCGCCGCGAGCGCTGTCAGGAATCGAATCGGGGGAGCATCAAGCCCTTTGCCCGTCTCTTCCACCGTCTTTTGGTACTGCCGCTGCAGCTCATGCACCGCCTGGAAGCATCTTTGCCGACCATGCAGAGAAATCAGAAAGTCAAAGTGCGCTGCTTGACTCTCCTCCCCGAGGTCAAAGGAAGAGCCGCGCAAGCCCTGCTTGGGATGTCGGGGAGGGAGGAGGGCATCCTGGCGGATAAACGTCTTGAGCAGCTTGATGGTGTTCTCCAGCGCCGCGGTCTCGTCGTCGAACTTGTGTCGATTCTGGTCATATTCAATCATGGCTTTTGCTTGCAGAAGTACAATGTTTGTGCTCGCAGTGGAGGCCACGCGCCGCTCCATCATGTGCTGGTAGACTTCGAGCGCCCGACTCGGCTGTCGAATGCGGACATACCCTCCCATGAGAATCGCATAGTGGAAGGCGGTAGGCTTGATTTGTTCTCGAGGAAGGACACGATTCAGGATGCCATAAGCTTCGTCCGGTCGGCGAAGCAAGACCAGTGCTTGCATTTTCGCGGCATACGAATTAGCATTCGGGCGAATCTTCTCCTGCTCCATCCAACGATGAATATGCCCGAAAGAGGCAAGGTCACCACGGGTTGCGTACGCAGTCAACAGAATGTTGAATAACCCCACGAGCGGTCCGTGGCTTTCATCCGTGCGGATGCCTGCAAGGTTTTCAGAGAGCACGACCTCGGCGGCTTTGATGTCATCGTTGTTGATGTGCGCGGTCAAAAGGGCTCCGAGATGATTGATGTCTCGATCACGCCCCGAGAGACGGTCGTACTGACGAAACAGATCCTCTATGCCCGCCACATCGCCGCGGCGGGCTAGCAACCACAACACGGTATTGACGGCATAGGCATCCGGGATTCGCCCGCCGCTTCGCATGTGATTCTGAAGATTGACCAAAGCGCCCTTCAAATCGTCCGCTCGTCCATGAGCCAGTAGTAGCATGTTCCAGCACTTCGTATCGGGTTCCTCTCCGTGCTCCGCGGCAGCCCTGCTGACTTCGGCAAATGCTTGCTGCGCCCGATCCAGATCGGCGCGGTTCGCATGCACCCAAATCATCGTCCACAGCGCACTTTTCTGCTCGGAATACTCGGGATGGTGTTCGCGGAGATAGGCAAGCCACTTCTCGTATGGCTTGATGAGTCCTCGTTTCGCATAATACATCATGAGACGTTTGATGCCACCTCTGTCAACCCGCACGTAGCATCTCTCCCATTCCTTGACGAGGCTTTTAATCGAAACATTGGCGGTCTTCATCCGAGCCTCAATTCCACTGTCGGCATATTCCGTCAATCGGTCAAGCCACATCTTGAAGGTGTCCTCCGGGAGGAGAGCGTCTGGCATCTTTCGGTACTTTGCATATATGAACGAGACAACGTGGTGAAGCTGCGCGTACTTTGCCTTAGACTTTGAGTGCAGTATTGCCCGGAGGATGTCCCCAAAGAGCGATGCTGCATGGCTTTCGGCACGGGAGACATCACTCAGGAGACGTCGAATTGTTCTTCGGGGAACAGAGTGGAGCGGCGAGCGGGTGCTGATGGATGGAGCGACCTTTCCGTGCAGAAACTCCTGGGTCAAGGCCTCCTTGAAGAATGATGCGCAGAACTTTCGAGTCTCCTCTTCCACGAGAACCCGTGATCCGTTGGGTGTCCGAAGGAACTGAGCAAACGAGATTGCCTTGGGGAAGAGTTCAGATATCTCGGCGACATGCAGCCAAAATACGTCAAGACGATGCTCCTCGCCTGTGCTGACACAGTGTTCGTGATGAGTCTTCCACGTCTCGATGGCCATCGACCAGTTGGCCTTGTCGACGGCGTAAGCGAAGAACGACCACGATAGCTGGTCACCATTCTCAACATTCCGCAGAGCCTCTCGATGGATTTTGGGCACAGCAGAGTCCTGGTTTTGGGCAAGACGGGCAGATGCCACGGCTCGATAGATGTCCAGTGTCCGGTGCTCTGGAGAAAGCTTCGCATACAAGGCAATGCATTTCCGCTTTGCCGTCAGCTGGCGTTGCACACTGAGCCATTTGAGTAGTTCGCTTCGTAGTCGGACATCGTCGCGATTGGCTTCATCGAGGGAGTCGTAGATGTTGATGGCTGTCTTGACGAGTTCCGCACTGTTCTTCGCCTGTCCAGTCCTGCTGAGAAGCATGACATGGCGAAGACCTTCAACACCAGTGGCTCCAGACGTCTGAGAAGCCAATTCGCTTTCCATCAAATCCGAGGGTGTGGCGGCGAACGAATCCGCTGTTGAAGGCTCCCTTTTCGCAAGTGGACCTCGTAGTATCTCTAGATCCCGCAATCTTTCAGGATCTTGTCGTCTCTTGACAGGCGGTTCATCGTTGACTGTGCCTGAGAACGGCTTGTAGCGTGCGCCTCCCTCATCGTCTGCGGTTCTCGATGTTTCGCGACCCGTCACCACGCCATCGCTCTCTTCTGTTCGGCTATTCCGCAAACGAGGCCTGGATGCATACCCTCGCGACGCCACGACGAAGCCTTCTGGTAACCGCCTAGCATTACGTCTCTCCCATCGTTGCCATTGCTGTCCATTCGCACGCTGTAGCACCGCAAGAGCTTGCGGCGGGTACAAGAAATCCAAAAACACCCCTTCCGTTGTCGTATCGCTCTTTCTGTTCTGGCTCTTCCTTCCCGTTCCCCTATCGCTATCGCCTCTTCCCAACGGCAGACCAGAAGGCACGCGATGTCCCCAGAGAGCCCAAGGTGGAAGGTCGAGATCTTGCGCTGCGTGCTCCCAGAAGCTCGAATGAAGCATGCGTCGGCTCCTCGGCGCGCCCGAAGTGCATTTGAAGGACTCGCGAGCGACTCCGGGTTTGAGGCATGCCGTAGCGCGCTCTAGCATGCCACTCGATGTGGCAATGCTAGCAGTACAGCACTCTTCGTCCAGTCGTTGTCCACAGGCTCGGCGAGAGAAGTTTGTGGGAATCCAACATCGATAGACGGCGAGGGTAGATTCGGTAAAGGAGAGCGGGCGGTCGAGGAATGGACGGAGGGGCGAGATGGTAAAGGTGCTCATCTGCAGGCGACTTGAGAAATGTGTCTATGATTCGTCCCTGTCCGGCTCCTCCAATCACTTTTCACGCGCAAGCGGGCCGGCCCGGATGCAGCAAGGCAGGCGAACGAGACGAATGCACCGCACATCTAACCAAGACACTTCCTTTGATATGCGTAAGAAATGGTCGTGTCCACACTACCAATCAATCCCACTCGACCCACGCTCTCCCCCAACCAAAATCGCCTGCACCTTGCCCTGCGCTCCTAGCCCGTTGGGAAGATGACTTGCAGACACCCCCTTCCTCCCCTTCATGACAGGCTTCAACTTGCGATCCATTTGCTCAAAAGGCTTCTCCTCGCCTTCCCTCCTCACCAACCACTTCTGCGTTCCCAGCACAGCGTCTAATTCCTCCACTGGCGGCAGCTTCACATACACCATTCCATCCTCTCGCGCCTCAACGGGGAATGTGGCAATGTTGACTGCCTCGTCATTCTTGCACTTGCCCGCCTCTTCGCCGTTGAGAGTGTAGTTTCTCTTGTGCAGAGGACAGCTGATCCACATCTTGTCGTTGTCGTCACCGATGAGCCCATCGCTGAGGACGAACGCCCGCTTGTGTGGACACATCTGCTGCGTGGCGTAGTACTTTCCCTTGACCTTGAAGATGGCGAGCTGCGTATCGCCGCGCTTCACGGCCACACTCGACCCGGCTTGCGCATCACTAAACTGCTCGCTCTTCGCCAGCGGCTGCCAGCTGAGATTGCTCCATTTAGTACCTCGGAAATCCTCCGTGACCGATTCCTTTGGCCAAAAGGTAGGCCGGGATTGATCGCGCTCTTCCACCTTCTCAATCCCATCGGCGCGCTCGCTGGTGTTGGCGAATTGGGAAAAGGTCTGCAAACGCTCTGGCGATTTGAGCGTTTCCGTCCACTCGCAGAAATAAGTTCCAATCAGATCCTGCATCTGCTTCTCCAACTCCGCACAAATGCCCAGCTTGTCGTCGAGTATCACTTCTTTTAGATACTTGATGCCACCGGGCAAATTCTCCAACCATCTCGCCGTTCGCTGCAACTTGTCCGCCGTCCGGATGTAAAATGCCAGGTAGCGGTCCAGTATCGGCACGACCTCATCTGGGGGCACATCTTTGGCAAGCAAATCGCAATGTCTCGGCGTGGCGCCTCCATTCCCAGCAACAAAGATGTTGTACCCCTTGTCGGTCGCGATGAGGCCAAAGTCCTTGCTTTGTGCTTCCGCGCACTCCCGTACACACCCCGATACTCCACCCTTGATCTTGTGCGGTGCGCGAATGCTCTTGTACCGTTCCTCAAGCCTCACTCCCATCCCAACGCTATCCCCAATTCCGAAGCGGCACCATGTAGTCCCCACACACGTCTTGACGGTACGCAGTGCCTTGGCATACGCATGACCCGACTCCATTCCTCCGTCAATCAACTCCTGCCAAATGGCAGGCAAGTCGGGCTTCTTCGCTCCAAACATATCTATCCTCTGTCCGCCGGTGATTTTGGTGTACAAGCCATATTTCTTCCCAACCGTGCCGATGACGATGAGCTTCTCCGGTGTAATTTCTCCACCCGCAATACGTGGGATGACGGAAAAGGTCCCGTTGCGTTGCATGTTGGCGAGGAAGCGGTCGTTGGTGTCTTGCAAATGTCTTCGATCCGGATCGAGGACGTGCTTGTTGAATAGAGACGCGATGATCGAGCCCACGGCGGGCTTGCACACTTCACAACCCAGCGACTTCTCGTCCTTGCCGCATTCCTTCATCACGCTGGGGAAGCTGTCTAGCTTTTTCACGTAGATGATGTTGTAGAGATCGGCGCGGGAGTATTCAAAGTGTGGACACAGATGATTCTTCACTTCCTGGCCCATGGAGGCCATTGTCTTGTTAAAGATGTTCGTAAGGAGAGGCACGCAGCCAGCGCAGCCAGTGCCGGCTTTGGTACAAGACTTGACGTCTCCCAGAGAGTTGCATTTGCCCTCCTTGATCGGCTCCACAATGTCGTCTTTCGAGACGTTATGACACGAGCAGATCTGAGTGTCGCCTGGCAAATCGTCTCCGTCCTCGTCCCCATCTTTGCTGGCGCCAATGATGAATTCACCGGGCGGCACATCAAGCGTCTGCTGGTTCTTCACCATTGCGACCAGCTTGACATAGTCTTTGGTGTCACCGATCATCATGCCGCCAAGGAGATATTTGCCGTCTTCGGTGAAGATGTACTTCTTGTAGTGATTCTCGAATGGATCTCGGTAAGTGAGGGCCTTGACGCTTGCAGGTGTATTGCCATTCGTGGATGCCGACTTTTCGTCTTTGGCACGTCGTCTGGCTGGCAGATACTTCGGTCCATCGCGGTCTGCAAAGAAGTCGCCGAAGCTAGCCACATTCACTCCCAGCAATTTCAACTTGGTGCTCAAGTCGGGCCTCTTGAATTGTCGCACAGTGTGTGCTTTCGCCTGAGTGAGGTTGAATGCGAGTACATCGGCCATCTCGATGCCCGGTGCTATCAGGCCGTACGTCTGGTCGTTCCAGCTTGCACACTCGCCGATAGCATACACATCTTTCGCCGAGGTCGCCAGCTTTGGGTCGATAATGATGCCACCCTTCTTCGCACACTCGAGATTGCTCTTCCGCGCAAGCTCGTCACGCGGTTTGATGCCGATGGCGAAGCAGATGCATGAGCACTCCATCTTGTCGCCATCTTCAAATGTGACGCCGGTGACGTTATTGTCGGCATCCGTGTTGATCTGGCCGATGCGTTTGGTGAGCATGACGTCCAGCCCGAGGTCGCGAACTTGTTCGACAACCATGGTGCCGGCGTCACCGTCCAATTGCCTGCTCATCACCCATTTGTTTCGCTCAATCAACTTGACCTGGCCAAACTCTTCCAGATCCATCATCGCCTTGGCAGCTTCCAGGCCAAGCAAACCTCCACCGACTACCGCTCCGACGCTGCCTTTGTGTTGAGCGGAAAAGTCGATGAGTTTCTGCAGATCTTCGATTGTGCGGTAGACAAAGACGCCATTCGCATCATGGCCGGGGGTGTGCCGTGGCAAGATGGCATTGGATCCGGTCGCGATGACCAGAACGTCGTATGGAACATGGTCGCCGTTACTCGTTTCGACCGTTTTGTCTTCGGTGTTGATCGAGGTCACACGGGTGTTGAGCCGGTGCTCCAAGCTACCTTCCGGTAGCTCAGAATACCATGACTCCGGGTTGAGGTACAGATCTTCCACTTTGCGATGCTGGAAGTAGCTCGTCAAGCCGACTCGGTTGTATGCCAGATGAGCTTCTTCGCCAATGACGACCACCTCGTACTCCCCTCTCTTTTCGTCGTACTTTAACAGCTTCTCGATGAAGGCTATCCCCACCATTCCTAAGCCGGCAACAACCACTCTCTTCTTGCCATTTCGTGGGCTCTGCTCGGCAGGTGATGTGCCTGTACCTGCTTCCTGTTGTTGACCCATCCTCTCGGTCGACTTCGAGGGACGTATGCAGAATGGAGAGCCAAGGAACAAAGAGGCCAAAAGGAAAGACGAGTCGCAAAGAAATGGTGAACAACATACGTCAACCAAGCACTTACAGCATCAACCGGGCCCGAAAGCCGCCTGCAGGGCATTGGATTGCCGCGGAGATGCATCGCGATGAACGCGATCCTATCAAAGACCGTGTAGAAGAGCAAGCCCGCAAAAGAGACACCTCTACTTCTCCGAGGACTGTGTAATTGGGCCAGCCATGAAGCCCCGATAAGGAGACGCTGTTCACTGATAAAGACACAGTGCCGATGATAAGGAACGCCGAGTGAAGTGAGGCTGCTGAAGATCTTCGGGAAAAAGTAAGGCCGATGCCGTCGCCGCTAGACGGCTTCACTTCACCACCTCACCTCTACCACGCCATGCTTCAATTCATCAAATGCGAGGCAGCATGTGCTGGATGGGTGATTGATGACGCCAGTACAGCGCCCTCCTGCCATTAGAAGCACTGTACGGCCACCATCTTAGCCAAGTTGTTCACATCGAAGGCTGTGAGGTAGGAACACTTCGCACTATTCCCTTTTCGTCAGCCAGCAGATAAGAGGAAATCGACCGTTGATTATTGGCCACGCCTGTCTTGCCAGCCTTGGAGCGCATCTTGATAACAGTCGCAGACGGTGAATCTACGGCATGGCGCTCAGAGGCGGTGCAGTGACGCAAACGAGCACAGCCAACTCTTGTGCTGTTTCTCCGCGGGTATCGACGTCTAGTTCGTCAGGGGGGAAGAATCGGTATCTCGTTGCACTTGTCCTCTTTCTAGGCACAAAGCCTCGTGTATTGATTTCTGTTGTCACATAATCCTGTTTGTTCTTCTCCTATCCACACACAGATGGCTCTAGCGGAGAGAAAGAGGGCGAGGAGTGTCGACTTGCCTCCTACCCCACCAGACTCAGAACACAGTGATGAAGAGAGATTGGAGCTTGAACTGTCACGAACATCGTCAAAGGAGCAATACCCACTACCACCGCCAACCAAAGAACCAACCCAGATCCTCAAAGAGGATGAGAAGACACCCGACAGTTGGCTACCACGAGATCCACGCTTGATACGATTGACAGGAGCCCACCCCTTCAATGTCGAAGCACCACTCACTGATCTCTTCGACGAGGGCTTCCTCACCAGCCCCGAATTATTCTACGTCCGAAACCACGGCCCCGTGCCACAAGTCCAGGACGAAGAGATTCCCGATTGGGAGTTCAGCGTGGAGGGGCTCGTAGAGCACCCTTTTACCCTCAACCTCCGCCAGCTCATCGAGGACTACGAGCAACGCACCTACCCCATCACTCTCGTATGCGCCGGCAACAGACGCAAAGAGCAGAATGCTGTGCGAAAATCAAAAGGGTTCTCTTGGGGCCCGGCCGGAGTCTCGACGGCGCTGTGGACTGGCGTACCCATGGCAGAAGTGATTCGCAAGGCGAAGCCCAAGCGTGGCGCTCGCTTCGTATGCATGGAGGGCGCCGACGAGCTTCCTAATGGAAATTACGGCACATCCGTCAAGCTGAACTGGGTCATGGATCCGAACAAAGGCATGATTCTCGCCCATCGCATGAACGGTGAGGTGCTGCGACCCGATCATGGGAAGCCGTTACGCGTCGTCATCCCAGGGCAGATTGGCGGAAGGAGCGTAAAGTGGTTGAAGCGACTCATCATCACGAAAGACCCGAGTGATAATTGGTATCACATCTACGACAATCGCGTCCTCCCCACCATGGTATCGCCTGATGATGCGGCGAACGACAAGTCGTGGTGGACGGATGAGCGATATGCAATCTACGACCTCAACACCAATTCTGCCATTGCATACCCTGCGCACGATGAGCGGTTGAAGATTGGAGAGCCCGAGGCGACCTACACACTCCGAGGCTATGCATACGGAGGAGGTGGCCGACGTGTGACTCGAGTGGAAATCACGCTCGACAAAGGCAAGACGTGGAGATTAGCGGACATTGACTATGCAGAAGACCGATACAAGGAAGCCGGGAGGCAGAAGTTGTGTGACGGAACACTGGACATCGAAAACCAAGAAGCGAGTTTCTGCTGGTGTTTCTGGAGGCTCGATATTGCCGTTGGCGAGCTCGCAGCTGCAGCTGATGTGTTTGCTCGTGCAATGGACGAGAGTATGAATGTGCAGCCTCGCGACTTGTACTGGTCGGTCTTGGGAATGATGAACAATCCCTGGTTCCGAATAGTCATACATCGAGAAGAGGAGGAGCTTCGATTCGAGCATCCGACACAGCCTGCATTGATGCCAGGTGGATGGATGGAGCGGGTGAAAAAGGCTGGCGGCGATCTTACGAATGGTCGCTGGGGTGAATTGGCTGACGGCGAGCACGAGACTGAGCGTGCTGTTGAGGAAGTGCAAGAGATCAAGATGACGAATGACGAGGTGGTGGACACGATCACGATTGAAGAGCTCCGCAAGCACGATCAAGATCAGAATCCGTGGTTCGTCCTCGATGGTGAAGTTTACGACGGGACTGCATTCTTGAATGAGCATCCTGGCGGCGCTCAAAGCATCGTCTCCGTCGCTGCTACTGACTGCACGGACGAATTCATGGCTATTCGCAAGTCACCATACCCCTCTGGATGATTCAACAAGCTGACACCGCACAGACAGCGAAACAGCAAAAGCAATGATGAAAGACTACCATATTGGCTCATTGGACGAAGCCGGCATATCAGCCCTTACGTCAGACAATGAAGCATCACCAAGCGACACGGCAGCAACACCCACCTTTCTCAACCCACGCTCATGGAAGAAAGCAACTCTGCACTCCAACACCTCCGTTTCCCCCGACACTCGCATCTTCACCTTCCAACTCGACCACGAAGACCAAACTCTGGGCCTCCCAATCGGCCAACATCTCATGATCCGACTCGCCGATTCAAAGTCCAAAAACAAAGAGACTTTGATCCGCGCTTACACCCCCATCTCCCCACCGACAAAACGAGGCTTCATGGAAGTGCTCGTCAAAGTCTACTTCGACTCCCCATCACATCCTTCTGGCGGTCGCATGAGTCAAGCGCTGGACTCCCTATCGACTGGCGGCACGGTCGAGTTCAAAGGGCCCTTGGGCAAATTTCAGTACCACGGCGAAGGCGAGTGTAGCGTCAATGGTACAAAGCGACACGTAGACGAGTTCATCATGATCACTGGGGGCAGTGGTATCACACCCATCTATCAGATCTTGGCGGCTGTCATGGAGGATGCGAAAGATGAGACTAGATGTACCGTTTTGGATGGAAATCGGGGATTGGAGGACATTTTGTGCAAAGAACAGTTGGATGGGTTGGTGGAGAAGAGTGCAGAGCGATGCAGGGTTGTGCATACTCTGACCAAGGGTCCAGATGAGTGGGAAGGATTGAGAGGAAGGATTGAAGGGCCACTGTTGAAGCAGTACTGTGGGAGGGAGGTGAATGGGGCGCAGAGAAAAGCGATGGTGCTGATCTGTGGACCGGAAGGATTGGAGAAGAGCGTATATGAGGTGTTGAAAGGAGACGGATGGAGAGATGAGGATGTGGTATTTTTTTGAGATAGCTATCGTTGTAGCCAACGACGTGTGACCAGGCTGAACCTCTTGCCTCATTCATAATGATGCCTCAGGCAGACAAAACCCCAGCCGCCGTTCCCCGCCCGTAGACACCCGAAAGGCTAAATGATGAGAGCTTTCGCATTGGCGACAGCCACCAGAAAAACGGAAAGCACAGGGCGGACGTCCAGATATCTGCTACAAATATTCCTACCCGCCTGCATCTCCATCCTACTCATCCACTTCCGCGGCGGTGCTACGATACGAGTGGTACAGCAATGTTGGCGAGTCGTGTTCCCCCTTTCACCCTCGCTGCACGCCATCCGACAGCTTCGTCTCTCCCCGCAGCATCATCGAGGAGCTTGTGGACTTCCTCCTCCTCCTCCTCGTCACTCCTTGCCATCCGTCGAACCAATCTCTCCGCATCCATACAACCACGCAGCCTCCCCCTCCCCATCGCGCGATCATTCAGCAACACAGCCATCATGGGTCGGAAGGAGACGGACGCCTTTGGCGAGGTCGAGGTGCCGGATGACAAGTACTGGGGTGCGCAGACGCAGCGCTCGCTGGGCAACTTCAAGATCAATCAGCCGCAAGACCGCATGCCGCCGCCAATTGTCCGCGCATTCGGTATCTTGAAGGGCGCGGCGGCGACGGTGAATATGAAATACGGGCTTGGTGAGTATGCTCCCATATCCAGGATCGTCGCGGGCTGACAATGGATCTACTTGCAGACCCCAAGCTCGGCAAGGCCATCCAACAGGCTGCTTCCGAAGTGGCATCGCTCAAACTCGTCGAGCACTTCCCGCTCGTCGTCTGGCAAACCGGCTCGGGCACGCAATCCAACATGAACTCCAACGAGGTCATCTCCAACCGCGCCATCGAAATCCTCGGCGGCACGATGGGCAGCAAGAAGCCCGTCCATCCCAACGACCACGTCAACATGTCCGCCAGCTCCAACGACACCTTCCCCAGCGTCATGTCCATTGCCGCCGTGTTGGAATTTGAGGAACAGCTCCTGCCCAGCTTGCGACATCTCAAGGACGCCCTCAAGGCTAAATCGCAGGAATTCGACAAGATCATCAAGATTGGCCGGACACATTTGCAGGATGCCACGCCATTGACCCTCGGACAGGAGTTTTCGGGTTACGTGCAGCAGCTCGAGTACGGCATCAAGCGTGTTGAGTCCAGCTTGCCCCGCTTGCGAGAGCTCGCACAAGGTGGCACGGCCGTGGGAACGGGACTGAACACATTCAAGGGCTTTGCGGAAGAAATTGCAGCGGAAGTGAGCAAGATGACGGGCCACGAGTTCATCACCGCGCCCAACAAATTCGAGTCTCTAGCTGCGCACGATGCGATTGTGGAGGCACATGGCCAGCTCAACACCTTGGCAACATCACTGTTCAAGATTGCCCAAGATATACGTTTCCTCGGCTCCGGACCGCGCTGCGGCCTCGGCGAGCTCAATCTGCCCGAGAACGAACCGGGAAGCTCAATCATGCCGGGCAAAGTGAACCCGACGCAATGCGAGAGCTTGACGATGATTTGCTGCCAGGTCTTTGGCAATCAAACCGCCGTCACCTTTGCCGGCTCGCAGGGCAACTTCGAACTCAACGTCTTCAAGCCGGTGATGATTCGCAATCTTTTGCATAGCAGCCGCCTGCTCACCGACGGGATGAACAGTTTCCGCGAGCACTTGGTGGAGGGCATGGAAGCCAACGAGGAACGCATTGGAGCACTGTTGAAGGAGAGTCTGATGCTGGTTACTTGTCTGAACCCCGTGATTGGGTATGACATGGCGAGCAAGGTCGCGAAGAATGCACACAAGAAAGGTTTGACGTTGAAGGAGAGTGCGATGGAGATGGAGGCATTGAGTTCGGAGAAGTTTGACGAGATTGTGCGGCCCGAGTTGATGATTGCCCCGGCGGAGAAGAAGTGATTTGATCCAGGTACATAGAATTCTCCTTCTGCTATACCGTAGACTGGACGTCTGCAATGGAATCCACAGTCTATACACGGAAAAGAGGTTCACGCTAATGCAGGTCCCCTCCACCTCTTATTCGCCACGCATGCATCCCCACATGGGGCAACTTCCGAGGACGAGGCGTGATTGGCCGAGGGACTCCCGGCAGACCGCGTCAAGGATTGAATGTCAAACTCCTGACACTCGTGCGCTGCCATCCCGCACATCCCACCTTCGTTTTTGACGTCTTCCTCCCTCCTTGGCTCCCTCTGCTTTGTGTCGCGTGCTTCCCGACGCTCGAGTCCGTCTTCGCTTCAATCGCATCTGCATCCGCCTTCCTCATCTCTGCGACCGGGGCTCGCGTGCGACATCGCCAGGTGCAGTGCAGTCATCACGAGTGGGGCCGGCAGTTCATTTCCTTATTGTTCCCACCACCGATCCTTCGACGCCGACCATGTTGTGGCAGCCTTGAAACGATGCGCAGCGGAACAACATAGAGCCTCCGTCCTCTCCTCGCCCTCCCTTCCTCACAGATATGGCGTACGATGCGAGCTCGGCTTATCAGCCCCCGCGCAGACAGTACTACGCTCAAGCGCAGGCTGCTGCACCGCCGCCGCCGACTCAGAATGGCTACCACTATCAACAACCACAAGAGCAGTATCAGCAAGACTACTATGCGCCGGCGCAGCAGTACGAGCAAGGCTATGGTCAAGATTACAACCAGTGGGGCGGTGGTTATGATGACATGAGGGGACACCAACCGTACGCCAACGAGCAGTATGAAAGCAGTGGTCGCAGCCCGAGGAGAGCACCCGCGGAGCCACAGTCGTACGGCCATGGCTACGCTGCGCAGTCGACCCATCGACAGCGTGATGACCGTCAATTCGATCCCCGCTATCAGCAGAGACCGGGGAAAGGCCCTTCACATTCCCCGAATCGCGGGAGGCAGCCGGCACAGCCACAGCAGCAGTATCAACAACAACCGTACCAAAGCCAGCAGTCATCCAGCAGAAATCAAGAGCAGAGATTCGAGTCCAGGCGCGCAGAGGTGGCTCCGCAGCAGAGCTACGACTCCCAATCCCGATCCGCACAACACACTGCGCAAGCACCAGTCTCCAGACCCAATCCGAGGAATGCACGCATGTACCCAGGAGAAGCCCAGTCGCAAAAGCCCCCGCAACATCCAGCTATATCCCACTCTCAGCCACCACCTCAATCGTACAGCAAACAAGTCGCGCAGGCCGCCAACCTGCCAATGCCACCCCCAATCCGTGAGTCTGGACGGCCTTCAACCGCGCCAGGCAGGCCGTCGACGGCTCCTCAATCCCGCGGAAGAGCAGAGCGCGATCCCGCCAAAATGACCATGGAGGAGTGGAAGGCAAAGGAGCGCGCGAGGATGCATGCCGATGCTGCCATGCCCGAGGCGATGGCCTGGGACAACGCCTTCCCCGTCTTCCCCACTGTACGCGAACGTTCCAAAGCCCGCTCGGGTACCAGCAGTGCCCGGGCCAGTGGAGAATTCCCGAGACCAGGCACCTCGTCCAGCAATAGGCACGAACGGAGGTCGAGCAAATCTCGCGCTTACAGCGACACAACTGCAGCGGCTGCGAGTGGAACACAACTGCAACCGGCGCGCCCTCATTTAGATCACAAGTCTCATTCGTATGACCAGCCCACCGACAGCGCCGTGGAGTCGCCAACTGCTTCGGCACAGACGCAATACCGCCTAGTCAACCCATCGCCTAGCCCTGTGCACCAGAGCACATTGCAACCACAGCAGTTGCCGACACCTCCGCCACATCACTCTCCGCTTCCATCCCCTACGCCGTTGCAGAGATTCGAGCTGCCGGAGTCAGATTATGGGAGCCAGCCGCCACCACCGCAGGAGACAGTTCAACCACGCCAACCACCGCCGCGTGGCCCGATGCCCCAGCCTATCGAAACCCGATCTCTGCATGATGAGCGTGCACCATCGCTGCAGTCATGGGATCAACAGCCATTGAACCCCGCGCCTCTCCAAACCCGTCCCGCAACATCTGGCGGTCAACGTGCGGATCGAATGCAACAACCCGCACCGAATCCGCTGCCAGCACTCGCGCATCTGGAAAACGCCAAGGGTGCTCCAGCTGCACCGTCCAATCGACAAGAGCCGCAACGCCAATCGTGGTCCTTACTACCACTCAGGCACCGCGATAATGAGCCCTCGCATGAACAGTCCTACGAAGTGGAGACTCCATCCAGCGCTGTGGCGCCCACACCTACGTCTGCCTTGACGAGAGACGATGAGATTGAAGCCGAGATGCCGGACTTCGACAGTGCTGCCCCGGGGGGCACATCACTTTTGCATAAAAGGAATCAACAGCTGCAGGAGAGTCCTACGCTGCCCTCTTCTCCATCTGTGCCCGCGCTGCCTTTGGCTGCTACACGCGGTGAATTGCCGTCACGGGCGCAGGAAGGGAATGCGTGGGCTAATGTTCCACCGCCTACGCAAAGTCAGCCTCTGGACGGTCATCAACAGCCGCAGTCGAGTTACTTTTCCGACGCGCGTGGATTGGATCAGCGTGGCTTGCGTGAGAATGTAGACGGCGGGTACGCGCGTGGTCGGGAACAAGCACAGCCGAGTTACGCCTCAGCGCCACATGCGGGAGATCAGCGTGGTCTACGACAGGATGCGAATGGATTTGTATATGGACGCCCGGAACAGGACAATCCTAGGAAAATAGGAGCTTCCTACGGTCAGTCTCCGCCACAGCAAGTGCAGCCTCATCGCCCTCCACCGCAATCCTACGCAACCGAACAATTGCAACGTCCTCCGCAGCCACCTTACGCGAATGAACAGCCTCGACGGTCAATGGACGATGAAAGGCAGATGCCACAACGGCCCGGACCTCCCTCGGCGCAGCGGCCTTACGGACAGCCGCAACCTCGAGACCAATACGCTCCCCAATCTCGTTCCAACAGAGGTCGTAACACGCCTGGCCTCGCTGTGCAGACCTCCTTGCCTCCGTCTGGTCGACAGGACAGCATTAACAGTGCTCCGCCGACTCAGCAGTCGTTTCGAGAGCTGCCACCACGCACGCAAAGTCGAACACCCCTGACGAGTCCAAGCCACTCCATGCCGGAGTCGCAGTCTCGGAGCCCAGACGCACTACCTCATCATCCCGTCCCCGTCCGACCAGGACACATCGCACAACCCCCCAAGCCCGCTCCGGTACGGAATCATGGAGGTCCACCGCCTACTTCCTCCCATCAACGACAGCCTTCCAACTCCGCCAGCAAAGCCTCGCGACCCGTCACCGCAGCAGAGATCCAGCAACTCCAATCCGCCGTCACTGCGAACCCGAACGACAACAAACGCGCCTTGCTCCTCGTTAAGAAGTTGGTGGAAGCCTCGAGTGTCCTCGCATCCGACAACGGCCGTGCTGATCGCCAGACCCAAGCCCGCAACCGCGAAAAGTACATTGGCGAGGCCGAGAAGCGGCTCAAGAAACTCGTATCCGCCAACTATCCAGACGCCCAATTCTATCTCGCCGATTGCTACGGTCAAGGCACGCTAGGCCACGAACCTGATGCTCGTGAGGCCTTTCGCCTCTACCAAGCGGCTGCAAAGGGTGGGCATGCGCAAGCCGCGTATCGCACGGCAATGTGCTGCGAGCTCGGTCCCGAAGACGGAGGGACAAGCAAAGACTTCCAGAAGGCTGTGCAATGGTACCGTCGCGGTGCGGCCCTGGGCGATTCACACGCCATGTTCAAGATTGGCGTGATCCTTCTCAAAGGTCTGCTGAATCAGCCCAAGAACATCGCCGAGGCGGTGAGCTATATCAAGCGGGCGGTGGAGCACGGTGGCACCGAGAATCCGCAGGCCCTGTACGAACTCGGCCAGCTGTATGATTCAGCCCAGACGAGCCCCGAGATTCGAAGCAAAGTCCCCGCGGACAACAACAAGGCGCTCGACTTGTTCCACCAAGCTGCCAGTGTGGGGCATCGCGTCTCGCAGTTTCGCTTGGGTCAAGCGTACGAGTACGGTAACCTGGGCACCGCCATCGACAACCGCGCGAGCATTACCTGGTACACCAAGGCAGCGGCGCAGGGCGAGCATAATGCGGAGCTGGCGTTAAGCGGATGGTACCTGACAGGTTCAGAGGGTATTCTGGCGCAAAGTGATACTGAGGCGTACCTGTGGGCGCGCAAAGCTGCTGCCGCGACTGATCCACCCCTTGCCAAGGCCATGTTTGCTATGGGCTACTTTACCGAGACGGGAATTGGATGTCCGAAGAATGGAGAAGAGGCGAGGAGATGGTATGCGCGGGCTGCTTGTAAGTTCTCTTTGCCTCCTCGTGCGTTTGCCATTACAGATCGCTGATTCCTTGTCCAGCTTATCACTTTCCCAAAGCGCAAGAACGGCTGGAGGAATTGCGGCGAAATGGGAGCAAGGGGTCGAAGGCTGTCAGTGGAAGGCCTTCGAGGAAGGATCAAAAGAAGGACGAGGAGAACTGTGCGGTCATGTAATCAATGACCTTCCTCATTCGGCGTTATGCGTGTGTACGATGACGATGCCTGCAATGTCTCGATGTGGAATGAGGCGATGGGTGGCTGTATATCAATAGGTCTTGCATGTGTTTAGGTGGATATATACGTACAGAACCTCAGTAGAGGGACTAATGCTTGACATCCTCGCTATGCTTTCGGAAACTTCACCCCCGAAAGCCGCTCGCAGATCCCCATAAACTCATCCTGCTTCTTCTCGCTCCCGCAGCTCTGATGCGGACTGCGCGCCCCTTGAGGGTTGAAATACACCCCCGTCTTCTCCCCTACAATGCCACTCTTCCCAATGGCAAACTCCGCCAGAGCCTTCCCCGGCGTGCCAACGACACCCGGAGCACCACCGCCTCCCATCTTCGTCTTGATCCAGCCCGGATCCATGGAGCAACTCTGCACATCGGGCCAGTAGCGCGCGACAGCGTTGGCGAGCAGTACATCGTGGAGCTTGCTATCGCAGTACGCTTGGTGTGAGGAGAAGGGACGATTACGCCCCTCGACATCATCCAGGTCGGCGGAGCCGCTGGTGTGCATACTGGAGGAGAGATACAGGAGTCGTTTTGGCTTGTCCATCAGGGCAGTGAGGACAAATGGCGCCAGAGAATTCACGGCGAACGTCGATTGGAAGCCGTCCGCCGTCTTGTTGTCCTTGTTCGACGGACCGAGACCAGCGTTGTGAATGACGGCATCAAAGGGACCAGACTTGTTCGCTTCGGCCGCGAGATTCTTCGTCCCTTCGATGGTCGTCAGGTCGCCGATGAGCACGCCTTCTGCTTTCGGCACGGCCTCGTGCGCTTGTTTTGCGCGGTCCGAGTTGCGCGCGTGCAGGAAGACTTTGTGGCCTTGGTCGGCGAGGAGTTTGGCGCCGGCTTGGCCGATGCCGTCTGAGGAGCCGGTGATGAAAATTCGTGCCATGTTGTTCATGTCCTGATGACTGTCGATGTGTTTTTGTAGAGGAAAGGATAGTGGATCTGGTTGTTGAAGTGATATCATGGCGGTGATCTCATTGATGATTACGTAAGCGTCAATGGCGTTATGCGGGGAAGTTTTGACGTAGCCTAATTAAAGACAGAGCTTGACCAGACCTCAGCCTTGCTTTCATCATCCTTGGCTAGGATTACTTGCTCCGGATCAAACACTCGAAGTGGATCAATCTCCCTCAACATTGTGGACATTCTCTGGAGATCGTGCCATAGCTTGCTGATGAAATCCCGTACTTTCAAAGCTCGAGGCAATCAAATGTTCAGAAATATATCACATCGCACATCGTATAGGGCAAAAGCAGCCCCCAAACACCGCGGGCACTCTCATACACAAATCAAAGTGAGCAACGCACCCGCCTATGCGACAGCCAGAGGCTGAAACTCCTCACAGTATGTGGCGTTTACAGGCTTCGGGGAGGGACCGAGTCTCCACTGGTGGAAGTTATCACACAGCTAGCTAGTGCTCTGCTCGTGCGTAGTACACGTCAGATGACAAGTCGTGTCGTCGATGGTGCAATGTATGTCAAGCGTCGCATCATAGTAGCCGAGGTACAATAGATGAAGATCGTGGTAGGGCTGAGCGTAGATGAACTTCTTCATGGCCGTCAAGTCTTCGAGCTCGCCATGGTTGGTGAGGTAGAATTCATCGCGGTACTGGCCGCCGAACATGGGGCTGCTCCCGTCCCCAAAAGCACCGCCGTAGATCGTCGGGCCCAAGGTTTCGGTGGGCCCATAGGAGTAGGTTGACAGAGTGAAGGGCCCACCAGCCGCGGAGATGGAAAAAGGTCCGGTTTTGGTGCTGGTGGGTCCCGCAGTCGTGGTGGTGACAGTGGGGGGCAAGGACAGGCAGCTGCAGACCGAAGAAATGTCGGTTTGCTCTGGCTGAAGGCACGCTGGCTCAGGGTGACTACCGGTAGGTTGACCGTGGGGCTTGGTGAAGGACGTGGTCGCGGCCATGGCTGCGGCAGCATCCGTTGCACTCGCCCCACCGCACGTCAGAGGGACGATGGTGTAATGGGTTGCGACTGCAGTCTCGATGGTTGTCCCGAGCAGAGAGGCGCAATAGAAGGTCGCGGACCTGCGCTGACTGATCTCCGTGCAACTGGCGAAAGCTTGGGAGCAGAAGGGCGTAGATGTCTGGCGAGGGAAAAGAGCAACGTCACCCAGGGGGTTTGCTACAGAAAGAGCGACCATTGTAGCGAAGATGAGAGAGTACATCTTGTGTCGAAAAGAGAGCTTGCAAAGCTGGATGAGAGTCGATGGACGAGTGAAAGAAAAGAAGCGATGGGCCAGGGGATCTTTATACTTCACCAAACCTCCCCGAAATACGCGATGTTACAGCACATGATCAGTCCCAGGATGGTACAGTTCTTCTTCCGGCCCTGCGCTGACGGATTTCAGGGTGCTTCACTGCAACTGGCTACACTCATAGAGAACAAGCACGAGGGAGGCACTGATCTTCTCTCTCCTGCGTGAGAATTGAACGAGTAAATGCAGCAGGCGCGGTACCAGCCTTGCTCTGGAAAGCTGGGGAAGGATCTATTGACACGACCAGGCAGTCGGGACAGCATCCTGACTCTAATTGGGACAAAGTGATGTGGTACATATAGGGAAGAGAAGACAACCTGGCGGATAGGGTGCCGTCTTGGCTGCGGGGTTGCCATTCTGCGCGGAGGGCGACTGGTTGTTCCGTGGTAGCGATGTTCACGATGCCGTAGGAGGATTGTAGGGTGGTTGCATTGCAGGTCGGGGCTAGCAGTGACTTATAGGGTGTACATCCAACGGATTCGCCCATTCCCGCGCAGTTCGTGCAGATGTAGGAGTTGTGCTATTCTTGGGGAAAAAGTGCAGTCGTCGGTCTCCCCACCTCCACGAAACGTGTGTGCCTTCCACATTGGGCCTAGCGTTGCATAAGCTTTGTGCAATGCACCTGCTGCGCCTCCGGTCAGTCAGCGTGGCTGCAAGGCACACCCACCACTACATTTACTCCACCACGTCGCGGAGGGGTACGCAATGCTCCATTGCTGGCGCCTACACCTCACTCCTCGTCGCCATTGACGAAACACTACAGTTCCATCTCTCGCCCGGTCGCAGGACGTCACCACCTCTTCTCCCACCGTCTATCGCTTAACCTGCCCCCTCAATCCCCTCCACCTCCGCATTCTTCGGAACAAGCGATCGTCAGGGACGAAAAGCCACCCGCCACATCCAACATCTCCCCTGACTTGTATCCTCGATTACCACCACCTGCGCATCCACACGCACCTGTCGCATCTATCGCGACGGTCGCAAACACCCACCCTACACCATGTCTTCCCTCCCCGGCGACGCGGAGAACATCCGAAACACCTTCTCCTCTTGGGATTCGTGCATGAGCGAGGCCTACTGCAAATGGCCCGTCATCGCCGGCATCGTCATCGGCTCCCTCATCGTCCTCTCCGTCATCTACTGCTGTGCGCGATGCCTGTGCTGTGGCGCCGAGTGCTGTTGCGCAATGTGCTCCTGCTTCAACGCATGCTGTCCATCGCCGAGGAAGAACAAGAGCGATGGATATCAAAAACCTCAGGCATATCCCCCATACGCCCAGTACCAGAATCAGCCGCCGGCCATGTACTACGGGGGCGGAGGTTACAGACCGGCGCAGACTGCCACTTTCGATGCGCCGAGCGGCAAATACAATGAAGACGCCCTACCCGCCATGCCTAGCTGGAGCACGGCGCAAAGCAGACGAATAGAGCAAGAAGCGGCGGAACCAGAAGACGTCGAGCTCGACAAATTGGACCAACACTCTCCTCCGGAGCAGAGCTTATTACATCAAGGCCACGATTCTGCAGGCTATCACCAAGAAGACGGCGACTTGGGAGCAATGGCCGCCAACCCCTACAACGATCACTCGCCCTACCAACCTCAACACGACCCTTCGCAATACCAAGCACCCTACAATCGCTCCCAATACCAACCGCAACCTCACCAAGCCTCGCAGATATACACTCCACCGACACCCCTCACACCGGAATACGAAGAACCCAACCCCTACCAAAGCTACAACCAGTACCAACCTCGAGCCCAGTATCATCAATCCTCCACACCTCTCTCATCAGTCGCGCCCTCGTCCATCTACGCATCGACAGTCGCCCCCACATACCGCACCCAGCCGCCTTCAATGTACGGGGCGCCACAACCGCACCAGCCGCAGCAGTATGCTGGTCCATACGGCAACTCGCCGCCGAGCTATCGAACCGCTCCATCCGTTGTCGGTGCCAATTCGCCGCCGCAGTCTCATGCCCGCATGCCTAGCGCTGGTAGCTACGGGGTGCCGAGGAAGCCGATTTCGGGCACGTGGAGAGAGTTGTGAGTGTTGGGATATTGTCTTGGTTCTGCGTGGGAAGCACAGCGTTGGCGTTTTGAGGGGAGTTTTCCGATGTCCCCTGATATGGGAAGGAGTTCAATGTCTTTCGCGTGAGCCGATCTACTGTGGCTGTGGAGGAGTTGAATGTGATTGAAGGCGTCAGAAAGCGCTCACTCTTGTATCATTTCCTACTCTCAAGGCCACCACACCTCCGTCATTTACAAATATCCGAACCCTCTCCCGTTTCCCCTCGAGTCGGACACCTTCAAAAGTACACGTTGAGACTTGTCATTGGTGCTTAAGAGCAGGAGCCTCCCCAAGTGAAGCAAAAGTGAGGGCTCATCAATCGTGGCCATGTGACAGAGCACGTGGGAAGGTTACAGTGAAGCAGCGTTCGAAGAACTACCTGCTTCGTGTCCTTATCCGACTTACCGACAACCTTCCCTTCATTAAACCACCACAATGGCCCGATCAACACTACCTTTCCTCCTCTGGCGTGTCACGACTTCCCACACGGCCGGCGCATCCTCCGACAACCCAGGTGCCCTCATTCCTACCTCGACGGACATTCCATCTACGATTCAAGCCCTCGCCACTCTCCTCCACGCGGCGCTCCTGGGCCGAAATCTCCCAGACAACAACCCCTTCGTCTTCTTCACCTCTTCCCTCCTCTACGCGCTCGTCTACGCCGCTTTTCGCGCTGCGAGAGGGAAGACGGATGTCACCATTACCGTCTTCGATCCTCGACAGACGGCTACATCGCCCAATGGAACGAGGCAAGTACAATTCCATCGCGTCGTCGATTTAATGGACGAATGGGGCGTGGTGATCAACAACAAACGCGATGGGTCGAGAAGGACATACGAGAGCGAGTGGGTTGCTCTGGGAACAGTCTATCTTGACTCGAAAGGGGGAGCGTGTTGCGTGCAGTGGGAGCGTCTACTCGCGGCCGGGCTTTACGACTTCTACCCCGCGCTTGGAGAGGTGCAGAAGGCGAGTCGTAAAGGGCCGAAGCTGTATGTTGCACTTTCGATGCTGAGGGGATTTGGGTTTGGGGTTGAGAAGGAGGCGGTGGGATTGAGTGAGGAGAAGATCGAGTTGGCGGATAAGCTGGTCTCGCTTTTCGGGGAGTCTGGGGCTCACAGAGGCGGAGCCGAAGAAGAGAGGACGAAGGGGCGGGTACGGGTTTGGTTCCTATCTTTGGTGAAGAGGAAGAGATTGGACGAGGTTCTGGTTGGGTGGGTACGGGGTCTTTCTGTTCCCGTGGTGAAGACTAAGCCCAATGAACGGAAGAAGGAGGTCGTCGTGATCGATGATGACGGGGATGATGACCGCAAGGATTGCATCCCCAATGCCAACGGCCATCTCGGACGTGACATTATTGTAATGGACGACAGCGACGACGACAGCGACGACGACTATACCGACGCCGACATTCAAAGCGACTCCATCGATCCAAACCCGGATAACGTACCCGAAGAACAACAATTCGCCCTCCTGCGTTCCACCCTCTGCACTCACAACCTCAGCTTCTCCACGTTACTCCGTCCAAAGGCGATAGAAGGCACAATCAACCCAAAGACCGTCGCAGCAGAGATTCAAGACTGGAACGCGTGGTTGGCGAAGAACCGCGAAGAGAGATGTGCAGCCAGAGCTGAGCGTCCCTCTCGTATGATCGATACGAGGCCGAGGAGAAGGGAGGCAAGACGTCCGAGGTATCATGGGTCGAGAGACATGACTAGAGAAAGGGATGGAGGGAGGGGCAATCGGGCTCCGCGACCGTTGGCTGGTGGAGGTGCTTCGAGGACGGCAGGAGAGAGAGTGGAGAGGCGACCTCGTCGTCGTTGAGACTTGTTACGGAGACTGAACAAGTCTTCCATATGATCTATGTACCGTGATGCGGATGGGTACAGTCTAGGCCGATCGCAATCCCTCCGTACACTCATGAAAAGCGCCATCGCTAAAAGCCACCAAACAATGCTTTCACGTTCGCCGCATCGTCACAATAATCACCTCCTCCCACTACCAGCCTGGCCATTCCCCTCATGCTCCCCCGACTCACTCTCACTCTCGTCCTCATCCCCACTCCCATCCTCTCCCTCCTCCCAATCCCCAGACTCCAAATCCGCGCCTCGAATGCCGAAACTCAGCAAGAAGCCGATGAATGAGACAGCGCCGAATATGCCAAAAGCCAACGCCTCACCCTTGGGCTGCACGTTGAGCGCAGCGGTGAACAGACTCCCGGAAATGAAGGGACCGACTGCTCTGCCTGCCGCACTGAGCGTTTGCGCCAGTCCGTTCAATGTGCCTAAGACGGCATGCGACGGCGCAGAGTTTGTAATGAGGAGAAGGGCAGATGTAAGACCCCCTACAGAAGCAACGGTTTTGATGATCAGCACGCTGCCCAATTCCACCCAGAGCCAGACTTGGCCCATGGTGGTCGGCTTGGTCTTGCCGGATTTCCCGTCTTTGTACCCCACCCACGGCATGAGGAGGAAGGCGATGACGAAACCTGCCAGACCAGTGCGATAGGCGACTTTGTTGCCCACTTTCTCTCGCAGCCGGCCAAAGATGCCGAGTTGGAAGAGGATGGTGATGAGGCCGGCAAAGGCGAGGGAGATGCCGATTTCCTCGGTGGAGAGCGCACGACCGTTGGGCGGGCCGGCCTGGGCAAAGATCGGATAGAGGGAGTTGTAGGCAATGTTGGCGAGTTGGAAGATGAGGAAGGTGGCGAGGAGGAGGATGGTGTCGCGGGTGAAGACTTTGGCGCGAGTCAGTTCGGATTGCGGGTTGTGGGGAAGGAGGGAGGGGACAGATTCCATGGCTTCGCTGTTGGAATCGTTGTCGTTGTCGGAGTCGGTGTCGGCTTCGCTGTCTGCTATTCGGCCGTTGGGGACACGGGAGTAGCCAACACTCTGGCGCTTTTTGGAGCGTCGGAGGTATGTGGGTCGATGGGCGCTGGTGAATTGCCAGACGCGGGCGAAGACGCTCGACACTCGTTTCCCCAGGGGAGGGAGACCTTGAGCACATTCCAGGGATTCTTTGAGGAAGATCATGCTCAAAATCATGTCGAGGATGAGCACTCCCGCTGAGAATATGTTAGGCAGCAGGAAAGGGTAAGCGTAGCCATCCCCCGGATTCTTCACCAACAACCCGCCGACGATCGGGCCAGTGATGCCGCCAATCCCATAGATGATCGGCAAATACTGAAACGCACGACTCTGGTTTGACCGGTCGGTAATCTCTCCCAAGCACGTGCTCACCACTCCTTGATTCCCATTCGACAGCCCCATCAACACCTGTGCCAATACCGCCTGCCACAGCGTGCGACTAAAGCCAAACCCCACGAAACAGCACGCGGTGAGGAATGTGCAGGTGAGCACCACCGGTTTCCGCCCAACCTTATCCGATAGCCAGCCCCACAAGAAGTTCGTCGCAAACTGTGCCAGAGCGAAAGACGAGGCGATCAGGCCAACGTACATGCCGATTTTTTCTTGGTCGACTTCGGGGAAGGTGGATGTCATTTCGGGCAGGTAGGGGGAGATGCTGTTCAGGGCAGTCTGCTCGGCCAAGGCGATGACGGCCAGGATGAGCAGCTGGGCCTTGGGCAACGGCGTCTCATTGCCATTGCCTTTGTTGGAGGAGTGGGAGGAGGATCCGCTTTGTGGTGATGATGGCGACTCGGGAGGTTGTTGAGTGTCGTTACTTTTCGTGCGTCGTGAAGCGTCGGATCGTTGCCGCGGCGGAGCGGTGGGAAAGGTGTGGTAGTGGAAGGTGGTGGACTGGCGATCGTGGAGGGTGGGACGGGAGGTCAATGGCCTGCTCTCAAGGTCCGGGCTACGTGGAGGGGCGGGCATGAATGGAGTGGTAGGGGAGTGCTCGCGCGAGGGCGGCCTGCGAGCTCCGGGCGAAGGTAGATTTGGAGAGCGGAAGGGATTGGCCGGCGAATGTTGTGGTGGTGTTGAGCAGATGTAGTCAATCGGCCCTCTTGCCTCGTGACTGGAAAAAAGCTCGGGCGAAGTTCGCGCAGACTGACGCAATTGGGGAAGTCGCAAGCTGCGGGAATAATCGGCGGATGTATCCGCAGTAGCCTTGGACGCAACATTGGTGATGTGAAAAGGATATGGTATAGGCGGGAAGCCTGCTCATGGTAATGCTCAAGATCAATTGGATGTGTAAATGCACTCTGCTTGATAAACAACGTCAATCCCCATCATCCTCCACCTCCTCAATCTGTACCGGTCTAGGGCCTACCTCTTCTTCACCAGGGAAAGCAGAATTCAACTCCTCCTCTAGCCTCCTCGCCTCCTCCTCCAGTTCTTTCTCCGATCGGTGTCCCACATCCTCGCTCGCCTCCATCAACACTGCCTCCTTCTCCGCTTCATCTGCCGCCTTCTTCGCAGCCACATATCCCGCCTGCTCCAAGCGATCCGCCTCCTCGGGCTCCAACAATCTCCCCTCGCCCTTCATTCGTCTCTTTTGCGCCGCCACGGCAGCAGGAACGAATCGCGCCGCCTCCTTCTTGAGATCTTTAATCTGCGGCGCAGAGCTGTACACCGTTTGCGCCGGCGGCAGCACCGGTTTCGCGGGTAGAGCATGCGGCTCGCGTCTCCCATCTTGTACTCCTCGTCTTGAAGCTCCCCGTCGTGCAGTATGAGGTATAGGCGGAGGCGTATCTTTCGGCATTGGGATGTCTCTTACTTCCGCATCTGACGCCTCGCTATTGCTCTCCGCGTCGTCTGCGTCGCGCCGCCTCTTGCCCAGGTGCTGCTGCTGGTGACCCTGTCTTCGTTGCATCTGCTCCGTCCTCGCATCTCCTCCTCTTCCGCCAGGTGCATCATCTCTCCTCTCTCTGAACTTGGGTGCCGCCTCACCCAGCGCTTCTCTCGCCCTCCGAACTCCTTTCAAATCCCTCTCCAACTGCTTCAATGTCTCTTGGTCTTTCGGCCTCAACGGCGTGCCCCTCGCCTCCAACTCCTTCAACTCATCGACCTGCCTTTGCAGCCGCTCCGGGTTGCGGCGCGCGAGTTTCTCATTGCGTTGCGCCTGCTGCTGTTTCTTGCTCTTGGCGATTTCTTTTTGCTTGTCGGCTTTGCGTTGCGCCGCTGCTGGGTTGACAGACTTTTCTTTGGGCATGGTCGTGTTCGTGTTGGATTGTCTTGAAGGGAAGGAGAGCTGTGACGAAATGTTTGGAGCTTAAAGACTGCTTAGTCAGGCGGCGGGAGAGCCTTGCTCGCATTCATCAACAAGCTCTGCATATTTATAGCCGATGAACATATCAATCACATTCGACTCCAAAAAGTTCTCCACAAAATCAGGGTACTTGTTATCGCATTCAGCCCACGATCCGACAATCTAGGCCTCCGCCGCCTTCAACAGGCCCTTCAAGTCAATGCTCTTGGGTCGCTCAATAGGCAGACCCAGCGCGCGATCCCAGATCAGCTGCGCCAGCGGGCCCAGGCCTCTGCTCACGCCAAAGGTGACGGTGTAGTACAGCGTTTCGTGGAAGCCGTAGTGGTGGAAGAGCACGCCGGAGCTGGAGTCGACGTTGGGATAGGGGTTCTTGGTCTTGCCGTGCTCCTTCAGCACCCCCGGCGCGATCTCCGAGTTGCTCTTGACGAGCTGGAAGAGCGGGTTGGCCGCAATCTCCTTGCGGCTAGAGGCAAACTTCATCAATGCCTCGAAGCGCGGGTCGGGCTTGCGCAGCACCGCGTGGCCATAACCGGGCACGACACGACCAGACTTCAGGATGGACCACAGGTAGTCCTTGACGTCTTTCTCACCAAACTTCTCGCCGACAGTTTCCTGCATTTGGAGGATGAAACGCAGGACTTCCTGCGCCGCGAGGCCGTGCAGTGGGCCGGCGAGACCCTGCAGACCGGCGGAGTAGGAGAGGTAGGGGTCGGAGAGGGCGCTGCCAACGAGATGGGTGGCATGGGCGGATACATTGCCGCCCTCGTGGTCGCCGTGCAGGGCGAGGTAGAGGCGCAGCAGGTCCTGGAAGTTGGCGTTCTCCTCGCCCGGCTTGCCAAGCATGGCAGCAAAGTTGTACGACCAGTCGTGCTCCAAGTCCACCTCGTGAGGCAGAGCGCCGCCGCCGTTGTAGGTGTTTTGGTAGATCTTAGCGGCGATGGTGGGCAGCTTGGCGAGGAGGTTGATGCAGTCGTCAAACGTCGGCTCCCAGTACTCCGCCTTGTTGATACCCTTTTCGTAGGCCTTGGCGAAGATGCTCTCGTGGTTGAGAGCGCTGACGGCGCATGCAAACTGGGTCATGGGGTGGAGGTCCTTAGGGAAGTCGTTGAGCATCTTGTCGACAAAGGCCGGCAGCTGCGCCTTCTCGGCCAGCTCGCGGGAGAAGGCGCGAACTTGGTTGGTGGTGGGCACCTGGCCAGTCAAGAGCAGCCAGAACATGGCCTCGGGCAGCATCTCCGTCCCGGTCTTGCCCTTGGGCAGCTCCTGTTGGCAGTCGGCAATGGTGCGGCCGTGGAAGCGAATGCCCTCGTTGGCGTCGAGGACGGAGCCCTCCCAGACCATGGCCTTCAGGCCACGCATCCCACCTAGGGTATTCTCAATCTTGACCTCGCCAATGACTTTGTCGCTGTGCGCCTTGACCTTCTTGAGCAGCTCGCGCTTCTCGGGGACGATCTTGGAGAGGGTGGTCTTGAGGTCGGGCTCGGAGGAAGCGGAGTAGGCGGCGCGGAGGGCTGGTCGCGAGAGCTGGGGAAGGGTGTTAGTGGGATGCAAGGAGTAATGAGTGTTGGGAGACACACCTGCGAAGCTCTCAACGCCCGCAATGCGGTTCGGGTGGAAAGCGCCATGTTGGCTGTGAGTGGAGGTGATCTTGCTGCTGTTGCGGAGGTAGCAAGAGACTGTGACCAGCTCAATTGATGCAAGGCAGGAGTGGTTGTTGGGCAAAACAGAGAGATGATGAGGCTTGGGAAAAACGAATGGGCAAACTTTCTGACGTCGGCTTGCATCGGGAAAGTCCAGCTCCCAGCTCGCGCTTGCCTCGGGTCACGGTAAACTTTGTCAGCAGGAGCCATCGAGGACCCGATGTCGCTCGGGAAGTGACGATGTCGGATTATTTTTCCATCATCCACCATCCGCCTCGCAATCACCCACTCCTCCCCTGCCTGTTTACAGATCCCGCCAGCAGAGAGTCTCGTTTCGCGCGCACCCTCGACTCCCTCATATCAAGCATGGAAAGCTAGGCTGGAGCAATCGAAGACCAAACAAAAGCAAGACAGCCACCATGTATCGCACGACTACACGCGCCCTCCGCCAGCAACGAGCATGGCTCGCGCGGCCCATCAATGCTAGCGTCGCAGCTCGATCTGCCATCGCGACGACCGCCAGAATGTCCTCCTCCCTCCCAGCCGTCTCGCCGCCGCTACCCAGCACAAGCGCCGCCGACTCCTTCCACCTCCTCCCCGAGGCTTCCAAGTCTGGCAGCGCAGAGACGGAGCTGTACCAGCAGCAAATCAACCAGGTCAAGGAATGGTGGGCCAGCCCGCGCTACAAAGGCATCACCCGCCCCTACTCCCCAGAAGATGTGGTCAGCAAAAGAGGCACCCTGCAGCAGGTCTATCCCTCGAGCTTGATGGCGAGGAAGCTGTTCAACCTGCTCGAGGAGCGTGCGGCGGAGGGCCAGCCCGTACACACCATGGGCGCCATCGATCCCATCCAAATGACACAACAGGCGCCGCATCAAGAGGTGCTCTATGTCAGCGGTTGGGCCTGCTCCAGCGTCTTGACCACCACCAACGAAGTCTCCCCCGACTTTGGCGACTACCCTTACAACACCGTCCCGAATCAAGTCCAGCGGTTGTTCAAGGCGCAGCAGCTTCACGACCGCAAGCACTTTGACGAGCGCATGCGGATGAGTCAGACAGAGCGGGAGAGGAAGCCATTCGTGGACTACTTGCGGCCCATTATCGCCGATGGCGACACGGGTCACGGTGGGCTCAGCGCCGTCCTCAAGCTCGCCAAGCTCTTTGCCGAGAATGGAGCGGCAGCGGTACATTTCGAAGACCAGCTGCACGGCGGCAAGAAGTGCGGTCACCTGGCTGGAAAGGTCATCGTTCCCGTCGGCGATCACATTAACCGCCTCGTCGCCACACGTTTCCAGTGGGATCTGATGGGATGTGAGAACCTCGTCATTGCCCGTACTGATAGTGAAAGCGGCAAGCTCCTGAGCAGCGCCATCGACGCACGGGACCACGAATACATCCTGGGCGTTACGGAAGAGGTTGAACCACTGGCAGAAACGCTCCAGGTCATGGAAATGGAAGGCGCCAGCAGCGAGGAAATCAACTCCTTCGAAGCGCAATGGGTCAAGAAGCACAAAATGGTGACGTTTGACGAGGCGGCCGAAGCCCACATCAAATCCACCGGCAACAATCCCCAGAAATACCTCGATGAGATGAAATCCAACCGCAACACGCCCCTGCACAAACGCCGGAAACTCGCCGCCGACATCGCCGGCAGCCCCGTGACCTTCAGCTGGGACATTCCCCGCACACGCGAAGGCTTCTACCACTACAAGGCCGGTATCCCCGCCGCAACGAAGCGCGCAATCGCCTTTGCCCCCTACGCCGACCTCCTCTGGCTCGAGACCGCCGACCCGTCTGTGGAAAAGGGCGCCGGCTTCGCCAGGGAGATCCGCGCCGCCTACCCGGGCAAGAAACTCGTCTACAACCTCTCGCCATCCTTCAACTGGTCCGCCCACGGCTTCTCCGACGCCCAGCTCAAGTCCTTCATCTGGGACCTCGCGAAAGAGGGCTTCACCCTGCAGCTGGTCTCCCTCGCGGGCTTGCACTCGACAGCCACCATCACGCACGAGCTGGCCAAATCGTACAAGACGGAGGGCATGAAGGCGTATGTGGATATCGTGCAGCGACGGGAGAAGGAGAGTGGGTGTGAGGTTCTGACGCATCAGAAGTGGAGTGGTGCGACGTATATGGATGGGATTATTGGAGCTATTCAAGCGGGCAGCTCGGGTAGCAGGAGTATGGGAGAGGGGAATACCGAGGGGACGTTTTAGTTATGCACGTGTGAATGGAGCGATCTGTTTGACAACCTCAGTCTTTGTCCGTCAGCGGTGTGAATTTGCGCCGCTTGCTCATCGCGATGGGAATTCAGGCAGATGTTGCTGTAGCGCAGGAGGCTACCCAGAGTGCAGGATTAATCATATCATCGCAGCGAATCGATTTTTAACGCTCAGAAATCGAATTGCGGTCATTCGAACTCTGCGGCGCGAGAATTCGCTCCAGCAAAGCAAGGCTGAAGGCAATCTTCCCAATTCGGAACCACAGCCTTGTGAATTTCGGCGGGTGAAGCCACAAACACGCAGACGATTGTCATGCGAATATTTTTCGCTCCCTCTCGCTCCTCGCCTCTATATGATGCTGCTGTTTGTCTGGTTTTCTCTGCTTCAGCATTCACACCACTCGAGCTTGCGACGGTCACCATCAACTGCTTTCACGCTCTCTTCACTCAGCTTTCGCATCGACTGTACATTCACACGCTTAGAACGATCATACAGTAAGTCTCCTGGTGTAGGCCTACTCCGGTCCGCAACTGACAAAAAGACCAGTCACACACCATATCGCAATGTCGATGGCAGAAGAACGCGTCGCACCCCCTGCCCCAGTCAACAGCAGCCACACTGCATCAATCACACATACCCAATCCCAGTCAATCACACCTCCGTCTTCCGCACCCCCTGTCCGTCCTCGCCCTCTCTACCCCCTCCCCACGCACCCCTCAGATCCCCTCTCCCGCTCCTTCTGGACCCGCGTCCTCGCTCCGCTCGGCTGGACCGCGCACATGCGCCACCACGCCGCCATCAACCAGCGGCTACCATACGCGCTGAACGTCAAGACAGTCACGTTGCGGCCAGACGGAAAGTTCGTGTTCTACGAACCGCGCCCGTCTTCCCACAAGCCGCTTGTGATTGACGCGCAGGATTTGGTGTACTGCGTCGAGCCCAGGGAGGCAAACCCGCGGATCGACGACATCGGGGTCGAGATGCGGTTGTACGGGAAGGAACACTTCGTGCCTGCTCTCGACGCTGGGTTGCTGTCGACTGTGCAAGCATATGCTGCGCTGCCGACGGGCGAGTATACGCTGGAGATCACGGTGCCGTTGTTCAGCACGGCCTGGGTCACGGGAATGGTGAGCGCGGATGGGGGGATGCTCGTGGAGACACAGGGAAGAGGGATGACGTGGGTGGAAGAGACAATCAACGGCACTCCTGCTCTCAGCGGGCTTCAGAGGAGTTTCAGACGCTCGTGGTTGTGGGTGATCTACTCCGAGCCAGTGCCGGTGCTGATGTTCGAGTCGGAGATGGGAGGGAGGGTGTCTTGGCTGAGTGCGTCCACTTCTGATGGTACTTCGGAAGAAGACTCGGATGCCACGATAGAGGAGGACTCTGATGAGACGATAGAGGAGGATGAATCGGATGAGACGATAGAGGATGAGGATGACAATGACGACGATGATAATAACGATGACGGTGACAGTGAGGATGAGGGTAAGGACGAAGAGGAGGAGCCACCGGCAAAAGCACCTATCATGGTCTAGTACAAGGGCTAATTAATGAGGTACTAAGGGAGGCTAGTGTTAGTATTGCTTACCGTTCTCGTGACCTGTTTAGTATCGGCGCTAGCGGGTGACTTGTTTTGTCGATGTACACGTTAACATTGCTTATAGATTAACGCTCGTGTCTAACTAAAATACTAAAATGTACCGTTATAAGAGTAGATTTTCTGCTTACTAAAACATATCTCAGAACGGCTAGGTAACTTATAGACCGGGGTAGGGTAGATTTACGTAGAGTAGATTTTCTAAAAACCCATAAAATTACGCTAAATCTAAGTATATTATAGAGCGAATTTTTGTAAGTAAGACTAATATAAAGATAATACTAAATAGAGGTCGTGTTAACCTAGTATATGTAATAGAAGTATATCTAACAGGTTTAAAGTTCTATAGTATATAGACGTAGAACTATAGTATACGAAGTAGCCCGTATAGCCCGAGCGTTTAACGAGTAAGGCGCGGATTCGCGGAGAAGGTAAAGGGTAATATAATAAGGGTTTACTATTATAGTATAGCCTGTATACGTTAGATTAAAGGAGATACATATATAGTAGGATATTTAAAGGTGCGAAGAAGATAATTAAGCCATTTTTAACCTATTTTTAACCCGATTTATACTAATAGAAGCTACATAAGATAAAGGAATCTAAGAGAAGCATTAAGTATTTCTACTATATACTAGAGTAGTAGATCATTGTTTATAAGGAATGTTAGTACGCCGTATAGCTATAAGAGGTTCTACGGCATTTATAAGGTAAGTAATACTAGGTTCTATTATAAGCGGCCCGAGCTATTACTATAGAGGTATAAGAATAGCCTAGAGTAATTTATAATAAGACCGATTTAGCTATTCCGCTATATATCTATAGGCCTATTACCGAGTTACTATTATATACCGACGGATTATAGTACCGTATAGAGCCTAAGAGGTATTTATAGATATTCCGTGATTAGAAGACAATATAAAAACATTAGAGAGAAAAGTACTAATAGTTAGTAAAGTTATAGAAGGGTAGGCCATAATCTACTAATAAACTAAGGATCTAGCGACAATTAAAATAGAACACAAAGAGAGTATATTACTAGCGAATTTTTCTAAACCGCTATAGATCCTAGTACATTAAAATCCGAAATCTAGATAAAGTACGACCTAGGAAAGCGCTTTCTATAGTATAACCTTGTTTTTCTATAAGAAAATAGAAATATTAGAATCAAAGTATTCTAGTAGTTTATATAGACTCTATTACGTTTCTACTATTAAGAACTATGAAAATAAAGTTAAAAGAATAGAAAATAGATATAGAATTAATCTATCTCATTTTACTTAGTAAAACCTAACTTTTCTTAGTAAAACCTAACTTTTTATAATAAAACCTATCTTTTTATAATAAAACCTAACTTTTTAACTATAATCTATATATAATTAAATTAATACTAATAGAAGATAAATTATTAAAAGAAAATATAAAAAATTTTTGAAAATCTAAAAGAATTAAAGAGTTTTAAAGAATAAAGTACTTAAATACTAATATAAGCTACTAAAATATAACTAATTACTTTCTTTCTTTTCGAGGTCTACCTTTTTATCCTTTTATTTTTATTTTTTTAGGTCTTCCTCCTTTATTTTTAGATTTAGATTTAATAGAAATTTTATCTTTATTATCTAAATTAGATATAGTATTATTACTAGATATAGAGATAGAATCTCTATTACTAAAAGATCTTTTAGAACTACTATTTAGATTTAGATTAGGTATATTTAAAGTATTAGATTCTAAATATCTATTAAAGTCTCTTTCTAGATTTTCTTCTATATTATCTCTAGTATTAATATAGAAATCTCTACTTTCTTCTATATTAGTAGAAGGTATATAGCTTTTATTACTATTAGACTAACCCTGCAATCGGCGCACTAGATGCCCTGCCTCTGGACGCACTCGAAGGATTCGATCTGTCGAGCTAGGCGCAATGCATCGACTAGACCGGGATCGGGGCGGATTAGAGCTACTTTTGAGTGTTAGCGAGCTATCGGCATTTCATGACGGCGTACTTTCATCCCTGCATGAGGTTAACCGGTGCCGTGGTCCTTCTCGACTTCCGGGTCCCTGTTGCGCTTGTGTACTATCGACACGGCTCTGTAACCCGCTCCTCGCTCGCTAGGTTAAGCTGTCTCGGGCCTCATTCGCGTATTGTCGCAAACAGCCAGCCCGCCGCAATGCTTCAGGCATGCTTAGTGGTTATCGGAAGTGTGTGGCGACA